TTCTTCGCTACAAGTTGGCAGATTCCGGTAACATTCTCTCTGAGGTGGGGCCAGATGAACTTGCTACCATGAGAGCGTCGTGCTCTTTCAAGCTCGACTGCGTTCCCTTCAACATCTCGAAGCGGCTGCAGAGTTTCACAATCACTATCGAACCAAAGTTCAAGCAGTCAGGTGGCAGAAGCAAGTTCGAGGCAAGCACCATCAGTGGATGTCCCTTCAAGCTTCGCGAGCGTGCTGGTGATCCTCTCGATCCCGCACTAGTTTCTATGATAAACTATTGATCGGTAGACCGGAATAAACTGTCATTCACTATTGTCATCCAACTCTATTACGCCACATGCTTGAATACTTTCGTCTTCATCCGCGATCTTATTGTAAAACTGTACTCATGATATGCGTTCCATCCAACTTTCGCACTTACCTGGCTTGTGTAATCGCATCTGCATACTGTGCCCGATTCTGCAACAAGTGTGATCACACTACCGATCCGAAAGTCAAAGCATGGCCAACCCTCAATTTCTTTTGCTTCTACTTGTATGTAGCTCCTGATATTTTGATTAGAGACCTAGCAAGGTGATCGATCGTGCGCAGGGGGGAAGTTGAGCCATAGGAACTTGAGCAGTTTTATGAGAACAATACATGCAATCACTTGCCGTCATGCATTTGTCTCAACTCTTCCTGTGTCTTGATACCTCCTGGCAAGTGTCGCAATAATCAACGGTCATAATTCGACTTCGACAAAGAAGTGACCAAGTTCAAAGAACGTTTTTGTATAATGATAATGAATGAAGTAAGATGGAAAACATTGGTAAAGGTCAGATCAAGCGAGAAAAGAAAAGAGAAGAAGAAAAAAGAAAGAAAAAAACAAGGACAGCATAGTGGTAAGAAGATGACGATCAGCTGCCATACTTTGCGTAATAGGCATTCAACTGTTGCTCATACACGCGTTGTCGTCGCTGGTTCTCACGCCTTTCATCCTCACCTCGAGCAAGCCAGTGTTTGGCTGGCGGTGGGACCTTAAGTAGCTGTGGAGGTGGTGGCGGTGGAGGTATAGGCCCGCCACCTCCTGCCCCACCGATGCCGCCACTATCGACTCGGCCAAGGTGATTGTGGTAGTTACGACTATTGTTGTTGCCGCCGTTGTGACTGTGGTAGGCACGGCTATTGTTGTTGCCGCTGTTGTTGATGTTGTTGTTATTGCTATCCTGTGTGGCGGCTCGCAATCGATGGATCTCAGTTTCTCGACCGGCGTTGGCGATGCTCAGCTCTTCTACTTCTGCCTCCAGTCTGGACATCTGTGCGCGGGAAGATGCGTCGTTGTCTCGAAGGTGCCTTTCAAACTGATCTTCGAGTTGCTCAACGAGCTTGGCTTTTTCTTGAGCGCTCCTAGCCTCGGAGGCATTCTGCATCTGAGCTACATCGCGCTTGTGCTGCTTGATGATGTCGGAGCGTTCTTTGCTTTGCTCTTCTTGTAAGCGTCGGATCTCCTTTTGATGTGTTTTCATCTGCCGATCCGCTTCTTTTGAAGACTCATTCAGCTGAGTCTCGAAGGACTTTCGCAGATCTTTCAGTTTCTTGTCGTATGCACGAGCGTCGTTGGCGCGGGCACGGGCTTCTCTGTCTCGTTGCTGGCCCATCTCATTGAGGTGTTGTTCGTGGAGCAGTCTAGTCTCTTCCTCGTTGATCCGCATCTTGTCCAAGATTTCTTCATACTCTTTCTCAGCTTCACGCCTTGCTTGTTCAGTACCTGCATCGAAATCAGCGATTGAATCTGCAGCATGGCCTCCTTGTATACTCACTGGTTTGCATCAGACCGAGGACTTCGTTCAACTCCTCCTGGTACTTCTTGTGCAACTTCTCAAGTCCTTCATCGATGAACGAACCTGCCGCAGTGTCGACCAGATCCTTATGCTCATCAACCAACTCTGATTGGATATCGAGTGCGACCGGTTTGTGTCGAACGAGCTCGCGGATCAAATCTTCAGCGGTCCCACGATCGTTCCAGTACCGACGGACTTGTGAACCCCGTTCGACCATTCTGGCCCAAAAGTCTTCAGTAAGTTCTTTCTCTCGCTTAACAAATTCGTCTTCTCTTTCTGGGTCGTTTTTGGCTTTGTCCCACATTGTCGTTGCCAGGATGACATTTTTGAGTCCGTTCTCTCCACAAAGCTTTTGAAACATGTGAATATTTCTCAGGGAAGGACCCTCAACGCGGGTGTGAGTAATATCATGGAGGTAGATGATTCCGGATAGCAGAACACCTGACTCATAGGATGATGCCATGAAACTGGCAATCATCTTCAATACGTCGGTGTCGCTTATGCTCGTGTCGGCGAATCCTGGTGTGTCAACAAGGATTACGTGCCGACCTTCGAAGGGGATATCAGATTGATATACTTGATCAGTCTCTAATGGCAGGCAAAAGCANGTCAGTAATGCACAGTAGAAGACATTCTTGTTGAACTTACGAGACCTGAGTCCATGTCCAATGCCAACATCCTTGCCCGCTAATTTGGAAATGAAATTACTCTTGCCCGAACCTGTCATTCCGCAGACAGCAATGACTACTGGTTCATCCACGGGACTTCTCGTAGATGCCTCAGCAGTAGTCGATGACCGAGGACCACGTCTAGACGAGCTGTTGCTCAGTACCATGACGCCAGACTGGTTGAGCATCTGATCATCTCTGCTGCGTTGAGTTTCAACAGTGTGGACAGAGCCTGGCCTTGGCCTTCTCTGCTGCTTCCAGACGACCATAGCCTGGCTGATAGTGTCTCTGGCAGCAGCCTCCAATGCGACTGTAGAATCAGGAAGAGTCGGAGCAGTCGACACGGATACGGCGTATGATGATGATGGTGGAGAGATGTTGATGTTGTTGTTGTTGTCGTTGTTGGATGACATGTCGGCCCTTAAGCTCAAGAGTTCCTTCTCCAGAGATTTTATATTGCGTACAATCTCGGCAGCGGACTCCTCGACTCGGTCAGAAATTCTGCAGGTTGCTTGGCTACATTTATTAGCAGATGTTCGAACACTGCTTCGTGAAGCAACACTTACAGTGTGATGACTTGGAGTGCGATCTGCATTCTCCTTGTCCAATCGACAATTCTTCGCTGTAGACCAGTCCTGTCATTAGTCCTGTACCTCGTGTTTACCAGACGGACTATACTTGTCCGTTTGCTTCGGGAGTTTTTCACAGATGTAGAAAGATCGTCCACAAAGGCGAGACACTCTTTGAAGGTTTCGTTGACGGCAACAAATACACTGTTGTCTCCTTCGTCTATTATCCTGCCGATATCTCTGCCATTCAGGGTCTCTTCAACGCGATTAATGACGATCTTGAATGACGACAAATCCTTCCCCAACCCCTCCAGCATCTTGTCGTTGTTTCTAGCATTGTGTATCAGGGTGATGAGGCTTGCCGAAAGAGAAGTCACAGTGTTTGTGAGCATGAAAATAGTGACCGGCTCCATTGTCGTGCGTTGGTGGTGATAGACTTCTTGCGCCTTTCGAAAGTCAGAGAAACGACGCTCAATATCAGGACCAGAAAGTGTCAGACAGAATCCCTCGAGACTTATAATGAGCATACCGCAGGCATGCTACCTCAAATCTGGCGAGGCGCAGTATTGGCGGTGTTATACCGCAGACATGCCAACCTAGACTTGACAAGGCTTAGTCTACTGAATAGCGGTGAGGACCTGAGAGAAACATGGCCCCCAGCTTCGAAGAAGCCTCTTGCGTAAACAGGTAACTTGGCTGCATCGATCGAGATACCAAATACCCGGGTCAGACAAGATTCCAAATCTGTTTCTACCAATCGAAGACTGTCGACGGCTATCTTGAGCGGACGAAGCTGGGCTAGGAACAGGAACGAACCAAACAGATCATGGCGTGACCTATCCATGTGAGCTTGAGAGTGACTAGGTGCCTGAAAAGCGGTCACATGTCGGGCAGCCATGCCGTCTTTTGGTACTTCCAGGGTTCTGCCTGGTTACCTCATCATTCGGTCTCTGCTCATGCTCGATGCAAAGTCAAGGAGAGTCCTAGATAAGAGTGCATCAGAAGCTGAAACAAGCGTGGCTGAGGCCGAGACAGCATGTCTTATGAGCATGTGAGATTCGTTATAATCCAATCCAGAAGAGAAAGTCGCGTGTCCGGAGTGCATCAACTAGTATCCTGCGGCCAACCCAATTCGACGCGAAGCTTTGGCGTCAGGCATTACTGTCACGAGAACACAGCCCATTTGAAGGCCGAGGACCGGTGTAGTAGACTTTCTTCCGGGTGTCGATGCTTATGCTTGCGTTAATCTCCAGCTACAATGCTTCGCTGCTGGGACTTTCTGAACTTCTTTCTTACGACTCCGGCTTCGAGGGGGAGGCTATCTTGCACAATTCGAGTTTGAGTTCGCTATCCTCAAGCCTTCCAAACCCATTTATAGTCAGCCAAGGCCAAGGCGGATCTAGACCGCTGCAGCTGGAAAGTGCAAGAAAAATGTTGCATAGGTTAGAACGGCGACGCATATGCCGGGAATATTGTTAGAACAGAGGTCCCCTCACGTACAGGGGGAAGCTATCCGGGGATTAGCTTGGCCTTGTGCACAGCGATAACTTGCGGGACGTCGACAAACCACAGACAGAAGAGTAGCACTTCAATTATGCAACTTCAGGGTGAGTTTAACCTCATCAACTGATTTTCATACGTCTCGTCTCGTTGTGCGTGGTTAACTTAGGTAGTTGTTAACAAGCATGCCAAGCGATATATACATCGAGGCCTAAACGTCATCTCTTGGCAAATGCAGCCGTGCCGACAAACCTACGATCCAAGCGCCTTTTCGCGAGGAAAGAGCGACGTGCAAAATTAGCTCGGTCGACATCTGTCACCTTCAGTCAACAACATCACAGTCATCATTTATTTTGCTTGCTCTATTGCCATGCTACCAGCACTGCGCTAAACAACACAACATCTAGTACCCATACGCAACAGCAAACCCCTTCTGCAAGTCCTTACCATTTGTTCCCTAGCAGCGACCCCTTTGAGCCTGCAGACTTCATCCTGTTCCACATCTTCTCACCAGCTGATCCGGCGCTGGCTTCTGTGACATCCTTCTCGCGGTGATCAGGACATTTGCGTGGCGGGAACTGACCCTGCGACTCGTAGAAGAACTCTGACACCTCAAATTCATGCTTTGGACCATCTTCGATGCACGAATATTGAACAGTAGGATTGTTCAGTTGCTTCCAGCATATGCCACACCACTGATGGCCAGGAAAATCCACAGACTCGGAGGAATTGGCCACGCGTATGATGCTGCGACAGAACTTGTTAGAGCAACACACCGTGGGAGCCATACTCGGCCACTCCTTTCTGAAGTCAAAGCTGCCTGTTTCAAACATCTCTCGGTTGCTCTTCAGGCCTAACTCGCGACAGAATGTATTGCACTCGTGCCCAGCAAAGAAAAATTTGAAGCCCGACTCGCCCAGGTTTGTCTCATGCAGCTTGAACCGCTCCTCGTCGCTAGTCTGGATGGCTGGATCAGTCAGTAAATGGTTTACTCCTTGAAGGTCGTTAACCAAGAACAGTCCCCATGAGCGCTCGAAAGTGAAATGCGAAAACGCTTGGGCCATCTGATTGAATGTGTCGCCAGACAAATCTTCGTTTACCCAGCCGCCGTTGTTGTTGTACTTGATATATTCGCTTCCCACGAAGCGCTCAAGCGACATACATCCACCCTTAGGCCCTGGAGAGGTTTTCGACCTGGTCTGCAGGCAGGACGTTACGATGAAGTCCAGAGGAGGTTCGATATCGAGGAGGCCATTGAACTCGAGAGCAAAAGCTTTGCACATTGCCTGAATCCGCATGTCCTCGATTACTTTGGGACGGTTGTCATTGGTGCCTCTGATAAACGACTTCAGCACGAAGCGACTGTGTGATGTCGCAGTTCGGGCATAAAATGCGTTTCGAACACTGCCTTGCGCAAACGGCTTCGATCGAGCTTGAACTGTAAGGTCTACAACGTCCAGCTTGATGTTCTCATCCGCGGCCATCATGCAACTCAGCGTCTTACTATCGTGTATCACGGCTGCAGGGCAGAAACCTTGCATCTCGAATGTCTTTTCGAACCAGCCTGGATTCGTCCACTGTGGTGAAACCTTCTCGATGGAGCCTTTCAGGTCAGTGTGGCTACTGCGGCTACCAACACTTTTCTCTTCCTGAATATCTTCGAGACTTTGAGAAAACCCAACTTCGCCAATCTTGGTCGCTGTACTCCATGTCATCGAGAGGCGACCTGCCGTTCTGGAAACTGAATTGGTGACACTCCTGACCACAAGGTGTTGAATATTACCGTACTCGATACCAAGCTGGTGTTCTTCAAATTGCGGCTCCATGGCGGATACGCGATCATTACTCATGCTTGATCTATCGCTACCTTCTGACTTGAGACGAGAGTAGTATGTGTTGGAAGTGTGTAGCTTCGCGTTACGCTGCCCATAGACCTGAGCAAAAGCCAAAGCCATGCGGTCGGTGTACAGCTCGATGCGAAGCAGGACATAGGTGATCTTGAGGTGGATTAGCTTACTAAGGAGCGGTTTGTAGGTAAGGCCATGCGGCTCGCTGCCCGGCATGTAGTAGTCGTCGTCCTCGCTGCTTAGGTCATGCAATCCATGACTGTGTGGTGGTGCATCCGCAATGTGGATCATACATCGCGTTTGTTGGTTCCATGATGCCCGCAGCGCCTGGTCGATGCCACCAAGAACATCTTCGGGCAAGTCGTGTCCCGAATCAGCGTACAATCCGTCTAGGAAACGAAAGACTCGTTCCGTTGATGTTGTAAAATCAAGAAACTCGACGTTGGTTGTGGATTGGTGGTCCTTGTAGCTGACCACGGCAATACGCACCTCAGATTCGTTGAAATAGATCCGTTTGATGTCAAGCACAATGCTTCTGACCTGCTCCTTGGCAGAGTCGAGATATGGCTTCATTGAATATGTGGTATCGATCAGGAACAGCAGATCAGTCGAGCATGCTTTCTTGAATAAGCCCTTCGTATCACGTGGGGGCTGTTTGGCGTTGGCCTGGTCCACTTCAGATTGAAGCTGAAGCTTCATCGATCTCGCCGACAGTCTAGACGAGGGGAGAGCAGTAGAGGTTGTTGAGCCAGGCGCTTCGACCGTACGGCTACTGACGTTTGACTTTCGAACAGCACTCGCAGGCGGTNNATTGTGGTCGATGTCGCTTTGTAAGACTTTGACTGCGAACGGCGTAGCAGATCGTCTGCCAACGATCTTATCTCGTCTCGCGAGACCTGCGAACGAGACACAGATGCCGACGACGAGATGCTACGTGACAGAGAAGAGCTCAGCATCGCGTCCGCAATCGAGTTCATCTCTTCTCGGGACACCGTCGAGCGAGATAGGGACTCTGACGTTCTGTAGGACGGGGGATAGGAAGGCATTCTGGCAGCAAAATTGATATGGTGAGGATGTGAAGTCTAGTGCAGGCGAACACTCAAACTTGAAACTTGGAAGCAGGTGGTTATCAAGGAACAAGCTTGATGGTCCCAGCGAAACCTTCGTCCTCTCATAGTACCAGTCGGTGTTCGGCGGTGCAAATAGAAGTCGTCAGTTTGTCCCTCAGCCTTCCAAAGTTTGGTCGATACATCCAGCTCCGCCCCGCAGCTCCGCTATTCAATGCAAAGTCCAGACCGCATACCATGTACTCGAACGGCTTAGCATAGTGCACGATGGATTTAGCGGAGGTCAGTCCCAAAGGTACATGTGTACAAAGGCTTCGTCGTCGGCGGTCCCCGCCGTTGGCATCTGCATACCCAGCCTCGGTCATTTAGGCTGTCTCTAGGACTGTGCGTTATTTCTGTCTCCAGAACTTTTACTAACAGCGAATGGAAGTGTAGACGATCATTATTGTGAGGCGTCACGTTGTGCACACTTGTTCCTGGGAGACTATCATGGGCTCTCTTATAACGGATCCATACGATGCTGTCCAAGACTCTGCAACCGACTCTGAGCAATCGTCGGATGCAGCTGAGGAAACCGCTCAAATAGCCGTGCCACCACTGTATCACCCCCAAAGAGCTGTATTCTTCCTCAAGAAAGCCAACCTCTCTCCTCCATCTCCTAGATTGGAATTGGCCCGGCCGTTAGTGCCTCAACCCTTCGAATCACTGCCTATCAACGTCGATAAGGCACGGCTCTTGCTTGCTCAGCTATCTAGCTGCAAGCCTTCAGGATCGAATTCACGGTATAAATGGTTGCCTCAAAGTCGGCAGACAAGAGTCAATGATGACACTAGGAGTTTCAAAAACATGATGTTGCGCGGGCTTTCGACCAGGTTCTGTTCTATACGCCACTTGAACCATCTGGTATTGCACAAGCTATCTTGTCCTTTGCACCAGGAACATCTTTGTACGAGCTTTGGCCCCACCTCCACGATCCAAAACTGGAAGAGAAGATGGAAAGTCGTCTAAAAAGGATGACAAGTCGACTCAGGCTGTCACAGATGCCTACCATGCCAAGTGAGCCTTGGTCATGGTTAGACAGGATGGCTGAGGTAGAGGATCTTGATTATATCCGCTTGATGTGCCAAACTGGATTGAGACAGGAAGCGTTAGACAGAGCCCTTGGTGCCGCTCTGTCAAAGTCTCCGTTGTCTATCATTGAAGCTCTTCTTAACTATGGTGCTGTTGCCTCAGGTTTTAGAGAGGCTGTCCGAGAGCGTTTGAGACAGGAAGATACTGCTCTGGTGAGACTTCTGTTGTCCACCCCAGGTGCAATGAGTGTTGAAGCCTGGCGATATTGCATAAAACCATACGCGGAGAGCTCGCCCGATGCGTTGTTGCTTTGTCTTGAACATCGTCCGGATGTGGTTTGCGGGGCCCTACTGCTGCAAGCATTGGACTTACAGAATTTCTCGGCTACTGCAATCGTACTTGCATACGCAGGCTCAGATGAAGAGTTCCGCGACGTTCGTCAGCATGCATGCAAACTGACTACACAGATTGAGCCTCCCGAGAGAAGGCATGAATTCTTCATGATACTCATCGAGTCTGGATGCGTGCAAGACAGTCCCGTACTGCGTGAGGAACTCCTGAAAGATGCGAAGCTTCGCCAATTTTCTTTGGTAAAGGCCTTGACGGGTGCTGGCGTCAAGTTGGACGTCGAGCCGAACAACGTAATCTCCTGGGCGATCTCCCAAATGGATCTCGAGTTGTTGGAGCTGATCAAAGACGGGAATCTCTCCTCACCTGTTTCTCCTCTACTGAGACTGGTACCTTCTTCGACCTCTGAACAAGACTTGATTCTTCTCTTGGACCTCCTATCGCCTCTGGGACTCGCTGGTGAGTCGTTGCATTGGCATCTGGTCCGCGCTGTTGAACAACATCAAGTTCAACTGGTAAAAAGCTTACTACTATATGGCGCTTCAGTCGAATATGATCGTGCTTCTGCTGTACGCGCCGCTATTATCGGAGCGAAATTCGACATCCTCAAGATCTTGCTTCGGACTGAAATCTCATCAAGAGCTATTTTGGGTACCATAAGTACTGCCATGGACCTAGCGTCCAGACATGATAGATTTCAAGCGATGTTAGCTCTTCTGAAGAAGGGCGTTGCAGCCAGGAGACTTGCCGTTCACCTACGCACTCTCGTCGCCGATAGAGGTGAGGTGGACCTCGAGTTGATCGAGCTACTCCTTCGACACAAGGCGCCTGTGGACAGTGTTGACAGCCCTGGTGAGTGTTGCGTCTCAACAACCGTACGAAGAGGGGACGTTAAACTACTTCGGCTGCTGTGTGATGCTGGACCCTGTCGTGAAAGTCTTTCTGAGGCTGTCGTGGTTGCATTCAACACGATAACCATCCACCCTTATGACGTCGTAAAAAGTATGATCGAGATCCTACTGCACAAAGGGGCTTGTGGCACACCCCTCCATGAAACCCTTCTCTGCGCTGCTCACAAAGATGACCAACTGCATATCGTGCGCCTCCTGTTGAAGAACGGTGCCAAAGCAAACTACAAGTCCGGTGCTTGTTTTGCCTCTGCAATCAAGCATGGAAGGTCTGACCTACTGAAAATACTGTGCCGTAGTTGTCCACCTAGTCAGATGAGCACGGAGTCTGTTCTACCTCTCGCGATTGATCCTCGCTACTACAACTTACCCGATTTGAAACTTCTTCTCAGCTCAACCTCTTCTGCTACAGTTGTCTTAAGCTCTTGGGTTCCTGACCAGCTGGAGGGTAATCCTAACATCGCTAGTATCATACCTTGCTTACTTCAGCACGGGCTTGATGTTGATGTGCGAGACGGCTTTCTGCTTCGATTGGCCATCCAAAAGAAGAAAATCGACTTGCTTCGCACAACTCTCGATGCCAATCCGAGCATCAAGAGTTTGAGGTCGGCATTTGGCACAGCTACTGGTGCACAGATCAAGGATGTTGACTTGGAGGTCTTGCGACTTCTTCTTGAGAAGGCCGAGTCCTCTGAGATAGGACAGACAGAAGCACTCACGAAGTTCACCCGACTTGCGCTGGTTGGTGATCCGAAAGGGCTTAAACTCCTTCTACGATACGGGGCCAAGGTTGACCACAATGATGGAGATGCTCTCATGATAGCAGCAACTTCCGAATCGTCCGATGTCGTCAAGCTGTTGCTTTCCTCGAAGCCTGCCTCATCTTTCGTGAAGCGAGTATGCCTCCTGGTAGGATCCACTAAGTCGAACACAACTCAGAAGGCTGACATACTCAACTCACTTCTGAATGCGAACGGTGGACTTTCAATCGAGGACATTTCGGCCCTGCTCGAAGACTGTATTGGCCATAGCCATGCGAGCGTCCAGCTCCCGAAAATACTATTAGCACGAGGCGCAGAAATCAAGTTTAAACCCCTCAAGGCGGCAATGTCGAGACCGTCTCCAGAACTTATTGTGGCTATGATCAGTTACATCAAAGATCACGATACACTCATCCAATTGTTCGATCAAGCCCGGACAACTCTTTATACCCCTGAGAGAGCCCTTATCATCTATCGATGTCTGTTAGACAGAAGTGTCATGCTGGGCAACCCCATTTCACAAACGTCTTTGCATGATGCCCTTTTCGAGTCCATCAGCGAAACTGGGTCAACTCGAACCATTGTGCAACTTCTTGTCCAGAGAGGAGCAGATCCGAACAAGAATAAAGCTGGATGTTTTGTCTTGGCTGCTAGAGCGGACAACGAAGGTCAATTTCGCATTATAAGTAAGTATGCAAAGCTGAATGTGGTTCTGCCAGCACTTTTGGACAACCTTCAAGATGAAACGCAAATTGTGCGGTGGTTCAAAATATGCCTTGAGGAGAACCATGCAGAGATACCCGTTAACCAAGAAAAGCTACTTTTGATTGCCTACGCAAATTTCCAAACGGTACAAAGCTTCTAGGACTACTTCTTGACAATGGTGTCTCCCGCTTCGGCGACGCGGTCATACAGCATTAGCACAGGCTGGGAGCGTGAAAAATGTACAGTACTTATATGGGCCATCTTTCGGAAACCAAAGATTGGAAATGAGACCATACTCACATTGATAGAGAAGGGTGGCCACAGGGGTTTGTTACAAACAAGTATGGCCGGCTTGAACGCTTCAGTCGCTGACGAGACCTGCAGTAATCCCAAACTACTCCACACCTGTGACGGCAGTATCTGCGATCTTTGGCTGCTTATTGGACACGGCACGGATTCCCATTCTAAAGGCTCTAATCAACATGGATAAGGAACGACTGTTGTCATACGAGATCCCTCAGGCCTCATTCGCATATCTGGCTACATCTTCAGAGAAATCACAGGAAGTTACTGGTCTTCCTGACAAGATGAATCTGCACCAGTGTTCGTTCTACTTGGGTAATATCGATGCTTTCCGTCTTTTGGACACAGGACTACCAGTAGATGCGACCCCACTACACCTCGCAGCACTTCTTGGATTGCCCAAATTTGTCAAACTGTTCATGAAAACTCATGACCCCAATTCCAAGGAAGAGGCCTATGATTTCTGCATCCCACTAGCCCTGGCTTGTAAAGCACAGCCTCAGCCCTGGTGTAAACTTGCCAATATGGAGTCGAGGTTCAGGGACAGGCGACGAGAAACGATGCGACTTCTCGCCGCAGCAACTAATCTTGAATGGCGGTCCTCTTCCCAACATCAGACGGTTCTCCACATTGCAATGGAGACCGGCATAGATGTGACGGAGGACATTATCTACGCGGCGAAGATCTCAAGCGATCCAGAAAAGGCCAGCAGGTATAAGTATTTGGACAAAGGGCGCAGAGAGTATACACCGCAGGAGTACGTCATGGAGTTGATGGACGCCACTGAGGTTGAGAAGGAAGCTTTGCTGTCTCGTCTTGCGGATGCTGGGTTTGTCTCTTATACTCCTTATAGATGATACAGTACCTTGCTTATGTTTTCGATAATGTGACAAGACTCTGATCTACACACAGATTGTAGATGTACGGTACGCATATGTAATTAGCAAGATAGCTCTTTCCATCCATCTTCATATGCACAATATGTATAATGTGTATAACTCAAGACATAACTATGGCTATAGGTATGACCCTGGCATAATATCCACAGGCACAACAGCACCAACAGCACGAATAAACAGTTATAAATTAATGAAATGTATGGGTACTTACACGGTACTCGTCCATTCGCAAGTGCTTCCGAGTCATAATTGGTATATTCATGTGCTTTAGACATTGGTTTTCTTCTTGTCAGAATTTGTCTCCATGGTAGCTACAAAGCCCACACGATCTTCTACTCAGTGTAATTAGATAGTAGGAAGGGGGTCAAGTGCACAAAAAGTCGCCAGAGGCGATCCCTATTGTACAATGTCAGGACAGTCTAAGCCTTAGCAGTGAGTTAGCTACAATATATCGACTGGGTGTCGATTTTATAGTATGCAATCGGCGACTGAGCTGAATTGATTTGTGTGTAGTATATATTTTCAATGAGCCGAGAAACAGCACATACGGCCACAGTCAGCTGAAAACTGGGCATCCCGTCCGCTCTGCCATACATAAGCAGTTGAACGGCAGATTAGTACTACGGTGGGTGACCACGTGGGAATCCCTGCTGCTGTATGTTTTGTTTCCTCGATGAAATCATTATTTTTGCTCGCTAAGGAAAAACCGATTGATCTATCGGAAGCAGAGCAGGTGTCTTTTTGCGAGCTCAAGTTTATCGTGCGCGAAGCTGTAAAAGCGCAAAAGGAAGCTATTAACGACCAGCAGTTTGAGGCTCTGCTGCGACGCTCTCACAAATTCGAGCCGTCCGACAACTCAAGTGCTCCGTCCACCTCGCATCGTCATCGTCTTCGACGATCGCGCAACGAGACACCTTCATCTTTCTTTCACCAGCACCCGCTACGCAATCGCAACTGCTGTCCATGAAAAGCAATTCTAGAAACAACGAAGCGATTCATGGGTTGAACACTCGTGACGGATGTGTTGAAGGCTCCGCCACGGTCCTTTGCAAGCGTTGTCGATGGGCTGGCTGAATATGCAGCGCAGCCACTTTCACCCGACGGACTCCGAACTCAGGAACGCTTCGAACATGAAGACGCTGGACGCAATGAGAGTCGAAATCGATATGTTGATACCTGCAAGTCTGTATTTCACTATTGTTGATAATTATGTGTTGATCTAGGAATCACTACTCTGAAGGTCCCAACACTGTTGTAAAGAGGTGCCGAGCATGACTTTCCACAGAATGTCGTCGCAAATACTCGCAAAAAGCTTTTGACTCTGCCGCGACCCGAGCAAACCCATGTCCTGAAGCCTGAGGGAAATTCGGCCATGTTTGTACAGCCTCCACCAAGCAGCACCACTTGCTATTCCCGCGCGCTGTGAGTATGCAATATCGTCATTCCAGCTGTTTCTACCAGTGACTGAAGAAGGTCGTCAATAGTATAGATTCCTGAGCAAGGCAAGTATAAATACCTTATAGTCTGCCTGAGACAATGGGAGCCACAGCACTCAGCATCGAACACAACTTACAGCACTTGACTCTCATCATTGACCAATTCATCTTCTCTTCTTCATCTTTTCTTCTCGAACGGCAACAACAGCTCCTACAGCTTCCATCAATATGGGCCTCTTCGATTCTATCACTCTCCCCATCCAGGAGACCTGTGACAAGATCGGCGGATTGACTGCGAAACTCGGGACCCTGGTAACCCCTGCAAAACATGCTTTGATGAGTGTATCGCTCCTCACTCTCAGTGCTAGTTTTGCTAGCGCAGTTGGCGGAGTCTGCGCCGTGGTAAACACCATCATGGTATCCAGGCGCAGAGGGAACTCATCAAGCTCTATACCGCCATCGCCAAGGATGTGAAATCCATCAGTGAGAGCCTGGAGTCCATGAAAACTAGCTTCGAAGCAATGACGAACCATTTTGCCCAGTCCGAGGAATACTTTGCAAAACACGTTCTGCAATACGTATCTATGCGATGCAAAGAGGAAGCGTCGATCAAGAAGAAGAAGCCGTGTTACTTCTTCGTCTACCACCACGGCACCGAATGGCATCCGGCCTTCCATAAACTTCACGAACAACAACCAGTCGACAACCTCTGCGGCCTCTTCTCGAACCTAGACGTCATGGCAGCTTACCTTGTCGCTTTCCGCAACGTCGTAGGCAAAAACGCGACCTTTCACATCCTCTGTCCCTCGACTAATCTCGTCTACATTCCCAACCCGATCGAGTTTCGCGCAGACGTAGGCGACACACGCATCGAGGGCGAACTTAACAACCAGACAGGCAAACCATACATCTACCTCAACATGCCCGGCGCACCCAGGAACATGTTCAAGCACGTCTTCAACATCGCAGATCTGCCTGCTCCGCCAAAACCCAGCGACTGGCGCAGGAAAGCTGCTTCCACTGCCGGCGCTTGGGCTTTGGGGTTGCCTGCCGCCATTATTGCCACGCCCGGCGGCATGCTTGTAGGCTTTGGTGCGGCTGTTGCCGCCGTGCCTCTTCTACCTGCTGCTGCGCTTGGTGCGGTTGCGACGGGATCCGTGGTTGTCGGCGGCGTTGCTGCTGGAGCGGCCGCTGGCACGATCGGCGGACTGTGGACGGGGGAGAAGATCGAGCAGGCGTGGGATAGGAGTGAGAAACAGAAGTCTGGGTGAAAAGGGCATCTCTTTTCGTTCAATCGTCGGTCGTTGTTTTCTCTGGCAGAGATGGTGTTTTCCAGCTTTTGGTCTTTTCCTTTGCCCTGTTTCTTCTCCTTGTTTCTTTCTTTCCTCGGCGATTGTTTTTGCTTACGAGGTCGAGTCTTGTTTGATAGCAGCTAGGCAACAAATGCTATTGTAATAAATAGGGGTTTCTCTTCAATAACGTCTTACCTTTGGTGCTTTGAGTTCTTCAAGGTATTTGCCAATGCTTTCTCTGTCAACATCATCTTCTTTCACAGGTCCAACCGTGTGCTGAATCCGCGTTGCTTATCTGACATACAACAATACCCACAAATCTGCCCCTACCTCGAGGCTGGAATTTATATTTACTTCTTCTTCAAGGTCTGCTCAATGATCACAGGGCGTAAAACATGCTATCAATCAACATTGCATGGGACAGGATCATGAAGTTGATGTTATATCGGACATCAGTTGAAATTCTTTTCCGGCCATAGCTCATTTTATGACCACTATACAGACATTACAAAAAGTATCTTCGTAGCAAAACCGGAAGTACAAAAGGGGTATCGGGCTTCCAAAGAAAGAAACAAGAGAAGGATGAAGAAGTGAAGTAAAGGTGGAGTAGAGAAGAGAAAGAAAAGAAGAACCCAAAAACGCTTTTGCGATGAGAAGAGGGAGAGTTTCAAACTCCATCCCTTGGCCAGACCGAGCATGACGAAATGAGAACAAAAACAATTTTGGTATGCAGAGAGTTGGTTGCGGATGTGCAATCAGACTTCTTCGGTGAATCTGCTCCCCCTGCTTCCATAGGAGCTTGATAGTGTAGCAGGAGTAACACTTCTATAGGTTCTGCCTTGCGGACTCAAAGGAGTCATGAGCGGAGCGTTTTGTCCAGGCTCAGGTGTCAATCTGTGTCCCTGGATGGGAAAGGTAGGACTGGTAGGCGACGCGTCTTCAGAGATTGCACTTGCCGGGCTCATGGTATAAGGATGGTGAATTCTTGCTTGCCGTGCTGGTCCAGGATTGATGGTTTCGTTGGTGTCAATCTCATTGTCGGGATCATCGAATGGTGAGCCACCTGCGCCGTAGTAGGTGCTATCACGATACACTGAAGTAGTGCTCATGTTACGATCGTTATCGAAGGCCGACGGCATGAGCATGGGTGGAGCAGAATCCATGCCGGCTGAGAAAGCACTAGGCAACTTGCGACCGCTAATGCGCTGAAAGCCTCGTTCTCCAGTGTCTTCTGCGGCTCGGGATTTTCTATTTTTGAAGACCCCTCCCAGAAGCGGCGCTAACACGGGAGCTGTTCTGCCGCGCTCGGACATGCCTCCAGCGCCACCACTTCCAGCAGCAGCTTCGGCTTCGGTCAGCGAATTCATGCTAGCCATGCGCTTTCGATACCAGCGCAGGAAAATCATGGCAGTCAGAACCAAGACGGCAAGTCCAGCGACGCCACCCACAATACCACCTGCAAGAACAGAAGGAGGTGGGGTATTATCACTGCCGTCGTTCGTTAATGCTGCGGTGCTGCTTGCTGAACTAGGAGCAGTAGCTGTTGCAGAACTACCAATAACGCTAGTGTCAGAGCCCTGAGCGGCGCTGGACGAGGGTGAGGAATTGTCGGCGGAAGACGATGCCGCAAGGGAAGCAGATGAGGCTTCCGAAGAAACTCGCGATGCAGCACTACTCAATGCGCTGGTAGCCGATCGGAGAGCTGAAGAAGCAGAACTCTGTAACACGACTGCTTCAGAGGAGTATGAGCTTCTCGCTGATCCTGTAGCGGTCGATGCAGCGGCATTGAGTGAGCTGAGGCGAGAACTAATGTCGGCGTTCTGGGAGGAGAGAGCAGCAGCGGCAGAAGAGATGCCGGAGCTACCGCCCAACGCGGCATAGTCTAAGGCAGAAGATGACACGGGTAGATACGAACCGTAGGACGTGGTTGTTTGACCATTAGAAAGAGTGGAAGCGAACGCCTGCGCAGCAAGGGTAACGGTAGAACTAGACCCATCAGATAACGTCTCAACAGTGGAGGAAGACGCGGTGAAAAAGCCCAACACGGCGGCTAGAGGAGTAGAGCTGGTCGTTGCAGATTTGGCATCAGATGAACTCGTGCTTGCTGTGTTTGAGCCTGTGCTTGCTGTGTTTGAGCCTGTGCTTGCTGTGTTTGAGCCTGTGCTTGCCGTGTTGGAACCTGGGCTTGCTGTGTTTGAACCCGATCTGCTCGCACTGTTGCGTTGGAAGGTAGTGAATGAGGTGTAAGTTGTCGAAGAACTTGATATGATAATCGCAGATGTCGTCAGGTTCCTGGCGAAAGATGGCGACGGTGAACTTGATTGAGAGGCAAAGGTAGATGTTGATCCTGACAAAACGGGATTTCCTGAGATAAGACCTAGAGACGAGCTTGAGGGATTAATGGTTGAGTTCGATCCAGTAGGAAATATGGTGCTAACAAGTGGCACCCCAGACGAAGTGTATAATATGATTGAGGCAGTGATGGCACCGTTTGTTGCGCTGGTTGAGGCAGTGACGGCACCATCGTTCGATCCAGTAGGGAATACGGTGCTAACGAGCGACACGCCGGACGAAGTATACGATATTATTGAAGCAGTGACGGGATCAACTGTCGCAGTGGCCGAGGCGGTAAGACTGCCGCTCTTGGAACCGAGAGATGCAAGTACTGGAATAACAGTAGCCACTGTTGACTCGTTTGCAGACATTGAGCTGACCAAAGAGCTTGATTCATACGCAGAGAGAGACGGTAGATCCGAAGCAATGGCAGAAACAGGTACAGCCGTTGTAAGCGAACCAGAGACAATCAGAGTCACATTGACATTGCCAGTTATCTCCGTTGTCAGTGACGAAATGTCGGTAGTGATAGCCGAGCTAGTAGGCGCAGTTCCAGATACGCCAGGCAAACTTATGCCAGAAGCAATACTGGCTACGGTAGCCGGACTGGCAGTATTTAGTGCAGAATCGTACGAAGAGAGTGATGCCCCAGACAAGCCTTGGATCTCAGATGTTCCTGAAGAAGCTGTGGTGGCAGCGGTTCCAATTGCAAGTGAAAGAGATACGCCCGGCGGTGCAGTGGTCGCGATTGTTGACGATGTTGTGTTGCCAGCAGACGAACTGGAAGATGTCGAAGTGAGGGTCGATTCAGCGACTGACGATGTGCCAGTCGAGCCAATTGTGTCCAAGGATGCAGAAGTGGAAGACGCCGAATTTGCAGTGCTAGAGCCAGAGTAGCCACTCAGAGGAACTATCGCAGTGGGCGACGTGTTGGAGGACGGTACGTTTGTCGATGAGACAGTCGAGGATGTGTCAGAGGTGGTCGTCGTTGAGGTGGAAGATGCCGAATTTGCAGTGCCAGGACCAGAGTAGCCAGCCAGAGGGACTATCGCAGTGGACGATGTGTTGGTGGACGATACGTCTGTCGATGATACGGCCAATGATGTGTCAGAGGTAGTGGTCGTTGAGGTGGATGGTGCGTCTGTCGACGAGACAGTCGAAGAAGTGTCAGAGGTGGTCGTCGTCGAGGTGGAAGATACTGAATTTGCAGTGCCGGGACCAGAGTAGCCACCCAGAGGAACTGTCGCAGCGGGTGATGTATTGGTGGACGATACGTCTGTTGACGAGATAGCCGAAGATGTATCAGAGGTGGTAATGGTCGAGGTGGATGATGCGTCAGTCGCTGGGACGGCCGAGGAGGGGTCTGAAGCCGTAGAGGTGGGCGCAGCTTCTGTTGTTGGCTGAACTTCCGTTGTCAACACCGACGAGGCCGAGTCTGAGCTGGTAGAAGTAGGGCTGGTCGAAGTAGAGCTGGCAGCTGCAGTAGACGGCGCAATGCTCTCGAGGGTGGACGAGTAGGCCGAGGGGGACGACAGTGTTTCCGGGACTGAGGACGATGAAGCGTCGGTGGCAGCGTCAAGAGAAGTCGAAGGAAGCGAGGATTCAGCATCAGTCAGTAAAGTGGACGTAGACAGTGAAGACGTTGTGGATTCGACGGTGCCGTTGAGCGGCGTTTGACGTTTGTGTAGCCGTTGATGCATCTCTTCGGCGCGCTGGACAGCACTCCGGCCAGGACTGTGGTTTCTTATATGAACATGAACTTCTTCTATCCGTTTGACAGGGCGGATATTCTGCAAGCCGTGCGAGAAGGCAGTCGGAGACGGAGTGGGTATGCTGCTAGCCGATGCGGACAATTTGCGCCGTTTGAAGAGACGCTCCATGTTCCGGGGCGGTTATCGATATAGGAAATGAGAGCAATGAGTGCGCTTGGCAGAAATGACAGTGGTAGGGTCCGGTCCAGACTAGACTCTACGAATTGGAGATGGCTACTATCAAAGAGCCGGAGTTGGGTGATTTGATGCCGATGGTGCTTTGAAATGGAGAGTAGTCCAAGGAAGCGGATATGCTCTCGAGATAAACAGTCGTCTATCTACGGAAGGCTGGAGTGCTGGGAAACGAATGGACGCCGGTAATCAAACCAGCAAACTGCCTCTGTGAAGCCATGTCAGTACGCGCTGCTGGAACGCCAGCGAACAAGAGAAACAGTTGGAGGCGACTTACAACGTGAACCTTATGCTTGGCGTAAGTTCAAAATCCCATCAGACAATTGTCTGAGCCGTTGACGTCGCTGAAAGCGAGTAGAAGAAGAATGGCTCGGGCGCAAGTCGAGTTTTTGGTGATATTGTTTGGGGTCGTCTACAAGTAGGTATTTTATTTACTGCCTATGGAACGACGACTAGAAAGACCACTCGGCCGAGCGGGGTCAGTCACCAGCCAGCAGTAGTCGTTGGAATGACAGCAAAGAAAGACGAAGGTGTGCGAGAAAGATCCAGGGTCGTGAGGGAGTGGTCGGGTGGTAGGGCAAGGATGTGGTGAGAGCAGAAAACAACAGACAGCAACGACGTCGACGTCTGACATGAAAGTCTCCGACGACAGACGGAAAGCGCAAAGCGAAGAAGCGGCAGAAGCAGAAGAAGCCTGTGCTTCAAGGTTGCACGACTTTCACCAACTTCGACCCACGAGACCCTCTGGCTCTCAAACGGTCCCGCCGCCGCCAAACATGGACCACCTCTGCTAACCAACCCAAATCTCCGCTGCCTGGGAATGGGCTTGCGACATGGGTATTTTGCCAGGGTTGCGCAAGCCAAAGAGATTGCTTCATGCTCCATCATCCAATCCCACATCTCCATGCTTGTTCGCGTCGATAGATATCATGTCGTTTCCCGCAGCTATTTCGTTTTGTTCGCGGCTTGCCTACGCATGCATCCTCATGGGCTCGATCCACGACCCATCACTATCCCTGCAGGTACTGCCGCAGAGTCGTGGCCTATTTTCACTTCATTTGCTCCACTTGCATGTTTTTCCTGCGGCCTAGCCGGTATGCATATTCCCGTCTGACGTCGAACCCCGCCCGAAAGCGAACAAAGCCCTGCAGCTGTAAGGGAGTTGTCCGTTGTTCTCGTTTCAAGTTTCCACTACTTGACACGCAAGGGACATTTGCTTATTATGGCATCATCGCGTGCGCACAATGGCGCCCTCACGAGATGGTCACTTTTGCATCAAAACATCTGCCTCTTCCACCGTGCCTTCAAGCTCGTGCTACCTCTCGTATTTCCACGATTCATAGATCGATTCCATGCGGCTGGGTTGTCAATATTGAAAATTGCCGGGAACTTTAACGCCTATCTATCTGTATCTAATTGCGGAAAATAGTTCCGTTGAACCTGGAAAAGTGCGCTAGAGATTCACGCTTCCGTTTTGCCCGACGTCACATCCTCACCGCTGTGGTTCACTGAGTAGCATCTTCAGACAACACCTCCTGAGAGCCGCGTCTACCCTGTAAATACATCAAAGATCAGGTGCATGTTTGGCGCTTGAATCTGCCGAATTCTAGAACATCCCTCCTCGGCATGTCAAAAGAAAGCAACCATCAAAGACCCGGTGGACCTCCACCGTTACCTCCCTCGGCAGCTGTCTGGCGCGAACTTCTTCGTATCAGAGGACGTCGGAGACGACGAGTTGCCTCCACCTTCCTACGAATCTGTCACGGCTGAGTCGTATGGAAATGACTCTCTCACGCTCTCTCATAATGATCCGAGATCGAGGTCGACACAGTCATTACTGCCATCACCATCAGACGAACAAGGTGACAGGAGAAAGTTGCTCTTGATATTCATTCATGGGTTCATGGGAAATGAGACCAGCTTCCAAAGCTTTCCTGCTCACGTACATAGTCTTGTAGCGGCTCTGCTGTCAGAAACTCATACTGTCCACACAAAAATCTATCCGAGGTACAGATCANAAAAGAAGATCGAATTTGCCCGAGATGATTTCAGTCGCTGGTAAGATATGAGCAAAGTCAGCTCGCCTGTACATAGTTGACCTTCTCCTAGGCTGAGTCCGCATGAAGGGCCGACCACAGATGTCATTCTGCTGGGCCACAGTATGGGTGGTTTGCTCTGCGCTGAAGTGGCCTGGATACCATCTCTTGCAGATGGATCTTTACGCCATCGCCTGATCGGCACTATCAACTTCGATGTTCCTTTCTTGGGTATGCATCCTAGAGTCGTCAAGGTTGGCTTAGCCAGCATCTTCAGCCCAGCTCCCTCCAAATCGCCACAGGACCATGACAATACGCCTTCTGCTTCGAGCATGCAAACTGGTGGAGACTATTTCGATGACAGACCATCTGCGAGCACTTCCACAACCAGCCTCAAGAGCCCACAAAGTTCGTTGTCGCCGTCTCAGATCGATCCTAATTACAATCCAGCTTTTAAGAATGACGTGATTCTTCCGGTCAGAAAGGGATGGGAAGGAGCTTGGTACTTCCTTAACAAACACTCCAGTGATCTCAGAACAGCTACCAAGCAACTGGTCAAATCTCACCTAGAATTTGGAGGTGCTATGGCAGACTACAGTGGCCTCAAGCTTCGCTATACACGTATCAGAGGCCTGGAAGAGCAGAGTGAGAGGACCAGAAAAGCAGTAATAGGTAGCTCTGTCGCTCCTCCCAGGGTGCGTTTCGTCAACTACTACACTTCCAGCACGGGTCGTCCCAAGAAACCGAAAACACCGACCTCGCCCGAAGCATCCGTCACGACTCCCACATTGACCACCAATGTTACTGATGTAGACCATAAGACGACTGATCTGGATGGGGAAAAGTATTCTGGTGAATTCAGTCCAAGAGATGACCAAGTATTGGAGACCGATGATGATATCAAGGAGTTTGAAGCAACAGAAAACAACGAGCTTGCGTCAATGGATCACTTGGAACCTGCTCCCATGTCTGACGTGGGTGGTGATTCTTCGGACCTCGAGTCTTGGGTCGACGCAACAGAGAATATGGAGATTGCGCCTTTCGATGCAAACACCAGTACAGTGGCCACGAACAATACTCATGAGCTCGAACAAGATCCGAATGTCGACACGAAGCTGCCAGAAAAGTCTCCTGAAGTCCCTGCTGAAGGCCTTGAATCTNTACCACCCGTGCCCGACCCGCCAGCCAAACCCGAGAAGCCACCATTCTTCGCAGACAAGGAGACTCGAAAATTGGCCGAAAAGGAGTACGATAGAGTCTTGAAGCTATACTTCCGAGCCCTCAAGGACCGCGAGAAGGCACTTCGAGATCAGGAGAAGCTAGAGAAGAAGCGGGAGCGACAAGCAATCAAGGAAGGTAAGAAGGCGGAGAAGGAGGTCATCAAGAATGACAAGAGCAAGGAAAAGGAGCGCAAGAAGACTATTGAGAGAAGGGAAACAGATCAGGAGAGCGTCCTGGCAAGTGAGCAAAAGAAGCACAGCAAGNAGTGGAAAGCCGCTTTGAATCATTCTTGGAATGAGGAAGATTCGACGATCGAGCCTCTTTCGAGGCGCGAATCATCTATGCAATCTACTGTCCTGTCCACCCAAGAATCAAGGACCCCTTCTGGCGAGGAGCAGAAACCTTTCAAAGACCGCACGTTCTGTACTCTTCCGCCCAGAGACGGCTCTGGTATTAGAGATCCTACTTGGGTTCGAGTACTGATGAAAGACGTTGATCTGGTCGAAGCGCATTGCGGGCTCTTCTTCCCTGACCCGAACGACGACAGGTACGAGAAGCTAATTGGCGACGTGGGCGAGAGAGTCTGTCAATGGGTTGGTGAAGCAGAAAGCGAGAGAGTTGCGCGAGAGTTTGAAGCACAAGGCTAAGTATCCTCTTAATATAGCAGTGCACCTCACTTTATCTTGACAAGCAGTGGTGACCTGTAGGCGTAGCGGCTTCAATCAATCGACAGCGTTGGTCGGCGCGGATTTTCGTCGATCCGTAGCAACTGCTAAATCGAGAGCAGCTGAGTTGCATGCTGACCATTTTGGGAAAGGGTGCTGGGTCATGCCTTCCCAAACCTGCAAAGTCATGTGCTACTAAATTTTGCGCAGGCAGGCGCCCTCCATGCTGAAGATTTTTGTGACCCACTCATTCGACAAGACACTTTCTGTCGAAAACAGCCAGAATATTGACGACATGGTAGGACAAAGCCCCTCGATACAGTCATTCTTCCCTTTGCAATCCTCTCCTCTCAAAACTTCGCCCCGAACATCTTCACCCGCACCGGGTGATGGCTCCACCTCAGAAGAACTCGACACTTCCTGTATTACAGCACAGAAGGACGATTGGACCCCATCTGCAGACTATGACGAGTATGACATCGATTCGCTTGTGCCAGGTCCAAATCGAATCAAAATCGTAGGTCGAATTGCCAACCTGTTTGAGAGCTCGCCTAAAGCAAAGTTACCAAACGGCGCCAAAGGATCTGTCCACCTTGTGGTCAAGGACAACACGAGTGCTGTCACTGTATGTATTCCTCCATGATGCCCACATAAGCTTGTGCTGAATTCTTGAAGATCANGATTGTCCTACACGCGTATCTCCCACGGCTTGCGGATAGGCCAACTCGTTGCAGTATGGGCTACTTATGTCGCAGATGGTGACCGAGGCATCTTCGCGTGTGCTGTCGCACCCCTGTTCATCAAGGTCTTTCCAGAGAAGGACAAGAGCTGCCACATCCTTGTACTGGATGATCCGAAGTTCGTCCAACTTTGCAGGAAGCCATTGAGTTATGAGTCTACCCTCATGTCTTTGAAGGATTTCACCCATGGTGGCTCCGAGGTAACTGAAGCCAAAATTCTTGTCATTGTGAAGAGCATCAGTACACGCAAGANNAAAGTGATTGGAATGATGCGCATCGAGAGATGACGGAGCTGACAGATGACAGTCACGAAGAAGGATGGAACCACGGCCGACCTCGTGAAAGTTGGCGTGATGGACGACACAAGCGAAGCAACACTGTCCTTGTGGGGTGTCGCTACAACGACTCCGGTGGATTGGCAGCCATCGCAGACTGCGCTGCTTATATCGAGTCCAAGCCTGAATGTCTCACACCAAACCTGGTTGGCACTGACTTCCAGCACTTTCATCGATGTGGACCCAGATATCCCAGAAGCAGAAAGACTTCGTGCATTCGCTGGACACATGATCAAAAGACGGCACATCAATCCAGCTTTTCCTGATANNAAGGTGTGTTGTTCATTTTGTATACATCCGGCTATGGCTTATAGAGTGGTAGAGTACGAGTTGTGGAGTATCTCCAAACCGGATGAACATGTTTTGTATTCGCTCGCAGATCTAGATGACCGGTATGTTCAGAGTCGATTGCTTAAGGCATTTCTGAACTGATCTTGAAAGCNNGCTCGCGAAGCACCTGAGGACGAATTTGAGGGCTATCTGAGCGTGATCATCATAGACCTCAATATATCTTCCCTACGGCAGCAGAACATGCTTATGTGCAATGAGTGGTATGTCTCCGACGAAGCATGCATGCTTGAGTGCTAACAAGCTGGTAGCTGTGGCATTCCACTGTACGCAAACTCGACAGTGGCAAAGTGTAAGCAGTGTGATGAGCAGGTGCCACTGAGAATCAATCCGCGACTGGTGAGTATGTTTCGACCAATACAACTTGATGTGACGACTAAACGAGGGCAGATTGGCAAGCTGATAGATGAGAGTGGATGCATTTTGAGTGGCAAGCTTGTGCTGTCAGATCACGCGTGGACACGTCTGCTGGGAAGAAGCGCTAGAGAGTTGATGCAGAGCAGTGCAAGCACGCTGAAGAGCGTGGAACACCGAATGCTTCACGTACGTGTCACGTTGCGGTTCTGGTGGAGTGCCGGTGTGGGCAAGCTAGTCATCACGGACGTGCTTGAGTAATGGACGCTTCACGACGACGAAGATCGAAAACGAAACCGATGGCTCTATGAAAGAGATTGCTTGAGCTCACTTTAAGGCCGAGAATGATTCGACGACCTGGCATACTTGAGAAAATTTGTTATTGAGCTGATTCTTGCTAAATACTTAACAACATCAGGTTCAGCTAGAAAGCTCATAAGATAGCTGAGTGGCAAACAGAGATAGAACAGTATACAGATTATTCTCACTGTATGTTACAACAGGTGTTAAGATGTCCTGACTGTCTCGATGACCATTGATGTGAAAATTGAGTAAGACAGTGAAGCGAACGACAAGTGGTGCAACGAACGTGAAGTCGATGTCAGTTGAGAATGGGGTGACCCTGGTGAGTGAGATAAGATAAGGAAGTTTGAGATGAGGTCGCGTTCGAATGCGATCAAGAATATCGAGAATAACAGACGCAAGCCATGACACAAGATAGCAATAGCGGTCGGCGTGACTGGCGGGACATGTTCGCAGTGCCGCCAGTTATCAGACAAGTCTTTGCAAAGTTCCCTCTATCGACATATGCAGCCAACGCGCTACCGACGCGCTCGCCAACACACAGAGACCAACACACTCTATACACATGGACGACAGCAGAAGACGCCAGCGCAAACAAAGCCTCATTCAATCCGACATGTCTGAAGTGGCAGACATACCTCCTGTTCCAGGGCATCCCGTTCCGCAGCCGACCCTCCAATAACCACGCCTCGCCCTCGGGCTCCCTACCCTTTCTCCTTCCAGCAAACTCGTCCGCTCCAGTCCCATCCACCAAGCTCGAGGCGTGGTCTAGCACACACAGCAACAGCAAAAACAAAACCCCTTCCTCTGACACACAATCCTCTCGCCAAGATGTGTATGCATCGCTGCTCGAACACGCCGTGAGAAGAGCATGGCTCTACCTCCTCTACCTCGACCCCGACAACTTCGACCACGTCGCTAAAACACTCTACGTCACACCTTCCTCCTCCAACACCTTTGTCGCCATGACAATCTCATACCAATTACGCGATGCCGCTACTCAAGAACTGCTCAAAACCACACCAGCTGCAAAAGCTCAGGATATTTTGGACGAGGCTGTTGATGCCTTTTCCGCTCTGTCGACTTTGCTGGGTGAAGATACTTGGTTCTTTGGAAACAAGACACCGACGCTGTTTGATGCGAGTGTGTTTGCTTATACACATCTACTGCTAGATGAGGATATGGGCTGGAGGCATAATCCTTTGGCTGACAGGTTGGCGACTTTCTACAATCTGGTTGATCATCGTAATAACATCTTGAGAGACTGTTACCGCTCTTGAGATGCTCTGTTGCCGTACAGATACTTCCTCACTACTTCGACTGTACATACTTTTATCGTTTACTCTCCATACCCATGAAAATACTTGTATCAATACACAACTAGACGGCATCAAACATTCGACAGACACGCTCTATCAAGAAATCGACACTATCACCAGTGACCGAGATTGCACTCAAGAGATATGAAACAAAGACATGTCCTCCGTGTGAGGCTCTTGTATTCTCTAATCCGGATATCATCTACTCTATCAAACCATATAAACCCAACCATCATTACCCAACATCTAATATATCGTAACTTCATCATCGAACAACAAACACTTTAGTACTGTACAACCTTGGCATCAGGCTTCTTGCCATCCTCCATCATGTCGCCAACAGCTTCTTCGTCATACTGTCCATCGTATGCCAAACTGTTAGGCTCGCCGTCATCGTCAACCTCAAGCCAAGTCTCGCTGGTCGCAGGGATAGGCGACACCTTGCACAAACACCAATACGTGGCTGCGGCAACAAAGAATCCGCAGAAGTAGTTGAGGTCATAGATGTATGTTGCGCCTTTGGGGACCTTTTGACCCACTGCGCCAGCAAAGCCAACGACATTGATGAGGATACCAGCAATGTAGGAGGCATAGGCGCGCCAATGAACGCCAAAGGTGAAGTAGTAGGGTCCGGTTTTGTCGGCCGAGTACAGGTTGCGGACTTGGAGGTATCCTTTGCGGACGAGGTAGTAGTCGCAGACCATGACACCGGCAATGGAGGACAGGAAGACACTGTACGCAGACAGGTAGGTGGTGAAGTTGTTGCTCGAGCTCATGAGGTTCCAGGGACACATGCACAGGCCGACGATGGCACAGATGTAGGAACCTCTTCTGATGGACAGGAAGCGAGGGAACAATGCCGTCATGTCTGTACCGGCGGATACAGAGTTAGCGGCGATGTTTGTACCGAGTTGAGCAAGGGAGAAGGCGGCAGCGATGACGAAGACACCGAAGCGCGTGGCACCAGTTACATGGGCATCGTTGAGGAAGTTCTCGAGGAGGGTCAAGGGCGACCAGACGGGCGAGCCGTAGATGACGGCAGAGGAAGAGGAGACGATGATGCCGATGAAGGATGTAATGGCGAAACCGACGGGGATGGTGATGAGTTGGGGTAGCATGGCGCTCTCAGGACGCTTTGCGAATCTGCTGAAGTCGGGGTTGTTCATGATCAAGGCNTGTTCATTCATGGTTAGTGATGTGTTCCTTTTGCAACTGATACATGCAGCAGACTTACCAGCAAAGTTGGCGATAGAGCTCATGATACCCTTGACGATAGCCCATCCGAGCTCACCTCCCTCAAGCTTAGCAGGCTGACGAACAATGGGACCAAGACCATGTGCTCTGACGATAGCCCAGATGAAGAAGGCGATACCAGCAGCAGGTGCAACAACCGACTTGACGGCGAAGAGATGACGGATCTTGTGGACAGGGAACCATAGTGCAGGCAAGGAGCATACCCAGAAGAGGAAGAAACTGACAAAGTCGCGAGTGTTGGTGCCTGAAGAGACGGGCAATGTGTTCTTGGGTCCACCTTGTTGGTATTTGTCCCAGCTAGGCCAGATGCTTCGGATCATGAGTTCGACACAGTTGCCACCAATCCAACTCTGTACGCCATACCATACACAGGCCATAGCTGCACGGTTGAAGACTGGCCAAAGGCCTCCCCAGATACCGAAACTGGATCGAGAGACGACAGGGAAAGAGATGTGGTATTTTGCTCCGATGCGGCCAGTGGCAATGACAAAGACGGCGGCGATGGTGTATCCAATCCATACACAGATCCATGACTGCCACCATGAGAGACCGTCTTGGACACTGGCGCTTGAGATCATCCATGTGTTGATGTTGAAGGAATCGGCCATCCAGAACGCGACAAAGTGCCATGCACCCCATTGTCTACGTTCGGGTTCCACGGGCTTCAGGTCTTCGTTGCTGAGCATGAGTTGGACATCGGTAAGGCCAGGTTCGTGTCGGACCTCAAGTGCCTTCAAGGCACGAGAGACTTTCGAGGGCTTCTCCATTGAGACTTGTATGGATGAAAAAATTCAGATGCAATAAAGGAAGGATATAGGCGGCGTATGAGGTATGTACAAGAGATGCCTAATGCGGTTGACCTAATGGATGGTCGTCGTGATGATTGAAAGATGGAATACTGAATGTCAATGATATATATCCATCTTGGAATCGTGCGGACCAAACGACTCTTATGTATGGCAACCATCCTGAACGACCCGAGACTGAAGCGGCCTTATCTCTGAGACTCTAGCCATGATGTACCGTTGATGTTGGCGATATCTCCCATGCGAGAATCAAAAACGTGTGGTTGCTCGATCACATCGAGTAAGAATGAGGGATAAGCTCGAGAGGTGTGCATAACCTGTACAAAATCTGCACAATTGCTCGATAGTATCGAGTAACAAGCCTGGATAGCGGCGCCGGGGCCAGTTCGGTAAGTGAGTTTGATTGGTCGGGTCGACTTCTTATACTATATCTGGTAAGGCGCCGCGCTGTCTGCGCACGAATCGGCACAAAGCATGCCAATGGCGGCATCGCCTGCTACTGCTGGCCATGCCTCGAACGCTTCTTTACCCTTGAACAACAGCCGAGGAAATGTTATGGCAGATCCTTCTCAGCTTCCGCTAGAGACCTATCTAGAATTCAGATAGAGATGGTTCCATGGCTGCAGCAGAAAAAAATTCTCTGCAGTGCTTGCATGACATGGCCAGATTCAAGAGCGGCTTGCTTCGGCAGACGGTCAGGTCCGAACAACAAGCCAGCCTCTCTCCATGGGCACCATGGGGCATTGGCGATCGCCTCCATTTGTGGTTGGTTTCGATGAGGCTCAAGCCAGGCTTTACAACATCTGCCGGCCATGATGTTTTACTGTGATTATTGTGCAAGAGGGATAACGTCGTTGTGCGTGACAAAATCTGGGCAGCATGGCTGGCTGGTTGGGATCGGCAAAATACAAGCGATACCGGCTGGGGAAATTGACATGAGGCCGTGCTTGCTGCTTCTGACCGGCTTCTCAAGCCGAACAGCATTCTGCATCTACNTACGCGTGTCAGACACCGAATTCTCGGTCAATATGGAGTCTCTCCGTTCCTCTATTGAAAGCTCACAACCGCCGAGCAAACGTCAGAAACGGAAGACGGTCGCGTGCGCACGAACCTACACCTTCCCCACGCGTGATACAAGACTGACAACGATGCTACAGANNTGTCGGCGCTGTCACGACCAAAAGACAAAATGTGATGGCGAAAAGCCTTGTAAGAACTGCTTGCAAGCAGATAAGCCCTGTGATTATCCTATGCGAGACAGAAAGGTTACTGTTAATGAAAGGTAACCGGTGACGAGAATGGAGTAGAGAATCCAGCTCTGATCAGGTCCANGTTACATACAGCAACTACTCGATGAGAACGAGCGTCTCAAGCGGAGTGTGAACGATGATACAAGTCATGAAGACAATACGGAGATTACCAATGGAGATGATGAGAGGCGAGGAGATAATCCTCTGATCGAAAAAGAGGCATGGTTTATGCCTTATGATCCCAGTCCTATTTACATAGGCGAGGCTGCTTGCACAGGCTTCTCAACAAGAGTCCGGCAGCTTTTGGTGAGTGTCGAAGCCGAAAACCATATTCCGAGAACTTCCCNNTTCATCAAAGGTAGGTGCGGTTGCCACATCATGGAAGACAAAACCGCTGACGCGCGATGAGATGCTCAATTGGATGCTGCACTGAACACAACTGCTCAATGGCCGAGCAGACCTCAGGCTTTCCTATTGGTAAATACTGCTCTGAATACAATTGGCAAGTGCTACCATTTGTCTCCGGCTTCTGCAGTACGGACTACCCTCGATCGAGCTTATTCAGATCTACGATCTCTCGACCAACTGTCAGTCTGCAAATTGTTCATGCACTTTGCGCTTGGAGAAGCATACTCCATCAGGTCACCATTAGATGGCACAGGCGCTCTACCTGGGCTTCACTACTTTGCAAGAGCCAAGACCATCCTTCGAGTCGTTCCGGAACGGCCAAAGATCGACCACATTGAGATTCTGGTAATGTTTGCTCTATACAACTCGGTCATGAACAGGCGACATAGTGCTTTCCGATATATTGGATCCGCTATGAGACTAGGCTTGACGATAGGAATGTACCAGAACATGGCTGAGCGACAACTACCCGACAAGGCCGCGAGACAACGTAGAGTTCGTCTGTGGTGGACGATGTATGTCCTAGACAGAATGATGAGCTCAAAAGTCGGCTATCCCACACTCTTGAAGGATGAAGATGTCGAAGTAGATCTGCCAACCGACGAAGGTCTCACGGAAGCACAANAGGACGATTTTGTAGACGCCGACTACCTCACTGCTAGTATCAGTTTGGCTCGCATCGCTGGCGGAATCATTGGCAGCCTATACAGCCGAAGGAAGCTTCCTGACACTTTCTCGCAACGAGTGCAAGCTGTCTTTCGCAAGCTCCGAGATTGGGTGGAAGCTTTGCCCCCGAGTATGCAGTTGCGACAGGAAGATGCTTCGAGCCAAGTTGCACGACACATCGTGATGCTGCATCTGTCGTTCAATCAGTGCGTCATCCTGGCGACCCGACCCATACTGCTGCATGTCTTCAGGATCTCAAACAAAATTGGAGGCGCTACAGAAGAAATTTCTCAGGCCACTCTGGCGTTAGCATCGACATGCTCACACTCGGCGGGTCACAGCTATCGCTTGTTGATGCGGAGCTGGGTGAATGGTTCTTTCTTCACCCTCGACTATCTCTCTGCTCAATATCTCTTCGCTTCGGCAACCGTTCTAGCATTGTCGAGTCTTTCTGCGGATAGCCTTGCAAAGTCTCACCAGAATGACCTAGAATCAGCCACCCACCTTCTACGCCAATTGAGCATGCTAGGCAATTTGGCAGCTTCAGAGTTCTGCACACATCTCGATGCTGTGCTGAGATCTATGGCTACATTCAAAGCTTCAAGAGGTGAATCTAGCGAAGCATCAACCATGGTTCAGCCTAGTCCTGCAGCTGCTCGTCAGGATACTGTTACTACTGAGATGGCACTGTTTGGCCCATTGGTAGGAGACTTCTTGACGCAGACAGATACCGAGCTTGGTGTGCCTTTACTTCTTGATGACAGTGCTTTGGATTGGAGTGCGTGGGCAGGAGTTCTAGCTGATCAAGAGCCCACTCCTGGGCACATCAACATTGGACTTTGATCTATGTCTTTCCCACGCGTTAAGGTGTCTTGCCGCCTCGAAATCAACCTCTCTTTCATCGCGACGTGTAGCAAGATTGTGAGCTATAAAAATGCACGATACAATTCAGAACCGGGAGTGTTCCAGAGAGAGCCATGCACATCCGCAACTCGACTACCAATCCGGTGCTCCACTACTCTCCCACTATAGCATAGGGCAGAACGTACTCTATAAAAAAGCACAATTGTTTACTGAAGCAGAGGCTTGGCCAAAGAGAGTCAGCAAAGCGTCGCCTCTCAGTGGACAATGTTCCTTCTTCTGAACTATTGTGCATTTCTATAGCTACAAATGTCAATGCTCGCGCGAGCGGGGATATGTGATATTATGGTGCAGAGTGCAAAATGTCAAGCAATGATATAGCGCAGGTTTAGGTTATCTTTACACACTCCTTAAACTTCTTCCTGACATTATGTGAATCAACTGCAGATCGACTTTGAAGGCATGGATCTGAGCAGAACATAGGTGATAATAGCATCGGGCAGCATCTAGTCAGCCTTATGCAAGAAGCAAAAGACTCGAGAAGCGTAAAAGATCTGCATAAACAGTCTTAAGCCGTCACGATAGAAAGCAGTGTTTTGAAGCATAAGCGCATACCTATACAGCTAATAGTCGGTGATATGAATAGATATCTGCGATTCCCATGCTATCCTGGATCGCTGTGAGGGCTAGGCCCGGGCTTTAGCCCGGGCGCCTCAGCCCTTGCACTCCCACATTCTTTTATACAAAAAACGACCATCACGGGGCTCGGAACCCGCAAGCAGATCTTCACTATGCTGCAGTATAGCTCAACCATTGTCAAAATATTATATTTTTCAACAAGAAAAATTGCTAAAAATCGACCGTTTGGCGCAATGGTAGCGCATCCGCCTCCTAACATCTTAGGTGTAGAAAGCGGAAGGCTGCGGGTTCGAGCCCCGTGATGGTCGTTTTTGTATAAAAGAATGTGGAGTGCAAGGGCTGAGGCGCCCGGGCTATCATCCAAGTCGTTTTTCTAGACATGCAGTCATGTTTTGTTGTCCTAGAACACGGATGTTCTTTCACCTGATTTCAAGGTGGTGTCAGCAGACACCACCTTGAAATCACCCCACATCAATCTTCATGTGTGCTAAAGTTAGTGATAGTGTATTTGTAAGAAAGTCGGGACATTTGCATGCTTCTTGTGGATTTCCGTGCCTAGGTTTTTGCTCCGAAACATCGGGACGTCAGTCCATGTCGTTCAGAACGCTCTGCCTGCTAAACTGTCTGGTGCAGTACACATTTGACATCACCCGACGGATCGCGGCTTACTGCAAACCTCAAGCAAGCCACCAATTCACATCTCTCTAATATGCTTCCAGTTGGTTGCACGTCTATTTGGTCAAACACGGATATCATGCTACAGTGGTCGAATGTGGCATCATTTCTAGGTTCTGCAAAGCAAAATCAGCCAGCACCACTGTCGCTTGCGACGAAGCCGGATTCCTGGACTATCAGGATTGTCGAAGTACATGAAATCACGTTCGCTGATTGTGTTTGACAGTAATCACATGCGTATGTCTGTTCTCATGATGTCCAGATGCCTCCGCATTGATGTACGGACCAGGTCGCCATAGTTGGTCAGTATGGACTCCATTCCCACATCAACATATAGTGATGTTTGAGGCTATCAAAATGCACAATAGCTTTCCAGAACGGTTGCTGTCCACAGAGAGACCGTCCTCTTAGGGTGTCTCTGTGGCCATGCTCTCAGTTCGAAAAGTATTGTGCATTTTAGCAGCTACTTTGTTACAGTCTTTGGCACAGGAGATTGACAATTTACAGCAACCAGACATATGCCTGGCTCTTGGGCAGCTTCAAGTTCGGCGTTTTTGTTCTTCTGGGCCGCGATCTTCTCGTCGAGCGAGGGCCAATTCATGGTTTCGGCGCCTTCGAGTTCTTCGTCAAGCTTGAGCGAACTCATGTTTCGGCGTCTTTGTGTTAGTGTCCTTGTGGGAGTCGGGAGGAGCTGGGTATTCGAGGATCGAGAAGTCGTTGTACTTGTTAAGACTGTTTGGCGGCGCGACTAGCTGGGTGAGGGCAATGCCATTTCACGAGAGGTGGATGGAGGATACCTAAGCGAGTTATCCGCGCACGCGATTGATGTTTGGCTAGAGGGTTGTATTTTGCTTACGATCTCATCTCCTAAAATTAACAGGACTTTGTTTGGCTTTAGTTCTACTTTGCGAACATCGAAAAGGCGCCATCAGAAACGAACACTCGATTTTAGCACATACGCATAGAGTGGCTCTCGTCTTTCAAAAACAACAGAGCTCTGTTTAGCCTATAATTCTGCCTCGCGAACATCGGAAAGGCGCCTTCGAAAACGACCACTCGTTTTTAGCATATACGCATAGAGTGGATTTCACTTTTCAAAATTAACAAAGCTCTGTTTGGCCTGTGATTCTGCCTCGCGAATATGAAAAGGCTCTATCAAAAACGAACACTCGGTTTCAGCACATACTCATGAGTGGATTTCTGACAACGCCGAGTCTCGTTTGCCAGACTACTTCGATGTCCAGAGCTCTCTTACTTTAGAAAGGCAATGTCACAAACGAGCACTCGTTTTTAACACATACACACCACTAACATTTCACAGGTTGGATCTACTAGTACCACACGAGAAAAGAATTACTAGTCATGAATTTTCTTGTACCGCACAAGAAAAGGTTCACAGGCATAATATTCCTGTACCGCACAAGAAACGATTCACAGGTAGAATTTTCTTGTACCGCACAAGAAAAGACCACTAGGTCTAGTTCTCTCGTGCTGCACAAGAAAATATCGAGGTCTTTCAATCCCTGTAAAGTAATAGGCAGCGTCAGCAACTAAGTTTGGTTGATAAAGCAGTTGTATACAATACTGAAAGCGACAGCCGGCGTCATCAGCTAAATTCAGCTGATCAAAGCATGCTTCAACCAGTTCATCAGCTGGATCCAGATGATGAGGCATGCTGCTCAACCAGTTTATCAGCTGGATCCAGATGATGAGGCATGCCGCTTCAACCAGTATATCAGCTGGATCCAGATGATGAGTCATGCTTCAACCCACTTGTCAGCTGGATTCAGCTGACAGAGCATGCTCCAGAGCCTGGCCGGACCTTCCATTCACTAAAATCCAGCTCATATAGCTAAAACCTGCTTGTATATTGACTGATGAAGTTTTTGGCCAAGAAATATCACCTCTTTGTATGTTTTTTGTTAGTCCAGGACTAAGAAAATACCACTTCTTGTGTTTTTCTTAGTCCAGGACTAAAGGAAAATCATCTATTTGCATTTCTTAGTCCAGGATCAAGGAAATATCACTTCTTCATGTTTCTGGTCATGCAATGTTGGCTCTTGAGACTTCGACATAGCTTCAGATGATGATTCTGTTGTAGCTTCGAGATGCTGCTTTTGAGCATTCACCAATCTTAGGATACTGCCAACTGGAATTTCCCAGTCCTAGGACTTGCAAATTATGCCTACTGATTCCTACCGGTCCTAGGACTGGTGAATTACGCCTACTACTACCTCCTACACACCACTGACAATCTGGCAAAACCTAATCTACAAGAAGGATGTCCTGATCTTTTACGACTTCGCGCCTAACTTAGCAGACACCTCATACTTTGCTATCGTAAGTCAACAAGCTTCCAATTGATGAAGTTTGACAGACTGACCATTTCTAGACAACAGTCATATATTCCTGCGAAGCTCATACCGGGTCGAGCTTTCCATCGACTATCAAGATATACGAGCCATGTCGCTTCTAGACAGGATCGAAGCCCTACCCACAGAGCTCGTACACAAGATCTTTGAGCACTACTGGAATTTCTCCACAGACAAAGTCCTGTATCAGCTAAAGATGGAACCAAGAGAAGCCTTTTCGATAGCAACAAGAAGGGAACCCCTGAACATCGGTCGTACAACAAATCGCGATCATATTTCTCCGTACGACGACGGGCGGGTCGACAGCAATGGTGAAGAAAACCAAATTGTACGTATTCGTTCGACCTGAATGCTAACACCCATTGCTAACCGAATAAAGCTCATGGCTGTGACCTTTGCAACGATCGAGCAGATCCTAGCCCTGAAGAAAAATCGCCCACATGTCCAGCAATTCAATCTGAGTGCTCTAACATACACTCTGCTATTGCCAAACCACCCCAAGATTCGCTTAAATTCGCTCCTTGCATTACTCAACCGCGGTCCTGCAAAAGCAGCTGAAGATGTCACGACTCTCTCGCGTACCCTCGACACTTCAAGAATCGATTACAGCGAGAGAAGACAGCCATCGCAGATGCCAGTTTCTACTCGTCTCAGCGAGCAAAGTCTACACTTCAAGACAGCCAACGATGCCGAACTCTTTNTCCACGCAGATATGTCTCGTGCCTTGCTTATAAGGTCATTCTCCTTTGGTTATTGTAGAGATCTGGGCTGGATCCGCGGACTCGACAACCTGCATTTTCTTTTCTGGAGCACAGGTGGACTTGGATATTGTGCAGATGAGATCTATATCATCGCATACACCAAGCCATATATATTTGGCGAGAGCAGCCAGGACAGTCCACTGCTGTCTTTCGTCATTCGCTCAACAGAATATGCTTCCATCAATCGTACCTACGATCACGACCTTCATCGCTCCATATATCCTCTCGAAAAGCTCGGTCTCAACACTTTGGAAGAAATGTCAAAAGAGCAACTGATAGCCTTCCGCCAGACTAATTTGAGAAAACACCTTATCGAATGGCCTCCAAAGTACGTCTCATACAAAGCGGAGGATCAAAATCGTCTCAAAATCTATATGGACAGAATCTCCAGTGTCAATGGCATATGCGAATTCTGGGAGAACCCGAACTGCGAAGACCCAGTGTGATTATGGTTCTTGAACAAGGAAATCAGGTAGTCGAACTTATGGAGATATAAAAAGGATAGTTCAGCCTAGGGAGGTACATTCAGAGAAATTTCAGCCTGGGAGGAAAGAGCATTCATCGATTGGAGAAATCAAAGCTGTAACTAAAATGCATCGGGAAAATCGAAAATCGTTTATAGTATTCTACTATCTTTCGAAATCTGCTCGATGACATGCAATTTTCTTGAAATCCGGTTTGTGATCTTCAACGTTATTCAAATAAAGTGGCTTAAAAATCGTTGGACTAACTTGAATTCATATTTTGTATTCTCTCCCCCATGTGCGCAGTCACACTGTAAATATGAAAATGCACAATACGTTCATGAATTGAAGTTGCTACATGGAGAGATTCTATCCACATGGCTTTCTGTGGACAAGTCCTTGCTCTTAAGAGCATTGTGCATTTTACGGCTTACAATGTTGCTGTACGTCTTGTCGCACATCTCAGATTTCACCAGAAGCCCAAAAGGCAGAGCCGACCAGATCAGAGTGCTGAAGAAGGCAACAAACAGTGCACTGATCAGGATGAAGGTGCCATACAAGATTCGTGCCAGAGTCCAGCGCCCATTGGGCAAGTCGCAGTTCAGGAACAACTTGAACGAGTGGATCTCAGCCCGTTTGGCACCATCAAAACCAGGCGTTTTCTCGACCTCGAGATTGCGAATCGGCTCGCGCAGGAAAAAAATAACACAAAGCGGTGGAATGCGCATGATCGTCAGCGTCTCTTGAAGGTTGTTCGCCAGATTGAGAAAGGCTTTGGAGCGTCATTGCCGAGAAGTACTATTGACAATTGCCCGTGGCTCGGACTGCTGGAGGCCATGCCAGAAAAACGGGTTTGGACCATGTGTTTTGAGATGGTTGCTGATCGGCTTGAAAGATTGCGGTTCTGGTGTAACTGTTACTGGAAAAATGAGTTTTGTTCTGAGTAACAAGACGCATGCGCTAATGTCAATAGCTATGGATACCATCAATACCCTTTTCCTCGAAAATGTGTACCAGGCCTGCGATCCCGCTTACGTCGACTTCCTAGGTCTGCCGCTAGTCGCATGGGAGAGGCATTCATTCTGTATTTCGACCGCTCATAAAATTCACAAACGTCAGATGAGGACTGGCTGGGGGGGTCGAGCACGAGGTTGACCCTGGCAAACAAGCAGGAACTGATATCTCACATGAAGAGAGCTGTCTCATAGTAGTTGTGAAAATGCACAATACTTTTAAGAACTAAACGATGTCCACAGAGAGACGGTCCTCTAGACGGTTCTCAGTGGACATACTTCCGTTATCATGAAGATCGTGCATACCTACAGCGTATAATGCTGCAGTATGTAGCTGCGAGATAGGCACCGAGCACAAGGTTGACCCTGGCCCAGAGGCAAACTCTGATCTCCTATGTGAAGAGAGCCGTCTCATGGTAGTTGTAGATATACAGAATACTTTCTGACAACAGAGACATGCCCACAGAGAGACCTTTTCTGAGCAGCTCTCTATGGACACTGCTCTATTGTCAGTAACAACTGTGCATTTTGACAGATTACAATATTAGCGTAAGTCGATGTGAGAGACAGTAGGGGCTGGCCGAGGAAACCCTGGCACATGGACGAGACTCGATCTCCAATATGGCCACAACCATCGCATTGTACTGAAAAATGCAGGATAGTTTTCGGAATGCAGAGGTATCCACAGAGAGATCTTTCTTGATCGGCTCTCAGTGGACAATGCTCTGTTATCGAAAACAATCGTGCATTTTTACAACAGGCTACAACATCATGTGCCGCGATGTAGCGGAGGTCGAAGCCAAGAGCCCAGTACATGGGCAGGTTCTGTTCTCCCATACGGTCGAAGTGGTTGCATCGTAGTTGTGCAGATACATAATACCTGTCGAAATCTACCAAGTTCCAAAGAGAGACTTGCTTTTCTCCTGGCTGGTGGAGAGCCCCGAGTAATTCGGTCGCATTGACTCTGCGTCAAAGAGAAGCAAGGTAGATATGATTGTTCACATCAACAGCTCGAGGAGAGAATATTCAGATGAGATTGAGGTTCGGCCTTCAGAATCGTCATGGATGATCGAAGAGCTGAGTCTAACTTCATCCGGCTTAGCCTCTTCCTATTTCAGCGATGAGCGGCTTCGAGAAGGACAGCTGGTTGTTGACCCTGAGCATTTTTCTGAAACTCAAGTTAATACAACGACGACCCGTTAAATAATTTAGAAGTTCGTTCTCTCCTTCTTCTTTGGCTTTGAAACCGGACGACCTTCTGACTGGAAGACTGCATTCTGGTCCTCGCTTTCGTGTTTTTGTCATAAAACAAGCGAACCAAAATGGCGGGCAACGGCCAAATCAAGAATAGGAGTGGAAATGGAGTGCTGGATGAGAAGGCTTTGTTGCAAAGGCAGGTTGATGGTCTGGCAACGGATCGTTCGTCATCAGGAAGTGCGCAGACAACGAAAAATCTCATCATCTGCGTGGGAGGAATCTACGCATCCTTGTATGCTCAATCCAATCATGGATGCAGATACGCAGCCAAGCTAACAAAACACCAGTNNCTCACATGGGGACTTCTTCAAGAGCGCATCACAACGACCCAATATGGTAGCTCTCTGGCTCCGGAAAAGTTCAACTCTCCTGTTTTCATCAACACAGTACAATCGACTTTCGCGGCACTACTTGGGTATCTCTACGTACTGTTCACGCGCAAGCAGTCGAACGATCTTCCCATCTTTCCTAGCCGCAGCATTGTTTTTCCTATGTTTTTGGTGGCCATCACATCTTCACTGGCTTCTCCTTTCGGTTATGCATCGCTCAAGCATGTCGACTACATCACGTTCATTCTGGCCAAGTCTTGCAAGCTTCTGCCGGTCATGGCTTTGCACGTTACTCTTTTCCGTCGCAAGTATCCTCTTTACAAGTACTGTGTCGTGGCACTTGTGACGGGTGGTGTAGCTGTCTTCACTTTGCACCACCCAACTTCGTCCAAGAAGAAGGGAGCAGACGGTAGCAGTGCATGGGGACTGCTTCTTCTCGGCATCAACCTGCTTTTCGATGGTCTCACCAATTCGACTCAGGACCACATCTACAAGTCGTACAGGCCCTACACTGGACAGCAAATGATGTGTGCTCTCAACTTCATCAGCACTGTTTTGACTTCGGTGTATCTGCTTGTTTCTCCGTACATCGCTACGACACCTGTTGGAGCATATCTCGGCATGAGTGCCGCTTCTGGAGGAGAACTGGAATACGCCATCGACTTCATCAGAAGACACCCAAGCGTTGGTTGGGACATCTTTGCATTTGCAGCCTGTGGTGCTTTGGGTCAAATGTTCATCNTGTAAGTTCTCGCTCTTTTGCACACATAGTATGTTTCAGGGCTGATTGGTTTGCTAGTCTACACCCTTTCGACCTTTGGATCGCTTCTCTTGGTCACCGTTACAGTGACAAGAAAGATGCTTACCATGATCTTGTCGGTAGTCTGGTTTGGTCATCGTCTGAGCCCGATGCAGTGGGTTGGTGTTGGCTTGGTGTTCGGAGGTGTCTTTGTTGAGGCACAACTCTCGAAGCAAGAGAAGCTCGCCAAGGACCGTGCAAAGAAGCAGGAGGTGAAGAAGTCTTCTTGATCGCAACGACTGACGATCCTTTGTGTTCACATAGATAGAGAGCTGGATACATAGAAGGGAGTGCGGGCAACTCTCCAGTAGAACAATCTGAATACAGGGTTTGAAGCTTCGGGTATGGATGCTCCCGAGCACTTGACTGTCAGTCTCCTGATAGATGGGCTGAAAATGTAGCAAGAACCTGTTTCTATGGCATGGCAAAGTTACGGTTTCGATCGGAGCAGCAAGTGCCCGTTGGAAAGCATGCCCTCTGGTTCTACATATGTGGCTTTGCCATGCGCATCGAGATCTCGAACTCTACTTCCACGAGCTTACACTGATACACTCCTGGCGAGAGGTTTTCATCGAAGGGAGTATGGTTTACGTGTTCACAAGCAGCATCGGCGGTCGTGAATCGTAAGCGGACGTCTTTGCCATGCAGAGATCGCGATGAGTGGCCTCACGTCGTCAGTCTGGAGATGAATTGAATAGAAAGAGGCCCAAGCTCCACATATAACCCCACAAAACGATGTGTGATGTCATGGCTACCTCAGCGTGCGATCCCACCGAGGCAGCGAAAGAAAGCTATAAACAGTAGATCGCTCTTGCTCTTGTTTACTGAATCTTCATTCAAATCTTCTTATACCCCAATTGCCTCCTCAAATTTCTTCAATCTCGCACAATCACCGCCACAATGTTCCGCTCTACCATCATCCGCAACGCTCGCCTCTTCAGCACCAACGCGCGCTTCCAGAAGTCTGCCGCCGAGACTGTCAAGGATGCCGCTCAGGCTGTCGACAGAACCATCTCTGATGCCGCCGTTAAGGGCATCGAGAAGGGCGGTACGTCTTGACTTCCTCTTGCCGTTCTGTGCAGCTCACTAATACCTATCTTAGAGCAAGCTGCCGCATCCATCAAGTCCGCCACAAACATGAGCACTGGCGAGGCCAAGGGCTCCGCCAGCCAAATGGCCGGCCAAGCACAAGGCAAGGCCTCCGAGCTCGCCGGTCAAGCCAAGGGCGCCGTCAACGAGATGTCCAGCTCATCACCCACCTCCGGCCAGGTCCAAGGCAAGGCTTCCGAGCTCATGGGCGAGGCCAAGGGCAAGGCCTCCGAGATGTCTGGCCAGGCAAAGGGCAAGGCCGAGGAGATCAAGGGAAAGATGTAAAGCTGTTGTTACACGACACGCACCTTTTATGATATGAGACGACACCCTTTTTCTAGTTAATAGCGGCTTTGTTAAAAGCTGCATCGAAGCGAAAACCCCAGGCGCAGCGGTCCTGGATTTTCGTCTTTCTAATTACCCAATTCAATGATCTTGTCAACTCTGGACCGTATCTCGCCATCTCCATTTCCTGGTCGTTTTTGTCGCATCTATCGCTGTGATATGCTGTGGGTTAGAAGCATCTATTTTGTTTCCACAAATATTCGAATCAAAGATGTTTTCAATCGCATAATCCCCGTCATGGACGTGCTGTACACATATTCTCGTTCCCCATTCTTCCCAAAAACTTTCCGAACATTCGAGCTACAACCCTGTCCATATCTTCATGTCAGCCTACCCACGAACTCTTCCCAATTCATCATTCGTCATGTTTGCCCTTTTAACCCTGCACAATCCAGATTAATCTCGTGAACATGCTAGAAGGTCTAACACAATCAATTATAAAACTGATTATGGGCAAGACCGTTAAGATCGACCAGGCGCTGAGATTAGATTGTATGGGCTGCTACTCGCCTTCCAGACTTCCCACAAATCGACCCTCAAAACACTATTTTGCAAAGTTACAACTATGGAAGTTAGCAAGTATCGTACCAAGCACAATTTTGAAGCTTCTTGCAGAGTTATGGGTAGTTTGGTTGGGTACACGTCGAGCTATACCATGTCGCTGCTAGTGACAGGGTGATACAAGCAGCGATCGTACTTAGCAAAAGAAGAGAGGTAGTAGAGTAAGTTATAGAATTGAATAACAGGAATGCTCAGGCTTCTCGCAGCTATATATATCACTGCACCATAGTCAAGTGTCTCTCATCATTGAGCAAAAGGCAATGGGCTGTATGTATGTTCAGCCCTCGACAAGCTTTCTTTCAGTCCTCCCCCATACTCGGATGGCTTCTTCAGCCTCAATCTCCTCGACCCATACCGATTCTGCAAAAGGATATTGCCGGAGTAAATCATAAACCTCGTTCACTCATCACATCGTTCTTGCAGACACCACATAGTGACATCTCGCAGAAATCACACTGCCAAGCCACATCTTCTTCCGCCGTGTGCTTGTGTTTGTTCTCTACCGAGTCCTTAGATTTGGACGAATGATCAGAAGCCGATTTTTTGACAGTTGCGTAAGTCCTGTAGAAGCAGCGGAAGCACTCTGTACTAAGCGGTACGCCCCTCTTGAATGCTTCCTCAGAAAGTTGTGCAGGTTTGAAGACGTGCAAGCAAGACCATATTGTACTATGGTAGCCGTCGTCTGGCTCTTCACCAAAGAAAGCGCCTGAAGCTTCCCAAACACGACGACCACCTGTGTCAAGGTCGACTGGGCGTTCGGCGAGACTAGGACGGACTGTTTCTGCTGCAGCGATTGTTGATTGTCTTGCTGTGGTTGAGACATTATCTGGAGCAGAGGCAACTGCGGGAGGGTGGACAATCGTTGTCGCACTCTGCTCACCATCTTGTGCCCTTGGAGGAATGATATTAGGCTGAGGGAAGGGCGGGNNATCAAGCTCTTCATCACTGTAATCCCCGTCTTCGCTTCCAGAGTCAGGCGAATCACAACCTCCATCACACTCGTCGAGTGGACGGAGACAACCCCAACACCAGTGAGCGCCACAACGACACTGCATATGGCGACACCCATACATTCTCTTCACACCATGGCCACAACGCGGGCATTTCTTGTAACCATATGTCTCGAGCATCGCAAGCTCATGATCTTGAGCAGCGGTATCACAAGGCTGTCCAGAATGGGCAACCTGTTTACAGCTGGGACAGATCCCGATGTGACAACCCGGACAAGAAAAACAAGCAGCAGCGGGCAGAACTGTGAATCTGCTGTTGGCTTGGGTCTTGATTTTGCCAACCTCTTTCCACAAGTGTCTTCGCAGAACCTCAGCAAAACTGGAGGCCGCCGGAGACATATGGCGACCACTGGAGTAGAGTCGATTGAAGTCAATGACAAACTCGGCCATGTTGGAGTAGCGTGAGATCTTTGCGGAGATATCGCTGAGCCAGACCATCCTGCTGGAATATTTCCAATCCCGGGTAGCGTGGGCTGCAGATGTGGCATCCATGAAATATCTCGCACAGGGTTCTTGTTGTAGCTTTGTTAGGATGGCGGGAAGTTCTCGTTTTACAAGACTCCAGAGGGTGACTGGATCGGCAGAGGGTGGTGATAGAACTGCACGATCTGGAATGAAGCGTGAACATTTGGGAACTGGACAGTACGTCTTCTTGGTCGAGGCCCATTCCTCAAACTTGAGACGATATGCATCAGCTTCGGCGGTGGAAAGAAAGTCAAGAGCAACTCTAGTTGAAAGAATGGTGCAGCATCTGGGTGGCATCGAAGTCGAATCGCGAGTGGCGTCCAAGAACATGCTTCTGATACAGTCTCCGCAGTATGAGGTAGGACAGAGGCGACATGGCTGGAGTACAGGAGCTTCGTCCGCTTCACAGCAGATTTCACATTCTCTTTTGATGTGGTCGACTTTGCGCGGAGGGAGATCTTCAACCTTGACAGGAGGTTGCACGCTTGAAAGGCCCTGCAAGTGTGCGTCCGAGGTGGCGGCTTGACGTGGATCGACGGGATGAGTCATGGATGATTGTAACGACGAATGAACGTGTGAAGGTTGAGCTGGACTATGCGGTGTGTTTGTGGAAGAGAGCCTGACAGAACTAAAGCCGGGGAAAGGAACAGGTGGATCAAGACGAGAGAAAGTGAAGGTCGAAGATGGTGGCGGAGGGTGAGGTGTTGTCTCAGGTTGAGCAAGATGTCGTGAGTATGCTGCTTCTTGGCGTGGTGGACGACGAGGTGGAGGCTGGTAGGGGCCCGATTCTGGAGCCTCTCCAGCGACGCGTCGGGATCTGCGAATAGCATGTTCCAGAGGACTCTCGTCGAATCTGCGCAGTTGGCCGGTGGCACGTCTTGTGTTTCTGGAAGATGACATGACGAAGGTGCCGATGGCGAAGGGCTGCTGTATCGGGCTGCTTGAAAGGTTGGGGCTGGACAAACCAGAAACAACTGGATCAAAGTCACCAGTAATGTCTCTGGGAGTGTCCTCGATGGGAGTTGTGGTTGGAAGAGGGAGGTGCAGACGCGAGCGAACGCCCTCTTGGATGCGTTGGAAGAGAGAACGGATGTTACGCAAGGTCAAGAGAGTACGGCGACGGGAATGTTGTTGTCGTGTTCCACGTGTTGGTTGGGAGAGGTCCATGATATTGCTGTTCACACGTTAACCATCTAGGCACTAACAGCTTCCGTGACGCCCTCAGTCACGTACCTACCTTGGAAACTATCCGCGCGAACCACCGACTTGTCTTTGCTTTTCGTGCAAAAGCGCCCCAAGTCAAAAGCTGATTGATCAGGTACAAAAGGGAGGATGTATCAAGGAAGTTCGATCCTTCAGATCGTATGTGTCAAAGGAGAAATATCAGATTCCCTACTGGCAACCACGACCCATGTGCTGCTACTCTCGGCCTAACGATGGCTCTTTCCTCAAATCTCAAGGCAATACTGGAATGAGGCAATCGAACTTTCAATAGTCAAAAGAAAATGCATGGGTATACTTATCTAAAGGATCTTCGTCTTCAAACTGTCTTCTGATCATCAAGACTCTATTATGAAGCTACGATCCCATCACAATCCACTCCTGAACGCCTCGATCATCAATAGTCGTCTCTAGTTGCTTCCATCCTTCTTCGATGACTTTACCAACCAAGTCAAGAGATCGACCTTGGTCACAACTGCCACGGCCTTGTAGCCGCCCTTCTCGGATGTCTTCTCGGTGACGATGGCGGCGCTGTTCCACTCGAAGAAGCGGCTCAGTGCACTCAACTTGGTGTCCTTTGTGATCTCGACGAATTGTCTACGCTGGGGNTGGCTCTCGGTCTCGCTGCTGGTAGCGGCCTTCTTGCGCTCCTCAGGAGTCTTAATGCTGATGTCCTGGGTGCTTGTAACGACTTCGTTGATCTTTCTGAAGTCAAACATGACATCGCTGACACGAGAGTGGCCAGTGGCACGTCCAGATGACAGGTACGACAGAAGGTTTCCGAGTGTGACGAGACCGACAAGACGAGAACCAGTACCAGCTGAGACGGGGAGCTGGTCGAAGCCCTTCTCACGCATGNNAGTTTCGATGGCATCTCCGCAAGGCGAATCTGCTGAGATGGTGGTGACAGGCTTCAGGCGCAGATCACGAATGGTGGCGTCTCCGTAGCCATCCTTGCTCTTGCCATCTTCGGCCTTTGCGACAGGTGTTGTAGGGGCGGAGAGTGGAGGAGTGGGAGGTAGGAGATCGTTTGCGGCCAACCAGTCATCGTCGACGAACTGTGAAAGCGGTTAGTAACGCGGCGAAAATGCAACATCAGGAGAACAAACCTTGCTCAGGTAGCTTCTGATGCTGTCGGGCAGAACAACGACAACGACATCATCCTCAGTCAGGTTCAGCTCAGTGCAAGCCTTGACACAGGCGGCCATGGCGCTACCACTGCTTCCTCCAACCAAGAGACCCTCCTCTCTGATCAGCTTTCTTGAGTATTCGAAACTTGTGCGGTCATCGGTCTTGAACCATGTGTCGACACCTTGCTGGTCAAGGACGTCGGGAATGAAATCGTAGCCAATTCCTTCAACCTTGTAAGGCTGGTCCTTGAAGTCGTCGTTCAAGGAAGCGGGCATAGCAAGAATACTGCCATGAGGATCGGCAGCAATGATCTTGACGTTCTTGTTGTGCTTTCTGATTCCTCTTGCCAAACCAGTAATGGTGCCACCAGTACCAGCACCAGCAACAAGGGCAGTGATCTTGCCCTCGGTTTGTGCCCAGATCTCCTCAGCTGTGCCGAGCTCGTGAGCCAAGGGGTTGTTGGGGTTGACATACTGGTCGAGGATGACGGCACCAGGAATCTCCTTCTCCAGTCTTCTAGCGACACCAATGTGACTTTCAGGACTGTCGTAAGCAGCCTGGGTAGGAGTTCTGATGATCTCAGCGCCGAGAGCCTTGAGCACAGCGACCTTCTCTTGTGACATCTTCTCGGGAAGAGTGATGATGACCTTGTAGCCCTTGACAGCACCGACAAGTGCGAGACCAATACCAGTGTTTCCGGAAGTAGGCTCAATCAGAGTGGTCTTGGAGGGNTGAATGCGGCCTTCGGCTTCGGCAGCTTCGATCATGCGCAAAGCGATGCGGTCCTTGACACTGCCACCAGCATTGAAGAACTCGAGCTTGGCGTAGATGGTGGGCTTGAGACCGAGCGATTGCGGGATCTTGTTAAGGCGAACGAGGGGNGTGTTGCCGATCTGCTCGGTGACGGTCGACATGACGACGGGCGGGTGTCTGGGGTGCGACTTGATCGACATGATGTGTGTTGGTCGATGTGAGGTTAGTATTAGATGACGGAAAAGGAAGAGAAAATCAAGGTGAAGAAGAGATGCAGTGAAAAAACACTTTGTCTTTTGGAGGACGCCCGGTACGACGCCCTGTGAGGGCCTTGAACGAGCTTCGGACCCTTTGACCAAAGCTTGTTTGGCATTTCTTTAGTAACGCCGAGACGCAATGAATCCTACGCATAACGCCATTTCAAAATTAGTCTCCTAGCACAAGTGACAATTATCGCGTGAATTGCATGCATACCTATCAGCTCACATCTGCTGAGCTATCCATGCCCACCACGGATCCACTTGGGTCTTTTGCTCGCCCTTTGCGCTGGCGTTTCCTCCAAGCACGCTGACTTCAATCTCGGCCTCTTTCATCTGCCCAAAGTTAAAGTCGCCCTCACCGCCTTCACCCAGCCACTCCCTATCCTCATCGTCTCCTTCAATGTCGACCGCGCTGTCAAGTAGTCCCTTTGCCCTGGTTGATCGAATTTTTGTGATTTCATCTTCCAAGCGCTTCTTGACCAGTTGAGCAGGCAGTGCAGTGAACAGATCCAGCTTGTTGGCTGCGATCAAAACAGGAATTCCAGCAGGCCCCTTGCTGCTCTTTGCTCCAGTGTGTCTCTTTTGTAGAACAAGTAAGATGTCGTGAAGGTAAGTAGCAGCCTCGGAAAGTCCTTGAGGGCTGGACAGAGCGGCCGCATCCACGACAAAGATCAGACCCTTAAGAGAGGCGGTCGCAGTAATGGAATCGTAGGCGTGCTGGCGTAGCTTGCCGTGACCAGGAGTGTCGGTCACTTCAATTCGACGCTCTTTCTTGGTTGAAGGGTCGTCGGAAGCGCGGTATTTGTGAGATTCAGCAGTAATGCCAGTAGGAAGCGTGCAAGTGACGGTCTGAGGAGCTTGCGAAGTGTGGGTAGCAGTCGGTGTACCGCGCTCGAANCTGTGCGCTCGATTAGCATGTTTATCATGTAGTCGCAAGTGTGCAGGACACACCAGAGTAAGAAGGGTCGTTTTGCCGGCACCACTAGGACCGAGCAGGACAAACGAAGGAACTACAACAGCGGCGCGCTGGCGGTACAGGAACAAGTGGAAGATGATGGGCAGCGACAGCGACAGCAGCAATGTAAAGAGCATGGCTCCGATGGTCGGGCTGAAGCTCCAGGTGAGCCACTCCCGTGCGGTATTCATGTCGACGGCCATCTTCGTCTGGGTATGAATGGCAGGAGTCAAGTCGCAGAGAGAGCTATTGACGACTCCAAAGTGAGCCGATCACGCTGCTGCATTTCCACTTTGCGGCCCGAACACAGCGCCTGCCGAAATCTGGGGCACCTCCGCCTGTTCTTTCATTCCTGCCCATCTTGAGACCGAGCCTGAGTTTATCAACCATTGTGTAAACATCTGCCATGCTCTCTAAGATTGCCGAGACCTCGTTGGAACCTTCAACTTATATTGCAGCATACTCGGTCGACGTAGCTGGCATCATACCACATGTGCGCACCGTGAAACGCTACGTGCTCCTGATGTAACCTCTATGTTGTTGAACAAAGGTGAAACTCGTCTGCTCATTAAAACGTACGATGCCGAGCAAGACGGACAAGCATCGTGCAAGATGCAAGATGCACCTCCCTAAACTTCGTGTCTTCTGGCTTGTCACCCAAAAATGGTCTCATCATCCATGATTGATTGACGTCAGCCTGAGCGAATGACATTCATGATGCGGAGCAACCTTATGGCAACAGACAACAACATGTAGAATAAATATCTCCCAAACACCAGCTTGACTTTTGACTTGACCAATATCATCAGATTCATCAACAATTCTAATAGCATCATCCATCAATACCATGAACATGTTTGGAAGCAGCAACACCTTTGATCCTAACACCGACATCCCTGATCTCTCAGGCAAGGTCTATGTCGTGACTGGCGGATCAGCCGGTATTGGTTTTGGCATCTGCGCCCATATCCTGCAACACAACCCTGCTGCCCTCTACCTTCTCGGCAAGAAGGAGGAGCACATCCAGGAAGCCGAAGAAGGTCTCAAGAAATATGGCGACATCTCCAAAGTCCACTCTGTTCAGATCGAGCTTGAGGACCTGGNNAAGCAGACGGATCAAGTAGCCAAGGAGCTAGCCTCTAAGCTCGACAGGCTCGATGCTCTCATTTGCAACGCTGGACTCGGCGTGGGAGTCTTCAACCTGACCAAGGACGGCATCGATTCTCACATGCAGGTGAACCACATTTCGCAATTCCACCTGACCCAGACTTTGCTCCCTCTGCTTCAAAAGACTCCTGGTTCTCGTCTTGTCCTGCAATCCTCAGACCTGCACCGCGGAATCAGCGATGTCAAATTCGAATCTGAGCAGGAGCTCAACCAGGATATCGGTCCCATGATGCTTTACAACAGAACCAAGCTCGCTCAAGTCCTATACATCCGTGCTCTGGCAGACCGCAAGGAGAAGGCTCAACTGGGCTTCGATGATAACGTCAGCGCTGGACCATTCATGAACGCTGTACATCCTGGTGGAGTTCAGACCGACCAGCAGAAGCAGGCAGTTGATGCTTACGGAACTCTCGGCAAAATCGGTGTCGCAGCAGTGAAACCTTTCTTGAAGGATCCAGTCGATGCTGGATGTCGTCCAGCACTCTTCGCGGCAACCAGCAACGACGTCGCCACGGAGAATATCCAAGGCCAATACGTAAGCTCAGACACGTCCTCAAGAGTAAGAAGACTTGCTAACAAACACACTAGANTTGTGCCTGACCGCAAAGTCACTGACCCATCGAAGGAGGCTCGCGACCAGCAGCTTGGAGAAAACTTGTGGCAACTGACTGAAAAGATCATTGTCAGCAAGTTGGGCAACGCTGTGCCATACAAGCTTCAGTACGCTTAGTGGCGTCCTGTCAAGGAGTTTTCTACGAAGTAATGATGATTAGGCGATACTTTCGTCGCCATGGCAAGAAAAAATATGCAAAGGTCATGAAACAACACTTTCTTTCGCTAGCTTAGGTACATGAGATCCGAGTAACTGCTCGTTCCAAGACACCATGGAACATCTTCAGTACCCTTTCCTGGCCAATCTTGATGCGTGACCCATATTGGAGCAGAGACTGTGCGTTTGGTTTCCGTGGCGCTGACTGCAGAGAGCGTTATACCTGCTGCTAACAATCTGCAAGAAACACTTTACAAGCTGGGCCTTGACAGCACTTCGCGTCGTTACGTGCGTTACGACATCACCGTCTCCCCCTAAAAGATGTAACTTACGTTGTGCTCCAAATGCAGCAGAGAGTAATGTACATACTATAAAAATGCACAGTACTATTAGAAAACAGGATAGTGTCCACTGAGAGGCAATTTCTTACTGACTCTCTCTGGCCATATCTCTGTTCCTGAATAGATTGTGCATTTTTACAGCCACACTTATCACTGATTACAGAATCGGCAACACCATATACTCTCTGGTGACTGCTTCCACTGCTTGATCGATCACTCTCCGCGTAGCACGTGCCGCTAAAACTATGCTATCGAAATACACAGTTGTATTGGTTATCAACGTGTGTCCAAGGAGAGCCTGTCAGTTCTCCGACTCTCAATGGAAACCATCTGTTTCTGTAATATATTGTGTAATTTGACAAGTATGTATGCCAAACATTGGCGCTTGGAGATGCGCAATACTTGTCATGGACCTGGTGTCTGCGTCCACTGCTTGGAGATGTGCACACGGGGAGGCGTGAGGCGTCAAATTGATCGGACCAGGACAGAGGTTTCGAATCCCAACTACTTGCACGGTTACCAGCAGCGTCGCCTTGGTCTGTCTGGTCTGTTTCTTGCATCAAGAGTAATATAGGTAAGCACCACGCCATCAATTGCGGGATCATGACAAGTCTAGCATCGCCTCAACGAGGGAGCATGCTTCTGTTGGAAGAGAGGGGTATATGCCTACATCTCATCCATCCTTCTCGAGCAACATAGCCGCGAAACCATGCATTCGCCATCGTCCCCGGCGAGAGCTGTTAACTTATGTTGGAATACGCGTCTTGACAACGCAGTCATCATATGAACTCTTTCTTGGTATCTAGAGTCNAGAAAGTTGGTATAGCTTATCTGCACGTGCTTACGAAGACCTCGATGGAAGAGCAACGACAGCAGCAACAAAGAGCTGACGATAGTCAACAAAGAGGGCGCTTCGAGGCAGCCCNNGCCGTCTCACTGCCAAATACCAAAGAGNGGAGTTACACTCACAAGATCCTANCCCCGACTCGACATCTCTCAACAAACTTGCGGCTCGTTGCATGCTTGCTCCGTCTTTCCCGACCGGGGGCAGCGCTTCCCTCGAGACGGCCTTTTCAATTGCCGATGCAGGTTGATCTTATGACAGACATTGAAGTGGCTGAGCTCGAGAGAAGGATGGAGCGAGGATGAACTTTGGAGATCGGCAGCTGAGCATAGGACCAGAGGAAGCAATCAAAGAAAGACCCGAGTACGTGGGCCAGTGTCTGCGTCAGAAAGCATCGGGTCCATGGCTCTCTGCCTCTCTTCAGCTTGCCTCTACACGCGTTTTTGCATGGAGAATCTATTGGAGTACAATGCCTGTTGCTGGTACTTTCCAACGAAGATGACGATGACAATGACGCGTAGGGTGATTGACAAACTTCTCCCCTCCTGCCTCAAAGGGCGGTGGAGACTTTGATACTTGAAAGCGTGTCTAGCGTTGCTTTATGTCAGGCAAACGTGTGCGATCCAGGAACTGGATTCTAGAGGATAGTATGCCCTATGCCCACACAGTGCCGGTAGGTCAATCTCGTGCACGTGAAAAGTCACTGGACCACTTAGAAGACGTGGCTCGAAGCTTGTGATAGTGGTTGAAACCGCGCTGGTTGTCAAAGACTCCCCAGCCACCACGCTGTGAGTGTTTGATCGATCGACTTGTTTTCTTTCAACATGCACAGGCCAGCAGTTCGTTTCAGAAAGGGCTGACGAGTCCGTGGAGACTGCTATAAGGCGGTTTGTGTTATCGAAACAAGGCCAGAATTGCGTCTTCGGTGTCGTGCAGAGCTAGAGGGTGCTTCCCGTGTTGCTCAGCGTCAGTTCGTGACACGGAAGCCTCAAATCTCCGTCGTGCTCCGTGTCATAACTCTTATCCACACAACTTGAGCGAGTATGAGTATCGCATGAACTTGGAAGAAAGAAGGTCGATTGGGTATCATTTGTTCTGTTCTAATACCGAGGCATGGGCTTAGGGGAGATAGATCGTCCAGATCACCCAGGTACTGTTGCAACGTACTGCACTGACCAGATATCCCCGCAAGAGACACTTGATCGCTCGATAGTTTCCAGCTGCTCTGCTGCATGCTAGACTCGAAGCCAAGATCGTGCGTTGGAAGCGATATGATGCAGATGAATAGCACGTTCTAGTCAGACCATACTCTGCCAGATCTTCGCAGCACAATCAAGTTATGCCCACGTATTGTGCAGAAGTATATCCCTGGTTCACGTGCTGCAGCTCGCCGCTTCATAGACCCTAGATCCATATGTCGCCCCGTGCGGAATCCGGACCGGTACGGATTATGGCAGGTCCTTCTCAAGTACATGCTCAACAAAGAAGACACCTCAATGGAGCTGCCGGATATGCCTGGATCTATGGAGCCCCGCAGTAAGATGAGTATAGCACGCACGTTCGCCCTCGAATTGTTCACGAGATCAGCGGCATACTACCGCGGCTACGTTTGCCTGCAGTATCAAGATGACCATGACTCCAACACGACCACCAGTACAGTACGAATACTGGAACTTTCTTGGAACGATCCCAGCAAACTGGGACTTGCCGAGGATTCCATTTGGGTAAAAGCAGAACTCGACAAGTCACCTCATCAATCAGTAGGCAATGACAAATTGACGCATCGAGGAAGTGGACCATCTGATCAATCCGCATGGTAGACAATGGAGATGCTCTGGCCTCTGCTCTAGAATGCGGTGTTCGAGAGACATGCGCTCAACACTCAATGCTGTCCAACATGCAGAGTCGATTGGGCATTATGACATTTGGCGGGATATCCTCATCTTTTGACGCTGAAGCCACGATTGCACAAGAAGCCATCTGATCGGCGTGCGCTGATTGTCAGCCAGAGTATAGTTGTCGCATCACAAAGAATCACTCTGCTACATCGAGTTATGATGGCAGTCGTCGTGTGAATGTCGAGTCACCAGATTGTCGCGTTCATCGGCGACAAGAATAGACCACCGCCAGAGCTTTCCATTAGGTTGGAGAGCGCTTCTTTGAAACAAAGAAATCTTCCCGACATCAAGCGCTTGGCCGAACTTCTTTTCGTAGCTACGGGCGAAACCAATACTGACGGGAGGAGCCGAGTCGGGGCATGAAGGATACGGTAGGATGCATGATTGAGCTGCAAAAGGCGACAACGGTGTGTAGCAGTGAGATGATATCTCATATGATCCGTATGTCAGACTGGTATGGGTTGAATGCTAGAGGCCGTCGCTGGACCAAAGAATTGTTGAGCTTTACGGCCTTGACAAATCCCCAACAGATACAGGTCCCGGAGCAGCGGTCTGTCCAGTACCTCCAACCCAATGTCTATTTCGACGAGGCCATCGGATTCGTGCTGTTACGAAGCTATACTCTTGCACTTCTTTGTTCTGAATATAGAGTAGATAGGTAGGCCTTTGATGGAATGTGAGATGAGAGGTAGAAAATACCAAGCTAACGCATGCAAGGCAAGCTGTGCCTTCGCAAGCATGTCGCTTACCAACCAATCACAGCCTTCGCTCACAAATGAGCAGCTCCAACCACCTCTCCTCCCCTCCAACATCATGACATTTATTCCGGGACGCCTGCACGTCACAATTCTTGTGGCTTGACCACCCATCAGGAACGGGAGGCGTGGTTCAGATCGGAGCAAGGGGAAGCAAAACATCTAATCCATTCGTCATCCCCTGACGGAGCCGCTGCCGCGTTCGAGACATGGTCGGAACGCGACAACCACCTATCTTTTCTCATGTACTCGTTTGTTTGCCGTCGGCTGCTTCTGGAAACCGCGTCCTGATTGTTGGCAATGCCGTCAGCGGTCCAGGACTCAACCTCCTCCGCATGGCACGCAACTTGACGCGGGTCGTGGCTTGCTTGCCGCCGCCGCAAGATGCGCCCTCTCGCGCGTCTTCTGTATCAGCCCGGTTACGGGGTTGACTGACAGGAAACGGCTGGTCCAGCAACTGACCCAGAATGAGACAAGTGCAGAGGCAGCCTGCAAATATCTGCATTGGTTATCTTGCCGGATCTACCGGACCGACCGGTTTGTTACGGGCCTTTGTCTCGGATCGACTTGACTGTGCTGACCTGACAAACATTCTACCCTCTTTCTTTTTGTTTTGGATGCTGATTCCGCCTACGGTAAAACAACAGGAACATGTCAGTAGGTAGAGACGATCGTCAGCACTCCCCCGCCTAGTTCCAGTTCATGTCAGTTCAAGCAAGACGTACCGACAGTAGCTCAGTTGGAAGGTGTATCGCGCTAAGTTCTGCCGACTCCAGCGCTGCCAAGTAGTTGTTGTCGATGTTCCTGCATGTGTATGGAGGGATCACCTGCATTTGCCGGCTCATGATCGAGGGTCTCTAATGATGGACCTTTGCACTTCCCAGCAAGGAGCTCCGCGTCTGCGTGATCAAGGCCGAAAAGGCCTCTGTTGCATTTGAGTCGAATCATCCTCCCTGGCTTCGGAGTTAGATAGGTAGACCAGATTCGGCATCGAGGCTACTGCAGCTTTCCCGTGTTACGCTTCTTCTTCCCAAGAGGCAACTAGAACGGTCTAAGCTCGCCATGGCTACGATCATACTGAGGCTGAACTAGTCCCCGTCAACTGGGTTTGGTTGCCTCGAATACGCAACTTCCTCGGTGGAGGTCGCCTGGTACCTTGTGGTAGAAAAAGAGGGTCAAATCCTTCTCAAAAACCAGACGAGTTTTGAATCCCACTGGCCTTCTTGCAACTGTTCATCTCTTTGTTTTGGAAGTAGTCGACTGGCAAACGAGCATCAGTCCCGAGTAAGTGCATTGCTCCAGCCATGAGCGACCAGATACTTGTCACTCTTTCTTCATACTTACCATCGATGCTAACTTTTGTAACAGTTCCTGTGTTATTCCTCTTTCGAATGACCATTGCAAGACCCGGAACCAATTTTCTACTCTGCTCCCAAGGAAAATCACCTCGACATTCGTTCACCCTGCGCCAATCTCTCGTTCGAACACATCATTTCTTCGCTGTACGTCTTGTCATCTTGAAGTGATCGCACAATCAATCCTGAAACTGACATCTATCAACGTGCATAGAGGCGCTTGCAGATCCAGCTGCTCACGCCCAGACCATCAAACATTTTGTGTGGAGAAGGGATCCTTGTAAGTCCTCCTTCTGCATGACAGATGCCGAGAATCAGGAATGCATCCTTCCTCACCGCCATCTCAAATAATGTCGGCGCTTTTATTTTTCCCTTTTTCCTTCTGGTTTTGGTCTGCAGCATACCGTGCCGACTCGTATTTACGATGACAAGTCATATCTGTCTCGGAAGGAAACAAAACCATTGCTTACCATGGCTACTGTGCAGGTCCTATACATACTGGCTTCCCACATCGCATCTCGACTGCCTCTCCGACTTATTGCTGCTATTTTTGCAAGTTCAACGTTTGAAATCAAGAATTCTGCACCTGGAGTTTCTGCCAAAAGCAATATATCTTGTTTAGACCCGATATCTTCTTCATCTCTCATCTCAGATTGTGGCGCCTTTTGGGCCTCGGATCTGAATCGCTCTTCATCAAAATCGCAGTAGCTTGCTGCACCTCGGACACATCCGCTGAACCAGTCAGTTTGATCAACAAATCACCAACACGACTTAGAACAAAGTTCAGAAGAAGCCGAAGGCTATTTCTGACAAGCTTTTCGAGAACAACTGTAAGTCACGACTTTGATATCTACACGTTCGTATCAGCTCTGTCCCAGCATGAGTTTTCGCGTGGTGGATATTCATTACCATCCAAATCTTACCCTGCAGTTTGGTCTGGCGCTGATGAGCTGCGGCACAGCAGCCCCACTTCCTGCACGCAGATAGCATCATCAATCTGTTCACATGAATCTGGTCGCGTCGATGAATTCTGGTATGCCTTTTTCCCTTTCTTTGCTTGTCTGAGCTTTTGCACCATATCAATTTTGGAAAACATCACCGATAATCTTTTATCGCAATCGTTCACGATCCCACAAAGCCATCACCATTACTATCTCCTCAGCAGCAGAAGCTGTGTACTTTTGAGAGCCTGCGGCCCAGGCCTTCTGTTGTGCGACGGAGGTTCCTCACTGCCTTGTCTTAGCCAGAGTATGACAGGCAGCATCTACAGCAGGCTGTCAAAAATCTTTGGCTAGACCATTTGTTCGATAGGAATGCTAACACTTGATTTCGTCAGGCACTGCATTCTTGCACCTACGGCACGACTATTCACTGCCGCCAGACCAAGAATGTCTTGAGCAACTCGGAGTTCATGCACATCAGCCTAGCTACCACAGTTCCGGAAGCGTCGATCCTCTCCGACGTGACGACGGCTTGGGACATTCGAGCGGCAGCATGTTCTCACTGTCGTCCAACAACTTCATTACAGATCGATCGGTAACGACCACTGACCAGTAAGTGTCTATCTCTCTTATCCGCAGGTCACATGAGTTGTGCATCTTTGACCCCTCATCTCGTGCCGCCGCGATGGTGGGAGATTTTTCTTGCCTAAAAATGATTGGTCTGGCATGGTTCTCTGTGAAAAGACGCTCTTTCCCTACGAGTCTGTCCGAGGCTCCGCTCATGTTTATCTGAACATGTCTTGGCCGGCAATATGACAGTGACTTGCCGCGAATCACAAGCCTGGGGTTGCAGTTACAGGTCCGCGGTTACTCATGCACGTTTCTTCCCAACATTATACCTTGCGCGCGCGCTGTCAGCCTGATGTCGCACATGCAAGCCTTCTACTGCACTGCGTACCTCCCGAAATCTTAATCTTCTCCTCGGCGACATGAACGTCTTCAGGAACAATGACTGACAATCTTGCAGCGAAAGGTATCACCCAAGTGCGACAAGCTTTGCTGCCGCTACCGGAGACAGTTCTGGTTCAATCTCAACCAGTCCCAGCTCTGCCACGTCCTCACTGGCCTACACTGCAAACTATCCAAACCATTACACAGCGTATGCCGCGCCTGTCGCACCTGTCCAACATTTTGTCAACCATTCTGGACTAAGTGGACGCATGTGAGTTTGGACCCTGCTCTCGTTATCTGACATGCCTTGACCAGCATTTCAATGTTTATTCATTGTTGATCCGTACTTGACGTTCGCTGACACAAAGACATTGTAGCNNCTGGATGACCCAACCCAAGGACTTGCTGCCTGGCGATCTCCAGCCCCAGCTCTAGGCCATTCATTGTCGCCATCCACAACCAGCATCACCACTCGAGACTACATCCACACAGGTAATCTCCCTACTCCAAGTCACCTCTCTTCTCCTCCAGCCTCCACCTACACTGGGTACTCAGAGACTCCGCGTTCGTTGACTGGCATTGCAACCCCTCTGTCTCCGCCTTCAAACTCGCTTTTGTCAGCACAGATGGCTTCTCTGAGCACCACTGGATATGGAACGCATCGAAGCGAATGCCAGAACTTCCCTTGGGTACAGCACGAGAGCCTCCACAACCTCGAATGCGAAGGTCAGGAAGTTGTCCCTAGAATTCATGCAAAGATGGAGAAGGGGTTCTTCTTGTCTCCTGATAGATCCTGGACATGTTACCGACGCAACTACTTCTCTGTCACTTGCTCGTTTGAGCTGACACCACACATCGGAAATGGAAGACTCTGTCTCAACGGTCAAAGAGTCCAGGCTATGGGCATGAAGTTGACTGCAGCCGTCGACGGACAGACCGGAAAAGGAGTTGAACTTATTCAACATACACCCAAGCGAGACCGAGGCCCCAAGAATGCGATCCCAATAATCAAGATATCACCTACTCCGCCGAATGGACGTCCTGCTGAGTCAACTCTCAGTCCTCATGGTGTGTACCATGTCCCGATGTCTTCGTTCCATGCCACTGGTGTCCCCACTGGCCCCCACCTTCCCTTCCAAAACACGCGCGACGACTCTCCTGCATCAAGTCGTTCAACCTCCCCTACTGGCCGAAGACATGAGTACACCTTTGGTCATCTTGCCAGCAGTCAGTTGCCTATGCCAGGTCAGAACATCCAACATACATTCGAGCGCGTGCAATTCAAGTCGGCTACGGCCAATAACGGCAAGCGAAGAGCATCGCAGCAATACTTCCACCTCATGGTAGAACTGTGGGTCGACGTTCGTGAAGACGAAACCAGAAAACCGAAGTGGGTCAAGATTGCTTGCGCTATCAGCGACAAAGTGGTGGTACGCGGTCGGAGCCCCAGCCATTACAAGGCCGAGAACCAAGGGNGTGGTTCTTCATCCACAGGCCGTGGGGGAAGCACTGGAGGCTATGGTAATTCGAGTGGAAGTTATGGGGGCCTGAGTCGTGGCAGTTTCAGTGGTACTGGCTATGCCACCGGACCAGGCAACACTGGAGGCTTCCGTGCCAGTCAGCAGTACCAGTCAGCAGCCTCGCCTGAGCAAGGTTACTCTTCCAGCGCTGAATCAAGCGTGGCCGAAGCTGTCGACATGAAGCATAACCTCGAAGCCGAGCCCACTCACGACGAAGACATGACCATGCAAGACTTTGCTGGATATCAGTACATACCGACAACTTTGTACGACGGTATCTCCGTGCAGGGCAAAGCGGACAGCCCAAACACGACCTCGGGAGCCGCACAGACTGGCGATAAGAAGTTCCCAATCCGCGACGAGTACCCTGAAGCACTACCTGGAACACAGTGGAGCATGGGCAACTGCAATCGCTTCCAGGGGGTGGAAAGCAGCCGAGGATACTATCCAGCATTCAGCACCACTGGGTTCTAGGATGGTATGTATGAGCAAGTGTGTCCGTTAGGCGGTAGTATGGGTCGGTCTCTTTCTCTTTTCATTTCTCTATTCATGGCGATGTTCTTACCGTCGACAAGCTTTCTTTCTCGCAATCACGATCATTTCATGCGGTCATGGTATTATTGGGGTAATGGGTACGCGTGGAAAAGGAGAACAAAGGAAAACGGCGTTTCGAGAGGAGTGAAGGATTAGCCACGGATGATGATACCCCTCCGGTCGGATTTTGGGCAGTACAGCACGCAGAAGCGAAAGGAGACGAATGGCTCACGGAACATGATGATGAGGATTATGACGGGAGGTAGCGCTGATGTAGTTTATGTTTCACAAAATGCATAAGACACAAGATGTCTATAATATGAGTTGCTGTTCAAGGAGAAACATTGAGACAGGTGCTGGACAAGTGAGAGCAGTGATCATGATGACGCTGGTAGACGAGTGAGTAGGTGAAGTCGGCAGATGGAAGCTTCGAGAAGCAGCGGCTCAAGACACGGCGACTTTTGGGCGGGCAAAAGAGTTTCGGGAGCGTTTGACAAGAGTCATTTGTCGGACCGCTAGAGGCAGCGCGAGCCAGATGTTCCCAAAAGTCTTTGGCAGAAGTTCAACCCCAGCGCCGTCTTTGTCGACTTCTACGCCGAGAGCCAGCGTCAGTCAGTCCGCTCAGACACAACCTGCCGCCAGAGACAGTCCCGAGCCACGCCCCTCCTCGGCCTCTCAGCGCCCAACTTCCAGTCGCACTACAAGTCGCCCGGTATCCCGCTCTCCGGAGAAAAAACCAAGTGCCAAAGCCGACAAAAGTCGTCCCTGTTGCGCTCGCCCAAGAAGAAGGACCGAGCACACGACCCCGACACACACCCGCTCAATCTTCCTCCCCAAGAGCGCGCTCGACTCTCGAGACTGGCTGCCAGGATGGATCAAGAAAAGCAACAGACCAATGGCAACGGCCCTGCCGACACGCCCACCCAGAATGGCGATACCGCTCCAGCCCCTCCGCCGCACAAGACTCCTACCACCCCTCCACCAAGCACCGAGGATGCTGAGGCCTTCAAGGCTGCTGGAAACAAGTACTTCAAGGCTGGAGACTACACCAAGGCTATTGCAGAGTACACAAAAGGTTGAGCCTCTCGAAATGAGCATTTTTCTGCTTGCGCGCATGCTGACATATTGCCTATCTCAGCCGTCGAGGCCGATCCCAAATCTTCGACATACAGATCCAACCGTGCTGCCGCTTATATGTCTGCTGGAAAATACGTCCAAGCCTTGGACGACTGCAAAGAAGCTGATGAGCTGGACCCGAACAATGCCAAAATCTTGCACAGAATGGCCCGTATTTACACCTCTCTGGGACGACCTAAAGAAGCGCTCGAAACCTATGACCGTATCGATCCTCCTGCATCGCAANAAGACCGCCAACCCGCTGTTACCATGAACCACCATCTCTCCGAGGCTGAAGAACAGATCCGCAATTCTACCTCTGGCTCCATGGCTATTTTCGCCCTCGACCAAGCCGAGAAGGGCCTTGGATCTACCGTCACAAGACCACGAAAGTGGGCTCTGCTCAGGGGAGAGGCATACCTGAAGATGGGCAATGTGAACGCCCTGGGAGATGCACAAAACATTGCCATGTCCTTGTTGCGCAACAACAGCGCCGACCCCGAGGCCCTGGTACTCAGAGGTCGCGCTCTTTATGCACAGGGTGAGAACGACAAGGCTCTGCAACATTTCAGACAGGCCATTAGCTGTGACCCTGACTTCAAGGATGCCGTCAAATATTTGCGTATGGTGCAAAAGCTTGATCGCACAAAGGAAGAAGGAAACAACTACTTCAAGTCTGGAAAGTACGAACAGGCTGTTGAGACTTACACCTCTGCTCTTGAGATTGATCCGCAAAACCGTGGCACAAACTCCAAGATTTTGCAAAACCGAGCGCTCTGCTACACTAAAGTACGTTGAACTGGCACATCAATTCTCTCCATATCTAACAACATGCACAGCNTCAAGGAATGGCAAAAAGCAATCGAGGACTGCGAACGTGCATTGAAACTTGACCCCAGCTATACAAAGGCTCGCAAGACAAAGGCCAAGGCATTGGGCGAGTCTGGCAACTGGGAGGAGGCCGTCAAGGAATTGAAGGCTATTGCCGAAAGCAACCCTGAAGAACCTGGGATCGCAAAGGAGGTCCGCAACGCCGAGCTCGAGCTCAAGAAGAGCAAGCGCAAGGACTACTACAAGATTCTAGGGGTCGAGAAGGATGCCGACGACAACCAAATTAAGAAGGCATACAGGAAGTTGGCTATCATCCACCATCCTGATAAGGTTTGTGGTTGTCACGTCTAAAAACATTACGAAAGCTAACGATGCCAACAGAACCAAGGAGACGAAGCCGCAGCAGATCGCTTCAAGGATATTGGTGAAGCCTACGAAACTCTGTCAGACTCTGAGAAGCGCGCTCGTTACGACAGTGGTGAAGATCTCATCGACCCCTCGGAACAGTTTGGTGGTGGTGGTGGCTTCGGCGGCGGTATGGGCGCTCAAATCGACCCCGAGGTTCTCTTCCAGATGTTTGGTGGACAGATGGGCGGCGGTGGCTTCGGTGGCGGCATGGGTGGTGGTGGCCGCAGAGGAGGTGGTGGCTTCCCTGGAGGATTCCACTTCGGTTGAAGGACTCATTCACACGATATCCTCGGCCAAGTCTCCCTTCACTCGACCCACCCGGCATCCATCGAAGGAAAGAGGTTGTTCGGTCCTCCTCGACGTCTCATCTCTACATCTATGCCGGGTCATTCGTTCTCTTTCGACTCTTTATTCACTTGTTCTTTTTGGCATGACGGAGCGAGCAAGGAACAGAATTGTTTGAGGCGTTGCATATGGACTGGAGTTTTGACACTCTTTCAAAAGTTTCAAGATCTGGACATAGACTGTTTTGCACTTCACGATACACAAGCCACTGCTGGGAGTCTCATTCAGGATCTATATATCCAGTTCCGAATTTACACATTTGACACACGCAGAAGTCCTCGAGGTCCTGACACTTCTGTGTATCTTTGACCCACGCACTTCCAAAGTGTTCCATCGATAAGTTTTGATGCCCCACATGTTTTCACAGGTTCTCAATCGCTCTAGCCAACAGTTCAGAACGAATCCGCATCAAAAAAACGGTTGAACGAAGTGGGCAAGAAAAGAAGTGGAGAGCGGAGCCAGAACCAGTTGAGGAACAACCCTCATCTCCACTATGTGATGGCAACGCATTTCTCACGGTAGAGAACGACTAAACGAGTTCTATACGCTGCTCGCGTGCAAGTCTACAAGATGAGCAGTGAGGTGAGAAGTGGCAGGGAAAAGAGGCAACGGCGATGGCGTACTCATTGCACAAACGACACGGGTGGCAGTTGCAGATGACAGCAGAGGCTGGTTGGCGGAGAAAGCCAAGCCGAAGGAAGTATGGAATGTCACTCATAAAGTGAGAAGTCAGAAAAGGACGTTTCGATCACGAGTTGTGGCAGAGCAAGACAAGACCGTCATCAACTTGATGTACATCTCGGCGTGGATCTTGGTTCTTCCTGACGTTGTACACTCTGCACCACAGGGCTTTTGAACGAGCATGGCAAAGGTGTCATGTGCAACTGTATGTTGATAGAAACGAGGGAGCATTATCTCTTCGTAAAAGCATACGGATTGGCGTATCTCGGACCCTCGATCGGCATGCTTGTCTCCGACGTTCCGGGAACAGAGGCGTCCATGTAATCTCATGACGACGCACAGACGGCGATCAGGTCTAGGCGAGGTATGAAATGCCATAGAGAGCAATGCTTGCGTGGAGCGAGTGCCGCAAACAGCAAATTAGAGAGCTTTGGACGAGTTTACCCCCATCTGGCCTGCATGGTGCTGACAAGGCTGTGCCTGTGGCTTTTGCCTGGCGACTGTCATTGCGGGCAACAAGAAGCGCAACTCTCCCTAACGTTGGCCTGCCTTGTCGTCCTAGCGTGCTGCTCTCAATCTTGATAATTTCTTGTCACTCCTTCATCTGCTTCAGCCTCATTATTCCTTCCTTCCTGCTTCCTACGCTCCTTTTGATCCTCTACCTTCTCCAGTTCTGTCTACAACAACCATCAACCCCAAACAACCTCCCTTGGACAAGATATCTACACCGCATTTGTACTGACTCGAGTCTCGGCCGTCCTTGCCAATCTGGGGTCAGCCAACGAAAAGGCGCAGCTTCGACAAAACATCAACACCGCCCAAACCTCTTCCCCTCTCAGGTCGCAATTGACCTGATTGCCTACCGCCGTCATGCGCAGACCTGTGCTTCTTTTCCTCATCCTAAACCTGGCCATTGTCGCCTTCCTCATACATTCGGTCTGGACCCTGCTATCCCTTCTAGTCGTCGACGGCTCTGAAGATGCAATTTCTCGTGCCGAGCTCCCTGCTCCTGGCTCTGATCTGATCGACGGTCGTCCGCAGATGATTCCCAAAATTATTCACCAAACATACATAAACGAGAGTATTCCAGAGGTCTGGCAGGAACCACAAAAGAGCTGCATTGAGTTGCACAAGGACTGGGAATACAAACTTTGGACCGACGCTGCATCACGCGATTTCATCGCTGCAGAGTACCCTTGGTTCCTCGAGACCTTCGACAACTACGAATATCCCATCCAGCGCGCCGACTCAATCCGCTACTTTGTGCTTGCCCACTATGGCGGTATCTACCTCGACCTGGATGATGGCTGCAACCGCCGTCTTGACCCTCTGCTCTCTTACCCAGCTTGGTTGCGTCGCACTCTGCCTACTGGTATCTCCAACGATGCCATGGGCTCGGTTCCTCGTCACCCTTTCTTCCTGCGCGTCATTGACGACCTACCTCGCTACAACCGCAAATGGGTTCTCCCATACATCACCGTCATGGCTTCAACTGGTCCGCTCTTCCTGAGCATCATTTGGCGTCATTGGAGCTCCGAAGGTCTCAACGTCGGCGATGGTCCTGATGGTGGCAGAGTTCGAATCTTGTTCCCCGACGAATACAACTACCACCCCTGGAGTTTCTTCACCCACCACCTTGGTAACTCGTGGCACAGTAGCGATGTCAAGCTCATCTTCTGGGTATGTTGAACCTATATCTCACGCTGTTTATTGAATCACTTGCTGACATTTTTTTACAGANTGCTGAAACACTGGGTGATGCTCACCGTCATCGGCTTCTTGACAGCAGGTGTCGTCTTCGCCATTTCTTACTACCTTTACAACCGCTTCTTCGTGTCCCACAGACCTTGGGGCATGTCGGTACGCAAGCGCTTCCCCATGGGCCTGTTCAGACGCCTCAGCAGCGGCAACGTAACATCGAAGCGACGACAATCCTACGAGCTCGTCCGACGTGACGAAGAAGACGCAATGTAAATCAATGCTTCTCATGCCGCTAGCAGCATAGTCGCATATCCTCATTCTTCAGCATTGTTCACATTACCATCATCAGCATCATCATGACTACTTCATGTACTAGAAGAAGCTCCATATTGGATTTAGCGACGGAGTTTGCATAAAGGGGGACATACCTTTTGGAGTTTTGATGATCCTTACTCTTGACGTGCCTACAAAGGCATTTCGGGGCTTACGAATACATTTTAATGTTCAAACTGCATATTTGTTTGCAAAATAACGGTTTCCTTCTTGATATCTGTCACACGCTGTATTTGAACCACTGTTCGTGTTGCAATGTGTAAGTAGGGGTCCAAGGAAACATGAGCCACTCACCACCTCCCCGTTCGCGAAAATTTGTAACGCGTGTGGCTATAAAAATGCACAATTCTATCTAGAAATAAGGACATGGCCAAAGAGAGCTGATGAGAGATCGCTTCTCAGTGGAGACCATCCTATTTTCTGACAGTATTCTGCATTTTTGCAGCGTGTACTTTACTCTCTGCTACGGTCGAAGTACAGTAGAAGTTAAATCCTTTGGCACTCGGCGAGTCGGCAAAAATCCAGTGTGAGGCTAACTCATGTCTGCTTGGAGGCTGAAACCACTTGGAGTATGCCTTGAAAATATAGGTATGGTCGTCGTTTTTAGTGACTATGGATTTGTCTCTGCCCATCTCACCCATCTCCTGACGACCTCGTCAACGGCAGCCACGCCTTCTGCGGTTGCCTCAATCTCGAACCATTCCTTGTGCTCGCGACCACAAGCCTTGCAATCACGTTTTATCCTCTTGTCTCCCAACTCCAGATGGACTAATCTCTCTACGCGGTGTGCGTGAGGCACTTTGTGAACTTGGTTCGAGGTATTGGCCGATGTTCCTCGTGAAGGAGAAGTTGATGGAGAGGCTGAAGAAGAGACATAAGGATAAAAGCGAACGAGACTGAGGTTGTAACCGCATTGTCTGTTCCATTCGTTCATGCGGCGATGGACATTGTTCGCCCTGCCGATTTTCAATTTTATGGTTTTGGTGGTGCCTTTGCTTGCGGTGTAGGCGCTCATTACATCGCTGGGCCGTCTTTGCCCTCGTGAAGATGAGATTGGGGTGGAGAGTAGAGATGCTGCGGTATCGTTGGAGGGTGTAGAAGATGTCTCGGTTAACCAGAAGATATAGATGTATCCAGCTTCATCGTGAGGAGATATTGGTTTGGAGAGTTCGGTGAGTAGGACAGAGGCGGTTTGGGGTGGGAGATGGCCAGGGATAAAGGGGAGGAGTTCTGTGGTGCTGGTGGGTGCGGATGCTGCTCTGCGTTTGTTTATGGCTGTGGCAGGGACATCTAGCAGTGGTTTGCGTGGTGGTAGGCCAGTTGTTGATGCTGCGTGTGGTAGAGGGGCTGCTTGTTGAGGACGGCCAGTATTGTGCTTGTAGGGCGTAGGTCGAGTATGCGTAGGTGGAGGATATGCTGGTGATAAGGAATTGGCGATTTGAGTTGTCTCTGGTCGCGGTGCCTGGTAACTGGGTCGTCCGGTGTCTTCATCATCGTCTGCTGCACCCATGCAACACAGTGATGCCCAGAATCCTTGCTTTGGTTTGGGTCTTGAATGAGTTTGTGGTCTTGCCGATGGCCGCTCGTCCGGTCTCGAGTATTGTTGATGATATTGTGCCGGTCGTCTGCGGTCCTCACGGGGATTCTTTGCAGGCTTCGGCGGATCCTGAATAGATGCAACTCCCAACCTGGCGACAAGACTATCAATACTCGTCCTTTCTTGAACTGGTAACAACTTTGCATTCGCAGCATGCGGCGAGGTTGAATGTTTCTGAGCAAATGATTGGGCTTGATCTTTGTGCTGCCAACAGTAAAAAGCGGCGGCATCCAGATTTCCATCATCGTCTTGAAGGACGGCAACGACGCCTCTCGAGGCAGTGTGACGGGCAGCAGTCGGCGACGACTTAGGTGAAGACTTGGGCGAGGAAGCAAGTGACCTTCTACATGGCTTTCCACCAGATGTTATGCCACGACATGTCGTTGCCGGGTTCTTCGAGTCTGATCTCTGGACGAGTGACTCGGGCGTGCGGTCCTGGAAAGACATCGTGGATAGAGCACAACAATCACAGTGTGTATGAATAAAATCAGAAACAAAGATCGAGTCTGATATACAAAACCTACATTGATCGCCTAGTACTCGAACGGAGTGGCTGACTTATTTTAGGAGCGACTTCACAGACCTACCTGACGTTTTTGACGTGGCTGGGAAGTGGCTGCGCAAGCATGAAGCAATTTCAACGTGCACAAATGCAAGATGCTTTGGCCAGTGAGGTATGGAGGCCTAAAGTCGTTAATTACCTGATTTTGATGATTACACACTGGTGCAACTGCTCGTAGTGAAGCAAGCGCCGAGAGTCATGTCGGGTAGCAAGGCAGAGCCTGAGCGATTGCAAAGTCTTGGAAGTCGTCGCAGGCGGCGACTCGGAGAACGTCTGTTGTTGAGCCCGCAGCAGCCAATCATTGATGACGCCTGAAGATTTTGCAAACTGAAGGAGCAGCCGCCACTGCTCTTGCCAGATACAAGTAGAGAAGCATCTGAACATAGGAAGTAAATCATTCCTATCATTTGCTTCGACATTGTCGAAAATAATTTATCCTATATTGTTTTGTGGTTGTCGTGGTCATCATCAATCAACAAAGGACTGCACCGCTGGCTGACGTAGAATCTTCCCCACCAAATCGGCACCAAAATCCCAGCTTCAACCAGACTTTTTTCCTCTCCCTCTCCATCACCCACCCCTCTCTTTGAAACCCATACTCAGCAGCATCCAACATGGTTTCTGCATCCAAAGCCGCCCGTGACGCAAAGCGCGCCGAAGCCGGCAAGGCTCCCAAGAAGACTCTCGCCCAGAAGAAGGCCGAGAAGTCGGGCACCAGCACCNCTCTGATTGATGCTGACGGCCAGGAGCTCGACGCCGACGGCGTCAAGACCATGGAGAGAATCAAGAAGCTCGAGCTGCAGGAAGACGACGACGGTATCTCGGACAGAGTCACAACCGGTGTCCTTGCATCGCAGGAGGCCAGCAGAGACGTCAAGATCACCTCGGCCTCGCTCGTCTTCCACGGAAAGGTTCTGTTCAACGACACCACCCTCGAAGTCAACTACGGCCGTCGCTACGGTCTGTTGGGTGAGAACGGTTGCGGAAAGTCGACCCTGCTCAAGGCCATCAACGCCCGCGAATTCCCCTTCCCTGACCACATCGACATCTACCTTCTCAACGAGGGTGCTCCCCTGACCGACCTTGGTGCCCTCGAGTGGGTCGTCAGACAGGCCGAAGAGGAGCTCGCCCGTCTTGAGAAGTTGGTTGAGACCATTCTTGAGGAGAACGGCCCCGAGGACCCCAGACTTGAGGAGATTTACGAGGTATGAAGCAGCCATTTCCACAAAACGCAGCACACAGATTAACACAACGCAGNNCGCATGGACGGCATGGACCCCTCGACTTTCCAGACCCGTGCATCCCTCATCTTGACTGGTCTCGGCTTCAACAAGAAGACGATCCACAAGAAGACCAGAGACATGTCTGGTGGTTGGCGTATGCGTGTCGCCTTGGCCAAGGCTCTCTTCGTCAAGCCCTCGCTCCTTTTGCTCGACGACCCCACTGCCCATTTGGATCTCGAGGCCTGTGTGTGGCTTGAGGAGTACATGAAGAAGTGGGACCGCACCCTCATCCTCGTCTCTCACTCGATGGATTTCCTCAACGGTGTCTGCACAACCATGATCGACATGCGTATGAAGCAGCTCATGTACTACGGTGGTAACTACGACTCGTACGCCAAGACCAGAACCGAGCAGGAGATCAACCAGATGAAGGCATACGAGAAGCAGCAGGACGAAATCAAGCACATCAAGAAGTTCATCGCTTCCGCCGGTACTTACGCCAACTTGGTGCGTCAGGCCAAGTCGCGCCAGAAGATTCTCGACAAGATGGAGGCCGATGGCTTCATCCAGCCCGTCCACCAGGACAGAGTCTTCTCCTTCCGCTTCGCCGATGTCGAGAAGCTCCCTCCCCCAGTTCTGTCGCTCGACGACGTTACCTTCTCCTACTCTGGCAACTCCGAGGACAACCTGTACGAGAACCTCGACTTCGGTGTCGACATGGACTCGCGTACTGCTCTCGTGGGCCCCAACGGTGTCGGCAAGTCGACTCTTCTCAACATCTTCACCGGCAAGCTCAGACCTACCTCCGGTGTTGTCTCCCGTCACACCCACTTGAAGCTCGGTGTCTACTCGCAACACTCCGCTGAGCAGCTTATCCTGACCAAGTCATCCCTCGACTTCGTCCGCGACAAGTTCCCTCACGTCTCTCAGGACCCCCAGTACTGGAGACAGCAGCTCGGCAAGTACGGTCTCACTGGTGAGGCCCAGACCGCCCTTATGGGTACCCTTTCCGAAGGACAGAAGAGCAGAATCGTCTTCGCCCTTTTGGCCATTGAGTCGCCCAACATGATCCTGTTGGACGAGCCTACCAACGGTCTCGATATCCCTACCATCGACTCGCTCGCCGATGCCATCAACGCCTTCTCCGGTGGTGTCGTCGTCGTGTCTCACGACTTCAGGTATGTTTGATCCGGAAAAACGCTACAGATGAATACATGACTAACGTTGTTACNNAGACTTCTCGACAAGATTGCCAAGGACATCATGGTCTGCGAGCACAAGACCGTCAGACGATGGGAGGGCAGCATCGGCGAGTACAAGAACTACTTGCGCAAGAAGATGTTGGCCAGCAACTCTGTCTAAGGGTCTCACGACAATTTTCTCTACGATCAAGAACAAAAAAGATACCCGACCCGGTGTTGGTTTACCTCGTCACGAATGTTTTGATGCCGAAGAATGGGGAAAAGAGTGATGAGGGTTCGGAAAAGGATAAACATGGACGTTTAATAGAGTCCGCTGTTGACCTTTTCTCCTCAGCCGGAAAAAGCATAGAAGATTGTTTTTCATTACTACATCTCGTCAGGGCTTTCCTAGCGGACATTTCTTTCAGGCGTGGATCTAGTTTTGTTAGAAAGACAATGGATGGCGTTTGTTTCTTTTCAATGATTCTTAAGTATTTCACAGCCTATTCTCTACTGCCTAATTTTCCAGACCCAGAGTGTTATTTCTCTCGTGTCCGTAACATCTTTCTTCTCTTCCGTCGTATACATCGTGATATAAGGCTAGGGAGCCGGTTGATTGACTCAGACTATCGTTTTGTGTCAGAGTTCATGAGCGTGAGAGCTTTAGGAAGAGAGTATAGTACCCTCCTGACGGCTCTTCAGGTACTCCTTTCTGAAGCTGTTCTCGTCGGTCTCGGCACCACGCTGCAGCGGCGTCCACTTGGGCTCGTCCTTGAAAAGTCTCATGGCCTTGGTGTANCTGCGCAACTAGAGTCAGCATGTTCTCGTCCCCTCCGCCTTGTCTCCCTCTCCCAAACTCACGTTCTTGTCATCAGTAGTGAAACGATGGTAAATCCCAGCCGGCATAATCGCCAAATCACCCTTCTCCAACCTCAAACGAATCCAATCGTCACCCTCACTCCTGACATCAAAGTAACCCGCACCATCAAGGATATATCTAATCTCTTCATCCTCATGCAAGTGCTCGTGGAAGAAGATCTTTACTTTTTCTTCATAGTTTGGCAGAGTGGTGGGAGAGATGGTGACTTCATCGCGGTTCTTGTAGTTGCGGGAGGAAGCGAGGTCGTTTACTGAGTCTAGAGAAGGGAAGTTGTGGCAGATGATGCCGAGTTTGGAGAGGTCGGTGGGGGTGACGGGGCGGCCGCTGTCGTGGGGGAGGCGTTGGTCGCCNCTGTGTCGAGGGTTGTTAGGAGGTTTGTCTGAGGAGGAAGGAAGAGAAGGGCTTACCTCGATGTTGTCGTACCAGTATGCCTTCATGGTTGCTGTTGTTGTGGTGGTTGGATTGAGATGTTTGATGGAAGTAATGGTGGTGGGGTTGATTGGAAATTCGAGGTCGGCATGGTCAGCGAAAGCACGTCATTTTCTTGCCGTCCTCCACCTCGGTGGACAATTTCATCAGGGTTGGTCACCGTCAACCAATCTATGTTATCTCAAAATGCAATGAATCGCTACATGACATCGAAGTGCGTATGCCATGCTGGATTGATTTAAGATGCCAAGGAAATATATGCCTGTACGGCATGGAGAAGGAGCGAACGGCAGTGGCTTGATCTCAATTACGGTCTCGTTTATGCGAATCAATTATCGACCTCTCGGACATAGAGTAAGGCCATTAGCATTTCTTCGTCACCTTCCATGCGCCAATCCCTCTCCTTCCAACCATGCGCTTCAGAGTCGGCCAAACACCATCGTCCCCAAAGTCCATATCATCAAGATTGAGGTGGTTTCTGTAACGCCAAACCTCCTCGAGGGCGATCTCTGAAGCTGCTGAAGATGTGCCGTTCTGAGTGATGTACGCATTAAGGAATGTCGCACTGAGCGGTGCCAGCAAGAGTGTAGTGGATTTGGCATCGCAATCAACCTTGGACTTCAACTCTTCTAAGAGCTTGTCGCCACGCATGCCCATAAGGTCTCTGGTGACCAAGCCTTGATGGTTTTCACCAAGAAGATAGGTTGGTGGACTGTACGTCTTCCACCACAAAGCTTGCTGTATCCCTTGTTGTTTGCCAACCCAGAGCTGTGCTGGCACAACGCCACCTTGATGGAAAACGCCCATCAATAGACCCAGACAAACATTGAAGATTATCCAAACAGTGATCCAGACGCTACGCATACGGTGTGGTATTCTGATGCTGGATAAGATTAGAGGGACTGCTGGCAATAAGAAACGTGCTTCTTGATGTTTGAGACACGACAGAGCCAAGATGCCGAAACCTGCAGAGTACATCGGCATTCCCATTCGGCACGAAAAGAAGATCAGAGGAAGTGCAGGTCCAAGCAATTGGGGCAGGTTGGCTACTACATGCTGATAGTATGGGTGAAGACCGTGTTTGGCAAGATTGCTGCTGTCCAGGTTGTAAAGCAAGTTATTGAGAGGTGTGATGATGGCGACTTCTCGTAGTTGTGACAAGTGTACTCGTTGTTGGAGGAACCACTCAGTGTCGGTAACAATAGCAAACAGTAATGTTGCTGCAGCTGTTACGATCATGACCAGGAGCGAAATAGGCCTNGTTTTATGGATTAGTATTATACACATGAAGCATGACCATGGAAGGGTTTACCTGTGGCGAAAATGTGGAATCAGCTGCAGAAGGGGTATCAAGACAAATGGCGGGAATGTGATGCGATTGAAAGTGCCTAGGACACACAAGAAGGCAAGGAGAGCAGAAGGCAGAACACGGGTATGCGACTACACTGAGGTCAATACGGCTCCGATTATAGTATTGGCTGCTGGACATACTTTGTCCTCCTTGATGCGATTGATCAAAACCAAGCACCACAGTACTATCAAGGTTTCAACTGAATTCGAGAAGGTATGGTTTTGAAAGGTCCATGAAACATATGATGAAGCGACCAGCATTTGGGCCATACGACGTTCCTTAGGGGTATGGATGAGTTCGTCAAGAGCCCAGTCTTCAAACACGAAACTCAAGATAAACATCAAGGCACGCAGAGTGTAGTACATAGTCGCAGGTGAGATGGTATGATAACCGATGCCATCGCAGATCCACTTTAGCAGATTCAAGGGCAGGCCATAGAAGATCTGGAGAGGGAACACACTGCGGATTGGGCTATCCGAAGTAAATTCCCAGGTCAAGTGGGAAGCGAATCCAAAAACGCGACCTGATTACAGAATGAGCAATGCTAGAAAGTTTGAGGTCTACAGGGGCGACATACCTGCGATGACTTCTGGCCCTTGGAAATGCTCGTCCGGGTGAATATAGCTGGGGGACAAAGCCAGGTAGAGGCGCAGGACGACCAGAAAGAGATATGTTCGTCTCCACATGGCTGGAGGCCTACAATTCTCAGACCAAAAGCGAATTACAGGACGAGACGATGTAACTTGCCATCAGCAGCCAGACATGTCATGGGCTCATTTCTGGACCGCCCCTAATTTGGTTTCAGAGTCGTGCACGGTCACGTGAGATCTAATGGGCAGGTACATGAATAGCGAGTATACAGAAAGAGGTTGGGGTGTAAATATTTGGTTGTGTCTTGCCTCAGTCTGTTGTGTTTGCTGTGTCTTCCACGAGATGAGTGAGAATGAAAGTTGATGCGGGATGAAGCTATCGGTTTGGCCACCAGCGGCTACCTACTCACTTGACGCTGGCCATGGTTGAAAAAATATGAGAAGATAACAATCACATCGGCAGGATTTATGAGTAATAGCACACAATTTTGCGGTAGAATACACGCGATTGAGTTAGGCAGACAGCTAGGCAGTGAACATGAGCAACAAACAGCAAGTAAAGACTGGATACGGTCTCACAAACAGAGTGAAGACAGCGTGAGGCAGGCGCAAACTGCGAGAAGGTCTGTGCCGCCAGGCACCACTGCAGTACCAACACCCCGCGAACTGTCTTCGACTCTTCACTCCGCCTCTTGCGACTACTTAACCTTCACCTTCCACCTCCGTTGTCGTCACATCTCCGCGACAACTCTTCTTCAACTTCCAGACACGCAACACCAACGCTTGTCTTCCTCCACATACCACACACAACCAACCATCCCATCCACATTCATCACAACATGGCTTCCACCGATGACCAGAAGATCATCTTGGTCAGCTCTGATGGCGTGAACATCCAGACTGGTATGCGCTCTTACTCTTCCTCCATCTCTACTTACCTTGCTAATCCAACTTGTANNGATCGTATCATCGCCGAGCGCTCCATGCTCATCAAGAACATGATCGAGGATCTTGGTACCCCCGGCGAGGAGCCCATCCCCATCATGAACGTGAGTCTCATCCTCAGCATCGCTCCTTGTCTCGCACTTACTGACTCATCTTGCTCTAGGNTCTCCGAAGCAGTTCTTCGCAAGGTTCTCGAGTGGTGCGACCACCACAAGAAGGACCCTCCCCCGGAGAAGGATGAGGACGCCGAATCCCGCAAGAAGACCACCGACATTGAAGAGTGGGACCAGAAGTTCATGCAGGTCGACCAAGAGATGCTCTTCGAGATCATCCTCGCCGCCAACTACATGGACATCAAGGCCCTCCTTGACGTCGGCTGCAAGACTGTCGCAAACATGATCAAGGGCAAGTCTCCCGAGGAGATCCGCAAGACCTTCAACATCCAGAACGACTTCACCCCCGAGGAGGAGGAGCAGATCCGCCGCGAGAACGAGTGGGCTGAGGACCGCTAAACACCTTTCCAACTCGCCGTTTCACAACAAAGCACCCACACCCGCTTGTCTACCACCAATACCCACCTGCCTTGCTCAGCTCACTTATGGATTGCATGATGTGTTGCTCTGCTCTTCAATGAGTCAGCACACCGGCCTGGCGTTTTCTGGAGTTTCTTTATCGACTTTTCTGATTTCATGCGACACTCGACAAGAGAGAGAAGGAGTAAAGGAGCAATCGGCAGTGGGGTGAATCAAGATGCTGTTTTCCTGCTTTCACTTGACACAAATGATATGGGCCAGTGCATAACTATTACCACCAAAGTCCCGTCTTTTCTATACCTCTCAGAATGAAGCTAGCTCGTCCAAAATACAAGCATCTCTGACCTTTTCTTGTGTTCTTCTTGCTTTCATACTTTATTCACAGTGACTTGCCTGGTAAGTACTCATCAAAGCTTGCATTTCTACCATCTGCGCATGTCGTGTGCCCAATATCAATATTACTCACGCCACAGATACAATCCACCGCCGTACGTTCACCCAAAGCTCCAAGCTGTCGCTAGAATAGCAGACCCTGAAGGAGAAATCTGGACTCCTCTGTTGTTCGTTCAGTGCAAGGGAAATTTTGTAAATGCTTCTGAATCTTCGTATAAAAAGTATTGGAAATATTTATATTCTTGAAAAGAACAGCTTTTACAGGTAATGGGGAGGTGATATCAAAGAGACAAATGTCCAGGTTCCCAATCCGCTCCTCTTTGAAAAAAAATGTTCAACCATACATATGTCGTAGTCCACAATCCACGGCCACCCATCTTCTAAAAGCTCCTCTAACGCCAGACTCGCCAGACATGCATGAGTCTCTTTTGTTCTGCCGCTCTGTCGCAGCTCTGTCGTTCAACATTATTGAGCCGTATATGATTCCCTCACGGTTCTTCTCTTCTGTTCTCTTTACTTGAAGTCGTCATTTTGACTGTTCAAGCGGAGGCAAAGCGGTCCTGCAGTTGAGGAAATATGCTTCTCGTGTCTGATCTATGACTTGAAGCTGTCCTTCATGCTCTGGCTGCTAGCACTTGTGACAGTGGTGGGAAGAGTGGGCTTGTTGCCCTTGCCCTGCCAGACCTTTGCGAGAGCGTAGACGATACCAGAAATGAAACCAACACCAATGGCGCTGACGGAGGCGAAGGTGACGGGAGCGTCAAAGAAGATAAGACCGGAAATGGCAATAGGCAGCTTGTTGAGAGCACCGACCATGGAGTAGGTGGTAGACGAAGTAACGCGAACACACCAGGCAGAGGTGTAGGAGATGAAGACTGAAGAGAGACCGGAGAAGACCATGGCGGTGATGATGGAGTTGCGCTGAGCAACAGGGAAGTTGAGGGCGACGTTGGCGCTCGACCAGTTCTCGAGGAAGAGGGAGCAGATGAGGAGGATGGGGATGGAGAGAAGGTTGTTGTAATACATGNNGCTGAGAGGGTTTAGGTCAGTTTTCCACAAGCCAGCAAAGAAACAAGAGAAAGACGTACTGTCGAAGTCTTTGAAGTTTGTCAACTTGATGCGCTTGCGCATACCGAGGACGTAGGTAGCGCTGCAGAAGCAGTTCAAGGCCATCCAGATGTAACCAGAGTTAAGAGTGGAAATCTTGTCGTTGGCGGCCGAGCCCGAATGGCTGGTGAGAGCGTGTTGAATGTCTGCCCATGCAGCGATGAGAGACGAAAGAACCATGAGACCGAAGGAGAAGAGAGCAGTTCCGGTGACGCTGCCACCGAACCACAGAACCTCACCGTAAGCGATCAGGATAATGGTCAAGTTCTTGAAAATGGTGTAAACGGGGATGGAGAGGTATTGCAGGGCCTTGGTCGAGGTGTAGATCATGCCGATGAGGAGGAGGGAAATAGGGAACCCTNNGTGGAGGTCCGGTGTCAGTATTTGGACTGTCGCAACAAGAGGAGGTCATAACGTACACTTCTTTGCTTCATCGCTGTTGAAGTCTCTGTAGGTGATGATACCGGCGGACTTGCATGACTGGATGGCGACAATGCAGACGACACTCTGCCCAAGGTGTTAGAGGTTTTAGACGAGCGGCATGGTGTACTCGTTGGTGGAGCTTACCTGGACAGCGAGGAGGAAAAAGTTGAGGTTGAAGTCGAGACCGCTCAGAACGTATTTGTTGGTCGTGGTCATGAGAATCGAACTACCACAGTAGGCCAGAATAGCAACAACAGGGCTGTTCAGCTGGGCGGCTTGAGGAGCAGCTGCAGGCGTCCTTGGGGCAGGAGCGGCAGCAAAGGCCCCATTTCCCTTNTGCTCGCCGAGCTCGATTGTGTAGTCTTCGTTCTTCTTGTCGTCGGACATGATTGCGGCGAGAGCGAGGGACGATGTGGTGTGGACAAGAAGACAAGGACGAGTGGAAAAGATGGTGCTGAGTTATTCGTGTCTTCAACGTTCTGGGGCTGCCGCGTTGCTCTCACACTTGACCCTTGCTCCTTGCTGTTTTGAGCCCCTGTCTGCTAAGGGATTATAAAATAAGATTTACGCATCCCACTCCTTCCACCAGCACTCGTGTTCATCCCAAGCCACTCCGCTCAGCTCCAACATCGTCAACGCTGTTCTCCTTTCAAAGCCATCCCATCGGCTATCGTTCGTGTCATCTCTAGGAGCCGTTCCCCATCCGAAGTGCCATGTTTCATCCAGCATAATATGTAAATCGATCCCCAGCCTGAAGCATGCGCGGTGGCTTGGCAATCCCGTAACTCTGTCTGTCGGATCTCTCTGCCGTAAACCCGTGGGCCTGGCCCTAGCCCTATTCTCCAAATCCATCTCATCTGCACAAAACATCTTTCCAACCTGAGCTACTACTCGGACACATAAACACACACTCCACAATGTCTAACGTCGACTCTCGTGTGGCCGCTGTGCTGGATCGCAGCAACCAACATGACAACTCCGACGACGAAGATGCTCTCATCGCCGAGCTGGAAGAAGACGAGTCTTCGCTCGCTGCCTTCCGTGAACAGCGATTGCAGCAGCTGCATGGCGAACTGGCTCGCGCAAAGGCTCAGCGCAACTCTGACTACGGCACTTACACCGAGATTAAGGATGAGAAGCAGCTCATGGACATCACCACGTCAAACAAGTTGTGTGTCGTCCACTTCATGAAGCCTGACTTCAACCGCTGTAGAATCATGGACCAGAAGCTTGCCGTGAGCCTCTCCACTGTATCGTCACTGCGACCTGCAGACTAACTTTTTTCTAGGNCATTGGCCCCCAAACATTTCGATACCCGCTTCCTCAGCATCAACGTCGAAAATGCCCCTTTCCTCGTCGTAAAACTTAAAATTCAGGTCCTGCCCTGCGTCCTCTCCTTTATCGACGGCGTTAGCAGTGACAGAATTGTCGGCTTCGAAGGCATTGGTTACAAGCCCGATTCGTTCACTCTGCAGGAGCTGGAAGCGCGTCTTCTGTATGCAAAGGTTCTGGTCAGAAGCAAAATGGTCGACGAGGATGAGCATCGTTCGGGTGCTGTGCGCTCGGCCAAGGTCACCGAAGAGTATGATGACGACGAATGGGATTGAGCTATGATCGGCATTGTTTTTCTGATATGCTGTACCCCTGCGACTGGGACCACTCACTACGCCGCGAGGCCAGGAAGTGGTCGAATCGACTTACGAAGAACCGCCGTGTTGGTAAAGCGACAGCTCTGCAACCTCGAGACAATGTCGAGTGTATACAAAGCAACCTCGATTACAGCAGATGTTTATTGCATCGGACGGACGAGAGTCGCAAATTTCTGCCGTCTGAGGGGCAAGCACGCTACGATCAAGGGCACGGGTACACTCTCGAGAGCCGCTAAAACCACGACTCACGCGCCTTTGGCATGTTGACCAAAATCTACAGGAAGATGTTCCTCCAAGTGAGTGCATGCAGAGTCCATGAACGATAGCGGTATGCGCACAAGATCTTGCAGCTGGACGAGTAAGCCATCAGTCGCCTCCATAGTACATCGAGGCAATCAAATTGAGAGCATCCTTATCACAATCCACTTGGTCACTGAATCTTTTTGTCCTTCTCCATGCTCTGCCGTAATCTTCTACTCCAAGGGACTCAGAACCGACGAAGAAACACTCTTCGTGACCAAGAAGGCACAATCATGTAGCAGCAAGACACGATCAAGTGAGGCGTACTACGCACAGGAATTGTTGCTTGACGTAGAACTTGTCATGACACATTTCATAATCTCTGGCATCTACATTAAATTTTGTCCAACCCCTACAGAGTCTTCTCAATCATCTCGATGCCGTACTTCTCCTTGAGCTCGAGTCTCAAAGGCTCGACGATCTCGGGGCTCATGGGAGCAAGGACACCCTTCTGGGTGATCTTGCCATCGAGGACCTGGAGAACGGCGACAGCACAGGGGACACCGACCAACTTGGCCATGGCACTGTAACCCTTAGGGTCACCGTACTCAACCAGGGTGGAAGTGCGCGTCTCCTTCATACCGTTGGCGTGAGTGATGCCGAAACGGTGCTGAAGCATGACCATATCGCGCTCGCCCTCCTCGTATTGCATCTTCTTCTCAAGAGTGGCGCAGAGGGTGTCGAGGGGGTTGTTGCGGGGCTCAACCTTCTCGTCTGAGAAGAGTCCAATCCACTTCAGTCCGTTGATGATGCGCTCCTTCTGGTCGTTGTCGGCAAAGCTGGTTTTTGAGCTGATGGCCCAGACGAGGTCTTCCTCGTTGTGGCTGGTGCTGCCCAGAATTTGGGCGGTAGCCTCTCTCCAAGTAAGGGCAGGGGCTTCGGGGTGGGGCTTGAGGAACTCCTTCTCAGCGTCTTCCAGGAAGCCCATGTCGACCAAAGTCTTGATGAACTCGGGGAAGCCCTGGTAGCGCAGAGTACCACGGATGATGGTCTCAGCCTCAGGAATAGCATAGCGTTCTCTGTAAGGGGTTGAGTCACGGTTGGGGTATGCGACAAAAGCGTAACCAGGGTAGATGTAGTATGGCTTAGCAGTGGCCATGAGCTCAGGGCCAGCAACGTCAACGACTTTGTCATCCTGGAAGTAGCTGGCCTGGTTGCGGAGAGCGAGCAGGACACCACGGCTGCTCCATGAGAACTTGTAGCCAAGAGGGTTGTCACTGCACTCGGGAGCGGGCAGACCACCGCAGTAGCTGAGGAAGCTAGTGATCTTGCCACCAGCCTTGTGAACCTCGTCGATGGTCTTGACGGCGTAGAGGTGGTCGATACCGGGGTCGAGACCAATCTCGTTCATGACGGTGATGCCGGCCTCCTTGGCAGCGGCATCGAGCTCGAGCATGGCAGGAGAGACCTGGACAAGTTAGAGGTTGTCCAAACACTACAAGAAATTGTGACTCACATATGACGTGGTAACAACGTTCTTCTTCTGGTTGATAGCAGCCTTGATGACTTGAGCGTGGTAGGTGTAGGGAATCAAGCTGATGACAACAGAGTTCTTGCCAACCTCGTGCTCGAGGGCGGCCGAGTCGTTGACATCGAGGGAGATGGGGTAGCAGTTCTTGAGGCCCTCGCAGAGCTTCTTGGCTGAGTCGAGGGTGCGGCAGGCTNNGAAATGACATGTCAGATGGCTGCTGCAGACAATTGAGCAGAGAAGAAGTGTCTAGATACCAACAGTGACCGAGATGTCGGCGTCGCTCAAGATCTCAGCAGTAGGGCGGGTAACGAAACCAGCTCCAAGAAGGAGAACCTTCCTGATCAACAGTCAGCATGTGTCCACTCTGGGTGAGGCTGGGGCTTGTAGCTTCTTACTTGGAGCTTCCGAGAGACGGGAGCATGGCATCCATGATGAATGTGTGACTTGGGATATGTCAATTGAGGAGTATACAGAAAGATCAGAAAGTTTAGAAGACACGGCCTGCGTAGTGACTGATTGCAGCGGTTAGGGACGGTCGAAAAGTGGTAACCTCCGATACTCGGCCAATGACGAAAGCTGGCACATTGGGAAGGTGGGGGCCGACGTACAAGCCGAAGCTTTTCCGTGGTATCCACACGCGCGCTTTCCTTTCTTGACAGCTTTCTTTCCACCTCCTTCTTCCTTCCTTTGTTTACCTGGTGCTGTCGCAACCGTCTACATCAACATCGTCGTCGCAATGTCGTCGCCTTCGCTTGCAGACGCGTTCTGGGCAGCACCGCCAATTGCTAGGTAAACATGCGCCCTCGATTCTGTTGACGCGTTCAATTGCTGACTCTTTACACAGAACCTTGACTGCTGCCACGATTGTCCTGTCTATCAACTTTTGGCTCCTGCCAATCATCAACCGCAGCTACTTCATCTTCTTCCCTCGAGAGATCTTCAAGCTATGGGTACCTCAAGTCTGGCGTCTAGTGACAGCCTTTCTCATTACCAGCCCCAAGCTGGGTTTGATTCTGGATCCATACTTCCTTTTCACATACTGCAAGGCCTTGGAGGTTGACTCGGGCCGCTTCTCGCAACCAGGCGATCTGTTCGTTGCTCTGGTCTTCATCTGTAGTGTCATCTTGGTAAGAAGCGTCTTTTTCTCGCTGTCATTTCTTTTTATCCTTCACCCATACACATTATACCCCTCCCATATCTGCCCGCCCAGCCAAAAACATAGCTGAAGCGGTTCCTGGAGGGAGGGCAAATTACCGTTGTACTGTGTCATGATCCGTCATTCGCAAAATCCTTTAGGGTCATGATGGAGTATGGCCGTGGTGGGATTGCCACATTGAGAAAGCTGCTCGACGTTTCCTTGGTCGAATCAGTGGTTTTGGCACCCTACATCTCTTCACTCGACACTCATCTCGTACTGTCTTGTTCAACGTGCCACTATTGCAGTACTGATGACTACTCAAAGCTCCTCACAGGCTTCATCTTCGGCGGAGGCTTGCTCTTGAGTCCACTCGTTCTTGCTCTCGCCTATCTGCATGTGCAAGATGCACCTGATGCCATGATGACTTTCTTCTTCTTCAGCATCCGCCGCAAGTATCTGCCTGCTTGTATGTTGTTGGTTACCTTCCTCATGGGAGGTCCTGAAGCAGCCCTCATGGAGGCTTTTGGTCTTGTTGCTGCCCATCTCTATGACTTCTTGACCAGAATTTGGCCGTCGTATGGTGGTGGCACCAACCCAATCAGCACACCGAGAATGGTGCAGCAATGGTTCACTAAGCCTGTTGGTTCAGGCACCACTCGCTCCTACGGTACCGCCTTCCAGACTCGCTCCGCCGGCTCTGTCGGCGCTCAGCCTCAGACCAATAGTTCACGTAGTAGTGGCTGGACAAGCGGCTTTACCTCCGGTTCTTGGGGAGCCCGTGGACCAGGCAGAAGACTCGGTGGTGATTAAGCATAGGCAGTACGCAAACAGAACACAATCGAAGCATCTCTCTTTTCCTTGCATAATATCTTCACCTGGAGTATGAATGTAACCCAGGTGACTGCATCTGCTGGCTCAACTGTCTGCAACTTGTGGCGGGCGCCGATATTCGCGGATCCAGACTGCCCCGTTACGCAGGCTATTGTACATCTCCACCATCACTGAGTGGTACCTTACTCTCATCCAGCCCACATCCCATAACTGCACGCCTTCGATGGGCTCATTTGGCTCGTTGGATGAAGGATCGAGCTCATCCCATTCATCCCAGTTGTCAGAATCCAATTTCCAACCTTTGTCAATCAGGTTGACAAACCCTTCGGTAGAATTATGGCGTCCTTCGGCTGGAGAATCTTGCAATACTGAATGGACCGATATGGAATCCACATGGATGCAGTACTTATAGCGCGGCGACCTCCCAGCCCCACGCCCTTGCTCACGCAGCGGCGCATCCATCACCCAACGCTTGAAATGCTCGCGGACGGTAGATGTGCTTGCACTTTCGAACACATCCCTGTCCTCGATAACAGTGAAAATGAGTTTGGCATCCATGAGATATCTCCTTTGGAAGTATTCCAGCGCCTCTTCGGTGCGCATTCTGAAGCGTCGCATGAATTCGGCCCAGTCCGCGTCACTCGTGTAAGTGCAACGGTATATGACAAAGCCCCAGGTCTGGTGTTCGTCTTGTTGGAGGGATTTCTCAATATTGAGGACGATGTTGAAGCGATCGGGCATGGGTAGTCTGCCATTGTTGGCAATTAGTGTTTCTCTGAGCCGCGTTTCGAATTCTGACACTGAGATCGACATCGTGTTTTTCGAGGTGGAAGTGAGCGAAAGCAAGCTTTTGAGATGGATGGTGACTATAATGTCTTAAGAGAAGATTCTCACGTGGCTACTTGCTTGTTGTTGGCTAGTGCGTACTGGTATACATTGCTCAGGTGGTGAAACACGCAATGTTTTTAGCCTACTGTGTTTGAGACTTTGCTAGTTCTATTTATAAGTCATGAACGTGATGTTGAGATTTAAAAGTAATAGAGAGCTTGGATCCTTTAAGAGTAGCTACTAGAAGGCAGTAAAAAGTTAGACTATGAGATAGTCTTTCCTATAAGGTAGGTAGAGGCAAAAGAAATCGCAAAACATACAGCAGCAGGGATTCCCACGTGGTCACCCACCGTAGTACTAATCTGCCGTTCAACTGCTTATGTATGGCAGAGCGGACGGGATGCCCAGTTTTCAGCTGACTGTGGCCGTATGTGCTTGAACCACAATCTTTTGTCAACATATACAACATCTTAATCGATCAGATGGCAGGTAGCATATGTCTCGCGTCGAGTCGCCTCTTGGGATGACTCCAGACTAGGTCCACTATCACGAGAGGCCTCTGCGCAGTGCCAGGGCTAGTAAGTGGGAAAACAATTTCTTGATTGTTCACTTTCATATATTCCCTGAAAACCACGTACGACTCTTGGTGTCTGATAAACGGCTTCAGCACCAAAGCCTGGTATACAGCACGATTGGCCATAACCCACGCTAGTGCGACCTATGTCCATATCAGTTCAGTTTATGAGTAGAGCAACCACTACAGATCTGCACAGCAACCAGCAATAGCCTCGAGCTGTTCGATATCGAGTCTTTTCATTGCTGGATTTCTTCGTACTTGATGTTGATAGGACGACCCTGACCATTCAGAGCATAACTTGCACAATCCGAGGATTGGTGACAAGTACATAATGCATCACAGACGAGCAGAGAATAAGTCTGGCCTTTAGTTCATATGCTTAGGGGCAGGGTATGATGGCGATGTGGTGATGGTCCCGATAACGATGATGCTGTCTACAGTACCATGATCTCCCACAATGCCACCTTGAGGCTTGACATGACGGAATCACAAAGCTCCATCACTCAGTCCTCTTGACCTTGTTAGGCAATCCGTACCAACAGCCCACCATGATGACAAACAAGCCTATACAAATCGGATGCAAGACAAATGTACCAACAGCCTGCGCCAGTAATCCCGTCAGGAAAGGCGCGACCGCACCACCACTGCTGCCAGCACTGGACACAAAACTCAGCGCTGTCATCTGTACGTCCCTATCCATCAAACGTGTGAAGATGGTCGTGGCACACGGGTACACTGGTCCCAGTAGCAAGCCCAAAAGCGACACAGCAACGGCCTCGCCTACAATGTTAGGGATGAGCCAGACCAAGAGCTGGAAGGCGATGGACAGGACAGTGAGAATATAAACGAAGCGCTTCTCACCGATGCGTGGAGCAAGATGAGACAGCACAAATCTGCCCAAGGTGATGCCGCCCCAGAAGCCTGCAGTGACATAACCGACTTTCTTGGGATCACCACCGCGAGCTTCGATCAGGAACGAGATGACCCAACCGGATGTGCTGACTTCTGATCCTTGGTAGGAAAATATGAAGAGTGCGGCAAACACTGTGACCTTGCTATTGAGAGCCCGCTTCATCAGCTGCAGCTTGGTTGGCTGTATCTCACCAGCACGGAGCGGTATGCGATTGCCCATCTTCAAGCTCGAGGGTTCCTTTTCGTAGTTGTGGAAAGCCCAGCCGGTGAAGAAAAAGCAGATGACACGGAGCGCAAGTGTGATTGTGTAGAACCGCGACCATAAGACTCCTTTCGACACAAGCGCGGTGGCTACAATAGGACCGACTACTCCTCCAAGGCCATAGCTGCCATGCGAGGCTCCAAGAATGACAGTAGAGTTCGCAAGGTTGGCGCAAAAGACGTTGTTCAACGCAAGATTCAGAGCTGCACCCAACCCTAGAAGAAGAAAGNNCTTGAAGAAGTCAGTCTCTTATCTTGATTATATTGTGCAGTTTGACAATATAACGTACGCGATGACTACCACTGGGAAAGGAGGTGTGCAAACCATGATCACGTATCCGACGATCAGCAAAGCCTCAGAAAGCATGCACGCTTTCGCTCGACCAAGCTTCTCCAATGTAAGATCTGTGAAGAAGGCAGCAGTGATGAAACCAATAGCATTCGTGATGAAGATCAACGACACGATCGCATAGCCGATATGGTATTGTTTCTCCATATAAGGGATCAAAGCGCCGGCAGCTGAACCCCATGTCAGTATAGATACTCGAATGCTTCGGAATGGTCTCAGCGTTTTGGCCAACCCACAAGCATCATTCAAGCCATTGCCAAAGTAGACAGTGCAAGCCGCGAGAACACGGTATTTGTTCATGGAAGGAAAGCTCCAGCTTGGTACCACCTCAGCAGCTTGACTAGGTGAAGGCGGCCGACTCATCTCGAGGTCGCTAGGTGTCTTGATTGTCGTGGTTGGCACTTTGCCAGACGCTTGGGCCGCAGCAGCTGTGGTGCCATTCGAAAACTGTGATTGCTGGTTTTGGACCAGCTGGATATAATCCTGTAGTTCTACGGCTGATTGACGTTCTGCTGGTTCCTTTCTTTCGCAGCAGGTGGGGATGTCAAATTGGGGGAGCTGCTTAGCTCCAGAGCAGCTCCAAATGTGTACGCTGACATGATGGTAAGTAGTGAACAGCAAGCTGCCTCAAAAGGAAGAGCTTTCGTGAGTCTTTTCAAGTCCTACTAGATATCACATGCAAAGGGAAGAAGCAACAAAAGAGCTTACAAATCTGTTCGTTAGGGCAACTACGACCCTGATAGATACAAAGTTCATCTTCTTTGAGCTTACTCGAAGTAGCAAGGAAAGTAACGTTGAAATCTGGAGGCCATTGCCCGATCACTTACAAGCACCTACTTCATGACCATAGACATGTACACGGTAACGTCCGCGATTGTGGTTGGTGAGATAAAGCAAGATGTCGTTGAGTCACTGTATATGCTTCGGAGCCGCTGCCCCAATGAAGCCCCGCACCGACACCTCTGGAAAGCTGTTTCCGTGAACAGAATTGGGAAGGTACAGCGAGTGTCGTCAAAGCAGGCAACGCACATATGACTGGAGGGCCTGTGGTCTTGCTCCCCAATTTGCAACGCAAGCTTGGATGCTGTTCATCTTTACCATGACCTCAACCCAAACTCCTGATTGGCACCACAACAACGATGCATACTTCGCAAGTGCCACTGTGGTAAACTGCTCCAACACCTTTGTCCGACCCCGAGGCACCGGACCGCCACCGCGAGGTATTGAATGTCAAACCGAATTTAACTTGTCTCGACTTGAATTCTCCGAGCAGACCTTGGATAATGCGGTAGCTACCATGGGCATCTTCGGCAGGCACTTATCTACACCTTCAGTACTACTTGCTCGAGCTGACTTGAAATGCACCAACTAGAATCGGAGCTGATCGACAGGACAGGGAATCCCAACTTCTCTTACGTATGGCTGAGCAATGCCACAGCTATAAGTCCAGTAACTAATGCTTCGATTTGGAATGCTGCCACTTCTCATATCACTCTGGTGCGTGATGCACCTAGGGATGTGACTCGAAAGGGCAAACTTGTCCAAGGCCCTCGTGGTACTCACCTAACCCTTCGGGTGACCGGCAATGTGCAAGCCACACATTCGGATATCCATGTGGACTTGCCCGCAAACAGCGCAGATATGGCAAAACATTATCTCGTGATCCAGCCTACCAGTAAAGTGGACATTACTGCAGCCAACAGGGAATGGTCTAATCTGACCAATGTTCTCAAGCAAGGCTATGAAGCTGAGTATGTTTTCCGTATAAGAAGTTTTCCAAGCCAGGTTGTTGACGCATTATTTCAAAAGCTTCAAGCGAGAGCCATGGCAGAGCTTCCTTACCAAACTGCAAAAAGATGTGCGCGATGTTCTGGTTGCCTACACCAAACTGCTGCAGAGTTTGGAGGAGACTGGAAAGATGCTAAACTGAGAACATTATCGGACGGGACAGAAGCTTTTCTTGCATTGAAGTCATGGTCTGATGATCAAAGAGAACAATGTAAAGCATTGAATACGTAAAAGCTCATCAAGCCGCGTGTACAAGCAAGAAAAGCGAGCCAAATGGTTCGCTGACCACAATAGAGAAGAAGATCTATATGTTACATGTTACTCGGTTTGCAAAGGACAAAATAATGACCATGTCCAGCATGACGAAATAATACAACACCAGACTCAAAAAGCGTTGAAAAAGCTGATGCAAAGAGAAGGACACCAAGATGGACCTCAAGCATCTCCATACATCCACTTGGAAATACTTTGTCGGAGAACAGATGGTTCAGGCGTAGACATTGCACTCCTGGCAAAGCTGAATAGTCCGCCAGAAGAAGCATTGTTGGATGTGTACTTGTCTGAAGCCACAGCACTGACAAGACCCTCAAGCGCATCTTCAATAATCTTCTTGCTCTCGTATTGCAGCTCGGTTAGACCTGAACCGCTAATGGAATTGGAACGACTGGGTGCGCGGCTGTGCACAGAATTGGCTCGAGAGTGAATGCGTGAACGCGTTTCGCTGGTTGCGAGCATTTGTTGCAAGAGAGTAACCACTGCAGGGTCAGGCTTACTGATCGTCTCTTCCTCAAACTTCTCCGCAAGAGTCTGGCATTCTACGACTGCTGCTGCTTTGTCGCGTCGCTTCTCAACGAAACTGGTCGGCAAGTCATTCACGCCAGGTTCATCAGGCTTGTTGGTAGAGACTTCCTTCCAGCCACTGATCTTGCCCTCCTTATTGTGGATGGGCACTCTCTTTGTCGCGGTCACCATGGCCGATGCTTCTTTAGCAGGGAAGCTGTTGGTCTTGCGGTGATCAATAAATGCAGACAGATCATCCTCAATAACAATGGTGGTGCTTGGACGGTGATCGAGGAGCGCAGACTGATCCTTGACCATCATAGGTGAGTCGACTCGACCTCCGTTAGTGCGCGAGGATGGAGAACTGGACGAATTGGCCTCTGCTTCGGCGTTTTTGGACAGGATGTTCCCAAGAGCGTCAATCGAATGACGTCCTGCAACATGATTGTTGAGTTCACCCTCTCCTCCATTGGGAAGATCAGTCTTGACAATCCTTTTGTCGCGGAAGCCAGTCTTCTGACCGTTGTCGTTGCGTTTGTATGTGCGTGAGATCGAATCCATATCGTCTGACTTGATGACCTTAATCTGACTGTCCTGATCAGATCCACTGCCATTCGATGAGCAGGTTGACTGCTTTCGTCCGTTTGCAGTAGAGACATGCCTCGGCAGGTTAGGCGAATCATCAGGCACGATCAACTTATACCGAACGCGTCTACGAAGAGTTAATCTCTTGACCGTCATAGCGTCAGCATCCATTATAACAGTAGAGCAGACATCGATCCATGTCTCTTGACTAAACACTCTGAGATTCTCTGACGGCTCAACCATGGGCGATGGCTCAGCCCGCATCGCGCACTTGATCTCACTAACAAGCTCGGCATAAGGTCTGGTGGCCTGCAAAGCAAAATCTGGATGAAACTTTCCAAGATATCCAGCGATTCTGTCGTAGCGGGCGAAACCTTGAGAGTCATGGGTTTTCTTCTCCTCGCTGTTTTCATGTGCGGCAGCTTTATGAAGAGGGAAGCGGCCCCTGTCACCTGGTACTTTGAATCTTGACACTTTAGGTGAAAGACTACGGCTAGCACTGAGGGCAGATGTGCATCCTGGGAAGTCGACATCAACGATGCCCTCGTCCTGATTGTAGGTATAGGCAATACCGGCATAGTCGGAGGCTGGTGGGTCGAACTGCAAAGCAGAGGTCTTGTGAGCCATGGTGATTGGTGATACATGGGATGAATTCTTCTTTCTTCTCGAGGTCTGTTGACTATTGGGCTGGTCGAGTTCCTCTGTACCGTGTAGTTCTTCGACCATACGCACTAGCTTATTGGAACTTTGGCGAGCTGCAAAGCTTTTGCTAGTCTTCAAGATACTTGTAGGCTGCTCGCGCTGCCCGCTGCTGGCAAAGCTATCACTTCTCTCGGTCAAAGAGGATTCGCGACGAGGTCTGAGACTCCAGGTGCTGCTTCGAAAACTGTTCCACAGACTCGTGTTATCGGTGCTGCCATTACTTGTAGTCGTGCTGCCTGCGCGTTGTAGATGTCGCATCAAATCTCCCTGAGCGTTCAGACTACTACTAGGACGTGTCTCTGGGGAGCCTGAGGGCGTGTTACGGCTCGACGTTGGCGCGCTGATTGGCACGGCCATGGTTGCCTTGGCCAATATATCGATTTTACCCGAGGTATTGACGATGCTAGATTTCCGCGTGGATGATGCTGAGTTATTTACGGACAATGATTTTGCTGGTGAAGTGCTAGGAGAGGCATGAAGCATCGGCTCGAATATGGTGGGAGTACGAGGGGCATCGTTGACTTTATGTCCATTTGTTTGAGCTTTAGCGCTGTCGATGGTCAGGTTATGATTCGGAGCATGCTCTGCGCTCTTCAAGCCCTGCGTCAGTGCAGAGACTGGCTTGTTGGAAGATGATAAACTGCTCGAAGAGGAGCGCCTGACACCTTCGAATTGTGCTTCCGATGTCGGACAAGGGAATAGCTTTGCAAAGATGAATACAAGATTCCGAGCCTTGTTCTGGTCCATGCTTACGATCACAGTGCGATTCTGAGCCAGATCGAAGGTAGTTTGGGTCTTTTGACGCTCTTCTCGTAGACGGGCATGATGCTGTGGAGGAGCAAANATACTGAGCCAGCCGAGATCCACAGTCAAGGCTGCCGTTAAAGCAGCTTGCATGAAATTGATTTTGTGCAAGTTGAAGAAGCCTCTCTTGGAATCAGCATCCTGTGAGACACGGGTGTAGTCCCGCAACTCATCCCGCCATATACTCCAGTCACGTTGCGGCCCAGCCTGTAGCACTTGATAGCTACGCGATATGCGATCGACAACCGCCAAGGACATTTCGATAACTTGTGGAGTATGTTCGAATGCGCTTGGCTCGAGCTTGACTAGACGAGGAACTGTAGGAGAGACAGCAGCCTTCGAGCGTGCAAGGGCCTCGGCCTTCGCACGAAGTCTTTGCTGGATCTGCGTTAGAGCCGTGGTTCTGAGAGCGTCCAGAGCTCTGGCGTACATATGCCAGTCTTCGAGGATGGCTTGCATAGGATCGGCACGTTCCAGAAGATGACTCTGCGATGCAGTCCATTCCAGAGATGTGTTGGCCTTAGCGAGNGGCAGCAGGATGGCTACGCCAAACATGGGAGTGCTGAAACGCTTCTTCCGTGTGCAAGATTGGCGTGCTCCGTGAACGGATGTCGGCTGTTGTAATTGCTCAGGAAGATCCTCGTCATGTATGTTGACTGCGAAGGTTGTGCACATGAGTAAAGCATCCTTTCTTCGCTTGATCGAACCCTGAGAGCTAGGCCTGAGAGGAGAGCTCTCCTTTGCAGAGTAAGAACCGAATCCAGGCCGTGGCGATGATCGTGGACGAAGGTCTTGATTTTCGTCTGGCGGCTGTCGTTGAACATGATGCAGTTTTGTGACAGGGCCTTTGTACCTCATCGGGGCTTTTCCAAACATACAATCCAGCCACGAATCCATCTCTTCCGCGGTATTCTCGACAGGAGCGTTGATATCTTTTCGAGTGTCGGCAAGTGAGGCTGGCGTGGGCGTACGGCGAAATTGGGTGGAAGGGACGAAGGTCGAGTCGAGACGAGGCATGGATGGTCGAGTCGGAGGAGAGCCATTGCGTTCTGGCACAACGGAAATGGTAGATCCATGACCTCGAGAGTGCTGAGTGCGCAGGAAGCCACTGCTGGTTGGGGACTGAGGGCCTGCAGACGAAGAAGGCCTGAGAGAAAAACTCTTTGATGGGCTATTCAAATCTTCAGATTTGTCTCTGTTGGCCTTGCGGGACCACTGCGAGTCGAAGAGAAGTCGGTCAATCGAGACACCGGTGTCATCTTGTGCGATTATTATCCTAGGCTCGTCGTCCAGCGAGAGCGGGAATGTGATGGTCGTGTTTTGATCGTACAAAGGCTCATTTGGCGTGGTCTGAGAAGTCTTTGTGTTCTTGTTGGCACGGTCGTAGGACTCTCTAGGTGGGAAGAGAAGAGACAGGCTACGTGTCGAGGGGGACNNAGGTGCTTCGCTGCGTTCAGGCTCTTGAGAATCTCCGCGAGAGCGTGAGAAGCGATGCATTTTGTTTGTGACGACAAATGTTTGATCGACGACGTGTCAGGGTTCAATTGACCACGGGCATTTGAGGATCCAACCAGAATTTGATCGTTGACTGGAACTGGCGGGCGTAGAAGCACATGCTAGGCGAGAGCGAGATTGATGTCGCGTGATGGTTGTTGGGGAAAGGAAAGCCCAGACAAGACTGGTATACCCCAGGAAATTATTGGCGTTGGCGACGGCCGTTGGTCTGGCTGACGGATCGAAGAGAATGGGGTCGGGGTCCGAGGCTAGATGTAGACACAAGAAGCACTCGGTTTTCAGAGATAAGAGCTCTGTCAGGAGAAGGAACCAGGCTTGAATTGACTTTAACCAATGCGACGATTTGAGCAGATCCTGTCGATATGTGGAGAGGATTGCAAAGGAGATCGCTCGCGTCGCGTTGAAGCACCTGGTGTTTATTTCTTTTCCTACCACTCCTCCTGCGCTTTGCGTCCCAGCTCCCCGGGTGTGGCTTGACAGGGATGCCTCACAATGCAGGATTGCGGTGTGCCGTCCTGTTGTTCAAACCGCCAAATGCTCGACCTCTACTTTTTCTGCTTGCCTCTTACTGCATGCAGCTATTTGTCGTTGAGAGCTGACATGATGCAGCCGGCCTCAAACAGAAACCTGCAACGTGAACACGAAATCTAGCAGACGGCTCAGTCAATCTAGCGGCCAATGTTTAACCGTCTTTGTGGGATTTCAAGCCGATCTTTGTTATCCGGCTGTTCGAGTTCCAACGATCCGATCAGGTCAACTTCGTATGCGTCTGCCGATGTCGCTGATTCTGGGAAGGTGCACACCAGGACGTCACTGGGGTTTCCAAGGTTTCGCGGAACAGAGGAAGCATGCATGGAAGGTGGTCGCTTTTCTCAAAACGAAACATGACAGATGCGCAAGGACTTCCGCTGCTTCATCTCTTATCTTCTCCCTGATCAAAAACTGCTGTTACGTCAAGGCGCGAAAGCCGCCAGCGAGGTAGGCATCAATGTCTTCAGACCGCAAGAATGTAGAGCCATACCTCAATCTTGCCGTGTGACAGGCACGTATCCCTCTCGCATGTCCGCAAACGAAGTCGGCACAGCCAACAGTAGCACACCTAGCCATGCATGAGATTAGAGATCGCTACAAGCCTTTTGTCTCCCTGGTTGATTCGCTTCCCAAGCGCCCAAAATATGCGATTACATCCCATATCTCCTCGGCCACGTTGCAAGCAAAGGGTCACCTGCTCATCTTGCTGCTTCGCATCCTGCTTCAGTCGATGTTCATCGGCTCCTGATTGACAAACTGGTTTGCACGACCAGCCTTGATGCAAATTGCCGGTTTGATCTGCCTGCGAGATAATTTGACAACACCCTTTGACGTCGGACACTTATTTGCAAACATGAGAAGCTTACCGTAAAACAGGCATCTCACTTTCTTGTGGCTCGAACAGTCAGACGTAGTGTCACAGTGGCTGTTACCCACGATCAGGATGTTTTCAAAACGATGTACCGAAACCAAAACACGCCCTTATCTGACATGAGTGCAGACTTCTTGCAGCCAGTCGAATACAAGACTTCATCAACTCATATGTACGCCCTCTACAACTGGACAGCCCGTTCTCTACCCTCGCTTGACATATTTAGATGCTGACGATTCCATCCCGGTCTTCGTCTCCAATCCACACAATTGGAGGACCAGGAGGGACGGGTCGAACAATTTGCCGAGCCGAGCTCGATATTGCTTTGCTTTAACCGAACTCCTGGAGCCGAAACTAGATACACGGCAGTCACGGTTCACCAGAATACTACAGTACCTACCCCAGACATCCGACTGGTGGTAGCAGAAAGACTTCACGAATACTCTGACATGTGAAAATTGATGAGAATCAGTAGGGAGTGCATGTGTTCTGTGATAGTGTAGCAAACATCCATGTGAAATTTCACATGTTTAGTTCTTATTCGACTGAGGCTTTTGTATCGTACTTGGTTGACGTGAGGTTCAACGCGTTGATGGCCATGAGTAAGACTGCCTAGCTGCCAGCACAAGTATGCGGGAGCTTGCACCATCCGATACACAGCCACGCCGAACAACAAACCTGACCATATCTGCCAAAACCGAAATCCTCAGTTCAAGTCACGATGACTACCTGATTCCGACAGGAAGGACTTGAAACCCTGAACACTCGATCTCCTCGACTGACTCAATCCAATCCTCGGACTATGACTACTCTCCACATAACTAGCATTCCTAAGGCTAATACTCGGAGGCAAGCCCAAGTGCGGGATAGCACTCGTAGCACCCAAAACGGGCGTCTGTCTCGGCGTCTGTCTAGGCGTCAAATGCGGACTAGGACTTGCCGTAGGTCTCAACGCCTCCTCATAGAACACCCGCAACTTTTCCGCATCGTTGCAAAAGGTTTCGAGTTTTTGTGCTACGACTTCAGGCTCTACGGAGGCTTCGGTGAAGGAGTTTCTGGACAGCACGCTTTGAGGTTCGGTTTGCTTGAAGGCGCTCATGAATGGAGAGGCATGGGATGGTGGTGCTGGAGTTGAAAAGTTGCGTTTTTCGCGTCTGGCGAATTCGAATTTGGAGCCTTCGCGTGCAGCTGCTGAGCGATTGACGCAAAGCCTATTCGCGGTGAGCATTAGATTGCCATCGCCGTCGATCTGGATGAGCAGGCCACCAGACTTGTGGATGAATTGCGTGTACTGATAGTCTGGTTTGCCCCACGAGTAGCTCACGTCCACACCAGGGTCAAAAGTGCTGGCTGCCTCGTAGTCGAGGACGAAATCAAACTTTCTAACCAGCGCTCTTTGGTATGGGTATGTTTCCTCGTAGGCAGTTGTTCCTGCTTCCAGATACTGCTTCGGTGTACCTTTAGGAGGTTGCAATGCCAACTTGATCATGTAGGGTCGTCTGAAAGGATGCACCTTGAAGATTGCATGTCCTTCAGCGATGGGCAACTCAACCAACTTCAATCCATAACGCTCGACGCTGGTCGCCCAAGACACCAGAGCATCTTCAATGAGTTTTGCTGTGACGTTTATCCACTCGAGACGGATATGATAACAGTTGTCAGGATTATGGATGCGGTCGTAATGCAAAGTGATAATCTCAGGGCGGTAAGATTTCTTGCGATGATCCACATCGTATCGCAGACTGCGACTGAGCTCGAGTTTTGGCCTCTTGCTTGAGTCGAGCTTGGGTGTGCTCTTATTCGAGTCTTTGCTGTCATCTGTATCAGAGCGGGGACGATGGTTGTCGGATGGTCCGATCAAAGGCGAGCGCATCTTATCCACGGGCCCCAGCCTCGGCGATCTTGTCTTGTCTACAGGCAAGAATTTCGGCGATGCCTTGGATCCTTCGTGCAGGGGTGTCGGAGGGATTGATCGACCCGCCATACCGAACCATCCTGACTTGTTCTCTGGGTATGGCGTAGTCCGATATTCAGGCGCGATCTGATAAAAGTAGTTGCCATCTCTGAACTGATGCTTCTGTACCGCGTGTGTGAACAAGCCTTTCTTCATGAGGGCGTTTCCGAGCTTGACCGCATCCTCTCTTGTTTCAATGTCTTTGAAATTGACGAGAAGGAAGCTAGTCAGATGATCACCTCGGAAACATTTCCAGTGTGTCTTGAAGTGCCACCTGCGGTCAGCAACTGGTATACCCTTGGGAGGATCTGCCTGCAGATGTTGCGCGAGCTTNTGCATATCGAAAACGTTGGTGTGGTAAAGTTCGGATTCTGCAAAGAGAGCATGGCCTGGCTCATCTTGAGACAACGCTTCTGCTAGCACTGTAGCATGATTTCGCACAATTGTCGAGGGATCATGCGTGTGATACTCTATGGCCAACGGATTAGGGTCTTTGCGCCTTTGCTGCAGAGACTGCTGGAAACGGCGTTCTTCGGGCGGGATGTAGCGGTGTCTCTGCCATATCTGCGTGAGCTTCTGTATGCCCTCCAAGCGGATCTCTTCCTCCGAGTTTTCAGATACGAAGCCCAGCTGCCCACTCCTAATCTTGTGATCAACAGGAATAAGGACAAATCGAGCTCTCCAGAAGCGCAAGTCTTGTGAATTGTGCTCTTGCTTGTATCCCGCAAGATGGTGGTCGATTGCGTTCCAATTGTATGTTGGACGCGGGTTCTTGAAGATAACAGGCCGCATTTCGTAGCCTTTGCCGAGATACGTGCGGATGTATGGATGGTAAGCCACTGTTGGGTCCACAGCGCCGGTATATTCAACTTCTGCCACGGGCTTTCTGTTGTACCTCCGCACTTCAATCTCACCATTCTCTGTACAGACAAGTAGGTGAATGTTATTTCCCACAGTCATCAATACTGTAGCGCCATCTTCTGCCATGTAGTTCTTGTCAAAGACCTTGACCAAAGAAGCTGCTTTAGTACCTGCAAACTCCGTGGCCGCTGGACCAACGACTATTTGAAAGCCGTGCGATAGTCTGCACGCAATGAGCTCTCTGATTAACGCTTCTCTAGTCTTGGGCGCTTCTGAAGACTCATCATCGTCTAGAGGTAATATCTTGTAAGGTGACTCTGAATACTCATTGCGCAGCTGTTCGGCAGTGGGGAAGTACTCAGCAGTCAATGGCAGAGAAGCTGGTGAGCATAAGGATTTCCATTTCATCACAGATGTAGGCACTGGCTTTGGAAAGATGTGCTGCCAACGACGGAACTGACTCGCTATGCTCATATTGTGCTTCTTCGGATTTGAAGGGTTAAGCATTGTAAGCCACGGTGAGATGGCGGTCAGCGGTGACAGGACTCGATGGTAGTCTGCTTTGTCCGCGACGGTGTCGGGTGCAGAGTCAGACATGCTGGTAGTTTGGCGTCCAACTTTCGAGACGTTGCGAACTACGATGTCCTCGAGCAATTTCGTCGCAGGCTCTCGATAAGTCTCTGCCTTTGTTGATTCTTCTGCATCTCCACTCTGCTCCGAAACCACGGAGTTAGATCTGATTGCGATTGGATTGCTGCGTTGAGCCATGCTTGCCCTGTCCGAGTCTGCTCGATCACTGAGGTCGCTGATATCGGTTCGTGCAAGACTGGCTTGCGATGGCTTCCGCTGTAGCGTATTCAAAAGCTGTTGTGTCAAACTAGAGAACAAACCACCACCAGCAGCAGTAGCTTTGGGAGCAGTAGGCGTTGGAGGTGATTCTGTTGTTGGAGTGCTGATGCCAGCACTTTCATTGCTGACGCTTATACTAGCGGTCGATTTCGCGGTCCCTAATCCTCCTACTAGACTGATCTGGCGTGGCATTGGAGCTCTTTTTGGTGTAGTCTTTGCGATACGAATCGATGGTTGTTTTGGCTTGTCGTTTTTGGTTGGTTGTGCAGCACGTTTTGGTGGTGATCTGTTGGCAAGATATGAAGCGTTTCGTGGACTCTCTCCTGGTTTGAACTGGTTTGATGTAAAGCTGCCTCTTGGCTTTGTAGGCGAGGAACTGAATCTCACGGTCGTGTCTAGACTGCCACGAGAAGATTCGATCGGAGTCTGGTCCAGGATTGTTTTGACTGGGGGAGAGTCCTGCGTTCTGAAAGGAACTTGCTTGTCGTAAGCAGCCATCCAATCGACAAGCTCTTTACGGGTAGGCATATCCATTTTCGCATGTGTTTCGTCGTGGTGTTGCGGCGAACCGCCAATGTACCCATGAAACGAACGTGTTGAGCCATAGCTTCCTGAGAGCTCCTCATTTGGTGCAGGCTCAAGGTGAAGTCGTCCTTGACGAGGTTTTTCAGTATTTGAGTACCCAGGCAACATCAACGGGATTGCAATGTCGCTCATTTCGGTCTCCATAAGACCCATCATCTGCAATTCGTACATTCGGCAACTTGTGGTGAACGTGTCGTTTCTCTTGGATCCTTTCTTTCTCTTGTAATTCAGACCATACTGAGATCGGAGGTGCTCCTCGTCGGAGTGTCCTGTCCAAAACGACACATCGATCCAGTGTGGTAAGGCATAACTCCATTGAACTCCAGACTCCATCAGTGTGCCTGGGACTTGTTCTTTATTGTGACTGCTGGCCCTTCTCATGAATCTGCCCGTGCTTCTAGGAGTGCCGGCCATGTGACTCTCTAAGTAGCCTGCCTGCCGAGGCGTGCTACCACCCTCGAACGTATAGATGTCCGACACGACTGGAAGACCAGGAAGTACATGAGGGCTCCTGTATCTGAACAAAGGTACAGAATGGAGAGGCATCCTAGCCAACGACACGAGATCAACGCCCATGCCACTTGCGACGAGAGAATCAGTTGTCAATTTTAGCATGTTGTAATCGACTTCAAATATGCCTGAGCCTGGGGTAACAATACACAATGAGATGCCTGTGTGTACAAGATCGCGATCGATGTAGTCCTTCGAGAATTGCGATGCAGCAAGGTTGATTGCTTCCAGTATATTGCCTCGTGCTGACGTAGTAGGTTGTCCAGCAATCACAGACTCTGTATCGGTACGGGCCTTTACCGATGCCAGCGTCTCTGGAGGAGGACCATAAGCATCATTGCCGCCTACAACAGACACATCCTTCAGGAAGATTTTGAACTCCTTTTTGAGCTTGTAGAGAATATCAACCCATCGGCTGCTTGCGGCGTCAGTTGTGACTACTCGGTAGTAATCCCGATACTCGCGGCCATTTCCAGGCGAGCGTCCGTTGTGTTGTGGTATATCCACGTCCTCGTCTCGACGGACTAGCACACCTCGTTCATACTCGAGCCGAGTAAACATGACGATGCTAACAAGATGATGCACGTTGAGTTTCTGCCAACGCTTGAACAGATCAGGTAGGAACCCGTTGATGACCTTGTTGAACATGATCTCGCCGGACCCTTCAGCGTCAAAGTCCCACATCTCGCGAGACATCTGTACAAATATGATATACTTAGCAGACTCGCTGCGAAAAATAGGCTTGGTTGAGGACGAGAAGAAAGCCGAGGTCACCTTCTGCCCGTCTACAAAAATGTTCTTCACCGTAGCTTTGATGCTGCCGAGAAAGAGCAGCTTTTGTCCTTTGTAGACAGCCCTATCGCTTAGTACTGCTACTGTCAGTCTCCACATATCCGAACGGGCCAAATACTGGTCGCGGAACACAATCTCTACGTGAGATGCAGAGTGTACATCCTCGAACACNCTGTCAAGGAATCAGTCGTACTCGGGTACTTCAGGTTCGTAATCTATAGGTACCGGAAGAACTATTGCCTGCATGTTGTTTCGGAAGCCAAAAGTAGATGCGGCGTTACTGTGAACAGATATTTGAAGCCTGGGTTGTTTTCGCTTCTGTTCAGGAGTCATGTCGCGAGCCACAAAGACCAAAGATCTCGTAGAGTCTGCATGTTTCTCCATATCCGATACATGCTTGACCGATTTNTTGCTGCCATGACGGAGAGAAGTCTTTCCTGGTGTGTTCTCAGGCTTTGTGGCTGTCAGGGCTGGCGTGCTAATGGAGAAGTCGTGGGTTGAAACTGTGTTCTTCAAGGCCGCAAGTCTACAGAGAGATCCATCATCAAGAGTTACGCGATCCGAGTTGAAAACTACAGTCTCCTCCGAGAAACTGTCATCGTGAATCCAGAGCAAGCAGAAGTGATGCGGTCCGGAGGACGACATGATCATTGTCTATAGCCGAAGTCGGTCGGGCGCATATCATCTAGCCATATGGAAAATGCAGTCTAGTCATTTCGTTTCAACTGCAGCAAGAACTTGAGCCGACTTCGTTTCGTATGCAATAATATTTGATGGATGTTCGATGAATAGTAACGTTAGTCGAGTAAGAGCACGCGATTGGGGTCTGTCAATCAAACAAAGCAAACATGCTGCAGATATGTGAATAGGGCAACCCTGTTTTCAACACTCCTTCCTCACAAGGTTCAATCTGACTACCAAGACTAACAACATGTTTTCGAAGACTCAGGTGTACAAACAACTTTGTACGACCCTATTAGCTTTCACATAAGTGTTGCCATCCATGACGTTGTTTATTGGCGTCAAAGATTTCTTCTATGTTTATTTATGGTGGATGGCCTAAGTCTTGTTTATTGACAGAGACAGGTTAACGATATTGCACGCAACCCATGTCGACTTTAATCTATTGACACTCTGTATTGTGATTTCAAGGTGTCCAGAACCACTCTAGGCATCCAATGTGAGTCTGTCCAGAAGGCTGTCAATCTTGCCAAGAAGAATTTGGTAGTTGATAGCGTCTTGTGCAAACTCATCACCAGCAATCTCTCCGTCCAGCGTGCGAATGACTAGGTTGTCATGGTCATGCAAATCTTGTGGTGGTGTTGTACCTGAGTGAACATCAACGCCCTCATCTTCTGCGAACATGACTTCGCTAGGATCAAAGACGTCCTTGCCAGGCAGTGCAGCAGGATCCAGTGTCTCTGTCTCGTCTGTCATTTGCTCTAGTCCTGAGTCTTCCATTCTCAAACGGAAACGATCAGACAAATAGTAGCGAATNACTATGAGAAGTCAGTAATTGTGCTCTTCGTACCCATGTACGGTATAGACTTACTCATCGATAAGTTCGACAGTATCGGTTTCTTGACGTCCTTGAATTCTCGAGGCACTCTCCTTGACCAGTTCCGCAAAGTCTGGGTCATCGATGAAACGCTCCAATCGATAGGCAATGTATCGAGCACCAAACTCTTCGAGACGATGAACACGTGTATCCCATCCGGCACGAATGACATCGTAGATATCTACCACATCCTCGACGGTCGTTTCGCCTCGAGGATTCTCAGACTCAACAACAGAAGCACCACCATTACCCAGGGTGGATATGATGACGGCAGCGCGCTGTTTCAGCTTCTCAATGAACAAGAGGTCAGCAGCGAAGAGAACATCGACAGCCACCTCTAGCGAGAAATCTGCCTTCTCTGTGTAGAGATAAGTCAAAACAATCTCCAGGACTTGAGGTGAACAGTCAATTGGGATGATGTGCAGGTGTGGTGAATCCTGAGCCTCTCTGAAACTGGACGAGAACATAGCGCTAAAGAACTCGGATCGCAATAGCATGGCTCGGTGTGCAGGGAACAGTACGGACTTGCGTGGTGGGACTGTTGTCGAGGCTTGCTCTGTCGAGAAGTTTCCGATAGGGATTCCGTTCAAAGGGCCCTCGGTATTGCGCACCGGTTTGTGCGACGACTGAGACTCATCCAGTGCGTCGTCCTCTGGCTCATCAGCTCTGAGCAGAACATCGGCAAAGATGGCGTTGTCTCTATCCCACTTGACTTGATCCGCCTTTTCAGTGCCGGTATGAACCTTGTGTCGTAACACGTTCGTTTGGAACCAGGTGGCAAACTGATCGCGACCACGTGCCATCTCTTCTGTCCTGCGCTGTCTAGCCATGCGCCTATCGCCAGCATCAATGATGCTCTCAAACAGTGTGGGAACCTCGAGTTGTTTGCCCAGCTTGTCGATACCAGCAAGAATGGCCTTTTGCTCTTCCNNCTCATCATCGCTCAGCTCAGCTGATGCTTCTCCCAAGTACAAGTAACGAACAACAGAGTTGAAGGACTGCGAAGGGATCTTGGGCGGCAATTTCCAAGACGTGGTATCTGGTTGATGGGCGAGCTTCTCGGCAAAGTAGGGAGAGCGAGCAGCAAGAATGAACTTGTGCAGGGCAAAGTCCCGGTCGTAAGTTGTGACAGTGATGTCGGCCGTCTTTGGATCTGGTCGTGAGAGCAATGAAGTCGTATGGGCAGCGAGTGGTTGCAAAGGATCGGTCGACTTGGAGTAGTCATACTGCAGTAGCAAATTACGGATGCGGTCGTTCAGGGCATTGTACAGACAGCGTTCACCTTGGAAGGTGTCACGCTCGCACAGAGCCCCGGACTCGAGAAGGTGTTGGCACACTTCGTAGTGGCCACACAAACTGGCNCTGTCAATCAAGTCGATTAGTCGTTGTCGTCGACGCCGGTCTGTGCAGCGGCTTGGTTCACGACATACCAGGATCAAGGGCGTGTAATCATATCTGTCTCGTGCGTTGATATTGACACCAGCCGAAATCTGTTCCTGGCACACCTTGAGGTCACCCCTGNNAATGAGTTAGTTTACGAACGAACAGCTAACCGGCGCAACAGGTGTTTACCTTCTGCATGCTTCACAGAAAATACGAAAGGCGTCACTAGTATCAAGCGGGTTGTCCTCCTTCAGCTGGCCGCTGTGGATTTGCTGCTTTTCGGCATGCAAGGCGGCTTCGAGCTCATACTTCTTGATAACCATGGCGACTGGAGTGTTTTCACGCGACTCGGACTCGACCACAGACCATGGCGTCTCTGCCTTGGAAATAAGTATATTTTCTTTTGCTTGATGCCATCAGCAAGCGTATATACGGGTGGCGGCGCCCCACTATGCGACGCGGAATGACGATGAGCAGGCCGAGGACCCTGACAGCAGCAAGCCCGACACGCACGAGCCTCGCGAGCCAAGTTTGGCGGCGTTGCCTGGTGGATGTTAGTGTTGACTTTTGCAAACACCGACCAGCGAGCCTCGTTCTTTTGTCCATGCCTTCCCGCTGCTGCTGATCAAGGCTTGCCTCAGCTTCAGCTCTCCGTCTCGCACATTGCTTCCCACTTCCAGTTTCGACATCCCACTGGTCATGATTAGCGCCTAGTCTTCTTCGTCATTTCTCATTCGTCGCTCTGTCGCTACCACTGCATCTTCTGTTGATTCCTACACAACATCCCTCACCCACCTAGCACAATGGCCGAAACCGAGGCCGAGAAGTACGAAGTCTTGACCAAGATCGGTATGCCGTCGTGTCCACCATTTAGACTCCTGCCGCTTGCTGACACACCCCAGNGTCAAGGTTCATTCGGCATCATCAGAAAGGTCCGCAGAAAGAATGACGGCCTTGTATGTCCTACCACGTCCTTCTCTCCTATACCTCACCGCTGACACACCCATAAGATTCTTTGCCGCAAAGAAATATGTTACACCCGCATGTCACAGAAGGAGCGCGAGCAGCTCTCAGCCGAACTCGACATCCTACGAGGTCTTCGCCATCCCAACATCGTCGCTTACTACGAGAAGGAACACCTGAAAGCTTCGCATGACCTGCACCTTTACATGGAGTACTGCGGCAATGGAGACCTAGGAATGATGATCAAGGATCTGAAGGCTCGCAACGAATACGCCGATGAAGAGTTTGTCTGGACCATCTTCGCACAATTGGTCAGCGCTCTATATCGCTGCCACTATGGCGAAGATCCACCGGATGTCAACAGCAACGCCCTTGGCCTGACCAAGAACGCCCTCCCACTCAAGAGCAAGCAGGCGCACAAGATGATCCTTCACCGTGACTTGAAGCCTGAAAATGGTACGTCCTCCCCTGCTTGTTTCGTTATTCGTACAGAAACTAATACATCCCTCANNGTCTTCCTCGGTGAAGGCAACGCAGTCAAGCTCGGTGACTTCGGTCTCTCAAAGATCATTCTTTCGCACGACTTCGCCTCGACATATGTTGGCACTCCCTTCTACATGTCACCCGAGATTTGCGCCGCCGAACGCTACTCTTTATACTCAGACATCTGGTCACTCGGCTGCATCGTCTACGAGCTCTGCACAAGGGAGCCCCCATTCAACGCCCGCACCCATCTCGAACTCATCCAAAAGATCAAGCTTGGCAAGGTTGCTCCGCTGCCACGCATATACTCAAAGGAGCTTTCAGATGTCATTTCTGCATGTCTTCAAGTCAACCCTAATTCAAGACCTGACACAGCCAGTCTTCTCAACCTGCCTAGAGTCAAGCTTGTACGAAAGACACAAGAAGGTGTTATGGTCCTACAACAACACATTACGGCAAAGGAAAACGCCATTGCCGCCCTGAAATCGGCGCAAGAGAAGATCGCACGACTGGAGGCTGAGAAACAAACCATGCACGATCAAATCGACAAACAGCTCAGGCTGGAGTGGGAGGCAAAGGCCCATCTCGAGATCAATCGACAGATGGACGTGGCAGGAGAAAGATTACGGGAACACTACAGACAGCTCTTCGAGCAGCAAGTTGAGGAAGAGGTGGAGAGAAGACTCGCTTCGCTGCCATCATCGCGTACCAGCTCGACAAACTCGGCCTCAGACGCCATTGAGCCGCCTAAGCGCTCCTCAACACCCACACAATCGTTGGAAGAATCTTCTTCGCTCGTCACCATAGGAGAGGCCGACGAAGAAGGCCCCAGTCTCAACGCCCTTACACTGGAGGACTCGCCACTTGTTCAGAGACACAAGCCTCTGAGATCGTCTAACCGCACTCCCTTCACACGCGCAAAGACCTTTGCCGGCACAAATGATGTCGCACCCAGCCCTATGGATATCCAGATGGCTGACCCTAGCCCAATGAGCATCGCTTCACTTTCTTTGTCACCGCGTAGGAACGCACCTCTCGAAGGAAGCAAGCTTAGACAACCTGCATTCAAGGGACCCAACATGTTTGATCGCGCCACTCGCGAGAGCAACCTTGCTCTCTTCCCTGAGGACAATGAGGATGAAGATTCCCTAGGCTCGGACGGCGGTTCGCCTATCAGATCCAGACCTAACAGCAGAGAAAACGACCCCTTCAAGGTCCTTGCTCAGCCCTCGAGACCTGCTGTCTCTAGACAGAAGACCATGCCCACACAGCTCCAATCACGCTTGAAGGCAGTACCCAACCTGGCACCCAGCACTAGACGTGCTGCAGCATCACCTAGCCGCTCTCCCATGAACAAGGGTCAAACCATCAGCCCTAGCAGAAGAGCACCCGCCATTCCTTCTCAGCCTTCTAAGACGGCGCTGGCCACGAAGAAGGGTGCCAAGAGTGAAGACATGCTCAAGGCTGTTCACCGCAACAACCTGCAACAGGGCATTCAAGGCCGCACTCTGGTGGAGCTGGCACAGGCTAGAGGCATCTCAAGCCCATCATCGAGTATGGAAGTGCCTAAGGTTTCGTCAAAGGCAAGCTTGGACAGAGAACCTTTGTGGGATCCCGAACGTGATGAGATGCCTTCACCCTTCCTGGTCAAGACTCGCAGAGTCGGCATCATGCCCCGATGAGCGGATTGACGGCAGAGGAGAGAGATTCGAAGCTCCCTCTTTTTGTTTTTGAAATTGTGGATGAAGGAAAAACAGTGATACCAATTGTTTTCATTTGTGCGTTCAACGGGGTCTGGAACCGGTTTGGCGGCATAATACTGGCATTGACACGGAGTTATGAACATCTCCTGGATCATTTGTCTTCTTGGACTTGTGTTTTGGAGTTTTGGTTCTCACGATGGAGTATTTGGTTTTGCTTTTCTCATGAAATGGGTGGCAGGCACGGTGGCCTTCGATATTTGTTCTTTCTTGTTTCTCTCTTCCTCTCTTCCCAACACACACACACACACACACACACACACAAGCGAGGCAAGGCGGCCGTAACATAGCGTCTTGTCCATTTCGTACTCATTTTCGTATCGAAAGTTTCCATTTCAAGACATTGATTCATTTCATATCGTGCTAATCTGTCTTTGCAATCTTCATGGCTTGGAGGAACAGGTCGGCGGTGTCAGCGTCTATCTTNTTGAGTGCTTCTGCAATGTCGCCCAGTCCTTCAACCTCCAGCACACCGTCACCAGGACCGCAGATGCGCTTGTCAGCTGTTTCTTCGCCTCTGACTTGCAAAGCTTGCCAGCGTAGTTGTTTCAGACGACGAATGAATTCGTCCACTTGGTCTTCGTCGCCCTCGACGAATATACTGCCCGGATGACCTGGACGACTGAAGCCGCTCAAGGACAACTCTTTTGACCACGCTTGAATGTCTTTTCGCTTCGAGGTGGCTAAGAGATGGTGTGACCATATAACCACTCGCTTGATTTTTGAACTGTGTTGCTGCTCAGTACCCTCCTTGCCTTGATGTTGGTCTGCATGTGACTTGGCTTCAGTCAACTCTGGCAGGTGTTCGGTAAACAGAGTGACGATGAGATCGAGCATCTCCATGCCGACTTCTTGTTCGTCAACCACTTCTGCCAACTTTGCTCTTGCGCGTTTCCGGGTCGAGGTGTCTACGTCACCACCACAAGATAGATACACATGAGGTTTTTGAGTGTCGGGATAAGTGTCTGGAAGAGAGAATTCGAGTGCATAGCTGGCTNNGTATTGTTGAAATCAGCCAGGTTTGCCGGTGGTTGTATAGGATTGAGGTGTTTAGGTACGGTGGATGGTCAAGCTAAAGTTGGGGTCGGTGGCTATGGTCGTTGGTGCTTCGAGATCGGGAGGTGGGGTTGTGCGCCAGGAGAACTCGGAGGGATACATTGTTGTGAGCAGGGTTAGCTCTGCAGCTTGTCGTTCGCGATTGCCTTCCATCTTGATTGACTCTGTGTGAGTGTTTTCGTTTGGGAAGGAACAATGGTCAACTAGACTGATGATGGAGTAATTGCTGCCAAGAAAGATGGTAGAAGCTCGGGCCCGGTGTTGCTTGGTTGCGGAGGTGACGCTTTTCCAATCGGCGCATGTGAGAAAGCATCGAGTGTTTTTATCTATCACCTTTTCATTCACATATTCACCAGTGTCACCACGTTCCTCAAGCAATATAGGCGAGGCTTAGGATTCCATCGCTGCACCACGATCGTTTCCACTACTCACCTTCCTCGGCCTCAATCCACGTCTTCCACACAGCCGCACGATGAACTCGATACGCGGGGGCATGCAAGTCCATGCTGTGCCCGAGAGTGAGAGAGCACTCGATGCATCAGGCAGACGCCTACCCTGGGGCTATGAGTTTGCCGAGTACGTCCAAGTCGACCCTGAACACCAACTCAAACTAACTCTGAGCAGCGCAGAGATAAACCGTAGACGAGAGCCCGAAGAANAAGGACCATTTGGACGCTCAGTACGCCGTCGTGGCTTTTCGCGTAGCAAGACAGCAACACCAGCACGCAAAGAAGATGTCGTGCGACAAGAAAACATGCAAACCGAAGACTTCATCTTTGCTAAGTACAAGGATGAGCTCAAAGCAAAAGACCCAGTACAGCCTACACAAAAGCCCAGCGAAGCTGCCGCATCACAAGCTGCATCCGAAGCTGCATCAGCAAAGGAAGCTACCGAGGTTATCTTGTACGGCTTTGGCCCAGATTCGCAATGGGCTGCCATTGAGTACTACGAACGTATCTCGAACGGCATCGTCTACGAGGACTACGATCGCCATCCGCCTCACCAACGTTACGATCACAGCTTGACATACAGCCGCGCAAAGTTGGCTCAACGTACACTCTCACAAGCTGCCCTTCGCAAACGCAACGCATACCGCGGTGGAGATCACTGGATCAAAGTCACCTTCGACAGCCCCGAAGCCGCAGACCTGGCTTGTCACTGCTCTCCCCATCCCATCCACGGCTTCCTAGTCTACGCCGAGCCCTTCCGCGGTACCGGCCCTCCCAACGACGCACCAATTCCATACTCGAACGCGGGAGCTCAAATCGACGGTCCAGCTCTACCTCCCACCTTCAGCACCCGCGACACTCTATCCACCGACTCCTCCAACACAATGTCCTCAGCAACAATAACCGCCCAACCATCCTCCTCAGCCCCAAACCTCGCTTCCACAACAACCAACACAACCTCCCTCGAACCCACCACACCAGCTCAAAAACGTCCCATGCGTATCCCCGGCGCCACCCGTGCAGTCCTCAAACCCGCAGACATGGCCTTTGCCGAACCTTCAAAATCCGTGTCTTCGTCGTTGGCATCTTGGCCTTTGATCAATCTGTTCGTCGGCACCAAGGGCGATGTGATAGGTTCTGCCGTCCCGCGCACCGATGATGGAAACTTTGATTGGAAGAATGCTAGTTTGTACTGGTTGATCTTTGCGTGGTTGGATTGCTGGCTCGGCACTGATATGTGTGGCCTGCGGGGAGACGATTAAGGGGGTGCAAGTGACTGAGGAATGTGAGTTGGAAGAAGGACAAAACTTGTCTATTGTACGTTTTGCTGAGAACTGGAGATACGGGTTGGTGCATAGCGTTTGGCGTTTTGATCTTCGTTTAGGTGTGTGACTTCTCGAGACACGGAAGAGTGTCTACAAGCAAAGTAGCAAGAAGAAAAGGTAGCACAGGAGACAGAAGAGTGAATATATCCTCTTCAATCACACTTCTCTGTCGAGAGCAGTTGCTTCGGGATCAAAAGAATCATCAGCGCTGTGAAACAATTGAAACGCCCAGTAATCTCCCTTACACCTGTACGACAGATAAGATGCAGCAACGAATCTCAAAGAACGAGACCATCAAAGATCAGAACGAACTATTAGCGATTGAATTGGTGAGCTAGTAATTAAACATTAACACTTCTTGCCCCTACCCTCTTCCCTGATTTCTGTTTCAACAAGGCTCCATCCCAGTCTTTTCCACCTGTTTCCAAAAGAAAAGTGCTGGAAATAGTGCTGTATGTCTAAGCAAGCATTGAGGAGAGGAAGAGAGGGAAAAAAAAACCGAGCTCGGAAAGAGAAATTAGCCATTGTCCATTATGCATTAGGTGTTAGACATTATTGGACAGTAGCCCATTACGCCAGTCGGCCCATACCACCCATCGCTTAGAAAAGAATGAAAACAGTGACAAGTCGGGAAACCAAAAGGAAAACGCAATGTGGGTATCACAAAAGAGCAATAGCGATATGCAAGAAAAGCAATAAAGAAGGCAGTAAGAGCCATTACTTCACTGCCGGGAGCAAAGGATATAGGGCGGGTGGAGGTCCAGGTAGAACTCCTTTTGTCGTGAAGTCGAGTATCGAGCTCCCTAATGCCAGATGCTATGGACAACGTCCAAGCTGCCTAGTCGAGGACGTTCAATGCAGGGCATGAACTGAATCCATGCATAGGAGCAACATGATCCCAGCTGAAGTTTGCAGGACGTCTTCCACCATTTCTATCAATCTTGTCGTTAAGTGCAGAGACATAGTTGTGCTCACCATAATTCGGTGGCAGAGGTAGGCGAAGACCAAGAGCCTGGCACGGAGAGCGAGCGCGAGGAGATGGCGGCTTTGGGGCACGACGATGTTGCTGGTGGGCCAGAAGAATCTTGGCCGTCTGCTGGGATCGAAGGGATTGTGGTTGCGGATTGCGTCTCTGATGAGGTGGAAGTCTGCCAGGATCTTGCACTTGAGGATGAGAATTTGAATCAGGATGCTTTGATGGCCGCTGTGGGAGGGGTGTGCCAGCATGAGGAGGTCGATTCTGCTTGACTTGAGGAGGAGGAGCCGGACGCTTTGATGATGATAGAGGCGAGGGTGGTGCAAAATGCTGCGGCAGATGATCGCTTGTCTTCACAGTTTCAGCAAGCTTGTTCGAGTTGACAAGAGTGGCAATACTACCAGGAGATGCCACATCCTTAGACCCATCAGCACACACTGCAGAGCTGGTATCACTGTCAACCTTTTCACTCCCGCAAACGGTCTGTTCTTCATCGTCATCCTCGCTCTCAGATACGACGGCATTCGATGAGCTAGAGCCCGAGAAGAAGACAGAAGGACGTGCAGGGATTGGCATTCGGGAACATTGTTGCGGCGCATGTGCTCGGCGTAGCTTCTCCTGGGCAGTTCCTTGAGCTTCCGGTCGGTCAGGAGAAGGAGATTGACCAGAAAGCAAAGCTGATAGGTGCGATACATTTCGCTGATGCGGTACTTCTTGTTTGCGAAAGCAGACCGGGACCCTCGCACCCCTCTTGTTCCTGACGTTCGGTCTGAATGGTTCTTTGCGGGACATCTCGTTAGGTGTCGCGTGTCTGAGATCGAATCCTGAATCACATCTGACGTGAACATTGTCTGCAGGAGAAGAGGCAATAGGCGAGATATCAAAGCCATGTTGAATAATACAACCATCTTCAGTGACACTAATGCCGTCGTCGTCTTGAGTGTTTTTGGCACTTTTTAGGCCTTCAGCACCTGCCTTCTCTAATCCGATTGTGGATTTCGTGCCGTGCAAGTTGCCCTGACGAGGTGAGTCGGGATAAGGCTGTTTGTCACGAACGGTACAGTGACTTGCGATGCGCTCAGCGGTAGCTCGTATTGTGGCAACATCATCCTGCGTCAGGTCTTGACGATGTAATGTTCGATGTCTTCGAGGCGCGTGGCTCTCGGGATTGTGATCGTTGTTAGAATCGTCGTTCGAAAGACTGTGGCCTGAAATACCATCGAGAGGATCCGAAGTTGATACAGGAGGCGGATGGGATCGAGGCTTAAGTTCTTGCTTTAAGTCGGCCCTAATGCGTTGGGCCCTTTGCCGGAGCTCATCTTCGTTGTATTCGAAAGGATTTCGCTTGACTTTCTGAGAAACATGTGCAGTTTCATTCAGCGATTGAGAAGTCTGGAAGCGAACCTTCTTCTGTTCTGGAGAATGCTGCGGCTGTAGACTAGGCGCACTGCTTGAGCCTGGTGTAGTGCGCGGTGTAGGAGGAAAGTGGTTGCCACGACTTTGGTAGTTGGCGCAACTTCTTTCGAGCTCCTTTCGACATTTCTCCAGGTTGTACTTTCGCGCCGGTCCTAGATAATTGTGTTAGAATAAGTCGCATTGGTCAGAGAATTGGGGACTCACCTTTNNGCCAGCAATCTTTTCGTAGAGGTAGTCCATTACATCTGTCGACGATGACCTGCACGCGAGGAGACAAGAAGGGTCGCAATTTTCTTTCTGCTAGGAGTATGTGGTCGGAGGCGCTGGATTGATGTGATATTCAAGGTGTACAGTTTCGCCAATCGCGACTAAACGTGATGGTGAAGCGACTGCGCGTTGATGATGTGAATGGTCGCGACGGTAGTGTAGGGAAGTCGAAGGGATGCTTCAAGGAAAGATGTGAAGTAAATGCTGTCTAGAAAACACCCAATGTATCGCTGCACTTTTCAAGTGACTGTGGACTGGAGTCTTGAACGTGGCGCAGAAGTCGAAAGATGCATCGACTTGGGTTTGTGATGGGTTGCGAGCTCTTCGCGCTTGCCAAAACTCGTTCTTTGATCTTCTGATAACAACAAAAGTAATACAGCGTGAGGATGCTGGGTACGAGAGGGTCAAGTGAAGGAAAAACAAGACGTAAGGAGACACGAAATAGGAGAAGAATAAGTGAACAGGACTGAAAAATCCAATGCTTATGTGATGCCCTCTCAAAAGTGAAGGGAAAGCATCTTCAGGCCCAGCTCTTTCTCAACTCGGACGACACCAGAATCAGCAAGACCCGAGCTTCGAGACCAAGCATCTTGCTTTTGCTCCTTCTCTTTACTTACGATACATCGTATTCACGAACCTTTGACTGATGTTGATGCGGCTGGAAGTTAGACCCAATGCTCTTCATCAGGAGTACTAGGCCTTACATTTCAGACTTCCCTATAGCATGGGTTTCGTTTTGCTTGCGCAACGTGGCAGACATCCAGGATGATACGACGCGCTGGCAGTTCTGACCCTTGTGTGTCAGTGGAGCGAGAGAGGTCAAGTTCGAGGATGGAGCTTCAGCTTGCCCCACAAGAGCCCTGTTGGCCGAACCTCACACCCTGAGCATCTTTTTCGATCTGCGCTATCTTCCTAAATAAGGAAAAGGCTTGTTTGCTTTCTGTTGCCTGAAGGTGTCACTTTGTGATCATAACACTGCGTGATCATGTTTTTAATGAACAGCACATACAGAGGCAATATCGTTGTAGGTCGTCTCTATGCCGACATTTGTTTTGGATAGCTAATCTTCTCTAGCATGGATAGTATCAACATGCAGATGCTTAAATCTGACAATCCCCAGCTCAGAGAAGGGGGGATGCTTGGATAGAGTAGAAAATTAGAGATAGCAAAAACATTGTCACAGAGGCATAGGCGAAGACGAAATATGAATGTGGGTGGGGTATCATTATGTGTCCCTGGGTTTTGTCTTTTTTCATTTTTACGCTTTTCTAAATGCATGCCATGAAGCTCATTAACCCATCACTTACTGCGAGACATGTTGCTCTCGTGGTGATCATTGCAACGAAGAGCAACAGGGGTCTCAAGCAGTCTACACCTGTATTTGGGATCAGATACAGGCGATCCGCCAACGAGGATGACTCGTCCAGTGCTGTATCAGCACTTTACAGCTTCTGCATGGCAGCGATATCACTGGACTGGACGTGGTCCTCAAACTCCTGGATCTCCTCCTGGAGCTCGTCGAGCGAGATCTTGTCGTCCTCGACGACCAAGTTGATCTGGAGCTTCTTGATACCGTAACCGATGGGGACAAGGGTGGAGGCACCCCAGACGAGACCATCCTTCTCGATGGAACGAACGTTGGCCTCAAGCTCCTTCATGTCGGTCTCATCGTCTNNAGAATATTGGTCAGTACAAGATAGCGATTGTGAATTGATGTTGTGGCACTCACCCCAGGGCTTGATGTCCATGGTGACGATAGACTTGGCAGCGGGCTTCGTCTTGCCAGCCTTCTTTGCGGCGTACTCCTTGAGGCGCTCCTCACGGATACGGGCGTGCTCAGCATCCTCCTCCTCGTCGTCAGAGCCGAAGAGGTCAACGTCGTCATCGTCCTCCTCCTCAGCGTTGGCAGTGGCCTTGGAGGGGTTGACGGTGAGCTCAGCGGACTCGGGGCCGTAAGCAGTGAACTCCTTGGTGGGGTCACCGGGGAGCGAAGAGAACTCGGACTCGAAAGAGGCGATGTGCTTGTACCAGCGGTAGGCGTGGGGGTACTTGGCGACATCAGGCTGAGCCTTCAGGGCCTGGAAAGTCTTGACATCGGCCTGGGAAGGACCGTAGCTATGGAAGTTGTCAGCTGGATGTCGCTGATGACAATGGTGAAGTGACAAAGTTGCGAAGAGGGTGAGGTATCAGTGTTGCGACAAGCGCATTGTTTTGACATCGTGTAGCGGGGTCTTAAGCCGCCTCAGAAACACGGACCAATTTTTTACATCCTGTAAAACAAAGGGGGAGGGGTAGGTGATGGAGGGGAGCTCTTTTAACATACCCAACGATGTAAGAACGGGTCTTGGTCCAGTTCTCAAGGACTGATCTCGGGTTAGCGCCTAGCTAAATGGGAGCGGCGAGCATGACGGGAGTAGCGTACGAGTGAGGCCAGCGTCGGAAACGAAGTCGATGAAACCCATTGTGATTGTGGTATGTCAAAAATGTGAGAAGAGGAAAAGAAGAGGATACGGGGAAGTTGAGGCAGACTGTTGGACGAGGGGCTCGCAATTTTCCAGCTCAATGCACGGTTACTTCCGTCTCGACCTGAGCTCTTCAATCTGTTTGGAGCTTGTCTTGGCACTGCCCGAGGGAGCTTGGACTCGCTGGCTCCGAGTCGGTGACATCGACATCTTCGAGAATCACGTAGAAGCATCGTCAATTGCCATCGCGCCTGAGCAGTTCTTGTAGGCAGTTAAGTATATCAAGCTGCTGTAGTCCACGTCGCGACTCTATACTATACAGCTAAGCAAGTCATAACAATCTGTTGCATCCACAATGCTCGCTGCAAGAAGCAGATGCGTCTCGCGCGTTGCCACCTTACGCGCGAGCTCTTTGACAGCACTCGCACGCTCTAACACTCGATTAATATCACATCCACCATCACCGAGAATACTTCAACCATTATTATCGCAAGCTCGCACATATGCCAGCAAACGTCCACATCCACCGGGCGGTACCCACCGCATGAATATGGGAGGCGAAGAAGAAAAGCCTGCACTGGAACAGTTTGGTGTTGATCTCACACAACGTGCCAAAGACGGCAAACTCGACCCCGTGATTGGACGAGATGCTGAGATTCAACGAACCATTCAAGTCTTGTCGCGGCGTACCAAGAACAACCCTGTTCTTATAGGCTCAGCCGGTACTGGTAAGACTGCCATTCTAGAAGGTCTCGCGCAACGGATTGTGCGAGGAGACGTTCCTGAGAGTATCAGGGAGAAGAAAGTTATCTCCCTAGATCTCGGTTCACTCATAGCTGGCGCAAAGTTTCGGGGCGACTTTGAAGAACGTCTGAAGAACGTGCTCAAGGAAACCCAAGAAGCCGAGGGCAAGGTTATTCTATTCGTCGACGAACTTCACACTCTCCTTGGACTCGGCAAAGCCGAAGGCAGCATTGATGCTGGCAATCTACTCAAGCCTGCTCTATCTCGTGGTGAGCTACAGTGCTGTGGTGCCACCACTTTGAATGAGTACAGGTTGATCGAAAAGGATGTCGCCCTTGCTAGACGTTTCCAGCCTATCCTAGTTGGCGAACCTAGCGTGCAAGATACGATCTCCATCCTTCGAGGCATCAAGGATCGCTACGAAGTCCATCACGGTGTCCGCATTACCGACTCCGCTCTCGTGGCTGCTGCTACTTACAGCAATCGATACATCACGGACAGATTCCTGCCAGACAAAGCAATTGATCTGGTAGATGAGGCCAGCAGTGCTCTGCGACTACAGCAGGAAAGCAAGCCCGATGCGATACAGAAGCTCGATCGCGAGATTATGACCATTCAAATTGAGCTCGAGTCGCTACGAAAGGAGAAGGATATCGCCAGTAAAGAGCGCAGAGAGCAGCTCGAGAAGAACCTCACGCTCAAGCAAGATGAAGTTGGCTTGCTCACTGAAAAGTGGGAAAAGGAGCGAGCGGAAATCGAAGAGGCCAAGGGTATCAAGGAAAGGCTCGAACAAGCTCGCCTCGATCTTGAGCAGGCCCAGCGAGCAGCTGACTTGGCTCGTGCCAGTGAGCTACGTTACAGCACAATCCCGGATCTGGAGAAGAGGCTTCCAAAAGAGGGTGCAGAAGGTGCAGTCGACTCTGATGGTAACACCCTCTTGCATGACTCGGTCAACGCAGATGATATTGCTGCAGTCGTTGCACGAACGACCGGCATTCCTGTGAACAAGCTGATGTCAGGCGAGATCGAAAAGCTTGTTCACATGGAGGACACTCTGCGCCAATCCGTTCGTGGTCAAGACGAAGCACTCACAGCTGTCGCCAATGCTGTTCGCATGCAGCGTGCTGGATTGAGTGGAGAGAACCGTCCTTTGGCGTCTTTCATGTTCTTAGGACCTACCGGTGTCGGCAAGACTGAGCTTTGCAAGAAGATGGCGGAGTTCCTTTTCTCCACTGAATCTGCAGTCACTCGATTTGACATGAGTGAGTTCCAGGAGAAGCACACAGTCAGCCGCTTGATCGGAAGTCCTGCTGGCTACGTAGGCTACGAAGACGCTGGTCAACTCACCGAGGCCGTTCGACGAAAGCCATACGCCGTACTTCTGTTTGACGAATTCGAGAAAGCACACAAAGACATTTCGACCCTTCTCCTACAAGTCCTCGATGAAGGCTTCCTTACTGACGCTCAAGGACACAAGATCGACTTCCGCAACACCATGATTGTTCTGACGTCGAACCTGGGTGCTGAAGCACTTCTGACTGACGAGAGCTCCAATAGCGAGATATCGACTGAGGTCAAGCAGAATGTCATGGATGTGGTGCAGTCGGCTTATGCCCCCGAGTTCCTGAATCGTGTCGATGAGTTCATCATCTTCAAGCGCCTATCTCGCGAAGCCCTTAGAGACATTGCCGACATTCGTCTCAAGGAGCTGCAAGCCAGACTCGATGATCGCCGAATCAAGCTTGAAGTACCAGACGACGTCAAAGCCTGGCTGTGCGAGAAGGGCTACGAGCCTCGATATGGTGCTCGCCCTCTGAACCGTCTCATCTCCAAGGAGATTGGCAATGGCCTGGCCGACAAAATAATCCGCGGAGAAATCAAGACCGGGGATGTCGCTAAGATCGCTGTTCGCTCTGATGGGGAACATCTTGAGGTTCTTGCACCCGAATCCTCGTAGTGACTTATTGCCTGGCATGTAAGATAAATAACGCATAACGCATAGCACGGGAGTTTAAGGAAGATCATATGGGCTTAATCATGGTAATAGCAGAACGAGACTTGTACATATGTAAGATACCAGCTGATAACGAAGACACCACTCAAGACCAAGTCCATATATGTGTTTGAAGATGGTGACATAGATTGGTTCTGGTGCTTGGGGAAGGAGCGCTCGGAGGCAGGTTGCTCCTTCTCAATCTGTATCTCAGCCCTGCGCCTCCAAATCTTGATCTGAAATGCGACCAACCATTTCCAACACTCATTGACATCACGGCAGGGTCGTCATGAATTCGCAACGTGGTTCATCAAGGCGCGGTCGTGGATCGTCATCTTCGTCTGGCCGTGGTCGTGGTACCTCGTCTTCTAGTCGTGTTCGACGTGGACGTGGCCGCGGTCGTGGATCATACTACAACCGCTCCAACGGTGCAACCTCTAACTCATCTTATCGAGCACTGCGACAGCAGTCGGTCACTCCTTCGACTGCTTCAAGGCTGACAACCCCGAACCCGTCCATCGACTCCCGACAAGGTTCGTCCGTTCCAAGTGTAGTGCATCGGCTACCTCGACAACCAACAACCTCAGCTACATCGTCCCTTCGCCGAGACAACTTCGACGACGATGCCAGTGACGAGACACTGGACGAAATCGTTATGGCAGTTGACTGGAAGCCCCGTGGTACCGTTGGTTGTGCTTATTACGTTGCCGCACAGGAGAAGTTGTACTTCATGGAAGACATCGAGTTAGGCGGTTTAGACATCATCGAAGCTCGTAAGGTACCAAGAGACCCTTGCCCTTGGTGGTCACTAATAGAAGNNGCAGTGAAGATATTCATTGAGCCTACTATAATCCTTGTCTCATCCAAAGTCGACGATACCGTGCTGGACAAGCTTGAGCCAGAACGAAGAAACATGAGTGATGGAGATAGTACAGCATATGGCATGCCCGCTTTGTGCTCGCCCCGCCCTGTGTCCGAGTTTTCCTACGAATCAGCCAAAGGCAGGCTTGCAGGTCTCAAGCTAGATCGTGAGGATGGGCCCAAGATCACATTTGTTACCCCCGGAGATCTTATTGCCGAGAGTAACGAAGAACACATAGCTGGAGATACTGCTGTCGAGAGCCGCCAAGGACAGTTGCTTAGACTGGCTGGTTGGATTGATGTCGACAGTAGGGTGACTGTCGGTTGTGCTGGTGCAATCCTTGCCTACATTCATCGCAAACGAGCAGCGACCTTCTTGCCTGGCGATGCTGCTGCTCAGGCAATGCACCGTATCTCAACGATTGAGATGTTTACACTTGCTGGATCTATGTAAGCTTTCTTGCAAGCTTTAACTTGTTCTTCCGAGATCACTTACAAGAATCAGGNNTTCGTCAATGCTGATACGCTGCTCTCACTGCAAATCATCCAGTCCGAATCGCACCCACACTCTCATAATCAAGGCCCTGCAAAGACAAACTCAGGTTCAAAGGAAGGCTTTTCCGTCTATGGTCTGTTCCATACTCTCGCGCGTACTCCTCAAGGCAAGCTCTTGTTGCGACAATACTTTCTACGACCAAGTCTCAACATGGACGTCATCAATGAGCGCCTTGACACTATCAGCTTCCTGCTCCGTGCAGATAACTCAGAACAAATGGAAACACTGATCAAGAACCTGAGCAAGATCAAGAACATGAGGACCGTTATGATCAAACTCCGCAAAGGCATCAGCGACGCTGGAGTAAGCAAAAGAGGCCCACCCAACTTCATCTGGAGTGGCATTCGCCTATTTGCATACCATGCCTTGCAAATCAAAGACTGCTTCCAGGAAATCGTAGGCGGAGAACGACTCGCGATTCGAAACAAAGTCATGGAACAGTTCCATGGTGTTCAACTTGCTGAAGTTGGCAAGAGCATCACTGAAGTCATTGATTTTGAACTCTCCCGAGATCAAGGTCGCAATGTTGTTAGACAGGGTGTGGATCATGACCTTGATGAGCTCAAACGAACCTATGAAGGACTCGAGAGTCTTCTAATCCAAGTTGCTCAGCACGTCGCCCAATCAGTACCTGAAGACTTGAACGCAAACATCAATGTTGTATTCTTTCCTCAAATCGGGTTTTTGATTGCGATACCTCAGGACCCAATAACTGGTCACGGAATCTTCGAAGGGCCCGGGGACGACCCATGGGAGAAGATGTTCACCACTGAAGACTTTGCCTACTACAAGAACGAGAATGTCATCGAGATGGACTCGTACTTCGGAGACATATATGGACGCATCTGCGGTCAGTAACGTTTCATGGATGTTGAATCATGCTGACAATGCGTAGACAGAGAGATTGAAATCATTCATGAGCTTGCAGAGAAGATATTGCAGTACGAGGACCTTCTCACAACAGCGTCTGATGTTTGTGCCGAGATTGACTGGTGAGAACTGCTGGACTGGTGATATCTGACGACCACTAATGCATAGACAGCANTCCTAGCCCTGGCACAGGGAGCTAGAAACCACAATCTTGTACGGCCACGACTGACAGAATCAAACATTCTAGATATCAGAGGCGNNGGAGGTCAGTCTGTATACTCACTGAATATCATAACCTCGATGCTTACCCATGAAAGACATATTCTGCAAGAAAAGGTCGTATCGAACTTCATTCCCAATGACACTCTCCTCGCGGGCGGCGAAGGCGAGTCAGTGGGTGAACATCAAGAACACTCGTCCTTAGCACCCCAATATCGCACGGAAGATGGCAGCGTAGTACCAAGTATGATCTTGGTGACAGGACCAAACTTCTCGGGCAAAAGTGTCTACCTCAAGCAAGTAGCCATCATCGTGTTCATGGCACACACTGGAAGCTTTGTACCGGCGACCAAAGCGGACATTGGTCTCACAGACAAAATCATGACACGAGTGGCAACTCGAGAGAGCGTTTCAAGGGTGAGTCTTGCAGCCGTACTTAGGAACAACGAGACTGACTCGATCAGANACCAAAGTGCCTTCATGATTGATCTGCAGCAAATATCCGTGGCATTGAACCTGGCCACCAACAGGAGCTTGCTAATCATCGACGAGTTTGGCAAGGGTACCGATTCACATGGTAAGCTTCAAAACAACCTTTCGTGAGTCGCTAAGCTGATATGTGCTCCAGATGGTGCAGGACTGGCTGCCGGCGTCTTCAACCATCTGCTCGAANAAGGAGACCATTGTCCGAAAGTTATAGGCGCGACACACTTTCATGGTATGTTTGTAGAACGGTGTTGGTCTCTCAAGAAATTACAAATCTAACATGAACAAANNGAGATATTCGAGAGCGGCTTCCTCCTTCCCCATGAGCGTCTCGCTTTTGGCCATTTCGAAGTCCGTGTGGATCCACAATCACAGCAGATCGATGAGCAGTTGACATATCTCTACAAGCAAGTCCAGGGAATCAAAGACCGAGGATTACACGTTACTAATGCCAATCTANGCTATAAACAAGGACGCAGTAACAACAGTTATGGCACTGTCTGTGCAGCCTTGAACGGTATATCATCTGAGGTCACCAACAGAGCCGAAGAGCTCATCCTACTCGCTGCTAGAGGAGAAGACCTAGTCGCAGCGTGTGCGATGCTGTCAGAGAGTGAGACAAAGGATCTCGAGGAGGCGGTACGTGATGGTCGTAAAAAGAGGACAAGAGATCGCTTGCTAACTGACGATGCAGNNGAGGATATTGCCAGAGCCTTTTTCACCATGCAGATCTCCGAGGACCCCAAAGAGTCTCTGAAGGAGCTGCTTGGAATTGAGTGATGGTTAGTTGCTCTGTCCAGTCACGAAAGGAAATTGCTTGGGGAGATGGCTCAGTCCGACCATGAACATGTTGCTAGAGGAAGAAAAGATGGGGCAGTTAAACATGTCTTCGCTTGGCATTTTATGAGGTGGCTCAGAAGGTAGCTCAAAATACAAGGCTACACATAGCGCATGTGCAAGCAGATATAGTACAGAATGAATTACATGGCAAACGAGACTTTCTATGAAGTCAGACCCTGGTAGTAGACTTTTCGCACATCGACCAGCTTGCGACCACGAGCACGGGCAACGTCTTCAGGTAGGCGTTGCTTCATGAGGGCTTCGTAGGTTGCTTTGACGATGTTCATGGGGTTGCGACTGCGAGGGCAGCGGGCACTGAGGTCTGAAATTCCTGCTGCGCGAGCCATTTCGTAGATGAGATGTTGGCATCTGTTGCCGAAGCCNTGAAGATGAACAAATCAGCATGAAAATGGCAGATCGTAAGTACAAGTGACGGAAGACGTACCTGGTGGACGGGAGGAGAGTTGGACGACGGAAGCGCCGACCTTGCCCTCGACCTCACCAAAGATGGTGCGGTTCTCGTAACGAGGGATTGGCTTCATGTTTCTGATGGCAGCGTACTGAGCTTGACGGATGGCGTCTTCGTCTTCGCCCGACTTGCCCTCGCCGATACCCAACATGCCGTTCTCGTTACCGGCAATGGTCAGGTAGTACATTGACTGAATCTTACCCATACGGGTCTGGTTGACGACACGGTGGTTGACCAAATTCTTGCATCTGATCTTTCTAATGGCCTCTTTGGTCATACCGGTCTGCTGCATCAAACGCTGAAGATGGGGGTCGTCATCCTCAGACTCGAACTTTACACCCAAACTCTTGATCTTGGGCATCTCGGGAGCCAGACTGTCTTGCTGCGAGTCCAGCGTACCCTTGGGCGAGAAGAAGAAGTTGTTTGCGTTTCCGATGAAGGCGTTCCACTCTGCAACTTCGTTGGGGCCTTCGAAGTGCTCAGCATACTTGCGCAGACGGGCGCGGCGCTCGTTGGGCGAAAGGTTGTCGCCGGGGTATATGCCGGCTTCGATGCTCTTGGTCAACAGCTCTTGCTCGAGGGTTTCGCCATTCATGCTCTCCATGCGTGTCTCGTATTCCTGACGCTTGCGGTTGAAGTCCTCGGTCCATTGGGCAAAGCGCTCGAGCACTTCGTCTTCGGTGCGCATGCGGATGCCAGGATCGATGTCTTCAGTGGGAGCGCGTACAGGCTTGTCGACCAGCGGTTGGATCTTTGCGAGGTCGTCGATGTAGTTGAGAGCAAAAGTGTCGCGGCGGATCTTGCCTTGGGTAACGACATCCTTGGGGTCGATGGATGCTTCGGCGGCCTCGATGGCGCGCACCTGGGCGGGAGTGTATTTCAGGGCCAGCAGTTGCTTTTCTCGCGGCGTGTAGGGCTTGAATGTGCGGGCGGCCGAGTCGACGCGCTGTTGGACGAGGCCGAGATCGACGGCTCTGACATTTGGGTATGCGGGCTTGCCCTTGCCTTTTGCTGCTGATGTCGCTGGCGTTGAGCTGAAGGCGCGAGAAGAGGGTTGCGACTTTGGTGTCGCTGCCGGGGCGAAGCGGCAGAAGAGGCAGCGTGTCGTCTTCATCTTTGGACAGCGGCGGCGAGAAACAACTACCCTCACACAAAGTACAAAGCGACTGGTATACGCCGCAACTGGGACGAATTTCAGAATGCCAAGAAAGGTTGCGGAGTCTCGGAGGTGAGATAAAATTGCATAAATCTTGCACAAAAGTCGTGGTCAGCACCTCCAGTTTTGCTGACCATTCGCTTTTGTCCAGCTCTTGGTTCTTCAATGCTGTCACGACACTTTTTGCTGCCACTCGGTCTATTTCACTGTTTCCTTCACGAACCGTATTGCTGTCTCGTACAGCCACATTCAGACCTACCATGGCCGATTCAGCACCTGCTCAGTCCAACCAGCCTCAGAAACGGAAATTCAATGAGGGAAAGAGACACTTCAAGAAGAACAAGAAGCAAAAGCAGACAACCGTCAAGGAGGGTTCCAATGAAGAGGTCTTGATCGCCGACGTTCGCGCATTACTCGAGAAGCACTCGATCGCCTCGAAGCCTGCCGAAGACCAGCCAGAAGAACAAGCCTCAGCTCCCAAACTACCTGAGCCGTTCACCGAGTACGATGTGACAATTGAAGAACTCTCTTCCACTGGTGACGGTCTTGCTGTCATTCCTGGTTCCTCTCAAGTCGCTGTTGTCCCCTTCACCGCGCCTGGCGACAAGGTTACTGTCAAGATCATCAAGCATCTTCAAGACACAAACTACACCTTGACCGACTTTGTCAAGGTTCTCGAACCCTCGACTCATCGCGATGATTCTCTGCCCAAGTGTGGCTACTTCTCAAAGTGCTCTGGATGCCAGTTCCAATTCCTCCCTTATCAATACCAACTGGACCACAAGAGAAGCATTGTCGAAAAGGCCTACAAGAACTTCTGCAACTTGCCCGCACATCTTATCCCTGCTATTGGAGACACAATCGGCTCGCCTCTGCAATACGGGTACCGTACAAAGTTGACTCCTCACTTCGACGGTCCTCCTGGTGGCAGAAGAGATAGACGTCAGGGCGTCAAAGCTGTCTTCTCGGAGGTCCCGCCGATCGGCTTTATGCTCAAGGGAACTCGTAAGACTATGGACATTGAGGACTGCCCAATCGGCACGGATGCCGTCCGCATGGGTATGAAGAGCGAAAGAGAAAGAGTTAAGGTCGAGTTGGAAAAGTACCAACGCGGTGCCACATTGCTTCTTCGTGAAAGCACAAAGCGTATCGAAAAGAAGGACCTACCACAAGAGCAGCAGCGGACCAATGCTGGCGCTGCTGAAGAGCAACCTATTGAGGTCCAGGCTGCTGCACCTCAANGCGAGTCCAAGGACTACATTGACGAGGATCGCGGCTCACACATTCACCGCAAGACATGTGTCACTGACCAGAACGCTGTTTCGACAGAATATGTCGACGACTTCCGCTTCGACAACCCAGCCGGCTCTTTCTTCCAAAACAATAACTCTATCCTTCCCACCTTCACTCAGTACATTCGCGACAACATCCTGCCAAAAGACCAACCAGCAGATGCACCCAAGATCACCAACCTCATTGACGCCTATTCTGGCAGTGGTCTCTTCACCGTCACACTATCCCCTCTTTTCAAAAACTCCATTGGCATCGACGTCTCGACAAAATCCATCGAGTTCGCTTCCACAAACGCCAAACTCAACAACATTCCTCCCTCATCTGCACGCTTCCTCGCCGGTGATGCCAACAACATCTTTGCCGAGATCAAGTTCCCTGCTGCTGAGACTGCCGTTGTCATTGACCCCTCAAGAAAGGGCTGTGATGAGAACTTCCTGGGGCAGCTGCTGCAGTTTGGACCTGAGAGGGTATGCTATGTCAGTTGCAATGTACACACTCAGGCTAGAGATGTGGGTGTCTTGGTTGGAGGTCTTGCCGGTGTTAATGGAGGCAAGGGCTTGTATGAGATTGAGAGTTTGAGAGGCTTTGATTTCTTCCCTCAGACTGGTCATGTTGAGGGTGTTGCTTTCTTAAGGAAGAAGAAGGACGTTGCTGCTGCTGAGTAGATGCTTACGAAAACTATCTATTACGACGAAAACAATCGATCATTTCCACACAAATCCTCTATCACAATCTCACTCTTGTACGACGAACAAAACAAAACAAAACAAGAGCTAGCAAGTAAAATCCGACAAAACAGAAACCCTTCCTAGCCGCCGTACTGCTAGGAGGGAAAGAGAAAGTGTTCTTTCGTCTTGATTGTTGTCGGGCGAGGATTACTGGGACCTCTGGCATTGCTGAGAATCGAACCGGTGGACTTGGAGGCGACTTACATGGGAGAAACAAGCTACAACCATTGCGCCATTCCACCGGTTCATGTGAGGAGATCTGACTGGCATCATTATGATACTGCATGGAGGAGTGGAATGAAGTGAAGAGGGGTCTGGGTGAAGTCTAGGGGTAGGCGCGTCTCTCTTGGTCTTGCCGCGTAGTTCTCTAACTTTACCATTTTTCTCTCCTTCTGCGAGAATGGGCTCGCAAAATCATCAACAACTCAGGAAGGGGCATTAGAGATTCAAGATCGGTCTCAGGCCGCGTGTCCATTCGTCTATCAACAACACAACTCGCTACATTCCTATATTACCTCCCTGAGCATGTCTATGCCTTGGCTGGCACCCGTTCCTACCAATGCTTCGCCGCCACTCAATTCATCCTCAANAAGCAGAGGCTTCTTTCATCTTCCTCAGCGATCCAGGAGACCTATCCTATCTTCCGGCAGGTCACACCACCGACCACCTTCACTTCAATCGCCCCGTCGACGATTCCCGACTCACGAGATCGAACGCGGCATTGACAAGCTCCAAGCGATCGCCGTCCGTACCCGCCGTAGCATCTCTCGAAGGACCAGACACGCAAAGAAGGCCTTTCTCCCGAACCAGCGATGGACTCTCTGATGAAGCTCGCTTGGGTCTGCCAAAGGATTGGGTCATCTATCCTGTCTCAAGGCATCACGGCCATGCATCTCACACTTCCAAGCGGCACCATGATGACATTGACTTCTCCAAGTTCGATTTCACTCGGTCCATTGAGTTCTCGCTGTCTGCTGATGCCTCCGACTCTGCCGAATCACCACCTGCTGATCGTTTCCGCACCGATTCTGCTGGCCAACTTGGTGACACTCTGCCACCATATCATGTAGATGACGAACTTTCCTCCGTTGCTGAGGCCATCTATACCAAAAATGCCAACCTTCACAAAAAACCGAAGCTTAGACACACACGACCTCTTCCTCACGACTTCACCGCACATGAGCTCAAGGAGATACGACGCAAAACTCGCCATCGGATCAGAGTGGTGACCAGAAACAGTCTAGGCTTGACTGTCAACCTTGGTCTCGCTTCTGTGGCGCCTCAAATGCTCATTGCCGCCGCCATCAACGGTTTCTGCTTAGGCGTTGGTGCTTACAGACTACACCAACATCTACGTTTCCTCGCATAGAATGAGTTGAAAGTCCAAAAGCGTGATATTGTAGTCGCTGTGGTCGAAGGCATTGCTGTCAAGCTTGTCTTCCTCGCCATCACCCTCAACAATGACGACTTCCTTGTCCTTACTCATGAGTTTGTTTCTGCACACTCCGAGCACATCGCCCCTGTTCTACAAAATATTCCTGGATTCAGCCAAGCCCACGAGGCCTTCATGGCTCCCATCGAAAAGATACAGGAAATGCTGGGCCTGCCATCGATGGCTCAGCGCGCTCTAGAGTTCGGAAGCGGCGGTGGCTGGTACGATCCTGCAGATGTGCTGCTGAAAAACATGTTTCTGGTCGGTGCTGTTCAGGTGGCTATGGAAACTGCAATCGATCAGATCCAAGATCGGCTATCGAGGGCCAAAGAGCATGTCAGGGAACATCACGGTCACAAACATATTGCTAGACAGAGAGAGTGTGAGGTCGAGGGCGTGGCGTGGAGTCAGAACGTTGAAGTGTTGTTCAGATTGTCCGCTCGAGAGGAGAAGCTTGGTTGAAGAAACCTGTTCTGAGATGAATCAATCATTGTTATGAGCCCATTCTTTGCCGTCGACTATGGTCCTGTCCTGCTGTTGGCATGTCGTGAAGGTTGATATCACCAATCTCACAAGCTTGGTTAAGACCTCTGCATCAGAGGTATGCTATGTAGAGTGGCTGTAGAACATGCACTAATTTGGAAGAGAAACGACATGATCATTGACAGATTGATGGTCAAAAATTTGCACTGCTGGTTTGATCCATGTAGCTGTAGAAGTGCCTCGACACCGATCTGTGCCAGTCAACCCCACGAGCACACCAAAAACGTACAATATATCCGCAAAGTGCTTTGCAAGAACAAAAAAAAAAGATCGGCTGGGCAAAAGAACAAAACGTACAGCAGCAGGGATTCCCACGTGGTCACCCACCGTAGTACTAATCTGCCGTTCAACTGCTTATGTATGGCAGAGCGGACGGGATGCCCAGTTTTCAGCTGACTGTGGCCGTACATGCTGGAGACGGTATTATTTCGCTATATGAACCTCGATAACTACTGGGATGACCTTTGGAAGCCAGTGTCTAGCATCGTCCAGCACGTTAATCCTCGCCATGTTGTAGAGAATGCAGTTGATGATATCAGGGATCAGGACTGCAGTGGAGTTGTCTCCGTCAGCGGCTCTACCTCCAGCTGACCCAACCTGACCGGTTGTGTAAGACTGGAGTGAATGGCCTGATATAGTCGGCACTGAAGCTGAATAGTCGCTTCTGCTAACCGGAGTCTCAATGAGAGTTGGACGAATGTACAGAGTAGGCATGCCAGCTAGTCCCCTAGCGACACAGTTCGCAGCTTCACGAATCGTATACCTGTATGAACCGGGCACCTGGTTGAGACCATGAAGAGTTGGTCATGGAGTAACGCTGGACAAGTTTGTCTTCCAACAACTTCGACGTGTGAAGCAGGAGGTCAAGAATCACAAGTCACAGGAGCATAAGCACAACAACGATGCAAGCAACGACGGACCACTCGCCGGCATCTTATCGCGACAGAGGTACCAGATATTGCGTTGCACTTTGCGCTCTGTTGTCTCACAGGCTGAATTCTGGAGGCGTCCGGGTTGTGAGCCAGTTGCGTTGTCTTTTCCAAGTAGGTGTTTGGTAGCGAGCACGAAAGATGCAACAAGTGATCTACGCTCTACTCAGAACAACAAGGTCCTGTCTTTGTTCAGCTCAACCAGTCAATATCCTTGGTTAAAGCTGACAGCTGTGATATTGTTCTTGCATCTAAGAGCAAGCGGCGGGACCCAAAAGTGGCACAAGGTACCGAAGCGAAGGCTCGATAACAAGCCATCCGATGTCAGTCAAACCATCTTTGCGGGATTCTGTTTCTGTGCCACCACAGCGGAAAATCGATCCAGGGTCATACGGGTGGTTCGGTCGGAGTTCCTGAGCCGTGCCTTCTATTCGAAAAGTCGGCTTCGTCCTTATTGATTGCCAGATGGAGAATTTGGAATCGAAGAATTAGGGCAATGGTGGCATAACAGAAGAGTGTTATTGTCCTCATTGAAGAAGAGCACATGTTCTCGTCGAACATTGGTGATCAACCGGATGTCTCAAGAGAATCTACTGTATCAAGGTTTCGATAGGTCAAAGTGCTTAGTGGTCCGCATGCGATGCTTGGTCTTGTCAATATGATTGCAGAGTGACCCCGCTGTACGTACTCTGGCTCGAAAACGGGGTTGAGGGTCGAGTAAGGTGGGTCGTAGGGGACGAATTCGAGAATCCGACAGATCATCGCCATCATATATTTTTGATTGAGATTTGCACGGTATGGCTGTCATCTCCCAAACGTCTAGTTACGTGGATAGAAAGTCGCAATCTCGAGTATCGATTTTGAGAGCAGTGGCCCGGCGCCGTGAGAATGACCATGAAGGGGGAGGCGCAATGACGACGCCATAAGCGCCTTGTTCTACCTCCCCAGATTGAATACCAGCAAGATGGAAATAGTTGCAGCCGCCTAATCAGCATAGATTATGCATGCAGCGCCGGACCATTCTGCTGGGCGTGCGACGGCCCCGACAGATTGCGATATTCAAGCATTTTTTCAAGCGTCTGGATGAAATATGGATTGAGGCATCATCCAATCGCCAGAATTTATCGAACATGCTCCTTTGGACCTGGAAGTTCAGTTTAGTGCATAAGGTATAGATTGCATCGGAAAACGAGTCTTCCAATAGTTGTGATGATTGGACAAGCACAATCTGCCTGATCTCTGACACTGGTTCAGTAAGCCATTGAAGGAGTCTTGACCGGGCGGTTGGTGATTGGGTCAAAGATGCCTTCTCCTTCAACAATATGAAGATTGCGTCGAGGCTGAGGTGGTTTCAGCTTGATAGTTTGAATATTCTGGCCATGGAAAACAAGACTTCGACGAAAAGTCGTAGAGGAAGATCAATCAATCAATCCCGCATCTCGGCGGTAATGCCTCTGAACGACTGAGGCAAAAATTGGGCCATGCAGAGTGCTCAAGTGTGGTCCTTGGTGCTTGGATGTGGATCTTGCGAAGATTCGTGGTCGCCAGCACCCCTTTTGGGACGCACGCATGAGCCGAGGTTCAGCGACGACGAGACAGCGAACCTCTTTCAAACATGAAATCGACCTTTTCGCTCATCACCTCCGACAAGAGATTGTTGGTCTGGCCTTCAAAGCAATAATGTCCAAGATAAATAAATTGATTCAATCGAAAATCATCCGCTGTGGCTGCCGATGCCCTATATTGTTATTTCTCAGCATGCATATTGAACGTGTGACGATTACAGTTCCACAATGCAACAATTTGCTGGCGTGAGAGATCGTCTTTTGCTTGTCCAAACAAAAACTAGGCAAGTTGGTGTTGGTCAGACAAGTGTCCACTGTCCGACGGCCCCTCGGCTATGAATCCTCGATGCGGTGTGCATGATCTGTTGCATGTGCGCTTGTTAGACAAGGCCGCTACTGCCGCTCGCGTACCCACCATCGTCGCCAACTTGCGACGGCGTGCAAAAAAGGAGTTGATGATGAGTAAAATGTTGATTTTAGTGTCAGCCAGATGACGGACTGCACTTGAATTGTCGTGACATTTGGTCTCCCCTTCGTGAAGGGGCTGGAATAAGCTACATGAGAGAAAACAAAAAGTTGAAATAAAATCGAGTATGTCGTGTCAAGACACCGAGACAATACAATCCCTCCTGGGTATGTTTATAGTCCAAAATCAGTGCTCCAGGCTCCTTACTAGGCCTTTGGGTATGAAGAATGCAATGAAAAGAAAGCGAACCCATGATTAAAGCCCTTCCTTACGCCACTTCGTTTCTGTCGTTCATTTATGGCTACGGGGCTTCGACGAATCCAGCGTCGGTTGAGGGAAACGAGAAGAAGTAGGACTGATGTCCTCATCGATGGTGTAGACTTGTACTTGAGGCTCCTTCGAGGAAGCCGACGCCTCTGAGTCCTTTCGGTAGGTCGCCGAGCTTAGAGTTGCCTCTGAGTTTGCTCGCTCAATGGGGTCCATCTCATGGTGTCCACGGTTGACGCACTCGAAACCTGAGTCCAGGGTATTAAAGCTGTCCCTACGGGTGCTAGCGGCGAAAGGATCTCTAACCTTNTGCACAAAACGGCTAGGCCGGGAGCCGATAGTTGCTAGGGTGAGTGAAGGAGACTTATGTGTCGGCAAGCTGCTACCCTCACTACCCCTCGATCTCTTGATCTTATCCTTGAACGATGAGACTTGCGACGAAACGAGAGGATAAAGTACACCGCTGACGACGGCCTTGATGGAGGGTGAACATGCGATGAAGACGGCGAGGTGGTTCTCGACAGAGGACCATATGAGGCAAGACGCGATGTTCCATGAAAGGTCGCCGTCTTGGTCGTATCGGTAAACGACATACAGGCGGATGAAACTGGCAGCGACAACGNNCTTGAGACTGGTTAGAAGGCGGTTTCAGAGAGTATGAGAGAAGTCAACTTACACTGCACCCAAAGCAAAGAGAAGGTTGAGAACGATTCTTTGGGTAAGGCGAAGTTGAAGCTTCCACGTGAAGACAATGGGCAAAACATAAAGAATGATGTCGTTCACGATCATGATGATCGAGTTAGAGTAGAAGAAGGACTTGATGTCGATGCAAGTTCCAGGGATGCTTTTGTCCCAAAGGTGTGCAATTGGAACGCATTGGAAGATGATGACCAGAATACTGCTGATGCCAAAGGCGAAAGCAATGAACTCCATGAACCAGATTACCCAGTGGTGCCAACGTTCGTATGTGGTGTGGCGGTAGAAGAAGAGAAGAGCGAACTTGACGAACATGTTGCAGGCCAGGTAGAAGACGAAGATCGAGATGTACAGCTGATGTCTTGTATTAGCATTGATCTCACAGAGAATACGGATCAATTGAAAACTCACACCCACCTTGTAGAATTTGACTTGCTCAGATGTATTGTCTTCCCAGCTATGACTACCGAGACCATACTTCGTCGCAATACATTGCAATAAGGACATCATGATACCGCAAAACTAACCATAGCTGTCAGTAAGGGCATAGAAGTCATCTCAAGATGCACACATACACCCNGCCAAGCAGATCATAATGTTCTGCGCATCAAACTTCNNCCTTTGCTTTGCATTTCCTGTGACCTTGGCAAAGCGAAGTGACAGCGCTGATAGCGTTGAGAATGAGAGTATGACATTGACGATCACCACCAAGTCTTTCCGATTTTGTATCGCAAATGCGTCGCTGCCCATGATGACGAGGATGGATGAAGATCCAGATGAGAAAGAGTGGTGTTCACTGCCAATATGAAAGACAGTCAGGGTGAAATGCAACAGGAAATGAGGCGTAGCAGTTGTGTTGCACGGGCAGACGGTGAGGGAACGTGATGGGAGGGGAGAGGGGGCCGTTGTAAAGATAAAAGTAGAGTCTATAAGAGGGCCGTCGGTCTGTAGTTATCTTTGCACAAAAGACCCACCATGTATGGCAAGCCGGCTACAATATGGAGTAAAGTGAACAAGGGAAAGAGACTTGCCTTGTGGCGAGACCTTTGCTGCGAACCATATCGCGCTAAAAGAAGCCCTTTCCGTCGAGGCTTATGCAGGTGCTCACTGACTGGGGATCTCGATAATGACGGATCAGAGAGTGGGTGTCAAGGGCTCGGTGGCTACGTGCGTCTTATGCGCGTATTCCCGAGCGAGTCCAGTACTTACTACCATTTAGTACGTGCTGCAGATTGTATTAGCACCAAGTTAGGGCGATTCCGAGACGATCGTTGATGGCTCCCTCGAGGGCGGCACCAGATTCGGACAGTCCGCGTCAAGGAGGTTGGCGCAAGTTTACCTGGACTGCCTTCCACAAAGCGGATAGCTGCAGTACTCGAGGATAAGCGAGTCGCCAGACACCCCTAATACGAGGCAAGCGGGTGCTGGTGTGGCCGATGCAAACCCGGGGCGTGTCACGTCGAATCTTGCGTGACTCGAATCTGGAGACCCTCGAGCCTCGAGGGTACGTTAGCTGTCAAGCTAGTTTGGGAATAGTATGGCAGGGGCTTGAGCTCGTGGTACTCTGCGGGTGCTGTCATTGATCGAGCCTGAATCAATGCTTTTGATCATGGCGTCAATGAGGCGTTGCTCCAAGTGCCTTCTTACAGCAAGTGTCGGCAAGAAGACGCGGTCAAGATGTGTTGCTTGACGACGAAGAAAAAAGAGAACAATCGTGGCAGCTGCAAGATTCGATGTTGTTGGGAGAGGAAGCAGACCATGTCTGCGGTTCAGCCGTCAACGGATCGCTCCCGCCCGCAACCGCCTCCAACGCTACTGCACGAAATCCACGTTACTTGTCGCTCGCGTCCTCGCCATTTCTCCAACTTGCTTAGATCCCCGTCCCGGGTGGAGACATCATGTCTGACCTCGAATCCAGTCGCCTCCTGGTCAATTCGAAATCATTTACCCACTCGGTGGGTGATGCTGCACTTCACCAATTCGACACACCCTTTCCCGTGAATTTTGATTGATTTTCTGCACGAAGTTCCATATTCAAAACACCTCTTGCCAGCTCTTTCCTTCTGGCAACTTATTCGAATGTTTCTCATTCGATCCGCACCAAATGCCGACTTCCTAGCTAATGACAATCACATAACGTCCCTACAGATACGATTGCGCTCGCTCAAGCCCCACGTATATCATGTGCAGCCGCGTTGGGTCTTATGCTGATGGCTGTCGTCCACGCCAAGTCCTGGATGGCAACGGTCGAAGGATGCCGCACCATGTACTCGATTCCACCCTCGTCTTCTGCTCGCTACGAGCTGTGGTTCCACCAGAGTCATACTAAGATCCAGCACCGCCTGGATTCTTCGGGTTCAAGGAGCTCTTCTCCATGACATTCGCCTGCGGCCTCGTCGCTGAGGTTTCAGCCGTGGTTATTCCGTGCTCCAACTATCACTAGTAACATTAAGCTTTCAACCCAATGCAAACCTCAGGAGTTCACTACAATATCGCCAAAGCGGCAAGCAACAACGCCGATTCTCTTACAACAAGTCAACGGCATTTAGTTTAGCTGCGATGGACTACTCGACAGTCTAGATTTCTATGTCATCGCACTTCAGTGGAGATTGATCACGTACTCGAGTATGTACACACATCGAACCAATCACCAAGGTCAAAGACCTAGATCGAGTCAGATCCATCCGTTCCCCTGCATCGACACATGTCAGAAAGCTGGATATGACATCTCGGACCGTGCCTTCACCTTAACAAATGCTCAACTCGCAAGAATTGGCTCGGACAGAACTGCGTCCCGCCATGATTGGGTCGCCTGTATGTCAACATGACAACCCAACACCACTGTCTCGACCACGAGGGCCATAGTAACAGACGACCATGACTGTTGCATCACGAGAATCCTTCCATCTCTGTCAATCCAAGAATCTCGATCTGCCCTAGAAGGATTCTCGTCAGCCCCGATGACCCTCAGCCCTGTTACAAACTCAGACATATGCTCGCTTAACAACGGGTAGGAACTCCCCCAGTTTTGATCATCCGAACCTACTTTTCGCTATAGGAAGGTGGGGTTGCGAAGCCCCTTATAGCAGCATACCTCCCGTGTTTCCAATAATCCAACAGCTTTTCATGGTTTTGCTGGGTATCTGACATACTGTTCTCAGCCGTCCTGGTAGTGTCAAAATCCTACACATGGTTGCAACCCTTCGGCTCGGCGAAGATGACTCGCTCAAGCGATCTCGTTTCCAGGGGCTGCGATGGTATAGCAAGCCGACGTACCTCTCTTCGGAACCGAAGATCAGCGAAATGGCACGTAGGTGAGAACAAAGCCACAGGTACTTCGTTGTAAGCTAAAACACAACAACCCGCCTCGGGGTTGCTCCATGTCAAGATTCTGTACGTACATTCGCAACCTTTTGCCCTCTTGGATGGAGCAAGACTGCAAGGGGCGCATCCAGAGCTCTCTTACGCGCGGCTATTCTATAACCCTGATCTGCATCCGATGCTTCATGGGATGCAAGGTACGCGAGCAAAGGCGATGATGTGCAGGTACTTTGACTATTCAAAAGCACGAGGCAGGATATTACTGTCGGGTACCACAGTACAACATGGCCCTTTTACCCTTAGCCAGCACCGGAACTCCCTTCGGAGGATCCTGATTCGCCTACGCTGCTGTTGAGGTACGTCCCCAAGCTGTTGGGTGTCCAATGTTTCTTCTGTCTTGCTGAGCATGCATATTCTGTCTTGAGATTGCCGCTCCTACAGTGTTGAATGCTCTGTTTGATAAAAGGACCTTCTTGAAGGGGCCCCGGTGCGTTGTGATGTCTAGTATCGATGATGCCTCCTGTCATGTCATCTGACATGTTATCTTAGTTGTATGGTATCCTACACATTTTAATTGATGATCTCCCTATGATCTGGAATAACGCCTTGATGGACTCGACTCCGTTGGATGTTCCATGTCGTCTTACCAATACTCTTGCATATTCTATAGAAGCGGGATTACTCGACTGTTGGTGGAGTTGACTCCATCGAGTGCTTTCGTGTCATCTTCTTGCATATGTTTTAACAAGGGGAGGTTGGACAGTGATCTAGAACAACGCCTTGCTGGACTTGACTCCGCTTCGATGCTTCATGTCGTCTTGTCAGAGCTCTCCCTTGTTCTGTTGAGAAAGGGATTGGACCTGTGTGGTATCCAAATCACCTATGCCAATTTCTTGCAACAAAGGGCGTCACCCTGTCTCCGTGGTCTTGTGATTGTTGCATCAAGCTTACGTCGGTATAGAGGTTCTGGAGTTGTGGTTCAGATGGTCTAGGCAGATGTAACTAAAGTTGATTTGCAGACGAGACGGGACTGATGTTGGAAGAGAGACAGAGTAAATGGAGAAAGCAAGAAAGTAGACATAAAAGGCATGAAAGTGAGTAATATTACAGCTTGTGGGGTTTGAAATTACTCCCATTGGGTGTTCTTGAGACGCTGCATTAGGTAGTCGACCTCGACTTCCTTGGTCAAGGGGATGACATAGTCTTTGTACATTGCAACGACGGCATCGACATTGATCTTGCCAGCCTCTTCGGCCTCGCCAGCAGAAACACTGGGATCTGTGCCATAAGTCTTTGCCTTTAGGCGTAGACGCTCGAGGACCTTCTTCTCGACGGCAGCATTTGTGATGGCCTCGTCGATGCCCTTGCGGTCCTCGCGCTTGATCAGGTCGACAAAGCGTTCCGTCTCTTTCTGGAACTTTGCCTCTGCGACAAACTTGCCGAAGTGGATGCGGCGAGACAGGGCTTGCAGACAATTCACGTCGCAGGTAGCGGCGGAGCCAAAGTTCTCCTGGTTCTCGCCGCGCTCTTCGCGGCCATAGTTGATACAAGCAGCGGGTAGGATGTGCTCGGTGTAGTGGTGTTTGAGCTTGCCATTGATGTTGACGTCGTTAGGGTGCAGGATCTGAGGGTAGTGGATGGGCTGCAGAATGGGTTCTTGCAAGACGTCCGGGAAGAAGGGGTACTCGTCGGGAGATTGGTATCGGCGCACAAGGGATTGGAAGCGTTCCTGCTCGCGGATCATCCAGTCGAGCAAGCTGTATTCGCAGTCGGGGATGCGGACGGCGCCGGGCTTGTAGATGGAGGGATTGAGAGGGAACTGGACGCGCTCAATCAAGTGGAAGGTGATGGTGTCCTCGAGCCGGNNCTGATGGGATATCAGCGAGTCTGTCATAGTTGAGGGAGTGTCGGATGGGCGGGTCTACATCAATTGGAAGCGGATGTTGGCCAGGTCGAGCGCCTTGCTGGCGTCGGAGAGGTCGATGGCGGTATCCATGTTTTGTTTGTGTGTGTCTGTTGTGAGGAGAGTGGAAGATGTGTTTGGGTGGTTGCGACACCGGAGTTTGTCTTTGTCGAATCGTGGAGCTCCCTCCAGCAACATCATCATCGTCAACAACCTCGGCCTCGTGTCACGGACTCCCAAAAATCATCCCGCCATCCACGCCTACGACACGCGACCTGTGCATTTGTCTGATACACGACTGATACCTGAGAATGGTTTCATAGTCACAATCACACACCATGCCTCCGCCATCCTCGTCACACCGGCGGCGGGCCTCTGCCAACATGGCGCAACAGGACGATGATGACAGCCTGCTCGGCGTGCGTCGCTCACATTACCCAAATACCGAACCTTACTGACGCCAGTCAACCAGTCGCGACAACTCGAAGCCTTTGGCCGCACCGTCCATGCCACTGCCAGCCACTTTATCGGCCCTCTTGCAGGCGATCCTCACCACTACCAATCCGCCCTGGGCGACATCCACCGCGAGCTACGCCGGCCCTTGATACAGCGCTCTGTCTTTGAGCTTGCCAAAGCCTCTCCTAAGGAACTCGTCCGATCCACTTTCTCCACCACCGAGATTCAGCACCGCGCCTTAGTCCATCTCCCAGATGATCTTCTCCGCCACATCCCCGAACGCACCAGCACATACTCCCTATTCCAAGGCTTCCAGGCCTCTAAGCCCGAAGAGAAGAAGAAATCGGCTCGCAGCAACGACAAAGGCCAGAAGCTACTTGGTCACGACAGCGACGATGAAGCAGAATCGACCCCAACTACCCCTGCAGCCGCCCTCAAGAAGGTCAAAACGAAGAAGGCTACCATGGAACATCGCTTGGAGATGATGGGCATCCGCAAGAACATGTGCATTTCAGAAATCAAAGAGATCGACACCAAGATTGCAAACCTCAATACTATGAGAAAAATCGTCCTTCAACGACTAGCTGGTCACGAGCAGGAGGAAGTCGACCTCGAGCATGAGATTCAAGAGATGACCGAGAAGCTTCAGGATATGCAGGAGGCAATAGAAGATGCTGCTGCTTTGGCTACCAAATCTCCGCCACTCGAGCCCACGCCAGACACGCCAACCGATATGGCCGAGTCTACCGAGACCTTCATGTCTGAGTCCGTCTACGGAAAACTGCCAACCCCTTCACCCACCAAGACGGATAAGGAGAAGGAAAAGGAGAGAAAGAAGCGCCGTGTTAACAGGCGCAAATCAATGCCTGTCTTGCACGAGCACATGGAGAAGGGTTCTCGAATTCGTGAATTCCAAGCTCACAACGACATGATCACCGCTCTGGACTTTGACGCTCCTTTCGGTACTCTCGTTTCCGCTGCTCTTGACGATACAGTACGCGTATGGGACTTGAATGCTGGAAGATGCATTGGTCTTCTCGAAGGCCACCACGCCTCGGTTCGCTGCCTGCAGGTACAGGACAACTTTGTAGCCACTGGTTCAATGGATGCCAGCATTCGTTTTTGGGACTTGAACCAAGCCGAGTATTCTCCTCCGCCGAGCTCACGGAATAACAGGTTCGGTCGACTGGACAGGGACGCGGACGACGAAGATGACGCCGATATGTTGTCGGATCCTGAATTGGATCCTCTCCCTGTCGCACCTACATCTTCCATGCAGGATTGTCTGGTTACCGAACTCTCTGCTCACGTGGCCGAAGTCACTGCTCTCCACTTCCACAAAAATACTCTCGTTTCTGGCTCAGCCGACAAGACACTTCGCCAGTGGGACTTGGAGAATGGTCGCTGTGTGCAAACACTGGATGTCATGTGGGCAGCAGCTCAGGCTAGTGTATCAAATAACAGCTTCGGCGCTCCATCCCCAGCTGCTGCAGATCCTAGTGCCTCAGAAGGCTGGTGGCGACCTGCTTCTGGCCGTTTGCCGCCTGCTGAAGCGGACTTTGTTGGTGCCATCCAGGTGTTCGAAACAGCATTGGCATGCGGTACAGCAGATGGCATGGTCAGACTCTGGGATCTGAGAAGCGGCAGTGTTCACAGGAGTCTGGTTGGCCATACGGGGCCCATTACGTCTTTGGCTTTCTCTGGCATTCATATGGTGACTGGCAGTGCTGATCGTAGTGTTCGGGTATGTTGTATTCCACTTTCCAACTTGATGACACATTCTAACNACAATTTACAGATCTGGGACCTCCGCACTGGTGGCATCATTGACGCATTTGCATACGATTCACCTATTGTCGACTCATCTGTTGACGCAAGACATATCGTGTCTGCCATTGGTGAATCAGTGGTCAAGATTTATGACAAGACAGATGGCAACCAATGGGACTGCGGACCTGGAGCCTCTGAAGAGGAAGACCAAGGGCCGTTTTCGACCATCGAGCGTGTCCGCATCAAGGACGGATATCTGGTTGAGGGTAGANAAGATGGTGTTGTCGGCGTGTGGTCATGTTAATAGTCCCGGCAAAATAAAGGAAAACAAAACACACGAGCATATCGTTTCCTCAGCAAGGCACGTGAAGGCCTGCCTAGCTCGATGAAAAGACTAGACCCTGTTAAAATAAAATCTTGGCGGATTTATGTCATGTCCGGGATTTTGCTCTGCTGCTTCGCCTCTGAAGCATCCAATTCTTCTCTAATACTCCTACTTCTTCGTAACCTTTGTGATATTTTTGCCGCCTGTCCTATCGTCGCCCTTCTCTTTCTTGTGCTTTCTGCTATTCCGAACGCTTGCATATTCTGTCCTTACCGCTCGCCTCGCTCTATCCATTTATCATCACTCGTGCTCACAGAATGCTCGTCCGAGCAGCAGGTCGCAGGACGCGGCGAAACACGTCACTACACCTTACTCACCTCGCCGACTCGCTATACCTCCCTTTCCTCTGTCCTGCTCAGACACGATGGAACTCGTCACATTCGCCGCAAACTCCCCAATCCAGAACCCACACACGCCTTCAATCTTTGAGCACCGACAAGATACAAACGAGGCGCCTGGCCACAGTCGCCGATCAACACACAATATCCTCCGACTCGCCACGATGGACTTTTGGCGGAGTCGAATACTCCCTCGATCCCAAGGACACTCTCATGCTGCAACATGACATGCAGACATCACATGAGCCTAGACGCATGTTCACAAATGGACTCGCTAGCAATGTCAACGACCTTGTACAAAGTCTACACACATGTCTCCGTGTGGAGCGTTTCGAGAGAGCTCGTCTTGTCATCGAAAAATTGCGCCAACGCTGCCCCAAAGACTCGTTTGAAATCCAACACGCTCACAATGCATATCTTGAGGCAAGCCTCGCGCAAATCGAGAACGCTCAAGGACATCTTTCGAAAGTGAGATACTACGAATCTATGCGAGATTGGTTCGAGAATGATCTTGTACAACAAGATTATCCTATCGAATCGCAAATGCTAGTTCTTATGATGCGCGCCGCCATGAACTCGTTGGCAAACGTCAAGCAAGAACGCGCCATTCGTCGATATGCAGAGCTCGCAGAGGTCTCTGGACCAGATATGCTCGACGAGATTTGCGATGCCGACGACTTTACCGACGACGAGTTCATGAGAATCGGATCCATACTCCCTACCCTCAAGTCACGGCCGGCAGAGATCGAGCAACCCACCGACACAAAAGAACAACCTTCTGATCCAGATGTCTACCCTATGCCCGAGCTCACCGATATACCAGCGGTACTTGAAGTTGCACAGAAGGGAATGGGCCTGGCTTCTCTAAAACAAGCCCTCGAAGCTGCATCACCTGCCCTCCGGTCAACCACACCACTCGAGGATATGGACAGGGCCCGACTTACACCAGAGGACCGTGAGCGTCTGCTTGAAGAGAGCGCAGGTCTAGCTGCCATCTCGCGTTGGAAACTCGAGGAGGAACATCTGCAAAAGCTTGGTATACACAGCACTCTTGAGTCAAAGCCGCTTGGCGCTTTGATGTGGCAATGGTACTCGGACTTGCTGCCTGCGCTGCGCGATGAGATAGAAGCCTGTCGTGGGGTCATGGACAGCCCTCCACGAGACAACACTGTAAAAGACCAGCTCATCTACGGACCTTTCATTGAGGCTGTGCCAATAGAGCAACTCGCCGCGACCACTATCCTCAGCGTCATGTCTGCGTTCGCTAGCGGCAAGGAGAGGAGCTCAGGCACCTACAACAGTAATCAGAGGCTTGGACGTCTTACTGCCACTCTTGGANAAAGTATGCAGGATGAGGCCAACGCCGAAGCCGCTAGACAGCGTGCTATTGCTGACCGCAAAGCAAAGTTCGGTCGTGCTTCCAAGAAACAGCCAAAGGCAACACACCCGTACTTCGACTCGGAGCTGCACGTCTGGCCTAGTGATGTTCGCGTCAAGTTGGGTGCTATGCTTGTCTCGAAACTCATCGAAACTGCCAAGATTCCTGTTACTAGACAACATCCTAGGACANAAGAGATGGTCACGCAGACCCAGCCAGCTTTCCTCCACAAGACACTTTACGAATCAGGAAGAAAGCAAGGCTGGCTTTGTCCCAGTTCTGAGTTGATTCAANAACTTCATCGCGAGCCAGTGGCTGGTCTGATCGCCAAAAGACTTCCTATGGTTGTCGAACCCAAACCTTGGACTAACTTCAGTAGAGGCGGCTACCTCAACTATCCCACACCTGTTATTCGTTTCTCTGGAGCAGATAGTGTGCCTCGTGACTACGCATATGCCGCTATCCAACGAGGAGATCTGGACAAGGTGTTTGAAGCTCTTAACGTCCTCGGTAAAGTTCCCTGGAAGGTCAACGAGAATGTGCTGCGTGTGCAAATTGATGCATGGAATAGTGGCGAGCCTATCGCCAACTTTGCTCCTCTGAACCCAAAGCTTGATCTCCCTCCCGAACCTGCCGACAAGTCTGACCCTCAGGCGCGTCGTCAATGGCTACAGACAGTCAAAGATCTCGAGAACGTCAAAGGCGGCTACCATTCGCAAAGGTGTTTCCAGAACTTCCAGCTTGAGATTGCCAGAGCTTTCAGCAAGGAGAAGGTCTACTTCCCTCACAACATCGATTTCCGTGGTAGAGCGTATCCTATCCCACCTTATCTCAACCACATGGGTGCCGACAACGCTCGTGCTCTGATGACATTTGCCAACGGANAAGAGCTGGGCGAAGTCGGATTGAGATGGCTTAAGATTCATCTGTCCAACGTCTTTGGTTACGACAAGGCCAGTCTGTCGGAGAGAGAGAAATTCGCTGATGACCACATGGACGACATTCGCGATTCAGTAGCTAACCCTTTGAGTGGCAGAAGATGGTGGCTTCAGTCTGAGGATGCATGGCAGACTTTGGCAGCTTGCTACGAACTGAAAGCAGCCATGGACCTTCCCGACCCAACCAAGTATGTCTCACATCTTCCTGTACACCAGGATGGTACTTGCAATGGTCTCCAGCATTATGCAGCTCTTGGTGGTGATTCAGCTGGTGCCCGTCAAGTCAACTTGGAACCTGGAGACAGACCTTCTGATGTCTACACTGCCGTTGCCGAAGGAGTAAAGGCAGAGGTCGAGAAGGACTATGCCGCAGGTCATCCTGTAGCAACATTCCTCAGAGGCAAGATTACTCGCAAGGTCGTCAAGCAGCCAGTCATGACCAACGTTTATGGTGTCACCTACTTTGGCGCTAGAGCACAAGTCAAGAAACAACTCGAGGAGATCTTCCCTGACATCCACCGTCATGATGCTCTGGATCATCTTACGCTTGCCTCTTACGTCGCTAAGAAGATTTTCAAGTCTCTCGGCGAGATGTTCAAGGGTGCACAAGCCATCCAGACATGGTTGGGAGATTGTGCAGACCGCATCTCCACTTGCGTCACACCTGAGCAGATTGAATCTATGCGAAAGGATAATTCAGAGGGCAGATCTATCATTCCCAAGGGGTCTGCAGCTGTCAAAGGTAAAGCAAAGCACGGTGCCGCACAGCGTGTGGAAGCATCGAAGCATCTATTCCGCAGCTCAGTCATCTGGACTACTCCTCTTCGTCTTCCTGTCGTACAGCCTTACCGCACTTCGAAGCGCCGTCAGGTCAAGACCAATCTGCAGAACATTGCCCTGCAGGAGCCGACTGCAATCGATCCTGTCAGTAAGCGCAAGCAACTGCAAGGTTTCCCTCCCAACTTCATTCATTCATTGGATGCGACGCATATGATGTTGTCCGCCATCAAGTGCAACGAGAACAACATCGCCTTTGCCAGTATTCACGATTCCTTCTGGACTCATGCTTGCGACATCAATCATTTGTCTGTCGTTCTCCGCGATGCTTTCGTCGCCATGCACACTGAGGACGTCGTTGGTCGCCTGCGCCAGGAGTTCATTGCTCGTTACAAGGATTGCATGTACCTTGCTGCCGTGGACGTTCGTACGCCAGTTGGCAAGAAGATTCTCGAACTTCAGAAAAGCCGTCCCAAAGCAACCAAGAAGAGCAAACAGCTACAGCCGACGTTGATTCTTCAACTTTTGGAAGAGGTTGAGCGCACACGTCTGCTCAATAGCGAGAACCCCGAAGAAGTCGCACAAGGTGAAGAGATGGTCACCTCTGGTAGCATCTTTGCCGCTGAAGCTGATGCTGAAGATGCGCTGACCGTGCCTACCGAGATTGTCAATGCACGTCTCGGTGAAATTCCTGAGAACTCAGATATCTTGGGCACTTCCGAGACTGGCACTGACGACTTGACCGAGCCCGTCTTGGCCGATCACGACGACCTCGACGCTACCGGCGACGACAAGATCGCCAAAGCAGCCGAAGACGCTGCTATTGAGATGGATGACGGGGAAGAACACGTCCCCACCATCGAAGACTTAAAGAGAAAGGCTCCCAAAGCCGCAAAGAAGGCACCCGTCAAGAAGGTGTACGTCTGGTTGCCACTCAAGTTCTCCGAGGTTCCCGAGAAGGGTGACTTTGACGTGACGAGATTGAAGGAGAGTCAGTACTTCTTCCACTGAGGCTGCCTCCAATCCTCTGTTTCATGTTTTGTATATATATTCTGAGGGTGTGATTTTTTGGTGTATAAGGGGAGGTCTTTCTTGCATATGGGTGGTGTTGTTGAAAGCGGTAAAAAGCGAGGTGTTGTCTCTTTTCTCCCTTTTGCTTGGAGTTTTATCGGAAAAGGCAATGCATGAATGTTTAGAATCATGTAGACTTGTATCACTATATCCCTATCGCTACTTCCTTCTTATTTCTTGTTTGCTGATTCTTTTCTCGCTTGCTCGCTGTTTGTTCTTGTTTTGTTGCTTGGTACTTCTTGCATTGGAAGGATCAGCAACGAGTCTTTCGCGCATCTCTCTGAAGCGACATTGGCTTTATCCACCATCTGAGCCCTGTTGCAACAGCTCATCATTGCCATCTGGAGAAGATGTTCCATTCACCTGATGCTAAAGAGTGTGGCCCGTGTGGGTCTTGAAGACGTGGAGATTTGACTTCGGACCGAAGCATCCTTCCACTGCACCACATCCCTTCCTTCTGACTTGCGGAGTTTGACACTACTTGCCCTCTTTTGTTTCGCAATTACTTGCGTGAGAGCATGGAGTTTTTCATCGAGACAAATACAGTGCTCGCGTGACTGAGCAACAGTGGCTCTCGCCTGCCGAGTTTAGCGATCCAACTAAAGATGATCATTTATTGGGATACTCAAGAAAAACAATTACGTACGGAATTGGCCCACTTTTACCTTTTGAACATATGGCTACCTAATTTCTGGTGAGTATTTCAAGGAGAAGGAGCCAGCCTCCTGGGAACAGCTTCCACCAACCCAGAATTTCGCTGCCTTAAATACGAGTCGTGCATTGTTCCTTCCTCTGTGGACCCGAATCCTTCTACACACTTGGCACAGCGAAATGACGACGGACCAACACCGCTCTTGCGCAGCCACCGTTGTCCTGCCTCACAAACTGACACTTCTCGAGTCGATCGTGATCCTGACGCAGCCATGGTTATGGTAGGCATTGAAGCCTTCTTGCTGCAGATCTGATCCATGATTGAATCTGGCAGCCTGAAAACAATGCGATCCTCCACTCTACAGCCCACTCATAGACACACTGTAGAGCGACCGCACTGATCATGTGTAGGTAGGTACTGTGCTCTGAAGAAGATCTTCACCGTTTTATCACTCCTGTCTCTGTGGCACAGCAAGGGACACATTTTTATTGTGAGCTGCTGTTAAGGCTGCTATATTCGAAAGTCAAATCCTTATTATCTGCCATCAATGTTTTTATACGCTTCTTTTACAATGCCGCAACCGGCACAGCTCGTCGATATTTGCAAAAACTATGCTGTCTCAGAGGACTTCCTACCAATCCGCGATCGAGAGTCATGTGCAGCAAGTCCCATGGCTCGGTAACCTCGACCACAGAGCATTACGAATCATCCCTTCAACGTTAGCCGTCTTGACGACCAAAGCTATCTTCGTGAATGGCTTCCATCATCCTCTTCGACTACTATTGCTGCACCTCCTAGCGACGCTACTTTGGGAACTCATTCTATGGATTTCCTCACGCAAGACCCAACATACATCCGATGCAAAAGACTATACACTATACGAACTAGCTCGTAGAGCAAACATATTCTCGAGGAGTGGAGCGAAGCTTGGCCTACGCTTCGCTTGTGGCATTGGAGCATTGCTATGCGAGTACGTGGCTATCTACCGTTTCCGCTCGCTTCCTGCTCTGAGTATGCTGCTCTTGCCAGATTGGAGTCAGATCGTCCACTTTGTGCGTCATAAAGATATCGCCATTGCAAAAAAGGCTGCTGCATGTCTTGGGTGCATTGTAGGTGTTGCAATGATACTCGTCTTTGAGTACCAGCTATCAGAGGTTGGGCTCAAGTCAACAGGCACGGCAATCTTTCTGGGCCTTGCTGCACAACTGCTTCGCCAGGAGCCAGTCGCCTTGGATGATTATGAAGGTACACATTCTTGGATTCCCATTGCTTCAGCCCGCGACAGGACATTGCTTCTTCCGTTGGCTATCTTCGTCACCATGGTAGCAGTCTACTTGAGAGAATATCTGATATATACACCGCCGCTCTCCAAGACACTACTCGCTGTTCTAGCTGTCAATACTCTTGCTGCAGTTATACTCTTCCAGTACAACGGGTCATACTTCAGACAGACGGAGCCACTCGCTACATTCAACGGTATTGAGGAAGATCTTGACGATGATGATATGCAACCCTTTCTTGAAGCTGTAGCACTCCAGACTGTGATAGCTCTAGGCAGCTTCATGATCGACTCATCAACGGTGTCTATTCAACAGTATATCGGTTTCTGGATTGCCCTGATCACGCTTCTCTGGGTCAGTCGGCAGTTCAGATCCAGTGCTGTGAGTGGCGCGAACTACACGCCTATTGGCGTGTCACCGCACAATACTGAACAACGTCTGCCGGATTACGAGACTGTTGACATGCCTAAGACACGCAGAGATACCGAGTGGAGTGGCTCATTACAAGCCATATTCTTAGCAGTCTGTATTCTCCTCTCTGTATCACTGATATTGTCTAGCCATACCTTGCCTCGACCATCGTCGCGCTGGGTACCAAGACACGATCATTCAGATCTATCTTTCAACACAACAAGATCTCTAGACTTTGTTGTGTCCCGATACGATGAATCCGCAGCTCAAGTTGCACAGCAGATCAACTCTCTATACGCACTTCCAAGCATTGGCGCTCTAGCATCACGTCTTGTGGTCTACAGTACGAATGACAACGACACTGGCGGATTTACACAAGACCTACAGCGATTGCTACATCCAACCATCGACCTAGTGGTCTCCCAACACCCAAACGTAGGCCGAGAGGCTGCAGCCTATCTCAGTCACATACTCTCCAACTACCACAACCTTTCAGACCACACTTTTTTCTTGCAAGCCGAAATGCACTCTCCCAATCTCATTTATCCACGACTTGAGAGTTACTTTGTTCCTCAGACAGGCTTTTTGTCTCTTTCGGATACACATTATCAACTCAACACTTGCATCAATCAACCCTGGGATCACTCGACGTGGTCAGAAGATCCTGGGGTCTTGAACGCTATCTATGAGCAAGCCAATATTACGGGATGTAAAGACTATGCACTCACCTATCGCGGCCAATTCATTGTTTCCCGATCTCGTGTTCTGGCGCAGAACAAACAGCTTTATTCACATCTGCTGCATAACTTGGTAGATCCTGATGCGGTAACGCATTCAGAGGAATACCTCAAACAGCCTTGGTTGCCGAGTAAACAGGACAGCCTCAATGCACCTTTGTTTGGGTTCACGACAGAGAGGATATGGGGATTAGCATTTGGATGCGAGGGAAAGATGGACAAGTGTCCGAGCCTGGTATCTAGTGCTTTAAGGCAAAGTCTAGGAATGGGCATCAAAGGCGATATAGGAGATTGTCAGTGCTTAGATCCTTAGGATTCATTTACATTCGTTCTGTTCATGCTACATATAATGTTTGATACCTCGAGCTCTTTTTCATCTTTCCTTGTCCCCAAGAAAACACTTTGGCAACTTCTCTTCTACTTGTTGTTGCCTGTAGCCACACCCCAGAAATAAGCACTCCATCCTCCAAGCATAAGCATCATCGTAAATCCGAAACAAAGCACCGAAATCCGTTTGTTTCTGTGCTTCATCGTGGTCTCGAATCTCTGCAGTCGTTCTCGGATGAATGCGCCTTGGGCAAGTCGCTTCTTGCGACTCCATTGCAAGCGTCCAAGATCTGGTGAGAGAAAGGATAAGAGGAGGATGACTAGGGACACGGCAAGAGAGGCGCAGCCGAAAAAGGCGTAGACGCGGACGACGCGCGTGTAGGCGTTGTTGTCTGCATCTTGGATTGCGCCGGTGAGGATGCGGGTGATGCAGGACATACTGTGTTTGTGTCTGTCAGCTTTTGCTTCAACCCCTTTTGATAGTTCGTCAAGGCAGACTTACGCATTGTTGATGGTAATCTTAATCCCATACGCCGTGCCAAAAGCCCCCTGATGCCACATGGACGTCCTAATACTGTCGATAATAACAGTCGGCCCCAACGAAAACGCAAACGCATAAATGCCAAACGCAGCAGCTGTTCCCTTGACGGAAGGAGCCCAACAAACCAACGCCATGGAAAGAAAACATCCAGCTCCACACACCACCATCACACTTACCCTCTGACCCACAAGATCTATAAACACACCTAAAAGCGGCACAAANAAGAACCCTGCATACTGCAACACTGCTGTATACCAACCCGCCTTGACCGCACTAGTCTTAAACCTCTGCTGTGCAAACTCTGTCGCGTTCTGGGAAAACACATTTGCGGTTGTGGTTTGAAACAGTGTAAATGCCATGATACTCCAAAAGGGCCAAGGCATTTGGAGCACCTTCTTAAAGTCGATTTTCTTGTTTTTCTCGGTGAGTTTTTCGCCTGTGGAGGGGTCGGCGATGGACGAGTAGCGGGAAGAGCAGAAGCGAACCAGGAAGAAAAGAAGAACGGTTGCCAGATTGGTGAAGAGGTTCATGCCCACCATTGTCCAGAAGACGCTTGAGAAGCCGCAGTTCTGTTTGACGGTTAGTCAGTCGTTCCTTCCTCTCCTTTTATTTTCTGCTGGAAAAAAAAATGGAAAGTAGCAGAGTTCTTGATGGCTCTTACCTTTNGCAATGATGTTAGCAGTCGACTTGCCAACAAAGCCACCAATNCTGCAAATCCTCGTCGTCAGCAAAACAAAATCTTGCGCCGTTTCCAGAAGGCACGAACTCACCTTCTTAATCCCCAACTCAAACCCCAGCGTACTCGCAAACCCAGCACTGGGTGGGAACCAACTGCTAAAGACCTTATACTGCGCAACCTGCGTCGCAATATCTCCAAAACTCGCTACCACCCTCCCGACGATCATGAATTTGAAACTGCGCATTTGTGCAGCTCCAGCGATGAAGATTGATCCGATAGTGTAGATGATGTTGCCGTAAACAATGCATCCTGTGCCCCCTAGACGGTCGGTAAAAATACCGGTGAGGAGAATCAGGGCTGATGACATGAAATCCTCGCTGGCTTCGAGCAGAGAGAATTGGGTGTTGTTGATGTGCATTTCCTTTCCACTCTATCAGTATTCCTATACTTTTGTGCGAGAACAATATGTAATAGTGTACCTTTTGATGGTCGATTTCATGGCAGAGCTAACACCACCACTCCATTGAGATCCAAATCCAATGCAAGAAACCAGCAACACACTGAGCAACTTGATTTTCATTGGTACAGGAGGAAGTGTATTAGCCGGATCATCCTGCGAAGAGTCCACAGATGAGTCGTCAAGGGCTGTAACAACTGCAGTCTGAGCCTCCTTGTCCTGTACATCTCCTGAAAGATTTGTTTGATTCGTGATTTCCTGATCCTGGATGATTGCCGACTGGCTCTTGCCTTCATCGAAGGCTTCAACAAATCGTCGGGTCGACATGGCTAGAGGCACGCAGAGACACGAAAAGACCAAAACCAATTCTATGATCAAAGGCCTACCTGCAAAAGACAGAGATAAGATCCAAGTGCGGATGTCATACTTAAAGCACGTTTCTTGCTCGGCACCTATGTGCCTAAATCGGACCATACATCTACTTGGCAAGGCGTGTTGAGCTCAAAACGACGTGAGAAGTCGGAAGCTGTTGTCCTGTCGCCCAAAAAGCACTGATCAGATAAAGCGGACCGATGATCTGATAATACGCTTTGATCATTTTATGGCTCGAGAAAAACTTGGCAACTCGGAAAGCCATATCAGAATTGCAAACATTGCCGATGGCGCGTGACCCTCCGGAAGGCCAGCCAGCATTGTCGGTCTTTGACGGGAAGGAACGATGGTTTTTGTATCTGGAGGGAGTTGTACTTGTGTACAGTTGAATTGTGAATCTGAAGAGCTCTTGCAAATGTATGGTGACTGTCCGACTTCCAGAAAAGGACCGGACACAACGATATTATGAGTGGGGCTTGCCTTAGTCAGTGTACCAAGTTTGTGTTCAGGCGCGGCAGGATAAAAGATATGTTCTGGTCAAGATCGATCTCTTCTGACAGCATTCGTCACAAGGTGACACGCATGTCACATTCATTCGTGCAACAAGACAAGCGTTGCAGACAAAAGACATTGAAAGTCCATTCAAACCCATACACACCACGACGTGAAACAAAACAAGAAGACATACTATTTCCTCCGTCACGCCTCATGCGAAAATAATGAAGATATTACACGGTGTTACCGTCCAACCTGTCTCTGGTGGACAAGAAAGTGACCAAAAGAGACTGTTCCTCCCTCTCTCGCTCTCCAGGATGATGATCGTTCAACGCAAATGAAGAGATTAGAAGACAAAGAAAATGCATCGACGCGATGAAAGCGACATGAAATACCAGAAGAGAGGCGAATGCCAATCGTCTAGTCGCTCTGGCATAACAGAGTCTGTTGATGAACTTTTGGCAAAGGTCCGGCACAGCATGCTATTGCTGAAGTATGAAGTATGTACGTGCAAGGCGTTCAGATACCGATAAGAAATGCGCCAATGCTCGAGTCGCCGCCGTCTTTGGAGACTCTAGTCATTTGAACCTAGGAGATAAAGGAACTGACTCAATCGTTTTGTACTCGCAAGGTGACGAAAGGAGCGTATATGTTGCGAATTGAGTAATGCAATCAGGTGAGAAGGAGAGAAAAGGAATGATTTTGGTTGTTGAGTTTGTCGACCTGAAGAGAACGGGATCTGCAAAGATGAGCTATGTGATCCGTTCTGCAGGTTCGTCGACATGTGAAGATTGAGATGCAGTCGTGACTTTGGCAATCTATCGGAAGCCGTGGGCTGGACGGGGTCCTAAGCTGCTAGAGCTGCTGTGGGCCGAAGGGTCGGAATCAAGGGGCACCGAGTGGTTGCTATCACCACTCCCCGCGCTAGCGCTCGCGGAACCTGTCAGACTGCGTTCTTGAGGGCCGCTTTTGGGCGGATAGAGATGGCTCACCCCGTTCTGCTGTTCAACATGCTGTGGCACTTGACCTTGTTGGGTTGGTGGACGTTGCATTGGCGAGCCCATAACACCAGGAGGCGATGGTCGGCCATTCATGTGGGCCGGGTATCCATTCTGTCCATTTGGCGGGTAAGGGCGTTGTCCGGGGGGTCCTCTTGGGGGTCCGAGAGGGTGTCCAGGGGAGTTACTGGCACGTCGGCCCATCTGAGGAGGCATTGGGCCAGGATAAGGGCCTTGGCCAGGAGCACCGCCTCGTGAGAGCTCGTTCAGGCGTTCTGCAGTGAGTGAGTTGGTTCTCGATTCCTGTCCAAGGTTGTGACGGTCGACGCCTCCATATCTGTCTGACGAGTATCCTAGCAACGGGTTGCCCATGAGGTTCTCGTGCAGACCAGGGATCTCGGACATTAGTCGGGCACTGGTTCGGTTCTGCACCTTAGGCCTTCCGAACATGCCTCTGCCGCCTCCCNNTCTCATCGGTGGGCCGCCCATCTCTGGGTTATTGCGGAGTTGGTTGGCAGAGGGTGGGGGTGCTTTGCGGGTGCGTCTCGACGTAACGCTCATCATGTCGAAGTTGTCGGGGTCAATCATGGGGACATTTCTTCCTGCAGCCATGGGGTCAAAGTAATCTTCACCATCCTCGTCGTCATCATCGAAGCCCCCGGCATGAGAAGCAGGAGGAGGAGGCATACGACGTCTCATGTTGAACTCTTGCTCTCTCAAAGCCAATTCTCTTTGGCGGAGAGCCAATTCTCTCTCACGCATTCCCATCTCACCTCCGGGACCGGCACCGTTCGGAATCGCGCCTTCGGGCAGAGCGCCTTCTGGCAGGTTGTCGTAAAGCATCAGGTGACTGAACTCCTCAAGTTCATTGTCTTCGAGAGAAGGACGGCGGGTTGGCTGCTGGGAAGGACCACGTTGGCCATTTCCATTCATTCTGATGGGCGGGCCGAAGCCATTGTTCATCGAAGGACCTCTGCGCATCTGGGGAGGTGGGCCACCAGTCATTGAAGGTGCTCTGCTCCCAGGTCTCATCATCCCGGGTCTACCAGGATGACCAGGCATAGGACCATTCATTGGGCCACGCTGGTTGGGACCAGGACCCATGTTCGGACCTGGGCCCATACGAGGTGTCTGTGCAGGGTTTGGTGATGAGACTGCAGCTGCAGGGGGTGGGCGGGATTGGTTCAATGTGTTGATGTTGTGAAGAAGAGCATATAATGTTTCTATGCGAGGGACTGAAACACCTGCATCTTGCGCGAGCTTGATAGGAGCGCCGAGGAAAGTCTCGATTTCCAGAGGTCGGCGGGCAGTGAAGTCTTGGTACATGGTGCTGGGTGTGGCGGTGGGTTGGATCATGGCTTCCATAGTCTGCTCTGGGAAGTCTTCGGGGAAAACGCAGCCTTGGGATTTTGCGAGAACAAGGAGCTCCTCAATTATGCCGACGATCATAGACCGAGCGCCCGTCTTCTCGAGTAGCTCGGCATGGTTGGGCGTTTCGAACAAGACACTGGCGGGATGGAAGGCAATAGGNGCTGCGATGAATGGATTAGAAATGGTCAACAGGCCGGATTTGGAGACTTACCCGATCATGCGCTCGTACTGTTGTTGCCTAATGTTAGTCGACACCTTGCAGTCCACCTGACCTGAGCTCAATGTCATGGCCAATGCTTCGGCCATGTCTGATTGTATCGAAGCAGGAATCGACGGGTTTCTGTTGGCAGGCCCGACCCAGATGTCGGCCGAGCCCTTGTGTTCGAACTCGCTTGCGCCCACTTGTGAAAGCTCGGCGCCAGCGACAAGAGACAGAACCACGTTTGTAGGGAATCTTTGCTCGAGATATGACTCGACACCAAGCGAGTGTGTTGTGTTGATCAGGATGCATGTATGCTGAGGAGCGACGACCGACTCGATGATTGATGCAATATCGTACACGTCTGGGAGTGCCTTGATGCACAGAAGGACGTAATCGTAAGGCGCTCTTGAAGTCTTTGCGGCTTCTTCGGGAGTGCGGACAACTTTGAACCGTGTTAGCATACGAGCCTTGTGTGATGACGAGCGCGGTGACTGACCTTGTCTGGGTTTGAATCTCTCGTTTCCGAATGTAGCAGACCTCAAAGAGTCAGTTGTGTATGCAGAGGTAGCGACAGCATTGGCTTACTTGAACGAAAGGCCGTACTGCGACACGTTCTCAAAGCCGTTCTTCCAGACGAGAGTGACATCGCATGCGTTGGTCGCCGAGAGTCTCCATGACATGAAAGCAGAGACGGCATTTCCGCCGACTACAAGGATGTTAGTGAGCTGTTGCCTCTGTTGCGGTTGCTCGACAGCCATGATGGATTGGCGGCTCGTGTCAGAGATGGGAAGGAGAGGCGTGAGGAGAGCAATGCTCGATGTGCATATGATTGCAGCACACCAGGACAGTGCAAGTGCGATTAGCAAAGCGGGTGGGATGGGCAGTGATGGATATTTGCTTGAGCTAGAAAAGTGGATCCGGTTCCAATGGCGCAGCGTGGAAGGGCAAGGATGGTTAGGAACATGGACGGCATGACTGACCTGACAGGATGCGCAATCTAGGAACTGTGGGCGCCATGATGCGATACGCTCAAAGCGCGAGAGGGAAATGGACGCGAGACGGCGGTGGCTGAGGACAAGAGAGTTGTGATGTCGAGGACCGAAGCAAGAGCGCAACAGCGAATCCAAGCGTCACGGGCAATTTCCAAGATCAGCCAAACGGTTAGAGGCACGCGTACGGATTCGAGCGGTATATAAAGGGAGTCAAGGGGTGGATGGAAAAACGAGTGTAAGAGGTCAAGTCAAGCCAGCGGTGGGCAATGTGCAATCCTGAAAGTCAAGACGAGGGAAGGCGAGGTTGAGCGTCGGAGAGATGAGGAGAAACTAACTGGGTGGTTGACGACGATGGGTCGAAGGAGTGCCAGCAAAGTCTGGCTGGCACTTGGTTCGCTTCCCGTTCAGTCGGGCGATGACAACCCGCGCAACCACTAAATACAACAAGCAATGCTTGATGAATCCTAGACAACCAATTACAGTGCTTAATTGCTTTGACAGCAGTCCGTCTCAACTCATCAAATGCAGCCTGTTCACCAGCTCGAATATCATCTTTTCTAGTCTGATGATTACGCCTGTCCGGGAGGCGTCATCATCGTCAGTTTGTTGACGTTCGCAACCACGACAGTGGTACTGCCGCGAAGCAAGAAAAAAACTCCGGCTCGACATCTCCGCCGCTTCGCCGCCGAGGCATCGGTTTCCGCGCCATGGTTTCTGTTTCTCATCGACCGCAGGGATTGTGTTTCGCTCTCCTTACTGTCGCATATATAAGTAGCTAGTCATCGCCATGGTCTCACTGCTGTGCCTCATCGAAGATCCCGTCAACAACTGTCTCAACACTGTAGAAAGCTATACTATTAATACCTGTCTGCCTACTATCGCGTTCATCTGGCCAGCTTCTTCGTCAACCCCACGTTGAGCTGCCACACACAATTTCCCGACCCCTGCACGGTCTATCTTTCGTCGAGGACCAAGCACCCCAGTCGATAGTAGCGAACGTCGATTATCCCATCTGCAGATCAATGCTCCCGGCAGGCACAAGAGTAGCTAGCCTTGCTATCGAAACATGACTATCGAATATAGATCCAAGCTTCGAGCACTAGTAAACAAAAGTCAACAAAGAATGTGTTTCCAGAAATTGCAAGAGCGACAGCGACATCAATCCACTTCCTCTTCTCAAACCTCTGATGCAAGAAACATTCCGCTTCATGATGGCATGAGTACTTGTACCATCCCAACGCCGAAACAGTAGCGTTGTTCTATGCACGTACTACGGATGTCCATTCAAAGGCTGAACCTACACCATCTGGTATCTGACTCGGACTGCGGGAGCTATGCGATCCGGACTCGTATACAGCATTATGCTCTTCTGTGACAGTCGCACAGCAGAGCCGCCTTTACTGTTTGAAATATGCATTGTTTTCAGGGCTGTGGTATGTCACATTTGCGATTTCAGAATTCTGTCGCAACATCTATATAATTGCGATCTTTGGGTATCTGACGACCTGCATGTTGAGGACTATCCAGGATGTGTGAGAAATACCCTTGATAGGCTGAATACACGCCTCGGAGTCAAGGACGAACTGCTTGTGGTGTCTCCGAGATTTCTGGAGATCCTTCGCGTCTCATTAAAGCAAAGGAAGATATCATTGGTTGGTCTACGGAGATTGTTCCTCTCAACTGTATGGCATGACGAGGAGCAACAAGTGCAGCGAACCAAGCAAGCACGACTTTTGCTGATTCATGCGCTAGGCAACTGAGTACAAGAAGCCATAAGCTTGAAGAAAGGCTTGTTGGTCTGAAGTCAACAGAATCTGAGGACCAACAAGTTGTCTTGAATGCACTCAAACGATACGCTCTTGACGACCAGAACACCTTTCAGGTTGTGGTCCTCTGAAGACATGATGAGTGCGCATCTTGACGAGAATGGTCTCTGGTACGATATACGCTTATCGTCGATACGGAGATACGCAGTTCCGTCTGCTCTTCACAGCCACACACCGGTTGCTGCTCTTCTCCAGAGAAGGATCCATGATCCTTGTTTTCCATGTCTCCCCATACCTCCGTATCACACTTACGGATACTTGAGATGTCATTCCTGTATGCTCCCGACCGGAACATAATAAGCTTTTGCCCTTTTCTTTATGGTCTCGAAGTCCCTTGTTTCTCATTTTGATAGACCACTCAGGGCATGCTTGCGAACAAAAACATTATTTTCATGCTTGGTACGAAAGTGAGACAGCAAAAAGGTACAGCACCGGTTGAACCCGCCGCCGCGGCCCTTGCGCTTTCAAGAACGGTTACCCGTTGAACGGTTCGAAAAGCCTCATAAATCTTAAGAGAAAAATGCGACAGCCGAGCGTGCCGAAATGGACAAACGGACAGTTTTTTCGCAGCAAGCTGCACAACATGAGCTGCCTGACCGGAAACGTGTTCCTCGGATGCAAGAGCTGCCGAGTGACAGCCTGCGACAGTTGTAGAGTCGTTATCGATGTTCACGAACACCGTCGCAACTTTCACCTTGAGCGTTGATATTTCTCGTTCTCGCTGCGCAAAGAGATCACTCTTTGTTTGAGATGACGATTCTGGAGCGTGTACTGCCAATTGTTGAGTGGGCACTAACATCGTTGAATGGCTGGGCCCGTTACTTGAGCCTCCAGAGTCGTCACAAGCTCTTTGCCTGATGAGAAGAACAACGAGAGCGTTCCGAAGGTGTTCGGAATGGTTGCTGGTTCCCGGAGCCAATCTCAAGCGACAGCACATACCTTGTCCTGCCCAAATCATGACTGGAATGAGATGTATTGGATATCGAAGCGGATCTTTTAGTACCAACGAGGACGTAGGTGGTTTTCTTCTGCTGCAGCCAACCTCGAAACTGTTCTCGAGATTGTCTCGGAGAGTATCAGAGTCAACTCTCTCTGCCTGATCACGCACCAGTCAAGGCTATCAAGGTAATAAAATGCTTGTCAAATAGCCGGTCCTGCTCAAGCTTCGGAGGAAGTCCACTCTCACAGATCCATGGAGATCTCTGGATCCCATAATCGATTTATTTACCCGCTGAGGACATGCAACCCGCACTCTGACCTCTACCCATACAACCATGCAACCGCTTCTGCTATGAATCAAGGTTCTTCGGGCTTGCGTTCAAAGCAACAGTCCATTGCTAGAGATGCAAGTCTGACATTATGCTTGATTATTCAGCTATGTACCGCTGAAGCAACCAGATGAGTAATCAGATATGGTGATGACTGAGGAGCGGGATCTCAGCAAGCCTGTTCTCACAACCTCAAGCACTGGCTACGAGCATGTGCTTGCGTGTGTGAAAAAGCATTAAGTACACATTCAACAAACCTGCGTTAGTCGTAACTCCCTTACACCACTAGCCCAACACGCGATGTAGAGGACGACACGCAAGATGACAAAGACAGTAACAACGATAGTGTTGACTTGGCCTTGTCCCGCGACACCTTCATTAAGACGAAATGACCCGCTGCGCTCGCCACCTCTTGTGCCAATCACTGAGCGTTGCGAATGCCACCTGCCAGACCTCACGCAGACAAGCGACAGGCCACCGAGGTCGGATACCAAGAAGCGCGCTCACCGTTCATTCAAGACCTGGCGCTTCGAAGGCTGCTGGCCAGACATCAGGCGGGCAACTGACAGGCCGCAGAGGCCATACCTTAAAGAGCACTCTCGTTGGTTGTTCAACTCTTAACGCTTGCATGACTGCCAGCCAGACACCACTCAAACCTATGACTGCCCGGCAGGACGATTTCCTGCAGAACACACCACTCGAGCTCTGGATTGGAGAGATGTCCAGGACTAGCAACTACTTTCAGAACACACTTCTCACGCAATGAGTTTGATGACGACTTAGCCGACGATGTCTTGAGGACCGCTAACCAAATGTTCTACACCTACATGATGGGCGAGATGCCTCTACTATGTCTACCCCAACCTTGCGCTAAGGGTCTTCAGTCATCGGCCTCAATCAAAGGGGCATTAATCCTCGACTACATGCTGTTTCACTTGCGCAACCAGAAACAGATGCAGATACAAACCAAGGCTATCAAGAGGAATCGACAGCTGAGGCGGCCCCACAGCTCAAGGTAAAGAAGACATAGAGATCAGAAAGCCACGCAATGCAATCTCTATCACAAAACTGAAGGCAAGTACTGCCAAGGAACTCATAGGTGGTGTAACAAGTACAACTGCCGATACGCTCTTCATCTGTCCCTTCAAGGCATGCCTACATGTTCTTTGGCGGATACGCTACCCTGGGAGGCGTCTGCGGTCATTGTACAATTCGGGATCACTATGAAAGCCTCTATACCGATGATCACCTCCCTCGCGAGTTTGGCTGCGACATGGGTTTTTGGTGATATCCTAGCCAGACTCCAACATCGCACTAGACTCGAGTGTGATGTAGAAGCATTTCCACTTCGTTGTCCAGAGCCGGCATGTGAGTTTTTCTTGCAAGCTCGAACTTCTGGTTCTCATAAGCAGCAGGCTTCGGTATATCTAAACCACTATGTCTCAAGACATGCTGGTGATGCATACCACAACACCGGCTGCTATAAGGACGATGTTTGCATGCTAGGGTTCACAACCAAGTCAGTACTGCTCTTTGATTTGATTAGGAGGTGTGACTGGAACCAGAGGACTGATTATATGTAGTCGTGTTGACAAGGTGATCGAGGAGTTTACTGTGGACTTCATCATCGACCTTAGTAATCTGAGTCCTGCTCTCATGGGGGCTTTCCACGGCACCAAAGACTCGATGGAGAGGCCAGATGCCTGCAAAGATGATCCTTTCATGTATAAGCCAGGGCCAAAGTCTTCGCGATTTCCCTAAACCAATGTCAAGGAACATTGGCGAAGTCTCACTTTTCATGATCAAAAGAAGCTTGCCTCTCTGGAAGGCAGACTTGAGTGGTCAAGCACAGGGCAACACGGCGTACATAATGTTGCTAGTGTTGGCCTCGAATTTCCACCCTTCATGGACCCTAAGGCAAGCACGGACGAGAGGACTACTTCTACAAGGCTCATTTCATCTTGCAAGTTGCCTACCCCTGATGCGGTCTGGCAACGTACTAGATTCCCATCACAGGAGATGGTGCGAATGTGCTACGAAGGGGGTCGCAAAGGCTACCATTACATTTTCATCTACCGATCAAGTAACGGTGTATTGGTCAGCTCAGTGGAAACCCTATATCGCCACTGCTTAAACTCCATCCGATATAACAGGTACAGGGGCCAATGTCATGAGCATATCCCCTTTACCATCATCTCGTCGGTTTATACAATGTCGGCGTGTGTGTCGAGCCTTCTCGCTAGCATTGACATTGAGCTTGCTGTCGCAAAACGCGACCTCCAGTTACCACTTTGAGGTCATGACTAAGAACTTATTCTCGAAGATCTAGTACAACCCTAAGGAATGAAACAGCTCACAGGAGCAGGATTGCCAGAGTATCTCTACAAGCCAATGAGCCAGTGCTCATCTCTAATGGTGTCAACATATTCTCAACATACCGGACACAGGTGCAGATCTACACGCGCTTAATAACTATCAGGTACAGAGCGATTCCCTTGGTATACGGCCGCCGAATATCCCTGACACAGACAGACTAAGAGCAATATACACAGAAGAGGACAGTGGCTTTTGATACGCCTTCATCAACTCAGTACAGATTATCTAGAATAGTGCCTCCCTATCTGATGAAGACTGTCACAGTATGGCTGCAGAATTGCACAATACTTTCGCAAAGAATATGATGTCCGCAGAGTCAATCATATCCAAAGCTATCTCCATGGCTAGACTCGTATTCACAATGCAACTACATTTCGAAATCTTATGATTCTCTGTGGCTTTGGAAAAGGGAAGAGATTAATCGCGATATAGAGGAATATGGTGGCTGCAGATTAATGTGCTATGGAAAAAGCAAAGCGCATGCCTGGTACGAGTCGTTCAGGGTGTATATTAGCATTACTGAATGGCTGGACCCGTTGTCTTTGTCTTCAAGGTCGTTGCAAGGGATCAAATTGTCACTCTGTCTACAATATACCACAATCTTCTCCCTCTACGTAGCGACCAGATGATGCTCAAATCTCATGTCCGCAAGTGTCGTAGTACCAGTCCAGGAAAACTACACAATGCGTTAGCAGGACTGTGATGTAATCTGACCACTGCTCCGGCGTTATCTTACTTTCTCTGTCCTGGTGTTCACATTGGTCTCTCATACACGGTCCAAAGTCGTCCATCATCCATTTCCAAAATTTGAGGATTTTGATGCTCTTCTTCTTGCAAACACGTTTAAGGGGTGCCTCCTCGATGTTGAAGTGCTTGGTTTCCTGACGCATGCACTGTTGNCTTTATGGACAACTGATGTTAGCTCATCAAGGTCGATCTGATGTTCGAAAGAGTGGGCTTGCCATGCACTCGGGGAGTGTGCTAATGTCGACGTGCTTCTCACATGGCTTGGCCATCACCATAGCTGCGTTTGCAAGGACGAACCAGTTCCAGAACTGCATTTTGCGAAATCTTGTAGGCGTTGTAGATAGAGAGGATAGAAAAGAGACAAAAGATACAGAATTGTATATGCACAAGATGCGCAACGCAACACTTTGCGATGACTCTTGCCAAGAGTAATTAACTCACTCGAATAGCGTGCCTATGCTAGAGATCGGACGCAGACAGGCAGAGGTGTAAGGTATTCGGAACGCGATGTGAGTGAGGTTGGGGAGACTTTGGATCGAGACAGGATGTTTCGTCAACGGATTGGAGTTTTTGATAATCGTTAAATAGTAAAAAAGAGCTAAGAGTACACCGTTACGCGTGCCCTGTTGCAATCGCTTGCCCAAAGTTCAATTTTTTCGGTTGACATCTTCCGTGTTGTTTGACGCGGAAGAAGTGATTTAGTTGGCCATGTAGCTCTTGGAGTCGATACCGCCCTCGGGGAACTCGNNCTAGAGGTGTGTCAGCAAAAGCATTCAAGACTGGTAGCAGAATTATGAGAAAACTTACGGCAAGGCAACTTCGAATCTCTTCTCAATAGTCTTGAGAACCTCCTGATCTTGCTCGCTGCTGACGAAGGAGATACTGAGACCCTTGGTACCGAAACGACCAGCACGACCGACACGGTGAAGGTAGGAGTCGGCGTCACCAGGAAGATCGTAGTTGATGGCAAGGTTGATACGCTCGATATCGATACCACGACCGAAGACGTCGGTAGCGACACAGATACGCTTGTTGAACTCCTTGAACTCCTTGTAGCGCTTGATNACTGCGAGGAAATTAGATATTGCTCGTCTTGCCAAGGATTAGAATACGTACCGCTCCTCTTGGGAGACACCAGAGTGGACAGCGATACTGGGGAAGTTGCACTCGCGCAGAAGCTTGTCGAGCTCGGTGGCACGGAGAGTGCTCTTAACGAAGATGATGACCTGGTTGAATTCCAGCTCGTCGAGGAGGTCGTTGAGCTTGCGGTTCTTCTCAGCCTCGCTAAGCTTGATGTAGTATTGCTGAAGACCGTGGAGGGTGAGCTTGGTCTCGTCGTCGACGTAGATCTCCAGAGGGTTACGCATGAACTTCTTGCAAATGGGACGGGTCTCCTGAGAGAGAGTGGCCGAGAACATCATAACCTGCTTCTGTGTTGGGGTGGCACGGAAGATCTCTTGCACATCGCGGCGCATGTCNTGTTCGAGAATTAGCAGTTGAAAATGCCAGAGATGGCAGATAAGCTTACCAATCTGGTCGAGCATCTTGTCACACTCATCGAGGACGAAGCGCTGGATGTTGCCGAGGCGGAGCTTCTTGTCTCTGACGAGGGCGTTCAGACGACCGGGAGTGGCGACGATGATGTGAGGGTGAGTCTCCTTGTTGGAGAGGAGCTCAATGTCCTTCTGCATGGGAGTACCACCGTAGAAGACGGCGGTCTTGACGTCGGGCATGTACTTTGTGAATCTGGCGTATTCGTTCTTGATCTGGTAGGCGAGCTCACGGGTGTGGCACATAACCAGGACCGAGGTCTCACCCTCAATGGGCTCCATCTGTTGAAGAGTTGCGAGGACGAAGACGGCAGTCTTTCCCAAACCGGACTTGGCCTGGCAGATAACATCGTTGCCGAGGATGGCTTGAGGAATGCACTCCTGTTGGACTGGATATCGCAGCTATGTCAGAATCGGTCTTGCCAAGTAGTAGTGTGTTTGCGTGAATCAAGCAAGCGTCCGTCCATCTCCTGTCCAGGCTTCGCTATTAGACTTGCGACAACAACAAAAAAAAACATCAAAGGATGCGACCAAAAGCACTTGTTCTAGAAACAGAGGTGCAGAACAAAGCCGGGAGACGGCGCGTGCATATTGCAAATCAAGAGTTCAATTGGCGCCAGGCACAGAAGACTCATTCAGACCAAAGGTCAGACTGCATGACGCGCCCTTTGTCGCATTGCTCGTGTGTCCACGGCATGGCTTCTCCCTCGGAATCCGGCAGCTGTCAAACCAAAGCCGAGTCTGCACCACAGTCGAAATGTAGCGCAGAGCGGACTGGAGACGCGGGATGTGTCCAGGTGGCTGGCAAATGCAAAGAAACGCTGACTGCCTCCTCTTTTTCTACCTGATGGAGCTTCGCTTGGAGATGGACGGACGATCGAGCAATGGAGACGCGCGCTAGATAGGATGATGATGATGAATGACTAACCCTCCGAAGGATGCTCGAAACCGCAGTCGGTAATGGCGCGAAGAAGCTCGGGCTTCAACAGGAAATCACGGAAACCAGTCGAGTGGATACCAACGTAACTGCCCTTGGTGGCAGCGCCTGCAGCAGGGGCGGCGCCATCTGCCTTCTTTGCGTCACCGTTGGCAGCGGCGGCGTCAGTGGTGGTGGCGGTGGGCTCAGTGGTCTGAAGCTCCTCGTCGGAGTAGTCGATGAGATCCTCCTCGGCAGACATGTTGATGTTGGTGTATGGGAGGTGTGAGGGAGTCGGGTGTATGGTTAAGCGCGTAAAAGCGACGCGATTCGAGTTAAGTTGCGAGGTGTAAGGTGAAAGAGAAAAGGCGCCTGATAGTCCAATCAAGGAAACAGGTGCTGCTGATGAATCGAGGAAGGGGTGATGGTGGGGAGTGATGGAGATGGACGCGAACAGGCAGCTGAGATGGACAGGAATGCGATGCGATTGAGCTTGGACCGCCTGTCCATTGTTGCTGCACACGTGACTTCACTACTTCGAACTGACCCCATCCAAGGTGCTCCTCACTTCCAATACCTTACTGATCGTCCTGTTTTACCAGTAGTGATGTCTAGAGCCATTGTTGACTCGACAAGCTGGCTACCGAAGGAGTATACAACTGTTATACTTGTGTACTCATCTTGGGCATCAGTCTTGCACAAAGTTAAGCCTAGGCATATGGAATGTGCTGGACCTCAATCATGAAAGCTTTATTCACCAGTAAATACTATAACACAACTTTGAGCTGCTCTAAAAGTACATGATTATATCACATGGAGCACGACAGTTCAACAGCCAGAATTTTCGGTACCTCAGGCTTCCACAGACCTTGCTGTCGCACACTTGTGTGTCATGCCAGGGTGCTCCTCTTAGCAGCCAGCCTTCTATGCTTACATAAGCAATCGAGCAAGCACAGCACAGACCTCGTGCAGCTTCTATAAAACTTGCCATGTCCTCGCCCTCAAGTAAGTTTCTTTTCTATCTATCAGTAGGTGACTAATGTCACTTTGCGCTTCCGCTACGGCGGCTTGCTATGTGTTTTCCTATTCTCTATGGAATTCGTATCGTTCCCTGGCGCATAGAGGGAAGGAGCCCTCACCTAACATCTGCGTGTAACGCCAAATGTGCGACGGAGGTGTGGGAGGGCTGCGACATCTCTTCAACTCGAAGAAGTTTTTTTTCTGGTATATTCATTACCGCAGTGAGCATTTTCTCTGCGTGGAATCACGGAACAGAGCTTTCGTGCAATCTTTGCGAATGCTTTATGGTCTTGGATATCGGCAAGACTGGACTGTGTTCGTGCATTGTGCGCTCGCCGCTCGTGAGATGTAGTCTGTTATCAGAAAATTCAATCCTTAACACATGACGCTCAGTTACATCAAAAGTTGTGTATTGAAATGTGTTGGCGCCAACCATTTGTCGTCTATGATACAGACGTACTGCAGTCTGCTCACATCTCCATCTTTATACCGTGATACTGCTGCCTGAACCACAAAACGATGAGTCTTGAGGCTGTCAAAAGTATATGCACATGTCACAAGATTACTCTGGCTAACGCATATGGAATAGCGAAACATTTTTGGGTGTTGCAAATCATCTTGATTTTCATCCGTGCTTGCTAACACTATTGGTACTTTTTTTTCCTTCATGAGGAGCACACACCACTAACGAACAAATGAATGTCCTCTAGTAGACGCGCTTGGGNGGAGACATGGAAGCCTTGATGGTCAAGCTTCCAACGTTCTGCCAGCCCTTCTTGAGAAGAGAGACGAGGTAGTTGATGGACAACATGATGTTACCGATCAGCTCATCCTCGGTCATCTCGACGTTGCCGACAGCGACACCCATGCAGAGAACCTTCTTCAGCTGGAACTTGACGGTGGACTTGACCTCGGTGATCTTGTTGGAGAGGTCCTCAGCGTGAGAGACGGGAGTGGGGAACTTGCCGGCNTGTTGTGTTTGTTAGTGTATGCTCCTAGATATGTAGAAAATGCAGATGCGCTTACCCTTGGAAAGACCGGGACCCAAGAGACGAGGAATCTGCTTGATCAAAGCCTCGGAAGCGATGAAGGCATCGTACTTGCGAGCGAGCTTCTTGATCAGCTTCTTGTTCTTGTTGAGCTTTCTCAAGTCCTCAGCGGACATGGCGTCAACACCGCCGTGCTTGGCACGGTCGATATCGTGCTGGTCACCGAGAATNGCTGTGGTTGTCCGTCAGCCGTCTTGTTCTCCGTAGCTCTTTCAGATTTCCAGATCGTACCAGATGGCCATGTTGGGGCGGGGGACCTTGGGGAGCTTGACGGTACCAGAGAAACGCTTGTCACGCTGGGGGTCGTAGTTCTTGAGGCCGATCTGGAGCTCGACGGTCTCGAGGAAGTTGCGCTTCTTCTCATTGAGGGAGTAGTTGAGGAGCTCCTGCACGTTGGTGCGCACTCCGGCGACAGTGATCTTCGACATGATGCTGGCTGTCTTCCAAGAGAATCGGGTTCTTTTGGTGAGGAATTGTGCGTGACAGGTTCAAGAAGGGAAGCGGCGACGGATTTGCAAGTGTGCGAAAACTCGGCTGCGCTGTGGCATGCCAAGATTGGGCCCGTGCACGTTGGCCCCGGACGGACAGGGTCACTTTTCGAGGAACAGCGAGGAGCATGCCAGCAGTCAGAATGCTTCCATTTTTCCCAGTTCACCCATTGACCGAGTGTTTTCCGTTGCTCAGTATTCATTTCTTGTTGACTCACAAATGATCGGCAACAGCAATCAAGGTCTTGCGATGAACGAGAACCTTCAAGACCATACTCCGCACTATCCGCTCTAACCGCAATGCTCGCCCTGCTTCTTCGCAAGCATGTCCACTTGCTGCATGGATGCCACTCGAATAGCTGCGAAGCAGTTTTCTCGTGACTGTGTTGGTATCTAGAGATGTACCTTGAGTAACGATTGTCCGATGCTGTTGGGCGATAGTCTCAACTAGGGTATCTCAAACGATTTCGGATACGCCCATTTGACGATTGTCCCAGGGTCTTCAAGTGAACCAAGCATTCGCAAGTCCTAGGCATGCACATTTGATAAAGCAGAACAAAGCCATCAACCAACAATAAACCTGCAACTGATTGCGTTCTGTGAAGAGGTCGATCTTTTATATTATGTGTACGAGTCTTACACCATTGGCTTGCCCCGATCAAGGTGTTGATAGAAGCAGACCTTGATGTCGGAGTCAGTTCTTCGGAACTTTCAGGCGGAAAGTCGTACCGAAGCCGAGCAGATTGCGTCTAACCCGACTTTTCTCCTTCTCACGAGTCATCGAACAAGCAACAGCAATCTTGGAGAATAGACAATCGACGTTGTTGTTTGAGATGTAATGATGGCAGTATGCCAAAAGCTCTGGTAGTTGCAAAGTTGGAGACACAACAACGCAGTTGTGATGATGGCGAGCAAGAAAAACAACCACCTTAATCTGGGGTCGGTGAGAGTGGGTCTTACACGCCTCTGACCCGTTGCCCATTACAGCAATCTCTGACCGAAGGACGACCGCATATGTAGTGGCGCTATGATATATAAGTCTCGGAGACCCAACAGTTTGGGGCACCCCAAGGCCACTGTTGTCACACTCGTCATTTCTCGCATTCATCCTGAAAAGTTTTGTTTTCCTGTGACACACCCAACCTTCACATACGACCATGCAGTCGTTGCGCCAGTATAAACAACTCAGGCAGGCTGTCCAAAGGCAACTGGAGAGGGACACCGACAAGGCTAAAGCTCTATCTGCATATACACAACAACATGGACTCCNNGAAAAACGTGAGGAAGCTCAGAACTTTGGCGGGCAACCTTTGGAAGAGATCGAAACACCCAGCCGCGACGAGGNNGAAGCAAACGAGGATCAGGAAGCACTCGACGCAATAGCCGAAGATGAAATGGAAGATTCTTATCCTCAAGCCGACAACCAGAACGAGCTCAATAGAATACACACCAGCAGAAGTCACCACGCAGATCTAGCCAGGACCAAAAGCGAGAATGCCGATCTGGCCAGGATACCGACACACCGAACGCATTACTCGGAGAGGACTGCCCTGGGATACTCAATGACTGGCATCAATGCGCGCTTGAGAGCCACAAACGAGAGTGAAAACGGTCATGTCTTTGTGGTTGAATGGGAAGGCCCTCATGATCCACTCAAGCCACACAACTGGTCTACAGGCAAGCGCTTGTGGGCGACAATCGTTGTGTCTCTCGTGGCTGTTGCGGGTACAGCGGCATCGTCTATCGATGCTGCAGTGCTGCCTCAGTATGCAGAGTACTTCCACATCAGTGAAGTTGCGGGCTCACTAGCCACTGCAATGTATCTGATCGGTTTCGCAGTCGGTTCACAATTTGCAGGTCCTTTCTCGGAAACCTTTGGACGAAACATCATCTACATTGTGACAATGTTCATTTACATGCTGTTCTTGCTTGGCTGTGCGCTCGCCCCGAATTTTGGCGGACACATTGTCCTCCGATTCTTCGCAGGATTGTTTGGATCAACGCCCTTGACAGTAGCTGGAGGTACTATCGCTGATCTCTGGAACCCTCTCGAGAAGACCTTTGGCTTCCCAGTCTATGCTTTTATCGGATTTTCAGGACCTCTATTTGGACCCGTCATTGGTTCTTACATTGGTCCCAGCGGCATGAGCTGGCGTTGGTGTGAGTGGCTTATGCTCATTCTCGGTGGCATCATCACCTTCATCATCGTCGTTGGCCAGCCAGAGACGTACGGACCGCTGCTACTTTCCTGGAAAGCTCATCATCTTCGCGTTGAAACCGGCGACGACCGCTACAGATCGCCTTTAGAGGTGCGTCGTACTTCCCTCTGGACTCGCCTGAAGATTGCGCTCTGGAGACCATTCGCCATGATCTGGACCGAGCCCATCATCCTGCTTATGTCGCTCTATCTCACAGTCCTCTACATTGTGCTGTTCACATTTNTCATCGGCTTCGAGTTCGTCTTCACCGAGACATATGGTATTTCCCAGGGCATTACGAATATTATCTGGGTGGCCGTCTTTGTTGGATTTTGGCCTTTGTTTGGTACTCTACCTCTCATCTACTCCTGGACAGTCAAGGACCTAAAGAAGCAAGAGGCAGCTGGAGTCGAGAATCCAGCTCCCACACCCGAGTCTCGTCTTTACTTCGCTATGCTCGGTGGTGCAATCGCAATACCAGTCTCTTTGTTCTGGATGGGCTGGACCGACTATGCTTCCATTTCAATCTGGTCTCCTATTATCGCTTCGGCTCTCTTTGGTTATGGTGTCATTACCATCTTCATCTCGGCTTACATGTACATCATCGACTCTTACGCTATCTACGCTGCTAGCGCATTGTCGTTCGTCACTTTCACCCGCTACCTTGCAGCTGGTGGCATGACTGTCGTTGGCGTCCCGTGGTATCGCAATATGGGCGTTCACTACACACTCACCATCCTCGCATGCATCAGTGCACTCATGGTACCGGTGCCATATGTCTTCTACATTTATGGCGCAAGGATCAGAAGCAAGAGTGCTTATGCTGTTCACAAAGCTTGAGCTTTGTATCACTTTCGTTGAGCAGACTCTTCTCAGCCGAACCGAATCAAAATCTTAATAGAACGACGTGATGGCAGTATCTTACGTTTTTGCTTTTTGTGCTTTATATACATTATACCCTTAGACCTAGACTATTGCAGCGTTTCGCATTGCTCCATAATATACATGTTCCATCAAGTTGCCTTCGCTACGGACTTCTCATCTTGCAGACTACACGATGTTGAGCATTATTGACGAAACAAAGCACGATCGAATCATCTCCAATATTCTGCAGATTCTAACATGGAAGGTAGCATGCTTGTCTGCCTACTAGTGTTCTTTGGGAAGTTGCTCGGGGAGGCTCGTGATCGGCAGAAAGCAGTTTCTATTTTCGGCAGGCGTGATGACTTCCACTCTCCAAGTCAACAACTTGTTCTCCTTCCCATATGACATATCTACAGCATTTGCTGCTTAGTAGCCACCAGAACAACCGTCAAGTTGTTAGTTGTAAAGCAAGTTGTGTGAATAGGTATTTGACCGCAGGTCGTCGCGCGTGAGAGCTCAAACGACCGGCAAAACGGTCCTCTTCAACTGTCTCGAGATCTCCAAGAGATGTCCAACATTCATCAGGCAGATCATGACCACGAGTTTTGCGATGAGACACACATGCATCTGCACATCGGTGAACGGTTTCGACGCCCGTCTGCCTAATGACCACCCACCATGAAAATCTTGCGTAACGTTGTAGGCTTCCAACATGTCGTCTCCCTTCACAACCATTTTTCCACTCGGACACAACCCATACTTTCCATCGGCAGCTAGGAGTATATTTTGAGATGTGCCAATCAGATTTTGGATCTCCGATTGAGGCGATGCTTGGTACCTGCAGGTCATTCTTGTAGGCACCAATGAGGCAGCTGACCAGCCAAACACAAGACTCGTGCACCGGGTTACCAAAAACCGCCCTAACACCATTGAAATATTCAAGCCTCACATGCACCTCATACTGTTGCGGCGAAGCAACTTATCTTCGATTCACATGCAGATGTCGGCTGGCTTCGTCATGTTGCGCCTAGTTCGAGGAGTCATAGAGGATGATGGACATCTCGACTCGAAACACATAAGAGCAGGCTATCTGGCTGTTTCTCCCTTGGAAGTTTGATCTGGTTACTTTCAGGATGGATAGCGAGATACAGTACGACTTCACAGACACTTTGCCAGGCATGGAGCGATCTGATTCGGCATACACGCATCCAAAGAAGCCCAAATCAGAATCCTCGACCTACGAACCTCTACCTGACCACCCCACTGGATTCAAGAACTTGGATCTGACCGATGTGCTGGAGGACTCGGTACAACTGATCTGCACTCCAACATCTCGCAACTTCATTGTGGACTTTGGCGACGACGAAGCATGGGTCTCCTTTGACCAGCCGGCCGAGACGATTCATGCTCTACTGGAAACATCGCGTCCCTCAACTCTCCACACACGCTGGATCAACATCTGGTATCCTTTCCTGCAGCGGCCTCTTCTTGAGTTGTTGGCCCATCAATACGACTTCTCGCCGAGACTGTTGGCACTGATGAGCTCCGATCCCAGACGAATGAGACAGTACCCTTCTCAGCCCGTTGCTGTTGAAAGGAAGAACGAAGAAATACTGAGACGCTCATTCGAGGATATCGAANAGGGCTTGTCTTCGCCACCACCTCCTACCACGGACACCTGCTCTCTCAGCAGTTGCAATCCTGCACGTACTGGAAACTTGTACGATATTGTTGACGGAGTTTGGCATTACACTTCTCTGGACCAAGGACGCAGCTACCTCTGTCTGGGCTTCAACAGCTTGTATAATGTGCATGCTGTCGAAACTGGATGTGGTGTGTCGGAAGAAAGTACTGGGACCAAGGACGCGCCGTTGCCTCACATCAAGCGAGTCTGGACATGGCTCCTCATATGCGCAGACAAGACCGTCATCAGCATCAATGAAGATCTCTATCCCTACAGTGAAGGTCGGTTGTCGCATCCTCAGCATCTGATCATGATGGAAACTCGTCGCAACCTGATCAACGTCTTCCGCTCGCTGTCCAAGGTCGAGGNNGACAACAGAGAGGCAAATCCGCTGGTGCTCTTGCCTATCAGAAGAAGGCTCGGCGACACCAAGGAAGAGACAGCACATCGCGACAAGGATGCACCTGGTCTGTTGTTCTACTACCTGTTCGAGAACTGGTTTAATAGCTATTCTCTCATCACGCGTAGAGAAAGCAGATATGGCATCGAGTTGGAGAGGCTTGTGAGTATTGTGGATTCTTCGGCTTGAACTTCAAGTACTGACTTGAGACAGCAANAGGAGATGTTCTCAGCACCGAAACTGCATCACATCGACCTCCTGCATGGCATTGGCAACGAGCTTGGAGCACTCAAGCGACACTACAAGAGTTACATCAGGCTGGTCGATCGAGTGACTGAACCACAGTCAAGCACCCTGGCATCGAGAACAGGATCTCGTGTTCCCAGCAAGGCCAGTCAGGAGACATTCGACAACCTCGCCGTGCAAGGAGCACAATCGCTGATGGGAGTCGGATTGACCAGCGCAGCTATCGTTCGCTTCGAGAGACTCAGAGACATGATCTCACTGTACGCTCTGGCAGAATGCAAGGATTACTTGCATCAGAAGGATGGGTTGGTGCAGATGGTGAGTAGTGCTTGTAATTCATACTTTCCTGATGGCTGACATGTCGAATAGAACTTCCAGCTCGTGGCCATGTCACAGTCTGATGGAGTGGACCGCCTTACGAGGGTGGCGCTGCTCATCAGCAAAGCGACCATCTTGTTCCTCCCACTGACGTTCATGACTGAGTACGTGTCGGCTGACCTCGGAGTGACTTACTCTGTCAAGACATACTGGATCGCATTCGCTATTGTCCTGTCCTTGAGTTGGTTGCTCTTGATGGGCTTTGGGGTACTGAGTGGGACGATGGAGACGTGGAGTCTGTTCCCGCCGCTGAAGAGAACCTTCAGCAAGATCAAGAACTGGAAGAGGAAGGATGAATGAGAGGCGTGTGTTGAGGAATGATCGACAGACGAAGATGTGAGAAGACTGAAGGACATAATCGCAACATAACAAGACAGGACAAAGACATATTGCATGATACAAGACAACAGGACAACGGCAGATACGAATGAAGGAAAGCATGCAGAAAGAGAGGGGTATCATATAGTTTTATACAAACACATGGCTTTTGCTTTCCAGACAAGACCATTACAGCAATGCAGAAGTGGTGCTTGTGTTCTTCTCTTGCCGCCACTTATTGAGTGCCTTCCCGCTATCATCCTCATCGTCAGAGCATCTTTCTCTAACCATGCCCCATGTCCGAGAACGCACGATAGTCTCAACCATCAACTCACTCCGCACAAGTGCCGCCAAAGCCTCCGTCCTCACCTCTCTTGGGAAGTAACGCCCACTATACGGATCTAATCTCTCATTCACCACTCTTTCTCTAGCTTTTGCATCTTCGACTTCTCTCAGAATATGATCCGGATCATCGGGGTCTGGAGACGTCGCAACGCCACCACAGTATGCGAGGACATCGCTACGGGCCTGCCATGACGGGAATAGGACGTTCTTTTTGAAGGACGCACATGCAGGTGCGGGTATGGCGCGTTTTCCTGTTGGGCGAGGCAGTCTTTGTGATGTGCTATTCGGGTCCCAGACATCTTGACTCGGCGATAGTAAGGCGTTTAGGTTTTGAGAGATTGTGTCGTCGACGGCGCTGCGTGATATACGAAGGAAATCNTGAGGGAAATCTGTTAGACAAGAGACAGAGAAGCAGACAGAAGTATATGGTATACCTTGGAGAGCGGTCCTGTTGNNGAAGCAGAAGGCGGGAGTGAGTTTGGGGGCGGGCGTTGTGGTGGGTGCTGCCATGATGGGTACTGGAGCAGGAGAGGAAGGGCGGGGAGAAGGAGTAGACGATTTCCAGAAATAGCCAGCCAGATTGAACAAGTATCTGTTATTTGCCTTGTCGAAAAAGTTCCTTCGAGTGCTGAATGGATTCATGAATGCATCACCAGATTGAAGAAGCGCCCTCGGAGTTAAAGAGCGGTACCGCCGTCAGCGTCATCGAAAATCAATTTGGCGCGTGTCGAGGCAGGCGCGCGTGAGTGTCACGTCTCGCAAGCTGTCGCTACCTTGTGCCTACCGCTTATTCTGCCCTGCAATCTTTCTGCCTCGTTTGCATGTGATCGATGCGGCCATCTTCTAAAACTTTACGACCTTTTGATTCTTTCAAGTTATTGTCTTTGCGCCGTTCGCTCTACACTTCAACTACAAGCTTGCGACCTCAACTGTGCTTCAGGATGCCTCCTAAGCAGCAATCCACTCTCGGGTATGTCAGAAATCCGCAAACGACCTTGGGGTGTGCAATGCTATTGAGATCCTGAAGAGTCGTCCCAATGTTGCAAATTGCTGACCTGTGCAAAAGTAACTTCTTTGGAAAACCCAATGGCTCAAAACCCGCCCCTCAACAATCGAGGCTCTCCTTTGCGACAAAGCCAAAGCCCGAACCCAAGAACCCAAAGACCGAAGAGGAGCACGAGGCAGAGGATGGACCATCTAATGACAAGACCGCTACAAAGCAAGAGAATGTAGAGGACGAAAAGGAAGAAACCAATGACGACATGGCGCCGTGTGAGCCCACCANNAGACTACCAAGAAGAGAGCCGCAGAAGTCAAAGAGGAAGAGGAGGAAGCTGGAGCCTCAGAAGAAGAGCCACCTACCAAGAGGCAGCGCAAGAAGCCCACCAAATCTGCAAGTCCCAAAAGCCAAAACAAAAGCCTGTATTGGACCATGAAGAGCCCGTCAAGAAGGAGAAGGCAGCACCCAAAAGCCTGCAGCCAAACCACCAGCGCCCGCCAAGGTCGAAGAAGACGACATTGCAATGAAGGATGGTTCCGAAAGCGATCCCCAGTCAGAAGCAGAGGAAGTCGAATCAGATGAAGAAGAACAGCCAGAGAAGGCTGCAAAGGCTCGCGAAAAGGTCCAGAGCACATTCAAGTCAAACACAAAAGACCCCTATCCCGACTGGAAGGCTGGTGACCCGGTACCATATGCTGCTCTCTGCACCACCTTCTCTAAGATTGAGATGACGACGAAGCGTCTGGAAATCATGGCACATTGCTCCTTGTTCCTTAGACAAGTCCTTCGCCTCACTCCTCAAGATCTGCAACCTACTGTACTGCTCATGCTTGGAAAGCTTGCCGCAGACTACGCTGGTATCGAATTGGGTATCGGTGAGAGTCTCATCATGAAGGCCATTGGCGAATCAACAGGTCGTTCACTCAAAATCATCAAAGAGGACCAGCAGAAGATTGGTGATCTCGGTCTCGTCGCAGCAAAGAGCAAGGGCAGTCAACCAACCATGTTCAAGCCTAAGCCTCTGACTGTACGCGGCGTGCATGAGCAATTGATGACCATCGCCAAGATCGAGGGATCTGGTGGTCAAGGCCGCAAGGTTTCTGGTATTCACAAGCTGCTATCTGCTGCTGACGCCAACCTACCAAAAGGTAAGGGAGTCGATATCGAGGAGAACAAGGGCGGCCCAAGCGAAGCGAAGTTCATTGTCCGCACACTCGAAGGCAAGATGCGTCTAGGTTTGGCAGACAAGACGGTCTTGGTCTCACTAGCGCAAGCCATGACTTACCACGATGTTATGACCAAGACGAAAAAGGCGCCTACTACCGAGCAGCTGGAGAAGGGTGAACGTGTTTTGAAGAACGTGTACAAGTGTGTGCCCTGTCATCGCTTCCTGTCTGTAGAATATGAAACTAACCTCTGCGTANGTGAACTTCCCAGCTACGAGGTCATCGTTCCCGCATATCTCGAGAACGGTGTCTTCGACTTGCATGATGCATGCAAGCTCCAACCTGGTGTTCCTCTCAAGCCCATGCTGGCAAAGCCGACCAAGTCAATCACTGAAGTGCTTGACCGCTTCGAGGGCAAAGATTTCACATGCGAGTACAAGTACGATGGAGAAAGAGCACAGATCCATTTTGTTGCTCATGATGCCGATCTGACCTATGCTACCGCTGCTCCTTCTGCTGGCAACTCATCCAAGGGTGTTTCCAACATTTTCTCGAGAAACAGCGAAGATTTGTCAAAGAAGTACCCGGACATTCTTGCCAAGCTGCCAACCTGGGTCAAGGATGGCACCAAGAGTTTCGTTCTGGATTGTGAAACTGTCGCTTGGGATGTGGATGAGAAGAAGGTTCTACCTTTCCAACAACTCATGACAAGAAAGCGTAAGGACGTCAAGACCGAGGATATCAAGGTCAAGGTCTGCGTTTTTGCTTTCGATCTGCTATTCTTGAACGGCGAAGCTCTTGTCAACAAGTCGTTCCGCGATCGCAGAGCCAAGCTGTACGAAGCGTTCAAAGAGGTCGAGGGGGAGTTTGCCTTTGCTCAATTCGGCAATACTAATGAGCTTGATGCCATTCAAGTCTTGCTCGAAGACTCGATCAAGGCATCGTGCGAAGGTCTGATGGTGAAGATGTTGGACGGACCAGAGTCTTACTATGAACCTTCGCGTCGTTCACAGAATTGGCTGAAGGTCAAGAAGGACTACCTCGCTGGTGCAGGTGATTCTCTGGATCTTGTCGTGCTCGGCGCCTACTACGGCAGGGGAAAGAGAACCAACGTCTACGGAGCCTTCTTGCTTGCATGCTACAACAACTCATCGCAGCAATACGAGTCTGTCTGCAACATCGGTACCGGTTTCTCGGAAGCGCTTCTCGAATCACTACACGAGACACTCTCACCGTTGGTCATCGATCGTCCCAAACCTTTCTACAGCCATTCCACAGGTAACAAAGACCAACCCGACGTTTGGTTCGAGCCTCGCCTGGTCTGGGAAGTCAAGACTGCTGATTTGACGCTATCACCTCGCTACAAGGCTGCCGCTGATGCGCTGGGCGATCCCAGTGGCAAGGGTGTCAGTCTACGCTTCCCAAGATACATCCGCGATCGTGACGACAAGAAGCCTGACGACGCTACCACAGCCAGACAGGTTGCCGAAATGTACAGAAAGCAAGAATCTGTGGGAAAGAACAAGGGACCTGCTGTTGATGACGACTTTGAGTATTAAGAAGGGAAAGGAGTATGCATTGTGGAGTTTGTTTTTGGGGTTGCTGCGAACGAATTGATTGTGGGATGCCTCTTTCTCGTTTCGGTTGTCCTGTAATATTAGTTATCAAGAAGTGTCGACTGGGATGCTCTGTCTTCGAAAATGCAGCAGTATGTTACTTACGCTATGAAGGTCGTTCGCAACAATGTTGACACCAATGATCAGCTGAAGCCATCTCGAAAATTGCAATCCTTGTATTACACAACAACAGCTCACGGGATACATCCAGTAGCGACTCGAAAAGATCTCTGCAGCACCTCAAAGTATTTGTTTCGCGTAGCTCGGGGTAGAGTCAATGCAGTCGTCTTGTATCCTCTGTGACTTCTCCAAGATGCTGATGGTGGTATGACCCTGTCTCGAGCCTTTTGCCAAGTCAGGTTGACAGAACTGGCCGGGCAAGTTTAGCCGCAGCGAACGAACTTTTGACCTTTCTGCAAAACGCGAGCATTTTCGACTGAATCGAACAATAATCCATCACCATATCGCCATATTGAAGCAGCAGCAGCAGCAACCACTTGGAGATAGTAGCAGAACCCCAAGTTTCGCCCAAGTCAACACGATAATCGAGCCTGTGGATTGACATATAACATCATTGTTGTTTCGAAACAGCAGACATCAAAAAGTTATTCAGAGAGAGAACAAGAGAGGATGGAGCACCTACCAATGGAGTATCTCATCCGACTTGCACAGATGCATGAGACGTTTCGTCGTCCTGAGTTGGAGGCGCTGGCCGTGTTGCACAATGTAGACTTGGAGATTTTGGAATATTCAGATCAGGTAAGAGAAAAAGACAAACACTTTCTTTTCATCATCTCTTCGCAGACGAATCGTACAAAAGCGGAAAATTTGCTTTCATCGACACGAGCAGGAATCTGACTCGTTTCTAACCATCGTGGACATGTTTAAAATAAGAGTCAAATTTGTATTAGATTTGGAAAACAGGCTGATGCAAATATACACNAGTCACCATTCTGCATTGCGAGAATCTCATCGGATGAAGACGCGGCAAAGCTCATCTCTCGATCCATGTTGACAGGTGCAGTCTACGAGCTCTGGGGCATTGGCAACAACTACGACGAATGCCACACAGACGTAAAGAAACGATCACAACACCTCTGGCCTCAATACAAAGACAACGCATCTTTCAGTTTTCAAATCGACAGTTTTCAGGCCAAGCGCACCAACACGGAGAAGAGAGATATCGTCGAGTCGTTCTCTTATATGGCTTTCGAGGGACCTATTCGAATGAAGAATCCAGACCTTCCTTTGGTTGTGCTTGAAGAGTATGATCTCGAAGCTAAAGATCCCAAGCGTGTGGCACTGGGTCGTTTGATTGGTGAGAGTGGAAGGTCGGTGATGAACAAATATGACCTCAAGAAGCGCAAATACATCAGCACGACATCGATGGACTCGCAACTAGCTCTAATCACCGCGAACATGGCTTTGGCGGCACCCGGAAAGATCTTCTACGATCCCTTTACTGGCACAGGGAGTTTCCCAATCGCTTGTGCGCACTTTGGCGCGACTGTCGTTGGTAGCGATATCGACCCTCGCAGCATTCGTGGAAAGCCGGATCGGAATGTTATGAGCAACTTCGTGCAGTATGGACTGGTGCCGCAGTATCTGGATATGTTTGTGAGCGACTTGACAAACACACCGATCAGGAAGACGAGATGGCTCGATGGAATCGTTTGCGATCCTCCGTATGGTGTTCGTGAAGGACTGAGAGTGCTAGGTAGTACGAGAGAAGACCTGCAGAAGGAAGTTCTGCTCAAGAGCGGCGTCCCAGCACATTTGGCACCAGGCTACATCCCACCAAAGAAGGCTTACAGTTTTGACGCGATGATGGACGACATTCTCGACTTTGGCTATACTCATATGGTGGATAATGGCAGGCTCAGCATGTGGATGCCAGTAGCTAATGACGAGGACATGGAGATCCCAATCCCCAGCCATCCTGCCATGGAGCTGGTAGCCATGTCGGTCCAGCAATTCAACAGANTGTGCGTTAGCCTTGATCCTATGATGTAAATCTCGATGACGCTGACTTTTATCGCAGGGGCCCGCAGACTCATCACTTACCGCCGCGTTCCAGAAGCTCAAGTGGACCAGGAAGCGCTTCGAACTCGTGAGAAGCGTGAAGAGGCAACCGGAGTGACGGCAGATGATCTCAACGCATTCCGTCGAAAGGTATGCATGGGCATGACAAGCCTAACGTATTTTGTCACAGCTAACGCATGGACGCAGTACTTCCAAGGCTTCAAAGATCAGCAGCAACAAGTCGAGGCGAACGCAACGCCATCATCATGAGTCGTGCCGTTTGAAAATGGCGGTCATGGTTTGGGCTGGAGACAAGACTTGAGCGGCTGAAACGGACAGCTGGGCGTTTGTTCTTGAAGTCCAGCTGCTGGTAGAGGCTCAACGTTAGGTCGGCGAGGCGGAGTCGCCGGTCACAGGTCGTGATGGACTGCTGGTCTATGTCATAGAGGACTGGTGATATCATATGAGCCTGCCACCTGACTCTTGAGCACCTGATGCCTGAAGTCGAGTAGGAAGAGATACACATCGACTTAACTCATTGGACCAAGAGATCGAGCTCAAAGCACGTGAGAATGTCACGACCTCATGTATCGAGTAGATAATCTCGCAATTGTCGACGGACAGATGGTAGCTGTGAACACGTAACCTGGGATGCTCCGCCTCAGCACCTGAGCAGACTCATACCGTCTGACTGTTTGCACAGTTGATATCGCAATCTCGGCTCCATCGCTTGGGGGTGGTGTTGTTTTTGTGGACATACAAACAGAAACGCGAACCTTTGCAACGTCTGTCGCGTCGTTTGGCTCCTTCCCACCGGTGGCTCGGCGCACGGGGAGACCGTCTCGAAGGAGGCAATGATATGCAAGCTAGACACAAGAGGTGGTAGGAAAAGAAGTGGGACTTTGTCACTTGTACTTCGAGACTTGAGCATTGGAGGTTGGGCGGAGAGGCGATCTTGTAGATCAGTCCAGGTCAGGGTTCGAAGGAATCGAGGGCCCTGAATATCCTCCGGATAAGGTCAGGGACCGGAGAGACGGCAGGAGCACTCGACAGAAATGTGTGTCAAGCTGAGACCTGGCATGTTCCATGGCGCAACGTTCCACACGCTGCTTGTCCACGCAGACTTGCACAACCACAAGCAAAATAATGCAGATGAGCAACGTGTGAGGCTGATTCAAATCGACAGCCCTGTACAAATAGCGGCCGACCGAAAGAAGAACTGGTCAGTTCTACTGCCTGTGCTCTACTTGCCTCGCAGAGTCCAGTTTCCCAAAGACCTGGATAAGTCGGTAAAAAGCTTGGTGCATTTTTGCGAATATGGAATGCCTACTGCGAACCCATGCGCCATAGCAAAGCTACTGCAAGAAATCTTGAGTTAAGGTCGTTTATGGACAGTTTCTTGTTCATATCAGGAAACCAACGGCCAAACGGTGGGGGAAAGGGGCGCGCCTTGGTGGGTCTGGTTGACAGTCAGGGGTCGTGCGAAGGACTTGTTCGCGAGGTGGGCGTGCGCTTTGGCGAGACTGGTGGCCAGAAAGTGTGGGGACATCGCGACATCCCTGCCAACTTACTTGCAACACCCGCGAGACTGATGAGCCATCTCTCTGAAACTTCATCTGGTAGATCATACTGTGAGGGAGTTGTGGCACGAGATAAATGGTAAGATATGAGGTGAGGCTTTCATCTTAATCGTTGTCTTCTTTATCACTCTCTATTGGTGTCCTTCGTTTTCTGTTCTCTTCACGCTGCGCGTCTCTAAATTTACATTCCTTTACAACGTTGCTGCAGCGGCTGGAGTCCGCGATCGTTGTGCTTCCCTTACATACTTTTTGCACTTGGTCTTGCCGGAGCCACCGTTGGAATCGATATTTACTCCTTGCCCAAGGCTACCTCCTTTGCAACGACAGTCGCGTAGTACTTAAGAGTCCAGTGTCGACGAGGTTGGGATCTTCGAAATCATATCCACTCCTTTGGTTCATCATCATAACCACATTCTTTAACTGCCTTGCCTTGCAAAAGCAATTCCACGATCGTTACTACTACAAAACATTCTTCTCGACATCTCTTCTTGCAGCATCTTTCAGATCAACACCACAACAACACCATCACAATGCCTTCTCGCTCCAACCGCAACATTGCCTCCGGCTCTCTTCGCCGTCTCAAGACTGTCTTCTCGTCTTCTCAAACTCACATCCCCAATGCTCCTCTCTCGCCTGTCTCGGAGAACTCTGACAGCTGCTGGACTGTCAGCAGATCATCGACTGGCAGCCGCTTCAGCCAACTCGTCTCATCAGTTTCATCATACTCGATTGGCAACTTCAGCATCCGCCGCAGCCCTAGTCAACTAGAGCTTGAGCAGGAAGAGGAGAAGATCGAGACTCCAGAGGAGCTTCTCAGCTTGATTGAGCCTCGTCCCTTTGCAGGTACCGCCGTCGGAGGTTTCGAGGATGTCCTGTTCGGCCGTCTGTGAACAACAACCACAGCCAGCACATCATCAACAATACCCAAACTCTAATGATCAACGCCTTTTTCCTTTCACCAAAATTTACCACGACGCGACGCATCATCAACAACAACAACAACAACAGCCACGTTGGCGTTTCATCCCCACTGTCGCGCGCAACGGCTTCCGACGGTTGGGCAGGATTGCTTAACGGTTGCATGTCCAGCTTGACCATTCAATCGGACATGGAGTGATGAGGACATTGGGATGAGACCTCCCAATCATTCCTCCGCTCCACCCAACGAGACAGTTGACTTTTCCAACTTCTCGCTTTTTCTTGAACATTTCTCTTTTCATTCGCTTCTTGACGATACCAGGCGCCGATGACTCGGTGGCCGCTTTGATTACCTCTTTTTCCCTTCAAATTCTTCTTGTACTCCTATGGACCTTTCTGTATGGAGTGGCACCAGTACAGGCTTTTCTGACTGGGCCTTTCTTCTTTTTACTAGAGACTTTGAAAATGAATAAATGATTCTACACTACAAACTTGCCTTACTGTCCCTATTTCCTGAGCATCAGATCGCCGATCTACATCCACAAATTTTCTGCCACTGAACGTCTTCGGTATTGCCGTAGCTGAGAGATGAAAGAGTAAGGCTATCGCCGACTCCACGTTCTTCAACTCGGAGATGAATCCACAACCGTCACCTGTTCATTCGTATACACCAATTCGAATAAAGGTCTACGTATTCTGGCAGCAGATCTAATGTCCGGAGATGATAGATGTGGGGAGGAATAAATTGATGCTTGAGTCTAATTGTGCACGATCGGTATACAGACCGTATTGTGCAGTAAGTCAACCACTGCATGCAATGGAAGCACAGAATCTATTCCAAGTGCCATGCTCATGCGTGTTTGCGATGCAGCAATCCAGGCAGGTGGCACCAAAGAATGCTTGGCTGTAGTAAGTGATTGGCCCCTTCCCGATTTGTAGTGACTGCCTGTCTTGACATGGCTTTCTTTGTGTGTTTGCTTGCTTCTGATTCCTGAGCTTCCAATCATTCTCTTCGCCTCATCTATTAATTCCTGCTGCCGGACCTCCTTGTCACTCCTCGGCGCCTCTTTCGTACGGTGGTCCTGCTTGAAAACTGCTCCTCTCTTTTCCTTCTCTCCAAACCTCGATCATCCCTTTGCTTCGACACATCTGTTTACCTTGACTATCACGAAACCAACGATGCGCACCACAGCCCTCGTTACAGGGCTGGTCCTAGCCCTTTCTCCTCTTCTGGTCTCAGCTGTTGGGACTCTGGGCTTCGCATTGGGAGACAAANAGGCAGATGGATCATGCAAGTTCCAGGCAGACTACGAAGCCGACTTCGACGCCATCAAGGCCAACTCTGGCAGCACCATCGTACGAATCTATGCCGCCAGCGACTGCAACACAGCTCAACAGATCCTGCCTGCTGCACAGTCCAAAGGTTTCAAGGTCATCCTTGGTGTCTGGCCTGATGTAGATCAGAGTCTTCAAGCGGACAAGCAGGCCTTGCAGACATATGTCCCTCAATACCGCGATCAAGTCTACGGTGTTACTGTCGGCTCAGAGACACTCTACCGCAAGACATTCGACGGCCCTCAGTTGTTGACGAAGATCAATGATGTCAAATCAGTGTTGCCTCAGGGCGTCAAGGTCGGCACGGCAGACAGCTGGAACAAGTTCGCTGATGGTACAGCCGATGCTGTCATCAAGGGAGGAGTCGACTTTNTGCTGGCTAATGGCTTTGCATACTGGCAAGCATCGCCCATCTCCAATGCCACCTACACCTTCTTCGACGACACCCAACAAGCCCTTGGTCATATCCAGAGTGTCTCGGGCTCTCTAAACACAATCGAGTTCTGGGTTGGAGAAACTGGTTGGCCTACTGACGGTAAGCTTCAGAAGCTCGATGTTGTGAGATGGGTATTGACCTTCCTGCAGNGAGGATCCAATTACGGCGCCGCCATTGCAGGCACGAAGAACGCACAAACATACTTCGACGATGCCGTCTGCGGCATGATCTCATGGGGTGTCAATGTCTTTGTCTTCGAGGCATTCGACGAGCCCTGGAAGCCTCACGCGGTTGGTGATAGCGGAGCTGCTGGCGATGAGACTCATTGGGGTGTCATGAACGTTGACCGCAGCGCAAAGTTCCCGCTGACCTGCTAGTTGCTCTTGATGGCCGAGAAATGTGGTACAACGACTTAATGACAGCACCATGAGATTGCACAGATTTGGGATGGGACGGACATGGATCTGAGGGCCTCGCATATCGAGGGGGGTGTGTAGGTATTGTTCTTCCTGAGCTTCAGAGAAACGTTATGATATTCAGCTCGCATGCAAATCTTCATCTTCTTTCCCTTGTGCTATTCCGTGAACGCCTTACGCCTTGCTTGTATGCCTGTGAGAAATGCATCTTCCTGTGGCCGTGCCGGAGTTTCGAATCGAGAGGCTGCATTGCTCTTCTTCGAGCAATCGACGAGGGTAGCTGCTTATGAGCAGCGGCTGCGCAGTAATAAGCGTCGAGTTGTCCTCTGGCGGCGGATAGTGGCAGAATCTTGTCTAGCAGTGTCAACATGTTGACACGCCTCAATCATCAAAGCCGCCGAACTCTTCATCCTCATCTTCCTCGTCGTCAAGCTCTTCCTCAGCCTCACTCAACTCCTCATCATCTTCGATACCCAACCACTCCTTTGCTCTATCATCATCCAGAGCCTCTTCAACCTTCTTCCTCACACTCTTGAGCACAGCCTTCTCTCCCAACTCGACCAACGGAGCCATCAACTCTTCATACGGCGCCTTGTCATCCCCGACCTTCTCCAACTCATCAACATAGACATCAATAACGTGATACTTCAATCCATTCGGCACCTTTGGATCCCTAGGGTTCAACGGAATTTCCTTCAACAAATCCAAATACTCTTTTCTAGTTTCCACATCTTTCCAGTTGTTTTTGGCGCAGTAGGCAAAGCCTGCATTGACATAGCTTCTGATCATAAACAAGAACTTGTCCATGCGTAAAGAGTCGATGCCTGGGTATTCGCGGGCAATGGTTTGCCAGAATGCGCGTGTGAAACCGATGAAGTTTTGACGGGTGCTGAGGAGAGATACCAAAGCGGAGAGATCGAGGGCGAGACGGCGTTGAGGGGCGGGTTTGTCGCAGGACCACATGCAGTAGAAGAGGCCTTTCCAGAGTTTTAGAAAGTCGAGGGAGCTGAAGGGTGTGCTGCGGGAGAGGAATGTGCGTAGGGAGGCTACGGCTTTGTCGCGGACTTGACGGTCNTGGGAGAGGAAATGTTAGAGGCGAGATAATCTGGAGGAGAGGTGGAGGGACGGTATACCATTGTGGACTAGTTGCTTGATGAAAGGGTTGTTGGGCGCTGCTGATTGCGCCATCTTGTGCGGTGCTGTGGAGGAGGCGATGTGTGTCTTGACGGTAGTATCGAGAGAGGCAGAGTAGGTCCGATCGTAGTCGTCACAAAGCCTGGTATCTGGCGATAGTTGGGTACGTAAGATGGCTTATCGCAAAAGTGGTTTCTCGAAAAGTCCTTGGCAAAGAAAAAAAGTCGATGGAGAGTCGCGCCAGGGTTTGCTTCGCGCGGCTTTGATCCGCGACCCGAAGCCCAAGTCTGGGGTATGTGAGAGATGTTTGGAACATGGAGTCTCAGTGATGGCATCGCCTCGATGCATACTCGATGCCATCCAATTCTACTCAATGGACCAACCACACTGTGAGAAGCACTTTGTACGCAGTACCCATAAAATTCGAAGAAGACGTCACGCAGCTGCAAGAGCGAGCAAGGGACTTGATCGACCAAGTAAGATGTGCACTGTAATGGTTCTGCTGCGCTATGTATGCTGACCAAGATGGTTGCATTCTCGAGGCCTCCCAGTTTCCTTCTTGCAACAAAGAAAACACTTCCTGTCCAGAACCGCTGTCCACGAAAGCTCTCCAGAACCGTAAAGGTCACGCTCCAGCCTTTGCTCCGAATGCTCCTCTGATCGGATTGTCAGGATTTTTTGACAAGATGGATCGCGCCTTGCCAACCTTCGACTTCGATGCCTGCTCACATCCAAAGCTTCCCTCTGCAGTTTTTTGCACCGCAGAGACAATCCATAGCGACGCCGCCTTCTTCCATATCATCGTTCGCTGCTTGACCAGCCTCGCCTTCTTCAGGATCCATATAGTCGAACGTGAGCTCTTCTCCTGCGGAGATGTTCTTCAATGCAAAGAAGGCCAGATCGTAAATCTGTCGATCGAATCTGTTGTAACTCACAGTAAACAAACGGCAGTTTGGGTCACAGCTGTGGTTGATGAAGCGGGTGGGACCTCCCATCTTTTCTCCGTCTGCAACGTAGCAGTCGCTCTTGTGGAGCGCGCCAGGGATATCCTCGTCTTCGGCATGCTTGTCCAGAGAGAACATGTAAGAGGCCTTGTCGAATACACCAGATGCCTCACGAGCATCAGCCTCACCATCAGTGATAAGTTCGCCGAGGTATCGATCGATGTATTGACCTCTTTTGAGATCGATAGGACAACGGAGACCTNNAGTTGGTTGGTCAGTCAGTCAGCAATGGTGGAGCGACGTACAAAGCTTGAACTTACCAAAGCCTCGCCCTCGTGTTTTGAAAATCTCGAGCGGTACCTTTCGTCCTTTCTGGACCAGGCGATTCTTGCAATTTGGGCCACACCTGCATAGCTCGTTGCATTCGTAGATCGGGTTTCTGCTCTCCAGATAGAAGGGGTCAAGCACGAAAAGGTTGTTAATATGGTCAATCCTGTAGGGGAATCGCTTAGGNAGACCGTCTGAATCTGCCTCTCCTCTTCTCCAAGCTGCAAAGTGCTCCATCTGCTCGTCGTCTTTGCAACGCGATTCGTCAGGAGCGGCGAATTCCAGACAGTCGCATTTTCCAGTGTATTCGCAGCCTCTGTTACCACCCATATCCGGCCGGCATTTCTTGCATCCCATCTTCACGGCATCCGCGTCATCTCGAGAAACGCCATCGCCAAGGACGTAGTCTTGGATGTACGTGAAGCTAAGAGATGGTGTCTCTTTGTTTACTTCATTGACGAATGTAACCCGAGGACCAGGAATGCGTGCCAGCTGTTCCAGGAACTGTCTGCGAACGAATTTGCGACCTTGTTTCACTCCGTCGGCAAGGTGAGCTTTGGCAGCGGAGAGCATCTCGGGAGTTGGCATAGTAGTCGCATCGATGCGCTCAACGCCAGAAGTTAGGGCGTGGGGGTAGATATCTCCCGATTTCTTAAGTAGGACTCCGTTCCAGACTTCCGATTTATGAGCTGGGAGAATGGAAGAAGTAGATGTAGAGGTATCAAGAGACGATGCCCGGCTCGAAGGGCTCTCATCGTGTGGGCTCTTGCGTTTCAGTGAAAGAACTTCAGCAGGAGCCAGTAGGCGTGAGTCGTTGCCATATCCTGATTTGAGACTAAGTTTGATCAGTAAGAGGGAATAAAGTCATCCAAAGCCTGTGAAAAGTACCTCGAGACGAAGTCGTTAATATACGTCTGCAATATGTCGGCAATCGAGACGAGGTCGTTGAGGTAATGCCATGACAGGACGGCTTGTGACGGAGACTTATGTTTCCATATGATTAGGTATTGTTCAATCTTCAAGATGGAATGTGGTCAGTTATGTGAATAATGGAAGCAAACATTGAATATGAATGTTCAATGTCGGGCGTTGAGGACAGGGTCACTTACCCCTGCCTCATCGACGCGATGGGCGCAGATCTTGTCCACCTGTTCATTGTTAGTCCAAGAGTTCAGTACAATCCAGAATGAGCAGGTAAAGTAAATATCAGAAGTGAATGCGCGCGAACAGGCGCGTAGAATTTAGAAAGCCGGTTTGTAGTATGGGAGAGACCACGTACCAATGATTTCTTAACGAGGCTCCTTACGGCGGGTGCGCGCGGCATCCTATTTACGTACAGTTGGTTGCTTGCCAAACCTAGTCATGTTAGCTACTGCTCAATAGTAAAGATACAAAAGAAAGAGAGTGGTTATGTTATGCGTGTACTACTTTCCTAGCATAACACGTAGTTCTAAGCGTATTAAGAGTATAGTAATAGTGGGTTTATAAGATTTTTAGTACTTACCTAGTAGAACCTTTTGTCTAAAGGCCTTATAATGCCTTTAAAGTAGTAAAAGTAGTATTAAAGGCAATAAAAACCAGAATAAGTAGAGTTAAGGAGTAGAGATAGAGTAAGAAAGTGGAAACAAAAGCGCGGCTACGCGTATGCTAGCATGCCAAGGAATCGGAGTTTAGCCGGAGTTAAATAAATTTCCTAACTAAGTTAATTAAATTATTTTATTAGTTATAAGTCTATTATTACTACTAGATAGCTAGTAAAGGACTTTAAATAAGTATATAGCTAGCCTTATTAGAATAGTAGAGCAATAAAGAATACTATATAGTATAAGTTATAAAACCAGTAGATTTGCTAGTGGTTACTACTAAAAGTTCACTTAACTTAAATCCGCATATATTAGTAGTAGCATTACACTTCCATCGTATGCTTATCGATTTCAAATGCTTTGAGATATAGTATTATGTATATAACGCCTTATGGTCACATCGTAAATGAGATGAACGAAAACGCCGGTTCTAATGCATGGTCGGAGAGCCGCTAATTATTAACAAAGATCCATGACAGTCCCCTGACCTCTCCAAACGCCTCGCTGATTGATGTAGTGAACTAAGCATTTGTTTTTAGCCCGCCGTCTTGCACGTTCTGTGCTTCCAAAGCGGGGTCCTTCTCCTTNTCAGCCTCTAATGTACGGTGGCCTTCGACGGCAGAGCCTGCAACACGCTCCTTCTCATCGTCATCGTCATCGGGCTCATCCTCGTCAATATCTTGGAGACCATCTTGACCGCTCCCCTTGCTCTTCGCGAAGTCTTCACGATGCTGTGGTACATAGGCGATGACCTTCCTCTTGTCAAACCAGCGACCATTAAAGGCTTCGGCACAGAGGGCAGCAGAGTCTGCTTCCCTGAAGCGTACAGTGACGACACCTTGGGGTTCAAGGTCGTACAGCACAGTGTTGGTGACTTCGCCATATTTGGAGGCTTCGTCACGAATGTCGGCTTTAATCTCAATCAGGGCGCCAGCGTCTTCTTCCAGTTCCTCGAGGGTAAACATGTGTTTAAGGACAACCAGTTTGGCATACTTTGAGGGGTTCGGCGGAGGAGCGACAACACTCGGATCATCATCATCCCAGTCTGCTAGGCGNGCTGCGTGTAATATCAGTGCGATGCTCAAACGAGCGAAGTGGAGCTCCCAGCAGGGTCGGACTCACGCGTTCATCTGTCTTGTCTTCTCGATGGCCAAGTAGCGGTCTTGCTTGGGACGTCTCTTCTTGATGTTCTCAACCGACACTTCCTTCTGCTCTTTCTGATCCTTTTGGTCCTTGTTTCTGTTGGAGTAGGAGTCATCGACCAATTCGACGTGTAGATCTCCATCTCCAGGCTTGCGGAAGTCGGTGCCGTCCAACATGGTAATGGCCAGACTGACACTCTGAGGCTTGAAGTATATGACCTTTGCCTCACCCTTGAAGTTGCCCTCATCATCGGCGTACATGCGGATCTTGGGTAGGTTTGTGTGAATGTCCTCCTCAATGATGCCGTACTTCTTGAAAACGTCGTGAATCTCGTCAATGCTGGCATCCAGTGGAATGCCTGTTACGTAGACGGCGCTGTTCGGGCGTTCAATTTTGGGCTTCTTGTCCTGCTTGGTGGCTTTGATTTCTGCTTTGCGCTTCTTGTTGTCGATTGCTGGTGCAGTCTCGTCGACGTCCTTCATGGCATAGATGGACGCTTGCTGTTGCATGAGAGCCTCGTCGACTGCAGGAACCCAATTCTGATATTGCGGGTTCCACTCGTATTCGTCACCATTGTCCTCTTCAAGAACCCACTTGTTGCTGAGCTTGTCGAATGAAACGCGCACGTCGTTCTTGAATTCTTCCTCAGTAGTCGGGAAGACGACGCGCACAGCCGATAGTCCGTCGCTAGGTGGTGGCACTCCACGCGCGGGCACTTGTGATTCTGCCATGGTTTGCGGATTACGAGATTGGTATAGCGAGTATCGAAGTAGCTTTTGAGAAGTTCAGAAGCGCGAGTCTTCGGCGCCGTCATTTTGCGATGCGTCATGCGGGGAGAGCTTGGACCGCCCGTATCCACAACCGTGAACTACAAGTCTTCTTGTCCATCTCTTTGACATTCTACCGGAGAAAACACATTGAACAGCGCTTCTCTGTAGAATTCTGTGTGCTTTGGAAACAGGATATATCGCTGTTGCTGCATGCAAGCCGAGTATACATGTATCACAAGTCGCTACCAAGACTGTCCACCCACTAAGGCTGTCATAGCTCGTTTGTACCACTTCCCACAGACAGGGCCCAAGTCTTGTCACCAACCATGTCCTACACAGATGAATGCTCTAAATTACTGCTGTAGAAATGATCTGCATTGAATTACAAGGTAGATCCTACATAGGTAATCATTCATGGGAGACTGTCTCATCCATGTATATGAGAAAGCCAACATTCCACAGTCGTTCATCACCATGTCGACCCAAGGGAATGGAAATAGATAAGCCAGTAAACCTGACAGCACACTTGTTTTCAAGCTCCATGTGATAGAACTGCCCTTAAGTGTGGTAGATGACTGCACATCTCTCTTTATCCGCTCCCTCAAGACTACCAATCGCTTCTTTGTTGCATACTCCCAAAAGTCCTTTGTAACAAGGGCGAGTCCGATCTTTACCTGTGCTTTGCTTTTCATAGCGTCAAACTGATTCCAATTTACTTCGACATCTGTGGTTTCACTTGTGAGAGTTTGTACGCTTGCGATCTCTCGCTTGGCTTTCCGACAACAAGCGCGCGAGTGACGACGGCATCGACTTTCACAACCCTTCGAAACTCCCGGAGACAGCGAAACGAACTTCAAAGAGTGCGCACTTTCGAAATTCGTTCGTTGGCAACGCGACACTGACATCGAATGGCAGAATCGGAACCGCATTATCACCAGCCTTCCTACACCATCATGAGCGGCACCGGTCCTGGCGAGTCGGACACCAACTATGTCCCTCTTGTCCCCTACAATGGCACTACCGCTACTGGCGGCGACTCGTTGAAGGACAACCTGAACGTCTTCTACGAGGTGCGCAACCATACAGAGCCATGATGTTGAGATCGTTACTGACGTCCACATAGANGCGGTGATGTCGGCTACATGATCATCTGCACCGCTTTGGTCTTCTTGATGATTCCAGGCGTGNGGGTGTGTTCGTGTCCCGATACTCCTCGAGCACAGAGCGCTGATGATAACTGCAGATTCTTCTACTCTGGTCTGGCTAGACGCAAGTCAGCCCTCTCGCTCATCTGGCTCTCGATCATGGCTACCGCTGTCGTTTCCTTCCAGTGGTTCTTCTGGGGCTACTCGCTTGCCTTCTCCCACCAGGCTGGTAAATTCATGGGTGCCCTTGACAACTTCGGTTTCATGAACGTCCTTGCTCAGCCCTCGGTCGGAAGCAACAGAATCCCTGATCTTCTGTACGTCGTGTACCAGGGAATGTTCGCAGCCATTACGTGAGTTGATTGATCGCCAACAAGTCCTGGTCAAGACAAGAAACTAATCAATATAGCGNTCGCTCTTGCGGTTGGCGCCGTCGCTGAGCGTGGCCGTCTCTTCCCATGCGTTGTGTTCATGTTCATCTGGACCACCGTCGTCTACGACGCCGTCGCCTGCTGGACCTGGAACCCTTCGGGCTGGCTCTACATCCTTGGTGGCCTAGATTTTGCGGGCGGCTCTCCCGTTCACATTTCCTCTGGCTGCGCCGCATTGGCATACTCGTTTGTGTTGGGCCACCGCAAGGGACACGGTACACACGAACTCAACTACCGCCCTCACAATGTCACACACATTGTCATTGGTACAGTCTTCCTCTGGTTCGGCTGGGTAGGATTCAACGCTGGTTCAGCACTGTCTGCCAACATGCGTGCTGTCATGGCGCTTGTCGTTACCAACCTCGCTGCTTCGGTTGGTGGAATTACTTGGTGTCTCTTGGACTATCGTCTCGAGCGTAAGTGGTCGACTGTTGGATTCTGCAGTGGTGTTGTGGCCGGACTGGTCGCCATCACTCCCGGCTCTGGTTATGTCCCTGCTTGGTCGGCCGTTGTCTTCGGCGTGGTTGCAGGTATCGGATGCAACTACGCCACCAAGCTGAAGTATCTCATCAACTGTGATGATGCTTTGGATATCTTTGCCGTGCACGCTGTTGGTGGGGTTATTGGTAACATTCTTACCGGTCTGTTTGCTGCGTAAGTCTTCAACAGCACAAGTCGATGCTCATTTGCTGACATACCGTAGGNNGACTATATTGCCCACCTTGACGGCGTCACCGTAATCCCTGGCGGTTGGCTCAACCACAACTATCGTCAGCTCGGCATCCAATTGGCTGGCTCTCTTGCAGGTGGTGGTTACTCTTTCGTCGTCTCGCTTGTCATACTCTACACCATGGACTTCGTCGGCAAGTACTTGTCTGCCTTCAGACTACGTGCCACCCNNCCTGAAGAGGAGGACTTGGGTATCGATGATGTTGAGATTGGCGAGTTTGCGGTATGTGTAGAACTCACTTAGTCAAGGAGACTCGACTGACAGGTATCATAGTACGACTATGTCGAGGTCATGCGTGATGTCCAGCACGGCGATACTCACAGCGTCTCAAGCGACGAACACGAAAAGGCATCGAGTCCTACCACCACTGGTATGCCAGTCAAGCGCTTCGACGAGGGCATGGCACACGGACAGCACACGCTTTTGGGAGCCAACCCACCTCCTGTGAAGTACACTGTTGGACCTGCCAACTCTGCTGGTAACTTTGTTTAAAGCTAGCGGTACAGAGCAGTATTGGTTGAAGTTTTGGTTCAAGAGTAGGACGTATGTTCCTTAGATGTTTTCTGCATGGCGGACACTGTTGATGGTTCTGCGAGAGGGCTGTACTTTAGGACGGCACGTAATGAGAAGATGATTGCTCCTCTGGTAATCTGTTTTTTCCATGATGGAGATGGTCAAGACGACTGAAACAAGGGATTGACATGCGAAAGCGACGAGGGTGCACTTGCGTGATGTGGAAATGATGACAGGATGTGTGGCTGAGGCTGTGGAGACACAACCTGTTTGGGTAAAAGCCATTGGTGGGTGTGGCGGCGCCTATAGGGAAACCGCTTAATAAGTTGAGGCAGATCGTCTCCAGCGAGATAAAGCGACGAGACTGAGACGAGCATCGCTGGAGAGCGAAGATTGGCACGACGCAGTAGTTAGAGGGTACAGAGTGCAAGAAACAGATCTACAGCGCATAACCTGCAGCATCTCGCCTCTTCTTGGCGTCGGACATGGTTCAGATGGACTCGTCGGCTCCAGCTCCTGCTCCTGCTTCAGCACTTCCTTTGGTCTCGCCCATTATGGAGGAGAATGAACGCCCCGACCTCGTGCGCGCTATGGACTCGTCAGGCACCGACGTGACGGATGCTTCGGAAGACTACGAAACCGAGACGGACAACGATGTGACAGGCCCGGACGATGTCGACGTCCAGAGAATGCATTTCCAGCCCGCCCATCCTCTCGCCGACGGACAAATGACGCCTGCCTCACAGTTTGGCTGGAGTGTGTCGAGCCACTCGCGCGCAAGGAACGGATCTGGTGGTACTAACGGTCCCTCAAATATCAACACGGTTATGAGCCCTGAGGCAGCATACCCGGCTCCTCCTCAGCTTCTGTCTACCCACCCTATACCGCCGCAGTCAGCTCGTCCTGCTCGCCCACCGAATGTCCGCCAGCCCTCGAATGCCTACGCTCCCGCTCGTCGTCCTCATCAATATTCCTACAACAACACTGCTCAGCGTGCACGTACTACATCTACGAACCGTGTCCGTCGCAATCCCAATGCCGAATACCGTGCTCAAGAGAAGGCATACGTTCAGCGTCTACGTCAAGATGCACCGCCCGACGACTTCTTCGTCGGCGAGCCGCGAACTCCCAGTCTTGATTACAGTGATGGTTCCGAACCCGACGACGAATCGCCTGCTGCTGGAGAGGTGCTTGAACACGAACATGACGAAGAGACGCTACTATACTACGGCAACGAAGACATGCAACCATCCATCGAAGAGTTGAAAATACCAGAGAATCGCGAGCGTCTGGAATGGCACTCTATGCTGGCCAACGTGCTCACCGGAGATGTCGTCAAGCAAGAAAAGAAGCGTTTGATCGGTGGTCAGGATCCTCAAAGCGACAGGTCGATGATCATGGAGGTCTGGACTGGAGTAAGAGCAAAGGTCTGCGGCCGTTCCCTGGCTGCTCAGCGACGTATGATTGAGGACGGACGCAGCAAGATCAAGGGTGTTATAGAAGAGGTCATTGCCTTCGAAATCAAGGGCGAGGCTGAGGCAGGCAAAATCCCGCTGGAGCAAGTCCGGGACGTCGTACAAAAGATTGAGAAGATTGAAGGACTATACCCTACACGCATGTCTTTTATCCAGGCGAACCCGCGTGCCGCATCAGACGCCTACATCAACAGCTGCGATGCTGTCATGTCATGGCACAACACGACTGACCTTATCAACACTCAACTCGGCATTCTGCAGGCTTGGGTTGGTAACCAGGAGCTGTCGTTCGACAAGCCACGTCAACGTGGTCTCCAAGATAGTCATGGACACATCATTGACGAGAGCACCTTCATCGACCGCATACTGAAAGAAGACGGTCTTCGCTCACTGTGGGACGAAGAGAAAGAGGCCAAGGAAAACAAGTCCAACGGTCTCTTCCATGTCGTCAACACTGTCATCGACAAGGCAAAGTCGACCCTCATATCCAACGCCGAGTCGTTCGCAGATCGCCACTTGCCTCCGTACATTGAAGAGTTGTTGACTCTGATAAACTTTCCTTCACGTCTGGTCCAAGAAATCATCAAGGTCCGTATAGGTTATGCGAAGAAGATGAAGGATCCTGCTCAACAAGGTGTCATGATGGCCGAGCAAATGATTCTACAATTCCAAAGTCTTCTCAAGCTGGCCGTCAAGGTCAAGGAGGCATACCTTCTTGCCGCTCACCCCGAGCCCGGCTGGGATCTGCCGCCTTGCATTGATGAAAATTTCGATCGCATTGTTCTCGAAGCCGTTCGCTTCTACTTCCGCATGCTGAACTGGAAGTTGATGGCCAACAAGAACACCTTCAAAGAAGCTGAAATTCTCGAACAAGAATGGGGTTTCTGCAATGAGTTGGGTAGGCACCTCGAAGGTGGTGATGTCGAGGTTGCTGAACAGTTCAGGTTTGTCAATACACTATTGTCTCCTTTCTACAGTCCACCACTGACCATGAGATNNAGTTCCTTGACTTCCAAGTCGCTCACCAGACTGACATTGCACTTCGAACGCGAATTGCAGAAACGACCCGACGAAGTTGCTGGTGCCGAGATGGACAAGAGATATAAGAACATTCTCGACTCTGTTCGTGTGCGACAACGTAAAATCTTCCGTTTCTCTCGTCTGTTGAGTCAACGCTTCGAGAATTCTACTGAGTACAGTCTCAACATGAACTCGGTCCACATGCAAGACTTGATTGATGCACTCATCGGCTCTGGTCATTTCCTCATCGATACAGATTCGGAGAAGACTGGCTTGTACTTCATCGCTTGTCCTGCCCTAGACGGTCGCCTCAAGGAGATCGAGACTTTGCTCCGTACCTGCTACCACCCTGAAGAATCTATCGAAGATCTCACCAACCCCTACGTCCTTATCCTCAAGCCCGAGAGTCCCATCGCATGGGATGGCGCCATACTCGAAAGATCTGGATTTTCACCACCTCACATTGACCTCCGTACTGGATTCATGCGTCTTGTCGCCGATGGTCCGCAAGAAAGACTTGGCGATGCAAACACCGCTTTTGCTTCAAACATCAACCTCGATCTCAATGTCGTGGTGCCACAACGTGCGAACATGACAAGAGTCAACCAGGAACTTCAGAAGATTAGACGCACTACTTACAAGCTCAGCAACACCATCATGGACAGTGTCGAGATCGTGCGCAAGCAGACCGAAGGATTGCAGTGTCAGGAACTGATTCAGACATGTTTCGCGTTCGCCACCGAGTTTGGACAGCGTTCAGTGCTCTATATGGACCCCAACCGCCGTGCTTACCACAATCTGAAAATGACAAGACTTGCGCTGGACTGGGTAAGCTTCGTTGCAGACGATTGCATTCCCTCAGACCGCAAGACTTTCCGCTGGGCCGTTGTCGCACTCGAATTCGCCATGGTGATGACACGAGGACAAAATATTCTTTCCATCAGCATGACCGAGTACGATAAGCTGCGAGCCAAGGTAGCCGGATGTATGTCGCTATTGATCAGTCACTTCGACATCATGGGCGCTCGCTCAAACGTTGCTGCCGAAGCAGAGAAACAACGGTTAGAGAGTACGGCTGGCAAGCTGCGTCTGGATGTCAGCAAGCTGAAGGATGACGACGAGAGCTCGAGACTTGTTCAGCTGCAATGGGTTGAGCAACTCCAACAGATTGACGAATTCCGCAAGGAACGTGAAGCTGAACGACAAGCACTGGGACGCGTCCTAGAAGACAGCAATGAAGCCGATCGTGCCTTGACATACCTTTCCGCCTCGGCAGGAAACGTTGTATTGCGTTGGCAGCAAGGCCAGTTCGTTGGCGGTGGTACCTTTGGTTCCGTCTACGCTGCCATTAACCTTGACAGCGGTCATCTCATGGCCGTCAAGGAGATTCGACTGCAAGACCCGCAACTTATTCCTACTATCGTATCACAGATTCGCGATGAGATGGGCGTTCTGCAGGTCCTCGACCACCCCAACGTTGTCAGTTACTACGGTATTGAACCTCACAGAGACAAGGTATACATCTTCATGGAGTACTGTTCAGGCGGAAGTTTGGCAGGTCTCCTTGAGCACGGTCGTATTGAAGATGAAACTGTCATCCAAGTATACGGTCTCCAAATGTTGGAGGGTCTTGCCTATCTTCACGAAGCAGGCGTGGTACACCGCGATATCAAGCCCGAGAACATCCTTCTCGACCACAACGGTGTAATCAAATACGTCGATTTCGGCGCTGCAAAGGTTATCGCCAAGCAAGGCAAAACACTCGTCGCCGACCCCACCGGCCGCGGCGGACGCCAAAACTCCATGACGGGCACACCAATGTACATGTCCCCCGAAGTCATCAAAGGCGGCGCACCAGTAAACTCCCGCCACGGCGCCGTCGATATCTGGTCTCTAGGCTGCGTTATCCTCGAAATGGCAACTGGACGTCGTCCTTGGGCTTCTCTGGATAACGAGTGGGCAATCATGTACAACATTGCTCAAGGCAACCCGCCGCAACTTCCCTCGCCTGACCAGCTTTCTGACCTCGGTCTCGACTTTTTGAAAAAGTGCTTTGAGCGTGATCCGGCGAGGAGATCTTCGGCTGCTGAACTGTTGCAACATGATTGGATTATGCAGTTGAGGAATCAGCTGAGTCTTGAGCCTGGCACGCCTGCAACACCGGCTTCCGAGTCGAGTTTTGGCGGTATGAGTAGGCATGAGAGTATGAATGGGTCTTATAACTCATCATGAGCTTTGTTGGTTTAGAAATGAGAATGATTCTGTGTGTGGGGCTCGTTTCTGGTTCTTTGGGTTGCATCCTTATTCCCTAGGCATTTGGGCGTTCCGTTGGCGTGGGCTTGACGTACTTTCACTACCACTTTTTACTGCATATACAAATTCTTTTCCACTTGTTTGATTCGTGTCATGTCTGCATATTTCGTGTATTGTGATACGTGAATAAGAAACATTATCTCATGAGAGAAAACAACACTTTGATAGGCTGTTAGAAGATGAGGAATAGACACTTGACATCGATTCTCAAGTATGTTTCGTTACACTTGGAGCTTGAGTTCAATAGCCTTGCCATCAGCTTCACCGCTCTTGATCATGGACTCGAGCNNTGTTCATACAAGTCAGCACAAGGATTGGTAATAGTCAATCGTCGAATCGTGACTTACCACTTCCAAATCCGCCAAAGCTTCCTCAGGAGACTGCAGAGGATCGGCCTTGCCTTGCTGGATACTTTCACCCCAAGCCTTGAGCTCTTGCCTAACACCATTCTTGTCTTCAGAGAAATCTTTCGAAGACTCCTTATCACCTTTCTTGACAATAGTCTTGTCGAAGCCAACATCGACGGTACCGTTCTGACAGGCCACTACGTATTCGGCGCCGGAAAAGGTGGTGCCGAAACTAACGCTGAAAGTGCCAGAACGGCCGTTTGCGAGCTTGACGGTGGCGTTGATGGTATCGATGGGAGGTAGATGGGGTTGCAGTTGAGCTGTAAAGGCAGCGACTTGAGACATTTTGGCTTCTTGACCTAGGAGCTGGCGCATGGCGGCGATGAAATGGACGCCTCCGTCGAGGAGGAAGCCTCCCTGTNNGATTATCAATCAGTACTAGACATTGTTGGAAAAGTATACAGTCAGTCTTACTTGGTACTCTGGCTTCTTGCGCCACTCAGTCTCGTAGTACTTGGCTCCAGGACCAACTGAAGCGTGCATACGAAGGCGGAAACCCAAGATGTCTCCCAGCTCTTTGACTTGCTCAGCACCATACTGGAAGCGACCAAGATAGCGGAAGTTCTCAGCAACAGCCCAGATGGTCTTCTTGGTATCAATGTTCTTATGGTACCAATCAATCAGCTCGTGAGCAGTTGCCAAATCCTTAGCGACAGGCTTCTCAGAAAGCACATGCTTGCCAGCAGACAAAGCCTTCTTGATGAAGTCGGGTTGAGCAAGAATAGGCAGGGCAATGACTACAGCCTCAATGTCTGAGCGTTCGAGGAGTTTGGCATAGGACTTGTCTGAGCCGGCATCTTCGGCGTAGAGATCGGGGGTAGTGGATTCGACTTCTTTGGACAGGTTTTGAGCTGAGGATAGGCTGCGGGAGTAGATGGCCTTGAGGGAGAAGAGGTCGCCGTTGGCTTTGATGCCAGGCTATTACACTGGTAAGTATGTAGTGTTGTCGATGTGAGATGAGAAACCTACGAGATGAGCTTCTTGGACAAAGATGCCTGTTCACACGCAACTTGTTCTCAGCCAATGGTCCGTTCCTGCCATGTGTTGTGCTAGCCTACCGCTACCAATGACTGCAATTCCGATAGTCATTCTGAATCAGAATACTGCTTGTGTGTTCCTTCCTTGAAAGTCTTGCGGCTCTCGAAACTTGTTGAAGCCTTTCCAGCTTTATTTACACTGCGTCACCTTGAGCCCCACCATCACCATCACGGATGCCCCGCGTTTTTTGAGGCTCTGCCCCGCTTCGGCTTGCCTCTGTTTAGCCTATACATCTATGCATGCTTTATGTAGTCTTTAGCCTGTGGAAGAAGAATAGAAGGTGAATATCTTGTGCAGTCGACATACAGAGAAACAGAGCCCCTCATTTGATAGGGGTGCTCCAGAGTTGACCAGTATATCGACCTTTCTATACAGTATAGTATAATATCTATCGTCTATGTTTGCAGATATAGAAGCAATATCATAGAAGCATTGCCTTTTACTTTGTCTCTGAGCCTTCTGCTGCAAGTCCCAGCTTGCTGAGATCAATAGCCAGAGGATCAGACTCTTCTGTCGACTCTGTTGGACCACTGAACCCGGCAGGTGGAAGCGCCCATTCAGGCAATTCCGTCTCATAAGACCACCTGCCGTCGCCAGCAGCATACTTGCGAGCATGCAGGTAGATGCCAAGTTCGTGCGGCCCAGGATCACTATACAGATCTGTTCCACAGAGTTCGCACTTCTCGCCAGTAAGCTTCTCTCCTTTGCTCTTCTTGTAACGGTCCATCATCTCGTCATGATATGCAACGGCATCTGCTGTTTCGTCTTTGCCCATGCGTGCTAGACGTGTCATGATGTCCTCGTCGTTGTCGGCCTTTGACTCACCCTTGCCCAAGTTGAGGCCCCAGACACGCTGATTGGCGTAGATGGGGTCGTTTGAGATGGGATGGCCCAGGAATTGCAGGTGTACACGCAGTTGATGCGTGCGCCCTGTGAGAGGCCGACAACGCACAATCGAGTATCCCTCCTTNTGCTTCCACTCCATGCCAGGAGTGGCTACACCTCTNTCAGTTCCCTCGTCTCCAGCTCCAGGATAGTATGCTAGCCTCTTGAAGACCGTTCTTGCGTCCTTGCCGTCGGCGCGTACTCGGTTCAGACCGAGCTTAGGGCTGATTTGCATGATGGGTTGCTCGCAGACAATCTCTCCTTCTGGAAACTCGCCCATGACGCGAGCAACGTATTCTTTCTTAACGGTACGGGCCATGATTTGCTCGGTGAGTTCGTCGGCGGCCTTACGGTGTTTGGCGATGAACATGACGCCGCTGGTCAGACGGTCGAGACGGTTGCAGGGCATAGGGTTGAAACCGTGGCCACGCTGTGCGCGCATGACCTCAGTCACACTGTTGTAGTTGTAGCGGCCTGATGGGTGTACGGGAATGCCAGCAGGCTTGTTGATAACAATCATGTCTTCATCCTCATGGACAATACCGATCTCTTGCTGGGTGACGGGGGGTTCGTGGCGGTGAAGGGTATGTGAAACAAGGTCGCCGTTCTTGACTCTGTGGTCGGCACCAGTCGCAGGCTTACCATTGATAAGCACAGCACCTGTTTTGACAGCGTTTGTATAGTATTCGATTGGGCGATCGCGAAACTCGTCGGCGAAGATCTCGAGGATCTCACGGCCTCGCCATCGCTGCTTGCACCATGTGTTGTATGTGTAGTGGTACGGCGCAACTCGTCGCAGACCACCCTCGAGGTAATACGGCCGCGGCCACGGATCGCAGGGTGTGATGATGACGTCCGGCGGCTCTTCCATCGTGTTCGGCTTCGTCGCAGGCTTGACACCTTTGTCGACGGTTGTCAAGGCCATGGTTGTTGGCAGTTTTCCGCGCCGCGCCAGGAACGCTACGATTCGGGGGGAGGGAGCCACGTCTAGGTTTGTGATGCTGCTCGTCTTCTTCCACCTCTTCTCTCGAGTCGGTCTATGAGGGTTCTATGTTTTGTTTTCTTATTTGTTAGCGTAAGGAAAAAATTATTGTATGCCCACATTAAAGTTGATCGGCGGTCTCGCGTCGACTTTCTCTACTCGGCCAAGCCTTGTGCCTATCTTATCGTCGTATATATTCTGGGCATGCGACCATTCGTGCCCTTCCATCTTGCTCTCCAAACCCGTGTTTCATCAAGATGCCTATTGAAATCAGTCGCATGGTCGACAGCGACATAGATGGCGCCGTGGAGTGTATTCAANAAGCTTTCGCAGAAGACCCCTACTTCGAATGGGTATTCCCTGAAAATGTAAGAGGATATATACATCTTGTCTTCAATTGTTCCTAATTACACGACGCACATCGTTCTTGACACTGTTGGTCTATTCTAACATTAACTGCCACGCACAAAGNNTTCTCTCCGGCACGGAACCGCGTCTCGCTCGGTATTCGCTGTAGATGGGGTCTTGAGCACGCTCTGTTCTACGTAGCCAAAGACCCTTCATCTTCTACTCCTTCGCGTGTCCTCGGTGTCGCCTGTTGGCTACCTCCCACCAATTCTTCCGCTCCGCAATCCTGGAAGAGCTGGTTTGGAGATTGGTCGCTGTGGTTGAACCAAGTCTGGATGAATGCTGTGTATGGTAGGGGCGGCCTGAACGTGCGCCGCTACCACATCTGGTTTGTCTCCGGGATAGTGATGATGTATCAACTCGCTNCTAATAATCGAGTTTGTAGGAAAGCTGCTCAAAGCAACGCGCAGCGTCAGCTCTGGACAGATGACCAGGGTTACTACTTCTGTAATATTGTGACAGTGCTTCCGGAATATCAAGGGTTGGGTATAGGAAAAGACNTTTTTGAAGTCGTGATGCGTCAAGCGGATGCCGAGGGGCGAAAGTGTTATCTCGAGAGTTCGAGAGCGGTGCCCAATATGGCTATATACCAAAAGATGGGCTTCGAGTTGGCAAAAGAGATGGAGTGTGATGATCAGGGGACTGCCATAACGCTGTACTGTATGATGAGGAGTCCGCGGTCCGAATAAGTGGGCTCGATGCGGTGAAGGAGTGTATTAATGTTGTGTAACCAAAGCGTGCAGTCGTCAAAGGAGTGTTTGGGGTATAATGAAGCAAAGAAGCGTGAAGTCATCGAAGGATCAAGGATTGGTGTGCATTCAGCCGCGGAAGACTGACTTCCAGGGAGCCGACTTGGATTTGGATGGTACTCTTGGGGGCAGATAGCCAGTACCACCCGTTTCTAAGAACTCTTGGGCTTTGCCAGGTACTCCACCCCTAGGTATAGAATTTGTTTTCTTGTGAATATGATTCGAGTTCGGCAATCCAGGTGAGAGGCTGTCTTCTTGAATCGAAGACAGCTGGTAGTCGTTGCCGAATCCGACAGGCTTGTAATTTGGAACCAGAGATCCGTTCGATGTCCTTTTCCTTTCGATGTTCAAGCGAGGCGTTGATGGAGCCTCTGAATTCGTCCAGCTCCAGCGGGTCGTTTGATGACTCGACGATATCGGGGACGTGGGCTCGTCTCCAATGCTGCGAATCGAAATGCTCGGAACGTTTGACGCTTGGGATCTCTTGGTACCAGCACGATTGAGATATCTGTTATCTGAACCCTTAAGGTACGCCATGTGTGGTTCCATGAGTACACTAGGAGGCTTGCTACTCATCTGCCCCCCTGCTTGAGTCACAGGTGGCGGTAGACCTGGCAGATTCTTACTCGCTCTGGTCTTGCTTTTGAGCGACAGAGGATACCTCGACGATCGCACCGAATACCTCTGCTCGTAGTAGATAGGATACTCCTCCGGACGGACCATATAAGGAGATGCGTGAGCACGAGGACGAAGCTTGAGAATGTCGACTAACGCAGCACCTCTTCGCATTTGGCGTATCACATATGCGATGAAACAGAATAACAACACACCACCNTAATCATTGTTAGGATAGATCCGGCTCTCTTACTACACAGGTGACGTACCTATTGAACAGGTGATGATAATCAGAAGCCTGGAGCCCTGAGGTAACTCGCTTTCCTGTGCTGCAGACGAGTTCTGACCCGTCGTTGAGTAAGGTGTTGAGCTAGAGAGGTCCATTTTNGATGTGATGAACAGACAGAGCGATCACTAGCCAGAATACGGGAGCTTCAGAAAACAGATCCAATTTGAATATTGACCTCGAAGTGGTGGAGCAATGGCAACCAGTCGCCTTGAGATTGTTGCAATAGACGAAGATATGAACCGAGCGAATGTAACAATTCTGTCCAGCAGAATGATGTATCGTCGTACCTTGATCGAAGATCGGGGAGAAGGAAAGTAACAGAAGGAGGGAATCCTTACAAGGATTGCGAGGCCTCGTGATACTGATATAGCAACTGGGGTAATAAGGCTGCTCTTGTTTCGACCCATAAACTTACCTCAGTATTCACCTGGGGCTCTTGGTCCTGCAAGCAGCCCTCGATGAGCAGATCCTTGCGCAAGGTCCGCCTAGAGCCCTGGTCAGAACACCGTGCTTCTGTCATGAATAAGAATCTGATCGATTTTGAGACAGATTGCTCCAGATGTGATCAAACTCAGGGTGTTTGGCATTAACGGCGTCGAGCAAAAAAAGTTGTGCGGGTCGCAGATGGTGAAACACGCTTTTCGGTGCTCCGAAGCCTGTGCGGCAACCAACATGACGGAGCAGTTCCTTCGCTGAAACATGATGCGACGGTGCCTTTTAACGCGGGTGACCTGCAGTAGTCAGGATGATCTTGTACTCGAAACGAGAGATATAGTTAAGCATATACTGAGTTCGACGATTTACGAGAAAGGCCAAAGAAGGCTTGTTCAATCTAGACTTTATCAGTCTGTACAATAGGTAACTACCACCATAACGATCAACCTTGACAGTGAGCTTGTTGAAACCCAGCCGTGGTCATCCGGAATCCGCTTCGGAGAAAGATTGAACAATGTTAATACGACTTGGATATTTCGCTTGAAGGATCATTCTGGGCAATAGGCGCGGATCCTTCGCGATTGAACACATGAGATACGTCTAAGCACCTCGAAGACTGGAGTTACTCTTGATCAAGATGAGAGTTGAGCAATCTCCGAATGTGTAGATAGTCAATCGCTGATGAGGTGTACGATTCTGGTCGACAGTCTGACAAAGCAAGCATCGTGGTTCATGTTAGAAGGGATGCCTGAAACATCAGCCACAGCCGATAGCAAATTACAGCGCCAAAGTGGACTTCTTTAGACGCGCACTCAACAGGTGCCGACTTGTCATTTTTCTGTCGGGTGGATCTTACTGCAAGACATTTCTTTCTATCCGAATACAGGCCGTCGTGCCGCTATACAATCATCAGGTGATCATTCTCTACTCGAGTAGTGCTTGGTGGCATCGTCGACTCTGACTGTATCTTGGAATGAGGCTGTGTAGCTCAACACCGCCACAAGGCTTCGTGACGGATATAGCTTGAGGTATGCTCTGCCACCAAGTGACTGCGCCTTTTCAACTTCTTACGAACGCTGCCTAGTTTATGCTGTGTTCGCCAGGCCGCCATGGGCTATACAAGAGTCATTGCTGTGCAAAGGGTCGTATAAGCCATCGTATCAAGGTGTAGCTGCCACGTCATGTGCCAAGGGCGTGTGGGCGACCACTCCCGAGCTACCCATCTGACCTCTTCCCATGTATATATTTGTACTATCAGCTTGATTCATCACGAAACACTTTTCCTTGCACCTACCTATACTTCGAACCACATCACATCGCACCTCGCACATCATGTCAGACCCTTACGGATATCAGAACCAAGGCCAATATGGCTACCAACCCCCGCAGCAAGGTTATGGAGGTTATCAGCAGGGTCCTCCCCCACCTCAGTACGGTGACCACCAGCAACAGCAGCACCAGTATGGCGGCAACCAGTATGGTGACAATCAGTATAACCAACAATACGGCGCTCCCGCCCACGGTGGATTCCAACACGGCCAGTACGGTGGACCTGAGTATGGTGGACCAGCCCCGCCACAACACCAAGCATAGTCAGTAATCCTTCGTCTCAATTATATTGTATATCGGACACGAAAAGCTGATCGTAATTGCAGCGGTCAATACCCACCTAGCGATCCTTCTCACCAGTTCCCTCAACAAGGAGCTTACAACCAGAACCCCCACCTCAAGACCCCAACAACCCTTACGCCCATCAGCAAAACCAGTATGGCCCCACCGATCCTGCTGCAGGCCAAGAGGGCGATCGTGGTCTTATGGGAGCAGTGGCCGGCGGCCTCGGCGGCGGCATGCTTGGACACAAGGCTGGTCATGGCATCATCGGAACACTTGCCGGCGCCTTCCTAGGTTCGAAGGTAAGTGGACTGCAATATCACACAATGATATGCTTATGCTAACTGGGATGGTTCAGGCAGAGGACAAGTTCAAGGATAGCCGCCACGAGTCGCAATACCAGCAGCAGCAGCAGTATGGAGGTGGACAGCACCACGGCCAACACCATGGCCATCACAACTCGCACCACAACCAGAAGTGGTAAACCCGCCCGCACGGCCACTTGGGATTTGGTTTCTGCAGTTCAGGAGCTATGGGAGTTCTGGCTAACCAGGTTACTTACGCCATGTGGGGGATCTGCTTTTTCCAAACTCGGCCGAGCGTGAGCGGCCGCGCGCGCTCTGTGTTCCTATGATGATCCTCACCTTTCTTGACGACTCAAGCGATATGAATAGCTTTTCTTTAATCTGATTCAGCACACCTACTCGGAGCATCCTTCGAACAGTGTGATAGAAGGATGGTCAATGGTCAAGGTGCTTGACAGCAAGATCGGCACACTTGACTTGTTCTGTGTGACATATGACATCTCCACTTCCTAAAACGCTGGATTGGAAGCCAGATCAGGAATACAAAAACTACTGTTTTGAGAAGAGAGGTCGCACGGCTCAGAAAGACTGAGGTTCTGTGCTTGGAAGCCAGATATCGAATCACAAATTGTTCGGAAGATCATACAGACCCGTGAAACAACTGCTGCGAACCATTGATGGACCCAACTCCGTCATACATGGTGTGGTTAGACGGTCAGAAGACGTATCGAGTTTGAGCCGAGTAGGCCTAGATCGAGCTACAACATTGATATAGAGTGATATCCCAAAGGGAGAGGATGAAACAGCGATTTGGGGGTAGGCGGTTGTGCCCAAACAGGATAAATGGATGTTTGCCTAGTCACATGATTTCGTGCCTTCCCTGATGCGTCTTGTCGAAATTATAGTTCGCTCCATCATGTACCGTCCATACTTCGTAGACATCAACCAAGAGATGACATGAACAACAATCCAACGTGGCAGGCAGCGCCCGTCAACAATGCCAAATACTTCTTTGCCTCACCCACGTACAACCACTGGGTGAAACTAACAGCTGCCGATGTGCACGCCCTTCGTGAAGTCCCTGGTTTTGAAGGTAACCATTAACATTCCATACCTTTGAGCCGAGCTGACCAACCTCTTCTTTGCAATCACAGGTCAAAATGTTTATTTTCATCTGAACCACCCTGTCCGCTTCGTCTACCTCGTTGCTCCTGTTGTCGCCATCCAAGACATTCCCAACACAAGATACCTCATCTTGACTCTGGACGATAGCAGTGGCTCCTGCATAGACGTCAAGATCGAACGCAAAGACCCCACCAAAACCGATCCTGAAAGCACCTCCAACACAACAGTCGCCAACCTAGACATCACCACTACCTTTGACCGCGATGCGGAGATCACAGTTGACGGCCAGGTCGTGGATATTGCGACCGTGCTGAAGGTCAAATGCACGATTGGCAGTTTCAGAGGTGTCAAACAGCTGGAGCTAAAAAGATGCAATACTATCAAGGATACGACTGAGGAGGTTGCGGCTTGGGAGTCTATGGCGCTGTTCAAGAGGGATGTGCTCGCCAAACCCTGGATGTTGAGTGCTGCAGATCAAGCCACTCTGGACGCACAACTTCAGCAAGAAGCCATACGCGAGCAAGAGGCAGAACGAAAGGAGAGGCGCAGCCAGAGGGCACACCAGAAGCGAGAGGAACATCGAGCGGAGAGAAGAAGGCTTCGAGAAGAAGAGATGGAACAGCGACGGCTGGCCGATGAGAGGAAGTACAACCAAGGTGCCCTGATCTAAAAATGGCTGGATTAAAGATTCTAAACGATGTATGGAAAGAAAACGCCTTGCTATGCGTGGCAGCGAGGTGAAACAAGAGAAGCGGACGAGAATATCAAACTCGTCGATATGATCAGTCATCATCGTCATCCTCCTCCTTGGACTTCTTGCGCTTCTTTCCCTCTTCGTCTTCGTCATCCTTGGCCATTTGCTTCTTCTTACGCTCGTTGCGCAAGGCCTTGGCCACCTTCTCGCCTCCTGCTTCCTTGGCCTCATCCCAGTCGACATCGTACTCTTCAGCAACCATCTTGATTTCTCTTCTCAGACGATTGCCCTCCTCAACCAGACCATCCCATTTGGACACATCAAAGCCTTTCGCCTGATACAGTTTGTCCTGTCTCTTGCTGACGGTAAAGTTCATGGCGGAACGATAGCTGACTTCGCGATTGTGGTAGAGGAACCACATGTAACCACCAATCAACGTTGACAGACCAACAAGATAGGTTACGGGCTCCATGACATCCCAGCCCAGCTCAGTCTGGAAAGTGAGGACGTAGACACTACCCCACCAACCCACCAGCACAGCAAACCCTCCTTGGGCAACCCGCTGAGCACTCCTGTGGGCCAGCTTGTCACACTCGGTCTTGATATCCGCCAGGCCGGAGATTTGCTTGGCTGTCTTGCGCAAACGCATGCGCAGGTAGTAGGTACGGTCTGCGAATGACGGAACGGCGACATAGATGGGTTCAGGAGCACCCTCAATGTCAACACTGAACTCCTTGCCCCTTGCAGCATCTCTGATGAAGTCGCCAATCTCGGTACTCGGCGACCAGCGTACAAAATTTGGGTGTTCTGGGTCGGGTTCTTTGATAGGGTTCACCGTTTTCGGTCTTGCGACTTCGCCCGACTCATTGAGCTTGCCAGTGCGTTCTGTCTTGCCATCAATCTTGAAGTCCTCAGAGTGTTCGAAGTTGTAGTCCTCGGATTCCTCGTCGGGTTGGTGGCGGTCCGGATCAATTGCTTCTTCTCCTAAATCCTGTGCGCGGAAGTGGACGGCAGGGATCTTGTCATTTCCACTCTCATTCTTGATAACGGGTAGTTCGGATTGGATCAGGCGTTCGAGATAGCTGAGTGGTTGTTGAGGGTGTACGAGTAGGGCCAACGGTTCCACGTCTTTGCGGTCTTTGTTTACGTCTCGAGTGGTAAGAGGGAGGATGAGCTTGAGCATCCGGGACGGCGTTGTCAAGAGTTTGCCTACANNCATCTTTGTCAGTATCACTCATAAAGTCACGGACCAAAGCATCACACCTTTGACCATTGCACCAGCCGACCTCAACCGAGCAACAGGAGGCTTATCACTACCCTCGCGCATCCACGGCGAGCGCATCTGACTCTGCTTGCTATGTTCAACGACCCTTGCATAGTGTTCCTTCTCTTCCTTGCCCACAGTCTGACTCAGGTTCGCCGCAGGTTGTCCTTGTGATGTCGAGTTCTCAGCTGTGACGCCTTTAGACTGCTCTCTCAAACGCAATCGCGTGCTCTGTCCAAACGTCCTGGTACATTGATGGCCGATGCGTGAGGTTGGCCAGCACCTATTGCTGCGACCAGCAGAGCCCAAGGCTCTCAGTATTGATGGTTTCATTGCTCTTCTTCAGTGATCTGCTATCGTACTAGCATATTAAACTTCTTTGCAGGGATGTGGTGATAAGAGGTACAAGGTTGAGTGTTTGATGCCAAACATGAAAGGCTTGATGACATCACTGGTTCGTCTTGTCCCCTTTTTGTTTTTGCACAGCCACATCTTTGGACCTTGAATTCATCATGTCGTGTGCCTTGGAATTTCTGGAATCTTTTGCTCTTTCCTTGCTGGGCAGTTGCATGAATGAGGCCACCTGCTCCAAGCATCACTTTGGGCGTCATGCTGGAACATAATTGTTGCAATTGCTGCAACTTTGGTCAAGCAACAGCTGTTTACACGCGACTCTGTCCATCGCGGAAGCGGATAACCAGTATTGGGTTAGGTACCTAATATAACACAGCCTTCTAGTCATGCCGCGAGACTCTCTCGCCGCCGGCCACCGAAACATCTGGAACTGATTTGAGATTCTTCGGACTGGTATTACTCGTGCCGTCGGCGTCGTCGGACGAGTCAGCGACTAAGGACGGGAAAGCAGCCACTCGTCTCAGATATACTTGCCATTAACACAGCTGGTGAACTATAAAGAGTCTGTTATATCCGGCCCCAGGCATGACTCTGCTTTCTGTTGCAGATGTGTCTGTGGTGGAAAGTCAAAAGGATCCAACTTCTGGTTCAGCGGTGACTTGTGATTGTACTGGCATTTTCCCCCTTTCGCTGGATCTGCTGGCATTCGTCTTCGTTGGATCGTGGCAACTTTGTAAGTGCACAACTCGGATACGTTAAAACCTCATCCGATGAATGGACAGTTGTACTGTACTAGTCTAATGATGGACTTTTTCTTCATCCAACTCGACACATGAAAGAGCTGAGAGAGATAAGAGAGAAAAGATGCTCTACACTCTCTTGCAGCAATCACCGAGCTTCCATCACTGCTTGTCCAAGATATCATCCCGTCGCTGCTTTCTGACTCTGACATCTGAGTGCATGACCCGATCTATACGCTGCTATCTTGTCGAGTTTGCCTCCACCTGAACTTGCCGCATCTATCACACAAGCAGCCGTAACAGAGTGTGAGATGGTCATTGTCATCAACAGAGATTCCTAGGCGCAGAAAAGCGGTAGGCTTATCCGTGGTTTATTGTGAGTTTGGATTCTCTAGTTGCTTGCGGTTCAATCAATGCAACTCGTACATGTCGAATATATGCGAAAGACCGGTACGACGAATCAACTCCATGTCGTTTGCATGATCCGAACCTGATTTTGATACCTGACGAAGTACGACCGCGTTAGCAAAACACTCAATTGGAACTTTAAATCTTTGAGTAGGAGACTTACTACCAAGCGTTTACGATTCTTCTCCATCCAGCTCCAGGGACGAAAAGCAGCTGCTTGCCGCTCGTTAAACTGGCCACCTATACGCGTGGCATATTTCTCGAGCACTTGATCGGCCAATATGTTTCGTTCGAAGTCGTGGAAGCCTAGCTGTTCTAGCATAGGTAACTGTCGTAGGATAATGTCAATGATTCGGTCCGCTTGTACTGAAAGAGAGGTACTTGACGCTCTGTGGATAGGGTCAGCAGATATTCAAAAAGTCCAATAGAAGCGTATCACCTTGTGCGTCCTCGCAAGTGTGGTGCGTCCATTGCAAGCCTTCTCAATTCTGGAAATATCGGTGGGCCAGGTTTTGCCCAGTCGTCGAGATCGAAGGTGCCATACAAATCACAGCAATACATTTCGGGATGTGTCTCGCCCAAAGAAGTGATTGACTTGAGCGTGATGTTGCACTCCACTTGGAAAGCCAGGCTTTTGAGCTTTGGCAGGTCTGACATGAACTCGGCAAACTGCTCGTCTCCTAACCACGGAGCTCTGATGTTGTGGTAGTAGGCACGTCCCTTGGTCCAGGTGCGAATTAGAAGGACCTCGAGTTCTGGCAAGGTTCCGAGTGATTTGATGCCCTCTTCTGATAGCTCTATCCCTCGCGATAAGTTATGATATTCGATCTCGAGATGGCGCAGTTTCTTCATTGGTTGCAGGGCCTTGAGTACGTCGTGTTCGGGGTCCTGAACTTCAAGAAAGAGTGTATTGACAGTAAGGGCAGCCGCAGCAGCCATTAATCCGATAGACTCAGAATGAAGTCGAATATGGAGTATGTTTATGTTCTTGAATGCGTTCGGTGGCTCAAAGACTTTTCGTGCCCTATGAGGCCTCAGGAATGGCACAAAGTCTAGTCGTTCGAGATGTTCTAGAGTCAAAACGTGTGCAAGTACTTCTGGCGGGAGCGAGTACTCCCAACCTCTGCCAAACTCAACGTTCCTGAGAGATGTGCGGTTCGTCAGGAACTTCTTCAGTTTTTCTGCATCAACCACTAAGCCGAGAGGCTCCATCAGGTGAAGGTCATGTAGTCGAGGACATTCTGTTTCCAAGCGTTCAAGTGCATCTTCACACGGATGACCTCCNCAATACGAAAACGACTCCAGTCGAGGTCCAATATACTGGCTCAGATGCAGCTTCTGGTTTTTCCGCAGACGCACTGTATCAAGTCCGATGCACTTCAACCTTGGAAACTGGAGATTCTTGTACTGGGCATGGAATTTGGCTTCGTCAACGCTTCTAAAGTACATTTCTGATATCTTGTTCGCATAGGATTGTCGACGCTTGTATGAGACCTTGGACAAGGCTATCGGAGGCACGTCTCGCCAAAGAACATCTGTAGCCGGTTCGAACCATTCCTGGCATACTAGAGCTGCGGATAAGAGTGTTTTGTCATGGCCCTCGAGCAAGCGAAAAATAGAGAGAAGGATCTCTGGTGGCAGATGTGGTGTTGACATGCTTTGCTCCATAGCACAAAAGCGGTAATAATGATCAAGTTGTATCGGTGATGTTGTGCAAGGTTATCAACGAGTTCAAGTACGAGCACAAGATGTCGGCTCACACGACGTTCTCTTCCGAACTGCGGAGTCTCTTCTGCAAGCACCATCAAGCTATTACACCTTCCGTTCACATCACAAACAGTAACAAGATGTTTGCTCAGACATCGGACCTCGCGGTATTGATGGCTGCTGCCATCACGAGAGTAAGACAAAACTCTATGAATGCCCGCTACACATCCTCGGACGACTTGGCCCCCATTGAGAGAGGTTGATGCGCGCGGTCGAGTACAACACTCTCACGCCCCTTGGACGACATCTGGAGGCACGATGAATGCGTGTACATATTGACATTTGTGACTCACTGTCGTTACACTGACCGCTCAGGAAACATATATACTCTGTTCTCGAACCCAGCAGACAGCAGTCACATCGCTCCCATTCAGCAGTCCATCCAGCCTGTTACCCTGTATCTCACCAACAATGTATCTACGCGCCATCCACGCCGAACCCTCCATCCCAGTCTCAAAAGCCTTCCTCGCCGCCAATCCTCTTGTAACTCCAAAGTTTTACACAAAGACAAAACCAGAAACCGGGAAAGTGGTGTCGGCGTGGAACTATGCAGCTGCAAAGGTATATGGAATAGCCACTGTCTATATGGACGCAAGGGCAGACTCTACAACAACGTTTCTGGACAAGCAGATCAGAGATTTGAGCAACAAGGCTGAAGAAGAGACTATGGGACACGAAAAGCCGTGGAAAGTGGACGACGCGCCTGAAAGGTATATCGAGCTTTTGAGGAAGAACATCGTTGGTATCGAGATTAAGGTGACGAATTTGGGCGGCAAGTACAAGATGAGTCAAGAGATGAGTGTAGAAGATCGAGAAGGTGTTGCCGCAGGATTCGAGGCTATGAAGAAAGAGGCTGGAGACTGGATGGCAAACACGGTTAGAGAGCGTGTACAAACTAAATAGCTGCTCTCCTTCAATTTCACGTCACTATACACAATTTGGAACTGTTGCGCCGAAGAAATAAGTGTGCAAAATAATTGGTATCGTATTCGCCGTTTCATTCTATGTATCGATTACCCCGAAAGTAAAAAAGGGGGCGTACATTTTGATAAGGTTAAAGGAAAAGTCATGTCAACACGCGGCCGTAACCAGAGCATTCATCCGCTTAGATGAGCTGGAGGAAAGCGCGGTTGATGGGAGAGCGCAGAGGCTTGACGTCCTTGTAGAAGTCGACAGTCTTCTTAGCACGGCTGGCAATGCCCTCAGCGGTGAACTCGAACTTCTTGTAGACGTCCTTGTAGGCACCCGAAGCACCGAATCTGTTGAGACCGAACTGCTCGTGAGAGTACTTCTCCCAGCCGAGAGTCGACATGACCTCAACGGACATGGTGGGGATACCATCGGGGATGACCGACAGGCGGTAGTCCTTGTCTTGTGCGTCGAAGACCTCCATGCAGGGCATAGAGACGACACGAGCGGAGAGGTTGTACTCGTCCTTGAGGGTCTTGACAGCCTCAAGACAGATTCCGACCTCGGAACCGGTGGAAACGAGGGTGACATCGGCCTTCTCCTGGTCGAGAGCGACGTAACCACCCTTGGAGGCCTTCTCGATGGTGGAACCCTCGAGCTGGGGCAGGTTCTGGCGGGTAAGGGCAAGGAGAGAGGGAGTCTCACGGCTGGTCAGGGCAACGTAGTAGGCAGCAGAGCACTCGTTACCGTCAGCAGGGCGCCAGACCATGATGTTGGGGAGGGCACGGAAGTGGGCAAGAGTCTCAATAGGCTGGTGAGTAGGACCGTCTTCACCAAGACCAATGGAGTCGTGGGTGGCGATGTAGAGAACGCGCTGGTGAGACAGGGCGGAAAGACGGACGGCACCAGCGGCGTATGAGACGAAGTTAAGGAAAGTACCACCGGCGGGGATGAGGGTACCGTAGGCGGAAAGACCGTTCATGATGGCGGCCATGGCGTGCTCACGGACACCGTAACGGATGTAGCGACCGTCCCACTGGCCAATGCCAGTGTTGGGNGGCTGGAAGTCGACAGCCTTCTTCCAGCGGGTGTTGTTGGAGCCAGTCAAATCGGCGGAACCAGAGACCAGCTCGGGAACAGCCTCGTAGATAGCCTCGAGAACGGACTCGGAAAGCTTTCTGGAAGCGATGGCATCGTCGGAAGGCGAGTAGGTGGGGAGGCACTTCTGCCAGCCCTCGGGGAGCTTGCCAGTAAGACGGCGGGCAAGGTCGGCGTGGGCCTCCTTGTGCTCAGAAGCGTACTTCTCGAAGAGCTTGTTCCACTCGGCCTCAGCGGCGGCACCGGCGTCAGCAGTCTTGTGGTACATGTCGTAAACCTCCTGAGGAACGACGAAGGACTTCTCGGGGTCGAAGCCGAACTGGGTCTTGACGTGCTTGATGTCGTCGGCCTTGAGGGGGTTACCGTGGACACCGCCGGTACCCTGGAGCTGGGAACCGAAACCGATGGTGGTGGTGAGCTTGATGACTGAGGGCTTGTCCTTGACGTCCTGGCATCTCTTGATGGCATCCTCGATACCCTGGAGGTCAGTGTCACCCTTCTCGACGTACTCGCAGTGCCAGCCGTAGGCCTCGAAACGCTTCATGACATCCTCAGTGAAGGCGCACTTGGTGTCACCGTCTNNAGTTTATGTTAGTCAAAATTTCATCAGTAAAATCTAGAAAAGCCACTCACCAATGGAAATGTGGTTGTCATCGTAGATGGCGATGAGGTTGCCGAGCTGCAAGTGACCGGCAGTGGAGGCGGCCTCGGAGGCAATACCTTCCATGGCGCAACCGTCACCGAAGAAGCAGTAGGTGTAGTTGTTGATGAGGTCGAAGCCGGGCTTGTTGAAGGTACCAGCAGTCTGGGCCTGGGCCATGGCAAGACCAACAGCGTTGGCGAAACCCTGACCAAGAGGGCCAGTGGTGACCTCGACACCAGGAGTGTCGTGAGCCTCGGGGTGACCGGGGGTGATGCTGTCGATGGTNCTGGTTTCATGTTAGAAGATGAGTTTCGTGTTTTGCAATCAGCAAAAACTCACTCTGAAAGCCTTAAGGTCGTCCATGCTCAAGGCGTAGCCGAACAAGTGGAGGAGAGCATACTGGAGCATGCAACCGTGACCGTTCNNCTGTGAGTCAATTCTGTTAGCTATGCTCATCGGTTCAAGATTGTGCTGTCGTCGGCCTTTGAAGTCGGGCTGCGAGCTGTGGAGAAACCGCCCCGCCGGCTCCCATGATAACAGAAAAAACAACCATTGTATCATGTACGACTCGACGGCCAACCCAATCAATGGATGAGATATGACTTACGAGAGAACGAATCTGTCTCTGTTGACCCAGTCGGGGTTCTTGGGGTTGAAACGCATGAACTTGTTGAAAAGAACGTGCGAGACAGGGGCCATACCCATGGGTGCACCGGGGTGACCCGAGTTGGCTTTGGCGGTCGCATCGACCNNTGTGAGAGCATCTCATGTCAGTATAGTCCATCATTGATTGACTACCCCTGGCAGAAGACTCGAGATGGATGTGGCGACTCAACAAGCGGTCACAGCTCTTCGAAGCTCTTGGAGGGGTAGGTAGCTATGCGGTGAGGGAGGACTTACTGCGAGCAGTCTGATGGTGTTGATGGCGGTCTGGTCAACTTCTCCGTAACCCATTTTGAATGATATGACAGAGGTTTGTGATGAGTGAAAGGAAAGAAAGTTGTTGATCTGGCCGATTATGAAAAGATGTCCACACGGTTGTTGAGCGGGCCGACGTCACATTCAGAGAGCCCCGCCGAGTACTCACCGCAGAGACCGTGCGATTGGGAGGTGACGAACGGCTGAATGAAAGTGTCTGTGCATCCCTTTTTGGTTTCATCCGCCTACATCCATTACAAACCATTCGATGAGCATCTCGGTCTTATGGTGGACGAGGATAGCAGCATGGCAGAATCGGGCTACGCTCCAGATTGACCCGACACTATTTTGCATAATTCCTCGAACAAAACGCGATCCTCTATTCCAGGCCATTCTGTTTTGCCAGAGCGGTGTCGGCGCTGAGGGCAGAGCCACAATCTCCTAGAGTCCAAAGATGCCGGTGGATGAAGCAAGCATCTCCGGCTTATGAAGTGCATTCTTCCGGGCGGTTATCAAATCTGATAGCCGCGCGACTGCTCACACGGCTATGGTGTCTTCTTGTCACTCTTAAGGATCTCCCTCAATAATTGGGCGCAACGAGTCTCCCAACGGACCGCGTTCCGCTGTTTGAGAGCCATGTGCTTCTCCACGGACATTTAGGCAATAATGGCTAGCAACTTCTAGACACAGTGGAGTTTGGAGACGTCCTTGGATAAGAATATGTTGCTAATATATGTTTTTACTTCGAAAGAATGACTTGGGCTAGAGTGAGGGATTGCTAATAGAGAATCCCAAGGAGCAACACCTTCGCTATGCATACAAATCAGGGTATCTCGCTTTGCTGTGCGTGCTTCAATCGGCCAAAGAGATTAAACGAAAAAGGTCCAAATTATTCAATGAGTGTTTTCCTCTTTCTCCTTCCTCTCAACGTCCCTTCACCTCCACCGAAAGAAACAAATCGTCCCCTCTTCTGCTGGGCGTAAGTTTAGGCTCCCAAAGCGGACTCTTCAATTCCATCTGAGGTGTCTGATCATTCTTCTTCTGGTTTCTGCGACTGTAGTTTCTCAACGGCGATTCAGGCATTTCTCTGATATTCGTGATTGGCGAACCACGACCCAAATCCAGTGATAGGTCTTCACCACGTCTCTTTGCTGCCAGAGTGACCTTACGACTCGATGTAGTCAAAGGAGGAGACCGAGGAATGGCCTGGTTAGAAGGACGAGGGACCTTAGGATACGAAACCGGAGAAAGCTGTTTATCGACTTCGTTTTCCGGTGTTGTTTCATCGGGATCGACGGATTCGAAGGTTGTTGCTGAGGCCCAGGAGCTGCGTACAACGCGTGGCATCAATGGCAATGGGGCAAAGTGGGGTTGGCTAAAGCGTTCGTGGTCGTAAGGGCTCCATTTTGGTGCGACGGGGGTGCGGCTATCGGAGCTGGTGTAGTAAGCTGGAAGGTAGCTTGCTGCGCTGCTGGGAGGCATGGACAGATGCTCATTTCTTGAGGCCCCTGTGTTCAAGGAGATGCCGTTTGGAAGTGAAGCTTCATCATATCTCACAGGCTTGCGAGGGATCTGGAGCATCAGACCCGACTTTGCCATCTCTTCTGGAGAAGTGGTGTACTGATCCGCAAAGCTTGGTCCTGTAGGAGGATGAATTGGTGATAGGAAGATTGCCTTGGGAATTGCAGGTGGGTTCGGCAGTACCGGTTTGTGTGTGGGTATCTTGCTGTCTTCTTCGAACACTGTCCATCGAGTAGCGGCACTGTCGGGTCTGAGTTGTTTGCTCGCCTTCTTCACGTTGATCGTGATGTTGGTGATGGGAGTTGGAAGTCTGAGAGATCTTGTCTCGCTGCGCTCAGGTGAGGAAATACTGGCTCTGTGTGACCTCAAGCCATCAGGAACCTGGCGAATATCGGGTTGAGAGGTCTGCTTCCACCACTCGAGCTGAGGTCTGAGCGAGGGTCTGAAACGACGCTGTGTGATAGCCTCGGGCGACTTGGTGAAGCTGCTCATCGAGGAGCGAGGTGATCGGTTCGGACTTGCTGGGAAAGATCTTGGCGGTCTTTGAGGACCTGATGAAGTGGCTGATCGGGTGGTGTTCTTGAAAGGGAACTTGGATCCGGTAGGAGAAGATTGGTCCTGGAAGTCCAGACGGTGGCTTGACTTGAACCACTTTCTTGTTGGCGTGCCAGACTTCTTTTTCTTCTCTTCCTTCTTGCGACGTCTCACGCAGCAACAGCAGAAGAAACACAGCCCGAAGATAAGAGCAGCGATTGCAACCGAGGCAACAGAGATACCGACGGTCTGGCCAGTGGTCAAAGGCTTGGCTGACTGACTTGATGTTGCAGAAGGACCAGTCGGTGATGTTGAGGTTGAGTGAGACAAGTTCGATGTGGGCACACCGATAATGCTGTTTGAGATTGATGTTGAGGATGTGATGATGCTGGTAGGTATTGCTGTTGGTTGAGTAATTTGGGACGATGATGCCGATGTTGTCGGCTGGAATGATGTTGTCATAGTCAACACAGAATGTGTGGGTACCGCTGCATTGCTGTACGTCGAGCACAAGCTATACGCTTGATGCCCAGATGCGTTCACAGTTTCTTCAGGACAGTGCTCGATCATGCAGCCGAGCACAAACTCTCCGAGCGTGAATCCAGATGTGCTGTAGTGCGAGCAGAGGCATGCAGCATCGTTCGAGTTGTTGCACTCAGATGGCACCAACCCCTGGGTGACTGCTGTGGAGACGCAAGATTGAGCGCAAGTAGGAATAGAGGGTAGAAGCTTTGCCGGCAAAGCAACTGTATCTCGCAAGTAAAGAGCGTAAGGTTGACCAAAACGAGGCGCCATGATGATCTCGATGCGTAACGTATGCTTTCAAGTTTGTATTAGGTGGTGATGTCAAGAGAAGTTGAAAAGAATAGCTGTGATCTCTGATATGTTCTGATAAAGATCATACCTTGAATAGAAGTTATTGGTGAGAATTGAGAACAATTACTATTGTAGCGAGCTCATAATAGGGAGAATAGAAGGAGAGAATCCGACCAGCGGCGTGATTAGATGAAGATGAAGGAGAAGACAAGATGAATAGGAAAAACAATAGAAACAATGGCAGAAAGAGACGTCGAGAACTTACGAGCACTCGCGCGGGCGAGGTCTTGTACGCTTTTCTATTAATGTCTTCAGCAGCCGCCCAGCCATCGTCATCATACACATGGGTGGCAGGAATCGTTACTCAAAAGCGCCAGGAGAACCCATGGGCTCAGGGCTTAGGCTGCAGAGACATCTTGCAGAAGAGTCGGCGCTTAGCACAACCTCGAAGACAGTCGACTCATGCACAGACCACATGATACTTAGTGAGTGAAAGTGTTTACTACAGTCGATCATTCGTCAACCCGGAAGACGGTTCAGAGACAATGATGAAGATGTTCTGAAACAATGATGGATTGGTTCCTGTCTAAAGACATAAGCATCATACTGCGCCTCTGCTGTACGTAGGGGTATCCATCGAGAAAACATGTAACAAGAAAAACGCAACCTTGAATTCGCAATACTCCGGCCCAATGCTTCAAAATGCAGTGTTTGCGAAACAGCCCTCTGATGTGTTTCGAGCGCCAATAACCGTGCCCTATACCCTGCCTTCTGTGCCTGTTCCCTAAACAAAATTCCGAACTCCAAGACAATTTACACCGCAGATGCCGCTGATACAAGAACAAGAAGAGAATAGTCTCGTTTAGAAAGCAAAGGGGGCATTCTCCTTGAGGTCCTGGACAAGCTCGTTGACGTTGCTCAGGTACTGGCCAAGCAGGCGTTGTTTCTCGTCTGTCGTCTTTGAGAAGGCGACACTCTCATTTGTGTTACGGCGCTTGCTGGACTTCTTCTGCGGACCAGCCGAGGAAGAGTTGGCAGAAGGGGATTCGGGCATGAGATAGAAGTAGAGGAATTCGACGACCTTCAGCTTGACTTCTCTGGAGGTGCTGCGTGACTTGAACAAGCTGGCGATAGCAAGGAGGCCGTCCATCTTCTCGAAGGTGCGAGTGCTTTCGGGAGTTGCAAGGAGAGCGGTAACGAGGACAAGGAGAGCCTGCGACTGGACGACGGGTGGATTTGCAGCATCGAGAAGATCAAGAAGAAGGTCCATGTAACTCTCGCGTCGGAAAAGAGCGCGTGAAGGAGGGTGGAGGAGAAGGACTCCTTGGAGGATATCGAGGGCGGAGAGGATGATGGCGTTGGATTGAGTTGCTNNGGGAGAGGTCAGAATGAGGTTACAGTAGTCGTGATTGAGATGTGGGTAGTTACCATTGGGCATTCCCAGCAACGTCTCGAGACAGGCCATCAGGCGAGAGGCGACTNNAGAGGAACATGTCAGTGGACTGGAGGAGTCGCATGTGGTAGAAGCCGTACCATTCCACTCAAAGCCCTCTTGCAGGCGAAAGAACTCTCGGTAGGCAGGATCCTGGCACAGGGTGCTCAACTGTCTAGGCGGCAGGAGGGTGTCGCCAGACAGACGAGATGACGATGGACGGCGCTTTTGCTGAGAACATGAGGGAGGGATGCAGATCTGAGCCAGCAGACCTTCAATCTGGCGCAAGCCTTTGCGGATCTTGATGATGTCCTTGGAAGACGTGTTGTCGAAAGAGAGGGATAATAGTGCTTCCATAGCGAAGTGCAAGTCACTGGTCGGCACAAAAGCAGCACAGGCTCTTGTTTGACAGGCACTAGGTCGACACAAACCCAGACTGCGAGAGCATGCGGCGCGCACCGTGACTATTAAGCACCCTTGGTTCAAGACAGGAGCCGGCGTTTTGTTCGCTCATTGACCAGGCAACCCGCGCGAATCAGGGAGCCCAACGTCCGACAACTGCCACCACCATCATCGTTGATTCACACTTGCGCAATCTGCTAACCTACCGAAAGTGCTGAACACCTTCTCTGATTGTTCCAGCACAAATCAAGGCGGTTCGGGCTGCCAGCCTGCCACTGCCATCACCACCCCGGCCACCTCCCAGCCATCTCGCTTGATCAACATCGTCATCCGCGGCATGCAATTTTGGAAATTCCGTCTTCAGCCCGACCCAATCTCTCCTCTCACGCGCCCGTCGCAACGCCTATAGCACATCGTTATCGACGATTCTATCGGCAATAGTCTATGGTCAAGACCCTCATCGACGCTCCAACAAGGGCCACCTGACATGGTACATTGACGCCGCGTTCTAGGTCGACTTCACAACCAGATACACTACCCACCATGCTATCTCTCCTCTCTCGGTGCTCGCCCCGCCTCTGTTCTTGTACACCCGTCACCTGCATTTCCAATCTGCTCGTTAGCCGCTTTTCCATCAGTCACCGCCACTCTGAAGCTACTTCCGCATCTTCTTCAACCAATCCTTTGGNNAAACATGATACACAGCATAAAAATCGTGGACACATAGCGCGATATGCCAACGACCCTGAGTATCGTGCAGACTTTTGGCTCGCCAGAAGGCTCNGATACCATAATGATCCTGAGTATCGCGCTACGATCACAGCTCGAAGCCGCGCTTGGAAAAACGCTCGATATGCCAACGACCCCGAGTTCCGCAGAAAGATCCAAACTCAAACTGCAGCTCGTTATGCCAACGACCCTCAAGAGATACTTGCCAGACGCAGCGCTCAGTACAAGTCCGATGCCCAAGTGCGTGAGACCCGCAGAGCTCAACAAGTAGCTAGTTTGGCAAAACTAAGTCCTGCCGCACTTGAGGAGATTCGTCGACAGAACAATCTTTCTAACATCAAAAGGTATCACAATGACTTCGTCTCTAGGCAGCGGGCCAACCTTCGGTCGTGGATCCTTCGTAACTTTCTCAAGCGGGAGCTGACGTGGAGGACGCATGAGATCGAATCGAATGCAAACGAGGTGACGCATACATGTTCTGGGTCAAACTGCGGCTATGAAAAGAGATTGAAGCTATGGATGAAGCGCAAGGGATCTGATCCTGCTCTTTACGACTGCTTCAAATGCTTTACATCAGACTGGGTGCCAGAGAAGGTTCTACCAATTGGCTATGAGCATAAGGTCTGGGGTTCCAAGGGATCTGGTGAGAAGTAAAGTCTCGCTCTAAAAGCCATGACATGCAAGCAAGGCATGTCGCGTAGCAACCACCACCTCGGGTAAGCTACTATAAGTCTTCACAATACGACTGAGATCATGGAGACTTAGGAAGTGAATCACAAAGTAGACACCCTTTCGAATAGGTTTTCATAGATGCTATTCGTGAAGACATCTCTACCCAATCATACTCTTCACCTCTTTGATGCGGCGAGTAGGTGATAAGCAGTATATGAATCACGTGCATCGACAAGGGCTGCTTTTCAGCATCGTTTTGGACTTCGACCGTTTATAAACTTATACACTACATATCACATTTCTAAACACCATGGCCAACACAATGGCGCCTTTTCCCCGGATCTTCTTCCGCTACGTCGAACCAGTGATGATCACTCTCGGCAGTTTCAACCTCATGTTCAGTGGTGCCGCTGAAGCCTCAACCTACCTCTCACAATCACCTCATCCAACATTGGCAACCGAGCACTTCCTAGCTCTACAAGGAGGAAACATGATGCTTTTGGCCGCCATGCTCCTCATCATCGTTGTGTGGACAAGCAACGAAATCAAAACCATCAGATTTACAATCATGGCTCTCGCGATATCCGATATCCCCCATTGGATTTNNTTTGGGGCTTGGTGTTTGGGACCGCTTGCTTTTGAGCCTAGCAGCTGGAGCACTGAGATGAAAGGGTACATGGGAGTTCCTGCTGTGACTTTCTTGGTCAAGGTCGCGTATTTGCTGGGATGGTTGGGGCGCGACCAAGTTACCGAGAAGAAGGTCAGGAAGGAGCTGTAGACAATCTCGGTGTACGACTTGAACGAGGTTTCTGGTCATTTTTATGCAAACTGGATTTGGACGTATTGAATCTCCATGTGCATAATAATATGCAGACGAAAATAGCACTTGCTGCATGGATCAAAGTGGTTTTTACTGGGATGTCGAATTTCGTAGCTTCAGACGCAATTTCCCATGACATATTTCCTTCAGACACGCTCCGTGAAACCCTCGATCGAGAGTAACATTTGCACCCAGTCACCAGTGTTATCGATAAATTTGATCTTTGAGTAGGTATGACAACATGTGCAAGACCCTGTGAGTTCATGCAGCTTGTCCCTCGAGACGTTTGTCAGTGGTTGCTCGCTTCCGTTTCACGACGTTCCAAGCGCCCGACGCTCCATCATCTTTCGAAACCTGGAAAGCAGAGATGCGGTCGGGCCGTAAAGTGTCGACGGCACATCAAGTTCTGGAATCAAATCGCTGCATCAGAGCCTTTAGGCTCCACGGAGCCGACTGCACTCAAACAAGTTGTGCCGACAAGCTGCGGATGAGGAGGACAGCCAACGATACTCCTGGTCTTTCCTGCTGTTCAAGACTCACACCCGAGTAAGTTTCGTTGGTGCATATTAACATCATTGCGAGTTCCCTTTTGCGACATGTACCCGGTGGAGTCGCATGGTTCTCCGACCCCAACTTCCAAGTGTACCTGCAGATCACTGTCCTGCAGCGCAGAGTCCGAGTCAAGTCTCTTTAAACGATTATCCAATCCAGGCCTTGCATATGTGGATCCTCGATCCGCCCATATAAAACAATTTCTTTCAGGCACACCCAAGTCTTTTCTCAGTGTAACTCTGGTGTTTCTTAAAGAATCTGTTTAGACCTTCTCTTTGGTAATCGCTCTTTCTCTTTTGCCCACGCTCGTTTCACATTATCCGTTCAATTGTTGCCCTCGTTTTATCAACAATCAACTCAACCAAGACACTCTTTATTACACGTCAACCATGTCTCTCCAACGTCTCGGTCTTGCTGCCTGCGCTCTGTTCCTTGGTGCCAGAGCGATCGACACCATTACTGTCCCGGGTGTCATCACCGCCGATGTTCCTTTCACACTCACCGTTACTCCCAAGGACGATACTCCAGGAAACTACAGAATCTACCTTGATACCACACCTCCCGGCTATGCCGGTGGTCAATCATGTATGTTCGAAAAGTCTTACAAGCATATACGCCGTCAGATTGACCCGATTAGGCNNTACCTCAAGAACATGACCTCGACCGACATAACCGCAGTCAACCTGACCATTCCCGCTAACTTTGGTCCCAATGGCGACTTCTACTCCATCTCCACTCGCGATCTTGCCGATTCGGATACTGATGCTAGCTACGTCTTCAGCAACGCCTTCAACCTCACTGGCGCAAGCGGAAACTACTCGGAGTATGAGAACAAGTTGAACGGCGCTCCTCTCTGGGATGCCAACAGCCTTCCCTGCAGCGCCTACGACTGCGCGCGTAACTGTGCTCAAGACTCTTACCCTAAGGACATGATCCCTGGCTCTGACGCTTTCAACACTATGCGTGCTTGCATCATGAAGTGTCCTGGTGTGGAGAAGGAAACAAAGACTTCTTCGGCAACCTCTAGCACTGCTACTAGCACCAAATCTGGCTCTGCCTCGTCTGCTTCCGCTACCGGTACTTCCATATCTGATGATGCTTCGTCTACTTCTGGAAACTCTGCCGCTGCTACTTCCTCCGGCGCTGCTGTTTCGAACATGGTTCCTGCTTCCTTTGTCGCTGTTGGAGGATTTGTTGCCTTCTTCCTGTAAACGAAACACACGACACAAATCTGCTCCCTTCGCGCGGAAAGAGTACGATGTACAAGCATAGATGAATACTACACTAAACATAAACATAAACATAAGTACTAATCTGACCAATTTATGCATCCTACTCTTAACCTCCTCACTCTTCCCAAGTCTGGATTTCCACTTTCTTTTGGACTACACCGAACATGTCCTGCACAATACCGTCGCAGTCGCACTTAGTGGTTGGCCTGTTCCCTTCACCAGACTCGGATGATGAAAACCCCAAGGCCTGGTCCGAACTTTCTTGCATCATGAGGACCAATCCAATGCTATGTGTTACACCTCAGACAGCATGTAAAAGGTGTGTCAGCATCAAGCCATGTAGTCAGAAAGAGAAAATCGTAGTTCGCTGTCAAGTTCGTTGGCGAATCTTAGGGCAGGGTGTCCCTGTTGATGCCGTAGCAACCCTGGCCCCATTAGTCGGTCGCTCCTTCTCTTGTCGTTTTGGAGAGACAAGAGCAGATGGCTACTAATCTTGTGATTGATTAAGCGTTTCTGTGTATATGACTGCAATCTATTGTCGTAAGAGTGTTCCCAGATGATACTTCAATAGGTCAATAGTTACGAAGCACCAGCGCGTAACTTCATCCCACAGATCACATCCGCGACAGCAGAGTAGGCAACAGTTGAAGTGCGAATGAATTCCTTCAAAATGACCTCTGTAGTCATTGCTTATCTTTATATCTATATCAAACATGCAGATACACAACGTATCTCAGATCTTCTCCAATTTCTTCATCACCAATATCCATATAAGTACCCTGCGATTTCGATATCCTCATTCCAAAGTCCAAGACAAAGTCTGCTGTCCACGCTGCATTTGTCCATGGGGATCCAGGCAAGAACATAGCAGCTTTCTTGACGCGGTCGAGGTACTCGGCTGCTTCTTCGTCGGTCTCTTCGTCAGGATCTCCGGCTGTGAGTTCGGGCTCACCATATTCGTCGACTAGTGATTGCATCCATCTGCCGATGAGTCCAGGGCTCGCTGTGTCGGGTTGGGAAGTGTAGGCGAGGTAGATGAAACACAGCAAGATGGTCCAGAGGTATTCTTCATGTTCCGAACCACGCAATTTGCGAAGTTTTGTTGTGCCTGTTACGTACTTGACACCAGCCATGAACGACTTGTGTGCAGCAGGCATCTCCATCTCCAGCAGCTCAAGCGCGTCTTCCAAAGTCCAGATTGCAGAGCCAGCGGAAGACGATACGGCCTCTGGCTGCAGGTCTTTGAGGTAGTTGGCCATGCGCTCTTGAACCGTGTTGATGACTTCGTGTTGCATGTCTCTGTAGATCTTGACGGATGCCTGGCGGGGATTTGTGGGCTGAGAGGGAATTTTCTCATTTGCTTCTTCTAGTTTGCTGGTTTTGGGAATGAGAGACATCATGATGTAGAGTGCGATGCGAGGTAAGTAGCGTTTGCCGTCACCCTGATAGAGGTACTCTTCAGCATCCTCGATGGGAGCGACATCTACGCCCCTCTCTAGTTGAACGACATAACAGAAGAGTTCTGCTAGAGGTGCTGGTACACATCCCCAGGCTTGGTCGAAAGGGCTTGCATTGCTTGTTTCTTGCAACTTTGCACGTAGTAGACGGAATGTTGCAGCCTCGGAGTTCCACTCTCCTGTAGTTTTGAAGTACTGAGGATGAGTGATACTCAGCATCTGTTGGAGTGGTGGTGGTGGAGGTCTCATGGCCAAGAGCAGTCCGTCATAAGGATTGTTAGGTGCACAAAAACCATAACCCATCAAGAGTTCCTCACTCGACTTGGGGCCATAGTTGTTGTAGATCTGCGAGCCTGATTGGACTTCCTCCGAGATGGTCAAGCTGAAGCTATCGGGGTCGTAAGCCCATTTCACATGAGCATTTGGATTGTGGTTTCCAATGTCCATGCCTGGGAAGAGGACAGAAAATGTCTTCCAGTCCTCAGGGTAGTCGTTTTGATTAAGGAGGACGGTCTCAGTGCCATTCGGAGTATGCTTGTAGGCTGTCCAGGATTGACTGTCTTGTGGTGTGACGGTCGAGCCATTGAAACTACGTGATGAGTACACTGTGGCAGCCCATTTGAAAAGCTCCNNCTATGTTCAAATTAGGCACTGTAACGTTGCGTGGTAAGTCGGACTCAAGATGTTGGTATCAAGAATCACAAACTCAGTGTACTCGCCATGAAGCATGATGTTGAATGTTCCATACTTTGGCAGCCTATGCACTTACCATGTGTAGTTTTTTACATCCATGCCAGCGGATTGCATGACCTGCACTCCATCCTCCCAATACTTCTTCCATGCAGCCTCTCTACCAAGCACAGATGCGTGAAGATCCGTGCCTTCCAGCCATTGGCGGTCATCCTCACCATAGAACATCGGAGTCTCGAAACCTCGTTCAGGAGAAGGTAGCGTATCCAGATAAGGTTTCCAGAAAGACTTGTCCTTATTCAGCCACTGCGCCATCAAATAGAAGTACCCGAGACTTTGGACAGTGAATTGCTGAGCGTGAATTTTGAAGACGGGGAAATTGTCATCCACCTGCGCATTCAGATTTGACATTGCTAGATTATGAGGTACCGTGAGAACGTGTGTACCAGGCTCAATGCTCGCTGTGGCTCGGAAATGGGAGCCATGTTCAGCATCTTGAGCAAGCTGAACTGATGGATGCAGGTAGCCACCATTGTCTCTGAACCACTTTTCAAGAGTGTCCATAATGATGCTGAGCTTTATGTTTTGGAAATTGTCTTGTTGGGTTTGGAAATATTTTTGAAAGTCAAGAAAGATGAACGTCATTGGGAGGAAGCTTGGACCAGGTTTTGTATCCGCCAGCCATCTCTGTCCAGCTCGTCCTTGCTGTCTCTCCTGCTCACGCAACATATGCTGCAATTCGTCTCGCACAGCTACACGCAGATGCATGAACGTCTCTTGTATCACCAAAGTGCCATGTAAGCCATAAGAGCGGCCGACAGATTCACCCTATCGCCGGTCCGTGGTAAGACCGTTAACTCCGGCATAGAGGTGATGTAAGGACATATAAACTCCTCAGGTGCCTTCACTGTCTGAGAGCTTTCTCTGCAGAACACTCTACCGTCTCAAGCAGCCAAAATGACTTCAGCACAGAAAACGAACATTAATGTAGTCTTCGGGGCTATGACCTTTGGCAAAGAGGGCTCAGAACAAGCTAGAGTCCACGACCTCGACAGCGCTGGCAAGATTCTCGACATCTTCCAAGCTCATGGCCATAATGAGATCGATACTGCCCGAGCATACTGTGAAGGTACATCCGAGACGATGCTCGGTGACCTCGAGTGGCAGAAGAGAGGTCTCGTCATGGAGACCAAGTACTACCCTACTGCTGGGAAGCCCATTCCTTCGTCGTGGAACAGCAACTTAAGACACACTCCCGAGGACCTTCGCGAGAACCTTGAAACCTCGCTGAAAGAGCTGAAGACCGACAAGGTTGATATGTGGTATCTCCACGGTGTAAACTTGACTCATCCTCCGACCATCTGGCACTGAAGCTAATATAAATGTTATAGCNCCGACAGAACAACCCCGTACGAAGTCACCATGAAAGCCGTAAACGATCTATACAAGGAAGGTCGCTTCAAGAGACTGGGAATATCCAACTACATGGCATGGGAGGTGGCACAGATCTGTGAGCTCTGCCGCAAGAACGATTGGGTCCAGCCAAGCGTCTACCAGGGTGTCTACAACGCTCTCCATCGCTCAATTGAGCCAGAGCTCCTCCCTTGCCTTCGTTACTACGGCATTGCTTTCTACAACTACAACCCTCTGGCTGGTGGCTACCTCACAGACAGATATACAAGGGAGGATGCTGACAAGGACATTGAGAGCGGTTCGCGATTTGACCCCAACAAGTGGCAGGGTAAGATGTACCGTATGCGCTACTGGAGAGAAGAGTACTTCAACGCTCTCGATCTGCTCCGTCCTGTTGCGAAGAAGCACGGCCTCACCGAAGCCGAATGTGCCCTTCGTTGGATGCAGAACCACAGTCAACTGCAGCGTGAGAAGGGCGATGCCATCATTATCGGTGCATCTTCCCCTCACCACATCGAACAGAATCTGAAGGATATGGAGAAGGGTCCTCTTCCAGATGACGTTCTCGAAGCTTTGGACAAGGGCTGGGAAGGCTGTAAGGGCATCAGCATTAGATACTACCATTAAGCGTTAGTGCTATAGTGATGTTTTCAAAGCAAATGTTAAAAGCTTGTCATGATTTGCAAAATAAGTACGAACCCGCGATCGCGTCTTTCTTAAAATATATCAAGGACAAAGCAAAAGGGAGTTGCATGTCTGTCCTTGAGCGTTGATCCATCGAAGAGCGTTGAAGCTGCAGAGCGAAGGCGGTGACTGGCGGCGTCGCCGGCAGTTCACCCTCACCCTAGGTATCCTTGACTCCTGGTCTTTCGTCGCGGAAGGACAGCAAGAACTCATCATTCCTTCTTTTATTCTTGAGAGTAGGCTATGGGAAGGGCGGCATGTATGCAAGAGTAGAAGACGCATCCGAAGGTAGAGAGGGTCTGACATTGCCTCTTGCCTCACAAAAGCAACGTCTAACAAGACGCTCTCTGCTTGGTCTTCAAATACTGCTTTTCATTGGTGCTGTCACATTCTTTGTTATGTTGTACAAGTCTTTCGCTCTTGGTGCTGTTGTTGGATGCGTTGGTGGAGCTGTTGCCTCTTCTAAGAGCTCTTCGGACAATCATGTTCCTCAATACTTCCAAACCAAGCCCGAGATCTTCGCCGGTCAGCATGTACATCAATTCTCTCTTGCTCTGATACTGATATAGCAAANNGGTCCAACTCCGACTGGTGCTGCTCCGTTCTTAGCACAAACCAATCTAGCTCCCTTCGCGGGCACATCTTATATCCCAAACAGTCCTCTGGAGACCCAGGTACCAATCGCTGGCAACAAAAATGACTCGAACATATTCCAAAACATGGGACAACTCTCTCCATACTTCCCTAATCCTGATGGCTTTGGTGTGGACGAATATTCATTGCCTCCTGGTGCCGAGATTGTGCAACTGAACATGCTGTCGCGCCATGGTTCAAGATATCCTACTACTGGGTCCGGAGCTCACAAGTTTGGTCTTAAGCACAAGAACATGACAGATGCGAAGTATACAGGCGGGCTCTCATTCCTTAATGATTGGAGCTATCAGCTGGGTGCAGAGATTCTTGTGCCCATCGGCAAACAAGAACTCTTCAACTCTGGTACTCTGCACTACTACCAATATGGTCACCTCTACCCCAACAATGGTTCGAAAATCATCGCTAGAAGCACGACTCAAGACCGCATGACCAAGTCTGCAGAGTACTTCCTCGCAGGCTTCTTTGGTCTAGAGTGGACGAGTAATGTCACATTACTACTTGCTATCGAAGACCGCACCGGTGTATGGAACAATACGCTCGCTGGGTAAGCTCACCTACTCATCTACGAACTATATCCTTGCTCATAGAACCCATCAGATNACTACAATTGTGACAACAGCAACAATTTTCGGAGTGCTGGTGGCAACAACGCCACAGTCGAGTGGTACACAAAATACCTTGCTGATGCTACTAAGCGTCTGCAGAAGCTGGCGCCAGGCTTTGACTGGACAGTAGAAGATTCATACAATGCACAATCCTTGTGTGCATACGAGACAGTAGCCTATGGCTTCTCTCAATTCTGTGGTCTGTTCACCTACGAAGAGTGGGAAGGCTACGAGTACAGCATCGATATTCAATTTGCGGGTGGTAATGGTTTCCAATCGCCCACTGGCCGTGCTATCGGTATTGGATATGTGCAAGAGATCCTCGCTCGTCTCCAACACCACACAATTGACTCACCAATTGCACAAATCAACGTCACTCTGGACAACAACACGGTCACGTTCCCGCTTGATCAAAGTCTCAACTTTGACTTCTCGCACGACACCAACATTATGAGCATCTTGACTGCATTTGGCTTTACCCAATTTGCACAGTTCCTCCCAGCCGATCGCATTGTTCCTCGAGATTTGATAGTGTCACACNTTGGTAAGTACAAATAAGAGAAAATTCAATCCAATCAAATCTAACAATTTTAGGAACCATTCGCTGCACGTCTCGATATCGAGATTATCAACGCTCCTGCTCCAGTCAAGACCTCACGCAAGAACGATAATCTCTACGAAGAAGGTGTGTTGATCCTGCCAATAACAAGCGAATTGCACTAACAGCATACCANNGGAAAAGCAACTAAGTACATCCACTTCATACTCAACCAGCGCACCATCCCTCTGCATCGCAGCTTCCCTGAGTGTACAGAGCGCGACGATGGTTGGTGCGAGCTCGACACTTTCCTTGCTGTACAAAGCAAGAGTTACGAGATCTCTCAGTACGACTGGAGCTGTAATGGCGACTATCCTGCCGTTCCTTATGGCGAAGTCACCAATGGTGTACCAACTCAGCCTAGCCCGTGATTTTCGTGGAGCATGGAAGGGAATCTGTAACAATGTATTTTCGCTCAGTAGTTCTGTAATATCACACCGTACGTTTGATTGATATTTAGATCGTGTAACCTCCAGTGGTTTCATACTTCCATGTGTCTTCGTTTCATGTGAGCAGAGGGGCGAGGTAAGATGCACTGTCTTATCGATCATTCACATACCACGACTTAGCGCAAAAGCGATCACCTCTGCGCAAAATATGAACCAAACCAAAGACCAAAAAGAAACTACAGGTCTGACGGCAACGAAAAGTGACAACTTACATTCACAAGTTTATTATTCCTAGCTCTAACTTTCTTCTCCCCCAGCCTATTGATAGTGATCTGACCCCTTTACACAAGGGCGCTATACCAAGAGACGTTATTGACTGTGCCGATTTATGTGGAAGCAAGTAGCTGATACAGTATTCCGGGCTCAGAGTGTTGTGGTTGTTGTAATGCGTTGATTGGTGTAGTGACTACCGGATTGGGATAGTTGTGTGATTGAAGGTGTGAATTACCGTCAGGCCATAATGATGTGATGGTGACGACGAGATGATTGTCGTATGTAAAGGACTGGCTGGTGATTGTGATGTTTGTCGAGGGTCGTGAAAATCGAGTCCAGAGAAATGTGCAGTGAAAAACATGTTGACAAACAGCCCAGATCTTCACATAGATATGACATACACATGTAAACTGCAACTACGATCAAAAGAGCATGAGTGCTATAGATTATGCCAGGAAGAAGTGAGCATAGCCTGAGTCAAGGAGCCCCTGAATGAGACTATATAACCCTCGAAGATTGCCTTGCCATCACCTACTCAGTCAGTAATGCGTACGAGGTATGTTTGGCTGAGCGGAATAGCCGGTGTTCCGCACTTGTTCGATAATTACATCTCTTGTGTGTAAATGAACCGGGAATAGTAGGTGTAACGCGACCTACTTTTGCTGGTTGTGAGTTCGATTCTGGTTCGCGGCCAAATTGAGCTCTTTTGCTCCAGCCTCATACTTGGACTTTCTCAAGCTTTGAATAACACAGAGCGTGTATGATGAGCGCCCTATTACTGGACCATTACGAGAGATAGCGGTCATCACACGGACGCTACAAATAGAGACAACAATTATGGAAGACGGTTTCGGTTCATAGAGAGCCTACACAGAGCGCCAGACTGCCGACTACATACTTAGAACTCGGCGATGTGCGTGCCAATACCACGCTCACGAGCTATCCTGACCACTTCATTGCCGACGACCACATCCATAAGACCTAGTCCAACAATCTTTGCAATAACATTGCCCTTGCAGAGCCATTCTTTCAGTCCCGAATTATCAGATACCTGGATACCTTCACCCTTGTTGTCAACGTCACCCTTCTGTGCTGCCTCGGCTGCTGCCTTCTCAGCCTCACGTCTCAGCATCACAAGCTCGCCTATCTCGACGACCTGATCGGGTTGTACATTTGCTTGAATAAGCTCCCCAGCTTCCTGTAAGCATGCTTCGACACTATCGACGATGATTGCGCCGCCCTCTTGTTGATGCTTGTGAAAGTGGCGGTGTTCGTGGTGAGGTGCGACTGCATTCTTGATGATGTCGGGATGCAATTCGATCATGTGAGGCTTGTATGAACCAATCAATGCAATGTAGCGACCCTTNTTGCGACCTTCCGGATTCAACAGATAGCTCGGAGGGAAGAGTGGCTGTGTGCTTGGCGTGGTGCAAAAGATGACATGTGCACCTCGAACGTATTCCTTGAGCAAACGTGTGTACTCAGTATGACCTGTGGTGAGAATACTGGTTTTTGTCTTGCTTCCAAATTTGTGGCCTAGAGGGTTCTCAAATTCCGGATCATCAGGGAAAGGGTTGTACAGCCTCATCAGCATCTCTCGTGCTCTGTCGAAAGAGCGGTTAATGACATTGACGTGATGAATCTCTGAACCACGGAGAAGTAGAGCCAGGCGAATGTGCCAGTAGGCCTGTTTGCCTGCGCCGAAGACGGTAAGGTCGTGCACCTTGTGTCTTCTCTTGAGAAGCATGCAGCTAGTCAAAGCTGTACGGAAAGCAGTGAGCTCTTCAGCATTCACCAGGGCACTAGGGTTCCCCTGGTCGTCGAACAAGGTCAGCGATCCGCGAGGTGCAGTAGCTGGCTTTGAGTCCTCCGGAGTCGAGGAGGGGAGAATGGGACCAGACATGGATGTAGGGCGGGACTTGGAGCCACTGGTAGAAGTTGAATGTGTCGACTTTGTCGAGGCGATAGAAAGGCGTTTGAGATCCGGTACGATTTCTGGTTTCTTGACAGAATCCAGAGTGATGACCTTGACACCCATGCCAGAACTGCTAGATGCTGGCATGAACAAGCTTGTCGCTCCATCGGTACGGTTCATATGAATTCGTTGGGGCTGATAGGCTGAACAACAGCCGTCTTCTTCTCCAGCGGTAGAGTACTGATGCAGCGCATCGGCGAGGGATTGCTGTATATCGTTGACATCCTGGCTGGTAAGAGAGTGCAATACTCTTTGGACATCGTGGTCCGAAAGCACTGTAACAGGCATCCTGAGGTTCGTTGATTTGCAGTGCAATTACCACCGATCAGTCAGAAGAACAGATAAATATGAATACGGTGGCGCGATAGTGCGAGATATATGTTATCAGAGGAATCCAGCTAAAACACGATCAGCAGCGTGGTCCTTGTTCACAGGCCGAGCTCGAGATTTATTTTTTCTTGGATGTCCAGGGCGTTCGCGGTATTCGGTTTCACGGTATTGTGATGGATGTACAGCATGTAGTGAGTGTTGTTGTATCAAGATTCAAGGTGGTAGGTACTACCTAGGCTGTAGGTAAGCAATTCGGTAAAGCACGGCTCAAGAGGTTGGGACGCTGAAGTTCAACCAGTTCTCCGTTAGCTGCCCAGGGCTCTAGAAGCCAAGGTTATTGCTAGCAATCGAATGTGATATATGACGTGGACGGATACAATACATCTGTGATTCCCAAGGTTTTCTTGACAACATTCCATTGTCAAGCTGACTTCGACTTTACGAGTCCAGTGCCGCCGTTCATGAATCACTCGTGGTGAAGAATGGATGCTTGGCAGCAGAGGACATGGACAGTTCGAGCGTCACAACAATGACTAGACATGTCACGCTGAGTGATGGTATCACAGCAGGTGTAGTGCTCACTGATAGATATTACTCGAGGACAAAGGAGAAAAAGCAACATGTGTTGTTGAAGCTGAAAAGTGATGGTTACCATAAGAGGAAGGGGTAAGTGATTGGCTGGATTTGCCGAGAATCCAGCGGGCCCTAGCGCCGGGCGCACACGAGCTTTTTCTTCTGCTCCATCGCGCGAACTTCTGCTTTTCTTCTCCAGCCGCGACAGAACCAGTCAACCACCGACGTCCAGTTCGACAATCATTCAAAATGGTAAGCTCGCACCACATTCAACGACCTTGATGCGCTGTCGTCTCTGCAGTGCAATGCGCCGATGCGCTTTGCAAGTCTCGCTTGCCTGCGAGCGCAGCAATTCAAGATGATGTTCGACATCAACATCTATTGTAGTCGCTTCTTCCTGAAACATGGAAGACGGCAATGACCAATGGCTTGGGCTGTGACTGGAGTAGAAATACTTGTCAGCGCAGCCCTTTAGAGTTAAAAGCAATGAGCATTGTGCTGATTTGCTTTTCTCAATGAAGGCCCCTAAGTCTGGAAAGAAAGTTGCCGCCGCCCCCTTCCNNCCCCAGGGCAAGGCCGGTGTCTCCAAGAAGAATGCCAAGGTGAGTTTGACAGTATCTTCTCTGCTAACCCTTGATCGCGAATGCTAACATGCCCGCCAGAACCCTCTCATCGAGAGACGTCCCCGCAACTTCGGTATCGGTCAGGACATCCAGCCCCGTCGCAACCTCTCGCGCATGGTGCGCTGGCCCGAGTATGTCCGCCTTCAGCGTCAGCGCAAGATCCTCAACATGCGCCTGAAGGTCCCCCCGGCCATTGCCCAGTTCTCCCAGGTTCTGGACCGCAACACCGCCGCCCAGGCTTTCAAGCTCCTCAACAAGTACCGCCCTGAGACCAAGGCCGAGAAGAAGGAGCGCCTGACCAAGGAGGCCACCGCCGTCTCTGAGGGCAAGAAGAAGGAGGATGTCTCCAAGAAGCCCTACACCGTCAAGTACGGTCTCAACCACGTTGTTGGCCTCATTGAGAACAAGAAGGCTTCTCTTGTCCTCATCCCCAACGATGTCGACCCCATCGAGCTCGTTGTCTTCCTCCCCGCTCTTTGCAAGAAGATGGGTGTCCCATACGCCATTGTGAAGGGCAAGGCCCGTCTCGGAACGGTCGTCCACAAGAAGGTGAGCATTCATTTCAGACCACACCTTTTTGTGCGTTATACTAATGTATCTCTCAGANCCGCTGCCGTCCTCGCCTTCACCGAGGTCCGCTCCGAGGACAACTCTGAGCTCTCCAAGCTCGTCTCCGCTGTCAAGGACGGCTACATGGCCAAGACCGAGGAGTCCAAGCGCCACTGGGGTGGTGGTATCATGGGTGCCAAGGCTGTTGCTAAGCAGCAGAAGNAGCAGAAGGCCCTTGACAACGCCATCAAGATCTAAGTGCCTTGAATGTCACTTTTTCTCTGGCGTTGGCTGCGGACCGTGGTTCTGGTGGGAAACAAAAGCTTTTCGAGTTATCTTCCGGCACCAGAATGACAGTTTTGTCGTGCTGCAAAAATTTCTTTAACGACCCCTTTGAATGATACCCAAACTTTCCATTTTGTTAACAAGTGATCCACCTGCCCTGCACGCGCAATGACTTTGGTGATGTGTCGGCGCTGCGAAGAACATGGTGATGATAGAAGTGTCTGCTGTCTCCACCTTTGCTATTGCTAATACAGTAATGGTGCCTCTTCCCTGCTCGTCTTTAGTCCACTCGTCTGCTTCTTGACCCTCTGTTTCCTGTTGCCCGTCCTTCATCTTTCGACATGTCTTGGTCTGGGCCGGCACGGTCGCCTTGCATGCTGCTTAGTACTCCATGCTGCAGAACATGGCTAGTATAGATCGACCTGGACTTCATCTCCTTTCTGTCTTCATGAGACTGTGCGAGGATCGCGGTGTTCTGACCCAAAGTGAGTCTTGTTGGTTTAGATGTGATGTTGTTTTCCAAAGCGACATCAAGATTTCGAGGCCGTCTCGAACCATTTCCTCACTGCATTGCTGCTATCATGGGCGGCGCGGAACACTGCAGGATACAGAGATTAGTCTCCGAGAGGCTAGCTTTTGGTTGGGCGCCAACACTTACATTGTCGTTCTGTCTCGTCCAACCCCCTTGCAAATTCAGCACCTTCGCCCAATGCACTTCGTGAGTTTAGCGCTTGATCTGAGATTTCTGCTGCACGTTGCTTGAACGTNCTGTTCGTACGGGAGATTAGAATGTGATCGATTGTGGAAAGGCATGTTTGACTGCTCACGTTGGTCAAGATATCGACCATTTCTTCTTCTTCGAATAGTTCCAGCATGCGGGCACCAATGTTGTAGAAATGCTGTGCTTGGGCTCGGATATCTACTGTTTTCGGGTCTGCTTTGAGTGCATTCATGACACGTTGGGAGAGTGCTTGAGGTAGATCCAGTGTTGCTAGTGATGAGTTTCCAGAAGGGTTGCTTACAGCCAACATCTCGGCGAGCCAGAGTGGTAGTTCCATCTTAGAGCCTTGTTTTATNCTGAGAGAAGCATTAGCTGACGGAAAGTATGAGAAGGGCGAGACAAGGATACACACGTCTTCTCCTGGGTTACCCTGCAGGTATCCCATGTTGGGCACCGAGAGTTCGAAAGTGCAAGGTACTTTNCTATGAATCAGTGAGCTATGTTATCTGGATCACAAGTTTTCTGGTCTTCATACCTGAGCATCTGTCAGGATTGCGTCAATATTGTAGTATGAGCCCATGGTTGCTTTATTTTGCTCAAAAGGCAAGTAGAATTAATAAAGCAGAGAGTACAACCAGATCCAGAGAGATATTCCAGAAACACGGAACCGGACCCAAAAGGTGTCGATCGTAAGTTGATGAAGTCCGGACGAACAGTGGTGGGAAAAAGTGTATGCACGGAGGCTGCGTGCGTAGTCGTGTTACTGCCTGGAAGGATGAGCAGTATTAAAACAAGTATTTCCTCAGCAAACACAATCCTTCTTTCAGTTCTGTAATTTATGACAGCTTTTTTATCCGTTTTCGAAAGGATTCAAAGACCTTGTGCCAACCAGATATTATCGTTAGGTGTGTTGTCTATGTCACTGGGTAGACGCGTTACGCGCCTCGAGATCGGATCTTGTTGGTGATCAACGGAGATTAGACAAAAGCCGGCAGACTGACTCGCAGGTCAGAGCTCCGCTTTCAGCATCGGGCAACGAGACAACCCAGGACGAGTGCACAACATCGCATCCATCAAAGGGGCGACTTCATTATCATTTCTAGACACTGGTTGTACAAGCGAAATCCCTGCAGAAAGAGGCTGGACCACTCTACACAAGACTTTCCTTCGCTCACGACTTTGCATACGTCTCCAGGTCGTGTGAGCATTACTCTTACCGTCGACATCGACGTCAGCTTCGTAGCGTTTCGCCCTCCAATGAGGTGGTAGACTGCCGACCCAAACACACAACATGGTCACCAACAGCGACCCAGGCCATTACGCCCACAACGGAACGTCTAGCAGAGATACCGATATGCTCGATGTCAATAACGACAGCAACCATCCTTCCAGCACCGACATGTCAAGAACCACAACGCCCGATGGTCTCGACAATAGATCAAGTCGAACTCGCCCTCGCGTCTTCCCCTACACCAAGTACCTGCCCTACGAGACCGAGACGGCGGACCAAAGACAGCAAGATGTGGATGACATGATCAAACACCTATACATTGCAGTTGGTTCAGGCGACTTCGTGCCGGGGGCGGTGCACTGGACAAAAGAGATTCGTGGATGGCTGTCGTTGAAGTTCGACCTCAGTCGTCAACAGCGCATCAGTCTGACAAAGCTCTACTATGAACTTGCTCTAGCGCCAGGTCTCGAGTACACGGTTGCCGAGCGCTTTGCCAGCATGTTCATGGTCTTGACCAAGCGCCGTCACTACCTGAAGCCGATAGACGACCTGGTGCTTGATTGGAGGCCATTATACCAAGAGATCAAGGTCTTCGTGCTGCCTGGTGAATTTGCGACACCTAACACCTTCTCCAGCAAGCGCAGCATTCGAACGCTCACCAAGATCTGCACATTCGCCCAGCTCTTCTTCGACCCGAAAGAGATCCCTGCCCTCCTCGATGAGCTCCTCCCATTCTTCTCCATGTCGCCTTCGGAAAGCGCCTTTGTCGTGCTCGGCCTGCTCAACCTCTTCTTCCCCACTCACGCCCCTCCGCCAAACCAACCCGAGCTCCAACCTCAACATTACTTGCCAACATTCTTCCACCTATGGTCAATCATAAACCGCTCGACCTTCACAGACCAGCGCTTCCTCGACATGTTCTCCAGATTGTCGCGCGATTGTCTGACCGTCGAACACGTACCCTTCAACGAGCACGGCATATACACTGCTGAGCAGACATCGATGGTCTTCACGTCCATCCTAAGACTGCTCGAGATCCCCGTTGGTCAGGCCTCATCACCGTACCATATCAACATCGATCTTGGTGCAGGTTTGTCTGCCCTTCTGGAACGTGATCCCCGCAAACATCCCGCTTCTAGAAGTATCGCGAGATGGATTATCATGTCCCTCTCGCCAGCCTGTCTTAACGTGAAGGACGGTAGATCTATTCTGCACCAGCTCGAGGGTCTGATCCAAGGCATTGAGACCTTCTTCCATCNNCCCTCAAATACAGGCGCCTGGACAAAGACACTCTCACAACTCGTCTACTACCTCGCCGACTTCTTCGTAATGCGTTGGAACAGAGAAGAGAGTGGTGAATACAAGATGCCTGCTGACCGTAAGCTGACTCCTAAATTACGGAAGCGTTTTGTCTTGTGCTTGAGAGAAGTCGTTTTCATGAACATCTACTCCAAGAGTGGCACTGCTGTCAACTACGCACTTTCTACTTTGCAATGTTTGGCTTTCCTTGAACCTAACCTGATCCTTCCTGGTGCTCTGCAAAGAATCTATCCTGCCATGCAAGGTTTGGTTGAGGTGCACAGAACTACTTCGTCTATTCGTGCTCTTCAAATGCTGTCTAGAATCATCGCTCGTACAAAGGGTTTCAGATGTCATCTTACTACTCTACTTGGCCTCGCTCTTCCCGGTATTGATGCAAACGATCTTGACAAGACCATGAACTCGCTATCTTTCGTTCAGGCTGTCTGTTACAACATTCCTCTGCACGATCTCACCAAGAGCGCCCAGACAGATTCAGACGGCGAGCCCATGTCCGGTAGTACCGCTACTGCAGTCGAATGGATCACACAGCAAGTCGATCGTTTCGAGACTGAAGGCTCTCTGATCGAGTTGGACTATGAGAACGAGCTTACCAATGAGGATGAGGAAATCATTCTTCGATCGTCAACTGCTGGCTTCGCCGAGTTCCTGATCGCTTTCCTCGGCCGTGTGTTCACTTTACTTCAGAATCTGCCCGATGCTTCTCGCGTCAAGAGCGGTTCTCCTGAAGAAAATGTTGTCAACACTCTGCCCGCTGCCTTCGCACCTTTGCTTGCTGCTTTGTCCCCTGAGCTCTACGACATTGCTCTGCAGCAAATTGCCAAGTTTGTCACCAACCATGTCGTGCACCAAGCTCGTGATGCTATGGCGTTCATTTGCAACACTTTGGTCAAGGTCTCTCCCAAGAAGGCTTTGAGCCGACTTCTGCCTGACTTGATCTCGAGCATCAGAACCGAGATTGATGAGAACGGTGCTGGCTCGAGCAGAACTTCTGGTTCCGAGATTCTTCCTCGCGATCGTGCTCTCGTGTGGAACATCAGTCTGTTGAGCATGTGTGTGGTTCACGTAGGCTCAGACGTGCTTGACTTCCAGGATGAATTGTTCGACATCGCAAGTTACATGCAAGACAAGTGCAAGGGTATTCCTCTTGTCCATGTATCGAACTTTGTCCATCATTTGCTGCTCAACTTGACCGTCACCTACACTACCGACTACTCATTGTACGATCAGGCAGATTTGAAGAAAGGCCTGCAGCCGAGTGATTGGGCCAAGCTACCAGACCCAAAGAACTTGGAAATCCAATGGCATGTGCCCAAGGAAGCTGAGATAGACTTTGCTGCGAGGATCTTCGAGTACCAAGGCAAGCGATCAATTGATGCGCTCAATGCATTGACCAGTGATGATTCGCCCGTCAAGAGGGACGGAACAGGCAAGGATTGGTCAGATGAGGTTTCTCGCAACCTTGTACTCCTGCGCTTGCTCATCTCAGGTATCTCCTGCTTCTTCCGTTCAGATGATGGGTCTGTCACTCCGGTCAGTGGTCATGACACGGAAGTGAATGGCAGTATCTCTCCAAAGGAGCAGGTCCAGCAGAGTCCAAATGATTTAGCCGAACCCGACGATGACAAGATTCGCAAGACTTTCATCTATCCTACCGGCTATCCACTTCAGACTAGCAACCCTCATTACGAAGCAGTGCACAAGTTACGCCGCCTTACTGGTGAGACCTTGCATCGTGTGCACGAGTTCCTGACTCAACACCAACAAGACGATGTCCTTTGCTTCAATGCACTTTACACAGCCTATCGCTCTTGGTTCATCGATATTGGTATTGAGCGATCTGCTCACGTCTTGGACAGACTGAGTCGTCTTCTTTCGGCAGACATCCACCCTTATAAGTTCAGCGGTACGCGCAAGGCCTACCCACGACCTCTTCTCGCCAGACGTGCCAACTTGTACCACTTCCAACGGTTGAGATACAATGAGTCCCCTCGCGCAGCATCGGATCTTGACAAGGTACTCCTACTCGACCTGGCTCAGTCTAGTGTGTCTGTCTACACAGATATTCGACGTACAGCTCAGACCGCATCCGAGTCGGCCGTCCAATGCATCATCGGTGCCAAACCTCTCATCATCCCTCCCCTTCTGGATGCTCTAGAGGATGCCGTCAACAAGACTGACTTCCCACGCATCAAGGGTGCCGTATTCTCTCTTCTCTTCGGAAGTTTGGCTCGTCCTATTGAGCGCAATTGGAAGTTCACACCAAGGCTTATCAGATTGTTCATTCGTGTGGGTGAGACAGACAAGCCCAGTATCCAGAAGCTCGTTAGCAACGCCAACTTCCAGGTACACTCGATGTGCAGAGCCCTAGATCGCATGGTCATTCTTGATGAGAAGACTGTTGACAACATTTGGCCAGCCGAGAGCAATACCCAGCCTTCTGACAAGTCCAAGATGGTCGCAACTTCCTTAGAAGATGCCAAGGCGTTACTTCCTCCTAAGCAGGATCGCATCCGTCAACGCAGAATGCTGATTGAAGGAAAGAAGTCTGAGCTTTCTTCGGAATTGGTTGTGATGATCAAAGACTCACATTGGCGTAAGGCTCAGCGTGTCGCAGCCCTTGTTATCGGCCNNCTCGACTACCGATATGAGACTATTGCCTCAGATGGTATGCTTGACTTGGTGGTGAAAGGCGTGATCGATTCGCATCCTTCATTGCGTGTACTTTTCGCAAACGCCTTGCTTGCCATCTGCAGTCTTATCCAGACGAGATCCATGACCGAACACAAGTACGAGAACTACCTTCTTGACAAGCAGTTCCCGCCCGACCGTATGATTGTCAAGACTAATCCTGATGACCCCAACTGGACCAAGCAGTACTTAGCCGCCTTCTCAAGACCCGAGGCCGAGTACTATGTTGATGCTGAGTACCCTGGTTGGCTGGTGTGGGATAAGGTGATGCGCGTTTCCAAGAACCATGCCGTCGAACTAGATTACGACCAAGTGGAAGTCGAAACACGCAAGCGCATTGGCCAGCATATCGATCGTCAGTGGATATCCGTCTTCTTCGATTACATGAAACAAGAACCCCGCGATGCTCAAGATCGCTTCCGCACGACAAATTGCACCGTCATGTCTTGGGTTTTGGACCTGGTCATGGTTGGTCTCACACCGGCAACATTCGATGATGTAGTCGACCTTACAAAGGCTACTTTTGGTGACGGAAGTGACAAACACCAGCATCGTGCCACTGCCGAAATCATGGGCGCTCTCATTAACGCTGCAGAGGACTGCCAACCTAAGGTGAAGGAGAAGGTCTGGGAGTTCGTGTTCCCTCTTCTCCAGCGTGTATTCCAGGACGGTCTCACCCCAGAAAACTTGTCATACTGGAGCAGTTTCTTGACTCTTACCGGTTGCGCAAGAGATCCCCGACGATGCTGGCCTCTTGTCGATTACTTCTCCAGCTTCAGACTGGATATGTCGACGAATGCTGCCTTCAAAGAAAGTTCCAAGATTACTCTTCTGCAGCTTGTCATCGGCACCTTCGGCTGGCACTTCCAGAAGGAGAAGCCGATCCTCGAGGATTTCTTGAAACACCTCGATCACCCTTACAAGGGTGTCCGCGAAAACATTGGTAACACCTTGTCAGCAATATATCGTAGTCGCTACTACGAAGGTTACAAGGATGTCAAAACACTCATGGACGCGCAAAAGGCTGCATCTTCCATTGGTACACGACCTTATCAAGCAACAGAGGAGTTCCGCGCGACCATTAAGGACGTTTTCGAAAGACTTGAAAAATGGCGTCAAGAACGACCTCCTGGCATTCAGACTCCGACACCTTACACACAGGCCAGCAAAACTGTGTTGTACTGGCTGGAATCAACAGTCAACAATTATGACTGTACTACACTGATCGAGTTCTTGCCTGATCCTTTCATGCAGCAACTCCTCAACATGATGGATGTCAAAGAAGACCCCGAACTGCAATCACATGCATGGAGCGTTTTCAAGCAGTTCCCCAACATTCCTCACCGCAAGGGTGAGGATGAGGCTCTGGCAAAGAGTCTCGTCGAGATTGGCAGAACCAGCCCTGCATGGCACCAGCGTCTGCGTACGTTGATCAACATCCAGGTGCTCTACTTCCGTTACCTGTTCATCATGGAGTCTTCACGCCGTGAATATCTCCTTAACAGTGTTAGGGACATGTTGCATGATACACAACTTGAAGTCCGCCTCGGAGCTGCTCAGACCATTTCTGGCATGATTCGCTGTTCACCTGTTGAGTTCCGTGATAAAGCCGTCACAGAGCTGAAGGCACACTTTACAGAGCTGCTTGTCAACAACCCTCTACCCAAGCGCGGCAGAAATGCGGGACCTCCTGGTACCCCTACGCCCGAACAAAATCGCCTCGTCATTACTCGCCATGCTGCTGTTCTTGGTCTCGGCTCGCTCGTACAAGCCTTCCCTTACGCCAGTCCACCTCCACAGTGGCTGCCCGAAGCATTAGCTACACTTGCTATGAGGGCAGCCAACGACCCTGGTGTTGTAGGCAAAGCTGTAAAGACCATTTTGAGTGAGTTCAGAAAGGTGCGACAGGATACTTGGCACGTGGATCTCAAGGTAAGCAATAATATCCATCGTTTACATCCAGAACAAAAGATTGCTAACATTTGCAGGNTATTCCAACCCGAACAGCTGGAGGATTTGGAAGGTGTGTTATGGAAGAGCTACTTTGCATAGACCGAAAGAAAAAGAACTTAAAGTGGAGGAGAGTAATGTCTATTTCCCTTTGACTGGTGTGCAATCTGCATTTGATCTCCTTTTGGGTGCATGTTTGCATCAATCATCGCAATGGAGTTGATTTCTGTTTTGCATGGGATTACGGCTACTCGACTTAGATCACATTTCAAATCAAAGACTATTCTCAACTCATCACTCATCATCTTCCCAAGTATTTATCGTACATCACACTCACCTCATCTCAAGATGAAGATTGATATTGAGTGAGTTGATGACCAATGCCTTACAAATGGGCGCCTTCCTGGTGTTTTTTTTTTTGTGCAAGTGGCGTTACAGACAGGGTCACCGCTCATCCGCTTGCCTACGTTCCGACACCGCTTCGTCGATAGGCATGAAGGCATCAGAATGCGCCACCAAACTCTCTTTCCATGTCACCTGCAATAGTACACAAGCGGGTTGCGTCGGTTTCAATCAGAGGATAAATCTCATATGATATTTAAGGTGACTAAGGGTTACATACACCTTCCTCAGAACCACGCTCAGCCATTTGTCAGCCATTTTCCTACAGTGATGCCTTGCCAGAGACTAATTGGCACAGGCCAGACGAGCCAGTAACCCAGATTGCGACCTGCTTCTCCTAGGAGAGGTAACACAAAACAACACCATGCTGTAAACCACAAAATGTTCAGAATGGTATAGATGGGCTTGGGAATGCCGATACGACGCAAACCCGCTGATACAGCGGTCTCAAATGCAAATCCTACTGGTTGCAAGCAGAAGAACGTCAGAATGAGCCTGCGAAGCTGATTCGCGGATTTGAGAGCAAACATGGGGTTTGGAGGTACTAGGCCGATGTGCACGATACCAGAGAAGAAGAATGTAGTTGCGCTGATCAAGAGATAGCGGCTTTGACTACGACGAGGCAAGCGCACTAGGTCTGCCAGCCAGACTCCTGGGCCTGAGCAATAGTGTCTTAAGGTCTGATGCCAGTAGCGACCCCAGAAATTGCGCACTGCACCGAGACTTGAAGTCGTGAACATTGCTATAAAGCTGCCAAAGAAGGTTGGCCAGAGGTGTGGACTCCACGCGTCTGGAAGATAACCCGCCCAGTGCAAGGCCACTGGCAGAGTGCATGGGAGTTGAAACTGCTGACCAACAGTTGCCCAAACTTGAAGTGCTATGATAGTGCATCTGATCAAACGGGGTGGCAACGAAACCAATAGGTCATGTTGTGGCAACGGCGAATCGACACTCACGCCAAAAGTCTTGAAGTATGGATCATGTTGCGCCCAGGCAGACGTCAGATCCAGCACCACATAACCAGTCAGTGTGCGCAAGAAAGCCGTGAGTATGAAGCGCAGGTGACTTGGTGGATTTGGACATCGATCTGGCTGTTTGGAGTCATGCGATGGCGAACCAATCTTCCAATCCACGAAACGCATTGAAATGAGCAATGTTCCAACCCAAGGCAGCCTCTCGCTCCAGTTGGCAGGGTAGGCCTGTTCGACATATTGCGGTGTTGTTGACTCATTCTTGCTGTCGCGACTGCCTAGTTCCGGTGTCCGAGTCTTCTCTGCGGTGGCTGTTTTGGCAACTATCCTGCGGAAGTGCCGGCGCGGGTCGTTGAAGAGGAGCAGGTGACAGCTGTGAAGCAGCATGTCAAAGGAGATGACGTCTATACCGCCCATGATAGTCCAAGCGTGTACGAGAGAGGCGGTGATTATAGGCAAGGCAACAGCGCATAGCGTCTGCTTCGACGCGATCCATGGCGGTATTGAGAAGGCGATTGGCAGTATCACCAGAGGCACAAAATAGCTTAGGCTCTGGGGCCCAGGTACAATCCGGTTAACCAGCTCATCATATGTAAGCGCTATCGTCGGTTGGCTCATGTTGGAGGATAGTTAGCATGCTAGCCATGATGAATGGTGTTTTGAAGTTTTGTTCGCCGGTGGTCGCGATATGTCGTCATGGAATGAATCTGTTCAGAGAATCATGCAGGCTTCAAGGCGACCGCTGTTTCGATGAAGATATTGAATACATGTGTCTGTGCAAAATGCACAAAGATGTGTCTCTATCTTCGCAAACAGAATTATTGTGATGGTACGGACTTCGATATTCGGCTACAGATACTCGAGTATGATTATATGAGAGAGGCCATGGCTGGTATCGAGGCCCATTGCATTGCGACGGCCTGCAGACAACGAGTTTTCTGCGAGCGAGCCTCAACGATTCAGCGAACAGAACGGAGAACAGCAAGGCATCGAATTTGCGATTCGAAAAGCTTCGAGACTTCTTCCAGCGCCTCTGCATTTGAGTTTGCAACGTTGTGACGTTACGGACGTATGTACCTTGTGATAGGCGGTTTCCTTACTCTGCACGATCTCAAATGATGGCCGAAAACGGATATGCGCCCCCCGCGCTGCCGGTCGTCGGCTGACCTTTGACGCGACGTTTGTAGGGCAGAGCAGGCAACCATGATCGATCATGATCAAGAGGTAGCTGACGGCAAGGCTGCCTAGATATTCGGTCCGCCTCAAGACCTGCCTAGTTGGGGCGAAATTGGAGATGACAGTAAACAAAAGATGGTGGGCATCATGTTCGCTCAACGAGGCCGAAGGCGAATCGCAGATGAGCAAGCAGCAAGCATGGATGGACAGGGTTAGCGAGGTCGAGATGAGTCTGAGGTTGTTGGTGAGCGCGCCTCTGAAGCCAAGCATGATGCGCGGTGGCGGGCGGCGTCGGACGCTGTGGAGGTGAGAACAGTCACACACCTTTGCAGAGTCGTTTGCCCGGTCGCAGCTCTTGTCTCCTCTGAACATTTTACAAACACCGCAATAATTATGAAGGACCAAATCAACAGGAACGCTAGTGTCGTTGCGCGCGAGTAGAGGTTGACTAGACACGTTCGAGTCATCACGCGTCGAGGAAGTGCGAATCTCGCGCAGCTTGGGTTGTTGCGGTCTCGTTGTCTTTGCTTCGACCAGGCAGCCTCTCTCTCCGCTTGTCGCTCCGCTTGCCACCAGTTTGCCTCTCTTGACTCACCTTTGTCCATCGCGGTTGATCATTCCACTTATATGCTGTTTGTTTCCGCCCCTTGCTACCTTCCATCACCTGCTGCGATATTTATCGTGAGCGGTCTTTGTTGGTTGTGTTTCCTCATAACCTTGCCTTCTCGTTCTCCGCTCTTACCTTAGGCTTCACCTGCCTTTCTCCGCTCAAGCACCTAATCACCGCTTAAACCCTCGACTCATAACAACCACCACCACCACCAACTACACGTCACTTCAATAACACATCTGTCATATTGGCTGTGACTCTGGCGCGCTCAACTTAACTCGCTCAACTCGTTGTCGCCTCTCTCTCCGCTCCTATGCTTATTGGATTCTCGCTTGCTATCACTCCAGTCGCTTCTTACTCGAAATACGTTACCAAAATTCAAGAGATGGGCTCGTACAAGTGGTAAGCCCTGACAGGGCCAATCGCTGTCTACTCCTGTTGCACTTTCTGCCTAGACGGAAACAAGTGCACTAGGAGTCATCATTTGAATCTGGTACCTTCGTGTACTGCTGACTGGAAGACTGGTCTTCTGCCATATCATAACGGTTTACTCTCTCCGGATACCTCTACACTTTTTACCAACAACAAAACACACCATCACCTCACAAAATGGACTTCGGTCATCCATCATTCTGTGGTCGTTCGATCTCCTCCCAGCNNTCGACAGACTACACGCACTCTCTTCCGCCACTCCCCCCTTTGTCGCAAAGCGGCTCTAACCCTGTACCTCCCGAACAACGTCGCAATCCTCGTCGTAGTCAAGGAAATGTTCTACAAAAGCCTCCAACTCTCGTACGCCAAGAAGAGCGCAAGGCTACCTTTGTCGATGGCCTCGTCGGTACGTTTTGACTATCATATTGCTCTTTGCAAACCCGGCTAACGATCATAGACTCTGCCGCTCAAATGGTAGAAGTCATCTGGCCCTTGTCGGTCGCCCCTTGCAAGCCCCAAGCTGGTGGTGTCTTGTCCTTGCGCAGGTATATCGAGGAGACACTTCGCAGATCCAGAACAAGTTACTCTACCTTGCAGGTGGCTTTGTACTATCTTGTCCTGATCATGCCTTGTGTCCCCAAGTCTGATTTTACCATGCAGCAATCGGTCGATTCGCCGTCAGTTCGTGCCCTGCAATGCGGTCGCCGCATGTTCCTTGCCGCTCTGATTCTCGCGTCCAAATACTTGCAGGACCGCAACTACTCCGCCAAGGCATGGAGCAAGATGTCGGGCCTCAAGGTTGCTGAGATTAACCTCAACGAACGTGCTTTCCTCGAGGCCGTCAACTGGAAGCTACACCTCCCAGAGCCTCTGTTCAAGCGCTGGACTGAAGTTGTCCTGCGCTACACCCCTGGCCAGGCTCCTCCACCAGCTGGACAGAGTCAAGTCAATGACTTCCCTAATGAGGAGGAACACTTGACCTGGAAGGACATCATTCCTCGACTTACTCCTGACCTGGAGCTTGTTGCACCTGCTGCTGCAGAGACTGTTGATCGCGAAAGACCAGAATCGCCAGTCGCAACATATAACACGTTGCCATCATACCTCGAGCCTCAACCAGAAGTCAGACCTCCCACTCCCAATCTGGGCGTCAGCTACTTGCCAACTCCTCGTTCTACGCCTCCACCTGCTCTGGCTCCTGCAGTGAGTATCGGCAGTGTTGAGATGTGCAACGTAATTGGCAAGCTTAGTCGTCGTTCGTCGTTTGGTAGCCAGGTCTCTTCTGTGCCTAGCCCTGCGTCGATGCTGTCGGAAGTATCCCGCCCGTCACCTGCATCGTCTGTGACTTCGGTGGGCTCTTACAACTCCTACACGCAGGACCGCATGGTCAAGACTTCTACAGAGGAATCAAATACTGCTTTTTCAGTAACCAAGCCACAGTTAACCGCGTATGACGCTCAGCCTCAGGCCAGCCGAGCGGTCAAACGTAGCCAGGAGGATATGTCTGGCTCGGAGGAGGAAGAACGACGAGGACCCCTCCAGATGAGAACAAGCTCGCTGCTCAACAAGCACGAGGGAACCAAGGAATTGCCGATTGTTCTTGACGATGAGGACTGCGCCAGCAACAGCATGGCAGCAGAAGTCGCTAGTCTACAGGCAAATGCTTGGTCTAGATATAATAACGCCGCTTTCACGGGAGAAGAAAGGAAGCGACGGCGGGTGGCATATGGCTGTGAGGAGCCATGGGCTGACCGGGCTCTTGATTGCGGCGCAGTAGTCGTCAATTGAGTGGAAGCCTAGGATCAGTGCCACGAAATCATTTTAAGACTTAACAAAAGCGTGTCTTTGACAAAAGCTTTGATGAAATCATTTTTCTGCTTGATACCACCAAGGATCGGGGAAGGATTGGGAAAGCTCAATATGAGCAGGCGAAGTTAGGCGCATATAGCTAGCTGTAGCTGAATACTGAATTTACAGAGATTACTTTTTTTCTCTTTAAAGTTGATGGACCGGTTCCTCCCCAGTCAAATCGTATAATCATCTGGTGGTTGCATGTCTGTCACACGACCAAGTCGACTTCTTCTCTGACGTTGAATGTAGTCAACAACCAAGTCTCGCCATGGCATGCGCTGCTTCTTGATGTTGAATGTAGATGTTATTCTTAGCACGCGATCAGTCTTCCCTGGCCTCTCTCTTGCCAAAAGTGTATGCAAGACCACCACTGACGATGTTTGCAGCGCAAAGACCCAGCGTCAGACCTCTGATAGCACCTCTAGCGCCAAACTTGCTGGAGAAGGCCTGCTTTCTTCTCCTGGCGACAACCAAGTATGCAGCACTCCAAGCAGAAGTCACACCAGCCGAGTCCACAGGGAAGCCGTTCAGATTCAGGTATGAGGAGAAGAGGAGGACGGGGACGAAGAGCATGGGGAGCTTCTGGAAGGGGCGGAAGTGTTGGGCTGTGATGAGGGTTGCGAGGGCGGTGGGAGGTACTGAGGATTCTATGAGTGCAGTTAGTACCTATGTTGGAAGTGGTAGAGGAGATGGGATTGAGGACGTACCGCCCCATGCGCGCATGTAGGTGAGGACGCCCTCCTTGGCCTCGGTGGTCTTATCGGCTCCTGGCATAGGCATGTTGACGGTTGTATGAGCGGTATGTCTGTTGAAAAGAAGAGTCCTGGAATTGGTGTAGGAATATCAAAGCTGGAAATGCCGTCATGGTCGAAGCAGGCCAATCACAACCAAGACCCAACGAGCGACCCTGTCCTCTCCCCTTCTCCGTGTTGCGCCAGTCTGGCCCGCAATCGCAACGCATCCACTTCCACATCCTCAAAACACCAACTCGATCCCGACAGTCGACCAGAGTCTTCGACACACCCTCAGGGGCACTTGCCTCTCCTCTTCCTCCCTCACAACATCACAATGTCATCGGAAAAGTCGCGCGAGCACCACGACGGCAGCAGCGGCCGCGCCTTTACCGCAGACCAAAAGGCCGCCGTCGTCCGCGTCCGCAAATGCAGTCCCACCGCCTTCTACGACATCCTCGGTCTCGAGTCCGTAAAATCCACAGCCACAGAATCAGAAATCAAGAAAGCGTACCGCAAGCTCAGTCTGCTCACGCATCCGGACAAGAATGGCTATGCTGGTGCAGACGAGGCTTTCAAGATGGTTGCTCGCGCTTTTGCTGTCTTGAGCGATGCGGATAAGAAGGCCAAGTTTGATCGCTTTGGAGGGGATCCTGATAGCAGGTTCCAGGGTGCGAGTGCTAGTTCGGCGAGTCCCTTTTCGGGCGGTGGTGCTACGAGGAGGGGTCCTGGTGGTGGTGGCATGTTTGATGATGAGATTAGTCCGGAAGATCTGTTCCGTCAGTTCTTTGGTGGTGGTGGTATGGGCATGGGTGGTGGTGGTTTCGGAGGTCCATTTNGGTATGTCTTTTCCTGGTCTTCTCCAGAAGTCAGCTGCTAACCAAAAACAACAGGAGGTGGACTCTTCGACGGCCCAGGCTTTGTCTTCAACATGGGAGGAGGCCCTGGTGTACGTGTTCATCAATTCGGCGGCGGTGCACCGCGACGACGGCCCCAAGCAGCCAGAGATCCCAACCAACCGCCTCCGTCCCTCCNNCTTCAATCATTACAATCTCTCCTCCCGTTACTCCTCCTCTTCATCTTCCCTCTTCTCTCAGGTCTCTTCTCTGGAAACGGCACACCTTCAGGTCCTTCAGTGCGTCTAGCACCCGAACCGCCATACACCCAACATCACACTTCTGGCGGAATCGGCGTTTCATACTATGTCAACCCACGCGAGGTAGCCGACATCTCGGCTCGGAAATGGAAAGCGTTGGATGACAGAGCAGATAAACAATATCTTCACGAATTGTCCGTTGATTGCGAGGTGCAGCAGGACACAAGGCGGCGAATGTTCCAACAGGCCTCAGGTTTCTTCTTTACCGACCAGGAACAGTTGCAAAAAGCTAGGGTTTATAAGATGCCTTCTTGTCAGAGGTTGAACGAATTAGGCTACAGGACTTGATGAGAGGAGCTTTTCACCGTTGGATTGTTTTGTCTTTCGAAGCTTTCTTCGACTCTTCTTGCAAAGTATAGAGAAAGAGCCTTTTTCTTGTATATCCACTTTTTCTTCTCCTTTGCATGGCGTTCTCTAAGCTGCAAAGGCAACCTTTTTTTTTTTTTTTTTGCATGGTCACATTCTTTACTCGCCAACTCCTTAATGACACGTTCTCCCCCATCTCCTCAGTCTATAGTAATTCCAAGGTAATGGCACTAGATAGCCAGCAGCCACACTCACCACTGCAGCACCCCAAAACCGTGGGTCTTGTAGCGCTACAACTCCACCCGTGAGATGAAAATCCACAGCATTTTCCGCTAGTTCCATGGCTAGCATGGAGATGAAACTCATACCCATTGCCGTCTTGAAGGCTTTGTTGAGAGGAAGCTTGTCCTTGCCCCAGAACAGAAGAGATGTTTCCAAGGCGATGGAGGTGCTGAGTCCACATGTCACTGAAGGTTTGAATCAACATCTGAAATGGGAGAAGAGCAGATGTGCATTGGATTTACTTACTNNCGATAGAGCCATAATAGTACCCATACCTAGATCTGGGGTGTATGTTTGCAAGGCCCATAGGGCGGAAAAATCGCCGATTGTGCAGCCGACAAGGCAGCGAAATGTGTTGATGCCTGCTCTNTTCCAGGTCCTTTGACAAGTCCAGAATGCACGTTTGGATCCTGTGAGAGTAGGGTTTGTACTGCTATACAGTTTGCCATCTCTCTTTGTAGCACGGATTTGACGTAGCTCGAGGGCAGAAGGTACTCTTGTCGAGGTCACTCTCGATCGAAGAAGACAAGTTGTGAAGTGGCCATGTTTGAGTTTTTGGGCACGCTGGAGTTGTGATGTGACTCGATTCATGCTGCACAAGTTTGAGATGTTGGAGTGTTAGGCATTGGCAGAAGGTTCGAATCCGGTTCTTATACGTTGGTTGGTAGTCGCCGAGTTTGCAAGCCAGACCGCAAAAACCACGCATGTCTTGACATTATTACAAGCAGGAAGATGGCGGAAAGGATCTAGGCAGAAGACTACGAACTATTATGTCTCTGTCAATAGATCTCCATCTCTAGCGCAGACATTACTCAAACGACAATCGCGATGCAATCAGCCTTAGAGTCATGTCGTGGGTTGCTAGACTGTCCGACCCAAAAGAGGAAGTGACAGCCCCGTTGGATGGCGAAAGTGTCAGTGCGGTATCGATGAAGCAACTACTCACTTGACTTGCCTCTCTACCTTGAACATCAATCAATCCAAGTCTATATCACAATTTCAACTGCAGTCCAATCATGCCTCCCAACTCAAGATCCACAAACACAAACTCTCGAAAGTTGAAGATTCTCATGTTGCACGGTTAGCAATTGAACACATTCCATGCATCCATAACCAAGCAAATCACTTTCTGACCAAATACCAAAAAAAAGNGCTATACACAATCTGGGCCTCTCTTCCAAGCAAAAACCCAACGCATCANNAAAAAACTACTCGAGAAATCTCTCGCCAGTCTTCCCATCAAGACTGATCCTGCCATCAATGGCATCGACCTTTACTATCCTACTGGTCCTTTCAAAGTCTCTTCTGCAGACCTCAATGGCGCAGAGGTGAGAGACGACGCCAATGGCTGGTGGAAACTGCGAGACCGCGGTGAAGCTCAAGAAGGCGTGGAAACAGGACTAAACTCCGTGTCAACAGTGCTCAAAGAACACGGACCCATGGATGGAGTGATGGGGTTCAGTCAAGGAGCCGCTCTAGCTGCCATGGTTGTTTCTCTACTCGAACCTTCCCGCGAAACCGCATTTGCTAAAGTCGCAGATGGTGTCAAGTTTCCAGACTCGTTCAAGGGGTTGCAACATCCACAACTCAGGTTTGGTGTTTGCTTTTCGGGATTGAGGAATAAGCATGAGAAGTATACTGCGTTTTACGAGCCGAAGATTCAGACACCTGTGTTGCATGTTTTGGGCAGTATGGATACCATCGTGGAGGAAAGCGAGTCGTTGGCACTTGCGGAAAGATGTGAAGATGGTGGGAAGGGGATGGTTATCAGACATGCTGGTACGCATACTGTGCCAACGAGTGATAGGGATATTGCCGCTGTGATACAGTTCATCCGCAACGCGTTTCCTGTTGCGGATGCAGCTGCAAAGAAAGACGAGGAGGAAGACGTTTTGGACATGGACATGCCTTTCTAGACTAGACAATTCATTCATGAGTAGACATAGATTTAGCATCACATACGGACAACAAAGACTTGAACTATCTGATCAGGTTTTTGCATTTCGTGAGACGTCGTGACTAGAAACTAGTATCAAAAAAAGATCAGACCCCCATCCGTTGAACCTCTTCAAAATGACAGACATTATATGACCAGTGGAAAAACAGTATGCATCTAAGAGAAGAAAGAAGCGAAGAAAGTAAAACGCACGCATGAACCAGCAGCCTGCACCAAACCAAACGTGATAATCCGCAAATTGTCCGTGTATAATCCAGACACAGCATCACACTCAGTGCTCATCGTATCTGGCAGAATGGTAGTAGGAGTAATCACCATCGATCGCCTGAGCCCAAGCATCGCGAATGTGATCCTTGTCTCCACTCAACAGCATCTCGGCAATCTCTGTCAAGAGCTCTCTACTGACATCAGGTACAAAGTTCTGCAACACGTCCGAGTGACTCCAAAGTACGATGAATGTTTCAACCACCAAACCTCTTCCAATGGAATCAGGTGGAAGTGATGGATAAAGCAATTCGATGAGCGGCCGTACAATATTCTCAGACGAAGACGCCGAAGGAAGGTCTTCCTTGTTGTCGGTGAGTGCTGACGCCTTGGGCGATTTCCCATTGTGCATGTTGCCAATACATTGCAAAATGCGATTCATGACTTCATTCTGAAAGTCAGAGTTTTGCACCTTCTCGCCAAAGATGTATGCTTGCAGTAAATCGATATATGTGTCGTAAGCTGCAGATCGTGAATCCAGAACTGCATTGGAAGCGCTAAGATCCAGAGATGTGATGCTCTTCTTATCGTATATATAGTGGGCATATAGTTGAAAGACTATCGGATCGTCTTCAGGTAACTCCAGAGGTGCATCTTCTTCGATTTGCTTATCTAGCAGCTCGGCAAAGTAAGGCGACGAGGCAGCGAGGCGGGCGGCATGGACATGGAAATCTTGACTGTTTGTTAAGCTGCCGACACGAACGAGGATGGGTTTTGAGAATGTGNNCTGGGAAGAAAGGGTGAATTAGCTTCATGGCAGTCTTATCAGAACGCACGCGATTCTCAATGTCGCAATATACATCCTTCAGTGTAAGGCGCAGTCGCACCCCAAAACTGATCAGAGTACGAGACGCGCGAAGAAGCAAGCACACGTTCGCGCTTACCTTTTCTTGATTTCATCAGTCATGGCCAAAGAAAGCGCACTTTCACGTCCGCGACAGATGCGCTTGTATGGTCTTCCGAGATCCTCATCCTCCACAGCTCCTTCATCGTCCATCTCCAGATCGTCGGCCGAGTCCATGAGCGCATTCTCTTCCATAGCAACGAGCTCGGCGATCTGTTTCTCGCTGGGGCTATCGACCTTCAAGATCGCATCGTCTCCGCTGTTGTTGCTACGCGGGCTGACAGGCATCTGAGCGCCCTCGTTCGTCTCGTCCGCTGATCTCTTCGGCGCCATCTGTGTATGCGGCACGNNGTCGTGAAAAAGGTGTCGTTGTTCGTAGAGGTATATCAGTCTTGACAGAAATGTAGAGAAGAGACAGAAATAATCAGTCAGTCCTTAATCAAAATAACAAACACGGACGGACACGGGCAGGTCACGTCAGACGCTCGCGCGCCTTGCGCATATTAATCCTTGTCGAGTGGCAGAAAACGCTTACGCTTACGCCCTCTCCCACCCAAAAAGATGCAGAGGACGGTTGGTGCTCTGCCGCGTCAACAATCGTGGGGAACCGAGCGCTGCTATTCGTGCAGGTTGCATTGTACTTGCATGAGATACATCCTTGCCCAGCATGCGCCATCGTGCTTGGAAGTCAAGACATGGCTGTTTTACGAGGGTTGTCATGTGCGTATTTGTCGTAACTTTGATGCTTGTCACTGACCGTTCAACTCGCCGTCTACATGTGACGCAAAGCCTGGATCTCTGAATGTCGTGCAGAGTTGCGGTCTGAAACGTGCGCCCACCTGGGCGAACTCCGGAGCGGTTGGGGTTTCAGCGCATAGAGTTCAGCATCGCTTAAACTGTATCTCCAAACGTCCGCCTAAAGTGCTTCTTTTCTGCCCCTCCAGGTATTCTTGCGGCTGTTCACGCGGAAACGACTGCTTTACAGACTCTACCTCTACCTTTAATTACATTACTTCCATCACGGTGGCCACTCGAGCCTGTCTCGTACGCACAACAAGGGTATCAAGACACAGATCTAAAGGCGCATCTAAACGGCTGGAGCGTCCCAAGCCTCACGCCGGATCTTCATCAGGTTCGACTGCTTGTGCGGGAAGCTGATCTCCCGCTCCTTGAAGAAGCCGACTTCCTCGCAATACTGCTTTAATCTGTAGATCCCACGTTAGTCTTTGATCCTCGAGATGCGTGTATTTCGGCGATCACCCACTTTNGCATTGTCGACTCTTGGTTCCAACATGACTGTCTCGGTTCTAGGATCGGCGAGGAAACAGTAATGGATCAACGCGCTCAACCAAACCTTGACACGATGAGGGCCCCTGAAGCTTTGCTCACCAACCAGGAGATGCAGTCCACGATCATAGTCCGACACCTGATAGCCCAGGTAGGAGCCCAGTCGATCTTCTTTGACCCAGTAGATCTCGAAATATCCAAATGGTTTGCCGTTGAAACAACCAATCACTGGGATGGAGTGCTTGTTAGTCAAGCCGGCCTTCAAGAATTCTTCTTGGTGGGATATAGGGCCTTGCTCGCCCCACGAGTACGCGACGCGCTCGTCGTTCATCCATTTATGAAGAATTTCAGTATCACTCAGTTCGTGGTCCATAGTGCCAATGGTTGGAACGTGCGAGTCACTAGCACTTGCGCGAGTGCGAATCTCAGAAGCCCCAGGAGCTGGATCCGACACTGGCCCAATGTGTTGCACAGGACGCTTGGACAAGGACGCAACACGGAACGAGAGATACTCGCCAAGACTGGGAATGTATCTCGTATAGAAGGTTTCGCCCTGTCGAGGAGGCTTAGGGCGAACGGGGTGGCGAACATTGTCAGTGAAGATATACTGGGTTGGAGCAGGCGGATAATAGGTAGGCATGTGCGAGGACGATTTGAACTGGCCGGGAGGCGCCCACAAGCCATTGTTCCCACCAGTAGGAATGACTGGACCAGCGTTATCAACGATCGAATCGGGTCGGCTGCTAGATACGCCAAGTGCAGGAGAATCTGGTCTCGAGTCGACGTGAGTGTGTGAGACAAAGGCAGAGTTGACCTGAGGATTGCTGGTGAAGAGATAGATACGAGGGTCGAGCTGCCAGAAATGACGGCGAGACACAAACATGGTAGACCACCCCTCAGGAGTATTGGGGTCCATGGAGGTTCCAACAGCAGAGTCCTCGGTTGCAATCAAACCCATGCGCTCCAACTTCTGCATCAACTGCTTGCCTCTGAAGACACCTTCGCGGTTAATGTTGACACGCCATTCACCCCTGGGCCTTCCTACTTCGACGGTCCCCTGAGACGTGGGATTGGTGATCTTTGANTCAGGTTCAGATTGATGAAAATACCAGTACAAGGTGGCCCATAGCATCATGGCAATTTGGCGAGTAGGAGAGGATGCAGGAAATTGTGAAGGAGTGTGCTCATTAGGCGGGTTGGAGATGCTAGAGATGAATAAATGATCGGCTTGAAGAGAGGGCCGTTTGTAGCTGTGAACGCGATATCTTGGAGTGTCATCGGTGCTGGGAGTAGCGGGAGTCTCGCTTTCAATGGTGATAGTCCAACCAGGAGGGAAGATGTTGTGATGGTTGTGAGCATCAACAGACTTGAAGTAGAGACCACCGAATACAGGCGTCACGGACAAATTGTGGCCATTGGGCAGATGCACGATGGAGGGTGCCATGATTGGGTTGTGTGTTGGCGTGGACAAGAGATACTTCGTACGCGTCGAATTTGATGTTGCTGACCAGCAACGGCTTTGACTCGTGATGAGAATTGGAGATAAGAAACACCCAGCCCTGATCAACAAGGCTTCACAACAGTAGCAAAGGCCTGTTCTTGAATGAAATAGAAATAGGTCGTATCAACGACTTGTAGTTTGCGCAGTACAGTATGCACCTGTCAGGCGATTGAAAAGAGTCGAATGCTTGTGCATATCGTGGGCAGACGCGACTCGTGCTCGCGAGTCAACGAGTGACGAAATGACAAAGCTCGGGCCGGTTCGAATGGACTCGGGTGTGGCTGGAGTGAATAGCGGATTGCTTGGATCCAATGAGAGACTCACTCTCTCATATCGTTTGCTGACGGACAGGCAGGACGTTCGTGTTTTGGTCGCGAAACCCATCAACGGTTTTGCGCGTGCCGTCGTGTTGAGTCTTGTAAAGTTGAGTTGAGCAGAACTGTACTTGTAGTGACGTTCAGAGAGGAAGATTGGAAAGTCAATTCGCGAAAGTCGTCTTGCAATTACGGTGTTACGGGAAGTGCTGAAACAGAGGCCCGCGGTCCTGCAAAAGCTTGTGTGTTTGATACCCGAGCCATCCATCATCTTTTGTCGTTGCTATTCATCAGACATCATGTCTGACAAGACTACAGCGCCTTGGATCACATAGAACGCCTTGTCGACCGAGTCCCGCGCAGCAGAAGCACCCAGCACTGCAAGACGGATACTCGACGCCGCCAACCACTCGAGAATGGGCTCATATTTTGGTCGAAACCAGTCGCCCAAGCCGTCCAACGAGCGCGTCCATTCCTCCTATCCCTATCCGCACGCCCAAGCCTCGCCCGTCTCGCATACAGCGCCCGTACTTCCACCCATACCAAGCATCGCTGATGTCGCCGATGATGCGCAACCCACCGGACTGGGCCTCGATGCCACCTTCTCCTTCGACCCGAGTCCGCAACACTCGACACCCTCTTCGTCTTCGAATCTTTCGACACCGTCGCCAGTCCGCGATGCTGCGCCCGCTGCCAACCCTGCTGTGCGCCCGCAAAACTTGCAGAAGGGTAGGGCTGTGACAAGTCCCGTAGGTGCCTTGCCTAGCTTCCACCAGACAAATTTATCACCATCCTCGCCTCTGGCCGCTCTCTCGGTGCCTTACTCGTCGACTACCGCCCAGGCCAAACCTCGTGCAGGAAGCCGCCCACTTCCTGCCGAGTCAACAATCAATGGAGTTCCCCAGCATGCGAAGACGTCTAAGCAGAGACCAGAACTGCATTCGAACAAGTCATCCAAGGGCAAATTCAACTTGCTTAATCCCGTCAATTTGCTTATGCGCAGACGTTCTGCACAAGCTGTCGAAACTCTGGAGAAGACTACATCCAAGAACTTGGCAATACCGCCTATGGATCTTCCAGATGACTACGATCCGCGAATCAGAGGCAATGTTGTACACGACTTCAGCGCTCCCAGGACTCGACGCACGCCGTCTTACGATCCGAGTATAGCAGAAGCTTCAACAAAACCTTCAACTGCAAATGACTCGATCAAATCGCATCAAGAGTCGATTGATCGCGATTCCAAGAGACAATCGGTCCAGCATACCCCCATCTTTGTCGAGCACATTGACAGCGAACCCGATGCGGACCGTGTTCATGCTGAAACTCTGGCGAACAGTGACTTCGTTGCCCGTAATTCATGGCAGCAGAGTGGAGGGTCACTCGGCATGCCTCCATTTGGCCGCCGGAGTCAACTTTTCGAAGACCAATCCCAATCTGAGCCTGCTTCGGATTCTCCGCATTCTGCCATGAGCGCCATGAGTGGCCCAGGGTGGCAGTATCACGATCCTGAGCGTGTCTACTCTCCGATATCACCTGAGCCTGTTCCCGCGTCAATCCCCGAGCACGGCGAGCCTAGAACTGAGAGGAACGAGCCAGTGTCAGCATCGACTCAACAGGTGCCTCAACCATCACCCGATCTTCTGCCGAATCCTTCGTCTACATTGCCTAGGCATATGACCAGTACAGCTTCGCGTTTCAGTTTCCAAATAGCAAAAGACTCGATAGCAGAAGAGAAGCTGTTAGAAGAGAGACATAAGCTTCGACAGTCAAATGCCGTTCAAGATCCATCTACTTTTGAGCACGACGAATACGAAGACGAAGAAGAGGATACCTTCGATGAGGATGCCATGTACGACCACGACGAGATGGAAGACGCTCCTACGAATGGCCTTTACGAACATCTCAATTCTGGCCTGCCTGAACACCTCTCTACCATGACTCTGGACTCCGGCCGAGGCCACCTGTCTGTGGCTTCCTCAAGCACCTTGTACTCCACTACCACCCCTTCAACAATACAACCAGCGTTTCACAACCCATTGCGTTCCAATCCGCCACCAAACTCGACCCATCAACAGCCTACAGGTCCCTTACTTGAGACTTCATCAACTGCGTCCCAGCAGCTACCGGCTAGACCGTCTTCTGCCAACTCTTTCTACTTTGATGACGGCATGATTGAAGAACTCGATGATGTGCACGAAGAAGAGAATGATGATGAGACCTTTGATGAAGACAAATTCGACGATCCTTCATATCTCAAGAGGCCTAACCAACCACCCCATCTTCACGAAACTCCCGCTACCTCCTCGGTCCAGTTCCCTACAGATGTGCCTGTTCATAATGTTAATGGTTATCCGTTCCTCATTCAGAACCCCGGAACTGGCCATTTCTCTGCTGAATCACCATTCTCCGAGAGCTCTTCTCAACCTAGTGAGCAACAACGAGAAGTTCAGGATGAAGCAGCGCGACATGATTCTCAACAAGGCCCGCCTGACTGTCATAACCTCTCTGCATACCATAGTGCTTTGGCAGAAGCCGCACATCGGGCTGCTGCTGATGGCAAATTCACAAGACAGAACAGTATAGCAGCTTCTGATTCTGTTTACTCGGAGGACTATGAACAAGACGAAAAGAATGGCTCGCAGCAATCACAGTACCCACAGGCGTCAATGCACATGCCTATGCCCATGCCTGCGCCTATGCAGATGCAGATCCCACCCTATATGCAGATGCAGATGCCACAACAATCGCCATATCAAATGCAGATGCAAATGCAGATGCAGATGCAGATGCAACCTCAGATGCGTCAAAGTTACATGTCTGACTCGACTCACGCTTCTCGTGGCTCTTACTCGGCATTCGACTTTGGCTTCAGCGATGGTGCAACCATAGAGGATACTTTCTCTTCCCCAGAGTTCCCTAATGACGACTTTGCTTTCGACGATTCAGACCTGATTTCCGCTGCAAACTCGGAAGCACTTGCGAACGACGATGAAGGGTTCTATAGTCAAGAGTTCGGTTTCTATGCCAGGGCACGTCCTGGAGGCGATCCTGATGCGGTCGAGGCCATCAATGGGGGTTACTTTGGCGCGCCTGGAATTGAGATTGTACGACAGAAGAGTGTGAAGGAGCCAAATTTGACTCCCATCACCGAGCGCAGTGAATTCAGCGCACGTAACTCGTACATCGGCCCATTCAGCCCTCTTGCCGCCGCTCTTCCATCGCCTGGCTTTCCACCTGCTCATATGGCAGCAGCGCGCATGAGTCCTCTTGCTTGGCAGCATTTACAAGAAGATGAGATGACACTTGCAGATCTCCGAAGACTCAAGCAAGGTGCATTCGGCAGCAGTAGCAATAGTGTCAACTCCTTGTCCTCGTCTTTCGGTGTACCGGCTCCTTACAGTCCCACCATGGCTGCACAGAATATGCCTGGTGGCTATTTCATGCCGCGCGCTAGCGGCAGTGTCCCGATGGCCTGGCAGCGTAGCAACGACAGCAATTCTAACTATAATCCATCTAACCATTCTTCTAGCCCTGTCCCTACATCGCCAATCCACCCATCGATGTCCAACGGTGTTAACCCCAGCCAGTCACACAATTCGCCTCTGCAGCCTGCATTTGCATCCTTCGTGTCAGACAATTTCTCAACTCCTAAGAAGAATTCATCCGGTCTACACGAATTGCCAGGGACGCCTGTGACGGCGAAAAAGGCTGCAGCCAAGGACACAACTGCAGCTCCAGAACGGCAATCATATCAAACACATTCACGATCTGGCAGTGGTGCAGACAACATCACTTACGTTCGCGAAGAAGACTCCACAGGCGGCAAGCGCTGGGTTCTCGAAAGACGGCGTACGAGCGAGGCTGGTCTACTGGAGCTCATCGGCAGAGAAGTTGTCGAAGGTGGCCGCATTTGATTTCCCGTATCTTTAATGTCTCTATTTCGCTTCCTGTCACCTTCATGGTATTTGGTGGCTGATCTCTTTTCTGGGTGGAATCCATCATACTGCGTTCTGGCGATACCTTGTAATATCCTTGTTTTAGTTTCAAATACCCCATCGTCCGACTTTTCATATACGCAAAATCTACGACTCCTCGTAAGCCTGATACTGTCACAATCTCATGGTCCGACGCCTTCTTCACGCCAATGTATGGTGATAACAGATGCACGATTGCTTTCCGAAGAGAAAAGGTCCAACGTTGTTCGCAGGCGGCTGGGGACATGGTTTCTAGAAGGCGACAAGAAGATGTCACAAAGTGAGGTGCTCTGGGTGCCAAGGCTTCACCGCAGCACCCAACCCGTGTCACCTCAGTCGCTCTTCTCTCCTTCTGACATAGACTTCTTTGAAGCTTCCGTATAGAGAATGTACAGTTTCCTAATATCGCTCAGACGGCAACAGCGCTTCCCACAACCCAAACAAAAGCTACATGCGTCCATCGAGCGTCTCGAAATATTTTAAGCGCCCATTCTGGGCACTTTCTAGCCCTGATGCAGGTGTCACGACAAGATGCGAATCTCGGATTAGAATAGCACCCGTAAGCGCCCAGCGGTTACTTTCATGCAGGTGGCCAATCAAGAATTGTCTTCAAAACAATGGCTTGCCATACGTCGCGTAGGTCTTGCAGGCAAGCATCAAATTGGTCATTTTTGGGCTTCTCAGAGCGATTGTGGCTTGTCTGGATCACAGACTTCTTATGAACCACTGGCTGTCGCATGTTGTGACCCGGTCTCCTTTCTTGCAACTTACACGACCTAAAAATCGACGTCCTCCACAGCATGCACTAGGGAGATGATAAAGAATGAACGAACAGTATGGTGGATATCCATCATCTGGACAGTTTCATCCGACTCTTCAGCACTATGTTTCCAGTCGATCACAAGAGTCATCTCGAGATAATGGTCCTTCTTTGAGCACTCCGCTGAGTCCCATGTTCTGTCCTCCTGGAAGCGGACATTCGAGTCACAGTACTTCAGCTATGACATCGAGACCGTATAATCCCCAGCAGTGGGGCCAAAACAATGTCGTTGGAGGATCACATATGGCCTTCTCCCCCACTTGGCGGTTTCCTAGAGACACGACTGGCATGGAAGGTGAGTAGGTTCTTTGCATCGCTTGAAACATAACCACAGTCTTGGTCGGTACATTTCTGTATGCACATTTTGATGACCAAATTCTAGCATCAATGCCTTCTCCGCCACCGCCATATACACCTCCACCTGACAGTGCTTCTCGCCTGATGCGATCAGTACCTACCACAGGCCTCGTTCGTTCGCCCCTATCAGTGGATTCATCGTCAGCCAATACAACGAGTCGTCACTCGACTCCGCCAAATGGACTCTCAGGACACTTCCCGCCACCTCCCACCTCTTCTCGTGATCGCCCCAGCTCGGGAATAGGTAGAGACCCTCAACGTTCAAGATTCAGTATCTCTGGGCTTGCTGCCCGTGTCAAACGATCTGATAGCTCTGACCAGATATCTACCCTAAACTCTTTGCATGGTCAAGTACCTGTGGTACCTGCAGGACCCAGTTCGCGACCTCCAGCTTCTCGTCGCGCCGCTTCTACCGGGGCCATCTTGACCCACGCCCCACATCAGACCGTGACTGGCAGGCAATCACCAGAGTCATCACATTGGGAACCTGGGATGCCACTTCCTCNNCGCCCCCACCAGGACCTCCTCCAGAGAACAGATCTCAGAGTCTCAATCGATATGCGAGACGAACTTCGGAAGTAAGAGCTGCCGCTACTCCTTCAAGTGTGCTTCCCCCTCCTCCGCCTCCGCCAGTCAGGGAGAAGACATGAGAACACTCTGGGAGAGATCCCTCCTACTCCTTCAGACTGGAATCCAGACTCAGACAATAATTCTGGCTTTATGGAGTTGCGTGTGGATACTGGACAATCAGCAGAATGCCATAGTATAGAAAGTAACGGTGGGAGTCAACGTACAGCAAACCAAGAAGTCATCACGAACAGTATACGTGAAAGGAGGTCACGAAGTCGAGCCAAGAGGGAGGGTCAAGAGATTGTTCAGGAAGTTCGAGGCAGTCATGATGCCCCGAGTAACACCGCGCCTAGTTTAACAAGACCTACTAATCTCACACTGGCTACTACTGATGGCTTGCTTCGGAGAAGACGCACCACGGCTGTTGAGTCATCTTCATCTCAGTCTAGCCCGGCTCAACCTTCATCTCCTGAATACACACGTCGCTCGGAACATGGTCGCAAAGACTTGACAATATTGACCCCTCCTTATACACCTTCTGTCGCTGCTCCGCATAAGGGCGGTCTGCATAATGTTACTACATCCAGCGATCAAAACTCACATCAACCCACTCAAGCGTGTGTCACACAACCTACGATCAACAATTCTCGTAGCGCATCCGCAAACGACACGGTCCCCTCAAACTCAAGCAATCTTTCACAATTTGCCCAATCTAGTTTGGAACGATACCGAGTATTTGTCGCCCAAGAAGTTGCTGCTCAGAACGATCAGGAGCGGTTGGAACTCTTTGCGAGTTTCATGGTTCAAGAGTCGAGATTACGAAGAGGACTCTACTCGAAAGCTTTCAACACCATGGCTGGAGACATCATCGAGTTGACGCGCGATTTGTGGAGACCATTGCCTGCCGCAGCTGAGCATGATACCATCGCACCTAAGAGTCGGAACGTGAGCCCAGAAAGTGCAAATATCATGATCGATCTGGACGCCAGCTTCAGCACATCTATGACCTCTACTGAGGAACACACGCCAGCTACTGATACAGAGTCTTTGGCCGACGAGAGCCAAGACGCTGTGGACCAAAGACCTTCCAATCCTTGGGGTGACAAATTCAAACCATGTCTTTCACCGATTCCTAGCATGGCTGTCAGCACTGTGCCGGATGAAGAAAGCTCTAGAGGTAGATCGGCCAGCCGGTGGTGGGAAGAGAGCGTGGATGGCTCGTTTGGCAACGGTGGTAGAAGACTGGAGCGAACCAAGCAAGAGACGAAGTACATGAGTTTGCATCCTCAGGAGTTGTTTATCGCTGCGCAACCTTCACCTAATCAGAGCACACCCACACCTGGTACCAGCAAGCAGACATTCCAGTATGGACCTGACGAATATCCTCAAGAGAAGGTTGGCTGGCATGAAGACGAAAGTTTGTATACCCCGTCGAACCCGCCCTCGGCAACTTTACTCTCACCTCGCAACAAAGCACCCGTTGGCCGTCCAGTGGGCAGATCAGCTCTGGATGTTACAAGACTGGTCACACTTCCGCCACCATATCCGCGCCACTATCCTGCTGTAAATAACAGTCATCCTGCATTGGGCACGCTTAGAGCGAACCACCGTGCTGTAGCAGACCTCTCGAGCATTCGCGAACTCATCCAGGCTCACGAAGCCACCGAGATCAGCCGCCGTCAATCATGGCGAACTTCAGCCGGAGAACGACTTCGTTGCTTCCGTTCTCAGACACAAGCGTCTATTAATTCAGGAAAGATATCATATAACGATGTCAACCAAGTTGAGCTCACGTTCCGTCAGTCCGAGGCCGCAAATGTACTACGCCAGGCCGAAACACAATGTCAAGACTTCCGGCAGCGAGTTCATGGGCCCGTGTCTCGAATGCTTGTTGAACATGCACGAAGTTGTGACGATTACATTGATCAACTCATGAAAGCACTAGACGCAGAAGCTGAATGCGACCAGAACTTGCTAGCCCAGACTGAGGGAGATGAAAGGCCTGAGCTTGTTGAGCAGCTCACACTTCTAAAGTGGTTGTTTGAAAGCAGAGAGCATGTTCACAAGGAACGGTTCGACATTGATACTGCCCTTGTCGCGAGAGAATCTGCAGCTGTCTTGACAAATTACCGGCAGAATGCGAGCGAAGTACAGCTGCGCCAGGCCGAGGGCCACTTCGAGGCCGATCGCCAGAGACGACAACTCCGATATGCACAAGAGACGTACGAGAGATACGACCGCTTACGCAAAATCGTGGAGAGACATATCTCAAGGGGAGTCGAAATCCAGCTGTCGGCGTTCTGGGACATCGCACCAGGTCTGGTTGAAGTTGTGCACAAAGTGCCCGACAACCTGCACGGATTTGAGATTGTCGTGCCTTCCAACGAACTGGCAGAGAACATATCGTATCACGAGTTTCCTCTACAATACATGTACACCATTTTGGTACATGCCAAGAAATCGGCATATCAGTTCATCGAGGCGCAGACAAACCTGCTATGTCTTTTGCACGAGGTGCACACTGCGACTGAAGCTGCTACTCTAGGATTGCAAGAAATTGAGCGCACTGCAGCGGGTGAAAGTGCGAGCCTTGTGCAGGCAGACATGGTGCGTTTCAAGAAGCAGAAGGAACAGGAGTTGACTGAAGACTTGCAAGGCAAAGTGCACGAGGTAGAAGGTCAATGGAGAGAGGCTTTGGGAGCATCGATTGAAGAGTGTATTGAAAGGGTCAGAACGTGGCTGGAGCACACTGGCGGCTGGGAGGAGAGTCTGGAAGTTTGAGGTAGCAATCAACGGGCCAGACAAGCAGTGCGGATGTAGTGAGCAAGCGAGGGTTTATCAATTGATCAAGCATGATTGGACATGTGATGGTTTTTGATGCGTAGCACTTGATTGGACAGCCGAGGAGACAAACATGAATGGAAAGAAGCAGACAAACATGGCCGGATGCGGACACAGAGTTTGGATTGGAAGTGACGATGGAAGAAAGAAGTGGTGGACGATCAATAAAGAAGGTGGCTCACATGACAGAACGGATGTTGCCGAGTGGACGACGATTGTGGCAGGTGTGAGAATTTGAAGAAAGAACTTCTCTTTCACCGCACGCAACCATTATCCTCCACCCAAACCCCTCCGTGCTCTCGCACTTCCTTTCATAAAGACTCGTCCACTGGTACCAAAAAAATTTGAAAATCCCAAAAAGCCCATATCGCGCCTTCCCAGCGTCTAGTTGCGAAGGTTCATCCATCTCACACGAGTCTATCGAAAGGAATACTTTTTTCGTCTCTTCAAAGAAAAAGGTGCGCATACACTGCCTCTGTCTTCGCGCAACATCGCTTGCGCCCGATCCGCTCTACACCTGCATCCGCTCGTCTCCAGCCGCTGCGAAAGTCGTCCGACGTAGAGAGTCCTCAGTCGCATATCCAGAACGGCAGCCGCAAACAAGCGTCTCCACTTCTAGATACACTCTTGCGACTTCCTTGTCGGCTCTCTTCTCTCACTGCTTTCTTGCATCTTGCGCTGGACGACAACACCCCGCGACGAAGATTTCGACAAGAAACAAACCATTGTGTGGAGACAAGCACTGACGTATTGCTGTGCAGAAAATCGTTAAAAGTCGAACAACATGTCTGACGTTCAAGCTACCTCTCCCACCGGCGCTGCCGCTCAGCCCGCCTCTCCCTCTGCCGATGTCAACGGTGCCAACGCCCCTGCTGATGTCGCCGCTCCTCCTCAGCACCAGAACCAGGCCTCAAACTCCGCTTCCCTCTACGTTGGTGAGCTCGACCCCTCCGTCACTGAGGCCATGCTCTTCGAGCTCTTCTCCTCCATCGGTCAGGTCGCTTCCATCCGTGTCTGCCGTGACGCCGTCACCCGCCGTTCGCTTGGTTACGCCTACGTCAACTACAACAGCAGCGACGATGGTGAGCGCGCTCTCGAGGAGCTGAACTACACCCTCATTAAGGGCAAGCCCTGCCGTATCATGTGGTCTCAGCGTGACCCCGCCCTCCGCAAGACTGGTCAGGGCAACGTCTTCATCAAGAACCTCGATGTCGCCATTGACAACAAGGCTCTTCACGACACTTTCGCCGCCTTCGGCAACATTCTTTCCTGCAAGGTCGCCCAGGACGAGCACGGCAACTCCAAGGGTTACGGTTTCGTTCACTACGAGACCGCTGAGGCTGCCAACGCTGCTATCAAGAGCGTCAACGGCATGCTTTTGAACGAGAAGAAGGTCTTTGTCGGTCACCACATCCCCAAGAAGGACCGCATGAGCAAGTTTGAGGAGATGAAGGCCAACTTCACCAACGTCTATGTCAAGAACATCGACACCGGCGTCACTGACGATGAGTTCCGCGTTCTTTTCGAGAAGTACGGAGATATCACCTCTGCTTCGCTCGCTCACGACAACGAGGGCAAGAGCCGCGGTTTCGGTTTCGTCAACTTCTCCAGACACGAGGACGCCTCCAAGGCCGTTGACGAGCTCCACGAGTCTGACTTCCACGGACAGAAGCTGTATGTCGGCCGCGCCCAGAAGAAGCACGAGCGCGAGGAGGAGCTCCGCCGCCAGTACGAGGCCGCTCGCCAGGAGAAGGTCAACAAGTACCAGGGCGTCAACCTCTACGTCAAGAACCTTGCCGACGACATCGACGACGAGGAGCTCCGCAAGATCTTCGAGCCCTTCGGTTCCATCACCTCCGCCAAGGTTATGCGTGACACCCAGCCCGCTAAGGACGAGGCCAAGGAGGGTGAGGAGACCAAGGAGGAGTCGACCGAGGAGAAGAAGGAGGAGGAGCCCGTTGAGGCCGAGAAGAAGGAGGAGGAGGAGGGTGTTGACTCTGTCACCAAGGACCTCGAGAAGGTCAAGATTGGCGGTGAGCTCAAGATCCTCGGTAAGAGCAAGGGCTTCGGTTTCGTCTGCTTCAGCAACCCCGACGAGGCCACCAAGGCTGTCACCGAGCTCAACCAGAAGATGGTCCATAACAAGCCTCTTTACGTTGCCCTCGCCCAGCGCAAGGATGTCCGCAAGAGCCAGCTTGAGGCCAGCATCCAGGCCCGCAACCAGGTCCGCATGCAGCAGCAGGCCGCTGCCGCTGGTGGTATCCCCGCTCAGTTCATGCAGCCTCAGATGTTCTTCGGCCCCAACGGTCAGCCCATCATGCCCGCCCGTGGCCAGATGCCCTTCATGCAGGGTATGCCCCAGGGCCAGCGTGGTGCCTTCCCTCAGCAGGGCGGTCGCGGCGGTCCCAACGGCCAGCCTCCTATGGGCTACCCCGTTCCTCCCATGCAGGGCTTCCCTCCCGGTGCTTACGGCAACCCTGCCTTTGCTAACCAGATGATGATGGGCGGTCGTGGTGCCGGCCGTGGTGGCCCCATGCCCATGATGCCTGGCATGCCCCCCTAACATGATGGGCCCCAACNNATGGGTGGTCGCGGTCAGCAGTTCGGCCGTGGCGGTCCTCGCCAGATGGGTGGCTTCCCTCAGCAGCGCCCTCAGGCTCCTTCCGCCTCTCCCGCTCTTGATGTCAACGCCCTCAACGCTGCTCCCCCTGCCCAGCAGAAGCAGATGCTCGGTGAGGCTCTCTACCCCAAGATCCACGAGCAGCAGCCCGAGCTTGCCGGCAAGATCACCGGTATGCTCCTCGAGATGGACAACGCTGAGCTCCTTGACTTGACCACCGACGACGCCGCTCTCCGCAACAAGGTTGACGAGGCCATGCGTGTCTACAACGACTACCTCAAGACCCAGGGTAGTGAGGAGGCCGCTCCCGCTCCCAACGGCTCTGAGAACGTTGCTCCTGCTGCCGAGGCCGCCACCGAGGAGAAGGCTTAAGCGATTCAATCCGCTTACACGATTCCGCCTTTCTTTTTCAAAAAGTTTTCATGACACGCGCTGCATACGATTTGGGCGCCCGGCGTCTTGATTCTTCAGCTTCTTTCACCCGGATACCCCACCTTAATGAAACGACTTTTTACTCTTTGTGACCATCTATATTCTCTTTTCCTATTCATCACTGTGCATCAGATTCTTTACTCGCTCTGTCGTTGCTCTAAGGCCGTCTTGAGTCGAGCTTTGGGCGATATGGCTTTCTCTACAGCCCGTTCGTGACGATTCTCGCGGTCTCTGGACTTCAGTTGATGATGTCGAACTCGCGAGCTTCGGGGACTACAATATTGAGGTTAAGAGCTTGCGGCAACGCAAACGGCACGAAACACCCTTTTGCTTCGCAAATCACATCCTCGGTGTGGACATGAATAGATGGTTTGTCTCTTTGAGGGGGTGGATCTCTTTTGTTTTCCGCTTTTTTCCGCTTTTTCTCTTCTGGCGACTGGCGAGGAGGTGGTTGTGAACAGAGGGCAGGGTTTGTTGCAAACAGATGGCGCATATGGATATTTTTATAGCCGCCAATTTACATTGTGTCTTATTTCAAATTGAGTTTTCAGTGTTTTCCTGTGCAGTGATGTAAAGATAGCATTGTTTTAGAACAGCAGGAGCTTTTGTGATTACGATGTCGTTGCATTGGAATATCAAACCCGTGGATGGTGTTAGTCCATATAGTGATCCAAGCCAGCTTCTTTATCACAATGTATGCAAGGTGTTGAACAGCCATAGCTCAACAACGACGTACTTGAACAAGAAGAAAGTGCAACTGGACACAGAATAAATTATATAGATCTGCTCGGACATCCCAAAACAATGATCTCGACCTTCGTCAGGCAGCAGTGCTGTCATCCTTAATCGTAGGTCTAGCTATAGGTATGACCCTGACCCGGAGCACGAGTCCGCAGGCTTTACAACCGTGCCTTTGAAACAATGATTGGAGAGCAGAATCTCAATTGAGATATGTGTTTTCTTGTGAGTTTGACAGTCCATACTTTCCAGACCAATAGGGCTATTACAAGTGATGAAGAAAAACCCCATTGATGTGGATAAAGTTCAGAGTTGTTGCAAGTTGTCACGTTGTCCAACAGCGCAATGACGAAGTCGACTCTCGCCCTTTGGGGGAAGGAACAGCGGGGCATCATATGTGGGGATGCAAGTAGGTGGTTCAACCGTGTGAGCATCCCTCAACTGTCTCTTCCAAAACAGCGTTTACTTTGTATATACCTCCATTACAAAGCAGAAAACATGTCTGTCAACAAGCAGCGTTGGTGGAAAGAGGCAATTGTGTACCAGGTACGTCTGTTAGCGAGGAATTAGATGCTTGTTGGAGGCAAATACTGATGGCTTGGACAGGTGTACCCTGCTTCGTTCCTGGACTCTGGAGCTGGAAACAAGCCTGGATGGGGTGATATCCCTGGTATCACGTCCAAGCTTGATTATCTGAAGCATCTTGGTGTTGATGTGCTATGGCTTTCGCCGAGTAAGTTGTCTGTCTGGGTAGAAAACGCGTGTAGGTGTTGATTGTTGGTTGTAGTTTACAAGAGTCCTCAGGCCGATATGGGCTATGATATCGCCGATTACAAAGATATCGACCCAGTATACGGCAGTCTGGAGGATGTCGATAATCTGATTAGCGAGCTCAAGAAGAGAGATATGAGATTGATGATGGACTTGGTTGTCAACCACACCTCGGATCAACACGCCTGGTTCCTTGACTCCCGCTCGTCAACGCAGTCCAGCAAGCGCGACTGGTATATCTGGAAACCTGCTAAGTACGACAAGGATGGCAATCGTCAACCTCCCAACAACTGGTCTATGATTCTAGGCGAGGAAAACAGTGCCTGGACATATGACGAGAAGACTGACGAGTACTACCTGTCTCTTTTCACTGCTGAGCAACCTGACTTGAACTGGGAGAATCCAGATGTTCGTGAGGCGGTCCACGATGTGCTGCGTTTCTGGTTGGACCGTGGCTGCTCAGGCTTCCGCATGGATGTCATCAACCACATCTCCAAGGTCCAGACTTTCCCGGACGCAGATGTTATTGCTCCTGATCACAAGTATCAGCCAGGCTTCAAGTACTACTGTAACGGACCTCGTCTGCACGAATGGCTGAAGAACATGAGAGCGGAGGTTCTTGACAAGTACGACACTATCACAGTCGGTGAAATGCCATTCGTCAGGGACGAGAACGAGATTCTCAAGATTGTCCGCGAGGATGAGAAAGAGCTGAACATGATCTTCATCTTTGAACAAGTCGACATTGACAACGAACCTGGCAAGTACAGAATGACTTTGCGCGACTGGGATGCCGATGAGATTCGCAAGATCTTCAGTCACTGGCAGCGTCTGATGATCGACAAGGATGGATGGAACAGTTTGTTTGTTGAAAACCATGACAACCCTCGCTCCGTGTCGAGGTACTGCAATGACAGCGATGAGTTCCGCGAGTTGAGCGCGAAACTTCTTTGTCTCATGATGACCACACTTGCTGGCACATTGTATGTCTACCAAGGTCAAGAACTTGGTATGCGTAACGTGCCCCTCGAATGGTCGCCTGAAGAGTACAAGGATGTCGAGTCCATCAACTATTGGAAGAAGATGAACAACATGTATCCCGGCAACAAGGAAAAGTTGGACTTTGCTCATTACCTGTTGCAGAGGAAGGCTCGCGATCACTCACGTACTCCGGTCCAATGGTCTGCAGAGCCTCATGCTGGGTTCTGCAAGGCAGACGTTACTCCCTGGATGCGCGTCAACGACGACTACAAGGAGGTCAACGCGGAAGCTCAGCGCAAGCAGAACGATCCTGACAAGCTTTCTGTCTTGCAATTCTGGAAGCGAGGTCTTGCCAACAGAAAAGAACACAAGGATGTTTTCGTCTATGGCGATTTCCAAGTGCTGGATGAGAATGACAAGAAGGTGTTTGCATACAAGCGTGCGAGCGAGAAGGAGGCATTCGTTCTTGCCTTGAATTTCTCCAAGGACGAAGTCAAGTGGCAGGTTCCTGAGGCTGCCAAGGTTAAGAAATGGGTCGCTGGCAACTATACAGCTGGCCAGCCTGATAAGCCGACGAGCGGCACGATCACACTCAGACCTTTTGAGGGTGTTCTGGGAACCTCAGAGGTTTGAGAGATCAGAAAAGGAAATGTATATAAACCGCATAGAATTAAATTGCGTCCATCGAGGACAAAAGGAAAGCACAATTCAGCGTTCAAGTTGCCAAGACAAAGTGAAGTTGGTTGGTCCGGGCGCAGTGTCATTGGCTTTGAGAGCGCGGGCTGGACGTCTGTCTGAGAGAGAGAGAGAGGGTCAGCAACTACTGCCATTGTGCACAACCAAGAACCACATATCACTCGTCGCCATGCCTCTGCTACGACCAACTGCCTTCACGAGCCGCGCCGTCCAGTCGGCCCTCGCCTCAACCCCTCGATCCATCGTTGCGCGCCGAGCTCTTTCCACCACACAACAACTGCGCGGCGGCGCCTCACACGACGACCACTTCGACCCTCCAGGCGGTATCCTCTTCGGCGTCAAGCCCGGCGAGAAGTACCAGGACGAGGGCTGGGAGAAGATTTTCTACTGGGGTTTCTTTGGCAGTTTGGCCTTTGGCGTCATCGGCTACGCATACAAGCCCGACACCAGGTTTGTTCTGCCGAGCTCAGTTTGCTCGAGATGTAGTAATAGTGCTGACTGTCACTTANCCAGTATCCAAACATGGGCCCTTGAGGAGGCCAGGAGAAGACTCGAGGCCGAGGGCATCCTTGCCGACCCCGAAGACGAGTAGACGCACATACCCCCCAAACATACGCAATTCGAATCTCTTTACCAATCCAATCCGTTCTCCGCAAACTGAATACAGCTGTGATATACAACCACAGCAGCTTCTCGGGAATATCTCTTACAAGGTGGGCCGCTTCTCTCAAAACGACGCAGCCGGTCTGTACATAGAACCATACCAGGGGAATTGGCTGCCACCGATAGAACATTTCTTGACACCTTTTCTGCTCGCACATCGGTACTCTTCTAAAGCTTTTCCATCAAGATATCCAAACGAGGACGTCTCTGCCTTTTCACTTTGATCCAAAGACTCATGCTTGATTTTGAGCTTGATGTGAATACCTCTGATGGAATGACGTGCGTTACGATATCAAGCTGCATTGATAGCAGCTGTCTAATGTGGCCCTGGAAAAGGCTTGCCATATGTGTGTCTATGGTTACCCTATCTTGCTATGCAGCCTCTTTCTGTTTAATTGTGAATTCATGCGTCTCTTGTTTGGCAACCACTACAGTGGTATTTCTATCGGGACGAGCCCGACACGACGCGAATCTATTGCCAAGCAGAAGGCGCTCTTTGATGAACTTTTAACCTCTTGTCATCACCTTAGTACGGTTGATGTGAGAAAAGCACCTGCCTCATCGGGTTGCCAACCGTCCAGTTAGTTGTACAGAGTGTGATAAAAATCAGCGTCCGCTGAAGACTTTACAATCATCCCTTGATCCCTCGAGATGAATGCGGATCTCATACATCACCTTTGCATGTACTCTCGACAGGTACTGCGGGAAGTGTTTCAATACCGCTGCCAAAGGAGATGCCGTGCAGCCTTCCGGCAGCCTTGTGGAAATTAAGTAATCGCCGTCCGGGGACCATGTGAAGCCCGATGGAAAACTATCGTCCTCCACCATATCGCCTACGCACCGTTTACGGCCGCTTGTACATTCTGTGACTGTGCGACATCGATCCAAGAACACACTTACATCGACACGACTCACGAGCCTCTAGAAGATCAAGCCTTGCCAAACATGGCTGGATCTGACGACATTTCGACAGCTCGGCCATCTCCTCTAGCCTGTGACTCCTGCAGACAAAAGCATCTAAAATGCGACGCTGCAAAACCTATTTGCACGCGCTGTGTCACTGCAGGTCTGCCATGCAACTATACGCCGTCAAGGCGTGGATACCGAGGAACCAAACGGACCCGTGATTGTAATGACAGCCAGCCACCTACCACTGCCGAATACGTTCCTGTGTATTTCAATCAAGGCACGAGCGCATCCACGTTACCTAGCCAAGAATCTGTCTGGACCTCGCCTTCGGTCCCCAGTCTAGCGGGCTCGAGCGTTCATGAGGGCTCGAGTAGTGGATTCACCAACACGTACGGTATGACACCTGCGTTATCGCCAGATCAGCAACACCTAGTTTCCTCCTATCAACACTCTCCAATCAGCGAGGCCATAGACGATGATGAACTGGTTAACTTATTCTACTCCAACTTCTTTTCCGCTCACCCTATTCTGGTTCCAGCATGCTTCTATCACGCTCACCCATACCCTGAGTATCTGAGACAAGTGGTTCGGTTCATCGGGAGTCACTACTCACCATCAGTATCGAGTGACATCCTTCGGACGAGCATAGATCTCACTGGGTCTGTAGGCGTGATCGACAGACTCCCATCCATGGTACAAGCACGGCTATTATTTGCAATCGCTTTGCATGCTCGTGGTGAAGCGATGGACGCTGCATGTATGATGCAGTCAGCCGTAGAGCTAGCCATCGAACTCAAAATGAACCTGAGGAACTTTGCAACTGCGAATGGCAGCGGCAGCCCCATTCTAGAGGAGAGTCTCAGAAGAACGTGGTGGGAGCTCTATGTGATGGATGGCTACATGGCTGCTCTTCACAAACAGCCTTCGTTCAGGAGCAACACTGTTTGTTCGGATGTTTTGCTGCCGTGCGAGGAGTCAGTATATGCGCGTGCAGGTTACTTGCCCCAGCCATATTCTCTCGAACAATTCGACATGCGACTATTTGCAGATGAGGACATACAATTTTCCTCATTCACATACCGAATCGAAGCTGCTCGGATACTTGCCAGAGTGTTGTCAGTCGCAGGCTCTCACAACGAAGACCAGGTCCAGGTGGTCGACAACGCTTTGGCTGGTTGGATGCACAATTTGCCGCAGGCCAAAGCAGATGTCGTCAACGTTTATAACATGGTGGACGAGGTGCTTTTCCAAGCACACATGATCATCCACTGCGCTACGATTTACCTTCATCTTCCACGTAGTGATCTGCTCAACACCCTACCGGTCACGGCAAATTTGGTATGCGCAGAAAGGGGTAGGCACATGTCTCCTGCGTCTACACAACACTCTCACTCCGTCAAGGCAACCAACGCATCCAAAGAGCTTGCAAACTTGGCAGCCGTCCGGGTGCCCGTACAGAAACATACTCCCTTCTTTGTATGCGGACTTGTTCTTGGTGCGATTGTCCAACTATCTGCCTGCAGTGCCAATGCAGGCACTGAGCAGCATCGCGACAGAGTCACCTTGATCATCGGACTACTCAAGTCTTTGAGCCGAAACTGGGCCATCTCCGGCCATGTGCTTCAACAAGTCAAGAAGGTGGCTTCAGAAGTGCTGCGTACAAGCATTCTCGCATCACCAGACGTCGGTCAACATCAAAACAAAACAAATTACGACAGTGGCATAAGTATGCAAAACAGTCCTGATAACACCTCATGGCTGTCCATGCTGAACATGGTCGAAAATCAAGAATTCCACGGTCTCATGCAGACGGCACCGATCTTTCCTGGCTCGATCTAGCTTTATGCATAATTTTATGCACAACTCCTTTTATGAACTCAATGCACCAGATACCAAGAACGTCCCCAAGATCAGAGGGAAGGTTTAGGCGATCCGCATCCCATTGCTGCAGCCAACGACACTAAAAAGTATTGGACGGCGACCTAATTCTCTCTACACCAAATGGACAGAAAGCAATGCCACCAAAAGCCGTTTGGCTATCAGCATGCAANNTGCACATACCCCTTGACAGGACATTTGGCGGTTTCANAAAGGATCCCTGCTTTAAGCCATCACCTCCCCCCACTCTCGTTTCTGTACCCGTCCTTTCTCTCCACCANNGCTTCCAGCCGTTTTCTGTCATCTGNNTCATCATGTGCATGCGTGCCGATTGCCCCAAGTGCAGTAAGTCCAGCCCACTGTGGCTTCTTCGAGCATTGATTGTTGACACTGTCTGTGCAGAGAAAGNTGTCATGGTGGGGATGCGGAAAGCATATCCCTTCTGTCATGGACAAGGTTCCTAGAGAGCAACGATGCACTTGCGGACCTGTTCTGGAAGTCGACGGGAAGATGTATCCTCCTAAACCTCCAGGCTTGTTCACCGATTGCTCCGTCTCATGATATCACCACCATTACGACCATGGACTATGATCACCTTTCCTTGCCTATGTTTCTCCTGTACTCCTGTCAGAGATACTTATGCTCCTTTCTGATACTGGTCTGGATATCAATTTGTGTTTTGCGACTAACATACCAATGTTATTTCTATTTTGTCTATACCAAGCAAGAGAGGATGTACGATCGAGTCAAAAGTTGGGTATCGCTGTATAAAACCGGGAACCGCGCCAAAAAATACTGCAAAAGAAACCACACCTCTCTGACAATTTCATCTCAAGGCGGCAGTCAGGACACCCGCAGCGAACATACTTGCAACGGAAACCAGACTGGCCCATGAGAACGTTGCAAGACCGCTTATGCCATGTCCCGATGTGCAACCGCCTGCCAATCTTGAACCAAAAGCCATGACCACACCACCGATGACGGCGGTAGATCGCGAAATCAGATGCGATGATGCTTGTGCTTGTGCTGAAGCAGCAGGCAGCAAGAAGCGGGCAAGCAAGGCGCTTGCAGACACGATGCCAGCGTCGAACAAGACAGACGCAGTAATAGGACCCTTGGATGCATCGCCAGAGATCACATTGCGCAGCCAGCGACCAACATCTTCGAATCCGCCAGAAGTACCAACAGTGTGGCGAGTGAGAGCGATGGCACAAGCTTGTGCGGCGCCGATGAGAAGCCCTCCGAGGACAGGTGACACAAGACCTTGTGTTCCTGTCATAGAGCCCTTGAAACCGGAAAGGAGCTGCAGCATGCCGAAGCACATAATCTCCCACATGGCGAGCACGACCCAGGGGCTTACGCCGAGACTCTTCGGGATAGTCAATTCGGAGTTCGTCTTGTTGCTTCCTCTGCTTTTACGAAGTCTTGCAATGCTGGGTTGGGCAGAGACGAAGAGCAGACCGCCGAGGATGCCACCACCGAGAACGTAAATGCCGCTGGGAAGGCCTGCGCCTGCTTGAACGAAAACGGTACCAGGACAAGCACCGGTCAATGCCATGCCTACTCCGATCATGCTGCCGCCAATGATGTTGCCGTCGTAAGGGAAGAAGCCAATGGATTGAGGAGTGCGAGGTTTCATTGCGGCGAATTTCGAAGAATCGGCCAGGTGTACGACTAGGCTATTGCTGATGTCAGTGTACGATCTTGAGAATCTGGGAGCTGGGTGTGTCGGCGAGGGTAGTTCAGCATGTTCAAGGCGTTCCTGATGTCTTCTGGAGTATCCAAATTTTTCCCACCACAACAATTCAGATGTATCTCCTGCCATTGAAAACATAAGAAAAGGGGCAACTTACGCGCTTGTAGCACTTGCACCGAGCATTGCCTTGACCATTGAGAAGTCCTCTAATCTCATCTGCGCAATGATTGTGCCAGGCGCAAAGACTCCAGCAGCGAACAGCGCAGCACCAAACAGCGTGCCGGCCGCATACTCCTGAAACCAGAGATGGCATGGTTGTGTTGTTTTCGAAAATCTGGTGGATGGTCGAAGGTGGGGTATGTTTTGAGGAGTAGATGAAAGAAAGTTCCCACGTGCGTGTAGTCGAACAAAGAGATAGCGAACCTGATGTCGAGATGGTGATGTTGACAGAGGTGTGAAGAGAAGAGGCGATTGCGATATTTATCCTTCGTTTCCCTTATTCAATATTCTGGTTCGACAACGGTTTTGTGTGGGGATAGAGTTTAAGATGAAGGCCGAGTAGGTGAACCTACAACTTGAGTTGATGCTGGTCGGCGATGTTCACCAGAGTGAGGATAGAAGATCTCTTGGTGGATATAACGATACGAGAGAGAGCGAGTCTTCACATGCATATAGAGGAAAGACCGCTTTGGATCATCTAATTTGCCTTGGACTTGGTGTACTCTACACTGCAGCAGACTATTTGATTACGAAGAAGACCAACAGACTTAGCCTCCTTTTGATGCGGTATGCGGCATGTAAGAGAGATGGATCTGTTGCATGATAGTGTCACAGTGCTGTGGTTGTTGGTGGTCATGTCGAATGCCTTGCCGATTGTGTCGTCCCTTGCAAAGTGAAAACGCAAAACGGCCGAGGCTCAATACTTCGGGCTCTACGGCACAACGTTGCCAAGCCCGATCACCTACAAGGTTCCCGACTAGCTTCGTGAACTCACCGAGGGTCAAGAGCGCAACCACTTTGACATCACTTCGTGTTTGAAAGCTCAAGATTGACCAGAACGCGATCGCGATAGCTGTTTATCAAACAAGTAAATGGAGGAATTGCTGCAGCGTTACTGCGGATGAGATGCGACGTCAAAACTAGTCCGTAGGCCGATCTCGTGTGAAACCGGCATACCAAGCCTCTTTGATCAGCCTCTTTCATCAGCAGGCAGGTGGTCCTGCATTATCTCATTCTCTTCCTTGGAATAGAACCGAGTTGCTTTTTCACTGTACCAGCAGAAAAGGGTGCGATTAGAATGAGTGCTACTTTCTCAGCTTACGCGTATAAGAAGTGAGGACCGCTTGTTTGTAGACACAAACGTGCTTCCAGAAGGAAAGAACGACCTGACTCACTATTGCTACGGATTCCGCAGTGAACAACAATATAAACACGTGCAGCGCAAACAAAGGAGATAGGACTTTAGCCAAAACCTGCTTTGCTGCACTCGTTTCACTCGGTGCAACATCTAATGCCGGTTATCCCCGAGAAGGATCGCAGCTTCCCAACCTCCTTGCTCTTTTGATTAATAGCTGTGACTCTTTCACATATCCTATCTCATCGTTTTTCGGACCTTCGCACTCGCCATGGCTACCCCTTCTCCTTCGTTGGCTAAGGCCGTGACCGCAAAGAACCCTGAGGGTATTGACCTTTATGCTCGCTTCGCGCTTGCTGGCGCATTGGGTTGCTCCATCACACATGGTGGTTTCACTCCTGTCGATGTGTAAGCGCAGCGTTGTTATCAATTATGTTTTTGTAACTCATCCATCGCAGCGNTCAAGACTAAGATCCAGCTTGATCCTGCTACCTACAACCGCGGCACCATCGCTACCTTCCGCCAGGTCATCCAGAATGAGGGTGCCGGTGCTCTCTTGACCGGTGTTGGTCCTACCTTTGCTGGTTACTTCGTCCAAGGTGCCTTCAAGTTCGGAGGTTACGAGTTCTTCAAGAAGCAGTCGATCGACTACCTCGGTCTCGAGACTGCCAGAGCCAACCGTGGTATTGTCTATGCCGTCTCAGCTGCCAGCGCCGAATTCTTTGCTTCCGTTGCCTTGTGCCCTCTCGAAGCTACCCGTATCCGTCTCGTCTCTACTCCCGGATTCGCCAATGGTTTGGTCGGTGGTTTCAGCAGAATCTTGAGAACCGAGGGTGCTGGTGCTTTCTACTCAGGTTTCGGCCCCATCCTGTTCAAGCAGTAAGAAACACCTGATTACCATCGACATTCACGCAGTAGATAAGCTGACAAGAAAATAGGGNTTCCTTACACTGTCACCAAATTCCTCGCTTTCGAAAAGTTCTCCGAAGCCATCTTCAACTCGATGGGCGACAAGTCCAGCCTCAGCTCCGGCACAGTCACAAGTGTCAACCTCGGCGCTGGTCTCCTTGCCGGTTTCGCCGCTGCCATCGTCTCCCAACCCGCTGATACCATGCTGTCCAAGATCAACAAGACTAAGGGTTTGCCTGGTGAGAGCACCGCATCGCGTCTGGTCAAGATCGCTGGCGAATTGGGCCTTCGTGGTTCCTTCGCTGGTCTGCCTACAAGATTGGTCATGGTCGGTGGTCTGACTGCCGGTCAATTCGCCATCTACGGTGACATCAAGAAGGCTCTTGGTAAGTTTTTGATCGTGCATCCTACTTGCTTTTGTATTTCCAGAGCTGACTTTGTGTGTCTGAAACAGGTGCTACCAACGGTGTCGAGATTGCAAAGTAGAGTAGTGGTTCTACCACTAAGGAGGAGCCCTTACTCTATTCCTGAGAGAAGGCTCAAGTAATGACATGCATAGAGATCGAATTAAGTGCGCTTGCAGAAATACAATTCAGTTCAAACGTTTTGCCTCTACGGAGTCTTCGAGCTCCAGGTCAACATGCGCAATGCCTTGAATTCTACCTACCAAAGAGTAACATTGATTAGCGTTGCTATGGTCGAACCTCTGAGCTCCTCGGCTCGATTTTGAGATGATTTGGTGGACAATCTTGTCTTCAAGTTTAAACCAATGTTCCTGCTGTGCTTGTTGTAAGACTACTCCATTATTCCAGTGGTACAAGAACATATGTTTATACAAGATTGAAGCAACAAAAGGACAGAATGAACATACTGTAGAAAAGTGCAGATCGAATGACTTATAGGGCTTGCATGATTAATGATCTTTCTCACTAGAGCTAGGCTAGACCAATACTATGTCAATGTCCTATTACGATTTTTGGCCCCATGAATGTTCGTTTAGTAGCGAGGAGGCGGGGAGGGGCTCCATAGCCTTGTTGCTGGCCGTAGCCGCCTTGTTGAGGAGGGTAGCCACCCTGCTGCTGAGGAGGAGCTCCGTATCCGCCTTGCTGCTGCTGAGGAGGATAACCTTGCTGTTGACCGTAACCGCCTTGCTGCTGGCCATAGCCACCCTGCTGAGGAGGGTAGCCGCCCTGTTGCTGAGGAGGAGCACCATAGCCGCCTTGCTGAGGAGGAGCGCCGTATCCGGGAGGTCCACCCTGGGGGCGGTTTGACTTTTCGTCCTTGGTGTCGTACGAGGGATCAATTGCACCAAGGATCAGCTTGAGAATCNNTGTAGCGGAGAAGTCAGTCACAGCCCTCATCTTCCTCAAGTTGGTCATGCTTACCCAAAGATCGGGAGTGAGATCGACAGGGGGGTTAGCGCGTGCCATCTCGGCAGATTCGTTCTCGAAGTCTNNAAACATCATTAGCAAATACTCACGGGTGAATACAAATGAACACATACTGGAAGTACAGTCGACCAACTGTCCAACGGTAGGGTCGTCATCGAGCTTGCCAAGGAACTCACGAGCCTTCTCGTCATTTCCAACCTGGGCGAATTGGAAGGCAAGAGCTCCACGACCGTACTGCGAGTTGCTGGCTTCTTGGACGGCATAACGGACAGTATCAAAAACGGCAGTAGTAGGCTCTCCTGCAGGCTGACCGTCCGTGATGGTGATAACCAAAATGGGCTTGCGCATCTGTCTGCTGCGGATGGCGGGAACTGCAATACCATCGATAACCTTCTTGCGGAGCTCAGTTCCCATAGGAGTAAGACCGCTGAATTTGTGGCCGGCAACGAGCTGAGAGATCTGTTGCTCAGTCTTAATGTGCTCGACCATGTGCTGGGGAGGGTTATCGTTCATGAAGCGGACAGAAATGCCGTCGTCGTCGAAGAGAGTAGCAGCGGTTGCGACACGCTCGAGAATAAGCTGGAGATCCTTGATGCGCTCGCCGTTCTCCTCAAACTTCATTGAACCACTGTCGTCAATGTAGATGACAACATCGTACAAGGCCAACTTGACAATGTCGTTACCGATCTCTTTGTTGATGCGCCACTGCTGGCACAGGCGGTCGACTTGCATCGATGCCTTGTTGGCAATCTGGTCGAGCATGGGCGAGCCAGGAGGATAGAAAGCCTGGAGACCCTTCTCTTGAACTGTTTGCTGGAGCGACTGCTTGTATGCCTGAATCTCAGCAGGGCCGGCGGGCTGCGAAGGAGCGGCACCATAACCGCCCTGAGGACCTCCGGGCTGCTGTCCAGGGTAGCCACCTTGCTGAGGCTGAGGAGGGTAACCGCCCTGTTGCTGAGGAGGTGCACCATAATTGCCTTGCTGTTGGGAAGGTGCGCCGTAACTACCTTGTTGCTGCTGAGGAGGCTGGCCCTAAGAAAGTTCATGTCAGTGAGGCATTCTTCAAAATGTACGAGATTCAAAGAAAACACGATGTCGCAAAGATGTCACGAACATATCCGGGAGGCCCGCCACCATATTGCTGTTGCTGTGATCCGTATGGTGGTTGATTCTGTCCATACTGGGATTGAGATTGACCATAGGAGGTTGCGTAGCCGAGCCGTAAGGAGGCTGGCTTTGTCCATAGGGTGCAGATTGACTCTGACCAAAAGGCGCAGGAGATTGTGGAGGGTATCCTTGACTCTGACCGTATTGGCTTTGACCATACTGCGGCTGCTGTCCTGGAGGAGGTGGAGGAGGAGGTCTGTTGTAGCCTTGAGAGGGAGGCTGGCCGTATGGTTGCTGAGATGATTGAGAATATTGCTGAGGCGGGTAGGGAGGCGGCTGAGGTTGACCATAGGGAGCAGGGNNGGAAGAATAACCACCAGTGTTCTGGTGTCCTTGGGTGGGAGGTTGCGACTGGAAGGGCGAGTTGGCAAAAGGTTGTTGCGGTGGAGGCGGGGGAGCGCCGTAGCCCGAGCCCAAGGCGCCAGGATATGCTTGGTAGCCCGACATTGTTCCAGAGAGGATGGCGGACGTGACAAAGATGCGACAGGATGTTCAAGGAAGGCAAGGAAACAGACGACGACTCACTTGAGGTTGATAGGCTTGGTACTGTGCTTGGCCGGGCTATTTTGCACGTCAACGTCAGCCGACTGATTCGTCGTCATCAAAGCTTGGTGGGGCAGCTCGTGTCCAACTCACATAGCCACCTGGCTTCGGTGCTCCCTGTTGTTGCTGCTGCTGGTACGAAGCTGGAGGAGGTGCGCCGCCGTATGCTCCGCCAGGGGGAGCGCCGCCCTGAGCTGCTGCGAGCTTGCTTGCCAAACTATACACACAAGTTAGCTCTATCTTCATGCTTTCCATGACGTGCCAGGTGTCCGCGGGGTACGCGTCTTGTTCAGGGCACTGCCAGGCCTTGTACTGACCCCATGTTAATTTGCGGTATAGAGAAGTTGTAGTGTTTTGTAGAGAGTAGAGGATGTAGGAATCAGAAGATGAAACCAGTAGTGAGCCAAGAGAAGGAGGAGAGTGACGAAGGTGCTGTGCTTGATTTAATGTCAGGTAACTGCCAAGCCTCATGTGGCAGTGATTGCCTCAGCCACAATCAGGTAGCCCTGAGCTGTTCTTCAAGGCACTCGTAACCAATGATTCGCGCCTGCCTGTCTTCAAACTCCACGGCGCTTACTCGCAACTTTGGGAAGGATCTATCGTCGTCTCATTGCGCCTCCTTGTCTCGGCATTCCTTTGGAAAGCATTCAACGCATATCATCTTTGAGTTAGCCCCCGGAGCTCATCTTGATGGCTGTCGCGTCGATTGGATGAAGACGTCTTGTTCCTCGGGCAGCTTCAATATCTCCAGTGTCCCATATAGTAGCTTATAGGCTTATAGCTGCTGTCGGACTGTGACCAAAATGAAACGGACTCCGTTGCGGAACTCATCACCGCGATACCCGAAGGTGCTTCGGCTCCAAATCTACCCCGCGTTATTATTGGAGGGCATTCCGAGTATATACTTGTCCAATCGCATCATTTCTACCAGTACAGTACTGTTGTTGTGTCTTGACCCGACTTCTTTCATCAATTGGCCAATCGTGAATCAAACTATGCCTCACGCAAACGGTGACAACGACTTCAATGGCCAGGGCCTTGGATCAGAGCTCTGGAGGCACCCGGACCCAGAGACGACTCAGATGTGGAAATTCTTACAGACAGTAAACAAAGAGAAAGGGCTGCAATTGAAGAACTACAACGATCTCTACGACTGGAGTATAGAGCAAACAGCAGAATTCTGGGACGCCGTCTGGCAATTCACCGGCATCAAGGCTTCAGCCCCTTACGACGAAGTATGTGGACCACTGAGAAAACACCATCAACAGGAGTTTCCATTGACACAAAGCAGGNTGCTACAAAAAGATGCTCCAATGTTTCCTAGACCATCCTTCTTTCGCGGAGCCAAGCTGAACTTCGCTGAAAATCTACTCTTCCCACCTCAAGCACCTAACTCCAACAGTCCAGCCATCATTGCTGCCACAGAGACTGATAGGGAGACAGTGACATGGGCTGAACTGCGCGAGAGAGTTCGCTTGTGCCAATCTGGCATGCTTGCCACCGGTATCAAGCCGGGAGACAGGGTTGCAGGCTATGTTGCCAACCACACTAATGCACTGGTTGCCATGTTAGCTGCGACATCGCTCGGAGCTATCTGGACAGCAATCAGTCCCGATACCGGAGTGACTGCAGTTCTGGATCGTCTTACTCAAATCGAACCCGTTATTCTATTCGCAGATAACGCCAGCTTGTACAATGGCAAGACCCATCCTACTATTTCCAAAGTGCAAGAAATTGGCTCTTCATTGCCCAGTCTGCGGGCGCTTGTCATCTTCNCCACGGTTTCATCAGTATCAGTACAGATCGATGTAACCTCCTTAGCAGGAATCGTGGTTTCGTACGACAGTTTTGTCAGGAAGGACACTGCACCACAAGAGATCATCTTCACTCAGCTGCCGCCCGATCACCCGATATACATTCTCTACAGCTCTGGCACAACAGGGGCACCAAAATGTATTGTCCATGGAGCAATCGGAACTTTGATCCAGCACAAANAGGAACATATCCTCCACTGTGACATCCTACCAGGGGACAGGCTGTTCTACTTCACAACATGTACATGGATGATGTGGCATTGGCTAGTCTCAGGTCTTGCGAGTGGTGCAACATTGGTACTGTATGATGGATCTCCTTTCAGACATGCCTCGGATGGCAAGTCTGTTGCGGATGACCTGGCCATGGCGAAATTGATCGACGAGCTGAACATCACTCACTTCGGCACCTCAGCAAAGTATCTTTCAGTGTTGGAGCAGAAGTCCGTTATGCCGAAAGAGCAGGGTGTGTCGTTGAAGACACTCAAAGCGATCTACAGCACTGGCTCCCCTCTTGCACCTTCGACCTTCCAATACGTCTATCAAGCATTTGGCTCCGTAAATTTAGGAAGTATTACAGGCGGCACAGGTAATCATCACCCATATTCAATCCTACAATCCGACGCTGATCAACCCATCTAGACATCATCTCCCCTATTCGGAGCTCCTTGTCCCTTGACTCCCGTCTACACAGGCGAGATCCAAGTCCTCGGTCTGGGCATGGCCGTCCGCGCCTGGGACTACCTCGGCGCAGATGTAACACCCACAGGCTCCGCCGGCGACCTGGTCTGCACAAAGCCTTTCCCCTGCCAACCCGTCCAATTTTGGGGTCCCACCGGCGAGTCCAAATACCAAAGCTCCTACTTTGAAACTTTCCCTGGCGTATGGCATCATGGCGATTTCATCCGCTTCAACCCAAAGACTGGAGGACTTTATATGCTTGGGCGCAGTGATGGTATTCTCAAGCCCTCGGGTGTGAGATTTGGAAGTGCGGAGATTTATAATATTCTGCTTAAGCATTTCCCTGAGAAGGTCGAGGATGCATTGTGCATTGGTCGCCGCCGCGAAACTGATGATGACGAGACAGTTGTCTTGTTCCTCAAGATGAAGGAGGGAGAAGCTTTTGATACTGAGTTGGTCAAGAGCATTCAGAAAGTCATCAGGATGGAACTCAGTGCTCGTCACGTCCCTGGTATCGTGGATGAGACACCTGAGATTCCGGTTACGACGAACGGCAAGAAGATCGAGGCTGCCGTCAAGCAGATCTTGTGTGGTATGAATGTCAAGACATCGGCATCGGTGGCTAATGCTGGTTGTCTTGATTGGTACAGAGATTGGGCAAGCACACATTAGAGAATGATTCAGAAGCTTATAGTGGGTATGATAGACAATATGTAGTTTCTACATTATTTGGATGTTCTAATTATCCTAGAGTCTTCCATCGAAACATCGGGTACAGAGACTTGTGCGCATTCAAGACAGATGAGCAGAGAGCATGCAAGATATTACAGCATCAGACTCTTACACTCCATGTTGCTTGAAGAAGTCCGTGAAAGTGAACATGGAAGCCTTGGGTGTCCTCTCAAAGGTGGTGTAGTTGACGTATTGCAAACCGAATCTCGTGCTCAATCCACTGCTCCACTCGAAGTTGTCAAAGATACCCCATGCAATAGCGCCGGTAACATTGACGTTGTCCTCAACCTTGGCAGCCAACAGGTTGTTCAGATAACCAGCAAAGTAGTCGACTCTCAGCTGATCGTAGGTCGCATCTTGCAAAGTGGTGAAGTTGTTCTCACCGGGCTCTGCAAAACCAAACTCGGAAAGGACAATGTCTTTGCCCTTGGGTCCTGTGTATGTCTTTTGCAGGTAGTTGAGGAAGGTGCGAAGACCAGTGGGATCGGACTTGAGCCAGGAGGCGCCGAGGTCAGCAGCAAATCCAACATCCCAGCCGGAAGCGGTGACTTGGGATTGCTTGACGCAGGTCGGGTAATTAGGGTCGCTAGAGTTGGAAGCACAAGCAGCAGTTCCTTCCGGCAAGGCAGCGATCACATCGGTGGTGTAGCCATCAATAGCGAAGAAGTCACAGGAGCCAAGAATCATTGCGCTCTGAGCAGCAGTGAAGTTAGGCAGCAAGTCACCTAGAGTGTCTCTCAACGAAGCTGGGTAATCTCCAGTCTGCCAAACGGGAGAGTTGAACCAGCCCAATTGGAAGTCATTGCCGCGAGCAACAGCAGCAGCATCAGCGGCAGACGTAGTGTTGGCGATGTAGTTGTTTGCCGAGTTCTTGAAAGTGACACGGCCAGTGCCTTTGAACTCATTTCTGTACCAGTCCACGACTGCAGCGTGGGTCAACAGCACATTGTGACCACAGTAGTACTGTGCACGCAGACCAGTGACACCATATTGTGGCCAATAGCCCGAGGGGNNGAAACCAGGATACTCATCGCCACAGAAAACTTGGGGCTCGTTCATTGTGATCCAGATAGGGACATACTTGTCATAGCGACTCATGATGAGTTGTGCATATGCCAAAAAGTCTGCCTGAATTTCCTCCGATACCCAACCATTGTAGTCGTTCATGAGAGCAAGGGGAGTGTCCCAATGGAACAGAGTAATGATTGGCTTGATACCAGCCTCAACAAGCCTCTGGATGACATCGTCGTAGTGAGCAAGTCCTTGTTCGTTGACATGACCTCGACCGAAGGGGNNGAAGATTCTGCTCCAAGAAATGGAGAACGAGTAGTATGGGATGTTGAAAGCCTTCAGACGTAAGATGTCTTGAGGATACAGGTAGTAGTCCAAATCCGTAATGTCGCCGGTTTCGTGATCCGCAACATAACCAGGGACGCGATGAGACAGAAGATCCCAGATCGAAGGACCACGCCCTTCAGCCATTGCGGCACCCTCAACTTGGTAGGCAGCGCTAGCAACTCCCCACACAAAGTCAGAGGGAAGCTTGTAAGAGCTCAGATTGCCTGTTGTGACTTGAGATGAGAAGCCATATGGAGGAGGTACTGGAGTTGCCTCGGGCGTTGGTGAAACGGTGTAGTTTATGGAAGCTGTGCTCACAGGACCAACCTGAGATTTTGATTAATAAGAGGAGTAGAAAAAGGGAAAAGGAGAACCGACCTGATCCCAGAGCATCGACCAAGCTTGCTCGGAGTAGTCAGTTGGAAGAGACTGACCGCTAGAGGTCAGACTGGCCGTCTGTGAGGGATAACTAGTGTATGTATAGTTTGAAAGTGATGAGAGGCCCAGAGTAATTGCCTCAGAACCGATGCTTGGAGCACGAGAGGTCGTGTTGACAGACGAGCCTGGAGCGGCAGCTGCCAGCCCAAAGAAAAGTGCTAGTTCCAACATGGCGTTCGTCCTCAATCGATAGCCAGAGAGGGAGTCTGCAACGAGACAAAGACTTGACAGTGGTATATATACCCAGATCTCGGTTAAAAGCCATCCTGAAAGCTCAGCATTGACATCCATATTGAAGTCAATGCCATGTTATGGCGAGGTTCATGGCACCATCCTGTGGACTAATGTCGATCTAAGAACATGCCGTGACGGATGTGGAAGGCGCTCCGACCTAGGATGGCATCAAAATCGGCTTCTCGAGCCGCAATTCCGTGAGTGTCTCCAGCCACCCCGTGTGCTGCTTCCCTTCTGGCGGACTCATGAATGATTTTGAACTAGTCGTCTGTCTACACGATAGCATCGAAAGATGAAATTGCGTAGTATTTTCTTTCAGAAAGCAATTGTAGCCAGAGTATGGCATTGCCTGCCTACATTGGTGTTAAATGCTGTGGCAGGAGAGTTATGGAGACGATCTCCCCAGTGTCCTGGGGTAAACGGCTACAACGGAAGGGTGAATGCAAGCTTGTTAACCGACACGCACTTTTGCAAGCACGACCAGCTCAAACATGTCAGCAAGACTCGTGATCCCTGTACGATGTCGGCTCGAAGTGCGGAGAGGCTGGTGCGGAGAAGACTAGTCATTGAGCGATACCGTAGACTCCAAATCACGGATATGTAATTAGAATCAATGGACTTCATCGGAGGTCTTGAGTTGGTGGTTGATGCCGAGACTTGTCAAAACCAATCCAAGCTTTTGAAAAAGCTTCGCCTAAACTGCTACAAAAAACAACTTTGATCGCAGGGTCTTCCAATAGCATCTACAAAATGTTACAATGATACAGAAAGAAGATCAAACCAAAGAGACGACTCATCAGAGTCAGATAGTGGCATGTCGTGGTACATGTGTGCCTCGGGCAGTACATCATCCCTTTCGGATCATCCCAGTAGAAGTATGTACTGAACTCGACTCCTGCGGCTTCCAGTTCGGCTAGGCGTCTGGTGCGCGGATCGAGTTCTGCTGTATCGTTTGTAGCATTGTTGTTTGCTTGCTCGAGTGTCGTAGCAGTGTTGTTGTCATTGTCCTCCTGACCCATCACTGCCAAAACTTCGATCTGTGGTGATGGATTCTCGCGACCACTGCGCAGCACGTGGTTATACGGACGCACGTAACTATTGTATGATGAAGCGACTACACCGTGTGCAAGGGAGGTATGTATGATCAGAGTAACAATCTAAACGAGCAGTACAGAAGAGTGTGTGTCGTGCTTGTGACGGCCTTTTGGAGGATTCGTCGCTGAGATCACAACACCAAGCAATTCTGGGCACTTGGATTCTTAGCAGCATTAATCAATCACAAACACGTCGAGACAGCCACTTGGAATATCACGATATTAGAACAAAAAGAGACTGGATTGACAAAACATACAGCAGCAGGGATTCCCACGTGGTCACCCACCGTAGTACTAATCTGCCGTTCAACTGCTTATGTGTGGCAGAGCGGACGGGATGCCCAGTTTTCAGCTGACTGTGGCCGTATGTGCTTGAGGAAGGAGTTTGTTGCAATATAAACCTGATACAAAGCTTGTTTCGAACCAAGATATGGCTCATGACATGGTAGTCTGCTGCTATCCAAATGACCGTAACCTTAGCCGCAATTAGCTCAGGGTCTGCAGCTCGCCTAGCGACTTTAAGCCGCGTTGAATACATAAAAGGTGGACACGCGAAGGAATGATTTTTAAATATATTACGTTAGCTTTTCGTGGTTCAATATGCACTACGTCTGGCTCGAATCCTCGGTTGGAAATCATGATCGACCATAATATAGTCGAAGCTCGCCCACGCTGGTTTTCTCGAACCAACTCCGCAGCACTTACTAGGAACCTGGCTTCATGTTGATTCAGAAACGCATTTGCTGATCTGTGAAAAGAGAGAAAAAGGGACGAACTGCAAGCAATCGACTATGACTTCTCCAAATGATGGCCAAGATTTGTCTCGACTCGATAAATGTAAACATCCGGCAATCCCATCTCGCGACCTTGACGCCGCAGTCGAACGATACAGAAAAACGGCTCAAGCAGTAAATGTGCGTGAGCTGGTCGCATTTCTGGCCGAGTTTCGGGAGCGATTCGAGCCGTGCTCTGAGGACGACCGTCTGGAAGGCTACAGCACAGAGGGAGAGTTCGCTGCAGAGGCGTATCGAGAACTTTTTCAAGACGATATTCCAATCCCAGCATCGTCTGATGGCGAATTGTCGTTCGCCGAGGTTGCTAAGACGGTTTACAATCGAGACTCGCATTCTTTTGTGGACGATTTTCCGGACCCCATCACGCCGCCAGTAAGCAAAGAGCTGATTGCTCGGGAGGTGCAACTGGTAAAGAATGGAGTGCGCGCACAATGTGGAGATGCAACGCTCGAGCTTCCAGTCGATTGGCTGATGTTGCTGCTATCGACGAACGGCATAATGTCCGCGGGTCTGCCATTCAGGACAGGGTATATTAATCATGTCTACCCTGTCTGGACGCGTGTGGACGAGAACGATTGCATTCAGCTCGACGGGCATAAGGTTGAGATGTGCGCAATTCCAAGTCAGCTCCAAGATGCCAGACGCTGGAGTAGATATGAATGTTTGGAGGTCAAGGCAGCATTCAAGATTGGAGGTGGAAGTCAGGTGAACGAGGTGCAAAACGCCACATACCGCGACACTTGGTATGCCTACTGCAGACAGACAAGACCTTCGCCGACCTCGAAAATGACGGATCAGATGCTACAACCGGGCCCCTCGTTTGGCGCATCATCGACCGTACGGATCAATATTCAGAAAGCTTCGTAGACTTGAAGGATTACGTTGATTATTGGGCTGAGTACATTGAGAGCACACCGGGGGGAGAAAATTGGTTCGCAGCTTGACGGACAATGGCATATCGATATATCTTATCGAGAAACGGACCTAAGCTACAATGACAGGAAATTGATACAAATGCAGGATTTGTACGTGAGCAACCCATCTAAGGACTCAGCAAGAATAACCCGTAAGCAGCAACTGCTTCGCTAGTGGGACACGAATGTTTGACCGTATCCTCCGGTGCCAGGTGTGACAGAGAGTGAAGGCCTAGGAACAAGATGATCAAGATCAGCTTATGACGTTTTGGTGAAGACCAGAAGACCCAAGATCGCTGGCATCGTTGCTGCAGTAGTGCCTGGAGCGTAAGTGTTGTCCAGAACCCGAGAAGAATTAGACGGCCCATCAGAGAGCCAGTGCTAGCTTCAGCAGAGATGAGTCGACGTTGATGAGCTAGGACCGAAGGCGTGTCCTGGAGGTCCCCATAGTAGGAGCGAAACTTGTACAAGTCGTGCATTGCGAGCAGTATGCCAAATCCACGACCAATATGTGCGACCAAGACTCGTAATAGCTTGGAAGTCTGCAAAAGCTCTCAAGGAGAGTATCCCAATCATCTACCGTTCTTTGCGACGGGTAGCCTAGTATTACATGATCCGTGAGTGCTCGGCCACGATGAAGATGAGAAACCCACTTACCATCAACCACATGGAACGTAGATGCAGATTTGGTCCCCCACCTCGTGCAACTGGATTCAATGTCAAGGTCCAGAACGTGGACCATCGTGTCATTAACCCGAAGCCCATCATAGTCAGGAAAGCTCCGATAACTCGTCGACAGAAAGCAGCGGTGCGCTCGACTGAAAAAGCGAATACCTCGCGCTTCAGGAAAGGGCTGCCATACAGCTTCTTCACTGTATTTATCAGAGACACTGTAGAGTAAAATTAAGTAGCTGTCAGACCTGGATGTGTTCAAGAGTCCTTACCTAACACCTAGTCTGACGAATGGTTCAGTTGTATTTTGAGCACCCGCTTCCATGTCGAGGACACTCATCCTATCGGGCTCAACTCGAATAAACTCTTTCGTTTCTACATTGCGGATAACAATGGGGCCGCCAGTTTCCAGGGGACGAGACTCTAAGCCATCATTGAGGCTGGTATCAGCACTTCTTTGGAAGAGCCACGGTGCTATGATCCGAGGAACCGGGCGTTAGCAACTTCCAGATACCTGAGAAGGGATAAAGCATACAGGCGATATTGATTCCGTCTCTGAAGATCAGGCGGTGACCTGGCACATGAAAAGGAGCTGTATCGTTTTCTTGTAAAGGTTCAAAGTCTTGCTCTGGAACGAAGACACCGGAACCATCGTCCCAGACCTGCTCATCAGTCCATAGAAAACCCACTTGATGGACATAAAGAGAGTACGGAACCATGGTTTTCAGTTGACTGGGAGGTCCCCATGTCGGAGCTTGGGGCGAATTTCGCAGCTGTCTGCGAAAGTTCGGACTCAAGAAACGGAGATTGTAGTTTCCCCCATACGACAGCTCAGACGAGGGCATAATGACAGAGATGATGGTACAGAGTATAATAAGATGTAAAGACAACATCCCTGTCAGAATAAGATCAAAGTTAATCCAGAGGTAGAGGGCAAGAAGTGATCACGTATTCAAATGCTTACCTACGACGCTGTAAACTAATTTCAATGTTTCTCTCATCTGACCGTTCTGTGTTAGTCAAAGCCAGGACTCCGGACACACTCTGTTCACCGACCAAAGATCTGCTCGGATCTGCAGCTCTTTTGAGAAGACCATTACTGCGGCTGAGAGACACATAAAGTGGACCAGGATGCTGTCGACATACTGCATTGTCAACAGAGATGGCAGCAACAACGATGACTGTAGTATCGCTACAACTTTATACCCATGCTTTTGGTCAATGAGACTGGGAGCGATGAGAGCCACCAAAGATAAAATCAAGTCGCCAAGGGTTCCTGACGTTGCGAGTGTCGAATATCTTGGGGCATGATCTCGTGTATATGCCGAGAAGGGGAACGAAAGGGGCGGTAATGTTTCGATGAAAAGTTGTTTCCTCAAATAAAAGTCTGTGAGAGTGTGATGAATCCGTTCCAGCTCTGGGAGCTGGGCATCATGATAATGCAGCCCCAAGACCATCAGCAAAATCAAGCCACGCACGAAAAACATGTGCGTGTGCATAAGTGATCTCATCGTGGCTGTGTGAACAAAGTGTTCGGGGTTTGTGTAGGTGTAGAAAGATTGAGTTCCAACATGTAAGGGCGTTCCATGGTGTATGAAAGTATATAGGATAAGATACCTCGGCCCATATTACTTTCTTGCGAACAATATAGTATGAGATATGTTAGTCAAGCACAGGCACCCGCTCCATGAAAAAAACTTCCGGGGCCTGGAGTAGTAGCAGAGTACGGGCACAGACTAGATCGTTCAACGCCGCAAGTTTCAAGACTCTGTTTCCTAGCTGTGTAAGGCGTCCCTATGTCAGTGCCAGAGGTAGATCAAGCGGATTTCTCTTCTAGACCCCCTCTTCAAACTCCAAATACTCATGGATATATGTATCCAATTATCCATGGATGTTGAATAGTATGAATTACCCAAAGTTCAGACAGGGTTGCATTTGATGAGATTGGGATTTTTGTAGGATTCGGAGATTTCTTGGCAGTAGTCATTGCCCGATTAGGCTAGTTTTACTAATCTTGGCATATTCATGGATGACCAAACGCGACCCTCCTCCCATAGATACCTTCCATTGTCTACGGAGTTGAGCGCTCCTTTCAATTCATATGATGTTGTGGATACTCCATCCATATCAACTTGCAACTGGACTTCCATTCAGTTTCACCAATATCTTCCACCCGGCTCGAAGGATCTAGTTACATTTACGACGTGTCGGTTACGATCAAAATTGATTAAAAGAAAAAGCAGGGAATAACTAAGCGTTCATTCAAGCATCTGGATTGCCGCTTCTAGTATCTATCAAAGCTTCGTCTGAAGATGTTGGCGACCATCTAGTCCCCCAACGACAGGTCGTCTGAGCTTAGGCAGTGTCGATCGACCCGCATTTGCACTTTGGGCTATGCTGAGCTACAGATATTTCGACTCAGCCGCTCTTTTAGCACCGTGATTTGCTCCAATTGGACCACTCGAGAATACGTAATGTTTATGGATCTAGCGAATACGAATAGTGCAGGATGGTGTGCGCTGATACTACTGGGACTTCTGGACGCGTGAAGGACGGCTTTGAGATGACTCTGAAGGATGCACTTGAAACGGAACTATCAGAAGGCCTCTCCATAGGTATCTTTCATCATTTGCCGATGTTGGACATGTTTGCACAGCACTCTATGGGCCATGTATATCATCCTTGCCCTTCTCTCTGGTCCCTGACCTGCTTTTCCCCATCCTCTACCGTTCGATCTTCCATCGAAGGGCACTGCGTCGAAGGATGAAGACTCACCTCTTCACTGGTGGCCTTATGGTCTTTTCTCTCCTTTCTTATGCCACAGCAGATGACCATCCTTGCGACAGCAACAATCCTTGTGTCGAAGGCTGTTGCTCTAGCACTGTCAATCTTTGCGGTTACGGACCCGACTACTGTGGCAAGAACTGCATCGCGGAAGCTAGTCACCAGGGCTCTTGTGCTCAAAAGTCAGAGTGTGATCCAGGATATTTTCCAGGCTATGGCACTGTATGGGGTACTTTCATGCTCCTTTTACACTTACGATACGTCCGTTGGCAAGCTGACCAACATACAGGAACGACATATGCCAACCAGACGATATGTCCATTGAATGTCTGCTGCAGCGAGTATGGCTTCTGTAGGTATCCAACCACCACTGTCAAAATCTTGGCCCGCTAACAAAGCGTTAGGCGGAACTACAAGCGACTTTTGTGGTACAACTAGTGTCACTGAACCATCCTGCGGCGGTACCTCTTCAGCCAAACGTACTGTTGGATATTACGAAGGTTTTAGCCAGAATCGGGCTTGCGATGGTAAGACGATCCATCCCGTATTTCAACGAGATAACCGTGCTCACTCCTGATACAGTCATGTACCCTGAACAGGCAAGTCCTCCACACTGAAGCCTATCGAGGAGTATATTGACGATTCCAGATCCCTATAGGTGGCTACACCCACATTAACTTTGCTTTCATCTACATTGATCCCAACACCTACAAACTTACGCCGATGGCAGAAAACCAAGTGGATCTCTATAGTCGGACAACTGCTCTGAAACAGCAAGATTCCAACCTCCAAGTGTGGTTCTCCATTGGTGGTTGGGACTTCAATGACCCAGGCGCCACTGCCACTACTTTTTCCAAGCTTGCAGCATCCACAGCTGCTCAAGCCGCGTTCTTTGAATCTGTCAATGAGTATATGACAACTTACGGCTTTGATGGTATTGACATCGACTGGTATGTCTTTAACTTCCCTATATTCAAAGGTCTTGTTTTGTCTGATGATCTTGTAGGGAATACCCTGTCACAAGTGACCGGAACGGTAGTCCAGAGGACTATGAAAACTATGTCACATTACTTCAAAATCTTCGACGATACCTGAGCTCCAAGGGATCATATGGACTTTCCATTACCATCCCTAGCTCGTACTGGTATATGAAGAACTTTGACATCGCCAACATATCCAAGACGATTGACTGGGTATGCCTACCAATTTCATTGGACATTGCTTGTTCCATTCTAATAAAGAGCTGTTTAGTTCAATATCATGACCTATGATCTTCATGGTACATGGGATTCTGATGCAGACCACGTGGGTAAGGTTGTGTACGCGCACACCAATTTGACTGAGATCAAGCAATCAATGGACTTGCTATGGAGGAACGACATTGATCCCTCAATGGTGAACTTGGGCCTTGGGTTTTACGGACGAAGTAAGTCTACAGCAGTCAAGTATTCTTCAGAAGTAGAGAAACTTATACTCATAGGCTTTACCTTATCGGACTCGTCCTGTAAAGAGCCTGGCTGTCCATTTTCTGGTGGTGGTAAGTCTGGCCTACTTTTTCTGCTGTATGATCTTGTCAGCTTATCGGATTGACGCATACAGGCACCGCTGGACCATGCACAGGGACATCTGGCGTGCTCTCCTACACGGAAATCGAAGACGTACTCAATGACGCGACACTTGGAGCGGTCATGACCTTGGACCCAGTAGCAGCCGTCCAAATCGTCACCTGGAGCGGAGACCAATGGGTAAGCTTTGATAACGAAGGGACCTTTGCCAAGAAGCGCGAATTTGCCAATTCGCAATGTCTCGGAGGGTGAGTGGATTGTGGTGTATATCTTGTGTGAGACTTCATTTGACTTGAATTTACAGCACCATGGTTTGGGCAGTCAGTCAAGATGTTGACGGTGCAGCGATAGGTAAGATAGAACTCGTGCCGACATCGTTGTGCTAATCAGTATGTTTGGTACTAACATGGGCTACCAGGTGCCCTGCAAAATGTTCCCACCACAGACCTCTACCCAGACGGCGATAACAATGGGACCGGGGACGTCTATATCGACGGTTCCCTATGGACTAGCGCGACTCAAGGTGTTTCTTGCTCTCCGCCTTGTACTCTTGTCCTTCCCCCATACCCTCTCGGATCTACCACCACGCTCACTTGGCCTGATTACACTACTGAAATTGCCTCGAGTTCCGATGGTACCGTCTATACAAAGACTACTACGATTGAGATCCCCGACTTCTCGATCACTGCAGTACCTTTCTGGGCTGTTACTGTAGCCCCAGCAGACACCCAATCAGCCACCTTTTCCCCTGAGCAGAGCATCACGCCTCCTGCCGTGACATTGACCCTTGCGGGGACCGAGAACACATGGCCTGTGCAAAGCACAAGCTATCCTGCCTCTGTCACTGCTCCGACCACTGCTACTGCCACCACTACCGCTGCTGTGACAACCCCTGCGGCTGTGCAAACGGGTATAGTTTCCGACTGCAACGATTTCTATTTTTCGACAGACAAAGACAACTGTGCCTCTATCGCAGAGGCATATGGCATTTCAGTGACCCAATTCATAGACTGGAACCCTGCAGTTGGATCTCAGTGCACGAACTTCTGGCTCGGAGAATACTACTGTAAGTCTAGATAGTTCTTAAACTGATCATCGGCATGATGTCAACTGACGGTTTGCATCACAGGCGTCGGGGTTTCCTCCGGTAAACCAGTCTCTACTCCAGCGGCTGTCCAAAGTGGCGTCGTGTCCGACTGCACCGAGTTTTACTTCTCAACAGACAAAGACGGGTGCCAAAGCGTTGCGGATGCACACGATATCAGCGTATCCCAGCTCGAACAATGGAACCCGGCTCTGGGCTCGGGCTGTACGAATTTCTGGATCAGCGAGTATTACTGTAAGTGCGCAGGATCAGTACAGTGATCACGCAACGTATCGCTGACTGTATCCGGGATTAGGCGTTGCTGTGGCCACGATGACAAGCGGCAGCAGCATGGGTCAAAGAACGAGGACCAAGATCCCTGTATTCTTCTCAACGTCGCATGTCATCACGATCAGACCACAAGCGACGCACGTAAGCATCAGCACACTGCCTCCGTCTCCGGTCACCTACCATCCAAGGGAGACCAGTAGCAGCTGCAAGATCGGCTGCGGTACGCACCACTGCGACCTGTTCGGTTGTGGTGGTGCATGCGGTCTTTGCTTGCGATGGTGGCTGTGGTCTAGGATTCTGCGGCGGTGGCTGTGGTCTCGGCGGCTGCGGTCCAGGTTGTGGAGCTGGTCAGTGAACATGATATGATTGCGATTTGTGAACAATGTGCTGAATCTTCCAGGTAAATGCACTCCCGGCACGGGCGGCTGTTCAGGTGACTGCGGCGGTGGCGGCGGCGGCGGCGACGACGATGGCAACGACGACGAGGGCGGCGAAACTTGTGATCCTGATCTGAGCTCCGAGTTCGGACTCTGCGAGTGAGTGACTGACATTTCCCCAAGCAAGAAACAGCGCTGAATCAAGGTGATGCAGCAACAACGATTTCCCTCTGTATAACCCGGGCACTGGCAAAATCGAATGTTCTCCTCAAGCCGAGGCCAAGCTCCTCATGTCGGCCTGTCAAGCCCAGGCGGGAGACGACACGACCAAAACGGACGATATGATCGACGCCGCGAAGCAATGTTGCCCGTCGCCCTCAAAGCGGAGTATCTTCGACCGTCTTTTCAGGCGTTCGAGTCCCGCGTGCCCAAACCCTTCTGCTAATCCGCCTCCCAACGACCCCAACGTCTGCACATCAACCTACACATGCAGAGGCAACGATTTTCCAAACATCTGTGCCAATGCTCGATCTGCAATCGAGGCGCGCGGTTATTCAAACAGAATGGTCCGCCAAAGAAGGGGTGCTCATAACACCAATTCTTTCTGGCAGAACAAGCCGGGTAGCAATTCGCCCGGAAGAAATGCCAATGCTCCGCGCACCGGATGGGCTTTGCAAGGTAGTATCCCAGATCGATCGAAACTTGTCACAAAACTGATACTGATACATGTCCCCAGGTTGCAATGTCGAGGAGTATCCTTTCGCTTCCGGCCGTGTCTCCGGCAGTAACAACGTCCTGAGGCTGGTTCCTGAGGCTGAGAATAGTGCCCACGCCGACGACTTTGGCGATTTCTACAATGCATGGGACTTGGCCGCTGGTGACAGTGCACTTCCGGATCCTGACAGAATGGAAAATGGTAGGACAAGAAATATCGGTGCTGGGTTCTGCATAGAATTCGATAATGATGTGTACGACCAAAGCACCACCTGGGGACTTTCTCTCACTGGCTCAGCAAACCCGAACATCTGTGGTGTTCCATACGGCAATGCTTTTCTTCTGGTTGGGGGACCTCCGAGTAATTCACTCGCGTGGGATCCATACTTCGCGGGCACAAACCTCAGGACGTACACTGCGACCTTTCCTGGTGACCGTACAAGAGTGTCCATCCTGCCACCGCAATACTGCAAAAATCCTTCGCCAGGTTTCAAGGCTCTTGTCAATGGCCAATGGTCCACACAAAATGGGGCTGGGCAGCAGATTGGCGTTGCGGCACCGCCGCCAGCCCTCGGAGGGTTTTTGTGAAGATGTGCCCACCAGTAACCTGGGCAGGCGATCTACGGAGCGTGCTAGGGGTCGTAAAAGGAAGACACCAGCAGAACATGATGACCTTGAAGTGCACGTGCTGAACCATGTTATGGCCCCGAAAAATGCTTGGGAAGCCATGGATGAAGAACGAGGTCGCATCGCTCTAGAACCTCTGCCCGATTCTGCTAGGGAGACAAATTCAAGTACAAAAAGGGTTCGCGGGGAGCTAACGCGAAGAGACACATCTTCTGGAAGTTACTTGGACGGCGCCATCTACAAATATCTCGGGGGCGCTTGTGCATCTAATGACGACTACGATCCTTGCTATTGGAACGATTGTCCGGGTTATTATGACGATGACAATGGCGACAGCAATACGCAGACTGCCACAGCTTCTGCAAACACAGGCCAAACTGTGTCTACGAAAGTTTCTCAGACCACTTCTGCAAAATCAGGCCAAGGAACTACAACTCCTCCGCCTACAACAAAGGCAAGTCCTCTACCAACTAGTTTCATTGATTGCACCCACCACAACCAAGATCCTGGTGAGGGTGTTACCAAAGCATATTGTGTATGCTCTGGATCAACCTTTGCGGAACAATTCGCGGATAATGTCACTCCCATAGAGAGCTGCGCCTACACCAAGATGCCCACAACAACATTGCAACTTACCACTGGCCTTGCTACATCCACCTACAAGGATACGTGCGAAGTCTGTACGCTAGACAACGCTAACGAGCAGCACTGTACGAGTTTGAGCAACTGTACACCGAAGACGACACAAGCTCCTCAACCAACCGAGCGTTGCATCACCGCCCACGTTATGCAAACGAACTGTGCAACCGATTGGGTCAACGATCTAATGGGTATAGAGGTATGGGACAACGGTGTGCGTACCTGTCACGGAACCACCAGCCACACACTCGCATCAGCAGAAACAACCTGGCCTGGAACATGCAATCCAGGATTCAATGCCAACGTCACCGGCCAAGGTCAGACGCTGAGATACACAGCAAGCGACGGATACACCATTCAACTTGAGGCTTACGACATGCATACCGTCCTACAAACATGCGGTTCGGTTGGTAAGGCAGAGATCAAAGGCAAGGAGTGGGAGTTCGTCTTTGACAACGGACACTGCCAGAACTGTGATGTGGCGAAACTGTGTGATTGGACTTTCTATTGCCCGCATTTCAAGGGAGAATGTCACTAATGGATTCGAGAAACATGTACTCTTCTCTTTACATATGGCATGTAGCTGAGCATTCACAGTACCCTAAGGACAAAAGAAACAAAAGTGTTGGGTAGATTAGCTAAGAAGGCAAAAACACAATGTAGCTTATCCATCACAGTGATCGAGATGTCGATGAGTTTCCACCCATAAGACTGTCAATCACTTATTTCATTGCGATACAGACGACGGCTTTCAGAAGCAGTGAAAATTGGGTCAACGTAAACACAGCCAAGCACGATCTTCATCAGAGACCAGAATTCATTGACACAGTTTTCGAAATTTGTGCGAGTGTCGTTGAATGCCTCTGGTCGACCACGGATTGGGGCAAACTTTGACCACAGCGAAACCGCCATGAAGATCCAGTGAATTTTCAAGTCGGCAGCGGAAAGGAAAAACAAAACAAGGGCAGACACAAATGAAGGGGGAATCTGACTCGAATCAAGACACATCAGATGATTGCCGCGGGTCTGGCTCTCAGGGCTCGCGACGAGAAGTTGTCGCCTCCTCTGACCAAGCAGATTTTGGTGTACCCGATGATGGATGACCGTAACTCAATCCCGGGCCCTGAGGTCGAGCATTTGTTCACCTGGTCGCACGACAACAATGAGATTGCGTGGAAGGCACTCATCGGCGATAGAGACGGAGAGATTGATTGCTACGGTGCGGCTGCTCGTGCATCCAACCTTCGTGGCCTCCCCAGCACGTACCTCGACGTTGGCTCGCTGGATGTTTTTATTCACGACAGCGTTGATTATGCTCAGAGGTTGATGAGGGAGAATGTCGAAGTCGAGCTGCACGTCTGGCCAAGGGTGCCACACGGATTCGAAGGATTGGCTCCGCAGACAAGATATGGAAAGATGGCTGTAAACAGTAGGGATGATGCTATCAGAAGCTTGTAATAGTGATTAGGAAAACAATCCGATCAAGCTTTGTGGACCTGATATGTGGTCTGAACAGCGATTCCATCTAAAGCACGATGTTGAACGATGCTGTGGGTGCTGTGGGTGCTGTGGGTGTTGGTTTATGGTGTTATGATGACGGTTGCGTTCTTGAGCTCCAATGCATCATCACCGTCGTTTCCGCTGCTTTGCTCTCTGTATTTTTATCTGGTTCGAGAAGCGTATGCTGAGCGAAGACGCGGAGAACAGCGATCAGTTAGAGGTCGGAAGGTGGGCAGACATGAGCAGATACAAGACACTATCACCTCGATATCGCTTCAAACAGTTAGCCGTCTGTTTACATGGCTTGTGATGCTCGTTCACGCCTAGGCTCCGTAAAGGGCAACTGATAGTAGTCGTGTCAGACGTGGTAGGTCCTTTGTTAGCTGTCAATGATTTCAAAGCTGCAAAAACCATGTGCCTCCTAGCCATACATCGACGAATGCAGAGATCTCAAATGTTTGCGATTGACCTCAATCCCAGGAATGGATAGCACGATGAATTGTGTTACCGTGACTCCAGAATAACCCGGGAAATGTTGAGTAGCAGTTGCAGGCCCAGCATCGGCATCATGCAAAATGATGAGTGGATCTGTGGCATTGACAGAAGCACGCAAGACAGCATCGTCGACCGATATGAANAAGTTGCGATCGATGCCGCGAGGCAGAGTTGCGTAATAATTCTTGATTTGGTTAAAGAATGTAGTGAGCCTAGTCTGGTCCAGTCCGCCGGAAAGTAGTGTTTTGTGCTCGAGGTAGATGAATCTGAAGCCTCTCTGCATGGCTTCTGGAACGAGATACCTTTGTAATTCCTGCTGGACCTTTGAGTCAAGTCGCTGCTTAAAACGATCCCAAGTGGCATTATCATCGTAGCTTGTCCTAAGGTATGCGAAGCCCCAGATGCCATCGTGAGGGAAAGTCTGAAGATCGGTTGGTTGAGATTTGAGTGCAAATCTTTGAATTGCTTCAGAAGCCCGTTTGACAGCACTATTGGGGTATGGAGCATTCCTGGCAGCCGCTTCTGTCCTGACCGACTGCTCGAGTGTACGTCGCGGTAGCGATGCTCGTTGCGCACGTCTTTCGGCGCGAGCCACTTCTGCACGGCGGTTCGCTTCCTCCCTGGCAGCAAGTGATGCTTTCTGCTCATCATGATTGGTGATGTTCTTACAAGCTTGGTCGATCATGGCTTGCACTTCGGTAGTGTGTCTTTCTTGTATCTCGATCATTGCGTTTGCTGTAGATAACAGCATGGGCTGCACGCCTTTTGAAAGAATTTCCAATTCGTCGTCCGTCAATATCGATACTCCGTTCAAGCATTTCCCGACCAAGTCCTCAAACGATTCACTACTTGTGCGTGCTTTGACGGCGGCATCTTCCTTCTGTGGTGAGAGTCTATATTGCAAGACGTTCTTCTCTTCCCGCGAGATCTGTTCTGGTGCATCCGCTGCTTTGCGGAAGATCGGCAGCATCTTCTCGAATGCTTCTTCCATTTTTAGGAGTGTTGTTTTGCTTTCCAAGGTTGACAAGGACTGAGGAAAGATTGTCGTTTGGCTTGAGCTTGGTCTAAGTGACAGGTCACGTGGCGCAGGTTTCGCTGCATCGTCTAACAAAAGCCCGTGTGTTCCTCTGATCAACACGCCCTGTAGCAAAAACGTTGCAGCACATGAGTGCCCTCTCACAATTACTGCACTAAGCAAAGAACATTGAGAGACAAAAACCAAAGTCGACACAGAGAAAAAGAGATGAATGCATACCATGAACTCCAGCTGTAAACGCAAGGGGGTATTCTGCGACGAAAAGCGCATGGAAACAGAAGAAACCAACCCATAACATCGTAGCAGTCGAAAATTGGGCGATCAACCAAATACGCCAGCTCTTCTCATGACACCTTCAAAGTCTTCTCTGCCAACAACAGGACCACCACCACTGGTAGCCTCTTTGATCATATCTCGTAACATCTTATCGGGAACGTCTTCTCTTAGCTCGCGTGCGACACGTCTCAGATGGGCCAGTGTGATGAAATCACCCTCTCCGCGAGTGAACAGAGTGAAGGCAGCATCGACCTCTTCGTTTTGTTGCTCAGGATCATTGTGTTTCGCGTGGAGTTTGAGTGCAGCAACAGCCACAAAATGTGCGTAAGTGACGAAACCACTCTCTTCTGGATCTACCGCCTCGAGGATTTCTGACAACTCAGCGGCGGAGGTGGGTGGTGTGTTTAATGCGATGAGGCAGCGTCGCACATCTTCGGTGCGAAGAACTCCTTCTTTCTCGTCTGTATAGTCTGGATTATCTGTCACGGCGAATAAGGCGAATGCTTCGAGGATCTCGTTTTCTTGGTCGGCGGTGATGTCGTTTTCTTTGGCCAATTTCGAGGCGCGTTTCTTTGGTGCTGTTGCCGCCGCCGTCGCTGCTTTACTGGCTGCTGCCTTTCCACGTTTGGGAGGCTGGATGGAATGTCAGATATTGCGCGTACATGCTCAGTTGTGAGACTCACCATGATCAGAATAGCCACTCTATGCGGCTTCGAACAAGAGGACGAAAGTGGTCGAGGCGGAGGACGCGATTAATTGGATGATGTCAATCAATGATTTTGCTTTGTTTGTCGAGCACATGGACTGTGCGTCTTGCAACAAAACTTCAGCTTACTGCTGAAACTTTCCCACTTCTCTCACAACAAACACTTTTTTTGTAGACGGATGGCAACTCCTCATCAAAGCAATGCTGCAAGACAAGTCATGTCGAACCGGCTGCTAGTGCAGATGTTGCCTCAGGTCAAGTAGACGTTTCTTTTTCTTTCTTCCCATCTCCAACACACCCAACAGCTTCTTCAATTGCTAGAGCTTACCGTCTTCAACAAACCAGGACGTAGTGAGTGTGGACACTGAAGCAAGAGAGATAGGCCCCGGTAATTCCCTTCAGATGACCCGGGGTACTTCGCCCATTCTTCATACGCAGTCGTGGCTTGCCCGCGGCTGGGTCGAGTGGAGGAGTGAACATATCCATCAAACACAAATTAGTTTTGTAAATCCAATACAATTTGTCCTACCAATATCCTTTCAACCCTGTCTTTGTGTCCTTGTTCGGTATTATTTACCCATGTTCAATTGTGCTGATGCGATCGCAATAGCTGCTCATTCTCACGGCAGTTGCAAACGTGTTGGTATATCGTACCTGCCTGCTGAAGCCTGTATGGATGGACCCAAACGAGAAAGCGCATTCGTCGCCGTGACGATCAATCCCAGCAAACGCAACGCAAATAGCAGCAACTCGCTTCACGGAAGATGCTAGCATCATCACTTTGCGGTCAGATTTCTTCCACATCTGTCACCCATTCTTCAAACACGCTGCTATTCAGTTCAACATGGATCAATACACTTTCGATTCAGAGATGTTAGACGACAGCGACGACATCAATCACATCATTGAAAGAGAAGCATGGCTGAGGTCGTTTGGCATGACTCCCTATACTGTTCCAGGCAACTACGACATGTCTATGGTCGAGACGAAGAGAGCTGAGATTGAAGAGGGGGACAACATTCACGGTACACTTTTCCGTTTCACACAATGATCTGGCGAATACTGATGTAAGACTNCAGTCGACAAGCTCCCTCCTTGTGAGAAGACTCCCGGCAAAGTGACCGCCAGCTTCAAGCAGCACCTCAACGCCCTCAAACAGTGAGTCTCCTTTGTCTTGTTCTGGACTCAATTGCTGTGCTGACNNCAGCCTATGAGGGACTGCCTGACTTCGCCTAACTGGAGAGGTGCTATCAACCAGGTCCGCCATGCTATCGAACAAAGCAGCATCGAGAAGATGGTCGTCCTTGCTACAGGCACCATCTTCAAATTTACCACCGAGTATACCTTTTGGCAATATGAGATGGCCTTCATCCTAGCAATCTTTGAACTCGGTAAGCTGCATCAGATACCGGACCCCATCAGGAACATTGGGTACTGATGACACATTTTGCAACAGNTACAGCAACAAGCCCAGAACAAAAGAACTCGTACGCCTACGCTCTACTTTCAGGACCCAGACTACTGCGCCGCAGACCATCTTCTGCTGAGTGAATTTGGAGGCCAGGTCGTCGAAGATCCAGAGGCATTCGTACGCCACATTGACGAACGCACTCTCGTGTTCGCANAAGTGCTTACCCTTGGTCGTCTACTTCGGAGCCCTTTGCATACATCACCTGCAGTCTGCATCTCGACAGTGAGTCTTCGTCTCCCAATACTGAGCCGCATAAGACAAGAACTAAACAATGTCGCTTTCGAACAGAGCCTTTGGGCAGCTACCGAAGGAGCACTCAATCTCCAAAGAACAACGCCCAGTAGCTTCGGACCCGACTTCGATATCCGCAGTGTCGCCAACAGATTCATAGTGAGAAGAAAAAGCGCTGAGCTGGATCAGTCGATGCATCACCTCCACACCAGTATTCCTGGCAGTGTACACGATCTCCTTAGCACTATGTCTGTGTTCTGGTTAGCGTCAGAAGAAGAGGGTGACGTGCGTCAGACAAAGCAGGTGGAACCACTCGGCAAGAAGGCCAAGCAGTGGCTGAAATCGTTGTGAGCAAGCTCGTCATGAATGCCAAACTATGATACATTGCTATGATACCAGCATAGATAGAATGCTCATACATTCATTTAGTCGAGTCGGTCAGTCCTGTCAAAAGACACCTCTTTCAGAATCGTGACGTTCATTAGCCGAAGGTAGCTCCAGAGGCTACGCGCTAAGCAGCACTATGGCTATCCTGCATGACAGAAGGGTGGGTCATTGTGCTACTCTTCTCAGACTGCTTGGTGTGGCTTCCCTCCTTCCAGGCAGCATCTGCATCNTGTGTTGTGTCAGCCATGTTCACACAGTGACCCGGTGCACGAGTGGACAAACCTTGATGAATAGGGGGCTCCTTGATGTACTCCNNCCTGACCTGGCGCTTGTGATGGTGGTCTTCTCCAAATCTTCTGTCTCTGTCTCCAACCTTCTGATCAAAATCGAATTGGTTGTAGTCGGTGTAGCTGGTCATCAGCTGAGGCTCGCCCAATGGAAGCTTGTGACCCCTGTCCGTCTGCCAAAGGTGGTAGATCTTGCCGTACAGAGTGACGACCTCTTCCATCTCCTTGTTCTCGGCAACTTCCCAGACAGCCTCAGGGACACCAGTAGGGCGAGGCATGAGAAGCATTCCAGACTTGACTTCGAAGACGTGCGAGTGCCAGAGTTTGCGTTCTTCGTGATCCAAGGTTTCGTAGAGGCGAGAACTTATCATGTATTCGATACCGATGAGACGAGCATTCGACTCGGGCGAGTCGTAGAGCAGGCATTGTCGCACCTCNTGCATGCATCAGCAAGGTGCCAAGAGGCCGGGTACTGAAGGCATACCATCGTTCAGGTGAGCACAGTAATGGTTGGTCTCGATGCAACGAGAAGGGTCATTGGCATATGCGTGGAAGGCATTCAGATGAGCGCAGACACGCTTGGGTGGGGCGAAGTTCTGTGTAGCGGCTGCTCCAGTTTCGAGGATCTTGTTCGTCATCGACTCTGGGTTACCCTTGGTCTCGTTGGTGGTTGGAGCGTTATCCATGGTAGATGATTGCGTTACTTCGGCGGTGTTGTTTACTCGGAATAGGCTTTGAGGAGAGAAAGAGAAGTGGCAGACAGAAATACTTATATCAATCGAGGAAAGAGCTATCCAAAACACAGCGCATTATGACGTCCGTCAACTTGCGAATCGCCGACTTTTTCAGCTAGAGAGTGCTGCTAGAGCCACAATCGCCGACATGTTGAGGGTAGGCCTTGAGTGATAATTAGACCATAGCTTACTAACAGACTCCGAGATCAAGACATGTTGCAACAATCTCATGACAAGATGCAGGAGAGTAAACACAAGTGATGGAAACAAAAGGAAGCTCTGAAGAAGCACGAGGCACGGACCCAAAAAGCACTTTATCCGAGTCTGGCAAGCACTGGCGGGCACGCGACCGACCGACGACGAGGAAGCCGCGGCCGCGTTCTGGGGCAAAGGTTTCTTTGTTTGTCCAACCAACTTTCCTCACCGCAGACAAACGCCCACCCGACCCCTGACTGCTGTCGACAACACCATTCTTTCCCCCTCGCGCTTGCTGTATACTTCCTCGACTCTCATCTCCAGTCAACATGAACTTCTTCGGCACGGCGGTTCCCAAAAACAAGCCTGTCATCAAAACGAAAACCATATCCGTTGCAGTACCTGTCAAGAAGATAGCAAAGCCCGTCACACCCTCGATGAGACCCTCGCCTCTTCCGAAACGTCCTTCGCAGCAGTCCGTCGCACGAGATCGCCCTCCAGCCCCGAAAGAGCCGAAAGAGAGGGTGAGAAGAGTAGTCAAGCGCAAGGCCTCGACTCCGACACAACTCTTCAGTGATGACGACGACGACAGCGGCGTAGAGAGTAGTGCCTCCTCGCTCGACACAAGAAAGCGCATCAAGTCTCGTGCCACTTCTGAGGACCCCAACCGCAAGCTGGAGGACACAAGAGTGCGAAAGGACGAGGGCCGCTTCGACTATGTGTCCGGCGCCTCCTTGGTCGCTGGCGAGGTTGGAAAATCCTACAGGTCCGTCTTCCCTGGAGACTCGCACACAGTAGTCAAGCTACAATACCCTGGCCTGTCGATACCTGAAAAGTTCACCCTGGTCAAGAACGGCGTCCAACAGGACTACCAACCTCTGGATGATATCAGGGAAACTGTCAAGTTTATCTGCCAAAACTACTTCCCCGAGAACTTGGCTCAGAAGTACCTCGATGACGAGAACGGCTTTGAACGCCGCCTGATTCGCGCCGCCAGCAAGGGCTCGAAAGAGGATTATGTCAGCACCATTCAGGACTTCAACACTATGATTGTCAAGGCAAGAAGAGACGGAACAATCAGCAAGGAGCTGTCCTCAAAGCATAGTTTGACTCTTGAGTGGATTCAGCGCATCCTCGACCAGATCTACACCCGCACTGTCTCGCCTCAAGTCGACAGTCTCAAGGCATATCAGAACGGCACCGACAATGTCTATGGCGAATTGTTGCCGCCACTTGTCTCCGAGATGCTCAGCATCGCTGAACTCAAGTCTGACCAGGTCTTTGTCGACCTGGGTTCTGGCGTCGGCAATGTCTGTCTGCAAGCCGCCCTCGAGATCGGTTGTGAGAGTTGGNGGTGCGAGGTCATGGACAACCCTTGCAAGCTTGCCGAGCTGCAAGCCAAAGAGTTCCCTGCTCGCGCACGTATGTGGGGCCTGTCGGTTGGCAAGGTACACCTGCTGAAAGGTGACTTCCTCGCGAACGAGAAGATTGGCCAGGCGCTCAAACGTGCCGATGTTGTCCTCGTCAACAACCAAGCCTTCAGCCCAGACCTCAACAGCAAGATCATGGACCGTTTCCTGGACCTCAAGGACGGATGTCGTATCATCAGTCTGAAACCATTCAAGCAAGAAGGTTACGAGATCAGCGATCGCAACCAGTACGATCCTCGTCACCTGCTCGTTGACGAGCGCAAGTTGCCCTTCTACTCCAAGTGTGTGAGCTGGACCGATGCTCCTGGCGAGTACCATATCGTGCGCAAGTCGCCCGAACGCCTCCAGCAGTACATTGACGAAAACACCAAGAGATCTCGCAGGAGCTAGAGACTTCCGCGTGTGAGAAAAGAAAAGTTTCCTTTGCAATGTCACCACGGCGTTTTCAAGCAGCATAAAGATACCCCCTGAATGTTTTTTGATTGAATTTTGTTTCGGTTTTGCATGGCTTTTCCACCATGTCGAGCACTGTTAGAAGCGGTGGCGCTTTCGTTTCGGACTATGATAGACCTTTACTGCATGTAGTCATCTGTTTCGTCTGTCGTTACTGCATGTCTTGCATAGCGTCTGCGATGTCTATAGACTTTCGTTCTCCACTCCGCTCCTAAGCCTTTGCGCCATATGTTGCCGCCAGACGTTCGAGCAAGTGATCTTTAGCTGTTAATGTCTTTCCTTCTTTCTTCACTCCATCGATGCCACCCTCGTATTGCTCGACGCGCTTGCTCGGTACAGGGACTAATTCAGCATCGTCCAATGGATGGCAGAAGTAAGCCATCGAATACCTGTCTTCACCACCCCTTCTCGCGTCCTTAGGGAAGATGACTCTGTGCACTGTACTCTTCAACAAACCGTTTGTCCAATAAGCCAGCAAGTCGCCGATGTTTACTAGAATGGGCAAAGGCTTTGAAGGATCGCTGAGTAAAGTGCCATGAGGATCGACAGGAACACATTCCCACTCCCCCNNTGAAGGAGTCTTGATTTCCAAGCCTGGTTGACCTGGTAGTTGGAAGAGCAGAGTTAGGGTGCCGTAGTCACTATGAGCCNNTGTTGTGTAACATGTTTAGCCAGAAGTCATGTTTCGAGAAACAAGACGAAAACTTACACCAGCGCGTATATCATCTTCATCTGGCGCCAGCGTATCTGGCACAGAAGGATAATACAGCAACCGCATGATACTTCCTGATGGTCCCTTAGTTTGATCATGGCGCGAGCTGAACCAATCAGAGGGGATCTCCAACGCTTGAGCAAAGAGTTGGAGAAGTTTATTGCACAGAGCATGGCAAGAGTTGCTGAAATCTGCTACTGTATTGACCTGGGTAGAGAAAGGTTCGGGGAGTAGTTGATTGGGTGTGTTGCCGTTGAATTCACCGAGGTTGAAGGCTCTGGAGGGAAGATTAGTCTGGAAGATAAGGAGGGAAGATGGATTTGTTGTACTCTTTAAAGTCACCTCTCTGGAATTGTGTCAGTTTGAGTATGAAGTGTATAGATGACAAGGCCCTACCTTTTGGTTACCTGGGTCAAGCGTCTCTTGCTGCATAGACACCCATCCGCGATTGTTCTGTGTAGGGCATTTTCGCTTATTCTCAATCGGGCCTTGGAAAAACTTCTTACTNCTGATTTTATTGTCAGCTTACTATCTCTCATTCATGAGTTGTATCATGTTTACCAAATCGAACATGTCTTTTACTTTGCTCGGAGGCATTCCCGCGGCTGCATTGTTTTCTATGAACACAAAGCCATTATTCGCCGCGGCATCGAGGAGTTGTGTCGCAGCACGTGGGTTCGAGGGAGATATGTCGATGACAGGTATTTGAGCTGAGGATCTCGACATCGCTGCCGAAGTATTGAGGAGATGGTGGAGAGATAGGTTGGTGGTGGACGCGACTCTACTGTCCATATCTCCCCGCTATCTTCGCTGGTTACCATTCCAACATATATTGTAATCGCTGCTCAACGTAGTCAAATGTATATCTCTGGCGACTTGGAGATTAGCACACGAACGAGCTCGAGAAGTTACATGCCAGACTAAGGAGCGTGATTAGTTAGTCTTCATGAATAACATTTAATCGTGTCTGTTTTCATCTCGATGGTATTTCAACAACACCTGATGGTTCTAATGCTAGGAATGGATCAACTCTCTCTGAGTTCGTCTTTTCTCCATTTCCAGCCTCGACGTGTGACTTGCATCATATTCTCGCGAATAGCTCTTTCCTCGTCCTAAGGTGGGAGGGGCCTCTGAACTACAAAATGCATAATCGAGTCTGGCCATGGAGATAACGTCCATTGCTGTGCTCTCTGTTAAACAACAGTCTTTGCGACAATAGTGTGCTGCTCTTAAGCAAGACTGTGATAGTGTTCACCTCGACACGGAACACGAGGTATGTGTTAAGGCGGGAAATCATCTTCCATGAGCCGATCCCATCTCAAACAATTTCTCGATAGTCGAAACGATTGCATTCAGCATAACTGCTGTATTCAGCGGTACTCATCGCACCCAACTGTGATATATCCTGGTCTCGCTAGGATGAAATTTGATCATAGATGAGTTCTCGAAAGATTTGAACCAGGTCAGCATTGGCTCTGAGAAACGGCCATCGATTCTTTCCCCAACAGCCTTAGTTACCAGATGAGCAAGCTCATCCTCGTGATAAGCGTGAAAACAAAGTTGTTCTAGCATCGGACAATGGCGGAGTAAAACATTTGCGATTTGTGAAGCTCGCTCGCTATATGTGGCACTCGCGGCCCTGTAGGACTTTTAGCATTGTTTGATCCTCGGGTAGGTCTCGTCATGATTTCGCACCTTCTTGTTCGACCCTCAATGAATGGCGCTTCGATAGCAAATCTAACCAAGCTTGCGAATAGAGGTCCGGCCAGTCTTGACCAATCGCTAAAATCGAATTCGCCGAAGAATTCAATGTTTTCGATGTTTGGATGCGTTCTGGCGAGAGAGGTGGGTGTCTCGATGGTGATATCGCAGTCCAGCTTAAAATCGAGGCTGGTCAAGTTCGGCAAGTTCGAGATAAATTCAGCGAATATGTGGTCGTCCATCCACATTGCTTCGAGCACTGCNCCTCTCGATTCAATCAGGAGGACTTCCAGTCTCTCCATATTTTCCAAAGCACGGAATCCTTGAGGAGACAATTCTGCATCGTCGAGGAAAGTCAGCTCAAGGTGGACCATATTTGACAGTGGCTCGAGAGATGCTAGGGCATCGTATTCAGAGTCCTCGATGATCAAAAACAGTATGGATACAGAGGGAGCAGCAGTAGCTAATCGTGCGACAGATCCTGACTCTACTCTCATGTGAAGATTCTGGAGGCTGCTAAAAGGGTCAGGACTCATTCCTAGACCCATCTGTATCGCATGATCATCTACTAGACACCTGATGTCGAGCTTCTCCAAACTCTTAAGACTAGCCAAGCCCTCGAACAGCGCCGGCGTAACCAGTTCGTCCCAGCCGTGGCCGAGGTCAATGACCTGTAGAGAATCATGAACTTTGAAGAAGTCAAGAAGCTGCTCCTCGCTGGAGTCATCTATCGGGTCTTCAAGATTCAGTTCTTCGAGGGTAGGACAATTGGATGCCAGAGTCGAGAGAGCATTCTCGCAGATCCCGCCTCCCCAGAAGTGGAACTCCACCAGCTGCGGTTGCATATATTGGGTGAGATGTAGCTGTTCATGTTTCTTGAGCTTGACCCTTGCAATGTAAATGATCTTCAAGCGTGGGAAGTTCAAATCCTTGAAGGTCGCATGATGCTTTCCCTCCTCTTCTCCCNNCTCGAAGAACAGTTCAGATATCTTGTTCGCATAGTACTGTCTTCGGTCTGGCGATACAGCAGCAAGTGCCGGCACTGGCGGGGATTTCCACAGTATGTAGGAGCCAGCTTCAGCCCATTCGCGGTTCACCAATATAGCATTACGAAGTGAATTCTGCGCGGCATCGAGATGTTCGCCATAATTAACCTGCTTCAATACGAGATGAAGAAGCTCCGTTGGCAGTCGAAGTTCAGCCATCTCCAGGTTGGATGGACGTACTCGAGTAACGTCTGTTGCGTTGTTGCTGTGAAGCATGTATAGACGTTTGAGAACACGGCATGAGGGAAGCTCTCGGCCCGACTCGGCGGTTTGACAGCAAGCCACACGTTGAACCGAAAGATCGGCTTCATCGATCTAAAAGCGACCCGTTTCATGGAACTTTTCCTGGATGTGCTGCACCGCAGCATGCGATATCTCGCTGATAACTCTCGGATGGCAATTGGTAGTGACCTCCGATTGTGCCGAGCTTGCATGTGCTCAAGATACTGCATTTCTCAAGCACAAGATGAGCTGCACAATCTAGGTTCTCGTACTGAGCGAGGTTCCGACTTCCGAGCCGGAAAGGCTGGCAATTACATAGAGCTAGGAAGTGATTGCACATGAGTGCCCAAAAGCCGATATAGGCTGAGCACATCGAGCATTGCCAAAGGGCGCGCGCCGGGCACGCAATCACAACGAAGTCGGCCAAACGAGTTCAACAAGAATCGCGAAATGGTTGACTGCTCGGCGTGCAAAACACGGCTAATGGAATCAACCGTCAAAGAGATGTTTGTTTGATCGGGCTCGGATTTAAGAGAAGCACAGGCTCGTGGTCAGCAAAAAAGCAGGCTTCAGCAAGGCGTCTTCGATTCACAGGATGCACAATGCTGACAACAGCAAAAGCAAAGTGTCGAGATAGGAGGCCGAGTCAGAGGATAGATTTGTAAATATTGAATATAAAAAGGAGATGTGCAACAATAATGACGGCGGTAGGAGTCAGATCTAAGTTGAGGGCCCAAGCGTCATCGCGCAGGGCAGAAAAGTTGCAAGTCTCAAAGCTGCCCTTATCGCGGCTGTATATTTTGTTATTGAGCACAACCTTCTCTCCGCTCCACCACTCCCACCCCTCTCCTCTCACCCCCACCTCTCCCTCTGATGGCTGCCGCATCAGCTATGAGGCCCGTAGTCGCCTCGATGCGCGCTGCAATTGGTGCTTCCAAGCGCACCTTTGCGACCGCCAACAACCAGAGCTTCGCATCGCGTGCCCAGCCCTCGCCTCGCGCCACCAACCTGGCCCAGCTCCAGTTGCGCCAGTCTTTCAGACGCTCCTACGCCGATGCTGTCAAGCCCAAGAAGAGCGGCTTCCGCTTTNTCCGCTGGGCATGGAGAGCCACCTACCTGTCTGCCATTGCTGGCCTTGCCTACACTGGCTACGGCATCTACGAGATGAAGAACCCTGGTGACCAACCCGAGCCCGACCCGAGCAAGAAGACTCTTGTCATCCTCGGTATGTATATCGAGCCTCTGCGACCAAGTAGCAATGAGCTTTGAGCTGACAGCGACAACCAGNGTTCCGGCTGGGGTGCCGTCTCCCNNCTTCTCAAGAAGCTCGATACCGAAAACTACAACGTCATTGTCATCTCTCCTCGCAACTACTTCCTCTTCACGCCTCTTCTGCCCTCTTGCACAACCGGTACAATTGAGCACCGTTCCATCATGGAGCCTGTTCGCAACTTCCTCCGTCACAAGAAAGCCGCCGTCAAGTTCTACGAAGCCGAAGCCACAAAGATTGACTACACCAAGAAGGTCGTCTACATCAACGACGACTCTGAGGTCAAGGGTGCTACTTCTTCGACTGAGGTTCCTTTCGATATGCTCGTCGTCGGTGTCGGCGCCGAGAACGCTACTNTTCGGTGGGTTGAGGGTCCAGCAGAAGATACAAGAGGTGATGCTGACATGTCACAATTAGGTATTCCTGGTGTTCGCGAGCACTCTTGCTTCCTGAAGGAGGTCAACGATGCCCAACGTATCCGCAAGCGTATCATGGACTGCTGTGAAACTGCCACTTTCAAGGACCAGAGCCCTGAGGAGCGCAAGCGTCTTNTGCACATGGTTGTCGTTGGTGGTGGCCCTACCGGTGTCGAGTTCGCTGGTGAGCTCCAAGACTTCTTCGAGAACGACCTCAAGACCTGGATGCCCGAAATTGCCGATGAGTTCAAGGTTACTCTTGTTGAAGCCCTTCCTAGTGTAGGTTATTCTTTGTTCGAGATATAGCCTTTGGTGAGGTTGCTGATAATGCGTTCTAGGNTCCTTCCCATGTTCTCCAAGCAGTTGATCGACTACACCGAGCAGACCTTCAAGGAGGAGACTATTGAAATCCGTACCAAGACCATGGTCAAGAACGTCACCAAGGACTACATTGAGGCCGAGTACGTTGGTCCTGATGGCAAGAAGGTCATGGAGAAGATCCCTTACGGCCTGCTTGTCTGGGCCACTGGTAACGCTGTCCGTCCCGTTGTCAAGGATTTGATGTCGCAGATTCCCGCTCAGGCCGATGCCCGCCGTGGTTTGAATGTCAACGAGTACCTGGTTGTCAAGGGTGCCGAGAACGTCTGGGCCGTCGGTGACTGCGCTGTCGCCAACTACGCCCCTACTGCCCAGGTCGCCGCTCAGGAAGGTGCTTTCCTCGCCCGCCTCTTCAACCAGATGGCTAAGACCGAGGAAATCGAGGCCGAACTCAAGAACTTATCCGTCGCTCAAGAGACCGCACCCAACAAGGATGCCCGTGACCAGATCTTTGCCAACATCAAGGATCTCCAGAAGCGTCTGCGTCGCACCAACCAGATGGGTCCTTTCGAGTACTCTCACCAGGGTTCGCTCGCATACATTGGTAGCGAGAAGGCCGTTGCCGATATCTCCTGGTTGACTGGTAACATTGCCACTGGTGGCACTGTCACATACTTCTTCTGGCGCAGCGCCTACCTCAGCATGTGCTTCAGCAGTAAGTTTTTCCCCATGATGTTCTATTTCCTGCGTCCAGATTAGCGGTCGTGTGGAAGGAGAGAAAGAAACAAAAGAACCAAAAGCTAACGGGATTGAAACAGCTNNCGCAACCGTGTCCTCGTCCTGATGGACTGGATCAAGGCAAAGACCTTTGGTCGTGACGTCTCCCGCGAATAAGCGCCCAACAAATACCAGCTTCTTTCCTCGACTGCATCTGCATCTGCATCTCTCACACGACACTCACCTGATGTCCCCACACCAGTACCCACCGATGATCGACAGATGAGACCAGCAAGAAGAGGAGGGGAAAGAAACAACCGCAAAACCAAGTAAACCATTCTCTTTTTCTTTTCTTGTCATGCAAATAAAATAGACATGGGGCGTGTGGGTAGGCAGCGCAATAGGGTGGGTGACTTCCTTCCTTCCACGACAAAGGCGTAATTTTTTTCTTTTCTTTTTGTAGAAATATGATATCAAATTTTGAAATTGACTTACATGATTGTATTTTTCAGTGCTGTCTTGCGTAGTTCAATTGAGAGTGTAGAACGAGAGAAAGAAAGTGTTTGTTTCCTGTCCATGAGAGTTTGATAAGTTAGTTGTTGTTGATGCCAGTTTCGCGAAGAAGTTTCGGAACAAGGCAGACTGGCTTGTGGAGCCGAGGGGACAAGTCATCCGATCCGCTCCGCCTTGCCGGAAAACGGACGACATGTCATGCTGCTGGCAGATGAGCATGGCAGATAGACGGACATGGCACGCAGAACACAAGAAGTCATGGCAAAATACAAAAGTCATGGCGAGCACCAAAAAAAGCAGAAGAAGTCATGGCAGTAAAAGGTAAACGTGTGTGATTGCAATATCAACCCGAACCATTTCCTCCTTCTCTGGAATCCGTGGAGAAAAACAAGAAAAAGCGGAAAATAAAAAGAAGACAATAGAATACGAAATGGCGGGAACCAAGTCCTCGGTCTTCTGCGGACCTCCTGTCCCGCAAAAGTTGTTAGAGCCCCATAAGACAAGCCATAGTGCGCCAGGAAAGATGATGTGTGTGTGAAGTGTGGGAGGAAGATGATGGGATGGGACTGGGGGTTACATGACGGGGCATCTTAATGATGATGTGATTCTCCTCTTCGTGATCCATGTTCATGGCAGATCGTTGGAACTCCGGGGATGTGGAAGGTGTAGTGAAGGTGCTTGGTGTAAGAGGTTCCGTGATGTTGCAAGCAATGGTGGTGGGGGGCACACTCGTCGAGCGAAGTGTTGGCGGTGGCTGTATGCCGAAGCAGTGCAAGCAGTAGCTATGGCTGATTGTTGCGACGCATGGGTAAAGATGCGGAGCAATTCGCAGCAATTGCGTTTCATCGGGGAGAGTTGCCATCAGCAAAAGTTGCACCTAAGAATGGTGATGCCTGTACTGCATCGGACATCTCGAGCCAGTAGCAAGGCTGCACTCAGGCTGTAAGACAAGCTTACATATCCATCGAATCGCCACCGTTGGCAAAGTTGAAGTTTTGCTGTTGCTGTTGAGCACCGAAGCCGAACTGACCATCCTGACCGGCCTGAGGAGCAAGCTCGTTCATGTCACCCTCAGCCTCCTCGTCGGAGAAGTACTTCTCGATGATGTTGTATGCCTTCATGTAGATCTCCTCGTTGGCGTTGTTCTGGCAATCGTGGATCTTCTCCATACCACCGCACTCCTCAATGAAGAGGGCGTAGCGGTTGACAGGGGGCTCGTTGGTACCCTCAGCGGCCTCCTTGTCCATGTCACCAACCTTGAGAATGTTCTCAAGACCGTCAAGAGCGACCTGAATGATCTTGTTGTCAGGGCACGATAGCAAGTCACACAGAGGACGGATAGCACCCTGGTGGACAAGGTAGCGGATCTGATCGGGCTTCTGGAGACCACCAGAGGTGGCGTTGGAGATGGCCCAGCAAGCCTCCTTGCGGGTCTTGAAGTCACCGTTGGAAAGAAGGTGGATGAGAGGGCTCATCAGGTTGGCGTCGATAACAGCCTGGATCTGAGTGGAGTTGCCAGCAGTGATGTTGCTGATGGTCCAGCAAGCCTCCTTGCGGATGCCATCCTTGGTGGAGCTCAGAAGAGAGAGCAGAGCGGGAAGAGCGCCGCAGTTAATAATGACCTGGGTCTGAACGTCGTCACCAGTGACAATGTTGCCGACTGAGCGGAGAGCAGGGGTCTGGACAGAGGTGGAGGCGTGCATAAGCAGTTCGACGAGACGACGGGGGATGTTGGCCTCAATGACAGCTTGGATCTTGTCGTTGGAGCCGTCAGAGAGGTACGAGATAGCCCAGCAGGCATCGATGAGGACTTCATCGTCGAGGGAGTAAACGAGCTTGGCAAGAACAGGCAGGGCAGGAGCGATCTATATAAGCACGTGGTCAGCAGGAGCCGCAAACAGTCTGAAGATTGTGGAAGAACATACAGTGTTCCAGTCGGGCTGGGGNGTCTTTCCACGGCAGAAGTTGCTCAGAGTCCAGGTGGCGTTGCGGAGCATGCTGAGCTTGCGGCTGTCACCAAGAAGGGCGACCAGAGGCTGGAGGGCGCCGCACTGGAGGACAAAGTCTCTGCATTGCGGGCTGTCACCAGCAATGTTACCGAGGGCCCAGACGGCCTGCTCGCGGACATCGGGCTCGGGACTCTTAAGCAGCTCGACGAAGATGGGGACGGCGCCGGCATTGATGACGACCTGTGTTTGCTGGGCAGAACCAGAAGCAATGTTGGTCAATGCCCAGGCAGCCTCAAACTGGACGAGAGTGTGGGGAGAGCGGAGGAATTCGACAAAACGGCCAACGACGTTGGTCTCGATGACCTTCTCAATGGGCGGGTTACGCTCTTTTGAGAGCAGCTTGCGGAACTTTGTGGTGGCAGCGATCTGGTCCTCGATCTTGTCTGAGAAAACACCCTGGACCATCTGGGGGAGCTCTTCGTTCAANCTAGATGCGTCATGTCAGGAAACGGTTTGCAGGAAAGTGACGAGAGTGATGGTTACCTGGCTCTCGATAGTTGTCGACTCATCATCACTGTCGGGAGCGGCGCCCAGCGAGGCACCAAGAGTCTCGCCGCGGGTGATTCCTCGTCTCTTTGCAAGGTTCTCCTCGCGCTTCTGCTTTCTGATCTCGACCTGCTGTTCCTCGCGGCGGCGGCGAAGCTCATCGGGCTTGAGCAAGTTCTTTGCCTTGAAGGTGGTGCGGCGATGCTCGGGAATGTAGCGGTCCGCCATGGTGACTAGACGTTGGCGTGGAGGAGCGGGGTGGGGAGTGGTGAGAAGAGGGATGTTGGATGAGCAGAGGAAAAGAAAAGCAGCAGTGTCAAAGTGATTTCTTTGATTACTGTGAGGGGTCCTCTTTGCTTGGACGGGCAACAAAACAAATCCAGTGCCCAAAGCTCTGCGCAAAGAACCCACATCCACCACACGCCAACCCGTCAGAAGTCTTGGCCAGAGCTCGTGTGCGCGAGCAATCACATTTGGCCAACCACTTTCACTTCCAGACTCGGTCCAACGCGTCGCGTCTTCCCGTTCAAGCTCCAAATTGCCCAGGTACTCGACTGAACATAGCGAGCCAAGCATAATTACCATGCTGCCTTCTTCAGCACTAAATCAACCTGCCTGCCTTGCGTTGCGTTGCTGAGTCCACAATAATCATGGCTCAATCTCGTCCCAGCACGCTGACCAGCCTGGCTGATGCATACAAAAACTGCAAGTCTTCGTATGCTGCCCCAATCATCAATCTGATGGGCATTGTCATAGACGTCTTACCTCCGACAACTAACAACATGACTGGAGGTGCGTCGAGATTTCTTGTTTTACCCCGTTTCTACTTCTACTGACACCATATACAGNATTTGCAAATTACCTTCACAATCCAGGACTCGGACATGAAGAAACTACCTGTAATGACCAAAGGTCTCAAGGCCCGCTTTNTTACTCAACCCACAGAAGAGCCTCCCNCGACTCCATCTGTAGGCGACATTGTTCTTATCCGTAATTGCAAGGTATCTACGATTAAAATGGGTTTTGTCGTCACACATCCTTTGACACTGTATACAGNNGTCATAGCCGTCCGCGGTTCACCCCTAATAGCTAATGTGAAGAGATTGACAAGCACAATCGTCTATCAAGCAGCTTCAATACCAGAGCCAGGGTTCATGCAATCTTTTCTCGGTGAANAAGATATCCCATCCCTGCCTCAAGATCCAACTCCAAAACCTACGAAGCAGGAGCAGATGTACGCAATCACTCTCAGGCAACTTGCTTCATCTCTCATCGATACTGCTGGTTCTTCTAACGCTGTTTCAATTCCTACTCGACCTGCCGCTGATAGAGCTGTTGGACCTCCGCAGACCAAGGGCAAGTTCCGCTTGATCCAAAATGTCAACTACAATGACTATTGCGACCTTGCTGTTGAAGTCGTAAAGAAGTTTCCAAACTCGAATGGCAACATGGAGCTATATGTCACTGACTACACAGCCAACGATTCGTTATACGACTATCCGGCTCCGGATGATGCAGATGCGGACGATGAATTCAGCAGGTATGGCAGGAGCGATGTCCACTACAATTCCGAGAATGACCAATGAATGAATAGGGATGGTGATTGCTATGGGTACATTTCGAACGTCACTGGCAAGCGTAAAAACTGGTCCGGACCTTCTGGTCGCCGTACTCTGCAAGTTGAACTCCTTCNNCCCCCTCACGCAGGATATGCTCGGGACAGAGTCAAAGAAGGTGAGTTTATCAAGCTTTCAAACGTTCGCATCAAGCAGAGCAGAGTGGAAAAGATGGAAGGAAACCTCTGGCCAGATAGACAATTCCCGGACAAGATCTTGATTCAACCGTTGAAAGAGGCTAAGCTCCTCAAAACTCTTACCAACCGCCGGGAAGGCTATTGGGGAGAACGCAACGCCCAAGCTGTGGCCAAGAAAGACAGCAAGGAANGCCGAAAAGCTGGAAAGGAGAATGGCTAAGAAACAGAGAAAAAGGAAAGCAAGGCTCGGAGGTCGGGTCTTCACACAGATGAGACGCCGTCAACATCATTTACCACCCCTCACAATCCTCATGGTAAGTCACTTTGCTCGAAACATTTGATCATCCGCTGATTGTCCTCTANNGTCAGCTGCGTGAACTATGATGGGGTCAAAGTCAGCACTCTCAGAGACATACAGGCCAGAGACCATTCCTATACTGGGAAGTCTGGAGTGAAGCTTGAATTGCCTTATATCAACGTCAAGCACAAGGTCAGGGTCAGAGTCGTCGATTTTTGGCCGCCAGTACTGGAGGATTTTGCGTCGCTTGTACCAGCTGCCGATGCTTCTGGCGAAAACTCGGAGGATGATACGGACAACATCAGTCCGTATGCAAGTCAGAAATGGATATGGGACTTCTTCCTGCTTCTGGAAGACATCAAACCTCATCAACCAAACTCTGCACCAGCTCAGTTGTGGGCGCATGTGGATCACAGATACGCAGAGTTTCTCCTGAGTATGTCTGAGGATCCTACCGAGTAGGTTTATCCCATACCGAACTTGTTGAGCTGTATTGACTTTGTTAGTTTGCAACGCGATCCGCGAACACTTGCAAAGTTGCGCGAGCAGTTGGCGATTCTCTGGGGCAACTTGGAAGAACTCAAAACTGCTGCTTTGTTGGNNAAACAACAGCCATATCCAGCACTTGAAGCCGCGCCTGCCGAGGGCGCAAACCTGTCGAACTTGCCGTTCTTCTGTTGTATAGCAGAATATGGCCAAGAACTGGATCAAGATGACATTGAATCAGCTGAATCTCCAGGTTACACAACACTTTACGATATGTCCGGCGCTCGGATCTTCCAAGAGTGAGGCCATAGCCAGGATGCATCGGATCAGGAAAAGTAGAGTAATGACAGTCATGATATCATTCAAATCCTCTTCACTTATGTACAAGTGGTGACTCCAAAACATGGTTCCAATGTGTCGTCTCAACAGCATGAATTATTCATGGCTGCCCCATGTTCACGCTTAGGACTTGTTCTTCATCTCTCTTAGAGCGGCCATGACATCGACGGGGCTGGTCTTGCCAGTGGCCTTCTGAACGACAGGGTCCTGCGAGACGTTAGTACGCTGAACTGGTTTGGTATCGGGAGAACTTACGTCGAGTCTCATGAAGACGTTGTGAAGCTGATGGAACAATATTGTCAGTCATTGTATACTGCATGCGAATTGTGGACGACCGACCTTCTCATCACCAATGGTGAATTTGCCCTGAGTCTGCTTGTTGGCATTGGCGAAAGCCTCAAGCTTCTTGATGGGTTCGCTCTGCATGACTTGGACGCCAAACTTGACATTGCCCTTGGTGTACTCGTGGCCAGGCNNTAGAATAACGTTGTCAGCAAGGATGAATCTAAGTACTGACGATATTCTGCTTACGTAGACCTTGGTATCATCGGGCAGAGCAGCAAGAGTCTCGTTTAAAGCCTTGTGCATCTCCTCGGCAGTGCCCTCGAAGAATCGGCCACAACCTNNACTCGTATGTTAGTCTGTTGCCTGCTGACATTTGGCTCTTGGAGACTTGCCGCCAATGAAAAGGGTGTCTCCAGTGAAGACGGCCTTGTCGTTTCCATCTTCGAACAAGAAGCAGATGCTGTCCTGGGTGTGGCATGGGGTATGGAAAGCCTTGACCTTGATGTCACCAACGTTGAAGGTCTCACCATGTGCGGGCGTCTTGGTGACCTTGCTGCAGTCCTTTCCACCGATGATGGGGAGAGGGTATGTTTTGAGNCTGGTCTGGATTTAGTATTGCAGTTCTTCTCTGATGGGTGCACAACTTACCATCTCGACGTTACCGCCTGCATGGTCGTGGTGGCTGGTATTTGTTAGTGACGATTCTACCATGAATCGGGGAATGCGGGGACCTGTTTACTGGTGGGTGTTTATGATGCTCTTGAGGTTGATAGCTCCACTGTCTACTTGCTTCTTGAGCACTGGAAGCACCTCTGGAGGGTTGGCGGGATCAATGATCACAGCATCCTTGGATTTGTCGTCAACAACGAGATAGGCGTAGTTGTTACCACTACCCTCCCCTATAACAAATCAGCTTCGAGATGTCATCAAGCACTGCCANAGTTTATACTCACACATGGGAATTGACTGGATATGCATGGCTCGAGAGATGGCAGGCTGAGGCGGGGTCAATCGAGGGTAAAACCAGATACAGGAAACAACGACACATACAAAAGCAGGTTTGAAGATGGGCTTGCGGATTGTTTGTCTGGCCAAGGTAAACAGACTCATGTGGCAGGATGGTCTTCGGTTACGATGATATGGTAAAGATGATGGCGGTCTCTAGAGGTGGCTGTCGATTCAGTTGTCCATGCTTTCCGGGCGGAGATACTAGCGAACACACCGGCTTTCCTGCAGTGCAACCATGCCTTGAGCATACGATACAATTTTCACTACGGAGTAGGGCGAACGTCACTCTGTATATGTAATCGCTCTCAGTAGACTATTCTCTAGCAATGCTGAGATTGTGTCCTTTGATAACAAGATCTTGCCATGCTCGACGATTTGATGTGCTGTATCAGCTTCTATTGCGTTCCCTAGCAAAACCGATGCGCTCACAAAACCGTTAAGTGACGTCAAGCATAATTGTTGGAAACTGCGAAATTTGGTGAAGTAAGGGCAAACACCCGTCGAGAACCGAAAACAACAAATCTGTCGTTCTTTCCTACTTGAGAGCAGTCTTTCATGCTTAACCACAAGTGACAGGCGTCGACATTTGCTGGAAAACGGGGACCGAACAGTGTTCAATTCATCAAGCCTCCATCCAAGATGAATTCTTCATTCACCCCACGCGAGCTGCCTGAACGGCAGAAGAAACTCCAGCCGATCCTTGGTATCCCTGTACCATATCTCTTTGCCGCAACATCAGTTCTTTCCGTCGCCTTGTTCAACTGGCCACTCAGATGGATTCTCTCAGGTGCTGCAGTCTTGACGTTCACCATTCTCTCCGGCGCCGCCAATGGTCATCGAATCTTGCCCTTCTTTAATATCTGGTCTCTGTTACTCTTGATCAACCTATTCTATGGAGTTGCGGCTACCTCCTGGCTCTTGCATGGCGCGTTTGTCGCGACATGCTATCCCGCAATCTTCTTGACATGCATTTTCCAGTTCGATCCTGTCGGAAGATATGTCAGAAAACGGATCAGAAATGTGCTCAAACAACTTCAGTTCATTGACGATCAAATCGCCTTCTTTGACTTACCCGCACTGGAGATCGATGTGGACGTCAACGGCCTTATGAACATTCGTGGCATGACTTTCCGCCTATCTTCACTGATGATTATCGCACATGGCGTGGAGGTCGGCATCAAATTCTCCGATGACATGGAAGTCGCCATCGCAGTGGACGAAGTTCGCATCTCACTGTTCAGAAGAATCGATATCTCGGATGTGTATGCCAATGTTAAGGGTGGTGAGCTTGAAATGTCACTTAGACAGTTGGCAGAGAATGGCAGAGTACCTACTGGCGACTCGTTCATTGACTCCGAAACCCCTCTCCTGGCCACTGCGGCCAAGACTGGCGATACACGTAATCCTATGGAGGCCATGAAGGCAAGAATGACAAACGGCTCTGCTCCCCAGCCTATACCTACCAGTGTCGGCTTAAAGGGAGTCAAACAGCTCTCACCTGATGACGACCACGCAAGGGAAACCTACAAGGCTATCCTAGACTACATCCAAGAGACTAGCGTTATCACCGTCAGTCAGGAGGAGGTCCAAGAGACACTGAGACGCAAACAAGTCGATGGTGAGGTCCTCGATAACACCAAGGACTATCGATCTGCGATTTGCTCACAGATGCACGGCAAACCCACTGTCCCTCACTGTAGCACGCGATCCATCCGTGTCTCTACTCTGCAGCGAGACATGCCAATGCGAAAGTTCCTCCACAGACTTCCCTTGCTTCTCAGATGTCTTCTGAACCCGATTGCGTACTTCCATCCAGTCTACATCAAGTCTATCACCGCCGGAGGCTCTGGTGCCATGATCGAAACTATGCTCCACCAACAGATCTTCCAGGACCACCCAGAGCAGGCTTCAGATGTTAAGAATCTCAAGAAGCGCATTTCTGCCTGGCTAAAGGATGCCAACTTTGTATTTGAAGCTGAGAAGATCACTGGCATGGCCTCTGTTCCCATCAACCCAGTCTTCAACATCCTTTCTGATCTTCTATTTGACGACATTATGATCTACAGAACTGTTAAGGAAGAAGTCAACTACAACCAAATTGTTCGTCTTGGAGGAGCGGATGCAAGGATTAGTGTGCCGTCATTCCTCTTGCCTCATCACGAACACATTCTGCCACCAATCCCAACCTCTGAGGATAAGGCTGCTCAACAGGAAAAGATTGACAACGCCGATAGTCAACCGAAGACTATTCAAGCCGAACAGGAAATGGCCCAGCTGCGCAAGGATGAAACTAACGTCAACATCTCCGCTCACGTGCGCCTCCCTGCTTGTTTCGACCAGAACTTGCTCGACTTCATCGCAGCTCTGGTCAAGGCGACTAAGATTGTGGAGATGGACAAGGTCGAAAAGTCTCTGGACAAGGAAATTCACGGCTTCAGAGAGTTCACAAAGGCAGTCAAGACCGATCTCAACGACAAGATGAGGAGAGTCGCTGTGGATGCCGCTGCCAACGATAAATGGATCGCAAAGTTGGTCGGCAAGGTAACCAAGAAACTCGAGACGATGCAGGGAGATATTGGCTACAGTGGTGATTTGCCCGTGCCTCTTGATGTCTACCGCAAGAAGGCAGAACCTGCCAGCAAGCTTATGCCTTGATGAGAATAGAAGAAACGACAGAAACCAGTGTATCAGACATGACATAATAAGATTAATCAGCAATGTCGAAGAAAATCAATGCAATGACAAACGATAAACACAACTATAGTAAAATTGTTTCTGGTGAACCCAACTTGACAAAAGCAAGAACGAGTGAACACAAAGAAGGAAAAATTCTTCAAGATCTTTATGGCAAGAAGATCTTTATGGCAAGTCTCAGTCAAAGCTGCCAAACCCTCCAGATCGTGCCTTCCACGCCATCGCATCCTCAATTCCCCGCTCGTAAGCTTCCTTCCTTTCCAATTCTCTTCTCTTCTGTGCCGCTTCAACTGCTCTCCTGGTCGCTCCTTCCGCCTGTCTGAGTTCCATGTGATCCAGACGTTCATTCAAGCGTTCGAGCATCGAAGCATTCTCCAACTCCATGGATTGTTGTGGTTGATACCGTTGTGGGTGATAAGACGAGTAGTTAGGTTTTGGCTCTGGAGGATCCGGAGCCGATGGTCTTGTGTAGGTATCTGGGCTATACATGCTAGTATCACGAGCGTTGGGAATGGGATGTGGAGCATGCTGCCTATCAGAAAATCCAAGAGATTCATCCTCGAAGCTGGCGCCACGTCGAGTTGGAGGCTTGTATTCGTTTCGATCTCTTTGAGGCAATTTGGGAGGTTGCTCCCGTTGTCGATCTGAATTCGGGCGGAGGAAACTGTGTGCTGCAAGTTGTTGACCAAATCGTCCTGGCGTGTGAGTATCTCTCTCGTGATAGTGGAATTGTGGCGCAATTCCGTCTCCTGATACTGAAGTGGGAGGTGAGCTCTGCTCAGGCGATGCGATCGTCGATGACTGGTCATCCAAACTCGAGAAGGATCGAGAGTGGCTAAGCTGAGCTTGAGTCCTCCAAAACAGCACGTCTTCTCTTCGTAGTCGTTCGGCACTTTGGTTCGTGTGTTTCGTCTGCTGCTGAGGTTGCGATGACGGAAGTGGTGATGGCTCCATCTCAGGGTTGTAATCAGGCCAGTCCGTATCAGTAGCAACCTGGATCTTGGTGCTTGGAGACAGCCTGTGAGCCTCTGAATTCATGGCGTAGTTTGAGTCGACCGGTTTGGGTGCGTTGTTGTTCGCGTTGCGATACTGTCTAGACATGTTCGGCTCCGCCACTACTTCATAGGGAGCACTAAACTGCTGCTCGAAGTAGTCTCGTTTACCATTTGTCGATTGTGGGCCGAGTTGTGGTGGTGTTACCTGTCTCGTAGATGTTCCGATCGGCTGTTGGTTAGGAGTAGTACGAGAGTGGTACTCAAAGGTTGGTACTCTGGGTGGAGACTGCCGTGGAAACCATGATTCAGGCAAAGCTGATTGCATTCGCTGCTCCTCGTAGAAATTGCCTTCCACCTGTGTGCGAGCTTTGGAGTTCACATCGGCCATGTATGCAAGAGCATTCTGGACAGGATGAAGCTGCTGAATGTTTTGGGGTTCTGTGGCCAGCTGTGGTCGCGATTGACCTAATTGCATGGTTTCCTGCCCTATGTTGATTGACGACGATGGCCAGAGAGGAGCCTGGTTACTCCATGTTGGACTCGGGCTCTGCAATCTAGCAAAGGGGGCGGGNCTCACAACTGATGGCACATTGACGATATGAATGTTATCGATACTAGACTCAGGCACGACTTCGATGATGTCCTCGCTGGTTGTNCTTTTGGCCCTAGCCTGTCCTCTGAATTCTCTTCTGGACGGAGGAAGACGTTGGTCGTTGTTCATCTCTGTCTGCTTCAGCAGCGGATTGGAAAGGTCGTTGAGGTCGGAGATGTTGCTTGCCACACTGGCGCTAGGGGCCGCAAGGTTTGGTGCTGCCTTCTCAATTTTTCTTTTGTCGTCCCTACACAATATTACACGAATAAATGTGGTTTCTCTGACCCTAGTCCTTAGATTGTTAAGAGTCTCACGATGTATGGCTGCTATCTCCCAACGAGCGTATTTGTTCGTCTCATCTCGCCTCTGTTGCTGGATAAGAACTTCGACCTGTTGACGCTGGTCCGTCGACAAGGCCTCGTACATCTCGATGAGTGATCTCGCCTTACGCTGCTTCTTGACTTGTGATTCAAGCTCGTCGGATGGCAGTGTCATTTGTACCACTTCTGCTCGCTTCCAGCTTGGAGCGCCATCCTTGGTTTTGGGCGCAGCCTTCGTAAGCTTCCAACAATGATAAGTTGCAAGAATTGGTGCAGATTGTTTCTTCCGATGTTTGGTGTCTATCTTCCTGTTCAGTTGAGCGTCGTAATCAGAGTCTGAGCCATCGACGATATCAACCAGAAAATTGTCCGGATTATGTGGGAAGTCCGGCGACATAGCGTGATGTGAATATGCATTAGCTGGAGGCACAGGTATCCTCTGGGCCATGGCTGGAAGGATTGATTTCCGAAAATCCCGTGACAACGTAGGCTGGTGTTCAACTTCGAGTAGATAGCTAACACTGGTAATTTCCCTTTATTCCAAACCTACTCGCAAAGATCAAGGTCAGAACCACGACGAATTTGGGGCAGATATACTCACCATCATAATCTTGTTCTTGCAAAGTCACGGTTATCTACGATTGCCTATTCTCGCATCGCATGACTTCGTGCATCGCATAACCTGTACTTTGTAGTGAACTCAATGCAGAGATAGCAGGTGTGGGAGATGGTCGTACACGATTTTGCTCGGGACAACCAGGTACCCGTGAGACCAGACACGGCTCCTGGATTCTAGGCACCAATCACTGCATGTGTGTTGTGCCCCTTGGCCACACCTACTATGAAGATTGGTGGGTGTTAACATGCTCAAGATCATGGCACCCATGAAAACTAGAGTCGGTTCACCCAGAGCGGTATGCGGTTTGTAAGACATTTCGTCTTACGACGACACCCACTCAGCTCAAGCATGACCTATTCTCAATGTAGGCATTGGCCGAACCAAGTTTTACGCTTTCGGCACCGAAGCAAGAACAAGATATGAAAGCAGCCCTTTCGCGAAAAGAAGTGTGGTCACAAGTCAAGAGCCAGGTGGGAAGACATGGTTGAGCCGAGCAGATATCCAAGGCATCGCAAGGCGCAGGCAGTAACAACAAGTATTGATGTAGTTCGGGCCTCCTGCAAAATATTGCCTGCAGTCAGTCCTTCCCAGGATCCGGGATGATCAAGCTATCCGGTTTGCGTTTGTATCTAGGTTATGACTGACTTACGATGATTCGTTCCTAAGAATGTCGCGCACTCGGATGTGCAGTATTGCGTACACCAAAGTGTAAGTCGCAGTTGTGATCTGGACCATATGTCTGGTCATTCTGGTGTGTGACTTGTGGTTGTTCGATGCTGACAAGGTGCTAATGCACTCTGCGCTGGCGAAGGCTTGCAGCTCTCCAATGACGACCGTGTACGGTGAGTCGAAGCCCACCTGATGAAAGCCACACAAGAATAGCCCGCACGGCAGTCCTCCGAGCACGGCTTAACATTGTCTTTAGGCGATTGTCATGCACCCTTAGATTCATGCTTGTAGACCTGATGAAAACTCGAAGCACAATGCGACAGACGCAGATGGCATTCTGGTAGCCAAGCACATGTGGAGAATACTGTTTCTTGGTAAGATACAAGTCGCTCGCTTGTGGATGTGTTTGAGTATCATGGATGGGATCATTCAGTCCGGAATCATCCCTCAGTGATTGCCTTTCGCTTGAGCCGTTTCGGAGTCGGAGTATCGGCTAGAATGAGTTTGCGAAGAGATGAGCCATCAACGACTGAAGTTAGGGGTGGAGAGCAATCAGAAGACACCAGTCGATGGAAGCGATGAGATGACAAGTAACTAGGCATTATCAGAAGAAGGCAGGTGACACGAGGCCACCAATAAGTTGGAGTTTGAGACTCTGAGGGAAGGAGCAAAACAAGACCGGAAATAGCATTCGTGGATTGTGTTTCCCCAGGCTTCGGAGGTCCGCTTGGGGTTCGGCACCTTCTCGCAATCACCGGACGGCAATGCAACACGGCCATGGAAACTTTTGGATGCCTCTCTGTCTTTCGTTTTGTCTGCAACTGCATTCACTGGACACATCTCTCTTCATTCCTGCTCGGTCAGATTCTTCCAGGTACCGATACGATCAATTGAGCACCTCGGCGCATTTATCAAGCCGACTGATCTTCTCCACGCGGGACCGGCGATAAGGCTTATATTTCTAATCGTCACTACTTAGCCTGATTGCCATTGCATACCTTGGGTGCTTCCTCTGCCTGCCCAGGGATGGACGACTACCGCTTCCAATTCAGTCCGACAGACTCTGCCAACCAGTTTCACTCCATGTCGCCAAATCTGCTGAACGGTCCGTCAAGGCGGGACTCTTACCGTCGTCGCAACAGCCTGCCCACCGCCGTCGCATCCAGTCCGTCGAACCAAGGCCTGGGTATCCCTACTCCAGAAATCGGCTCCCGAAATGGCCCTTCTGCCTCGGAACTATCTGCCGCCATCTCTGAGCTCTCGCGAACGGGCACTCCGTCAATGGTTCAACTGGCAGCCTTGACCAGTCCTTGCTTCTTCCACCGCCGCTTCGGTGACGCCGTCAACATTGAAAAAGTTCTGGATGAGATAAAGGAAGATGATCAGTTGTCACACAGTCGTCTTATGCAGACGGCTGCCAGTGTACGCGAGGTCTCACGTCAACTACAAAGACGCTCCACCAAGCAAGCCGTACGCAATGTCATGATAGTCACCAAGGCCCGTGACAATGCCCTGGTTGATTTGACGCGCGAGTTGGCCGAATGGCTACTCGTCAAGCCGCGATATGGCAGCGACGTGGGTGTCAATGTCTACGTCGACTCGAAGCTGCGTCGCTCCAAGCGCTTCGATGCAGATTCCTTGACTGCCAAAGACAGCCGCTTTGAGAGCATGCTTCGTTTCTGGACTCCCGCTCTCTGTTGGGCTTCTCCTGAACTATTTGATCTCGTCATTACTCTCGGAGGAGATGGCACTGTTCTCTTTACATCGTGGCTGTTTCAACGCATCGTTCCGCCGGTCATGTCCTTCTCATTAGGCTCTCTGGGCTTTNTGACGAATTTCCAATTCAACCAGTACAAACACCAACTAGACCGCATTATGGGTGATGCGGGTATGAGAGTGACCATGCGCATGCGATTTACCTGTACAGTCTATCGAGCGGCTGCATCAAACTCCTCGTCTTCCCTAGCTCCTCACAACTCCTCCGACCCATCATATCCTGCGACAACAAATCCAACTAAAATTGAGGGCGAGACTCACGAAGTGCTCAACGAACTAGTCATTGACCGAGGACCTTCGTCCTACATTTCATCACTAGATTTGTACGCCAATGATTCACTAGTCACACGTATTTCGGCCGATGGTGTCATCCTCAGTACACCGACAGGATCTACTGCATACTCACTATCAGCGGGTGGAAGTCTGGTACATCCAGAGATACCCGCTATACTACTCACACCCATCTGCCCGCATACTCTATCCTTCCGTCCAATGATCCTGAATGACTCCATGGAACTGAAGGTCTCTGTCCCTACTAAAGGCAGAGGCGGTGGCTTCGTCAGCTTCGACGGCAAAGGACGAATTGAACTCGGTCTAGGCGATGAGGTCGTCGTTAGAGCCAGCAAATATCCCTTCCCTACCGTTTTGAGTCAACCAATGGAATGGTTCGATGCCATCAGTCGTACGCTACGCTGGAACACCAGAGCTGCTGACCAAAAAGACTGGGCAGGAAGAGATGCGGATGAGAGAGACGACGAATTTGATGAGGACGGTGCCCAGAAGAGTAACAAAGAACCCGAATTCGACATAGATTTTGAAGACGAGATGGATAGTGTTCGAGATTCTGGATACTCCGGGTCGAGTAGCACAGCATGAGCAATGATTTGCCATGGTCCTCTTACATTCTCCTTGGATTTGAAAGGCATAACCGGTCCTCACGGACATATAGAGGTAGCGCCGAGAGGGTTAGTGGTGCTTGAAGCCGAGGCATGCAAATGTTTACCAGATTTTGTCCTTGTTTTGCGATTGATGCTGCACAAGCATACCGAGCGGAAGGAGCGGCTGTTTCTTTATTTGTTGTTTTACTGATGACTTGCATACATATCACGACTGGCGTGGAAAGAGGGACGGGGAAGAATTTAGATCCAAACGAATAACGCACGCATGTAACTCACTCCTATTTTTATGGATTGCCAGTGCTCTTCATCTTGCAGCAATCCTTGCCGTCGGAAGTTCTTCCTCGCGGAAGTGACGCGGATCCTGGGCCCTAAAATTTCCCATTCGGGTCTTCCGAGCGAAAGAGTACAAGATCGACGGCACGTTTCTATGTGCCAAGTCCGATATCTTGACTCTCGGGCTCGTCTCTCCGAGCCCAGCCTTTTCAGCACACGTAGATTGTTTTCTTTGTTGCTGAAGGCTTCAAGCTGACGAGCAAGATATCTAGAAATTGGTTCGACCATGGGGAACCTATCGGCCCTTTCACAACCACGCAGTGGCATTCAGCCACGCCATAATGGCGTACGACGTGCCGAGATATCAACGGTGGGACGTTGTTTGTTTGGAAGAGCTTGAAAGCGGAATATGACGAAATCTGCATACGTGTGCTATCAATCCGGTCGCGCAAGGAGCGCAGTCTAGCAGCTTTAGCTATTCTCGTGTCTGGAAGAACGGTCGTGTATGGTTGGAACATTGACGGCGATCGCAAGTCGTCCCAATAAGCTAGCAGCCAGTTGAGCCCTGCATCTCTGCATAACCTTTATCGCAGCCTGACTCGACGCTTTTACCGACCGATCAGCCTCCTTGACGATCCGTCAAAATCCCCCCTGTCGCAGGTCGTGCTCGCTCAGTGTTCATCCTGTGGTGCCTTCGCAGCCTGGAAATTGGCATCATGTAGTCCAGTTTTTTCTCAGCGTGCGCGTCGTCGCTGTGAACAAATCGCATTCTTCATCACGGCATTCGTATCCGTGTAGTTGTGCGTTCATGTCATTCGAATCCTCCCTCGCTCAGCAGACTCCATGCTTCCAAGCAGTAACTGTGGGTCACTGATAACTGGCCTCGCCCCGTTTCGTCCATCTTACTGCCGCTCTTGATATGGAGAACAGGAGTGCCAGTGCTGAACCCAAATGCCATCATGGTCCCACTATCCCCTTGGGGCACAATCCTCAAGAGACACCGTGAGGCGGCTAGAACTACAAGTTCATCTAGGTGCCATCTCAGATTTTCTCCCAAAGTGTTCTTTACCAACTACCGCCTTTTTTTCTCTCTTCAATCAAGCCCACCCCTTTTTCTCGCAAAGGGTATTATCTCTCTTATTGTCACAATCTAGCATCGCGTTGCGTGACTGAATCCGGTTTATTCCCGACCTGTATCGGTCCTTATTGCTCAGGTCCTGCTCAAATTCTGCACTCTAACGGTGCACCTCAACACCCCATCTCTCGGTGGCGGCGTATCTATTTCCTCGCAACCCCATATTTTTTTAGACGTGGGTTGAAAGACGTGTGGTGTCGATCAATCTTCGCACCTTCGTTCGCACCTTCCATTCGCATCTTCCTTCTCGGCTGCTTCTTTGTTCGTTGCTTTCGTCGACTGTCGACTTTGGAAAGGTGGGGCAAGCCGACCATCACGCATTCGGTCACGGTCTTTTGAAACACAATTCACACGCTTGAGTATTCTTTGTTTCTATACGAGCGAGGCATCAAGCCTTTGCTCTGAGTTTTATCGACGATGAGTTCAGGGAATACACCGCGGATTGAGCTCAATCCGTTCGAGGATCCTCCGGAGACATCGGACAATGCGCTCTATTTCAATTCGAACCAGTCAAATGACTACTTGAGCAGCATGGAACCGAGTCGACCTGGTAGTGCCGGAGGTGTCAGACCCAAGGACAAGAAGAAGGTTGGCTTCCACCCAGACGCAGAAGAGCCACCACTTTTCAGGAAACATCGGCCCGCTAGTATCACATTACCTACGAGGATTACTTTGACGCCGCCTAGTGGTCTGAGTCCTGGCTTTGCATCCTCCGAGAGTCCATTTACTTCGCATTCTCGGGATTCTAGTGGAACGAGCGAGGCATTGTTATCATCTTATCGTAGCCATGCTCCTGATGTATCCTCCGAAGACTCGGAACAGATCAAGGCTGCCTTTGCCTCTTCGGCCTCGCCAACCGCTTCATCGCCTACCATGCCACGAATGCCTCCTCGACCTGTTCTCCGGCGTGGTGATTCGGCCCTCTCGACCGTCTCAGACACGGATCACGAAAACACAGTTCAGAGTCGACGGGCTCGTGAGGCGCACGAACGTGGAAAGAGACTGGAACTAGACGAGCGCATATCTTCGGCTCCAGCTTCAAGAGCCGCCTCGCCTGCACGCAAACTTGGTCTACCCAAGCTCAAGCTGAACCTTAGCGAGATCCCCCTGCAAGACTTTAGCAAGGTCGACTTTTCCGAAGAACCCAACGAGCACGACCCCCTTCATCATCTCGATGATGCAACATCTGACGACCTCCACGCATCGGCACACAAGCTTGTGCGTGCTCACGCCTCGATGGCTCAACAGCTTCTACATATCGATGCCTCTTCTGGTCTGGCATCTGCTGTAGCCACTCCCAATGAGGAGCGTGAAGCATATCTTGATTATGTTCCAAAGCCTGAGCGTCACCGTGCCGGTGTCCTTGGCGCTTTGCTTCGACTATACAACCACGACGGTCCGGCCGGCTCGGGACACGAACGCTCCTCTAGCCTTCCACGGGCTGCACACTTCCGTGATGGAAGCAGTGGTTTCAACACGCCACAGCATTCGCCTCCTTCCTCTGGATACAACACACCAAGTGGCAGGCCTCTCTCTGGTTATAGCACTCCTGGTGGCAGACAGTCAAGGCTATGGCACTCGAAAAGTTATAGCAATTCGACATCTTCTCTGGCCTACTTGGTTGGTTCTTCTGTAAGTGGAGGTACTCCAATCGCGGGCCTGCCTCTGGGAGAACAAGTTACGGAAAACTTACGCCAACGTCACGAATCCGAGAAGAAAGCCAAANAGTCTCGCGGCACCAATGTCTTGAGTCGCATGGGTCGTTCACGCTTGGATGAAGAGATCAGGATCACAAAGCACATCAAGGAGAATTTGGCTCGACAAAAGTATCTCCTCAAGCTTTGCCGAGCTTTGATGACCTATGGTGCGCCAACCCATCGCCTGGAAACGTATATGCGTATGAGCGCCAGAGTCCTTGAGGTTGATGCCCAGTTTCTTTACATGCCAGGTTGTATGATATGTTCATTCGACGACCTCTCGACCCACACAACGGAAGTTAAGATGGTCCGCGCTGGTGAAGGTTTGAATCTTGGAAAGCTCAGGGATTGTCACGAAGTCTACAAGGAAGTCCTTCACGATCGTCTGGGAGTCGATGATGCTACTGAACGTCTTGACGAGATTTTCAACAAAGAACCACACTTCAACAATTGGGTGATGGTATTCGTGAGTGGTCTAGGCACTGCTTCTGTTGCACCCTTTGCATTCAACGCTGGCTACCTGGATTTGCCAATCTGTTACTTTCTTGGCTGCATCGTAGGATATCTTCAGGTGGTGTCCTACCGTAACGAAGGTGTCCTGAACATGTTCGAAGTTCTTGCAACCATCATAACATCATTCCTGGCTCGAGCTTTCGCTTCTATAGGTCATGGTCGCTACTTTTGCTTCTCGGCTCTTGTCCAATCTTCGATTTGTCTAATTCTGCCCGGCTGGATAGTACTTCGCGCCTCGCTAGAACTCCAATCGAAGAGCATGGTCTCTGGAAGCGTGAGAATGGTCTGGGCTATTATTTATTCGCTCCTCCTCGGATTTGGAATCACGATCGGAACCGTTCTGTACGGTGCTATTGATAAAAATGCGGTGTCGACAACAACGTGCGGGGCTGATCGCCAGATTGGAGCGCACATTCAGCTGATCGCTGCACTGATTTTCTCATTTTCTTTATGCGTGCTGAATCAAGCCAAATGGAGGCAAATGCCTGTTATGATCATCATCGCATTCATAGGACGTCTGGTTAGCGTTGGTCTCGGTACGAAGTTTAAGGGCAATGGCCAGATCAGTGCTACAATCGCTGCCCTTGCTATTGGTCTCGCTGCAAATCTGCATTCACGATTTGGAACCAAAATCGAGAACAAAGCCCTGGACATTTGGGAGGCCTATCTGCGACCACACGTCAGAAATTTCCACAAGCGAATCCGTGGCAAATCAACAGCTCTTCGCGACCGACATTCTAAGAAGACGATGGAAAGCATGGAGTTCGGAGAGGCATACGACAGCGAAAGCATCTTTGTGCCACACATCAGACGCGTTGGCTACGGTCTCGCAGCCGCGGCCATGTTGCCCGCTATCCTCGTACAGGTGCCTAGTGGTCTCGCTGTCAATGGGAGTCTGCTATCTGGTGTCCAAGCTGCCGATCAGATCGCGGGAAAGGGTCAGAATGGCAGTACGGTTACTGATGCCGCAACACTTCAGTCCGGTGGCAGCGTAAACTCTGTGGCTTTCAACGTCGGTTATTCCGTGGTGCAAATTGCAATCGGCATCACGGTGGGTATATTCGCATCCACGTTGATAGTGTACCCATTCGGCAAGAGGCGCAGTGGCCTGTTCAGTCTGTGAGCGAGGTGTTCATCCGGCACTTTACTGTACAGCAAATCTTTTGATTATCATTGCAGCAAGTGTGAAATATCTTTGTTTCATTCTTGCATCAGCATGCTCACTTAGTGATGTATGCTTGGAACAGTAACCTTTCTTTTGTCCTTTGTCTTTCTAATCTATTGTTAACTAGCAAAGCATGGCTCTGGAGTTTTGTCCTTTTGTTTTTCTCATTGTTGGTAATCGCTCATTAATTCTTGTACTTGGAGAGGTTGTTAGAACATGGCCTCATGACTGATTACGACATTCCCTGGATTACGCTATAGACATAGACATGATAGATTTCCTATCGTTATAGATTACGATGCATTCTTATCTACTTCCTCCTGGGCTCTTGCTGTCGTTGCTATCGTTAACGATTATAGTGTCTCTGAAGCAGCACTCAACTCCTGAGAAGTAAGGCAAGAGCGCCCTACGATTCCACTGTCTCGATTAAGTGAGCAGACGAACTAGTTACCAATCCTGACGAACAGATCGAATATATGGATGTTACAATGATGGCACCATATACAAAACATGCCCGAAGGAAAGGTAGGACCTCCTATGCACTGGGTCATGCCACTCGTGTAGCTTTATGGCTCCAGCGTGGTCTGAGAAAGGGATGAGGGACCGCTAAGACACGACATGTCATAGACTCTCTTTGTTGCACCTCTGAGCTAGAAACTCTGTAGCTTACGGTTCGGACCCGTCCTGGGTGAAGTGTGGCAGTCGCAGATAAGTAACACAAGGAGGAAGCGTGTCGTTCTACCAGGACGACGAACAACATGCACAGGTTTCAGATTGCGTAGTGAGCAGCATTGAACCTGGCGATGAGCTCGTTCAGCGAAGCTCTCATCATGTCCATCTCGTTTCTCTGTTGCTGTACCAATTGTCGCAGATCTTGAGCTTCACTCCGTTGCTGGTCAGCCTGCTGTTTTAGGCTAGTATTTTCAGCCTCGACAGCTTCGATGCGTGTAACGAGCGTCGTAACTCGTCTTGCAAGACCTTGACCGTTTGCCGGTGGCTGAGAGTAGATATCTGCATCGGTAGGTACAGTCGTATCGTCCATAATCATGGGAGGTGTGGGAGAACGGACAACAGGTCGTGATGGTAAAACTGGAGAATGCCTGCTGTCCGAAAAGGTTGTGGGGATCCTAGGGGCCTGGTGGACTGGTTGAGCAGCATTGCTTGGTCGCTTCTTCCTCCAGGCGGGTTCTCTGATTTGGACGGCAGCCTGTGGTGGACGTCGAGTAGGTTGTTGAGGTCTTGTGGCATTTTCCAAAGCCATGATTGCATCAGCTTCCATGTCGTTTTCGTCTTGTTGAGCATCTTCATCGTCTTCATCCTCATCGTCGTCGTCGGATGAAGCACTGTCGTCTTCTATTTGCGTCACTTCACCCGGGACGACAGGGTTTACAGGTATGATAGTATCCTTTCTCTTGGATAATCCCATCTCTTTTCGCAGTTTTGCCAACTTACGAAAGGAAATGACGAAGCCATCTCGTCTGAGGATCTTAGCCATCTGTTGGTCGGTGTAATAGCGCTCTTGATAATAAAGATCGTATATGCGTTGTCTCATTTCTGGAGTCACTTTGATGCGCGGACGAATTGATAAACCCCAAGCATTCATGTTGCGTTTGAGAGTGTTTTCGGACAGCGAGATGCCATGCTCGCTGGCAAGCGTTTCGATGACACGGTTCATTGTCCATTTTTCCTGGTTGACCCACCAGGTGATGGCCTGGCGATGAGCAGTGATGTCGATGGGCTTTCTGGGCATTTTGAGATGGATGTGACGGGTAGAGAGCTATCGGCGACAGGCGGTCGTTTACGTGGACAAGGACTCGGTGGCTGCGACTTTCACATGCTCTGCTCCGCCGGATTCCGGTACTGCCCTCGTGCCAACGCTCCCACTACAGGGTCCTACTCTGATGACGACGATCGACTCTTCATTTATGTATTGATGACTGCCCCGCGCCTGTACTCGCATGCCTGCATGACCACAAATCACGACTACCCCCTCTTCCGTCCTCGCTCCTTCTCTTTTGAGATACCGATCCGTACACACGCATGCCTTGAATGCCGCCATGGCTCTTGACGCTGTCCCCGGCGCAATGCCATATTCACCACGACCCAACTCGACCAATACCACAAACACGAATGGACTGAGGTCACACGACGACACTCTCGCATCGCCCAAGATGCATCCTCAAGCCCACATCTATCCCCCGCCGCTGTCTCCGCCGCCCGAAGACCCCATGCATAACATCTGCGACGACCTGATTTTTTCCCAAGGCACAACAAAGTGGCCGCAAGAGAAGGACCGTATACTGCTGGCTCCCTACGACTACCTGGACGGTCATCCTGGCAAGGACATACGCTCGCTCCTGATCGGTGCCTTCAACGCCTGGCTGCATGTGCCAAAGCCCAGTCTCGACATCATTACAAAAGTAGTCGGCATGCTGCATACTGCCTCGCTACTCATAGATGATGTCGAAGACTCGTCTGTACTGCGTCGAGGCGTACCAGTCGCTCACAACATCTTTGGCACTGCCCAGACCATCAACTCGGCCAACTATGTCTACTTTTGCGCACTACGCGAGCTTATGAAGCTGAACAACCCTCAAGCCATCGAAATCTACAACGATGAGCTGCTCAACCTACATAGAGGTCAGGGCATGGATCTTTTCTGGAGGGACTCGTTGACCTGCNCCTCTGAGCACGACTACCTCGAGATGGTCGGCAACAAGACTGGCGGTCTGTTTCGTCTAGCCATCAAACTCATGCAAGCAGAGAGCAGCGTCTCAATCGACTGTGTTCCATTGTGCAACACCATCGGCCTTATATACCAAATCCGAGACGACTATAAGAACCTCTCGGACACAATCTACACACAGAACAAGGGCTTGTGTGAAGATCTGACAGAGGGCAAGTTCTCCTTCCCTGTCATCCACAGCATTCGTTCCGATCCGCAAAACCTCGTCCTTATCAACATACTCAAACAAAAGCCGCAAGACGAAGAAATCAAAAGATATGCCGTCAAATACATGGAAAAGACGGGCAGTTTCTCGTACTCGCGCAGGGTATTGCGAGGCCTGGCGAAGAAGGCTCTTGCACTGGTCGACGAGCTCGACGAGGGCCGCAACGAAGGCGAAGCGATCCGGAAGATACTCGATAAGATGCAGGTCGACGAACCTGACAGTGTCTCTTCCTCATCATCACCTTAGTAGGAGAAGATGCATCTCATGGCGTTTCTAAGGGGCATTTTGGTTTAAAGGACTTTCATATTTTCGGTCGACCTTTTAATAGGATTACCTGGCGACCTTTCTTGCTCTGCGTTTTTTTTTTTTTGATACCTCTTGCCGATGAGCATACATATCACAGCTGGACTTTTCTTGTATAGCTTTTTGCCAATAACCACATCATTCTTGTAACCTTTTACTTTGATTGCATTCGGATCGTTTTTGAACGTACATAGTATTCATCTGTGGAAAGTGTATGTACCGGGAAGATCATCCACCGAACTCTTCAAGTTGGACATCTTCCCACTCGACGTAGTTTTGATGACAAGAAAAACGAGGAACTGTGAAATAATGCCTTTTTGGAAGAAACCCAACACCTCTGAACGCCGCCGGTACAACCATTTGCCCCCATTTCATGCATCGACTTTGCGGAAGACAGAAACCACTCTCACCGTCCGACAGCTCGATGGAAGTCTACACTCTCTGGCGCTCTCTGAGAGAGAAGGCACAGAAGGCGGAAGGACTTCCAATCGGCCAGCATACTCGATGTTTCAGAACATCAAGAAGGCAAGGACGGGTGTTCAATTCAAGCGCTCCTTCTTGACCTTGATCTTCTCATGCTTGACCAGACGCGTCTCAGCCTTCTAAACCTTGACGTGCTGGCCCTGCTTGACGACCAACTTGTTGAGCTCCTTGTAAGCCTCATCCCACTCGTCATCCTTCTCCTCGCCCTTCTTGCCGGCAGTGGGGGTGACCATGACAACGGAAGTGGGGCGCTTGGTGCTGCCAGCGGCACCCAGCTCGGCGCGCGACGGCAGGAAGACGTAGGGGATGTTGTGGTCCTCGCAGAGGACGGGGATGTGGCTGATGACGTCCATGGGGCTGATGTCGGCTGCGAGGACGACAATGGCGGGAGCGGAGGTCTGGGCTGTGGCAGGGTCGGCGGGTGTGGTTTTGCGGACGGCCTTGACGACTTCTTTGACACCGCGCTTGAGGCACTTTTGCTTTGCGGCTGTGGGAGAGGTGTGTNNTAGTTGCTGCAAAAGCTCAATGCTGCGAGCAAAGAGACAAAACTCACCCTTCTTGACGGTCTTCAGGACCTTCTTGGTGGCCTTGTCGTCGCACAGAGGGTTGGCGAAAGGAACCAGAGCGCCGATGGGAGCGGCAGCAGACTCATCGGCAACAACGTCGGCATCAACGATAACATCACCGTCGGCATCGACGGCGACGGCGTCAGGTGCAGCGTCCTCAATGGCGTTGAGCACAGCAGTTGCGTCGCTCTTGCGCTTCTCCTTCTTCTCCTTCTTGACACCGCTTGCGTCGACGCTCTTTCTCTTCTCCTTCTTCTCCTTCTTTTCGCTCCTGTCCTTGGCCATTTTGATGTGTGATGTGTAGTGTTGTGTGTGGTTGGTTGGAGGTCGGACTTGAATAACTTTTTTTCTCTTTCGACGTTCTTCGAAGCCCGCACAACCCAGAGCTTTGCCCTTCACAATTGCTTCGCAGAGGTTTTGTGCCAAGACTTTTGCCGACGGAGATCTCCCGATTGGTTCTCCGAGTCCTTGATTCTGTCGGTATCACCCTGCTCTAACTATGAACATGGCAAACCTTCTGCAGAATCGTTGGATATTTGGCAATCAGCACGAAGACACTATGTCAAACAAGTCTCCATCACACACAGTGGGTAACTGGCCTACAGATACAATACTTTCATGAATGAACGGGCGGAAATCAATTCCAGAATCTCAAACGTCTGGAAATTGAATCGGCAAGACATCATGCCCTTGTATCAAGCAAAGTGGGAGGAAGGAAGTATAACGATATGAATACATTGAAAGGTACAGTAGGTTTACAGATCATTACCATCCTCTGGTCTCTCTTTCCCTTCACCATCACTACTCCTTGTCCCGCCTCCATCTTGACCTTCTTCCGTCTTCATATCATCCAAATGTCTCAAAAGCAAACCAACAGGCGACAGCGCTCCAAGCGCAAACAATGCCAGTCCACCATTTACTACCGACCGCACCGTCCTGAGTCCTGTGTTCCTGACGCGTTCCTCAATCCTGTCTGCACGAGATGTCGAATCGTCGGCAACTGCGTTTTCGACTGGTCCGAAACTAGCAGAAGTGCCAATAGACTCTCTTTCTTTTCCTTTCAGTTCATCATCATTCTCTTCATCCTCTTTATCTGCGCCAGGCTTCGTCTCAATCATATCTCTTTCACCATATCCCACAAGTTCATGCCCTGTGACCACTTCACCTTCGGCATTACTCTGTAATTCAACTCCCGTTTTTCTCAGCGCCTGCAGTGGCATCGCCTTGTTGGCTTGCAGCAGACCCGGACTTAGGTGTAGCAGTACCCTTTGCTCTCGACTCTAGCTTGCGAGGTTTCTTCTTCTCGCCAGTCGCAGAGTCGACCAGCTTCTTGGGCTTTCCCTTGGGTTTGGGTGCAGCCTGGCCAGAAGAAGATGCGGGAGCAGGGGTGGCAGCAGATTCCGACTTCTCGGTCGCAGGTGTCTCGGGAAGTGGTGTGTTCTCTGCCTTTTTCTGCGCCTCGTCAGCCAGCTTCTTGGGCTTGCCCTTGAGTTGCTTTGGTGGTGCAGGGAACGAGGCAGCTTCTGATTTCTCAGTTGCAGGTGTTTCGGGTAGAGGTACCTTCTCAGCCTTCTTTTGCTCTTCAGGCTTGTCGTCCTTTGGTTTGCCCTTGGACTTGGGCGCAGGCGAAGAAGCAGCTTCTGACTTTTCAACTGTGGGAGTAGCAGGAAGAGGTGCTTTCTCTGCCTTCTTTGGTTCCTCTGGCTTCTCACTCTTTGTCTTCTCCTCGGGCTTGGCTTCGTCCTTCTTGCCCAACTTGCGTGGCTTCTTCTTCTCAGTCTTGGTTTCGGCCTTCTTCGCCTCTGCAGGAGCTTCTTCGTCTTCCGAATCATCGGCGTGCTCGATCAAGAAGTGCCCGTCCTTGGATTGGCCCTTGTTGATCTGTTGTACATCGTTGGGGCATGCAGACATGACGACCACAAGATCTCTCTCGGCCTTGAAGCGCACGTAGTCGCCCTCCTTGCAAGTTGGAGGTTCGAATGAGAGATCACCCTTGTCGCCTTTCCATGGAATGTTCATGAAGAGGTTAAGTGGTGCTGGGACCGAGTTGACAGTGACTGATGCACCAACACCCTTGGGTCCCTTGAGACCAGCTCGTTCATTGAGTTCTTTGAGTGCAAGAACCAGGTTCTCGGCACACGATCCATGCTTTTCCCAATCTTCGATTTGCAAAGCCTTGTAGCGTTGAGGATCGCAAGCAGGAATCAAGGTGTCGTGAACGCCAGAGCTAGTGTCTTCAATGAGAGTCAACATGGGCTCTCTCAAGTTGGAGACGAGAACATCATCGACGCGCGGCACCATGTGAAGGGTGGATGCGCGGGTGTGCGGCATGCTGAGGTACTCCATCTGAGCGTTCTCGCCGTGCATGGCGTTCCAAGCACTGTAGCCAGCATAAAGAGATCCGACAGATCCAGAACCCGTAAGAGCNTACCGTATGTCAGCAAGTATTCAAACAGAACACGTTTGAGACTGACCTGATAGAGATGCAGCGCCTACAGGCGTTCGAGAAAAGTCGGCGAGTTGCTCGGCATATGACTTTGAGGGATCGCGTGCATGCTAATCGTTGGTCTTGGTTAGCGACTGACCAAAGGAATGTGTCATCGACGAAATGGCTATAAAACATACACTCACCTGAGAGGCGAAAGCAGAGATGGCTCCCTTGGGCAGATAACTGGTGACGCCTTGGCCATTGAGCAAATAGCTAGCCCATCTTCTCGAGTTCTCCTTGTCTTGCTTCTTGTCTGTCTGTTCGGTTGAGGCGTCCTCATCCTTCTTCTCAGAAGTCTTGCCATCATCTTTGGCATTTCCATCGGTAACCTGCTTTCTTCCGCGCAACGAAGGAAGGTACGAGGACCAACTGCTCTTGGTCGGGGTAGACTGTTGCTTGTTCTCTGCATCAGCCAATTGCTGTTGTTGAGAAGTAGCAGCCTCGGCTTCTTCTTGCGAAGGCAGGTCCAAACTTCCTCGCGACTTCCTGTTGTTGTTGTTCTTCTTGCTAGCCTTGTCTTTTTCTTCTTGCTCCTTTTTTCTCTTGTTGTTTTCTTCTTCTTGCTGCTTCTTTTCTTCTTCTCGCTGTTTCTTTTCTTCTTCCTCAGCGACCTTTAGCTTCTCCTTCTCATCCTGCTCTTGATAGCTCTTGTCCTTGTCGTTTTGCGGCCCAGTCTCCTGTGGTCCGTTNCTTTTGGGCGGAGTTGGCAGTGCAAAAGCCCAGGTGTCTATCACTTGGGTGCCAGAAGTATTCACAATCTTGATCGTACTACCCTTAGGCACGAACGTAGCTGTACCATGGCGTGCAGGGATGGTTTGGAGATCGTCTGAAGACGACATGTTCGTTATGCTCTGACTTGTTGGTTCAGATTAGAGATGAGATGTAAAAGAGCTACAACGACGAATATGTTGCTTGAATGAATTACGAGGTGAGATCAACAGAGTGCACTCGAAACAATGGATGGGATTCACAGAAGGCTTCGAGAAAGCTGTTTGTAGCTCAGCTACCATGTGGTCGAACCCTTCTCGTTCACACTACGCCATCATGCATATAGCTTATGCAGCGTTCACGGATGATTTGCCGCCAGAAAGACGGCTTGCAGGGATGTTTCCTTGCTTGTGGATGAGCAGAAAGTGACACAACGCAGCTGGCAAGATCTTGGATATGCACGTTTTGATGACGTATCGCTCACCCGTGTGGAGACCATTGAGGGCGGCTGGATGGCTCGGTCTGGACTCGAGACTGTCACTTATGCAACACTTTGCGAAATAATTATCATCGGATGTAAAAAGAGCTAATCGTATGCTAAAGAAAACAAGACCGATGCCACTCCTGTTGTCTTCCAAATCACCACACCTTCCTTACCCCTTAGCGTTGTATCGGTCATTGTACGCGTTGACCGCCACTGCCACCTGTCTATATAGCCAGTTTCGACTTTGCTCATCTGCGACTGGAATGAATGGTCCATTATGTCCTCCTTTGAGCACAATGCTCATGCCTGTGCGCTCCTTGGTGATGGTTTGGATATCCTTGAGGGGCACATCCCATTCTGTCACAAGTTTCTTGGTCTGTACCAACATGATGCCATTGTAGGTGAGCATGACCATGCGTGGACTTTCGGCGCTTGTCGTCTTGGTGCGTGCCTGAGTTGATTGTGATCCACTTCCTGAAGACAACTCCATGTGTGCGATGTAATCCTCATGGAAATACTTGCCATTGTCCAAAGTCTTGAGCCAGAATTGACCCAAAGCTTCACGTTGACTGTAAGGTCGAACAATGCCATCTTGTCCAATGAATCGTGTCAAACGCACACGGTCAAGACCTTCTTGATCGAATACTGTTGTAGTGTTACGAACACCCTCGGCCATGTTAGACGCCAAGTCGAATGCTCCAATGGCGGGCTTGGTGGCTAGACCAAGGAAACCCTTTCCTACACCCTTGACAAATCCAAGAGCACCTTCCTTTTCAGCGCCCTGCAATGGATGTCTGGCAAGACCACCAATGCCGCTTGCCATGCTGTTCGCGAAGGCATTACCTCCGGATGTGATACCATACAAGGCATGCTTTGGTCGGTTACGAGAACGAGACATGCGGCGCTGGTCTTGGAACTCCTTGTCCATGGATGCGGCTGCAAGACCTTTGCTGATGCTGCCTGTGAACTTGGCCATACTGTCCGAGAAGCCGAAAACACTCTTCTTGACGAAACTACTGGCACCCTTTGCGATGCCGATACCAAGATCTTGTGGTCTATCAGTCATGACAAGACCTTGGTAAGGTTCGTAGAAGATGTCTGCAACACCAGAACTGATGTTGTTGAAAAGGCCAACCGGGTTACCCAAGAAATCTGCCGAGCCAAGAACAATATGAACTTGACGAAGAGATTCTTGGACATAGTGGCTCTGGATTGCAGCGATCAAGGCACCAACAGACACTCGGGCGTTCTCGAGCATGAGTGCGTTGTAACGAATGGGTGCATCGTTGACATTGCCAATGGACATTGTAAGAACATTGACAGCAAACATGAAGGGGTTGGATGATGAGCTTCCAGTATCCTCTGCATTGATGCGTTCGGTTCTGACGAAGGACAGATCGAACTGCATGGGCTGCAGGTGCAACAGCTCAAAGTAAATATCTTGACCACCCTCTTCTTGTTTAGGTTCAGGAATGTCAAGGTTCTCGTCACAAAGTTGACCTTCCTTTTCTTCGGACCAAGAAGCGCCTGGAATCTTTGTGAAGTCGAGCATTGCAAAGATGAAGTCTTCGTCAATTTCGATGGTCATCTGTTGCATCAAGAATGTAAAGTACTTGATATACAGCACACCATAGGAGTCATCCTTGACCCGTGTGATCGCGGCCTTAAAGATGGGATGAGCTTCCATCTCCTTTCCAGTCTTCGGAACCACACTGGGATAGAATATCAGTGGGAAGATACCACCATAGAGCTGATTATCGACCTGAATCCATTTGATGGTGGAGGAAATGGTTTGATATAGGGGCGAGTCCTTGTAGGACAAGTCAATGTCTCGCAAGGTGACATAGACAAGCTCCTTGAGCTGGCGGTTGATGAGGGAGATTCCCAAACCAGCGAATCTAATTTGAGCGCTCATAGTGACATGATCGTCCAAGTCTTTGACCTCGAAACCAGTCGAATTCGACTGAGAAGCCGAGCCAGCCTTTTGCTTGTACAAACTCTTCGATGGCTTGTAGTTTGACAAGACGAGAGTCTGAGTGGGACCATCGGCAGCGACATTGAGATCGATGATCTTTTGTCGATTGGTGCCTTCGGCTGCAGGCAGTCTCATTGGGATGAGGTTACCAATTTCTGCAAGCTTGACGTGTCTCTCCTTGCCCTTTGCGTTCAACACAAGATTCTTGTTCTTGGTGGCAGGGTAGTCCCAAGCGTATGGCATGATACTCCTGGGTGGCAATCTGTATCGGATGGGCTTCCAACCAGAAGTGCGCTCGTCCTCGTCTTCATCAACGTTAGGGTTTGCCTGCCAGAAGATGAATTCGACATCACTCTCGTTGCGAATAGAGAAGGGCCAGTGCTTGGTCTCGTGACTAATGTGCAGGAAAATCGTAGCATTCTCCATGAGAATCTCCACTCGAATAAGCTTTTGTCTTTCGCCAGCCTTTGCCAATTTGACGTGGACACTGCCAACATTGGCAATGTTGAATGGAGACGACCAATTGTTGTTTACGCCTGGGAAGCAAAGACACAGTTGCTGTCCGCTCGACTGTCTCAAGAAGCGCAGAGGATGAAGGTCTTGCGGCTTCAAGGTTGTGACATCAGACGAGCCAGGCTCCCTGATGTTGAGATCCTCACCGAGCTTGTTGCGGACCACGAACCGAGGAGCGATAGTGATAACCTTTGTCAACTTGTATTTGCCTTCGCCTTCCTCAACCGTCAGACCAACGTGCATTTCTGATCGACCAGACTCTGCAGCGACAGTGACATCAGTAGTTGACCCGATGGCCTCAAAACTGACTGGCTTGCTCCAACCAGAACCATCAACCTTGATGAGTGCACGGTTCTTTTGATCGTCGGTGGGATAGGAGAACATGAATGGGACGGGCTTTCGTGCTTCGTCTGAATTGCTGAATGTAGTTTGTCCCGCTGCAGACTTGGCAGCGCCAAAGTAGGTCTTGCTCCTGATGTCAAGCCCTAAGCCTGTTCTGTTGAGAACGACATAGGGACTGTAGACCGTGATCTTGAAGGCACCTCCACTATCAGGGACGTTGTAGTAGTGCAACTTGAGTCTAAGGGTCAGATCCTGGTTGTCCTTCACGACGAGCGTCTTTTCGCGACGGAAGTCATCGCGCCCTGTAGAGTTGATGATAGCAAATTCACTTTGCTTGAATGGTGTATCTTGCATGTCCACACTCATCAAAAGTAGGTGTGAGAGCTCAACGACATGCACAGGGCTGACACCTCCCTTGCGCAAGAAGTTGGTCCAGTCCTTCTTGGTGTTCTTGTCGTAGATGCGGTACTTGAAGTCGAATGGCAGCAAGTTCTGGATTTCGACGGGCGCAGAAAGACGAATGCGCATGTAAGGATAGGTGGCAGAGATGGGGTTGTTCTTGTCGTATACAGCCTGCATCTGGAAGTAGAAAGGCGGAGATGAGTCTTGTTGCTCTCCCTGACAAGTGATTGTACGCGTAGGACGCTTAAGCAAGTCTTTCCAGAACAAGCGCTCATTCGACCAAGTGTAACCGAATCCTTGATCCGGACGAATGACCAGAGAATGCATGAAGGCGGCACCTACAGGAGCCGATCGTGCATCACCAGGTGCGACCTTCTCGATCTTGAGCAAGTTGCCCTCGTCTGGACTATAGACACCAACTTCAATGGGGATTTGAGTGTTGTTCTCTACCAGCAGAGGTGAACGGAAAGTGATGTATTTGACGTTGTCTGCTCCGAGCTTGACGTCAACCAGAATGCGGTGTTGCACCTTGTCTTTGCGTGGCTTGAGATTGTAGAGAGTCTCGCCCTCGCGACTGACGGGTATACGCTCGATACTATCGAAGCCACTGCCCTCAAGCTTGATGCCAACGACGCCGGTAGCACCTTCTGGTGATAGCGTCTCTCTGGTAGTACTCGGATCTTCGAATCTCCAAGGAGCCTCTTCTCCATCACTCAGCTTTTCTGCGGCACCTTCTTGATCGTTTTCTGTCTGAGCCCATACATTGAGATCGAAGCCAGTCTGGTTACGAATGCGATAAGGAGCATCGGATCCACGTGGTTTCGAAAGGATATCCTCGTCGTTAGACAAGAACTGGGCCGACTTGGATGCCAATGCAATCGTGGAAGAAGTCATGGTAAGCTCCAATGATTTGCGCGAATAAAGTTCGACCGCCAGCTTATCGGGATTCAGACTCTTTGCCATGTGGAAGCCAAGCGACCATGGCTCGACCAGAGGCTCCCAAGCAGACTTGGAGAAGTTATACACGTTGAAGAATGTCTCGATGCTAGTGTCTGCCGTCATGGCGCCACTCCAGTCGCGAACCTCTACAGCGAAATTTTTGACGCTCCAGTCGAGCATCGGCAACTCATGAAGGTCGCCAATGAGGACCACTCGGATACCTTGGAGATTGACTTTCATCTCTTCACGCTTCAGCATCGCTGAGCCCTGAGGTTCAGCTGGTGCCTTAGGTGCAGTGGTGGCATGCGATTTCTTCGTGGCAATAGTATTGGCTCTAGGCTTTTGTGCCGAAGATGGCGCTCTACCAGTCTTGGGCCTGTTGGATGGAGCTTTGAGCTGATCAATTTTGGAGGGACCTTCCTTAGCAAGTTCGTGATCGTCATTCGCAGACATTGCAGAAGCTTTGTTGACAATTTGCATGGCCAAGAGGATATCACGAAGGGACAAGCGCAGTACCAATGGCTCGATCTCGACCATGATACTCATCAATTGAGCTTGCTTGTTCTCAGAGCGCATATCCACTGAAGTTTGGACGCTGAAGTCATCAAGAATTCGAAGTTGACTAGTCTCAAACTTGTCCATACGGCAGAGGAACATGCCTAGCTTGTCAACTTGGACGGCTGTGACGTGTTGCTGAGATACAAGGATTTGCTTGCTGCCAAGCACGATGGCTTCGGAGTTGGTAATGGCAGGGTTCGCGATAAGGATGATTTGAGCGTCAACAATGTTGACACGGAACGACACGCTCATGGGGTTTGTATCCTCGGTAGGCTTGGCTTCGGGCTGTTGTGCACCCACAAGTTCAGTACTGGTAGACATGCTGACTGCATCTTCTTCGCCAACCGACGATTCCTCTTCGTCTGTGATGATGAGAGGCTCGTCTGTAGCTAGACCAGCATTGACGAAGTGCTGAACTGCAAAGAGGTAATCTAGTGCCAAGATGATTCTCGGACTATCAATGGTCAAGAGAGCAATAAGATTGCGCTCCTTACCCCCAGATATGGAGACGCTGGCCATAAATTGTTGCTTGACGTCGGTGTTGATGAGTGACATGATCTTCCTAAACTTGTTCTTCTCATGTGTACGAGTGTCGGTTATGGTGAAGGATTGAACCAAAAGCTCTGACTCGAGTGACCCGTCGCTGACCATGCGTAGCTTGACATGAGTCTCGTTGAGCGAGAATTTTGACAGACTAGACGCTGCAAGATCTCCAACGGGCTTCGTGGGTTTACTTGATATGAGTTCGAGACCAACAGTACCAACTTTGAACACAAGATCAAGCTTGGTCCAAGTATCGTCGTCTGCTCCAATCTCAGGACCAAGGTGAGTAGGAGACTGAGGTTGTTCTTCTCGCTTGTCGTCCGAGTCGCCACTAATTGACTTGGCATCTTGAACTGTAGTCGCCGGCAACTCTTCCTTGACATGCTCTTCGATCTCGTCATCCGGATCAGTAGCAAAAGCCTCGGGGATTGAGCGAGAGAGTTCAAGGATGAACTTGAGCTGAGCCTCGGTGATGCGAAGGTTGACATTCGACATACTGCCTTCGATCTCTGTATCTGGTCGCTTGTACCCGGGCTTGTGCTCTGCACTGGTGATCCTGAAGTCGAGATCGACTTTGTCGATGAGATCGAGTTCCTCGACTTGATCGTTGAGGTAGTTGAATGTGGAGGTCAATCGAGTATTGTGAACACCAGCTGTCAACTTGTTGGCGGTGTCAGAGTCTTTGGAGTCGTCCAAGGGAAGGAACTCATTGCTGGCATAGAGCTCTCCCAAGTATGCTGTGAGGACGTCACGCTCGGGAGAATCGGTAATGACCATTCGAGGGAAAGCAACAATTGGTGTCTTGATGCGAATATCAAAGTGCATCTTGCTAGCACGCTCTTGTATGTTAGTAGCCTGGTTTGCAGCAGCCTGTCTGGCAGCATTCATGATGGCCTGCATCTTGCCAAACTTGACACCGAATTCCATAATTTTGCGGAACGGTTCAGTAACAAAGTTTACCTTCAATGAACCAGATCTAAGGTAAATGGAAGTGTCGTATCCAGGGTATGCTTCTGATGTTGCGTCGAAAGTTTCGTAGCGGAAATCAGCAAGCTCATCACCCTGAATAGAAACCAATTGGCGAAGAGATGATTTCTCGGAAACACCTTGGTTGACGTCGTCGAGAAGGGAAAGGTTGCCAAGTCTGGCCCCAACTCTCATGGTCTTGCCCATCAAGAAGATGCCAACTTCGGCGGATGTCAAACTCAAAGTGGCTAGACGGATACCATCATTATTGAGGATGATGGCAATACGCTTCAGTTGGGCTTTGATACGAATCTTATCTCCTGCGGGTGGTGCGCTGCTTTCCTCGGCCTCAGTTGATTCAATCGTTTGTGGTTGATCTGCTTGAGGCTCTCCTGGGTTGGTGAATGTGACCATGACAAAGTCAAGCAAAGTCAAAAGCGTCTTGCGCGTCACGAGTAGGTTGATTGTCGACACAGATACATCAAGATTGGTAGCTATGCCCTCATACGTTGACATGAATTCTGGATGCTCAGGATTGACCTTGAAGAACTTGAGCGAAAAGAGGTTTTGCTGCTCCTTAGTGTCGTCATCCTCTGAAGATATGAGGTTCTTGAATTCGGGAGAAGGATTCTCCTCGACATGGTCTTCTACAGCCAGAGTACGTAGACTGACTTCTGCCACCATGTCGAACTGACGCTGATAGAAGAGTAGATCAAAGTTTTCAGCGACGAGGTCAACAAGCAGTTGATCCTGCTTCTTGCCATCGGGGTCGGAACGATACAGCGAACCTTGAAGCTTGTCGACTTTGAATTTGAATTCGAAATTGCGTTGGTTGATATCCTTTGTCGGCTCCTTGGTAGTCTGTTTGGCGTCCTTGAATTCCTCGTCTTCATTATCAGTTTCTTCTTCCATGACAAGTTCATGTTTCTGAGCGGAGAACTGGAAGGATTTGGAGCGTGGTTTTCCTATGACATCTGTATCAACGATACTCTTTTGTCTAGGCCGCTGAGTGTGTCTCTGTACGGCTTGGGCAGGCTTTTGCGCATTGTCCTCGTCCGTGCCGAATTTGGGTATAGCCACATCGATCAACTTCATCAGACTCTTGTACTTGGAGTCTGAGATGGAAGCATGCAGCACAGGTAGATGACCTCCAATTCTGAACTTGGTCAGACCAGGAGCCTTGGGAACGATGCATGTCTCTACTGTAAAATCGATATTGATTCGATCGACCACGTGCAGATGTCTTGATGTATTATTTTCGTCAAGTTGCTTCTTCGTCTCCTCGATGGATGGTCCAAGCAAAAGCTGTGTTGATTGTAGTTTGACAAGGAATTTGTCGTACATCAATTGTTCTAGACGTTTGTAATCCTCTTCAGTGTATTGTTGCTTTTGCTTTGACTGCACTTCGTTCAAAGTGTCTTTGTCAATCAGTTCGCTTCGTACACTAATATAACCAGCATCGAGAATCATGCAGAGGGATTCTTTCTTGGTGACAGAGTCGGGAATGATGATTAGAGGGGCCTGTAGGTCGAGTTTGGCGTCAATAGTCTTGTGCTCTTGAAGAGCATACTCAAGACCTGCACGAGTCTGCTGTCTCAAGCCTTCGACGGTAGCACTAGCAGATTCCATGAGTGCGCCAATCGACTCCATGTGACGCTCCGGAGGTTTGAAAAAGTTGGCAACTTCAACAACGAACTTCGGGTTGTATACAAACTCCATGGCTTTGAGTTTGACAGTCAGATCAGTATCGGCATGGCCATCGAGCGGATTGTTCTCGAAAGTCAAAGCAAAGAAGGGGTCCAGAGGTGGCTCATCTTCCTCGTCCACACCTGCAGCATCGTCATCCTTGACTTCCTCAATTCGTTTGTCGTCTGGAATCAAGTTCTTGATGTTGAGCATCTGAGGAAATAGATTTCCTTCGGTTGTGCCATCAAAGAGCTTCATAGTCTCGAGACTGACTTCAGCAAGCATAGAATCAGTACGCTGCAGGAATTTGGTATCGAATCCTTGGAAGACGAGCTGAAGCATTTCTGTAGCCTTTCCATGAGGATCGCGCTTGAGAGTGAAGCTACCTTCTCGAAGGCTCATGTCTACCTGAAGTTTAATGGCTTCTTTTGGCATGTCCACAGCGTCGGCAATTTGCTTCTTTTCGTCAAAGTCGATCGCATCGTACAACTCCTTGCGTTGTTCTTCCGTCAACTGGGTCTCATCACCAGGATGCTCCTCAGTCTTCTTACTTCCCCAAACCCAAGAGGACCACGTCTGCTTTTGTGGAGCCTTCTTGACACCAACGTTTTCCTTCCGCAGCTGGTTACGAGCAAGGGATCTCCAGAATCGAAGATCTTCGTAGTTCAGCTTGCGTTCAAGTTGATCCAATTCGGTTGTTTCCTCTGGAGTAAGCTTTTCCTCCTTCTTTTTCTTTTTGAAAAGACTGATGTATTTGACGCGATCATCACGACGTTCCTTGAAGTAAGCCCAAGTCCATCGGCGGTTACGCTCATGGATCTTGTCATGCACGGACTTGGTTGCGAATCGAAGCCAGGCTCGCGGATCTTCTTTAGGAGACGATTTGGGTTGGAACTTGCGGTACTCCTGGTGACGGATAAAGTAATGGAACAAATCCACTAACATGAGGGCATCACGATACTGATCGTCGTCGATGACAAAGCCAAGTTCATTGAACAAGAGGCGAGCCTTCATCTTGGGACGGTCAAGCTTTCCGGTCTTGTCAATTTCGAGGCCTGCACGACCAGTTACTGGCTTCAATATGTATTGGTGCGCGCCAAAATCGGTGTCGTCCTTCTTTGCAATCATGTCTTTGAACTTGTCCATGATTGTATTGTGGTCTATTCCTTGCTCTTCTGCAGTCTGTGAACCCTTGCCAGAGCCCAGGAGCTTAGCATCCGTATCCCAGTAGATAGCGAGGGCACCAAGAGTGGCAAGTTTGTGGGTCGAGCCTGCGGAAGTGCTCTGGATAAAGGTAGGCTTCCAATTCTCGTCCGTACTTACGGCACTCAACTCTTGCAACGTGAGACCAGCAGCAAAAGGATGGCCGGGATCCGAGATGGAGTCTTCATATCGAATGTGTACATTCTTCACTGAAATCTGCAAGTTGTCGACAATAGCAGTAACCAAACTGGCCGTAAAACTTTGGTTCTTCTGTTGCTCTTCTTGGCTCATGCCTTCTGCGCTTCTTTCTTTGAGCAGCTCTGCGCTGTCGAGCTTTTCCATCTTGACAGCATGGTCGCGCTTGTCTTGGTCTTCGGGGTTGTAGTCCTGATCTTCTCTCGGAGCGGCCAGCAGATATACATCTTCGATCTTGACTTGTACAGGCTTGCCTCGAAGGTTGGACCATGGGATCGAGAGGGTCAAAGAGCCTAGGTGGCCTTCGACGACGTTGATGGGAAGGTGAAGTTGGTCGAGGGCTTCTCGGCGAAGCTCGAGGTCGCGTAGCTTGACATCGCCAGACCAGATGCCAACGTTGAGCTGCTTTGGGTCAAAGTTCTGGACATACATGCCCAAGAACCTGTTGAGCAGGTTCGAGACGAGACCTTCCAACATGACGGCGGTTGGGTGCCTTCAGGCAGATGTTCGATCAGAAGCGTAGGACGAACAGAGAGTACTAAAGGTGATTATCGTAGACAGGTCATCAGGTCATGAGGTCGCTCGGTAGGCGGCAAGTCGATTGTGTGTGGGTACTTGACGATAGTACTTTGGTTGTGGGCGGTCGGGCGCAAGGCGAGCAGTCGTTGTCAGGCAGCTAACAACTGAGTCGTCGCAGTGTTTGAGATTACCTAGAGAGCACACGCAAATCACAAGCGAGATCGTGGTCGTCGTAACAGTTCGTGAACACAAAGCACAGAGTTTGAGGAATCGTGGAGAAGAGCACTGTCGATTGTTGGCAGCCTGCCACTTTCTTGGAAACAACGCCGCTGATCGTGCCCACCCACGACGCGGAACGTGGAAAGGAAGGTGCCCCCGGTGACGTAATGACAGTTTTGAGCTTCACTTTCACCACAGAGGTATCTAACAAAACAGAACCTCCTGAATACGGGGCAGGTTCGAGGTGTGAGGATAAATCTTTGTCAGGTGAACAAATATAGAATCCATGCTCATGTCGAAAGTGTCAAAGATGGCTTGTCGTTCGTGTGCTGTATCAGCAACTGCAGTGGAGGGGATCGGGGAAGGAACGAATAATGACGTTTGTTGTAAAGAAGCTCCACCAGCTACGCAAGAGCTGCAAGCATATGATAGGCACAAGAGCTTGGTCGTGCCTTACTCAAAGTTGCAACGGAGGTGTTTCCTGGCAGCTTCTCTCGGTTCCTTCTACTGTCCTTCTCTACCAACCTTTGTCCTTCTCACATCTCCACTCACAACATGTTCCGCGCCGGTGCTGCTCGCCAACTACGCGCCCTCAGTGGCCTTGGAGCCTCGGTTCCTCGCAGCTCTCAATTCTCCTCGAAACTATGCACCATTTCGCAAGCAACCCGTCCGCTCGCGATTGGCAAACCCATGACCCTTGCCGTGGCACGCTATGCTACCCAGCAAGCGCCAATGGACAAGATTAACAAAGAGGTGGAAGCAAGATTGGGAGATGAGAAGCTCAAGGCGGATCCCGAAACTGTTAGCAGCACGTCGTCTACTCACCCCGTCTTTGGCGAGGTTGGTATGACCGAGGATCCGCACAAAGATGCCGACATGATGGCTGGTGTCAAGAACGATATGGTGAGCGGCCAATTTCACCTTACCTAGGTAGTCAGGTCAGCAGTGCACTAACCTCCACCCCAGAAAACCATCAAGGATACCTTTTCACTTCAAGAGGTCCCTCGCGAAGCCTACAACCTGGGAATGGCTGGTGTCCTTCCTTACCTTGGAACCTCTATCTCCACAGTCTACTGTGCCTGGGAGATCAACCACGCGCACAACACTGGTTCTGGCTTCATGCTGAGCGAGCAGACTGCCGAAGCAGCTCTCCATGTTCTCGAACCTCTGCAGGTTGGATACGGTGCTGTCGTAAGTTTGAGCCACCATCTCGCATCCCAATTAGCTCGTTAACCTCTTTTGTAGATCATCTCCTTCCTTGGCGCTATCCACTGGGGTCTGGAGTTTGCTGGCTACGGCGGAACAAAGGGCTACAAGCGCTATGCAATTGGTGTTTGGACCCCCGCAGTTGCATGGCCCACAATCTTCCTCCCGGTTGAATACGCTCTGATCACCCAATTCGTCGCTTTCAACTTCCTCTACTACACTGACAGTCGTGCCAGCAAGAGAGGCTGGGCCCCTCCATGGTACGCTGTCTACCGTTTCGTTCTGACATTCATTGTTGGCGCCAGTATCGTCATGTCCTTGATTGGTAGAGGCCAGATCGCCGACCGTATCAACAAATTGCCCGGTCCCGCCGACAGAGTTCGTGCGCTTCGTGAGGCTCAGGCACAGCAACTCTCCGACGAGGAGACTGCCAGACGTGCCAAGGTTGTGAGCAAGGACGAGCAGGAGGACGATGAGGAGTAGAAATCCAAACACCGCCGGCTCTCACCTCACGCTACCAAGAAGTCGCATGCCTAGAGCAATGCACGAAGACAAGACCATTTCCTTTCTTAATGTATGTACCTCGAATGACTAGTTATTAATCAGCAAGCCAATGCAGCGCGCAATGGACAAACCACATAACAATGTCAAGTTGGCCTTATCTAGACTTGAACCAGAGCTATGGGTAAAATCGGCGTCTAGATGCTGTGTCGAGACGCAAGGCCAGGTAAGGCCTCTAATTTGCTGCAAAGGATTGATCAGCAGACTGAGAGCCGCGCTATCGGGGATACATTCAGAGTTTGACTGTTGACTCGGGTATCTCCTCGTTCGTGGAGATGGCAATAGGATTGACCCGAATGTTTTTATATGAAAATCCGTACGAAGGAGCAGTTTCCACAGTTAGAGCTGACGAGTCCTGCATGCCAAGCGACACTCGTGACCCTTCTGAACCGGGGCAGCCGATCTCGATTTGACCGTGGTCGCAAAGGGATCGGCACTCAGAACTTTTCAAGTTTGTGCCTTGCCGGCCGTGCATTTAAAGATCGTCGCTCCGGTGTCTTTATTTCCAAGCACGCGACAAGAACCCTGAAGAAAAATTGTTTTGCTTGTCGGAAAGGGGCTCTGTAGCTAAATGAGGATACACAAGGCGGCCAAATGCAGACGAGATTGCAAGAAAGAGCCTCGAGCTCGTAGACCTTGGCCGGGTAAATCGCTACAGTGGAGCGCAAGGCTGTGTGACCGGCATCCCCGTGGGAATATAACACCGAGTGAAGCCCCGAGAGGCTGTAGACCCGAAGGCGGAATTGTTAGTGGGGATGGTGGGGTCNGCCATGGACAAGTTGAANGTGTGTGAAGTCATCCTGCCCAGCGTCAACAGCACGTCCATGTCTGAAAAACTGACTTAACTCTGGTTCCCTCACGTCTCTCTTTCTCTCTTCCGACATCCAGCTCATTGCTGTGCACTCTGATACCCCCTCGAATTATTCCGTCTTTTTCGCTTGCCGAGCGACCTTCACCCATCCGTTAGAGACGAATTTTGGTTTTACCCTGCATTTGGGCCCTACGCATTTTTATTTTCGCGTACTCATTGCATACTAAAGAACTGTCTCATCGCTTCTCAATTGACGAAGAAGCCAATCACACATCAAAATGGACGGCTCAAAAGAAATCCCCAACATCGACCAGAACCCCCAGCAGCAAGCAGATCCGACTTTGAAAAAGGCTTCTGCTGCCACTGATGCAAAGCCCAAAGTCAGAACCGAGTCCAAGTCTGGAGCTCAAAGACCGCCGTTGAACAGATTCACTACTAGTCACGAAAATGTTCTGCAAGAGCACTTCATTGGTGCAATTGACCAGGGTACCACTTCATCAAGATTTATCATCTTCGATGGAGTTGGTGAGCCTGTGGCAATGCACCAAATTGAATTTGAGCAAAAGTATCCCGAATCTGGGTAAGTCTAGGAATTGCTCTGTTGCATCTGCAGCGGTAGTATTAACACGCTTCGCAGTTGGCACGAGCACGATCCTTGGGAACTCGTCGCTTCAGTAGAAACCTGTATCGAGGAGGCCACCAAGAAGTTCCTCGAAAAGGGCCACAAGGTCTCAGACATCAAGGCAATTGGTCTCACCAACCAGAGAGAAACAACTCTGGTTTGGGATGCTGAGACTGGACAGCCTCTGCACAACGCCATTGCCTGGCCCGATACTAGAACCAAGGGTCTTGTGCGTGAGTTCAAGGACCGCAAGGGTGACCAGAACTTGTCCGAGATCTGTGGTATTCCCCTCTCCACATACCCATCGTGCCTCAAGCTCGTTTGGATGTTGCGCCACGTTCCCGAGGTGCAAAAGGCCTATGACGAGGGTCGCCTGTGCTTCGGTACCGTCGACACTTGGTTGATTTACAACCTCAACGGAGGAAAAGAGAAGAACGTCTTCGTCACAGACTCTACAAATGCTTCAAGAACCATGTTCATGAACCTTCACACCTGTCAATACGATGACAAGCTTTTGAGCTTCTTCGACCTTGATCGCACCAAGCTCAGACTGCCTAAGATTGTTCCTTCATCTTGCGCAGACGCATACGGTACTCTCGCTAAGGGTACCCTTAAGGGTATGAAGATTGCTGGCTGTCTTGGTGACCAGTCTTCGGCGCTGGTCGGTCAACAAGGCTTCACTCCTGGCTCTGCTAAAAACACATATGGTATGCATTCTACTCATCGTTTCTGTTTAACACGCTAACACGTTAAATAGNGTACCGGTTGTTTCCTGCTTTACAACGTTGGCGAGAAGCCCACCATCTCCACCCACGGTCTGCTTGCGACAGTGGCCTACGATTTCGGTCGCAACAGAAAGCCAGTATACGCCCTCGAGGGTTCCGTGGCCGTCGCTGGTTCGGGTGTCAAATTCTTGATGAACAACATGGGTTTCATTGCCCACGCCGAAAAGGTGTCAGAACTCGCTTCCACTGTTGACGACAACGGTGGTCTCGTCTTCGTCACTGCCTTCTCCGGTCTGTTCGCACCATACTGGATTGATGATGCAAAGGGTACCATCTTCGGTATTACCCAGCACACACAAAGAGGTCACATTGCACGAGCTACCTTGGAAGCCACCTGCTTCCAGACAAAGGCTATCCTCGACGCCATGGAGAAGGACAGTGGACACGCCCTGTCAGACTTGGCCGTTGATGGTGGTATGAGTAACTCAAACATTTGCATGCAGGTAAGCTTTGGACGGTTATTGCAAGCAGAAGAAAGAATCACTGACTCTATATNNCAGACACAATCAAACATCATCGGTATCCCTGTCAACCGCCCTGCCATGCGCGAAACCACCGCCCTTGGAGCCGCAATCGCCGCCGGTTTCGCTGTCGACATCTGGAAGGAGTTCAGCGAGCTCAAGGCCATCAACCAGAAGAACCGCATGGTCTTCGAGCCCGAAGTCACTCCCGAAGAGAGCGAAAAGATGTTCAAGAAGTGGGATCGTGCTGTCAGCATGTGCCGCGGTTGGCTCGATGTTGACGAGGTCACCGAGACGTAAGAATTGCAGCATCACTTCTTGATGACCACACGTAACGAAGAGGAGGGATGATACGATAATATTTTCTTTGAGTTCTTGGATGATTTGCTTCGGATTGGCATACTGTTCGATACCCTTGTCATGGGTTCGCATTGTCGAAGGGAAGTTATGGAGTTGCATACACATGATGATTTGTCAAATCCTTACAGTATAAAGGAGATAAACTAGATGGAATTTAGATTGTCTTGACTTATTTTGGCATGTCTTGGTGTGACAATTTTTACTCTTATCATTGTCAACAGTAAAACTGACGCCTTGCGCATAGAGCCTGCTACAATTGATCAGCCTTGGCCGGCGCCTTTCCTTCCGTGATTTTCAACCTCCTGTCGACTTGATCGACACGATCATGGCTGATGCTAGAGAATACAATACTCCTGTCGGACCAGATAACTTCACTGCCGATCATGCCGACTTCGGCTCTTCAGAACTGGCACCCTTTTCTGCCTGTCACTATTACCTAGAGGCACTCGCAGGCAAAACGCAAGCACTAGGATCCCGCTCTATGCAACAATATCATGAGCCGTACTTGGAGCAGAGTCGAATATGTGCGCCGCAATCAAGGCTAAGTCCATACACTTTCCTCCAGACTCCAGCACTCGGTCAGCCTTTCTCATTGCCATCCCCTGCATTGTACTTGGAGCAGAGTCGAATGTTTGCATCGCAGCCGCTCTCAGAACAGTCTACCTTCCAACCTCCATCATCCAGATATCCCTTCTTACAGCCATCCCCCAGCGGTTTCTTGAGCAAAGCTAGGCCGCTGTACAACAGCCACTCCCACAGCCATAAACCTTCTAAAGCCCAGCACTCGCTTACTCCCTCACCACAATCGTTCGCAAACCTGACAATTAGCCACTCTGCACCATCTGCTCCTACACCACCATAGCAACAGTCACTCCCATAGCCACACACCTGCTAGAGCCTAGTACTCGGTCACTCCTTGCTATAGCCCGTCACAGATCATGCAGTTGGACACTCTGTAGCATCTGCTCCTATACCACCACCCATGCCATCACCAGTGCAGGTAGGCCCTAGGCTGGACACAACAACAGAGGTAACTAGTGCAGGTATAGGACTGCAAGGTATGAGCTGGAGCGACATAGAGCGCAGCACTGCTGCATACTTCGCAGAAGCTCTAGACGCCGACGTTCGTTTCGTCTGTCCCTTGAGTGCATGCTCACATGTCCTGGAAGCAGACGACGTTCTTGCCGATTTGTTGTTTCATTGTAACACCAAGCCCCACAAATTTGGACTTTTCAGCAACAACATCTTCCTTGTCTCGCAGGCTGTACCAAAGGCTTTCCGGACGAGCTTGCCAGACTTGCCCATCATATGAAACATGGATATGGACTCAAGCCCCTGACCATAACCTACCCAAAGGTTGGACGTATGTGGGAGCAACAGATTGATGTTTCTCACATTGTACAATGCCTACCGACTCCACACCTTCAGCAACAAAATATAGTCTCTAAGTCTACGTCTGACAGTACACGCCATTACTCTACGATCCGATCATCTGCAAACCAATATCCACTCTCCTAGATGTCTGGAACCTTACACTCGCTAATGCCATATAGGAGCTGCTACTAGCCTGGCGAATGCATATGACTTAGTCCTCTGTTTTTAAGAGTGCGGCAGCGAAGTACAAGCGAAAAGGATGGTGATAATAATAATGGATAAGTGCCATATCTTAATGTTCAAAATTAGAGCTCTCTTTCCTTAGATCTATTGTCAGTTTGTTCTTTTGTTCTGGTTCTGATCGGAAAGTCGTTGCATGGCAAAAGAAAATCTTAGCTGTAACATTCCAGAAATACTTTGATAGCACCTACTTGGTTCGACAATTTCAGCGACACTCGAGAGCTCCTGTTACTTTTCCACGCCTCTCGCAGTTTCGCTCATTCTCCAATTGGGCACATCACTCATCATTAAAACTGACAGCACGTAAACTATAAAACAGCGTTTGGTCAGAAACAACGATGGTCTATGACACCGATACAGTATCAGAGGCCATCCGTCACAAATCGCTATTTCTTTAGAGCCTCTCACAAGGCAACAGCGAACGGAAAATTGGGCACAATGTTCCAAACCTGTTTACAGGGCTTTAGATCACCAGATGCGTAACCAATATTCACAAGCACATTCGTGTGGAGTGTCAACTATTGGTAGCAATGGCAACAATCCTGCAATTCTTGTCAAGAGGTGGAAGTCACAGTTCGGGAGAAGAAGCTTCCGCTACGGATCAACCATCCCGACGCCTTTTCCGCAACCTTGGGGGGAAGAACGGGTTGAACCTCCTTCCCGAACCTTAAAACGCCAAAACTGCGAGAGGCAGTTTCGAGGTTTGGCAAGTTGACCTGGAGTGGATTCATTTTGCATTCTAATATATTTCCAACCATATCAAACAAGGGATCCCGCACAATTTTCCTCTCACGGGCTTAGATGACAGACAACTTGTCCTACTGAGCATTATGGATCCAGGCATACCCTGCTGCCAAGTCCCGAGTTTCACCACATGACAATTCAACTCTCGTACGACTGCTACGTCAACGCATGCAAGACATGCAAAACATCTGATGGTGTCACCCAAGTCGCATTTGTCGTTGTCGGTTGACGTCTGTCGGCGCTTAGACGCAGTCCGCGCGCCTGTTCCTGAGATTCTATGCAAGCCAAAGACCCGAAATGACAGACGGTAGACCGACACGACACGTCTCTAAATAACATGTCAAGCATCCGTGGTTGGTTCAATGGTACGGCACGAAAAACGGTAAGTCGATCTAGTACGCCATCATGCACGCCTACCAAGCAACGCCATGCTTGCTTTCTTTGCCAAAAGCACGTTGCATGCAGCAAAGATCTCCAGGCCCGGATTTCAGTGCGGCGGTCAAGGATGCATGATTTGCTTTGCATGGCGCGTCGACCTGGACGTCCCTACCCATCGGTCAACGGTGGAAGTTGCGTCAAAGGAAGATCTGTTAAGTATGTGATTGGAACAAGCTGTCAGAGGAATGGCTTACCAACCTAATCTAGATTTCTTGCATCAGCGAGCAGGGGAAGGGTATTGATCTCCTTCTTGGTTCTCGCTTGATCGGGGCACACCGGTGGTACAACGAAATAAATGAGGTGTTTCGAGATGCCCATCAGAACAGGTTGGTGGAAATTTCTGCTTGCTACCAGTCTTCTCATTTTGCTTGCTTTGGCCTCATGTGACTCTGTGATTTGAAACCAGACCAGGAACAAACTTGTCTCGATCTTTGAGAAAGGCTAGCAGCATACAGCAGTTCGACTGATTTGAAAGAATTCGACTCGAACAAATTTGGGCATTGTATATCATCTCGCCTCGTCCCCTCGACCTACTCTCACCTGTCATCTACCTTAGCCAACTCGAGCACAAAGGCACAATTTCCTCTTTACGAAGCTACTTGATCCAATTCTACACTTGCCACACCAATAAATTCCCCAACCAAACAGTATGTGCGATTACACCAAGGTCGAATATTGCTGTGGCCATTTACGATACACCGTACGTGCCTGGTGCGTCAGATACCAGGAGTCGCACAAACGTTGTCCTCCCAATGTTGTTGCTGTGTAAGTCATGTCACAAACTACATAGCTTTCGACCTCTGCTGACGCCGTCTGTACAGAGNAATACAGGTTCGAGGAACCATGTGGTAAGACTTTTGATCCACGTTTGAACTCAGCAATTCGAAGAACTCGAGAGATGTTGACTGTCATTCTTAGGTGACTGTAAACCACCTGCGCCACGACATGGCTACAGGACAAAGTCCAGCAGCAGGAAGTGATTGCCATCAAAGCCTCGACATACTCTTCTTCTTGCATCTCAACCATGTAGATGTTGACTTTCCGCATATCTTTCGAATCACCGGGACACAGAACACTGACTGGATTCATCTTTTCACGGATCTCTCTTCAAAGAGAAAAATCGCTGGGCCAGGTCATGGAACCACAGGATAGTATACGGCGTTTCATTCCGTTAGTGGAGCAGATATACCCTTTTCATTTTTGTTTTTGGATCAATGGCGGGAGTATCTATACGATTATCATGACATTTCGAAGTTTCAACATACCACAATCAACACCAAAAGTTTCTCCGTATCTCTCCTCATGTCGTTGTCTCAGATTTCAAGACTCCCATGGACCAGGATACAACAGAATCGATCGTCTGCATCTTTTCCAACTGATCGGTCTTGCGCGATCTCATTTTGCGTGTTGTTGAGATCGATTTGCACGGTCAGAAGTTGATCCATGTCCCTGTGCAACGTGACACACGAGTCAAAGCTAACATCATGTGGTAAGTGCGGTGTGTTTTGCCTCAAACCTGCATAAGAATCAAGTCTATCAGATGCATTGTCGTGTTCAGGCTAAGCTTGGTGAGGCGAGTCTGTTCGTCATGCCTTCGCCGTTGATAGAAAAGTTCCGGGCCAGTCAGAGCACCAGCCAGATAGAGCCCGAGGAGGATCGGTCAGAAACGACAATACTGCGCTCAACGATGACCAGAGCTGCCAGAGCAGAGTGCAAGAGCCAGCAACGGGCGCACTTGCCATCCTAGCGACAAGAATCACTCTTGGCACCTGGATGTACCTACCTGGTCCTTGGTTAATCGATCATTCCTCATCGATACCAATCAAATCTCTGCGCAAGTTCGTTACTGTCATGGACGCATTCCAGATGACTTTCTGTTACCTGTCAATTACGACCTATCACCTTCCAGATCAGTTATGCAATCTAATTTGGCTGGCACCCGGATCGTCCCTTCGGAAATATTGCTTGCGAAATCATATTAAATCCCGGCAGAGCGTCAAATGAGAGCAGAAAAGCAATCAGATGAGCCTCTTCGAATTCGAAGAAGATTTGGTCAGTGTACATAACTTCTTGCCCAGAACTCACTCATAGACTCTTCGATTTGCATAATCGCGGACAGGAGGTCGAGTTGATGACTGTGCCGTCTGCAGTTATCCATACATTCAATCGCCAGTTAGAGATTTGATGGGGGCACAAGGGTGAAGATGAAAGGAACCGAAGGGGTTGCCGCAGTATTGCTCCGCTAACCCAGAAAACAGTACCATGCAATGTGGAACGTTCCATCCCGACTGCAAGGTCGTCGATCATATATGCATGCATGTACTATGGCGTTCAGCGGTGTCGGATGCTTTGGAGTGGAGCGGAGGCCATGCCGGATTCTCTAGACTGGCCGTCATCTGACAGACTGCCACCACTCACTAACAGTGTACAGTGTGGCCCACCTGCCTTCCCTTTGCTGACAATGTCTGGACAGCTCAAACTTACAGATTTTGTGTTGTTGTAGACGGATGAACGTCACGAGTTCACGACTGTCGCTAGTCATCGTGTTCCACTTTGAGATTACCATCAGTGGTCTGATCCTACTTTCACCATTGTTTGTGTACGGCTTTATGCTTGGAAAATGTATAATCCTGATAAAGCTGGATGCAGCAAAGGCGGCTGAGATGCTCGAAGCTTTCGCGATGGCGACGTTGGATGGCAACAACTCATGTGTCAGCATCGATGCCATCGCTGGAGCTTCTCTGCTGCTTCATCTGTTGTCAACATACTACCGTCTTTAGCCGGTAGCGCACGTGACTCGACACTTACTTTGATGCTGGTGATATGACCCTGGCACTCAATATGGATGCTTGAACCACCTGTCTAAACGGCACTGGGTTCAATAATGGTACTCTAGAGGACATCTTTAGACCTCACACGCCACAATTCAAGCCTTCAAATCACAAGTAATTGTGTGTAAGCATCATATTGACGCATTTCGTAATTGTCTGTTTCTCGAGCCGACAGACCACTGGAAAGTATGTAACCACATATGGAACTAGCAACAAAAAGGGGGCGAAACAATCTATGATAAGATGGAAGAGAGCAATGCTTTGTCTCCAGAAGAAGCTCCAATTCGAACATAGGGCAAGCCAGAACACAAACATTCATGGTATGGCTATCCTGGTATACCCTACTCCATGACGATATGCGGACATACTGTTATATCCGTATCTCCATGCAGCCCCTCCTCTGTTTAGCCGCCGTCCACTTGAGTACAAGTACCAGCGATTGTCCCTTGCAAAGAGCCTGTGTATCTGTCACCGAAGCCTCTCATCGAAGGAAACACAATCACATCGTCAACATGTCCGACCAANAAGATCCCGTGCTCGAGAAGATCGAGAATACCAAAGCTGTCTACAAACGCCTGGGCAAGAGCGGACTACGAGTTTCTGTGCCAATTTTGGGTGCTATGTCATTTGGTGACCCAGCATGGCAACCTTGGATCTTAGATGAAGAAGCATCGCTACCACTTCTCAAAGCTGCTTACGACAAGGGCATTAACACGTGGGATTCGGCGAACATTTACAGCAATGGTGTAAGCGAAACGATCATTGGCAAAGCTATTAAGAAGTACCAGATTCCAAGAGAGAAGATTGTCGTTTTGAGCAAGTGTTTTGCCTATGTTGGAGAGGAACCTGGCATCAAGACCATGACATACGGCCAGAAGATCTCAGAGTCGCCTGACTACGTCAATCAAGGAGGACTTTCGCGAACTGCCATCTTCAATGCTGTCAACAAGTCGCTCAAGCGTCTTGACCTGGAGTACCTGGACTTGCTACAGATCCACCGCTTCGACCCCAACACTCCCATCGAAGAGACTATGGAGGCATTGCACGACCTCGTGCGCTCTGGCAAAGTTCGTTACATTGGCGCGAGTTCAATGTGGACATACCAATTCTGCATGATGCAAGCTTGTGCCGACAAGAATGGTTGGACCAAGTTTATCAGCATGCAAAATCAGTACAGCTTGCTGTACCGCGAAGAAGAACGAGAGATGAACAAATATTGCGACGCAACTGGTGTTGGTCTCATTCCTGTAAGTCAATTCGATGGGTGCTTGTCGAGGATTCACTAACAAAGCTCTAGTNGGGCTCCTCTTTGTCGTGGACATCTCGCTCGCCCTGCATCAGCGGCCGGAAGCACAACGAGATCTTCAAAAGAGGCTGAGGGCTTGGCTGGAACATCAGAGGTTGATGTCAAGACAATTGGGCGAGTACAAGAGATTGCTGAGAAGAAGGGCTGGAAGATGGCACATGTTGCTCTTGCTTGGATAAACAAACGCGTCTCTAGTCCCATCATCGGCTTCTCGAGCGTTGAACGTATGGACGAGGCACTCGGTGCAAATGGGAAGAGCCTGACCGACGAGGAAGAGAAATACCTCGAGGAGCTTTACCAACCAAGAAACATCGTCGGTCATTCTTGAAGAGACAAGGTCAGCGATAAGGTGGCGTTGCTTGTCTTGGAAATCAGTTGCTAGGTCAGGGTTGATTAGCATTCCACAAGACAAATCTCAGACACACACCTTTGTTATCAATCCTCCCTCCGATCCGTGTGCTAGACGACAGTGGAGGTGAAGGAATGCACAATAATTCTACAAAGATTGTGGTCTCACAGAGAGACCTCATCACTGACACAGAACACAGTTGAGCATTTCGACACCTTATAACATCCTCACTCCTCGGAAACGGGCAGAGAGTTAGTTGCGCTATTGTGGCTGTCTCCAACACAGTCATTCAGTCTCCCTTCTCACCAATGGCTCGAGTTCGTGGCAGCCCATCGAAGGATGCTGAAAAACAGGCAACTGCCAAGACTGGTGCCCAGAAGAAGACACCGGTCAAGCCAGCAAGAAAGAGAGGAAGAAATGACACACCTAGTCCACCACAAACGACTAGGTCGTCTCGATCACAATCACGGATTCGCCGTCCGAGTGTCCAGCTTGCAAAGACAAACACTGACGAACACGTACGCAAACGAAGCAGGTCGAGGGAAGTCAAGGATCCGTTTCGTCCTCTTGCGGCAGACATCTCAAGCGACAATTTGGTAGAGACGCCAGTACCAAAGGCGAAACTGCCACGGAATTATTGGATTGCAAACAGTGGGGAACTTTCGCCTCCATGGATAGCATGTTCAGGTTTCGTACCGCCGGCCATGATCGAGTTCTTGATGCGCTGCAAGAAGAGGACAGCTATTTCTGTCAAGTTCAAGAAGGGCGACAAGATCACAAATATGGAGGGTGCCATGCATACCTTTGTCACCTCTCTAGAGTTGGCCTGGCTGCATGGCGAGAAAGGCTACAACAAAGGTCACACCTTTACGCCGTACCTTCCAAGCGGCAAGTTCAGGAGTGGTCGACAAGTCCTGATAAGCAACATGATACACCAAGACTTCGAGACGGACGAGGTGATGATGAAATTGGCCTCTTTGACCAAGACCAAGACGACTCTTGTCGTGGACTTCGACATTCCCACCACCGAGGAGAAGCAGTCTGTTGATGTTCGAAACAGGTATGATGATGCCTTGCGACGGCTCATGGTATACCACTTGGTTCTGGATGGCGAACTCCCAAGCATGGAAGTGGGTAGCACCAAAGCCATGTCGCGTACACAAGCCAAGTCTTTCCTCGCTAACAAGGTCCTGAAAGTCGCCTGCAGCAATGTCCTAGAACAGGTCAGAAACAGATTGTTTTGGATGTCGGCGACGTCTAAAAGGNATGTTCCATTGCTTTCACTCGAGCTTCTGGTCGCGACTGCGTATCATCAGTTTCGGAACGAGATGGATGCTCTCGAGAGAATCTGCAAACATCAAGGTTATGTCTACACGTTTTCAGCACCTAAAATCTTCATCGGAGAGTTTGGCAGCACAGATGGTCTGATGGCATGCATCTATGCTGCTGGTCTCAAGCATTATCTGCAGACCACAAAGCCTCGAAAGATGCGGGTCTTCCAATTGCCTGAAGTCCCTGGGGAGTGGAGTTCGTGGATGCGAACGGCATTATCGGCTGCACCAGAAGTGCGGGTGATGACAAAACAAGAGCTGTACAGCAAGAAGGACCCCACCGACAGCTACAATCCACCATATGCGGGCACCATGCTTGTGTTGCACAACTGCTCGGATGGGTTTGGACAAAACATTCAGTATGAAGTTGGTGCTGGAAGTCTTGATGCTATCATCGGACGCTTCACGAGTGCAGCAGGAAGCCTACTTAACCACCGCGAGGACCTGGTAAGCATGGTTTCAATGCACGCCGAGTAAGGGTAGAGGGTCGAGGTACCGAGGAGGGGAATGTTTGTCTTGTGTTTGCTCTTCAAGAGAGTTGCGGCCGTGAGAGGGTCACATGCCTTCCAATTGTCGAAGTACCTTTGATAGTCGTCGCCCCGTTAATGTTGCGATATTTAGTGCCTCGTCAGCGCACATCTTGACTCCGTACTTCCGAAGGTCGAAGTTGCTCTCCAGGTTGGCGTGATGCGGCGTGATTCGTTCGAAGCTTCCCTGAGAAAGCTCGCGTGCCCAACCCAGGAAGATCTGAACAATTTCACGAATTCACATCTTCACAAGGTCGTCCGTCCAGAATCCAATCGGCAACACAACCTCCCCTGGAGATCCCTCAATAATTGCTTTTGATGCCTGGTTCAAAGGTACGCCTGTAACATAAAGTTTCCCCGCATCCTTAATGGCGCTAGCGTGATACCCCAGGATTGGTCAACGTTTAGCATGCCTGAGAGAGCGGCTTGGTCTCGTGCGCATCCAGTGGGATGATCTCCTTCGAGCTCCGTACAGCTATCCCAGCTATCCCAGCTTGGCTCAGAGCTTGAGCAAGGACGATATGTGGTGGTCCAGTGGCATGCCACTGCAACCGTCAGACAACCCCGCACGGCGTGACTGCTGTCTAGGTATTTCAACTGTCGACTCCCTCAGCCCTTGTCCTCCTTCTTTCTTTCTCAAGATTGCCTTGTATTCGTCAAGTCGGTCTTACAACGCTCCCACTCAATTGCCTACCATATTGCTTCAGCTTTCAAGCTTATCCTAAGCTTAAACACCACCAGTTCCAACCATGTCTGCCGAGATCGAACACCCTTTGACCAGACTCGACTCTGCTGTCTCTGACACCACTTACGAGCCTGGCCACGAGAAGCAGATCAAGCATCGCAGAACCAGCAGTACCGTCTCGGGCGTTTTCAGAATCGAAGACCTAGGTAAGTTAGAGCTTGAGAACTTCTTATCAGTTCTCGCATGTCTCTGACTGTTATGCANNGAACAGGAGAAGGTCGACCTGCAAATAGCACCGGAAACGCAGAAACTCGGATGGTAAGTCTGCCTTGATATGTCATGTCGATATTGCCTTGACGTCTTTTCAATATGGCTTCGATATGTCGTGTGAGTATTGCTTCCAGATGCTGACAATGCCCAGGNNAAGCTAAACAAGAACCCAAACACAATCGATGACAAGGACATGTTANAAAAGTTGCTCGTGACGCCGCCAGTCAAGAAGATTGACCTACACTTCCCACTAGGACTTAACGTCACTGCCCGCAACATGAAAGGTGTGACGATTAAGGACGCAGTAGATGCCATCTACAAGCAGTTCAAGAAGAAGGTATGATCTGACCTCGCCTATTCCCGTTGACGTGTGTCATCGTGTCTAACCAACGCTGTGGTATAGGAGGACGATGACATGGGAGAGAACCCCTACCTCGCTGGTTTCGAGTGGGACAGAGAAGAGTGCTACACCCGCTTCATCGTTCACCAGAAGAAGACTCCTGGAACCAACGATGGCGCCCCCAGCGGAGGCAGCAAGAAGAAGGGCAAGAAGGACAAGAAGGAAGAGGTTGACCCTCTACTCATCTAAGCACCATATCGGTGTTGATACCCTAGATGGGTAGCCTCAGTCTATTCTTGCTCCGCCCAACACTCCTTTCATATCATCAACCGCGGGCCGGGTTTTGAGAGGCATATCGTCGTTGCTCGCTCCGAGAGCGTATCCATATTGTTGTATTCATTAAGATCATCGGGTCCGACCATTTGCTGGTAATTACTGGCAGTTGGTCTGGCTCGTGTATTATTCTCTTCTGACCCTGACTCTTGTTCTCATATTTCCTGTGCTCTTGCTTCCAGTGTCCAGAGATTGTGCCTGAGGTGTGATGTTGGGAGAAAATTGTCGCGTCGCTGGTCTCGCTGAGAGATCCATCGGCCCAACGCCCGAAGTTCTTCCATGGCTCGAGGGACCGGAAGTCCCTTCCTACCCGTAGCAACAACAAGGACTCGAGGTCGAAACAGCAGCTAGAAAAGACAACTAGTCACTAATTTATCATGGGTCTTGGATCAATCCGTGATACTACTGTCGTAGATCGTGTAGTTCGTCATGTTGGCAAGACCCGAGGCTGATTCGACTCCGCTTTGCTTATCTCCAGCATCGCATCAACCTCCCCAAACAAGATAGAGAGTTGATATATGTACATAAATCATAGCTCTCCCTCTTGAGACCATCTCACATTGCAACTTTCCCTTGAATTGCAGCAACGTCCGGAGATTGTCACAATATGGAAGAAAGAGCCCGCATACATGTCGATCTACCTCTACCAAATCCAACCACCTCGTATTGGCAAGACCCTCCAGATGAGATAGCAAATCTGCAAACCACCAAAGAATTACCAAAATATGCGGACTATATCGTCATAGGCAGTGGCATCAGTGGTGCATATATTGCGTACAATCTGACCAAGAAGAAATTGGATAGCTCTGTATTGATTCTGGAAGCAAGACAAGCATGTAGTGGAGCCACAGGTAGAAATGGTAATTTCCAAAAAGTGTTCAATATTGGTTGGAAGAGGATACTGATGAAGTTCAATCTCANNGGTGGCCATACAAAAGCAGCAAGCTATCGCAGCTTCCTCGAACACGAAGCCGAACATGGTCTTGAAGATGCCATCAAGATTGCTCGTCTTGAGTACGCGAACATTAGAGAAACCCATGCCTTGGCCCGAGATCTTGGTATTGACTGTGCGTCTACACCATGCGATACTGTAGACATCATATATGACGCGAAAGCCCTCGCACGAGGCAAAGAAGCCATTGCTAGGATGCAGNAGACCATGGGTCACGATGACCCAGCAGCAAAGTACAAGATCTTATCAGCAGAGGAGGCAAAAGTAAAGTACCATACTCCTGATGCTCTAGGAGCATTTGTGTATGAAGCGGGCAGTATCAGTGCATACCGCTTCACCATAGGACTGCTAAAGCACTGTCTTGAGAGGTGTGTGGATCTGCAAACCAACACTCCAGTCAAAGGCGTTGTGCCAGCGAACAACATCAACCCAGAGGGACCAAGATGGACAGTGACGACATCAAGAGGCAACGTCAAGGCAGCCAATGTAATCTTAGCGACCAACGGCTATACTGCGCATCTCTTACCGAAGATGCAGGGCATAATTGTTCCTCTGCGCGGACAGATCACAGCACAAAGACCGGGATCCAAGTTGCCGGGCTTGGATACGACCTACTCTTTCATCTATGCTCAAGGGTACGAGTACATGATTACCCGACCGCCAGGCACTTCGGATGCCGGTACTATAGTCATTGGTGGTGGATTGGGAAGACTATCCAATGCTGGTGCACCCGAATATGGAAACATTCTTGATACAAACTTGAATGCGGAGATCTCGACCTACCTTTACAACTGCACAGCAGGCTACTTTGGCGACAACTGGGGCGAAGATGCAAAGGAAGGAAGACTGGTCAAGGAATGGTCAGGAGTGATGGGCACGAGTGCAGATGGGTTGCCGTATGTCGGAGCAGTACCCGAGATGCCAGGCGTGTTTCTATGTGCCAGCTTCAACGGTCATGGCATGGTCATGTGTCTCAAATCTGCAGAGGCGCTGGTCGATATGATGGAAGATGACAAAGATGTAAAGTGGTTTCCAAAGGCGCTTGTGGTAACTGCTAAGAGATTCGAGACGAAGTTTCAGNGGAGGCTGGACATGCGTGCGCCTGGCGAGGCTCTGTTCGATCGATTGAGTGTAGACAGGTGACGTACTGACAGTGGAACTGGGAAAGGGTTATGGAAATTAGAAAAGAGTCGTTGCGGCACTATGCGCGCCTCGGACATGATATTTTGGAAGCCTTTGAGCAATGATTTTCATGTTTTTATAAGAAAGTCGCAGTGCCTTGTAGCGGGGAGAAAAAAGAACAAGCCCATGTCCGATTTTTGGTGTAACATTCAAAGCGCCGCAGTAATATTGCTCTTGCTCACCACGCGCCCGTTCCATTCATTGACCGCAACCAAAGTCCATTTGTGTGTCGTGTCAAGTCGCTTAGAAGACCATCTCGTGGGGCTTGTCGCCCGATCTGAGGCTGAAGGTGGAGCCGAGGTAGGAGATAAGGAAAGGCTCCTTCTTGAGGCTGGCAAGGATGGCACGGTCGACGGACTTCTGGTCCTCGGCGCGGCCGGAGGCGACCTTCTTGGCCTGTGGGTGTGTGTCAGTATTTGGCGTGTCGCAATCCTTCTTTTGACGGTGTAATCGTACCTCGGGCTTCTCGCCCTGCTTGAAGAAGGCCTCCTCACCCTTGGCCTTCGACTTCTTCTCTCTGGCGAAGTAGGCGTCGCCACCAACCTTCTCAACAACCGACGAGTCAATGCCGGAGATGTCGACCTTGGTGCTTGTTGCGATAACGTAGCGGGCGTTGACGCGTCTGAGGGGGACACCGTTGACCTTGAAGGGGCCGGTGACGAGGAGAACACCCTGGGCGAGGTTCTTGAGGAGAACAACGCGCTTGCCACGGAAACGGCCAGCGAGGAGGATCAAGACGGTACCGGGCTGGAGGGAAGCGCGGGGCTTGCAAGGGCGCTGGTTCTTGCGGACCTGAGGAGGAGGGACTTGTCAGCGGACTGGGTTCCCTTTTGAGATGTGTACAAGGATGGGCGAAGCGAGAGAAGAGCGCAATAATGGCCGTATGTTTGGTGTGTGCGCGCAAGGGTGTATTTCCTGATCATGTCCAACTCTTTCTGCTCTATCTCTCGGTGGGTTCAGGCGGTCGGCGGTCGCATGTGGTGCATACCTTCTTAGCCTGGCTGTCGTCCTCGGCCTGGTAGTACTTGGGGGCCTTCTCTGCGGCAGCAGGGATGACACGTTCACCCTGTTGGAACTGCTTGGTCTGCTGGGCGGACATTTTGGCGGGTTTGGCGACGGTAAGGGTGTGTCGTGGGTTTGTCGTGTCTCGTCTTCACAAAACGGAATTCAAACTCGGTGGGTTCAGAATTCCACCAAAATCGGGAAGCGAGACTGTGCGCCAAGCCCTGCCTCATCGTCCGTGCACGGCGACCATCTCCATTGATAAAGTCATCTTGTTCTTCACTTTAGAATCACTGCCTCTTTTACGTTCAATTGCAACAGATGACTTGTGAGACTCAAGTGAGCCATCAATTGTTTTGTGATGTGATGCGACGTGCCTAGAAGTGGCAGGCGCGGCCAGAGACTCTGAAAGAACGGCTGTTGCTGCTCATGATTCCAGGCTCTCTGGCGAGTCTTCTTTAACAAATCATCAATTGTATATGTATATTGTAGATATGCTTGATGAATTCATTTCAACTTGTATCTCACTTCCAGTATGTGTTTCACAGTTCTTCATAGTGAAAGGAAAGCGCTTGGCAGGATCGGCGTTTAGCAAGGCCGACGGAAGTGAAGCTCCAGCGATCAAGCAACACGGCCGGCGTCATCGCGAGTCCATCTCTCTAGCAGTCCATCAAGCACTGCAACACTCTTGTATCCACCCACCATCACACCCACTCTCTCAGCCATCGACACACACACCAATCATGGCTACCGACGCTCTCATTACGTTCAAGGCTGGCCAGTGCGGCCTGAATGTATGCTCACCTTGTTCAGAATTGTTTCCTTGTCCACAGCTAATGCGCATCGCAGGGCAAAAGGTCAAGCCTGATGCCACTCCTGGCTACCTCTACCTCTACGAAGAAGATGGTATCTTTTTTGCTGTCTAGATCTTCAGCTCATACTGACCAATCTTTCTCANNGAGCTCGTACACTTCTGCTGGCGCCCTCGTTCCGCCCCTCCTACATCCCCCGAGCTCGACCTGATCATGTTCCCTGGCGATGCTACCTTCACCCCATACACTGGCAACACATCATCTTCCGACACAAAATCGCCCACCAACGGCCGTATCTACATGCTCAAGTTCTCATCATCCTCGCAACGCCACTTCTTCTGGCTTCNNCAATCCAAATCACAACACCCTAGTGGCGATGCAAGCTGGTTCAGCTCAAGAGACAAGCGTTACGGCGAAATTATCAACAACATCCTTGCTGGCGAAGAGGTCGATGTCGGCTTCGAGATTCAGCGTCTAAGAGGCGGCGAGGATGACGACGATGAAGGCGGCGACGATGTCGACATGGAGGACGCACAACCCGAACATCACAGACAGGGCAGTGGTGGTGCTGGTGCAGATGCCACTGGCGCCGACCCTCGAGAGGAGGGCGAAGCCAGCCGTGAAGGCGGTGCTGATGGCGGCAGAGCGTAGGTTTTCTTTCCTCTTTCACGATTTTGATTTTGGTTGTACTAGGGCTATTGAAAGGCGGCAATAGGCGTTGCAGGGGAGTAATACTACCAAAATTGCATGGGTCCCGGTATATCTGCATTGCGAGGATAGCATGTATCTGAGATACCATCAGACAAGCACTTATGTTATTGCGGCTGCTCTACAAACATCTTCAGGAACTCGTAGGCTGATATGCTTCGTGTGTTTGTAGTGNCTCCTCCTAGCGATGCCAACGATGCTGTTCAAAACTTCCTCAGATCTCTCCAGGGCTCCTCGCTCGGTACTCAACCGCAGCAACAGCAACAGTCATCATACGACCGACCCTTTACCACTCTCTCCGAGCTTCTCTCAACCAACAACACTATCCCCTGGCTGTCATCAACTTCGCCTGAGCAGATTGATGCACTCTGCATGCACTTGCCTCCTTCCCTTTTCCTACTGGCTCAGGAATCTGCTGCCACCACTTCATCCGCTGAGCCTAGTGAGGAAACCGCTCGCGCTGCAATCGAAGCCATGGCAACCGAGCAGAAGCGTGAGCTGCTACAGCGTGTACTTCGCTCACCTCAACTGAACCAAAGTCTGGGTAGCTTGACCTTCGCACTGAGAGATGGTGGCCTTCCCATGGTCTCCGAGGCTCTCGGTGTCAAGGTCGCCAACGGTGGTATGGTCAAGGGTGGTAGTGTACCTCTCGGCGGCGGTGAAGCTGTCGAAGCCTTTGTCGAGGGTGTCAAGAAGGGTGTTCAGGATAAGAAATGAACCTAAACATGCATCTAGACTTCCTCAGTCCAGCATCTAGTCTTTACGGCGATTTGCTGCCATTTGTCGATAATACGAATATTTGTCAAAAGGCATAGCTCAATCTGAAGTTTCATGCGATTTCTCCGTGGTGAGGCTTCGAATCACCCACCCCACATCCACCACCAGCACAACGCTTGTCGCACACTTATCGCCAACAAACCCATCTCTACCAGAGGCAATACAGTACAAAACAACCGGAGTGACCACATGTGTCTTGCTGACTCGTTCATCGTCCCGCATTTTCCGTAGACTCGGTTTCACAAGTTCTGGCCGCACAATCCACGTCCCTTATCTTGTGGCGTTTGCATGCCGCTGATATGCTGATAACAAAACTTCCTGTACCACTCTCCTAATCGTAGAACCAAAAGACACAGGATATGCTTTTGTGCGATGACGCCTCTTTGCATTATCGCGGACTCGTAGGAACCGGTAGGTACGATTACAAGAAGAGCGGTAGGTCCATTTTGAACTGTAGCTGGTAATTTCAACATTATCCTTGTCCTTGTTTTGAGAAGAAGGGAAAATGTCGAATGAAATGGCTGATGAGAATACTCCTCTTCTAGATGTTGAACAAGCTCCGGATCGTCGGCTTAGCAGATTGATACAGAAAGACGATGCAGCGAGTTCGATTGTCAAGAGCCATGTTAGTGTTGAAGAGCAGGCTATGGCTGGGAGTACTGTAGGTGAAAGATTGGCCTACAATGACTATACAACCATAGACTGGTTACATGATCTCGTGAGTATCTCCCCCTCTGCATACATACCATCCCGGCTATCACTAAATCTACATACTTCAGNNGTCAAAGATTCCTACCGCCTCCGCAACATCCACAACAAGAAAAACCTCAAAGGCAAAGCCCTCGCCCTCTTCGACTCGTCTTCTGGCTGGATAGCAGCAGCTGTAATTGGAGCCTTGACAGCTTGTGTAGCCTACCTCGTCGACATCGCCGCTGCAACAGTCAGTGACTGGAAACTAGGCCACTGCACCACAAACCCCTTTCTCACCCGTGAAGCCTGCTGTTCCTCTTCTACCTCAACCTCTGAACCCATCACCGAATGCACCGCATTCAAGACTTGGGGAAATGGCTACACAGCTGCTTTTGCAATTTACGTGGCTTTTGCTTTGGGGTTTGGGATTGTTAGTGGGTGTGTGACGATGCTTACCAAGAGTGAGTTGCCTTCTGCTGGTGCTGCTGCAGAGGCAGAAGATAAAGATGGTGCTACTGCGCAACCTGCTGGCAAAACTATGTATATGGCTGCTGGGTCGGGGATTCCGGAGATCAAGACTATACTCGGTGGATTTGTGATTCCGAACTTTTTGTCGCTGAAGGTTTTGTTGGTGAAGGCGATTGGTGCTGTGTTTGCTGTTTCTACAGGTAAGAGACAATTTTTCTCCTCTACTTAACCCTATTCGATGTTGCAAGAGATCATGAAGTTTACGCTTTGGTTTACTGACATATCGTGGCATTGCANNGGCATGTGTCTTGGAAAGGAAGGCCCATTCGTCCACATCTCTACATGCGTGGGCTACCTCGTCGCCTCCGTGTTTCCGAAATATCGCGACAATGGACGCAAGATGAGAGAGATGTTGAGCGCAGCTTGCGCAGCTGGACTTTCTGTGGCATTCGGTGCACCCATTGGCGGTGTGTTGTTCAGTTACGAGGAGATTAGTACTTACTTTCCGAGAAAGGTGCTGTGGAGAGCTTTCCTCTGTAGTGCTGTTGCTGCCATGGTGCTGAAAGAGCTCAATCCTACAGGTACCGGTAAGCTGGTGTTGTTCGAGACGAACTACGGAACGAGCTATGGTGCGGTACATTATCTGGTGTTTGTCGTACTTGGTGAGTTATGGCCTCAAAGCTGGAGATGGCACTAGCTAACAATCCATGAAACAGGTACCGCAGGAGGCATTTTCGGCGGAGTCTTCTGCAGACTAAACTACCTCTGGAGCAAATCCTTCCGCAAATACGCCATCATCAAGAACTACCCAGTGTTCGAGGTCTTTNTGATCGTGCTCGCCACAGCACTCTTACAATATCCCAACCCACTGATCCGCGAGCCTGGCGATATGATCATCAAGACACTACTTGTAGACTGCAGAACCGACGACTCTGCAGAATCTTGGGTATGTCAGAACGAAGCCCGTACAGGTGGTCGTTGGGACTATGTGGGCTGGTTGATCTACGGCACGTTAGCCAAACTCGTGCTTACCATCATCACCTTCGGCATCAAAGTACCATCGGGAGTCATCATTCCTGCTCTTGATGCAGGAGCACTATTCGGTCGCCTGCTAGGTCAATACATCGGTGACATTTCTCCTGGCATCTTTGCTATGGTGGGTGCGGCTGCATTCCTAGCTGGTGTAAGCAGAATGACACTATCTCTCTGCGTTATCATGTTCGAACTCACAGGCGAGTTGGATTATGTATTGCCACACATGGTAGCAATCCTAGTCGCCAAATGGGTAGCCGACGCACTCGGCAAAGAAGGCGTCTACGATCTCGCTCAAAACGTCTTGGGCCACCCTTTCCTGGACCTCGATCACAGTCTAGGATACATCCAGATGGAAAATGTCTCGGTGGAAGAGCTGATCCCTCCAGAGCACACGATGGAGCAAATCACCCTTCACGTGCCTGCAAGCAACAAAGTCAGAAGAGAATTCCTCGAGCAGAAACTCGCCCAGCTCGAAAGCAGAGGGCTTATGGACGCTGGCCTTGTCCTTGTCCAAAACAATCAGATACTGCAAGGATATCTAGCAGAAGGCGAACTCAGCTTTGGACTGAGAGAATTGGGAGACCTATATCCCAAAGATACTGAGGTGCGATTGTTAGGAAACGCGGAAGAGGGCGAGTTCGACCTCTCGAGCTTTGTAGATCGTACTCCCATGGTTGTCTGTGCGAAGGCACCGATGGAGTATGCGGTCGAGCTGTTTGGAAAACTGGGGTTAAGGCATTTGATGGTGATTGAAGAAGGTACTGGAAAATTGGTAGGTGTTATCATCAAGAAGAGGCTGGTGGCATATCTGGATGGATTGGNNAAACATGGTTGAAGGAAATGACGACTGATGAACCTGCCTTTTGTACTTTGCAGCATCAATGAGTAATGCATGTGCTTCTGTTTTGCGTTTTAGCATATCTCCGCTTATAGAGACTCAACACGACTATTTGACTAGCCCTCGTGCAACGAGACATCGATCAAAATGTCGACTGAAGTTGAAAAAGAATTCATTAATCTCTCATGTGCCTGCGTCGTGCGTGTCTAAAAAGCCTACAGAAATGCCCAAAGTATCCGCGCTTTTTGTGTCACACAGATTGGATGATCTTCTTTTGGAATTTCGCTCCGTAAAACGCCTGTATTCTTTTGTGTCGACCCAGAAAGAACCAAAAATCATGCCCACACATCAATGCCCGGATATCTTTTCGCAGCAGAAGAAATGCTTTTTTCGTTGCCGTCTCTCTTTGAGGATGCTCCGTTATCTACAACCACCAGAACGTAATAACGACCTACTCGTCGCTGGGGACGAGGTTCGACTTGACGGCGAACATCTTTGCGGAGATGGAGGCGGTGAAGGCATCGACCTGGCGGGCGTATTGTTCGACTTGACGGCTGTTGACGAGGGTCTCGAGTCTTGAGGGCTCCTGAGGGAGCTTGAAAAGCTTCTGCCACTCATCCTCGGGCAGAAGAGGCTGCTTTGTGGCGGCACGGCTGGCGTTCTCGGCCTTGCGCTTTGTTTGCCATTGGGTGATCTTGGCTTGTTCACGAGCGAGCGAACGCTGGTAGAATTGGTAGTTGTTGAGCTCGGTGTGGTGGGTCTCTATACTGTCGAGGAGGAGGTCGCAAGTCTTCTCGAGGAAGGGGTCGATTGAAAGGTCAAGCGAGTCGAAGTTAGGTGCCAGGGGGAGGGTGGTGAGCGAGGGGTCTTGCTCAAGAGTGGCGAGGCTGGGAGGGAAGTTCAAGGCCTTGCTGGGAGGAGGAGTAGGGAGCTGGTGGAGGAAAGAGGTGAGAAGGTGCGAGTTGTAGACGACAACGGGCAGCTCGGTGAAGATGTCCTGGTAGCGGAGACCGCTCTTTGCAGGCTGCATATCACAAATCAGTATAACAGCTCTAGCTGGTTTGTTTTTCTTGTATCCTCACCTCTCAGTGGTGAACTTGCCCTCCTTGTAGGCGGCGATGAACTGGGGAGAAAGGCGGTAGGCGCGGAGGTTGAGACTGCCCTGGGAGCTGCGGCTGACGTCGTGAACAAGGGTGACGGTGCGCTCGTTGGGCTCCTTCTGGTAGTAGAACTGGTTCTCGATGGCGGCAAGGCTGACAAAGTTGCCCATGCTGGCGCTCATGTACCAACCAACGCTCTGAGCGTCAACGTTGACTTCGCGCAGCATGCGGATCATCTCGGCCTGGTATGCGATGTTGGCCTTTGCGCGGGGAGCGGCAATCTGGGCAGCGAGTTGTGCATCGTTGGCATCGCCTACAGTAGCGCCGCCGTCGACTTGAGGCATGTTGAAGGAGTTGGTGACCTGCAGTTGACCCTCGATGTCCAGACCGACCAGAGAACCAGTTGCGATGCTGGGGAAAACCTGCGAGCTGTGCTTGATGATGCGCATGACGACCNNTGTTCGTCTTGTCAACTTGTGTCCTCTGTTTCATCCTGTGGCTATCGTTGGGTCGCATACCAGAGCATCGACGCGCACTTCGCGCAGGATTGTCTCGTTACTGCTCCACTGTCAATATTGGATTCGTAGAAATTGCAGACAAATAGTTCAGCCTTACACTGCAGTCTCTGCCATTTTTGCGATATGGAGATGTGTATTGCGTACGGGGCGGTGCGCTATGTTCTCTCCAACTTTCCTGTCGTTGTCAAACGAAAAGTCTCGACAACCCACGGTGGAATCTCGGCTTGGCACTCCGCCTTCCTCCATCCAAGCAAGCACTCCTAGACAGCTTTTGCTCCTTCCTACTTAGTCACGCGATGTAGTCTACCACTCGAGATAACATCTTTACAAAGACGTCGCTGTTTACCTTCGAAAGTGGTCTATACCTACAGCTGTCTTACTTGACGAAAATCAGCAGTAGAATGACCATTCATGTGGTTGCACCTTCCCTTTTGGGTCTTGATACATACACCACCCATGTGCCAAAAGCAAGTATCTCCTTAAGATAGTTATAAAGCGTAGGTGCCTCCCATATATTTCTTCTCGTTCAATTTCCTTCAACTCTGGCCATCCATTCAAAGAAACCCATCGAAATGGCCTTCTCTACCCCCAAGCAAAAGATCAAAATCGCCCTCTCCATCGACTTTGACGCAATCTCGGGCTGGCTAGGCACATCCCAACACCCGGACAACAACATGGCCGACATTTCTTCCGGCTACTTCAGCGGCTACGTCGGCGTGCCCCGTCTCCTCAAAGTATTTTCCCGTCTCGGTATCTCTGATAAAGTGACTTGGTGCATTCCGNGCCACTCCATGGAGACATTTCCCACACAAACAAAGGCAATTGTCGAGTCAGGGGCTGAGATCGCATTACATGGATATTCTCACGAAGGTAGTACGCAAATGACGGCACAACAAGAAAAAGATGTGTTGGTCAAGACGATGAAGCTAGCCCAGGAGTTGACGGGAAAGAAACCTAGAGGGTATAGAGCACCGCTATATCAGATCCAAGAACGCACGGTGATGTTGTTGCAAGAGCATGGTTTTCTTTGGGACTCGAGTCTGGCGCATCTGGATAGTATGCCTTACTTTTTACCTAAAAAAGTGGACAAACTGGATACGATAGAGTTTTCTCCTGACAAGGAGGCGAGTAGTTGGATGAAGCCTTCCAAGGACTTTATGAAGCTGGAGAAGAGTTCGCTAGTAGAGATCCCTTGCAACTGGTATATGGAGGTAAGTGCTTTCCGTTCAGACATTGTGACTGTTTGTGGCTAACAAATGTACAGGNACATGACGCCCATGCAATTCTTCCCCAATGTGCCGAATTCACAAGGCTTCGTCGATGTTCGCTTGATCGAACGCATGTGGATGGATCGTTTCAAGTGGCTGAAGAGTGAAGTTGAAGATGGCAGGGAAGACATGACAATCTTCGCTCTCGTTTTGCATCCAGACACAAGCGGAATGGCGCACGTAATAGGAATGATCCAGAGATTCCTGACCTGGATCAAATCGTTTGGAGACGAAGTTGAGTTCTGTACCTACGAACAGATTGCAACTGAATTTGCAAGGAAAAATAAAATCTCGTAAGAAATTGGAAATTCTTTTGCCTGGATATCTAAGGCATACATTGAAGAAAAAGGGCAACGTGCCGAGGGGGTGTAATTTTACAGGAGAAGAAACCAAAACGCCACATCGATGCAAACCACATATAATCCATAATACAAGCAACAAGCTTATTGCTGGGAGAGCTTGTTGATGGCGTTCTGCTTCTCCTGGGCCATGACCTCTCCAATCCTTGCGAGCTGTTCCTCGGATAGCTCGAGAGGGTTGGCGAGTCTCTCCTGTCGCCTTTGCTCCTTCAACTCGGCAAGAGGAGTAGAAACCAAACGGGCGAGGTTCTCCTTGTGCTTTGCGGCGCGGTCTTGGGCCTCCTTTGCGGCAATGTATGCTGGCTCGTGACGAGAACGGAAAATGGAATACTTGTTTCTCAGCTCGTCAATGACGGACTGAGGCATAGGTGGTTGGAGCAAGTAGGGACGGTGGGTGGCTTCGTCAACTGTGATACGAAGGGTGTCGTCGTCGTAGCCCTCTGGTTTGTCCTTTTCCTCAGTCTTGGGCCAGGGAAGGGGGGTCTTGACACCAGGGAGGAAGCGTTGGCCTTGGAGGTATTCGCGATGACCATTNTTGCGCTCTACCCAGCCAGCGTTGCGCAGATCGATCTTGTCCAGAACGACGTCTTCGAAGTGACCGGTGGTCTGGTCGCGAAGAGGAAAAACGAGTTTGAGGTCGTCCCAACTAACGGGCATTGGCTGTGGCTGAATTGCGCGGGAATCCTTGTTTTCCTTGCGGATGTATTCGGGAACATGGTAGTCGGCCTTGGATGGTTGTTAGCGTTATAGAAAAAAGTGGCGGATATTTTTGTGTGGTGATACCTGGCGCAAGTCCTGCATGCGTACGAAGCCAGAATCAGGTTGGACGTCTGAAATGGTTCCAATCTTGCCCTCGTCCTTGCCCTTTGTGACCAAAACCCTGTCGCCGATAGCAAAGGGNCACTTGAGGTGCTTGTACATGGTCCAGTGGAGCTTTGGTGTCTGGACGATATTGGGGTCGGCGGTGCCGTAGTTGTCCTTGAGGTGGCCAGTATCCCGCCTGGGGGCGAGCAGAGGGCCGACTTCATATTCCTCGCGTCTGCGATGCTTCTCTGCCTTGAAGTAGACGGCCTCTTGCTTGCCGCGGGACTGCGTCTGCCAGCGCGCAGCCCATTCCNNCTTCGCGTTGTCGGCTTTTGCTGACTGTTTTGCAGCACGGCGCAGGGCCTGGCGCTCGGCAGCTATCCTTCGCTGGACCACCTTCTGCATTGCGACGTTGTGACTGTTCGATATGTAGGCGTCGACAAAGTCCAGAGTCGCTTTGGAAGTTGCGGACTTTGGTGGCTCGTGATTGGCTGGTCGCGTCACTCCCGAAAAGCGGGTTGCTATTTAGCAGGCGGGCAGTTGCTAGCCGAGGGTTCGAGATTATTGTCTACGACTTTGGTCCAAAGATATAAACAACTTGACCATCAACACTCCTTCCAGCCATTCTGCCTCAGGCCAGTATTGCGGGCTCGCCATGTCGCCGTTTCCCACGTGAAGCTGAACCTACGTATGCTCGATTAATACTACGAAACGCGACACACGACAGGATATACAAAGCACCCTCGTTCCTTCCTCATCAACATTTCTCGACCACACCATGCCGAGTCTTCTCGCTCCACGGCTGAAGTGCTTCTACTGTGGCATGCGATCACCCCATGTCAAGGATGGACGCACGCGACAGTTTACTTGTACCAGCTGTGAAGCCACCAACCACCCTCGACTCTGTGCGCCATCCACCATCCACCTTCTAAACCATCAAGTCTGACTCTTGCTACAGAATGGAGACATCACTGATCCTCCGGCTACACCGAATACCAAACAACCCGCATCCTTTGCTCACCCTCCTCAGCGACCCACTTCGCCTGTCCAGCCCGAGTCGTCCAACCTCTTCTGCAAAACATGTCTGAAGAACCAGCAAATGGTCACCACCCTCCTCGCAGAGTACCTACCCGCCGAGAATCATCCACAATACCAAAAGTACGAGGCCGAGTACCCACAATACCGCAAAGACCTCGAGCGTCGCTTTCCCCAAGTCTGCCCTAGATGCGCCCCGAGAGTCGAGCAACATCTGAAGAGGACAAACTACGTCGCAAAGGCCGACTTTCTCACACGGAACCTGGAGCGTTCAAAAGCCCATGCCTTCAACAACCTTCCCACTTCATCCTCTCTTGGCATATCTGCCTTGAGCGTTGTCGCACTGGCCTGGTGGNGAAGTGCTCTCTTTCAGACATACTGGCACACTCTGGCTTTCTTGGGCATTCCTGGGGACAACGAGGAGGTCGCCGACTTGACTCCTCTCATGCTTGTTGGCTGCTCGGTAAATGGTTTCCGCTTGCACTTTCTACCAGCGGGTTGCGCCCATCTCTTTGTCAACCTTGTCAAGAAATCTTTGTACCTGAGCTTCTGGCTTCTGTGGTGGAACCCGACTTTCAAAGACCGTCTAAGGTTCCCTTATCGAACTCATCATGCAGTCGGTCTGGCCGACTTCTATCGTTATCAATTTGCAATCCTCGCTCTTAGAGCCACTGCCTGGTGGTACTTGAGTGAGCCCTGGATCCATGGCTCGGCTAGTGATATTACAAAGGGCATGCACGGTTGTGCTGTCCTGTTCATTGTCTTGAGCACCATCGCTTCTTTGCGCACAGTTGTCTACTCTTCCGCTCCTAGAGTTTCATGGAAAGCTAGCACGGAACCTTTGATCGAACCAGGAAGCTTCCATCCGCCGACCGATGACTTTATAAGTCAGGCCTCGCCTCATCTTCCTACTATGTCGCCCTCGCGACAGCCATTTNCCGTCGAGAATCTGGGTTCCCATCGCGTCACCCGATCAGCAACACGAGCTGCATCGCCTCTTTTATCTCGCTTCTCTCCGCCATCACCATCTCCTGGCCCTGCTCAGGACATGGAAGATTCGATGGATTGGGAGCCTATCAGCCAACCCTCACCCATCAGACCTACCCACACTGTTCAAGCTCCTGCAGCTTCGGCACTTCCACCATTCCTACGTCCAGCCGCTAGTATGGCCACTGGCGAAAAGTCTCCCTTTACTGGTCGCCTACCTCCAGCGCCCATGTCTCCTGCACATCGTCTGCGAAATCCTCCACCACCGCCACAATTCAAGCCGACTCCTCTCTCGCAGCAACGCGACTTCTTCAAGAAGATGGGTCTCTCATCTGCCAACGTGCCTTCCTTATCGAAGAAGCCTGCTGTGACAGAAGACCATGACGATGAAGATTCTCGACGCAAACCGGCCTCTTACGTCTCCAGCTTGGACAGAAACAGGACAAAAGACCATTTCGAGTTACACCCAGCAAAATGGACCTTACAATCCGACATGGAAGCCGCAGAGAAGGGCACAGGCCTCGAAGATATGTTTACCTCGAGCTTTAACATCGCCGATCCCATGACACCAAAATCCGCGCGCCGCAGTGCCGCTCAATCTCCTGCATCGCCCCTTGGTACTGAACGTCGGCATATCTTCGATCATAATCCTATGCATCCTGTCACGGAGGAAACTGCTGCACAGGTTGTAGTGAGGAATGCTAAGGAGATGGCTTTGCCGGTTGGTTTGGCGTTGGCTGCTGCCATTGCTGCTTGGGCTAGGGATCCGGGTGCTAGGGAGTGGATGGCAGGAGTTTGGAGCGGTTGATATGGAAGAGGGTGTCTGGGCAAAGATGGTGTTCTTGGTGTCCCTGATATGATTTGGAAGGCTTTGGCAAGGTCTAGCGCGGTGATGAAATGTATAAATATGATTGATTGTCGTTTCACTTGTTTTGTTTTTGTTGCAACAAGGCTGGACTCACAGAGTGAGAGTTACCGGACCTTTCAATTGCATCGCAGATAACTGCATCCCACACAAGCGAGCCACTCCAAAATGTTTCTTATGCATGGCATCAACTTTTGTTTCCAACCTTGATGCTAAAACAAAACATGAACATGACCAGAGGGATCGGGGATATGGTAGGGGAGTCGAGAATCGAAGGCAGGGTGACGCCCAAAACATGATCATTTCTTTTCTTTTTTCTTTCTGAAGAAAAATGATCAAGCAGCTACTGTTCTCACGCACTTTCTGAGCACCGACGAAGCGAAGTGGAGATGTGACATTAGTAAAGATTGTTACATCAATAGCAAAGACTTTGTGTATCTGCCAGCATTCATCCACTGGGATGAGAGGCAGAGAGTAAAAGAACGCCGTCCCAGATGCAACCATCCGAGTTGCCTAGCCCAATAAACGCCAGTCGCTGTAAAAACGCAGTAATAACTCTTCTTGCTCGGAGGAAAAAGTCGAGAAAGAGGACTCGGAAGAAGAGGAAGCTACAGAAAGAAGATCAAACGTAATAGTCGGGTATACGCCAGCTTTGACAGCTGATACGTCAGCTTTGAGAGCTAACGTGGTCCATCCGGCAGAGTCGCCATCACCAGGGTTCTAATCAGTGTTGAAACCACTATGTGTCTCACTGCGTTCCCGGACGGAATGTTGTCTGACCAGTCGGCCTTCGCCGCCGTTCTCGAGGTCGATGTTGTAGATTAANAAGTCGCCTTCGCTAGTGGCGACCATGACCTCAGGAGCTGCCTCACCCATGGCGACTACACTTTTGACGGGTGCACCATTACGCCCTTTAGGTATCTTGACCCAGGCAAAGTCTCGGACCGGATCCCAGACCTCGGTGACGGCATTCGGCAAGTATCCTGCAGCACGCGACACTAACGATGTAGAGACATTTTGCGAGGTGCGACGGACCATGGACATCCAGCCTGGAGACCGCAGCGGTCTCGCAGAAGGCTCTGTGGTAGAGTCACCGAGCATTGAGCTTGACGAGGGATCAGACGAGTCGTTTGGGCTTTCGCTGCGTTGACGTTGGTACCGCTGCGGTGTTGAGGGAGCAGATGGCGATTCTAGACCTGAGTCTGGGAGAGCGTTATCGCTAGAGAGGCGGAAGATGTGAACAGTCTCGGTGGCGCTAGAAACACACAACAAGGTGCTCGCTTCGTTGAAAGTCATGCAATGGATGCGAGCAGGCATGCTGCCNCTGCGGAATTGGTAGACTTTCTGTGCGGACGGGATGGCAAATACTCTGATGACAGTACCCTTTTCTGAGGCGGTGGCCAATAGTGTGCCTTCCTTGTTCATTGCCATGCATGACAGAGGAGTCTGATGAGCAGTAATGACCTTAACTTCTTGCATATCATTGGCATTGTAAAGCATGACCTCTCCGCTCATTGGTTCAGTAACTCGTGGACCAGCCGGAGGCACATGGTTCGGCGCTGGTTGGGCAGTATATTCTTTCTTGCGCATGGGGTATGCAATGTAGTTGTTTGTCGAGTCGGGAGAGAGAGCGCATATGGCGTAGGGATTCGAGGGAGTTACGATTTCCTTGAGAACCTTCATAGACGAAACATCGTAGACGAACATGAGGTCTTCCATGACGACGAGTAGACGCTTGCGATTTAATCTGACAGCACCGACGCGAGCAGGGAAGGTGAGCTCGCATACCGTAGTTTGACGCTTCGTATTGACTATACGCAGAAGTCGCGGTGACAGGACCATGGCGACAAGCGAGGTGGAGAAGAGCATCTCAAGGATTGCAATGTCGCCGGACGCGCCATTTTCGGTCAGAGGAGTTTGGAAAACGAGAGCGAAGGGGTTGGTTGAATAGACGCGCATGCCATCGGTAGTCGCGACAGCCAGGAAGCTGTGGTCCTGGTTGAAGGTGATGTAGTTGAGGGCCATGGCGACGAGCTGGTGACTGCGATTCGGGGCTAGTAATGTGGAGTGATTGGACAGAGGGCGAGGCCCATAGTCTGGGTTTCGCGAACGAGTATGCACGTCAGTTGGTAGTTGAAGAAGTGGAAAGAGCTGCACGTCAGTTGGAGGGTTGATGGTTTGGGAAGGTGGGCTGTCCGAGTCATTTTCCTCTAGTCGCGCAGGAGAATGACTCGGCGTTGGCTTTTATCGTAGGCCTCGTGAGCCTAATCGAGGGCAAACTTAGGGTTATAAGACAGCTACGGTCGTACTAGAATAATGCAGCTTCCTGCCCTACGATACTGTGGTAGTGACCTGTAAATGTTAGAGTCTTGCCTGCGATGGTTGTTGTGGAAAGAATGTGTGGAGATCGGAGACTCGATAATACGACGGCTATCGTATTCTGTGTCGAGTAGTGCACGGTGTGCGCCCAGAGGGACATGTTTAAGCCAGAATCTTGGTCTGTCAAAGGGCGTCACCTGAGAACAAGACACCTACCGTCGTCGCCAAAAAACCGTCATTAATACTACTGAGACTGCAGGGCTTTGTTAGGGCTCGTCGGTTGTCGTTGTGGTGCCCTAGACGCAGGCTCTGAGATCCGATTAAAACATAAGGATGAGTACGGGCGAGATTTCCTTCACCGATCAAACCATCGCTAATGGCCTCTCGCGCTCTGTAGCCCTCAGTCATGCCTTTGCGCAAGGCCATGGAACAAAGCGCCCCAGAGACGACGTCTCGAACAGCTGTTTCGATCCTGAATCGTTCCTCCCCGCGTCGCAGAAACGCGCCCGCCCCGACCTTGGCTATACCAACGACGTGAACCCCTCGTCATACATTGCGCCCGGCGTGACCTACGACCCTCTGGCCCTGTACAACAGACTGCCGGACACCGACTTTGCCCTATATCACCCGCACCTCGCGTCCACCCATCCGGTCGCTCAGCCGCAATTTGACGCCGCGGCCGCTCAAACCCATCCACACATTGCCTCGCAGTCGGTCACTCAATACCAGCAGCACCCCTCATACTGGGGCCTGCCTGCCCAGCGTCTACCGCACCAACACCAACAACAACAACCACTCCCTGAGCTGCCGTCGCAACCTCATTTCCAATCGGCTTTCCAGCCCCAACTCCAGCCACAGTCGCTACCCCAAACTCCCCAGCAGTACTACACTATGCCTGCCGATCACGTGCAAAATACATCGTATCCTGCCAATACCGACTGGTGGCAGCCCCGGACCAGTCCAAACAATAGTGCTCTTGAGAACTGGAACTACCAGGTTGAGGAGCCCTGTGTCTATGGTGCCGATGCTAGCCAACATCTCAAGCTGCAAAGTCTAGCCACTCTTGACAATCTCGTACGTTGCACTATTATAGATTATCAACCTATAAGTCCTACCGCTGATCGTCTCCGCAGTNCTACGCAGATCATTCTAAACCTTGCCAAGGGCTCACTAAACGACATCCTATTGCTCACCGCCGGCCGGGACCATGAAGGAAGTCAAGCCTACTTCACAAGACGGACTCTCTTTGATCAAACGCGTAAGGTTTATGCCAAGAACGCTGTCTTTATTGACATGCACACCTTGCCTGTCTTCACTGCTTCGCAGCAGGAAATTGTACGCAAAGCGAACCGTGCAATCTTCATTTCCAGTATTCTTGAGGGCCACGACATCAGCTTCTTTGACCTAGACTCTCGTTTTATGGATACCTTCATCTGTCCAGGCCAGCGGCTGCTCAAGTGGCAGGGTACCATCTTCCTCGAACTAAAGACACAAGCATACATTGCGGCACTTATGAACAACGACGGCCCTTCAGACTCGCTACTGGATGAACTCTTCCCTAACGATTTGGCCGACCAGCTCTTGTCTCGTCATCCAGACGCCCCAAACCTGGCTCCTAGTGAACAAGACTTTCTCGACAGGGCTCGCGCTAGAAAGCAATATCTCTTCGATGAACCACCATATGATGCATACAGCACCTTGCCTCGGAAGTATGGTTGGCACGATTTCTTGCGGGAGTTTGCCGTGGCACTCAGCAAAAACGTCGAGGCCATCATCAACAATCCTGTAAGTCATCACAATCAAGCTTTCAGGACACCGGTAGACTAATTGTTTATTAGGNCACGAACGCCTGTCAGTCAGCCTGGAGTAATATCGCCATCGTTCAGAGCCGGAAGTCGTGGGACGCCGGCTTCGGGTAGATTTGGAAGTTCAAGCAGCCCAACAGTCGGCGCCCAAGACTCAACCAATGGTCTCGGAGTTCACAACGGTTCACNNTCTCGGCAAATACACAGCAACAACCCTCGCCATCACAACCAGATCAAGAAACATCAGAAACTGGTCAGCCCAAGCCTTCGCCGAAAGCACGGCCAAAGCCAAAGACTGGCGCAAGTGCTACTCAGCNGGCAGCCTTGGAAGCAAGAAGAAGAGGATGCGCTGATGGCCGGTTTGGCTGAAGTCAAAGGACCTCACTGGTCACAAATTCTCAGTCTGTACGGTCGTGGCGGCAGTGTAAGCGAGGTGCTCAAAGACAGGAATCAAATCCAACTCAAGGACAAGGCCCGCAACCTCAAGCTGTACTATCTCAAGATGGGCAAGGAGGTGCCCGAATGCCTACGAGGGGTAACGGGAGAACTGCGTAAGAGAGGTGGCGCGCGCGTACGTGCTGCGCTTGGTTTAACGGACGACGATGGTCCTCCGTCCAAGAAGGGATCAAGGTCCGGTACACCACTTGACCCGTCGTTAAGCATGAGCCGACCTTGATGGCCATGGCCCTGCTGAATGTACATAATTATGTTTCGTCTTGTCGATAATCATTTTTTAGATCGCTTGTCTGTTAGATATGAAAATACCAACTTTACTCAACACCAATTTTACTTTATCCATCAACCAGCTCTGTTGCCATCTTGAGATTTGAAGTACGAGTACAATAATACACTGAGCAGATGTGTTGTCTCGAACAGTTGGACTAAAACAACACATTTATCGTCTCGATAGAAAGATCTCTGAAATCTACAACGGGTCGATCGGAGCAGGCAAGTCTCGGAGCAGACAGCAAACACAAACATTAAGGTTTGAGCCAGAAGAGGCACACAGTTTGGTCTCTTCGACCGTCTTTAACTCAAACCACACATACTTCAGCAGCGATAGTCTTCATAAGAGCATGCTTGCAATACAGTCCATATGTATGATACGCTGTGCACCACAGGATCAGGAGCTTCGAGACAGAGTTTTATGATTCACATCTGTCGATGGTGATATATGTACATTTATGAGCCTAGATCTAGAGAGAACGGCAGTCCTGCCACTACCACATGAATCTCTGTGTCTTGCCAGGCTCCTGCGGCCACTCGAAGCCCCAATTCAAAAAAATGTATCCCACACCTGCGTTGACGATGCAAAACCATATCGTCTCCAAATAGAGTCTGTGATCGTGCTCTGCCCACAAAACAATGTAGAACCAGTTTTTCCAGCTCTGGCGATCAATGTCTCGTTTCTGTCTTTCTGCATTCCACCATTGTTTCCAATTCTTGTGTGTCGGTCTTGCCATTAGTGAGGCGCCGGGATGTGCTTGTGGAACGCGTAATCGCCACATGATCCATGGCAGAATGAAGTAGCGTGGTTCCACTAGAGGTGCAGTGATGAGTTGCAAGGCAGACACACCGATCCATACCATAACGAAACTGATAGTGCAGCCCTCGCCAAAAGGCGCATCGTTCAGGCGGAGAAGCTGACCTCTTTCGTCGTTTTCGCCATCGGTCGGTTTCTTTTGTGATGCAATGCCCTTACCATCGTCCTTTTCGTCTTCCTTGATTTCGAAGAGTTGGGCGGGCGCACCGAGTGTTTGCAGGACAGACCATGCGCATGACATGTAGATCGGTATAGCGAGATACTTGATAGCGGGGTGTGCGAGCAGATAGCGGAAGACATAGAAGGTAAAATGTCTGTTATCGGCTTGTGTGAAGGGATGTACAATGGTGTTGAACCTCACCGTCACAGCAATGACTGCTATGAAGCCGATGAGTACTACAGATCGAGGTAGGAATTTGCGTCTGCTGAAAATCAGAAGCGGCTCCATTATGGCCGCAATCGGAAGAGACGCAAAAACGGAGAGTAGTCCTTGTGCAACGAAGGGATAGGTAAGGCCAAAAGAGAAGAAACTGGTGTAAGCCCAGATGTATAGCATCTGTGGCAAATGTAACGTGGCAACATGATTCGACTTGTCACCNTGGCAAATGAAGAATTAGTCTAGGGATGGTGAATCGATCCTCGAATACGTACCGAGCACAACTCCGCCGTTCCAGAGAACAAAAGAAGCGAAGAGGGCTACAACAAACACATAAGGCCACACGAGTCTTGCAATCCGAAGAAGTGTCCGGGGAAAGCACAAAGCACGCAAAGCCAATGTCACTGCAGAAATGCAGGTGAGCCAGAAGTCNTGTATCATGTCAGAATGCGAAACGAGGGATGAGATTGTGTGGATTAACTGACCGTCCAGTATAGAATCACGCATTTGAGGGTCGTAGAAAGTAGCATCGGCCCACGCCCGCAAAACAACAGACTTGCCGTCGGGTGGTCTTTCGCTTTCAACATCTTTGTGCAAAGCGCCAAGTGCCAGCAAAACAATGGGGAAAACACCAACCCAGAAGATGTTGGTCTGACGGAATGAGAGGGAAACGATGGCCAAAATGATGGATATGCAAGCCTGGAAGAAAGAACTCGGACCACGAGAGTTGTTCTCAATCAAATGTCTTGTGAAAAGNAGGACACTCAGAGTGGAAGCGACATCGGTGTAGTAGAGGGCGCAGAAGAAGAACAGAGGCGGGAAGAGACAGACATTGAGAGCGGAATGGATCTGTTGAGGGCACAGATTGGCCAGAGGAAGGAAAAGAGTAGACTTTTGACCGGGCAGTTGTTTGGCAGAGCGCGGTGAAACAGGAGGAGCCGTGTGTAAAAGGAAGAAAAAGATAGCGAAAAGAGAAAGAGCGTTGACGAGTCTCAGAGCATCCAGATCACAACGACCAGTGATCTTATAGAACAAAACAGAGAGGATATAAAGACCGGGAGGGGTGGTTATTTTAGGATCCCAGTGCCAGTAATTGCCGCGACAATATTGTTGGACCTGCCCAACATGGAAAACCTCGTCNCTGTATGGATTCTGTTAGAGGGGTTCTATAGGAAAAGGTACTGTTTATATTGATGAACATACAAGATAAGGCTCGCGGACTTGACTCGAGACGGCATTGAACCAGATAGCAATGGCAACAGGTAGGGTAACGAGGGACAGAATCAAGGGTACTGAGTTATGGGCGATGCGACCTTCATGGTCTTTGTCCGTCATAGCGACAAGCGGTCTTCTTGTCGTGCTGAAAACGAGAGAAGATGTCGACCAAAGACGGTAGATGCCAAGAAGGAGATGGCCAAAAGTTGCCATGAAGCTCAAAGCGCAAGCGTCACCCCACGTTTTGAAGGCAGCGACGTGATGGGCTTGACGGTTTCATCATCATCTACAACTTGAGTGACAGATAGTACATGACTTGACCTGCGACTCTTGGGGGTATGGCCCTGCTATGAACGCGCTCAATATCCTGTCAGGACTGAGTCCTCCGCCCACACCCAGCCTCCCACCTACTCCATCCCGCTCGCGCACTGGAAGCACCGCCAACATCGATGCCGACCACGCCTCTTTGTTAGAGAAACCCGACCCTTCCTATTTTGACGACTTGCACAAATCTACCAAGTTTTCCACGCCCGCGACTACTGCCTCACCCTCGTCGCCATGGCTCTTTCCTTCCCGCGTAGCCTCGATGCTCATCACAACCCTCAAGCTCATTCTCGACTTCATCTTGGCCCCATTCAGATATCTGGTTGCTGCCTTCTACGATTCAAACGGCAAATTCTCTCTCCTCATACCAATGCGATCAATGCGCCGCTTGTTCTCGCCCGAGCCCCGTGAACCCGCTCCTCATACACCATCCACCAAGCCACAGACACGTCCACGAGGCACCTCTGTCGATTCGACCACCTCCTCTGTCCTTTCCGACTCTGAAGGAGACGCCTTTGCATCATTTGAACAAGGCCCTGCTGCCAATACTCGCTCCAAGTCTGCTGCCGACAAAGATGAGATAGCTCCCGCCAAACGTTCAATCCGCATCAAGCTTCACAACAACGAAGATGCTCTGCGCCGCAGACGCCAACGCGCCACTTCGGATGCCGACAAGTCTGATCAAGACAAGGTCGCTGCTGTTGCAAACTCTCTAAAATCTCCATCAAACTCGGCTGCTACGAAGCTCAGATACCCTCGCGCCCCTGCTCCTCCTAGACCTCTTGTACCCAGGCGTCAACCCTCCTATGTCATGACATATAATCCTGATCCACCCAAGAAGACTCTCATCATCGACTTGGACGAGACTCTGATCCACAGTATGGCCAAAGGTGGGAGGATGAGTACCGGACACATGGTCGAAGTCAAGCTCCAAGGTCCTATCGGAGGAAACGGTATGGTGCTCGGTCCCCAAGTACCTATACTGTACTACGTGCACGAGCGTCCATACTGCCATGACTTTTTGCGCAAGGTGAGATTTGACGCCCCTGCATTCTCTGCTTTCGTCTACTGACTCTGTCATCATCAGGTCTGCAAATGGTATAATCTGATAGTATTCACCGCATCTGTACAAGAATACGCTGATCCTGTCATCGATTGGGTGGAACGCGAACGCAAATACTTCAGCGGCAGATACTATCGTCAACACTGCACATTCCGTAATGGCGCGTACATAAAGGATTTGACGCAGGTAGAACCTGATCTGAGTAAGGTCATGATTCTCGATAACAGCCCGATGAGCTATATTTTTCATGAAGGTGAGTCAGGCCAATTTCCTGCTTGATATCATGACTCTGTCTCTGACCAATACCACTCAGACAATGCGATCCCCATAGAAGGCTGGATAAGCGACCCTACGGATAATGATCTCTTGCATCTGGTGCCTCTTCTAGAAGGACTGCAGTACGTGACAGATGTACGAGCTCTTTTGGCATTACGGCTTGGACAAGCGGAACGTACATGATATCAATTTCTTTTTTCGATCTTCAGTGCATCTCAACCCGCGATACCTATTTTTGACGTGGTTTGACTACATACATTTGGGGTGCATCAGAGGCTTGTGAAGTGTTTCTGTCTTGGTCACACACGAGGACCACCAGTTCTGGCTGTGTCTATGGTTAGATTTGACTCGTATCTCGGTTCACTGACTTTGGACTGAAGAGCAAAACATGCCATTTGTGGCTAGACACCTGTTCAGGTACGATGTGCGTGCAGGGGTCTTGAAGAGTTGCCGTGTGCATTGTCACAGTTGATGAAATTTGACCGCATTGTACGGTGACGTCTCCTAGCCGAACCAAATGTAACCTCAAGAAACTGATTCTCGAATCCTTTGCTGCCTAGAGAGTTGCCTGATCACATTTTCTACAGGGTAGAGCCAAGCCGAGAATTGACAAGGCGCCTGTCGATCCATTGATCTATCGTTCTTTTGTGCCCGCATGTGCCATGCTGCGGCCCCCTGTTTCATGGATCGCTCCGCCGAACCCACCGGGCCAAGCAACAAACAACAACCACAACGACTTTTTGATCCCATGGCTTCTTCTTAGTGTGTTCTTGGTTTCTCGTTCGGTGGCTTATACTGCAGTAGGATTCAGGTGTTTGGTTTGTGCATGCCGAGACAAGCCTCTAGAGGCTGAAGCTCGTAAATTAGTGCCGCCGTGGCTTCCTATTTTAATTGAGGTAGGAGCGAATCCTTCGATGGCCTTGCAATATATATATCTGCATTGGTCCTCTCCTCGTAGACATAGCTTTTCTCTTGACTCTGTAGAGCGACTACCTTATCGATATCTGGGAATACTTACTGCCTACTTTGTCGACTACGATTGATCATCAAGATGCGTTCTTCTATTGCTCTTCTGGCTGCTTCTGCCATTGGTGCTTTTGCANAAGACACCATGACGACCTCGCTTTTCCTAGGCGGCACTCTCGACAAGGGACAGAACTTCGCTGGATCGGTCGTTTCGGTAGGCCCCAGCGAAACCGTCTACCAAATCGTATGCGGAGCCACCGATATTTGCGGCACCGCCGTGCCCGTAGGACTCTCTTCTTTACATGCTGTAGACAACAGTACTGACTCAAAGGCACAGCAAACCGTTACCATTGGTCCATCGCACCTCAACTATCAATTCGCGACCGAAACCATGGGAATTGAGGCTACTGCTTCCGAGACTTGCCAGATCAGTGGAACTACCGCTGCTGTTTGCCAGGCCACGTTCACCTTAGAGGTCAATGTCCCGGATGTCACCTCGACAAGCACAGTCGTTGAGACCACTACGACTCTTAGTGGTAACGAAATGGCCGGTGTGCCTGTAAAGCTTACTGCTGGTGTTGAGAAGTTGTCCGCTGCTACTCCTGNNCTTCGGCTGCTGCTTCGGCTTCTGGATCCTCGAAGGCCTCTGATTCATCGTCCTCTCCTGGCTCTGCAAGTGCTGCTTCCTCGTCCAGCGCATCTGTGAGTAGTCCTTCGTCCTGCATCATCTCGGTTTGTTGACTGACTAAATTCCCAGGGTGCATCTTCTACCATGGCGAACGGCAGAGGTGGTGATATTCTGGCATTTGCCATGTTCTCGGCCATCTCGGTGTCGGTCGGTGCCCTTATGATCCTTTAGAGTTCGGAAAATCTTTGCAGTTGGAACATCCTTCATACTTCGATGGAAATCATGCGAGTAAGATTCTTATTCTGTTTCCACCTTTCGAGAATAGAGAGACAGAATCGGATATCGCATGACCAATCAGAGGAATCGGTATTGTACACGTCCTGTTGATCCATGACCCAACGTGTTCAAACTCATTATTTCAGAAAATGAAGAGTGATGGGAATATCATTTCAACTCGGTCGTCGTGGTCTTCCCTGTTTTTTCTTTTGCGGTATAGAATTCGGTCCATCGAGCTCGATCTTCCGGGCCTTCAGTGCTCTAGTTATTGGTTCTTTGATATCCTCGTAACCTTCTGGCATTGCCTCAGGACCAGTAAAATAACACTTGTGACATTTGTAGAGCTCGTTGTCATCTTGATCGGGACGTGGGTTCCTTTTCCACCACATCTTGAAGCCGCCATGCCTTGTGACGACGCATGATGAACACTCGTGCTCGACTTTCTCAGGATAGAGGATTGGTGTGTGAGTTTTCCAAGGCAACTCTTCACGAATCCAAGCGTGTTTCAGTAACATGTCTTGCATTCTTAACCTCAGCCTGTGTGCAGGATTGGTTTGTCTGAGTAAAGCGCTGGCCTCGCGCTGTGCTTGTCGTCGTCGGGCCATATCCACATTGGCTTCGTACTTGGACATAAAGGTCCGGCTCCTTTGTCTTTTCCTAGTCAAGAGTTTGGGATCAAGCTTGCAGTGTTTCGTCCACCGCGATTGAGGGTGACCGGCTCTCTGATGAGACTGTGCAGCTTCATCCTGTTGTGTTGCTACGGGAGCTTCTGCATGATCAGATCTGACATGGCAGGTCGAGAATAGGCGCCGGATGGACAGTGATTCGATAGTCAATTGGACTCTCGAAGTGTGAAATGGTAGAGACGATGTAGAAGTCCAAAGACTTGAGAGATGACTTCCATGTAAAGCCCTCCTCAAGCACATGGCCACGCCCATGCTGGAAGGCGTGAATTTTGATGTCAAAAGCAGAAGACGAAATTGGTCACGGGTGGAACGTGTAGAGAAGAGTCTCGGGAGGAGGTTGTCCGAAGGCCGATTCCTTTCACATGTCAAGACTCCACAGTGTTTGGCTGTCGCGTTCAAACCTCCTTTCCCAACCAGCAATCTGACAAAACCACGCAAACATGAAGAACATATAAGAGTCAAGACGTACAGGGACCAATTCCTGTTCTACTGGCGACCACAATTTTCACGGCGTACTGCGCTTCCGCTCAAAGGCCAACAACATTCATCTCTCCAAGACTCGAAGACAACATCACACAACCAACCATGGCTCTATTCAACACCCCCATTCTCGCGGTACTGGCCACACTCACCCTCTTTGCGCTGCAGTTTACAACACTGCGTCTTCTCTCGCTCGCTCCGCACCGCCGTGCCCCCTCAACACCTCGCAAACGCGGCACACCCGCCCACCTCCTTATAGTCCTCGGCAGCGGTGGCCACACGGCAGAAATGATCTCTATGCTCCGCCGCAGCGCCACCTGTCCTACATTCACCCACCGCACCTGGCTAGTCTCATCCGGCGACAACTTCTCCGCCGCCTTTGCCAAAGAATTCGAACAAGAGATGGGCGAGAACAACGGCACGTACAGGATCGTACAAGTCAGACGAGCAAGAAAGATACACCAAAGCTTGATCTCTGCGCCTTGGAGTTGCTTGTTGTGTTTGTGGGATTGTTTAAAGGTTCTGACGCCTTCTTCTGACAAGCAATATGGATATCCGGATTTGATAATCACCAATGGTCCTGCTACTGCAACTATTCTGGTCTTTGCTTCTGTGTTGTTGCGATTCTTTGGCTTGCAAGGACAGAATGGTACTGGAGAGATGCGAACGATTTACGTCGAAAGCTGGGCAAGAGTCAAGAAGCTCAGTTTGAGTGGGAGATTGCTGTGCTGGGTTGTGGATCGCGTACTGGTGCAATGGGAACAGCTGCAAGGTGCTGGAGTAGGAGGACGCGCTGAATTCAAAGGTGTCTTGGTCTGAAGAAAGCACTTGGGACTCGGATCACAGCATACTGGGTGATTCTGCATCAAATTTCTGGACACGTCCATTGGCAGTCAGCTACTGTCACCTCTCTGGAGCGACAGATCGTTCTTGATCACAAGAAGGCACTCATTACAGGCAAGGTCGTTCTCAACGCTCTGCGCCACTTGCAGCATAGCAAATGGCCAACAACGCAACCTGACTTTAAGGCTCAGATGGAGTCAAGTCACAAAAGATGCCATTCACATGTACTGCTATCTCCAGAAACTCAGAATCAGCGCGCGCAAGAAATGGAATGGCACGAGCGGCGAACTCCTCTCCTCGAAAACGTCTGGATTGTTCTCTGTCCTCCTCCTCTTTCTCAGTACCATCAACAGATAAAAAAGTCCCAGATCGAATAAAGAAGGCCACACCAGTGGGTAACAAGGTTGTGAGTCGAATTAGAAAATCTTGAGAAACGCCAAAAACGGATGGAGAAACAGATTGATCTCGAAGACATGAGAACGTCACCAAGGCAGCTGGTTCTTGGAGCAACCGATCTTAAAGCACCTGGAAGTAGGCTCCCAAGAACGGCACAGCGACACTGTAAGAAATCAGTCAAAGATCTGAGATAGAACAAGATAATGCAGATGCAAACATACCCNNCATGGCCATAGTGGTCAATATACCCAACGTTGCCCTCTTCTTAATCTTCTCCTTACGAAGCTCAATTTCAGTTATACGTTGTCTCTTTGCCGGACGCTCATCAATCTCTATGGGGGCAACTGCGGCTGATGACCCGACTGTGTCAAACTCAGGGAACTCGGAAACTGATTCGTCATCCTCAAAGGCCTCAAAGGCCTCAAGGGCCTTGCGCTTCTTGCCAGGAGTGCGACTGGCCGTTAGCTTGTGTGCGGCAACAATCGATTCCTTGGCCATGTCGAGATATGCTTGAGGATCACTGGGCTGTGCAAGGTCTGGGTGGCTGGCTGGCACGTTGACAACAGCACGCACACTCTCAGTAGGGCTGCCTCCATTAACACCGGGTACGGTGGTGGTCTCAATGTCAACCTTGACTGTGTCGTCAGAGCGAACGCTCACAGACACAGGGATCTCATCTTCAAGCGCAGCATCTGCGTCTGCTTTGGCAGCTGCTTCGCTGGAAGCAATTATAGAGTCGAACTTGGCAGACTCAGGTTCAACCGAAGTCTCTGGTGCAGCAGACTCCTCGGCGCTCTCGGCGGTGGGAGCGAGCGCACTGGATGCCGTAGGCTTTGCGCGTCGGGTCCTCCTGGGGGTTGCAATTTTGCGGCTGGGTGTGGGAGGNGCCTTTGCAGGAGAAGCAGAACGAAGAGTTCGGCGGCGAGAGGTGGTTTCTGTCGGAGGAGGGAGAGTGGTAGCTTCCGAGGTAGGAATGAGGAATCGAGGAGGTGTAGCGATCTTCTTGTTGGGGTCGTGGGTTCCCTTGGCGATGGGCTCGGGATCGAGCAGTGCCTCAATCCAAGTGCGCATGCCGTAGGCGTCGGCGAGAGTCAGGGCTGAGTTCGGAGGGATCCACACGTTGCCAGCAATCTCCTCGCTGTCGGTCTCCGGAAGCGACTTGATGTACTTTTTCTCGGTTTCCTCCTCCTCGAGTGTTGACCATGGGAAGGCGGCCTTGTACATGCCAGTTGCGCTAATGTAACCGTCGTTGGAGCGTCTNCTGTCAATGCTACATTAGCAAAGCTGCGCCTATTTGCGCGTGTTTCCCATTCCCCTCACCATCAAGAAGTAAGCTTCCGGGTACGACTGGTTGCGGCGCGACGGAGCAAAGATGCCGCTACCTTGCAGATCCTTGGGAAGAGGTACGCGCAGGTGGGCATAATCGAACATGCCCAGGTTGGAAGGCTTTGTCGCATTGGAAGTGCCAATTTGGCCAGCCTTCACTGTGAGCTCTGTCTGTCCCAATCGGCGTCTTTCAACCAGGATCTCNAACTGTTCCCCCATCAGCCATGTGGCCATCACGTCATGCGAAGCTCTGAACGTACTCTGCGGAGTGTGTTTCTCCTCAACGAGAGGGTTTCTCTTCTCGGGCAAAGCGCGTTCCGCGTCCATGGTAGAGGTCGAGCGCGTCGGCTAGCTGGTTTTTGTGGTCGCACGAGATTTATAGATATCGGGTGTGAGTGTACGTGACGAGAGCCACAAAGCGAGGTCGGTCGCGGGTTCGGACGAGATGGGGTGAGAGCTCGAGGAATAAAGTGGACGAAGGTGGTGAGGTCAAAATGGTCAGAAACGCGTGCAGCAGCCAGCGGGAAGAATGCACGACCTACCTACGCCATACACAATGTTGCCAAGAGGAAGTTAACGGCTGTGGGGATTTGTGGTTGCTTTTGAGTTTCACCGACTTCACTCACCTTCTACAGCCATCCGACTGAAGACAACACCGCTGAGATAGCTTACTATCACTCATCACAAGCTCACTTCCTCTGTCTTGCTTTACTATCATGGTGAGAGACCTGACTGCGTGTCTCAGCGTCCTCTGCTGCGAAGACACATGGGAAATTACAATACAAACAAGCCCAGGTTGCGGCATGCGAGAGAAATACTCAACTCACCGACTGCGACGACCTGACCTGTCTGAATATACTCTAAGCACGGTCGTGTTTCTCTGTAGCTTCTTCTAAGGTTGTATCTGTAACTGCTATACAAACGTGCACGTATTCAGGTTTATTATGCTGTCCAAATCCTGCAATTCTCTATTGATGAGACAAGGCCATGCAGTATCAAGAAGTATGAAACCTGTTCTTATGCTTTGATTATTCCACATGCTGTCGATGTGATTGAGAAGTATCGATGGATATCATGTACTTTCGCGAGTCAAGGAGCTTCGAGCCACCTTGCAAAGGAAAGCCCCGCGTCACTTGCAAGCCATAACAAAACAAAACAAACACACTTGCTATCGTGTACGACGGACCAGACTCTATGTCTGTATTCAACTACTATTTTTTTCTTCTCAGGCAGAATCAGGACTAGTAATCTATTTCTCAAACCGCATTGACCTACTTCCTACGTTTCCGCGTGATCTTCGGTGTTTTGATCCTGACTGAGGCGGTGAAGTCGGGGAGTACACGTCAGAGAGCTAAATTCGAGGCCTTTGGGGGCTCCACATCCCTGAATATCTTATCCACATCCACTCACCTGTCTACCTCTGTTCTCTCTTCCTATCAACATATCTACAGTTGTCCCTATCATTACAGCAACAATGTCTGGCGCAACTGACTTCCACGAGGACGAGCTCCGCCCTGAGACCACTGCTGGTTTCAAGGTTGGAGAGAAGAAAACTTTGGAGGAATACCAACAGCTCGGTGAGTACCTTTGAGTTCGTTTTCCCTCATGACATGTTTGTGCCTTTTAGGCGTGCGTTGCCTCTACAACTATGTCTCCACTTGCGGCGAGGAATTCTTCATATCACCCCCGGCCCCTGGACATCATGAGGAGCCTTTGCACACTCTTCAGTCAGGATCTGTGCATGTGCTAGCTCCAGAGAGTCGTTGCATAGCATGAGCATTCAATTCGTCAATCTGGAAACGCCCAGCAAGGGGCTCTCCCCAAGGGAAACACAACCCGAGCTTTCCGGGCAAGACGATCAGGTACAGAGAAGGCCGTCCGAACCCCGTAAAGCATTTTCCATCGATCGTTCCAGCAACCGCAGACAACCATGGATCGATGCGAGGAAGCTATCAGACGAACAGTTGCAACAACATATCGATGCCGAAAACCAACGCAAAGCTCGGAGATCCTCCGTTCGGGCAGCCTTAGAAAACACTGTTGATCTCTTCTCTAAGCCACCCTCTAAAAGTTCTTCTCGGGCAACGTCACGAGATGAGGGTGAAGCATCCTCTGTTTTTGTTCGAGCCATGCCAGGAGATGAGGAGTTCAAGCCCTCAAGACGTACTGTGCTGAACGATCGACGAAGGTCTCTTGTTCATGGATTGCAGACTCTCCACAAACACGACAGTGTGTGGGGCTCTTACGACAGAGGCGTCCTGAGCAAGTACTCTGGAGGCCGCGATCGGGATTCAAAGATTCCTCGCAAACAGTCGTACGTTAGGACTTCAACCCCAAATGCCCTGCTTCCATCCACCGACGATGAGCGAAAGTGGGCTCGACAAGTTTTGCGATATTATTCGTCTACATTGGATGCTTCTCAATGCGATGTTTTCACTTGGCACGCACTCGAGCGAAAGGACGACCCGGTGCATCTTGTCATCTGTCATGGCGAGATGGTCTTCATGGATCAATATGGTCAGGAACTATCTGGAGAGCCTACTATCATACATCAGTTGGAAGCCATTCATCGCCGGGGAATGCTACAGCCAGATTACGAAGACTACGAAGTGCCGCTCACTCGCATACCAACACGCCAGGTTGAGGAACAGACTGCCGATCACTTCAGAGCATTACTTGAACGTAATGGCTCTGAGGATCTGTCGCCTCCCTCGACGGTACAAGTTGGTTGGTGGCTTCACAATTCACCAGTTTACCGCGTGAGGTATCGTGAAGCCGAACTCTGGATGACAATCGATGGCCGCAATATGCCCAACCGACCTGCAATTTCGGAGCAGATCAAGCAAATCAAAGCGATGACAGATGACACCATGCAAGGTGACAGATCATCTGGATCTCATGGTTCTTCTGAAGACGTATCTCCCAGCCACATTGAACCAAACAACAATCAGGAAACTCGAGCTAGCCAGCAGACCACTGAGGAGCAAAACAGGACCTTCACAAAAAACCAGAAGCCGTGGAAAACCTGGATATCGCCGCTTGTTTCGCTGGATGGGTGTGCGATGAGCGCTCGGCCGAGCAATGCTTCTGTCATGATTGTTTTTGCGAATTTTTGTTCATTGTCTTTTGTTTGGTCCAAGTAGGTTCCGTTTACTGATATCATATGACAACAGATCAGAACGATGAGAGCTTGAGAAAGTGGAAGGAGAGCCTGGGCATCGGTTCAGGAACCACCATTGGCGATGCCAGCGATCCGCGCAAGGTCATCATTGTCTCTCTTGGACTCGAGGTAAGATGGATTTATTTGGTCGTGCAGTGATAGACATTTTGGTTGACTTTGGCTTGCTACCTAGNNGTTGAGGGCCGTCCCGACATCATCATCGACCTGTCAAGCCCCGGTGCTCTCGAGTCACTTAAGTCCAAGCCCTTCACCATCAAGGAAGGTGCCACCTTCCGCATGAAGGCCCGCTTCAGAGTTCAGCACCAGATTCTGTCGGGCATGAAGTACGTCCAGGTCGTCAAGCGCATGGGTATCTCGAACAAGATGCAGGAGATGATTGGTTCTTACTCTCCCAACACCACTGACAAGCCCGAGTACGAGAAGAAGTGTAAGTTCATGGCTGCTCCACAGGCGTTTATGCAATTGTACTGACATGACCAAAACANNGTCGAGGCAGAGACCGCACCTTCGGGTATGATGGCTCGTGGCCACTACAACGCCGTCTCCAAGTTCATCGATGACGACGAGCAGACCCACTTGAAGTTCGAGTGGTCCTTCGACATCAAGAAGGACTGGTAAACCAAGAGCTCATGGTGTCTTCACTCCAAAACGATTTTTGGCCGTTTTCCACTTTCCTTACAGCGGCATATGACAAAGCATCAAGTGGGCTCAGGATATCCTTCTTGCACACGTTATCAGGGGTTGATTTGTTTTGTTTTTTCTTCCAGCCGAAATTTCTCATTTTCTGCATGTAGGTCTAGAGTTTGATACTCGGACTTGAACACAAAATGCATTTTGTTCTCTCTTCTAGCTCATGCTGTCGCAAAGCAATTCTGACTTGCTCGCCGTCTTGTCGAAGTTCTGCTAGTGACCCATGCTTCCATTACTAGTTCGTGCCACCATCGACGAGTTTTCCCTCGCGTCCATGTCTCCAGGGCCGCGACCATTGTTTGATACGTCTCGTGACTGGAATCAGGCAGTACGTCGCCTTCATTGTGCATGACTGCAGGAGAATTTGGCATCCGCGACCGTTCCTAGTCGGTATGCTTCAGCCTTGGCTTGTGTCACTCCTAGGCGACTGACGGCATACGTACAGTTCACGATTGTAGTCGTGACCTAGAATCCTATACTGAGATGAAGCCTAGAAAACTGTGGCGGTGAGGATCCACTTAGATCCGTCGAGCGTGCTACATGCTCTGCTTTTGTCCTCGCAATTATCGCATAGCCTGAATCAGCGTGAGGCAATAGCGGGAGCCCAGACTCGTCCTATACGATTGACTTCGTTGATGAAGTTACGGCTAGTGATCTGGGTTGACGCAGTTGGTTGATGGGCATTGGCGTTGGGAGCATGGTCCTCAGGCGTATAGAACGGGTTCCTCAACAGATTGATATATGCCCTTTGCAATGCTTGGAAAGCNCTATTGTCAGAGCAAAGTGGTCAGCGTCTGAGCTCTATAACGATCCCGGTAGCATGACTTACAGGAGTAAGATCAGAATTCTTCAGCCCAAGAACAGGAGGGGTTCTGCTATCATTGGCAGGAGATTGACGGCCTTCCATGTCGACAATAATAACTAGTTTCACACCAGTATTTGTGAGCCAGCCGTACATGGCCAGGCGTTCGTCGATAGCTTGGAGAAGACCAAAGTCTTGGCCGACATTCTTCTCTGGTAGACGAGCTTCAAAGATATCAAGACAAGTGGAAAGCATAAAGGAAAAGTCAAGTTTGCTGCGTTCTTCCTTGTCGCCTTCTGCGGGGAATATAGAGATGTGGAGAGGGTTGTTCTTTGGATATGTTAGTTCGGAGAAGATGAACACGGAAGGCATTTTGATTTAGTGACCGAAAAAGATTTCACATACTTGTCTGCCTATGACACCTATGCAGGCAACTGCAGGAGTTTTGATTGTAGCCATGATTGACTACAGGATAGATAAAAGGAGGATGCTGTTGGAGGTTGGAGGTCAAGCTCAGCCAGTTGGGGTAAGCGCGACCAGCAGCCAATCAGAGGGCGCGACTTCCTAATCCTGTACATCAGATCGCGACTTCCTCGAAGCCGTCATTGAAGTTGTCCCTTCCGCCACCACTTGACCGCAACGACAGCGACAAGCTAATATCTCCACTCCGCGTCGCTGCTTCTCTCGACTTTTCCTATACACACACCCTACGAGAGTCAACATGTTCGCCGCCACCCGCTCGACAATGGCCCTTGGCCTGCGCGGTACGTGAATTTCAATGCCACCGACAGAGACACGCCCCGACTAAGACAACCATGTATAGNCCAAGCCTACCGCCGCCCTCGTTCCCTTCACTCGCGCCGCTCCCGTCGCCTTCATCCACAGCTCGTCAACAAAGTCAGCAACCATGGAGAGACCCGGCCTCGTCAAGGGCAACCCAGGCACCCCGCCACCCATGAAGAAGGGCATGCCCACAAACGTCCCTCTTCCTAGCCAGGAGGGCAAGCAGGGTGTCATGCAATACGCTTTGTATGTGCATCAACAACATAGAAAAGGCGAGTCAATTGCTGACAGCATGCCAATAGGANCCACTCTTGACCAAATCGCCAACTGGGCCCGTCAGGGTTCGCTGTGGCCCTTGACCTTCGGTCTTGCCTGCTGCGCCGTCGAGATGATGCACTTGTCCACCCCTCGTTATGATCAAGATCGTATGGGTATCATTTTCCGTGCCTCGCCCCGTCAATCCGATGTCATGATCGTCGCCGGTACCCTCACCAACAAGATGGCTCCCGCCCTCCGCCAGGTCTACGATCAGATGCCCGACCCCCGCTGGGTCATCTCCATGGGCTCATGCGCCAACGGTGGCGGTTACTACCACTACTCCTACTCCGTCACCCGCGGCTGTGACCGTATCGTCCCCGTCGACATCTACGTTCCCGGCTGCCCGCCTACCGCTGAAGCCCTCATGTTCGGTATCTTCCAGCTGCAGAAGAAGATGAGACACACCAAGATCACCAGAATGTGGTACCGCAAGTAAACAGTTCGCCAGGCTTGTAAAAAATGCTGCTGCTGCTTCTTTTGGGTTTCCTTTTCAATCACATTCATGGGGCGTTTTATACTTAACGAGAGGCTGGGGCATCATGCTGTAGCGCTTCACATGGGACTTGTGTAAATATCCGACGTTTTTCTTTTTACTCGTTTGGCAATAAATGAAAGCTTCTTTTGTTACTTGGTATGCTATCGCCGTTGGATTGATGTTTTGTGCGTGTGCGTATGACTGGAAGTCATCTCTGGCCCCTTCATTGATTTGGTACCCACTCGTGATTGTCATTAGACTGCGGCGGATATCGTCACTACTTCAACACGATGAACGTGAATCGAGTACCAAGCCTCAGATTAATCTACCCCTCGACACGTATTTCGAAATCGCGATGGATGAGTCTCATCCCCATGCTAGCCACATGAATAGCGGAAACTACTTTTGACTCCTATTTCACAGGTGAAATTGAAACATTACGAGATGCTGCGTCTGCTAAACGTCCTCTAGCATTTATTGTAAAAGCGCATCTATGGAATGTGGATAGGTTCCAAGCCAGGAGAATATAGTGATTGTAACTTTTAGGTAAGAGGTAGTTCGTATGGTAGACACCTGTCAAAGTTCTTATGCCATGATTGTAAGGTGCACCTACCTTTGCACCTTCCTCCCTTCATTCAATGCTATTATAGAACTCGGTTCTGGGATTGCACGAGTCCTAATAAACTATGATTATGAATTATTAGGTAATCTATCTAATCTTGTACTGACATAAGGAGCTATGCAAATTTCCAACTATAGATGGATGTGGCTTTTGTCGGTCGTTCCTTCCTGGCTCCACATATTACTGCTCTTTCCTAATTTATTTTTTCGAGGCTCGTCCTCTATCAATTTAATTGACATCCTCATTTCTTACATCCATAACCCCAAACCGTGCCGTTGACCCCTCCGTGGGCCCGTCTTTCCCATTCTGTGTACTGCCTGCCTCTGCGTCGCAATCCATGTTACATCCTTTCTGAAGCCGAGGTCCTTTCGTCCTGATGTCTCTTCTCATCTACTGGATTGAACTCCGTTATCCACTCTTACAAGATCAATTGGAATGCCACAACTCTGTAAGCAAAGCCAGTTGTTTCCTCTTTTCCTTGTGCCTTGCCGTCAAGAAAGATACCCAGTTCGTTTTTATGATGAAAGATCAGCCACTTGGCTCCTAGACGGCATTCGCTGTAACTTAATTGTGTCGGCACCGTTGGAGAGCAAGATACCACTCTGTCGGCATTCGCTGTAAGGAAGTTCGCTTCTCGTCGGCATTCGCTGTAACTTTATTGTGTCGGCATTCGCTGTGGGATGTGGTATCGAATGATTTTGTTCTGATTGTTGGGATGATGTTTTCAGCAAAGGATTTGGCATTAACTCTTCAATGTTGCAGGCTGACTAGCAAAACATCTCACTAGGCTGTTGCGATCCGACATTCTTGAATTACACTGCTTCGTGTACAGCATGGCAAAAATGGCAACATTGGTCTGGGTAAACGACTAGCGCACTCCCAACCGAGTCAGATGAACTCCCGCCTATTGTTAACTGATCCCGTTGATAGAATGGTCGGACAGAGCTCTTCTCGGCTAGATCTAGTGGATAGAAGGGTCAAACAAGGCTGTCATCATCTTGAATCCAGTTGATGGAGGGTTAAAGGGTGGTAGACAGGTAACATGCTTCAGGAGAGGTTGAGTCGCGAGATTCTGCCGAGGTATTCTCTTATTCAGAAGTCGTGAGAAATTTGGCATGGAGCGTGTTGCAAAAATGAGGTTGTCAACTTTCGATCAGGATTGGTAGTATGTATGGTTTAGATTTTCAATCGTCAGACTCCATGGTTGTTGTGTAGCGTACAAGAACAGCGTGCGAAGACGTCTTGAACACGCACGCGCCTGACGCCAAGTTTCTCATGACTTTTGAATAGGAGAATACTGTAAAATCAAGCCAGCGAAGCCTCACATCGCTGCCCGAACCTCGACTCAATCCAACTCTCTTCTAGCTCAACCTGCTCGCAACACGTCAGGAAGCAAGTACACAGACGAAGATTTATCTGTACACAGCTATGGCAAACCAAAGAGACCTTTTGAAAACGAGTTTTCGTTTCCAGGGCATGCATGCATGTGGACGAGTTGCAAACGAGAACTCGTTTGTAGCACGTCTACGTTACCAACATTTCAGGCGGACCTAGACATCAATCCGTCTCACGTCTACTGAAGAGACATCGCATGGCAATATCATGCTTGATGAGGTTCGATGGCGCTCGGATCCTTACGGCCGTTCTAAAAAAAAAAAAGTCTTATCCTTACTGGCCCATGTATGTTGCCCGACCTTGATCATCATCCGAGAAATAGGCCATGAAGTCTGGGAGCGACGAAGCGACACGTTGAAGATCCCTTTAGATTATGCTGAGAAGTGACCATACTGCTGGGTGAAGCCACCTCAAAATCGAAGACGATGTCACAAATGTTGCGGTGTACCCGGAGCAACGCATGTCAATCTTACTAACATGCTATCGCAGAAGTTCTACTGGTATCCAATCCTGAGATTGTGGATGGTTTGTGAACTTCTCTGCCCAACCTGCTCAGGAACTTCTCCAACCCATTATACCAAACTGCTGGATATCCTCCTGTTACTGCATCTGTCCCTGCCTGGCCTTCACCATTGTCAAACCTGAGGCCTCTCAACTTTGGGGTAGAACAGATACTGCTCTTCTCAGGTGCCCAATTCTGGAATCGGAGAGCTCACAAGAATAGAATAATGGACTTCCTCATACTTTTCACATCTTCTTAACGCTGGATCTTTCTTGATACTGCACACCTTCTCCTGATGCCGGATTTCTTTCTGACACTGGGCTACCTCAACTCCGAGAGTCCTGTTCCAAGTGCTGAACGTTGTATTGCTACTATGCCTGCATACCATCCGATCTACAGTCTCCTGCACGCCGCTCATGATCATTCTAGTACAGACTAATCGAAAAGAATGCATGTCGGACAGGAACACTGCTCACTTTATGGTTACATGCTTATACAGGACCTGTGCCGCTACTACACATGGAGCTTAATGTTCTTCAACGGATAAGGCTGGTATACAGCTGCCTACAGGCACAGTTCTCTTAACGAGAGAGGAGACATTCGGTCAAAGTACCCGCAGTAGCTGCTGTCTGTGGACACATTTGTTTGTCCTGAAAGTACTGTTGCAAGAAACCAATAGGCAGGGTGACTCTCTCCTCCTGTCCGGAACTGCATGTGACTGTGCTGTCAGTCAGGTAAACAACAACCCTCGAACCTTAGGAGATATTCGCTACCGCTCCTTTTTTCCGAGCAAGCGCCAAGACTCATATCGTCGCACACAATTGCTCAAGGAATCGTCGAAATCGATACGGTAATTTTGTATTGTGTATCAAAATTTGCTTCTTTGTGGCTATACGCTTGCTTGTCAAGCCAACACCCGCATAAGCAACTCGAATACCGGTCAGTAGACCTGATCTCGCTCCTTTGCCCGCCTGATCTATTGACACTCCTGCAGGCTCGTGTGTGCCTCTTTTGGCTGTGCTCCAACTCGCGTGTACCAACTCGCGTCCACCTTTGTGTGCCCCCATCCTTCATCTTCAATCTCCCCCTTCATCCATTTCGCGCATCAATTCGCGTCTACACCCTCACACTACCAATCACGTCCTTGTGCTTGCGCATTTCCTCTTCCGCTTGCGCACTTCCTCCTCTACTTGCCACTCCTACTCGCTTTTGTCACGTTCATCTCTGCACGCACTTGCATTTTGGTTCCACCGTTCATTATGGGGCCAAAGAGGATACATCCTGGCCGCAGCCAACGCAAGCGTCTAAGAGCTCAAGCCCACCAAGCCAACATAGAACGTACCCAAGCCGAGTTGGCCGCGAGGATAGAAAGGGACAAACAGGCAAGGGGACTGATCCAGGGCGCTGAGGCGCATCTCCCACAACCTCCCAAACCCGCATCAGATACGCGTCTCCCACCGCCTTCCAAACCCGATTCAGATGAGCGTCTTCCACCACCTCTCAAATCCGATTCAGATGCGCGCTCCGCTTCCAACACCAAGCCGCGATCAACTTCGTCTGGCTCGTCCTCTGATCCATCATCTACGAACACCTCTTCTGCGAGCACAGTCAGACTTCCTGGCGCTGGCCCACGGATCAGCCTAAGCCCTGACTGGCCAGAGACATTGAAGAGCGACGACACAAGCATCCCACATGACTCGGACGACTCAGAGAAAGCGGAGCCCGAATACGAGGATTCTGACTTTGGCTATGATCCGGAAGATCATAACGATGAACAGGAGGATGCACAGAAGGGATGAACAGGAGGATGAAGACAGCGATGACATGGCTGTTGATGACACGGCTTTCAATGACACGGCTGTCGCTGACGACGTGGAATTGCCTTAATTATAAGTGAGGTTTGCTCCCAGAAATGGTCCTGTTTGCATTTATCTCTACAAACCTATCTGGTCATCGGTGTCTTGATCAATGGTTCACATCGATTTTCATTTATGCTCTTTAATGACAGATACATCATCAATTGGATGTCATATACAATTTCCGATGACAACCTTGTATCAATGTGTGCTCAGGATAGCAAACAGAGTCGTGGATCCGTTAGAGGTTGGATGCATAAGGCACGACAGGGTGTTCTCAGCAACCAGTGATATTTCATATTTCAGAATCAACACACACATCATTGTGTATCGATCCACTGCGTAATTCCAAGCTAGCGGGCTACTAGAGCATCAGAGTTTCTAAACAATGGCATCCGTCTCATAGTATGGATTGTTAGGATCGAAAGGGAACTTTCTGACCACCACGTCACCCTTATAACCCCAAAGATCCACTTCCACAGGAGTAAACTCGACAGCACAACTACCTTGCTCTTGTCCAAAAGTCTCTACGGCACTCTCATTGCCACCTCCATAGTTGATGCGAACCTGATTGACAGTCTGTCGACTCGGATCGCCATCCAGATAGTTCAGAGGTGAAAAGGAAAGACCCGCATGAGCTGTCGAAAACACCGTATTGGGCAGATCACCAGTATGAGGAATGTGATGCATTCCCAGGTTCAGCCACAGCACGAGATCAGTCTGAGTGAGATTTTCGCCATCGAAAAAGGCATCGAAGTTGATAGGTGGGTTGTGCACATCTTGATTGTTGTAGGCGTGGGCGGCTCGAGGCTCGGTGTCATGTTGTTTGGTAATCTGAATGTCGTGGTTTGCCCATCGCGCTGCATTTGCCAGATTGCTGGAGTCTTCGACCGTGAGGTGGATGGCTCCTAGAGAGGGAGAGATGCGGTAACCGCGGTACTCGCCGTACTTGTTGACAGCATCTTTGTTGATCACGCTGTACTGTATCGCGCTGTTGGCTCCCCAGAACAATCGACTCTCGTCCTCGGTCTCGATATAGGATTTTTCGAGCTTCATCGTGTTACGCGCTTTGCCGTTGGACCATGGATAAGTCGTCGAAACGGGAACCTGGTTCACAACAGCGATTGTGTTGTTGGTGCCTTGGATATCAAAGTCTGCTTTGAAATTCAAGACATGATCGTGCATGCTACCCGAGAGATTGTCATAGATCTTGTAGCCATATTCCTCGTTATTGGCGTAGTAGGCGCTCTGTATGTATCCTGAAGCACGAACTTCAACATTGATGCTACCATCTNNGCAATAAAGTCAGCTCTCCAAGTCTGAGTCGTCCGGTCTGAGAAGCCTACCCATATAGAAAGAATACGAGAACATATAATCGTAGTTTCCAACAGTGCTGACAGACCGGATTGTGAAGTAGGTGTTCTTCGTAACACTGACATAATCTGAGGTGCTGTGTCGTTGGAGAGGATAATCGGCTGTGTATTCAAAGAGACAGAGACTGTTGAGGTGAGTGTGCGTCGTCTCCGACACGTAGAAAGAGGTGTTGAGATAAGTGGCATACGCTGGACAGTCATAGCCTTTAACGAGTTCGAAAGCATAGGGTCCAAAGCCGTAGTAACTGTCCAGATAGGCAGTACCGCTCTGGAGAGGATCTTGTCCAGCATAGTGAGCTAGTGCTTCTTGAAGACCTAGTTCATACAAGACTCTTTCGCCTTTGTAGCGAATATCCCATAGACTTAGACCGGTGTCACGTTGGTAACCAACATAGAAAGAAAAGTCCATCCATTGGATCCACTTGCTCTCAGCATCGACTGAGAACCTGGCACCACTAGGAGCAATGGACGCAGGTGGGTGGGCAGTGTCTTGCGGAAGTAAAGGTCCATTTCGGTCAGTCCGAGCCCAGTCACCTTCGACGTTAGCTCCCAGCTTTGCGAATCCAGGTGTATAATATGCAGATCTGAATGCTTCAGTAGTCTCATAGAATACACCGTTATAGTACCAGCCTTCGAGGGTCCACTGAGACGGGTCACGGCCGGTCACATCACTTCTGAAGTAGAGACCAAGCGGCAGAAGTGTCTGAGTGTCAAAGTCATCAACCGTGTTAGACCAGAAAGCATCCCAACGAATCACGTGTCCGTCATCTTGCCAAAGAGGGTCAATACCCCATATAGAAAGAGTGTCGTTATCATGGCCAAGAGCGGTTCCTCCCCAAAGGTCGAGAGTGATATCTGAGACGGTAGCACTAATTTTGTATATCCATTGAGAATAGAGTGTGTCGTCAGCATCGGCATCAAGGTTACGTACACGACCAGCCGTTTTGCGAGTGTAAGGATATTCAAGTGGCATCCACCTAGTTGTGCCATTCTTGACACCAAAGGATTCGATCGGACCGACTAGAATGTCTTCGTAGTAGGGGTCCTCACAAGCTCGATGATCCAGCACAACGTGAGCATATCGATCTGGGACCGGTCCTGCGTTATCGAGGTAGTGTAAGACGTCTGTTTTGTTTGGATGCATGAGCTCGACCAAAAGNACTTGAATATGGTTAGCAAGATCAGCAAACCACAGTGAAGCTTAAGTGGCGTACATGGTGTTATCCCATTCACCAGCATCGTCGCTGATCGTGAGGTTGAGCTCTGGCTGAGCGAACAACCACTGAGTGACTGAAGCAGCTTCAACATCAGTTAAACCACCCCAGACGTTGACCTTGGGAGCCAACACCTGCTTGTAGTTGTCATATGAACACGAGGTGTCTGCCGGTTGTGCTGAAGTCTCGTTTGACCAGCGTTTTCCGACCCTTGAGGCAGCTTTTCTTGCCCTGCCTTGACGAACCCATGCGGCCTTGGGATCGGGACTAGGAGCCGACCAAACATCGTGGGCATAGAGCACGAAACTAGCAAACAAAAGACTCAAAGTAAACTTCATATCGTATGTACAATTGCAAAGGCTTGCAATCGAGACCTACCTCTTCACTTTATAGTTGTCATTGTCATGCTACTCTTATCTTTGCCCAGCCTGTACAAGTTCTGCCCGGAGCGGTATGCACCAACTTATTCGACAAACCATGTAGGAACGGACGCCGTCCGCATGGAGATGCTGTATCGAGACGTCTATCAGTGTGGGTACTGCAAGACGTCGCCTATTTGGCCTATCTCAGGAGACTTGTCAGGGCGACAAAGCACAGATAGGCCTGTGTTTGAGGACCTTTGTAGCCATTAATAAGTGGCTGAAGCTCGCAGTCGAAGCGCTTTGCATTGAGAAGACGGTCAAAGTCGTACTCGGAAGATGAAGACATGTCAAGATGATTGTGCGTTGGGGAAGCACAGAGTATGCTGTTGAGACGCGCTGCAAGCCTGCAAGCGGATTATGTCCGGACATCGGAGAATTAATGGCCGGAAGCTGAGGTGGAAGACAGCTGAAGTCCAGGGAGCCGACGCAATAAAGTGCGAACCGGTACTGCAGCGGAAGGCGCGCCCTTGACAGAGATACGAGAGCTAGAATGGTAGCGTAAACAATGATAGAGCAACAGGCTCCTGTCAGAGACAGGTTGATTTTGACAGTAGCTCTGGGAGATGGATATGGGATAGGGCGTGTTGAGCCTGTCTCGGGCGCACAAGGAGCATAGCACAAGAAGTCGGCTGCAGATGCACAAGAAGTCAAGGGTGATGTGTGGTCTTGAGTGCTGCTGCTAGGAACAGGGCGGGGCTAATGGTCAGTGGCGCACGTAAGTGTGGATCTGTGGCTTTCTTAGGCGTGGGTCAAAGGGGCCTCGATTCGCAGGGTCTGGCGAAAGGGCCCAGGGGGACCAAAGAGCCTGGGGGATGGCAAGCTCTGGTTTTCCGAGGCGTGGATGAGGCGGAAGAAGCATGACATAATTATCCATGTGTTGTAGCAAGGGAGGGAACCAAGCAAAGGAATCACTGCACCGAGAGATGGAAGCTGCAGCAGTGAGATCGGATTCGAGATGGAAAAATTGAATTAATATAACTCGATGTTCATGGCAGCAAGGATTGGCAGCAGGATTGACAGGGCTCTCTGGCTGGTGACCTTTGTGCTGGGTTTATGCCAAATAAAGCGCGCGGAAACGAGGTGGAGTTGGAGTGGACGAGACAGGCGTGCTTGATGCAGGTTGTCGTAAATCGGTCTTGCAGATGATGCGCCTGCCTGTTGTTTGCTCAGCACCGCAATTGCCACAATTTTTACCTACTTGGCCTTGTGCTCCCTTCTCCTCCCCGATCCCCGTCCATCCGTTGGTCATACACGTCGTCCAGTGTCGCATATGCAGCTGCCCAGTCCACACTCGACCGTCTTTCTATCGCCATGCCACTATGGCCTTTTGGGAGGAAGAAGCGTCGTCGTTTGAGCGCAGAGACGACCGTGACCACAACGTCGACAACTGCTACCACGGCCGCGCCAACAGCTCCAACTCCAACAATAACACGCCATCCAGCACCACAACAACAACAGACCCAGGCCCACCCTGCAGATGTTTCAGATATCCCGGCACAGGCCATCGCTCGCCCGCCCAATGACAGCTCCACCCACATAATTACCCCAAACGTCCTCGAGCGTCAGGGAAGCGTGCAGCACGATTTAACGGCCCTTCCTGAATTGTCCGAACTCGAGCAGAGCCCGCACCTCAGGCCTGCAAATGTCATCAAGCCCGTCCACCCCTACACCCTCGACCGCCCATCATCTGCTCGCTCACGCTCCCAGACCCTCGCCCTTCCTACCTCGCATGACAAACAGGCCCCAGCTCGCCGTCACTCGACCAAGAGAAAAAAGGACCAGGCTCTGCGCGAAGAAGAGATTCGCCAAATGAGTGCTCCCATGCAGATTCCAAAGAGACCTGCTGCCAATTCTGGCCATGACCTGCTCCGCCGTGATAGCAAANAGGCTCGCAGGACCCTGATCAAACGCCCTGACGACTCCCGTTCCTCCAATGTTTCTCTACCACTCCCAGAGTCAATTCATTCCAACAGGTCGCACATGTCGGAGCAGCGCGCTTGGGAAATCGGTGGCATGTCTATCCTCAACCCACGCCCTACCGTCCGTGTTTCGGGTACCTTTACTAGTCCACCCTCGCCCTTTGAAAAACGCCCAGAGAAGATGGGCAAGCTGCCCGAGCTTGCTCGCGCATCAAGTGGAAGGAAGGACCGAAGGAAGGTCGCTGATCTGGCCGACGACCTCAATTCTTCTGAGCTGCGCATTCTCATGGAGCGTGACCAGCGAAGAAAAGAACAAAAGGCTTTGGAGCAACACGAGCGTCTCGATCGCAAGTTGCGCAGGCGGGCAGAGAAACAGCGCGAAGAAGACGAACGTAGGGCTCGTGATGCTCGTTTGAATGCAACTCCCCCTACCGCCATCCATCCTGCCTTCCGCGAACAACAATCTGATGCTGAGTTTATCACATCTACCTCGCTCAAAAAGCAGGGCAAGCAACCGGTCCCCGAGATGCAAGAGACTCCCATCAAGGGCGGTACCTATCTACGATACCCACCACGCGAAGACATACCCCAGAACCCATTCGTAGACCCAGAGCCCGAGAACCCCTTCACTGCTGCAGGCGCAGAATGGTCCCCTGTTCAGACTCCGCTCGACGAGCCAGTTCTACACACTGCCAGAGCTGTCAGACTATCCGCCGGTCACATGTCCCCTCCTGCTTCTCCGGTACCAATCGTCCAGCGCGAAGCTCAGCCGTCTCCTAGCTTGCCTGAAACTTCTTATCCTCAATCACAGAGGACTTCTAGCCATCCTGCCAGTTCTTTTGAGTCAAGTCGACGCAGACCTTCTGAGAGCGGCAGTCGACGGGTGGGACCTAGCGCCTGGACGAACATCTTTCGGCGGGGCCTCAGCTCAAGCCGCACATCAGAGGACAAGCCTCCATCCGAATTTTCCTTTGTCAACACTTCACGAGAGTCCATGTCTAAGCAGCCCATACCAGCACACCTGGTGGGACCGCCCTCATCGCGTCAAGCTGGCGTTCCCACTCGTACTCAGAGCAAGTTCCGCGAGGACCTTCCTGAACTACCCATCTCTCCCCCATCATCTCGCGTCCAGTCGCCTGAGCTGAGCGTGATCACAGCTGGAGTCGTGGCCGCAAGACGTGCCAAACGTTCTACTGATACACAAATGAAGACCACAGATCAGTCTGGTCTGGTCCGAAACGACTCACCTGCCATTTTTGAAGATGAAGAATCGACAATTCTGTCTCAATCATATGGCTCAGTCGATTCGGAGGGCAGCTGGATCAGTGGACGCTTGGGAAAACGCACATCTCGCACATCGCATCCCCACAGTAGCTTGGGCTCCCTTAAGAAGGCAAAGCCCGAGTTCAGTGGAAGTTTCGATCGACTTCCCGTACCAGAACATGAATTTTTCGCTGCCTTGACACCAGACAATGGCAGCCGTCGTGCATCAGCGGAGCACGCGATCGAAACAACACCGACAGGAGAGCCTTCCCCTGAAGAGGCTGCGCCACTCAGACAGGCAACAGCACGTCGTAGACCGACGGTTGTTCACAACGATCCCCGCTTCAAGTCTCGCGAAGGGCTTCTCACAGAATATCAAGCAGCAGAGCCAATAACTCCATCCCGCGAGGGCAGTTCGAGTGGCGAGTCGATTGAGCACTCGCCAGTGGAGTTGCACAAAGCGCAGAGCGTCAACTATGGTCGAATGCATGGTCACGGAAAGACTCTCAGTGCAGGCAGTGCCAAAATGCTCGAAATCGCACCGAAAAGAAGCAAGAGTGTTTCGACTCTTCTTACTCAAGGCAGCCCTCGCTCTTCACCTCGAATCCCGCAAGAATGAGAAAGTTTTCTCACCCACCGTCCTTTAGAGCATTTCATTTGTTGTTTTTGGAGCGCCAGATGATGATACATGGCATCAAGTCGCATTGTTTGTTGCAATTTCGTCTTATGACTCCCATTCACAGTTGGAGATGTTTTTGATACCCTATTTGAGTTGCTGGCATGAATGGAAGAGCAGTGTTTTGGCTCTGTGCATGGGACGAGAGCAGATTTGTTTTAGCTAAGGTCATGGTGGGATGCCATGGCTAGCGGCGAGTTGTACAGTACAGTAGATGTCACAGAAGAGATACAGCCTCAAGACAGCTATTACAGAAAGCGATGTTTCCGTTCGTTCAAACCGACAGATGCCAGTAATCATGTGCTTGGCTGTTTGCAGCATTCTTTGTCATGCTTCTGTCGAGTGGAAAGTGCGAGATGACGGAGTAAGATGAGTGATGCGATTGTAAATCCAAGGGGCACAAGGTACTAGAATCAAGGCGAAGATGATCGAGTGTGAGCAGTGATGGCCATGAATTGCGCCATTGGGTGTTTATACACAGGTTTTGTTCCGAAGGCGGCGGGGCGCTTATCAATCGTCGGTCAGTTCTTGGCGGGGCTGCTTTGTCATTGTCAAGCAAGCAGTTGTAACCAACTTGGACTCACACACCATAACAAGCTATATGTCCCTTGCCTCAAGCGTCCGCTGTAGCCTTCTTCGCATCACCGCAAGAAACACTTCGACCTTTACAGTCGCCAGAACCTCGACCAGACCCGCTGCTCTTTCGCACCACCTTCTCAAGCCCGCTTTCTTCAAGCCCGCCGCAACCAGATCTTTCACCGCTTCAATGGCTTCCTCCGGTGTTCACAACCTCCAGGCGTGAGTAACTACTCTTTGTCGCTGTCCAGCTTCGATTCTGTCAAGGGTTGCGCATATGGCGACGCTGCAGCCTTATGCGCCCTGCCATGCAAACGAAGCTTGGGAGAAAGCCAGCGAAAGCTGTACATTCGAGAACCGCAACTGACAAACGAAACAGCAAGGCCGACTTCGACTCCGCTCGCGCTGAGACCGGCACCCTGATGGTCGTCGACTTCTTCGCCACCTGGTGCGGTCCCTGCAAGGCCATCGCCCCTCAGGTCGTCAAGTGAGTTTGCCCACACACCCCGCCTTTCCCTGTCAACAAGCAGCTAATTGCGCCTTCACCAACACAGGNNATGTCCTCCACATACCCCAGCGCCCGCTTCTACAAGATCGACGTCGACGAGGTCCCCGAGGTCGCCCAGGAGCTCAGCATCCGCGCCATGCCCACTTTCGTCCTCTTCAAGGACGGCCAGGAGGTTGCTACCGTTGTTGGTGCCAACCCTACTGCCCTCGAGGCCGCTATCAAGCAGCACGTGTAGACTCGTTCTCTCCTTATGAAATTGCCATCCTTATAGCCTAATGAGAAACAAAATACACGCATGATCTTTCTTCTCTTTTTTTCTCTTTTTTTTCCTTCTTGCTTCGTTCTTTGTTCTTTTCGCGCCATGATCAATCGTTTCTGAGCCTGTCATTGCAACATTTCCTATTCTGATGAATGGGTGGTCTTAATCGGCTTGACCTCTTTCCTTCTGTTTTAGACAGTCACGGTGTGAGTCCTTCTATAGACGACGAGCAATACAATCCACTGTGTCGTACGATCCTTTCTAAAACCTAACAAATTCCATTCTCCAGACGTCACCCTCTCTTGCTACGCATCTGGTGAGCTTAATCATTCGAATTCTGTATAAAATTAGGCAAGAGCAACAAGTAAAGAGTCTTGAGACAACGCCTACTTGAGTAGTTGGCTGTTTTCAGATTGAGCATAGACCTGAAGAGCCAATGCAACCACCCTTGCCGATGGATAATATGATCTCCTGAGAGACATTGTGTGGTGCTGCAGCTTCATCTGCTACAGACTTGGCCATACGGGAAGGTCGTGAGTTTTATCCCAGGATAGTTGGATAGCTAGGGTATGCTTTTCTGACATATCCCGTTGGTGGTGCTCTCCTTAATGCCACTTGGTTAGAGCCCTGCCTTGGCTGCTGGCAGTGTCACAGCCAAGGTTACTTCTGCATTGTGGCTCTCTCCGGACAACACATTCACTTCTGTCCCTACTGACGTTATTCAGGCTTCTAACATCAGTCGCTTCGGGACTGGAGATACCGGCCAGGGTCCTTTACGTTCGTCACCTTATTCGCGACGTATACGTCGGCGACGTGAGGTGTCGACGCGGCAGGTTAGAAACATGAATCAACCGCACGCAGAGCAGGCCATGTCCAGGTTGTTCTCGAGGAGACTCGTGTATAAAGAGGATGTTCAAGGATGATAAGGAGAGAAGAAAGTCTTACATCGACGGAGAAGAGTTTTATATACTCGTAAAGTGAGGGTCTGCTGGTATTTTGTTGTTTACCTCTTTTCGTCAATCACTGCCCTTGTGATCAATACCTTGGTAGGTAATGTCTTCCTCAATCAACCATCCATACGCAGATACTGCGTCCCTAGTCAAGCCCGGAGGAAAGGCTGAAGTGAGTACCTTCGACTGGTATGTTGCAATCAATCCCTCCTTTNTTGAGTGTCTTCGCACAATGATCGAGTGCCAACTGCCAATCCACCTCGGCCTGATCCATGGCCTGGATGCTTGGCATACTATCAACACCAATATTCACAGTCTGAAGGTTCGGAAAGCTTTTGTATTCTTCAGCCAGCACGTGAAGATGTTTTGCAAAGCATTTGTCCGCCCTCCTCAAGTAGAGATCGTCGATCGAAGAGGGTAGTAATGCGGTGAAAGAGGGCTCCAAGTCTGATGTTGGGTCGAATAAAAATTCAATGTTAATCTCTATCGTTCTGAGACGGGTGAAAGAACGAAGGTCGAACATCTCTGCTTGTTCTATGTCATCAAGCTCAGGACTTGTTTTTGGCATGCAAATCTGCAACTCTTCCAAGGTTTCTGAACTCAAGGCAAGGCACTTTAGCAGTGCGTCCAGATTGCACTCCATGGGATCTTGAGCCATCCATCGGGGTAATTTGATGCGAAGTGATCTCAAACTTCCGCAGGATCTGACGATGGACCGCATAGGTATGTCGAGAATATAGGTTGGTTTGAGCGTAAGATCACGGATGTGTCCTAGTGGCAACCGGAATGGAACGTAACCGCTGAAAGATATAAAGCCTTTATCGATGCAGAGAGATTCGAGAGACGGAATGCATGCGATATTTTTCAGACATTCGAAATCTTCGGGCCCCACGTCACTTAGAGTCAGTACGCGCAGCCGGGAAAGGAATGGCAGCTCGATTGTGGAAGGTACTTGTGCGACTTTGAAGATACCCGTCTCTTCTCCGTCTTCGTTTTGTATCTCTTGTCTCCATGACCCTGCGTCCACTACACCATGGAAAAGTAACCTTACGAAACATCCAAAGTTTCTACCAGAAACATATACATGGAGATTGCCAAGGTTCGGACATAGCGCGAGCAACAAGGTAACCTCTGCATCTGGATAGATTCCACGCCTGCGCAGACCATGTTGCCAGTCACTTTGCCATACGAAATCACGATGNCAACCGTGTTTTTCAAAGGGCAGGGATTTATAGAGTGCGCAGATATTTCGGCTGGCTTTGATGAACAAATCACCAAGGGGACAATATTTCTTGATGTCATCGCGGTCTGGGCAGTCTGCCAGCCTCAAGAACTCTACCTTGGCTGCCAGATCTGGTCTGTGAATCAAGGTCCGTAGAAAAGGCTCAAGTCTTGTGTAGTCTTCTCCTTCGCTACGTTTGAGTCCGTTGTATCCTTGTTCGTCTTCCTCTTCGATGTACGCTCGATACAGCAGAGGTTGGGCGAACGCGCGAAAGGCTCTGGATGCCTGACACACCGATACCAGCGTTGAGCATGTTTGTCTGTAATCTTCAATGTCTTGTTTATGCGTGAGGGCGGCCAGATCCGGTAGACTCTGTAGAATGGACAAATGAATCTCATCAGGTAATGAAATCATTGTGATGGTTTCATGTTATTGTCGAGAAGGAAGTGTATGATCGGAAAGCGGAGGGATAAACCAGCATATCAAATTCACGTGACGGCCTACACCGCATTGCAAGTCAGTACAACACTCTAACACCTGAAGAACTGTCGAGATAAATCAGGTCGGAACCTGGATCCACTCAACTACTCGAAGATGATGAGAGTTCACCATGTTGTCAAGAAATAGGTCAATTGACGAAAGAGGAAATAGCAAGCGCGAGGTGGACTGTGCCCACCAACGTCAATCCGCAGCGCGAGCACGCCATCACCGAAGCTGTTCACTCAATATTGCGGCTAAACTGCAGGAACGCAATAGCCGATCTTGTCATGCCGACCAATCGTACCTACTCTGCCTCAGGCGGCTGACTCACATACTTTCCAACTCTTCCACTGTTCAAGGAAGCCACGTCTGTCAGAAAGCCATAATCCAACTCACTCACCATGTCTGCCGAACTTACCTTGGACTCGAGACTGCCCCTTCCATCAAGTGAGGTTCAGATTCCCGTCCTTGGTCTTGGAGTCTGTGTGTCTTCAAGATGTGAACAATCCGTTCTGTCTGCACTCGAGAAGGGATATCGCAGTGTCGATACTGCACAGATTTACTACAATGAGCGCGAGACTGGCAATGCAGTCAACAAATTTGTGTCCCAAAACCCTTCAGTCAAGCGTTCGGACATCTTTGTTTGCTCGAAGCTGTGGGAGCTAGACCTTTCAAGACCCGACATGCCAACCTCCTTCGACGAGCTGTGCAATGCTGGACCATGGCCATTGAACAGTCTCGAAGCCGGCCACACCACATACTCCANNAAGGAGGCAGCACTTGAGGGTATCAACAAAAGTCTGAAAACTTCTGGTCTCGACTACCTCGACCTCTACCTCCTTCACAACCCTCGCCCTGGTGCTGAAGCACGCCATCAAGCCTGGCTCGGGCTCCAAGAGGCACTCAAATCTGGCAAGGCCAAGGCCATTGGTGTCAGCAACTGGTCTCCCAAACACATTGACAGTCTTATGGCACACTCTGATGTCAACATCCTGCCCGCTGTGAACCAGATCGAATTCCATCCCTGGAACCAACAGCGCGTGATTGTGGACTACTGCCGCTCAAAGGGCATCGTGGTGACAGCGTACTCGCCCTTGACCCAAGGAAAGCGCCTTGGTGATCCTGTTGTCAAGAAGATTGCTGAAAAGCATGGCAAGACTGCTGCTCAGGTCGTTTTGCGCTGGTGTCTGCAGATGGGCATCTCCATCATTCCCAAGAGTGATCGTGATGCTCGCATTGCTGAGAACTCGGATGTCTTTGGCTGGTCACTTGATAATGAGGACATGTCTGAGATTGAGAAGTTGGACGAGGGACAGAAGGGCAATATTGGAGAGTGGGATCCATTCGCCTACGAATGAGCGGTCTCGCTCGACTAGAGACGTACGTTGTAAATACAATATCAAACATATCAGAGTCATCATCATCGTCGTTCTCGCTTTGAACGTCTTCGCCGTTTCCATTTATAGTGAAGAAGAATCATATTTGCATCCGTGAAAATCGTCACAATCGTTGGCTTGCTGCTTGTCGCTCTTGTTATCAACCTTGATAGTGCTACTAAACAAGGCCATCTCAGTCTTCGTTATCTCTACATAAGCTTTGCAAAAGGGATAGCCACCTGTGCTCAAAGCTATTGAAGGTTTCTTTGATCGTGTGATTTCGGAAGAGTGAATTTGTTCAACCATACGTCAATCATGGCAGATATCTATGTATATAAATTTCATCAACTGCTCAACACCGTTAACGAACACATCAGTACTGGAACCTGAAGTCCAATCTCTTGTTGCCATCCTTTTCTCTCTCCAACTGATCTGACTGGTAAGCTAGCTGCTCCTCCTTACTCAACTGAGACCACTGCTTCTCCTTGCGACGGTTCAAATAGCGCAGATATTCACGCTGGACAATGAACGTAACAAGCGACAACGCGCAAATCGACACGAGGACCTTGTTACCACGGTAGTAATAAGGGGCGTCGTCTTTGCGATATATCTGCGAACTGATGACGCTTCCAACCTGCACAATAACGTTGTATGTGGCAGCAGAGATGGCACGCTTTTTGACGTCGAAGGTGTTTTCACTGATCCATGCCACAACGATTGGGTGAAAGTAAGGATATCCGCTAATGAGTGTCGAGATGGAGAATCGACCCCAGTTGTAGCCGCCAGAAGGCAGAGCGAGGAGGGCAATGAGCAATGGCATGATGAAGAACTCGCCAAAGATACAATGCCATGTGCGCTCGAGGAAGTAGTTGCTGCTATATGCCAATGCAAGCATTAGAATGATCTGCAGAACAGCAGAAGGGATGGTGAGCATGTTCGAGTCGAAGGTCGAGAAACCAAGACGTTTTAGTGTTAGGGAGAGGTAGCCAGAGACGGGCGCTGCAGGAATATACGCAATAAGACCAATGAGGTATAGACCCCATGTTGAGCTGTCTTTCCAGGTGTTGATGATGTCGCGCATGGTAGCTGGCTCTTGGATTGCAGTCAATCCTTTGGCAGGATCGTCTCTCAGGATACGGTTCACAAGAATTGTCTCCTCACGCTCGTTAAACCATCCTTTGCGCCATATCACACTCTTCGTACGTGTAGGCGAGTAAGGCAGGTAGAAGTAGCTTACGAGACCGATGACGAAAGTCAAGACACCTTCTAGCAGGAATAACCAAACTGATGACCATTAGCTATGTTTCACAAACTATCATCGATCATTAATCAACTTACACCATCCAGGGCGACCGTGGATACCGCGCATCTTCAAGATACCCGCAGCCAAAAGAGCAGAGATGACACGGGCGATATTTAGTGTTGACCAGAAACATGCCAATCGTACCGATAGCTCGGCAGACTTGTAAAAGTAAGACGCGAACAGGATGGTTCCAGGGATGAAACCGCCTTCGAATAGCCCGATCAAAGCTCTCGTAATATAGAAACCAGTCTTGTTGGTCATGAATGCTTGTCCCCATGAGACAGTACCCCATCCCATCATCATCAAAGGCAGAATCTGCTTGAAGCCAAATCGTTTGATCAAGAGTTGGACAGGGAATTCTGCTGCAAGGAAGCAAAGAAGCTGTACTGTGGTACCCNNTGGAAAGTGTGAGTACATGTGACCTTGAGCTTTCACGGCCTATCTTACATTGTTATAGTCGTTGGTATTCAAACCCAGGTCCGGTAGAAGATTGTCCGTCAAGGCGTTTGAAATATTGCCTCGATCAAGCTGCAGCCCGAAGAACATCAAGCAAATCCAAGAAAGCAGATAGAAGTCGACTTTCCGCACAACACGAGCCTCTTCCTCTGAAGACCACTCTGCCAAAGGGTCCCAGCGATGTGCACCTTCATAAGACTCATGTGGACGGAGGTCAATGTGATCTCTGCCTACCTGAACGTTAGGCTTAAGGTCCGTTTCCTCAGTGGAAGCAGGATAGAGAGCCGGCTTGATAGCAGAGTCGTCCATGGCGGTAGCGAGAACTCAATTGGCGACTCGAAGGGACTGCAGCCTACTGGTCTTGGGGTGGGTGTACACTCTTTATACCATAAAGCTACATCCAGGAACCAGACGGCCTGGGCCGGCCTAACGAAATGCCAGACTGGAATCACGTAAGTTCGTAGACGAGACGACCGGGCGGGTCCAATGCAAGAAACGGCATTTCACCACTCTGAAGGAGCAACTAAAACTCGCTTTTCAAAGCGTTTGCAGCTGTTCGGTTATGCTCATGAGTAGATCGTGGCGCGGTTGGTGGATTTGGTGAGGGGAAATGGTATGGCTTGGCGCTTTGTCGTGCTCCTTCCAGCTGATGTCGCCATCGACTAGTCAGGCAGGATCATCACAAACATGCGACTTCCTCCAATGAACAGGAGCGCATATGTTCCGTAGTTAGGGCATCGTAGATTGTCGCTTGTGTTGTTCGTTTCCGGTCTCATACCAAGAAGTTCTGCGATCACACGTTGCGCTACCGGCTATTGCATGCTACCCACGAGTGGGGCAGCATTACCCGGAATATCTCTTACCATTACAGGTGATGGTCTCCGTTCGTAGCATCCGAGCATAGCCTTGCTTGTTCGTAGATATAAAAGCTTCCCGGTTAATCTTGTTTGGCTTGCATCCATCCGTTCTTTGCAGGAACGCTTTTGTGAACCAATCAACAACAGAAGATTATAGAAAATGCCTGGAAACATCATCCCAGAGCTGGCCGACGTGTCGTCTCCAAGTGAGGCTCGCACCCGCCTTACAAAACCCTTGGAGTACAGCGGTCTGTTGGACCCCTTCCAGAGCTCGGACTTGACTCCTGTGATCGGCCGTGAATACCATGGGCTCCAAGTGGCAGAGGTGCTTGCTGCAAAGAATAGTGATGCTTTGGTTCGAGACATTGCTGTTACTGGTCAGTCTTATACCCTTACAAGATCTGAAAATGCCATGTCCTGACCTCGCGAAANNGTCTCTCAGCGTGGCGTGGTCTTCTTGCGTAACCAAGATGTTACGCCGCAGCAGATGCAAGCATTCATGGAACGTCTGACGACTCTTTCAGGTTGTGTAAGTATTAATTTCGCGTTTCATGGGTGCCTTGGCTAATCACAGTGTAGCNCTGAATCATCTGGCCTTCATGTGCATCCCTTGACTGAAGAGGGTAGTGAGTTGGGCGACCAGATCAGTGTCATCAGCTCCGAGAAGCAGAAGAAGGGAGGCGGTCTCACCCACCAGCTCAGTGATACTACCCGCTTCGCTAGTGCTGGTTGGCACTCAGACATTACCTTTGAACCAGTGCCCTCGGATTATGCTATGCTCAAGATCCACACGCTGCCACAAACCGGCGGCGACGTAAGTTAGAAGATCCTTTCATGGTGACAGGAGCTGACGTATATTCAAGNNACACTTTGGGCGTCAGGCTATGAGGTCTACGACCGCCTCTCGCCTGCCTTAGCTCAGTTCCTCGAAGGACTTACAGCGACCCATGAGGCGAAATTCTTCCATGAAGAAGCTGCAAGACTCGGCAATCCGCTTCGCACAACGATCCGAGGTTCTCCTCTGAATCAAGGACCANGCCTTGAGGCCGTACATCCCATCATCCGTACGAACCCGGTGACAGGATGGAAGAGCGTATACGTGAATCGCGGCTTCACACGTCGCATCAACGGCGTTACCAAAGACGAATCCGATATGCTGCTCCAGTATCTTTCAATGTGAGTCGCATAATACAGCTATCCGTGTGTAAGCCAGCTTTGCTGATGAGAACAGCTTGTAACGCAAAATCATGATGCGCAAGTCCGCTTCAAGTGGAACAAGAACGATCTCGCGATTTGGGATAACAGATCCACCTGGCATACAGCAACATATGATTACGAAGCTGCAAGAGCAGGTGACCGTGTCTGCTCACTGGGTGAGAAGCCTTTCCTTGACCCTGCTTCATGCAGTAGGAGAGATGCGTTGCGCTTTTCTTAGATGGAGTCAATTCCGAATGATGGCTTTGATGTATTTGAGCCATAAATTGAGTGTATGTCAGCGGTCTGCAGGTCTCGTTGGTGCTATTATCTCATGATCACATCTCGACTCTGTGGTTTCTGCAGCTGAGACAGGCGGTATCATCGCAAGAATCTCTTCGCACCATGTCTGTGAGGCCGTCTGAGAACATTGCACTGTTCGTACTGAATAAGTGAATGCTTGTGAAGACTTGCTGGAACACCAGGTGAGAATTTGCGGCACCAGTCTGGAGTCGTCGGGAAAGTGTAGCGACCGATCTCGCGTAGTTTTCCGAGAAGAACTTTTCCGAAAAGTTTGCCGTTGTATGTGGGGGCACGCGCTCGGGAAACTGGCTTCCTACGCGCCCTGCCGATGACAAGTTGTGAGTCAACTCTTTCGTCCTCTCAAGACCTGAGTATATAAATTCAGCATCCCATTAATCGTTGGATATGTAAGTTGGAGCTCAGTAGGCAAGAGCTCAGTCGGCCTGCCAACGTGTTCAAATTTCCTTTCGCGGATCTTCGAAATCACCAACTTGCTAGCCACCTCTGGACGGATAACATTAGCTGTGATGCTTCTTGTACGATGGCAAGACAGGAATACTAGAGCCAGTGTCTCCTCGAAAACTTGGTCGCCGGACGACTTCTTCTGGTCTCACAAAACAGGATACAAGGAACTAACATTGGAGTCGAGCGAAGGGAAATGTGCATAAGAACGTAAAGATTAATGTCTCATTATCTATGGACAGGAAAGAGGGTATATATATTTCATCAACGACATAAACAACAGAGCTGACTCATTTAAGCAATCCAGAACCAGATCTTCTCAATGAAGTTTCTGGGCTCCTGCTCGGGCCAGTACTCAGCATCCATTGCGGCCTTGCCGGTCCAAATGTCAGCTTGAGCAGGCTTGACGAAGGGCTCGCGCTTGAAGATCTTCCAGAAGAGGTAGAGGACGACGTAGATGGGGATACCAACGTAGGCAGTGATGAAATCATTGACGTCCCAGTTGCCCTTGGTAAACACAGCAAACCCGTTGAAAAGAAGGATCATGCAGAAGTAAGCCAAGGAGATGTATGCGGTCCATGGCTGCCACTTGCTCTTCATAACGAGGCTGTTGCGCTCAACACCTTGGGCGATCAGTGCCTTGCGGAACTGGATGTATGCAATCAAGATGTTGATCCAGGTGATCAAATTGGCAATGGAGCATAAATTTTGGAACCATCCAAAAACAGTCGATGCGCCAGAGCTGATACTCATGTAGGTGAGAAGGGAAATCGANGCGGTGACCAGAACGGCGTAGTAGGGCACACCGTTCTTGGAGCACTTGAGGAAGACCTTGGGAGCTTGTCCGTTCTGAGCCAAGGCAAAGAGGTAACGAGAACCGCTGAACAAGAAGGCATTGGCTGACGAAGAGGCAGAGGTCAAGATGACAGCGTTGATGATCGAAGGCAGGGCGGGGATACCAGCAGACTGGATGGCGATAACCCAAGGTGAGGACTTAGCTCCGACACCACCAGCAGTGAGCTGAGGGTTGCTTGACTTGACAGTGACACCGATAGCGAGAGATCCAAGAACGTAGAAGAACAGGATACGCCAGAAGACACGACGAACGGCCTTGGGGATGTTCTTTCTTGGGTTCTCGGCCTCACCAGCAGCAACAGCGACCATCTCAACACCACCGTACGAGAAGGTAGCATTGATCAGAGTAGCGAACAGACCGAGGAATCGACCAGTGTCGCCTTTGGCAATGTACTCCTTCATACCCCCCGCATCGGGCACGGTCCAGTAGCGGAAGCCGAGGCGACCCTGCTTAGGGGCACCACCAAGGTCGATAACGAGTGCAACAAGCAACAAGCCGACGATTGTAACGATTTTTACTGATGCGAAGATGAATTCTGCTTCGCCGTAAATAGAGACGGCGAAGATGTTCAGAGCGAGAACGAGGACAATAATGATGGTGATCCAAGCGGCTTGGTTGATGGTATCGTTCCAGTATCCGATGACGACAGCAGCGGCCGAAATTTCAGCACACAACGTGATGGCAGAGTTGTACCAGTTGTTCCAACCGACGGCGAAACCCATGGCAGGATCACAGTATCTGGCACAGTATTGAGGAATGGCACCGGGCAGAGGCAACCAAGTGGCCATCTCACCAAGACACTGCATCATACCCCAAATCGCAATACCGGTGAAGGTGTAACCAAGGAGAACCGAAAGAGGACCAGAGTGAGCAAAGGCCTTGCCGATACCAAGGAACAGACCAGTACCAATGGTTCCACCGAGGGCGATGAACTGGATGTGACGCGACTTCAGACCGCGAGAGACGTAACCAAGCTGCTCGGCAGTCTCAATATCACCATAGAGGTCGGCGGCCTCACCAACGGCGGTCGAGCCACGGCGAGGTACCTTCTCGTCGGAGTTGGCATCGCCGGACTCGACGATGTATGCAGGCTTCTCAGAAGACATTATGTTTGGGACTCTCTAATAACGAATGCAGAGAGGTAAATGAAAGGTAGATCAAGGGTGGAGAGTCGATGCTCTCAGAGACCCTTATAGGTAAAGAAGGACGAGGAGGGAATCCAACGATTGCTGATGAGAAACAGAAACGCTATTGAGGAGGCAGTAGACATACTCTTATATGTGTAGGTGGGTGGCACTCATACAGGCTGGCTCGCGTGCTCGCCTCCACATGCACATGTTGTTCTCGAGGCTGTCCCCAAAGTCTACCGGCCTGGGTCTCGACCCAAACTCAAAACACTCTAGCTGCTTCCTAGCGGCGACATGATAGATAGTGGCACTAACATCGGACCACTGAGAGCGCGCCGTTCAATCTCTGCTATCAGGACCTTGGTCCGACGACTGAAATTGGCCTATCGTCGCATCCACGACCAGCCAGATTTTGGTTATGCTTCACTGACAGTATCGCCCCTGCCGGTAGAAGAATTCTAGAAAACCCAGGCACACAAACATACAAAAATCACGAATTCGTCTAGACTTCCGACGATCCGGACGTCGCGACCATCTCGCTAGGGCGAGAATCTGGGTGGTCTGCAATGTGGAGCCCATCTAGGAGATCAGGCCGACCCCATCTGAGCGTCCACGAGAAACCCCAGATAACGAGCAATCCATTACCTTCGCATTTCACGATTCGAAGGGGTAATGAAAACATGAATTTGTGGCTCGTGCTGTCGCGCCATCCCAGTTCGAATCCAACGCAGGTCCTGGTAACAAGAGGTGTTCCGTGGAAGACGTTATTCCCTTTTACCTTTTTTGTTTCTTGTGTGCTTATTCGAGAGCTTATCCGAATGTCGCACAAGCCACAAGCACTCGAAGCTCGCTTGGCCAGCCAATTGTCTTGTACAACACGCTGAAGCTTCGCACGGCAGCGTGGAAATCACGTCTGGTCGTCGCCGATCAAATCTTCAGCAGCACATGTTTATGTTGAGATTGAATTTTGTAGGTACCTCGTTGCTTCTCGTTCGGCCGCTCCGTTAAACTATGGGATACATGCAGTGGCCGTACTGAAAGGACAGCCGTTTCAAGGCAACGACAGGCGCTGAGCGCAAGCCTGCCTTATCGTTCTCGCGAGTCAATCCGGCGCCATTCCAGCAGGATGAAGTCTCATCCTTTCGTTTGTGGCAATAATTGACGAAGGGTGTGTCTCTGTGTCAGGGATCATGAGATGGATCCATTCCCTATCTCACAGCCAAGACAACTGCAACCAAACTTGCACGTATGCGACTTACGTCGACCAAATTCTAGCGATAAGAGTGTAAGATATGGTAGTTGAATCGGGCCTCCTTTCTCAACACAATCGCACATTTCCCCTACCTCTACGCAACCCATCGACTGGACTGATGAATACGCCATCTCCGTCTACATACCATCCTCGTGACAGCTTGCCGACGATGTGATGTCGTCGTTGATGAGCTAGCGACCCCAGGAATCAAGGCGTGTCTGAACTCAATGTTCAACCCCGCTCGAGTGACACATAAAATCTCCTGTATACGATACTCTGACACATCTTTTTCTTTCTCCTCATTCTCCCCATGGGGACAGCATCGTGCAGGAATCGGCAGGATCAACAAGCGGCTCTTGTGATTGCAGCACGCGATCTGCGACAGATCATGAACGGTGAACTGTCGTCGTCAACAGGTTGTGCAGACTGAACCCATCTATACAGCATACTGCCATGCGCGAGACATGCTCGCGCTGTTCGAAAACCGCTCTCGCGCATTGACGACAAGAATCTCCGACACCGGGTTGCTAGACGATGCCGGGAACATCAGAAAGCCGAAGTCCGCCGCAGCTCTCCCGATCGCAACAGCGAAGCCACACACTTTGATCCCTACCCATCACTCAAGGATAATAGTCACGAGAGAAACTGAATTGCCTCAAACGATCACACCCAAGGGAGCAGGATGACGCGTCGCATCACTGTTCCCGGACAAGCGTTCTGAACGTATACACGAAAAGAGCCGGTGCAAAGGGGAGATAGACCGCTAGTTGCTCTGGTTCAGGGGCAGAGCAGTTTGCTGAAAGGGTATGGTTCGCCAAACGGAAAGAATTCATCCACGAGTCTGACCTCGACTATGATCGCGATTGAATGCGATGAGTGTTCCTTGTTTTGCAGTGGACCTCTGTCTGTGCCACGTGTTTCGATCCTGCCAAAATACATATGAAAGGGAACTGACGAAAACGACAATTGACAAAAATGCGCCTGGTTCCAGGTTAGGCCGAATTTTGCGATTGCAGTGTTCGAACAGTTGCGGATTTGCTTCGGTAGCGAGTATCGCTCCTTCCTCATAGAAACCAAGCGGTAGGCAACCAAGCTTCGTTCAATATTTCAGTTTCTGTTGCCTGTCCATCATTTAGTTCGCACCATTTTGCATCTTTTCTATCCTTTGTCCTCGACATTCCGATCGATTTACTGCTCCATCATGAGCGGCAGTACAGGAGGAACTGTGACGATGACCGCGACTCATCTTGACGGTGCACCCGTACCTCCTCCTCCAATCACCCAGAAGCTGTTCATCGAACTCCACCCTACCGTCATCCAGAAAGACAACTCTATCCATTCCGAGCATGGTGTCATTCACTACCCATTCTGGTTCGGAGGATTGGCAAGCTGTGTCTCGAATATTTGTACACAGCCTCTAGGAGTTGGTAAGCATTCTTGCACAAGTTGATGGACTCGGCCAGGCCTGACATAATCACAGNCGGGTGTAAGACCTTCCAGCGTGCAGCGTCGCACACATCATGCTGATACCATATAGCTTCGTTTGCAGACTCTCCATCACGATGCACCTCAGCTGGGCATGCTTCGAATCTGGCGTCAAGTGTGGATGCATGAGCGTTTCTTCGGGCTATAGAAAGGCGTGAGTGGACTCTTTCTGTTGAACACAGCCATTACTGAGCTACAATAGTTGAGCGCATCGCTTACACGAACTTTCTTCTACTCGGGCGTCCGCTTCGGCTTGTACGAGAAACTCAAGGAGCTGGGGAGCACTTCCACTCATGCACCATCCGGTCTCGCCCTCGCCATCATGGCTGCATCTTCTGGCTTCACCGGCAGCGTGTGCAGCAACTTCGCCGATGTTGTGTGCCTCCGCATGCAGGCCGATCCTGGCTTACCACCTGAGCTGCGACGCAATTACAAGAACATCGCCGATGGTGTGCAAAAGATGGTGCGTGCCGAAGGTTGGAACAGTATCTGGACTGGCGTATGGCTTGGAGCAGGCAGGGCAGCCATCGGCACTGCTACTCAATTGGCTGGATATGACATCATCAAACGTGAATTGATGAAGCGAACCTCAATGGGCGACAATGTACCCACCCATATCGCCGCCAGTTGTTTGGCAGGCTTTNTGTCTACCTTCATCTGCAGTCCTTTGGATGTCTTCAAAGCCCGATTCATGACTCGCAAATCTTCAGCTCACAGTATGGCAGTCATGCTTGAGCGCACCTTCAAGAATGAAGGTGCAACTTGGATGTTCAAAGGTCTCACTCCTGCCCTAATTAGCAGGGCACCTTCTACCATCATCACCTTCGTCACTCTTGAGCAGTTGAGGAAAGTCTATCGCCACATGCATGGTTTGCAGGAGTAGGTGTTTACGAAGAGGCACTTGTTTGACCTGAGCAACATCTTGAAACAAAAATCGAAGCTATCCTGTTAACCTAGATCACATTCCTAGTGTCAAAATCAGTTAGCAGTTTTTTCGTAAGACCTACAACGACTAATCATATCTTTGGTATCAATGGTCGATTGTTATGTAAGCACAACTGTTTGATTGAACGTAGTCTTGTGCGTTGCCATAAGGCAAAGGAAATCAAAGTCAAGTCTTCTTGTCCATGCCTGTCAGGTCTATGTTGAATTGTGAATCTCAACGACACTTCATATACTTCCTTCCGGACTTACATGATACTGTGCGCCGTCTTGAGAGTCATCATCCCACAGACTCTCTTTGACTCCTAGCTCGATGTTAGACGTTCCTGCACCATGAACAGAATGATAAAAAGCAGACGGTGGGCCAGTAGTGGAGAAGGTGAGGTTGACGATCCGACCAGCCACCTGGAAGGCCCGTGCACCGTTGATCACCACGACGGCACTCCATTGACAACCTCGCACAAACCTTTGTACACAACCACTGAGTTGTCTCGGTCTGCCTTCAATGTCGACAAGTCTTGGTACCAGTGAGACAAGTTGCAATGAATGCCGACGCAGGAAAGGAAAGTGTGATCGGGTATTGCCAGAATGCACTTCATGCTCTCGCAATCGACGTCACTGTCTATACGAGAAGGCCGCCGGTCGGACGCCATTGACGAGGAAGAATCTTACAGAAGCTGAAGAGAAGCTACGACGTGCTGAGATGAGGGCCAGAGTGGCTGAACGTAGAGCCATTGCAGCCGAAGAAAAGTTAGCTTCTCTTATGCACACGAGTAGTGTTGGTAGTGTGTCTGAACCCCGGCCTCCTCCGAATAATGGCAATGCAAACCATATGCCATCTGTTGACATAGATGCATACCTAGGCCCAGAAGCTTCTGCTCATTCTGATATATTGGAGCAACAAATCTTGTCCTTGAACGACGATTACCAACCAGACGACGGCTGCAGTGGCCTGCCAGAAGAACCCCCTTCGGAAGGTGACGATTTTAGCTGGGATGAGATATCTCGAACCACAAATAATCATGAGGACACCACTAAACAACATGATACCATCGGCAATGTCAAAGATGAAGAGGTTGTGGATGGCATGGCTTCGCTGACTGTAGAAGAACGAGGAGCTGGATATCTTGGAACGGCTTCTGGCGCTGCTATGTTGAGGTTGCTGATGCCTGATATAGAGCCGCGAGATGCTGCTAGACAACGGCGAAAGACCCATACAGATGAATATATCGCTTACGATCACAAAGATCTCGCCTATGAAGAGCTTGGTCTAGCTGATATCGATCTCGACTCCGCCATTGACGCATACTTCGCGTCTTACCATTTACAATATCCGTTAGTGCACGAACCTACGTTCAGGGCACAATACTCGTCAATCATACCTCGACCGAACGGGATGGCTTTCGAGGCACTGGTCTATATGCTATGTGCCATCGGACTTTTCTCAACAGCGACTACAACGACTGAAAAGAACAACGATGATCTCAAACTTTTCGAGGCTGCCAAGTTGAATATCAAGATTGATGTGCTGGAGAAAGGCAATGTCACTCTACTTCAGGTGCTAGCCCTGATGTCCAACTATCTACAGAAAAGGGNNGGAAAGCCAAATAGGTATGCAACCTCGAAAAGTGGTCTGAACACAACCTTCAAGTGGCATACGTTCGTCTCGTCTACACTGTACTGATTCACACTGTATAGTGGCTACAACTATTTGGGTCTTGCCCTACATATGGCCATGGGTCTCGGCTTACATAAAGAGTTTCCGAATTGGAAACTGCCGCCTCTAGCCATCGAAAATAGGCGACGTGTATGGTGGACAATATACAATCTATTTGCAGGTGCCCTTGTAACCTTTGGTCGTCCGTGGTCTTGGCCAGACAAGGGTATCGAGATCTCCCTGCCTTTGAACATTCACGATCGAGACCTTACCAGCATCACCAAGTCGTGGCCCGATAGTCGACAGACCATCACAACATACACTTTCATGCTCGCCCAAGCCAGGTTCCATCAGGCGACGGCCAGCATATATACACGAGTTATCTCTATGCCCTATCCATCTGCTTCTGAGCTTCTAACTCTTGATGAAAAGATGCTGGGCAGTTGGCTTCAAGATCTTGGTCCGTGGTTCGCCGAAGATGCTCAGGTGCCTGCAAAGTTTGCACTGAGCCATCATATCATGCACAACAGAGCTCGAAACTTCCGAATCATCATGTATCGTCCCTTCGTGATTCGCAGTGTTCTGAGCTCAGCCAAGGGATTGGACGGACTTGGCCCTTCCCCCACGGAGCAGACCGTGATTGATCGGTGCCTTCATGAAGCAAAAACGACGATCTCTTCGATTCGCACATACTGGTCTGCTGGAGTTCACAATAGATTGGCGGCTTGGTATTCTCTGTGAGTTCTGTGATCAATTTTATTTGCAAATCGTACTGACGATGATTAGCNNTATTTCGTTTTCCAGGCTTCCTTGATACCATGCTTGTGTCTTCGCAACCAGCCAAACGCTCCGTTAGCCTCGGACTGGCGTTCACAGATCCAGCAAACCCTGTCTGTTATGACGGAGATGAATAAGATCAATCCGAGTAGCATCGAGTGCCAGTCTGTGATCATGCGCCTCTGTGGTCAGTTTCTTAACACGACATCCGCAACGATTCCTAGCTGTGCTCCTCTGGTAGCTACCGAAGAGAGCCCGCAGACCCAGATCAACAACGTGTACTCCATGATGTGGCCAAATGCTAGCCCTGCGAGCACTGATCTGCTTATGAGCGATCCACAATGGGGTTTCATCACGAATCAAACACACATCGATCTTGATTCAATGCCACAGAACTGGGACTGGACCTAATGACTTTGATTACGTTTCTAAACGTCAGACTGCAAAGCTCTATGGAGGCAGAATCATCAGACTCGTTCGATCTTTTCAGTAGCCTCGACCTCGAAGCCTTTCTTGACTTCTCTCTCAGTTTCCTCCACATCTCTCGCGGCCTGTGGACCATCGAAGATTTGAACGATCTCTTCCAATGAGAACCCCTTGGTTTCCNNAGGAAACGTAAACCAAGTGACGGCAAGGATGACGACAAGGAAACAACAGAATACTATATAGAACTTCCATCCAAGATTCTCCAGGCCTATCGGGTTGGTGAAGGCAGCGATTACAAGGGACGCATAGATCGACAGGAGTTCGCAGGTCAGTCCTTTGCTGCGCAGGCTGTAAGGGAAAATCTCCGTCTAAAAGGTCTGGTCAGCTTTTGCTCTGCAAGAAAGTCTGGACTTTTCGCTTACTGGGTACGACATCAGTAGTGGCGTGTAAGCAATGTCATAGTGGTAATAGNNCTGGCAGGGTCAGTCAAAGCAGCCTACCCGTATTCAGGACGATACTCACAAGGTGAAAAGACAGACAATCACGACAATGCCTGCCGGCTTACTTCCGTCGATACTGTTCACTGCCGAGCATGCAGTCCACACAATGTAGGAGACCAGCATTCCGAATCCCGACCAGATAAACAATGTCCGGCGACCGAGGCGATCGACGAGGAAGGCTGCGGAAAGAGCGGCGCCGAAATTGAAGATCTGAAGTAAGCCGTTGATCAAGGTCTGCGTGAATGAGTCTGTGATGCCAACGCTATCGAGCACAAGCGTAAGGTAGTATGACACAACGCCGATACCATTCCACTGTGCAGCAGCGCCCAGGAACACGGCAATGAACAGTCTTTTGCGGTTGCCAGGAGTCTCGACTAGTGCGCCCCAGCCTGGTGTCTTTGTCTCTTTCTCCAATCGGATGGCATCGACAATCTCGCTCATCTCGCGGATGACCAAAGGACTATCGAGGTCTCCACCAGCATGATACTTGGCTAGGATTGCCATGGCTTCGGGTGCACGATCCTGTGCGACCAACCAACGAGGCGATTCAGGTACCCATAGCCAAAAGGCTGCCTGGATCAGAGGATATGCTGCTTGCATAATGGTAGGAATACGCCAGGCCCAATTGCTTTGAATACTTTCGCAACCAAAGCATGTCCAACTGGCAAGGATTGCTCCGAGATAGTACATCGTCCAGAAGGCGCTAGTGTATTTTCCTCGATGGGTTGGGTATGCGAGTTCAGCGATGAGCATGGGTGCTGGTTGAACAACAAGCATTCCCGCTGCGCCGACTATCAGTCGAGAGACGACAAGTTGGGCTAGTGTCGTTGAAGTCGCCTGGATGATGGTTGCCAATACGACACCAACGATCCCAGCGAGGAGGACTAGTTTCCTGCCCCAGCGGTCACTTGCCCAGCCGACAATGGGCAACACTACCACTGAGCCGATGGATTGGGCGGCGTTGACCAAGCCAAGTTTGGTTCCTACTGGGTTGCCGAAGTAGTCGCGCCATTGTGGGAGGGATTGAAGACCGTTCATAAGCGATCCTNNTAACTCTGTCAGCTGTTGTATTGCATGAGGTTGCAGCGGAGCCAGGATCTCACCATCATAACCGGCAACTGAAGACGAAATCAGAGGGACGAGAAGAAGGAGGTTCAACTGGAGTAGATGCTTGTGCTGGAACCAGTATTTGTTGGTCTGAGGTAAGACCTCGGCCAATGACTGGCCGACAATGTCTGCGTCCTTCATATTGTTGTTCGGTAGATAGAATGCTATGCTTGAATCCACTATCAACAGAAGATGGCATCTTCTACTTATAGTGATCCGCGACTCTACCATCTGTATAAGGTATTCCGTTGCCGCCGAATCATCCCGCACGCTGACCCGCACCACCCCACGGAAACCCCGCAAGCAGGCCACTGACGCACATCAAAACACGTGAACGGGTGTACAGTCTCCCTGTGTCTTTCCTGCATGCTGCATGAATCGCGTACTTTCTCATGTTGACCGGGAAGCCACCACCTCTCAGCCCGCAAACGCCTCAACGGGTGATGGATCACACCTAGCCGTCCACAACCAAATGCGATAGCAGGGGACTTCCAAGTTCTGATCATATGTCAAAAGCAGTTCGTTCATACTTCTGTTGTCGAATGAGTGTATCCAAGTCTTCCGATCTGTACCAAGCAATATAATCAGAAATGTAAGCTTTCATTGAACATGTGGATATACTGCTTCTTGACTGTACATGCTGCAAACCTTCCTCTCGGTGTTCTGAGGTCTGTGATCTTGTCGTACTGCAACTATAGCAACGAGTAAAGTATACACTACAGAAAGGCACAACTGTCTTCGGGATCAGAGGTATGTCCATAGAAAGCTGCCATTGTGTCGCTTTGTAGCTGTATGCATTACATACTTTGGTGCATGTGAAGGTCCAATCCTCATTGCGACTTGCTATACTCGGTGCTACGTTGGAAATTCGAAATGCTGCGATGTTGATGGTGTTTCTCCGATCGCTAGTCCTGGACACCTTCGATGATAACCTTCAGAACATCCTCTCTGCCAGCTTTGACAAGCTCGAAAGCTTGCTCTGCCTCTTCGAATTTGAATCTGTTGGTGATTAATCTCTTGACATCGATCTTCCCTGAGCCCACAAGCTCAACTGCATCCGGATAGCAACCTTTGGTATATCTGATGGAGCCTCGGATGTTGAGTGCTCTGATACAAGCTGTTGTGATAGGAAAGAGCACGTTTTCTTTACCCATGCCGGCCTGTACGTAGGTACCGCCTTTCTTTGCAGCGAAGACGCCGGCTTGAATGCAGGGCTCGGCTCCAGTACACTCAAGAACAACATCTGCTCCCTCACCAAGATCGAACTCTTTCTTGATCATGGCCGCGACCTTTTCGGAGTGCTCCACAGGTTCGACACCTTGATCAGGTTTGGGTGATAGAAACACGGCGTCGGCGCTGTATGACTTCGCAAAATCGAGTCTTGACTTGACGACATCAACTCCGATGACTTTTCGAGCGCCGTATGCCTTTGCTACCGCTTGACAAAGAACACCAATAGGACCGCATCCGAAGACGAGCACAGTTTGATTGGCTCTCAGACCGCCAACTTTCGCTATTTGCACAGCAACAGCAGTTGGCTCAACCATGGCAGCTTCTTCCATATTCATAGAGTCCGGAATTCTGTAACAGTAGTCGCTTGCTACCGTGTAGAACTTTGCAAGAGTGCCNTACTTGTGGTCAGCTTGTCTTCAGCCCTTACATGTCCTACAATGAGGTTTACCATCCCAAGGCGGTGTGGCTGCGAAGATAGTATCGTTGCACAAGTTGTATTCTNNGAGATGCCATTAGAGCCTTGTTTGATCGACCTCAGATTGGAAATACTCACCACCGCCACGACAATAGTCACATCGTCGGCATGGAACACCGGGTTCGATGGCGACCCGGTCACCCTGCTTCAAATTTTTGACTGCTGTACCAACTTCAACGACAGTGCCGGATGATTCATGACCAAGCACAATAGGACTCTTCAACACGAAATCTCCAATGCGGCCTCTTTGCCAGCTGATCTGTGTCAGATTGTGANNATGTTTCGAGATGGTCGTGCACTCGCTTACTAGTGCACCTGATATAGTCAGCATTGGAAGAACAATCGATCAACATTTCAAACTCACATCACTTCCACAAATTCCAGTCTGCGCGATTCTAACTCTTACTTCATGTTCATCACGAAGTTTCGGAACTTCTCTATCTTCAAAAGCGACGTCTTTCACTGCTCGTAGTACGAAAGAAGGATTCTAATGGGCATCGTCAGTGATCATTCGGAAAACATCCGAGTGTTGTTTTCTTGGCACAGACGTATTCAGCCAGAGAAGGACCGACCGGCACTTGGGAACTTACAGCCATGACCAAGGAGAAGGTATCGCTCTATCCACTCGATCTTCCAGTGCTCAGAGACTGTCGGCGCAGACACGATGAGCTCTGCTCATGGCTCGTATATGTTTGCTGCAACGCATGACGAGCAGGCAGAGAGTGCCCTCTTTCCGGAGTGGTGCACACCGTCACCTGTTTCTCTTGGTCAGACCAAGCGCAGACCCAGACGTTGCTTGACACATCTCCATCGGTAGTCGGGCCGCTGCCCAGAGCCAGTTGTGGGACGATATCTTCCGGCGTGTAGGTACGTCCTCGGCGTGCTAAACTCTGTCACTCACAAAGTCATCGGAAGGCATGCTCAAGGTTACGTTCATCCGTGGCCACTCGCACCTCGAAGGACTGTTCCTTCATGCAAGCATTGAGAGCTTCAACTGCCTCTCTGAGTCACAATAGCGAAACCACTGCTAGGAGTGTGGTCCGAGTGACGGATATTGGCACATACCTAGAATATTTTGGTGTCATCGCGCCCGGGTTTTTGACCCCACACCCCTCGCGAGATGGGGAAAACTGGAGCATCGCGAAAATAAGCAGGGTTGCAATTTCCTGGCGTACAGAACAATGCGAGGCGTCATTATTGTTTTGACTCTTTTAAACAGCCTTTGGGCCGATCTCTAGAATTTGCTGCGGTAACGTTGATTTTCACCTTTTCTCCATTCGATCATCTCAATAGCAGGGTGTACACACTACCTTGCCTGAACCGACAAATTTCGGCAGTTCTACTACATCTCGGCAATTCACTACTACATGGGTCAAAGCTACTACGATCTGGCAACACGTGCCCTGGCTTGTTACCAGGCTCTACCAGAACCGGATGCATCCAGAAAACAAAGCAAACGCCTACTTATAGCCCTTGCTGGCCCACCGGGGTCAGGCAAAGGACGAATCGCCTCGAAGGTCGCCAAGATTGTCAACCAGAGCGGTGTCTCTTGTTCCGTAATATCAGTGGATGGATGCTCTCAAGACTCTCACAACGACACAAGCAGTATATCGCCANAAAGTCCATCTTGGACCTTCAAAGGAGCAGCGGCCGTCGACCTCGTTCAGCAGATTCACACACAGACTACAGAGCCAAACGACATCAAATCACCTTTTACGATACATGTGGAAGATGTGGAATCTCACAAGTTGAACGTCGCTGGCGATGCCTCAATAGTCATCTTCGAGGGCCTCTATGTGCTTTGCGAAGATCTACCTTGGGCAAGAGTTCGGGATATGGTTGATGAGCTATGGTTCATTGAAGTCGAGCCAGAAGTGGGCAGGCAACGGGTCGTTAAGCGGTTTCTTGATACTGGGTTCGAGAAGGACTATGAGGCCGCTTGTACGAGATATGACGAGAACGATGTCTTCAACGCTGAATTCATCAATCGGACGAGCAAAGGAAGAGATGTGACGGTAAAGAGCATAGACCGGCGAAGCTCGACGGGGTCAGTCTATTAGTGTCGCATCGGCATCACTGAAATTATTGGTGCGATTTTGTCGCAATGATGCCACCTTAATGATACAAATGTTGACGATCAGCATGGCTGAAAAGCTTGGCTAGGGTGACTGTGTACCGCCTTCCGAAACCATCTCCATCCCACCTTCCTCCTCCACTCCACGTCTAAGCAAGTGGGGGTGTGGGTTCTCCGCAGGCAGGTGTGCTGTCGAACATCAACTCGCGACTACCATCACACGATAGCTGCCTTAGTCTGCTACGATGGGATTTCGATTCGTACATTCTCAATCGCACCTCTTTCCTTCCTTTCCTTTCCTGCTCATAACATAACCAGATATCCGAATCAATTCTCATCCAGCAAAATGCCTCTTTACCGCCCGGACAATGTTGACGCGCCCGTCCTTTCACAGTTCTCTCTGAAGGGCAAGGTCGCCGCTGTAACTGGTGGAGCTCGAGGAATTGGACTCGAAGTCGTTCGTGGCCTCGCAGAAGCCGGCGCATCGGTTGCTCTCATCTATACCACCAGCAGTTCTGCTCCGGAAACCGCTGCTAAGATTGCGAAAGAAACCGGCTCGCAGGTATGTGGTAGACCGTGAAGACGTCAATCCAACAAGCACTCAACAGCACTTGCTTCCAGAAATCATGCTAACTATACCTCTGTGATCNAGGTCTCCGCCTACAAGGCCGACGTCACCAACAAGGAAGAGATTACAGACACCATCAATCAGATTGCCAAAGACTTTGGCAAATTAGATGTGTGTGTCGCTAATGCTGGTATTGCATCCCAGGTTCCAGGACTTGAGTATTCCGAACACCAATGGCGCGACATCATGAGTGTCAATCTTGACGGCGCGATGTACACTGCTCAGGCTGCTGGCAAGATCTTTGAAAGACAAGGAGGAAGTAATTCAATGATATTCACCGCCTCAGTCAGTGCTATTCTGGTCAATATCCCGCAGAAGCAAGCCGCATACAATGCATCCAAGGCCGCTCTGGTACATTTGGCCAAGTCACTGGCTGTTGAATGGACCGACTTTGCTCGTGTAAACTGTATCTCACCTGGCTTTGTCGAGACTGACATCCTCTCGATTCATCCTGAAGAATGGAGGAAGAAGTGGTTCGACATGATTCCTGGTGCTCGTATGGCGAAAGCTGCGGAGCTTAAATCAGTAATTACATTGAATGTTGCTATGATGGATGAGAGCTGACGTTTTTTACTTTAGGCATATGTTTTCCTAGCATCTGATGCTTGCTGTGAGTTATCCTGCCATCGCTTTTCTAGGGTATAACTGACAGAGACAGGCTACATGACAGGTGCAAATATGGTCATTGATGGTGGCTACACTCTCCCATGAAATCAGAACATCATATTGTCATACATATATTCGTAATCTAGACACCCCTTGTATATTTATCGTGGTCTCATCACCTCTCTCATCGACGACGTATCCTCCTTTTCCATAGACCATCGTACTAGTACACCCCTTACATGGCAAGGAGGATAGCACCGAAGCTTGCAACACTCAGCACACTTCCGGGGATAGCTGCATCCGATCAGCACCAGATATATACACTCTACACGTATGAGGCCTACCATATCTTGCTACTGCAGCACTTGTGTTACCGTTGCCGCTGTTGCTGTTCTGTCCTGAAGAGCCCTCGCCTGAGCCAGATGAGCCGGTTCCAACGCCAGCTGGATAGCCACCGCCGGATGTGCTTCCGGTAGCACTGGATGAAGAAGTGGTAGAAGATGTGGATGAGGCAGCAGTGGAGCTGCCAGAGGCTTGACGAGCCTGAGGGAGATATGTCAATACCACGATTCGCTGATACCACACATCGACTACACTGACCTCTAGAACAGGACCTGCAAGAACTTGAGAGGTAAAAAGTAGAGCGAGGAGAAGGGTGAAGAAGGTAGTAAAGGCACGCATATTGAAGTCTTGAGTAAAGATTGGTCTTTGTTGAAAGCGGATCGATCTGTTCAGAATGTCTGAACATCGAAAACCTACACCTTACAAGCCCGACTATTTAAGAAGCAGCGACATTCGACTTTCATCGCCATCTCTGCCGTGCCATGACGACCGACACCGCCAAAATATGAGCGCCGTGGAAGCATGCGCGGCAGCAATGGGCAACTACACATTTCTACACCTGCCTGCCGCTGCTTCCACCACGTCCAATTATGTTTCAAAGGTCAAGCAACGTGCTCTGGAGACCCGAGTACCCCTAGATTATCAATCAGTGCCAGAAAAATAAAATGCACAGTGATGATGACACTCTTTCGGGTCAGTGGCCGCGGCAGATCGACACTGCTGCATGAGAGGGCTTCATTTGCTTGTTTCTTGCGCTTTCGACGGCAATTGTGAGAGCCGCAATAATCACTGCATTGTTTTGATGACGGTGGGTGGTCTTCTAGATGTTGCTCACTTGCTGCTGATAGACCCTGCTGCTCATTCTTAGGAACGTCCGCATGATCTCACTTGTTGACCCAAATACTGTACTTATGTCACCAAGTTGAAGAAAGCAGCATATGTTTTGAGAACAGAACACTCTTGCAGGTGTGACTGCTCTTTGGTCTTTGTCTGCACCATGCGTGGTTGTCAGGAGTTACCCGGAATATCATCTGCATCGTCGAGCGTTGTCGAGAATACACACCGAAAAGAAGACATCGATTTGGTACAACAGACTCTTTTCGTTTAACATGCTCATCGCTATTTGCACTACTACAAGTCTGGAAANNGAACAAAGACAAGGGTTGAACAGCAGAAGAANNACAACCAATACAATTTGACCACTCCTTCTCATCCAACATCTTCCTCCCCTTGATTTCGTTGCCATTTACCATGCACACCAGCAAAGGTCCCATTGGATATCATTCTACGTGTTCCCAGCAGCGCATAAGCGATGAGAAGCTGTAGCATAAAAAAAGCTGGTTGATACTTGTAAGAAGAAGAACAAACAAAGCAGCAGAAATGTAAAAGAACAAAACAGCCGCAAAAAGCCATCCGCGTGTAAGAATCAGCAAATAGGACCTTCTAGAGNNGAAAGGTTCGTTGTATGTCTTGACGAGGGCGATGTGTTGCCGGGATAGAAACCCATAATGCAACGATCTGAGAGCCATGATGTCCAAGAACAAGGTTCATATCTGAACGCGGTGCTTCGTGAAAAGAAAAGGAAAAAGTAGCACAGTCGATGATGTGAACGGTGTCTCTTGTTGCATGTGGACGTGATGAAGCTGGTGCAGGATGACAACATTATCCAGAATGGAGAATCGCTTTGAACGCCGTGAACGCCATGCCATTTGCGGTGCAAAGTGCCGCAAGTCGAGGAACGCCGGACCATGTGTAAAGCAAGTTGAAAAGACAAGATGATCATTTGGTGTTTGCCCGAGGCTGCCACAGAGGAAAGCCGTAGGCAGCCGTGGGAAAGCCCTCAAAGTCCTAGATCTGAGGGGTTTGGCTGCCGTCACGATCGCAGTCGTGGAGGTACATGGGAGCGAACTTCTTAGCCCACTGGCGAAGGACGATAGAGGCTNNGAAGCATGTTAGCAAGGGACAGCTTGATAAAAGGTTCAAAAACATACCCTTCAGGAACTTCTTGCTAGCGTACTTGCGGAAGAAGGCATCGTGCTGGACGGGACCGTGAAGGTAGTCGACCATGAGCTTGAAGACAGGTTCGATTTCTTGTTCAGTGTAACCAGCGTAGGTGGCAAGGGTGGCATCCNNTATATAGTGATTAGCATTATGATGTGACATGTTGAGGTATAATATGCTTACCCATTCACCACGGTCAAGGACGAGACGGGCGAGGTACATGGCAGCGGCAGCGACATGGCTAGGAGGGTACTTGATGAAGCGGTGGTCGAGGCAGCCAATTTCAAGAAGGTACTTGCCAAGAGTGCGGGTCTGGATATCGTAGTTGTCGGCCTTGGAGATTCTGCGAAGGAAGTTCATGGGGTTGGGGTAGCTCAGGTCGTAGTCAAGAGCAGCNAGGATGAAGCGCTCTGCGCTAAGGATCTCCNNCTGCTCGGTGAAGCCGTCGTCGGCAACGTGACGGAAGTTCTGGACGTGAGGGGACAGAACCTCCTCGTACTTGGAAGCGATGAACATGGCAGTGACACCAACCAGTTGGAGACGGTCGAGCTGGACAACCTTGGTTGAGAGGAAGCGGTCGATGATGTTGACAGCAAGGAACAGGGTCTCGGGCAGAAGACGGAAGCGGGTGTGCACCTCGAGCAACCAGTCAACCAAGATACCACGCATCTTCCACTCGAGTTCGCCCTGGCTGTCCATGTACTCGGCGTTGGGCAATGTTGAAATCTCAAGCTCCTTCATGTAGTCGAAGATTTCGTGAACGTATTCGGCAACCATGAGAGGGTCGTCAAGATCCTCAGAGTCCAGGTCCTTGGCCTCGGCAGCCAGCTGCTCCAGGGTCTTGTGCAGAGGCTCGTCCATCTCCGCCTCCTCCTTGGGAGTCGTGCTCTCCTCTTCTTCCTCGATGGCCTCAATCTTGACAGCATCCTTCACGAAGTCTTCATCCACCTTGGGGATCTTGGTTGCCATGTGTCTCTTGGCCTTGGGGACGTTACCAGAAGTTCCTGAGAGAGGCATGGGCCTCTTGGCCTTGGGTTCAGCTCCATCACTCTTGATGGAAGCGGCAGAACGGGTCGAAGCGGTGCGGCTTGAGGGTTTGGTAATGCCAGTAGGCTTCTGTGCATCTCTGAGCTTACCACCCTTGGCAGGAGCAGCCTTTGTATCGATGGTCTCGTTCTTGGTTACGTTGCTGACATCGCCGAGGGCAGCGCGTCTTCTGGTAGGCTGGGTGGCAGCAGCAGTAGTGTTGGTGGTAGTGGCACGCTTGACACCGAGGGCGGCCTTCTTAGGTGGGTCAGCAGCGGCGAGCGCGTCGGGCTGGGACAGAGCAGCGGCCTTTGCGCGTGTCAGACGAGTGGTGGCAGCATTCTCGTCATTCTCGTTCGTCACGGCGCGTCGAACAGCTCTGGCCTGGGAGATATCGGGTTAGTTGTGGACGCGTCAAGGTAGAGCGCAAGGGCGGCTTGGCATGACTGAAGAGAGGGAGAGACGGCGACAGTGAGGGCAAGGTGAGGTGATACTTACTGGAGGCATGTTGATATGAGAATGAGATGATCAAGACTTGGTCAAGGTCTTGGTGAAGAAGTGGTGGAGCGGCTGCTTTGGTTTGGTCGAGTCAGGCTGGGCGGGCACAACAAACACGTCCGAATCGGGTAATCGGCGTTCGGACACGCGAGAAAACACACCTTTCAGAGCCGGACGTGAGAAGTCGGGTGCGTGGAGGATATGGTGAAAGCAATGGCAGCGCAGGTGAAGCAAAGAAGGCGGACTGCTGGATACTGATGCTCTTGAAACAATTGACGCGCCAGGTAGGAGTTGTCACGGGTTGATTGGGACCAGGTCGGCAAGGGCGGGTGCAGTCAATTCGGCAGGGACTCGGTGTCACGGCTGCTCTCTTGCGTCGACCGGTCGATGGGTGTATTAGAGATGTCGTTGACGACGTGGGCGGATGCTGAGGAGAGGGATTTGAAGAGGACTGGAAGAGATGTTGTTTGCTTTGGCTTTGAACATCAAAAGCTCGGACACTTCGCGCTCCACGTCTCGCGATTTTGGCCCAGACATGCAATGCAGATGACGACTGGCGTGTAAGAGCACAAATCCCAGCCTCGCTTTTAATCACCGACAAAACGTCTTCACAACACAACATAAAACAATGCACGACTACAATCTGCAAGACGAGTCGCAGAGTTTCACTCGTGGATACGATGTGTTATATAAAGAATAATGAAAATCAGGCCGCGGAATGCCTTAGACAGCAGCATGGCAGGAAAGACCACTTTAGCTCAAGGTCTCATCGCTACGGAAACACAACACGTCTTGCAAGGGAAGGCGCGAATCAAGCGCAGGCAGCAATAGCGAGGAGCGAGGGAAGGAGCGGAATCAGCCGTCCCTTCCCAGAAATGTTTCAATGTCTTGGCAGCTTAGGGTTCGGATTGTAGAGAGCGTCGGACAAGGCGTTGGAACAATTCATATCTTCCTCGACGTGCTCTTGTGCTCCGCCGACCCCGTGCAGACAACATGTTACAGCCACGGCTATGGCAGCAGCAGCCCTGGAGGCAAGCTCAATGTCTGTTCCGCGCCTCAACCAACGCCTTCGCCCGCCGCACATATGCCACCGCTACAGAGACTCCCAGAGTAGCGACGACAACCCGTGAGACAACGACCGATGCCGTTGCCTTCAATCCTCCTACCGCTGCCCCAAGTCGAAGACGTGGTGGCTTCGAACTCAGAACATACAAGCCTCGCACACCCGGTACTCGACACTTGCGCCGCCCTGTCAACGACCATCTGTGGAAGGGAAAGCCACTGGCCAAGCTCACATTCGCCAAAATTGGTCACGGAAAGGGAGGTCGTAATTGCACAGGTCGCGTGACCGTGCGACACCGTGGTGGTGGTCACAGAAGACGTATTCGTACCGTCGACTTCAAGCGCATGGAGCCTGGAAAGCACACTGTTGAGCGCATCGAGTACGACCCCAACCGCAGCACTCATTTGGCCCTCCTCACAAGACAGAAGACTGGAGAGAAGAGCTATATTCTTGCTGCCGACGGCATGCGCGCTGGAGACGTTATTGAGAGTTACCGTGCTGGAATTCCTGGCGAACTGTTGAAGAGCATGGGTGGTGTTATGGATCCCGGTATGCTTGCCGCAAAGACTGCTTTCCGTGGAAACTGTCTGCCTGTACGCATGATCCCTCTCGGAACCCAGGTGTATGCTGTTGGATCTACCACAGGCAAGGGAGCTGTCTTCTGCCGCAGCGCCGGTACTNTTGCTACTATCGTCTCAAAAGAGGAGGTTGGCAAGAAGGTCAAGGAGGTCGTGGTTCGCCTGCAGAGTGGTGAAGTCAGAAGAGTTAGCCCCGATGCTTGCGCCACCATTGGTGTTGCTAGCAACCCTCACCACCACTTCAGAACGCTCGGTAAGGCCGGTCGCAGCAGATGGCTCAACATCCGTCCTACCGTCCGTGGTCTGGCCATGAACGCTGGTAAGTTATATTGTCCTTCTGACGCTACTCTCTTTCACAGCTAACCCCTGCTTCTTTCCANNGCCGACCATCCTCACGGTGGTGGTAGAGGTAAATCAAAGGGTAACGTCCACCCTGTCTCCATTTGGGGCACCCCAGCCAAGGGTGGTTACAAGACTCGTGCAAAGCGTAACCCCAACAAGCACGTTGTGCAAGAGCGCGAACGCAACCAAGGCAAGAGAAGGACAAGCAAGAACTAAGGCTTTGCCTCTTGATGCCACTGCTTCTTTTACCCGTCCCTGTACAGTAACATGTAAATTAGAAAGCACGAATACCTTCAAGACTTTTCCATATCTCTCTCACTCGATGGGCACGACTGTCTAGCCTTTAGATTGGCTATAAACAACCTGCGAGCATTTTCTGGGCCTAGATTCGAACCCCTCACAAAAGGTACGTCGAATGTTCTATGGAGTCGACAGGAACTTTCATTCCCGATCTACATTATGGCTCTTTATCAAGAACTACCGATTTCAGCGCTTGATCCCGAAACATCCACATCCACAATAGCGATCATGGTATGCTAGATGCTGCCTGACAAACCACCCAGTAAACCACGTCTTCTTACAAGGTCTCATTGGCCCAAGATCGGCCCTTGAGACAACGACCTCGCCTTCATCAGCTTCTCCTTGCCTCCACACCGTCCCAGTCCCTCTCTTCCTATTATCCAAATACGCAAAGTCGCAATCACAGTTGTGTAACTTGCGATGACTATTCAACGCTCTAGTCGCATTCTCGCAATTATCGCGGATGTAAGTCAAAGGATCCGCATCCGGTTTGGAGAAGTCGTTGTTGGTGATACGACGGCGTTTTTTCTTGTTGCTTGCTGGGTCTGGAGGAAATAGAGATAGAGGCTTCATAGCGCAGACGAAGGAAATGGAAGGGTTGGTTGGGTCGGAGGCTATCCCGTGCTCGATGCTGGGTTGTGTGATACCGTCTGGTGATGGTCGTTGGATGAAGTAGTAGTCTGATCTGCAGCTGCGATCGTTGGTGGGATGTCTGAGCAGTGTGTTTTGGCGGGTGGGTGGATGCCATGACTCTGGAGGTTCTGGAGATGTGGTGCCAGTGGAGCTGTAACCAGAGTCGCTGGTGATGAAGTCTTCTAGCAACTTCTCCCTCCCATCGTATGGAGGTGGCATCTCAGTCCTGCACTGTCTTTTGTTGGGGTTTCCATGTCTGAAGTTTCTAGGGAGGGTTGCGTAGTTTGTGTGGGATGGCCGCATGCGTGTGTCGTAAAATGTCATGTTCGAATACATGTCGTCGTTAAAAGATTCTGCATTAGAGTAGTTCCAAGAGGTAGAGCGAGTACCGAGTCTGCCTGGACGTCTTGTTGCTGACATTGTGATCTGAATTGCGAAGTTGGGAGTGGGTGAATGAACCTTTGGTNNTATGGTATCAAGTTGGGCAGCGATGGGTATATGTACTTTAGCAAGAGCCAATGTCACTCTTGTCATTGCTCATCAAAGACCATGGCAGGTGTCGTATGTGAACGATGTCATGCTTCGCTGTTACTGTAGTTTCGAAAGTAATCGGGTACATGGGTGTTCAATGCACCTGTCAGGCATGATCATTTTCCAGAATATGGACCCTCTGGTACCAAAGGTCAATCTATCTGTTGTTCAATCGTTGCCATGCAACAAACTAACAAAATTCGCCTGCTGCCCAATGCCAGATGATATCTGGGAAGTGACGCCCAGACACACGAGCCGGGTTGTGGCAGGAGCGGTGGAAGGCCTGAAGCAAAATGAATGACGACCTTCCAACTCGAGAACATAAGATGGTCATAAAGAACTCGTGAAAATAAACTCTGTAGCATTGAATGTCATTTCTCGTGGTCAAATATATCATAGGGAATCTAATGTTGTATTGGTAAAGTGGGATCAGAAATGCTAAATCACCAGTTCTTACCCAAGAGCTGTTCGCCAACTTCACTTGCGACCTTGTTCAAGTCTTTGATCTCCTTCAACTTCAAGATCGCAGCCTTGGCATCCAATGCACTGCAGAGATCATGCAGCTCTCCACCTTGAGGAGCGAAGTAGATCAAGTAAGCAAAGGCGAAAATTGCCGTCTTGAGCATATCTGTACCAGTAGCGTCTTTCTTCTCTTCTCTGCTCTCAAGTTCGGTCGTCATCATCTCGAGCAAGCTAGCAGCCATCTCAACCTCTGAAGACTCCTGCAATGCTTCACGATTCTCTTCTCTTCTGATTCGGTAGACGGTTGCAGCAATGTTGAAAGCAAGCGAGGAAGCAGCAGCACGAACGGCTGGCTTATCGGGTTCGGCAAGCAAGCTTGTGGTTGCTACCTGTACCAGCATCGAGGGCAAATCACTGTTGTGATAGCTACTGAACGCTGACTTGACGAAGAGATCAGACGCAAACAGATTGCAAGCCAATTGGATTGTGACAAGTCTCAAATTGTAAGGACAAGTTTCGTCGTTTACGAGCGTCAAGACGTGGTTGATCAAGTGTGTGAGTGTCTCTGAGTCCCCTGGCGAAGATTCTTCGGTGAACCATCCACTGACTCGTTGATCGACGAGTGCACAGCGCAGTACATCGTAAGCTGTGAACAACACATCTGAGGAGAGTTGGTTGGGTGATTGGTGAAGCCAGTGTGCAAAGGCAGGAAGATCTGGCAAAGCCGGGAGGTCTGATGCATTGGAAGATCGAGAAGAGATGAAGTTCTTCATTGCAACCACAGACTTGTCCTTCGACTGATCACCCATTTTAGCGAGGACCTTGTCTAGAGGGGGAATCTTCGAATATGTGATCGGACTAAGCCTTCCGAATTGCAGAGTAGGTACGCGAACCTGGAGGTGAGGGNNGTGAGGAGGGAAAGCTTGTTGAAGAAGAGACTCAACATTTGCCTTCAGCTGTGCAGGATTTGCTCCAGTCCATTCGTTGTCCTTCTTGCCGTGTAAGAAAGTCATGAACGTTGGTGTTGCTCGAATTTGATACTTGGATGCAAGTGCATGAGCCTCGTTGATGTCGATCTTGATAAAAGGAACCTTAGTGTGCTCAGCGGCTAGAGAGTCGTATGTGGGATATGCCATCTTGCAGGGCCCACAGGTACTCGACGTGAAGAAGATAACAGCGCATTTGTCTTTTGCGCCTGATAGAAGGTTATCTACTGAAGATAGCTGCGTCACATTGTAAACGGAGCCATGCACACCGTCTGCTTTTGCAGCAGCGCTATCGCGAACTTCGAGCTTCTTGGGTTGTTTCTTTGGTGTTTGTTGAGACGATTGAGCCTGGGCTTGAGCGTTTTCGTTCGTCTCGTCGGCATTCCCAGCACTGCGGACTTCCAGCTTCTTAGGCTTTTTCTTTGGTGGAGTCTGCTCTGACCCATTCTGCTGTGCTGAAGTAGAGGTGGAAGAGGAAGTACCGTTCTGGCTGTTGTGATTGGCCTCATCTCTCTGTTTATTACGTTCACGCTGAATCATTGGATTGTTTTCCGGGGGCACAGCAGCCTGTGTAATGTGTCTCATCTCTGCGTCAAGACGTTGCTTCATCATTGATCCGAAGGGAGTGTTGAGTACTGTTTCAGGTAAAGCAGTGATGTGATCCGGGATACCCTTGCCGACCAAGAACATGGAGAAATCGTTAGAGAAATTGTTACAGTTGTGTTTGAACAAGTCGTATGATTGTGCGGTGTATGTTTCTTTCAACGAGTCGAGATATTCAAGGATATCATCCAGAGGAATTTCAGTCTTGCCGAGCTTGATCTTCTCCATAGGTTGGCCATGATGGGTCGATCCAGGGTAGCAAGTCTGCACGCCAGCACCATAGAAGTACTCAGCACCACCGAAGACTAGAGAGGTGTGGTAAACCGCATCGATGTGAATGCCGAGCAGTCCTTGCGACATCATCCTCGCAAGGCCCTGACTGAGGTCGTAAACATATAATTCGACATCCATTGTAAAGTCGGTATAAGGCGATCTTCTGAACGGAAGGTGGCAAGTCTGTAAGATGGCCAGATAGAGACCGGGGTGTTGTGGTATAGCAAGATTAATAGTCAGAAAAATGGAGGGCGACTATGTAGATTTTAAGAGCAAAGATATGGAAAATGCTGGATGTTATTGGAACCTCTGGGAGGCGGCGTCATCAACAGCAGCCTGGCACGTCGGTCGGTTCTGGCCCGTGTCACCGAACAAGATATTTGCAGAGACACAAATGAATTGTCAATTGCTGTCTTGCATCACAATAATTTCTTTTCTCAAAGGACGACTAGTGGAAATTACTAGTCAAGTGGTTGATGCAGGTGCAGGCATGGCCGAGAGTGTTGAACTCGATGGCAACGCCAAAGGGATCCAGGGATCAGGGGTCCCAGCCCTGCAAGGACGACGAGTAGTGAGAAAGGGGAAGGCAGAAGTCACGTAGGAAACATTTCGATCTTCTTCGTCCAACGAAGGCTCAAATCTTTCTCTCAACCTTGTCCGAGGTATCAAAGCGGTGCTGCAAGTTGCAAACAACAACGACTCTTCTGACCATCGGTGGTCTCAAAATAGTCGCATATCTGGCCCGAATCGTCAGTCGGAAGGATCCCCACAAAAACATTGGCCGGTGTACTCATCGACCGAGTGCCTGTACTAAACCAAAAATTCCACATGTCGAATAGGAGCGACGTCAAACAACGACCCAGCCTCTGGTCCTATATCAGCTTTTCCTCCTCGCCGCGGCGACGCAAATCAGTCTCGTCGCATTCCCGCACGCATAGCCAATCCATACCCCTAGCTTCGTCCAACTACGACCCTTTCGCACCCACAACGAAATCTGGTTCAATGCAGGAGAAGGCCGGCTGGATGAATCAAGGTCAGCGATCGCGGTACATCAAGACGGGTGGCATCATCGCCCTCGTCTTGTTCGTACTATACTACCTACTGCCGGGCTCGTCAGGCTCAGTAGGAAACTTCCCCAGCGGCGATGTTGCCTCTGACCCTTCTATCGGCACCGCCAAATGCACACGCCCGTACTCGTCCAGCAAACCATTGATTCAGTATGCCCTCATGGTCGACGCCGGCAGCACTGGCTCGCGCATCCACGTCTACCGCTTCAACAACTGCGGTCCCACACCCGAACTTGAGAAAGAAGACTTCAAGATGACCGAGCCGAAAGAGGGTGGTTCTGGACTGAGCTCCTACGACTCGGACGCCGAGGGTGCCGCAAAGAGCTTGGATGTCCTGCTTGACGTTGCTATGAAGAGCGTCCCTGATAAGCTCAAGGGCTGCACTCCCATCGCCGTCAAGGCCACCGCTGGTTTGCGCAAACTGGGTCCCGAGAAGAGCAACGCCATTCTCAAGGCAGTACGTAACCGTCTCGAGACCCAATATCCTTTCCCAGTCGTCAGCGAGGCCAACGGAGGTGTCGAGGTCATGGATGGCAAGGATGAGGGTGTCTATGCTTGGATCACAACAAACTATCTGTTGGGCAAGATCGGTGGCCCCGACAAGACTCCCACTGCTGCCGTCTTTGATCTTGGTGGTGGCAGCACTCAGATTGTCTTCGAGCCCACTTTCGCTCAAGCCAAGGACGGCGGTATGCCCGAAGAGCTTGCAGAGGGTGACCACAAGTACAAGCTCTCTTTCGGTGGTCGGGACTTCACTTTGTACCAGCACTCGTACCTGGGATACGGTCTCATGGCTGCCCGTGAGAACCTGCACAAGGTTGTCATTGACAACATGCACAAGTCGAACCCTGACTCGAAAGCCTGGCTCAGCAAGCCCGTCCTTAACCCTTGCTTAATTCCCGGCAGTAGCCGCGAGATCAAGGTTCCTCTTGGTGAGGGTCACGCTCTTGGTGCATCTGTCACCGTCAACATGACTGGCCCTACTACTGGCTCTGCCCCTCAGTGCCGCGCTATTGCCGAGCAAACTCTCAAGAAGGAAGAAGAGTGCAAGATCTCGCCTTGCGCCTTCAACGGTGTCCACCAACCTTCGCTGTCCAAGACTTTCGCCCGCGAAGACGTCTACCTCTTCAGTTACTTCTATGATCGTGCCCAGCCTCTGGGTATGCCTGAGTCTTTCACTCTTTCCGAGCTCAAGGATTTGACTGCCCGTGTTTGTGAGGGTCCCAAGAGTGAGACCAAGGCCTGGGATGTCTTCAAGCCCATCTCTGGTGCTATCAAAGAGCTTCAAGGTCGCCCTGAGACCTGTCTGGATCTGAACTTCATGGTCGCACTTTTGCACACTGGATACGAGATGCCCATTGACCGTGAGGTCAAGATTGCCAAGAAGATCAAGGGTAACGAGTTGGGTTGGTGTTTGGGTGCCAGGTATGTTCACATTCTCAGCAAACAGTCGGGTAAGATCGATACTAACGTGTGTTTANGTCTTCCTCTTCTCAGCCAGGAGAGCGGCTGGTCTTGCAAGATTAGTCAGGTTGCGTAGATGCGATTATGTTGCTGCATTTTTTAGGCATGAGGCGTTCTCCTTTTGGTTCATTGTACGACGGCTGGTGAAATGGCATAGATTAGTGTTTCTTCGCCTAGATCCCTGGGGGTTCTCGTATCTATCGTACTCGAGGCACAATGCTTTCCTCGTGCACGCATATATCCTCGATCTTCATTCTCAAAATTGGCGTCAGAGTACTGCATGTTTCTTTGTGGGTATCTTCAATTGGTTTGCGATGTGTTTTAGGCTTTATTCTATCATGTTCGTTTAAGCGTCACCCTGCTCCTCGATAATCTTTCTGTTCAGATTGATATCGTGAAGGATGGACTCAGCGCCCAACTCGACCAGCTTCTTTGCAACATCCCAGCCAAACTCGTCAGCCTCTTCTCTGCTAGTGATGCGTCTCTGCATCTCGGTCTCGACGTGCCTCTTGCCATCCAGACTGACGACAAGCGCACGCATGATCAGTTCTTCTGTGAACTCAGAACCGCTGCCCTGGTGTTCGCCTTCATCCTCTGTGGTGCGGCCGGTCACGGCGACACCACTGAGCTTGTCGTACTCGGCAGCAGGCTTTGCGCCAACACCGACACCCGTGCCGATAGTGGTGCCCAGAGAGGACTTCTTGCGCACCCATTCGGTCTCGACGCCAATGGGTACACTGCAGCCACCCTCAAGAGTGCGCATCAGACTGCGCTCGGCAAGACAGGCACGGGTGGTCCACTCGCAGCCAACAGCCGAGAGCAATTTCTTGACATCCNNCTCATCATCGGAGCGGACTTCAATACCCAAAGCGCCTTGTCCTACTGCGTGTAGGATACCGCCTGATGCACTGTCGAGGTAGCTGGTAATGCGGTCGGACATGCCGAGACGCGAAAGGCCTGCTGCAGCCAGGATCAGGGCAGTGTATTCGCCTTCGGGGTTGTCGAGCTTGGCAAGACGAGTGCCGACGTTGCCACGTACATCGGCGAACTTGAGTTCTGGGTATAGGCGCTTGAGCTGGGCAGAGCGGCGGACGGAGGAGGTACCAATGACAGAGCCAGCGGGCAATTGGGAAAGGGACTTGTAGGGGAAGGTGGGCTTGACGACAAGGGCGTCGCGAGGGTCTTCGCGAGGGAAGATGCAGCCAATGCTCATGGAAGGAGGCAGCTGAGTAGGCATGTCTGGGTCGGCATCAGCATCAGGGGAGGGCATAAGTGAGTATGAATATCATGTACCCTTCAGACTGTGGACAATGAGATCCAAGTCGCCCTTCTCGAGAAGAGCCTCGAGCTCATGGGTCCACAGAGCCTTTGCATTGAACTCGTGCAGAGCAGTGGTCTGGTTGTTGTCGCCCATGGTGCTCATGGCGTGGATCTCATACTGTCGGTCGGGCCATGCTTTGCGCAATTCCTTGCACACAATGTCTGTCTGCACTCTTGCGAGGACAGACTTGCGTGTGCCAATCTTGACCGGAGTCTGTGTCGTTGATGCCTCGCTCGCCATTTTGCTTGTCGAGTGCTTCTTCAATGTTCGTGAAACAATTCAATCTTGAATTCCAGTGACGTTTCGGCCCTGGTCCCGCCATCGGTGCTTTGACCAAGCCCGTCAAACCGCCGGCTACCCTGCCGAGGCTCGCCGTGAGCTCTATCTTTTGGCCTCCATCCACTGCTGCATCATTGCCTGTCCATCATGGCAGCTTGTCTTGATTGTATTTACCAGACCACCGGCATCCTCCCGGGGCTATGCGGTGGCTTGGACAACGTGCCTATCGTGGTTGTTCCGAGAGAACCGGACTGATGGTCGAAGCTCTTTCCATCTTGAGTGTTGAAGCACAATAACCCTGAAGCTTCTGTCACTTCCTATCCGTATACTTGAATCCTCTTCGGGAATAACATCTAGAGGCAGTCACGAGTCAACCTAGCGACTGCCTGATGAAATGATCGCCCTGTGTTGCCAAAAACACCTCTCAGCCTTATGAGGCCAGGCACCAGCCAGCTTCTGAAGGATTCTCTAGCTATCGCTTAGCCTCATTTTCTATTACCAGCAATCCGGCTTGGCCCATAGAGCTTGGTGATTTCTTAACGTGCTGCATTTGGCCGAACGTATAAAGGTCCGACTTGCCTCGATAACTAGAAGCAACGTTTCTATCGTGACTTTTCTTGGTCGCGCAAAACCCGAATCTTTCTCGACAGTCGACTACACACTACAAAACAACTCCATCGTGATATACTCGACATGGGTGAACCACATGCCCCAGACCAGTGGGCTCTGCTGGCTTTTGCAAATGAAGCAATGCAAGTCTCGGCGAACCAAACAAGCCATGCTGCCAGTAATAACAACTCGGGCTTCGGTTGGTCGATGATTCTGAAAGGTGTCTTGCCAATGCTCACTATAGNNCACTGGGACTTGTTGGAAGCTACCTGGTAGGAACACCTCACGCCTTCTTCTTTGTCTATGCTGGTAACTGACAATGTCTAGCTGAACCATTTCGTCTTTCTGATGACAGAGCTATCCGAAGTCGAGACCCCAGTCCCTGGCGGTGTCGACTCACTAGACACGGGCTCTGAAAAGTATGGGCTGCTCGAAGAGGACAAATACAAGGACAAAAAGCGAAGTTCGTCACCTGCCAAATCTGCATACATAACTTCCAGCATCCGCGCGACTATACGGCACCTGAACGCCGAGGCAGGGGACCTGAGCATGTTTCGCGGCATTGGATCAGCATCAGCCGCTATCTTGGTGCTCATGCCAGTGTATCTGCTCTCCGAGTTTATTTCTCATAGACTGCCATTGCTCAAGAAGAGCAACCGCGTCGCTGAGGCCTTCTCGCACCAAGTCGTAGAGCTCATCGTGTGTCAGATAACCGCAACGCTCCTGCACGTGTGCATCTCCAAACCTCGCTACAAATTCTGGTTCCGTCGTATGCCAATGACTTGGTTCAAGGTGTTGCGTACAGCTTGGCTCGCTGTACTGGTCAATGGTATATCCGACGACATTCTTCAAGCGGCATTCTACTACCTGACACCTGATTCGAAGTCCAAGCCCGAGAACATCACAATTGGCACCAATACAAGCAACAAACTATTCCATCTTAGCGAAGGTCCCGTTGTCAAAATAAGCGTCTTCCTCATTCTCTGGGCTTGCATCAAGTCCATTTTGCGTTCGCAGATCAAACCTTTGATAAGCTTGGTGCTTCTGAGACCATTCAAAGCAATCGAAACTCGTGTCTTTGCATCCATGCTCCCTGACGAAGAAGATCCGGTTATCCCTATGGATCGTAGCTTTTCAGGCCGTCCCCAAACTGGTGGCATCCTGCAGCAACAAACACAACCTCTGGGCTTTATGGAAGCTGCACGCACCATCGACAAGAAGACCTTAATTCGCCTGGTCAAACTCCAGTTCAAACTGCACGTCATCCAGAAAGTTGCCGAATGGGCTTTCTGGACTCTTATCNTTGCCGAAATCATCTTCTTCGTTGGACCTAGCGCTGTCTGGGTTGTGTTGAAACTGATCAGTGGTACACCTGTTGTTCAGGCGGATCTGGATCTTGTGCAGGGGAATGCGACCAGGAGGTTCTTGGACAGCATGATTGCTGGTCCCAGTAACTTTACCTCTCCTACCTTCAACATGACAGTCACAAACATGACAGCCACAGCTCTTGATCAGTAGATCTGGTACAGGGGATTTTGCTTTGCTGTCGGTCACACTGTACTTGTTGCTCGATGAGAAAAGGACTTATTAATGTAAGCACCTCGAAACACTAGACCAAGGATGGAAACCCCGACCAAGTTTCACCGACTTCAACACCTTCTCAATCATATCGCACTTTCAAAACGGAAAATGAGTCCAAGAAATGTATATAAATAGCTTTTTAAATCTGTACATCATCAAGAAACCTCTCCAATCATACTCCAAAGCCGCCCATATACCCCCAGTGAGTCAGATCGTCAATCCGTCCTTTTCCCATGCGTCTAAACCGCTATGCAAAAGCTTCATTCGTCAAAAGAGTCATTTGTCGTAGAATCCAAATTCTTTTCCTATCCATCCCTTTTCATGTCCCGTTTGTCTTCCATTCGATCTGGCTTCTAACCATGCAGTTGAGCACCAAGGGGTATCCAACTTCTGGAAACGTCCATGCTTCTGTTGACTCTGGCACCAGGTGTCAAAGGAACGTCGACGCGGCCGCGGCTGCCAGAAGCGTCGTCGCTGTCTTCGTCGTCATCGTAGGCGTCCGACAAGCGTGCAAAGTAATCAGCCAGTCCTGAAGTTGGACTTGCAATACTGTCGTATTGGGGAGGAGGGGTGATGAGTGGCGGCGGAGGCTCTTCGTCTTCGAAGGCCGGTGGGTTGAATGAGGGAGCGCGCAACAAGTGGATGGGTCGATCCATTTGATTCGCAGGAGCGTTGCCTGTTAGATGTGCGGCTTGTGGGCGAGCCAGACTGGGCGCGGTGATTGTGGGAGGTACAGTACTTTCTCTCATTCCGTTTAGGGCGTTGAGTGTGGGCACGTATGAAGTCGGGGAGTTGCGACGGCGTGGTGCATTGGGACAGCCACATTCGTATAGCGAGCTTCCGTTCGAAGCAGACTCGGGGCTGGTGTAGGCGGGTAATGATGTGTTTGCCTGCGTTGCACGGCATGATAGGATGTGGAAGGGTGAGTCGATGGAGATTTCGAAGTGTCTACGCTTGCCTGGGTTCTCCGCGTCCGGTTTCGAGAGACGCATCACGATCNNTGAGTAAAGTTAGTAAGTGTCTTGAACATGCTCGAGTTATTAGAGGTCACATACCTTGATCCAATGATGCACCTGGATGTTTTGGTATGTAGTGTCGAAGTGCAACCTGGTCGCCCTTTCCCTCTCACGGTTTGAGGAGCAGCTAGGCAGCTGCACGTTGAACTCCATTTCGGTAGGTCCAATATTTTCACCCTCTAGGTTGCCGAGCAGATTTGTCGGATCCGAAGTCTGCACAGTCTCACCAGCTGCGGCACGCGCACGTTGGTCAAACGGTACACCACCTCCTGAGGTGACACGCATTGAGCTACCAGGAAAAGTGCTTGTCGGTGGTGTGTCTGCTCGCTTCTCGAATAGCTGCACCTTCCTTGTAGGCTCCATGCGATGGACGCGCTTGTTACTGCAGAAATACTCGATGTTCTCGGTTACAAGCACTTTAATACGGTGACATTGCACCTTTGCTAGTGGAGTGAGCTTGAACGCAATTGGTACCTGTGACCCCAGGGGGAAGGATTTGCCAGAGATCACAATGTCGTAGTGAAGCTGATCTTCCCAGTTTCTGCTGATGGCGATCGGTTCAACTGTTTCCAGGGAGCCCTCGGCTGGAGCTCTGATCAATTGCACTTCACGAACTCCAACGAGGTTGGCTCTGAAAGCTCCAGCGCGTTCTACAACTGCTTCAAGCTCGTATTTGACCGAGCCTAGATCCACATCGATTGTCTCGGGCAGTCTGCTGTCGAGAGGGAGCTCGAAGTTGTAGACGTAGTCTCCAGGATTGAAGGTGCGGTATCCTTTNTGTGCTACGGTAGGGCCACCAGTTGCAGATTCACCCTTGCCAAAACTGCGTGACTGGTTGACCTGTAGCGACAACCTCCGTTGATCTTTGGTGTTGAGGTTGGTTGTGGAAATGTTGGGTGACTTGCCGATGCCGAAAGATGAGCTCGTATGAGATGTGCCGGACTTGAAGAGTTCTACATGATCTGCGCAAGGTCCTGCTTCGGCTGTTGGGAATTGGGCATTGAAAAACGGCCAAGTGTGGCTCATGATATTGTCAACCTCCTCAAAGTCTACTTTGCGAGGGGGGAATGCCTAAGGGTCGTTAGTCATATGCCTCGGCGGAATGGACTGTTTAGAATCACCTTCAGGCCATTTTGTGGTCGCTCTGCCTTTGAATTTGAGAGTGACTGCCTTGATTTTGGCAGCCTTTGTGACGCGTAAGTGAAGGGTTCCGCGCAACATGGCAGTGTTGCCGCTGGCCATATCGTTTTGTTCGAAGCCTTGCAGGAAAAGTGCTGGCTCGGCCAAGTTGATCGAGACGTTTACGCCACTGCCAGACACAAGCGGCTTGTCGTTGGGGTCTGTACCAGGCATTACGGTGTTCATGTGTTGTGCTCGAGCTGTAGCGTCTGAAGCAGCTCTTACATCATCTGTCAACGAAGGACGTGCAATCATGCCACTAACGGGACCGCCAATTGAACCACGGATGTTTGCCCTCATGTTGCCTGACAAGTCCGGTTTCTGTCCTCCTTCTGTAGTTGCGCCTCTTAGACTGTACGCGGACCAATGCGAAACGTCCGGATGATTGTGTGTAGGTATTAAGCGCGCAGAGATAATTGAGCGGATGATGCGTTTCGCGACGTTTGTGGAGGAGGAGAACCTTCGGTACAGGAAGTGATTGGAGTGGTGTCGTGGTTTGTCGAGATCTGGTGGAGGATCGTATGTTTCGTGAACACTCTTGATGCGGATCGAACCTCTTCTATACCTGCGGGGCTCCAAAGTAACCGGAGCGGTCGGAATGTTCGTGAAAGCTGCTGGGACAAAATGGGCCCAACTGTTGCGGTGATGAGATGAGTGGATCTCTGCCATTGTATATTAGCTATGGATATTGACAGGCACTTTGCGGCGAGCAAGAAGCGGGGTGCATCGAGATAATTAAGACGTGCAGTGTCGCCGATCAAGGTCGTGCAAAATCGTCGTGCATGCCAAAACAAGGAATGGCTGCCCAAAATTGCAAACCAGCATGTGCGAGGCTTGGGTGAACCATGTGCATGTGCAAGAAAGAGACTCACCAAATCAAGCGTGTTTCAAAGACGCAAATCCCAGCTACCGTAGCGTGACCTGACCTCTGAGCAGCAGTATATGCGCAGAACGGCGGTGGTGCAAGGTTAGAGATGAGGTCACAAAAAGGATTGAGCGAGTATCGACGTGTAGCGCTGGGCAATTGTGGGTGTAGCCCGAGTGTGGGTTGAGGCCGTCTAAGCCTTAGAACTTGTCGCGGAACTGGCACACGAAGCCAAATCAAGTCTCGCTGCTTGTGTTGCACTCGAGAGCCGCTATGGGGAGATGGAGGGAGAGTGCTCGCTGACCAACCTCGAACAGGTGCTGAATATGTAGAGACAGCGGTGTGTCGAGATTTTGTCCGTGGGTTCGGGGCGAGGTGAAACACTATGAGAAATCACAGCAGGGAAGCAACAAGGGTTTGAGTTATCTATGGGCTATGGCTGTGAACTACATGACCGGGCGTCGAGGGCGTTTTTGACTTTCGTCATTATTCTTAAAAGGACATCTGCCGCGGCCTTGTCTTTCCTGGTTGCGCGGCTTCTGCTCGCAGCTCGTAGAGTGACGAGCATCCGATGTCTCCGTGATTGGTCTTGGAGTAGGCGACAAGCTTTGAATGTATGCATTAGTCTTGTTCCCCAGTCTCTATTTGGCGGGTTCCCAAAGGCAAAAGCCGAGGGTGACCTTTGGGCACTCTTGAATCTCTAGAGACAAGAAGATCCAGATTATTCAACGGCACCTGACACGAGAACGAGCTGATCCGAGTTTTCCGGGTGATATATCACTCAACCCTCCGCACCCGCCGACCCCGGGGATATCTTTGCAGTCGTATGCGGGATTCCTTGTCGTGCCTGCAATGTATGTTACGTGTGTCGGAAGCGTGATCCGCAACTGCTGTTGATGTAATGGCAGATCGTGGAGGGCCGAAGCAATGACCATCGACTGTTTCTTGACTGCTCTGAGATTGCGAGACAGGTTGCAAGAAATGGTGCAGAGTTTGGTGAATCAATTCTCGTTTGCTAGACAGACATACAAGATTGTAGTGTATCGCAGGAACATATCCGAGGAAATGTGTGTAATTAGATGACCGAGTGCAGTGTCAAAGTGGATTGATGACGGGTCCTGGTGCTGCACCTCCGATCCCGCGCTCCCCCAATTCGGTTCTCGAGTAGAAAGCGGGGTTAAATTGAATCTCGGGTTTAAACGCGAAATCTAGTGACGCGGGACCGTTCCAAACAAAGATTCGCGTCCTCTCGAGGCAAACGCCTGTGACAAAGAACTCAGTGCAGCACCATGCCCGACGACACAGAAGATGGTCTGAATCCTACGAGTGCCCTCAAGGCGTGTTGCAGAAACGACTGACACTTTCTACAGCCAACAATGCACTTCTTCGAGGTCTCGTGCTCTGCAGCACCTCGCTATCGCAGGATCAAAGAGTCAGTAACCAATACATAGAGTCCTCGTCAGGTATACTCATACGTTCTGCTCGATAGGACAAGCTCAATGATCTTGCAAGAAGCATGGGTGCCGTCCACCGCCTCGACCTGACCGCCGACGTGACACATTTGATAGTCGGTAACATCGACACGCCCAAATGCAGACATACCGCAAAAGAAAGACCAGACATATACGTTCTCAAGCCCGAGNAATGGATTCATGCCATACGAAAAGCCTACATGGAAGATCAAGACATCGACGTCGATGCATTAGTCCAAGAACACCGCCTTCCTGTCTTTTACAACTTGCACATATCTGTCACAGGCTTCGAAGACAGTATGCGTCCTGCCAAATGCTCCCATCCTTCGTCTTCTAACATTATGCGCANNGTTGAAGAGAGACAGAACATCATCGAAAAGATCAGAAACAATGGCGCCCATTACCATGGAGACCTTACCAGAGAAGTCACCCATCTGATTGTCGCCAAACCCAAGGGCGCAAAATACGAACGTGCACAGTCTTGGAACATCAAAACTATTTCTCTAAAATGGCTTGAAGAAAGTCTTGACAGAGGCATGGCTGTCGATGAGTCATTATATCATCCGTTGATGTCCCTCGAGGATCAGGGCCAAGACGCCTTCGTACGTGATTACCAGCGGCCTCCTGTGCTTGGANAAAGACAGCGTGAAGAACCCACTGTCGCGCCAAAAGAAGAGGCTGGTAAGCGGAAGATGCGACGCACTGCAAGTGCAAAACTGGCAGACCACAGTCAAAACATGATGACTAGTTTCTTGTCGCTTGGAGGTGAAGAGTCATCCGAAGTCGCAAATGACCAGTGGACAGACAACCAACAAATTACGACGCCGCCACGAAGTGCCACTCCTCCCCAGCGGACTGTCAACATATCTCGACATCCTTCTTGGGAAATGGGACCTGCACCTCATGAAGAAGAGCCAGGACTCTTTTCAGGCATGTCATGTCTTGTTCACGGTCATGACGAGAAGAAGGTGAGTTGCGATGCGTGCCTATGGTTCATGAGACTAACCTTGGCAAATAGGNCAACCAAGATCGAAGACATCATAATTTCGAACGGAGGCCAGGTCACGCGTTCTGCTGACGCTCTGCGCGCAGCTCAGAGTAGTGCTTCAGATCAATGCAGAGTCCTCATACTACCAAGTGAGTGGACGTCGACTAACAAGGGCTCAATACCCGAGGTTCCTCCTGGAACATGGCTTGCGACGGAGTGGTGGCTGGAAAGATGTATCAAGCACAAGGCAATCGTTGATCCCGATGATGATATACTCAGTCAACCGCACCTTAATCTGCCAATCGATGGTATGTCTCAATCTCATCTTCTGATGGTGCTATCAGCTAAACAAGGTTAGNGCTTCAAAGGTCTCAAGATAGCGACCTCTGGAATGGGCCATGATGTGTTACACATATCAAAGGTGGTCAAGCTTGCAGGTGAGACCTTGTTAGAAAGTGACGATAGCGTAATGCAATTGACATTCNTTGCAGGCGCATCATACGACGAAGTATTGCTACCGAGGACATCTATCCTAGTAGTTCCTGATAGCGCGACAAATTCGGACAAGATATCGTACGCTGCGAAGTACAAGATTCCTGTCGTCTCAGATACGTGGCTTTACGCTAGTCTGCAACATGTACGAAACATGCCATTGTCCGGTTATGTGGTGGCTAGAGGGCCAAAGCAGATGCTTGACCGTCATCCTTCTCGGGAAGCGAACGTTGCCCCTCCACAGGACAAGAGGTAGGATAAACTAGTTTAGCTAGTGAGAAACAGGCTGATAAGGTCTGTAGAAGAGAGATCCCACCCGCTCAACGTCTTTCCGCTATTAGAAAGCGAAATGTAGCTACTTCGCTGCACCTTTATCAATCAGCTCCTGTACAACCAGCACAACAACAGCCTGCAGGCATTAAAAGAAAAGGGCCATTCATCGAAGAAGACGAGGAAGAGGAAGATACCGACGAGAAAACCTACGCCTCCCAGGAACTAGCAACCAAGCATGACGTGCCTTTGGACGACCGACCAACAGTTGCAGCTGATGATTACATGCTGGAAACAGACGTTGCGCAGCCATTACAGAGTATTCCACCAGAAGTGAATGCCACCAGAAAACAATCGAAACCAACACCTTCAGGCGACCTGGAGGTTCGCTCAACGTCTTCCTCGGTGCGAAAAGATGTACAACAAGCAAAACCAGGAGAAGACGAAAACGCCGATATAGTCGCAAATCAAGTGCGATTAAGTGGAGAAATCAAGTCATTGCTTGAGCGACAACACTCTCACTCAGGGTCATCATCAGTCGAACAACCAGTCAAGGGAAGATGGAGGAAAGACAAGAGACTTGGTCGTGCTCCTTCATACACATCCAATTCGTCGACATCTGTCTCATTCCGGCAGCAGCCAAACATGGACGTAGCCAACTCAGGCCCACTTGCAAGCATGATGGAAAACGAAGTACCTGCACCTAGTCAACAGGTCACGTACGAGACACCTGAGGCTCAAGAATATCGAGCGAAGATGAGCAAGAAAATGGGCACGAGACTCATGGATGATAGCATCGGTACACGAGTGGAGAGCCCAGGACTCGTTCGCGATGTGGATGAAAGTGGTACAACTGGCGTTGGAGGACGGGTACGTGGACGCCAGCGAACAGCAAAGAATGCGCTATGAATTAATGATCAGACGATGGTGTCAAAGGATTACTGCAAGGTCAGGATACAGGTCAGGATACAAGTGTAACTATGTAAAACAGATCGAGTGTGCAGATACGTGACACCTTTGTGCTGTGATCGTGTGCCCTTGGATGTGCATGCGACAGGAAGAATAAAAGAAGAAAAGAAGAAAAATCATGACGATGTCGCCATTCCAAACGGTCCGAGAAGCGATCGCATCGGAAAAGAGCACAGACGAGACCAGTTCCAGGCCCTTTGCCGCCCTGCCTGTCCATGTGCTTTCTGATGGCAGCCATGTGACAGTTCTTACTCCGTGACTTGAATGGGAGGTAGTCGTTGGACTTTGCAGCGCAAACACAAAAGAAGGCGAACATCATCACTTCTGGACTCTCTTGCAGTCAGCATGGCGTCGTTGCAAACTCCCCCTCAACTTCTCTCGCCTCCACCTTCTCCCGCCCCGCAGAATCTATCCACTGACATCAATACGGCCACACGGTGCGCTTTCTACAAATCTTTTCTGCAGTCCTTTTGCAATCGCTGACATGGTCCAAGATCGGTGCACACACGGCTGAACAAGCTCATCGTTTCCCGCCTGCCCCTTGCGCTTCCACCGATAGCCAAAACACCCGAACTCTACGCCCATGGCATCAACACTTTTGGCGACATCTACCTTGTCTTTGAGAACTGCTGGCGCGTGCTCATAGCAGAGGCCGACAAGTCCAAGGCAGATGATTCTTCCCACGACAACAAGCTGCGCCAATGGCTCTCTCAACTAGTCCCACCTGGTCTCTGGCGGTCCGATGCCATCAAGAAAGATTTGGAATACTTAGAGACAGCCACCGGTGCTGATCTAGAGGCTGTATCGAATGCACAGCTTCGCTCCTTCACCGAGCACATATATCGTCAGACTCGAGAAAAGCCTCATGTCTTGGTTGCCTATGCCTGGATCATGTACATGGCCATATTCTCTGGTGGTCGTTGGATTAGGGAGCAGCTGACTGAATCTGGACCTGAGTTTTGGGGCGTCACTCATGATTCGGACAAGACCGACTACTGGATCCATGGGACGTTAAGGCCAGGCTTCACACTGTTCTGCTTTTCGGGCACAAGAGATGGAGAGGATATCAAGACAGACTTCAAGACACGTCTAGAGAAAGCAGAGGAACTCTTGACTGCACACGAGCGCAAAGACATCGTTGACGAGGCACAGTTCATCTTCGAACAGTGTGTTACGATTGTCGAAGCGCTTGACAAGCAGCTCATGACCGATCTCGAACTCGTTAAAAAGCTGGCTGCTCGAGAGGCTAAGCATGGAAACTCGCATCTCAAGATGAAGCCGACCCGAGCTGCTCTACCACAGGATGTAGCACCACGGACTGAGGCCAAGTCCGCAAGCTTCATCAGAGCCATTGTGGTAGCCTTCTTCGCTTTTGCAGTTTATCAGTCCTATCAATGGCAGTTTGGAGGTTTGGAGGATACGCAATGACATTTTGGTAATTTCATCATTAGATTAATTAGATCAAGAGGATAGTGAGGAACACAGTCCAGATAGAGATGGCAGCATGTGGCGGCGAAGGCACGAAGAGATACCCCATAGATACGAATAATACAGCTCGATTGATTATCACCTACTCCGCATGTCAAGGACTTATTCACTTGTGTTGTTTGTGAGAAGGCAGGCGCACCAGCAGACGCTCTTGTGTTTCAGAGTGGAGCTTGGCGCTCGGACCTTCTCACATGCCACCTCAGTCCAGACATCAAAGACTCCTGATATTCACAATCCACATTAAACCACTTGAACATTTATCGTTGAGACCCGTCGAGGATTTCTCACGCCATTTCGGCCATAGGATTACCTTCTCGCTCCAACACTCTGCCACTATATCCATCTCGCAGTAAACAATGATATCCGGATTCAACGAATGGGCAGCATCAGCCCAGCTGGGCCATACCGATTCATTTGCAGAACTAAACGAGCGTCGTCTTGGAATTGAAGCCGAAGATTTCATTGCCAACATACTCACAACCTCTCCCACAAAAGAACCGCTACTCCCAGCGCTTGGTGGCCTTCCTNTTGCTCTCGCCGAGACTATCACAAACCACGTTGGCGTTCTCAGAAGCTATGGTTGCCAGCCTTACTTCATCTTCAATGGAGTGACTTCAAATGGCCAAGAAGAGAGACTTCAAGCCGCAACTCGCGCCACTAAGAGTATCGCAAATGCTTGGGAGTTGTATGGTGCATCCGAACCTGAACGTGCTGTTGCTGAATTCGGTACTTTGTGTGAGCAATGGCTTCCTTCGATAACAGACTAGACGGAGACTGATCTGCTTGGATAGNCTGGCACTATCAACGTCGACAACATCTACCGTTTCGTTCAGAACATCTTGCGCAAGCACGACGTGGACTTTCTTGTTGCGCCGCATAGCGCATGTGCTCAGGTAGGCACAATGATCGCTCCACGTACATCATAAGACTAATTTCAGAGCTAGCTCGCCTCGATCGCTGGAACTGAGTTCTGCGATGCTGTGGCAGGGTCCAGCGACATTCTTATGTATGAGATTGATCAGCTTATCACCAAACTTGACTTCGAGCAGGCTCAATTCTCATGGGTGACTCGTCGCGAATGTATGGAGGCTCTTGGCGCTCCTTCCACAGCTATGTTTGTCGATGCTTGCCTCCTTTCTGGCTGCTCAATTCTGCCCACTCTCCCTCAACTGGAGAATGATATAACTGCATCTCCCAGGACCCCAAAGATCAGAGCCGCTGCTGATCTCCTCAAGAGAAGTCAAACTAACGGTAATGCTCTCTGTCTACAATATCAGGATGACCCGGCCATGATCGCAATGAACTACCTAGACCGCTATCGCAAGGCAAGCCTGTACATCAAGCATTACGTTTGCATTCGACCCAACGGCAAGATCGAGTCTGTCGACGGAGCTTCTGCACCTAGCGACCTTAACAATATCATGGGTCATCGTCTGCCAGAGGAAGCATTCGGCTATCTTTCGCACGGCATCATCAGTCCTGAAGTACTCAGCTGGATAGCATCCAATGAGATCATCGAGCGTCCACCTCTTGATGGAGGCGAGGCTGAGGTCTACCGCCGTCTCGTGTCTGACGGCCTTATTCCTCTGCGAACATCTGCTCTATCACTTCTCACATACTCGTTCCACCGCTTCTACCAGCACAGGCCTATCTATTTGAGATGCTGGTTCAGCCCCAACGCACCGAAGACATTGAACGTTGCAGACACCACCGATCCTAGGACGACGATTTCGGGATGGAACGTTCGACTTGAACAAATTACAGCGAAGGCGACCAAGCTTGAACGCGACGTTTCGTCTCTGGCCTTTGCAGTGAGCAGCTTGCAAGACACCGCGTTTGCAAAGACTACTGTCACACCAAAGTCTATTGGACAGAAGCCGCTCAGCTCTCCTGAAGAGGTACAGTCCAATGCGCTATGGAGGTTCCTTCAGCTGCGTGGCTACATCCAGCAAGATCATCAGCTCAGTACTCTTGGCCAGTGCCTGCAAACCGCTTTCTCGCGTCATAATCAGCAAGATTTGGAAGAACCCACTCTTCTTGCTTTCGAGATGTTGCGCCTGAATCTGCTCAACTCGAACAACATGTTCCCCTACAATGGCTCTCCCCAGCGTGGATCTGAGACTGACAAGCGCAACACGCTGCTGGTCAGCAGGGTCGCATGCTTCGCAGCACTTCGTCACAAGAGCATAGGATTTACTGGACCCCTGAGCAGACACCTGCTTGCTTACACGTCGATGGTGTCTGCAGTGCGCGGCAGCTTGCGCAATGTGGTTGAGATGAGTCTCTTTGGTTTGTTGGCCAACCATCACGTGGACCGCAAGATGGCCCCTAGCCAGCTGGCTCAAATAAGCTACAGGTATGTGATGGTGCCCACCTAATGAGGTTGTTCATCTGCTAACGGCATTTTCAGCCTGCCTTTCCTGAACGACGTAGACTGCGCTCTCGGTATTGCGGTCAAGTCGTACCTGGACGAGTTGTCTGCACAGAGCGAGCCCACCTCAGAGGCCTCGCGCCAGGCAGTCAAGACTAAGGGAGCTAACGAGTGGTTCCCCCACGCTACTAACTTCCAGGGAGACTTGCAAAGAGCTTTCGCATTGTGGGATTCGGTAAGTCTTGTCATGAGAAACACTCATGACTCTACTAATGCGGTGAACAGGTCTACGCTGCTGTTGCAAGTGCCCCTGAGACTGTGGTTTCGGCCAAGGACAAGAAGGTCTGGGAGGAAGCTGACGCATGGCTGTCGGACAGAAAATAGACATGAGGCAGCACCCATGTCAAGAGTGGTTCAAAACCAAGTGATTACAGAAAAACAAAACAAAAAACCCAGACAGAAAACCATCATTAGAAGCAAAAACCAAAGGCAAAGTATTATCTTGATTATTTGCCAATCGTGAGGAAAAGTCTATCGCCAACATCTCCAAGACCAGGCTTGATCATTCCCTTCGCATCTGTACCCGGATCCACAGCACCAACCCAGATCTGTACACCCTCCTCCCAAACACGACTGACCTTGTCCAAGCCCTCGTGACTAGCCAAAACACTACAAATGACTATACGTTTGACACCCCAATCTTTTAGCGTATCGATGGCAGCACTCGCCGTGGCGCCAGTAGCAATGATAGGGTCAAGTAAGATGGCTAAATCGGAAGGCGTGGTTTGGTTTGAAGTTGTTGTGGCGGAGTGGTATGGGAGGTTATTGTAGTATTCGACGGGTTGGAGGGTTGTCTTTTCGCGGTACATGCCCAGGTGGAAGACAGGGACTGGGTCTGGCAGGACGGAGAGCAGAGCTTTGGGGTGTTCGTGTCAGATGGGCTTGGGTTGGCGAGGTTAATTGTAGGTTTGGAACGTACCGTCGACCATTGATAGGCCGGAGCGTAGGATAGGCACGAGGGATACATGGGAGGGCGAGATGGAGTCAACGGGAAAGTCGTAACCTAATGGCGATTGATCCTACAAGTGCGAGAGATAGGATCAGAGCAATGCCAAGTCGTCAGAGAGCAGGACTCATACTGTGCCTTGCTGTGTAGACTTCAGGGCGGAACCGAGAGCTTCATAGCCCAGCATGGTCGAGATGTCATGGATCAGACGTTTAGCATCACGGGCTCCGGTCTCTTGCGATCGCAATTGCGATACCTTTGCCCGCAGGCAGGGATGTTGAGCTACGTGGACATTGGACGGTAGAGAAGACATGGTCGCCTGTAGTGGAGATCAATGGGCAACGAGGACGAGGAGGGTGAACAGAGAGCACGCTGGAGGAAGAGGCAGTCACGGTTTCAAGGAGTCAGGTTACAAGGCGAGTCGCAATGTTTGCTCACATGAGCCCAGATAAGAAGGCCGACAGAGGCATGTGATGGCTTGATAGGGCGGCCGTCGCCGAGCAGCATCAATGAGTGCGCTCCGCTATCAATGGCGGGGTCATTGTTGACGCTCAGGGCACGGACTGGCAGGGCAGAACTGCAAGCCGATCAAGCCGACAGGCACGGCCCGGCTGGTGGAATTGCAGCTTTGCATCAGTGCAGAGGTACTTGTTGACAAGCAATGATTCGACGACGTCTCTGCCATCTCCTCGTCGTGACACGGCATGAGTGAGGCTGTCTCGCATTCGCGTGAGCCCACCACGTATCTCGACTATCAAGCTCGCATCCCACAGCGCCATGCCTCAAAATCTGGGCGCAGCAGGCTTGAAGCCTCGACAGACGGTCAACATTCTTTGAACGAGGTCGACGCACCCGAGCCTGTGCAAAACAGACAGGACGATTCCGCCTGGCACCGCCAGACCCACCTCGAAGATGAGTCTCTCGAATCCGCTCCGACACCTCCGTCGTTCCGCACTCGACCTTCATCGTCACCGCCGTCTCCGCGGAGGGATCCTCCATCTCCAATCGCGACTCAATTGTATATCGTTTCGCACCTCGTCTTCTTCTCCTTATGGGGCGCCCTCGCTCGACTGGGTGTGCAATGGCTTACCTTCTATCCGGGCGCTCCGCTCGTGACCCCTGTGCTCTGGGCCAACGTTGGCGGCTCATTCGTCATGGGCTTCCTATCAGAAGACAGACGATTGTTCCGTGAAGAGTGGGGCCTCGACAACATGGATGCTCATACAAGAGAGAAGGCGCTGGAACAGGAACAATCAGATNCCTGCTGCTGCCAAAAGGCGCATGCAAAGACGAAGAAGACGATACCGTTGTATATCGGTCTGGCCACAGGCTTCTGCGGTTCCTTTACTTCTTTCTCGTCCTTCATGCGTGATGTCTTCTTGGCCCTGTCGAACAATCTGCCGACTCCTGTGAACCATCCTTATGCGACCGTGCCTTCGTTCACGTCCACGATACATCGCAATGGTGGATATTCGTTCATGGCTCTGCTTGCCATCATCATCTACACTGTCGCGCTTTCTCTGGCCGCTCTCAATGTCGGCGCACACTTGGCTCTTGCTCTAGATCGGTTTACGCCTACCTTGCCCTTCAGGTTTACTCGTAAATTTGTCGACCCGCTCATTGTTGTGCTCGCCTGGGGCTGTTGGCTCGGTGCCATATTCTTGTCCATCTGGCCGCCGGACAGGCCGTCCGGTCCATCCAGTCGTGGCAGCTGGACTAATGAAGTCTGGCGTGGCGAAGTTTTGTTCGCATTGGTCTTTGCGCCCGTCGGCTGTCTTCTTCGCTACTACGCATCGCTCAAACTCAACCCTATAACTGCGTCTTTTCCGCTTGGAACATTCGCCGTCAATGTGTTCGGATGCGCAGTAGAGGCCATGTGCTACTCCATTCAGCACGTGCCAATCACCTCGACTGCTGGTGCGCTGATCGGTGGAGGTAGGGTCGGCTGCCAGGTTTTGCAAGGCGTCATGGATGGCTTCTGCGGCACTACGACCACTGTCAGTACGTGGGTCGCAGAGTTGCAGTCTTTGCGGCGACGACACGCCTATGTGTATGGTGCAGCGAGTGTGGTCGCTGGTCTTTGTCTCATGATAGTCATCGTGGGCTCCGTGAGGGNNTGGACTGTAGGATGGAGCTCGCCGGCATGTGTGACCATGCGAACCTCGTTATGATCTCGTTGAACAACTCCGACAATTGTGTGAGTTGACGACAATATATCAGACCATCACATGATGAATGTGCCAGAAAGCGAGTTCTGCCAGAAATATATGAAATCTTGAATATGATATGCTTTCTTCCCGTGATGATCATGCGCAAGCCCTGCGTCCGCGGGATGGACCCAAAAATCAAGGGGGTGGACAATCAAGGATTCGCCGATGCTTTCCAAGGCACTTCCAAGGCAAATCTGGCACCATCGACCGACCATGCCGCTGTGATCCATCATCCAGGGGCCGCGTGTAAAATGAATGCTGCATTACGCGAGCCAAGCAACCTTGAAGTGATTGTGAAAGCGGAAAAAGACTTCTGTCGCTGAGACATACACGAGTTGTATCGAATATTTTGATGTTATACCCACGTCATAGCAGAAAACAGTGGACCTGGAGTTCGATCTTGGGAAAGAGCCGCAAAAGCCACAACTCCACCACGTTTTCACTTGCCCTTGTGGCTGGGATTCGATTGTCAACAGCAGCATGGGCTCTCTTTGGCATGGTAAGAAGATCATGAGCATCCTCATTCAGTCTGAGATTGCCTGATCCAATCATCCCTGTATGGCGGTTGTTGTGGGATTGCGGAAAGCAGAATTGCCCTAGGGACTAGAGTGGATGTGATCGAGGTCCATGCTTCCTTTGGTGGACGACAATCTGTCCTGGAAGCTCATCCATGTTGCAAGAGCCGCTTATTTTCAAATTTGCAAACAGTGGAATGCAGTCCCGTGTTCACTTGCGAAAAATACAGCCCACTTGATAACGAACAGTGTGTATCTTGGCCGTTCAGTTCACGTGCCTTCTTCATCTTGTTGTTGTCCAACGAACAAGGAAAATAGTGAAGCGGGGAATTGATGATGATGATGGACGTGGCGTCAGCTTTGGTCGATAGTGAGTGGCTGTTGTCCCTAGTCTTCGTGCATGCAGTGGTCTGGGTGATCCCCTTTGTCTTGCATGATAAACAAGGCCCAACAGAGGGCGACGTGCTTGTACAGCAGACAAGTGAATTGCGACAGGACACAGGTAGCAAGGAGCTCATGCTTTTGGTGGAATTGAGACAGTTGGAATTTGGCAAGTTGGCCGAACGACGTATCTGGGGAAACCAAGCAAGAAGGTGTGGTGATGGCTAGTGACGCAGATCAACGGCAAGAGAGGTAAATCGATCATCGAGCCCGCTTTGGGGAAGGCGCAACCAAGCATGATGTAATGCAGTGGTCGAGCAGCGCGCCCTTCTCTCAAAACCCATCGTGTTTCCTTGCAGCGAAACACCATCCTAATTCCACGTCTTTTCTCCTTTGCAGTTTAGATACCCCCTTCCACGATACCCGCCACGTTACTTGTTAATTTCACCTGATTGACGATTACGACCTCCCTCTCACATCCAGATACCCCAGACACATCACAGATACCCTACAACCCACCACAGTAATATCATCATGGCGCCCTCTGCGTCAGTTAACGTTCCTACGAACACCAAGATCAAGGAGCAGGATGTCAACAACAAGCTCCAACTCTATGGAATCTTCTCTGGTAAGTCTTTCATTTAATGCGCCAGAATCTCATCTTCGATCACATTGCTGACGCGTGCCTGCCNNTCAGCCTTCTCCAATGGCAAGGTCCCATCAAACAAGCAGATTGATGTTGCTATGAACAGCGCTCTCGCATCGCGACCGCTCTCAAGCCCTTCCAAGAAGCTCTCGACTGAGGGTCAGAAGCTCGTTGGCGATTTGCGCGAGGTTATTGAGCAGGCCAAGCTCTTGCTCTTGACCAAGAACGAGGGCAACCTCCTTCAGGACTTCATTTGGCAAACTCAGCAGATCTCTGGCGCCGATGCTGGCACACCTAACGCCCCTGTCGACAAGGACACCGCCAAACAGCACGGTAATGAGGCCCTTGACGGCCTTCGTACCCTTGGCACGCTCATCCTCTCTAACGGTCAATTCCGCAAGCTTNTGTAAGTAAAGGATCTATCTTCAGTATCGAGCCTAGCTAATAGTCATGCAGTGAGTGATGCTAGCATTCTCTTCAGAGACATGGCCGGTGATGCCGCCCAGAAGGCTGCCAACAAGGTCAACCCTTCAGAAGATGAACTCAACCAGATTGATGAGCCCGCCGAGGACAACACTTGGCACGATGTTCCTGACCTTTCCAAAGACAACCTCAAGAACCAGGCTAAGGCCAAGTACAACGAGCAGAAGCCCTTTAACAGGGAGCAGGCCAAGGGTGCTCTTGGTGACGCCACTCAAGCCGCCCACCCCAGCGGCTCTCGTGACCCTGCCGACGCTGCTGACCTCGCCCGCCGCGACCAGCAGCAGGGCAGCAACTCTGGTGTCGATGCCACCAAGGGTGCCATGGAGGGCGCTGACCGTCTTCAGCAGCACGCTCGTGAGAACGTTCCTCAAGAGACCCAGGACCGTGCTCGCGAAACCAGAGAGCGCACCAACAACTACATGAAGGAGAAGCTCCCCAAGGAGCGCCGTGAGCAGGGCATCTACCGCCTGAAGAAGATGATCGTCGAGATCCAAGGCCACCAGGACTNNGTAAGTCATCAACGTCAACCATACCTTAAGGTGCAAACCACTGACTCTCTTCACCCAGACCACCAAGCCATTGATACTCTCCTTCGTCTTGCCGAGCAGTACTCCGGCCACACTAAGAACCTGGCCAACCAGAGCCAGGGAACTGTGAAAGGTGCCCACAAGGACGACAGTCTGCAGATGGCTGAAGCTGACCTCAAGGTATTTCTAGAGTTCACAACAAACAATCAACAGATGCTGACAAACCTCAAGACCCTCATCGAGCGCTTCGCCAACGGCACCTCCCTCGACGACATGTTCGACTCCATCAACGTCATCTACCGCGATGCCGACAACGACCCTGAGCTCAAGGGCTGGTTCACTCACATGAACAAGTACATCCGCAAGTGTCTCAAGGAGCAGGGCTACGTCCTTCAGGACGAGTCCACCGAGGAGTGGAACAAGCTCTACGACCAGGGCGAGTTCCTTCTCCGCGACCGCTACCGCAACCACACCGACAGAATCTCCGACGAGTTCAAGTTTTACATTGATCAGTTCAACCAGGACAAGCAGAACGTTGCCTTTGGCGATGCTGTCCAGAAGCTCTTCCTCGATCTCGGCCAGAACGAGAACGGAGAGTCTGAGTTCAAGCCTCATCTCGTCAAGGACTTGACCGAGGTCATTCTCCCTGGTCTTTTCGAGTCCATTCGTTACGTCCCTATCCCCCGTATCGAGTACTCTGATTCCATGATGGATGCCATCGTCGAGAACCTCGTTCTCGAGGGTGACAACCTCGCTCCTAACGTCTTGGAGTTCGGCAGCGACAACTACTGGCGCTGGGGCCGCAAGTCCATCACCAGCAAGAACAAGAACAAGGTCATGCTCTCCGTCTCTGGCGTCCAGTGCGACCTTCGTGATGTCAGCTACTACATCAAGAAGAAGGAGGGCTTCCCCGGTATTACTGATAAGGGTGTCATGGATATCTTCCTTGGTGGTACTGGTTTGAGCTTCAAGGTCGCCATGGAGACTGCAGACAAGACTGACAGCAAGCACTTCTTCAAGGTCAACACTGTTCACGTTGACATCAAGAACATGAACATCAAGCTGAAGCAGTCCAACCACAAGCTTCTCTTCAACATCTTCAAGCCTCTCCTTCTCAAGGTCATGCGTCCTGCTATCCAGAAGGTTGCCGAGAAGCAGATCCGCGACAACATCCACCAGCTTGATGAGCTGCTCTACGGTATCCACCAGGAAGCCAAGAAGGCTGAGCAGCAGGCCAAGAACAACCCCGATCCCGAGAACGTCCAGAACATCTACCAGCGCTACGCCACCGCTGCCCAGCAGAAGTTCACCAGAGGCAAGCAANAGAAGGACGAGGTCGCCGCCGACAAGAAGGTCAACATGGCTGTCACCCAACACGACAGCATCTTCAAGAACATCTCCCTTCCTGGTGGCATCAGCACCAAGGCTACCGAGTACAGGGACCTCGCCGCCAAGGGTGACAAGTGGGAGTCTCCCATCTTCAGCATTGGATCTGCTAAGGAGACTTCCAACCTGCCCAAGATGGCTTCCATCACCCGCAAGCCTCACCGTGTCAACCAGGAGGGTGTCCGCGGTCCCAACAACCTCGGCACCAACCAGTACGGTTCAGGATTTGACGGCTCTTCTGACACTGGCCCAAGCGGCGGTTTCAACAGCTCGAGCAACACTGGTTACGGCTCTCAGTCTACTGGCTACCACGGTGGCTCCAACACTGCTGGCCTTACTGGTCAGGTCCCCGTTCGCGGTGGCAACACCCTTGGATCTGGCTATGATCAGAACACTACCAACACCACCGGTTACCACCAGGGCTCATCTCACTACGGTGCTGGTGAGGGCCCTATGGGTTCTACTGGTGCTAGCAACTTCGGAGGTGAGGTTGACCGTGCCTTCCAGGATGCTACCACCACTGGTTCCACCACCGGCACTACTGGCACTACTGCCACTGCCACTGGTGTCCAAGGAGACAATGGCCAGCACACCTTCTTTGGCAAGAACAACCCTGTCTTCCAGGGCCAGGTTTAAGCATTCACGCATGACACTTTCTTTCCTTGGTTAGTCTGTTTTGCAATGCTTTTGACCGTCATGATACCACTGCCGCACGACAGTCGCGAAGAGGGATGAGAGCATGAAAGATACGTTATACCCAGTCAGCAACGTAGCAGTACGAGGGGACACAGTTAATGATGGTGGATGGAGTGTGTTTCGCCCTTGATTCAGAAAATTATTCCGGGGCTTTCCTACTTTTTGTATTCTAGTATTTCCAACTTAATGATTTTTCGCCTACTGTTGTTTCCATTGCGTATCATCGTGTTCGTTACGACATTTGTTCTGGTGTCAACGTGACTGGCCAAGCCGAGAAGGGTGACTCTGCGAGCGACAAGTGGAGTATGAGTGGTGACCCTGCCCATGATTTTCACCTTCATGACCTCAAGTCCTGCCTACAAGGTGACATCTTATTCTGCAAGGCTCGTCCATTCGTCTCATAATAGACAACCAACAACACAATCGCGGCAAAGCAATCGAGCAAGGTGTTTGGTCGCGGCAATTCACATTGATCTCACTACCGGGCTGCTGCCCTAACTTAGGATTGCGATGCTCAATACGGTCTGTGCAAGCAAGATCGGAGCCTTTTCAGATTCCTTTGCGGGTTCACGCGTAGCGAGAGAAAGCCAAAAAGCAAGCACTATCTAATATAAGCACACGTCCGGAGCTATTGGCAAAATACCATGCAGGTGTACTGGGATCGGAGCATTCTTGGTCCACTCGCGGGCCTTCGGCTTCCCGTCACGAACCGCGAGCATAAGCCAAAATGACCACTTGCTGCCGCAAACGGGCACGAGAGCTCGCGTGAAGGTTCCGCTGTATCTTGAGTTGTATTCGAGTACCTTCTAGCAGGAACAGATGCAAATATAGCAAAGACTTGATCATCAACATGGTTTGCTCAGCTCCCCTTTGCTCCATGCTTTGAAGAAGAGCAGCTGGGGCTTTCGGACTCTTGGCATGTAGTCAGTCCCGTGAAGCCTAAAATTAATGGACCTCAGCCCAAAGAGGAACAGAAGCGAGCCAGAAAAGGCCATCGAAGGGTTTAAGGCAGATCTCACACCGACGTGTTCGGCGTATAGATGCCCCGTTCTGTGTTACCGCACTGCATACTACGCCTTAGCAACAGCGGACGACATGCACCGCTGTCTGGGCTGTGCTTGTCTCTGTGGGTCAAGATAATGGCATGTGTGAAGACGTCAAAAACGACTCTACCTTCAGGCTTCCTCCCACAATCGATGTCTTGTTCACCGCCAGCTTGAGGCTTGTAAACTATGGTTCAGCTTGGCAGTATATCTTGATCACGCTGACGGATTTTCAGCTTGGCTTGTCGAGTCTTCGGAACGTGGCTGCCCAGGCTCTGATACAGTACTTGCATTGCACAAGAAGAGATGTGGATAGAGAGAAGAAAGCATGTTTTGTAATATTTACCCGTACCACGTCCAATTTGGGATCGTGCCAAGGCAGACGGCATATGCATGTCTGTATGAGATGCTTGGAAGCGATCTACTCCTTCGGTCTTCTACCACGCCCTTGGCTTTTCTTCCTAGGGCTTTTGGGACGTGGCATCCCAGCTGCTCATTTTCAACTTCGGCTCTCCTCCTCCAGATGCCTATTCCCTCGCATTTGCAGTTAGGTGACGCTCCTTGCGTCCTCTGCATGGTTCCGTCGAATCGTGGATTAGGGTCGAGATGCCTTTAGCCTGCAGTATCCCGCTTCCAAATCGAGCTCTCGTGCTGATGCGGTCGACTAACCTGAACCTATGATGGATCCATGTAAGTAAGATGTGCATCCGTAGGTGTGCTGCTACAGCAGGCGACAGTGGGACTGTGGGCAGAAAAGAGGGGCGTGTCTTGAACATTTCTATCTCTATATTCTGTCTCAATCCGTGTTCTCTGTTCTCTCAGATTCTTCCCGCCATCACACTTCATAATCTCCCCTGCACACTAGAATACAACTTTCTGCCATCAATTCACCCAGACGCACATGAGCAGAGTCAGTCCTGAGCCGGGCTTCCTTGCTATGGTAATTTTACAACACAACATTGCTGCCTAGGCTGTCCACTGATCTGATAATAGCCTTCGACAACCTCCACCAAGGTGCCATCACCTACAGAAGAGTTTCCATTCTTCTCAAAGGACCATCGAGATATCAAAGACACCGTCATCAGTGTAACGTATGACGAATCCAGTAATGGACGGGTATCACCTCTGGACACACCTGTAACACCTTCCGCGTCATCATCCCGCCATAACTCAAAGCATGTCTCTGTGAATTCTCGCAGTGAACTACTGGCCACTGAGAGCTGGCTTACCCAGAGCATGGAGAAAGTTCCACAGATCCCCGCCATCTACACCAATGGACGCCGTAACTCAACAAATTCATTGTTACTCCAAGCGGCAGGGAAACTGGAACCTTACGAGGCTCTTGGGAACGTGTCTGTAGAGCACATGGCTCCGCCTCCATCAGCACCAGGTCAACAGCATCAGGAGCTCAGAATCGGCGGTTTCCATGAGGTTAGTTGCACGACTTTGTACAATTTTGCTCGCTGACATCAAGAAACAGNNGCTCTGTTCATTGGTGTCGTTGTGATGGCGCAATTCATGTGTCTTGCAGGTCTGGGACAAGCAATCGCGCCAGTCAAGATTATAGCCTCCGGTCTGGGAGTCAAGAACCCTGGTCAGGAAGCGTGGTTCTCAGCCGCGTACAGTCTCACCACTGGTACCTTTATCCTAATCGCCGGCCGGCTAGGTGACATTCTCGGTCACAAACGCGTGTTTGTGTTCGGGTACCTGTTTCTTGGAATCTGGTCCGGATTTGCCGGGTTCAGTGCTTACGTCGGCAGGCAGATCTTCTTCGACGTCTGCAGAGGTATGCAAGGCATTGGCAGTGCGCTACTGGCTCCCAATGCTCTTGCACTGCTTGGCCGTGCGTACCCTCCAGGCATCAAGAAGAATCTCACCTTCGCGTTGTTCGGCGCCATGGCACCATGGGGATTTGTAATCGGTGCACTCTTCGGAGCTCTCTTCTCGCAGACCACGTGGTGGCCCTGGACTTTCTGGAGCTATGGTGCCGCAGCATTTGCCCTGTCAGCATTCTCACTGCTGGTCGTGCCCAAACAACTAGCCAAGGAAGCTCAATTCGCTGGCGTCACCAGTGTACCTGGATTTGACTGGACGGGTTGTGCGCTGGGCGTCATCGGCCTGGTACTCGTCAACATTGCCTTCAACAACGGACCCCTGTACGGGTGGTCCACACCTCACGTATATTTTGTCCTTATCATCGGACTGCTTGTACTGGTAGCATTCCTTTGGGTCGAACGTCGGGCTGAGTCGCCGCTTTTGCCTGTCTCCGCCTTCAATGGAACAGTCACTTACACCATGGCCTTGATCGGCATCGGTTGGGGCAGCTTTGGTATTTGGATCTACTACTCATGGCGTTTCCTTGAAGAGTTCCGCCATCTAACACCGCTCAACGTCTCTGCACAGTTCACACCCGCCCTCATTTGCGGACTGATTGCCGCGGGTGCCACAGGCTTCATGCTTACGCACACCCCTGTCTCCTTCACGATGCTGATCGCCATGCTGGCCTTCTGCGCCGGTCAAGCAATCTCAGCCTTCATGCCTGTTCATCAATCTTACTGGCCTCAGATGTTTGTTTCCATTCTCATCATGCCCTTCGGCATGGACATGTCTTTCCCTGCTGCTACTGTCATCCTCTCCAACCACATGCCTCGCGAGCATCAAGGTCTCGCTGCATCGTTGGTTAACACAATGGTCAACTACTCGATCTCATTGGCTTTGGGTATCGCTGGTACAGTCGAGGTGTCCGTCATGACACATGACGGTACGCTTGCAGACACGATATGGGGTGTCCGATGCGCTTTCTACACTGGCCTTGCTCTCGCCGGCTGTGGTGTTTTGCTCGGTATGTCGTACTTTATCAAGTCGATGATTAAGGAAGGTTGGAAAGTGGCGCAGCATTAAGTGTGTATTTTTGAACTGTTTCTTGTATCTGTTTGTTTTGCTGTGGTTGTCGTAGGGGCTGCTTTCATTCAAAGCGTTGCTTTTGTTACAAAACGAAAGACGGGATCTTTATGAGTCCATGAGAAGTAATCATATTCGTGTGCCTTCCACAATCCACAAACTCTAGATTTGGTGAATGCATCGCGGCTTCCTTGCACTTGCAAATATCCTGACAACAAAGGATCGCATAGCAACCAGTGCAGGTCAGAATGCTCCTTCTCAGTTCGACATTGTCAAACATCTGGCAACTCGGGTCATCAAGCGAACCAAACTGTCAGATGCTCTATGCTTGCTGCCTGAACAACTTCCTAACCATCACAACGCATAATGCAGCCTTTCCATCGTGTTTTTTTTTTTTACATTGAGAGCTATCGTGGGTTATGCCTCTAGAACTTTCACTACTTCTTACAGTCTTCACTTGGTCTTCGAGTCTTTTCACGACCTTCGCTTTCGACGTCGAGCCAGAGTCACTTCCACCTTCAGACCTTCTCACTCGAGGCTCTGCTGACCTATTTAAACTGCCATCTCCACCAGCCATCTGTTCTTCTTTTTCTTTTCCAATAATATCGCCTCTCCCACACGTAAGCAATGCGTAACTACATCTTGACCTACTACTGACCCGATCGCCAGAAGACCACCAACATGTCACAAGCTTGTCATATAGACAAGATGCCGAATGAGATCCTGGCGAGGATCGTACAGTCTCTACAGGACTGCTGCTGGTACGTCGAAAAGCCCTCTCTGAAGGCATGCCGTCTAGTCAACAGACAGATCAGTGCGGTTGCTACCAGAGAGCTTGCTAAAGGATGTTTTGACAATCTGAATGTCATATTCTCAACTCGAGGTCTCCAGACACTTGCCAACATATGCGCGCACCCAGATCTTGGTGCATACGTGCGCACCATATCTATCTCGCCACACCGTACTAGTCCAGGAAGTATCTTCAAGTTGACAGAGATCTTCGAGGAGAACCTCGAAACCAGTGATCAAGATGATCTGGACGATATATATTCATATCTGCAATCATATATACAGACTTCTTACGACGAGCATAGCCTAGAGAAAAGCGGTCAAGCCGTGCGTCTTCTCACAGGAGCACTGGACGCACTCAAGGTTCGTGGGATGAGTGTCGATATATGCATCGACAACGACTCATTGACCTACGACATTGGTAACAAAGAAACTTTCAGAGATAGCTATGTCGACTATTACGATCTTGTTACACGCGATCACACAAACGAGACCGTGAACATCATCTTCCAAGCACTCTTACATTCTGGTTGTCAAGTCAACAATTTCGAGATCTATAAATGCGATCTCAAGTGGCCAGTTGGGAGCTTGATCAACCTGACAGACTCTGTGGAACCTGCGTTGGGAGCCTTTACAATGCTTAAGAGTCTCGACTTGACTTTTGAGAAATTGCCGCAGCTGAAGACGCTCAATTCGCTGGACTCAGTCCTAGGCCAGCTCCGCAACCTTGAAAAGCTCAGGCTTAAGCTTAGTTGGGTTTCAGGTGACATATTCGACTTAACCAGATATGCAAGCCCGTCTGCTTTTCTTGCGTCCGAGACTATCCTACGTTCACTGGAGTCAACCTCTCTTCAACAGGTAGATTTTCGTCATGTGTGCGTTTCTGAGAAGCGTCTTATGACGATGCTGAGTGCCAGCAAGGCCTCGCTCAAAAGACTCGATCTCGATGGTGTTTGTCTTACATATGGCTGCTGGAATCACTTCTTTTCGTGGCTGTACAACAACGTCCAACTCGATCATCTCGAACTCTCCGTACTGTCGGAAACTAAGGGAGGTCGCTACGCCATAAGTGATTGGGCAAAAGCAAAGCTGGACCGCGGCGGACTCATAGTCCATGGGAAAGAGCATGTCAAATCTGGTCTGAGCGAGCTTCTTTCTTAAGGAACCGGTCTGCTTGCAAATCAGTAGGGCAGTCACAAAACAGGTCGGGAAGTGGAGAGATAGGAAAATATGCAGCAAGGAGAGTACCATGATTTAGCTTTCCTAGATTGCCCGTCTCTATTTGACCCCCTGGCAAAGTTCAAGTAGAAAATTGCATTCAATTAATAACTCTGCTCTGGGAAGACTTATTTGATACAACAACATCACCTTCTTTGCTGGCTTTTCCTTGTTCCCAGACTAGCAGATTCTGTGTTCTGGTGGTCTCCAAGGAACACCCAACGCCTCAAAGATCTTTCGCTCATCTCTGCCTTCCACAAGCGTGCCCTCGCTCAATTTTTCACGGCCGTAGTCCCTCAATACATCCTTGTAGAGTCCACGCTGATTCAAGCGCATGCCTTTCTTGCTGGCCAACAGTCTCATGCTGCGGTTGAAGATGTCGTTGCCAGTAAAGTAGAGTAAGGCGGCTCCGAGCTCTTCTTCTGGCACAAGGAGCAAGTCGATACGACGCCAGATACTGCTGTCTGGCAGACAGGAGGCGCCGTGCCATTTGGTACCGTCAGATTGTGAAGTTTGAGCCAGTGCTGCAACCAGGAACTTTTGTTTGGTGAGTAACGGTACGAGACGGTCCATAACCGTTGTACGAATCTCGTCAATGGATGCTCCTGGTTTCGTGATGAGCAAATCAATGTCGCCAGAGTCTTGAGCGCCACGACGATAGGAGCCCATAGTGTAGATTTTGTATTCTGGATCCAAGATTTTGAGTGCGTCTTTCACTGTAGCAGCGTGTTTCTCAACTTCGGCACGAGGAACGCGGCTGTTGAAATCGTCGTAGTGAGCGATGCCGATGCGTTGGTTGTCCGTCAACTCGGCCTTCTGGAGCAAGTCGTCGATTGTTTTGTGACCTGCACTAGCCCAACGCTCTGCTGCATGCAGACCGACGCCGTATATCTTCAAGAACTTGTTGAGGATTTGTTGACGCTCATCCATCTTTGTAGAGTCGAGCTTGCGCAAATGGCTTGTTCTGACGATTTCTTCGATCTTTTCTGCTATCGAGGTGCCGATGCCGTAGACACGCATTCCTTCCTCCTTTGTCGTCACCTTTGTCGGATGTTTTCTTAGTGCCGAGATGGCCTGGCGATACGATTTCGAACGCCACTGGTCGCGAGTCTGGTCGTAGTAATCTGCCAGCTCTTGTAGAACGGACAAGGTCTGAGCATTAGGTCCTTGATCACCGCTGCGGCCAGTGTGTTTGTGCATGCATTGGAACTTGTCTTGCCAACTACTTGGCTTACGCCTCTTATGACGTTTGCCATCTTCTTCTTCGTCGTCGGATGCAAGGGGATGTGACTCTTTGGCCTCCCTAATGGCTGAATCGAGTTCGTCCTCGTCCTTGTTCACGACTTGCTGCTTGCCGGCAGTGATTGGGGCAGGTGATGCGGCGGGAGAGACCACACTAGGGCTTGCCTCTGGTTGAGGTGTTGATTGAGAAGAGAGAGCTGCTGCCTTTCTTTTNGCAGGCTTGAGTTTCAGAGACGTGTCAGACACTTGGGATGGTCCCGGTGGAGCTTGTGCCGTTGGAACAGGAGCAGGCATCTCGTAGCCTTTGACTCGAAATTCAATACCGGATGGATCTACTAGCTTGTAGAACTCCATGCATGATGGCGGGTAGTTCTCATTGACTAGAACAATGCCAGCCTATCTCTGTCAGCCTGACCAAGTCCATCTGAGCAGAGACTAAAGCGAACTTACAGGCAGCTCGTTGATCTTGAGGTACTTCAATAATTGCGGATAGTCATACTCACGATCAGTAATGATGTGAGTAACGCTATGGTTGAAGTCAGGCTGCCACGATGCGCCATACTCTATGGCCCTGATAATCCTTTGTCTGCGACCAGGGTGTGTATCTCTGTTGGGAAAGAAGTCTGAAGCTTCAGCATTCTGTATGAGATGAGCATGTTCGTGCTTGCAACTTACANNGAAATGGAGGTTATTGAAGATGCGTTGATTTTCAGGTACAAGTTTGATCTCAGCCGCTTGCTTACCCTTGCCTTTNTTGTTCTTGATCATGGGAATTGCGGAAGAGGCAGGTGGGGCAGAAGAAGAAGGCGGCATGGTTTCATCGGTAGGTCTGTCGAGTGAAGTAATTCCAATAACAGTGTGGTGATGTTGTAATGGTGGAGTGTCTTTGACTATAGAATTAGAAGCGCTGAGCTCGTCCAGAAGCTCAAGAGGTTTCTTAGTCCTTCTTGGATTTGGACGTTGCTGGGTCGACTGTGGTAGTGGTAAGTTGATGTTTGAAACGGAGCGTGCAAGGCTGCCTGGAGGTCTGCCTGGCGTACGACGCGAGCGCGAGAGGGAAGTGGTTGGATCTCCGAGAGTTCTGCCCTTCACTTGTTGGAAGGAAGCAGCGAGACCCTCATCTTCTGCCTCATCAGCTTCGTCGTCCTCCAGGGCGTACAATGCGTCAAAGGCGGCCTTCTTCCTGGCAGCTGCATTTTGACGATGCTGAGCTGCAATAATGTTGATTACAGCACTGCACGGTGAAGAAGACATTGATGTATATGTTAATTATTCTCTTCGAAATACTACCCGAGTAGAAAGAACTGTTATCCGCATGGAGTCATCTCAGAGTCATTAGCAATCATAGCAATCTCTGACATTGCAGTTGGTATACTCCGAGTAGTTGAAGAGAAGCACGAGAGGAGCCAGCCTGAAGACCATCAGCTCGGAGGTCGTCCACCCCACAATTTGGGCGACAAATCTCGAGACTGGTCAACTTCTTGTTGTCTGCCATTCTTGACTCTGTTCATACACAAATCAATCACCGAGCATGGCAATCAAGGCACCGTCATTATCGTGCTTGCGAGTACTTCGAGCGTTGGTTACACCAGAGAGTAACCAAGTCTGCATCTCAGCAACACGCAATTATGCCACCAAACCAACACCACCCGCAACACCCACCAAGCCTCTAAAATATACACCACGCGAGAAAGAGAATCCCGATGACGACCCTGTACCGAAGCCTCTGGAAAGGCCAATTGGAATGCCACATCNNCCCCCTAGAGCTGGCGAAAACACCGGAGTCGACAGCCGCAGCTGGAAGGAACGCAGAGACGATTTTGTCAACTATGACAAGCATCTTGTGCGCCGCAAGCAGCTGAGCGATACCCTATACCGTCCTTATTTCCGCGACTTCAGCGCCATGCGTCACTTCAAGGGAAAGACGTTTCTCTCTCCACAATCTGTATTCAAGGCCGAACATGCCCTCTGGTTCCCCAACCTGCGTGGTCGCAATCTAGAAAAGGACAATACCAAAAATGCAGAGAAGAAAGATTTGGTAAACGCATTGAAGGGCAAGATCAGTGTCGTCAGTATCTTCTCGTCTGGCTGGGCCGAGAACCAGGTTGCAACTTTCTGTTCCAAGGAGAAGAACCCTGCGTTACACGAAGTACTGGAGCAAGAGAAGGCTAGAGGCAAAGCAGGACTTGCTCAACTAGTCGAGATCAATCACGAACCCAACGCGCTTAAATGGTGGATTCTGCGAGCCTTTGCAGGCAGGTTGAGAGCTATGCGACCCAAGGAAGACTGGACCAAGTACTTTTTGATCAGACGCGGCATTGAAGACGACATCAGAGACGCAATTGGCTTGTTGAACAGCAAAGTTGGCTACGTCTACTTGGTCGATAATGAGTGCAAGATTCGTTGGGCAGGCAGCGCCATCGCCCACGAGCTCGAGCAGGAGAGCTTGGTCAGGAACTTGAAGAGAGTTTTGGCCGAGGCAAGAAAGAACAAGGAATCTCCAAAGAGCGAGAAGGCTGACAGCGTCATCGAAGCCACTCATCAGCAGGCTCAGTAATTTCTTCTTCATAATAAGGCCCATGACATTCAAAAATGTTCTCCCCTCCCAGTACCAGCGCTTGCATGCCCATGAACTCCTAAACTCCTTGCCGTAAAAATGTCTAGGAAAAGTACATGAACATCAAGAAGCAGAAGGCAATGAAGCTGCCCATTATTATACCATCTCGTCTCTTCTTGTTGCCTATTCTGCCAATCAGGCTGTTGATGCCAGGCACTTGGCTGGCCGCTCCGACTATGCGACGGTTGATGCTAATAAGTGTTTCTCTCTGGATGCCAAACTGCTCGTTGATGGCATACGCCTGTGTGAGGACGGTATCCGTCATGTTGTGACTGTTGTCTATGCGACTTCGCTCGTCTAGCATGTAATCTGCCTCTGCTTGCTCAGGGTTCTGCGCACGGTAGGCATTGATGTCATTCCGAACGTTGGAGAGGAGGTTGGCGCGATCTCGTTGGTGGCCGATGTTTGACTTGAGCCTGTCAAGCTCTCTGTGGTGTTGTTGTAGAATTTCGCGATGGCGGGCAAGATTCGTAGATTTCAAGGCGGAGGCGGTAGGTTCAGAGTCGAGCAGGCGCGAGAGTTGGGAGATGAGGGCTGAACGNCTGTTAGGCATCAGTTTATTTGAGTGGATACGGCTGATGCAGAACTGATTTACCCTCTCGAGTATGTCCTGCAGCTGGGCTTCTGTTCGTTGTTCATCTTCGTCGGGTTTGGCGGGAATGTTGCTCATAGATGCATATTGGGAATAGGTGTGGAACAAGGCATCTGTNCTAGGAAGTGTTAGCTTATTGAAGACAGGTGAAGTGGTGGTAACTACCTGAGTCTCGAGTGAGCGAGCCTGTTGTCGCAGCTGCGCCCAGCTGCCAGTGCCAGAAGAAGCCATTTGGGGGTAAGTGGTGTTTAATCGTAAAAGGATGTCCGATGGTCGAACTCGAAGCCAGCATCCACGTTCACATGCGAGACTGCGGTTAGACTTGTGCCTTTATGCAGAGCGCAGCCAGACTTTATGCCTACCCCAGATCCGAAAATTAGCCATAGGGTTGTCGAGCGCGCACCCGCCAAGACCGCTAATCGCACAACGCCGGCCAGCAAATTCCACTTTGTTCGAATTCGCTTTGAATCTACGTCCTCTCGCCGCTCCACGTCGTCTCATCCTACTAACTCACAGCCAAAATGGTGCGCGCCTTCATCATACGTCCTGTCTGTCATATCGGAATGCTGACAGAAATTATCGCAGTCTTCCGCCAAGGTCAAGGCCAGCCAGCTCTGGAGCAAGAACAAGGATGAGCTCAAGACTCAGCTCGAGGAGTTGAAGGCCGAGTTGGTCCAGCTCCGCACCCAGAAGATCGCCGGTGGTGCCCAGAGCAAGCTCACCAGAATGTACGATTGAACCAACCTCCCGCATCTCGAATCGAAAAAGAAAGAGAAGGAATTGAAGGAAAACATCGAAAAGACACACGCACGCACACGACCCGCCGTACGAAAAAGAATTTTCTGACATGACCTTGCCTATAGCCACGACGTCCGCAAGTCCATCGCTCGCGTCCTGACCGTCATCAACATCAACCAGCGCTCGCAGCTGCGCATCTTCTACAAGAACAAGAAGTACCTTCCTCTCGACCTCCGCGCAAAGCAGACCCGTGCCATCCGCCGCAGATTGAGCAAGGAGGATGCTTCGCGCGTCACCGAGAAGCAGAAGAAGAAGCAGATCCACTTCCCCCAGAGAAACTACGCCGTCAAGGTGCGATAATTCTTATACCGGACACAAACCGTCAGCCCTGTACTGACATTACTTTCTATCAGGCCCAATAAATGGTTTCGCCCAATCTCTTCCGACTTGCTACTCCTCTCCCACTTCCATAGTGGAGATCCCTTTTCTTGGTTCGGCGACGGCTCTGCGAGGAACGGGTTATATTGCGCTCGACACTTCTTAGCCACAATGTAGCCAGCATCAAGACCAACCAAAAAAAGCAGCGCGCACTTTTCGGCGTTAAAAGAAAATGACAAGCTGGGGTTACCAAACCAAATGATCTCAATGTTTTACGCACAACACAAAATTCTCTCGTCTCGTCCCTTGGACCAGTTGTTATCGCATCGCAAGACGTGAAGTCGACATCGCAAGGGAATACTGTTCTGGTCGCTTATGTTTTCGTCATGTTTACTCGGAGCCTCTGAAAATTCCTCGACAATATCTTCATTCGACCCGTATCTGCCAAACACGAACCACGCTAGCATGCTTTTACCGTCGTCATATCACTTGTAAAAACCAATTGGTAGGTCTTCAAAATTATCTTCAGGTAGTCATAAACGGAACAGACTCCGTCTCTGTAAATTTTGTTCTATGGTATCAAGGTGCACAAATCCACTACATGCCAGCCATTTCTTCATCGGCATCAGCTGCTTCATCATCCTCATCAATGCCATCCCACTCGTCCTCCTCTTCATCCTCCTTGCCCTCCTCTGGCGGAGGACCAAGTACCTGACATTGTGCATCGACCAGTTCCTCAGTGTGCTGCTTGAGTCTCTCATCTTCATACTCCAAGACTCTGTACAGTCTGAGGGTATTGAGCAACCAACTCCTGCTTGCTCTCNNAGTAGCCAGCAACTCCTTTGCCTGTTCAGACTCGGAGTTGTTGATTGCATCGCCGAACTGTGCCTTCTTCTTGTCTGCCATGAGTTGCAGACACCAACCACCAAGGTAGCAAGCCTCAACACTTTGATCGTCTTCCAGGGCCAGGCGTTCCAAAACATCCATGGCTTCCTCTTCCATCTCAGCTTCCATCAGCAGACGGGCCAGACTGACGCGGTTGGGGAAGTCGGGGATCAGGGGGTCTTCGGGTTCGAGGTCTTTCCACATGCTGATGCTGCGCGTTAAGGCGGCGCGAGCGTCTTCGGGCTTGAGTTGCGATAGACGGACGGAGGCTAGTGTTTGCAGCACCTCGGGGCTGTCGGGGTCGACCATCATGGCTTCTGTGATCAAGGCTTCGCATCGTTGTTCAGCGTCTGCTTCCCATNNCTGTTGTACTCTTGTTAGCGATTGCGCGGATTCCTCTCAAATCAAAGCATCGACTTACGAGAGGTCGGTCATGTACACCTCGACAACACCACACAGGGCATTCGCCAACTTTCCTCTCTTCTCTTCCAACTGCACCTCAGCAGTCTCATCTCTGTTCGTCACAGCCTCAAGCTCAGCAATCTCCCTCTTCAAAACACTGGCTCCACGCTCGAACCAACCAACACTAGCCGCACCACCCTCCTCACACAACTGCGCCATCCACAAGAACTTTTCCGCACCACCACCCACAGCCTCTGGAACAGTTCCCTGGGGATCCGCCTCTACGGCTTGCATAAAGTAGTCGCGAGCGGAATCGGCATCGCCCAACTCGATGCAGATTTCTCCAAGCAGGTTCAGGGCTGGCAGAACGGCATTGGGGGTTTGCAGGCGGCGGACCAGGACGAGCAGGTTTTGGGCGTGTTCGAGAGCTTGTTGTGGTTCGCTGGTTTCGACGCATTGGATGGCGAGGTCGTAAAGTTGTTCGGGGGACTCCTTTGGTTGCGAGGAGCTCTTTGGGCTCTTTTTTGACTTTGATTTGGCCATGGTTACTTTGTGTAGCTCCGTGAGTTCCTCTCAGCTTTTTTCTTGTAGCTTTGATTTGTTGATTTGTTCTAGGTGATGTTGACAAGTGTTCTCCAATCGCGCAGTCGTGTACAAGCTGGAGATTGGTTGTTCAGACCAGCTGACTGAGTATCCTGGGATGAAAAGAGTAGCAAGATGTTCAGGAAACAGAAATGCCTTCTCCGCTATGCGCTTCAATCTTCGAGAAAATTTGGAGCACAGACCTCCATCTCGACGTCAATTGTTGCGAACTGCTGGCCGAGAGCCCGCCGTGAGAACTTGACAGAAAAACATCAAAAGTACAGATTAAACACAAAACACACATAAAGCCATGGGTAGAGAAGAACAAACAGAAGAGCGCGAAGTCCTCGACTCCATCTTCCCCGAAGAAATCACAGGTCCGCTGTCTTTGCTGTGTCTACACCCACTTCCACCATGCGCTGACAGCAACANNAACCCAGACATCTCCGACACCGAATACCGCGTATCGATACAGCTCGAAGTAACCGAAGATGACGAATCCGCCGAAACCCCTCCACCCACTCTGATCCTTTCCGTCTCATATCCCGAAGACTACCCAGACGTAGCTCCACGACTAGATCTCTCGGCCCCGCCAAACGCTCCAAAGCACAAACACCTAGACATCCAAGAAGACAAGACGCGACTGCTGGATGGACTCACCGCAACAATCGAAGAAAACCTGGGTATGGCTATGGTTTTTACCCTGGTCACCACTGTAAAGGATGAAGCCGAGCTCTTGATCGCCGAACGCCAAAAAGCAGTCCAAGCAGTAAGAGACATGGAAATTGCAGAGGCCGAAGCAGAGGAAAACCGCAAGTTCGAAGGTACGAAAGTGACGATCGAGGTGTATCTGGAGTGGAGCCGCAAATTCAAGGAGGAAATGGCAGAAGCAAAGAAGAGGGCTGAAGAACAGAGAGAGGCTGAGGAAAAGAAGAAGAGAGGTGGCAAGGAAGAGAAGAAGATGACGGGGAGAGAGCTTTGGGAGAGCGGTATTGCGACCAGAGCATTCGTTGACGAGGACGATGATGGCGCTGATGCTCTTGAGGCCATGAAGAAGCTCAAGGTCGAGGCATGAGCGCTGGCTTCCTAGTCTTTGGCCGAAATGGAAAGGGGGAAAAAGGACTAAAGCTGTGTCACCGATGCATCTGAGCCACGTCCTACCAACGAGGCTGGACAAAGGCTTCCTGCTTGCTCGCTCAACACATTCTGAACAGATCTCTGGCATCATGTCAGGATCAAATGTGAAGCCTGCAATCAACTTGCAACACAGCTCACTTGCGAGGCTGTCCGAGGAATCTGCTAATGTACATAAAAACCATTGGACAGCATAGGACTCCAAACATATTGACGATTATCATGAATAGCTTCATGGCAGACCCTTTACGCGATCGACCTATTTTGTCCGTGCCATGGTCACTAGACTGTCTCGTAACTATCTTAAAGCCAAGATGAATCATGCTAAGTTTCTGAGTCCATGCAGACTTCTCACACCTCAATAAGCAACCAAGATCAAACAGCACTTTATGCTAAAAGCACATCCTTCTGAGTGTGCTTGAATTTGGATCATTATCTAAAAGTACATCCATATCTCTGGCTACCTAGAGCCATCCATCAAAGCCACCAGTGCTCTGGATAAAAAAGTGTAGGTCATGCATCTCGTTCGTAACAAGGCAAACAATCGTATCAGAAAAGAGAAAACATCCCATCCACGTTTAAGCAGAGGTGTCCTTGAGGACATCGAACTGGCCATCGTTGGAGACACCCTGCTGCTTGGGNAGGGCAGCGTCACCAGCAGACTGCTGAGCGTTGCGTTGCATGTCGTTCAAAGCAGCGCGACCAGGGTCGTTCTTGCCGCCAATGTCGTTGTTGAAGGAAGCGTTGGGAGCATTGCTGTCGAAACCGCCCTCGGAGATGTTCTTGCCGTGAGGGGCCTGGCCTGTGATGGTGCCCGAAGCGTTAGCGGAGGAGCCGGCGAGGTAGGAAGATGTCGGTGGTGGAGGCGCGCCACTGTTGTTGCCGCTCAATCCACGCGCGGCGTTCAGCTGGGCTTCCTCGTTCCAGCCTTCCAATGCCTGGCGTGCTTCGGCATCGGCGGCGGCTTGGAGCGTTGTTGCGCCAGAGGTGTCCGTGTTGTTTGTTGTCGTGGAGCTGGAGGGTTGTGAAGAGGCGGCTGCGTGGCTGCCTGCACCGAACGAACCACCCGCCTTCAATGACTCTCCAGCAAGAGAGTCCGACGTAACAGTGCCGACCTTTTCGACCTTGGGGTTATTAATACCTTCGTTGGTGTTGGTGACCTGTTTCATCCAAAGTCAGAAATATGTTTCTTCGAGATTCGAAACGGGTCAATGTACCTTGGTTCCGGAGGAAGACATGTTGATTGATGTGTGTGAAAAGGTTGTTTATTGGATAGATTTGGAGATTGGTAGTGCTTGTGATAGAAAGGTGAGAAGAATAGCTTCCTCTGCTGCTTTTGTTTGCTTCCTGGAGCTCTTCCTTCCTCATAAGCTCCACCTATTGCGTAGAGGTACCTTGCCTTAGGTACATCATCTCGACGTAACCAGGACACCCACTCGCCCAGCGAGGTGAACACGCGATTCCTACATAGGTTTTGCGACATGTGCATCGAGATCGTTACATCATCCGAGCTTACCCCACCTAAATTTTGCTGCAAAGTGCCCCGCACCTGATAATGACGCCCATGGATCATGGTTGATGGTCGGAAGGGGAGTTTGCTTAGCGGACTGACGCTCTCAGAGAAGCTTGACACCAGCAGAGGACGTGACCTGGTTGCTTCATGGTATAGACGTTGTGTACAGCTCGCTGTCCTGGTGATTGTGGTTCGAATAAACAGGAGGCTCATGAAGTTGACCCACTCACTTCCGAAACGTTAAATTCGCCGCAACTTGTCATAACCTCTTTCAGGCAATCCACTCTTGTGGCAGAGATTTCGTATTTAGAAATGTTGAGGCTCAATCGATTGTTGAGACAAAAGCTCGTTCTGCTGTCCGAAGCGGTATGCGCATGGGATCGCAATTTGTATGTGGTTCCTCGAGAATGAAAGCTCCGACAAGATGCATGTCACGCGAGCAAATAAGCACCAGATGGAAGATTTTTGAGTACGTTGAAATTCATTTTCATTTCCCAAGCATTCTGAAATGCTCATTCGTGATTATTTGGATATGGTATTGGTATCCAATAGAATGCCTTGCGCGCTCATTCGCAAGGAGGTATAGTGTAAATAGAAATACAAATAGTTCATTCCCTCATGCAAGCCATTGCCCTGAAGCGCCCTGCGCCAGGTAAAACCACATAGGCTGCGTCCTTGAAAATGAGAAATCGTTAAGAAGCCATTTATGCGTTGGAGGGGTCGTTCTTGGGGTAGCCGTAGTCCTGACCGGTAGTGTCGGCAAGACCGGCCTTGCCCTTGGCCTCGCGGGTGACGGCGTCGTTGGGGATGCCGGAGAGGCCATCCTTGCCCTCACGGCCAACACCCTGGCCGAGGGTGGCATCAGCGCTTCTGGCGGCGCTGTCACCAGTGGCAGGCTCACGGAGAGCGTCGTTGCCGTGGGAGAAGGTGTCAGAGACACCACCAGAGCCGACGTTGACGGTGCTGGGGTCGGCAGAGTTGAAGTCGGACTTGACAGGAGGGTCCTCGGGCTTGGGAAGGTTGCTGCGGCGCTCCTCGATGAGCTCGGCCTTGTTCTTGTCGGCCTGGTCAACGATGGACTGAACATATGTTAGTAGATGTTTTTTAACTTGATGTAAACAAAAGTCACTGACCTGCATGGCAGCAGCGTTAGAGTCGGCAGAGACGTTACCGCCGTGGGAGGCAGAGTCACGCTGCTCCATCTTACGGACGTCCTCCTTGGTGTAGTGGAAAGTCTGCTCGGTGCCGGACATTGTGATGGTTTTTGTGTTGGAAAGTTAGGTTTTTGAAAGAGTTGTAGAGATGAAAATCGTTTGAGATGTGAGATGAATAGCAAAGAAAACTTCAAAGCATGCAGAGATGCTGATATTTGAACTCGTTGTCGAGTTCAATTGAGAAAAATTGTTATGACGCTGACTTACATCATGTAGTGGGGCAATCCACCATCAACACCTTGCAATTTTCAGAAATCAGAAACTCGTAGAACACCGGATGCCCCAGGCGGACTGTGCGCACAACCTGCATCATTCGATCTATTGTGAACAACCAACTCTGTTGACGTTCGTGGCTTTACCAAGACGTTTGTAGCTCCACTGCGTCCGTGATGGCGGAGTCGCAGCTTTCCAAGCCTGCGAGAAACTCGATGAAGGATCCGATCGCTTTCGCACAATATCATTACGATCAACGGCCTGCAGTCGGCTCTACTTGGTACCTATTGTGTATTGCGAAGTCTGTTTTCGTGAAGAAGCATCGTGTAGCTGCAGCACAGCCGACTGACCTGAATCAAGTGGTATGGAGGTGTCGCCAATTTATCAACAATGACATCGTCACATCAAGACAATATGCTCTTTGGTAAGTCTGTCAGACAAAGAAGAGCAGTAAGTTAGGAGATGCTTCATCAAGGTTGTGTCTCGGACAGTAAGTGTTGCAGACTCACATAACAAACCACTTCTTGTTAGAGCTGGGCCTCGTGACTGATTAGCTCATCCCAGAACGTTTCGTGAAGACTATGGAACGCTGAGCACAACATCGTTGTTCTTGAGGAGTAGTATGTAGTCGAAGATCAGGTGCTCAGGCTGGCTAATCATTCTAGCCCTCGTGGGCCATGAAGTCGATCAAGGGTCTGACACCTCTTAGCATTGCACCACCGGTGCTCGTCAGGGACTCGGGGCTGGGGCAGTTAGTGGATATCTTGCGGTGTCTGATATGATTCATCTTTCCATTGTATGCACCATACAAGAACTGTACGTGCCTAGTTGGGGTTGCAAACTTGAGCACCACAGTCAAGTGGCCCAGTCAATATTTGACCTTAAGACTGGCCACAGAATAAGACGACATCTATATTCGAGGGTGTGACAGTCGGAGAATTGTTCGCCATGATGCGATCAATACACGACCATGGTCGTATGAGATGGTCATGACAGGGGCAGTTGTGACCAGGGTTGCATCATCAACAAGTGCTACCAGAGAGATTGGCGATAAATCGCGGTAAAGTCGAGCGATATCTGCAGTTCCAGAGGAGCTGCCTTGTCAGATGAAGATCTTCTGAGAGTCCTTTGTATAAGCCTTGTTGAGAGCATACCTATCGTTGGTAGTCGTGTTTGACCCAGAATTAAAACAAAGCACTTACTCGAGTGCTCAGCGAATCATGGTCCGAGCATGTCGGGTAAGGTGAATTACAACATGTCAGTCTGAGCAGATGCTTTGCACGACGTAGCCAATGAACAAATTTGCGAGCTTGAATATGACTTATTAACCACGGGTAGGAGTGTACTCAAGTACTCGGCAGGGAGTGCAAGAGAGAGGTGTAGTCGCAAATAGAGCTTCGGCTGATTGGCCGAGTCCTGGGACCGTTGAGAATTGAAACGCAGCCACGCAGGTCACGAGTTTGGTTCTTCCCTCGCGTTTTGGTAGAAAGCAAAAGTGGTCGCGCTACCAGAGTCACGAACAGAAGGCATGAGAAAAGTGAGTTAGGGTAGCCTGGTGAAAGTGTAGAAGACAGAAGAGCATTGGGTTGTTTGTGAGCTGTCATGGTCAAAGCACAATAAATCCGTTCAGAGAATGAGCGATGGCCAGACGCGCGCTTTAGTTATAGAGCACACGACCTGAAGTCGAGAGTATCTGTGCCTCTAGATAGCCATGGGCGAGCAATGAGTAAAGGATATAATAGAGAATAGTTCTGACAGATTGTCACGATTGCTACGCGTAGGCGAGCAAGATAGGATTGGAGGCAGGAAAGAGATGTCGTGTAGTTGAAATGTATGGGATTGGTGGGCCGGGTGGCTTTCTCCAGGGTCGTGAATTGTAGTCGCGTCGCGTCGTCCTTCACCGATCAGCGTCAGCTCGTCGAGGGAGACTGCCCACTATCTTCGCCCAACATACCTGTCCGTGTTAGCAGTAATGGACGAGCATACTAACGAGGCCCCGGTCCATGGGGATTCATCATCATCAGAACCTCCGTATGCACCGCAGCCCGAGACCGAGGCATCGTTGGTCTTGAAGGCGACGGCCAACAGTTACCCTTTTCTGGTGCACTCGACGGATACTTTGGCCAACAATCGTCCTCCAAATGTCGACAACAAGCCTCTGGCTCGTCAAAAGCGAAGACGGACAAGGTAAGAGCACCTCTCATGTGCTTGCCTACCTCGCGAAGCCCGCCTAACGTGAAATAGTCCCGATGACCAGAAGATTCTCGAGGAAGCCTACGCAAAGAACTCGAAGCCTGACAAGGCCACTCGTATGGACATCGTGAGCCGCGTCGCTCTAGGTGAAAAAGAAGTTCAGGTATCGCCAACCCATCTTAGGCCCATTTAACGCGTCAAACTAAAACCACGTCTAGNNATCTGGTTCCAGAACCGTCGCCAAAGTTCGCGCAGAAAGTCCAAACCGCTGGATCCTCGCGAGATGCCCAACTACCACTCCTCGTATTCCTCGCCGCTCGACCCCCAAACCGCTGATCACCGAGAAGACCCATCTACAAGCCAGGACAACCCGGCGCATACTGCCGATTCAGCTTCGACATCCCAAGACAAGCCTGCTCCATCTGCCAGCCAGAATGCCTCAGCCTCTTTCATTGAGGTCCCCAGTTCACAACCGGAACCAGCCTCTCAGGACTCGGCTTCAAAACCTGGCTATTTATCCAACAGACGTAACAATGCTTCGTTCACAGCCAACGACTCGTTCGAAGCACCACCTGACAGTCAGGAGCCGTCGACAAAGCGTCTAAGGAAATCTGACTCCAAGATCCGCCTTTCCATGACGGCTGATGGTGTTGCCCGTGTCATGGAGGGAGACGACCTTACGTCTTCCCCCNCTCCTCGCAAGCTCCCTCCTCCTGTATCTGCCAGTGCCGCTCTTGATGAGCCTGCCAGTCAATCAAACGAGCTATACCGTACTAACAGCCAGGTCAGTCTGTGTGATACACCAGGCAGTCAAGAAGGCGGCACCAGTCTTCGCCGAAAACCGAGTGGACGATCTCGCGACTCACGCGTGTGGTCTTTCTTTGCCGATCGTGGTGCACGTAGCGAATTAGAGGACCGCGCCAAACAGGAGACCAGTGGTGACGCAGCAGAAGCAATTTCCATCCTCCGCCAGCAGGAGAAGGATCGTGCAAACCACCCCCTGACACGCGTGCCTTCGCTGAAGCGTTACAATCCTCCGACCATCTCCAACGAAGATCGTGCTGTCAAGCGTCTGCGTCCCAGCCAGTCTTTCAATGTGCCTCCTCCTTCATCTGCTCCTTCGGCCGTAGCCGCAACCCCCTTCCGTCAACCTCTCATGCAACGCTCGTCCTCGGCACGCAACCTGCAATCCACCAACAGAAGGCCCGCTCACCACGACCCACTACTGTTGGCGAAGACGCCTAAGCTCAAGCAGACACCTACTTTTGAGATTTCAGCCACAGACTCTGACAAGGAAAACTGGAGCCCTGGTGATCGCCCTTCGGCTTTCATGGACCGCCAATTCCTCCATCAGATGGCAACCTCTCCCGCCGTCATGCCATCAACGATCAAGCGACCACGGGCACTCGCAGGCTNNTTTCACGAGACGCCTGCGCCTCGCAGTCGTGGCAAGCATAGTAGTAGAACTCAGGTCGAGCATCTGGACGATGATGACGACGATGAGGATGTTATGCAGTTCATGAACCAACCCAGCAGTGGCGTCAGGAAGGACAAGGCACATCGTTCTCTCTCTCGAGACGAACGTCAAAGCTCGGAGGAAGAAGATCTGAACTGTGTCGAGGGGTTGCTCAAGTTGAGCCAGGGTAACTGGGGTGGTGGCAGGTGACGACCTGCATGAACTTGTCGCTGTTTTCTGTTTCTCTTGTTTTAGTAATGTTTTTTGCGCTGGTTTTGCATGGAATCGGCAGAGAGGCATTGATGTGGGGTGTCTTGGTTGTTTTAATTTCTGTCTTTTCTTGCTTTGGTTGCTGCTTTGTTTTGTCAGAGGGTAGTGACCGGATCTCAGTCGGCCACGCGGTGTTTCTTTTAGGTTGGAGTACTCGAAGAAGAGGATGCATGTGCAGCGTAGCTTAGCAATATGATGATGTCTTTGAAACGAAAACAGCTTTCGATACCACGATGAGGATGGACAACTTAATGCGGGTAGCACCAACCTGTCTTGCAACACTAGGGTTGGGCAATTCGCTTAATCGAAACTAAAGAGATATCTCTACCAGGTCAACCATTCCGTGAATATCAAATCCATCGTATATATCATAGGCTCGTTGATCGCCATCTACTACTGCTTCTTCTCTCTAAGCTCTAAGCGCGAGTTCAAGCCAACAATACACCTGATCAGATCCCAATCGCCATCCTTGCCCACCCAATCCGTGACCACAATACCCACACCACCATCTCCCTTATCATCACCTTCAGCAGTATCATGCTTCACACACAAAAACTCCGTAACCGCCGGGTTGAGCTTGGCAGCAATTTTCTCCGGCCAACAACCCACTTTCCAAAAGTTACTCGCCGACAAAAAGTTCAAGTACAGAGGACCTGGTGGCACGGGGTTGACAGCATCAGTAGTGATGCCAGGTACAGGACACACCTGCGCACCCGCTCTTTCAAAGTGCTCACAGCAAAACCCGATTTTCTTGGATATGTTTTCGGTCTCGAGGACTTCGCANAAGTCTTGGACGCACACGGCACCATGGTTGTCGCAAGGGGTGTTGTATGCCCAGTTTTGGGCGTCTAGACACCAGCCCCTGCCGTCGTGTTCGTGGGTCAAAGGCTCGGCAAGGGCAAAACGTCTCATGAGGACGATTTTGCCGCGGGATTCGCCTAAAGAGGGGATACGTGGTTCTGTGAACCAGAGGTTGGGGTCGTTGGCGTAGTGTTGGTGGAGGATATTGGAGAGCTGTTCGTCGGTGTGTTCGCCGGGTCCTTCGCGCTTCAGACTCATAATAAGTGTTTCTGATGGGTTCTCGCGCAGGAAGTCGAAAATGTCATTGACGAGTTTGCGGAAGGGTTTTGTGCCTGTGAGAGAGATGGGGAAGACGCCGTGGACCAGGGCAAGACCGTCATTGTTGGGATCTTCGGGCTTCTCAGGCTGCACACGAATGTCGAAGAAGCGTACTCCATTGCGTAATTGCTCTTTGGGAGATACTGCTTGGCAGCGCACTGAAGGCAATGCTTTGTGATGAGTAGGACTGTTGTGCGTGCCTGGAATCGAAAGACCAGAAAGCGGTGTGGCATCTGCCATCTCCTTCATCCAGCAGTTCATGTTTGCAGAAGAGTAAATGGCCAGATGACTCTCCTTGTCGATCCATATGGCCGTGTACTGCTTCCTGGGTTCAGGGTCCAGTGGGATCAGTTCTTGAGACTGTCTAGTCGTGCGTGTATCGACACGATAGCGCTGCCCATCAAACTCGAAAGTCAGTCTAAGAACATCTTTCTCTGATCTTTCGGCAGTATTGATATCCGTCCTGTTGGTGGTGAAAGGATCGATACGAATCGACACATCTTGTTGCCCATAGCTTTGCGCGTTGAGAGTCAGTGGTGCAAAGTGTGGGCCCTCTGGAGGAACATTGCCAGTGGTATTTGAGACGACAAAGTGTGTTACGTTGCGAGTGATGTTGGCGAAGCCTTTGGGCTCATCATGTGGGATCTCAAAGCGTTCGACCACCTTGAGCTCCAGAGGGGTCGAGCTGAGGTTGCGAATTGCAAGTGGTGGAGGACCCATGACTTCAGTGCACAATACCAAAGAGTACAAGAGTTTTCAGTTTGTGACACGTCTTACTTTCTCGAGGACAAAAATGAGGTATAATCACGTTCCAGGCGGCATGCCAAGTGACGTCGGAGCCCGCCGCCGTTGTTTCCTCCCGAAAGCGTATCATATTAATACGCGTTGTATATCTCTTGGCTCCAGGTTTGGAGGCATCTTTGTTCATCATTTTCATTTCTCATTTGTTCTGCTATCTACAGACTGACTACGTGTCGGACAATGCTGAGCTGGAGAATGCTGCGCTTCTTGCTATACGAGAAGTTTGTGGCCAAGTCCTGCGCTCTCGGGGTACTATAGACATCTTGTACGTGGTGTGAAAAGTGCTCACAGAGTGGTGGGGCAATAGAATAAAGAAATCCGCCATGCTTACCTGTGCAAAGAATTGGAGCATTCGCATTCTCTGAATTCTGATTGTAATCAAGTGACAGTGTAGCGACCAGTGGTAGGCGCGCGGGCCTCACTATCAGCGGCTGCAATCGTTCCTTCCTTGAGCAAACGTTGCAAGTCACGCATAGCCTGGGTGACTTGGAGCTCCGTGTCACCCTCGACAAGGATATAAAGCTTGGGTGCATCGGTAGGACCTGGGTCTTTGCCAGCAGCATAGAAGTTACCCTTCGAGGTAATAGACACTCCGGTTGACTCAAGAATCTTGGCCACATTCGTGCGGTTCGTGACGGCCCAACGTGCCTTTTGAGGGAAGTCGTTGATCTCAAGAGTCGCGTGGTAAGCACCAGCATCAGGCCCTTTATTGTCGATAGGAACACCAGGACGAGTCGCATTGCGCGCACCAAGACGAGAGTTGATGTTTGCGGCAGCTGCAGCAACACGGTCCAGAGGGCGGTTGCTGGCGGGTGCAGGAGTCTCAGTCTTATGAACCTTGATATCAGCATTGAGGTCAATGTGGGCTGGAACGCCAGGGACATTCGCGTTCGTGGGGGCAGGCGAGCCAGTGTTCTTGACGACGTTGATCTTCTCCTCGGGTGCGGTCTTCTTGTCTTCTTCTTCCTCTTCTTCCTCTTCACCTTCGAGCTTGTGGGCCTTGCGTTCACGCTGGCGTTCGGCTGCACGCTGTTCTTCGAAACGCTCGATACCTCTGCCACCGAAACCGATAGCGGCTCCCTTCTCCTTGCCTGCCTTGACGCGTTCGAGGAACTCTGAAGCCATTTTCTGCAAGTCTTCTGGTACTGGCTGGTTACTCATCTTCAACGCCTTCACCAAATCCACTGAGTATTTGGATTGCTCGGGCGTAACAAAAGTGATAGCCGTACCCTTTTCACCGGCGCGACCAGTACGTCCAGAGCGGTGAACATAATCTTCCAGATGGTTCGGTGAATCGTAGTTGATGACAAGCTTGAGCTGCTTAACGTCTAGACCACGAGCAGCAACAGATGTTGCAACCATAACGGGGATGACACCACTCTTGAAGTCTTGAATGGCGGAGTCACGATCAATCTGTTCTCTGCCGCCATGGATTGAAACAGCAGGATATCCTTTCTGTTGAAGTTGAATCATCATATCATCTGCTGACTCTTGGCGCTCAACGAAGATAAGAGCACGTGCATCCTCGTCATTCTCAAACAGTTCACCCAGCGCCTCAAGTGTACGATACATCTTGGTAGTCTCAGGGCGCACTTCAATCTTTTGAGTAATGGTGTCAGCAACTGTGCTGCGACCACCAACAGTGATCTGGACAGGTTTGTGCACGACTTTGCGAGCGAGTGATTCCATGGTACGTGGGAAGGTGGCTGAAAAGAGGACCGTCTGATGGTCGGGACGAATGTTGGTGAGGACCTTCACAACTTGAGGCTCGAATCCCATATCAAACATGCGATCTGCTTCATCAAGCACGACATAGGTGACACGGCGCAGATTGGTAACTCTTCCAGAGTTGGCAGCAAGAAGGTCGACCAGACGACCAGGAGTTGCAACGATAATCTCAGCACCTTTCTTGAGCTCTGCGATCTGATCCTTGATAGGTGCACCACCATAACAACACACGGCGCGTAGGTTCAGGACTTTGAGGTAAGGCTTACACTCACGGTGAATTTGAACTGCAAGTTCACGAGTCGGAGCCATGATCAGACCGATTGGGCCATCCATGTTTTCTAGCGGGCGTTGGTCTTTGATGTGTCGGAACATGGGCAGCAANAATGCGACAGTTTTACCCGAGCCCGTTTTGGCTACACCAATGACATCTCGTCCGGACATGATGGCAGGAATGGTCTGAGATTGAATTGGAGTAGGCATCTCGAAGCCAAGATCACGAATGACGTCCAAGACTTGGGTACCTAGACCGAACTGAGCGAATTTGAGTGCAGGACGAGGCACCTTTGAGCCTTGTACTTTGATGTCGTCGAGTTTGAAGCGCAAGTCTCTGACTTCCTCTTCAGTCATCTGACCAATCTCCAGGGGTTCGGTATAGAAGGCTTTGCGGAACGGCTCGTAATCGATCTTGGAATGATCAAGGTTGGGAATCTCCTTTTTCTTTTTCTTCTGGGCCACCTGGGCAAGAATGTCATCAGCATCTTCTCCCATCGCGTCCAAGTCTGCACCATCTTGGTCACCGAAGACGTCTTCGGCTTCGCGAATCTTGGTCTTGGTGAACTTGCGAGTAGGCCTGGGAGCTTCCTCGGCTAGACCGTTCATGAAAGCATCAAGCGGATCGATTTCGTCTTCTTCAGCTTCGTTGGCAGGCTGGGTGGTCTGAACGCCTTCCATAGCGTCGCCATCATCTACAGAAGCCTCGGCGGCTTGGGTAGCACGTCTCTCTGCCGCAAGACGTGCAGCAGAGTCAATATCTTGATCGGAACCTGCATCAGCGATGTCGACATCGCCGTCGTCATCATGAGCGTCATTCGGGTTAGCAAGCGCAGCATCCCCAGCATCTTCAAGATCGGGTGTAGGAAGCTTCTCTAACTTGCGACGTTCAACTTGTTCGTCGTCCATGTCTATGGCGGGTGCCGGCTGGGGNGTCGACTTCTCTTCGGCTGGCGATGCTGTCAGACCAAAGCCTTTCTTGAGGGCTTCCGCGGTGGTTGTTGTGTTGGCTGTAGTCAGGTTAGTTGGGTGTGGAAAAGTGGAAAGTCGAGTGGAGAACAAGTTACCTTTGGATTGACTGGTAAATGGTTTCTTGCTAAAGTCAGCCGCTTTGTTGGCAGTAAGAGGAGCCGCAGTAGCGGCAGTCTTGGACTTCCCGGGTATAGAAACATCACTTCCAAGCGCCGAAAGCTTCGCCGTGGCAGCTGCTGCCTTCTTTGCAATAGCCTTGGGGTCAAACTTGCCACCAGCAAAGCCCTTCTGAGGTTCGTCTTGAGACACGGATTTAGGCGAGGACGCAGCTGTGTCAGTAGGAGTAGCAGCATGTGCAGGGGTAGCGGGTGTGGCGGGGGATTGTGGCAGCTTCTTCTTTTCCTCCTGCTTTTTCTTCCAGGCCTCGACCTTTGCCTGGCGTTCGAGCTTCTTTCGTTCTTCTTCGGCAGCCTTGTCAGCGACGTGGGCCGAGGCTGGTGTATCGGGTTTTGGAGTGGAAGCGGATCCTCTAGCGTCGTCGCGTGTGGTTCGGCTTCTGGATTCAATTGAGTCGGTGCGCCTAGGACGCTTTCTGTCGCGCGAGTCGTCACGATAGTTGCGCGAATCACGAGGTCTATCTCTACTGCGGTCTCTACGGTCTCTCACAGGAGATCTTTCTCTAGAACGCTTTCTGTCGCGCGAGCGATCGCTGAGTGGACGTTCTTCGAAGCGGCGATCACGGCCTCCACGGGATGGGAGAAGGTCNTCTGTCCTGGCTATAACGATCTCGCTGCGAACGTGTAAGTTGGTGGAATGTCGAAGGCGGAATTGGGCGCAGTCTTACGGGCTCTGGAGAACGGCGTCTGTAATAGCGGTCGTCTCCTCGTCTGTCACGGCGGTCATCGCCACGGCGGTCGTCTCTATGGTAACGGTCATCACGACGTGAATCGCCGCCTCGGCGGGGAGGAGAGCGTGGTCGTCCGGACATTTTTGGTATATAGCGGTCGACAAGAGAAATATTGTTGCTTGACGTAGCAGGTCAGACGAGGCCAAGTCGAAAGTTCGCGGGGACGGTGACAGACGGCGAAGTTTAGAGTTTCGTGAACGCTGCGCTTGGCGGTAGCTCCTGCCCTGCTCGCGATGGTTGGTGTTAACCTCGTGCTTGCCTGTTTCCAAACATCAACAGCTCCTGAGTCTCGCTGTTCTTCTCCTTGGCCTGGTCACCTTCGTTTCACAACTTCTCTCCAGCTGTAACAACTCGACCCAATCTCACTGGTACAATTTGGTCTCTTTTTACTGCGACGCGCGCAACCCGCAATCATCACAATGCTCGTGCTCCGTCTTCCGCTCCGTCTGGCTGCCCGCGCTACTCCTTCTCATGCACCTGTCGCAACCCCGATAGTCGCAGCTTCCTTGTCTGCAACCAGATCATACCGCACCAAGGCTGATGACAGCATCAGTCCTGAAAAGAGCACCACTCCCAAGAAGAAGGCCGCCTCAGTTCCCAAAAAGCTCTCAAAGGAGGCTGCTGCTAAGGCTACTTACAAGCTCTTGAGCCCTGAAGAGAAGACCATAATTAGCGTGCAGGCAAGAGAGGCAAAGAAGAAGGACCAAATCAAGCTGCTCAAAGCCCAAGCTCTTACTCCTCCCAATTACAGACAGCTCAATATCTGGTCCGTCTATATCAAGGAGAACACCAAAACCGTCGGCGGCCCCGTGAGCGAAAGCTCAAAGATCCTGGCTCAACGATTCAAGGACATTTCATCCACCGAGAGAGAACACCTCAACCACCTCGCCAACCAACACAACGCAAAGTCCCTGCGCGAGTTCCAGGAATGGCTCAACCGTCACACCCCTGCTCAGATCTTCGAGGCCAATGCCGCCCGTGCCCGCTTGCGCAGACTGCTCGTTGACAGCAAATTAAAGTACTCAGCCATCAAGGACGAGCGTTTGGTCAAGAGGCCACTCAGCTCCTACCTTCAATACCACACTGAACGCCTCGCTTCTGGTGACTTCCGTGGAGTCAGCACACCCGTTGCCTCCAAGGACATCGCCAGAGAATTCAAGGCTCTGTCCGCCAGTGAGAGAAAGGTTCGTCATGGCTATTCTACATGTCCCTCGCATGTTACTGACATTTCACTCTAGACGTACGAAGACCGCGCTGCCAAGGATGTCGAGAGATACAACAGAGAACACCTCGAAGTTTATGGCTTCGAAAGGCCTGTATCAACCAACCCTCACAAGGAGCACTTGGCGGATCTCGACGCTGGCATGGCAGCTTCCCCGTGATTTTGACCATTGCTATGTGTAGATCATCCCTTTGAATAGAGACCTCTGATCCTCGCCGGAGTTTTTTTCCCTCATCGATGTCAATCGTCGCTCTGCATGTCCTATATTCCCCTCTCTCTCTGGTATCGTCTGGTGATTTGGTCTGATCGTACAAAGAGGCGCCATGGCTGTCGGGCTGGGGTATGTGGATGGGAAAGAAGGAAAAGGGCCTTTTCCTCTCGTGTATTGGGCGTGTGGCTGTGATACCTCCATTGTACTGTACAGCGAATGACTTATGTTTTGATCTGAAATTTTCTTCTCTCGCTGTTAATCCTTCCACCTACAGTAGAGCAGTAGTACGTTTGCATAATCATGGAGACAGGAAGTGATAGCCACAACCACATCAATTCAATGCTTGTGTGATGGCCACTACCACATACAATCAATGCTTGCTTTATGGATGCTAATGTTCATGCCTTGACGCCAACGATGATGCCGTCCATGATGCTGATGCGAATGCTGTAATCTCCCTTCCATGCTGTCCATCTCTTGATTGATCTTCGCCAGCGACTCGGCACTGTTCGCAACCTTCGACACGGGTGAATGCTCCTCCTTGACAGTGCCCAACTTCAGTCTTCCCCCCTTCCTATGATACAAATGCTTTTCCTCCTCGTAGCGCGAATCATAAAGCTGTAGTCTTGCACATCACTTGTGCGCTGATCTGACAATGTCTGTAACTTGATCGAATTAGCAGTAAGACTTGTCCGAGGAGAGTGTCAACAAACCTGTCTCTTCTGATCGTTATATGTGTAGCAAGTGACAAAAGTCCACATGGACTTCTCACGTTTAAAGGAGCCTTGACTTTGAAAGGGTCCGTACACTCTCCTTGTTGGTTTCTGGCGACAAACGTCCGCAGAGCAAGTCTCATCTGTCAGGCACATAGTATGGCTGATGACTGCTGCCCACAAAGAACCTCTGAGGAGATGGTGCGCCAAAGGCTGGTGCTGCCTGGCCCACAGAGGGTGCTCTCTCATGTGTTGGCATTGGCTGTACTGCAGCTGGTGCGCCATGCACTGGGCGAGGCACCACCTGCATTGCCACTGTCTGCGATCTCATCTGAGGATATGCAGGCTGACCAAACACAGGTTGATGTTGTACAGATCTTGTCTGGAGGTTAGTCACAGGAGCTCTCATATTCACTTCCTTCGGATCCAACATAGGATATCCAGGGTGAGGTTCTTCGCGAGAAGGAATAGGGTAGTCCTCCGGCTTGACCACCTCAACACGTTCAGGAATGCCACCATAGTTGTACGACTCATAGCGGCGACCTTGTGGTCTGGTTTGTGCTCCAGCGTAGATCACATCATCATCAGCCATACCTGGCCTGTACACGTTGCGATGGGGCACTCCCCTTGGAGCGGCAACATGCGCAGGTTGTTCATGTGCGCGATATCCAAATTCTGGAGGGCCTGTGTATGAGATTCTATCTCCATACCCTCCCNNCCTTAAAGTGGGAGGGGTTGTTAGATCAATGACGGGTGCCCCGAGTGTTGGGTACATGGGGCGTCTTTCGAGACGATCCCACATAGGCAAATCATTGGGAGGGCGACCCAGAGCGGCGCGCTGTGGCGCTCTGGAGGTCGAGATTTCCTGAGTGACATGATGACCGTGAGTCACTGGGGCTTGACGGTACTCAAGAGCAGAAATAGTGCCACTTTTAGGCCACGCACCAGGCATGCTGCGCTGGAGATATTGCTCCTTCTCGGGCTCCGGACTCGACGAGATNCTAGGTGCAAAGTTATATGGTCTATTCGATGACGTGATGACAAGGAAAGCGAATGAACTTACCCGTACATACTCGACCCCATCCGAGACAACCTTACGCGGAACATTACCTCCTTGATCGAGAGAGACAGAGATCTGGCCACCATGGCCGTGAGGCATAACAGCCTGGTCCGCACGCTGCTGTTGCATACGAGCATTGTGCCAGCGTGTCTGGACCGCAGCGGGCAAAGCTCTACCAGCTGTGCGGCCTACAGATGTAACAGCATTGCGTATCCTCTCGCCAACTCCAACATTGAGGTCTTTGGGAGCCAGAGTCTGTTGCAAAATCTCCAGGCTGGTATCACTACCATCATCCCCTGAAGCAGCACCGTTACTGTCGGTATCACTATCAGCGTCATCGAGCTCGTCATCGTCATCGATGACAATGGTCTCTCGAAGGATTTCTTCGAAGTCCTCAGTGTCATTGTCGTTCTCTCCACGCCACTCAATCAGCTTTGTGAGTGACATGGGCTCGACGATCTGGCGAGCTTCCTTCCAGCTGACTAATTTGAGCAGCTTATCATAGTCGGTGTACGTGTGCCTGATGCGAGCGATCGTGGCCAGTTGTACCTGTCTAGACAGCGACAAGTCAGATGCATTACCTACAGTCGTGGTGCCCTAGTCCAAATGGTTAGTGTACTCGCGACAAAGCGGTCTCAAGGCACGAACCTGCTCCCATGCGCGCTTGTAGATTTCTTCGAGGTCTTCTTCGGGGATCTTCGGGAAGAGTTCACGTATGTATTCTTTGACTTTAGTGCTCTGGTCGGTCGATCGATTGTTGGCGTTGAGCTCGAGGCGAGGTGCAAAACGTGCAATTGTCCGCTCAAATCGAGAAGTGGTATCGAAACCAGTGTCGCGTATTAGCTTACCGTTGACCTCACGGTAGCCCAGGAAGTTGCAGGCCTGGTCAAAGATGTCGGAACGGAAATGATAACCAACGCGATGTACGTGGTGGGTAAGCTTTTGAGGATCGGCAGGTCCAGTGCGTCTCGTGCCAGCNCTGAGTGTATGGTTAGAAGGAGAGCTGATTTTACGAAGGAATGCTTTGTGAAGGATCCAGCTTGAGATGAAGATACGCACGGAGACAACAGCTACGTCGACGCCTAGTTGTCTTGATTTTTCTTTACAACGCTCGGCTAGATCGGCGTAGCCAACAGGGAGAAAGGTGTAGCCTTCTTTTGGGACTGCAGAGCCTTGGATATCNCTGAGTTGAGATGGTTCAGTAAAGGAGCTTGACATAAGAGTAGCAAGACGACGGACATGGAGTTTGAGTTTCTTCTTCTTGGTCCTAACGTGTTCGAGTTGGACCTTGTAGGTCTTCTTGCGTCGATCACGGATCTTTGCTGCGGAACTCTGCCCCACCGAAGGGGCTCGTGAACCTGCGCGCACCATTGTGTGTTGAATCCGAAAGAGCACCAAACAAAAACTCCTTGTGGAAGAATACTGTGATCAGTTGAGGTGTTTGGCAAAGCTGTATGTACAGCAGCAAATCCAAACAAAGTGGGCAACTCTTGTCGTTGTGAAAGTGGCCTCACAAGTGCTGGCTGGCTAGGCGGCAGTAGCAGCTAGAAAGTGACAGGCGACACTGAGCGCACCTTCCGTGAAAAGATTCGCAGAGGAAAGCAGATACAACTTGCTCGGTGGAGAGCCGGTCAGGAATCGGTAGCGCTCACTACCCTATACGCACGCAAAGACGTAAGACAACTGAAACCTACGAGTGGCAGCGACGATGTCTACGATTCCACAGTATACCTCACAGCGAAGTGCGAGGCGTCCAGTGATTTATGTATGAGGGGAGGGGAGAAGGAGGAAGATGACATGACGCAGGACTTTGTTGGTCAAGCGCCACTCGGCTCGGGCGTCAATCAAACAAGGCAAATTCGTCCTCGTCCTCGTCCACCCCACCAAAGCAGCCTCGCCTTCCAACCTTCCCGTGTTCAAAAGTATGTAACGCGTGTAGCTGTAGAAATGCATAATACTACCAGGGATCTGGACAGTCTCCACTGAGAAGCGACAAAACAGTGACTCTCTGTGGACAGCATTTGTCTCTGAATGAGATCGTGTCTTTGTATAGCGTGTACCTTACTCTCTCTATCATAGTCGGAGTATGATGGAAGTTACATACTTTCGAACACGGGGAGGAATTATGCGAACGTTAGAATTGTTGGCCATGCTTTCTTTCCATCAAGGTCATACGCAATTTGCAACGGCAGTTCAAGAGATTTTTAAGATCCATTTGTTTCGTTTTCATTAAGAAAGTGTCAATACGTCGTGTCTTCGATTCTATGTGCTTCATGGTCCAATTATTGCTACAGCGTGTATTCGAAAGTCCAGGCCAGCAGGACTATCGCCCAACTCCCTTTGATCCTCGCCCGTACCTCCGTGTGAGATGCAGAGCTTCTGCAACTCTTCTAGCCGATCAATGGCCATGACGGCGGAACTTTTGTGGGATGTTTGCTTCGACAATCTCCATACGGTCGAGCTTTGCCTGACGTTCTGCTTCTTGTTCCATCATGTCGTGTTTGCGGAAGTGGGCAATGTCTTCTGGATGGGTCAAATCTTCCTCGGTGGTGTCGTCTCCATGGAACTTCTCAAAATGGTGGATCTCATACTCGTACTCGTCATCACCGTGGTGGCCAGGACCGTAGCCAAAGTCGGGTAGCTTGATGCCGTGAGCATCGGCGACAAGAAACTCGGCGAATGAGACGGAGCCACTTCTGTCCTTGTCAAAGAGGTCCAAGATTTTTCTGACGACCTCGTCCTTCTTGTCATCTGCCAAGTCTTTTGTGCTTTCATCTTTCAGACCGTAGGTCTTGCGAATGTCGTCAGGGGTCCATGTGCCACTGCTGTCGTAGTCATGGAGGTTGAAGAAGGAGCCGGCATCGAACGAGGTGATGTGGTGTTCCTCTATGGTAGACGTTAGCGACGCTCAATGCGTTGAAAGAGTGATGGTAGCCTCACCAGCCATGTGCCGTGTGGCCCAGTCTGCGTCGGCAGCGATGGGGGCTTGTTCATGACCGCCACCATGGGCTGAGACCTTGAGGGCGCTAAGGAATACCAGGGCAAGTCCCAACAACGATATTGAGCGCGAGGTAGACATGGCGAGAAGTTGTCAATTGGAAAAGTAGCTATGCGCAATCACCAGGAGTCAACAAGACTTTCTCCAGGAACATGGACGGGCATAAGACGGAAATAGTCATACGTCATATTGGAGGGTCTTGAAGAAGACGCAGACATGCCGTCTGTCTGTAGGGACAAGTTACTCCGTATCTTTCAAGATGTTACATGTTCCAATAGTCTACATCTTCCAGTGATGTAAGTGTTCCGCAGATGAAGCAGTCCTCGAAAAACAGAGTGCTCGTACGTAAGTTGCGACAAACGAGAGCCAAGCATGCTGAATACGCGGCTGTCCCTGGCGGGAATATGAGGCCCATCTCCCGAGGCAAGAGAACACAACTTTATTCCATCCCACCTGTCACTGTCATTGTTTATCTTCAATTTGAGAGGCATCATGTCGGAAGGGTCGTTGGCTGCCGACAACCCCTTCGTTGACCCATCTCTCTACGAAACTCCCTCGGCGCTGCAAGGCGAGGCTACGCTTNTTGTCTCCGAGGATGCGTCACTAACCCTGGGAGCCGATGCGACAATTATTTTGGGTACGCTACACGCCTTGCCCAGCACCCAAGCGCTCTCGCTCACATTCGATANNGACGATCGCTTCGTACATAGAGAGGCTGCCAATTGTTGTGGCCTACTGCCGACCAGTAGGTTCACCATCTCGCCTACCAAGTTCCGCTTGCCTAACCCAAACCTCAGAGNNTCGAAGACGACCCACTCCATCCCGTACTACAACATCCTTGATGCTTCGCTCGACGGTCTCGAGTTGACCATTCAACATGCTCTGCCGACTTCAAAGAAATCTTGTCGTCCGTCCACTATCTCCTATACGCTCATTGATAAAACATCCATCAACGCTGCCAAGTCATGGCTAAGCAAATTACTTGACCTGGCCTACGGAAATTCGCAAAGGTACAAGAGGATCAAAGTCTTGGTCAATCCTTTTGGTGGCCAAGGCGCTGCACAAAAGCTGTATACTAGCGAGGTCGAGCCTCTATTCAGAGCTGCTGGCTGCCTCATCGACGCAGAGGAAACAAAACATTCTGGTCACGCCATCGATATCGCTCGCCAACTCGACGTAGATGCCTACGACGTCGTAGCATGTGCATCTGGCGACGGTCTACCTCACGAAGTCTTCAACGGTCTCGCCCAACAACCAAAACCAAGGCGTGCTCTGCGAAAAGTCGCCGTGGTTCAACTCCCATGCGGATCAGGCAATGCTATGTCTCTCAACCTCAACGGTACCAGTTCACCCTCTTTTGCTGCTCTAGCTATTGTGAAGGGTGTGCGCACTCCACTGGATCTTATGGCTGTGACCCAGGGAGAGAAGTTGTACTGGAGCTTCTTGAGTCAGGCCGTGGGCATCATCGCCGATTGTGATTTGGGTACAGAGAACATGAGGTGGATGGGTAGTGCTAGATTCACCGTCGGCATCTTGCTCAGACTCTTGGGCAAGACTGTATACCCGGCCGAGCTCGCTGTCAAGGTCGACATTGGCGACAAGGAAGCCATCAAATCTGCATACAGAGATACCAGGAACCAAAGTCAGGACATATCTGGTAAAAGGGAGTGGGAAGTGCATCAAGACCTGGACGGTGACAAAGATGATTCGCTTCCTGCCCTCCGCTATGGAACAGTGCTCCATGATGTGCCTTCGGACTGGGAAAAGTCGTCAAAGCCTACATTAGGCAATTTCTACTGCGGTAACATGGCGTACATGTCCGCCGATACACCATTCTTTGCTGCTGCTCTGCCTTCTGACAACCACATCGATATGGTCGACGTTGATGGCACTATCCCGCGTCACAAAGCGATCGAAATGATAACAGGAGTCGAGAACAACAAGACGTTTGACATGGATGTCGTCAACTATCGTAAAGTCAGCGCCTATCGTATTAGTCCAAGGTTGAGACCAGGTCAAAAGACTGGATACATCAGCATCGACGGAGAAAGGGTACCATTTGAGCCCTTCCAGGTGGAAGTTGTTGGGGGTTTGGGCACTGTGCTGAGCCGTAACGGAGCAGTATATGAGTTCGAGGGCCCAAAGTGAATACACTTGGGATAAGGCGTTCCTTTGAGTTGGTGTTTGCTGGTTTTTTCAAGATACCCCCTCTAGTGGTTAGTATAGACCCGATCACTTTGTAGATGCACTATCGATTATAGACTTTTATCAATACAATCATGTATACTGTTGTCTAAGCAAATGTCCCCTTCTCAAACATACCATGGGTAGTACACACACGTTGTCGGTATTCGAAAAATAGGTAGGTGCTCGCAGGATATAGTCTTGGCAACGAAGCTTGTAGGTTCACCCCGCCATGCTCTGAGAGTCGGTGGTTCTTTTTTGACCAGCACCTTGCCGTCGGATTGAGCAACTCACAAACATCCTCGTCTACACAACTCGAAGCAATGGTCGGACCTCCAACTAAGCGCCAGAAGCGTGGCGAAGTGCCTGAGGGGAAGCTGCCACAGAAGAAATTCTTCCGCCAAAGAGCCCACGCAAACCCCTTCTCCGACCACAACCTAACTTATCCCGAGTCGCCCACTGCCTTCGATTGGGCAGAACTATATCCGGCATATGCAGTTCGAGATGGCAAGGAGAACCAAGATGCGTCGTCTGCACAGGAGAAGAGTGTGGGAAAGATATCAAAACAGGTCGAAGTAGCAGATATCGGTTGTGGCTTCGGAGGCTTGCTGTTCGCATTGGCTCCTAAAATGCCAGAGACCTTATTGCTGGGTACGAAAAATCGCCCAAGGCTACTTTGACGGGGTTGTGAGCTGACAAGCAGCGTCACAGGCATGGAGATTCGTTCTGCCGTGACAGAATACGTCCAGACAAAAGCCAAGGCATTACGATCGCAGCATACCGAAACTCAGGCCTTCCAAAATGTCGCCTGCTTGCGCGCCAACACGATGAAGTTCCTGCCCAACTTCTTCACCAAGGGACAGCTCAACAAGATCTTCTTGTGCTTCCCCGATCCGCATTTCAAGGCTCGCAAACACAAGGCTAGAATCGTCAGCACAACACTAAACTCGTGAGTCTTCAGAAGCCCTTCTGGGGCGGACCTTAGAGCGGAGAGCTGATCGAGATCAACAGGGNAGTATGCATACGTCCTAAGACCAGGCGGCATTGTCTATACCATTACCGACGTCGAGGACCTTCACAACTGGATGGTCGAGCATCTAGACGCCCATCCATCCTTCGAGCGCGTCTCTGAGGCTGAGCAGGAAGCCGACGAGTGCGTGGCTGTCATGCGTCAAGAAACTGAAGAGGGCAAGAAGGTGACGAGGAACAACGGCAACAAGTATGTTGCGCTCTTCAAACGTCTCGAAGATCCCGCATGGCCTTGAAAGTCCAACAATTGTTGATTTCGATCATGATTGGACGGTTCATCCAACTTAGCCACCAGAACATTGTTGTCGCTTCTGCCTTTCCAGACGTTCAACATCCTCGGACGGTTGCCTTCGATGAGCATATGTGAACGTCGGCCTACTACTTAGCGCTTGCGTAAGACTCGTTCATCACATACAGCGCAAAGGTCGGAGAGCATACTAGAGTACGACCAAACGTCGCTCGATCATGTAGACCAATCCTGCCCGAAAGCTCAAATGGCTCAGCGTAGAAGAAAAACAGCTTCGGGACAACAGGCAAGCTGTGCTCTATGTACTGGTTAAGTATCTTTCAAGTACAACCATCGAAATACTGAACGCTCCTCAGACTTTGTCTTTGGTCATTCATGACCCCAAACTCTGTCTCGACTCTGATTATCCCTTCCACAGCCCAACTGTCCAGTGGAATGAAGGCATACTCATAGATGCCAATGACATGAACGATTTCAGACTCGACTCACCATCAAACACCTCGTCGCAACTCCATCGTCTCATATTTTCTGTTGAGTAGTCTCCGATGCGCACTCCATTTCACTTCTGAGTCGATACGAAGAAGAGTGCGAATAGAGTGGCCAGCAGTGATGCGCTGAGTAGCAATACAACAACCACGTATCTGGCTCTCGATCCGGACAGAGGCCACTCCTGATTTCGCTTGTCACCAACCACAACGATTGCTGGTGTCGTCGTATTTGTGGTGTTCGTCGAATCTTCCAACAAACGTTGCACAAGGCCCTCCATTGCCTCCAGCCATCCTTCGAGTGCATCCAGCTCCTCGCTAGCTTCTCCCAATGATGTTGCTCGCGCCTCGAGAGTCGTGTGAGAGTTTTCCCCGTGCTTTTTTGGCACATCTATGGTCGAGTCNGCGTTTTCAAGTGACTCAATGAGTGCTCTCCTGCTTCTGTCGAGTGCTTGTCTAGCTTGGGATAGATTCTCGCTGATTTCGTCGAAGTACGCTTGTGATGGAATGGTTGATGCCATTTGGACGGTCGAGATCAGCAGGATTTCTGCTGCCAGACGCGACGGTAACGTTCGATAGTAGAATAGTGACAAAAATCTGTGGTGAAGCCAAACTTGAAGATGAGAGCCAGGTGCAGGAGTATTCGTTGCCTTGGCCAGGAGTCAAGTTTGTGGCACCGCGATCTGACACTCAATGCCTGATCTATCGCTGATTCTGATAATTGATGCAGAGACGTCTGGTCTGAAGAATATGGAGTCGTCTCTGAGATTGCAGAAGAGCAGATTCAGTCACCTGAAAAGACACTACGATGGCAACAGCGATATGACCGCAGCTACTTCCTTCATCTTCAACAAGAGCAATCAGGTTCCCATCATCAAAGTCGCTCTTTCTTCTTTCCGCGTACGAACAACGCTGACGATTATCGGTACAATACACAAAGGTCCCTACTCAGCAGACACGCCAACTCAAAACCACAACTTTGACATCTTTCTGTCAAGCTGTGTACTTGGGATTGCGGAACGATGGCCAACGACCATACCTTCAATGGGAAGTCATCTTGTCTCGGAAATCAATCGGTCTCATCGTTCTTCGAGGATGCCGACCAAGCTCTCATACTCTGATGCAATATAGCCATTGCTTGTCATATTTTCTGCTCCACGATCTCGCTTCTCCCGAGCCACCTCGCTCTGACTCGCCTTGAAAGCAATTTCGTTTTCTTCAACACAGGCAGCTCACCAGGGGTTTCGGAAGAATTTTCAGTGCCGACTCCAAGCTCGGCTATCAATCTCTATTCGAAAATCTCAAATTGAGGCTCCGCGTGTCAAGTCAGACTGAGACTGTCTCTCCATACTGTTCTCTTTTCTCCAACCCAAATCATTCATGTAGCCGACTGTCCTGGACTGGAGCTATGACAAAGCGGACACTGGGTCCGAAGCATAATTGAGAGCCTGCAGGCTCGCGAACTTCGGGTATAATGGAATACAGTGAACAGCCACAGACCCATAATCTGTAGGGGATACCAACGTCGAGGATTAGGTAGTGGACAATGTCACTGCGCAAGATATGAGCAACCGAGTCAGAAGAAACATGACTGAAATCAAGCTTGCGAGACCATGGAGTGTTTCACGGATAGGGATTCCTGTCTGCAGCGACCGAGACAGCTTCACAACGCTTTCTTTGACCGAGACGACTTGAAGTTCGTTCATAGAGCCTCATCGACAACCGAGACAGAATCACCCGTTCAATGTCGAGTATGTTGGTTGAGTTTGGAATACAAAGCAGAAGTAACAGCAAATCAAGGAAGCAGCAATGTTGAGAATTGCATGCCAAATCAACTGGAAGTATCGAAGCAGTATAGGACGCCACTCGGTAGCATGCAAGCATTGGCCTTGCCTGACCAGGATATACAGTCCACTGACGCCTTGACAAGGCTCTCAGGATCAGGTATCTCAAATGGCTCCAGACTCTCCCGCCGTCAAAAGCACGTGGATCGCAAAGTTCATCCAACATCCTATAGCCACAACGTCAGACCGACAACGGACGCCGAGTTATGCTTATCGCACGAGCCTAAAGAAAGCCCGAAAAAACTCCCATGGACCTACAATGTCGTTGCTCTTTTGGCTTTGCAGTCATGTGTCATATTATCTTGACTTGATAGAGCCACAAGCGAGCATCGATACCTCGCCAAGCCAAGAACTCTGTATAACTGTTCTATCGAAAATACAAGACATTGTACTGGTTAGTGGACACATGTTTCGAGACCCGGTAGGGATTGCCTTTTCTTCTTCCTCCTTCAAGGCAGATCATGATCCTCTGCACCCGCGGACTCGGCAATATGGAGAGTATGCCATCAAATACAATCATGAGGCCTTATTTGCCAAAATTTACCGCGAAGAATTAAGGCGGCAGCGACCGTCAATCAGGTACGGCTCTCAACGGCCGCCGCAAGGCGAATCTTGGGTACCTGCATCCGCCAGCACACTCCACTACTCTAGTTGGAGGACCAAACAATCTGGGGTACGAAAGAAGCACGCGGAAAGCTAGTACTGCGAACTTTTCTGGGCTGGTTGGTGGCCTGGTCTGCCTGGCTCCCGGTCCGCCATGCAAGTCATAGACGTTATGGGCTGATCAAGGCACTCAAGGTTGTGGCAGCAAGAAAACCGCCCTGCAGAAAGGAAGCTAGGCTGCCACGCACCACCCAAGATCCCACCAAAGCAAAAAGAAAATGGTTCGTCATGGCTGATCTTCTCGTGTCATCGCCAATGACTAGCCGATCCTCGCCCTGGCGACATCTGTCATGTCAGCTGAGCCTGTTTACGAGATCGGATGGCATGATGGTCGTTGTCCCCTCACGCAATCGATAAGGCCGTGTCGCAACAGTAGTACTCAGTCTCGAACGCAACAGTCAAAACGACTGAGCAAAGCCTGGTGCTTGGATTGAAGAGAGCAAGGTGTGAGCAAAGGGACCAAAAGCCATCGATAGACCACGAGAACTTCCCAAAGCGGTATATCAGGAAACGGTTTTTTGCTCTAGGCTGATACAAACGTTGGCAGTCGCCATGCACACAATCCCGTCGTTTGCGGCGACCTGTCGTCCAGATATGGATACGCATACACGGGAGCGGGCCGTTGAGTCTATTTGTTCCCCTACCTACGGCGCCTTTTTGATTTTCGTTCATGACTACTCATACGCATGCTTTCGATCCCACGCGGACCACACCCAAGATTTAGACCTGAAACAAGCTTCGTGTTCTCTTTCCCTTCCCAATGGCTTGCCCTCTTTCCAGCCCTGCCCTTCTCTCGCTACCGGTTGATCGAGAGCAAAAGCGGATGGACGGACACGCCCGTCTTGCCGACCATCCTGATGACATGCGTGGAAGGCTCTATAGGCCGAGCGTTTTTTGCTCTCACGATGCCTCTTTGCGGTTGTTCAATGCTCTATCGATAGACCGTATGTATGGCGTCGATTGGACGTACCATCACTTAGTCATGGGGTCAACATGCTCGTCAGGGAGGACCTACATCAGGAAAAAGGACATGTCCAGACTCTTATGCTCCACGCAAGATACCCACTGTGGGTTGAAGGATGAATGAAGCAATCATGGCGCGTATCAAACGGCTCCATCTCTTATCAACCTGTTGCAAGTGAGTACGTCGGACTGGACAAGAGTCATGAGCAGGTGATCGTCAGCAGAGAGCAGTTCGTGTGCAGTTGGCAAAGGGAGAGCGTCATATGTGTGTGTGAATGGAGCGCAAGCAAGCCAAATCTTGATTCGGAAAAGTGATTGTTGGCATCTAGATGTCAAATTCCCTTCTTTGCCTGCCCATCCCGTTTTGACCTAGAGTTCCGCCGTTCCTTCCGTATTGGGTATTCCCGTATGTTACATTGCCATGTGTTGCTTGTTCGATGAGAGTAAAAGAAAGAAAGAAAGAAAGAAATCCGGGTTGTCGCAATAGAAATTAGGTGATTAGAGAGAGTTGTGAACGTGAAGAGGTGTGCCACCCATCGTGAAAGAGACAGAAAAGGGATGTTGAAGCTCATATCCAGCTTTTTCCCGTAACGCGCATGCAAGAAACCAGACATTAAACGCCTCGCTTCGGGATATCCAGTGCTGTAAGGCATAAAACAAATCAAACATAGAAGAGAAACATGATAGGAAAAAATTGAAAGATAGTGTAGTCGTCAGATGAAGAGAAGATGGAGAGGTTGAGATCTGTCGTAGAGCAGGCATCATGCCGCAGCCGATTCACAAGAAGATGAGGCAGGGCTAGAACTACCTTTNTGTTTGGCGTGCTTCTCGAAGTATTCGGGTCCATGGTTGGAAAAGGTGTAGTTTTTAGGTCCAGTCTCGACGGCTTTGCGAGGAGTGTTGGATTGCTTCACATCGCGCGGAGGTGAATATTCATGAACGAAAAAATCGGCTCCAGGGTTGACATGCTTCGGAACCTGCGAAGAGCCAAGGACATTAGGGCTGAGACTTGAAGATGGCAGGAAAGGTTGCTGCTGATGAGGAGGTGTCGCTTGCTGCATATGGCCTTGAGCAAANGGAGGCATAACAGGGTAACCAGAGATGACCTCGCCTGTGTTTGTCATGATGTACGACATCTGCGTATCCATGTATTGACTTTGCTGTTGCTGAGCAGGGAACATGACATTGTGCATCTGAGGGTACTCATTAGGCAGCATACCAAGGAAACCTTGGGGATTGACCTGCGACTGAACCATGGGCATTGCCGACATGTGAGGCGGGCTGAAAGCACCACTAGGGAAACATTGCTGAGTTGCCGGGGCGGATTGAGGAGGGGTGTTGTCAGCAGGGACCGCCAGACTTCCCATACGGCTGCGGATGAATTGACCACCGTAGAGAGGCGTTGAGGGTGGGGAGAAGTTCATGCCAGAGAATATGTAGTTCTCATCGCCCTCAGGCAAGCTCGTCTGTCTGAGCATAGGTTGAGATTGCATCTGACGGAGTGTCTTTGCTGTCTTGGTAGGAGACAGCGGAGTCGGAGGAGCGAGACTAACGTTCGATGCAGCAAGACTGGCATAGGCAGGAGAAAACGAGGAAACACGGCGACCGAATCGGGCATTGTTGGCCTCGGCAAANGTGGTGTAGCCAGAAGGCGATCGCTGAGCGGAACCAATGTTCTTCTGAATGCGGCCACCAGCAATGCCGTTCATGGCTTGCGACGACTTGATACGACGAAGACTGTGGCCTCCGACGGCGTGATTGCCACCAACGGCACCTGGAGATGTGGGTAGTGTGCCGCAGTAAGAAGTGCTACGCGTGCTCGCACTAGTGGTGCCCAAAGGAGCAGGGCGAGGACGCTGTCGGCGCGCAGCGATGCTGGATGAGGGCATGGCTGAGCGTTGGGAAGCCATGGTGAAGCTTTGCATCGAACGAGCAAGCTGGACCGTTGAAGATTCGCGGCGGTTGTAGTCGTCACCAGGGAAAGCCATGGGTGCATCGAGGTACTCGCTGGGATCAGGGATTGATTGGACAGAGAAGTCACGACGCATAGCAGCCTCCTGGAACTCCTTGCGGAGATTGTCCATTTCCACGGGAACAGACTGCCCAGGCTGCCATTGAGGAGACGTCACAGTGGCTTGCGAGGGTTTATCCTCGCTTGGCAAGTTCATGTCGAATGTGTCTTCCTTATCCTCTGCTGCTGGCGAGATGGTTAATGAAGGAGCAGATCCCTCAGAACTCGATGAAGCGTTACGTAGCTGGTTGTCGGACGGCTTGAAATCAGGCACCACATCAGGAGCAAAAGAATCGATGCTTTCGTTGGATTGCATGGGANNGGGGGAAGTCAATGGGTCAACAGACTGAGGGTCGAATGAGAAATCGCAAAATTCCGAGTAGAAATCGCCATTAGCAGTCGAGTTCAAGGCGTTGTTTGTATCAGCTGCCGACATGTTGGCGAAACTTGGCTGCGAGTAAGCATCGAACTGAGCTTGGGTCAGAGTGTGTCTGTTGTTGGCTTCGGAGAGCGATCCAGATTGCACTGAGTGCTGGGAGGCTAGAGATTGTGTTGACGCCTGGTGGCGCATGGGTTGTGATGTGATCTGGTCAAGCGATGCAAAAGTGCTTTCAGGCTGGCTGATTCCTAGGCCGTTGGACATTGAGCCGTCAATGATGGAGTTGTCCCGGACACCATTGTACAGATTAGGCATGCANAAGGGCTGGTCGCCAGGCATGCTGTTCATTCCACCCATTGGGTTGATGCCGACGAAGTTCTGCTGCTGCTGTTGGCCTTGCTGCTGCTGTTGTTGTTGCTGCGCTTGCAACATGTTGAAAGCACCGGCAGCCTTTTGNGCATCCTGCTTCGACTTTGCTCTACGGTTCTGGAACCAGTTCTATATCCAAGTTAGCAGGTTGCTTTGGAGGAACAGGTGTGTATAGCTACTTACGTTGACCTTGTCTAATGACACACCCAAGACCTCGGCGAACCTCTTCTTAGTGTTTGTGTTGGGCTTTGCTTGCTTTCTGAATTCATTCTCGAGTACATCGTGCTGTTCCTTTGTCAAGCGCGGCTTGACGTCGACGGCCAGACCAGCTAGGGCGGCAGGGTTGAAGTGTGGCATCTGTCCCAGATGGTCCGAGAACATGTGCGTGTCCCGCCTGGTGAAGTGCCGCGCATGGAAATCTGCTGCTAGGTCTGCATTGAGCCCCGGGTAGTCGGCGAACTCCATATTGGATTGCTATAGGGGAGGGTGGTGAGGACTCGCACTAGGTGAGGGCAATGATGGGCTGGCTAGAGTGCTAGGTTTATGAAGAAGACAGGCCTCGGCGGCAGTGCTCGGGAGAGTTTGTAAGAGGCGGCGTGAAGGCTGGTTGTGTCTCAGATGCGCACGGTGGGTAGGCAGGATCAACAAGCTTGCGGGTTGGCCGGTGGTTGAGGGGGTATGATGATATTATTGCTGCGAGAGGATATGATGGCAATGGTAATGATGTTGGTGGTTGTAGCGAGTGACTGGCAGAAACGCAGATCAACAGGTCGAAGAGCGAGGAACAGGAAAAACGAACGTCGGGGCAGAAACAAGTGTTTGGACTTGGAGGGTGCGAGAGAAAAGGGCAGCAGCGACTCGACGATGAGATTAGGGCGGATCACGACTCGGAAGGTGCAAAGCTTGGGAGCGGCTGCACAGCGCAAAGCAAAGCACAGAGATCGCGGGTCCGGCTCGCAGTGACCGAGCGGGAGCTTGAAGATCGCTTCGATGCGCGCCAACGAGCATGTGCACCAAGACGGCCACGCAGAGAGCGTCTGAGCGCTGAGNCGCCTCCGTCTCACAAACCAAATCACCACATGCGCCGTTGTCTGTCTGGCCAGCGACGTCCTNCACCACTGCCAACATGTTATGCGCAGACGCCGCCGCACAAGCCCCACGCCCACGCTTAGCTAACTTCCAACTGCTCCCAAGCCCAAGCATCACAACTCAACGTTCGTGACTGTCCGTATCGCGCCAGACCCTGCCTTGAGAAATGACTGAATGCCTTGCGTAAACTGCCATTGGGCCGCTCTGCCATGCCCATGCCCATGTCCATGTCTGTCGTGATCATCATGATCTTTTCTTATTCTCTACCTTCCTCATGCCATGCTTGCCGCGGGAAGACATCCAGCACCACCTCGACCAGCACACCGCCTAAAAATAAAGCCTTGTCTTCACGACTCTGTCTCCTGCCCTGGTCCCTGCTTCTGGAATCATGTTTCCTTCCCGCTTTTTCGGCTGACTGTGCATGACCGACGACGAATTGTGTTTATTCTCCGCATCCTTCTTGTCTCTGTGCCATTTGCGATTGTTACTGCGGCATCATGATAAGTTGCAAATCGCCTCCCGCCTTACCGGTGTAATCGCCTAGCAAACACGGTGCGAGAGGGGTCGTTGAGCCACGCGCCCACTCAAATCGCCCATATGCCCATCATCACTTTACGCCACGTCCTGCTGAGCAGAGCAGAGCAAAGAGGATCCACTCGCATGTTTCGGAGCGGACCACGCTAAACCGACCGCCGGCGTCTCGAAAGTGTCGCTTAGTGGCCGCTGCTAAAAATTCGTCCTTTCCTGTTCCTGCTTCGTTTCCGACGCATCACCCCCGCCCGTTAGCTGTGGCCTGTGGGGTCGACTTGCCATGAGGTTTGCGTGCGCTGCCAGGCGCTATGACAAAAGACTGTACTCATGGTCATGCACGACTCGCGCAAGCGAAAATGAAAGACTGCACCCATCTCGTTCCGCTTGACGGAAGCAGTGCGGTGAATACGGATCGAGTCTCAGCTGTGCTGAAGACGACGCATCCTCTTGCGCCAGAAGGGTCCAGCTAGAAGCGGCTGATCGACCAAAAGAGGTGCTTATCATTCATCTATCCAATCGCTGATGCCTTTTCCGACCTCCCGAGTCTTCCCAAAGGCTCACAGCAGGGCAGGATTAGGCAAATGGCGCAATCTATTCTGCCCGATGCGCATTTGTCGGGAACAGCTCTTACCTTCATCTCATAGCCATCATGTTGAACCACATCCTAGGTGTGTCCAAGGCTCGGTCGGCCGTGGCGTCCATCCTTGTCCCCGCATCCTTGACACTCGAACTCGGCGCTATGGTTGGTTGAGGATTAGAACTTCAACTTTAGCCGCTTAAATCGCCGACGCTGCGAGACAACCCCTCCTGTTACAGAGATAACAGCCAAGAGGGTCTTCGCATGGCGCTAAAGTCGCAAGCATTCGACATGACTGCTGTAGCCCCTTTGCTGACAACCTTGGAAACAAATTTCCAGACGACGGCGGCGGCAGTGAAGCGAGCAGACGTTGCGGTGTGTAGTCATGTCAAGGGGAGAATGCAATCACGGAGCGGTGCGTGCTTGTAGCCGCCTGCTGCATGTGCTTGCGCGACGAATATGGCAGCGTACCTCCCTTTGCAGCTCAAGAGAGAGCGAGATTAGCCACTTCCAGCTGTGAGAAGTGACAGCCTGACACGTATGGATCTCGGCCAAGGTTGTGTATAATGACGCAGATGGAAGGAAACTGGTTACCAAGGACGTCCACATCATGCGCCTCACCTGATAGCGATTGGTAACTCGTGAGCCGCTCGGTGGGCTTACTTTCTGCCCTGGGTTTTGACCAGGCGTGAGCAGTTTGGCAACAATCTCAACTGCCAAAACGATTGGCTTCTTCCCACAGAGCAACCAAGGCTATCGCAAAACTCAGCAGGCACGCTCAAAACGTCGGTGCGAGAAGTATTTGCGCAAAAGTGTATCAAGAAATGTTGGAATGTCGGTCTCAACGTCTCGGTCACCATTGCGACCGCTGCGCGATCTCGTCTCGTCTATGCTGAGCTCTTCAAGTGCCGTGAATTCCACCAAGGTCAAAAAGCACAGCGGCTGTTGATCTCTGAAACACTCGACTTTCGCCGATTCGCTGGCGCAATCTGTCAGCACATTTTTTTCTTCTTTTCCTTCTCTTCTCTTGCTTTCGAACACCCCGCCTTGCTCTCACGGAGTACGTTCCCCACCCATCCAAAACTTGGCTATAGCCTATGAGTCGTTCACCTCCTGCTTGACTCCCCTCGGACGCACGAGTGTGGGCGAGATGACTTTGGAGCGGAAAAAAATTTCGGAGTCGTTATCCGTTTCACGGCAGCTCGCAGTCAAGGTCTCGTGCTGTACTGTAACTGTCCGAAAGTGACCACGGCCGTGGGAAAGGTAGATGTCAACTCACGTCGTCTCATGTACGATCTGCCTCGTGTCGAATACCAGCGTGGCTACTTCTGGGTCCTGCAGTGTCACCAAACCCACAAAAAAGACTGCAAGCAGACAAGCGACTGAAATTATTCTGGTAACACGCTCCGACATTCCGAGGAAGTCACTTCTTGGCCTGCATTTCGCACACGGCACGGATCATAAAAGTAGGCACAGGAGCGGGAGCCTGGGGGTGCGACCCTTGCTTGTTCCTCTTGATTTCCCCAAATAGCTGCCTCCCTCTCCCTCTGCCGGGTACCTGCAACAGAGGTTGCAAACTCCTTGCCTGTTCCTGTCCCGTCCTCGTGGGCTCCACGACCAAACATTGCACACACACGCGAGTACGACAGGAGGTAAAAATAAAGAAAGAGTTGTGTGAAAAGACTCTTGTACATGTCGCAACCTTGCATATGACAAAAAGTTTGCATGGATGGACCAGGATGGTAGGTACGACTGATTTAGGTACACTGCACGATTCCAAGATTTTCTGACATCCACTCCTCCTCTATTCTTACTCTGCGTTTGCATACCCCTTCGCTTGCAAGGAGTGGAAAGATATGGACCAAAAATAATATCTGCAAATAGTGACTTGCTCCCATACATGTCGGCCGTAAGTTCTTTTTGCATGCAGTGCAGACCCAGTCTGATGAGTACTTGGAAGATCTTCTGATCCATTTGGTCGAAAAGCACATCTTCACCGCTCCAAAGGGTGTTGATCGTGCAGGAAAGCAAGAAGCAAGAGGCATGCACATGGTGCATCAAGCAAGCACGCAGAGAAATCAAGATAACGTCGCATGATATCCCGACCGAAGAGTCGTATCTTCCAGCGTCGCGCTTGAATAGCCAATGGAGATATCGAGCGTATTTATCAAGCCTCGGTTCACGATAATCGTTTGGGCTTCTAGAGCAGTCGCATATCACCTACCATGCAGTCGTATATCAATCTCACCATGCAGTGCATAGCAGCAGCTGAAAGAGTTCATTAATCTATACTGCAACATTCCAGCATCGCAGCAGCTGAAGGACTTGAATTAATCTATACTGCAGCAAGATTCGCTGGCTGAGGCGTCGCCGGCGCATATCTAGATCTTGGTTGTCTCTTTCGATTCCACACAGCTAGTCGGGATTCCGTCAACCCCCACGGTCTGGGTAGACACAATATAATTCTTTCCTCCCGATATCTCGGTGATGCCGATGATCAAATATCAGATCGCTGGGTTTTCTGCTTTCTACGCATGGCGCTGCATGATGTCTAGTCTAATCCACGTTATTTGTATAGTTATCAGGTGATCGCTGTCGAGGCAGCTTAATGCACACCACTGCGTTCTGATGCGATCTAACAAGCGAACAATCATACCATCTCATGATAGAAGCGACGACAAACGACGTCACTTTAGTCTCACAGGCACATGACTTTGGGCAGCAGATCAGAAACAGCTTCAGTCGTCATAAAGAAGATCATTTTCTACAACAGCAAAAGAAGGAACCCTGAGCAACGCATGTTACCCATCGCGAACGTTGATATCACTAAAAGCTTGCAAGTAAGAGTGATACCAAAGAATCATGGACCGATTATGGTCCCCGCTGGCCGGCAACGAGTTCTACACAGATAACCCCACTATCCGCTCACGGCAGAGAGAAAAGAAAAGACGATTCAAGAAGAAAAACGTGATCGGAATATCCACGGTGTCACTACAGAGACACGGGATTAATCGTCGTTGGTGCGGCTTGCGAACTTGATGAAGGATCCCTTTCAGTTGTAACGGTTAAACTTGGGGTTGATTGTTGCTGGCCCCCTGCCTTTAAACGGGTTTTCGGCGCTGCGTTGCCTTTGCTTATAACAACACAACAGGCACATCTAAGCCACCCCTTCATCAAACTCTGCCATAGCAACAAGAATGTAATTGTACAATGCAGCTAAGGACAAGACGCAGGGGGAAAATTGCAAAAGAACAAAGAAAAGCCGAGGAACAGGTCCAATCTAATTCTGATCTATGGGGGGTTCTCTTTCGCATGCTCGACCCTGATTCATCTATGCCGCGTGTTTTTGACCAACGCCCTGGCAGAGCAACGAATGTGTTGCTCTAGTTATCTACTGGACCAACGCATCCGCGATGGTTATCTCGACTCGACCAGTCTTCTTGTCAAAGTTCTTCATCGTCACGCTGCGCATGTCACGCACAATCCAGGTCGCGCCGGCTTCCTGTAATTGCTGCACTGTATGCGTGGTTGCCAATGCGACTACCTTGTAGCCCGCCGCTATACCCGCACGCACGCCTGCGGGAGCGTCTTCGAGCACTAGAACATCATCGCTGGTGATGTTCAGTCGTTGTGCGCCCAGCTTGTAGCACGCTGGGTCTGGCTTGCCCTTTGCGACTTGCTCGGCGCTGACTAGGTGCTTGGGTGTTGCGAGACCCATCACCTCCAGCCATCCGGTAACCAGCGGCTGTGTGCCCGATGTCACGATTGCCCAGGGTGCGGATGCTTGCTCAAGAGATTCCAGAATCGATCGGCTGCCTGGTATCTCGACGGCGTCGTGGCCCCATTTCTTGGGGATGGCGCCTTCTGCCGCGCAGACGTCTAGCAAAAGCGAGAGTCATGTTAGCTGGTGGGACACTACTGGGGCGAGACATGCATGTGGTGGAGTGAGAAAAGAAAAGATACATCGTGATTGTGGGTGTGCAGTGAAGAGCGCGTACTTCGTGTCAGTTAATCTTTCCGACGTGACTGACGCGATGATTGGGAGTGTTTCTGTTGGAGGTCTCAGTTCTTGCCGTAAATCCTGAGACAAGAGCCGTTATAGGCAAAGCTGGGAGTTACGATGTGGGTGGGCTTTGGTGTAGACATCGAGAGACATGTATAACGCTTTAGTGGGGAGGCACGCTCTAGTTCCTCTATTTTACCCACAGGCGTACGACCCTGTGACAGAATGTCTGTACCGTGATGGTCAAGTGGTTGGTTGTCGATTCCACTCGTGCTTGGTCGATTTGAGAGTGAGCACTTGACTGATCGTCTCGAGCCCGTTTGCCTCGCACAACAAGATAGCCAAGGATAGGCAACGATACCAGGATTGCGACTCGGTGACTCCGAAAGGTGACAAGTGTACGAAAGGACAAAAGAAAGAAGGTTTACGTACACTCCCAGTTGGCGAGCTTTGGTTCCAAGATCTCCAGCACGTCGATTGAGCGTCTTCCATGAGAAGTGGCAAGGATGACTTCAGGATCCACGCCGATTTCCTTGCCGATTTGATGCCAGTGTTTGACGATGGCATTGGTGCTGTCGATGATCGTGCCATCCATATCAAAGAGCTGAGTTGAGTCAGTGCATGTCGACGGACGAACAACATCCAGTGAGGACACGCGTGTCCGATCTCTTCGATGACTGCATCGAGACAGACTTGCTGATTCCAAGGGATATGTTGGAAAGGTCTTAGAAGGAAGGTAGCTCACTCACCAATGCTGAGAACGAATGCACCTCAGCGGGTGCTGAGAAGTTGTGCTCCTCAAGATGCGGCATATTGACTCCGCGACTCCTTGTAAGTTGTTGTATGGCTCTGTAAAGTTGAGCTGAATACGTTTCTTGCGCTATTCAATCTTTGGCGGAGCAGTGTATATGTGTGTTGCAACTACCTGGAGTTGTTGAGGGCAAGGGGCTGCTCAGTTCGCGTATTCGCTGTCGGAGCTTCCTAATTAAGCGGACCTTCCGCCTATTTCCAGGCCACAGTTCTTCTCTAATACTCAATCATAATGACGGTTATCTAAGCTATCTGAGCTTAAAGGAAAGGTTCTGTCTACTGATCATAGCACGTTGTACATTTGACATGATCCTCAAGGGAAACAACAGAAACCTCATCTCTTGTGATCTTGGACGGCTCTTGAAGACAGGGTCGTGCCCTTGACGAGCATTTTTATCCTTGATATCGATATTATAGGCGACACCATAAATCAACAATATCCGGAGTGCATCTGCTAACACTCTTGAGTAAATGAAGCATGTTGATCATCCGTATCCGAAGCTAGAGTGCCATGTAGAGCTTATATATCAAAGTTTTATAATCCGATGTGCTTTTATCCGAATATGATATTGAGTCGCATGCAAACTTACCACTCATCTATTGACCATGATCTTTTAGCATGTTTGTTCGGACAGCATATTCATCTGTGTATCTCAGTACAGGAGCTGTGGGTACTCGATTGATGCGAAACATGCGTCTTGTCAGGGTTGGTTCCTTTGATACTGCATTTCCATAGTGACCCTGTCCTTCTCGAGGTGAGAAGTTTACATCGAAAACATGATTCCAATGAACCATGTCAGAGTTGTTGATAACCAACAGACGAAGTCTTCCCTTGATCGAATATGAGTGTATGATGGACAGCACAAAGAAAATTTGAAGATCTTGGAACGAGCACCAGAATATCTTGACAAGCCATTCTTAGTTCAAGGCCGGGTATCTCGTTAATAAGTATATGCAACCGACATAAAAAGGTGATCATGTAAACAACTCCGTACGCGCTAGAGACCCAGACCAGTAGAAATCACTTTTCCCATTCTTCTTACGACTCCATGGCCGTGTCCACGTTATCATCTCCCCAGAGACCCTCAAGCTTGAACTCCTTGGCCCATTCGGTGACGATCTCCTTCTGATCACCAATCAGACCAGTGCTGTCGCTATTGCCAGGGGTCTTCTTGCCCTCCTTGGCGAGTTGTAGCGTTGGTGCGTCCATCCAGCCTTGAATACGACCATCTCTCCAGTCAGTGACGACGGTCTGTGCAGCAGCGTGAACGTTGGGAACACCACCCTTTCCGAGACGACCGCGCTTACGAGCGACCTGGACAAGGAAGTTTGTGGTAAGGTCGCCGTTAGCAGTCATGATAGCGGGAAGGCCATAGACGTCCAACAACTTTTGGAAGCCATCGGCGTTACCACTCAGACGTTTGAGTAGTAGAGTGACAGCAGGGACGGGGTCATCAATCTCCTTCGGTGGGACAGCGTTGAGCAGGATCAAACGTGCTTGCTCTTCTGTGCGGTTGGCCTTTGCACCCTCGGCAGATGAAGGAAAAACGATACCAGGCGAGTCGAGCAGCTTCAGCTTGCTGTCAATCTTGACTTCACGCAAGCTAGTTGTAACACCGGCCTCAGCACCAGTAGGGCAGTTGCCCTTCTTGCCAAGTTGAGAAGTCAGAGCGTTGATGACGGAAGACTTTCCAACGTTGGGATATCCAATGACACCGACAGTGATAGCGCGCTTGAGTTGGGAAGAGTGGGCGTAGGTCTTGAGGGCGCGGAAGAGGGTCTCGGAGGTACCCTTGACAGTCAGGGCCTTGTGGTCGAAAGTGCGGGCGTTGGCAGCGGAGTTGGCGGCACGGAGAGGCAGGGTAGGGAAAGAACGACGAAGGTGGACGAGCCAGTCCTTGAGAACTTGGGGAGGGATGAGATCGATCTTGTTGAGCACAAGAATCAGACGCTTGTTGTGACCAGCCTCTGCAGCCATGATTTGTCTCTCGACCTCCTTTGACCGTGTTCCGTTGGGGTCGCGAGCGTCCAGGACGTACAAAACAACATCGGCCTGCTCGATGACATTCTTGAAGACCTTGTCGAAAGCGCGACGAGAAGAGTCCTTGCGCACAGCAGGGGCGTTCATAGTCTGTTCCTCACCAGCGATCATGTCGTCGTCGGACATGTCCTCGTCCATGTCGTCCTCATCCTCGTCGGCTTCACCGTCAAAGTCCTGTGCGCGTGCACGTGCTGAGGCGAGCAGAGCAGCCATGGGGTTTGATGCATCCTCGTCCATAGCGTCATCGTCGTCGTCCATGTCGCTAATGTCGATGTCTTCGTCATCTTCGGCGGCAGCGACCTGGTCAATATCCTTGACATCAATGCCCTCGCGACGAGCTTTTGCCAACAGACGAGCTCTTTGCTTCTCTTCCTCCTTCCTCCTCTTTGACTCTTCAATTTCCTCGAGAACCTTTTGCTTGAAGGGGAACAAGTTGGGAATACCGGGATCCTTCTTGATCTTGGATCTCCATTCTGGGTTCTAAGCATGCTACCATCAGCACTCGAGTCACAAGTGTATCTTGAGGAAAAGTCGACATACGTTTTTTGCTTGCTTGCGAAGCTTTCTTTGCTTCTCGGCAGACTTTTTCTGAATGCTGTTGCGCAGGCGCGTCGAGGTGCGCTTCGAGATGGGCTTTCCGACCTTGGGCATTGTGGATGATGAGTGGTCGAGTATGCAGGCNAATGAAACCCTTGAGAAAGTCGGCCGACTCAAAAANATGTATGGCTAGACGCGGAGAAGAGCAGGCGCAAACGCCGGCCTCCGCGCTTGCCAAGTCCGCCGCTCCGCATCGCGCATCGTGCATGAGCTCAAGCAGTCGCAGTCGCAGTCGGTCATAGCCAGCAGCATCCCCGTCTCGGTCTCCGTTCCTTCCAGACACGCAACTCTCTACTTAATCAATTCCTCGCTCTGATCGCTCTTTCCCCGACTCTACCGATTGCGCACACACCTCTTGGAACCTCCTTGTTCATCCTCCCCTCGTGACATCCGTCAACGCCCACGTTACCACCCACCATGTCGCTATTCTGGTCAACCCCTCTAGACATAGACATCGTACTTGAAGATGCCGACGATCGCGCCATGGTCGACGTCAAGCTAGACAAGAACCGTCGCGAAAAAGCTCCCTTATATCTAGACGGCGAGAGTGTCAAAGGCGCCGTCACTGTCCGCCCGAAAGACGGCAAGCGTTTAGAACACACCGGCATCAAGGTCCAATTCATTGGCACAATCGAGATGTTCTTCGATCGCGGAACACACCACGAGTTCTTGTCCATGCAAACTGAGCTTGCTGCCCCCGGCGACCTCCAACATCCTCAGACCTTCCCTTTCACCTTCAAGAACGTCGAGAAGCCGTATGAGAGTTACTCGGGCATCAATGTGCGCCTACGCTACTTTGTCCGTGTTACTGTGAGTCGTCGCATGCAGGATGTTGTGCGCGAAAAGGATCTCTGGGTCTACTCGTACCGCATGCCACCAGAGACCAACAGCGTTATCAAGATGGACGTTGGTATCGAGGATTGCCTGCACATTGAGTTCGAATACAGCAAGAGCAAGTACCACTTGAAGGATGTCATTGTCGGCCGCATCTACTTCTTGCTGGTTCGCCTGAAGATCAAGCACATGGAACTTAGTATCATCCGTCGCGAGACCACCGGTGTACCGCCAAATCAATACAACGAGAGCGAGACGCTCGTACGCTTCGAGGTATGCAAAAGCCCCTACGCATCCAGCATTCTCTCAGAAACAATCACTGACTCACTTGACAGANTCATGGACGGCTCACCTTCCCGCGGCGAAACAATTCCCATCCGTCTCTTCCTCGGAGGCTTCGACCTAACACCCACCTTCCGCGAAGTAAACAAGAAATACTCGACACGCTACTACCTCTCTCTGGTGCTCATCGACGAAGACGCCCGCCGCTACTTCAAACAGAGCGAAATCGTGCTCTACCGTCAAGCACCCGAGGGCGTCGAGGCCGCCCAAAGGCAGGCCAAAGAGATACAAATGAGCTGGAAGCCAGACGCCCCATCGTGATCTCTCTTTGCAGCTATGAAATACGGAAGTGGTTCGAGGGAAAAGTGAAGTAGAGGTCATGTTGGGACCTGGTTCAAATAATGGAAAGCAAGGAAAGCAAATTTAGTGTCTGTCGTTGTCAAGGTTTTGGTTCTCATTAAGGGCTCAAGACTTTTGCGCAAGAAAGCGAGGCGTTCATTGGCGTCTCTTGAAGGTTGGTTAAGGAGGAAGAGGAAGGGGTTGCGAAAAACACCCTTTCAGGCAACAGCAGTGTTGCTGCATCATGTCATGTTCGTTCGTAAGGAACGAGATGCCTCATTCAAACGTGCTTGATGTACATACGAACGAAATATTTCTTTTTGATTCATCATCATTGATACAATCGACTATCCATATGCTCCTAAGGGGGTTATCTCGTCAACTGAAAAGAAAAGGTATAAACAAAGAAATGTAAAACGCCGTATATCCCCCTGCCCTTTTTTATACAAACACTGTCATGACATGGCTTCCTCTCCATTTTAAACCTCGTTGCTGGGGTAAACGACCTTGTTGCTACCAACAAAGTCCTCCTTGATGGCACGCATGCTAACAAAGCGAGCCAACAGGTTAGCGCTACCAGCCTTGTCGTTGGTACCGCTAGCTCTGGCACCACCGAAAGGTTGCTGTCCAACAACAGCACCGGTACTCTTGACGTTGATGTAGAAGTTACCAGCAGTGTTGCGGAGAGCCTCTTCAGCAAAGCGGATGGCATAGCGGTCTTGAGCAAACACTGCACCAGTCAACGCATAGTCGGACGAAGCGTCAATGTCCTTGCAAATGTTTGCGAAAGCGTTTGGTGCGGCGTCATCGTAGACGTAGACGCACAGCACAGGGCCAAAGAGTTCTTGCTTGAGCAGAGGGTGTGCAGGGTTCTTTGTGGCGTAGATGGTGGGGTGGATGTAGTAGCCCTTTGAGCCATCGTACTTGCCACCAACGAGCAACTCGAGTTCAGAGTCGTTCTTTGCGTCGTCAATGACCTTGCTCAACTTGTCGAAACTGCCCTGGTGGATGACGGGACCAATGAAGTTGGAGTAGTCCTCTGGGTCGCCGATCTTCAGCTTCTCGGTCTCGGAAATCAGACCCTCCTTAACGCTGCTCCACAGCGAGGCGGGGAAGTATGCGCGAGAGGTGGCAGAGCACTTCTGGCCCTGGTACTCGAAAGCTCCACGGACGGTGTTGATGACGGCGTTGTTGACGTCGGCAGAGGAGTGGACAAGGTGGAAGTTCTTGCCGCCAGTCTCACCAACAATGCGAGGGTAGCCCTGGTAGCGGCCCTCAGCAACACCGTTGGCGATTTGGCCGTACAGGCTGCGGAAGACGGAGGTAGAACCAGTGAAGTGGAGAGCGGCGAATTGACGGTGGGCGAGGACAACCTTGGTCACCTCAGCAGCATCACCGGGGAGGAATTGAATAACACCTTCAGGGAGGCCAGCCTCGAGAAGGATCTTGTAGAGAAGGTAGTTGGAGGCCATGGCCGAAGGAGAAGGCTTCCAGACAACAACGTTGCCCATAAGAGCAGGGGCACATGCAAGGTTACCACCAATAGCAGTGAAGTTGAAGGGCGACACAGCATAGACGAAACCCTCGAGAGGACGGTACTCGACACGGTTCCAGACACCAGGAGAATTGTGAGTGGGCTGGTGGGCGTATGTGTCCTGAGCGTACTGGACGTTGNNGAAACGAAGGAAATCGCACAGTTCAGCGGCAGCATCGATCTCGGCCTGGTATGCGTTCTTGCCCTGGCCAGCCATGGTTGCTGCCATGATATCGTAGCGGTACTTGCCAGCGATCAGGTCGGCAGCCTTGAGGAAGACAGCAGCGCGGTCGGCAAGGGGNAGGTTCTCCCATGCGGGCTTAGCAGCCAAAGCAGCATCGATGGCAGCCGAGACATCCTGAGAAGAGGCGTTGGAGTAGGATGCAACAGAGTTGGCGTGGGCCGAGGGGTCGGACTGCGAGAGCTTGGTCTGGTTCGAGATCNNTGCCATTGCGTTTTAGTTGTTTGTTCGTCCTTCCTCGGAAATACTCATTCTTACAGTCTTGCCAGCAATGACAACAGGAACATCGACGGGGGCTTGCTGTCTGAAGCTCTTGAGAGCAGCTGCGAGCTTCTCGCGATCCACGGTACCTCTCGAGTAGGTAGGNCTGTACCACAATGTTAGACCGAGTATCCAAATGCTCAAGACTTCACAACATACGTTGGGCTCGTTGTTCACAGCTGGCACCTTGAAGGTCGCAATAGTGCGAGTGTTCTTGATGCCATTGGCGAGAGATGCGGCTTTGGGAGCTTTGAGGTAGCTCTGGAGAGTAATTCTGGCGGCCATTGTGACGAACGACTGACAGACGACTGAGATGACAAAGAGAAAGAGAGGCAAGGACAGATTCTGACACTGTCAAGACAGCTCCAGTTATTTATCTGGCTACACTCTCATGACCGATAGTCTGCACGGCTTGCGTCGGTTGGAAGCGGCTGTAACAAGAATTCCCCACGCCTGGCCGCGTTTAAACTCCCCGAGTTCGCCGAGGCCAAGGCGGACCATATTGCAGTCCAAAGCCGATCAAGGACGCTTGAATACTGACATCAACTGCAGACTTATATCCGCTTGTCCTAGCGAGATTGTTCCAAAACATGGTATCAAGCTTCTGCCGTTCTTTTGTGTCCCGGGATGAATAGACTTGCGTTTGCAGGCCAGCAGCAAGGGGCTTGCCAAAAACAATCATCTCTAAACGTGTGCAGAGAAGATCAACTATTTACAATGAATGAGAAAACACGCCACACTGTCGTCTGAGCAAGAAGCCGAGGCGACAAGAAAGGGCTGGCTATATCGAAAATGCCACAGACCTCTCGAAGCCCTGAATGGATACACAATGGGAGACAACCCAACAACGCCAGACATATACAAAGAATGCGGAAAAAACAAGGACCGACCTATACCATAACCTTTCTTGAAGTCATTTCTTCGTAATCGAGACCTTGCGTGAGCTATCGAAACTCGACGGCGCCGACACAGCCTCGATCTGCTACATGCACCAACTCAAGTTGTTGGTATCTGTAATATATGTTAGCGTCTTTATCTTTGTGGTGAATGCCGTGTCGAAGGAGATTGTCATACTTTTCACTTCTGGAATGGAAGTAGATGCCAGACACAGAGCCATTGCGCTGGTTAAAACAGATGTAGTAGAACCCTTCAAAGCTCGCTCCAGTGATCGACTTGACCTTGTGATCTGGCACCAGAAAATACTCTTTCCACCTCATAAAGAGATGTTCGCGCTGGGCATAATCCTGGCATGTGAAGTTGGGCGATTTGGCGTGCTTAGCTAGAGGCTTCCATGGTGGGAAGCGCGCCCAATGTTGCATGTCGACCTTTTCTGAAGAACCCCATTCTGGATGTGCGGTGCGGAAAGAGTGCTTAGTGCCAATGATTTCACCTTCGAAATACGTGGTTAATGTCGGATGGTCGTCTGTGAGTCCTGTAAAGAATCAGCAAGGTGATCTGAGGGTAGCTATCAATATGCCCTCACCCTGAATGCGCAAGTAGCCGCACACGAATGACTCTTCCATATCGACATGCTTGATCTCAACCTGAACGTCATAGGTTTGACGATCGGATTGTTGTGTTCCCCGAAACTTGCTACCCGACTGAAAGAAAGACGATGTCACGCAAGGTATCAANCTGATCAGGCACAACGTCAGCGGCTACATGTCACTGCATCTTCAGGTAGTACGAACCCTTTTTCTGCTAAGAGGGTAGCTCGAATGGGTCGGAGAAGAATGAACCGCGGTTAGGGGTGTGGCTCGTGAATCCGTCTCTTTCGTATCGTCGTTTACTGGGCTAGAAGGAGTTGGCAGACGCGCCTCTTTGACAAGGGATTCTTCGTCAAGGTCCATAGGTTTTGTGAGCGGCTCGGACATAGTCGGCTCTGAGTCTCGTTCGTCGTCAGGTGTAGGCATCTGAGCGACAGGTTCGGCTATGGTATTACGACTTGATTCAGGGGTTGGCAGGACATGGTTGTCTTGTTGGGTGTGGGTTGTTCGATCTTCTGGTGGGCAAGTCGCGTGAGTTGAACTTGATGCGGAGATGTCGAGCGTGGGTGTTTCGTCATGAGGCGTGGGCATGTTGCGCGATGGCGACCAGGCAGCAGAAGAATGACTTTTCGACCAAAAAGAGAGTTCAGGTATCAAGGGAGACAAAGGTACCACGGGGTCAGTCAATTAGGAACATAGGAAGGTTTATGCATGAGAAGGGACAGTGTTTGATTTGCAGAAACGTGGACGAGAAAGTCACCATCCTCGACACACGCTGAACTCGCCAAGACATCGCCTCCGGGGGAAAACCTTAGTGTCCTCGTGGTCTGGGCCGAGTCTCAAGGGTCCATTATCACTGTCCTGCATCTGTGCGCAGCCTTGCGAATCGCATTTTAACGTAACTGACTTCTCTATATTGCTTGTTCAACCTCTCGGATGCTTCGTCGTCAGTTGACTTTTGGTTCTTGCCGCACCTGAAGGTAATCAGTGCTTTCTCCCTAATCTTACCAAAGCAATCCAGAGCCGTGTCCAGTTGCCATATCCTTGTAACAATCGGCCGTCGTGTTCGCATCAGAATCCGAGTGAATATTCTCTGCAGCGATTGACCGTTGTAGTGATCTTTTCGAGTACCTGAACGCCGGACCCGACCTTTTCCATTCGTCCTGGGACCATAATATAGAGCTTAGATAGGCTTGATCTGTGAATTTGTGAGTAACGACGCCGCATGATACAACAGGAATCCTGGACCCACCTTGAAGTGAAGAGCGATCAATGAGAAGACAAGTGCCTTGAGATCTTGCACAAGGTAGTAGAAGACACGAAGGCCTTCGGGATCCTCTGATTCGTTGACGTCGACGAGAGATCCGATCTTGGCTGTNCTGTAATGATGCATCAGTATAGTGAGCCGGAAAGAGTAGCTAAGAATAAAGACCTCGAATGAAATGTGCTCATTGCCCAGGCGAATCTCAAGTTCCTGCCTACCGTCCTTGTTCTTCTGCGGCCACTTGGTGTCGTCTTCCNNCTGTAGCAGCATTAAATAAACCATGCGTCTTTGGATTGTCGATGTCAATACTTACTTCAGAATCTCGCTTTCCTTGATGATACGCTTGATTTCTTCGATCATGAGCGAGCTCACACACACNTGAGAAAGTGTCAGTCAGGTTGTTAACTGGGATTCGTCTGACATACTCTCTTTGCGAATCAACGAGTCGTTGCGGTAGTTGGAGTTGTTGGCATAACGCGCCGAAGCCGAGCGGCCATCGCCCAAGGCACGGAAGTCAAACTCTNNTGAGAAAGCTCAGTACACACAAGGAACTTCGCACAGGCAGAGTTGAATACCTAGAAACTCATGTCCGAATCTACCGGAGTGGCCTGAGCTGTGATGGGATTAGCGATGGCCCAGATGTGAATGACGGAGAAGCTTGGGCGGTGGAAGCGATGAAGAGTTTTCGAAGAGTGCAAAGAATGGAAGGATCAACTCACTAGTAGCGCAAGTAGAATGGCTCGTTGTTTGCCATGATATGTGGATGGGTGGTGGTGTAGTAGTGTCAAATGTGGTGGACGCGCTGCGGCGTTGGTGGACGATGGAGCAAATGGCTCGATTTGGTTAGTCGGGGTCGGGGGTGTGGTAAACGTAGCCCAAGGACAGCTCCTGAACAACCAAGCCGCCGCCTAGAAGACAACAATTTACACCTTTGTGCAACTCGACGCCCTCTGTATCTCGCCAATCGCCGAGAGATCCATACTGGTCCCTCGAACCGCTGTCGCCCGGCCTTCTCACTCTCCTTCCCAGCTCGAACTGCGCCGCTCAAGTCCGCCCACAGGACAAGAAGGCCAGGGGATCCGCAATACCACAACGACAACTCTCCTTGTTCCGCACCCCGCGTGCATGGTCCATCAATAGACATACTCAATAATGGCGACCTTCCTCGACAATGCATACAGCTTGGTGCATCAAGACAACACGGCCGACCAGCCGTCGTTGCAGGATCTCAAGAACCAACTAGAAAAGGGCAACGACGAGTCCAAGCAAGAAACCATGAAGCGCATCTTGACCATCATGCTCAATGGCGACCCAATGCCCCAACTGCTGATGCACATCATCCGTTTCGTCATGCCCTCCAAGAGCAAACCTCTGAAGAAGCTGTTATACATGTACTATGAGGTCTGTCCCAAGCACGATGCTGGCGGCAAGTTGAAGCAAGAGATGATTCTGGTCTGGTAAGGATACCTCTGCACCACGCTGATGAGCTTCGCCCACTGACTGCGCATTCTCATAGCANACGGTATCCGTATGGATCTGCAGCACGCCAACGAGTACATCCGCGGCAACACTCTCCGTTTCCTCTGCAAGCTTCGCGACGCTGAACTCATTGAGCCCCTGCTTGCACCCGCACGTCAATGCCTCGAGCACCGTCACTCATATGTCCGCAAGAACGCTGTCTTCGCCATTGCTTCCATCTACCAACACAACGAGGCTCTTATGCCTGACGCTCCCGAACTTCTACAGGCTTTCCTCGAGTCCGAAAGTGATGCTACCTGCAAGAGAAACGCCTTCGCTGCCTTGATCTCCATCAGCCACGACCAGGCGCTTGAGTATTTGAGCTCCGTCTTCGAGGGTATTCCCAATGCGGACGAGCTCCTCCAACTCGTTGAGCTGGAATTCATCCGCAAGGACGCTGTCACCAACTCTCAGAACAAGGTTAGTGTGTCAAATCATAAGCTACGTACCTCATCTGACTGCCAATAGGCACGCTATCTCCGTCTGATTTTCGACCTTCTCGAGGCCAAGGAGTCCACCGTCGTATACGAGGCTGCATCTTCGCTCACAGCTCTCACCAGCAACCCTGTCGCAGTCAAGGCGGCCGCTGCCAAGTTCATCGAATTGAGCATCAAAGAGTCGGATAACAACGTTAAGCTGATTGTCCTTGAGAAGGTCAACCAGCTGCGTCGCGTCAACGAAGGCATTCTCGATGACTTGACCATGGAGATTCTGCGCGTTCTGTCTAGTCCCGATCTGGATGTCCGTAGAAAGGCTCTCAGCATTGCCATGGACATGGTTTCGAGCAAAAACGTCGAGGAGGTTGTCTTGCTTTTGAAGAAAGAGCTGTCCAAGACTGTCGACGAGCAGTACGAGAAGGTTTGTAGGAAAAGTGGCCTGCATTTGTGCAATACTGACATGTCTCCCAGANACAACGAGTACCGCTCCCTGCTTATTCACTCCATCCACCAGTGCGCCATCAAATTCTCCGAGGTCGCAGCCAGTGTCGTTGGCTTGTTGATGGACTTTATCGCCGACTTCAACAATGCCTCTGCCGTCGATGTCATCCAGTTTGTCAAGGAGGTGGTTGAGAAGTTCCCCAAGCTCAGAGCGACAATCGTTGGACGCCTTGTCTCCACACTCAGTGAAGTCCGTGCTGGAAAGGTCTACCGCGGTTCTCTTTGGATTATTGGTGAATACTCTCTGGAGGCCAACGATATCCGTGAAGCCTGGAAGCACATCCGCGCCAGCTTGGGAGAGATTCCTATCCTTGCTTCCGAGCAACGCCTTCTTGAAGAACAACCCGATGGCGAGCCCAACTTGAACGACCAGGTCAACGGAAACGCAAAGGCTGCCCCAAGTGGTTCACGAAAGGTTCTTGCCGATGGTACATACGCTACTGAAAGTGCTCTGACCAGTCAATCCGCTGTCAAGGCCAAGCTGGAGGCTGTCAAGGCTGCTCAAAAGCCCCCATTGAGACAGCTGATCCTTGACGGCGACTACTACCTTGCAAGTGTTCTTGCATCTACCTTGACCAAGCTTGTTATGCGCCACAGCGAGATCTCAGATGACCAGGCTAGAACGAACGCTCTTCGTGCTGAGGCTATGCTCATCATGATTTCCATCATTCGTGTCGGACAATCGCAATTCGTCAAGCACCCCATCGACGAGGACTCTATCGACCGTATTATGTCCTGTGTGAGATCATTGGCAGAGTTTGCGCAGAAGCGCGAGCTCGAAAACGCCTTCCTCGAGGATACTAGGAAAGCTTTCAGAGACATGGTCAATGTTGAAGAGAAGAAGCGTGCCGAGAAGGATGCTCTCAGCAAAGCCAAAAACGCAATTCAGGTTGACGACGTGGTTTCTATCAGACAGCTCAGCAAGAAGAATGCCGTGGATGGTGCTGATGAGATTCAACTCGATCTGGAGAAGGCAACTGGTGGTGACACTGCAACGGAAGACCTCAGCTCGAAACTCAGCCGTGTCGTGCAACTCACTGGTTTCTCCGACCCTGTGTACGCAGAGGCATATGTCCAAGTCCACCAATTTGACATTATTCTTGATGTCTTACTCGTCAACCAGACCCAGGATACTCTGCAAAATCTGTCAGTAGAGTTTGCTACTCTTGGTGACTTGAAGGTTGTCGAGAGACCCACAACGCAAAACTTGTCAGGTTTGGATTTCCTCAACGTTCAGGCTACTATCAAGGTATCTTCCACAGACACTGGCGTCATCTTCGGAAACGTTGTGTATGAGGGTTCTTCATCAACAGACCAGAACGTCGTTATCTTGAACGATGTCCACGTCGACATTATGGACTACATTCAACCAGCTCAGTGCACGGAGACACAATTCAGAACAATGTGGACCGAGTTCGAGTGGGAGAACAAGGTCAACATCAACACCAAGATGCCAGCCGGCAAGGGTCTGCGCGACTTCTTGAAGGGATTGATGAAGGTCACAAACATGAGCTGTCTAACACCGGATGCCAGTCTAAGCGGAGACTGTCAGTTCTTGAGTGCCAACTTATATGCTAGGAGTGTTNTTCGGTAAGTCGATGTTTTAAGCTCGTATCACTACTCGAAGCTAACAAAAATAGGTGAGGATGCTTTGGCCAACCTCAGTGTCGAGCAAGAAGGTGACAACGGCCCTGTCACTGGTTTCGTACGGATAAGAAGCAGATCTCAGGGACTGGCTCTCAGTCTCGGCTCACTCAAGGGCTTGAACAAGATTGGCGACTATGTTTGAGATGATTTCAACGATGCGAGATATGCTAGCCCAAAGTAGTGCGAGATTCGTTACGGTTCCAATGGTAGAGGCTTCGAACAGGAGCATGTAAGGTAGTGGGGAAGTGTCTATCTCCTTCAGGCTATGGCGTAACAGAAAAGTAGAGTGGTAGCATGCAAGGATACTATTTATTTTCGTACTGTCAACACGCACCTATCCTTGAGTCGGAGTTTCGAGATGCAGACAACACGTCCTAACGCGCTCCTTTGTGATTCAAAAAAAAACTGACGAAGCTAATGTTGGCACACAGTTTCTGGCTGAGAGTGTGTCTAGTAGTAGCTCAACCTTTGTAGGCACATGCTTTTGCAGCATTGTGGCTACGTACGTGCGTGTCGAACTGAAATCAGCTTATACGAAGTAAAGCTATAAGATGCCGCTGAATTTGGTTGACATGGCTTTTTTCCTTGCCGATGCGATGTACTCAAGCCGCACCCGACTATCATGCACTCTCATCACAACACAGCTTAACAATCAACTGTCTACGAAAACAGGTCCTGTGCACTGTTAATATATTTGCATTGTATATACAATCCAACAAGTCATCCATCCATCCATCCCTCCTCGAGCCTTTCTCTCAGATCTTCTTCATCTCGGCCTGCTCCCTTACTCTTTCTGGCACGATGAGCTTTCTCTCCGTGGTGATCTTCCATCCCTTGAGTCCTTCGGGATGGCCGAGAGCGTTTAGTGTCTTTTGCTCTACTAGGCTGTATGCGCTGCCATCTGTCCTGTCAAAGTTGAAGGGTTGTTTGAGGGCTACTGGTGGGTTGGTGATGAAGCGAGGTTCNTGCAACAAGACGCCAGTCAGCAGAGTTATCAACGCAAGGAGAAAACCAATGAGTCTGGTTGTTAGAGTGAAGATGGATGCAAAACACCTTGATGGTAAACACATACCTCTCAAATAGTTGGGAGCAGCCGAATGCACCATCAACGGATGCAAGAGATAGATATCCCCTGCCTTTCCTATCGCAGTCCTAAATTTTCCTTTTGGCACTGGCCTAACAGCTTCATCAAAGAATCCATGATTAAAGTCCTTGTAAGGCTTTTCTCTGCCCTCGATGGGCGTCATATCAGGCATCAACCCTTCAGGATGCGCAGCCAAATGCTCAGCCATTGTAGGTATAGCATCAGGACAGATCATCGTACCTCCACCCCCAATCTTAATATCCTTGAACAGCACAATCGGCAACAGCGCTTGTTCCTTGCTATCCAAAAAGTGGTGGAAGAAGTCGCCGTCTACGTGCCAATTGTCTCTGTCATGTGGATCTAGTAGCTTTTGTTGGGAGGGTGTTAATCCATCGGCGCCAGAAGCAAGGCCTTGCTGTGCGGCTTGTTTCCATTTTGCTTCGTCGGCTTTGCTGCCCACGTTTACAATGAAGCCGTCGTTGATTACCGACAGGGAAATGTCTTGAACCGAAGAGTCGAGGCCGGGGGTTGATGTGGAACCAGTGTCGATACGATCTTCTCCACCACAGAGTTCGCAGATTGCCGACCAGGCTTTGGGACAGAATTCTCGCATGGGTATCGCGTCGTGGTAGCGAGGAAGGTGGACTGGTGTTTTTCTTCCATCAGCAACGCACTTTCCCAGATAAGGCAAGAGTGATGGGTAAACAAGATGGAAAACGTGGTACTTACCTCGCCACGGGCTCCATGTTTCTTGATCCTCAGGATTCATGTCTAGTCGCTCCCACACACGATCCATGAGTCCTTTACACATATCATCCTCTGTCGAAAAGCAATCTTCGAGTTTGATGAAGCCATGTTCGAGAAAGTGTTGTTTCTGCTCCTCGCTCAAGCTATAATCCGGCATTGCTGAAATCATGTTGACTATCAAAGTCGACCAACAGATTGTTGTAAGGGGTTATGAGGCTCTTCTCGAGTATTGATATACACCAGATGGCAATGCCGAATGCGGGGTGGAGTGGTGGGGTTAAAGGTAGTGCAACGATATGGCGGCTGAAATTAGGATTTTAGGCTATCTCCGGCTATACCTGCGTGCCGTTTATGTATCTCTCCTTTGCCATGCCAATATTAGTCCCATTGGAAGTCCTCTTGGTAGAATCTGCAATATAGGCAAAGAGAGCCTCATCTTTGTGGTGCGGCACATGTGCCATGTGATCTGATTTAGATCTGGATTGGTAAGTCGCCAAGACAGAGTGTAGCATTGCGACTTCCTAATTCGATCGAGATCATTTAGACGCTGTCGCTAGGGGCGTACGCTTCGAGCGGCTGTTGTGTCAAGTTAAAGAGTCGTCTGAGAACATGGTAGAGATTATGAAGGCGCTTTTGGAAGAGAAGACCGCGCCGATAGATGTGAATTGCCCTTCTCTGACAATTGCATTCCCAGGTCGTGGTCGGACCAGAAAGTGCAGTTGTGTCCCGTTCTGCTCATGAATGTTCTGGTGTTGCCATGCGTGATTAGATTGGTGCCAAACGCACTCGTGTATATGGTTCATTGAGATCGAGTTTATGCTGTGTCTAGATCATCATGTCGAAATCTTCTCTATCAGTGTATGCATCTTGGGTATCAGTTCGGAAATCTTGAAGGGCTTCGTGACGACGTCGTCCNNTGGCGCATATGTTAGTCCACGGCAACACGATTATGGTTACAGCATGAACTGGCTCACCATTCCTGCTTCTTGTGCCATGGTGATCTGTTCGTGGCGGGCATTTGCTGTGACCTGTTGCACGCGTCAATACGTGCGAGCATTGGAAGTATCGGTTCAACTTACAGCTATCACTGGCACTGGCCTTGTGAGTTTGCCTTGCTTTTGCCACTCTCTGATTCTTCGTATGCATGTCAAACCGTCCATTACTNNGCGAAGGATTTAGTGTTTTGAAACAGCAGTATTAGTTGGGGTTGGCTTACCTGGCATTTCAAGATCCATGAGGATGATTGACAATGGTGTTGCATATGGCCCACAGTCTTTTGCGAAAGATGTCTTTTCTAAGAACAACAGAGCATCCGCACCATGATTTGCGACATGTACCTCGCACTTGGCCTTCTTGAGCTGCTGAGCCATCACNCTGCAACGACGTTAATACAAGAAAATTATCTTGGTGCTTGGAGAATATACCTTCTGGTTGATCAGGTTGTCCTCAACGATCAAAACATGTAACGTGTTGGCATCGCTCGGTGAACCTACAATCGGATTCTGAGATGCTGAGTGAGATCTGTTGAGGGGTGCAATGTAATTGGGATGCGTGACACGTAACCCATTTTCCTCGTGTTGGGACTTCTGGCCATTTTGTGAATTCTCCTGGCCATCGTGCGGTGATTTGCTCTGTCTCGGTCTCTTTGCAGCCGTCTCTCCAAGATCAAGAGTCTCTCGTCTGTTGGAAGTGGCGGCCCGGCGTGCTTTCACGTAGAACTTGAAGTCACTTCCTTTGCCTGGCGTGGAAGAGACTCCAATACGGCCGCCTTGGAGCTCGGCCAATTCTTTGCAGATGAACAAGCCTAGACCGCTTCCGCCATAGGTAACGTGAGTTTTTGGCGACGCCTGCGAAAACCGCAGGAACAGGTTTTTCATCTCATCGCTTGTCAGACCAACTCCCGTGTCGTTCACTGAAAAGTGTAGGAACAGGTCTTCGCCGGTACCCCAGTCAGGTCCTAGAACCGCCTCTTGTTTTGAAGCTCTGGGGAAGAAGTATTGTTCACCATCGCTTTTCATCGCCGGACTCTCCAGAGATGCGCTGATGGTAACGGTAACCTTTCTCTGGTCTTGATGCTTTCTTGACNNGGATGCTAAAATTACCTGATGAACTTGGAGCAATCTTGACGGATCGACACGCGTTGCACGATGACACATATCGATATCCGCNAATTCTTGCAGTCTGAGCGCGTGCTCAGTCTCGGGATCGAACCTAATCTATGCTCTCAAGATACACCACAATGATGACTCTGATACTGTCAAACAGCTCTTATGTCATCACAGATGTATCGTGGATATACGTACATTGATAATACGTTTCTGATGCTGTGCACACAAGATGATAGTCTGAGTAGACTCCAAAATGTAGTCCACTGCCTCGCGATCGAATTTTGTGTGTGTCTGATTGCCAGAAGATCCTCGAGCTTCCAGCACAGAAGTGTTGACTCCATCGGCGCACTGCAGAATAGCTGACAATGGATTTCGCATCTCGTGAGAAACGGTGTCGATAAAGGATTCACTCTGTCGCTTCGCTTCAAGAACATCCAAAAGTCTCTGCTCCTTCAGCTCCTCGGCCAGCTTCTGATGCGATATATCAGTGTTACAGCCCCATATTGCCTTGAGCGAACCGTCTTCTGCCAGCTCAGGAAACGCGGATGAGAGAACCCAACGGCATTGCTTTGTCTTCTTGCTCGGTTTTATACATATCTCGATATTCGTTGAGATTTGGTCTTCGGTCAATGATTTCCAGGCATCCGCTAGCGCTGGTTGTGTTTCGTCCGTTATCCTGTCCCACCAGATAGGACGGCCGTCTTCGCCTGTCTTCGAACAATGTGCTCCGAGATCCATCTGATCGTGCCATGTTTGATTGCCATAGACAAGAGCACCATCAGGTTCCAAGATCCACATGGCAACGTTAGACATCTCGGCAAACCTGCTGAATCGAAGCTCGTTGATAGAGAGCTGGGCCTTGAGTTGCATCTGTCGCCTGTTTTCCTGTTCAAGAAGGACCACTGACGCGGCCGAAGTGGCCAACTGTTGACTCCAGAGGCGGGTGTAGCGCTGGTAGTCGGTATCATACGTCCGACGTGGATTGAGGCCCATTACCACGAATCCAATTGCGTTCAATCCCTCACTATCGTTTCTAGTCGTCGGTCGTATTGGCATCACTACAGCATGTGTGATGAGTTCATCGAAAGCTCTCCCTGGAGTGTCTGATTTGAGCCAGTCGGGTGTCTTTTCATGCGCAATCTCCAAGAGAATAGGCTCGCCAGAGCTAATGGCCTTCTTGACGACCTGATGAAAACCGGGTTCTTCGAGTGCAACATCGAAGCCGAGTGGGACCTGGGTCATAGATTTCCCAATCACACCAGCCAGACTGCAGCCTCTGGGAATAGTGATTCGACCAGAGGAGGACACAGACTCCGAGTACGAGCTGGATCGAGTCGATCTGGACCGGGAGCCGGACCGAGTTTCAGATCCATTTGTTGAAGATCGTTCTCCATCATCGTTGTGGAACTCATAAGCGATCGCATACGGTATGTCCCAGATGTTAGCTTCGAACCCTTTGAGTACCGCATCCCAGTAGTGTGCCATATCTCGAGCACCGCCAGCGTGGTTTCCTATGTCGATCAATGTTTGAGTCCTTCGCTTAGCTAGATTCTGATCCGTGGTCTCGACCGCAGTGTGATAGAAGCCTACTACTTCCTTATTGTTTCCAGTAAGAGGTATGAAAGTGTAGTCTACAAAGACTTCNCCTGCTTTGGATCAGTATGCTGGTGCCTGATGGGTTTCTCATAGGGACACGTACTCGTTGTATCCATGTCGTTTCAAGAATAAGGGCACATCCTTGTGGCGCGTCGCCAGGCCCTTTTCCCTACCAAGCTTTATGATTGGAGCAAATTGAGGCTCCCAGACTTCTGCATATGATACCATTGGAGTTCCTCCCATTAGTTTTGGATGTTTTTCGCCAGCAAATTCCACGAATCCATCGTTATAGATCATGGTGAGGCTGTCCCCCCACATGATGGCGCTGGGAGTCGGATCCAGCATGATCAGATCTATCATCTGATGAAGTTGGTGTGGCCATGTTTCCGGCGGTCCTATGGCAGTGGCGCCCCAGTCCCTACTGCGGATGAACTGGGCGTGTGGACTTTCATTGCTCTGCCAGCCGAATGTCGGCATCTTCGTGAAGCCGATTGGAGATTTTGTTCCTGGCAGCAACCTTTACACCATCCCGCGAAATTCCAGACCGAGATAATTGCTTGTTTTCCTGATGCGGGGGGTATCACAGTATCGTTGTTTTGTTTGAGAAGAAGGAGAAAGCGCTGTTGTACTCCACGCGCAGAACGAAACAAGGTTTGGGCCTGGGCCCACAGACGTCACCTCTGGGCGCTTGATCTTCGATGTTTGCATCCCACGGAGGACGCTCGACTTTTTGGAGAATTATGCATCACAAACTGCAGGTGTTATGATCTTACCAGCAATTAGTCAAAGAGCGTGGCTACGTAAGGAATCGGCCATGAAAGAGACAAAATAGTGAATCAAGTCCAGCCGTCACTGCCAAAAGCGACGACTGCATCGAGCCCCCTGCACGAATCATGTCACACCGGAGAAACGGTTTGGCTGGAAAGTCCGATAATTTCTGCTACCTGGTAATTTTTCTCAACAAGAAACGAAGACATTAATCTGACAGCATAGAAGAAAAATGATACCGAGCAACAAGCTACCGAAAACACCAACATCTAACCAAAGCTGCTCACTAAGCCTGTATGACCAAGAACGACAAAAGAGAATTTCATAAGAGAAGAAATACGAGGCGAAAGGACAAATAATAAGCAAGTTATGCATCGTCAGAAAACAATCACTCTCTGTTCATCAGCAACGGCTCCTCATTCTTTGTTATGCTGCTCATCTCATGATGTGTGAGCTTGGTCTCTTGAGATTCAGCACCAGTCACGACAGCGTCCCCAATCACTGGCTTGACCGATTGCTCCATAGTGTGAGGATGAGGATGCACTTCTGCAGCCGAGCTCTCGAGGTGCTCGTCAACGTGGTCATGTACCCCGGCGTCTTTGCTATAGTCGATCTTGTTGCTGGCCGACATACGTTTCTCTTCGTTGCCAGTCACGGAGGATGAGTATGCTGAGCGAGGAATGTTTCCTGTGTTGGTAGGCTCGTTCGCCTTCTCGCCCTCAGGATCTGAAGCTTGAGTGCCGATCATATTCTGCTGCATAGCACTCATCACTGGACATCCTGCGGATAGCGCGGCGCTCATGCTTGCACCAGATACAGGACATGTAGCACTAGTCGAAGTGCTGGTAGTCTGAGCATCTGAGGCCGCGGTATTGTTCGCAGGTTGACTTTCGTTCGGATGATCTGAACTATGTGCCTGCGCGAGTTTCAGGCCATCTTGCGATGGGACTTCGATATCGAGGGCAGCCGAAGGATCAATCCTCTTGTCAACAACCTGCTTGTTGACAATGCCATTGGGCGCGATCTGGCGGAACATCTCCAATGGATCGAAGTACGTGTTGACGTCTTGCAGCCTTACTGCATCATCCACCGTCGCAATTGTGATTCCGGTAATGTCGATAGCTCCTCCATGAGCCTTGGCTGTCACCTTCTCTCCTTTGNNCTGCAAGATGTCAACATTGTGTCATACAAATTGGATATGTATTCCTAGAACTTACTCATTGAAACCGACATAATCGTTCTTCATGGTGCCCCAATGTCTCCACTTGAAGGCGACCTTGGGAGGACCGCTATAAACTTCTAGGACCTCCCATGCGAAAGTTGGCATCATACGCTTGAACGTTTTGTGGCTGCTTGCGAAGTCCGAGTACACAGGGCTGTAGTATTCGTTCGGCGCAATGATGGCGTTGTATGTTCCGACCTTGAGCATGTGTTCGCCTGTTTGGCCAGGACCTCCATTGATAGCAAAGGAATATTTGCCGTGGTCGATGGTTCGCCAATCCGAGAGCTCAGGTTTGAAAGAGGCCTCGACCTCCCAGTTCTTGACGAGGTTCTCAACCATAGATTCGAGGCTGCCAGCTATGTGATTCGCCTGTTTANNGCTTTTGGAACGTTAGCCTTTTAGCCTGGATATGCTTGACGTTACACAAGTGGGGATGCAGCTTGCAAGCGCCAAGTCTGGTGCAGACTGCTCGGACGATAAGGCAGATGCTCGATTGCGATGCATCGTGGGTAGGGTACGATCTCAAGCCCACGTGCTGATGTCTTCAGGGTTGTGCTGACAGGTCGGTGGTCGTACATGGAAAGATGTGTGGACGAAGAACAATGAAAACGGCGGATACTCACTTTCTGCGTACACCTTTCGTGTCTTGGAATAATCCGGTGCTCTGCCGTATCGCCATTTTGACTGGGTGTCCTTGAGTACAGCATCCGGATCGGCGAGATAGTCTGGAATTGATGGCTCAGGCTTGTCCTGAACAGGTTGTTGGACCTCTGCGGTAGCCATCTTGGTAGAGCAGTGTCCAGAGAGGTGTTTTGTCGAATCAGATGTTGCCAGATGTCTGAAGAGCTTACAAGCAAGGAAGTTGCTAACGTGGTAGCTTGAAGAGGTGAAGCTGAGACGAGAAGGAGGAGGAGATTTATATATCACCTCTTGAAGAGCTCCAGAGGCACTGAATCGAGCTTCATCCCCGCGTGAGCACAGCCTATCATTTGGAGCATTGGAGTAGTGGGACGCATGCGTTGATGCAGCACAAGGTTGCCCGGTCCATCGGCAGCTGCGGAGGTTGCATGCCCGAGAAAGTGTGCCAGCTTGACCTGAGACTGTTACCCAAAAGTGGTTTAACTGAGCTGTTTGAGTAAGCGACAAAAGTATAGCCATTGACTTTGGCTAGCCAACTTTCCTCAGACGCGTTCTTGTTCATCGTTTGCTCGAATACTACTCCGATTGACCGCCAGATGACCACCACCAGAAAGTGTCATCTGGCTCAACAAGGCTGAACGACTTTAGTATGGTGCGAACGGCACATTACAGAGGGTCCAGATAGCTTGCCGACTCGCATAAGTTGGATTTAGCTAGTAAGGCGTTCGCGCGTCCTTGAGCCGTCTATTCCTATTCCAACTCTGTTTCTTTGTCCCCGACTCCCCATCGCCACAAGCTAGTCGAGTAGCAGCTGAAGACAACTCACACGCGAATCGGACTTTGCTCCATGATGACATTTGGATCGAGGTAACGTTGTTGGATTTTGCTGGTCAGTTGTCGATTGTTGTTGTTGTTGTCGTTGTCGTCGGAATCTGGTCAAGGACATGGCCCGAGAAGGAACATCGGCACGGCACGACCATCCCTACGAAGCTCCATGCATGGCGCCCTTCCGAGATCTGGAACGCAAGCCTTTGATATACAACAATACTCCGGCTGAATCCTTCGTGAGCTTTGTTTGGTCCATGTGGCTCGTATTCCGAGTGTGTAGAGGACGCGTTGTGATGATTGCTCAGCTGTGTATGCAAGGGCGGCTGGTTGTACGAGCAGCCGCTATTTCGAGGAGTGCCGCTGCGGCGGCTAACCATGAGAGCGGCGCATATCAACGGCAATCTCAGAAACGTGCGAAGCGCATGTTTGGTGTGTTTGGTTGCCTGCAGTTCCCTCTCCACATGAATGCAGATGGCTGTTTCGGTACTCCAAGCGACGACCATCTTACCAATCTTGACGCAAATCGCCACTATCAAGATTTCATCCATGTTGGCGCAGGTGTTGGATGGGTTCCTGAACACGTGTCCTGATGGCTTTCAGAATTCACCAATATGATGATCTGAGGTTGTGAAGAACAGATGTGCGAAACATTGCCCGGGCACAGGAGCTGACTCCGTGATGGTCCGATTTTGTGACCTCGAGCAGGAGCTCGCCGATCATATTGACGCTAGACGTATAATTCGGAGTGGTTGTTCTTACTCCTCAACTACAAGTCCCTGATTAGCCTCGATTGAACCCTGCGATGCTTGGTCATCGATGCGGAAGCGGTCAAGATAACACGGCATTGGTTGTTCTTGTCATTGTTGTCTATGGACCAGAAGTATTGAATGAAGGAGGGTCATAACACTCATTTGACGAAAAGAGCGAAATACACAGTGCAGGCCGCTTAGCAGATGATGGGTGGACACAGCCTATCGTATGCCGGACCGAGTACAACACATCAGTTGTATGAATACAGAGAGATCAATTTTCTAAAAGCCAGGAGCAAGCGGATGGGTATCTAGGTAGCAACTAAAGTAGAAATGCGCTGAGTAGTCTCTGCAAGATTTAGAGAACGGTTGGCTAAACAGTGTCTCTAGCTCTTAATCTCGACCATCTCATGACACATCGAAAGAAATCTCTGACGATATTCCTCTGAAGTGGTGGTGATGCTCATATGTCCTTGACGATCAACAAGGTTCCATGCTTTGATCAACCATGTCATGACCCTTGGTTGCAGCTTGTGCTTAGCCCAGAAGAAGTCGAGGATGGCAGCACGAAACACAAACTTCTGATCAGCGGAATACACTCCGGTACGCCAGGAATTTGTTGGTGGCACAAACGGAGGTCTCTTCGATTGTTGGATGGCTGCCTCCTGGCTTTGGCGTGCAGACGTATCGTCGGTACTGCTAAGCGGAATTCTGACCAAGAACAGCGAATAGTCGACAGCATTGCACTGTTTGAGCAACTCGGTATCTTCCGAAAGTTGTTCAAAGAGATCATCAGCCTGGGACTGAGTCAGGACTATCTTGTCCTCGAACTTGTCTGCTAAACGGTCTTTAGTGGCGTCAGAGGTCAGCTTGCCATTTGCGATGTCTCGCTCGGGGAAAAAGTACGACGTAGGTTTCAGGTCCCAGGTCTCCCATTTCGACGTGTCATCCTTGTCCTTGCCGATTAAGAGGTTCTCCATGATGATATGATGAGTTGGTGCAGTACCAAGCAGGCCGCCTATGCCGAAGCGTGACCATTCGAGAAAGTCAGTAATCCGGATGAGCAATGACTTGGTGTGTTCAATCATGTGGTTGTAGTAAGGTTCCAGGAATTCGTCACGGAANAATGAATGCTCGAACCCTCGAGGGACACTTTTCACTAGATATGCTCCGTCTCCAGTCGTGTAGAAGGTCNNTGCGTATTGCTTAGTATGCTGCTCTCGCACAGTAGACAATCTGCTTACGCTTCCGGAAAACCCCATATCGCCATTCGATTTCAAGCCATTTCTCTGACTAAAGCTATCTTTGTAGTCTTCGTCATCCACCTGCCACTGTTCGCGTAGTTTTTCGAAGAGATCATTGCGATGTTTAGTCAACGATAATTGGTAAAGCGCAAAGAAATATGCGATGGCCGCAAGAATCCGTACAAGCAGCGATCGCACCTTCGCTCTATTGTTCTCGAGAATAGCATAGACTATCGACCTAGCAACTTTCTGCTGACGCGCCATGATGAATGACACATGTGAGATTTTGGGAAAAGGTAAGAGAATCAGAACAGGTCGTCGAACGAATAGTTGGAAATTGCCAACCCTGCTTACGTCATGTAGCCAAGCGATATCACATTAATCTTTCACATAAGAAATGAATATCACAGAGTTCATGATGGAAAGTCAAGATATGTTTGTATATGGTCAGACCCTGGCGGCTCATGAGCTGCCAAATAAAAATCAATCATGAGCAAAACGGTAAGACGTTCAGTCGGGTGCTTGTGGGGCAACTGCTCTTGATGTGTCGCACGCATCAATCACGATGGTGCCTTCTAAGTTCTAACAATCACACACCGACTTTTTATAGTAGGAGTAACCGGTCTCTATGTAATTACTATACAGAGGATCCTACATTGTTTTCAACACTATCTCTCGATCGCTAATCCCATCGTTACAGCACCATGTTTCATTATCAAACGTAACCATGACCATTCTCTTCGCAGGCTCAAGCCGAAACTTGATCCCTCACTCTTCTCAACAGAGGTGTATTCTCACTATCGTCATTGTCCGAGCTGGGGTATGGCATCTTCTTGAATTCGCCGTCCAGGACAGCACCAACTCTCCAAGTACCGGCTTTCTTGGCCTCTTCGAAGAACTTTTGGTTCTCTTCGAAGCTACGGCCACCAGACTCGGGTTGGTAGAAGTATGTCCAGACTCCGGCGAACATGTTCGAGAAGCCGAAGACAAGGAAGAGCCAGTAGTTGAGGTTGTTGAAGAGGATGGGTGTCAAGAGGGTGACAGCAAAGTTAGCCACACCCCATACGACGACACTGACAGCTGTTCCCTGCGCACGAGCAGTAGTAGGGAAGATCTCGGTCGGAATAAGCNNTATGGTTTGTCAGTATTTCTACCTCGATGTTCTGACTCTGATCAGACTTACCCAAATGGTTGCGAGCCAGCCAATGCCGAAAGCTCCGGTAGCAACGTACAGAGCGACAATACCAGGAACAGCGACAGCCACATCCGGAATACCCAACTCCTCTGAATTGAAGGCCAAACCTCCGAACAAAGTGAGCAGGAAAAAGCAGACTGTCAAAACGATAGATCCACCAAGCAGCACATTACGGCGGCCCACAGCGTCAACTAAAAGCCAGGCGAACGTCATCAGGATGAAGTAAGAGACGTAGTTGCCCTGTGTCAGGTATTCGGACATGCGCGTGTCGAATCCGAGCAGCTCGAAAATCTGCGGGCCATAGACCGAGACGGCTCCGTATCCAGTAAGAGCCTGGTTGATCTGACCCATGACAGTGACCATGGTGGGATGGAACTGAGCATGCCCAGGGGTAAGCATATCAGTGTAAGTGACATTCTTGGAAGACTCGTTGTCGTTGGATTCGATGAGGTTGTCCAGAGTCTCCTTGGCCTGGTCTTCTCCGTAAATTCTGGTTAGAGCTGCTTTGGCATCGTCCTTGCGGTCGTGAGAGACGAGCCATCTAGGCGATTCGGGCAGAATGCCAATGAAGGCCATCAAGAGGACAGGGTATATCTGCATGATGATGATAGGAAGTCTCCATGCCCATTGATTGGACTTTCCCAGAGCAACAGTCAACCCGAGCTGTAGATACAATTAGTCATATGAGCCTTTGCATGTAGGTGATATTGAACTTTCGTTGATTGCAAATGCCATGTTTAATCCGAAGATATTCATCTGAAACTCTTGAGCGAGTGCCTTACCGCGGGCTTCGTCTTCGGATAGCTCGGAACTNGCGTCAAAAATCAGTCTAATACACCACGCTACTATGATGAAGACTGACCTGTAGACCGGAACAACGGCATCAACACCACCTACGCCCAATCCCATCACAATTCTGCCAACAATCATGACAATTATGGCCCCTTGAGAGAACTTCAGTCCAGCAACAAACATGACCAAATTTCCTAGCGAAGACATGGCGAGACATCCAAAGAGAGCGGGCTTTCTTCCGAAGCGGTCGGCCAGGAACGAGAAAATGACAGCTCCAACAGCAGTACCCAGGTAGTACAAAGCTACAATGAGACCAACGATGGGACTCTCCTCAGGAAGACCCATTGTGCTGAGATAATCTTCATTGGTGTTGATCAAACTCATCATACCTACCAGGTTGTCAGTATCGATTCAATTTTGAGGATCAAGCTTCCTACCTTGATCGTAGCCATAAAGGGCGATCGCGGTCGACGAGAAGACGACAACTTGTGTGACCTTGTCCATCTTGGCTGTCGTATCTTCAATGTTACAAAATGTCGAGTCTAGCTTGCCAAAAAAGACAACGAAGGCACAAAAGTTTCACTCGGGTGGACTGCGTAGCGATTTTGTTCAAGATTGGATAGAGTAGATGACGCAGCAGGTGCAGCCACAAGCCCACCTGATCTGTCACTGCATCCCCCTGTTGCGGGGCAGCGCGCATACTGAGATCGAAGAGATGCTCGTGTATCTTGACTTGCAACTTCAACACGAGAAGGTTATACGCAACGGCTCAAGCAAAAGCAGGATTCAATCGCCAGCAGAGTTGAGCATGTTGTGAAGATAACACCAGACATTGGGCATGCAGGGACTCGCGATTTGCTGCACGTTTGTTTATTTCCGCGAGTTTTGTGCAACAAAAACGTCTACAGTACAGGCTTCATGCGTCGCGAGTCCGGTCCGCGCCTGCCGTCCTGATGTTTTCTGATTCACGACAGATAACAACCCAAAAACCAGGTCGAGGAAACATCTTGTTCTTGTCGCTTGCTCATTCTGCCTAAAGTTGCTTGCAAGTTGCAAATGACTGACTACTATGTCGGAACTACCATTTCGAGACATCTTCCGATCGGCCAACCTTCCTTGTTGGCTGCAATGACTTCGTTGAGACACTCCGCCCACCAAAAATTGTTATCAAGGTCTTCAACTTTCGTGAGTGACTCCACAATGTAGTTTTTAAGTATGAAGGTAAGCCGACAGCGAGGTGTTCATAAGAACAACCTTTGAGGGACCTTGAGAGTGGGTGTGCTGGATCAGACCTCTCACCTTAATCGCTTCCTTCGAGAATCAACACACCCAAGCGCGGCAAGATGAAAGCAATAGCTATGCGCCTTCCAGCGCCTTATATTCTCTGTTCTATCCTCGTATCTGTCGGAGGCCTTCTCTTTGGTCTTGACACAGGTTGTATCGGGCCTATCACTACCATGCCAACCTTTCTCGACTCATTCGGACCACTCTCTTCAACCATTCATGGTATCCTCGTTTCCTCGATTCTGATACCAGCTTCATTGACATCTTTCTTCGCTGGCAATGTTGCTGATTACATGGGTCGTATCATTACTTGCTCTGCTGGCGGCTTGATCTTTGCAGCAGGAACTGCTCTAGAAGCCGGTGCTCAAAATCTCGCTATGCTGTTTGTCGGACGCTGCATCACTGGTGTAGGCGAAGGACTTTTCCTGAGCACCCTTGTGGTCTATGTATGCGAGATCGCTCCAGCAAGACAACGAGGTGTGCTGGCTAGTGTTCAGCAATTGCTAGTTACCATGGGCATTGCAGTCGGCTACTTCATCTGCTATGGCACAGTACGAAGCTCCACCTCAAGTTTCAGCTGGAGATTTCCCTTTGCTTTGCAGAGTTTCCTCGCCTTCTCTTACGCAGTTCTGGCTTTCTTCTTCTTGCCGGAATCACCTAGGTGGCTCAAGAGTAAAGGCCGTATAGAGGCTTCACATGAAGCCTGGGACAAACTAGGCATTGCCGATGCCGAGCGCGAGAAGAACGAACAACAAGACCAGACTCTTACGGTTCAGGAACCGGAGAGTCTTGCACTGACGCCAATTCGGTCAAGGCAGAGTGTGCACAATGCCTCACAGATCTCGTGGCTTGCGGTCTTTGCGAAGGACACACGCAAACGCACATTTCTGGGTTGCTTTTTGATGGGCATGCAGCAACTCTCAGGCATTGATGGAGTGCTCTACTACGCGCCCTTGTTGTTCCAACAAGCCGGCCTAACCAGTAGCACCTCTTCCTTTCTAGCGTCTGGCGTCTCAGCTCTCCTTATGTTCCTCATCACCATCCCCTCTTTCATGCTCGCAGACAAATGGGGCCGCAGAACCTCCACCCTAATCGGAGGCCTCCTTCTCTCCAGCACAATGTTCATAATCGGTGCTTTATACGCCTCCAACTCCGTCCACGGCGACCACGGCCCCGCTCGCTGGCTCGTCATCATCCTAATCTACATCTTCGCCCTAACCTACTGCACAACCTGGGCCGTCGGCATAAAAATCTACGCTTCGGAGATCCAACCGCCGAAAACTAGGGCGCCGGCTACTTCGCTAGCGCAATCTTCAAACTGGGTTGTCAATTTCGTGGTTGCGTTTACCACGCCGGTGTTTTTGCAGCATTCGACCAGTGGCGTTTACTTTATGTTTGGCGCCGCGAGTTTGTTGACGGTGGTTGTTTGTGCGACGGAAATGCCAGAGACGAAAGGGAAGACTTTGGAGGATATTGATAGGGCGTTTGAGCATGGTGATGATGGTCAGCAGACTTCGGTGAGATTGAGGATGGTCAAGTTGTTGAGGAAGTGGCAGCTTAACAGTCTTGATCAGCGTAGAGCGCCGGTTGAGGAACATGAAATGTAATGCTTACTAGAAAGAGGGGATTGGGAAGTACTGGGTAGAACGGCAACATAATAGATGAGATTAGATGGCGAACGGAGAGGGTATCATGACAGACTACACGAGGAGGCCGAAACAGAATGACATTGGCACAACATGGAAGAGGAGCATGAGCAAAGCATAGCATAACGTTAATCTAATGGTCTAAAGTTTTTCTACTCCAGCCTCAACTTTTGACGCTCTCCCTTTGGAGTGACGCGCAACTTTATCAGTTTATCCATCTGTGCATTCCAGCTGTCACGGAACACTTCTTCGGAAAAGCGTTTGGCGCTCGTCCTGGCTCTCTTGCGCATGGCCAGTGTCTGTGATGGTGACTGGTCCAGTGCTTTGGCGAATCCTTCTGCGAATTCTGTAGGTGATTTTGCATGGAAGCCNTATTGAGAGACTTGTCAGTAAAGAGCTCGAAAGATTGGGGCAATATAGCACAATAACTCACCGGTGGGCTTTCCATCGATCGGAACCACGATATCGTATTTGGGACCACCACTGTCATCAACCACAGAGATCAATCCAGCGGCTTGGTACTCGACGACACCAATGCCAAAGTGTTCGTTCCACATGCCATTGACGCCGATCCAGCTAGTTCTCAAGCGATCTAGAATCTGCGACCACTTTGCGTCGATGATGAAGTCGACGTGGTCGGCAATGTGTTGTTCACGCGCCAGCACACGTAGCTTGTACACCAGCATCTTGTCTTTNTCATCGCGGACCGAGCCCACAAGCACCAGTCTAGGAGTTTCTTTGGCGTCGTCCTTACGAGTGCGCAAGAACTCAGCGAAGGCCATGATTATGTTTTGGTGGTCCTTTTCAGGGCGGAACTGTGCAATGTAGAGTATGTCCTTTCTCCTGCTCTTCTCAGACTCTTCGGAGACTTCAATCTCTTGTTCCAACTCTTCGACAGCGACGGGTGGGAAGACGACGAAGGTGTCGCGTGTCCAGCGTCTCTTTTGACGTGTGCGGCCCCAAAGGGCTTTGATGTGGTTTTGGGTCCAGGTGGAGTTTGTCATGACGACGTCGATCTCAGCACCAATCCAGCTGTATAGACGGGCGAAGAGATGCCAGTATGCCTTCTTGGCTTTTCCTTTCCAGCCACTTCCCAGGCCTGCGTTGACACCGCGACCAGAGGCGTCTAGGCTTCCTAGCATGTCGGTGGAGATAGTGGGGTAGTGGACGTATGCGCCAGTAGGAACGTCGAGGAAGAGGAAGTGTGAAAGGGCGACGGTGAAGGCGTAGCCCATTGTATCGATAAAGATGTCAGGGACAACAAGATGGAAGGCATCCCAGCCGACGATCAAGCTGCCGATGCTCTGGCCGAGGAGGGTGAAGTATGGCCAATGTTGAGCGAGAAGGAAGTCGCGGGTACTGAGGTAGAGGAAGGTGAGACGAGGGGCATAGAGGGGGNNGATGTTGAAGCGGTTCTTGACGTTTGCGATGATGGTGTCCTTGTCGACGTCGTGATCACCGGTGTAGACTACACAGAGGGCTTTGGGGTAGCGTTCTTGGGTTGCGCGGATGGCTGCCCATAGGACTCGTTCGCCGCCTCCTCCTGCATTGCTATGTCTGTTGTCAGTGTCTTGATACAGAGGCGTGTTCGACTACATGTACCAGAAGGGGTGAAAGAAGCCAATGATGCCATCCCATTCAGATGCTGGCTTTCCATTATGGTCTCCTTTGGCTAGACGATCCTTTTCGGATACGGCAGGTGAGGATTTCTCTTCGTCGGCAGCCCTCTCGAGCAGTAGCTCTCTCCTTGTTTGAGTCCTGGCGCGAACAGTCGAGCCGATGTTTTGAGCAATGAATCGTCCAAGGTAAGGGNNAAGCAGTAGGTAGGTCAGACCGACGGCTGCGGCCGCCAGCGATAGAAGCAGAGCTAGGCCAGGCATGCTTGTGTGAGACTCATGTCATGGTGGACAATTACACCTGTTGCTTCGTATTGCGTAGGACGCGTATGACAGCTCTAATCAGCCCACCCTAACCCTGTCCCTGTTTCTGACCCTGTTCCGCAGCCACAATCGTCGGCCCGCACCCTTCTCTGGCTCCGGCTTGGCAATATCGCAAATATCAATGTTCTGCCCATCTAACATCACATGTTTTTAAACACGTCAAGCCATCTCGTCCTGGAATATGGTCTTGTTAGCAAGGCCTACTGGTCGACTAATCTCTGCCCGTTCACCCCTCCTCCGCAAACAACATGGCGTCCGTCAGTATTCCATGCAAGCTGTGCTTGAACGAGGCTGTAGTAGTCTTCCAGATTATGTCGCCCTCATGCCTGTGGCATGTCTAGAATCTATTCATTCCACTGGCTTACCCTGGTTTGCTGCTATTCCGCTATCCGCTGTCTTGATTCGCTCACTTGTCATCTACCCGCTATTCCAACGGCCTCTGCGTGAGAAGTTGGTTGACCGCGCCCAAACTCAGCCTCTGGTAGATGCTCATATGACCACTGTGAGACGCGCGCTGCAAAGACAGATCAACAAAAATTCTCCCTTGAACAAGCTGAATCTGGTCTTGAATAATTTCATAATCAGACGACGCATTCAAGCAAACATGTTTGGCCGCGTTTTACCTGTTGGCCATAGGACTATGATGTTCCTGACGACAATTCTGGTTTCTGATGGCTTGAGGAGGATCATGGGTGCTAAGGCAGGCTTGGTGAAGTTTATCTTGGGACCTTTGGACTGGACTTTGAGTTGGCTTGTTCCTTCTTCTCCGACCGAACCAACTCCTGGACACACATCCGAGGCTGCGTCAGTCATTTCTTCTCCTGGCCAGATTCCGGACCAGGAGTCTGTCAATCTTGTTGGGGTGCCGACAAGTGCTCAAGATGTCTGGTCAGCTACCGAGACTACTCAAGATACGGTGGGTGATTTGGCACAAGAAGCATCAACAGCAGTAGCAGATCATGTCAACTCTGCCTGGTTCGATCCGACTCTTTTGACCGAAGGATTCTCCTGGTGCCCCGACTTGACAGCCTCGGATCCTACTCTGATCCTTCCCGTCATATTCAGCAGCACCTTCTTCGCCAGCATCTACTTTGCACCACGCATACAAGGCACCGTCACCACAACAGGAGACAAAGCACAGAGCGAACGTGCAAAACCGACGAACGGACAGAGAATCATGATGACCGTTGCAACACTGTCTATCATACCTGCTTTGCAGATGCCTGCTGGTCTTTTGCTCTACTTTATTTCCAACATGGTTACCAACAACTTGCAATCGCGTTGGCTCACCTACACAAAACCAATCTACCCTGCACCGACTGCCTGCAGGCGACCTGTCAGAATGCAGCGTATCAAGGAGATTGCAGAAGATGTGCTGCCCAACAAGGCCAGATCAACCTCAAGACGATAGACCACTCGAACTGGACCGAGTCTTCTTAAAAGACTCATCGATGAGTTCCAGCAGAGCGAAACTCGCGAGGATCATGAATCCCCCAACATGTACACTACCACATTGTACTTCTAGAACATCATACTCATCCAGTATGCGAAAGAGTAACGAACATCATGACTTCTATTCATCAGTCTGTCTAGTCCTTCTTTCCGTCTTCTGCGGCGTTCTCGACCACGTCCACCATGAATCCACCTCCCAAAAGAATTGCTGGTTCGTCGATACTTTGGTGCTCGTAGCTNGTCGTCGAAAGTTAGCACACAATCAACACCATCACTTCACAAACAACATACCTCAGAGTACCCACACCACCAGCATCCAACAACATACTCGGGTTGTCCGCAATGTTCTTATTGATCCACCTCGCCGCGAACGCCCTCAGAATATGTCCGTGTGCTACAATCAACACATCGTATGGCTCAGCCTCAGCCTTGGGCTTGCCAATAGAATTCTTGTGGTACTTTTCCCTAATCTCTGCAATCACAGCATCCAAGCGCTCGGTGATTTGCTCAGGGCTCTCACCACCCGGACATCCATCCTTCCAAATATCCCACTTGTGCTGTCCGGCCTTTTGTCTTTGCTCGGCAATATACTTGCTCGTCAAGCCTTCGTAATCGCCATAATCCCATTCGCGCACACTCTCCGTGACTTGGACTTTGGCAGCAGTCTTGACATTGCTGTCATCGTGTTGTTTTGTCGTTTCCCACGGCATGGGGTCTTTGCAGCCGAGATTGAGCAGTTCGAGGGTTCGTTGGGAGCGTGTGCGGGGAGATACGTAGATGTGAGCGAGGTTTCTGGGCACGATCAGGCGGTCGTCGCCAACGAGGGCATTTCCTGTTGCGCGGATGCGTTTCTCGCCGTTTTCGGTCAGTGGGATGTCGGAGGTGCCTGTGTGTCGGCCATTGAGTGACCATTCGGTTTCGCCGTGGCGGATGATGAAGACGCGGGGTGTGATTTTCTTGTCGGACATGTTTGCAGAGTATAACAGAGTATATAGCTAAGAAACAATGGCTCGAAAGTCAATGGGCAGGTCAATGTGTTTTGTAGATACAGGTCGCGGGGTCCCCGGCTGAAGGTGGGAGCAACGTCATCATCGATGACATTTTATTTTGGACCATGTCAGACCTTCGTCGTTGTTCATATATTCTTTGCACATCACCTCGCTTTCGGGCGGCCTGTTGAAGGTATCGTTGTCATCGGCTGCATGGATGCATGTTTGATATGTGCCAATGGAGTTCCAAGTTCTCGGGATCTTGAGCCTCTGCACAAGCATGGTATAATTTTGTGCAAGGCAGATGCTAGGGTGGTAACCCTGCTTGCAGATTTAAACAACCTCCCAAGATTGTTGCAAGCAGCATTTGCTCGGAATTTGGACCGGACACGACCGATGGGTAGTAGCCAGTCGTGTCTGTTTAGTAAGTGTCTGCAGTATGAACATCCTCACACATGTCCTCTCGTATCGTCCTGATCAACTTGGTAGACATTGGCCCAATGCTTTCCTTCAAAGCTCATCGTTTTTTGACGGTGTAGATCCCGAGTTCTTTGGCGAGGAAGAGCCTGGTAGGGGACTATAGGGCACTAGTATATGAAAAGATCGTAAAAGTTATGTACATTCAGCTTTTTGATTATTCGTATATACTCATATGTCGTTTGTCGCTATCAACAAGACTTCCTTTTTACGAGGCAAGATCACGGTTACCACCGTTTCTGCTCAGGTCGTTGGGGCCAGAAGAAGCGCCAAAGCCCTCTGCTTCAAGGGTCTGAGCTGTGGTCTGAGCACCTCCGCTTCCAGCCTCACGGGTAATCTCCTTTGGCTTGACCTCTCTATCAGCAAGAATAGTACCTTGGGCATCGGCATCAACCTCGGCAGTGCTGCCTTCAATGGATCCAGACGATGTACCGCTCGACGAGCCGGACTTCGAGAGGTACTCAGCCTTCTCACCAAAAGGCTTGCTTCCATCACCTCTCTGGAACATCTCCTCGATCAACTCGTGACGCTTGAGTGCCAAATTCCAGTCGCAGTAGCCCTTTGTATCGCCCTTGGCGTAGGCCTCGTACAACCTGCCGACATTCTGTGCAGGGTGCTTGAGGTTGGCCAAGTCGTCAGCAGGCAACTCGATGGGCTCTGCCTTGTCCTTGCCAGACTCGTGGAGCTGGATCTTGACGCCCTCGTGGGTGATGTCGAACATGGCAGCTGGGTTGGTAACGAGGATGTCACCCTTTTCGCCGACGATGGTCCATCTCAAGGCAGGCTCACCAGGGAAGGCAGCAGCGGAGCGAAGGTCGTAGTTGAAGATAGGGCCGGATTGGAAGCGACCTTGCATGGCGATGTTGTCTGGTGTATCTTTGTCGATTGTGCCGACGACTTTGCCTTGGTTGGAAAGATCGATGAGGTTGACCTTGGGACGCTCAATACCCATGATGACGTCGAAGGACTCTACTTCGCCGAGGACTTCGAGCAAACAGGTGAANACCTAAAAGTGTCAGATGGTTCAACATGACCTCTTGGGGATCTGTGACTTACTGTGGAGGAAGAAAATAGTGGCGTGATTACCACCAGCCTTTCTCTGAATGATGTATTTGAAGCCCTCAGGAATCGCTGCACCACCGCCAATGCCAGTGCAACCACTAAGCTGAGTGCTCAAGACCTTGCCAATCTTGCCATCGGCAATGATCTTCTGCAGAACCTTGACAACAGGAGCAGATTGGCCTTGGGATCCAAACATGGTCTTGACGCCCTTCTTGTTAGCCAGAGTAACCAGCTCTCTGATCTGGTCCATGTTGGATGCCAAGGGCAATTCTGTGTAGACATTCTTGCCAGCCTCAACGACAGGCTTCAACAGCTTGTAGTGTCCCTCGACGCCAACAATGCAGACAACAAGATCAATGTCCTTGTCGTTGGCCAAATCTGCTGAAGAGTCGTAGGCCTTGACATCTCCGGGAAGCTTGTAGTGCTCGATAGACTTCTTTGCACTCTCGACTGATGAGTTGCACAGAGCCTTGATCTCGTAGTGAGCTTTGCCCTGTTCGGAGAGCAGGTATGGCAGATGAGCTGTGCTAGCCCAGCTAGTGCTCTTGGAGCCGGTGGAAAGACCGATGAGACCGACACGGATTGGAGACATGATTATGATAAATTGATTTGTGAATGAAGCTGGAAGGAAAGCTCAACAGGACTCTTTGTATGCGAGCAATGCAATGTTGAACTGAGAATATGTCGTCATACTTATATGGTTTTCTGTGGAGCTTGAGCTCTCCACAAACATCCGTAAACAGCGAGTCCATCCACACTGGACGGATTTACCTGTGACAGCGCTCCAAACTCCGGACCTGGCATTAAACACTCAAAACTCCGGATACTGGAGGGATTTAGAAAGGTGTAGAATTGGGATGGTGACCGATGTCAACAGAAGAGGTTCTATACGCGGCCCATCGAATCGCTCCTTCCCACATGATAAGGAGAACTCGGCAGACGTGGCTCGTCCTTGAGATCTCATGTGTCTGAGTGTTTTCGCTTCGTTGTCGCAGACAGAAAAGTACTCGCCGGGTCAATGATTGATTGCATAGAGTAGTTAGAAGCTCGAATGTTCGTGTCGACGACCATCAGCCGCGGCTCAAGCAGACAGTCACTGATGAGTGCCCATGAAGTCGCGGGGCACAGATCACGGCCAGTTCACCGACTTTACAATTGTCGGCCACGGTCCAGCATGTCGATGCTCAAAGCCGATGTCACTCTTCTGTATGCTCATGGTACTCGCCATCGCGTCATTCAGGTTGTTGCTCTATCTGTACTGTAGAACGTGCATTGGTTCAGTCGATGGACAAGGCACTTGCTTCTCGAAAGTTAGAGCTCGCAGCAAATCGCGACGCGCTAGATTTTGCCTTTTGATGTCTCGGCCTTTGTCGACTCGGCGGAATCGCACACCCAAGGCTTCGAACACGCGACAACTCTTGCTGGTCGACGCGAGAGACAGACCTATCAGACATGACATCCTCTAGGAGACCGCGACGAGACCATGTATGTGGTAGCAGCTGTAGTATGTGTTTTCTGTCTGCTACCTGACGATGTCTCGAAAATATGTCGACGATTTCCCCAGAAAAAGGGTGAAAACGGGAGGGCTCACGTGGAAGATTTTTAGCCTGGTTCTGGAAGCATTGGCAACGCCGCCATGCTTTGACATGCTTTCGTACTCGGGAGCAAAGCCTCGCTTCCACTACCTAGGAGGTGGCGCTCGCGAGAAAAGTGCTGCTGTAGGTTCATTGCCCTAGATCGATACTCAGATCTGTCGCCAAAGAAGAATGTTTTGCGGCTGGAAGGACGCCAAGCCGTCATGTCGAGCTCTTCTGCCCTAAGCAGACACCTCGATATGTTCAAGTAGGAAAACCATCAGGGTCAACCACTCCAAGGTGAATTGATCTCGGTATGTCTATGGTCTAGTATATATACTCCGTTCAATCTGCAGCCATGTCTACTCTCAGCATCACATTCTCTCTTCATTCTTTTGATCTGGTACATCGGCTTACCACATTCTCTCGCTACACAATGAGACTTTCCACTCTCCTTCTTGCTGCCTCCGGCTCTGCAGTTATTGCAGCCCCGACCCCCAGTCTGCTCGGAGACATACTCAGTCTGACAAACAATGTCATTACCACCGTCACTTCCACTATTGTCAATGACTTGGCCTCGCAAGTCGCAGCTCTTGGCTGTGTCTTGCAGACCAACGCCAACCAGCATGGTCAAATTGTGAGCTCGGTCGCTCTTACCATTGAGGCTATTGAGGTCGCCGCCAAGAGATTCACCCAGATCTGCAACTGGTCGAAGCCTGGAAGGCAATATATCAACTGGTCTACATACAAGGCCAATGGTGTCAACCTCGGCGCTTGGTTGGAGATTGAGCAGAACTACGACACTGAATGGTGGGCTGCTAATGTCGGCTCGTTCCCTGATGAATGGACTTGGTGCTCCACCGTTGGTTTCTCGGTCTGCGGACCTATCCTCGAGAAACGCTATGCTTCTTTCTTCACCATTGCCGATATTGACAAGATGGGTGCTAAGGGAATCAATACCCTTCGTATCCCAACAACTTATGCAGCTTGGACTAAGGTTCCTGGCAGCGGGCTCTACTCTGGTAACCAACAGGGTTACCTCAGAGCCCTANCCAACTACGCCATCGACAGATACAACATGCACGTTGTTATCGGTCTCCACTCCNTGCCTGGTGGTGTCAACACTCTTAGCATCGGTGAAGCCTTCGGCCACGATGCTTGGTTCCAGAACAGCACCAACCTCGACTACAGCTTCAAAGCCATTGACTCTGTTTTGAACTTCATCAAGACTTCCGGCCGCCAGAACGCTTTCACCATTGCTCCCATCAACGAGGCCAGCGACAACTTTGCCGGTTTCGCCACTCCTGCTGGTCTTACCGATGCTGGTGTCAACTGGATCAACACTTACATCAAGGGTGTTCTCGCTCGTATTGCCAAGGTTGACAAGAGAATCCCTCTGATGCTCCAGGACTCGTTCTTCAGCGAGATGTTCTGGTCGCCCTTCTACCCTGCCGGCACCAACCTTGTTATCGACTCTCACATCTACTTCTTCGCTGCCGCTGGTGCCTACTCGCAGTACGTTCCTGCAGCCGTCTGTGGCCAGGCCAAGTACATCGGCCAGGGTGATGGCAAGTTCCCCGTCTTCATCGGCGAATGGTCGCTCCAGACACTTTACAACAACACTCTGAGCAACAGAAAGACCCTCTACGACACCCAGGTCTATGCTTACCAGAAGTATGCTTCCGGTGGTGCTTTCTGGAACGGCAAGATGCTTAACACAGTTGATGGCGTTGACGGCGAGGGTAAACTCCAGGACTACTGGTCTTGGGAGGGTCTTGCTGATGCTGGTGTTGTCTCCAACACCATCGATCAGAGCTACTGCTAAATGTTGGGGGACTGCCGGAGAGAATTCAAAAGATACCAATTTGTTCATAGTCTTGCATGTTTAGGAGTTTGAGAATGGGAAATAGCGCAAACATTGTACATATGCTAAACATTCATTAAATCATTCCATCTACATCAATTACATGCACAGAGCATACAGTGTATCCATCTAAGTGTTCTACTTTTGATCCATCTTGGCAGTCACAACTTCAGGCTCATCGGCGATCTTTGCATCAAGTGCCTCTTGGCCCTCAAGAATGACATCGGCAGGGATGCGGTCAGGGGTCTTGTTAGTCAACAAGATCATTGGACCAGTCGCCAATGCCATGAGACCAAAGCTGACACAGAAGCCGATGAGAGGGCTAGCCTCGGTCTGCGTGTTCATGCCGTAGCTGATAGCCTGTCCAATAGCCTCAAGACATCTAAAGGCAGCTCCGTTACGGACGTTTGCCTGAGCATCGGTTGCGAAAGACGAAAGCAGCCAGTACATGTATGATTGCGAGAGGGGCCCAGTGGTCTGAACGAAGAAGTACGGCAGGAAAGCTGAAGGATAAAGTGCATCGTCCCAGTCGATTCTACCAGGGTCGTTGGCGTTGAACTTGACTTGCATGATAATGGACCAGATGTAGACACCGAGGTTGAGAATGACGACTACAAAGAGGCCTACTCGTGCTCTTTGGCGTTGACTGAGGCTCTTCATATCGAGGATGAAACCGAGACCAAAGCATCCGACACTATGAAAGTCAGTATATAAAAGAGAGTCAGGGACCGGTAGTACTCACATGCAGAAGAATGGTGATATCAAAGAAGACAAAGCACGAGCGCGAACGGAGAAGTAAATTCCGAGGTAGGTGCTCCAGGTACCAGAATACTGAACAGACGTTAGAGAAGTTTTAGATGGTGAGAAAAGTGAGTACTGACGAAGAATGACCACATAGCCCACGTTGCTGACAAGATGATGAGGCTGGAAGCCATGGTAGTCTTGATCAGCTTGAACTCCTGCTTTGTTCCAACCTTCTCAGAGACCAGGATACGGGTTCCGTCTGATCTGACGACGCGTTCGAGAGGAGAGATCATTAGGGCGAAGGGAAGTCTGCGTTTGTCAGTAGGCTGACTTCGGCGGTGATGTAAAAGTGACGAGACTCACGCAAGGCACTCGATGATCAAGAAAGCGACGTATGTATCCGGAGTAACACCAGTTTCAGCACCCTTCAAATGGTTCTTTGACAGGTTTATAGCTCCTCCGACCAATTGTCCAAGGTTGCGGGCTACGATCCAGAATGCCAGGTATTTTCCACGAGCCCCTGAAGGAGCAAGGCTCATGATAGTTCCACTCTCAGCAACGTACCACGTCTAGCAAGGGAGTTAGCGTGTTTCTTGCACAAGGAATGGTACACCACAGCTGCAACACCTGCCACGTTACAGAGTACTGCTCAAGGCCTCTATTGAGCGCCTGTCTTCTCGCCGGCGGAGGCAGGCTTCGACACATGTCTTCTTCACCTCGAGTAGAACTCTGTAATGTAACAAAGGTTGTTGACTTGTGTTATACACCGTTGTATACGTACTCCTGTGCCGATTCCTGAGATGAATCCACCGAAGATAATGTACTGCTACACGTCAGTGCCGTTTCAGTCTAGACTGGTTAAAGTCCGTCGTACCCATTGGTTGCCGAACTTGCTGTTGCAGTAGTATGAAGAGCCTTGAATGGGGAACGAGATAGCGCCGATGACTAGAGCCCACTTGACACCAAGCTTGTTGACAATTGGACCACCAAGGAAGCAAACCAGGGCAAGCATAACGTAATTTATCGCGTTAGCTATGTTGTTTGTTTGAGCCGAAGCAAGACCACCACCACCGAGACCTATCGATGTTAGTCATGTATGTAGTGACAGGGTACAAGTGAACGCCTACCTGCAATTGCGTCTGCCATGGCTGGACCGCAGAAACTTTGCATTGATAGAAGCATCATTTGTGTGAAACTGTCTTGGTATATCCTTTTCCACCAGGGTACAGAGGCATTGTATTCTTCCATGTTCACCCTCTCGTCGGCGTAAACTGGCGGGTCGTTCATCGGGATCGTGCCATGTGTTCTGAGTGCTTCATCGTCTCCTCCAGCATGTGTGTTAGGGGGAGCAGCAGCGAGTGAGGCCATTGTGGAAGTGTGTATGACTACCAGTATAGAGAGGGTGGAAAGACTGCAAGACAGAAGCTTGGGATTCTCTACGACATTTATAAGATATCAGACAGCATAAGGTTACCCCAGAATGATAGTCCCCATCGCTTTGACCTGTGCATATTATCAGTGGAATCTGGATTCCAGTGCCATGCGGGCCCACGGTTTGCCCCAGACTATGGGAGTCATGTCGACTGATGGGCAAAGAGAGCCGTTTTCACCTTGGACCTTCCTCGAATTTTGAGCGGCATGTGTCGGCCTAAGAAATCGAGGAAGGTACAAGCGTCAGACTGAGAGATAGGAGCCGTTGTTTGTGGCCGTGGTGATATTTGCCTAAATGGCAGAGAACGGAAGATATCGCTTGGACAGGCGGCCAATCGGAACCGCGATTGAGGGCGGAGGAGCACGCCATATTGAGCCTAGTATGTGCGGGGGATAAGCCAGCGACCGTCGACGTCGACCAGGTGCACGCAAAGAGGAAAGATAGCACATATCTTCCGACAGCCGTTTGAGCGACAGCAATATCTTAGGTAACACCTTCCATACTTTCGTGGAGTGCTCTTGTGTGCACCTTCCTCATGACTGGACTGTACCTATCCGGCATCGATGTAGATGACAGTGACTCACACGACACTCTCTCCTGCCTACCATAGCAGATCCGACCATGGCCGACCCTCGAAGCCACTTCCTATCGGGTTTGTTCGTATACCTTCTTGGAATTTCTAGAGTTGGAACTGAAAGAGCTTGGGGTTACAGATGCGAAGAACACGTACATGCTTGAGAGATCGAGCTCGATTTCTTCAAATTGAAGCGTGATCTTGTACATCAAACGCCATAGTTATCTGGAGACATAGAAGATGCCAGTTTCAATGTTGAGAAGACCCGTCCTTGCTGCTGTATCCAGGGTCGCTCTTGTCTTTGAAGGCTTGTATCATGACTATCTGCGGTAGTTACTTGATGCGGCATGTTAGGAGAAATCGTGAGTATGATTGAAGACCTCGTCACCTGTCCTATGGCTCCTGATATCCGACTTCACGTATACCTTTGTGCAATGGCACGTTCTACTATTCAGAGAGTTGGTATATTTCATTCAACAATTAACGATGTTGCTGACAATCTACACTTGGATCCTGTGAATAAACACTCTGTCGAACAATCGCTTGATGAACCATTGGAACGTCGCCAGGTGCTCTTGAACAATTTGATTCAACAAACAGAACAGAGCAATAAGACGGAACGAAGTCGAGTGAAATCTTGAGAAATGTTCAAGATCGTGACAGGCAAGTGAGACGACCGCGCCTTCCTCACAGGAGTTCTTCAGTTCTCCGTCTGTCAAGTGCGTCTTTCGAACTAAACTTCCGACTCAACAAAGTTCGAATGTGCAACAACTCGAAATCCGACAACTGCGGTAACATTGAGGGACACTTCACTTTCTCAAGTCGATCAAACTAGTAGCCTGATTACCTCATCTCAATTCAGAGATTTTGATCAACTCTTCACACACGCTCAGCACCACTGGCCACACAGCGCATCGGATTCAGCACATCATCACACCTTTCTGGGCTGTCGAATCGGCTGCGGTATCTGATTCCACCATGTCAGTCCGGTAAGCGGGACTAGCATCAGACTGGTGACCGACTTACGCTGACGATTCATTTTTCACAGCGCGAATATCACCGGCCCCTTCGCCGAGATCACCATCGGAGCGGGAACATCTGCCGTTGTCTTCAACCTTCCGAAAGGCCTGCTCTGCAAATCATCCACGTACTTCAGGGCCGCACTGAACAATGGCTTCTCCGAGACTACATCGCAGCGAATCGTGCTCGATGACGATGATCCCGAGATTTTCAGAACTTACGCCGTTTGGTTGGTTCAAGAGGAACTAAAACGCGAATACCTCACTGGAATCTTCGGGGTCGAACGCCACTTGTCTCATCTATACATCTTCGCGGACAAANGAGGCATTGTGAACCTCGCGAACGATGTTGTTACCATGATGGTTTCTTACTGGACATGCGAACTTATCGATATGAGCGTCACTCAAGATTGTCTCCCTTTGATCTCATCACAATGCACTCTTTACCGACTTACACTGGATAACCTGATTCTGGAATCTAGGTATACTACATGGGATGAAGGGCGGTGGAAAAGTNTTGGTAGTCATCCTCAAGACGTGATGCTGGAACTGTTCCACAAGGAACGTTACTTTCCTGATTCCTTCAAGCATCCGGAAGAGTGCCTCAAATCAGTCTGTCATTATCACGAGCATAACGGTGATCTGATTGAACAAGCGGATTGTGCTTACAGATTGAAAAAAGGCTGCAATATGTGGGAGGACTACACACACGATCACCTCGAACAGGTCGAATGGAGATGGTGAGCAACATGAAACGCGTGACGAACTGGAAAGACCTGAGAGGGGAAAATTCGAACTGGCTTGCTAGCAGTACTGGACGTCAGGCTCGTAATTCATGTTACTATCTGACACAGTTGCCTTTTACCTACTTTACTCACTATTCAAGATGTGGCATACAGAATCGCTCTTTACGTGTTGTCTTCTGCTTTGGGTGGCTGACTTCGCCCTTCTTTCACTACTAACACGGATCTTGTGTGGCCGCTGCTTTCACTGAGTGAGACTGGTTTAATTAAATCTACTGTGTGTCTCACTCCTGCTTGACCGCCTTTCACACTGCGTTGGCTATGAGAGGTCACTCTGCCATATAAATTGCAGCAAACTAACAGCACGACTGCCTCAACATTCATCACCACACTCGCACTTTAGTCATCGCGCATACCATCGCAAGTACACACCTACAACCTGAAGATCTTCTATCAACCCAACTCACCAAAATCTCTCGAAAATGTCACTCCTGTAAGTCACCATCCCGACCTGGTGCAGTTCGCCCTAGAAGGACAATCCATTTTGAGTGAAAGGATCGCTAATCGTGCGCATGCAGAAATGCCCTCACCGGCCCCAATGCTCAGATCATTGTTGGCTGTGGCAACCACATTCAAGAATTCAGTATTCACAAGAAGCTCCTCTGCGACTCGTCTACCTACTTCAAAGCGGCTCTTACCAACGGATTCGCCGAGACACACAACCAGAAAATCACTCTGGACGATGAGAGCCCTGCGGTCTTCCGCACGTACGCTCTATGGCTTTACNGAAAGAGGCTGAACAGAGTTACAATGCCTTCTGGTGATCAAGAGGCTGAAGGACATATGCTCGAGCTCTATGCCTTTGCCGACAAACGTGGCATCCCCGATCTAGCAAACGACACTATCACGATGCTAGCTTCACGATGGGCGTTCGAACCTGTGGATTTGGACAACATAGGGTGGCTGTTCGCATTCATCTCGCGCAGCAGCAAACTCTATCAACTTATAGTGGACAAATTGGTTCTGGAGCTCCGGAACGATAGCGAAGAACTCGAATCTCGGCTCATTAATGGAGATCTGCCGAGCATAGCTTTGGTCGACCTTCTCCTCAGAAGCCATTCCCTTACGGAAGACTTTAACGAGTCCCAAGAATGCTTTGAGTCCGTCTGTCACTATCACCTTCATGGCCAGCAGGGCGGTATGCGCGAGGAAGATTGCATTCGCCGCATCGAGGATGGAATCAATGTCTGGGATGACGATATTGACCGCGAGCAGCGAGAATGGGGTTGGGACTGATCGGCGAAGACTGGCAAGGTCAGCAACAACTTGAGACGACGTTTTGGGCAATGGTTAGCTCGCCACAGACAGCACTGAGAGGAAGCATGAGACACTATCAGAACAAGTAACTACAATATGATTTCATCGTCTCCTTCTTCATGTGTCAACATATTGATTCCCCTAACCTGGAATTCACTTTTGACGGACATTAAATCTTCTCTTCCGAGCACTTGTTTGCACCATCTATGCTTTCGTAGATTATAGATTATATGTATCCCTGTTCGTCCTCTGGATGACCCAGGCTTCAGCTTAGTAAACGAACTAGAGTCAGCTACTCAAACAAGCTGGGTATGTAGAATGCCTTGCCAATATCGCTTAATGACGGAGTTGATGGGAGACAGCGTCTAGCGAGACCAACTTGCCCAAATGCTTTGGCCCACGTTCGAAGCACCAATCTGCCTTCCTTCCCCGATAGCAAATCCTTGAGGTAAGCTTGAGATACACCCCTGCTTCTGCTATAGCAGCGTGATCAAACCAGTACGTAGTAGCATAATCAAGATTTGTTTTCAGGTCCCGAGTGCTGAGGTTGTTCCAGTCTCTGTGGTGTGCCTTGATGAAATAATAGCACGCTCGCGCTACTCTATCGTGACCTAGGGCTCTCCAATCCATATCGGATATGTCAAAGACACTTGCCATTTCGTCTAACCGCCAAACCCAGTCGACAATGGAGTCATTCGCGAACCTCACAACAGATTTGATTGTTCCGGACTGATCAGTGATGTCGACTATCTCGACCAAGTCTGCTAGATAGCCTCTGAGTAGACTTGTCATTGCTACCTCGTCTTTGAGCAAGACCTCAAACTCGCTTAGAGCCGGATTGCGAACCGAGTTCATGAATGGCTCGTCCGAGACCAAAAGACATCGCAACTCTTCCACGCTTGTTTGTCGCTGCGAGAACTGGATCAACTGAATCAAGGTCATTGCGACTCGCAAGCCGTCGGGCTTGTGCTGTATGTTTTTGTGCAGTATTTTCCTGCAGATTGACATGAGAATCTCGGGTGTCTCGAGTACTTCGCGTTCTATGATTTCGGAGTTTGGGCCGAATCTTGCCAGTAGATCGATGACATGGCTAGTCATTCTCACGGCGTATAGGAAGTTACCCGTAGAGCTATTTGCGATTGTTGCCGAGATTGTTTCGGGAAACTCATCAGATGCTTGTGTGTCTCTGATATGGGGGCGCACTTTAGAACGCACATAATTCTTGATACCATTTCTGTTGTTTTGCTCGAGGCGAATTTCCAGTCCGTTATCGACGGTGATGGAAGGATAACTGCGACATGTGAAGCATATACTCAGGCCTGTTGCAACATCTTCCAGAGTTCTTATGATAAACCTAAGATCGGCAATCACTTCTCGGGCCTCGGTTTCTCCAGCGTCGTCCAGAGAATCCAGGAAGATCCGAATTGGACCCTCTTCCAGAGCTTTCGTGACTATGTCCAGGAAGAGCCCTCGGAAATCATCCGCAGATGAGCGGATTTTCCAGTCCTCGTCTGTCCACTTCCAAAACTCGGGGTTCAGCTTGCTCTCCTCCGTCATAAGGTTGTACAGCAGGGTGCCATACATTCTCTTTCTTGAATTCCATCCGAAATCCTCTTGGTTCTGAAAGGAGAATGAAAGCACAGTGTGCGTGTTTGTTTCCTCACGGCGTGCTTCTTGCAGAAGATGACTAAGGGCAGTTGATTTTCCACTTCCAGGGCCACCTCGTAGCCCCAACAGACCGTTTCCGCGTAACAACCACTCTTGGTATGTGGTATGAACAGTGAGCCAAACCAAAGTTTCTCGCATAGCCTGTGGTAAGACGTGTGGAGGTGTCTGGTACATTTCGTCTTCGTTTTCGTTTTCGTTTTCGATCGTACTGTCTGTACTTTCTGTACTGCCTGTATCATCTGGAGTGTTTGGGCGCCCCGGTATGGCTATGATGTTCGTCAAACAAGAGGCCATGGCAGATTCTCGTGATAATGTATGACTTACGTCCTTTCCAAGGTCTTTTACGTTCGTCTTCTTCGTCTACTGTTTTGGATAGTACAAGCCTAGGTTTTTCCTCAACGTCCGCCCATCTGGAACGCTCAAGATTTTCGACAACTCTACGAGGATCTGATTTTCGGGATTCTCGAAGGCGAGACATCGTCCACGGGACATAGACGCCAACTCTTTTGATGTCTTCCGTAACCTCCTTTCGGACAATCAATTGAAAATCGACCTGAGAAATTGATGGGCCTTGTTCTAGATATGCAAAACCTTTCTGATAATGTTCCTGTACGAGTTCGACGATGGTCGGAAGGTCTTCATAGATTCGCTCAAGCAAGACAAAAAACAAGCGGTGGCACCGCTCGATTTGATCAATTACCACAGAACCAAGGGGGGAGGGCCTAACGTAATGCTGAGTGCGACCATAGAACTCAAGATTGTCCGAGATCGTTCCAGTACCGTGCAGATCAATGGCAACGGTTGTGTAAGGGTTGCTGTCCCAGGCTGTGCGCAAATTTACCAGGCCTATCTCAGTCAAGATGTGATGAAACCAAGACTCTCTGGTGTGAGTCTCGACCACGGCTCTGATGCTTGCCTTGACTGATTGAGCTGTTGCTGAAGCCACGATTGATTCATCATGGAGATCGCGCTGCAGCTGGTTGAGCCCTGCAAACCAACAGTTTTTAATGCTTCCATGTACTTGCGTCCTTCAGGCACAGCACAGTAATCTTGCAAGGCTTCAGAGTAGAACAAAAGGACCTTATCCACAGAAGTGCCAGAAACATCCTCCGGCAGGAGACAGAACTGATTTTCTAGGATGTCATTTCTTGCTCTGGATCCTAGATACCGGTAGTCAGATTTCAACGTAGCTCCTCTATCCGAGCGACATTTGGAGTTGATTTTTCTCAAGTACTCGATCAATTGGCGAACCATTCGACTATCAGCCTTGCCTGGGGCGGGATTCTCGTGCGTATAGATGACGAAGAAGCTCGGTGCATCGTGGCTGTCGAAGAATCTGGACAGTGACAAGCCGAAGCAGACTTCATCGAAGAGAGTGTTCAGCACTGCGAGCATGATTGTCAGTTCATGTTCTGTTTGACGAGATCTTTGAGAACTGGTCTCTTGGTAAGTGAGCACGGTAACGACTTACTCGTTTTCAATTTCAGTCTAGCTGGCTGCATAAGCATCTCAGCCTGAGTTGCGCTGGTGGACTCTTGGTCGTCATGCGTGTCTGTTGTCGTGAGAGTGTCTTTGTGGCAGACATTGGGGACTGGATTGCTAGTGTCCTTTGTCGGAGCAGTCTCTTGATTCTTGTTGATGGGGTTGTTAAGAATTCCCCTCATGAAAAACATACACAGTTCGTTTAGGACAACGATCATCACGTCGCGAATGTCGGTCATTCTGATAGTAAAGCGAAAAGCATGCCAGAATCTTTGCTGAAGGAAGCATCTCGAAAGAGGAAAGAGAGCCTTGTGTGCAAGGCTTTTTGTTCAGCTGGGCTCACGATATGCACTCGGATTCCGTGCGGGTGCTGGTCGAGGCGAGAGACCAATGACAGCGCTCTTTGCTGCAAGCCACCATGCAGCCAACACAACATGATGAGCACGCTGACCACGAGCAAGAGACAAAGGACTGTGGGCGATAATATGTAGGTGAAATATCACACAGCAACCACTTCTAAGGCCAGGTTCCACTAGCAAGCTTAGCAGGACAGCGTCATCGAGACATCTTGCTGCTTCTCTGCCGCGATGGCAGCCGCACCAAGCAACGCAACACAAGCAGAGCTCCGAGCGCAATGGACGAACCCTGGCGACATCTTGAGTGTGCTGCTCTTAATCGGCGGTGATATCGTGCAAAAGCTATCGCGCAATTGGTTGGGTATGAACTCCGCCTCTACGAACGTCAAAAACCAGGAGCGGTACCGAAATCAATTTTTGCCGTTCCATTAACGCCCGTAGCATTTTCCTTTGGTTGGGTTGCCTTCAGCTTCACTCAGCTGCTTGCTGCATTTGGTGACAGGCGATTGATGCCATCGCCGGAGAGATCTGCCATCGTTGTCAACTGTGCCAACGCCTTCCAACGCGACAATAACTCTTGGATACTTGAGCGACTCCTCAGAGACCATGAAGCCCAAAATCCAGCGGACAGTGCGCAAATATCGCTTCGTATTGATATCTTCGACCTATCGCCTCTACAGAGGCCGGCAGCCGATCGAGCATGGTGGCTGGGTTGGCTGACTATTGTCACCCAAATTGCAATTGCCGTTGTTCCCTGGGTTGTTTCAGGTGATTGGGGCACTATGATGGTCATCTTATCAGGGACCCTGTTAGCGTCAACAACTTGCAGCTTGCCACAGTGGAGAGACGAGAAGTGGGCCTGCCGAACGCTGGAGAAAGACAACGTTGTATGCCTTACTAGAGGCAATGGGCACAAGCATATAATGGTCTTTATTGGCAGAGAAGGATCGCCAGACCTCGAAACACAGGCGACTGCTCAAGGCTCGCCGCGGCGTGAAACCCCGATACTCATGGCTGGTTTAGCAATACTTTGGGTGTGTCTCCTGCTAAGTGTTTCTTCTCTGAGGAACGACGCTTGGTACATGGTGGGTATAGGTGGGCTAGGAATGTTACAGAACGCATATGCTGCAGGAACCACCAGAAATCTAGACACAAGTGGACTGCAACTGAAGCCATTTGGACGGAAACCGACCATCGTTGGGAGACCCCTCTCTTTTAAGGACGACGAAAACGCGGATGTTGATATCCATCAGATTGATGACGACGTCAAACCTCTGAAAGATTGGCTAGTCGCGCCGACTTTAGATCAGATGCCTCGATGGCTCGATTCAATGAACACTAAAGATGGGGCACCGGACTGGTTGGAGCCTGTTACACAACCAGAATCCGTGTTACGAGTACATGGAGCACTCAAAGAGTTGGAAAAATGGGTTCCTGGGGCAGGCTTGGCTATGATTCAAGTATTCTTCCCAACAAGCTTTGTCTATGACGATAGTCGTGTCCGAGACAATATCAACAAGAAGTTTTGGAAGCGCGCGTCTCGGACCAGAGCCATAAGAAGGAGAGCGGAGCAGGCCCGCCGAAAGGCAACTTCGAAAGAACATGCTGTGTCAGGACCATGAGACCGTAGACGAAATTGACTATCTGCTCCTTCTAAAGCAGCTCACGACCAGCGTGTACCTCGGATGAGCTTCGTGCTTAAGTGATCTTCTGTTTGAATGGGATGTGCCAAGTCTCGTCAGGTCTTGGGCTTCTTCATCCAGATTGTCAAACCTTGGTTGCCTGCGTTCTGGGGCGGCTGTATAGATGCCACACCCTCAGGTCGGCCAACAAATGAGCCCGGGGCCATTGACGTAATTTTCGATGTTGAAGTTTTACTTGTCAGGCGTCGTACCAATTGCCACGCTGAAGATCGAGCCTTGAGGAGTACCCCAGCTAGTGAAGAGCTGTATTGGGGTTCTCTAAGAAGTTCTGGCTGCAGTGCAAGCATCAAAAGAGTATGCATGTTGTAAAAGGCATCATTGCCTGCATTGTGGAAAGCATGGTTGCTCTCATAGTTCAGATCTGCGGTACGCATGTTGGGAGAGAATAACCTGATAACATCAGACGGCGTAACATCACCTGGACTTGAGTTCACGAGGAACCTCCAAAGCTTCGAGAGTCGGCCAGGTAATCTAGTCCGACATTGCTGAGCTAGAGCGTAGGTATCCACAATGGCAACAATGTTGGACTCGTTACGCAGCTCGAACCCTAACACGCGAGCGAGCTTCTCGATATCGTGGTGCAGAGCATGTCCGACAAGTATATACAACCGATCGGGACGCAACTTGAGATAAGGTCGTATCGCTGCCAATGGAATTCGGTGCTCAACAGCACCAAAGAGAAATGGTTGGCGCTGGCCAGTTTTGAAACGAAACTGACGAGGTTTGATATGTTTTGACCATTCCAATGCTGAAGGACCAGGGCAGAGATTCTTGATGTCACGAGTGTCAAAGGTTGAGATACCCAATTCTGTGAGATCAGTCCTGCTTCCTTCGGTATCAATTGCTATGAAGATAGCATCCTGAGGTGCTCGAGTAGACTTTGACTTGAGCCCAAGACTAGAACGGACGAACGCAATACATTTGTTGCTCATCCGAGATTTACTCTTGGGCGAGGGTAACGATTCGACCTGCGAATCCTCTTCATGACTTTGGGAAGGGTAAGCGAAATGGACTCACAGTGCTAACAGGCTCGTAATCGTGTTCACTTGGTCGACTGCCTGTTGGGAAAGACCTACTTGGGGTTGGTATAAGAGCCCAGAATTGGCTGAGAGCTGCTGTGGAGCCCCTCGTTGCATCTCGGCTCTTCACAGCGGCGTGTTTGAGCAGAGCACGGTGCCGAGTCGGAGGATGAGGCAGCCGATTGATGCCAAGGGAAGCCGAAACCAAGCCGTGGCCGTACCCCTGCAAGCACAAGAGAACATGTACGAACCTGAGCGATACCTCTCAGAACAGCAGTGGTCATGGACAGAGGCGGCAACTGCTACCGATGCGGTCGCGTGGCTAACAGGAGACAACAAGCAAGCAAGAAGGCGATCGATAGAGAAAGTGGGTGAGACGGCCGGGCCGGGTTCAGAGAGCAAAAACAAGAGAGGCTCCGTAGAAGTACCGGGCGCTTTGATATTTTTGGTGGTTGGGCGCGGAGAATGACGAGTGGGAGGATGGAGAATGGTGAGGTGATACGTTGGAGATGAGCGAGGGGAAAGGCGGAGGACAGGTGATGTGCGTGGAAAGAACAATTCGGGTTTGTTTACACACGGTATAATCAAGACTTTGATCAATGTGGAAGGAGCATCCAACCATGCGTTCTTCAGCACCGGCAAGAGACTGTCAAAAGGTAAGAGCGTTCGTCGAAGTGACGTCTGTGGGCGTTTCTGGCGCACGCACCCACTACTTTTGGCTCTCGAGTCTCGATGCGATAGACGATGCAAAAGGTCAAGAGCCGTCACGGAACCGTCCAAAACATCAGGTAATAGCAGGTTTAGGGCTGCTACTTAATTCCCTCTGGTCTCGCGTACAAGACCTGACTCCTGCCCCCTCCCCATAAATACTACAAAACCTCACCCTGGCGCTCCATCGACGCACCAGATCTCTCCCAACTCCCTCATCTCGCTCCCCATCCTCATCTCGTGCGGCAGACCCACCCTTCCTCCGCGACCTCCGATCTGAAAAAGGCTCGCTTCTCTCTCGCTCCCTGTACGCTGTCGTCCTCCTCGTACTCGTCCTCAGTGTCCAATTCTTGCTTGTGCCCCGCTTCATAGCTTCGCTACGCAAGCCAAGTCAGCCACTAGACTCGGGTCGTCCTGACTTTTGTCGCTACAACCCCTCCAATCCATTCCTGCAGGACTTGATTTGTCCTCATACCACCGAAGACCACACAACCACACTGTTCGATACGTCGGCTACTCGCAATATGGGTCTCGCACAAGAAGCTGCCCGTGTGGCTGCCGAGTTTGAGTACTCGGATGCTCAGGTCAACAAGGCCGTCAAGGAGTTTGTCCGCCAGATGAGTAAGTCTGCTGCTACGAAGCCTCCTCCTACGAGCATTCGCTAACGATTGAACCCAGACGAGGGCCTGGAAAAGTCTGGCACCTCCATGAGCCAGATCCCCACCTACGTGACCGCTGTCCCCAACGGTACTGAGAAGGTGAGATTTGGGCTACAGCAACAAGCTTGATGCAATTCTTACACAGACAGGNGTCTCTACATGGCTGTCGACCTCGGTGGCACCAATTTCCGCGTCTGCTCCATCAACCTCCACGGTGACAGCACTTTCTCCCTCACTCAATCCAAGGTCGCCATCCCTCGCGAGCTTATGGTCGCTAAGACCAGCAAGGAACTTTTCTCTTTCCTCGCACAGCAGATTGCCAACTTCCTGAAGACCCACCACAACGAGCATTACAACGCTACTATCCGTAGACGTTCCACCATCCACTCCGAGAGCGGTTTCAGAGAGCAGGAAATCTTCAACTTGGGCTTCACTTTCTCCCNNTTCCCTGTGGAACAAGTTGGAATTAACAAGGGTACCTTGATCCGCTGGACAAAGGGTTTCGACATTGCCGATGCCGTTGGCAAGGATGTCTGCAAGCTTCTTCAGGACGAGATCGATGCTCTGCACCTGCCTGTTCGCGTTGCCGCTCTGGTCAACGACACCGTTGGAACTCTCATGGCTCGCTCATACACCTCCCNNCCTGGCAAGACCGGCACTCTCTTGGGCGCCATCTTCGGTACCGGTACCAACGGTGCCTACGTTGAGAAGCTTGACAAGGTCAAGAAGCTCGACGCCAACAGCGCCGATGTCGACAAGACCACTGGTGAGATGATCATCAACACCGAGTGGGGCTCATTCGACAACCAGATGTCCGTCCTTCCCGACACCCCTTACGACGATTCGCTCGACAAGGAGACTCCCAACCCTGGTATCCAGATGTTCGAGAAGCGCATTTCTGGTATGTTCTTGGGCGAGATTCTTCGTCTGGCCATTGTGAGCATGGTCAAGGAGCGCAAGACCGGTCTCTTCAGCGACGACAACAGCAGCAGCAACGATGTTCACAGCACTACTTGCATCTCCGAGACCAGCCCTCTATGGCAACCTTGGGGTCTCGACACTAGCTTCCTGTCCATCGCTCACGGCGACAACAGCAACGGATTCAAGGTCACTCGCCAGACCTTGGACAAGGACTACGGCGTTCACGCCGCCAGTTCTGAGGATGCTGAGGCCGTCAAGCTTATCGCTGCTGCCATTGGTAAGCGTGCTGCTCGTCTTTCTGCTGTTGCCATTGCCGCCATTGTCCTTGCAACCGACAAGCTTTCTGCACCCAAGGACATCGCCACTGCTGACGACACACCCGTCAACGAGGACGAGATGGTCGATATCGGTGTTGATGGCTCGCTCGTCGAGTTCTACCCTGGCTTCGAAGAGTACATCAGAGAAGCTCTCCAGCAGATTGAGGGTATCGGCAAGCACGGCGAGAAGCGCATTCGCATCGGTATCGCTAAGGACGGTAGCGGTGTCGGAGCTGCTTTGATCGCTCTTGTTGCCGACAAGTTGGCCAAGCAGGAGCAGCTCAAGGAGTACGACTAAAGGAGGCGCAGGAGGCGCAACGATTTCAGAATTTCTCACGATTACAAAATCTTTTTGACGCATGAGCATGCGGAATAAACTTGGGAGGGCGTTTAATCTTTTTTTTCTTTTGGCTTGTTGCGAGCCATCATATATATGTACATATATTCTAGTACATTGACCAATCTATTTTCTTGATCATGATTTCGTTTTGACAGATACTTGATATTCGTCGGTGCTTCGTGAGGTCGGTTGATCTTCGTGCTCTCATAGCGTATGTTGTGTTCTCATAGCGTATGCAGCAAGTCTCTGGGCCCAATATCCCTCNNCCTCAGCACATACGCACCTTGAGGAGTGAGTCTGCGATAATAGTGCTGTTCCAAATGCGTCTCTCTGAAGCCTCTCTTTGCATACCACTCCCTAGCCTCCTGACTAGCCTCCCAGACATGAGCACCCACAGCAGTAACGCCATACTTGCTGATCCCCTTCTCAATCAACACCCCCAACAACGCACTCGCAACCCCATAGCCTCTAAACGCACTCAAAACCCCCAAAGTACCAATATAGAGGATCTTATCTTTTGGGGTCGCTTGTGTAGATGGGTCTGGCAGGATCCGACAGCGTATTCCACCTATTACTTTTCCTGGNGAAGTGGAAGCAGAGGAAGGGTTATCGTGCCATAGGGCTAGGAGAGTCAAGTCGGAGGCGATGGGGTCGGAGAGGATTTCTTTGTAGAAGGTGGAGGGGTAGGGTATTGGTAGTAGTAAAGTATTTAGGCGTTGGAAGGATTGGATGGTGGCTTTGTCGCAGGAGACGAGGGTTATGTTCTTGACTAAGGGTTTTGATCTGGTTGAGAATTTGAGGGTCGGTGTTGGTGTTGGGTCTTGTGGTGTGGTCAGGGTGGGTTGTGGTGTTGGCTGTTGCGGCAGTGACGATGATGTGGTGGCATGTTGGGTTATTGATGTGGTTGATTGTGTTTCCAAAGAGTCTTGATGTGTCACTGAGGAAGTAGCAGTGGACTGCTTGACTGCAGCAGACTTTTTGAACCAAGTAGTGATTGATGTCTGCATGATCTCAAGAGAACGAAGTGGGAAGACGCGTTCTCGCGTGCAGTTGGAGTTTAATTGATTTTTTATTCGGCTGGGCTGCGTCGGAGCAACCGGAGGAGAGACGAACTTGGGCCTTGGCAATTGACATCGCAGCAGCAGCGAGCATACGACCATCGGCGACGGATTGATCCCTCTGCAATTGAACCTTTTCCACACCTTCAATCACATCTTTCCGTCATGGGTTCTGGAAGCTCCAAGCCGCAAGGCTCGCAATATGTCTTTGCTGCGTACGATTGACTACCTCATCAAATGCGACAACCTCTTTACTAACGCACCGCAACAGAGNACAGTCCCGTCAGCTTCTCACCTTCCGTTGTCGACTCGCTACAGAACAGCCCCGAGGTACTTCGATCCAACACAAGAGAAGAAACAAGGAATCAATTCTAACAAAAGACTCCAACAAGANCCGACTCAACCCGCCAGCGCAACCTCGACCTCCAGATCCAACAGCGCGTAACAGCCGAACTCGAGCGCATCCGCGAAGAAGAAGCCCAGCGTCTTGCCCAATACACCGAGCGCCTGACTCCTTCATCCTCGGACGAAACCTCCTCCTCCGACCCTTCCCTGACAGAAAAGATCTCGTCCGCCCTCACACCTTCCTCATCGCAACACAAGGACCGCAGCAACGACAGCGTATCCAAAGAAGTCGCCGAGTTGCGCAACAAGCTCGAGCGCCGCAAGAAACTCGAACAAACCGATGCTGCTGTCGAAAAGGCAAAGGAAGGCCTTGTACAATGCTTGAGGGTGAATGATCGCAGACCTTTGGATTGTTGGGAGCAGGTTGAGGCTTTCAAGGCAGAGGTCGCTAAGCTTGAGCAAAAGTTTGTCGACAGAGCTCTGCGATGAGCAATTCGTCTTTGTCAGTTTTGAGTGTGGCTTCTGACGGCTAGGGTCTGTTCATATGAGGTTTGGTGAAGCCTAGATCTGTGACGCTGAGAAGACATTGCCAATCATGGGATGAAGAATGTCGATTGTGGAAAAGACATGATTATATTTGCACTACGAAGAAAAGCAACACTACCTGAGCACATTGCGACTTCTAATCTTGCCTACAACTCTAGATGTCCTCTTATTTGCCATATTCACTCATGTATAAATTTCGTTCCTCGTCTTATATCTTCTCGGACTCTCAATCAATGCTGACAGTGTTCCCACATCTTATCCACACCTAGCTCGACCTTCAAAGACTATTGCAGNNCGCTTGCATATCACTAGTAACCATACCCCTCACAGTATTGACATAAACGTCTAACTGCTCCAACCCAGAAAAAGCCGCTTCAATCCCTCTGTCTTTATACCTATCCAACCACCTTGCTAGCCACCACTTTTCCTCTTGTGTTTTCCAAGGAAGAGTTTGTGATGTTTGGGTTATGAAATCGATGGTTTGTTGCGCTGCGTTCAAGTGGGTGAGGAGTTGAGAACCAGTGTCTAGCATTGAGGAGCGCAACGAATCAAGGTCTTTGACGCTGCTACTGGGTTTGGAGTTGCCGAATAGAGTGTAGTCGTCTAGAGCTGAGGAGGCGAGATTGCCGGCTTTGTGGTAGATGCCTAGAAGTCTNTGTCTACATGTTAGCTTGATGGACTTTCGAAAGAGAGTTCGGAAACAGGCTGCTTACCTCACAATATCGTACTGATGTGTCTTCAACTCTTCCAACCGCTTCTGCAAGTCCTCAAGATTGTTTATAGCAGATATTTGCTCCTCGTTGGTATTTTGTGCAGACCCTTCGAAAAGTTGACCACTGAGTTCAACATGTAGATGCGAACTTACTTCCTCCATATCTCTCAGGACCGACAAGAAATGTTGTCTGCGTTCTTGATTGGCGACAATCACATCCCAGCCATGCGTATCAAGCTTGGGAGTCGGTCTCATTGCATAGATAGGATAAGTAGCGCCGAACCATACACCGTAGATGAGTTTGTTTCGAATAAACGTCCCAGCTGAGTTCTTGAAGTTTGACGGCTTCAGAAATTCGCGGACGTCTTTTGCTAGAGCTGCTGGGTTTGGGAAGGCTGGGAGTACATTTGCCAGGGCTGCTGGCGCGAAGTTCCAGATCGCGAATGCGGAAGTGCCGGGATTTGAGGTGGCTAGATTGGTATGCAAAGGTGTGTCAGGGGACAAGGGAGGACTAACGATATCTGCTCCCAATGCTGCCGCTTGAGCCCAGTTAGAAGCACCAGCATCTGTATCTGCCATTGCCCAATGGTTATGATGAACACCCGACCAAGCAGAGTCCCCAACATTCCCTCGTATCACCACCGCAGGATGTTGAGGAGGACATTCCCAAGTGAGATGTCTGACCGCCACGAAAACCAAGGTAATGAACAAAATCCTATTGACTTCTCTCAAATGCAGGTTTTCTTGATAATGAGCCCAAGAGTTTTCGAGCCATAGGACCGCTCTCTCGACGGGAGATTGTGGTGCTATGTCTTCTTCGGAAGTGGCGATTTCTCGTTGGGTATCTTGTATGGGTTTAGGACGACGTTTAATGGGTCGAGGGGTGAGTGCTCGAGGAGGAGTTTTGCCTAAGAACACAGCGCCATCTTCAGAGCTGTTGCTGACCACGCTGCTGACACGAGGGCGTCTTGAACCTTCCTGTCTGCCCTTTACTTTGTCCTCGGGAGTATATGGTGGAGTTTGCATTGTGGAACAATTGGTCTCTCGAGGAGTATATATATGTTGAAAGAGCTTCTCATGCGACGACCCGATATTTTCTGGCTACAAGAAAGAAAAGACATAGTCGACTTACCGTCATCAAGAGATATAGCGATACCTGACCATGAACAAAGCAATTTCGGCATTCTGTTGATGGCTTTGAGAGGCCTCTTTCCGCATGCGGCGGACATTGTTCTTTGTTGCTTTGATCTCACCTACCTTGTTGTCAGAGCTTGTGACTGCCGTCAAATGTCTAGATCGTGTATATCAAGATTGAACACAACTGCCGAGAGGCAGAAATAGAAAGTACTTGACCTATTGTGCTATTGGAGGCGTGCTAGCAGCCAATTTACTAGGCCGACCATTATGATACTGTCAATGGTTGAGCGGTGATCTTCGTGGAGATTGATCGAGAACTCTGACTCTCATACTGGAAGTGATCACTTATCGAGAGAAAGACAGAGAGACCCATCATGTGGAGTAGAGAAATTCAACGGGGGTGGTCGAAGGAGTCGAAGTCGAAGCCAGCCACAAGCCTCGGACTTTGTCGGGCTTACAAGCGTCCGCTCTTCAGGGCAAGAAATTCTAACCACCAAAAAATATCCAACAGCTAGAATAAACTCTCAAATCACAACCCAAACACACAAAAATGGCAAAGAAGAGAAAGGCACCCTCTGCTGGCGTATCCAGAGATAATGTTGTAGACGACTCCAACAAGCGCACAAAGATGCGCATCAACACGTACGAAGATGTGGCGGGCTCCGACGACGAATTCCACATCAACCGCGATAAGATCATGCTCGACGATGGACCTGAGGCAAAGAGGAGGAGAAAGGTCCAGGAAGAGGGTGAGATGCGACAAATACCTGCGCAGAGATGAATCAAACTCTAACACAACACAGAGGAATTTCTGCAACAGTCCGACGAGGAGGTTTTAGGATACTCGAGTCCTTCAGAAGCCGAAGACGACGATGAGGATGACTATGAAGAGGAAGAACACGAACAGGCACCGGCTAAGAAGTCAAGGAAGGATGCACAGGACGAGGAAGATGACGAGGATATGGGCGCATGGGGTGAATCCAAGCAAGATTACTACAATGCCGACGCCATCGAGACCGAGCAGGATGCACTGGATGAAGAGAAGGAAGCACTGCGCTTGCAAAAGAAGCAGTTGCAGGCCATGAGCGCTGCCGACTTTGGATTCGACGAAGCCGACTGGCAACAAGAAGACGACCAAGCCGCGGATCAAGATGGTGAGGTTGTCACTGAAGTGCTGCCTCAACTCGAGTTGGACGACAACTTGGCTCCCAAGGAACGCCTGAAGCTATTGAAGACACGCTACCCTGAGTTCGAGCCTTTGAGCAAGGAACTGCTCGCTCTGCACCAAACATATCAGGAACTTTCGTCTGTGGAATCACCTTCTCTCGCTGTTCAAACCAAGCAGCAAGCGGCTGCCGCCTACCTCGCCTCTCTCACCATGTATTTCGCTCTCCTCACATCTACCGCCCAGGACAAGCAGACAAAAGGCCTCGCTCTATCTGCAGCCACTATCCGCGACCACCCCGTCATGGAAAGTCTGATCCAATGCCGCGATCTCTGGTCACGCCTCAGAGACCTACCCGAAGACGACTCAGAAGACGAATCCGCCCTAGACGGAGCTGAAGAGGAGGAAATGAGCGAGTCAGAGGAAGAAGAAGCAGCTCCCATCACCATCCTCCCCAAGAAGGTCAAGAAAACAGCTGCAGAACGTGCCGCAGACGCAGTCACAGCAGCAACAGAAGCCCGCCGCGCCGAACGCCTTCGCAAGACCGAAGCAGACTTTGGCGACCTGGACGCTTTGCTCACCTCTCGCCCCAAGAAATCCTCCTCCTCAAGCAAGAAGAAATCCTCCACAGCAGCAATCGACGAAAACGACTCGGACCTCGGCGAAGATACATCGCTCACCGCCGAAGAGCTCGCCGAAAAGGCCAAGCGCAAANAGTCTCTCCGCTTCTACACCTCGCAAATTGCCCAAAAGGCAAACAAGCGCGGTGCAAAGGTGCAAGGAGGAGACGAAGATGTACCGCACAGAGAGCGTCTGCGCGACAGACAAGCACGCCTCAATGCCGAAGCCGAAGCAAGAGGCAAGCGCTTCGACCGCGACACCCTGGGCGAAGACAGCGAAGACGAAAACGACCGTGCAGTTGCTCGCGAAGTGCGTGGAGAGAAAAATCTCGACGACGACGAAGACTACTACGACATGGTGGCCTCCAAAGCCGCAAAGAAGAAATCAGACAAAGCTGCCGAAGCCGCTGCGTTCAGAGAAGCAGCAGCCCAAGGCGGCAGAGTCATTGAAAAGGAAGAAGTCGGTCCTGATGGCAAGAGAGCCATCACCTATGCGATCGAGAAGAACAAGGGTCTCACACCGCACAGAAAGAAGGATGTACGCAACCCGCGTGTCAAGAAGCGCAAGAAGTTCGAGGAGAAGAAGAAGAAGCTCGCTTCCATCAAACCCGTCTACAAGGGCGGTGAAGGCAGAGGCGGCTACGGTGGTGAACTCACGGGTATCAAANAGGGTCTGGTCAGGAGTACAAAGCTCTGATGAGATTATGCCTGTGCAGCAAAAGGATATTCGTTTTCTTCTGTTGGTAGCAATTTCTCTCTCTCTCTCTTGCATATTCCCCAAATGTTCATGTCTTTTCGCTCTCGATCAGGTCCTGATCTTTTGTCCTGTCTGAAATGTCCGTTTGTCTGTCCGCCAGTAATTTCGTTGTATTTTCTCTTTTTACGACCGGTTCTCTTGGGTGGTACACCCAGGGAAAGTGCCCATCTTGCGAGTGCTTTGAGAAGCGGGGGCATGGGCTCGGTGGTCTGCTTGTGCTGAGAACCGGACATGTTGGCGTTCACCTTGCTCTGAGTTTCGGACTTGTCGTGATCCTCGTTCAAGTCACCAGACCTGGTGTTCTGGCGTGGCATTCCGACTTGTCCAGTTCTTCTGCCCATTGCATTGCGTGGTTTGGCGGACACGCTCTTCTTCTTCTTCTTCTTCTTCTTCTTCTTCTTCTTCTTCTTCTTCTTCTTCTTCTTCTTCTTCTTCTTCTTCTTCTTCTTCTTCTTCTTCTTCTTCTTCTTCTTCTTCTTCTTCTTCTTCTTCTTCTTCTTCTTCTTCTTCTTCTTCTTCTTCTTCTTCTTCTTCATGAAAGACTGCATCTGGTCGATAACTTCCTATATTCGAGGTCAGCGAAACGAAAACTCGATGCTTTTGAAAAGGCAGATCCTGTCTCACATCCAACCTGTCCCAATCTAGAGCCGACCACTCCACTGTCTTGTCGTCGATGAGGTCCAGCAGTTGCTTGACCTTGTCCCTTCTTGCATCTTTGAGGTGCTCCTGCTCTAGCAGATTTGGCAGACCAGAGCCAGACATGTCGACTTGCAATGCGACTGGTCAGGATTCAGTACGAAGCAAGACCAGTTGAGGTCTGTAGTGATGTAGAGCTAGCGAAATAGAGCCAGTCGATATTGAAACGGTGGATCGATATAGAAAAGAAATAAAGGAAAAGAGTTGAGGAAGCAAGAGAAAAAAGTAGAGATCGTGCGAGTTAAATAGTGGGCACCAGGAGTAAGTGAACGCCCACCTATTATAAAGTGAAGCTTGGAAGTGAAGGCAGCACTACGAGAGATTGTGGAAATTTACATACCAGTCTTGGTCACTTGTTCCTTGCTTTTGATTCTTCTGTTGTCATGAAAGAGTCAGATTGATATAGTTCCTGCTGTCTGAGGTCAATTCTCTAGCAATAATGCTCGTGTGAATGTAGACCGGCATTATTCCTAGCAACAAAATCAGGCAACCTTCTGCTCGAGCGACAGTCCTTGTCCATCCTTCTTGGGGGTTCATTTTGTTTGCAGATACTAACTGGCACCACTAAGGCCCATCAATGCTCCAACTGCCATCATGTCTTCGTCCCTTTCTGCTTGCGACGCACTTGTCTGCTGTGCGTTGACCACAACGTTCGCATCCTCGACTACCTCATCCACATCCATACCCGGACTATCAAGACGTGCGCTGTTGGCGCGACCATGTTTTGTCCACGGCGGATTACCTGTCCAATCCAGCTCTTTCGACTCTGGTCCCCACACCTCTCCTTTCATGTCTTGTAGCGTATCCTCATCGAAGCTTGCAGATGCGAGCTCGCCTTGTAACACTCCTTCCAGAAGAGCTTCCTTTGCTGCCCACTCCTTGCGACGGAGTTCTTCCAGGCCTTCGACTTCTCGTTTCAACTCTTCGCTCTCCGTTTGTGCCCAGTGGAGTTGGCGTCTGAGTAATCGCATGAGCTGATTTGCTGGAATCTCGCTCTCGAACTGTGAAAAGTGTATGTCGGGAGGATATGTGATCATGAAGCCTGCTTGGCCTGTTATCGGATGGCGTGCGGGTATGTACTGGATGTTATCCATGGGCGGTGACGGATCATCGGGTGCTTGTGTGGGTGCAGGAACGGGCACATCTGGGATAGCAGCTTTGGCAGGACCTTTGCCGTTCATCGAAAGGCGTAGTTTAGGACCCTTCTTGGGTTGTCCGGTGGCAGGGTCGATGGGATTGGCATTTGTTGCAGCAGCGCGTGGTGGTTCGGGCTCGTGGACGGTGCGCATGTGTTTGGCGAGGGCATCAGATCTAGTGAACGAACGATCGCATTCTNNAATTCGTGGTTAGCTGGGTTGTATGGGGAGAGGTGAGAAAAGTCGCCTACCTGGAAGATGACAGAAGAATGGTTTCTCCTTGGTATGACTTCGCATGTGAGCTTTGAGAGCATAGCCACTGGGGTGGTTTGTGCCCTTGCGAGCGCAGTCTCCCCATTCGCAGGTGTAACGTGCCCGCTTGGGAGCAATGTGATCGTTCTGGACGTGAGCAATGAGCTCATCACTGTTGGCCAAGTCCCCTACACTGCAGCCCTCCCACGCGCAAGTCGTGACTTGATCAGCTCGCATGGCGAACTCGTCGGCGCTTGGTGATCCTGGAGCGGAACCCTCGCTGTCGCAACTGATATCTGCATCCAAATCTTCCATTGTATCTGCACCAGCGACCATTATCGTGCCGCCATGAGGTGTACCGATGTGTGCTGGGTGGCCTCCAGTACGTCGTTTCTTGCTCGGTGGTCCTGCGCTGTCTGCGTCCATGCTAGGTCTGGCTGATCGATTTGGTGTGCTGACATGGTCGTCAACCTCGTCGGACGACGATATTGATGACAATGGTGAGTCTGGAACTTCGCTCATGGTCTGAGGTGCTGGCGATAGTGTATGGGAGATGGTGGATAGTGATGAATGTTTGGTTATCAGAGCTTCGTACTTGTCAGTCGCATCAGCTCGGCTTCGCGGCTTCCATAGGAGGGATGACAGGGTCACTCCAAGCTTGTTAGCCTTACAACCCTGACCTCCTTCAATCAGCAAATCTTAGCAATGTTCCAGTGCCTGCTACGCTTGGTTTATCATGCAAATGTTCTTAACTGTCTTGTAGTTCCTTTGGAGGTAGTCATGGAGTATTTGGCTCATGTTGTGCTCGTATTATGTCTTCTGCATTAGTTCACAATTTCTGTGACTTTAGAGCCTGACCTCCTATCTAGCATGACAGGCCTCGAACCACTCCGCTTTACCTCAGAAATTTGAAAACGTAACTGCTATTCTAAGGGGACTTGGACAGAAACCAGCTACTAGATGGTTCGATTAGTCTTTCGCCCCTACGAGTATCCCCAAACTCGGCGAACTGCACAGTAAAACAATCGGCGCGAATCATAATGCAAGCAAGTATAAGTTTTAGGGAAGAGAGGAGTAGAACCAATTAAGATTTCAACAGAGGTGACGCTGATTGAATTAGGTCCCTAGTCGACTGCTTCTCCTCTGTGGCCGAAGGACCAACCAAGAAACTCTTTCTCATCCGAGAGAAGAACAAGAAATACAACACCCAACCCAAGCGGAGCGAAAACCCATGCTCGACGCCCTTTCATCCCATAGACCGCCCAATTTACAACTGTTTTCCAGTTTCTCTAAGTCTTCCTCCCGTGACTCCTCGTGAACGCCATCGCTGTGAGAAACAAAACAAAGGAGAAAAAATCATCGTCCCATCTCTATGTTCTTCAAGAGAAAACATGCAACCGACCTTTTTAGACCCTTTCGGCCATTACCGCCATGAACGCCATGTAGAAGATCGCAAGAACCAAAATCATCACATGAGTGAATGTCGAGGTTGGTCGTCATTTGACCGAGATGCGGGCGACTTGGTCACGGTGCTCATCGTTAGATTTAATAGCAGCGACATCGTCGTAAGTAGGAATCTTGGTGTGGTGCTTTAGGTGCCAGAAACCATCATTAGGCTCTGGTGGTGGTGTAGGCAGCCAACCTTGCGATTGTGCGATAGGAAGTACGATGCTTGGGTCAAAAGACCTGATGAAACGCATGTCGTCCTCGCGGCATTTAGGATATGAATAGTCGCGGTATTCGGCGATGGCCGGGTCATTTTGAACGTGCTGTGTTTTGCGGAAGCAGGCAGTCACGCAACCAGTACGATGCTGTCATCAGTCAGCATCACGTGCACATGTCTTGGAATATGTTAAACTAACCTTGCCACGATTACAGTGGATGAGAAGAGGATGGTTGTTGCGATTCAGGACGACGGCAAGAGCAGTAGCCATGGTTTCGGGAGTAATGTTTACCTTGCCGTCCTTGTTGGCAGGGATATGGATCTGATAATGGCGAATGTGGTTTTCGTCCATGAAGGCGATGTACTCTTCTGATAGAGGCTCAGGAACCAGCGTGCTACATAGCCTGTTAGAGAGGAAAAATCGGTATAGAGACCGAGAGACGTACAGGATAGTTTTGATGCTGAGACTTTTGATGAAGTCAAAGTTCTTGCTGGTTGGGTAACCACTCCTGTAGATGGAGTTCGTCTCGACCGCACCAAAGTTGGCTGGCGGAACGTACATGCGCAAACGTCCAGGTAGTGGGGCGATGCTGAGCTTTGGGTTCAAGTTTTCTTGAGACACCATAATGGGCGTCGAGTCGTGTTGTTTGGACCCTGTTTTTCCGGATTAGTGGTGTTTGAGGGAACTCAAAGTGTATTGGACGCACCTTTGACGTCCTTAGGACTGTCGAGAACTGACAACTCGCAAGCGTCCATGTTTGTATTTTGTGGAGTCGACTTGAGCAGGGGAGTCGAGGCTGCAGAAGGCATCTTGGATGTGGGAGAAAGGATATGTCGCGTGACAGTCGAGTCTCAGACTGCGTCGTGTGGGTGTGTAGTCGATAGTCGGTAATATGAGAATGTGGTTCGGTGTCTGCGCAAGGCTGCAGGCGCGTGTCGTTGCTGGATAGGCAGCTGGTACTGCGTCAAAGGATGCGAGAGGTCGACGCCAGTGGTGGGCATATACCGTGATAGTCAGACCATCACAAGGAAGCCATGAGCGACATGGTGGGGTTGGTGTTGATGCGGAAGAGGCGCATGTTGACCGGTGGTGGGAGTGTTCTGGAGGGTTTGGTGGAAAAGGAAGAGGATGTTGATCAGGAAGAAGTGGAGTGGACCTGTCGAGCAGAAGGCTGAAAGGCGCCGCTTGGAAATGCGTGCGGTGGAGTCGGGATGGAAATATCGCTAGTCTCCCAGGGCCCAGAAACTCTCTCTAGCGGCGGCAGACGACTGGCCCCGTTGTCACTTTTCACGTGCTCCTGCCATTTTCTCACCACTTTCCGCACTGGTGACTGAACCCTCGTCATCGCCAGCTGCTGCCTTCGACTCATGCAATCTAACACTCGACTAGTTCCTACTCTGCCGTGCTGCAAACAGTCACTTGGAAGCATGCATGTGTGAAGTATCGAGTAGCTTTTTCGACTCGTTCTCGAAAGCATTATTCGTCATAACTGAGAGCGCCATGTCCTGCATTCATACTGATCTACATGATTGGCTCGCTTGCCCGCACTCTGTCGTATCCCCGTGGCCACTCGTTGTCTCTGATAATCACCAACTTCCGCGAGCCTGCCAGATGATGCTCATCTACCACCAATTCGTGACCGCTCAAACCCTCTCTGACGACTGTCTCAAGATCCTCGCCGTTTCGCCATCCGTGTCATTATCCATGTCCAAACATGGGGTAAATCAGAGTAGATCAACGTGCGATCACCCCTCTCCATGTGCTCAGTGTAGCTACAGAAATGCACAATATCTACTCTCATGAAAAATGTGGTCTTTACAAAGAACCCTGATAAAGGCTCTCTCTATGGCTAGACTTGTATTCGAATCGCATTTGTGCATTTCGATAGCTTGTAGCAACCCTTATAGTTCGTCATGGAGAAGAAGTTAGTCGCAGAAGTGTGATTGTCTTTGGCACATGGGGAGGCCGGACTGTGCCGGCAACTCTGGGGTTGCCATCTTTATCCTACCTCAGGTACCTTTCAAATTGCACGTCATTGTCTAGATGCTGTTCAAGACCACCTTTGTGCAAGGAAAACTAGTTCATTGACGCCTATGACAAATATTACACCGATCTGAATGCGCAGTGCAGGTGATGGTTGAGAAAGAANNACAGTGACCGACTGAAAAACAAGGGGGNATATGTGGGTAAAGACCTGAGCGACTTGTACTGAGAAGANNGGAAAAAGACAAGACGTAGATGTACGTGAGCCGAGCAAGACGAATGATCAAGACCATCAGTGCCACGTCCTCGACCAACGACCATAGTGCCCTGCGTCCATGTCTTCTCCATTTCGCTTGCNNTTGAATAGGGCGGACATGTCTCTTGTGGTGCATAACAGGACAACCAAGAAACTCCAATCCGAACGCCATGTTGCAGAACCAAGGTATAAATCTGGGGGATGTGCAAGTCTCTCAGGCCTCGAGCTGCAAGTCATTGTTCAGTGGGCAGAGCAGCAGCCGTTCGGAAGACGCGACATGAGGAAAAGCGCTTCGTCCATGGTCACCGAACCATGTTTTGTTCTCCATGCCGAAGTGGGGATGATCGCGCAATTGGGCCTGCCCGCTTACAGGATCAGGCACTTCTTGCGGCTGCTACTCCTCTCCTTTCTTGAGGTGAGGGCAGCACGAGTGGCGTGCTCAAAGACCTCACGGACACCCTCGTTGGTCTTGGCCGAACACTCGATGTACTCCTTGGCACCAATCTTGTCCTTGACTTGTCTGGCCTGTNNGTACTGTGTAAGTGGAATTCATGTTGTATCGAAAGTGTCAACACGCACCTGCTCCTCGGTAACAGGAGTCTGCGAAGTCTTGTGAAGTTCCTCGATGGTCTTCTGGTCGTGTCTGAGATCCTTCTTACATCCAACAAGGATGATGGGAAGACCCTGACAGAAGTGCAGGACCTCTGAGATCCACTATCAAAAATAAATCATGTCAGCATGCAGCTGGGCACGTGAGGTGGCAGGCCAAAATTGGCGGCGTACCTTCTCCTGGACGTTGTCAAGAGAGTCGGGGGAATCGACGGCGAAACAGATCAGGATGACATGCGAGTCAGGGTAGGAGAGAGGGCGCAGTCTGTCGTAATCTTCCTGGCCAGCGGTATCCCAAAGGGCGAGCTCGACGTGCTTGCCGTCAACCTCGACATCGGCGACGTAGTTCTCGAAGACGGTGGGGACGTAGACCTTTAAAAACTTATGTCAGCACATCGGGTGCACTATACAGAGGGCTGCTTGTCGCGCTCGAGCATGAAGGACTGGCGTGGGATGCGACGAGGAGGGGAAACAAAGTTGAGCGACGACGGCGAGCCAAGTATGTAGAACGACGAACCTCAGGGAAGGTACCCTTGGAGAAGACACTGTCGACAGCGGGTAAGCAGTGGTATGGTCAACAGGCGGCATTGTTTCTTACATGAGGAGACAGGTCTTTCCACATGCACCATCACCGACGATAACGAGCTTGCGACGGATTTCCGCCATTGTGAAGACTGATCAACAAGAAGACTGTAAGGTGGAAAAGGTGAGCAAGTCGGCCAGATAATCAGGCCAAGACGCAGGTGGATTGTTATGGAGATAGGATGTGATGTCGGCAACGGTGATGGCAGTGATGTTGGCAGGCGACAAGAGGAAGGAGTCGCACCTGGCTGGATTTGCCAAGGCTGTGGGCTTGACGCGGCTGTTGGTTGAGCACTCGGGGCTAGTTTGTTTTGTTAAATGCAGAGAACAACACACGTCTGCTTGCTTCTGTCACTGGCTGGCTTATGGCTGCTTGCGAGTCTTTGTTGTTCTGGAGACTAAGTACAGAGATGACAGGAGGTTTAGAAGACAGGCAATCACGTCGGACCTTCGGTCTACGAGTATCAAACAGCGAACAGGGGAACGTGTTATTACACAGATTGCGCAGAGTAATTATCATAACGCTAGCACAGCACCACGGCTGCCTTGATGTCAGAAGGGGCTCTGAAGGATGCCCTCTCAAACTTGCCATCTGATGTGTGGCTTGGGAATGCACGCCTTGTAGCGAGTGCTATCGTTGCACTGCTGGTGTGTTTTTCTTCTCCTGCCTCTTGTACAGCGTCTAAGCCTCCCACTGCTCACGTATCTCTGGTTCTGCCACATGCCTGCGCCTCGTTCAACATCGTATTCAATCTCGACGCTCGGATCACGCTGGTTATTAGCTTTGTTTTGCTCAAAATGCGCCAAGACACGCTGTGTATCGCGGCCAGCCACACATGCTGTGCCACAGCAACCTGAATTTGCTTCATCTCTGATACGGATTCCTGTCAGTGTATCAGATATTGTTTGAGGTTCACGCCGAGAGCTAACCAGATCAAAGACATCGTCTTGTTCTGACGATTTTTGACTCCGATTTACATCAAGAGAAGATAACAAGTCATTTCCCCTCCCCGTGTGCAAAAGTATGTGAGTGTAGCTGCAGAAATACACGATAGCAACGAGAAATAAGACAGTATCCACTGAGAAGCAATGATTTGCTCACTCTCTGTGGATACACCTTGTTTACGAAAACAACTATGCCTTTTTACAGTCTACATCTTGCTCCTAGCTATAGTTGGAGTAAGATGAATTACATACCAGGTACTTTGGCACACAAGGAGGCCAGTCTGTTTGACCTCAAAATTGAATCATGGAGAGCCCCCACTCATGCCATTTAGGAGTTTGCGGAGAAGATATCAAACGAATTGTGCTTTGATGCAGCCTTTGTGTAGGAGAGCATGCACAAAATTCGACCCGAATCACGGTCATGTCTTATGAGCTTCAGCTGAGTAAACACAGAACAAGAAAGTCTTGGACGCAGCAAACGACGCTCTACAGGTAATACGTTGAGTATTTGCACCAGGCTCTGACAGAATCGCTATGAGCAACAAAGACATCAGTTGTGTTGATACAGTCTGGCAGCAGTGTTGTTGAATGTGTTCGAAAGAATTCCAAACGCAGCGAAAGCTCTCGGGTGAGGAGATAGGCGGCTTTAAGGTTTCAACCACAACGGGCTTGCTTTACTGAGGTCATTTTAGCTACTGAGTGATCGCTCTTTGGAGACCATCACTTGGAGTTACAGCCATCACTTGTTCGCACTCACTTGATCGCGTCTGCTTGAAGTACGCACGTCACACTTATCCTCTGGCCACCTCTCTTCCCAGCGCTACTCTGACACATCATCCGCCACACAATATGGCCGAATCAGAAGCAGACAAGGTATCTTGCATCCATGCTGCTGTCAAAGCACACAGCTCTCTGCCTTCAGATCTAACTTGGGCAGATTCGCAACAAGCGTCTTGCCAAACTTGGTGGCGGCTCAGGCCCATCTTCACCAGCACCATCGTCCCCAAGCATCGAGACACCACCAGCCTCATCTTCGTCCACCTCACAAGATAAACCGGCAGAAGCAGCAGGCAACCCTTTCTCACAGCTCGGCATCAAAAGCGAGACAAAGACGCCTGTCAAGATCAACATCACACCTTCCGCTGCCCAAAAGCGCCCCAACGACGACTCGCCTCAGCCACGGTCACGCCCGCAAGCCTCGGAATCGCTCAACACATGGGAAGATCGCCAGCTCAGTCAGATTTTCCGTCTGTCGCTGAAGCCTGACCTCGTTCGAGATGGTTCTGCACAGCCTTTGTATTATCTTGAGAGTGTGCGAGGAGATCTGCTCGAACAGAATGAACCCCTTCAGCTCAAGACAAGCCTGCTGGACCAGGCCCTTCCCGAAGCTGCCGGGCTGCTAAAAGACATCACACCACTGGACTATTTGCTGGCATGTTGGAAGCGCATCTCCAAGGCTTGCCGAGGCATGAGGAGCACAGACACCGAGAACCCAAGATTCAGAGTCTTGATGGAGGCCAGACGACTCTGCATGAGTTACTGCATCTTCGCCATCACCATGCCCGAGATGTTCGGTTTCGAGACGCCACCAGAGAACGCATTAGCAAAACATCTCCTTGCAGAACCCCACAGTGATTCTGGTATTGATCACGACTTCCTTAACGAGGCTGTTTCACGTTTCGAGGACGACGAGTCGATCAAGGATGCTCTAGTTGGTGCCGTGGAACAGCTTAGCAGGCAGCTGGCTACACTGTCCATGAACGACATCGAATACAAGCACTACCTCACCGCTATCAGAAATCTTACCCACTACCCAAAGATTGTAGACGCCATCACTCAATCACCCGCCTTCCTGCCCGAAGGCGTTGCGGCGCAGGACATCGAGATGGTCACTATCCTAGGCCCATTCTTCCGTCTCTCACCTCTGCAGAATGGCGTTGCACAAAGCTTCTTCACCACACCCAGGTCGAAAGACAGGGCTTACATCATCAATGCTCAACGTTCGCTCCGCATGACACTCAATACCCATCAGGAAGAGCTCTTTGACCTTGCTAACAAGATCGTCAAATCTGGAAAGGAGCCACGTGAGAAGATGCTCGATTGGTTCGCTCACTGTATGAACACCAACCACAAACGTCGTGCTATGAGAGTCGACGAGAAGACCACATCATCAGATGGCTTCATGATCAACATCACAAACTGTCTTGATCGACTCTGTGACCCTTTCATGGACGCTACATTCAGCAAGATTGACCGCATTGATGTCAACTACCTGCGAAGAAACCCTAGAGTCGATATCTCTGATGAGACCAAGATGAACGCGGATCAGAAGACCTCCGACGCCTTTTATGAGCAGAAAGTTGACGGCACCAACAATTTCATTTCTGAAATCTTCTTCCTCACAGTAGCTGCTCACCATTACGGCACCGAGGCGGCAAGTTCCAGGATGGAAGAATTGCAGAAGCGCGTCAAACATATGGAGAAGGAGCTCGAGAGGATTGAAGCAGAAAGACACAAATACACCCACGATCCTAGATACGCCACACGCTTCGAACAGCACTTGCAGAAGTACAGAGACGAGGTCGACAGAGTTCACAGCATCATCCATGCAACTACGGGTGTGTTGCTTGACGAGGTTTCTCAAGCAAGATCCATGCAGTTCATGCGGTATGTTATTGTCTGGATTCTAAGTCTAGCATCGGGGCAGAACCTGCCCAAGGAGACTCTGCGACTGCCGCTACCTGCAGAGCAGCCTGAAGTGTTCAAATGCCTTCCTGAGTATTTCCTTGAAGATGTTGTAGACAACTTCAAGTTCATCACTGCANACGTTCCTCACATCATCACTTCTACTCAATGTGAGGAGCTAGCCACGGTTTGTATCACCTTCTTGCGCAACTCGAACTACATCAAAAATCCGTACATGAAGGCTGGACTGGTCACGATTCTATTCCATGGTGTCTGGCCCTTCGGCAACTTCTCTAAAGGAGTCCTTGGTGACCTTCTCAACGGATCAGAGTTCTGTCACAAACATCTCTTGCACGCACTCATGCAGTTCTACATCGAGTGCGAAAGTACTGGAACCCACACGGCATTCTACGATAAGTTTAACATACGATACGAGATCTTCCAAGTGTTCAAGAGCATCTGGTCAAATCCTGTTTATCGACACAATCTTGGAAAAGAAGCGGACGTCAACACCGAATTCTTTGTTCGCTTTGTCAACCTTTTGCTGAACGATGTGACATATGTCTTGGACGAAGTCTTCGGTTCGTTCACTAAGATCCACGACTTGCAAGAAGAACTGAAAGCCCCTGGTTCGGAGAGTATGGAGCAGGCGACCAGGCAAGAAAAGGAAGAAGCACTGGCGGAACAACAAGGCCGAGCCAAGTCTTACATGGGCTTGACCAAGGAAACTGTCGCCATGCTTAAGTTGTTTACAGATGCTCTGGCGGGCGCTTTCACTATGCCGGAGATCGTACAACGCCTTGCAGACATGCTGGATTACAACCTGGACGCGATGGTTGGGCCACGACGACGTAATCTCAAGGTGGACCAGCCCGAACAATACGGGTTCAAGCCTCGAGAGCTGCTGTCGGATCTAGTGGACGTCTACTTGAACCTGTCACATCGCGAGAGCTTCCGTCAAGCAATTGCTCGTGATGGTCGCTCGTACAAGCCTGCCAACTTCACAGAGGTCATGCAACTCATGGAAGGCTTTGGTCTCAAATCTGCCGAGCAGATCAAGCAGTTTACTGACTTGACTGATGCCGTGGCAGTTGTACACGCGCAAGAAGTCATGGCCGAAGAGGACCTTGGCGAGATTCCAGATGAGCTTCTTGACCCCATCATGGGTTCATTGATGGAGGATCCTGTCTTGTTGCCCAGCAGTAGACAGATTGTCGACCGCAGCACCATCCGCTCGCATCTACTCTCAGACTCTACCGATCCTTTCAATCGTGTACCACTCGCTTTCGAGGATGTGGTGCCAGCTGAAGACAAGAAGAAAGAGATTCTGGCATTTATTGAGATGAAGAGAAAGGAAAAGGCTGCTACCAGCGCCGGCGACCCGATGGACACAAGTACTTGATTTACTACGAGTTAATGATGGAAGATGCAGTGAGGGTTAAGATCAGGTTTTGCTGCAGCAATATAGATTCAAGCTAAATTCCTACCTTGCTGTAAATGTGCATTTGTTAGTTCCTTGAAACGTGTTTATCCCAACAACTTAACCGAGGAAGACACTACCAGAACCCGTCCAGTTGTGGAAAATGAGTCGAAGAATAAAAAATCGACGTATCGTCATGAAAGTGAAATGGACTATGGTCATGAATAAGGCTATTGTGCAAACGCCGCAAAGTCCGACAAGCGAAGTCAAGGTCATCAGGCAACATACCAATCGAACTCCTTTGAACTTCGACGACTCACGATTTTATCAAACTTTTGACAGAAAATCAACATGCGTCCGGACGGTCCCCGTGATACCATCGTCGGTCCCGACAGCGGCCCTGAGCCACCATTTCCTCTCAAGTTGAACGGCGAAGTGGTCAAAGGCTTTGGACGCGGCAGTAAAGAGGTTAGTAGACCGCTATAATTTCTACAAACACAAACACAACACTTCGACTTCTTTATACCTGTACACCACACGCAAAGCAGAATCAACGTGAACGCCGCAAAGATAACAAGACACAATACTGATGACTGTCAACAGCTCGGCATCCCCACAGCCAACATCCCACTCTCAGGCCTCACAGTCGGCGGCCACGACGACATTGAATCCGGCGTCTACTACGGCTACTGCTCTCTCTCTTCCACTGGCCGCATCTACCCCCAAGTAATGTCCATCGGCTGGAACCCATTCTACAAAAACACCGTCCGCAGCGTCGAAGTCCACGTGCTCGAAAACTTCTCCTCTGACTTTTATGGCTCGCATATGAATCTGGTCATTCTGGGATTTATTAGACCAGAATATGATTATGTGAGCAAGGAGAGTTTGATTGAGGATATTGAGTTTGATGTGCAGGTTGCGAGGAAGTGTTTGCAGAGGGAGGGGTATGCTAAGTTCATGGAGGATCCTTATCTTTTGGAGTTTGAGGGTAAGACTAGTGTTGCTAGTTGAGGGGTGGATGGTTAGGTCACTGGAAGGAAAGTGTAGAAGGAAGACCAGCTTTTGACGCTGTCACGACAATACACGATAGAGGATGGCAAAGAGAGTAAAGAATGTCAAACTTTCATGATACAGTTACAATTGTTGTCGAACTGCGTAGCGAACAGTTATCCGAGCCTTTACAGCCAATTTGAACCATAATGCAAGTCCCCGTCCTTGATAAAAAGCCGTTCCCACCAAGCCATGCACAGATTTCTGTGAGGTATCCAGCCAACGCCACGCTAAAAACACAAAAGATCCCACAAAGAAACACAAGAAACCTCGACCCAACGAGCCAGCCTAGCTCAAATCCATCTCGTCATCCACTGTGGGCTCATTTTGCTGATGCCCAGAACCAGCAGCTGCACCACCAGTCTCATCTATCATATTCATGAAGATGTTGTCGTACTCATCGTCATCGCTGCCAAAAGCTGAAGAGCGATCGTCGTGAACTTCTTGACTGTTGGACTGCTGATTTTGACGATATTCATCTTCCTGCATCAATGCGACCAAGGCTTCCAGCTCTTCATTCTCTTGTTGTAGAATAGCATCGGCTTCGGGGTCTAGAGGATAGTCGGACTGCGACTGTGGATCCCATGCCATCTGGCTGCTGTATGTTGGAAGGTCGTACTCCTCTGCTTCCTCTGCTTCTGCGAATTCGGGATGTAGTGAGGGTGCGGATCGTACTTGTTCGGCTTCCCATCGTCGCTTCTCTTTCAGGTAGTCGAGTCTGGCCATCNNTGACGAAGGGTTAGCACCGAACTTGAGATTGTATGCAGAGCAGAGACGTACGTCGTCTATTCTCGAGTCCCACTTATTGTCCTCGCGAGACTGGCGAACCTTGCGCAAGAACATGTCCCTACGGCGTTCGCGCAATGCATCGGAGCGTGGTACAGGTGCAGCTTTTATCGGTCGAGACGAGAAGGGTACATTTGATTGCTGGTTTGGTGCTTGTTGAGGTGCTGAGGTTGCCATTGATGTGTCGAAGGACCAGAAGGAAGTAGATGGACTTTTGACATTTGCACGTCGAGGAGAGAGTGGCGACGGCACGCTGGGCAAGAACTTGTGCGGTTGTGATGAAGTAGATCCGTAAGTCGAAGTCGCCAGCATGTTTGAAATGCTTCCCGGTCCTTATTCGTCGAGTATATCGTCCTTGGACAAAAGATGGTCGCTCCTTCCACGTTCCTGCCACCAATGATGAGAAGACGCGCCGGGTTCGCGATGGCGTGAAATCGTCAAGTTGAGCCGAGGGTCCTATGCTTCGACGTCAGAGTCTTGGCGTGTTTGCTCCACCTTTTCTGTGTGCCGTAGCATCGCATTTTGACTCCTCTCGGTCCATGTCAATCTTTGCTACAATTGAGACATGTCCATCATGCATGTTACCGTAGCCTTTTGCTCGCTTGGCTGCTCCTCATCATCAACTGAGGGCGGGGTCGCTGTTGTAGCACTCAGGATGCTACATTATGTATAGTCAGTGAAGGCCAGAGTGTGGGAAGTGTGTTCTGCTTCCATCACTCACTCGGAAACATGGCTCGCTTTTGGGTATTGTATGGCTTGCTGAGTCTTGATCTCGGCTTTGCTCTAGCTCAGGAAGCCGACATCCTGCACTACATTGATCCGCTCATAGGCACAGGCTTCGGAGGTTTGGAAACAAGAGAAGAAGGGCGAAACCCGCTCCTATGTTGACAATCGANNGCAGGTCATGTCTTTGCTGGTGCTACTCTGCCTNTTCGGTATGGCTCCTCAGTCATTGCGGATATTTTGATTTTGACTGACCTTCAAACAGGCATGGCCAAAGCTGTTGCAGACGTCAATGGTGAGAACCAGGGCGGCTATGCGAGCGACTACAGCAATATCACAGGCTTCTCCCACATGCATGATAGTGGAACTGGAGNNGGTAAGTTCATCTCACTCCTTCTCAGTCTGTTTACAGGATGAACACACTCTATTTTATGTCATCAACCCACGGAATCCCTTGAGACGATATTGAGAATTGTCTGATTACAATCTTCACGCTCCATTTTCACGAAAGTAATACTGTTTCGAGCATATGGCTAACGTAGCGGGAAATACAGATCACCCTCGCTGGGCAACTTCCCCCTTNTTGCGCACCCCGGATGTCACAATGATGATCTGGATGAATGCCAATTCACGTCTGCGGATAGAGCCACTCCTCAGATCAATGGCTCTATCGTTGCAGAACCAGGATACTTCGCAATCACTCTTGAGAACTCTGTCCGTGCCGAAATGACCGTGACAAACCACACTGCACTATATCGCTTCACCTTCCCGAAAGGTACTCCAGAAATGCCTCTGAGTCCACTGATCTTGGCAGATCTGATTGATCTGCCCAAGTCTAGAAGTAACGGATCGATCTCTGTGGATCCACAATCCGGAAGAATAGTTGGTAATGGAACCTTTAGCCCTAGCTTTGGCATTGGAACATATGACCTTCACTTCTGTGCCGACTTTACTGGCTCAAGCATTCGCGATACTGGCGTTTTCATGAACAACAGGGCTGGCTCTGAACCTAAAAACCTAAGCGTTGTCCCTGATGGAGTAAACAATTCCCCTGACATACTTCCTGCCGGAGCTTGGGTGCGATTCAATGCGCCTGAGAACAACGCTACTCAAATCTTGGCTCGTGTCGGATTGAGCTTCATAAGCACTGCCCAAGCATGTTCGAATGCTGAGAAAGAGATTTCTGGCTTTGATTTCGACGCCACTCACTCCGCCGCACGTCAGACCTGGAACGACAAAATGAGCGTGATAGATGTCACACCTGGCAGTGTCAGCGATGAGTTTCAGACCATATTCTGGAGCGGGCTGTACCGTGCTTCTATCAGTCCACAAGACTACACCGGTGAGAACCCTTTGTGGGACAGTACAGAGCCATACTATGACTCTTACTACTGTATCTGGGATTCATACCGCAGCATACATCCCCTGATCACACTGTTCGATCCGAACTCTCAGGCTCTAATGATCAGAAGCTTGTTGGACATCTATCGACACGAAGGCAAGCTTCCAGACTGCCGAATGTCGTTATGTAAAGGATTCACTCAAGGTGGCTCTAATGCTGATGTTGTTCTGGCCGATGCATATGTCAAGAACCTGACCCAAGGTATTGACTGGGCTCTTGCGTACGAGGCTGTTGTCTCAGATGCTGAAGACGAGCCAAAGAATTGGGCTGTGGAAGGTCGCGGAGGCCTGGCCAGTTGGAAGTCGCTAGGATACATCCCTGCTGATGATTACGATCCGTATGGCGTTGGGCCTTTCACACGTAGCATCTCTCGCACAGTCGAGTACGCGTACAACGACTTCTGCATTGCAGAGATGGCACGTGGTCTTGGGCACACCTCGGACCACGAGAAGTATATTTCGCGCTCGGAGAACTGGAAGAACCTCTATAAAGAGGATCAAAACTCCACTATCAACGGCACACAAACTGGATTCACTGGATTCTTGCAGCCCAAATTCTTGAATGGCACTTGGGGCTTCCAAGACCCAATTTTCTGCTCGCCTCTGCTCAACTTCACTTCATGCTATCTCAACCCTGATGGCCATGAAACGTATGAAGGATCTGCATGGCTGTACACAACCTATGTCCCTCAAGACATGGCCTCTTTGATCAACGCTCTCGACGGCCCAGATTCGTTCGTCAAGCGTCTCGACTACCTCCATGAGAGCGGCTTGCTATACATTGGCGATGAGCAAGGCTTTNTACCGGTCTTCCAGTATCACTACGCTGGCCGACCTGGCAAGAGCGCTGCACGGGCACACTCCTACATCCCATCTCAATTCAACACAACTGTAAACGGCATCCCTGGCAACGACGATTCAGGCGCCATGGGTTCTTTCATCGTCTTAGCTATGATGGGTCTCTTCCCTGTTCCAGGTCAAAGTGTATACCTTATCACACCTCCATTCTTCCCCGAAATCAGTATCACGAACCAGATTTCTGGAAATATGGCTACCACCCGAAACGTCAACTTCGATGCTGAGTACAAGAATATTTACATTCAGAATGCTACATTGAACGGGATGCCGTATACGAAGAATTGGATTGGACACGAGTTCTTCGTTGATGGAGGTGTGCTTGAGTTGACTCTTGGGCCTGTGGAGAGTGCTTGGGGTACGAGATATGAGGATTTGCCTCCTAGCTTGTCTACTGGCTAGTCTACTGTGCTGCTCAACCATATGATACATTTTTATCTATGTATTGCAAAATATCGAGAGATGTTGGCAATGATGTCGGAGACAATTTTGAGGAGAACGATGAGAACAAAGCGAAAGGTCCAGACATCTGTGGAAACGTGTCAGCATGCGAATCTGGCATTGCGCAGAGATACGGTGGTGCTACGAACCTTTGATATTGATCCATTCAGAGTTGAGATTTGGCAGGACAGCCTGGTCACTTGTGTGCTCAGCGACTCAGGGGCCTCGGTGTACACCAGCCTGCTAGACCAGTGGTATCGTGATACCCTCATGTTCAAAGCGCCTTCCAAAACCTCTGCTACAAAACCTGCACATGTTACTCCTGACCTGAAGAATACCTAGTCAGGTTAGCACGGTCGATAGAGTAGCTTCCACAGGAGCTACGACCAGCTTGTGGAAGTCTCGTCGAAATGTTGCATGGCTAAAGTTCTTCGTGATCTCTCGACCCGGGAAGGCGAATCTGATACACATTTGGACAGCATTTCCGTATGGCTCACCACCTTGAAGGAAGACGTCGTCGATCAAGCTCACTGCAGCGCTGTAATCATCAATGATATTGGTGGAAGTGGTGTTGATATTCGCATCCCTNTTGCACTCTTCAAACGATTTGTTCAAACAGAGCTCGATCAGCAAAATTCCAAGGGCAAATACGGCTTCATTTTGTATGACCGTGTTGTTAAGCGGATGAACGCCAAGGTTGTTCGCCAGATGGGGGTTCAAGGTATAGCCTTGTGTCATGGAAACACATCGTTCTTCGAGAAGTGGTCCAGTAGTTGAGACATTCTCGAAGAAAAANCAGAGTCCATGCTTGTCCCATGTATGATTCAGCCAAGGTGTATCGCATAGCAGTAACGTCGCCCATGCGGCGGCAGCCGCTATCTCGAAACGCTTACGTTGACCCAGCTTCAGGTGAACCGGAGGCTTGCTTGGTGGAAGAAGATTAACAAGAGTGGCTTGCTCTATATCGCCTCCAGGAAATGTCTTGAGATGAACGCGTTTTGTTTCACCTGGTATAGGCAGGAATCCCAGATGCTCACCGCCATTGTCTAGTCCTTGAACGAATCTGCATAGGGAGTCTATGTTTCTCCCAGAATCATGACGCGAAGTAGCCGGTATNGGCACCGCTAGGTGGGGAGGAAGCGGGCTAGTTGAACGACTTCTCGACCGCCGGCGGAAGAGACCTCTCGATTGTTGCCCTGTGGATGTCGACTGTGATGAGGTCACAGTGAGGAGCTGCATGTCGGTCATTGATGGACCCAAAACCCGCTCATCGTTCCCTATACTGCTGTTTATACCAGTGGCATCAACTTTGACTCGCGCTTTCATCCACTGCGGAGTCCCCGTTGGATTTGGGTTGTTTGTTATGTTGTAAGACAAAGACACACTGAACACAGGCGATTTTGTCGGCTTGTTGGTAAGCCAATTGAGGTCTAGTGATGTTTGATGCGAACATGAGCATTGCCAGCATGCATCCAGCGCTCTTTTGACTTCGCATGCTTGGGAGCGTACAACATCGCAATCATTCTGGTTGTAACGAGCGACAAGGGTTTGGACCATCGGAGTCCCGTCTTCTGTGGGCACCTCTGGTTTTGATAGAAGCGCGCGGAGATTGTTGTTTGACTGCTGAAGCTCGTCGAACATCTTCTTACGTTCTTTCGTCGAGAGACTTCTCTTTACCCGCCGCCACTCCCATCCGACACGAGACGATGCTTGCNNTTTGAGAAGATATCAGTCAAACTCTCGAGTCCATAAAATCTCACTAACCTTGCCACTCGCATCTATCTCAAGTTTGGTCATCAGTCGGTTGACGGTGTCTGCCATTCTTTTGATGCATCTCATGAACTGCATGTGATTGTCGGGGAAGTGTCTCCGAAGGCACTGCTCGAGTTCTGCATAGCTCGGCTCATGCAAGCCCATCGTTTCCATGGTATCATAGAACAACCTTTGTTGGATAAAAACCTCGTCTCTTATGCTCAGTAGTGTATCCTCGTATCTCGCGTAAGAATGTACAGCCTCTAGACATTCTTGATACTTGTCTAGAGCCGCGAAGACAAGAGGTATGGCACCCAGCACCAGTCCAGCCGCTTCAGCCATGGTCTGAAAGTTGATATACAAGAAACAAGAGATGGAGAGAAGGAGTGTGAGCAGCGACGGTATCCGTGATGTTGCCCCGCACAAGGCAGGGCTGCATCTGCATGCGTCAGCAAATGATGCCATCCACCAATGGCGATAGGAAGGAAGCGCTGTGGCTTCCTTCCCATTGCGACATCTCAACAGTCATTTACTACCTTCTCCTCTTCAAACCCATCAGGCTTGAAAACTTTCTGCAGCACCGAAAATTCTCGATTTGTGTTTATTAGCGATGTCAGACGGATGCGACTATCTGGACAGTCCAGGTACTGATACCACTATCTACAGCAATTTTGGATCGGAGTACGATTCAGAAATTGACGTAATTCCAGAGGATGACATTGCGGACACGACCTCCATTTGTCACTTATTCGAGAGCTGCCTAAGGAGATATGGTGTACTTTTGTTCACTCTGCAGACCGACACTTTACGCTCGGCACACCTGGTTACCAGTATTGTCCCAGAAATCAAGGACGAGTTCAGCCGACTACGTATCTGGGGTGAACAGACATACGCTGTTCTGCCGCAGAATGCGAGGCGCTCGCTTGATGAACAGCTTCGTGAAGATGGGGACACCAAGAAAATTGTCATTAGGTGTTTGCAGCGTTTAAACACCCACATTGAGAAAGGTTAGTCCAAATATCATATCAGGCCTGATATCCGTGACTGAACTTTGCAAAGCGACCGAATACATGAACAGGTATTCTTCGCCGGCCAATGCCACGGAAGACGAAGAATACTCGTCCTTGTCTGACGAGAGTGAAGCAGCGCAAGAAGATCTGGAAACCGCTTGGGAGATTAGATTTCGCAAGACCATCGCACCCATATTCGAAGGAATCCGCTCTCTTTATCGCGTCTCTGTCCTTTTGAGACGTTATAGAAACTCCAGCCGATACCTCAGATCAAGCACTTCGACAGCCGCCTCTCAAGATGCTCTGAGGGCTACGATGGACTATGCTCACATCTCAGAGAAGACACGCCAATGGCGACATATGGCTATGCGATCAGAAGTCGGTGAAGAGGAGAAACCTTTACCGACTGAAAAGAGTCCCAAACAAAGAAAGAGAACGTACAGCAAGACATCGCAGACCTTGCATTCTTCTGTGAGAGACTCGCCCGGGCAAACCTTTTCCGCCGTAAGCAATTCGAATATTGGGTCGATCACCCAGACGTACCAGAAACACAGACAACAGCCTTGAACGCTGTTGGTAAAGCACGTCAGCAGAAAGACAAGATCATGTCGGCTATACCGACTTCTTTGTCGATTGTCTCCAAATCTGCTTTAGGGGACAACACTGAGGTCGGACGATCGCGCACCTACGCTAAATCAGTGGTTAGAAGGTCAAACACTACCCGAGTACCAGACGTTCCGAAATGTTCTAAGAGTGAACCGAATTTTGAATGTCCGTTTTGTCACGTCAATCTGGACTCAGAAACGATGCAAAAAAAGGAAACTTGGAAGTAAGTCTTGCGATCAAAGCGCGAGAGATCAGGCTTCGTGCCCTAACTTTGACAGAGAGCATGTCTTTCGCGACCTTCAACCCTATGTCTGCAGCTTTGAGAGGTGTCTGAACCCAGGGAGACTCTTCACGACTTGATACGACTGGATCTATCATGAGAAACAGATGCACCGGCGAGAATGGATTTGTCCGGACGGATGTACCAAGGATCTGCCATCCAAGGCAGATATGGTTCGGCATCTACTGGTTGAACACTCAAGCGTTTTAAACGATCGTCAGCTTTCGACATACGCGGACATGTGCGAGAGAGAAGTGGACGGTGCTAGCATAGATGCATGCCTGATCTGCCTAGAGGAGATGTCTCTAGATCGGCTCTTCGAACACCTTGCCACGCACATGGAAGAGATTGCGTTGTTCGTTCTCCCCGTGGGCTCAGATGGAGATGAGGATGAGCAGATCAGACCATCATCAGTACAACCCGTCGTACGCTCTATGGAGCAATATAATCAGACGGAAGAAGTCTATTCACGCCCAGATGGAGATGAGGATGAGCAGATTAGACCATCATCAGTACAATCCGCCGTACGCTCTGTGAAGCAATATAACAAGACGCAAGAAGTATATCCCCGCCGACGGATGATGATGGAGCCAGTCACTATTTTCATGCTCACAAACACTGTGACTTCTCTTTCGGCAAGCCTCACCACCCTGATAAACAATGCTAGAAACAACGACAGGATGCTGGAGGGGTTAGGGGAGGATTTGTCGTCATTCAAGACCGTCATCAATCGCGTTGAAGGGACCCTGAATGGCAGGGACATCGGCAGGATGATAGACGAAGAGGACAACGATATCTTTGTTGTCGTCAACGACACCTTCAAGAACTGCCTCGCTTTTGTGAATGAGCTTTCTACATCTGTCGAAAAATCTCGAAGCAAACGGACGAATATAGTGCGTTTGGTAAACACGAGGTACAGGGACAACGACAGGACTGGTCTACAACGAAGAATTGTCGACAGTACAAGAAGAATGCAGATCGCACTCCAAATCATCACACTGTAAGTGCTGTTTCACAAAGCAGTGTCCATCTGCTAATAAATGTAGCCAAGCAACCTTCAAGATTTCTGACCGAGTCGAGAAGTCTGCTTCCGAGATTGCAAACTGTATAAAATCTCTGGAGAAGGGACTCTCGAACTTGAGGGCCGACCTGTCATCTAACAACGAGGTGTCTCTAACATCATCATCATCATCATCATACGCCACTTCTGCGTCGACTGCTCCGGCTCTTCCTAAATCTACAGTCGCATTGGAGGCTGCTGCCAGAGATACTATCAGCCAGGCTATGGTCGTCTGGCAGCATCAGAGAAGGCCAAGGCCAGGCTCTGTCCACACAGTTTAAACTCAGCGCAGGAGAGATGATCAGATGCTTAGGCAGTCTGGCGTCATGGTACTGCGTAGCAGCTCGTCTAGACGTGGTCCTCGGTCATCAGCTACTGCTGGAACATCTACGAGAAGTCCTATGGTTGAAGCTGTAGTCATCGCTGTCTGCGGCATGACAGGGTCGGGCAAGAGTAACTTCATTTCCAAATTGGCAGGCAAAGATATTGGCATTGGACATGGACTCGAGTCTAGTAAGTTTAACAAGAATATATTCTTTTATGCATTACTGACTGCTTTTGCCTGCCATTAGAGACTGATCAAGTATATCAATTTGATATCCCCTTCGAAGGCCGGCACGTGACCCTTGTTGATACACCAGGATTCGCCGACACGAGCATAAGCGACACCGATGTATTAAAGATGATTGCCGGTTTCATGGCATCATCCTATCAGTTAGGTATTCTGCTATCCGGAATCATCTACCTCCATGCCATTACCCACACTCGCGTTAAGGGTCCTTCTTTGAGAAACATCCATATGTTTTAAAAGCTTTGTGGAGAAAACGGACTCAAAAATGTGATCCTGGCAACGACAATGTGGGACAAAGCTAGAAATGACCCAGAAAGACAAGACGAATTCATCAAGCGAGAGAAAGAACTTGCTGAAAACTTTTTGGCCAGAATGATCGAACGAGGGTCACAAGTTCGTCGGTACTGGAACGATCGTGGGACCGCTGGAGATTTGATCCGCGAGCTCGTTCGACACAAACCGGTCGCTCTCGATATCCAATCAGAGTTGGTTGATGAGCATAAGGATCTGGTCGACACTGCGGCAGGTTCATTCATCGATGAAGGACTTGAGAAGTTGCACAAGAAGTATTAGGAGGAGTTGGACGAAGTCCTCGGTTTGATGCAAACCAGTGAGTATACAGAGAGACCATACTGCAGATTCAATGGCTCATGTAATGCAGGTACTAAACAAGCAAGGCGTGAAGCTAAGAAAGAGTATGAAGAAATCTTGGAAAAGATGCGGATCAACGAAGAAGAAACCAGACTGCTCCATGAACAACACCTTAATGAGATAGGCCGCCAACGAGACAAAGAAGCCTATGCCCGCGCTAACGATGCTCGTGCATACGACAAGAAGCTGAAAGACCTGCAAAAGTCCTTCGAGAATCAGCTGAATGAGTCTTCAAAACAAGCGGATCGGCAGATGAAAGCTTACGAAGAGGATATCCGACGCCTACAAGAAGAGCAAAGCAAAGATCGTTCCGACCTCATTAAGCAGTACAAGCGCGAGGTAGTTCAGATGCGGGATGCCTCTGAGACTAGGAGTGCTTAAGAAAAAGCTCAGCTCGCTAAGCAACTCGGAGATCAGTTTGAAAGACACCTTAGAGACAATGACGCAGCTTCTCGCGCACAGATATCCAGACTAGATGCAGAAGTACAGAAGCTGAGCTTTGCTAACGCTGGCCGAGAAACCGAGATCAATCGGTTGCAAGCCGCCACACAGGATAGCAATAATAACGACAACACTAAGAACTCAGATGAAGATAAGAATGAACAGGGCCGCCGATTCGATAGTGGTTTCATCCAAGGAGAAAGGGGCGGTAGGTCCATACCTCCGCCGCCACCACCTCCACAGCTACTCAAGATCCCACCGCCAGCCAAACACTGGCTTGCTCGAGGTGAGGATGAAAGGCGTGAGAACCAGCGGCGGCAACGCGTGTATGAGCAACAGTTGAATGCCTATTACGCAAAGTATGGAAGCTAAAAGGCGCATAAAGAAGTCCTCCGTGATAAGCAAAACAAGAAGACATCAAGGAGAGCTTTCCTCGTCAAACAAGAGGGCCAGATACCAAAATGCAAGGTTATCGAAGAAGGAGCGCATCGATTCTCACATGCGAGAGTCTCTTCGCTTTCATTCATTAGTGGACTGTCCGGACGTCCTTCACCCTCACCCGTGCCCCAGCACGATCACATTCTGGATTTCGAAAATCCTGAGGGAGCCGCTGGTGAAAGGCAATCACCCGAAGCGGACTCAAAAAAATCCTGCCACTTTCCAGTGCATATTATGTCCCAAGAAGTTCGCTCGTGCATACAATTTGCGCTCCGGATGTTAATCGTCAACGGGGTGCGATTTGTTTGTCTGTGAGACTTTGTGGATTATCTTGCAGTTCTGGGACCTCCCCGTGTGCTAGAAGCTATGCCTACCATAAGGCCGAAACGAATATCAGGAGAATCAGCGAGCATGCGAGTAGCCACCACGGCAGCCGCAGTCACGCCCGGCTTGCCGGCAGGTAGAGAAGTGATGACCACTTGATGACCTCCGATACGGCCTAAGGTGTAGATGTTCGTGTCGCCAGGACGAGAAGGGACGGGAAAGTCGTACTTTTCATCTAGCATCGCTTTGGCGGCTGACATCTCAACTGGAAGGGCACAAACCCAACCCACAGTGAACTTGACATCTTCTGGTTGGGAGGTGGGTTGAGAGGTGTTCATCGTCAGAATAATAAGGTAGAAAGGGTTGGACTAAGATACGTAAAAGGAGAAGATGTTAGCGCGTAGATGTAGTGGCCCGGAGAGATATGTTGGCAGGCAGTGCTTTATAAGTAAGAGCCATGCTCAGCCTTGTCGTGTCGAGAGAATGCTCGCGAGGCTGAGGATCAGGCATAACTGTTTAGGTGCAGTGTGGCTTGCATGTCGATTGAATGTATCAACACTGATAGGCCCGGAAAATTCAGAGGGCGGCGCCTCGAATGTCAGGCGCACCTCTGGCATGCACCTTTGAGAGCTGTGATTCCAAAACAGCTATGAGAAGGTGGCTGAGGGGGAGAGCCATCGTCGCGACTGAGAGCTTGCAGCGTGTCGGTTCTCATTCGCAGACGCGAAAACAAGAACTGAAGAACGCCAACATGAATCATGGGGAGTCGAATGGTCGTCCACATACAGGCACGACGGTGGGAAAGAGCGACGGTCGTTACCTATACAAGCTTATCTTGGCCTTGTGTCGCGCAATTCCTTGATCGCTCGCCCACGAAACAACATGAACTTTTTCTTCAAAAAGAGGGAAGGGATAGCGAGTAAAACAAAGAACAATCCGAACAGGAGCAAAACATACAGCAGCAGGGATTCCCACGTGGTCACCCACCGTAGTACTAATCTGCCGTTCAACTGCTTATGTATGGCAGAGCGGACGGGATGCCCAGTTTTCAGCTGACTGTGGCCGTATGTACTGAAATCCATATTCAGCACGAATATAATACTAGACACTCTAACGTGTAGATGGCAATGGGAATGCTCCCCCTCGCAAGCGATTACCTAGCATGAGTTCTGGTCATTGATGGTGAGTATCTTCACACAGTCACCTAAGGGCACGCAGATCTCTCCCACAAAGATCGTGCCCCTCAATCAGAATAGTCGACTCGAGACACTCGCTTTCCGTGCACCTTATAAACAGATTTCCAGCGAGAGTAGTTTCAAGCAGCTGCACCATGTCCACAATCATATAGGCTATCTGACTACTAGGAGACAACCCTAGAGTTTATAAAGGAGTGCTCTGCGAAGACATATCTGGATGTATTGTACATACAGGCACAGATGAGACACTGTTTGCTTTTGGCCAGGGTTACTAGAGCAGTAATCAAAACTTGGTAAAATATGACGACAGCGATAGGAAATCATCAGAATGATTACAAGAACCAAGACAACGTGGACACGATTATTCGCATAGAAGCACCATCTCCCACCACTTGCGTGGGGATCAATGGGTTTGCCTCAAGTATGTAGACCGTCACGGCCTGTCCGTACAGATCTTGCCACCGTACCTATATTACTGCATGTCATTATAGAGCATAGCACTTATCTACCGATTCAACCGAGCGTGTTCCTTTCTTTCTTCATAAGAGATCTATCGAAAAGATCGTTACGGGCCGTAAAGCCGGCTAAAATCCCAAGCAATGAAAGATCTTGCGTACCTGATGGGTACACAAGCAGTAATTATCAAGCGTGTACGACCCCTGGTTCCTGTTCACGCTTTTTACAGTTTAACAGTGTAGCACACTGGCATGCTCTGGACCGCTGCTTCTATATGGATGAAACAGAACCGGGCAGAGATGCGATCGGTCGACGTTCATTTTGACGTTTGAGACTGACCAGTGACGGTTAGGAGCATCGATACTGAGCATCCTGATCACATGTTAACGGTGACACCATCCACATGGGAAACAACCTTGACCATATCACTGTGTTCAGTGCCTGGCCTGTTGCACAGCGTTGAATGCTGTTGAACCGGATAAGCCTGTCTGTGCCACAATGGACTCGAATTGCTCGTATTCCCATTGGCCATAGTGCTGGACCTTCCTCGGTACAACACGGGACCAGACGTCCGCGCATATACTTACACCACAAGTATCAAGTTTACAAGATGACGAGTTTCGGCCGGTCACACCAAGAATCTCGAGCTGTGAGTCGACGACTTGAGAATACACCTGTTGCGGAAATCTGTTATCTTTTCAGATTTGCACTGATTGTGCTCGTAATCGCTTCAGCACGACTCCCAGAGGCTGCAGTGGAGTCTAATCCGGGGCCGAGAGCACTTCATACTGTCGATTCATACGAGTAGGTTCCAGACGACAACGGCCTATGGCGAGCTTTGGAGAGATCGAAGTCGCGAATACTAGAGTTGATAAGAAGCGGTGAGCTCGAGCATGGAGACCGATCATTCTCGATCCCTATGTCATATTGACCATGGGCGTGATATTGTGATAATTCGCAGAGGGAGTGGAGCGTAGGAAGGGCAATGTGAGTCCTGCATTCTTGGTTGCTGCATCACGTCTTCCGACACTCCAGTAGGCAAAAGGGCCGGTCAAGCGGGGGCTTATCAGGTACAGACTACATAGCAAACCATGGCCGTTGGTTGGCTGGGGGCTTGCAGGATGCCTGGCCGACACCTGGTATTGGGACTGATTCGATAAGCAACTGGACACAAGAGGGTAGGACAGAGAACGAGCCCCTGAGATGATCATATTAGTCAAGCACTGGAGTTCTTTGCTTCACCGAACAGTCAGTCGCAGCAGTAAGCAATTAACCAACTTGAACCGCTGTACAGCACTGCCGGAGCGACAATGCATGAACGTGGGTCAATGACAGCTGACAGGGTTGTCGGCTACCTGCAGCAAGGAGTGGGTCCTTGAACCTGGGTTGCTTGTATGCACGTTGAGGAGTGGAGGTGAAGGAGCGATCTGCCTGGGGCACGCAATTACGAGGCCAAAAGACAGCCTGTCAGAGCGTGGCTGCTGTCAATTCTGGCACCACTGGGGTGGCTAATGCAGTATGGTGCATGCAGTGCTCTCACCCAAAGTCCCGCATCAACGGATGAGTCTGCGAACCGGATGGAAGTCCAATATGATAAGGGTCCAGGGACAAGAGGACTACCCTAATGGGCAGCACCCGGAGCGAGCTCTCTCGCATTAGAGTTGAGTCGATTGCCTAGGCGTGATCGACGCAGCGGCGCAGAGGCTGTTACCAGAAGATCGAGGGCGCGTGAGATGTCTGTCCTATGACGCAAGCGCGGGGGTAAGTTGGGGTTCAAACGTGGGTTCCCCATCTGGCTCCGGCGATCGAAAAACACCGGGAAAATGTCGCACGCTGAGAGATGAAGCAGTTGATGAATATGAGGCAGAAAAGTGATAGACTTTGGCAAGAAGAGATGGCGTGGCCTGCTTGATGAGTTACGAAGCTTCGAGTGCTGGACAGCGGATAAGGCGGGATCATCAGAGTTCGGTCAAAACCCCAGAGAAGTTCCTCTTGTCTCCAGAACGAGTCCCACAAATAAACCCGGGGGTAGATGTTGAATGGGGATGGAGGACAAGGTGGTGCAATGCGACTCAGGGTTGCTTTTGGTCGCGCGCGCTGGCAGATACGGAGGCGCGCACGCAAGCCCGCTCGATCTCGACAGGCATGGAAACTTGGTTCTCCCATTGCAGGCGCGGGCCCCTTATGCAAGCCGTGTGCAGGTTGTTTCTAGGCCGATGTGTAGCCGTTGGCCTCTCTACTTATTGCCCCATGAATCGTCGCACCGAGCATGAGCACGATTCATCATCAATTGCGTCTGATTGTACTCTTGTGCCTGAGGGGCATACACTGGCGACAAGTCTCTTGTGTCGTTCATCTTCCAGCGTGAAGAATCAAGACAGACATTTGCCGGGCCGAAGAAGCTGGCGGATTGAGCAAAGTTCGTGCGTGGTAGCTCAGACAAAAGCGCCGAATTCGACCGGTGGCTAGGCCATTGCAGGCCAAGGAAAGGAAAGGCGCTTTGATCAAGGGAATTGAAGGTGGACAAACCCTCTCCATCCTCTTTCTTGCTCTTGCAGCTCCCACTCATCAGCACCTCCACCGATTTACTGACGACCGTCACCTCTGCCCGCTCTCAGAATGCCGCTGCCTGTCCAATTCTAGTCGCCGTCCGCATCTACGCTTCTCCCCACGCCCACCCACCTTTCGCTTCATTTCCCCGCCCTGCCTTGCGCTACGGCTTGTACCAACAACATGGCCGAGGTTTTGTCCAGGTCGCGAGACGACCAATCCCAGTCCTATTTCACTCAATCATCCTCGACTTCTTCTTCGCTCAAGCGCTCACACCCCTCGAGATCTTCGCTGCTGGTCGGCTCGCCGCCCTCGACTTCGCACCGCACCACTTCCGAGCCTTCATTCGAAAACATTGGCTCTCTCAAACGCTCCTTAGCTTCTTCCGGCTCACTCGCTGCCTCTCGTCAATCCTACTCCAACTTCAATCAAGCGAATACATCCAACAACTTCATCCCCGACCATCAACCGAAGCTCTCATTTGAGCTCGGCCATCAGCCAGACCACGGTCTAGCCTTCCCCGCCTACGATGAGGTCCAATTCTTCCATGAAGACGAGCCGCTAGACCTCCCTCCTAGCCCTCGACCTGAGGATGAAACGTCTGACGCTGATTCTAACGATGGTCGAGGTGACCGAGACGACGAAGATGATGCTGGTAGCACTACTGACACTACCCGCTCCGACTCGCCTTTACCAACACCCACTGTGGCTGACGACACAGCTATTAAGCACGAGCCATCGAGGCACGTCGACTATCTATCTCACGACTGGCGGGAGGAAGACATCTGGTCCTCCTGGAGGCACATTGTCTCACAACGAAAGGTATACGGCCAAAGGTCGCGCCTGGAAAACGCGTCATGGAGAACGTGGGCCAAATCCAAATATCACCTCCCAACCGTGTCACCAGAGACGCTTAATTGGTACGCCTGTACGATCTTAGGACAGTGCGGCACTGTAAACTGATTTGAAATAGGCNTGAAAGAGAGCGATGTGACCTGGCTCTATGGGCCCTTACAGCCTGCCTCGACCCATCCAGTAACCCAATATTCGCCTGACCCTAGCCCACATTTCTCGAGCTCCAATTCCTTCGTTAACAAGAAACCTATCCTCAAGAAGCGAAGCATGTCTGAGGTAATGCTCCAACGCTCGCTATCAACCTCATCTCTCGTCAAGCAGGCTGCTGCTGCCGTACAGGCCCAGCAAACCCTGCCACCATCTAAACGACCCACGCTTGGTCGTTCGTCTGCCTATCTACCCTCCGATACTCTAATGGTGCCCGGTGGTAGGGACCAGCTCGATTTCTTGGACTTAGGCTGTTTTTCTCCGCGCCCCTCATCTGGAGACCGTTCGCCATTCGAGTATCCCAAACGTCACATTCGCTTCGATGAGAAGGTTGAGCAATGCATCGCCGTTGAAGGCAAGGATGGCGACGAAGACGAAAGCTCTGAAGATGAGCGAACACATAACGATTCTGACTCTGATTCATCCGATGACGGTATCGTCATGATGAGGCGCCCCAAGAGAAAACGAGCAGTTCGCAAACCATTATCCAGAAGCACTTCCTCCAGCAGGACGATTGAGAAGCTTCCATCAACCACATTAAAGAACAAAACAGAAAACAACGAGCCTATTGCACAGCCAAGTCCGTCTTTGGTACGCTCATGGAGTTCAAGCAAACTGCCGCAATCAGCTTCTCAGGAAACCCTGAAGCCTTCTAATCCCTCGAAGAACCATATCCTACCTCCTGATGACGAGGAAAGCGAAGACTTGGATTCGGACGATACAGAATCACTCAGGTTGAGTGCATTTGCGAATCGAAGAGACAGTGTAGCCGTGCATAGATCACGGACGTCAGGTTCACCAGCCACTACACCATCTGAAGACGAGGATGGGCCAGAGGGCTCTGGAATGCGCCGTAGCGGTTCTGGGATGTTCATGCCTTACGAGGAAGATGAGGATGACATCGTTGCCGCCGGACTCTTCGGCAAGGTGAGTGACACCTTAAATACCGCAAAAGATATTGCCCATGTAATATGGAATGTCGGATGGAGAAAATAACTTCTTTCATTATTATGGGAGGCGTAAAGAGGAAACAACAGAAAGGGGATCGGTCGGGACTGGATATTGCATTGGTTTATGAGTAAAGGCGCATTCAACAGGCGGGCGGCTATACAATGGTCTCTCCTTTTGGTTTCTAAAGCGTCGACGTTTTTGTCACAGCATCGAGCGATTTCTTTCTTTCCTTGAAATCTCAGACGATTCTTATCATGTACCAATACTGAGTTTGTCAACAGGCTCGCTCAATGTAACAGCCAATACGGCACCCTTTATCTATTCGACCACCCTAAAATGTGTTGGAGCCGGTCCCTGTTGAGAGATTTTTGATGCATATACTGTACTCAGTCAGACGCATTAAGGCGATACGCAAGATACAACGCACTCGCTTGTATGCGCACAATCTGCAGATACGATGCAACTCCCGTCAATCAGAGCTCAGTGGGTAAGCATGAGGTTTTGACGAGCCAAGAGACTGGTATCATCGTTCCATCTCACAAACCAGGTATCATGCAATGCTTATCAAGTTCGCTCATGGCCAAAAGATAATCTGCAGGGACGGAGCACGATAAGGGTTCTCCCCAGACCCAGTATCTGTAATATTGTTGTTGCCATATTCACCGCTTGAGAGAGTAATGCCATTTGCCTCAGCGACAGTCATGATTTCGTTCCCGTCTTGGTGACACAAGATGAGGAAGTGATACTCATCCTAGCGCACGGACCAAGTCGGCTTTGCGCGACGCGGATCTTGTTAGCGCCCTGGTTAGCGTCCGAGGGGCTGCTCCTATCCAGCCCTCATAGAACATGCTCTCTGAATCCCTTGGATCATGCCACACTCACATTTTTCTCACAACGCTGACGCTGACGGTGTGAAAACAACTCGGCATCCTGGCCGCGTGCAAAGTCGGAATCAATGGCCGGCTCCCACGACGTCCGATCCATTATCGCTGGCATAACGAGCGACTCCGAATCTTCGCGCAAGCTGTCCGCCTACCATCTGCAATCACTTGTCAGCGATGCTTCGTTTGCGCGTACCTTTGTGCAGGCTCAAGGTGTCCCTGCTCTGAAGCAGATCATCCTTGAAGAAAATGGAAACGCTCTTGCCTATGCGCTAGGTAGCTTGACCCGTCTGCTGGAAATGGAACTGGGTTGGGACCGATTGAGCTCAGATGTGATAGAACGTGTAAGAATTAATGTTCGAAAATCTCCAAAGAAAACAAGTTCTTAGACTTTTTTGGTTCGTACCAAATAGGCTGTCCAAGTTGTCGTCACTCGCCCTGTTATCAATGTCCTTCGCAACGCGTTGCATCTACTGGTTCTTGTGGTATCACGACCTTTCAACCCCTACAAGCTGCAGCAACCTTCCGAAGACGAGTTTGGTTTCAAGGCTCTGGTTCCGCTTTTGCAAGTCCATTCCAACTTCCTCGATTGTTTGGTGGACAAATTGGCATCTGCTGATCACGCATTGTGTGCCAATGCTCTGCATTTGGTAAACGCGTTGATGCGAGACTCTGTTGCTAACGGAGGAGAAACCGAATGGCCCAAATTCATCAACAGGCTGCAAGAACTGGGTGTCATCAGTGGTGTCGAGAATTTGATGCATGGAGACACGCTTCATGAGATCGCATCTCCTGTTCTTGAATTCCAAAGCCTAATGAAGATACTCCTTGCCCGTTGGAGGCACATATTGGTCGATCTGGAAAAGGTAGAGCATCGGCAAGCTCTCAAAGAGCTTCAAATCTCTAGTTTCCCGTCGAATTATCGAGCTAATCAGGAAGGTATGTTGCAGAAAGCACGAGTGNTGAAGCCAATAACTAACATGCTAGATCTCAATTCCGATAAGTGGCAACGTCTGGGCTTCTCATCTGATAGTCCGGCGGCGGATCTAGAAGAGACGAGATTCTTGGGCATGATGAACTTTACAGAGTATGTACGCAGGAATCGGGACTCTTTCCAAAGGGAACTACTAGAGCAGAGTGTTTTACCCCTGGAGCAACGCTGTCCTATTGCAAAAGTAAGCTTAAGCGTTACAATGGTCCTTTACGAGCACTTTGAGGTCGCCAAAATGGACGGACAGGATCCTACGACAAACACCACCAATCCCGAGGACATCGAAGAAGCTGAGAGGCTTGTGAAGCCTCTTNTGCTGCGATGGGAAGACGTGCATGGTGCCTCACTCAAAGCATTTATCAGACTTTGGAAAGAAGCAGGCGCGACCACTGATGACTATCGCAAGATCGACGACCTTTCGAGACTCCTATTCAGAACAATACTGGGCCAAGCAGATAGACGAACAACCATGGATCAAGTTGAGGAACAACTGAGCAGCACCAACTTAGCGAAGGTCAGAGAGTGGCAACTGCAGGATGTCTCGCAAATTTACGAATATGCTTGGGGTCAAGATTTGAGGTAAGAGCTACCTGTTTACATCCCCACCTTCCTCATCGCTAATCCAGCCAATCTGCNNAGAAACCTTCGTGAGCAGACACACACGGATGCTCTTCTGTTCATGCGCGAGCAGCGTATAAAGTGTTTATTGAACGGCGCCTGGTTCCCCATCATCACATCCTCCACAGCACCTTCCGATCTATCCATCACCTCAGCAGAATCACAAAAGTTGCGTGTTACTGCGTGGCGCTTCGTTCGTCTATCCAACGACAGAAAATATCTCCACCACGCATCCCATAATACCAAGCTCAACAAGACACCACAACTACACGAACTCAACGAGAAGCTAGATCTGGAAACTATCAGTTCGGTTGACTCCAGCGTAGCCCGGTCGGATGTTCTGATCGGCGATGATGTGGCCCCCAATGACAAACCCATTTCTTCTACAGGCACAATTACACGATTGACCGTTTTCGGCAACTCAAACATCTATGCGAAAACACAGACGGCAGNNGGGGAGTCGGTGTTGCTCGAATTGAACACTGGCAGTACATCGCTGGCCTCTGAATGGCTGGATGGTCTTCTTATGCTGCTGAACCAACAACCGATTACTGCAGACACTAACAAGCTGGTTGACCTGCTCGAGCAGTGGAGCTTGACAATTCGCATGCTGAATTTGCGTTGGGAAGACGTGGATTGGGAGCGAGCTCAAGATAACAAGCAATTGCCTGTGCCAAGTAGGGTTGGGCTGGACGACGATTTCTGGTATGAGATGTAGTGGAATGATTCAACAGGACAGAGCATTGTTGTGAGTGGAAGCATATATACATCTTAGCATAACAGATCATGTGTAATAGATTAACAGCATTGTTAGATAATCTTTCGCTCATCCTTAACACGGGTGACTTGGTGAATGCACTGCTATCTAACACATCAGCCAACATGCTATTGACCAAGCATCACCACTCTCTCAAACCACCATCAACACCGACAAATCCTTGCAGCAACCAGGGCTGTGTGTTCTCGGCCACTCTTCTCACCGCCTCCTCATCAACCTCAATTCCCAAGCCTGGTCCAGTGAAGGCATCCAAGTATCCATCCTTAACCTTAAAGATCTCCGAGTTGNNGAGTACGTAGCTGTGGATATCATGTTCACCAGCCTCAGTATTGTAGTGCATGCCAACAGACATTTCTTGAATCATGTGGTTGGGTGTGCAAAGACCAATCTGCAAACATGCTGCAAGAGCAATGGGCTGTGAAGTAATGTCAGTATGGGTCAATTCAGGGGTTCTAGAGGTACTTACTCCCAGTGGACAATGCGGTGCAATGGCAACNTGTGTTTCGTCAATATGACTTGCTTGCGACGAACTAGAGAAAAGAGATAACTCACCATCATAGGTCTCCGCCATAGCCGCGATCCTCCTCATCTCAGAGATACCTCCACAGTGTGAGATATCGGGCTGGAGGACATCTACTGAAGCATCTNNGTAAACAGACAGTCAGTCTTTTGCCTTCTTAGCAGTGACACATTCGCGTTTCAACAGCTTACCTTCTAAGTATCTCTTGAAGTCCCATCGGCTGTATAGTCTCTCTCCGAGGGCAATGGGCGAACTCGTCAAATTTGACAATTGTTTAATACCCTCTGGATGCTCGCTCAGAAGAGGTTCTTCGAGGAAGAGGACGTCACAGCCTTCCAACTTGTGNCCTGCAGACGATTAGCAACTTGTTCGATTATGGGATGACAGCCGACAGAAGACTTACGCCAACTGCTTCGCCATGGCCTTGTGCAGCCTCCCATGAAAATCCAAAGCAACATCCAAACTCAAACTCTTAACAGTCTTGACCCTCTCAACAGCAGAATCCAACTTCGACGGTGAATCCAACCAACCAACATCTTCGGTAGCATTCATCTTGACAGCACGGAAGCCTTGAGCAAGTCTTCCTTTGCCAGCTTCAGCAACATCCGAAGGTCGATCACCTCCAATCCAAGCATACACTTGTACCTTTTGTCTGACTTTGCCGCCAAGTAGTTGATGAATCGGCACACCGAGTTTTCGAGCTTTGAGATCCCAGAGTGCGATATCGATGCCTGCGAGTGCACTCATGAATACCGGGCCACCGCGATAGAAGCCTGTGAATCGTTTAGCACATGTCTGGGTAGTGTATTTCAAGGCTTCTGCTGTCCACGTACTTTGCCGCCAAGCAAGCTGCCAGATATGCTCGATATCTTCTGCTTCAAGCCCTACAAAGCGGTCGATGTAGCCATCTAAGGTGCCTTCTACGGCTTTAGTATGACCTTCGAGCGTTGCCTCGCCCCATCCACTGAAGCCTTCTGTATCGACTATCTTGACGAACAACCAGCGGGGCTTGACCCGGAAGTACTCGATGGTCTTGATTGGTGCCATGATAGAAGAAGTGATGCTATATACCTCAAACAGAAACAACGAATGAAGATATAGTAAATGAAAGTGTCACGTAGCAATTAGTACGACGGGCTCGGGGTACATATATAGCTGTAGTCAATTCGGCGGAAAGAACTGCCGAATCGCATTGAGCTTTCCCGAGCAAAGCTGCCCCGGAGATCGGCTCCACTAGCTCGGCTATCGGTAGACATGGCCGATGGTCAAGTAGAATAATAGGAAACTGCTTATGATAGGGTAGACTTTTGAATTCATGTTATTGGGGAAGCAGCGTCTCAAGACGCTCTATCTAAAGATACAATGTTTGTGTCCGCTCCTTGGCGGTGGGATCCTTCCTCCTGTCCCGTGTTCAAATAACGCCTTTCTTCCTTCCTGTTCCTTTTGTCCATCTAGTCGTAGCTCGTTAAGAAAGAGATGCAGCAGAATCAAAGAGCTCTCAAGAAGAATATCAAGCCTTCATAGTCGACAAGAATCCATCCAAGTTGAACTCCTCTTCGTACTGCTTTTCATCCCAGAGCTCAGAAAGCTCATCAAGAATGCCCTTCTTGCCCTTCTCACGAACGTTGCCTTCAGCGTCCACAGCGTCTGCTTCATCAATTGCGTTAGGATCTCTGGGCTTGTCTTCGAGCGATGGCGCGCCTTCTGTATCGCCCATGTTAAAGAGATCCAAGATCTGATCTGTCTGCATGCTTCCCAAACCAGCATTCTGTTGGTTGACGACAGTGCTAGCGACATCGATCTTGAATCTCTGCAGATTGAGAATTTTCTCCTCCAGAGTGCCACGAGTGATCAAGCGATACACGTTCACGACCTTCTTCTGACCGATACGATGCGCACGGTCCATAGCTTGGAGGTCTTTCTGGGGGTTCCAGTCATGTTCGACAAAGATGACTGTGTCTGCACCAGTCAAGTTGAGACCCAATCCACCAACACTGGTGGTAAGGAGCAAGCAATCGATGGATGGATCGGAGTTGAAGCGATTGACAATATCTTGGCGTTTGGAGGCCTCGACACTTCCATCGAGGCGAGAGAATGTGATTGACGGCAGCATTCGCTTGAAGACGGTCGACTCGACCATATCGAGCATTTCCTTCATCTGACAGAAAATGAGGGCTCTATGCTGAGACACGGCTTGATCAGCAGAAGGTACCTCGCCTGCAGCAGCAGAGTCAACACCGATACCGCAGTCGACGAGAAGGTCTCTGAGAGCTGTGAGCTTGGGAGCATGGACTGGATCGGTCAAACTCGAGTTTTGACGTGCTAGTTGCGCTTGGATCGTCGCGTATTGTTTGTGGCTCTCCTTCATCACCATGGCTGGTGAATTGCAGAGTTTACGCATGTACTGCAGAGCTTGGAAGATGTGCTGTTTGGCCTCCTTGTCAGCAGAGCCAGCCTTCTCCGCAATGGTCTTGGCCTCCTTGCGAGTGAAGTCTTCGAAGAGCTTCTTCTGCAGATCGCTGAGATCGCAGTAGTAGTTTTGCAGAATCTTGGGTGGTAAGTCATCCAAGACTTCTTCCTTGAGGCGACGCAACAAGAAGGGCAGAACTTGTTTGTGGAGAGCTTCAATTGCGAGCGCACCAGCTTCTTGTTCCTTGGAAGAAGATTTGCTGAAACGGGAAGCAGCAATTGGCTTGGCGAATCGGTCCTGGAACATCTTCTCTGTACCAAGGAAGCCAGGCATCAGGAAGTCGAACAACGACCAGAGCTCAAGCACGTTGTTTTGAATGGGTGTACCAGAGAGAATGAGTCGGTGGTTGCTTGCAAGTCGCTTAACAGCTTGAGTGACCTTAGCCTTGGGGTTTTTGATGAGATGGCCCTCGTCTAGCACACAGTAGTTCCAAGTGTGAGGTGCAAANACTTCAACATCGTTTCTGCAGATGTCATACGAGGTGATGACGATATCAGCCTCAGCAAGCTTTGCGCGGTGCTTGTTGCGCTCGGATGGTGGACCAACATAGGCTACGGCATTCAGGAAGGGCGCATATGTACGAATCTCTTGCTGCCAGTGACCAGACAAAGTTGGAGGACAGACAATCAAGGAAGGCATCTTGCGTTGATCGGGTGCTTGAGTCTTGGCGAATTCCTCTGCGCGCATGTGATGATCACTCGCGACGATACAGATAGTTTGCAGTGTTTTGCCGAGACCCATATCGTCACAAAGGACACCGTGTAAATGGTAACGATTGAGGAAGGCCAGCCAGTTGACACCGTCTTGTTGGTACGAACGAAGGTCTGCCTTGATCGCGACGGGAATCTCGAATGATTCAACCTTCTTGGGGTCGAGCATCTGCGCAATAAATTTGCGCTCTTTNTCGCGTCCCTTGAGAAGTTCTTCGGAGAGACCTGGCGGGTCTGGAATGCCGGCCTCGAGGGGTACCAGCTTAACCAGTGTAGCAAAAGCGGTAGTTGCGATCAGGCGTACGCCATTATCCGAATCACTCATGCGTCCGAGTACAGGAACCAGAAGGAAGATGACGTAAGGCAGAATACGATCTTCCATGACTTGGATGAGATGGTAGATGCATTCAATGGCACCTTGTCTGCAATGCACGTCGGTTGGGTTGCTGATCGGTGGCAAGACTCGTTCAACCAACATTGTGAAGCCCTTCACGGTGATTACACTGCATATACTTGCGAAGCACTTGGCAGCGGTGTATCTAAGAACGGCAAGTCGTGTCTGGAGAGCTCTAGCAATGAAGCCCATGAGATCAAGAACAAATGGATGGAGATCTTCATGGAATGATGCCACCAGTGCGCGGAGTGTAGACATAGCATCCACAACTTCTTGACCAATGTTTTGCTCGGGGTCCGTAATGTTGGCAGGCAGATCTCCAGAAAAGCAGTGACGAATAGGATCCTCGATGAGAGTACGGAGCATAGGCACCTTCTCGAACAAATCGCTGCCAAACTGGAAGCAGAGTTGTTCAAGAGCATCCTTAGTACCACGTCTGGTGATACGAGCTTGACGAACCTCTCTCTCATACTTGGCAGCATCGGGACGATCCTGAATATCTTCATCTTTTTGCAGCGAGAGAATGCCAGACTCTCTGTCTGCGTTGGGGTGGAACTCGGGTGTCTCTCCAGTCTCCATGCAACAGAACTTGACCAAGTTACCCACGACCTTGTCGACAACCTTCATGCGGCCACTAGCAACCAGTTGGTCGACAAGACTAGCGATAGCGGCTGCAGAGCGCTTCTGGAGCTCAAAGTTCTCTTCATCCTTGACGCTGTCCATGAGACCCTTGATAGTAGCCTGAGGCTTCTTGGGAATTCCCTTCAGTGCCACGATAGCAGCGGCTGCAGCAGACTTGATGCGAACATCACGTTGTTTCTTGATGAGGGTCGCCTCGTTAATGACTGAGTCAACGTCTGCTTTAGCACTTGACAACATCTCGGTTGCAGTGACACGCTGAGCAGGTGAAAGTGTCTTGTGTAGTCGTTCGAAGTCTTGAACAGCAATGCGCTCTCCGTCGGCGAGCGAGAAGGCATTCTTGCCAGCTTCCGGCTCTCCTTGGACCACAACAGCGATTATGGGAAGCTTGCTTGGTGGCACATGGGCCTTTTCGCGGAAAGCGTTCAGAAGACTCTGACACTGCGCGCGGACGATTTGTAGATAACTGGTAAGGTCGCTGTACCAGCTAGGTCTGTCTTCTTCCACAAGGGGACGAAGGCTTTCTGTAAAGGAAGTGGTGAGATCATCCTTAAGAGGAGAGATTTTGGCGTATTCTTCTATGAAGATGGCAGTGAAGAGTTGTGTGGTCGAGAAGCCGGATTTGAGACTGGGGAGAACCTTTGGAGAGAACATGTCACGCCTCGTTGCTGCTGGCCAGACCTGACAGGCCTTTGCAAGTGCTTGGGCTGCGTGAGTTCTGGATCGGATCATGATGTCTGCTCCAACGAGATCGACATCGCCTTGCATCATGTGTCCATCAACGTTGTGAGCTGACGAAGAGGTTGGCGGCGGCATGTCCTTGTCCTTCTTGTCGGATCGTCTTCTCTTTCTGGCAGGCTCGGAAGATCCGTTGACTGGAGATGATTTGCGTGCGGCACTGCTTAGGGGAGCATAGCTGTAGCCTGAAGGACGTATGAATAGTGTTGCGTCCATAGGGATGGGATGGCGAGATACACCAATAGGATGGAATGTGAGTGTGACCAAAGGTGCAAGATGAGGCTCGAATTCTGTAGCGAACTTCTCGGGATGGACAGCCAGAACGTCGACAAGAGCATACCAGACTTGAAGCGAAAGTTTGAGGACTGTCTCGTTGCGTTCGACAAGCAGATTCTGGAAGACAAGACGCAGAGCCCGACCATCAACCCAGCTCTTTGCATCGTCACCGTCAATGTTGACAAATGTGATGAGAGCACGAAGGACAGCGGAACGGACTGTGCTGATGGTATGGCGTAAGAAGGGGTATAGGCGAGGTACCAATTCTGCGAAAGATTGCTCAGGATTCTCCGCAGCATTCTTCTTCATGGCGTCGAGAACTTCAGGGAAGCCACAGAGTTTTGCAAGTAAATCCATAACGGATCCTGTACTGGCACTGAGATCGTCGCTCAGGTTCGAAAGACATTCCCAGACAACGCTGATGAGATGGTTGAGTGCGGAATGACGCATGTTGACGAACTCTTTAGCGACAGGAATCAGAGTAGCCGCGCTAACTGCCCTGACATCGTCGTCATTGTCTCCGAGTCCTTTGATGACACACTCCAAAACACCATCCATCAAGAGGTTATCTTGAAGTAGCAGATCGTTTCTTACTGCCACCAAGTATCGCATACCGATCATACCGCCGTGGCAAGCGTGCCAAATACGTTTGTTGACCTTGAGGTCTTTNTGCATGACCAACCTGTAAAGGATACGATTGACCGCGTGAACTGAGGATGCTGGGAGATACTGCAAGAGTGCACCCAATGTCTGACCAGCAGTTTCTCTGATTGGTGCAATGGCATTGTCCGAGACGTAGTCTGCAAATCTGTCGAGCATGAAGACGCAGCAGATGCGACAAGCAAGATCGTCAAGCCATGCCTGGTTGAGGCGATCATTGTCGGATTTGGTTCTTGTCAGCAAACGACCGGCACCTGCTCCATGCACACGAACGATTTCGCGAAGTCCCATAGCAGCTCCATGACGAATCTCCCAAGCAGGGTCGAACAGATCAACGGTCAAGAATTCGCAGAGTCGTTCAAACGGCCATCCGTTCCCAGCCTCCTCGACTTCGGTCTGGAAGGCAGACTTTTCGACGATGGGAGCGCCTTTGAATTCTGACACAACCTTGGCATCATCGTCACCGCCCTTTCTTTCAAGTGAAAAGTAGTCGGGGACGCTGGCATTGGTGTCTCCGTTCTCATCTTTGATAATGGGTTCCGAGTCGCCTGGAGTAGGTACTGTAGTACTCTCGCGCCTGATGCTAGTAAGATCGTATTTGAATTTCTTGTTATCGCGTTTGAGTTCTTCCTTCCTGCGTCGCTTGAGCATGTTTAGCTGTCTTTTACTCATGGCTTCGGAAGGAGTTTGCTGGTCGCTGGGAGAGACGACAGCAGACTCTGTAACACTGTTAGCCCGGGACAGACTGGAGTCTGCTGTTGGCATGGCTGGTGGCGGGAAACTGGTGCGAACGGCAATATCTGTCTCCGTGACGAGTTCGTCCTCCATGTACTCTCCACCGAGGCCGAGTCGGTTGGTAAGAGTCTTCTTTTGGTGGGCTAGCCTCTGAGCCGGGTCCATGCCAGCCAACTTGAAATCATATTGGCGTCCGGCGCTACCTAGCAGCTCCTTTCCGTTGGTCAAAATTGCTTCGACATCCAGAGTTGCGAGCTGCAATTGATCCTCAGAGGCGAGAGGTGTCGAAGAACCATTCTCTTCCTTGACGGCGCCGTTCTCGTTCTTAATATCATCTTCGTTGGGATTGAACTTTGGCGCATGTTCAACGATTCCGCCCAAGGCCTTTGCGGCTGCTGTTCTCGTGTCCCAAGAGGATGAGCGAAGGAAAGGGACAACTCTGGTTAGTAAGTTGAATAGTTCATCCGGGTGATTCTTTTGCACATCGGCAAGCTGTTGAGCAGCTGTGTTGCGGATGAGCTGAGTGCTACCAGTGTCAAGAAGAACGACCAATCCTGCACATAAGCGTCAGTCACCAATCATCAAGAGCCCCACAATCGCTCATATCGAGCAATAGATGTAACATACGGTCAAGTCTGCGAGCATCACGTGTATGGTTAGCGAAGTGAATCCTTCGGAGATAGCCGCTGCTGGGATATGCACTTACCTTGTCGCACTCATGTTGTAGCCAAATTGTATTGTGAAATAATCAGATTTCCATCAACGCCCTCTTCCAAATGCAAGAGTGAATTTCGAAAACAGTCAATTATTAGTTCATCGTCATAATAAATTATCGCGATGAAAAGAAGAGTAAATGAAGAGGTGTTTGGTTGCTGCGTCACGCGTCAGCCGAGGCCGCTATGAAGGAGGTCTCCGGCTGTTCGATGGGCGGCGCTTTTTATGCCTTTAACTCGTCGAAGGGAAGAACGACACCCTCAGATGGGAAGCCGCGCTATCCCGCTTTGAGCTTAGGCTGTAGTTAGTGCGCGCGACGCCTGCTAATTTTTCGTGGGTGACGCTTTCCTCGCACTGATGGTGGTCAAGGTTCTGAACTTGGAAAGAGAGTAATGTTTGAAGTGACGCGTGGGAGTGAATTTCACCCTCTCTCCAGTGCATTGTGGTATGGAGCTGACAACATACGATGAAGGTTCATTCGTCTGGTTGTTATGGCATGCATGTGCTGCCTTCGCAAAAAACCGTTCTCTAACGAGGCTGTGCCGCGTTCTATATACACATCTACCAACCACCTGGCTTCTTCTCCATGTATTGCTGTTTTGCATGATTCGCGTATACTGTGAGCAACGCGGGTACTCGTACATCTAACCATCTCCTGCACGCCACCACTATAATCTACCAGCGCTCTTATTACACAGTCAAGTGCAACTTGACACCTCTGGCCAACGAGATACATGCAAAGATGCGCCGTATAACTCTGCAGCCAAACGTCGATCAACATACCCGCGCTCCCGTGCGGCTGCGGAAGTCCCACATCCGTTTACATCTCCTTCTGCCCCTTCTTGGCCCAATCTCGCAACTCATTCTTCTTTAGTTTTCCAGTGCTTGTCTTTGGCAACTCAGAAACTATGGTGACTTCTCTGGGGACCATAAAGCGACTAATGTTGCTCTGATTTCTGGCCCACTCGATCACTTCCNNCTCACCTTTAAGGCCTTGTTTTTTACACGTTATGAACGCGTGAGGACGCTCTCCCCAGTGACTATCAGGCACTGCGACGCACGCTGCCTCGAGAATCTCTGGATGGGTGACCAGCATGGACTCCAAGGCAACACTAGAGATGTTCTCTCCACCTNNGTGATTACACGTAAGCAAAACGCACAGACTGGACGTCACTTAATTGTGCATACCTGATATGATGATGTCCTTGGCTCGGTCGAGGATCTGGATAGCACCGTCTTCATGCATGACAGCGAGATCACCAGTGTGCAAGACACCCCCAGCGAACAATTTTCTGGTGGCCTCGTCGTCTTTGTAATAGCCCTTCGCGCAGATGTTGCCGTAGAATACAATCTCGCCAATCTCTTTGCCATTCTTCACGACATCTTCGATGTGGTCGGCTGCGACATCTGTCTTGATCACGCGAGCAGGCATGGAAGTGAGAAACCCATGACCTTGTCGGGCCATCTTGGCATACTTTTCGTCTCCTGGAAGCTGACTCCAAGCCTGCATGTGGTAGCCTTTCGTAATTGGACCATATGTCTCTGTCAAGCCATAGACCTATAAGGCATGGTCAGCGATGTTTACAGATAGCAGGTACGCCTTGCTTCTCTCTATTTGACCTTGCAGGATCACTGTACGTCTATATCGAGGACAATCAAGGACGCCCATATGACTTACATGCACTGGTTGCAAGTTCAAGTTCTCCATAGTCTTGAACAAATGAGCCGAAGGTGGACTTGCAGCTACTGTGACTCTGACTGGTATATCCAATCTTTCGGCTCCAGGGTCATTACACAATAGTGTGTTTACTGTTGGGGCCGAGTTCATGTGAGTAATTCCTTCTTCTTTAAGGAGACGCCAAATTTCTGGATAGTCGATCTTTCTCAAACAGTAGTGAGTACCACGAACGGCTGTGACAGACCATGGGAAAGTCCAGCCCATAGCATGGAACAATNNCTGTAGAGTGTCAGTATGTGTCATCCAACGCTTTCTGAGGCTTTCATACGGTAGTGTCCAAAGATAGTGTGCGCGCTGCGATCCATGATAATTCAGACCAGACTCAACAATATTTGCCAGAGCTGCTAAATATGCGCCCTTGTGTGTGAACATGACGCCTTTCGGCCGTGCGGTCGTTCCCGAAGTGTAGGCCAATGCTATCAAAGAGTTCTCGTCGGGAGTAATATGTTCGAGATCTGCCCAACCTTTGGAACCAGTCTCGATGTCATGTTTCAGACCTTCGAGGACTGCTTCATCAAAAGGACCCGAAAGTTGACCTTCCGTGGCGTCTGTATCTGTATCGATAATGATCTTGACTTCGGGATGTGTTGCTCTGAAGTTGTCCAAGAGAGGAGCAAATTCGGCATCAACGATGATGCTGTCTACTTCAGCATGCTCGAATATGTAAGCAATGTCTACCGATTGCAAGCGGTAGTTCACGCCAACATTGACTGCTCCTGCAGCCGCAATACCAAAGATAGCTTCTAGGAACGCAGGTGTGTTGGGACAGAGGATGCCGACTCGCTTATAGTTATGGCGTCTCAGATAGTATGCGAGACCTCTAGCACGATCCGCAAATTCCTGATAACTTCTCCTCAAGACCTTCTTGTTTGCAGTGACATGATAGATTGCTGGAGCNCTGAGATATGATTAGCATCAGCCAGTAAAGGCAATACCAGACCATTGGCGTACATCTGGTTCGATGGTTGCTGCACGTGGTAAGAAAAAGGTAGGCGAAAGTTGATGGTGGTTGTAGACTTCAACTTTGCGAGAAGCAAACGGTGATGGTAGAAACTGAGCTGCCAAAGCTGATAATCTTCCAGCTGCTGAGGGCATAATGGACGGCTGCCAAGTAGCAACAATGAAGCTAGCAAGCAATTGTCAGGCAGAGGTGTGGACTAAAGATCTGGTCAAGCGACCAATGACCGGAAGCACAAAGCAGAGCGTCGAGGTACGAATAAAGAGGTATTTGACGATAGATGAGGTTCAAGATACAGATCTATATCACTACAGCACCATAATAGCGGTTATTGCGGGTGGAGGAAAGGAAGACTAATGCGGGGTCTGGTCAACTGACTTGATGTGGGGGACCGAGGTGATCATAATGGATTCCTATCGAGGTGAGCGCACGCCAAGAAGAGGTCTGGACAAAGTTCATTGTATCACAATTGATTGATAGAGTACTCGAGGTGATATAGACCGAGTCACAGTACACATGAAAGGACATTTGCGCGTGAAATTGGGTATTGTTGAGGATGCCATGACTTTTTCTGGCTTGTGCCATTTCTGAAAAGCGTTTCGTTTTTGTTTTCCCTAGCCCCAAATCGCCGAGTACAGAAACAAAGCAAGCCATTATGGGTGTGGGCTTGACACTCCCCCGAGCACTACACCGACGTTATGAGCGCTCGGAGTGAGCAGTTGGACGCGACAACGAACTCCGACTCTCCGGCCACATTTAGTATCCGTAAGAAGCAAGCTCGGTCTTGACCTTCTCGTCGACCTTGGCGGTCTTCTGGGCCTCGGCGAGCGAACGACGAGCAGCCTTCTTGCGCTCGTAGTAGGCGGCACCCTTGACCTTTCTGCGCTCCTCGAGTCTNGTGTTTGAAATGTTAGCATCCAGCGACCGATTGACGGGATAGCAAGATCCGTACCTGGCGACAACGTCCTGGTACTTCCAGCCGAACTCGTGGCCGAGTCTGCCGACGGTGCAGTACTTGCGGCCGGGCTTGAGGCGGAGGACACGGAGGGCCTGGGGGACGACCATGCGCTTCTTGTGGTCGTAAGGTGGGGGAACACCATCGAAGGTCTTCAGGCGCTCAAGAGCGGCGGCACCACGGGCAGTCTTGTGAGGGATCATGCCACGGACGGTGCGCCAGAACATCTTGGAGGGAGCGCGGTAGTGCCAGGGACCTNNATGTCCAAGTCAGTGACCAGGCAAATATAAAGAGTCTCATGCCAAATGGCAGCGGAGACCTCGTGGATTTATGGTTTACATACCACCACGGGAAGCGTTGTAACGCGTCTGCTTGCGCAGGAAGGCCTGGTACTTCACTNNGTTGCGTATTGTGTTAGCCTAGCTCTTTCTCTCTCGGTCGCACGATTGCCGCCAGATTGGTGTTCGGTATGTTCGGATATATGTTCGAAGTGCGAAGGTACTGGCGGCGATCGAATTCGTGCGGTGGATGGACGTACGCTTAGCGCGGAAGAACTCTCCAGAGATGTTGAGGGCCTCGCAGCGGACAACAACGATCTTCTGGCCGTTCAGGAGCTGCTTGGCGACAGTGCTGGCCAAGCGACCGAGCAAGTGTCCCTTGCCGTCGATGACGATCTGTATACACCCGTCTTGTCAGCCATTGCTCTCATGACTGTGGTGTCGGTGTGCAGGTTGTGCGTGCGCCTCTTTCGCCGTCGCGGGTCCAAGTTCCGGTTCCTCCTCTTTCTCTGCTCACTGCGATGATTGGGTGTCACATACGACAGGCTGGAATTCCGACATCGTTGCTGGTCTGTAATGAGTCGTTGGGTGTGAAAAGTCGCAGTCAAACTGGGAAAGAACAACCAAAATTCGCAAAAATGGAAGCCGCGACTGGTGCGTGGGCCAAATTGCTTGGCGTGCGCTTCACAATTTCCCGATGTCATCCCGCGAGTTTGGCTAGCTTCGTCTTGTTGCGCTTCGCACCTCTCTGTGCTTTCCCCTCCTGTTGTGATTTTAATTGTTGCATTCAATTTCATCTCGATTGGAGATCAGTATACTATAGTCTGGGATGCTGTCTACCATTAGACTGGAAGAGTTGCATTGGAAAGCAATAGCCAAGTCATTCTTCTCAAGTCGCTTTTTAGTACATAGCGGCATAGTCATGGAAACACTCCTGTGTTCTTCAACAAGACGATGTTAGAACGAACAAAATCATCAGAATCGACATCAGACCAACTGAACCATGCCGTATTGTGCTTTTTACGACTAACGTGTAGAGTAGGTTGTCAAATCTATTTCTTACTGAGACTTCTTGGTGCTGCTCACAGCAATTTGCAGACCCTCTAGAATCTCTTTCGCAGACACGTAGACAAGATAAATTGGAAGGACGATCCAAAGTCCATTTGGTAGAGCCCAAAGGAAGAAGATGTCCGAAGCACTATTGTGGCCAATATGGGCGAAACCAGAGAAGACCTCGTTGAGCCCTNNACATCACTGTTAGATCTGACAAGCATCAGGATGTTGGTGTAGCATACAGTAAAGCACGGTCTTGCTCAAAGTCATAAGAGCAACGCCGTATAGGAGAACGACGGCTTGCGCAGCGGTCTTCCCGTAGACAGTTCGACTCTGTGCAAGCTTTCCGACATTCTCTTTGTCAGGAGCACCAGTACCTTGGACGTTTCCCTCAGTCCTGCCGTAGGCGTAGACCAGGTAAAGGTAGTAGAAGTAACCTGCACATTCAATGACGTTCACAGCAGACTGAGCGGCTGTGAAGCCATTGCCCGAATTATAGGCAGGCCAACCATAGACGTGATCGACCTGGCCATACAGCTCGTAGGGAACCCAGAGAGGCTTCTGGTACTTGCCTCCAGGCATGGAATGAGGTCGGAGGAAGACATAGAAAGTGTCCCAAATGACCAACGGCAGCGACACAGCGAGCCAAGTCAAGGTGAGAAGTGATGGTGTATGAGACCAGGATCCCTGATTGATGCTTCCCGGGTGAGTGGTGCTCTGCATTGTTGTGGAAGACAGACTTCCTTTCGAGGGAGTCTGTGGAGCCACCTCATCGGACATTTCTGGAGCAAAGTCTTGCGGGTGGTTGCGCGTCGAAACCATGTTGCTGGTGAAATGCAAGGGGTCGAATGATGACTCTGCTAAGGGACAGACAAGTCGCTGGACTGTGAGGTATGCAGCAGGAGAAGATCGCCTGTGTCGATCCCCGCATTTTGGCGGAAATGGTGGCTTCCGCCGTACGACAGTTTATTCCAACCTTTACCACAACTCCTTCTGCTGCGTTCATGGCATCTTGGTCATTTCCTACTCCTACTATTGCACAAAGTGTAGCCTCGATTACTTGCTGAGTGACCCGATTTACTATGTGCCTTACTGCAATGCCTCTCTTGAGGTTTACCGACGACACAAGATGAGATCCTAGCCACTCGACGGTGACTTGATATGAATACTGTCGTTGTCCACAGCACATCAGCTTATCTATGATCGCTGACCAAAGGTACCGCCAAGGGAACACAAAGAACCTGTCTTGGGTATGGTCCTCAAGATCGTGTTGTACGCGTGGCCGGACCTCATATAAGGAGGGTCGGTCTTCGGATCCCCGCTGACCCTTGAAAGTCCGTCAATCTTTTCCTCAGCCTTCGGACAGCAAAAACGTGGAACATGTTCGAAAGAGCCTTCGGAGGCGCAGCAACACGTTGCTGCTGAGAACAATCTACGCCATGGTGCATGCGTATCATCCTCGTGGGTTGCGATATGGAGGCTGGGCATGGTCATCTACTTTTGCTGATCCTTGACGAGTCTCACGTATTTAAAGATTGTCAAGTTTGCATGTTCTTCGAGACTAGGATTTCGTGTTTTCCAGCCTTGTCTCGATTCGACAGCCTTTCTTAGTGTATAAATCTGGTTGTCGACTTATAAGCTAGTCTCGTCCTCCTCTTGCACCTTTGGAAATCGTATGCTCGCTCTCATCTCATCATGAGATACCTGTCAACGCTCGCGGCAATTGCATTGAGCTTCGGTTTGTTTTGTGTCTATACTGTGACAGTATTACAATACTGATTTCTCGTGTTAGGCTCTGCTCATGCTTGGGGATGGAATGGAGGTGGTGATGACGGTGGCAACTCAGGATCCAGCTCTGGCTCTTCAGGTTCATCTGGTTACGGATCAGGCTCATACGGATCTTCCGGCTCAGGGTTTGGTCCCGGCTCTTCAGGCTTCTCAATACCATTCGGTGGTGATTTCGAAAAAGCTCAACGCGCTATGATCGCCCATGGTGTTCTTGCAGCGCTAGCCTTTGTCGTATTCTTCCCCTTTGGAGCTATCAGTATCCGTTTGTTCAGCTTCCCAGGACTTCTTTGGTTCCATGCCATTGTTCAGGTGCTCGCATATCTCGTCTTCATCGCGGCATTTGGACTTGGTATCTATCTTGCCACTCAGATCCCACACATGGTATGTCAAAGGAAAACACATGCTTGGGATTCGTTCTGACTCTGGCAGCTCACCCAAGCTCATCCGATTATCGGTATCGTGCTTTTCATTCTGATCTTCTTCCAGCCAATTCTTGGTTATATGCATCATCGTCTCTTCAAANAGTACAAGCGCCGCACATTCTGGTCTTATGCTCACATCTGGCTTGGACGCATCATCATCACTCTAGGCATAATCAACGGTGGCCTCGGACTGGATCTCGCGCACAAGTAAGACTTCTCTTCTTCTTTCTACGTTGTGTTGCATACTGACCTCTTGTNNAGCACTCGCAAGGGTGAGATTGCTTACGGTGTCGTTGCTGGTATCGTCTATCTTATCTACATCATCAGCATCTTTGTCGGCGAGGCAAAGCGAAGAAGAGACAGGAAAGCGGCTATCCGTGCCGAGGCAGAGCCAAAGAGAAGCGATAGTGATTCAAACGACTCTCGTACGCCGGGACTCAGGACAAATTACTATGCTTAGAAAGGTATCGGCGGCTGATGGAACGAAAGCATGTAGTCTTACGAATATCATCTTCAATCTAGTTAATGAAGTGTATTCTATACAACGACATGCCCTCTCGGTGTGCTCAGTGTTTCGATAGTGGATCCATGGCAATTCACGATAGTCTCAGGAGAAAGGATATTATCCACGAAGAGTTGCTGTCTCGAAAGCTCTCGACAGGTAAGTTTCTAGGTCCAAATGCATCGTGCATTTTGTTTGTCATAACGTTGACATTTATCATTACTGGGTTTATATCGCTATTCGCACTGAATGTTCCAGCGACCTCAGAAAGGTGGGTACAACAATATACACCAACGTCTCAAAAATACCACCATAACATCTCTGAGTTCGACTCCCAAAGACAGAGGCATTCGGATCAGGCAAACTTGAACTTGAACGATCTGGACAACAACCGAAAGGATGAATCAAGGGGTCATGAAGCAGGCGCCGTCCTTTGCACAGTTTCAAAGGCTCGTCATGATTGCATCTACTTCAGATTCCATTCCTGTTCTCCATCTTCAAATATTCTGGAAAGAGGTTTNCTACAATGACAGGATTAGTATATGCTTTCGACAATTGATAAGACTGAAATAAGAGACGAAACGCAGCTTACCGTGTCGATGTCGTGTACGTCCTGGAACCAACAATTATCGTTGTAGCAATCCTTGCCATATGGACAGACATGACCATTAGTGCAGTCAAAGTCCCTACAGTAGCCACGCTCTGGACAACATCTCTGACGAGCGCGTTGCTTGAGTGCCAACTGCTCGCCAGGACTCAAACGTTCACCGTGATCATAGTCGCAATATTTGCCCGCTTCACACTTGCCGTTGAGATGGTAGTTATTGCAAACTTTCTTGTGGCGCACACGCTCGAGAAGGCGGGCAGTTGCTGCTGCGTCAGCGCGTGGCAACACCGAGTCGATGCGTTCGTCGTCAGCGTTGAGGAGGATGAACCTGCGGGCTGGCGCCTTCTTTGCAGCGATGTTTATGGTTTTAGGTGCTCCTTTTCCTACGCTTGCCCACGACGAGTTGTCGCTAGGGTTGGGTGTGGTAGTCTTCGGTAAAGTAGATGCAGCTGCTTGTGCCGGTGTAGGTGACGGATCAACCGACATGCCACTAGTCGCAAATGAATTGGTTCGACTGGACAAGGCAGAGTTGGGCTGAGCTACAGCGTTGCTCTGCACCGTAGAAGGTACGAAAGTAGGCACAATTGACCTATCTGGCAGCGGCTCCGATCTAAAGACTGTAGGGAACTGCACGACCTTGAAACCGAGCTGTTTGAACCCTGGTTGAATGGGTAGGGTCTCCAGCAGACTGATACGCGGAGCCGTGTTCTGATCGCGCTTGTAAGGGTCGAGCGTCGGTAGATATCCGTTATCATGGCAGCCTCCAAAGATGACATGCTTACACTGCATGTTGGGCAAGAACAACCTTAGTGTCTCTNNGTAGAACCAGTCAGCCAAATGTGCACATCCATAGCTGAGTGAATGGGCCAGTTTACCTCTGACTTTATGATCCGCTCGTTCCTTGCCGCTGCCAACATCGATGAAGCTGAACAGAGACTTATTTAGGGAAAANGCTCTGGCAAATGGAGCCATCTCATTCGGATTCTTAAAGATGCCCACGCTCTTCAATTTGTGGCTAAGTCCTTCCATGTTATAGAATATCTGGACCATGATGTCGTAGCCAGATGTGTTACGGTCAGGATAGCACTCTGCGACATGATCTCTAATTTTGTTGTGCAGCTCTTGAGCAGCATCGGCACCGCCGTCGCTGCCAGCTTTGTAGAGATAGTCGTGGAACTAAAACGTGAGAATAGTGCCACAATAGCATAGATCATGACAACTCACGATTGCGCCGTCTCCATCGATCAAGGCTAGAACGAATCCATTCGCTTCNCTATCTGATGTCAGCAGGACATTCATTTTCTCTCAAAAGTTCATACACACAAGACCCATGGTTGTTGTTTGTAGTGTGCGTTCAAAGTTACGAGCTTGCGCTTGCCACATGCGACGAGAAGCGAGCTCATTCTCGTAGTCTTCGGACTTGTTATGGAACTGCTGTTGCAGCTCAGCATATCTGTGAATGACTTCCTGTNNGTGATGCATATCAATTAGTTTGTGTTGATGGAAGAGCGATAAATCCTGTCCCACCTGAACTAATGCGTCACGCTGAGCATCAGATCTACGAAAGCCCTCTAGCTGACTCTCTAGACCACTGAGAAAAGACTGACCGTTGGAGTGTCCATTCGTATGGCTGTTGCTCATGGGTGGTGGGCCGCTCATGATTGCGACGTTACGAGGTCCAAGATAGGCGCTGACAGTGCGTGTAACTTCGGAAGTTTTGGCAAACGTTCAGCTTGTGACCGACCGGCGGCGACAGGCCAGCGGTACGTGATCTCGAATGTTCTAAGGATTGTCGGCCCTTGAGAACTTTCTGTTCAATAAATCTTTGTGAGCGAAGTATTTTTCTGATGATTTAGTGATTATGAACAGTGAAAGGTCGCGTGCCGACGCGAAACATTTATAGTGCCCAAGCTTGGCAGGTACCAGCGAGCTGATGAATAACTCTTCTAAAAGTCTTTTTAATACTTTTCTAATGGTATTGTCTTGTTCGAGGTTGAGGGAAACCAAGTGGTATAGCCATGGAAAATGATTTTGTACTCGTTATCGTTATGCTGAATATATATAATTACAAAGATATTTATCCATTGTATGAACCACCTCCCTCCAGAATGTCTTTGATGTTGATCTCTCCAGTGCCTCTTTCGAGCGGCTTTGGTTGATTCGCGCCCTCCTTCCAACCAATCATGTAGATAGTACGGAAGGTTGCAGGAATGCTACCGTCGTCGTTGCCGTACAACTCTTTGTAGATTGCCTCAGTAGCCAATAGTACATCTCTTGATATAGGTCCAGGGGTCCGCTTGAGAGCAGCATTTGACTCGCCCATGGCTTGCAGATCGCGCATCAAGTGTAATGTGCTAGGGTAATCGACAATAATGTCATCGACGTCGACGGTAAGAAGTTTGAAGCCAGCACGAGTAAGAAGATTGCCGACATCACGAACGTCGACAAGTGGTGATACGTGTGTACCTATACCTCCTAGACGGTCTTGCTCAGCGAGTTGGAGGGAGCCACGCAGTTCAAACAGGCTGTCACCACCAGACATGGCGGCAATGAAGGGAGCGTCAGGCTTGAGGACGTTGTTGATTTGTGAGAGGACGGATGGTAGGTCATTGATCCAGTGTAAACTCAGAGACGAGAGGACAAGGTCGAAAGAATTGGCTTCGAAGGGAAGTGTCTCTGGATTTTGGNNAAGCACATGGCGAGTGAGGGACATGTCGTTGTTGAAAGGCTCATTCTGGTCGCGATGCAGCATGGGCTGGTTGGAGTCGGCACAGGTCAAATGGCCAATCTTTGAGCTCAATGGCTCTGACACTGGTTTGGCAGAGTCGGGGTCGGGGTCTGGTAGAGTGAGGATTCGAGCAATGTTGCAAGCATTGGCACCGAAATCTAGTGCCTTGTCGAAGGTACGATTGATGTCGAGGAGGCGACTGGTCAGACGCATGGCCACCTCGTCCCTCAAATAATCCGTAGCTCTTGATTCCTCGACATCGGTGGCGGCGCGGGATCGTTGCTGCTGCTTGGCCTCGTTGGAGAAGACGGAGATGCTAGGGGCTCCAGGCTGTTGTACTGCATAGCTCCGTCGACTGGATACGTTCAGGATTCGGGCACGGGACGAGCATTGCACTCGGCGGGCAATGTAGCTTAGACGCATCTTATGAGGTTGCGAGAGTGAATACTTTGGTCGCCATCAATCCTCAGAAACCTCTCTGACCTCTCCCCACAATTCTATCGACATAATCGTCATTGAACCCTCGTTCTGCCGGGCGGTGACCGTTGGCAACGATGCGTATCCTTACCAAACTGTTGTCAACCAGACCCTGCAATTGATGTTTCAGACAAGCAATCAAACAAAGCCAATTTTGGTCCGCATCGCTCCTTCCACCATTCGTCACTGAGTACTGAATACCTCAATGCGCTGCCTGAACTTCCCGCCAGCATGGCCACATTCCCGTATACGCTAATCGCGTGTCCCTGCACCTCTTTCACCTCCCCTTCCGACATCAATCCATCATCAATAGAAGACCCGGACGATGACACAACCTTCAATCCTCATCACATTCGCGCAAACTTCTCGCTATACCCCTATGAGCACTTACTTTACTGTGATGAATGTCACCAGATCAGATGCCCCAGGTGCTGGGCCGAGGAAATCCTGAACTGGTTTTGTCCAAGCTGTCTGTTCGAGGTTCCTAGTAGTGTAGTCAAAAGCGATGGTAACAGGTAAGGTGAGCTCTCCTATCTCATATCTGCTGACAAGAACATGTACTGATTCTGCATCAGATGTACTCGCAATTGTTACAACTGTCCCACTTGCACTTCTCCACTTTCTATCAACGGTCTAGACTCTTCAACAAAGGACCATCTAGCTCCTCCGGACGCCAATCAACCCACTGGTCCCTTCTTCTTATCATGTCCCTATTGTGACTGGTCATCGTTAGATGTTGGTATACAGTTCAACAAGCCCACCAAAATCACAGATCAACTGATCAGGATGCGCTCCGGAAACCGTTCACCTTCACCAAGCAGGACAAGATCTACTAGGACGAGCCTCGCGCCTGCAGATGAGCTGTCATCAACAGATCCAGATTCCACTCCTCCCTCACAACCGATGCAAGATAGATTTGCAACTCTGAGCCGCTTCTACAAGGACCAAATGGCTGACGCATCTGGTGCTGGTCCGAATGGATTCTCGGATGGTAGCAATTTCAACTCGCCTAATAGTCTGGCACGTATCATGANNGGTATCTACGGTGGTCTATCGCACACTGCCCTGAAAAAGGCACGTGAGAGACCACAACCAATGCGCGAAGCCCTCAATACAACCGAAGGCCTTGAATTATTATCTCATTCAGTAGACGCTGAAGCCACAGCGATTGAAAAGCTACGCACCGAAGGCTACGAAGGAACCACAACCTTGTCACAGCGGGTCAGTCATCCGTACAACCACCGTGTACGCTTCAATGACCAGCTCTGGCCTATCGCTACACTTCTACGGACACGTCGCAGCAAGCGATGCCGTACTTGCCGTCACATTATCGCTCGTCCAGAGCCCAAGATGGGAAGTACGCGCTACAAGATTCGTCTTCTGGCTCAAAACAACATACCTCGCTTGGCTTTGCGTCTTCTCTCACCCAGCGCTTCGTCGGCTCCTGCGTCTTCTTTCGCACTTACCCCCGCAGCACTACAGGCTCAGCACAACACCGAATACGAGAAGTTGAGACCGGGATTACCTGTGCAGTTCCTCCTCACATTGACGAACCCGTTGTTCGAGCCTGTCCGCATCACGCTAGCCACACCCGCTACTACACCTGGTAATGTAGCATCACGTGTCACAGTGCTCTGCCCTACTTTCGCCATAGGTGCCGCGAGCGACATGTGGGACCCAGATGCCATCTCTAGCGGATCGGCANAAGACCAGTCTGCCGAAGACAGACAACCCGAAGCAGGAAAAGTGTGGGAAAAGGGTCGCAACTGGACGACGGTTGTTGTAGAAGTGGTACCCGGCAGACTAGACAAGAAAGCAGAAAATGGATCGGGTGATGAGAGCAAGGGTGCGGACGAGGATGTGCTGGAGATTCCAGTGTTTGTACGTGTGGAGTGGGAAGCGGAAGTGACGGCTGAAGATGCCGCTGCAACGGGAGCAGCAAAGGGCACCAAGGAGAGCAGAGAGATTGCTTTCTGGAGTGTGTTGGGTGCGGGCAAGATAGCTGAACCTTAGAAGGGGAAGCAAGAAATGCAAGTCTTCCTGCATTTGTCTATAACAATTTGTTCGAACAACCAACTACTCACCCGTCAACTATCAACACAGATATTGGCAGACTGCTTTGCTCTACAGCACTGCCTCGGGAATCACATGCGAGTTAGATATTTGGAAAGATTGTGGAAACGAGCCAGCTCCTTTTGAACAAGGCAGGCAAGGGCGGATTAGCGATAAAATGCTGCTGCTGCGAAAGGTATCCGTAAAGAAAGTTGCAAGCCGAACGCCAGTCCCTGTGCTTTTCGCTCTTTTCCCCAAAGAAAATGTCCCGATAAGAAAAGTGAAAGATGTGAGCAAAGAAACGCCATGAAAAACAACAAAAGGCCACAGTCAAGTCGTTTATGCGTCGACATCCATGTCTTCGGGTCCAGAGCCTCTGACCAATCTCTGCTTCTTCTTTGCCTTGAGCTTCTGCTGGGCCAGTTGCTGCTTCTTGAGTTCCTCCTCTTCCTCCTCGTCCAGCTCGTCGACAACATCCAGCATCTCGCTCTCGTCCTCCTCGAGCAACTTCTGGGCAGCCTCGCGCTCGGCAGGAGGCAGCAAGTGCTGGTTCTCTGCGACAAGCTTGCGGTCGGCCTCGAGGTCGCGCTCCTTGTTGCCGCGCATGCGGTTCTTGTAGAACTGGCGTTCGCGCTTGGCGCGGATCTCGGAGACGCGCTGCATGGCCTTGAGGGTGGTGGCGACCAGGTCGCGGTTGTAGCGGACGGGAACGTTGCGGCGGGCGGCAAAGGAGAGGGTGCTGTCGACGGTCATTTCCTTGCCGTGAGCGGCGCGGAAAGATTTTGTCCAGGCCAGCTTGCGAGGGTTACGCTTCATCTTGAACNNTGTTGAAGGGTGTGTTAGAGATATGACCTTGGTCCGGAGACGTCGCAAGACAAAACATACGTTCTTGTGGCATTTTGATCTGCAGAAACGGAAAACACGAGCATCGTTGCGGACAAAGGTGATGCCCTTGGACGGGTAGCAGGGCTGCGAGCAGAAATAGCACGACTCGATTCTGAGACGGGAGTGTCAGTAGACGTTATGCGAGATGACAGTTGGCAGAAAAAGTGGACGTACCTCATCTTGAAATGTGGTGGTCAAATGTCAAGATGGATGAACAACAATCTGAGATTCTTCTTTCTTTGCCGGGCGAAACTTCTTTGGACGGTTTCTCTCCGTATTGCGGGGAGTTGCCAAGGAACGCGGCGAAGAAGAAGGCGCCCTCGGTGGACGGAGCTGCCACTGCCCAAACCTCCGAACTTTTCCAACGCCATCGCTGCCAGTTGCATCTTAGAACATAGACACATTCGACAATGGCTACTGCTCTCCTCGCCGGCTTTGGAATCGCTGCCGCTGCCTTCTTCGTACGCCATTCTCGAATCTCATGCGCCGCGGCATATCGCTAACATTCTACTTGACAGGGCCGCGCCGGCCTCGTGGCTTTCAAGCGCTACCGTGGTGGCACCAGCGCTGTTGGCAAGGCCTTCTACAAGGGCGGCTTTGAGCAAAAGATGACTAGAAAGGAGGCTGCTTTGATCCTCGAGACCACGTTCGTCACCCCTGTCCCACCTGGACGTCATTCGGAAGCATACAAAAGGACTAACTGTACTGCCTGTGACAGAGAACGCGGCATCACTCGCGACATCATCCGCAAGAAGCACCGTCAACTCATGCTGCTCAACCACCCCGATCGTGGCGGTAGCCCTTACCTCGCCACAAAGGTCAACGAAGCCAAAGAACTGTTGGAGAAGACGACATAACCCGCCTACCTTTTTACCATATCCACATCACCATCTTATCTTTGTCATCGTCCTTGGAATCGCAGCGCGGCGTTGGTGGTCTTGCCCTTTTCACTCTGTACAACATCCCTACTCTTTATGACCAGAAGCAATCTACTGCATTTGCATAGCAGAAAAACACATTGTATACTATTCGAGAGACAAAATCTATCTTCATACAAATATCGATGAACGCCTCGCTTTCTATCCCTTGTTGCTGAGCAAAAACATCGACTTCTACAAAACAGCTTCCCTGCCTCCTCTCTTCTGCACTTATGCTTTGGCGTTCAGAGTGTTGCCCTTCTCCACCATCTCCTCAATCAGCTTGTTGAACTCCTGTCTGAGCTCAATAGGCACCACATGTCCCTGACCCTCAAAGAAGGCCTTGCGAACACCACTCTCCTCACCGCCTAGTCCCTTCAACAACATCTCTGCATGGGGAAANGTAATCATACGGTCCTTGGTGCCATGCAACACCAAGATACGCTGCTGGCCCACCTTGTCGCCAATCTCCTTGAGCTGGGCATCAGACTTGTGGTGCCAACCTGCAGCAACTGCTTGCGCCATGAAACCAGTACGGTTGAAGTGTTGCGGCGCCTGACGCTTTGCGACTTCCTGTGCGGCGAAGCGATCGCCATTAGTAGGGAAGGGGTTGATTTTGTATTCCAGACAGTCTGGGGCGTCGAGGAAGGCTTGGGTGTAGATGTTGTGCTTGACGTTGGCGATTTGGTCGTCCAAGCTGCGAGGGATGAACAAGTTGATGCGGTTGCGCAGGTTTTCCACAAAGCCGACTGTGTTGACGATACGAGGTGCTGTCGAGATTAAATTCAGTGTTGCAATGCGGTTGGGGATCATGTATGCCTGTGCCAGAACCATATCAATATCTCAAAATGTCTCCTCGGCTCGGGAGTCGCTTACAAGTTCTTGAGCGATCATACCGCCCATCGAGATACCGACAACGTTCAACTGTCTCTCTGCTGTCCAGCCGACGTGATCGATGACTTCGAGGAGGTCCTTTGCCATCTCCGAGGTCGAGTAACGCTGCATCGGCTTGCCACTCTCACCCATACCGCGATTGTCAACAATCAGAGACGAGTACTTCGATCCCTGCGTGTGGGAGAAGTCTTTGGTTTGTCTCTGCCATGAGGTCTTGAGTCCACCAAGTCCCATGATCCANCTGATATCACAAAGTACAAATTAGAACCATACTTTCTTCTTGATTTTACGCGCACAAAACGATCGTTATGGAAATCGACGAAACCAAAGCTCGTGGCTGGTATTCGACAGTGCAACCATAGCTGAAAATAGGAAGATAACGAAAGAAGAAGAAGAAAAGACACTTACCACCATCTTGTTCTCGCCTTCTCCATGCACCTCCCACGCAATATCAAGAGGTCCTCCTCTGTTCTTTGCAACGGACAATTTGCCCTGTGATTTGGGTTTGAGATCCCATGTGATGTATGGGAACTCCGGATGAGCCTGCACTTCAGCAGCGGAAAGAGGCCTATCACAAACCAAAAGTCAGCATTCGTGAAAACTTTCTAGACAAGATCAACAAGCATTTGTCCCAGGCGCGTATCGTTCACTCCGGTATCAGAATGAAAGAATGATTATCGCCCATTACGTAGTTTGCTTCTAGAGTTAGGGATCGTCAGGCAAGGGCACGTACATTATGGTTTTGTCTATGTGAGATCCGTAATTTCGAGAAGAGAAAGACGACACAAAGAAAGCAGTAGATCAAGAATGTACAATTTGACGCAGGAGAAAAGAGGTCAAGGTAGATCAAATGAGAGTGTGTGTTTGGTAAGTTGGATAAAGTAGGCGAGAGTGATCGGCGGACCCCATGCCGCGTGCGTACAAAGTCCGTGCGTGTCAAAAGAAAGCAGAGATCAGAAAACATGACCATCTTCCTCTCTTTCTCTCCACTTCGACCTTCTGTTCTCTCAAGCTTGTGTCTTGTTCAGCGCCTGTGGCTTGGCCCGAACATGTCTGCAGACAGGCCCGTTGACCTTCACAACAATTCTGCTGGCTGAATGTCATCCATTATCATTCTGACCATAGTGGCGCCATGACCAGGCAAGTACGCTCTCAAAAGACCATGCTAACAACAGAGTCATGTACTACAGCCTCACAGGTCCTGCTGATATGTGCTTTGCGCATTGTCCGCTAGTATCAATGGCTCTTGCCAATCTTTGACATTAGAAGCTCGCCAGTGGCAGAAAAGCGGAGGTTGACCAAGCTAATGAGACCTCTGACCTCCGCACTGGCAAGCTGGTATAATATGCTATGTAAGTTTACAGCGGCTTAGGGTGAGTGGCCGAGCTCCAGCGCCTGAAATATTAACAATAGGCACGAGCTCAAGGCTTTTGCCTCTGCCCTGATCTGTCGTCGTTCTCCTTATCTCTTTCCTCACCATGATATGCCCCTCTCATTATTTGCATGTTCTCTCTCTTTCATTTCTCATCGATGCCATCGTTTCAACCGGAAAAACAAAAGAAAATGCTCGCCTTGATAATAACAAAGACAAGAATGGAGATGCTGCATCAAAAACAAACGCCACCCATGTCAATCCAGGACCTCGCCAACAGTCAGCACTTGACATTGTGTTAGGCGAGACTGGTGCCCAGTGTCGTATATGAATCATCCAAAGGACAACAAAGAATCCTTGTACCCACGCAGGGATTTTGCAGAAATAGGAAGGCCAATCGACCATCAAACCAAAAACGAATACGAACATCGAAACCGTGGATCGGGTTCGTCATTCACACCGAACCCATACGCAAGAGAGCTTCAATGGCTTCTCTCTCCTGGATAGTATGGTCGATTTCCATCGGCGTGGTGCCATGACTTGGTGGTCTCTGGCTGACACTGCTCCTGTGTTGGGTATAGCTCATTGCTGATGGCCTTCTGGCGAATTGAGGTGTCGATCTTGCGAGGAAGGACGGCCTAGCGCCACCAGCACTTCCATACACAGATGGCGTTCGTGCGTCATGCAGTGAGCCAGACATGCTGATGAGATTGTAGTTCTTTCTGGCGCCGGGAGATGCCGCTGTCGACATCGAAGCCTTGCGTAGAGCATCTGCTCCCATTGCGGCCCAATCCTCTTCTTCAGTTTCGTCGCCCTCGCTGTCCGACATCGCAGAATCATCCTCAGACATAGCGGAAGAGGAGCCGTCCAGAGACATCTTGTCTGCCTCGTTTTCTTCCATGCTCATGTTGTCCAGATGATCATCATAGTGGGATGCCATAGAAGACTCTGCCCAGCTGTTCAGCTGCTGGCTGTCGCGAGGCTTGTACGAACCAGGGAAACCGGATCCTGTGTACGAAGCAGCACAACTCTCAGGCTCACTGGGTGGCGGAGACAGCTTTCCATCCCTGTAGCTTGAGCTCAAGTCAGGGCGTTCGCCCTTGGTGTATGCGTCCCATCTACCCCAACCCACTTTTTCAAACACGACGCTACCGTCGGCACCACCGCCTGCTCGGTTCTCCAAGGCTGCCACGACCAACCTGCGAGCCTTGGCTGGTGGTATACGTGAGAAACCAGGGACTGACTGCGTCAAGCAAGCCATGACATGTCTGATGGCTACCGGGCCATGTCCAAGCATGATGCCCGGCAAGTGATCCTTGGCGAGCATGGACGCGGTGATGGACTGCGAGGCATCCAACCCCGACAGAGCGCCCTTGCTAAGAGGAAGAGACGGATGAGAGCCGCTCTCGCCATCAATACGAATCGGAGGCGGCGAGCGTAGGCCAGCGGCAGCCTGTGCAGGCAAGCCCGGAGATACGGAGTTAGGGGGTGTAAGTGGCATTCCGATACCGTGTTTGGCAACAGCGGCGGACAGGTTGCTGACGGTGGAGTGTTTGGCCATGCCGCCAGAGTAAGAAGGAGAAGCAAAAGCCATGGTAATGGCAGAAGTCGCTGGGTGAGCCATATTCGCTGAGTATTGCTGGATGCTTCTCTGCGCCACGAGATACGAGTCAGAACTGACTATACGTTGATGACGTATGGATCAAGGCGAAGATGAACCGGAGCAAGAGGCAAAGGTTTGTGAATGTCTGCTGCCTTGTATGACTTACACCGACGGTGGAACGGAGACTTTGGGAGTCTTTATGGTGTTTGGTGGGTAAATTGCTGGGTGGTTGTGTGCGCGACTTGATTCACGTAATCTAGGTACGCGAGATACACAGCGGGGTACGCGATTGCGGACTCGATCGATGAAACAGCAGGTTTGATGGTTGATGTTGTTGCGAAGAACAGGAAAGAAGATTGAAATTGTTCAGTGCGACGGTAGGTAGCAGAGTCTGAGCAATTAGCGAAAGGAACAGCTTGTGTTGTCACGTAGAAGGAGCAGGGTTGTCAGCAGGAACGCCTGCCTCATGATATGGAGCGTGGTCTGTTGATTGGTTATCGCATCGAGGAAGCCACCATATGGGGTAACCGCTCTCGGGCGAAGGAAGTCTAACTTTGTCTATTTGTTCCATGCGCGGTGTGACTCTTCTGAGAGGCTGCAACTCGTCATCAACGTTTGAGCCACGGTTTGTTTCGCGGATGCCCAACTACCGTTCAAAGCATGCACGTGTAGTTCAGTCCTAGGAACTACGACTCGAGTCCATAGCATCCTGAGACAACAGACAGGATCCTGCTATTCCGCACTGTCCGATGTCGCTATGCGCCCAATGGAGGGGATAGAGGGGTCAACCATTCTCGTTGTCTTCGGTCCACGGAGCTACTCTCCACGATTTCGCCCGACTTCCGAACCAAGCCCAATGCGCCTCAATTCAACGAGCTCTAGCCTCTTCATCCTTTGTCAACCTGCTGAGTCCCTCCTTGGACCCCGCAGCTGCTCGCAGAGAAGGATCGCGCATTCTGCGAGACTTTGCTGCTGCACTGCCGAAAGGTTATCGCTTGTGCCCCTTGAATGAGCTGAACTCTACCTGCACGAACGCTGAGATGTCGGTAGTGCTGATGTGTCTGGCCTAACCTGGCCGTGCTTCGAGACAGCAGCAACGCAATGGAGCAAAGGGAGGGATGCAATGCGTATGCACGATACGATCACTCGATTTCCAGAGACTATCGAGCCTGTTTCTGGGCTCAAGAACTGATCACAAGGCACGGCCGCGAGCCGTTTTGCCAGAATGTGTATCGCTCTGGCTTGCGACGACGTCCCGTGACGCTTACAGTTCTCGAATAGATACAGAGAACCGTACCTTATCAGATCACGGGAATTGGAACTGGTTACCGCCTACGTCAAATATCCCTCCATCAGCTGAAACAGGTTTGATCAAACTTTCCAGCCCTGCGATAGGCGCAGTCATCTCTCCTCTCCTATTCTCAAATGAGCAAGCTTCTTATTACCAGCAGGCTGAAGGGTTGCCTGGGTGTTCGTTCGTACACAGAAGGTCGACAAACTTCAAAGCAGTCCAAATCTGTCACAGTGAGGCAGATGAGTAATGTGTCATTACATATGGAAGTCGTGGTGCGCGGTAAGATATGTCCATGTCATGTTGCAAACCGTGTGACCCTGTCCGCCAACCCGCTATCATCAACCTAGCACTCAACATCATGCAATACAGATAAGATGTACGGAGCTCTCGAGACGTGTTTTTGATTTATTGCTTAGTGTATATACGTGAACCATAAGTCAAAAAGACAAGGGAATGGCGACAAATGAGCGTCCACTGTAATTTCTCAGCATTGCATCTCGAAACTGTTGTAAAAGACAGAGCATACCGACAATCCGTCAGCGCAACAACAATATCAAGTCATCGAACATGATACGGCGAACTTGCACTTAGTGCTGCTCATAATCAGTACTGTATTCGAGTATGTCATCATCTCGTGGTGGACCTACACCGCAGGAAGAGCAACCGCAGTTGCTGCAACCAGAAGAGCCGCAGCAGTTGGAGCAAGAGCAGGAAGGCATGTTGGTCGTATAAAGATGGATAGATTGATAAAGGTAGTTTCGTTCACACTTGAGGGTAATGACAAAGAAATTGCAAGACGAGAATACGTGTTCATTTATATACCTCCTCCTCGAATGATCAACACATGTGAATGGCGATGCTACCATCCATCAACATCAGCCGCCAGCTGCAGTTACTTGCAGCCTGATTACCCCCTCACGATAATGCAGAAGATACAGAGACCGAGGATTAGACCGAGCGAGATGTATAACATACATCGTGCTAGATGGATGTGGCAGACGAATCGTCAAACACAGCACCGTCACATGCGGGACCTGCCAAGCGGGACGAAGTGCGAAAGGTGATGGATGTGCCAGCGCACCAAGTCGATTGGAGGACAACAACTCGACAACACTCGCCCAACATGTTGCAAGTCTCGAGTTTCCACTCTCGTGCATAAATAGGGCGCTCGAGACGTGACCACACGAGAACTTCACGGCGCTTCCTGAGATTCTGTAGATCTCTCAGGTGACATTCGTGAGCGAGGCTTAGTCGTCGACATGGCTTTTAGGGACCTTGGTACAATACAAACTGAGGCGAGCAAATCGAGGCGAGAGACTACGCTCGGCTGTGCTGGTGATTATTATTACAAAAAGCAAGAACTGCTATTGGGTATCGAGAAGTCGTTATCGTAAAGCACACCACTCCTGGGTCATGAGCGAATGGACCCAAGGTATCTTTCCTCCTAGTAATAGCCCGATCTCATCCGGCAATTCCATTCTTGTCCAGTCCGATCTTGAGCTTCTCGCGGCAGATTGGACAATACCACNNTCTGGCCCTCCTTCCGGGAAGTTCTGTGAGGCCGACACATTCGAGGTGGAACCACTCAAGTTCACACTAAGATGACAATTCAGTCAGTATACCAGTAGAAAAATGGTGGAGTATAGGACTTACGCTATCATTGTCACAAGCAATCATGGTGCCGTGACTGACGTCTCCACAGATACAATAGCGTGGCTCATCAGGATCGATCAACTCATCTTCGACGGCAGGTGTGGCAGTCTCTTCCTTGGCCTCTTTCTTCTTTTTCTTTGAAGCACCCTTGGGTTTGCCTACTATGACCTTTGTACCGTTCTCTTCAGCTTGGAGAACACCCTGAGGCGGCTTTCTGCGAGTAGGTCGTCTTCCAGTACTGGTTTCTGCCGAACCAGCGACGTTACCAGGAGCAGGAGAGCGGAGTTTGTTGTTTCCAGAACCGGGCAGCGACGCATTGGAGCCACGGCGTAAGCTTTGTCGTGTATTGGCTGGCTCTGCCGACGCAGCCTTGGTAGCTGAATGTTTGAGAGTGATCGTCGTCGGTCTCATTGCCCTTGTATTCGCAGCTGGAGTCTGAGCGGCTGGTTCACTTGGTCCGACCTCGGGCTCGGGTTGCGCAGAATTGCGCTGACTGCGTTGTGTTCTCTGTCGTACTGAGATCCGCGGGCTAGAGGTTGCTGGTGTNGTTGGCGTTGCTGGGAGAAGGCGCGTCTTTCACAGCAGCGACAGCACGCGTAGAAATAGTAATGGTAGGCGTGTCTGATGATGGTGGTGGAGGAGCAACGCTCAGTTTTATCTTTTTGGCTGTGGTGCGCTGCGAGGAAGTGAGAGGACGTCAGGGGATTCTGCGACAGGCTCAGGTGGAGATGGTGCTGCGGCAGGAGTGGCTGCATCCCGTTTACGCTTTCTGGTCGTAACCGGTTCTGCGATTGTCTCGGGCTCAGCAGTTTGAGCAGGTTCTGGTGTAGTCAACGCTTCCGCAACAGGTTCAGGTTGTGCGGGTGCTGGAGCAACAGGCACATCATTAGGCTGAACGGGCTCTGGCGCAGGNAGCAGACTTTTGTTTGGACTGTTTCTTCTGTTTTGGCTCAGGCTTGTCTTTTGGTTCGGTAGGAGGCACTGAGTTCTCGACAACAGGTGCTTGAACCACCTCTTGTTGTTCCATGGCTGTCTCCGACTGAACTTTAGGCGGCTCAGCGGGCTCTGCTGGCTTAGCTGGCTCTGTTTGCGGTTGTGATTGCACTTGCGCCTGCGACTTTGACTTTGGCTGTGCCTTTTGAGGAGATTTTTTCTCCTTGTTCTGCTCAGGAGNGAGGTTGCAAGCCAGCCTCCTCTTGCAATCTTATAGCCTCCTCGGCCTTGAGCTTTTCGCGTTTGAGCTTTTTGGCCTCGTTGNAGACGCATGCCACGGTTGATGAGTGCGGCATCCTGGTTGTCGTCTGGCAACTCTGGGCCAAGCATTTTGGCAGTCTCGGCCTGTTGTGCGTCGGTGATGTGGATGCAGGTAGGATCTGTCCACGTAAGAGGGTCGAATTCGTCGACAAACTCTTGACCAGAGGCTTCAGCAGCAGCTTTTGCTTCTTCCATAGCAGTTATACCTCTACCAAGGTTTTTAAGCTCGCGGTTTCTCATAGCAGGTGATGGAAGCCAAATTGCATTCTTCTTCATCCTCTTGCGCAGCGTGGCCATCTCGTACTCGGTGAGCCTCTTCCATGGCAGCCACTTGCTACCAGGAGCTGCATCGGCAGGTGGAGCGGTCAGAGCCATCAGTGCATTCGAAGTGCTGATGCCAGCAACAGCCGAGTGTGCATTTGTGCCAGAGGAACCAGGCAAGCGCACACGAGGTGGNTTTCTGTGTAGCCTCTTTGGACTCTGTGGCAGACTTGGGAAGCTTTGGTGTCTTGGGAAGCCTTCCAGCAGCTTTCTTGTGATCGCGAGATTTATCATGGCTGGGAGAGCGAGGCGGAGGAGAAGGAGAGGGTGAGAAGTCGGATGGCGGAGGAGAGTCTGGGTTTGGAGGTGGCAGAACCTCGCCNNAGGGACGACTATTTTCTGAGGTCTAACGCGTGGCGCAGTACCAGTGCGATGCTGAGCAGTACGCTTCTCAGCTTGTTGTTGGGCTTGGGCGTTTCTTCTCAGTTGGGGAGAGGTCAGACCAGGTTCGGGTGTCGCATCGCGTTCGGGTGGGAGAGGCAAAGCTTTCAGTTTGCGCTGAACAAGCTGCAGCTTTGTCGAATCTTTGACGATGGTCTCTTCGAGACGGCTGGCTTCAGCAGCCGACATGCGCTTGCATTTCTCCAGAGAGTCGTAAGCATGGCTGATGTCCCTCCGCAACTGGACGGGATCAGGCGCGTCTGTCGCATTCACCGTGGCTTGCGGAAGGCTACTGTATTTGGACAGAAGATTGTGAATCTCGAGCTGAAGGTCATCGGCCTTGCGGTTCAGGCTCTGTATGAGGAACAGACTGCGCGTCACCGTCGAGGGAAGGTGCTCGCTATACGTGAGGAAGTCGCTGAGGGTGGCTTGAACATCGGGATCGATCTGTCTGCCGGAGTCCAGGTCCATGGCCATATCAAGGTGGAGCATCTCGGTGCTCATGTTTGCGCCGGCGCATTTGAAGCCTCAGAAGACTTCACGTTGGTCCTTGTTCTCCTGATGCTTGCTTGTCGACGCGCTGCGCGTCTGCATCCAGGAGCTTCCCCAGAATTGTGATTCGTCTTGGCATTCACATGCCGCTTGGCGCCTTCCATTCATGCTCCATCAACTTGGTCATTGTATCCGATTTGACAACGAAACAGTTCACCAAATACCATCCAATCTTTGAATCGCTTGTATGTAGACGCGCAACAGGTGACTTCCTCTTTCCCAATGGAAGCCGCCATCCGCTGGTCTCNNCCCCTCTCGACCCCTGATGAAGCTCGCTTTTTGCTGGCCGATGTCGCCGGCAATGCCCTTACCCTGTACCAGACCCAGTCCTTGAATAGACATGGCATTCAGTACAAGCCCATAGCTCGTCGTGAGAAAGTCAACAACTTCACTGCTTTCGACTGGTCAAGGACCGATGACTCGCTCGTAGCTCTGGGCCTGTCATCAGGCAATGCTGAGCTATATAGATTTGATGATTCTGCTTCGTCCGATCCTGTCGCCCTGTTCAATATCAAAACTCAGCGAAGATGCAACACTATTGCTTTCAACACCCAGAATTTGCTTGCTGTCGGATTAGATCGAGTCAGACATGACAACTGTCTGACCGTCTATGACATCCAATCCAATGAAGCATATTCGAGATTATGTGTCTCTGAAGCCGTCACCAGTCTCCGCTTCTTTCCCAACCATCCGCAACAGATGCTCGCTGCTGTTTCACGTCAAACCATCCGTTTGTACGATTTGAGAGGTAAGCTTCGACACCAATCCGTGGAGCATACTAGTCTCTATACATACACTAACGTCTTGAATANNGATTCGTCAACCACAACTGCAGGATTGGGCAACTGCGGCGTTACGAAGCTGGTCAACAACATTGCTATCGATCCTTTGGACGAGAACTACTTCGCTTCCGGTGGCTCAACCGGAGATCCGTCCGTGACTGTATGGGACAAACGCTATCTTTCTCGCCCGAATAGTGCAGCGGGCGTCGATGCTACCAACAATGGAGCAGTCCTTGACCTTCGTCCAGCAACGGACAACAGCCAGACTACTAGCGTCTGGAGCATAAGGTACTCCGGTCAGAAAAGAGGTCGTTTTTGTGTCTTGTCCAGCACCGGAGAAGTCAAATTGTACGATACAGCGCAGCATAAAGTGCACTCGAAGTTGCGACCAGCATCGGTGAACTACTACGGTGGCAATCCTTGGAACCAACCTCACTATGTTGCACGCACGCACAGCCTGCGAGAACCTGAAAGCGGCCCTCGTAAAGACAGAGCATCAAACAGAGTCATCGCATTCGATTGGATCTCTACAGATGACCGAGGCTCTCAAGCCATCTTGACCTTGCACTCGAACCGTGACGTTGGCCTAATATATACTCCTAGTCCCAGTCATGTTGAAATCACTGGACGAGGAGATCTGTCTATCTATAACACGGCGTTGTCGCTGTACGAACCGAAAGACCAGCATTCGTCTGTCGCCCAGGAAGTCAGAGCATTGCGAAAGGCCTCGGAAAGTGCAAGCCCAAAGCAGGACGAGCAATACACAAGCAAGGTCCCCACTCCGGCCTCTGGACCAGCACAACTAGACCACCGCAATCTCAAATCACTGAATGGATCCAACAAAGCTGTCGCCGCTAGGACGGAGGAATGGCTGGATGACAGTATGAGGAAGGCACCTCAGGTTGTTCGCAACGAAAGGGTCGTGGATTTGCTGGCTCTATCGAATGTTTCGCGAAGACGTTGTCAAGAAGGCTACCTCTTCGACCCCACGCGGAATATTGAGATTGTAGCCGAAGACTCAGCTTTGATCAAACTATGGGGAACCATCAAAAGATTCGAAGACCTGGCTCGAGACGGTGGTATGGCGTCGGACACTCTTGACTTGAGCTATCTCGGCGTGAGCAATATTTGGGAGAGCAAATTGGGCAATGGACCAAACAGGGTAACGGCCGCCCATAATGTTGTGCCAGAGCGATTTGAAGACGTGGTACGTGATATTCTCGAACGTCACAGTCTACCCGAGTTCGTGGGAGTACGAACAGAGAAACCAGACCAACGACAACTCTGCCTGGCCTTGTGTGGATGGGACTTCTCACACGAGCACACGAAAGAGCGATGCGACTACCTTGTCAAGAAGCAGCGCTACTACGAAGCCGTGGCCACTGCCATGTTTAGGGGACGCAGAACCATTGCTCTGGAGATTCTTCGTGACTTGATCCGGGAACGGACGATCCAAAACATTGGACTAGGTGCCTTGATAGCATCAGACTCACTGAATGACGAGCAACGAGAGATGTGCCGCTGGATGGAAGAAGATGCAACAGACCCATACCTACGCTCCCTACTAATCTACCTGGCCAGCAACGACTGGCTCGACGTAGTCCACAAACTCGACGCAGATATTAAGCTCTCAGACCGCATAGGCATCGCCATCAAACACCTCAGCGACAGCCAAATCTCAACCTTCCTATCTCAAACAAGCACTTCTCTGGTCAGCAACGGAAACGTAGAAGGCATTCTGCTCACAGGCCTAACCGAGAAATCCATGGCACTCTTCCAATCCTACATCCGCCGCACTTCTGACCTTCAGACCGCTGTGCTAGCCACAGCCTTCACAAACCCTCTCTATGTCGATGACCCTCGCTGGGAAATGTGGAAAGAGACGTATTTCTTGCAAATGCAGTCCTGGCGCGCCTTTATCGAACGCACAAAGTTTAGTATGCAGCATACCCGCCGCGCCGTCACTCGTAACGGCAAGAAGCTCATTCAGCCTCCACCAAGACAATTGGCACTTCGATGCGCACACTGTCAGCACTCGCTAGCTAAAGAGGAACACACTGCTCACGCACATGGCAGCAGCACACCTGCCAAAACAGCACAGCAGACACGCATTGCAGGTCCAGCTGCAAGTGCAGGAACAGTGTGTCCGCGCTGCGGTCGCCATCTTCCACGCTGTTGTCTGTGTATGCAATGGCTAGGTACCCCTGAGCCCATGCGTGCCAAAGAGGTTCAGAGTGGTGAGAAGGAGACAGATGTGTTGAGTAAATTCATCACTNTTTGTGCTAGCTGTACGCATGGATTCCATGCTCATCATGCGCGTACTTGGTTTGCCAGGCACGCCATGTGTCCTGTGCCGGATTGTCGATGTCTATGTGGGTTGAAGTAGATGGATCTGGGCATAGATGATAGATCATCAGAGGTTAGAATCTGTGCTCATCACAAAGCAGTCAAGCACTGTGATAGAACAAACAGAATACGCATATGAAGGCAAAGAAATTCAGCTCCATTCTTCTCGTTCAATCTACTACATGTGGTGTCCTTTTGCTATGCTAGAACTTGACGATTCGATTTATCTTTCTTTTTGAGTAGGAAAAAAAGAGGTGAAAACTGGCAAAGTGTATCTTTCTCGTTGAGTTTGCTTGCTTCAGCGAGTCACAGAGCCTTTGTCTATCCACAGACCTGCTGTTATTCGTCGTTTGTGAACCTAATAAAAGGAACGGAACAACTTGACGAAAGTATTGGCGTTATTGCATGACAGAAGCATAGAAATCTGAGGAGATCATGCATTCATAGGGATTTGATGTGTTGGGTGTTAAAGAGGTGTGTGTTTGACTTAAAAAGTCTCCTCCTCGATCAACTCGCCCTCCTCATCCTCGGCCTCGGCAGGGATCTCAAAGCCCTCNCTGTAAACACATCAGTCAGCTTCTTGCTCGTCCTTCTGAGCAACAGAACGAAAACTTACCTCAGTAGAGTAGAGAATAGTCTGTATTTGCTTCAGAAGACCACCCTCATCCTTCTCGAGCTCGGGCTCGGCCTCCATGGCGCCCTGGACGAGCAACTCGATATCCCGGAGCTTGCTGAAGTAGAAGTCACGCTCGCGTTCCAGACCCTGAACAGTCTCCTTAAGTGCGTTGTTCTCCTGTGTCAAAGCGGCGGTCTGGGCACCTCCTGAGCCTCCCAGAGGGGTGCGTGTTCTGGCGCCAGCGGAGGTTGCAGCGACTGCGGGTGCACGTCTTGTAGTGGATGATCGGGGTGTAGGTGCAGGAGCCGAGCCGACAGCTTGACCTTTTCTGCGAGCCAGAGCGTCATAGTCACCGCCTNNGTAGTTGTGAAAGATTAATATATGCTCGTTTATGTATCCGTCAAGAAGGGCAGACGTACCAGGGTAGTGCTGGTCCCAGAAGCGCTTTGTCCATTGCAGGAACTCCAGGTTGTCCTGCATCTTGCATTTAACTAGCATTTCGACAGGGATGGGACGGTCGATGTGGTGCTTGCGGAAGGCATTGCTGAGAATCTTGAAGTTGTCCAGGTAGGCATAGTCGGCGCTTGCGTTAAACTTGACACGAGACATGGGCAGATCGACNTGGCGAGTATGTTGTCAGCTGAGTTAGAGGGCGGAAGAGACATGGTGGGAACGCATACGGAAGATGCTGTCGTAGATTGCGCAGAAGGGCGCACTGAATGCTTGGTTAGCATGGACAGGCAAAAGAGAGAAGCAGATAACAGCGGACATACCCNNAGTACCACATTGCTCGACACGAGTGAGGNNGTTGAGCGAGCAGAGGCTGTTGAGCCACTGCAAGAGTTCTTGTCTGCAGGAGCAAGTCAAGTTAGCGGTGGGATGCACCTCCCCTGATATGCGCCGGCAGGCGCAGATGCACATGCCTGGATTCACCCATGTTGGACTTTGTATGCTTCCTCTTTTGTAAATGCTTGTGTGGTTGTACGAGAGATGGCGGTGGTGAAACGAGAGTGGCAGGCCAAGAGGTTGTAAGATTGCGAGATTGTATGCGGATAAAGACAGGAAATGTCAATCTTCAAAGTGTCCAACTAGCACAAGCCGGGTGTTTGGTTTCTGACGCCGAAAACATCACGCCCAAAACAACCCGCCCCGCTTCATGACCGTCCGCCAAGCAATCCATCTTCATTGCACTCTATCAAGTCTGCATGTGAACATCCTCTTCAGACGGCACTCACGCTCACAAAGGTTTTTTTGACATGTACACAGAGCAGATTCATGCTTCAGAGTATCAGTCACACGTGTTTTGAACATCTGAAGAAAGCAACTTGAAACAATTCAGAAATGCAAGGCTTTTGATATTCTGCAGTAGTTCCATTTCCGCCTATGCCATGACGGTGTCCAGCTTCCTTTGCTAGACTACAAGTTTCTTTTGTCCTCAAGCGCCCTGAACGCCCGAGTTAAAGTCTGATAGCATTATTCATCTTTGCTTTTCCATAGGACTCTGGTCGTTGACGTTGGAAAAGCAGCATGCGGTTGTGTAAACACAATCCAGTGGGTGTGCCTGTCAGGCAAGCAGTTCGCATGCCCGACGCAGCAGTGTCGTCGTTGAGAGCTGTGCCGAGTCCAAGAGTTCATCTATCCTTGTGCATCATGTTTCTTGTTCAGGACCTTCTCTCAACTCATCTCCACGTCCTCCTTCTTTCCTTTGTTGTTCGCCGCGATCCAGAGAACGTTGTTGCATCTGATGAGAACCTGACCAAGACTGCCGCCCGACTTTCCATCAATCCATTCCTCGGCGTTGGAAAGCTGAATGTTCATGTACGAGTCGACAGAGACGAGCAGACCAGTGTACTCTTGGCCCCACTTCAGGCGGATGCGAACTTCGTCATTGACGCTGCAAAGGAACTGTGTTAGTAAGGTTGGTGCATAGAAGAATAGCGAGCGCGAAGAGAATCAAGGCGGTAGCGGGTAGACGAACAGTGACTGCAGCATAGGCCGCGGGTTCAAGGGCACGAACTACAGATAGATTAGTACATAACTCCGGAAGCATTGCGCGACACGATTTAGCTCACACTCATGATGATTCTAGAATGTGGTTGTCTTGTGATGATATTCGCAATATCAATGTCGATGGTCGAGCTGCGCCAGACTCCGGTCGCTGTCGCGAGCTTGGACCTCCTTCAAACTGACGGCGAATCCCGCTGCATCAAGTATAACTTCATCTGCTCGCTCAACTGCAATCGATCCACGAGCCAGCCCTCAAAGGTCGAGTAGCAATGTGATTAGTGGCTGAAATACTATTCTACCAGTCGCCTGATAGAGTGAACGAAACTTGGAAGTGACCCAGTAGCAACACGAGAACACAAAACTCACAACCATCAGGAACAGACTAGACTACATAAAAGCACATAGACACATCAAAATGCTTGCAACTTATCACATGCAACGGAACGAGAAGATGTTAACTTTCAGAAATTGCAATTTTGCTTTCGCATGGTAGACGACTTAGTTGATGACAGTAGTACATGCGTGGTGGTCAGCACGCTTGGAGCAAGGGCTTATGATTCCACCAGAGATTCATTGACCGCTCCCCTTTCCAGATTCTTGCCATGACTGCTTTTGTGTGTTGTGGGCCGATATGCAGTAACGGCCTTGCTCTCTTCATGGGATTGAGCTGATTTAAGCACCGAGGCTAGGGAAGTCCGAAGAGCTGGTGACGTTGACGGGGGCAGCGCGGGGAGCACGAGGAGCGCTGTCACGGGGGCACCACCTNCTAGGGGCACCGCCACGAGGACCGCCACGGCCGCCGCGAGGGCCACCACGGGGACGGTCACCACCACGACCGCCACGGCCGCCACGGAATCCAGAGTCCTGAGACTGGGACTGCTCCTCCTTCCAGGCCTGGTCGATGTCGAGGATGTTCTTGTCCTTGCGCTCCTTCTGCTTCTTGGCCTTGGCGGCAGAGGGGGCGACGTAGTTCTCGTTGGCGTCACGCTCGAAGGCCTTGCCCTCGGGGAACTTCTTGGAGGCACCCTCGTTGGCCTTGCGGGCCTCGAAGTTGCCGGCAAGAGCGGCCTTCTTCTCCTGCTGCTCGGCGAGGTACTGCTCGTAGGACTTGACATTGTCCTCCTCGGCAGGGGTCTCGGGCTCAGCGACAGCTCCGTCGGTGACGACACCCTCCTTGGCCTCCTCAGCCTTAGCGTCGGCAAGAGCGGCCTTCTCGTCGTTCAGCTCGGCGTCACCAGTCTCGTGGCCCCAGGCAGCACCGGCCTGCTTGGCGTGGTCCTAGGATAGATTGTCAGAGCCAGACTTATGGTATGCGCATCATATCCAGACTCACGTTGTTACCGGCGTGGCCAGTGCGGTCGTGCTTGTCGTCACGGGCAGTGCGGGTGCCTCTAACACCACCACGGCCACCACGGGGTCCNNACGGCCTCTGCCACCAATGTCACGGTGCTCGTTGACATCTCTGGTGCGGTTGGGGTGACGGTCCTGGCGGACACCATCGTCGGTAGGCTTGGCTCTGTTGTTTAGAGCACCTGCGCCCTTATCACGGAAAGCTNNGCGGCGAAATGGTGTCAGTTGGTGAGGTTGTGGGCGAAGTTTCGGCGGGCATGTTTTACCCTGCTCAGAGCCAGTGAAGACAGCGTGACGTCCACCGCGGCCACCGGCAGCGGGTCTGGGAGTGTCGTTGGAGGGACCCTCGGCACCAGCGTTGCGCTTGCCGGCGCGCTGGACGGGCTTGTCCATGATCTTGGTAGGAGGTTCAGGCTCTCTGTTGGGGTCGAGCTCCGGGTCGTTGCCTGTGTAGATTCGTGGTTAGAAGGCTCGTCAGGTGACCATGTTTCGATTTTGCGATACCCAGAAGCTCGTAAAGGTTCTGCACGCAAGAATTGGGTCAGCATGAGTGCATTGCGATGAAACTTGCGAAAAAGCGTGTGTCGAGCTCTTGCGAGCTCCAAACGATTTCTAGTGGGATCGCCGGCTTGCGCGCAGATTGCGGATTGAGGATTGCAGTGGCAGACGTACCTTGCTTGCCACAGAAGCCATTTTTTGTCTTGATCTGTCTCGTGTAGTGAGCGATATCAGACTCGCTGTCGCTGGTTGGAGTTGCAGACAGAATCTCGCACACAGAGTCGGAAGGCCCGTGCACAGCTTTACTGGGTCGCACCTTCCATTTCTCTCTTTCGGCGCGTTTGTGTGGGCTTTCGGCTACGGTGAACCTCACTTCATCATGACTTCAGAGGTACGACTCTGATCTGCGACCACTCGCGTCTTCTTGCATTTGTTTCTGCAGTATATATTTATAAGTCATGTGGTCTTGATACCTAAACATAACCAGACAATTTTGCATGGTGCACTGCCTCTACGAATTCCAGATTGGGTCACTAGGACTCATATCAAGTCCTCGACCCCGCGGCCGCCTGTCTCACTACATAACGAGCCCCTCGATTCACTCCAGACTTCAACAAATTCAGGCAGTCAGCTCGACCTGGATCCGTCATTCTCTACAGTTTCTCTATGTGCCAAACTGTGTCACTCTCACCGCAGGACTCTCCTACGACCAGGTATAGCGATTGTATAGACCATCCCAATGCACAATTGTTCTCGAAGATGGGGCTTGGCCATAGACAGTCAGAATAATCTGCTCTCTTTGGACACCACTTCCTTTCTCAATCGAGTGTGCATTTCTGTAGCTACATGGTGACCGTTTGAGCACACAGGAAGGCAGCTTGAAGTATGCATATACTCATCGCCTTCTTCAAAGGCTCAGTATTGCAATGACTTGATTATTGGTTACAGTAGTCATGATCATATGTACCAGAGCATTTCCACAGCTAACCACTCGCTGGAAGCGCCTTGAGAATAACAACGATGCTAGGCAGAGTCGGAGCTCGACCCAGCGGAAGCTTCTTTGCACCCAAACACCTTTGCTATGCTGTAGTGACAAGACATTAAGCACCACCACCCACTCAAAACAACAACTTTTTTTGTATGAACATTGGTGTTCATCCTTCCCATATTTCATACACCATAACTTTTCTTTTCATCATCTTCCACGACGAATCGCATGATGCTCTGCAAGCAACAAGGTCGCCAAGAACCCCCACCAGCCAGAATAAAAGCACTCTCAAGTGTCAAAGCATATAACTCCATATCCCCCTATGTGCAAACAGCGAGCTCGGCCTTCTACCTCTGTGGTGGATGTTGGAAGCCATAATCAGTCGAAAAATGCATGCTTGCTGACAAGCCAAACGGATCCGCATCAAGCATTGGGTCGTACGGGTCGAAGATTTGGTTCATTCCGGGGATCTGTCCCTCCCCCNNTGGGTGGGCACGATCGTGTTCTTGGGTATTGCCCTTGGCAGGTCCATGATGTTCGGCGTGTTGCGCAGTGTGTGGTCCCTGGTAAGGGTTCGAGGAAGAGAATTGCGGTGGTTCGGCGGCTTGGACGGGGGTTTGTTCGTTCGCTTCGGATTCGGTTTCGAGCATCGACGAGGATGTTGGTTGGGCGTCGTACTCCTGATCNTGTACTCACGAGATTAACCTAGGACGACAAAGTTCTATCGAGCATGCCCGAAAGAGGGATCGGGACCACTTGCCCAGCTGTTCAATGTGTTTTTGGAATGGCGATGGGTAGAATGCCGATGCATTGCCTGCTACTCCGTTGGTCGATTCGGACAAGCTTGATACTCCGTTGGGGGCCGAGAAGGCAGGGCCTCTGTGCTGAGGTGGGTGCTGCATAACATAGCGCGAACGAGGTGGTTGACCCACTCCATACTGTTGCTGTTGCCCTCCAGTAAGTACCGACGCTGGTGGGGTCATAGCTCCGGGCTGTAGAGCAGCGGGTGACTGGGTAGACAAGGCTGTAGGTGAGGATGCATGTGACGACGGAGTGGGATGACCCTGAGGGGAACGAGCAGAAAAGGAAAGATCTGGTTGCGCTCCCGCGCCAGGTCCAATCCGTGGAGGGTAGACCTGGCCGGAACGTCTTGCATGCTGTCGGTTCAATGCTGTGCGTTGCAGAGGAGCAGCTGCCATTGACGACGGTGCATGGTGGGGGATATACGAATGTCCGAGAGCAGGACTGCCCGTCTTCATCTGCAACTCGGCCTGCACATCAATACCNTAGACAATGGTCAGCTGGATCGACGACAGGACCGGGGGACCGGTGGTGGTCCAGGAAGTAAACAACGAACCCTTCTCCAACAAGATTCTCTCAAGTAGCGAATTCTTGTAACGGAGCATGAGACATTCATCAGCCGCACTACGGTGACTCTGCTGCAGAGTCTGCAGTGTCTCTTCATGGTGCTTGATGGTGGTCTCGAGTTGCTTGATGTATTCGGTGCGTCTCTCTCGGAACGCAGCCTGGGCTTGCCTGTTCCTTTGCTTGCGCTCTTCGGATGTGGCATATATNCTTTGGCTGGGTTAGCAAGGCCATGACGTGTGACGGTTACAAGATGCTACGAGTCTATCTCAAACGTCTGAGATGAGATATGGGAATGTGTCACGACGTACGGGTTTGCGGCCTCCTTTGCGCTTCTGCGGCTGGGCCTGGTCTTGTACTATCTCAGTGGTGGAAGGCTCGGGAGTCGACTCGAGCGAGCTCGGCGTGGCCTCTTGCCCGGCATCGCCATTGTCTCTGATAGCGTTGGCTACGTCGGAAGCAGCCATTTGTGTGGTGCTGTGGTTGTTATCTCCCATCTGCAGGTACCCCTCTGGCCGAGCTGGAGATACCCCTCAGATAGCGCAGGTGGGATGCGGAGATAGCAGTGCAATAGGTCGAAAGGCGGGGAGACGTAAAACTACGTGTCAAGGATTGCTAATCGTGGGCGATAAGCGTGCGAGGCATGTGAAAAATGTGAGCGACAATTGGTGAGGTAAGTAGTTGGGTAATGGAAACGGCAGGTGGTAAGAGGGAATTAAGCAAGCCCATAGAATAAGAAAATTCTGTCAGTCTCCGCACTTGCGACTTGCGCTCGTCTGGCACGCGTCATGCGCTGAGGAGTGAACGGTCGCCCGGCTCCGAGTCCTCTCTGCGCCCTGTCACCTCAAGAACAGGTGATGAGAGCGGTCTCTTGTCGGCGCTGGCCGGACAAGAGGGAGCTGCAACAGCCACTTCAGCGGCCATGTGGAATCGCAAAAGTCCAACGATTGGGAGCTGCTTCAAAAGCCGCCAGTTCCCCCCTCTTTCGCGCGCACCTTTTCCAGCGTAGAAGCGATCTGATGTTGCATCGACCTGCAGAACATCGGAAAAAGCTACTTGTTCGGGCCTAGTCGATCCTACGCATCTCTAGGGCAGCTTGGCAACAACTTTAAATCTCCGCGGACTTGAGACACTCCTGGCACACTGGTGCTCCCATGGTCTCCTGTCTCAAGGACTTTGATCACGAAGGTTGAAACAAGGCCATCAGCATTGCTGACAACACACTGCACGGTTATATCAGCCAGACGAAACTTACGGTATCCAGTGCAATAGCAATTCTGGAGCTTGCTGGCCACAAGGTCACAGGCTTCCAACCACATGACCTTGCGGAATTGGCAATCTGATGAAATTAGGTAAACATTATTGACCATCTACTCTGATACTTCGCAAGCACCATGAGGATTCGCGAGGGGTGAGTACATACACAGTATAGATTCGATGCATGAACGAGCGTAACTCTGTAGTTGCCTTTTGGGCGAGAACGAGAACATGAAATGTCACGATTTGTTGGCTTCGAGCAGCTTCAGGAATCAAGCAACCACGACAATGGGTTCGCTCCTTCCACCATCATTGTAAGTGATCAAGCCAAGGCTACAGTCTTGCCATCGGCTTTGGATGACTACCATCCCCTCCGAATGCATATTCAGCAGTGCCAGTCATCTCCAGCATCTCGCTGTACGTCTTTCGTTTGAGTATCTTCAGAACACTGCAGCTTCTTTTCTGTACTCTTTTCTTTTGTCGGCATCCTAGAAACAACAGGCTTGGTCTCAACTCTCTTCCTTGAGCGCACTCGAATGGTGTAATGGATGGAGGACAACGTGACAAAGGGAAGAAGCCGGTCTTCACGATTGAACGAGGACATACACCCGGCCACCAAGGATGGCCATCAGGCATGCGACCTCTTTCCGACATTCGAGAACTCACTGAGCCAAGTTTGATCGATGCTCTGGAGAGGAGGCCGACGGCAAGTGTTCATCGTCAACCTAGCAGTAGCATCAGCCGGCAAAGTTCGCTCAGGAGAGGCCCTTCACTGAAGCGTGCTGGCTCGGTCAGGATCATCGAACCAGTTGGAAGCTCAAGCTCTAGCTATAAAGATGATATGGTTGCATCCGAGTCGACTATCGACACGCCGGAAAGCCTGCGCGACGGCTCTAGTCTATACAGCATACCCATCTCAAGCATACCTGCTCGCCAGTCCTCAAGCACTCGCGACCGTCAAAGACATCACCGAACTACCACCTCGAGGTCGTCTCCTACACCTGTTCAACGAAGTGCCAATCGAACCATCCCATATCGCGGGCCAACGCATTCTCCTGTCAAGCAGGTTAGAGCCCGCTTGGATGCTGTTGGATCTGATACATCAAGACGAACACCATCCGGTACTTTCATCCGAAATCCTGTCCCTCGAGATATCCTCGAGTTTCCCACCCATCGCCATCCACGCATCGGCGTTGATCTACAAATAGCAGCCCCTCTGTTTGTCGGTGGAGGAACTGTCGAGGGTTTTGTGAGAGTCATTGTTGACGAAGCAGATAAGTCACGCATCAAGAAGAGTCTGACCCTCGGACGAATAGCGGTAGACCTCGTTGGGACCGAAGAGACATCGAGCAATCGCAAGGCAATTNTTTTGTCGTTGGGGACAGAGCTGATTGACTCGACCCATCCGCCACCTCGCAACATGATAGAACCGCAAGATTTTCCGGACGCCGATTGTTTCTGGTCTCTGATACCTTCTTTTACCAGTCTGCCGTTTGTCATCAGCCTACCGCTGGATACAGGGCCGCCGCCATTCCACTCAAAGCATGCCCGTATTCGGTTTGTCCTTTGTGCTACCATCTTGATAAAAGACGGAGGCCGGCAGTACTTGTTACGGTGCTCTGAGGATATAGCTGTGTTGCCTACATATGACNCGTAAGTCTATCCATCAGAACGAAACCAGCAGAAAAATGCTGATGGTCTAGTTACAGCAGAGAAAGCTTTAAGATCATTGCCGAGTCCACTAACCGCGTCTGACGAGCAATCATTCTCACGATCTGGACTTCTCGAGACAGCCAAGATGACTGCGGGTCTACATCGACAAGTATGGGTGAGTGGTAGCAGCATCTTTGTTGATATCCACATTGCCAATGGTAGTCGCAAGACTATCAAANAGCTTGACCTGAGTTTAGAAAGAGACATATTGTGCTACAGACATGTAGGTTGTGTCCACCCCACCAATTTATCACTCGTGACTAACCCTCGAAAAGNNGCGGCGGCAGCTACCTTGGAGCAGTCTGCCAGTCAAGCAAGAATATTCGAAAGCAATGAGCGATCGATATTAAGCAAACATAGCATGAAGCAAGGTGCCAATGGTTGGACCGGTGTTGAAGCATATGGATCCATCACAAGAACATGCGACCTTGAGATTCCACGAGGGCACGCCTCCGTCAAATGTGGTATGTTCATCTATCATGTCTTGGTTGGCAAGCGCTTACATACATCAGGCAACTTCTTCGAGGTACGGTATTTCCTCAACGTTACTGTTGGAGGGTCTCGCACGTAAGTTTTACGCATTGAGAGACTTTGATCTGCTCGGAACCTAAACAGAATCTTTAACAGGAAGATACTCTCTGTTCAGTTACCCATCATCGTCATACACATGGTAAGCAAGCCATCGTATTGACTCGCACAAGAACTCACATAGAAGCAGAATTCCTTAGATGTCCTACCAAACTCTGTGGCCCAGTTTGCTGCAGCAATTGAAGAGAAGCGCACACATCATCGCAATCACAAGCGTATCACGTCTCAAGCCTCTGTCCAGGTTGCTCAGTCTTCAGCTTCGCCAGGGCGAGTGGCTACTACTGCTCCAACGCGTCCATCCCGATTGCAAGGTCGCGCCTTCGCAGCACCGAGGCAACAATCTCTTGAGCGCATGCGTGCCTCAGCAGCAGATCTCCAACAACTCGAAGAAGTCCTGGAATCTTCGCCACGGAAACACCACATCTCGAAGCGGTCCGGTGAAATCAGGCAACCTCGGCGCAGCAAATCGGTTGGAAAGGAGAATACAAGACCAGGTAATACAAGGATCGTGTCACGGCCAGCACGAGAGGTTCATAAACAACCAAGCAATCTGGCCACGGGCGGCATCAGCGTTGGAAGCTACACCATATTCAACCGCAACAACTACGATAGCAACAGTGCCAGTTCTGACACCGGAAATGGCATTATGGAATATATCACGCCTCCATCAAAGCGCAGGGAGAAGTTCTTTTCGTCGCCAGTCAAACTCGAAAGCAAGGGTATAGGTTCAGCTCTCAAACACGCTCGCAGCATCGATAGCTTTCGCAGCCATAAATCCGCTACGGATCGATGGCGAGATCACTTTGGCAAGGAANAGGACGGTCCACCAAACCGCGCTCCTCCTACTCCTCCACCATTGAGTTCGCCCACAGCAAGTAAGCCCAGAGTACAGCAACAGCATTCATCCATGCCGTTCATGCTAGGGTCGACGAATGGACCGCCCCCAAGACCACTCCGGGACTCATTTGACCAGGAACTGCATGAGCAGCGTGATGAGCACATGAGATTGCCTGATAAAAGTAGGTTCGAGTTCAAAGCGGTCACCAAGAAAAGCAGTACGTTTGGATTGAAGAATTGGCTCGGTGAGAGGCTCGGTCGCTCGGGTCGGTAGAAAGAAACAAACAGACCAGAAGGAACAAGCCCAGCAGTTGGGAGCGTCAATACGAGAATAGGAATAGAGAGACAGGCTTGATCAATGACATGACTACAACCATAAATCACCCCAGTCAACACGATTCTGATTGTCACAAAGCAACGAGTACACTAGGAAGAGGTCTGGACATAACAGAGAACAACACGATCAATTTGCATTGTTTGAAGTGTAGAGAATCGCTCCGCTTCCCATGCTTGCAGTAAAACGAATGTAAAAACATATCCACCCAATAAACCCCTTTGCAATGCTCGAAACAACGCCTTTTCTCCACCAGAGCCTGTACTCCTGATGATATGTCCAACCGAGGACAAAACACAAAACGCCGCTGGGTGCCAAATGACATTACAGTGATGCCTGAAACAACACTCTGTGCAACAACAAAATCAACAAAAAAAGCCGAAACAGAAGACAATCATCGCGTCATGGGTGTGGCTGGGGAATAAGTATGTAGTTCCGGAAGAGAAGAAAAAGACAAGACGCAGTATAGAGAATACGAAAATGTGCAAGACTGTTTTGTCTCGAGTTATTGACGAAGAAGGAAGCACTCTGGCTTTCAACGTCTCTTGGGGGTTGCGAGAGCGGCTAGGCGTGCTGCACTCAACACACCCGGACGCTTCTCCTTGGGCTTCTGGGTGAAGGACTTTGGTCTGACACCCACGGTAGGGATCTTCTTGATTGGAGTCCTAGCAGTAGCGGCAGCAATAGATGGGCGAGTTGGCTCGGGCTTTTCGGATCTGGCCTTCTTTGCAGGACGATGTTCAGAATCGTCGTTTTCCTTGTCGCTAGCTGTAGTGCCGGTGGCTTGGTTTCGCAAATCTTCATCGTCGGCCTTGCGCTTGAGGCCAGTGGCTGCAGGAAGCTCGGGCGAGTGTTCGACAGAGCGGATGGAAGGCTTGATCTCCTGGGAGGTGGTGCGACGAGGCGAGGGAGCGAAGGTAATAGCTTGCTCACCAGCGCGGAATGTAAAGTCGTTAGGAGCACCAGCCATGGTCATACGACGATATGCCTTCTTGGGCCGTTCGGCATTGTCAGAAGTAGTGGGTAGAGTAGGATAGGCAATAGCAGCTTGCTCGTTGGCCTTTGATGGAGGCGATGAGGCCTTGGTAGGAGTGTCGGGTGTTTCCTCGGCTTGATCGAAAGCCTTGGTTGAAGCAGAGAAATCAACATGTTTGACAATAGGACAGGTCTTGGGAGGGGGTGGCGGACCAGCCTTTTCAGTATCGGAAGTGTTGTTGGGTGGAGTCGACAAGTGGGTGCCATTGGCGACCTTGAAGGGGTCGTCTGAGTACAAGCGTTGTGGAGTGCGTAGGATGGACTTGACAGGAGATTGACGCAACAGGTTGAAGCGGGCAAACAGACTAGGCCTTCCGGGTGTTTGTTGCTGCTCAGTGTCAAAGGAGCCAGGTACGTGAATCTTAGCAGGGGAACGAGCCAGCAAAGGTTGCTTGTTGTGCTTTTCCTTGGTTGCCTCGTTATCTTCAGCATCTGGGATGGCATTGGACGTCTTCTTGGCAGGAGATCGGGCAAGGAAGGGGATCTTCGAAGAATCGTTGGGAGACTCGGGAGCAATAGAGGCCTTGGTCGGCGATGGGTGTTTGGCCGGGCTACGACTGAGTAGCGGACTTTCGGGAGCCTCAGGCTCAAAGCGAGCAATGCGGTCAGCCATGGACGATTTGACTGGAGACTTTATTGGAGACTTGGACAGGAGCTGTGCACGTTGGTCCTTCTGCTTGTCTTGAGCCTGTTCGTGCTGGACGCTTGCACTAGTCATGTTCGGCCTGACAGGACTGCGTTGGAAAGAGGGGATCATGGTGGTGCGGCGAGCGGACTTGGCCGACTTGAGTATTGACTGAGGAGGTTTGACGGAGCGCGGTGTCATGTTGGACTTGATGGCACTCTTGAGGATAGGCTTGGGGGTAGCATCAGGGCGCGAAGTGGTAGCATCGTCGTCAGCAGCACGTTTGACACGCTTGGCCGGGCCTGCATCCAGGTTGTCGCGCGATACGGGACGAGGCAGACATGTAGACGAGGACGACGAGGATGGGCGCTCAAGCTCGGCTTTGGACGGTGAGCGCTTGAGTGCAGACGGCTTGTCGGTGGCCAGTGGCTTGTTGTCTTTGGTCCTGAAGGCTGAAGGATGGTCGGCGATCGAGTCCATCTTCTTAAAGGCCTTCATGTGCACGTCGCTGAAGCGGCTGACCTTGCCCGAGGGAGTAGCAATCTTGCGCACCAATACGTCGTTAGCCGACGGCTGGTCCTTCTGTGTGGCCTGCATCTCATTGCGAATCTTTGCCGCCTCTCCCCTTGTCTCCTCCATCAGTGCGCGAGCCTGCGGGCTCAGGTTCAGAGTGGGGCGCTGAAAGGTGAAGCTGAAGTCAGGCGCGTTGTCCATGATATTCTGTGGTGCCTTGGGAGTTTTGGTGGGTGTCTGCTGGGTCGTCTTATTGCTGCTGAACCCCAGCCATCGTGCTTCATCGAGCGGCTTGGCTGTGCTCATCTGGTACTTCTGGGGATGCATTTCTTGGACGCTGGGTTGGATAGGGGTGCCGTCACGGGGTGTCTGGGCGGTTCTGGTGGGTGTAGGTTGCGGACCGTCGTCTTCGTCGACTGCGGATAGTTTGGGAGCGGGGCGAGGAGTCTTGATAGCATCGCTGTCGACGCCCAGGTCAGAAACTCTCTGGGCCTGNTTCAAGTGTCAGCATGAGTGTCGACGGATCAAGGTGAAAGTCGAGGTTACCTGTGGCGTAGTCGACTGCTTTGCGCGGATTCTGGCTGACGAGCGTCGTGCCATTGTTGCTATGTGAATGGGATATACTGAAGCAAGCACTTCAAACAAGACGGTCCCGTTAGCCTGCTGGAGTCGACTGGTACAATCACAGCGTTGGTGGGTGGATAGCACGACCTTGGACGGACAAACAAACGCTCGAGAAGCTCCCCCAATTTTCAACGCTCGCGTCAAAAAAACAACAACAGTGTGACGTCGACCCGACTCCTGAGCAACCAAGCACAGACCTGAAACTCCGATACATCCATGAAACATAAAACATAAAAACTCAATTTTCAAGCACTAATAGTCTATCATGACTCTTTCCAGCCTTTTGTCCAATTTGTATGCACTCGTACTGTACATACTGCTACTTGTCTTGACTCCTTGAACGTCTGAGAAATTTACAATAACGCTTCTGCCTCGATAGAGCTTCGAGGACAGTGCCCTAAAACGATTTTCACAACAGGATATCTGTGACGATCGTAGCAGCGTAACTAGACAAACTCTGACGGTCCTTCTCCAGACGCCCAGCTTTCCAGAATGATCCAGCTTTATTGCTTCATAATCAGATCTTTGTACAAGATAATTTCTTTGGCAATCGAACTTCTCTTCCTTGACATATACACATCATCAACATGGCTCAATCTACTCAGAACAAGCAGTGGCTAACCAAGCAGGACGGTCTGGAAAACCTCTACAGAGGAGAAGCGTCCATCCCCCAGCCCGGCGAGAAGGAGGTTTTGGTCAAGATCCATGCTGTATCACTAAACTATCGCGACACTGAGGTAGCAAATGGCCTATACAACCACCACAAGAGTCTGGATGAGGGTAACAAGTCCCTCGTTCTGGCATCTGACATGTGCGGAACCATTGTCAAGGCTGGACCTGGAGCATCCCTCAAAGAAGGACAGAGAGTTTTGTCTATCTTCCTCCAGACCCACCAGACAGGCCAGGTCCAGGAGAGCGACATGGCATCCGGCATGGGCCTGCCTTTGGAAGGTGTTCTCCAAGAGTACCGTGTCTTCCCCGACACTGCTCTGGTCACCGTGCCCGACTATCTGAGTGCCGAGGAGGCCGCTACATTGCCAATCGCTGGCACTACTGCCTTTATGGCCATGAACTGGATGCAGCCAATGGGAAAGCCTGTCACCAACCCCGAGACTACCGTCTTGTTCCAGGTATGTCCGAAATCTCTGCAGGTCCGAAGGAGTGCCGATGTCTCAGAGGACTCGCGTGACAGTGCATCGTGGCCTGCGAGCAAGCAATACTAACTACCTCCTCAGGGCACTGGAGGCGTCTCAATTAGTGGTCTACAGATCGCAAAGGCTTGTGGCCTGAAGGGTAAGTGCAACGTCATCTTGTTTGCTGAATATTCCACTGAACTTTCGAACANNGCCATCGTGACCTCGTCTTCAGATGAGAAGCTTGAAAGGGCCCGTCAGCTTGGTGCCGACTACACCATCAACTACAAGAAGTTCCCCAACTGGTCAGAAAAGGCCATGGAATTCACCAAGGGCAAAGGTGTCGATATCATCCTCGAGTGCGGCGGTGCCCAAACTGTGCGCCAAAGCTTCGATTCAATCGCTTTTGGTGGCCTCATCTCGAGCATTGGCTACCTCTCGGGCAAGCAGGATACTGAGAGTGATGCTCTCAACATCAACGTCCTCGCTTTGAGACGTAATGTGACTCTCAAGGGTCATATCAACGGACCAAAAGACAGGTTTGAGGAGATGTTGCAGCTCTATGCCGAAAAGCAGATTCACCCGGTTGTAGACAAGGTCTTCAGCTTTGACGAGGCAAAGGACGCTATGCAATATCTTGCCAAGGGCGGCCACTTTGGCAAGGTCGTCATCAAGGTCGCATAAAAATAGCCAGGAAATGAAATTTAATCATGCATTATCGTGCACCGTTATTATCGTGAAAATGTGAAGGCTGGCTTGGTCAGGAATGCAACAGCAGCCATGCCTGACTGAGTACATATATTCACCGCCTCGAATCTGCCTGATGCCGCCCACAAGGTTTCTGGTAAATCAAGACGGGTACATCCTTGCGATCCCGATAGTATTCCATCGACATGGAATGGTTATGGTCCTGATCCATTATTGCTTCTTCTTCGTGTTTGTTTGTTTGTTGTCGCATGACGTCTTCCATTTCCAGCGAAAATTCAAGCTGTGGGGAGACTCCTGAGTTCTCCTTGTTGTACAACAGTATCAACGGTCAATAAGCGTGGCGCTGCACAAGCGGTAGGCACGATTACCAACAGGAGGGCCTGGCAGCGTGCGTTCAATGCAAGATTATCGCTTGCTCCAGCTGAGCGCCAATTGCCCATGTGCTTGGTCACTGAGCCTGCTGTGCACTTCCGACACGGTGGCTCACAGGCTCATTGCATTGACAGCGGACGGTTGCGTGCCGTAAACCCACGAGATTGTCGGGCAAGAGGTGGCATCCTAATCACTCGATGTTTGGTCCTGGCAGGTGATGAGCAGGGGCAAGGCCAACCGTCGCGGGTGTCGGAGTTGACGGCCAAAGTTCACTTTTGGCTCACAACTGACAGATTTGACGTTGGCCGCGACTGCCTTCTGAAGCTGTCAGTGTCTTCAGAAAGAGGCTTCAGGCAGGTCATTTCAAAGCACTTCTCGCCTTAGAAAGAACATGCGGACGGATGACTGACCATAATGTTATATTTAATCGCTGCAAATCCACGTGCCAGTAAACCAGGCTCGCTTCCGTCGCGGTTACACAACAGCAAACAGCAAAGATCCTTCACATTTAGAGCTTAATTACTCCTTGCAGGAATCCTCACTTCACTTCCACAAAGTGTGCCAGTTTCTTGAAGTGAGCTTTGCAACGGCCTCTGCTCCACTCACGCCGTTGGTGTTACGAACGCTCCAACAACTCTCCATCTTCCTCCTCCTCTTCTTCTTCCATGTCGATACATATATTGCCATCGAAGCCCGCCCATAGCATCGACATTCTCGAAGATTACACAATGTCGAGCACAGCAGCTGCAGCAGATGCCCCGCTCTCCGGCTTTGAGTAAGTTCAATCTATTTCTTAATTGCATCCACAACTTGCATTCAGCCACTGTGCACCAATTCGGTGACATACCTTGTGGGCTTGATCTGGTTGCTGACAATATATGCACAGAAGAAAGCTGAGCTCGTCTATTCAGCGTCTTCGGGCCAATAGCATTCACCATGAACGCACCTTCAAATCCAGCGAATCCTCCAAGTAAGATCTACGCGCCCTGGCTGGAAGATCGTCACACTTATACNATCCCAGGTCACAGCTCTATCTCCACAGACTGAAGTCAATTAACCGCCATGGTGGCCGCAACCTGAGCAACGACGAGGCTCTCTTCTTCCTTTCGTTGCCTGACAAGATTCGTCGTCTTCACTTCACGGCAGAGGAGAACATCCTAATGCGGGCCGCATGCGAATTGCAGCTTTCCAAGCGTCCTCGCTACGACAACATTCGTCCACTTCCTCTCAGATCTTGGACCGACGGAGGCGCCTCGAGCAGCCACAGCTACGCTAGTTCGTCTATCAGTCGCCACACCATGGCCGGACCGGTTTCTCTTCCTTCAACGCCAACTACTTCTGACGGAGGATACCCCTCAGCTACTAGCAGTCGCACCTCGTCTCGTCCTCGCACAGAATCAATCGTGTCTTCCAACGCTTCTGTCCGACCCTTCAATCCACTAGGCTGTCACCCTCTTGGAGGCTCGCATGCCACCATCATGTCGCAGAGCCCCTTCGACTATACCAAGGTTGCTTCAAAGGTCCCTGATACTCCAGGCTCCACGACTAGACAGTACCTGGATCCCAAGACTAGGATGATGATTCGCCAGTGCACCGCCTCTCCCGAAGCATTTGATGAAGTCGTCAACTTTGGATACCACACCGAGGAGGATTTTCCTACCACCAGCTCTCACATAACCTCAGAATACCAATTTGACGAAGGCTTGAGTTCGTCAGATGGCATTTCGGACGAAGACGAAGACGACTACACCCTCGACTCCGATGATGAACCCTGGACTCCCGGCTCCGATGATACTCTGGCCACTAGCTGGGACATGAACTCGCCTACCTATTCTCCAGTCCAGCGCTTTGATAGCAGCTGCTTCCGCCCCAAGCAGCGCCCAATGACTCTGCGTGTCACTCTGACCAAGCCTGAGAACAAGGTTTTGGACGACTCGCCTGTTCGTGCATCAAAGCCAGGCCAGACCTATCGCCCAAGCTTGAAGGTTGAGGATCCTCTGGCACTCGAACAACTTACATTCTCGGACGACGTCACCGGAAAGTACGGAGCTTTCGCTGTCAGCCCCACCAAGGACAGCAGCAAGATGAAGAAGCTGTTGAAGAGATTGACATCACCCGCTTTCTGAATGAACAATGTCACGAATCACAGTTTGACGCGAGCTATTCTGCTCTCAACAAGCTGTACTGGCTAAGACGTACGAGGACGAACCAGAAGGACACAGCAACTAGAAGAAAGACCTTCGCTCTGCACGAATTCACATCCCAACACCAGGGGTCAAGCGTATTTTTTTTATCGCATCATGTTTTAACGATCAGCATTCCCGAGAGAAGGGACCATCACAAACCACAGAATAATTGGGCTTTTCACTTCAAATTTCCTTTGTTTTATTATTTGCTTTTTTTTCTAATTGTCAAAGATACCACATTCAGCGCAAGGGGGAAATGGAAAGGAAAGGAGAAGAAATTTATGGCTACGGATAAACCAAAATGTCACAATCGCTTTTTTGGCTTACATCTTCACGCTTCTCGTTGTGCAAGTGAGATACTGTAAAAGTTTTGCATCCATACACAGATGTACTGAACGCTCAAGGTCATGGGAGAGATGCCTGCAGAAGATCATCGATGTTCGCTTATGCTGGTCTTACACATACTCGATGCTTGTACCATTAGCACAACAGTATAGCCACCATCTATGCTTATACTGCAAGTACAACAGTACATCAGTACAACGGTGCAACAGTATACTCTATGTCAATGCCTATACCACAAGTGCACCGATGACAACGGCACAGTATAAGCTATACGAGCTTATGCTTCTAGAACAAGACCTCCGCTATACACTTTGCACATTCTACGTTTTTTCTTTTATGGAGAACTCATGTATGACCGTTTTTCGAAGCGAGAGACCAAGAACATGGAGCAACAGTACAAAAGTCTATTTTACATTTGGGTGTGTATGCTATAAACAACCAACGCAAAAAAGATGGTGGTGGGGAAAGTTTGCAACGGGAGGAGTTTGGTGGCTTGATATAGAGGCTTTGAACGGTCCCTGCAAATCCTCCGAACCACCCACGCCTACGCCTCTCAGAGATAAGGGTCCAGGGGCCATATGGTTCACTGCTCTCTTGTAATTCTGGGTGCTTTGGTTATCGCAGCGGCTGCCTAAATCCCCAACCCACCGTTGCGTGTATGCGTTTTTGAGGGCTTATCGAGAGGTTGATGGTGGCTTGGCTTATCCAGTTCTCCTCCTGAACAGATATTTATATAATATACTGAGGGCGTGTTAGGTTTGGCTTGTCCGCTTTATGGGCACCATGGCACCATGGATTCGTTGATCTGCTTTTTCTTTGTTGCTATGGACAACTAAATGATGACCGACCACGCCATGGGAATTTCAGGGTCAATACGAGATGCCAAATCGATTGTCTAGATCAAGGGAAAAGAACATCCCCGTGTGCTAAGGACAGTTACATTGCAGCCATAAAAATGCACAATACTATTAAGAAATAAAACTGTGCCCACTGAGAAGTGACAATTTATCGGCTCTCTGTGGACATGCCTCTGCGTGCATAAACAATTGTGCCTTTCTATAGTACATGTCCAGCTCTTTACTACGATCGGAGTACGATGTTCAGCACACGGGAAGCAAGGAAGGAGAAGTGTAAAGAGTTTTGATTTCATGTTTTCCTTCTTTCTCGGATACGACTAAGCCCGACATTAAACAACAATGGTGGCTGGAAGTACTGGATATGAGAAGANGTCCCAGANACCGTGTACGTCAATTTCACTTGTGTATCTTCGACATGCCGGATGAGGAAGATTGCAAGTGTGCATGACACGGTTCTGGTAAAGGACTCTCCNTTCATACACATCGGCAGTATCCTCCTCTGTTCTAGCCAGCCGCCTGGGCTGGAGAGGAGGATATCTGTTGCACAGTCTCGTGTCATGGACTCGGCTCCGAACTAGCGGTCACCGAGACCANNGAGGATGCGCTGGATGTGCTACCAACAGACTCACACCGACCTAGCAGTGGTGAGCCGAGAGGTAAACTCATCCAACACTCGTGCATGCCATGTGCAGCCAGCAACCCAAACAACGACATACATACCAGATGCGTGTCGGAGTTCAGGTAGACTGGCTCGGTTCTTCGCCCCCAAGGAGCACGCCCTCACCACCGGGGTGCAAGGCGATCCTTCAAATTTTGCCTTCTCATGAACAATTGATCCTCAAGTCCGACTAGCAGACCACGAGTAACCAAACGCTCAAAGGCACCGAGCAGCCGAGACCGAGAAGAAGAGACCTAACGCGTCCAGCGCGATTCTGTGAGATGTAAAGAAACCCNNAAAGAGTCCTGCCCTTTCGAGGCCGCGAGGCCTATGATGTCTCCCTTTTGCNTATCCCGTGCAATCGTAACCTGCGTTTGCATAACATTCATGACAAAAAGACNNAAAGAAAATGGCACCGTCGTCCAGCAACAGGCAAAACATCAAAAACACAAGANNAAAGAATCAGAGAAACCAGTCAGATGCTTGCTCAACAAGGCCCAATAAAAGCAAAATGCAAAGTCGCTCGCTCAAATAACCAAAGAGATGAGTGGAAGAAAGATAAAAACATCGCCATATGTGCTGGGAAAGAAGCCGGGCGTTAGGCTCGGGCTTTTACCAGTATAAGATCGCATCGCATCGCATCTAGGTGATATGTTGTTGTCGACAGTCCATGTGAATGAAGCATTGACTCTTGGGCATAGCTGCGTCCAAAGTCATGATGCATCGGTTGGGATGGGCCAGATCACCAACCAGAGAGACACACCGTAAGTGTCACCAAGTGGAGTTTCGTGTCGAAAGCCACGTATATGATACGCAGTATTAGATAGTTGCATACTGCGGCGCAAAGGCATTGAGATTCCAGCCCAGATTGTCAAAGCCGGTATTCGTCATACTTGTGCCGCAAGAAGGCAAGGCACTCGGCAAAGGGACCATAGGCATAGAGACGGCAGAGATACTGCTGCCCACTTGTGCCGAGGTGTAGAAGGGCGGCTCAGAGACAGGTGATTGGCTGTACGATGGTGTCGGAGAAGGGAGCTGAACAGGATCCATGCCAAGCGTCGACCAGTACTGAGATGACGGAGCACAAGGGGTACTTGTCCCAGGATTCGAAGGCAAGACTTGCCACGGATCCACAGGGTTGGGTATCAGAGCGTAGGCTTGGGCAGACGGCCACCAATGACCAGGTACACAAGACGAATTTGGCATGACGGGAGCCGGGGCGATCAAGTCGACGATCTGCGGAGGAGGCGGCAGGAGAGGCAGGAATAAATTCATGATGGCAGTCTTGACGTCGTCACTACGACCTTCAAGCAGCTCACCAGCACCCTCATCCTCCATACCCTCAAGAGCGCGGACAGATGTACGGTAGACAAAGCGGTTTACAGCTTGAATAAAGGCCTCCTGCATTTTCTTGATCTGGTCGTCCTTCTCTGGCCAGGTATATGTACTGGCGGCAATATCGACCGAGTAAATGTCGTTGTGGTAGTCTATCAGAGCGTCGATGGTATCCTGGGTCAACTTGAAGGCGACCTCGTGCTGAGAGACCATGTCGACATGAACGACGTATGCTTGGACAGGTGTCAGGGTGTAGTTGGCCATGGCTTCTCTCAGCGGATCCGAGTCTTTGCGCAGCTCCGAGTTGGGAGCGTTGGGTAACATGAGTGTTGACAACAGCCAGATGGCAGACGGAGCGCCCAGAGTCTCTGTCAGGAAACGGTAGTGCTGGGGAACGCTATTGAGAGGACGCTTGACGCGACTGATGCGTTTGAGAGTTTGCGTGAGCCATGTCTCGACCCGCGAGCCTAGCACAATTGTCGGAGCCGATCGAGGAGCGAAGGCCGCTGCCGATGCAGGGAGTAGCTGTAGAGGCATTGCTACCACCAGCAGTAGCTGTGCCTGAGAGGGAGACGACTTGGTAGATGCGATGCGATGCGATGCGATGGAGTGGGTTCTGGCGGGTATTATCTTCTTCCGAGCGGTATTGGGCCCGTCGGCCAGCGGTCTGAGTTGCGCACTGGACCGTGTAGGAGTTGCTTGCTGTGTAGGTTAGTGATTAGTAACTTAGAATAGAACAAGGAAAGAGAGAAACAGATTGCTGAGGCAGGCGCTCTAGAATGAGGGTGGTTAAAGAAAGGCTTCTTTGACGGCGGGGCTATTCTTATTTGAACAGCCAGACTGATTCGAACCACTTACTCTACACGACATGCACGCGGCTGACGCTGGCTATGGCTACAATATGCCGCGGCACATCCATCATGCATGAACTTGGCCGCCGCCCACGATGAGATGCCTGCGAGCGTGCGTGCTGAGACTTGGATCATGGCACAATTGACCTCTTCTATTTTCGTTCTTTCAGCTTCCTGCTTGTACTCGTAAGTCCAGCAGTAGCAACCCTGATACCTGCGTCCCACGCGCCCTCGCTCCCGAGAACACCGCACGCTTGTCAGCACTGCCATGCTGTGTTCTAGCACTAGTTTTGCCCTCAGAACATCCATCTGCGATCGTGTCTGCTTCTTCCTCTCGCTAAGGCCATGGCCCCTTGAAAGCGACTGCTCGCACAGGGTTTGTGCATACGCCGAACTCTCACCCCGCTGCAGGTGCCTGCCGCATCCTTCTACAGTAGCATCCTAAAGCCCGCCTATTTTGCGACTACACCTTACTGGTGTGAAGTAAGACGGATCCCCCGACCAATGACGAGCTGATTCTGCCTTTTCACCTCTGTCAGCCCTGACCACCTCCATCAGCTTGTGTTCTCCGAAACAGGAACTTGTACCTCTCTCGCCTCGCCGACAGGCGCTTGCTGAAAACCCTGAGAGACATCATCCTATGTCACTTTTTCAACTTACTTGTTCTATCCTCCTCCTTGCCTGATGAGCTTCGAGGTCTACTCAGAAGAAGTTGTTGCTACTCCGTCTTCAACTCTGACCTCAAGTTACACCCGAGCGTCGGTGTCCGCGAGAAGCGTGGATTTCATTGCGGCTGTGCGCAGCTGCGTGGCGTCGGTCAAGACCGACGACCACGGAATATCTGAATCGCTTTCAAGTTTCCAGCTTGCAACTGACTCTCACTGTTGTGTCTTCGGTATCGCCTGCCAACACATGAATCGGCCTATGATCTAACTTCAGCTAAGGACCTGTTTCCTAATCGAGCGTATAACATGCTTCGTCCTGGGTAGAGGCATACGAGAGTACTGCGGCTGTCATGATCGTCGGGATAAGATGAGAGGTAGGTCGATGGTTTGATTGTTCGCTAGACACTAGAAACCAGCTGTAGTTCACTATGATATGTCTTTGAACAAAGAAATTCGAGAGATCGTACACCCAGCAATCTCGCGTCTAGTCTCGCTTGAAGGCCCGTACGCACCACAACGGATCACCACCACCCATGCCCATCCTTTGCATGAAGCTTTGCAATCCGCCTTGATCTTCTGCTGGAGCATTTGCGACATCTCCTGCTTTTATATCGATGATCTCGATATCCTTCCAACCAGCGAAGTGGAGGTAATCCCCAACCATCTGCAACCGCTGTTCTGGTGTCCTCTTGATCCATGCGCTCGTCGCCTTGGTTGGAAACATTCTAGAGCTGACAATGATCTGGCAGCTTCCGCCTGATCTAGTCAACTGCCTAACACTCTCGAGAACCTCTTTCGGACGAGTCAGGTAGTCTAGGCTCACGACGCAAGTCGTACAGTCCAACAATCCGCTCTCACTGTCAACGCTGTCTGCACTTTGAAGCCCACTAACAGCGTGCTCGCCGCATACAGTGAGGGGGNNAATATTCGGATCCTCGTTCAGATCTTGAAGTATTCTTTTGGAGAGTACCTGGTTCTTCTCGAGTTCGGGCTGGTTCATTCCGAGGCCAACGACTTTCAATTCACCCTGTGCCGCAGCCTTCTCGACAGCCTGAGGGTAATGGCTTATCCACGAAGAACACAAATCCAGAATTCGACCTTTTCGTGGCAAGACGGTGTCATAGTATCTCCCGAGGCTTGCTATGGCAGCATCGTCGATATGAGTGACGAATCTGCTGTCGCTGTAGAATGAGTTGTCGGGGCTTTCATCCATGCGCTTGAAGTCGGCTTGAACGTAGGGCCAGGCCTGATGCTGGCTTCGATATGGTACAGCAGAACCGTTCCACGCCTTCTCGGGACTGCTGGACTGGCTGACGCTTGACATCTTCGCGGCAAGATATGATGTTGTTGTTACTGCGATCGCTGACAAGCCCGCTATCTGGAGTCGACGACTGGCGGATGTAATAGGTATCATGTGAGCTTCTATTCGGACTCTGAGCTCTACAGTTCAAGCGAATGTTGTGTTTCGAGGAACTTCGTATGACCATCCATGACGCACTCGAGTCAAAGCACGGTTAGGGTTTCACCACTCGGGTAGACTTGGCAGACTGCTTCGCTGCCGAGAGGATCACCCTGGCATATCAAATGCTCGAGCAATCTGGACCTCGTCCGAAGTCGATACCCGTCTCAGAAAGCACCGTAAGAAGAACATCATATTCCACGCTACTATTTTGTCCGAAGTCACCTTTTATGCTGTCCGTGAAACGATAGATCGCCTACTGCGGTCTGAGAAGTGGCGTTCACAGAATATGCTCAAACCACACACAAGCAAGAGACTAATTGACGACATGATCAGACTTTCGCTGCCCCTACTCACTCGAAGAAACAATCGATTCACTTTGAGTGTGAGCACTACTTATATGTTTGACAAAAATCTCCTCTTCCAGGCATCGAAGGTATCTTGCCGTTTGTGACATAAAGTCAAACATGATTTCAACCAGTCGAAGGTGTGCTCTTGACATCGTGCCTTTGGTCTCAGTTGGCTGGAGCATATCAACCGTAGTCTGTAGTTCTGATTTGTTGGCTCTCTGGTAGATGCCACGAGGTAGGAGCCCTATATCCACTTCGGGTCTCGATTGACATCACATCATTAGCACGGTCACAAACACACGCCTACATGGCTAGCAAAAGCCAATACTCTCGCACTTCAAATTCCGGTATATATCTTCTGTTGTTTCCATATCTCACAACTTGGTCCGTTACTGTTGATCTGTAACATGCCTTCCACCATTCTCCCTGAAGATAAAGAGCATCAACACACGACTGAAGCTCTCTCGATCCAGTTTTCGAGAGCGTCTACGCTCGTAGAAACCACCACTCTACACGCTAACTTCGAGGGCAGGGAGTTCTACGATCCTCATGCAACATGGACTCCCGAAGAGGAANGCAAAGTCAAGTTGAAGACCGACATACGGCTTCTTGCTTGGCTTGCACTTATGTTCTTCGGTACAGTATCGTACTCTGATACTTTTAACTATGACTGACAACTGCAAGCCGCACAACTTGATTCTACGAATATGCAAAACGCTCTTGCCGACAATTTTTTGGATGATCTGAAATTCACCATGACAGAATATGGTAACGTGTGTTTTGTGACAGAGGACGAGTCCATCACCATCCAACTAAAGTAAGCAGNNGGTACCATGATACATCGCATCTGCTACTTGGTTGGAGGTCTACCTGGCCAGATGATTGCCATGCGTTATGGCTACCGATACCTCTTTCCTGGATTAATGTGTGCATGGGGAGTCGTTGGTCAGTGGCACTGTCTTCAAGGCGACTTTGAGTACTGATTGAGTATGCTCANNGCCTGGACACAAGCATGGATGCAAAGCGAAGCTGGATTATACGTCGCAAGAGGAATCATCGGGTTGCTTGAAGGAGCTTTTAGTCCTCTGACAGTGATGTGCTTGTCGAACTTCTACACTAATACGGAGCTGGGATTTCGAGTCGCGATTTTGAGCTCTGGTGTCAATGTGAGTCCATTTATATCGATGATATGAAAATCCTTCTCATGTGAATGCTTAGNNATTGCGAAAGCGTTATCTTCCCTACTGGCTGCTGGGTTGCTTACCATGCGAGGGAGTGNNGCTGGCAAGCCAGGTAATATGATTGTGGTTGCTGTTGTTCCTTGATGGCTAATAACAGCGTCACCAGGTTGGTTCTGGTTGATTCTGATCAACGGTCTACTAATATTCATGATTGGTCTTGTGGTAATGCAAACCATTACAGTTGCAGACACATATCTGATCCAACTCACAGNNAGTCTATTCTACCTGCCCTCAGGACCGACACGAACTCAAACTGTCGTCTGGAGAAAGCCTTGGTTCTCGAAGCGAGAGCAAAGTAAGCTTCATATCATATCTAGCGTTCACAGTATGCTGACGTTGGAAGTGATCATGATCAACAGACTAATCAGAGACGACGCATCCAAAGGTAGAACGGGTACAAAATCGCACACGAGTATGCGTGACATCTGGAACACTATCAAAGATCCAGGTGAGTTTTTGTCCCGGTATGGCGAATATCATACTCACCACTATCAAANNGGGCTCGTCGGTTTCTGGTTCTGTGCTTCGATAATATACATACCTAAGAGTCCTGTCAACCAATACCTCGTACTCAACCTGAGGCAACTCGGCTTTTCGAGATTTGAGAGCAGCGTCTTAACCATACCCTCCGACTTTCTTCGCGTTATTACAGTGCTTACCCTAACACGAAGCAGTGGTCACTTCAAGGAGAAGGCATTTCACTGTACAATACCAACGTGTATAGAAATACCCCTATTCGTAACCCTGTTACTCTTGCCTCCGCATGGCTATGCTTGGGTCAGATTTGCAATCCTTACCCTGATCGTTGGTGCGCCCAGCTCCCATCCTATCATGGTCTCGTGGATCAGTTGCAACAGCTTTGATCCGAAGAAACGCGGTATAGCTGTTGCTCTGTTTGGGACAATTCATGAAATTGGCAGTGTTGCAGCCGCACGTAAGTTGCATTTGTCATAGCTTGATGTCGTGAAGCTGATTTTGAGCAACAAGAAATCTACAGAGNAAAATGACAAGCCTTACTACTATATTGGCAACAAGGTTCTCATATCGATCTGTGCAGCATCTGTCGTGGTTGTCTTGTCACACCGAGAAGTACTCAAATACCTCAATCGCAAGAAACGAAAAGCTTGGGAGGAGATGAGTGAGATTGAGCAAGGGGATTACGATCGAGTCCAGGGACACAATGTCGGGAGCAAGAGTCTCACTTTTGCATTCAGCTATTGAGTTGGGAGATATACCGAAGATTGTGAAGTCAAGTAATAGTACCACTCACTTCATTCTCGTCGAGTACAAGAAATAACAAACAAGTACACTCAACGAAAAAGCCCGAGAGACGAGTCAATATCGAAGTACAGATCCGTTCTCAAGAACCTTTGACGTTCAGGAGCCCCTCTTCAAAACATGATCTTGGGGCTCGCGATGAAGCTTTACCAAACGTAATGAGGAAATACATCACAGATACACGAATATCAGTATAAGAGCATGTCAGACGGCATACTGTTATTGTGCAATCTTTTACTCTCTCCCCTACCAGATGGTTCGGCATTCGCATTGACTTCAAGTATGAGAATGACGCATCGGGCCAGTGAAGAAGCCCAAGATTCGACTGTTCCTTCCTGACAACGAAGGAGTTACTGTCTTCCGGCTTTGAGAGAACCTCAACTCATCTCATCACTTGCACCTGACGCTATCCTCAACACAACCATTGCTAATCGAAAGCTATCACTACAACCCACGACAAGGTCGTCAACGCAACTCGCGGATAGCTGAACAGTATTGATCCACGAACACCAGCCCATCATGGCCGACGTTCCAACTCCTCGGATTATGAGAAGTACACGTTTTGTGCTGGTCTCCGACACAAACGGAACTTTTCCTCCACTCCCTAAAGGCGATGTACTTTGTCATGCTGGAGGTTTGTCACCACGTGGTGACATGCACGACTTACGCCGTACTCTCAGATGGATTAATGAAGCAGACTTCGAGGTCAAGATCATCATAGCAGGTTAGTCTAACAAGACGTAAAGGCACAATCAACGCAAACCCGAACAAAGATATCAGGAACCCAAGNATATTACGCTCCACAAGGCTTTCTTTCAAGATCCAAACAGGCCCGGGCGCATGTCGCAAGATGCACTGCAAAATCTCGATGACTGTTTCTACTTGATAAGGGACTATAGCCCGAACATACATTATCTGCATCACGGCGGAAGAACAATCCAACTTCGGTCACCGACTGGACCGCAGACGACTTTCAACATCTTCGGTAGTCCGTGTGTGCCTAAGCTCAATGGCAATACTTGTGCTTTCGGCTATGAACGTCAAAGTGATATGGCTGAATCTCTCTGGTCACACATTCCACTGGATACGGACATACTGCTGACTCATACTCCGGCCTACAACCACCGCGATACGAGCACTGAGTGGCAGGCAGCAGGCTATGAGGTGCTGCGAAAAGCTTTGTGGCAGGTGAGACCACGTCTTGCAGTCTGTGGTCGGATACGTGAGGCCAGGGGGATCGAGAAGGTGCAATGGGAGCTCGGGCAAAACTATCCGCAATCCTTGGAGAGACAAACAACACAGATTGATAACCCTAACACTAGGCGCATATGGCACCCTCTGGACATGACACGTAGGGGTGTCAGTCCACTACTAAACGATGGAGCACCGGAACAGCAGCTGCAACAAAATCATGTTTCCTTTTCCTCAAAGGGAGAACAGAGCGAGGCTACATCATCCAGCACTTTTGACGACAGTGTGTCATTAAACGAAGTGCTGACATCGCTGTCAGGCTCAAGTGATATGACAGCTCAGACGAGAGTGACCCAATAGAATACGGCGGATGTCACCAACCAACTTGAAGCCTCACAAACTGAACCTCCGCGTTCACGGTTGAGTGACCGCGATCAGGCAGCTCTACGGGGTCGACTCGGCAGGCAAGAAACACTGATCGTGAACGCGAGCATCCGGCCGGAGGAACGGCTTCTTCGACGTCGGTTTCGTGGTCGTCCCCTGCTTAGAACGCCAATTGTGGTAGACATTGAGCTACCAGTCGGAGACGAGTTTGCATAGGTGGATGATTTCAGACATCTATAGAGTCTTGACACGTTGAAGACGGAAAGGTGCATAAAGTGCTTTCGCTTATCGATCCGAGGTAAGAAGGTAGACTGTCGTTACTGGTATGAAGATTGCTCATTATCAATCCATGTATTGTTCGAATATGGGGGCTTACAAACATGCATACCCGACAATGCGTCTTCCCCGTGTGCTAATATTGTCACAGTGTAGCTGCAGAAATGCACAATATCTTTGCAAAGACTGTGGTCTCCACAGAGAAAGCTCGTTAAAGGCCATCTCAATGGCTAGAGTCATATCTGAATTGCAACTGTGCATTTTGATAGCGTTTTCTAACTCTTGCACTCGCGACGAGGGAGAGGTCAATCGCAACATTGTGACAGCCTCCAGTACACGGGGTGTGTTTTCTGATTGACCGTCCGAGGACATTCCAATCATTGGTCTCGTCGTTGGGCAGCAAAACAGTTGCTTCTTGTACATATTCCGAGAAGGCATCTTGCATGCAACAACGCCACCTAGGTAAGAATACAGCGGGTTTCACACCTGTGAATCAGTGTAAGCATGGCATCACCGGTCTGGTCCGGTGTTTTGAACCCAGAGGTCTGGTGATGTTCTCCCGATTGGGCGTTTGTGAGTACGAGTCGTCTGTGCTAGAGATGTGTCGAAGCGCCCTTCGGGCCGCTGCATCTTTACAGAGCACGGATGGATCGTGATTGTGACTTGTGTGGGGTGCGGAGTCGCATGAATGGCGTCCACATTTTGCCCGTGACGAGATGCTTGATCACCATTTCAGTGGAGTGATGCACAAAGAAAGGGGTAGGTCTGTTTCGTGGGAGAGCACCGCGTAGAAGAGCGTTTGTAGTCATGTTGCAGAGTCAATCTTATAGCCGGGTCAAGACAGAAAGGGCAGTCGAGGTCGTACAAACAGACGATCTATTCGAGGATGTGGAGACTCAGTTGCCGGGCCAAGATTGCAGCGAGGTTAAGATTGACATGCAAGCGGACGGGCGGAGATAGCAATGACTAGTTACTTGTCTTCACAGACGAGCGCTGACGTGAAGAACAGCTATCGCTGTCTAGCAATATTCTCACCGCTAGAGCTTGAGCAGTGCTCTGGAAGGGCAGGTTTGCCAGGGTCCAGGCGGTCGTGACTCTGACTCGCTCTCGAACCACGTGGACGCGGACATAAAAGTTAGAAACGGCTGCTGGGGAAGGAACGAAACGTGCCAAACGTTCGAAGAAGAGGCAGGAACAGGAAAAGCAGACGGAATATCGTGACTAGTCTGTTTGACAGAGTGCTATTACAAGTACTACAAGGTACGAAGAGATAGCTGGATGCTGGAGCAAGGAGTAGTCGAGGATCGGCAGAGGGTCTGGCAGGAAATTAGCCAATGGTTTCGCGCGTCATCGGCAACACGAACGCCAAAGTGGAAAGCGGCATGCAAGCAGGAAAAGGCTGGAGCAAGTCAAAACGATGCATCCGCGAGCGTAGCGATGCGCAGCGAAGAGCGACATGGGCAGCTCATCACACCATTCCCTGCGCTCGCATTTCATCTACCCGGCCCGGTCCTCTCTTCCTTTTTCCACTCTGATCGTACCGACTGACACTCTACTACTTGCCTGTTCCAACTCGCTCTTTCCGTCTGCGTCTCGTTCCTGCTGTTTGTTTCTTCTGCTTCTGTTGTGCCCATCATTCTTGGTGCAACCCTCGATCACACTCAGCAGCTACATTTAACAACATCTGCACCACCTCATCACGCTTACCAACCACATCCGTCGCTCTTCTGGAACTTTATATAACGTCGTTTCTGCTGCTTTCCGATTCATGACCGTCCGCCTCTGACACGCCTCGAACTATCATGTCCTCGCCCTTGCCACCGGATCCATATGTCGCTCTCGGCCTCAGCAAAGATGCCACGCCTGCGCAGATTAAGACCATTTACCGAAAGCTCGTGCTGAAATGCCATCCGGACAAGGTCACGGACGAATCGAAAAAGGCCGAGGCATCCGATCAGTTCCATCGCATCCAACAGGCATACGAAATCCTCAGCGATGAAGGACGACGGTCCCGCTACGATGCCCAGATCAAGCTCGCAGAACTACGAAAGCAGAACATGAGCAACCGCCCTCCTGTCGAAGTCAGAACCGCTGCATACGAAGTGCCAACGTCTGGCCCTGGCCGAGCCACCTTCACCGCCAGAGGACCCGAGAGAGTATACGAAGAACGCCGACCCGAGAGATCCGACTCGGACGACTATTTCAGCGGCGCAACACGAACGACATCACGAAAACACGATGATTACGAAAGACAACCTATGAAGAAGACGGCGGTACCACCGAGGGATGACAAAGAACGTGTTAGAGCAGCGGAACGCGACAGACGTGAAAGCCACCGTGCATCGCGAACAACTCAGACGAGGATGCGTGAGCAAGATAGAAAAAGCGACAGAGACAGGAAGTACGGGTATGGTGACGACAGCGAGTTCGAGTTGAAACAGGAAGCAGAAAGACGTAGGAGAGCTGCCGAGGAGAAGGAGCCGCGAGCCAGAGTGGACCGGGAACGAGAACGCAGGGATTATGGCGGTCGTGAGAGGGATGAGTATGAACGAGAACGGGAACGTCCGTCACGTCGAGAGTACGATCACTACTCCCGTTTGGAAGAAGAAGCCATGGCCCACATAGGAAGGGACAAACGACCATCACTTTCACGCAGCGCCTCGACAGCCAAGCCCGAGACGTATGTTGACCGCTCAAGTCGATCTACGCCCGCCTTCGTGCGCCGACACTCGGCCAAGCCAGAGTCTCCTCAGCCACGTCATGAACGTGACAGGAGGCCGAGCGTGCCTGATATTAGCGAGGCCGATGAGCGCCGTTTCGCAACTCGACCTACGACGCTACATACCTCAACATCATCGCCGTCTACCACCAAGCTCCCTCGAAACCCAACATCTCGCAGTGCGAGCATGAGGATTGATGATCGTGACCCGCCACCTATGCCCATTCGCCGCTCCGAAACCATGCCCAACATCTCTCCCAAGCGTGCTAAAGACTCAAAAGCCTCGATTCCAAGGGATACCGACTTCCTGGGCGGCCTGCCTACTCCATCCGCGAGTCCAGATTATGTACCCTCACCCACCACCTCCCACAAGGTCTATCACTATCCCCGTCACGACACTTCAACTTCCCGCGAGGATGATTATCGCCGCACAGCCGAGCGTGACTACAAGGGTGACTACGACCGTGACCGCACTCACGAACGCCGTATTCACCAGTCTCCCGGCCCCATGCGCGACCCTATTCGATCTTCGAAGTCTTCTGCGACACCTCGCTTCACTGCCGCACCGCAACCTCCACCAATCATGACCAACCCGAGCAGCTATAGCAGAGGTTATACGACCGAGTCACCCACCTCGTATACCGATGTACGTCCGTCACCTGTACGTCGGGAGAGCCAGCGCGACTACGATACCTTCTCCAGAGCCACCGTTCCCAAGGCAAACTCAAGTGCCAAGTATGACAGCGTTCGTGATTATGAACAGGATCGCCGAAGAGGCAGTCCAATTGACGAGTACGGTGGTTACTCAAGTCACAGGACTTATGCGCCTGCTGCACGTCCACAGTTGCGCCGACAATACACGAGCGATTATAGCACGCATGCACCACGCGCTCAGGTTGCTTAGTAGCTTCCGCTCCACCTTCTCTATCTCCCGACTTTGCATTTCTGTCTCATGGTACGCCATATTTCAGGTTCTCATGTTCCAAGGCGCATAAGTGGTATATGACGGGTTTTATCTTGCTTCATTGCATCTTCTCTTCTTTCAACCAACGACCAACTCAACACACAATCTCCCCTACAGCCAGGGTGTGAGTGAATGTTATGTTTCATTCCCATCAGCATTGACTTGTTCGGCAAAAGATGAACTGGAAAGTCATGAGTTTTTATTATGCAGATGCATTCCTTTTCTTCTCTTCTCTTCCTCTCTTCTTCACACAACCTCTTCATATAGCTCCCTTGACGATCTCAATTACAAGCAGAACACAGAACAGAATAACGAAACGAATTGATGACATTAATTACTCCCTCTTGTGCCACTGTGATAAGTTTCTCTTTTGACATGATTCCTCATTTCGCTTCATCATACGTACATAGAACATGATAACATTCAAAACAAAGACAACAAAAACAAGAGACTATGAGACATTATCGTCAACATCAACAGCGTGCAATGCATAATGCTTCACCTCTCCATGCATTATTCCACCTTCAATCTTCAAAAATCAGAGGCTGAAGTGCTTGTAGCCTTCAACCAAACCATCGCTGTTCTTGGTAACAGCACTCCACACAGGCATAAAGTGCTTAACCTCATCGAAAGCAGGCACATTGCCTACCTGGTTGGCATCACTCCAGACACACATAACCTTACCCTCAACACCACCATATTGCTTCTCTACTTCGCGGTCAAAGGTGACGTTGACACTCCACTTGGCATCCCAATCTCTGCTGTATAGGTACACTCGCTGTTCTCCATCGCGACGACCGGGTTTCATGGCTTCGGGCTTGGCACCTGCATTGCTGATACTCAAGTTTGCAAAGGANGCAGAGAAATACAAGCGGCAGGCGCGAGTATTGGAGCCGCGGACGTCAAACACATAGTCGCGTTTTGTTGCGTTGGACGACGAAGGACGAGTGATGTTGAAGTCGAGCCAAGTGGCGTATTTGGCGTTTTGAGCTTGTCTGCGAGCCAATGACAGCGAGATTGTGTCGTTGGGGTATGGCATGCCTGGTTGATGGGGCTTGTATGCTGTAGGAACAACGTTGGGAGCGGGACCCGTCCAGGAGCAGCTGTCAAGGCCTGCTCTAAAGGCCCAGAATTTGTAGTCGGGGCCTGCACAGTGGTAGCCGTTTGCCGAGGCCGATGGCACTTGAGATACGATGGACTCGAGGTAAGGTGATAGACCGGTCAGCGCGACGGAGTTGTTGCCATGGTCGAGATCGATCTGCTGAAGGAAGAAGACCTTGAGTCGGGAGGTGCGAGAGAAGGGGAAGGCTACGAGATTGTAGATCAGAGTACCGATAAAGACGAACATGAGGAAGGTGGGGATGTGGTAGGTGATACGATGGATGAAGGGCGTCAAAGGAAGCAACAGCAGCACTGATGTGGCAGCAATCAGCAGGTAGACAAGCAGAACGGGGCTACCATCAGCAGGTGTCTGATGCAGAGCCGAGGTCATTAGCAGTCCCAATTGACCGATCAAAATCAGGTTGATGGGTGCCAGAATAAGGAGTTGGAGAAGCCAGGTCCAGCTTGGAAGACTGCCAGACCAAGCCTGCTCACCCTCATATGCCTGACTTGTGAGAGGTGAGTGCACAGAGGCTGCAGCATCATCGTTGTCGTCAGGTCGACGAGTTTCACGGCCGTAGCGCGTGAAGGTCTGTCTTGAACCAAGCAGTGAGGTACGTTCATCTGCGTCTTCGTTGTCGTTCGCATGCGGTGCTCTGCCTCTAGAAGTATCGTCGTGGTCTACAACATTGTGGGAAACGAGACTGTTGCTGCGCGTAGGGCTCGGAAGAACACTTTGCGATGCGTATGCGGCCTGCTCGACGTAAACACTCTTCTTGGGCAGCGCGAAGAACTCGAGGTAGGAGATGAACAATGCCAAGAAGACGGCGGCGTTGTAAATAACCAGGAAGTAGCCAGATCCAAGGTGCAGTCGCTGCTCACCAATGGTTGCAGCCACCAGGGCAAGCCAGGAAAGAGCGTAGAGCCAAATTAACACATAAGCGCGGGAAAGTGCAGATGGCCGAACTGCATCCCCAAGGCGGAAGAGGAACCACGCAGCAGAAAGCCACGCGGTGAGCATCATGCTCCAGATGGCATACTCGGAGCTGTACACAATGTGTGGGTTGACCTTGGTGACAAGATACGCGAGCGCTACAACAATGCCACTTGTGACGACGAAGATCAGAGGGAATCTAAAGAAGCCTCTCCAGCCATAGAATTTGACAGCCTCATCATCATCTGAGGAATGAAGATATCTCTTTCTAGAGAACAAATACCACTTGTCAGTCTTGTGGAGAGTAACATCGAAGATGATCAGGAAAATTGGTCCTGCAACGAGCAGTGTCACGGAAAGCGCGAACAGAGTGTGCAATTGGAAGACTGCGAACGCACGTCCAAACAGGTCGAACCAGACACCAGTACTGCCGGATGCTTTGTCGGTCTTGCCATACCTCTCATGGTCTGAAGGACGCTCAAATTGATCACTGGTGTCGCTCGAAAGGCCCTGCACGGTGGTCAGAGCAGCAGAGAGCATATGCCACAAACTCTCAACGCTGGTCTCTCTAGCATTGTCTTGGTTAGTGTGGTATCTGGCACGAGGCTCCATGAATGCTACGTCCAAGCCACGCATACCCAGGTCGTCAACAAAGACGCTGTAATCTGTTCCGCTTTTCACCAGACCTCTCTTGAAGCCATCTCCGCTGATGACACTGCCAAAGGGATGAGGGCTCTTGGAGTAGAACTTGGTTACCTCGGTATCAGTGCTTCTGAACAAAGTAGCTCTGCCACCAGCACCAGCACCTTCAAGATTGAGGAAGGAACGAGGGAATTGGGCAAGAGGATGACGTGTAAAGGCCTTTGCACCGTAGAGGCCATCCTCCTCGCCGTTGTTCAGAAGGAACAAAATACCACGATGAGGCTGATTATCCTTNTTGGTGAAGTGTGATAGTAACTGCAGTACTGAAATGACACCAACACCATCATCTGTGGCACCAAATCCGGTGCTAACAGAGTCAAAGTGGGCATTGACAAGGACACCACTAGGACCAGTGTAGGTGGTCTTGTTGAGCCACCATTCGTCATCCGAGTCTTCTGCGCCTCTCACATAGACCATGATGTTGTTGCTCTCGTAGTAGACAGTGTAGCCTCTGGGGTCGGTGTATGTCACATTGCTGACATCTTTGTCAAAGACAGTGACAGGCAGAGCAGCCTTGGTGTGTTGGGCGGCCTCTTTCCATTCAGCCTTGTTGGCATCGAGTATGTCTCCAACGCGGGCGAGTAACCACTTGCGCACGGCAACATTGTCCTTGCTGTTGAAAGGGTGGTAAGCACTGCTCAGGTGCTCGAGGTCATCCCAAGCCTGGGTTATGTTGACGCCTGGCCAGTCATGCGGAGTGGGAGTGTTCGGGGCTGGCGGGAGGACATGATGGTTGACAATGAGGGCGGCGAACAGGCCGGCGTAGACGACGACGGTCCAGAAGGTAACGACGTAGGGACTAAATCCAAAAGGATTGCGCGATCTTGGAGCCATCGACGCGGCCTTGTCAAGATCCTACTTGGCCCTCCTTGTCCAGAGACGAATGGGTTGAGGAAGCACGACTTTAAGCTCAAGCATGAACGCTTGTTCACCGGTACGAACCAAAAGCTTGGGCCATTCCCATTGCATCACCTGTATCTCAACTTCCATCATACTCCGATTATAACAAAGATCAAGTATAGACTATAAAGAGGCACAGTTATTTCCCAATTAAAGACGTGTCCACAGAGAGCCGACAAGATACTGCTTCTCAGTGGGCACTGTCCTGTTTCCCTAAGAGTATTGTGCATTTTTATAGTTACATGCGTGACAAACTTTCGAACATGAGGAGGCTATATATGTACCTACCACATGATAACGAAACTAGTGACACTCACAGAGGAGTCCGTGAATGTCTGTAGTCGGAGTGAGCTGAAGTTAAAAACCTTAGCACACGGGGAGGGAACATAACTCCATTACTGTTTACGCCTAACTTCCGAGGTACCTGCCTGCTTAACTCATGATATGCTAATATTACACGCGCTGGGGTATCTAACCTTAGCTGAACATCACGCCGTCCTCCACCCTCCTCGACTCTTGCTCCGTTTCTCTCTCTCTCAGATTCCTGCTCCTCGGAACGCTTGATCCATAAGCATTCCACCACCGAATATGTCGTTCTCACCCCCGAACATGTCATTCAGGTTGATGTTAGGGAAACCTGTTCCCTGAGCGATGCCTTGCTGCTGTCCTGGCCAACCTCCAGACGCTTGACGCATGTTGGCCATTTGCGCTTGCTGCTGTTGCATCATGCCCATATCCCATCTGTTTTGCTGTTGTTGTCGCTGTTGTTGCTGTTGCTGCATCATATACGGCGGTAGAGGATAGAATTGCGCTTCAAGATTGTCCGCCTCTGGTGCATTGCTCTGCCCTGGCATCATAACCGGCACCTTTGAGTCACTGAAACTGTCGAAGATGTTGGGATCTTTGGCAAATTGGTTGTTCTCAAAAGTCGTTAGAGGCTGGTTGGGGTAGGTAAANGGTTCTGCAGATGGGAACATCATCGCCGACAGATCGGGTAGATTTGGGTTTGTCATATCCATTCCGAGATTGTACGGGAGTATGCCATTGGAAGGACTGCTGTTTTCCATCGGTCCAGTGACCAAAGCCTGGTTGAAGTTTGGACTGGTTGGTGTGTACGAGCTAGCACCTGAGCTAATCGAAGATGTAGGGAAAGACATTCGTTGATCAAAAGCCGTCGGGACTGTGGAATGGTTTGGGAAAGTGCTTGCTCGTTGTACGGATCCAGGCTGAGGCGGCGGTTGTTCTCTGGCAGTGACGGAGATGTCAGGGTGGCTTCGTGCACTCTGTGGTGGACCATGGTTCGAACTTTGACGTCGTTTGCGTGATGGAGCGGGATTTGCACGACCTTCACGTGCCCAAGCTGGGAGTGCTTTAAAAATACCCTCCAATGTTAGAGCGCATCGATCTGCTGCCATGCTGCGTTTAGCCAAAGATGCCAGCACTTCCTTGCCCTGGATAGCATCCTTCAAGACGGCTTCAGTTGTGATGTTTTGCGGGTTCTCTGCTGCAAAGTATATCAAGGACACAACGGCGAAAAACGTCGTGTACATGACAAACCAATGCGCGCCATTCAGCAGTCCTTTCTGCTTCATCTGCACACACAGGTGGATATGGTTTCGCGAAAGGTTGACGTAAGAAGCCGCGCAGGTATACGCACGTTGATCGATGTTATGCGATCTCTTGTCGGTTGCAACGAAATGCAAGAAAGGCCTGTAAAGCATGGCTTGAGCGTGAGCGTATGCGATACGAAGGAGTTGTTGGGCCCTGCAAGATGGTCAGTACTGAACACAGAATGATGGCACAAGCTATTTTTACCTTGTGAGTTTAGGGTTCGAATTATTGCATGGGTCCAGCCCTGCAGGCAGATTGCTCTTCCACGTCTCCAAGTCCTTTTCGATTTCTCGAATGACGGAGAAGGGAACAGTGTAGGAGCGGTCCATGTTGCTTTGAACGTCCTTCGCTCTGATGGGATAGACCTTCCGCACGATCTTGATCAATAGCTCCACCAGCCGACTATGTGCGTTGAAGACTGTTGTTAGTGGAAGAGTGCCCTCTGGCATAGGAAGGATACCATCTTCGGTGATATATTCATCGTCAACCTCTAGAGGATATTCTTGATCAATGTCTTCCTCGCTAAGCGTTTGAGGCAAACCCAACATTGCACCAACGTAGATGTCCATCTTGCGAATGGTCCAGAACACACGCTTCCTGGTCTCGGCCTCGATAGGATTGAATGTGCGGCTGAATGCAGAGTTGTTCCTGTGCAAACCCATGCGTAGGGCGGAGCGCAATGCTACACCTACATATGCGTAGCATTGCGATAATTTGGCCGAGCATTGGAGGAATGAGATCATGTAGAGGACCGCCTGAATAGAAGTCAAGTCGCGGGCGTCTGCGATATCCAGCAATTGACGTGCTGTTCTAAAATATTTGAAACTATGCTGTGTCAGTACCCGTAATGCTCTAAGCCTGCAGGCTCACTTACCCNNTTGGTCAATGGCAGTCTCGTAACCAGCCTGGTTCAAAGGACTCTGTTCGTCGCTGCCAAACAAACAGCCTACTGACATGGTACTGTACAATAGAGGAAGAAACTTGTGGTCCTGGTTCGTGTAGTTCTCGTATGGTGTGTTATACATGCGATCGAAGGATGCCCAGAAGGTTGGAACATGAATGGCTCTCATCAGAACAGAAGCATCAGTAATGGCGGTTTCACACAAGTCTCGAGCAACATCTCTAGAAGGAAGATCAGTGCCAGGGACCGCACCATCCATAGACACGCCAGGAGAGTCTGGATTCAGAGATCTCGGAGAATCAAAGACTTGTGACATTGGTCGCGATTTGATGAATGGAGTAGCCTTGGAGTCGGGACCAAGGAGGTCACCCAGTTGTTCTCGCATGCGCCGCACGAAACTGAGGCCAGAAGAATGACCATGATAATCCCAGTTTCCTTGTTCGTCAAGTTCGAGTTGGCCGATAGCGCGGACCATAGATTCCAAGTTGGTGTCTTTCTGATCGCCATTTGGAGCGGATGTGAGGTTCGCAGGTGCAGAAGCAGCAGGTTTAATGGCCGGAGTATCATTGTTGACGGGCTTGTTGGAGAAACCAGGAATATATCCTTGAGCAACGGCGACGTCGATGCTGGGGTCGTTTAGGTTCAGGTCAGGCATGAGCATTCGCAGTAGCGTCTCAGCGCGGTGAACTCGGTGCTCCAGACCCTCTATGTACTGAGGAGCGGGGTTGCGACGACGATTAGAAGAGNNCTGGTCGTAGGTACATTCTATACTAGGTCAGAGGTCACGTCTTTGCGACGAGTTATTATGACACTTACCATAGCTATAGACTGTACAATGTGTGCAAGGCTGCTTGCCGTCGCATTTGATCTTCTTCCTTCGACACTCGTCGCATGCTCGGGTCACCCTTCGTCGCTTCTGCATGGGCAGTTGGGATTTTGACTGAGCCTGAGCCAACGTGCCCGCGGGCCCTGTAGGGGATGTCTGTGACTCATGTTTGATATCCTGCTCCCAATGCTCGCCCTCGCTATTGTCGTCGTACATGTCGGGCGAAGTCGCCTCCATGACCATGGAGAAGCGGGGTCGATATGGTGAAGATGTGGTTTAGGATGAACAGACCGACGTGGGAAGAAGGCAGCGCTCTCTATTAGGGGGGCCCGAAGTCGCGATAGGATGCGGGATGATGCACTTTTGTCAAACGACAAAGAACGATGACCTAGCGAGTCGAACTGGATCCAATATTATGCCGCTAACTTAAGTCCGAGTCTCTCGGCCGCGGCGGGTAAAGACTGGTCGCAGCAGCTGACGGCTCTTGAGCTGGATATTACGTATCGGCTCTGTTTCGATCAGTTGCCAAGCGCAGTATTCTTTTTCGTGCTCTCTTGGCCCTCAACTGTTGGACTGTTTGAGCAAGAGAGCAAGAGAGAGGTGAAGAATGTTTTGGGGGTTGGGCTCGTAAGGGATTTCTCGCTCCTAAATAGCATAATTGACTGGTCGAAAACTCTCGCGACAAGAATGGATTGGCCCCAGCTCCCTATCCTGAGTCCTTATTCCCACATGTTCCCGCTGCCTGTTCCTGACTCGGCTACCTCGAACTTCGAACCTGCCCAAACTTGGGGATAATGTGGAGCTTGGAAAGGGTGGATCTGCTAAGTAGATCCTAGTACCCTCGCCTCGAGACCACCTCTCTGTTCAAGAACCGAGACACATTGATTCTTGCTCCATATTGTATTGCAATTCGTTTTCAATGGCGTTCGTTGTTGGGCTGGGATTCATTTGTAGTCTGATCTACGCCCGGACATGTGGCGCAAAGCTTAGCATCCAAATCGTTTATCGCTCTTTGGTATTGACCGACGACCGAGAATTGCCCTATCCCACTGCCTGAAATGGCTTGCTAGTACAGGGTGAGATTGAAACAAACACATTCCTGCTTCTTGCAATCAAAGCTATCCAGGCTCTAGAGCTTGTTTTTGGAAGGATGAAAGAGCCGCGTAGATATATGCCTCACTAATTTTAGCTATACACATCCATAGCTTATCTTTTGAACAGGATGACGAGTTCAAATCTGGACTCGACGATAAAGAGCCACCGTGTCATCAAGGTTCTATCCAGAGGTGAAAGGCCGCGTGGCCATGCCTTACCACACCCTGAGCCTTGAGGCAAGTTCCAAGGGGGAGATCTTGTGCGACCATGTAGCGCTTACTATGATGCTACGAGACTACGATACGTCTCGTCCGAACATGGTATCCCGGCCAGGTGGCGGCAGTCGGAAAGGCAAGTTTTGTGTTTCAGAGAGGCATGCCAACAGTAAAGCAGGAACAGTATCTGCCATTCCTACGAAGCACAGTCTTTATGGGCAACAAGATGTGTTTGGTACAGTGATAGGTAGGTAGCTCAAGAAAGTAGGCGGTGCCTTGGCGGGCATTAGCCACAGGTCGCGATTGACTTGGTATGTGCGGCGGGCAGCCCTCGTCAAGCGTGTACTTTCAGGGTGCGTCACAGAAACTTCTACCGACGATCGCACATCGACAACAGACCGCAGACACTGGTGTTTTGCAGGTCGCTCCAACCACCGTCAAACTGGCTGCGTCCACATTCGTCGACGCATTGCAGGATACTCCTGCCGAAATCTGGCAACGCGCTCATCTCTGGTTCAGCGAACAAGACAGCTCTGTCCTTGCTGCCATCGCTCTTACTGCCATCGCCTTGATCATGTCGTGGTCATCTCGCTTCGGCTCCTGGTCTGGACGCTTCTCGCCTTTTGGTCGTTCTGGAGGGTCGGCACAGGTCAAAGACTCGGATTACAGCTACATCACCCAGGACGATCTGAACAAAGCCGAGCAAACAGATGCCTCGCCCGCTTCCTCCGGTCCGCCTAGAGACACCGATGTCCTGGTTCTCAAGAGCAAGCGCATCAGCTACCCCGTCCATTTCCCTGCCTACTCGATCGAGAAGGGCGAATTGAAAGTCAGATCCGTCAGAGAGCAAGCCGCCAAANAGACTGGCGCAGATGCGCGACACATCAAGCTCTTTNTCAGAGGCAAGAATATGAAGGAAGATGCCAACTCATGCCGCACCGAAGGTCTCAGGCATAACAGCGAGATCATGTGCGTCGTTGGAGACGCTGTCCCCGAGTCCATGAGCTCGAGTGATTCGGAAGACGAAGAAGCGACCGCCGACGGTGCAGATGCGCCAAAGAGGAAACGCAACCGCAACAAGAACAAGAAGAAGAAGTCCAAGAAGTCAGCAACACCTCAGACCGATACTTCGAGAACACAATCGCCCCGTCCGCCGCCTGCCCCGGTCACACCCATGGACAAATTGAATGCTGTTAACACAACTCTCCAAACCCTGCTGCCTCAGTGTGTTCAATTTATGGCCAACCCTCCCACTGACCAGGCAAAGAAGGATTTCGAGCACAAGCGTCTTAGTGAGACTGTACTCGCTCAGGTCCTTCTCAAACTGGATGGTGTCGACACCGAGGGCGATCCTGATGCAAGAGCGAGAAGAAAAGAACTAGTCAAGGAGGCTCAGAATGTGCTCAATGGCCTGGATGAAAAGATCAAGTCGTGATGCAATGATAGAGAATATGAAAATTGTAATATACGGCCTTCACCCCTACTTTCTCGAGCAAACGTGTTCGGATGCCGGCGTTCCTTCCCTATGTGCAACAACCTGCGACACGCTTGTCTGAGACCTCGAATTTGGGTAGTGTCTCGGCTCACACAGATTGTCTCACCCAAGGGGTCAGACATAACATTGTTGTTCTTTGACATACAAAAAGTAATGTGTTACTGCTATATATACAGACAACTAATAACAGACGTCGCTGAGAAGAAAAGTACGTATATGTATGCACAGCATACTTCCACTCGTTGATCTCGTTCATCTCAACACATCTATCACAAAGAAGAAGAGCAAGCAGAAAGGAGAACAACATACAAACCACACCTCATAACATCCCATCCCATCAAACACCTGCCGTACAAGCTTTCACACAAACATGACGCCAAACGATGTTTCGACGTTGACGACATCCTCAACATCCTCAAATCTGTCAAATCCATCGGATAGTATGCCAGTCAGAAATAGACAACCAACTGTAGAAACTTTCCAGCGTCATTTGGATGCTGTAAGTCCTTATCTTCGTTCCTCTTCCCTTGACTTATCCATGTCTATGTCACCTGTTCCTCCTTCTTCGATAAAAATCTAACATTTCCCCCCTTTGTCGTGGTTCAGTATACCAAAGTCCTTGATGCCATTGAAGACGACCTCCAAGACTTGGCCCACGAAAAAGCAATCCTTACCGCTATGGCTTCAAAAGTGCTAGAGCTTTTGACGTTTGGAGCCATTCAAGCTCCAGCATTAGCAAGAGCATATTGCGCAATGAAAAGCAGCGTCAACGACAAGCAGACAAAACTGCAGAACCAGCTTGTTGTCCTCAAAAGATGGGTCAAGAAGCTAAAGATGGACTTTGAGATGTTTGAAAAGGAAAGAGAGGGAAAGCAGAGGAGGACAAGATTGTGCAAAAGCAAGCTGGAGAAATGCTGGAGAACTGTTGTTGGGATGGATTGGGATGACTTGTGGTGTCCTCCCTCCCTCGGTTCATGGTGTTTGGCTTCCAAGTATGGGCTGTTGTCGTCCAGTACACCAGAACCCTCGACACCATCGGAAAGCAACTACTCAAAGTCAAGAATCAAGCAAGAGATTGCTGCTTGTTTTGGAGAGGTGGATCTCGAACCTGTAGGCAGAGATTGAGAGATTGGTTCAGGGGAAAAAGATATGAAGGTGATGGTGTCAAAGGAGAAACACAGGAGATAGTGTTTGGTTGATGAAGACGACATTTGAGATTGTGGTTTAGAAGATAAACACGCTACGCTAGAGATATCTTGGTTTTAAACATATCACCACAGAAGACTGAAACGTTTACACCATGTGTCGAGTGTTGGCCCGAAGCAAACTAGAGTAAGCCGTGGCCTCTGGCTGATCAATCAACGCCACGCTATATCGACGACACAGATGCCGTCTCCGCGAGTCGTTCTCTGCCATCACCGAGCAGGACTCGAGCGTTTGCAAGCCGTTGGAGCAGAGGCTCGCTACGGCTATTGCAGTAAGGTTCACAGAATAACCCTGTTGTAAGTGTAGACACTGTGATAGGACGTGAAATGTGACGTTTTCATTGCCGTAGGTGCATAAGGAGAAGAATGTTTCTGGGTTAATACCTGAATACCATTTTGGTTGCAAGTTTGCCCACATACACGTAGTCTACTCCCTGAAGATACGGCTCACTCAGCAACTAAGAGCGATGTTCTGAGACATGTCCTTGAGTGCTTTTGCAACAGTTCCGGGTGCCCACCAAGGCCAACACTGCCTTAGATCAGTTTTCCGAATACATCTGTGATACTTATATACGCAAGAAGTCTGATCAGACTTGAATTGAATTCGCACTGCTTAGTATCGAGATCCAAGGTATTGCAGCTTGTGTTGGTCATGTTACTGTAGGCTTGTTCGGGGTCATTGCCACCATTCGAGATGAGAGGATGTGACTCGAAGATGCTGTTTGTGAGATGTGGATGCCCGAGATCCGTCTGTGTAGTCGAAGCTTGCGATGAAGGAGGAGTTGAGAAACTGGTATCGCAACAATTTTGAATCGTTGAACCATTTTCTTACTGTCCCTTTGGTCCTAGAGAACGCCTTGCTGGAATTCTCGTCTTTGTTCGCATCCCACAAAACACACCCACCGCTAATCGTGTAGGTCGGCATGTCAACACTGTCGTTGAATCTAGCAGGAATTGCTGCGACATGACCGCCGCAGGGACACCAGTGGACAAACCGCTCGGTTGCAGACAAGGGAACCATTATGATCGACAAAAGGGTCAAATGTTTGCGCGGCGGGTACCCACGCCAAGTAGCCATAGGATTCTAAGCCCCTTGTATCATCCGAACAGTCCCACAATGACCCAGATGTCTTCGCAATCTTGCCTTTTGACATTGCTGCATTGATGGACCCCCGCGCTCAACGAAGGTGTAAAAACTCTCTAGGCACAGATGCCTATCTTTCCAATCACAACCTTGTAGCTCAGGATGTTCTTTTGTTACCTAGAAGCACGCGGGTTCGAGCGGTCATCAACCAGCAGTTGTACATTAGCCAAATGGACATATCGATCATTCTTGCGCAAACTGTCTTGTCCCATCTTCTTCTGGAGAATGCGGACATAGACATCTCGTGATTTAGGCGAGGCAGACAAAGATTCTAAAAGTGATCGAAGCATTTCGTGATGGTGAGGTGACTGAGTGCCATCAGAGAGTGTCAATGCATCCAGCAGGGAGTAGGCAATCTCGAATTGCTTTTCGAACNNTATAACCAGGGTTAGTACACAAGTTCTGGTCTCTCCCGTACTAAGGACTGTTTAGATGCGGCTTTCAAAATGCACAATACTTTCCGGGAGAGTGCTGATGCCACAGAGAAAGCGAAACCTGACGTACCTCCGTGGACAGTATCACTTCCAGAAAAGTATTGTGCATTTTGAAAGCTGTAATCTGGCAGCGTGCTGTACGCGGAGAGTGTAAACGGAGCAGTCACTTACGATACCTAGCCCATGAACCTCTATGGCAGTTGAGGGGAGCGTTCGCAGAACATCATGTAGAGAGGAGGCGATTTGTATGGGGTAAGCGTAGGAGTACGAGGGATTCATCGACGTCGAGGAGATCAAACCTAGCCTCAAGGCTGTCTGCCAGACCATAAGTCGAAGCCATTGCTGCGTAATCAGAACGTCGGCTTGTTGAATCTCGGAAACGTTTGTCAGATCTAGAACACGACAAAGCTTTTCCTGCAGCATAGCAAGCTCGATGTATTCTTTATCAGTGCCTCCAGTCAGAGATAGCTTGCTCCTGGCCTGGATATAGTTCAGGTCGAGTAAGGAGAATAGATGGAACAACATGTTGAGACCAGCCGAGACTGAATAATGTTCGTCCGGAAGTCTGTCGCAAAGCAACTCTGGTGCGGAAAGTATACTGACAGGGAAAGTATCGTGTATGCAAGCACCGCGTTCACTGATGTATAGCAGTGCATAGATGCGCTGTCTCCGAAGTCTCTCGGCTGGATTCAACTCTAAGTCTCTCCCGACTGTATCCATATTCGCCGCCTGAGCGAGAGTGATGGCTTCTCTGACATAGAACCAGGCGTTCTTGCGACATTTGAGATCGAAGTATGTAACAGCGATGAATAACGAAGTCAATACATCTTCCACAACAACATTTTCGATATAAGAAGACGAGGATATCCGGTTGTCAAGGCATTGTCGAATATATCTCCGGGCAGCAAAACCCCTCTTCTCTAGAGTCATGGTTGGCCAGGCGTCTACAGCCATCAGGGTAAGGGCGCAAATTGACCATAACAGCCGTGTTTCCGAACCCTGTAGAGAGTCACGCTTGTTCAAAAGTGATCGCAGGTACCCCTCATCCACGACTGGATATACGGCATACATCTGGTCGAANAAGAGGTTGACGCCGTGCTCGATCTCATACCAACTTGTAGTAGAGGAGAAGTTATCGTGATCGACAGCAGCTGCATTTTCAAGTCGACTCCAGACCTGAGATAGGGACGAATCGCCGGTCAGTCGCTGACCCTGTATCGGGAGTGTCGACGAGAGCACGTTGTGAGCAAAATCATCGAACGTGAAATATGCGTCATCTACCAGACTTTGTGGCGAAGATTGGAAATCGTGGGATTTCAATGCAGCATGTACGGAACGAACTTGTTCTGGTATACCAGGATCTGTGCGAGTGACCCCGTTCGGACTAGCTGTGGTACTTGATTGATGGCCTTCGACGATTTGCTCGGCGTTGTCGGTCTGGAGAGGACTCTGGAGTGCTGTATCTAACATCTGCGAGCGGGAAGACCCCCTTAATGCGTTGATGACCCTGCCAGTACCAGGCCTGGGGCCCCGTCGTTTTCTGACAGTGTCAAATGCGCATGGCAGATTATGAGTCTGGCATCGATCGCAGGGCAGAGATAAGTTGCACTTCACCTTGCGCTGCCGACATTGATCGCATGGGTACTTCTTCTCCCTGCTAGAATTGCTGGTCGACATCTCACACTTTGACGTGTATCATGGTTTGCATGTTGTGGTTGTAGCGGAGAGAGAAGTCGCACGAGTCTTGGAAACGGCTCCCGAAGTTACCCAAGATTCATGTTGCAGCTACGACCCTGCTTACATCGGTGACATGATTGATTCCTGAGTCATCCTCCGTGTTGGTGAACACGCGGGGCATCGGACGACCCCGTCCATCAAGCGAAATCTCCTGCTCGCCTCCTGGAAGTAGGCTCATGTCAATTCTCAATTCACGTTCCTCGAAAGACGCGTCTGAGCGAATTATGTGCGCAACCGCTCCGCGAGCACGACGCACTGGCACATGGTCGTGCCCAAACCCACATACTTCCTCTTTCCAGCCGCATTTATCATGATTGAGAAAACGGCGACAGGTAGGCAAGATGTGAACAAGACCGTCATGCTCGTCTGTAGTGATCTTGCATACTGCTCCTTTGTGTGCTCCAACGAATCCCCTGACAGATGTGCTTTAATGGGCACTTGCCTTTGCAAGCTCTACTGTCAAGAGATTTGGGACGGGTTTCAGCGATAAGTGCATCTATGTCGTCTTTCCATGCCGACGTGAGTGAGTCGTTTGTGAAAGTGAACGCGCGGGTCATCGGACGACCCCATGCATCAAGCAAATTGTCCTGTTCGCCCTTTGGAATAAGGCTCCTGACAATCTCTAATTCACGCTCCTCGACAGATGCGTCCAAGCGTGAAGGGCCGGTCAGCTCAGTCTTGTACCTATGATGGGGTGCAAGAACTGGCTTGCGCTCGAGGGCAGATGTTGAGGGACGCGGAGGTGGTAAAGGATTGGCCAGCTTGGTCTGGAACCTGTGATGGGGCGCGAGAACTGGTACAGGTTTCGTGAACGTTTGCTCTGTTCCTGGTGGTAGTATAGCGGAAGCAGGTTGAGACGGGGTACGACCTCCGTTCCTCTCACGGGAAGGTGTGAGTATCAAATGCTATAGCAATGCACATATGTTCACCAATTTGATATGTCTAAGGAGAGCCCGATAATCATCTGCTCTTCGTGGATGCTGCACTATTTCCCAACGTATTGTGCATTATTATAGTCATGATAATGCATCGGTCTGGAATGAAGAAGGCAATGTCCTGGTGTGCTAGACCAAGAGTGCCACCTGTCACAACATCGTAATTGACCTTTCTCTTGTTCTCGTATGATAGAGTAATACTGTAGAGATATACAATGGCTTTTCATATGGAAGAGAATGCCACGGGAGAAGCTGCAGTGAAGTTCTCTGATTGTATATTACTCCTATCCGAAAATCATTGTGTATTTACACAGCTGTATTGTCTCAGTCTCCAGCGCACGGGAGGACGTATGAAAACCCCGCAAGTTTAGGGGTGTATGTTAGTCACGTTGAACTCCCTGGAAGCCACACACAACCCGGCCTTATCGTCGCACATCTCAGGATTTCCCAGAAGCCCAAGACCAGAGCCGACACGATCCGAGTGCTGAAGAAGGCGACGAACAGTGTACTCATCGGACTGAAGGTGCCATACGAGATTTTGTACCAGACCTAAGCGCCCGCTAAGCAGGTCGCAGTTCAAAACCGACTCAAACGAGTGGATTTGGGACTGTTTGGCACCATCAAAAGCAGGTGTTTTCTCCACCTCCAGGTTGTGAAATCACGTCTTGATTCGACATTCGTTTCGACAATCACTTCAATCTTTCGACAACGTGAGAACTGACTTTTCCATACGCATTCACAATGCAATCTGATACGTAATGTAAGATAGACTGTGGGTAGCAACTATATACTTCGCTTCTTTCCTTTTCCTGCTAGGAGAGCAAGTAAATACGCGCTTCCCATGGCTGTAGATACTGCGACGCGTAACCGGCCTCTGCCTCCATAGGTGTATCAGTTTTCTGCTGATCAGACACATTGTCGAGGACTACTTTGGCTGAGGCTGTGTCTATGCCATTGATACCAGGAATCCGACTCTCAGCATCAGAAAAGTTGCAAACAACAAGTGCCTTAGTCTTGCCATCAGCAGCTGTCTTGGTGAACGAGAAGACATTCTCGTTATCGTCGTCAACAAGCTGGAAGTTGCCATGTACGAGTACCTTGGCATGGGCTTTGCGGACCTTGAGCATTCGGCGCCAGAAGTTCAAGACACTTGCGGGATCCTCTTTCTCATCTTCGACGTTGATACCCTCTTGAGCGCTAGTGTTGACCCTCATCCATGGCTCGACATCTTGACCAGTGAAGCCAGCATTAAAGTGTGATGACCATTGCATTGGAGTTCGTGCATGATCACGAGACAAGTGTTGCAATCCAGCTCTGGCTTTAGCGTGTGCCGCTTCATCTCCAGGGTGTCTCTGAACCATCTCAGAATAGAAGTTGATACTGTCGACGTCCTTGTACTCTCCAATGGGCCAGTCTTTGGGCATGTTGATCATGCCGATTTCTTGACCTTGGTACACGAACAAAGTCCCCGACAATGACGCAAAGAGAACGGCAAGCATTTTTCCAGAGCGCGTACGCCAGTTGGGAGAGTCATTACCGAAGCGCGAGATGCATCGAGCTTGATCGTGATTCTCGATGAAACTTGTCGTCCATGCATCTGTGCCATCAAGCAGACTCTGAGTACGGCAAATCGCGCCTTTAACGTCTGCCAGCGTATAGTTGAATGGCTCAGTATCGTATTTCGACGGCCTGCTCTGCCCGACGTCAACCGAGTCAAATTGAAACACCATATTCATCTTTTCTGCCTCTGCGGAGACATAAGCGAGGACACGGGCTCGATCAGGTGTTGCTGGACATTCGCCTACACTCATTGCGTTGTAGCGAACAAAGATTGCGTTCATCTCGTCCAGATACTTGTCCATGTTGGGTCCGTTGCAGTACAGAAGACTAGCGTCTTGCCAAGGGGTGTCAGGATCCTGGATGGGAGCGTCGGGAAAGTCCATAGGCTTGCTGTACATGTTGACAGTGTCGATCCTGAAGCCGTCGACTCCCTTGTCAAGCCATGAGATCATGGCCGATTTGTAGATTGCTTGACGAGTTTCCTCATTCTCCCAATTGACATCAGGCTGCTCAGGACAGAAGAGGTGAAGATAGTATTCTTCAGTGTACTCATCCCATTGCCAGACGGAACCGCCAAAATTACCACGCCAGTTATTTGGAGGCTTGCGATTGCCATTGCTGTCATACTTGGCAGGTCTCCAGATGTACCAATCACGTTTTGGGTTGTCTTTTGATGATCGAGATTCTTGAAACCAAGCGTGTTGGTCTGATGTGTGGTTGACAACAAGATCAAGAATAATCTTCATGTTGCGATGATGGGTCTCTTTGATTAGAATCTCCATATCCTGAACTGTGCCATATGGAGGATAGACGGCCTCGTAATCTGAAATGTCATAGCCCATGTCGATTTGAGGACTAGCATANCCTGAAGTCTTGGATTAGCGACACGAACAAGGAGATATTGTACAAGCGACTTACATAGGACAAACCCATATTACTTCGACACCGAGTGACTGTATATAATCCAATTTTTGCACGATTCCAGGGATGTCTCCGATGCCATCATTGTTGCTGTCGTTGAAAGACGCAGGATAGATCTGGTAGACTGTGGCATCTTTCCACCATGGTCGAGTAACATTCGACATGTTGCATCAAATAGAAAGTCGTAATGATTTGTTCAAGAGTTTTGTGGGAAGAAAATACAGAGATTCGATGGGCAATAATGACAGAGTGCAGGATCAAAAGTCGATAGCTGGGAAAGACAGCATCTTATACTGTGATTGCTGGTAGGATCTGCAATGCGGGCGGACAGTTTGCTCCTTTCGAGCAACGTTACTTTGGGGCTCCATGGGGCTTGTCCAGTATGTGATGGGCGCTCTCTCGGTCGCTCTTACTCACATTTGCAGATGAGAGTTCGAGATCCGAACGATTGGATAGTGTGATTTGGTCGTGTCGTTGAGACTTCAGTTGCGAGGTCTCGATGAAGCCTGAAGGAGTAAATCCTGCCACAGCGCTAGCGAGCACGCGCCTCCAAAGCTTCCGAGCGTCCGTGTTTCTAGGCTTGGCACCGCTCAGCCGACACCATCTGTACCTTTGATGCTCAGTTTGCTTTCCGTTCATACTACCCTCTGAATTGACAGAATTTCATAACCTTTCAACCAGAATACACTACCACGAACGAGCTCACTACCAATCATGTCGGACTGTCGGCCGGGAAATTCTATGTGTCACGCAAGTCGACCGCCAGATCTTAGTTGAGCTAGATCTTAGTTGAGCTGCAGGCGTTCGAACCCTCTTCCTTCGCAACCCAATTATCCTCTGAACCACCCTATTCATCTCTGAACATACTTTTCGCTCTATCTTTCGTTGGATCTTTCGCCCGGTAGACACGAGCGCCACACCACGACTCCGCATCGTCAGACAGGAAATGGCACGAGACACGCAAGACGAGATTTCCTCGCCATCTTCCGGATTCTGGAGAAACCATGTCGTTGTACCCCATGGAGTTCGCCTCAGACTGGGGTCGAAGTCATAACATGCCTCTGGTATAAAGATTGATCCAATTCCCCTTCTTTTTGAGGACATCTACTCAGCTCACAACCACTACATCTACTTGTGATCAATTGGCCGCACTTCCAGACACTTCTTTGTCTCTTTCTACGACGATCGATATCGCAATGGCTGATATGAGCAACTCTTCTGCTGGACTTGGCGACGATGTTCCACGGACTGCCAGTATCACTCCTCAAGATATCAATCATCTTGCTAGAGTCGATACCAATGTTGCTGCAGAAGCGGCAAGAGCAACTCAGTCTGAAGTCTCCATGACACTCTGGCAGGCCATGAAGACTTATCCCAAGGCTATTGGATGGAGTGTGCTCATCTCAACCTGTATCATCGTAAGTACAGCACCTGCCCACAAGTCTCTCGAATGGTGCTAACTTCCTCACAGANTGGAAGGATTCGACATCGTTCTTATCAACTCGTTGATGGCACTTCCCGCTTTCCGAATCCGTTTTGGTGAGCTCTTACCTGATGGTAGTTACCAGATCAGTGCTGCCTGGCAGTCCGGACTTTCGAACGGTGCTTTGGTTGGCGAAGTGCTGGGCCTTCTGTTCATTGGTTACGTTGTAGAACGTATCGGCTACAAGAAGACCATGATCGGATCTCTCACCCTTCTTACTGGCTTCATCTTCATTGTCTTCTTCGCACAAAGTCTTCCCATGCTGCTTGTGGGTGAGATCCTCATGGGAATTCCTTGGTCAGTCACTAATAAATCTGGAACACTGCCTGTGGCCTCTGCTGACACACTTTTTAGGGGAGCCTTCCAAACCCTTACAACCACCTATGCAGCTGAAGTATGCCCTGTCAGTCTCCGTGCCTACCTTACAACCTATGTCAATCTTTGCTGGGTTATCGGTCAATTTCTCTCCTCAGCTGTTCTCAAGAGTGTTGTAAACGAGACTGGTCCTATCGGCTACAAACTACCTTATGGACTCCAGTGGATCTGGCCTCTTCCCTTGATTATCGGTATTGCATTGGCACCTGAGTCACCTTGGTGGCTAGTCCGCAAGAACCGCCCAGAGGAAGCCAAGAAGCAGGTCTTGCGCTTGACCTCCCGCAACCAGACCGAATCTGGCTTCAATGTGGATGAAACAGTCAATATGATGGTCTACACCAATGAGCTTGAGAAGGCGAATACTGAAGGAACGAGCTATTGGGACTGCTTCAAGGGTACTGATCTTCGCCGCACCGAAATTGTCTGTGTCGTTTGGGGCATTCAGACCATGTGCGGTGCGTCCTCATTCACAGGCTACTCCACTTACTTCTTCGAACAAGCTGGTCTCGATGTCTCTGCTGCTTTCTCCATGTCGCTGGGTCAATATGGTCTTGGTGCTGTTGGAACACTTCTCTCATGGGTGTTAATGATGAAGTTTGGTCGCCGCACTTTGTACCTCTGGGGACAGATCGCCATGGCGAGCATTCTGTTGATCGTCGGATTCCTCGGTATCGCACCTAAAAGTCTGGAAGGCGCTCAGTGGGGCATCGGAGCCATGATTCTGGTTTACACATTCGTGTATGACATGACCGTAGGCCCAGTCTGGTGAGTCTCAATAATCCTCTCTCTTGCCTTCTTAAATACTGACTTTTGTTGCAGCTACTCTCTCGTCGCTGAGCTCTCCTCAACCCGCCTTCGTAATAAAACCGTCGTCCTCGCGCGCAACCTCTACAACGTCACCGGTGTCGTAGCCAACGTGCTCACTCCTCACATGCTCAACCCCGGTGCATGGAACTGGGGCGCCAAAGCTGGGTTCTTCTGGGCTGGCACTGGAGCTTTGTGTGCAGTGTGGACATACTTCCGACTTCCTGAGCCAAAGGGCAGAACATACGCCGAGATGGATATGCTGTTCGAGGCAAAGGTCTCGGCAAGAAAGTTCAAGGAGACCAACGTGGAGAGTTTCGATGATAGTGTGATGCATGCAAAGAGTGCTGAGAAGAGTGCTGTTGAGTACGTCGATAAGATTGAGGCTTGAGAGGGAAGTTATGTATTCTTAACGCGCAATTCAGGGGCTTCGAGGTAGAGTCTGCAGATCCAGACTGTAAGATATGCTAGCACATCATTTATTGCAGGCATGTTCTTTGAGATAATTCAGCTTATATGTTCCGCCTTTCCTTGTTGGTTCACTCAAAACTTGGTATACGACGAACGATAGGCATAACGCACGACAAAAAGAAAGGCATCTATGAGAAAGAACAAAACGTACAGCAGCAGGGATTCCCACGTGGTCACCCACCGTAGTACTAATCTGCCGTTCAACTGCTTATGTATGGCAGAGCGGATGGGATGCCCAATTTTCAGCTGACTGTGGCCGTACGTGCTTGATTCCAAGATCTATAGATCCATTTAGCATTGGTTTGACCATCCACAGTTGTTCAATGGATTCGCGATATTTGATCGATTCCCTCTCGTACAGGAGCGGCGTATCTAGCCTTGGTTGCTTGATTCAGGGCGTCGATGCTGTGAGCATTTACTTCACGTAAGGGCAGGTTATTGCCCGATCTTCTTTGACTCCATGGAGCGTAGACCTCTCGAAACCCGCTTTTCTCGATCCTTGTGCATGACATCTAGAGTGTGATTTGTCTAGATTTGGCAGACCACACATCTGCACTAGCAATCCAACACCGCAATATAGACTTGAGTCTTCGAGGCAGGCGTGGCTCCAGACGATAGTCCGTATAGTGTGATTCGTAAAAGTCGTTACATCTTCTCTCTTGGGTATCATTGTTGTTTGTTCGTTCTTTCTCCCTCATTCGTCCCTCTACTCCCATCGCAAGCTCTTCAACTTCAGCACTATTGTCACTTCTCCTGGGCGCCAGTGTGGGCTTGGGTATCTCCGTCCTCTTCTTGTGATTGTTGTTGCTGCTGTTGCGCCATGACGTTCTCGAACATAGACCATAAGCCTTCGACTTGGCCGAATTCGTTCCCGACNCTGTATGTGCATTGTATATCAGCGTATGTTTTCCTCGCATCTTTCTCAAGTTTTTGCGCGCGTGAAAGGGCTGTAGGGCTCAAGATGGGTGAATCCAGCGAGTGGTTGTGGTCGATTGAGGTGGACTAGGCGGAGGTTCGGAGACGTACAGCAATGACGCTTTCTAGACTTCGGTTCAAAGTGTTCATGTTTTGAAGAACTTGCTCTAGATTCNNTAGCCACCATCAATATACTGTATTGCGACAGTTGCATTGAAGAAATGTCCTTACTGTCGCAACATCTTGGAGTACAAGTTCGCGCTGTTGTTCAAAGTACGTCTTTTCGCCTTGAGATCTGTTGTTTGTAGACATTGTGATGTTGCTAGTCCGGGCAGTGCAATTCGCGACAAGACAGACGAGGTTTAGAAAGCGGTATCAACAATCACTGTCGAATGTTTACTTTGGCTTGGGGACCTGGATGGGCTGAGTGGACCGTGCACTTCCACTCGTGCCAAGACCAACCCACCTCCCTCCAACTCTTTTCCTGCACGCTTTCTGCATTCTTCCTTTCTTTGCAACAACCAGCAGATGTGTCTCTCATGCTTGCCTGACACGTCTGCTGAAGGCCACCGAGTCTGTAAGTTTACTTTTTCTCCATCCACTTTTTCTCAATATCCACATGATGCACAAAGAATTCTGCAATTCGGACTTTTATAGCGGTCTCTCTCGGGAGTCGCTGGGCATATCTTTCTTCGGAAGGATATGCCAGGACGACAAAACTATTCACAATCACTTTTCTCTGATCCTTACTATCCTCTTTGTTCTTGACAACCATTAAACGAAACCGGGATCTATACTGACGAGTTTTTAAAGGTCCAACTTTGAGTCTCGGGTCTGGAGTGCGATAGTGGACTTTGGGCATGGGAGTGGTAGGTCTTGTTTCCGGATTTTGATATTTTCTACACTCCAATGAAAGATATGTTTCCTGATTCATCTTCGCTTTTTCTCGAATGCCGTGGTCTCGCATTGCTGCACTTTCTTGTCTCATTTGTGCACTCTGAAGCTGTCAGCATTGGCCTTGGATCCGAGCAGGTCTTATTGTCGATTGCAATTGCTACAGAAATGACCGAAAAAGACGTACTGAGTTAAAGCCGCCATGAGAAGTTCCGATTCAAGGACGATGCCGCTGGATAGGGAAGGTAACCCAGTCATGTCGATCGATGCAGATGGTACAACAACTTTATGACTTGATCCGAGTTGCGTTTCAAATGGCGTTGCCATCTGTACTGTTGATTGACCAGTTTCGAAGGATGTTGATGAGTTCCTCATCCTCCAAGGTTGCACCTGTCGTCGAAGACCTTCAGAGAACCCATCATTGGCTCAACCCAAAATCCTTCCTGTTTCTCTTAATCAAGAGACGCAACATGTCTTCTCTCTCGTTGGCGGAACGTTTGGCGTCAGCAAGTCTGCGCTCCAAGTCATCAACACTGATGATGGGCTTCTCGTCAACAATCGCTTCGTTGTTTGAGGTATTGGCCGAGTGAGTCTTGATGGTAGAGACGTTGGAGCACTGAGTTCTCTTGTCGTTCTCCATGTCGGCTTGCTTGTGGACTTGCTTTGGGGAAGAGCTCATGATGGTCTTGGTGGTCTGATTCTCGAGAACAGTGTTAGCTTGGGCTACGATCGCGTGTGGTTCATTCGTGTCTACCACTGCGGGATCTGATGACTTGTCCTTCGGGATCTGACGTTCTGGCATGGTAAAGGTAGGTGTTAGAGAGTCAGAAGGAAGAAGTTGATTGAAGGTGTATCGGGGGCTGGTATGTGATTTATGACATTGGCTGTCACTCGGCTCGAGCACCACGTTCGTTTCTGATAGTGAGAGCATAATGATCACAAGTGAGAGCCGAAATGCCGCCAGTCAGCGTGGATCGAGGCTGTCCTTCCGGAGACAAACCTCCACATTGAGCACGATTCTGACGTTGATCAAATCACTGCATGCTTTTTGTATCGCACTTGAAGCAAGTATACTGAAGGTCAGCCACGGGAGTCTCTCTAACGAACGATGGCATTGAAGAGACGCTGACCAAACCACGACTAGAGCAACACGTGAGTGGAAGGTCCGTCATATCGTTGAACTGACATAGTAGCGATGGCAAGTACAAAAGCATCCAGGAGATGTAGCAATGCAGGTATGATTTGAAGGCCAGCATCTGCAGCTCTCCGATAGAGCTTCTCTCGTTGCTTTAAGCATGGCATCGACTCTGGCATCAGAGATGTGTGAAAGATTTCCCGTCAACCAGAATTGGTACTTGATGTGAAGATAGGCAAGTAATCATCACATGTCTGACCTGTCGAATTGCATACATGTAGATAGCTAAAGTGTCCTGAGCATTTCGAGAAACACGGAGGGCTTTGCGGTCTGTAATTCGTGGACAATTCTTGCTCATGTAACAGGCTCGTCCTGATGTATTGAACATGGCTAAGTGATTTGCGGGAAAAGATCCTAAAAGAAAAAGGTACAACTGTCGACTGACAACTTCGTGGACCCTCGTATCGACAACCCTATCTTACAATCAGCGCTCAAGCTCCTCACGAATTTCCTGTACAAGGTCTCGCAGCTTTGTAGAGTGGTCTGGCTCGTTCAAAACTTCCGAGAATCCAAGAGCGATCATGGCTCTCCTGACGGCATCCATATCGCGGTTCGAATCCAGATAAACAGCACCGATGATTGCTTCAAGAAGAGTCGCTGCTGACTTTTCNCCAAAACCATTCGGAGGTCGTTCTGTGTAGTTGACAAGGTTGTGCTTGGAAGCCACCTGTTTGAGATAGTCATTGCTCAGTCTCGCACTGTGCAGCTGAGCCCAGTTGGCTAGGCATGGTCAGCTAGAATCAACACACATTCTGCGCAGCAAACACTCACCCGTGAGACTATCTTTCTTGCTGAACCAGTGTTCAGCAACCACGACAGCCATGACAGCGTCTCCTAAGATGGCAAACTTCTTGTTGCCTCCCTTGGTGGAGCGTCCATCGAAAGAGGGTTGGGTCGGGGTTGTCATCTGCAGAGCCTCCCAAAGAAAGGCTTTCTCGGTGTTTTGGAATTGATAATCGATGATCACCTCAATTCGATTGATCTGTTTCTGCTTGAGCATGGTGATTTAACAGTTATTAGTAGGCGATGAGGTACTTCGAATATCTGGAGTCATCAATGATCGATTCGTTTTGTCTTGTAGCCCTTTCTTGTATTGAGTCGTCTCATTGCTGGTCCCACTGCCAAAGTTCGCGCGAATGTTCTTGGATGCAGTCCAGTGAAAGTCAATTCTGCGATTGCGTTAATAAACTGAAAGATAATAACACCATGTTGGGGGCAGAGATGAAGGTCCTTTCCGGACCAGTGATCTGTGGCACTGCATCGTTTACCGCAGGTTCACAGTTAGGTTGTTCGAGGTTGCTCGACGGCAGGTCTGTAGGTATTAGTGATGTGACAGTTGCAGGTATCAATGGGAGGTTTGATTGACGATGACAAACAAGTAGGTGCCTACGATTCTGTCATGCGACCAGGATGAAGCAAATTTCACTTTGACAAACACCCAGCCAGTCAAACACCACATTCGCTGCTTCCTCAGATGATGGCCAAGAAAGGTGACCTGATAAAAAACTGCAAACAATAATATTAATGCTCGTAAGGGGGTATCCAGAAATTATATAATATCATCCAAACATATCTCTCGAGGTCTCTCCAGCGAGACATTACCCAAACATAACTCGAAAAAAAATCAAAACACGCAAAACATCCTTCTTTTCTTTTCGGCAACAACAAGAAATACTCTCGGGGCTCAATATCGCGAGGTTTACCATGTGGTGCCCTGGCCCTTGTATGCACCAGCATCGAGACCGGGGATGGAGAATCCGTAACCTTGAGTGTGGCCTTCGCGGTCGCTGGGTGAGATCTCGACCTTGATGCAGACGTCAAGACCATCAGGGCCACCGAGGCCAGTGTTTTGCAAGCCCCCTGCAGCAGGGTGAGTAGTACCAGCCTTTTGCTCACCTGCATGCAGAGCCTCGCGAGGGTTACCTCCAGCTGGAAATTCAGTGGCTGTGAGTGTCGAAGCGCCATTGGTATGGCCGTTGGTGTGACCGTTGGTATGTCCGTTGGTTGCGCCATCGACAGCAGCACCAATCGAGGATCCGACGCCGTTGTGCGACTCTGCGATAATTGCGTAGTTGCGACTGGGCATAGTGCAGTGGTTCTTGTCCTTGGTCTTGTTCTTGACATCGTCACGTCCGTGGCCGGGATCCTTGTCGAACAGATTGAGCAAAGTCTCGTCAGTATCGTGATCAAGATGGTGAATCTTGTTGCGACTAGCAAGAAGGTTGGCGACAGCTGACGGAGGAGGCTTGTTAGTGATGGCGGAAGACACAACATTGGCCATGTAGCGCCAATCCTTCTCGACAGGGATGTTGAGTTTAGGGTTGCTGTAGAATCTACCCAGTGCCGCAAGATGAACATCACCACCAAGAATCGTGATGCGAACACCGTGCCTCTTGGACAGATCTTGCAGACGCTGGATCAGTTCTCTACGCTCCGTCTTGTGCTGATGTGCCGTGTAGTGATCATCCAGATCGTCGAGAAGATCTACCTGTCCATCGAACTGGTTGAAGAAGCCGCCAGCGACTCCGAATCTCTTGTTAAGGAAACGAAGTGGGCCAATAACAGGTGACTGGAGAATGTTCTCGAGCCACTGCAGACGCGGGTAGGCAATTGGCACTCCCAACAACAAAACGAGATGCTTAATAGCAGGGTTTGCTTGGAGCTCGGCAGATGTACGCTGGAAGATCTGGTCGTAGGTCTCGGGATAGTTGATCTGATGTCTCGTGCGCTCAGTTCTAGCGTCAATACCGACGAAGGCAATGCGTGCACCAAGCTGGCAGTACATGGATCTACTGCGCTCTTCGACGTAAGGTCCAGGCTTTGAACCGATGATGTATGACGGCTCGTGCTCGTCTCCAGTCTTGACAAATGTGTCACTCAACTGTACAGCGTCAGGATCAGCGGTGCCCTTCTCATTGGCGTGAACAGTCTGCGGGGCGTCTGTGGTGAATGTACTCTTGGGAGGAGCGAGATGGTGTTGGAACAGCAAGTAGTACTTGTGAGCCACACCACCAATACCTCTGAAGACAGCACAACGCATGAAATGATCAGTGTAACTGCCGAAACCATCAATGATGTCGTGGTCATCCCAGATGTTGAGCTGGGGAATCTGACCGTTGGCGAAGGAGAAAGGCTCGGTTCCGTACCAGCGCACGTAGTTGCTGAAGTAGTACTCATCACACTTGGCGCGCAACTCTTCGTTGAAAGGGAAGTGTCTTCGCTTGTGAGGCGAACCAATATCGGTCCATGGCCTCAACGGACCATCCACTCTGACACCGTCGTTGTAGATCTGATCACCACCACCGATCATGACGTGGAAAGGCTTCTGCTCGTGCATACGCAAAACATCGTTCCACAAAGCGCAACCAGACCAAGCGTCAGTATCAGTACCGACCGAGAAACCATTGCAAGAGTGGAACATGATTCTCATGGACTGGGTCTTGGAGGGAATGTAGAACGATTTGGGGCCAGGAGGGCTCGTCTTCTTGGAATCGACATATTTGGCGCCAGGAATTTCGTAGTCCCATCTGGACTCTTGAGGGAGGAATGGTATCTGGATGTCGAAGCGCCAGAAGGCGCTCTTGGGGTCTTCGTACAGTTTGACACCGTCGATCTGTCTGGTGAAGTCGATGGCAGCACCACGAAGAACAAGCTGAGGCTGCTTCTGGCCGGGAGTGGTGACAATCAGGACACTGCCATGCCACGAAGGGTTGTCTGACGACTGTCCGCTCATGTATCTGTAGTTGAGCAGAGGACCGCACAGCGTCTCAACCTGATTCGAGGTGCTCAGAACCTGAGGTCCCTCACCAACACCAACAGCGCCATCCTCTCTCTTTCGCGATACGGGTCGCTCTGTGCTCTGGGGATCTACGGTGTGATCGGGACGGAAAGTAGGGTCTTGATGGCGGCCGAGGGCATGTTGGATGGCATCGCCGGTGGCTCCAGTCGCAGTGGTATGCGCAGAGTTATGGCCAGTGCCCCAGGAGGTATTTGCGTGTTGGCGATCTGAATCGGTAGGTTCGTTCTGCTGGTGGTCAAACTGATCCTCCAGACGGCGAGCGGAGTCGGAGTTCATGCTTCGTAACGGCCCGGAGGTGTGAATGAATCTCAAGGCTGTCAGGCGTCACAGTGTAGAGAGACAAAAGGCGAGGAGCTCACTCTCAGGTGAGCGCCCGCCACCGCAATTTTATCTACATTGTTCGTATGCTGCCAACCCTCCCATCTGCCTTGATTCAACGGCCTTTGCTGCTTGGCAGTGATGACGGGATGCATTGACTTGTTTTCTGATTTCCAAGAGTGGTAGACAGCCAAGGAGGCCAAGACGCGAAGATCAGAAGCTTTTCGGCGCCCTCGCGTTTTGTATCATTTGTTTGGTTTCATGCCAAACTGCACCACATCACGTTTCGTTGGAGCGCTCAGTCATGGTGACTCGCATTCGACAAGTACGTGTCTAGAAGTACTTGTGCTGTCAAGCAAAATCTAAGAATCATGGATATGAGATCGTCTCGTCAAAAATGCAGCCATCTGGAGATCAGACCCTTCATCGACGCCCTGCAGCCATCCCTGGCAGTCCAATCGGATCGGCCCAAGTTCCCACTTCCATCCATCGTGGTGCACTGTTCCGGTCAGAAACCACTCCCAGCCTTACCAAATTTCGTTCCCATCGTGATTCACATCACTACTGTTTTTGGACGTCTCGCAAAAACTTGTCCGGCTCCTCGATTCCCACGCAAGAGTCCTTTTGCCTTTCAGACGATTGCTGTCCTTGCTATGCTGATGGATTTGATCATCCTGCCTTCACTTTCACTCGATCAGAACGAATGGCAGTTCCTGCTTCTTTTCCTTGTCGTCGTTACTCGGATCCATGCGTTTCATGCCTTTGCCTGCAAGAGCTGGCTCCGTCTGCTTTTCACTTTCCAATAATGTGGCCGGATCTTTTTCATACCTGGTGATNTGTCTGCGCTCAATCTGACGCGAAGAAGCCGATGACGGNAGGGACCCCCAAGTAGATCTGTCGATGATTTTAGGAACGACAACTTGAACGATCTGACGAGGAGACCTTCTTCTATAGGTATCATCCTTGGGAATCAATGGCCATGCGGACTTTCTGGCCGCTTTGAAACGTGGAATCGGCCTCTTTACTGACTGTCTGGATGTCATGGACCTCGTAATTCGGCGCGCCTGTGCCTCTTCAGTCTCACTGTCAACCTCGGACGCGAGATTGACAGCCGAAACATTGCCTCTAGAGGAGAGGGGATCCTTGCTGTAGCTTTCTTGCTGTTGACGTGGGCGTAGATTATATCTGGCCTTTTTTCTTGCAGCGTCCCGCTCTTCCTTCTCTCTGCGTCTCTTTTGGACAAGGTCACGCAGCCTGCGTGGACGTGTACCGTCACTCAATTCGCTGAGTTCAGGCTCGACAATGGGGTTTGTACTGGATGCGAACAGCTCAAAGCGTCTCTTTCTCGTGCGAGTAGGTGCTTTGTCGGGCTCAGAAGATGTAGACGAGATACGATCTCTGAAGTCGAGTCTAGAAGAGCCGGTCCTTCCACTTGACGGCTCTTCGCTCAAGGATCGGGTTGGTAAGGCTAGATCAATCACTTCCTGATTGTTCTCGTTGTCATCTTCGAAGCCTATAGACGCACCTTTTTCTGTGCTGACGAGCTCTGATATCCCGTCACTCGACTCCCTTTGGACCTTATCGGTAGGCTGTTCTTCATCGTGAGTATCGTCTCGTGTCTTTTCCATTGCAGCGTCGTCGATTTGAGATTCTTGGTCTTCGTCACGAACGTCAAGGAGGCTGTTGTCTTGTTGTTGATTGTCATCTTTGCGCCCATCCCCGGCTTCCTCATCTAAATAAACATAGTCGGAGCCCTGGCTAGGGTCCCAGCTGTGTTCTCTTTCACCACAACCGAAAGTCTGTCGGACGGCTCGTCAGGCNGCTTCGCTGTCAATCCTATCGTGTGGCAATTTTATGAGTCTTCCATCGCTGGGCTCTTCGATTGTTGGAAGAACGGTGACGGCACTAGATCCTGCTTCAAAACCCCTGGATCGACCCAGAGGGCTCTGATTGGCGAATGACTCAGCTGTATCCATGTCAGCATAANNTTCACTGCCTCGAAGAGCGACCAGATTGTTACCTCGTTCGTTGATCTTCTTAAGCAATTCATCGTTGTTCTCATCAACAATCGGCGGAGGTTGAGCNTGCTAAGCGATATCAGTAAGTGAAAAATCGATAGTCTACGGGCGGTGCATACCATATCTCTTAACTTCTGCTATGAATGCTGCATCTATCTCATTCTGGTTGCTAGTTGCCAGAGCCACCTCCATGTGGTCTTCGGTGTGCTGGTTAGTAGGNTTCCTAGGCTGCAAAATCTTAGTAACGCTCGGATGATCGCTAGAGGTGGTCATACCGTGGTGGCGCAAGTCGGCAACAAACTTTTCTCCTACATCGCTGTCGTCGTCGATCGTGACAACTAGACGCTCGTTAGTAAGCATTCTCCGTGTGGTTGACTTATACGTACTCGTACTAGTGTTTCTGTTGACTCTTGCTGTGGTGACGGTCTTATTACCGCTGGCAGTCTCCATCACTTCGTCTCTGTCGGATCGATCCCTATTGTTGCTGTTACGAAGAGCGACTCTAGGTTTCTTACGGCCTTGACGTTTTGCTCTGCGGCTAAAGAATTCTGGGTTAGAGTCACTCTTAGAGTCCAATATGTGCACGCCTTGCAGATCTTCTTCTGGGTTTTTCTAGCCGTAAATGTCTTCGTAATATGCTTTGCGGCTGACGTGTAATGGTTTTTTTGATTTGAACCAGCCTTAAATAGGCGGCATGGTAAGGCGAAAAGTAGCAAGTGGTGATTAAGATCTGATCAAATGATGGCAAGTACGGCTGTAAGTTAATGTATCTTAAGAGAAGCGATATCAGAAGAGATGGGAACCAAGAAGAAGTAGATGTTCAAGAGGAGAAATGAAGTTGAAAAGGGTCGAAGAGGAGGTGAAGAGATGAAGAGGTAAGGGTGTTGAGAAGAGATCGTGAAGCATCCAAGGTAGGTGTTATATACCGACCGAGTAGCTGCCTAAACCTCCAGATGGCGTAGTAGTGAGTTGTGACGAGTGAGAGCACTTTCACTTACACGAAGATTAGTCTAGTGAGTGTCGTGAAGCACAGTTCAACTCGGAGTAACTTTAAAGGATCAGAGTGTAGCTTGGAGTCTATAATACACTTAACATCCAATGCAGACTGTCGAGAGGTTTACAATGCACATGCTAGGGAGCCCTTAGCAGAGGGAGCAAACAAAGCTAACATCCGTTCACTTGGATATGATCTTAAGCAGAGTCGAGTTGTGCTCTCAACCATTAGGGGCTGTCACATATGAGTAGGTCTCCCTTGTAACTGTCTTAATGCCATGTCTCCTACTCGTCTCACATATTCATCTAGTCTCCTAATGCTTAGTTCCATCGTACCATGGAAGGTCCTCGAAATTCACTAACAGACTCGACTCCCGAGTTTCCAGCCCCTTGTACTGGATTCATACTCTGGCGATGCACAATTCACAACGCAAGACCGCAGGCTTGACGCAGATCGAGGAAAGGCTCGGGCCGAAACTATACAGCTATAGCTTTTAGACGGACGAGGCACTGCTACTAACAAGCATCGAGCATACATGAGAGCAATCATCATTATTCATATGCGATATACACAACTTTGGCCAGATACTAGCATGCCTCCAGGGCACTACTCCATCTACCGCTTTCTCTGACTAGCTTACTCAGCAGCATACCTCTCATGATCACTCTCCTTCTGTACAGTATGCTTATCCCTTCTATCATGTCCCTTATCCAGCGGGTTGTTAGCCCCAAAATGCAAATTCTTGCTTTCCACCTGTGCGGGAAGTTGATCGCCAGTTCCTGTCACCACTTCTCCTGTAGCACCAATGTCTTTAGAGGCTTTGGGCATATCGGTGGCATTGGTGGCGGCAGTTGCAAGAGAAGCAGATCCTAGTCCGCCGGTGGTGGATTGGTCGGCTTGTTCGGGGTTGGGGACTGATGGCAGGATGTTGTAGTTGCCGGCGTCGTTGGGCATGGTTGTACCTGTTGCGGCCATGGAGGAGAGGTCGCCGCCTTGGTGGGGGTCGCTCGGCATGGTTGTGATGGGTTGATTTGTGGTTTCGTTTGAGGGTTGTTGGTTCTGGTGTCGCGTGACACGATTTTTTGTCTCGATGTGTTTGTGAAGGCTGAATTGATTTGTGGTGTTGATGTGATATCAAGGAAGAAAGAGAAAGAAAGAAAACTAACAACCAGTACATCAATCTGGTTTTTGTTCTTGCGATCAAAAATAAATGGGTTCATGACGTTGATATTTGGCAACGTCATGGACCACCTGAGTGGAACACTCGAAAAAGTGTGGAGAGGTGGAGCAAAACTACCATCATCAAATCCACCCGATCTATGGCTGCAGATCCAGATAAAGAAACCATACCATTTGCTTGATCCATCTTTTTATGTTTGCTGTCCTTGATTGTGCTGTCCTTGATTGTGAAGCTGCGCAAATCTCTGGCGATTTCCTCGAGTTAGCAAGACAAGTCGAACGACTCTAGCTCCTCCCCATATACCAAATTCTGTAACTCCACCGTACTCCGACTATAGCTAAGAGTAGAATGTATATTATAGAAAGGCATGATAGTTATCAGAGTAAAGGCGTATCCACGGAGAGTTGACAAGTTGTTGTCTCTCGGTGGATACTGTGCTGTTTCCCTGATAATGATCATTACCTTTCTATAGCCATACGCGTTACATGCTTTAGTATACGAAGAGGCTGTAGTCCATGGCATATATATTGATGACTCGTGACTGATACCAAGAACTGACTAAAAGATCTCAAATACTTGAAATTGTCTGTGGCTCGGTGTAGAATGGAAGACCAGATTTCAGTACTTGACCGTCTCATAAGGCAAATATGGATGTTCAAGTAGAGTAACCCTGACCTATTCTGAGCAGTATATATCATCGCTGCGGCTTCGAGAGAGAAAGCACTTCATGCGTTGTGTGACAAGAGCAGTCGGGGGATCATAATCTCTGGGGGAAGTCCACTGACGACTCTCGAGACGAGTAATTCAGAAGGATATCGAATATACATAGATTGTACAAGAAAGAGCAAAGACCAAAACCATATTGAACTGGAACGTCATGATAGATTTGAGAGATGAGCATTGGGAGGGACACCGAATAGACTCGATTGGGCAAGATGCCTGGTTCGTGATGCTTATCGAAAGTCGTAATGTCTGATGTATATCGCAAGAGCCTGATCCAGCAGGAAACATGTCTTTCTCAATTTCCTTCATCCTGCTTCCCTGTTGCAGTATTAACGCAAGCTCTGCCAAGTGGAACCATCCCAGTGTTGATGGATGCAAAAAAACTTGAATCCCATCCCAAGCTCAGCCACATCTGAGTCTCGTATCAGCGTGTTGGATTCGCATCTGCGTGCTCCCAAGCCGTGGACTGCATCTGCATCAAGCCAGAGTGGATGTGGAAGACCAGTCATCCTCATCGACGGTTTCTGAACCACGCACTTCATCATCGTCATCGTTCAACTCCATGTCCTCATCGTCGTCATCGCCTTGTCCATCGCCCTTCCACATCGTCATGTCCTTCTTGATCTTCTTGGTGGGGTAGCAGTTGCTCATCACGTGCCTGGCAAAGGCCTTCTTTCCCTTGAGTTCAGCCTTCTGAAGCTCAACCGCATGATTCGTGTTGTCCCAATGGCTGAAGAGCAATGCATCGAGTGCGTGAGCAAGCTCGCGGCTCATGTCGAAGTCTTGGATGAGGTTGTCCAGAGCGTTGCAGTGGCTATGTACCTCGGCCAGTCGGATCTCGATGTCGATGAGGGTCTTCTTGNNCGCTGTAGAGGAACAATTGTGATCAGTCTTTATTTATAGGGGAGTATAGGAACAGGCAAAGATGCATACCTCTTCATCACGGATTTGACGTTCACGTCTCTTGACGATCTTATTCAGGTTTTGCTTGATGGACTCTTTGAGGCTGCGAGGGATCTTGTAGGTGTTCTTGTACTGTTTGCTTTTGGTGACAGCCATTGTTGTTGTAGTTGGTTGCAGAGGTGTCTTGAGAGTGGAGTGGTTTTGTTGGTTGGATGGAGAGATCGTTGATGAAGGAGGTCGAGATCGTGGGATATTTGAGTGTAAGAAGGGTTGTCAATGGCAGATGGTAAATGGAGTTGAGAGAGGAAAGATGTGTAGACAGGAGGAGCACTTGTCAATTTATAAAGAGGAAGGAGTGATGTTGAGGTAACAATGAGGAAGTAGCCATGGAGGTGAATCGAAGCCTTCACAATAGGTAGTCGTGAATAACTCTATTGTAGTGCGGGATGCTCCGTGCATACTAGAGTCATTGTGAGATGGTGTGATTAGCTACAGTGATGATCGTAGACCGGAGTGAGAATCAATGAAGCCTGTTGTCAAGCACAATAGTGAGGCGTTGTCGAGGTATGTGGCAAGATCAGCGGAAGGAGCTCTTCGGTGGAGGAAGTACCTGCTCCTAGTGAAACGACTCGGTTATCAAACATTTTTGGCAAACTGCAGCGAGAAGATAGGACGGAAAAAGCCTTCTGATACGGCCTCGTAACAAAGATGCTAAGATTCTGCTGTCAATGCTCATCAAATCCTCCCATTCGAATCCCCAAATATACACACAAAAGATAAATCTTATCTACAACAAGCAGCAAGAATAACAGAAATGAAACTTTTTGATCATAGCTCGTTAAATGCTTTTTTGCGTCCCGCTTCAGCTCAAGCGATGCTGGGAGCAACACTGGCTGTGCGGCTTCGAACCTGCTTTTTTCTGGTATACTCGCTCCACTTGTGAGCGTCGCTGTAGAGAGCCATGCCGTGGCCGGTATCGCGGCAATGGCGCTCGAGACGTTGAGCGCGTGAGTCTCTGTACTCACAACCAGGGTGTGGGCAGGGAATGGCGGTCTTGTCGTCTTCGTGGACGGTTTTGCGGTGCTTTGATAGGTTTGAGCTGTCTGAGTAGCTGTCACCACACCAGCGGCATGAGAAAGGCTTTTCATTGGTGTGAGTGCGCTTGTGAGTTGACAAAGCTGTCTTGACACCAAAGACTTTGCCGCAACCTGGGAAGTCACACTTGAACTTCTTTTCTCGTGAATGTGTTGTCAAATGGTTGTTTAATTGTTGTTGAGTAACACAACGGTGGCCACAAATGTTGCAGGCAAAGGGCTTGACTGATTTGAATATGAGCATCGTCATCTGTGATATCCTTCGCATTGGAGACTTACACCGAGTGTGGTTCTGCATGTGACGGTCGAGATGGTTCTTCGTACCAAAAGGCGCGTCCTTCTCACATCCCTCCCAGCGACAAACGAATGTGCGGTTGGGCGTTTTNGAAGGCACCAGGGTGCATGTATGATCTTTAACATGGTTGTGCAAGTCCTCAATGGTAGCAAAAACACGATTGCATGGGCTGAGAACTCTGTGTCAGCAATTGAAACGACACATGCGAAGGAAGACCTTACCCNNAGTGACTTCGTCGTTCCATCTACATATAGCAACTTCATCCAGGTCCTTCGAGGCTTTATCTTGGCGTGCTTTAGTCTTGATGGCTGGCGACGCACTGGCAGTGATTGGCTGACTAGTCGAGGAGAATTGTGCCGATGAGAAGCTGTGAGAGAGATCCTGATGCCAGTAGTCGTTTGTGGAATAGTAAGGTGCGTTTAGGTCATTGAAAGAGCTTGATTCGTCGAGGCGCATACGTTTTCGTGGTGGGTAAGCACTGCAAAGTTTAGCTTGACAGTCTTGGAGTATAGTGATGACGAACAAGACTTGCCTTGTGGTGTTGAAGTTGTAACCGACATGTGGCATCAACGAGGCAGCTTCTATCAAAGACTGGAAATTGTCTGGTGTGGGGATAGAATCTGTCGTTGGTGTGCTGATGGTACTAGTCGACATGGTATCCTGGCTTGTTGTAGCTGTTGACGGAACCTTGTAGCCATATGGTTGTGTGCAGGCGGCTGCAGGACCAGGGTGGCAGATGGTGGTGGCAGGATGTATGTGTTGATCGTGACATAGCGCTTGAGGGCATTCGGTACCGGGAGGATGCGGTCGAGGACAGACGTCTGAAAGACAGCAGTAGAGGTGGTCGTCACTGCAAGTCGGATCGGAGCAAGGAACGGCGGTAGCGGCGCAGGCGGGAGTACATTCTCGAGCGTGTTCTTGATCGCAACCGGGTTCTTGACAGGTTATGTCGGTGCACACCCAATCAGCGGCATGACAGTTTGTTTCTGCACAGTCGAAGGTCTCGGTACAGTTGAAGGCGTCCTGGGAGCAGTGGAGGTCGGCATAGTGTGGCAGAGAATAGTCGTAGCAGATGGTGGCTTCATCGCAGTCGGGCTTGTCGCACGGCGCCGACAGAAAACATGTTCCGTGCTCGAGTCCACCCGTGGCAGACGAGGCACCGGTGTGTATAGGACCCTTGAACATTTGACCGGATGCCGACGCCGACGACAGGGCAGATCCGGGCGGCGGGAGCTGCTGGCGCGCCATGTGGTCGACGGCGTGGTGGTGGAAGGGCTTCCTTGGGCTGACGTTTTCGTCTGGTGTGAATGGCTGTTGGCGAAACTTGTTGTGCGTGGGGTCCTCCCGCGCCTCGTTTCCCNNTGCTCCCTCTGCGCTGAACAAATGCTCCATGGACGGATACATACCGTTCAAAGACTCGGTCCAAGCGTAGCCCATGTGCGACATGACGGATACTTGTTTTCGACGCTTCAATTGGACGGCAATCCATCAGGGAGCCATGCTCCTATCTGGTTGGTGTGCGAAAACACCTTGATGAAGCCTTGGCGTTGACATTACCAATGGCCCTCTTCTCTGCTCTTCTTTCCTCACAGCACTGTGCCAATACCTAACACTGGTACTCATTGGCAGAGAGATATCCACCGTTACACAAATTTCACTATAGAAATTTCCTTGCCCGGTACATGGCCGTGTGCATCTCTATTACTAGAAGACATGAAACTCATCAAGGTGGTCACGTGTTTCGAGAAGGTTTTTCGGAATATGTACGATGCACCTTGACCTGTCCTCGTCTCTTTTTCGACAATTCGGATGGATGTATCGCCCAAATCGATAAAACCTACCGAGAACATCGGCCATAGACCATGTATAATATTCGATTGGCGACACAAGTCGTATAACATAGCCAGCCATGAATAGGGGGTGTTCGTAGCTGCTCCCATGGGCCAGGGTCAACAAACCATGAGCATTGATGTACGTTGATCAACTTTATAGTCACATATCTATGCCCCATGAGACTACCTAGCTTTGAGTAGCAGTTGAGAAGTAGTACATTCATATCAAAAACTTTTCACCTTCACAGTACAGTCTTTCTCTTCTCCAAGATAATCCATTCAATTCCAAGACCCCCACAACCCCCACCAGCAACGCCACGAACTTCGCGTCCGCCGAGCTCACTCCAAGCCCATCTCTCGGCAAACCACCAACCAACATCATGTCCCTACCTTACCCTCTCGCTCCTCCTCACGCTCCCTAATAATCACACCTCACTCGCATCCCTAGCACAATGGGCAACTGCTTCGGCAAACAGAAATCCGACAACTTCTCGGGCGCAGGCCAAACCCTCGGCGCAACCCAACCCGCAAAGCCCGTGGTCTCAGCATCGCAACCACAAAAGCCCATTTCTGCTTCTTACTCGCCAACGCCCAAACAAGGACGTACGGTGGGTGGAGGTAGCGCATCGCCGAGTAGTGATCCGCGGGCTGCTGCTGCTTTGGCTGCTGAGGTATGACTGTTCTCGTATTCCCATGATAATGCGCAACTTAGAGCTGACTTGCGCGAAACAGNNGAACGTAATAAACCCAAGCCAGCAAAAGGAAAATTGGGCAAGCAATTGGAGGCACAAAAGGCACAGACACATAACGCGACTATGAATGAAGCGAGCAGAGAGGCGCTGTTGGCTAGAAACGCAGACGCCAATGCTGAGACCAGGGCATACAATTGAGGAAGAGCTGGGACGTACGATGATTACAATGAGTTGATGAGGTTAGGAGACGTTTTGGGGAGGTCTTGCATTCAGTTACAGCGCATTCATTGCGTTGCTTGGGTTTTCACGCGATTGGTATACCCCCTCTTCCTGCACCGCGGCTTGGAGGTTTTGGAGTTGTATATTTTGCGATGCATAGCAAGTTGCTTAGGGGTGGCATTCCTTTATTCATTGTGCCTTTCTGGTCCATCTTCTTCGTGGCAGCAGTGGCTGTGATCCTCCTTCTGAGACCCCTTTGGCACCCTTATCTGCCCAGTTGTCCCATACCTTGACAACATATACTGTACTGCCTAGCACAATGGCCACAGAGCGATAGCCAAGCTGACATGCTGGCCCAGCTCTAGTCGCATACAGCTGGTTCTCTCCAGACATGTCGATGGGTACCGTATGCAGCTCACCAGACGCCGAGTAGAGATAAGCTTCCCATTGCTCATTCTCATCCCCAGACGACGAGCTAGCCCCAGTACCTCGTCGCCTCCTGCGCAGGAGACTACCACTGTCTTTGGTCCGGATGACAGGTGAAGAAGGAGGACTTTGTGGTTTTCTGCGCAATCCTACGACAGCTTCTGTCGTGGACTCCCAAGACCCTGCATCAGCCAATTTGTGCTCGTTCTTCTCCCAGTGGAATTTCGCTGCGCAGTTACAGACAAGGTCTTCTGTGAAGAGTCCCAGAGGCTTGAAAGGCTCACCCTGAGCTGCATAAGTACGTACTACGCATTCTCTGGTCTCGATGTCTGTGAACACGAGGGAGAGGCTTTCGGCTGTCATGCCACCGCAGCTGAGACACTGGTTTCTGCCTGTATGTAACACGCGCACACTATTAGGCTTGACATTCGGGATGTTGAACGAGCCAGATTGTCGTATGCTGGGCGTGTGCAGTAACGTTATGGTGTTGGTCGTACAGATCAACGATGCCTCGACCTCATCGATGGTATGGAGACATTCGTTTGCACTGGCTGCTCTGTCAGACAATGGGCGAGGATAACCTAGAGGCATCTCTTTGAAGCTCCAGATGCCAGATGCTTTCTGCAACGCCGAGATGTGTCCATCTGGATGCAATAGTATAATCTTAGGAAGATGGCGTTGTGCCAAACTAAGAGAAGCAGCTAGTAGCTCTCCTTCAGAAACTCGGAATGTCTGAATTGAGTTGTTGTGGGTGTGATACTCCGTCAAGCGTCCGTCGGCAGAGACGACAGCGAATGAGACACCCTGTCCGTTAGGTGTCGAAGGAGAAGGTACAAACTCAAATAGGAGCGGCAGCTTCTCTTCGCTGTCAATCTCAAAGTCGTGTGTAAACTCGCCTCTCGACAAGCTTCCGAGCAAGACTCGACCATCATCTCCTAGAATGGCCATCCAATCACCTTTGTCGCTGATGCTGCATGCATGTATGGGCCACTTTATCTGCCTACACTGAGCTGGAGATGGATGTATCGTCGTGTAAGAGTTGCTGACTGGCTTGAACAAGAGAATCGAGATCGTTCGGTCTAGTCCTACGGACAGCATATGACCTTGCCGACTTCCAGTGATCTTGACGACGTCTAGCATGTGGCCGGTCTCAATCGCATGTACTGTCAACGGAAGATTGTCTCCTCCATTTTCGTACTCTGCATCTTCAGCTCTGTCATCCCACAAGAGGAAATTCATGAGGACGGTGACAAAAGCGACGACGAAAACGACCGCAATGGCGGTCGGGTAGAAGTGTTGTATGGCAACTCCACGAAGAGAATGCAGCCATGTCTCCTTCCGAAGAAGGATACCACTTCTATCAGCACCTCCAAGAGTTATGATCAGTGGGTCGTAGATTTTGGCAACAAAACCATAACCTCCAGGCCTGACGACTTTCATAAAGTGTACGGCATTCTCATAGTCTTGTGTGCGGAGCCAAGTTGCAGGGTGCCGGCTTTGATTCGCGGGTGGTGGTGATGTGCCGTCAAATGCAGTGATCGGCAAGGCTTGCTTCTCGAATAGACCTGGAAACACACCAGACGCCGAAGTACGAGGACCATGGGCTGTAAGATGCCAATTTAATGCCATGACAAAGCTGATGGTCACTGCGGATCCTGCCATCCGCGTCGAAAAAGGTACTCTGCCGTGGATCAGGGCGTCAATCCATGTATGTTTCTCGGACCTATGGGCATGATGATGACTATGAGCACGGTAGTGCCTTGGTCTTGGTTTTTGCTTCGGTTGCGTACTGCTTCTAGTGATCGAATCTTGCAGCTCCAATCTCCGAATATCGACACTGAGCACAGCAAGGAANAAGGTGAGCAGAAAGAAGTAGTCGAAAAGAAGCGCCACAGCAGCAAACGCACAAAATGCTGCAACACCTGGAGATACGACAAGAGAAAGTAACCATAGAATAAGCAGATTTTGTGCTGCCGAAGCTAAGGAAGAGTGTCCAATGTCGGCCATACCATTTGCAATTCGCTGTGTATTCATCATTTCTGGTGGGTACGCCACAACGGCATTGATTAATCTGAAGATATTTTCAAGTCCAATGACTAGTACCACAAAAGGATAGGCTTCCTGAGGAATCTGAGCAAGGTTTATCTGCAGTAATCCGCATATGGTAAAACTCGCAAGAATCGAGGTCGTCATCTGTGTGATAGCGGTAACCACGAGACCGAAACGACTGTGGAAAGCTTTCAGTCTTCGTAAACTCAAACCGACATAGATAAAAATGATGCCGTATGCCATGGCCAAGAGCGAGTTCTGACGGAAGCTGAGAGGCTGGATGCGGTACTCGAACAACTGGCTGTGTTCAGGTGTGCCGGCTCGTTCGTATTGAACAGGCAGACCAGATGATTGGCTAGCGACAATCTTAATGTTTCTCTGCCAAATCTCTCCTTTGGGGTCGTCGTTGCGGTTGAAGAGAGAGATGACGAGTGCATCCGCTGCCTCAAGTTGTGAGCCAGAAAAGGCTTTACCTGCGAACACAGATAATGGGCGTAGAGTGAAGTTCAGGAAGGAAGGCTGACATGAGTCTTCATTGACGGTTTGCAAGATATCTGGATCTGCTTCCAGACGAGCAAGAGAACTGTTCCAGTATGTCAATGGTGAATGATAGCCCCACCCCGGATGCGTGTCTCCACGTAAGCCAGAAACATGAGCCTCGGAGGTCTCACCAAGGATAGCGTTTTGCAATACAAACACATCTCGAAGCAGGTCTTTCTCGAGTGCTTTCATATAACTTCCATGGATCCATATTTGGCGCATTTCAAGATCATGAGGCTTATCAGCGTCTCCAGAAAATGCTCTTGTCGAAGCCCAGACATGATGGGGCAAACCGCTTAGTCCAGCAGCAGGGAAATCCGATTGGAAAACCGTAGGATATATCAACGAGACACCGACTGAGACTGAAACAAGCATACAAAGAAGCCAGTATCGAGCTGTGATGAGTCCATGACGATAAAAAGCCCTCCTGATCGGGTGATCGGATCTCAAACGAGGAGGATCACTCGTCCTTTCAAAGAAACTCACATCAATTCATGTTGTTGCAGATCTTGGCTCAAAGACTTACCCTCTGAACGGATAAAGCAGATACCATAGCATGTTAACGATTTCCAGGGTCTACCTGGTTGGAGAGTTTCGAGACAAGCCGTTTCTGTACCATCCGACAACGTGTGGCGGTGTTTCAACCCAATGGCATTTTGGTGCTTCCGAACACTTCTGAAGCACTTTCACACCGTTGTTTAGAGAGACGACGACATGATCGAATGGAACTGTTGAGTTATGCAGCTAGGCGTTCGGTTAGAAGGGGATGAAGTTTTGATTGGACACTCCGAAAGTGATGTGGAAGGCTTGGCTTGCAGTGCACGTACCATGTGCTTGAGCTCATACCTCACTCTTGAACTAGGAGTATATTTCTTGAACGACTCGACTTCATCATCTTTCTCAGTCGTAGCACCAGATCGGATCAGTTTGCCGTTATTCGCTGGTCGTGCCTCAGGTCAACATGATGATGTCCGATGGTCTGTTGATCTACTGTTCGGCAAACCCAGTGTCAATGTCTCTACCTCAAAATGCGTCGCCGGTAGCCTCGCTCAAGAGTGGGATCACAGCGTTCGATATAATCGAGAGGTGATGAAGATCCATGCGTAGGTGTGGTCCTAATAGATCGAATATCGGACTCGATCCAACATGAGATTCATGGTCAGAGGCATATATCGAAACGCCCGTGAGCATTCATGTTCTTCCATCGGCCATCGGAATCCTTGACATATGGTCCCTAAGGGCTGTTTGGTGAAAGGTATCACAATGGAGGTTGGCTTGAAGCGAAGGAACGAACAAAGTACTGGTACTGTCAGGAAAATCCACTCTTGTTGGAAACCCTCAAAGTATGCCGTCAGAAGACCGGTCATCATTCATGGTAGGAATTAGCGAATTAAGTATACGATGGCGAATGTGAGGCGTCTCTGAATTTTCTTAACCAGCCATTGTGCTACTCCCCGAGGGGTTTGCTGGACCTTTAGGCTACATCAGTTGTTCGAAGTGTCGACTCATTCGAGAGACTGGCATATTCGCCGCGCACGTTCGTTGTGTTGTTATTGTTCACTTCTGACGCGTCACTCACCATTATCAAAGGTCGTACAGATCTTCCCTCATCACATCGTCTCCACGAACAAAGCAAGGTAAGAGTTGCTCATTCCTGTTCATCTTTCTCTCGGTATCTGACACGCCTGCAGATGGCATCTCAACACAATCAGCATTATCGGGTTGTGCCTTATGCACGAGGACACTATGATCGTCTGTGCAAGAAGCATGGACACGTTCCAAGCACAGCCGACGTGGATGCAATCAAACATGTCATTGGCAAAGTGAGCAATCAGGTTAAACGCTTCGAACCGGGTTTGTTGTTCTTCCTCTCAAGATCAGCTGTTCGGTTCGAGTTTGGCACATTGCTTGTCGGCTGGGAAAAATGCGCANACGGTACAAAGCTTCCAGTGTGGTTCAAACCCTCAACTACTGGAAGGAAGTTGTTCCCTGTTGCTGGTGGGCCTTTGAACTCGCTCTACGCTCCCGGAGACCGCGTTTGCGACGGATGGCATCCTGTCATATTTGACATCGTCAACTCCACCAAGAACACAAATCGTGCTCTGCAGTATGCATATCTCAGAGCTTGCATCAAAATTCTGGAAGCCACTGTCCCGCCACCATCTATTGAGAATTTGCAGCCGGCCCTTCACAGCTCTGCATCACCGAACCCGACTCCGGTCGTCCCTTCGAGTGATGATGAAGAGCTCGAGATTCAGCGTGAACCAACTGCCGTTCCTATTGGCCCCTCGCCTTCTCCTGTCGTCGATTTGACCGGTCCTGACGAAGAAGTTGATATCAAGCCCGAAGCAGCACCCACTTCCGCCGAAATTCCACAAATTCTGGATGCTAGGGTCGAAGAGAAGGTTCAAGCCTTTCGCGAGAAGCTCGATAACAAGGAGGTCAATCAGCTGCAGCAAATGTTGGAGAAGCAGTCTGAGCTTCCATCCTGGATCATGGATCTCGCCAAGGAGATACTAAAGGATAAGATGCTCAGAGAGCTGGAGCTAGCTGAAAGGTTGCTTCTATAACCTTCATCAAGTATCGTACGTATACGCGTAAGGTTTTGCAACTCGTGGATAACTAACTCACGTTGAGCAAGTAGGAACCCTTGGCATGTACACACAAGAAAGTTGATATTATCTCGTCAATCCTGTGGTACTGAAGTCGAATGCATCCTCCAACCTTTCCTCATCACTTCATTCAACACACACAATGGGTCACCGCCTCAGCAAATTGAAACGAAAGGATCAACCACAATGTCGATTCTGCTCCTCCACGCCTCCACCATCATACAAAGAAACCGAAAAACACGAAAAGACCCCACTCGAACAAAACGAAAAGACCCTAGTCGAACGAACCGAAAAGCCTTCCGTCGATCAAATCGAATATCCGACCGATTTCGTCTTTACGTTGGAATCAGACGTAGATCGTCTTTTCGACTTGGGAATGCCCAAAATCCAGCGTGCTGCCGCCGATCTCGAATCCGCTCGCCGTATACTCGTTGCTATACACCACAAAGATGTCAGAGCTCTGTATGATGCGTTCGCAGATGCATCTTTTGTTCAAGACTTGAAAAGCATTAGTGGTTGTAGGGTTGGTTTCCTCCCGGTAGATTCCAGTGACAATCTCGAGCTCAGCGTCCAACTCGAATATTCGGACGAGTATTGCAAACAGCTAGTCTTGACGCGAAATTGGCCGGATAAAGTCAGTAAACTTGATGAAAGCGACTCGGAGGAACCTGGTAGTCCATGCGCTTCGCGGTCTACTTGTTGTGTTTCATAGTGGAGGCCTTGATTTGCTACTGTCTCGTCCACGTATTTGAATTTTGTCCTTCCGTTATGTATGTTACGTCGAAAGCTGGGGACCATTGGAAAGAACCCACGTGAAAAATAAACGCAAAGCCCGCAAGGCGAGTGACTGTGGCCAAGAGATGATACAAAAAGCGTTTGTCATTTCCTTAGTATCGTACCTTCCGACTCAACATACTGCTTACTACCTTCGAGAACTCGAATCCTTGACATTGAACACCATGGGCCATAACCACAGTACACCAAGACACCAGCAGCAGACCGCGTCGTCTTCCCTACCAAATGACTCCACAGATCTCCCTCCGACGTATGCAGAAGTTTTTGAGAGCACCGCACTCACGAGAGACCATTCTTTGGCTACACCAAATTCACAGAGCAACGAAGTCGTCCGACTAACGCAGGAACTGCGCTCCAGGGACGAGACAATCCGCAACCTTAAAGACGAGTTCTTCCTAGAGAGAATCCGCCACCGTAACAGAGCATCTCAATCCAAGACCATCGGCGCAGGCTATGAAGTTAAGCTCGACGAAAAGCTGCTTGCAGTGAAAGATAAAGAGCGAGAACTGCTCCAGACGCTTAACCAAGTACGTTCAGGAAAACGATACACAGAGTCGGTAATGGCCTCCTTGGAGCGACAAGTGAGGAGCCTCAAGCAGGAAGTTAGACAAAAGACCAAAGATGCGCAGTCACTGGAAGAACAGCTGGAAGAGTCGAAGAAGCTGGTCGAGGACAAGGCTTCTCAAATCAAGATTCTCGCAGCCCGTGCCTTCGATGCAGAAACCAGTCCAGGATGTAAAGAATGCNAAAACTGCAAGAATCTAGAGCAGCAGCTTCAGGACATCAAGACCAAAAGTACTGCAGAGATAGAAGATCTCACAACCGAGACATCCGCCCAAGGATGTTTGATCGACTTCGACAATCGCTATATCGAAACACTGTACAAGAGGATGCGAACCTGCCGAATTGACAGCATGCGAGTACCACCAGACCTCGACACCGAAAAGAAAAAGACTGAGTGCCTGAACAAGGCCATTGAAGGCTTCCGCAACCCGTTCCCAGAGCAAAGATCACATAACAAGTTCAAGGCAATTCAAGTGCAGCAAGAAATAACACACATGTCGACGGCGGCAGCCATTGAATATCGACGTCAAATCGTGACAAGGCATATACAAGAGGCGTATACTGAGCTACGGCTCGCCAGGGCTGAAGCGGAGTGCAGAATTGGTGATCCTTTGCTCAGGAATGACGATTACCATTCTATCATACAACAAGAGTTCGATGACGTCGTAAGATTGTCCAGTGAGTGCTACAAACTAGGACTACAGCAGGCTTCTAAAGCTCTAACAGACAAAGCGCTGAAAACGATGAAGCCCAGTAGTGATATCGATGTAGCCGCTGGTGGAAAGGAATGTTAGTCTTTGTCACAGGTACGGCGAATGAAGATCAACTTTGAGTTGTGGCAGATATCTGTACACGAGAAGACTTTCTGATCGAAATATTGTTTGACAACATAGAGACAAGCTTGGAATATCTCACATAACTTTGATGGAAATCCCTTGTTAACATGTCGCTGAAGGAGAGATGGTGATGTGAAGAAGTCTGAAGCATACCTTGATGGCAGGGTCACTGACGGCAACCGAGAACCTCGGCACCCCGCGAGCGACCCCAGATTACCTTCGCATTGTCACATGCCAACAACATGACTTCTTCGTAAGGAGTAAACTCCTTCAAACCGCCTTTTGTGCTCTCCCACCTACCTATACAGCGATCTCACCAATATCTAGTATGGCTCAAACAACACCCATCCCTTTCTCGGAACCGCCCTACCTCTGCGGCCTGCCTTCACCCTACTACACCGCTTCTCACCTCGAATGGCAGAAGAAATGCCGCGCCTTCATAACCAAACACCTGACCTCTCACGCCATGGAATGGGAGACCGCCGAAACCGTCCCCGAACACGTCTGGCACGACTTCTGCAAAGCCAACATGCTACTTCCCAGTCTTCCCGCCCCTCTTCCTGTAGAAAGATTAAAGAGCTTGGGCATCCACGATATCTTGGGTTTGCCAGTGGAAGAGTTCGATTACTTCCACAATGCGATTTATACGGATGAGATGTTGAAGTCAGGCTTGGCTGGCCCTGGTGGTAGTTTGACAACAGGAATGGCGTTTGGTGTTCCGCCGTTGTATAAGTTTGGCAGTAAAGAGTTGCAGGATAGGTTCTTGCCTGATCTGTTGACGGGTAAGAAAAGAGCTTGTATCGCTATTACGGAGCCCGGAGCTGGAAGTGATGTTGCCAACATTGAGACCACGGCTGTCAAGAGCAAGGACGGAAAAACATATACCATCAATGGAACTAAGAAATGGATCACGAACGGTATCTGGAGCGAGTTGTCTTGCATGGCTGTCAGGACTGGTGGACCTGGGCCAGGTGGTCTGTCCTTGATGGTCGTACCATTGAAGGGGCATGAAGGTGTCAGCATGAGAAGATTGAAGGTTAGTGGCCAGATCAGTGCTGGCACCACATACATCGAGTTGGACGATGCAGTGGTGCCAGCAGAGAACCTGATTGGAGAGGAAGGAATGGGCATGAGATATATTATGACCAACTTCAACCACGAACGCTTGACCATTGCCATCGGCTGTGCAAGACAAGCAAGAGTTGCTCTGAGCGCAGGTATGTGATCATCTTCTGTCATGACCTAGAACAATTTTGACTAATTGAACACCACCANNGCATTCGAATACTGTCTAAAGAGAGAAGCCTTTGGCAAATCTCTCATGGATCAACCAGTTGTCCGCCACCGTCTCGCCAAATGTGGCGCACAACTCGAAGCACAATGGGCGTGGACAGAAAGTTTCGTCTACTCCATGGTCAAACTACCAAAGAAAGACGCCGATGTCGAGCTCGGTGGCCTCACAGCTGCCGCCAAAGCTCAAGCTGGTGTTGTGTTGATGGAATGTGCTCAATGTGCGGTCTTGCTCTTTGGCGGCAATGGATTCACTAGATCGGGACAAGGCGAGATCGCCGAGAGTGAGTCACCAGTTCAGATTCTTGAGATGTTGAAAATGCTGACGGCGAACAGAANNATGTGGAGAGAAGTACCCGGCAACCGCATCCCTGGTGGAAGCGAAGATGTCTTGTTTGATCTGTCGATCAGGCAATTGGTTAAGAACTACCAGAACAAGACAAAAATGCTCGAGAGACCTCGTGGATCTTCGAAGCTTTAAAGTAAAACACGCAAGCTCTGATTCTAGACTTTAGTGGATACTGTTACTTGTAGTGAGATATAACTTGGAAAGTATTGGTAACATTGCAATTGGGGTATCTTGTGGTTTTCTGATCGTGGCCAACGTGACGATGTTGACTCCTGCACTTCTGTGTTGTCTGGGTTGCTAGTGGTCATGAAGATGACGTTTGACCTTTGAGGTACTCAAGAAGAGCGTCTTCCGACACCACGAGTACGATGCACCATCATCGAGCCGGCGGTCTGACCATCGCGCACATGATGAGCCAAGATGTCCTGCGAGGCCTTGAGTGAAGACGCAGGCGCGAACGAAGAATTCGGTGACGAAGTTGGTATCTCTTGTTCTGCTGTTTCAGTATCCACAACAGTAGATGGCGTATGGCCGACCAGTGGCTGATCGCTAGCACGCTGGTCCCGAGCATACTCCTCATCAGCCTACAAAAACAGATCAGCACCACTTTTGTTAAGAACTTGCCAATGCTGGTCACATACTAGCGTCTCGATCTCTCCGTCAGCGATATCAGCCAGGTCCTCAATCTCCGTCTCAGCCAGCGCAGCAGATAGTTCATCTTGATAGTCTTGCGGCATGGTCTTTTGTTGTTCTGTCTTGAGTTCATCCAGTGATTCTCGCAGCTCTGCTAGTACAACATCTGTTGTTGTGTTTTGACCTTTGGGATGCAGTCTTCGGGATTCGCTCCAAGTGTGCTCAGCACGTAGACGCAGACTCNNTGGGATTTGGTGATTAGGGGTTTATTACATACGAAAGATGGTTTCTCTGCATACCTCTTTCTGGCGCCATTCTTTGTTTGCTGAAGCTAGAAGAATAAGTGTTTTGATACGGTAGTAGCGAGGGAGATCGGTGTCCGCCAGAAGAGCTTCGCAGGCAGCAAGACCCGCGTCGTTGTTTCCAGCATCTATGGCGGTTTTGGCATCTCGGTAGTGTTTTTCGTATTGCGAATGTGCCATGGTGATAGTTGATAGTAGTGATGGTCTTCGTTGTGGATGGTCGAAGATGGAGATGAGGAATCGCAGATCGTCGTGGCGATGTCACTTACAGCGCGTTTGAGCTTCACACGCGATTGTCTCTGTTGCCTAGATGCTTGATTGATTTCGAGATCTCCTCTCTTCGACAAACGCTGTAGCTGCGATACAAGATGAGTGTCTGATGATTGTTTGACTGAGCAACGACGCTCAACAGAAAGGTCAGTCAACACCTCGAAGCACTTCAATCTCACGTTGCGCCATTGTATATATAACCACGGACTATTCTAACAGTTGTCACTACTAACTTCGCGCCTCTGGCTTGACATCACAGATCTCAGTCATATCAGGATGCTTGTGCTCCTCATTGACATCTCTGGATATGATGTTCCCAGGATGGAGTGATATTCAATCTCTATTCCAAAACCCCACATTGCGATAGGCGAAAAGACGGCTGGTTGTGGATAACATGCGCAGGAACGAGTTCTGTGGATTTCGATAGCGTCCCTCGTATGTGGACTCAACCATACGACGAGCCCGAACACAAGTCACTGCAGAGTTCCGTTGACAATCTGTAAGCTGCTCTCCTGCAGTGAGTGATGCGACCACTATATACCATTGCCGACGACTCAAGGAAATGTTGTGTACGAGGGTCAAACACGAGTTTGAAACCTGACAGGCTCCTGGTGACGCGCATGATTTTGCCGATCAAAATTGCCCTGGGTCAGTTGCTCAGCTTGTCAGCATGAACTTTGAGTCTTTTGGCGGGCTGAAACGACAATAATTTCCAAGTCCACGGCGCGGCGGACAAGATGCTGAGGCCGGATCGTCAAAGGTCCGAGACAGAAACTCCTGGGCAGTGGAGCCCGCTAATGGAGAGGGGCTGGCGACAGAAAACGTGCCCGCCCTTTCTGACAAGGAGCTGAACGCGTCGCGCGACATGCAAGTAGTATGATGAGCATGAGATGCAAGACTGTTGCAAGAGTAAGTTTGGCTGTATAGTGTCTATGTCATATCGAAGGAAATCACAGTGCAAGGAATGACGGTAGAAGCACTCTATCTGCAGGCAGGATACGATCAAGCAATTCCCTTTGAACGGCGTTCACGGAGCGAGCAGAGAGGATACGGGAATACATGCGGGCCGACAAGGGATGATGGGCGGGGCAGATGGTTCGGACGAGATGGATGATCGTCTTTTGGCTGTTTGCTTGATGCTTGTCTTGGGACAGGGCTTTGTTGCATGTTGCATCAACATTCTCCTTGCTGCCGCGCTTTCCTTCATACCACCCCCTTTATCGTAGCGCCAGCATCTTTCTCTTGTAAGACCTTGCGGCTGCTGCATTTGTGTTCAGCCACGGATCGAATTTCGCGCAGTTGACCTCCGCATTTCGTCAACGTTTTGTCGCGGCGAGCCACATCGGGGCTTGGAAACGAGTCTGGAGCATATCGACTTGGCTAGCTTGGCCTCATTCCCAGAATAGAGCGCGTGCTCCCTCGACGTCGCCCTTTGATACGAGAGGTCGCTCCTTCTCTCACTCTCGTCAAACTGCCAAAGCCACTGGATTGCGCTGATCGTCTCGACACTGGCACTGACACTGACACTGTTCCGGCACGGCAGAGCAGAGCAGAGCATTTTCAACACTAGCAGACGTCATCCGTAGACCACGCCATTCCACCCCTAAACAGCCTTTCTTCATCCATATCGCCCATTCTACTCTATCCGACCACCGACCCTTACCCTCAGGCACTGGCTGCTGGAGAACAATGCATTTCTTGATCAAGACTCTTTTCTCGTAGATCCACGCTCACATTCAACAAAGCATGGCCCTCCACCGTGGCATCCAATCCGCCATATTCTACTACCTATCATGTGCCCCCTGTACCGGCTACTCATACCGCAAGAAGAGAAGAAAGGAGGCCGACCGTGATCGCATTGCCAAACATGCTCTTGAGATGGAACAACCAGGCCTCTATCGCCATCCTAGCCCCTTTGCGACAAACGTTCACTGGCAGACCGAGATCGACCTTGGTCCCAGTCCCGCACCTGGAAAGCGTCGAGGTCAGAAGAAGGGTCGCGTACGGACAAGTGACGAGAACGCTAGCAACGTCGCAAGCAGTGTCAATCTCGGCCTGACGCAGAACGAGAGCAACGACAGCACATGGAATCTGCGCAATTGGCAACGGGACGATGACGATGATGACAACTACTGGGGCTCCAACTATCCCTATAGAAACAGCCGTCGACCCTCGACCAATGGTGCCAGCACCGTCAGCCGTCCCCTTACTGCTCGCACAGCCACTACGAATCGATCAGCTGCGACCAGTTATTATTCCGCTTCGAACCCTCCCATCAACGAACTACATCCCCCAATCGTCACACGTATGGACACCAGCGCCGATGTCATGTGGATGCTGCAACCTCCGCCTCCTGCTCGTACCGCTCGAGGTGGGTCAAGGACTACCCTTGCGAGGGNNAGCGATAGCGGCGCTAGCAGACCCAGCACAAGGCGAGCCACAAATGAGAATCTCTCGCGACAAGTCAGCCAGCGCATCGTCGACGAGAAGCTACGGAACGGTCAATCACCTTCTGTGGACAGCCTGAATCCAACATCATCAACAGACGACTTGAAGACGTCAAGGCGACGCAGGCCGCCGCCGCCTATCAATATACAAGAAGATTCGTCTAATCCTCGCGCTCTCATACCTGTTGGACCTCCTGTGACAGACTCACGACCTAAGAATTCACCAAACAACCATCTTCTCCCTCCGCATCCTCTATCTCCCGTACTGTCAGCCAAGTCCTCTGAGCGTTCTCGCAGTCGAAGTCGTAAGCGCAATTCTTCGGCCGAGGACCGCAAACCCCGCNCGAATGACATGAAGCGTCAGGATAGCTCCCTCAACGTTCTGCAAGAACTTGTGCCGGCCAATTCACTGCTTAATGCTCAGAAACTAACCAAGGCTCCTTCCTTCGAGGCTCGCATTGAACTCCCTACAGCCGATCAATATGAAGAGATGATGCTGCTAGGCAGTGGCAAGGCAGGCTTCGATGACTGGTACGAGAACAAGGACTTTGGTACTTTCAATCAGTGGGCTGCCGAGAGAGTGCGCCGAGATGTGACTGCCCGCTGGAGCGTGGACTTCTAAGTGGCGGCTCCCTTTATCTTCATCGACTTTTCAACCTTTCGACTTTACGTTCGTGTCCATACCCACGTTTTGCAAGATCGAAGCTTGCATGTTCCATCACACTTTACGGCGTTATCACAAGGAGCGAACCTATCACGACCAATCAGCAGTGCTGAAATTTCACGACCTTTTTTCCCCTTGACTCACTCGTTGTCCTCTTTTCATTATCTTGTTTCCCTTTGCTGTCTTGTCTTTTTGGGGTTGTCACCATCTTGCGCGGCGTTCAGGAAAAGAGAATCTGCCATTCCAGGTGCATTTCTAGCCAGTGTACAATGCATTTGGACAATTTTCGTACACTTCATGGCGCCTCGTTGTTGTTTTGTTTTCAACCCTCTTGATGTCTTGCAAGAGGTCAACGCAGTCGTTTGGTTTTTCTGTACTTTCTTGGGTAGCTTGATCAAGCCACTCGGGACCCCTGAATAAGAAAAATACATGAAAATTCCTGACTCAATATACATCATGTGTCCTTCGTCACCTTCTCTGTTCACTTACCTTGAGAACCATCAGTTGTGTAGAGGTTGTCCTAGACCTGATTGAGACGTCAATCGGGTTCAACTTGTTGTGCATCACCAAGTACTCGTGATGCTAGTAAACATGTTTCTCAAGCAGAGGTCTTCAAGACAACACGAACATATATGCGTAGCCACATCCATCTCATGATCTGCTAGCCAGCTCAACCACCCTCTGCGCAGCCTCATGGAACCCATCAAAAGCCTCCAGCGGCAACCCACTCTCAGCGATCTTCTTCTGACCCACCTCTTCATTAGTCCCTCTCAATCTCACAACCACCGGTATCCCTTTCATATCCACTTTTTCAAATGCCATAATGACACCATCAGCAATCATACCACAATCCGTAAGTCCACCAAAGATATTCACAAAAATGACTTTGACACGCGGGTCCCTGAGGATGAGTTCAAAAGACGTCTTTACGGTCTCCGAAGTTGCTTTTCCGCCTGTGTCGAGGAAGTTTGCGCATTTTCCGTTGTGAGGGGGGNNGAGGAAGAGGGCGTCTACTGTGTTCATAGCTAGACCTGCTCCGTTTACCAAAGTGCCGATGTTTGCTGTATCGTCATCGGGGTGCAGTTTCACGAAGACGATGCCGGATTTTTCGGCTTCGACTTCGACGGAGGGTTCGAGGGATGTGTCGCGTAGGGAGTGCAGGTCGGGGTGTCGTTTGTTGGATCTGAAGGCTGCGTCGTCGTAGAAGAGTTGGGGTTGGGAGAGGTTTAGAGTGCCTGAAGGGGAGATTGAGAGATTGACGGCTTGGCTTACGGCTTCTTGCTCGCGATATAGATCTGCGAGTTTGGAGATGAGTTTTGCCGTTTGTGCGTGAGCAGCGGGAGGTGCGGCGTCGAGTTGCAAGTGCTGGATGGCTGCGAGAATGGTCTCTTGGTCTGGACCTTCGAGATAGGAGAAGGGGAAGCGGCGCAGACGATGGTGGAGTTTGCGAGGGTTGGCAGATGGAGAGGTAATGATGCAAGGTGAGCGGCTAGAGCGGTCGACTGAGATGCTCAAGTATACGCTGTCTGCATTGTTTGGTGTTTCCTCGGTGATGTTGAAGCCTTTCAAAGACTTGCTCAGATGGTCTACTGCTTTCTGATTACGAAGATGCAGAGTTCGCTGTTGATTTGTGCCGAAGTTTGAAGCCTGCGAGGTGACTCTTGGTCGCACTCGCCTCATAGTGTGCAAACCTCTTCGTTGGTTAGCGACTGCAGATTGTTGGATCTTGCTCACGTCCTTTCCAGCTTGCTTCAACAAGCCTTTCATGACGTTGCCGAACTTCTCAGGGTGATCGACCATGGTGACACCTGCATCCTGCAAGATCTTGTACTTTTCCTCAGCGGTAGCCTCGCCAACACCAGCCCAGGCACCAGCATGACCCATCACTCTACCAGCAGGAGCCATTCTGCCTCCAACAAGAGCAGCTATGGGTNNCTTGAATAACTGGTTAGCACGATGAAGTACGAGAAACTATCTTCGAACTTACTTCGGGTTCTTTTCGCGGCGGTAGTAGTCTTTAATCCAGTCTGCGGCCTCTAGCTCAGCACTTCCTCCGATTTCCCCAACCAGAACTATGGCTTCGGTATCAGGATCGGTCTCGAAGACCCGCAAAGCGTCAACGAAATTTGTGCCTGCTACGACATCACCGCCCATGCCGATACACAGACTCTGGCCAAGACCAGCACGAGTTATTGAGGCAACGGTTTCGTAGCTCAGAGTGCCTGACTTGGCTACGATTCCGACGTGACCAGGAGAGAATGTTGGTAGCGGTTGGAAGCCTATCCTGCAATGGCCGATCGCTGATATGATACCTGGAGCATTCGCACCGACTACTCGACTTTTTGATTGCGTCTTCAGAATTGACATGATCTTCTATATGTCAGCGTGCATTTCTTTCTTGTCCTTTTATTTGCTTCGTACTCGTAGGATATCATGGAGAGGGATATGTTCGGCGACCGCAACAATCAGAGGGATCTCTGCCTCGATGGCCTCCTCAATAGCTTTTCCCGCATGAGGAGCAGCCACATAGATTGCAGTAGCATCCGGCTTCAACTGCTCCTTGGCCTCCNNCCTGACAGTGGGGAGGACCGGCAATCCCAAATGTTCTCCACTACCTCCTGGTTTCACACCACCAACAATGTTGGTTCCATATTCGAGAGACTCCTTGGCGTTCTGTGTTGCGACTTTTCCTGTAAATCCTTGGTATAAGACTCTGGTGTGTTTACCGATTTTCAGGTTCTGAACTGTATCCTCATATGATCTCCTAGATATCGAAGTCGAGAAGCATCTCGCTCTTGGCGATCGCAGGAGACTCGGAGTGAAACGCGGCACAGGCATTTCGGGTTCCTCTAAAACGAGTAACGTACAAGTATGACTTGATCACGTTGTGGAAGGAGACCTCGATATATGAAGCAACGGCACAGTGAGGTGGAGTATCGGCATCAAGTAGATCTTACCGGCCGAGGCCGGAGGGAGCATGAAACTGAGTTCATATCGTCAAGCACATTGTCGCCTGTATACTTTTCGTCGGACGTCGAAACCTACAAAAAGTCGGAACTTAGATGTACGGTCTCGTAGACATCTGACCCCGACAACGATATCGTGTACTTGTAGAGAAGATGAGTACAGAACAGAGGTGATGTCAGTAATGCCAAGACTATGATATCCCCGCAGATCTCGAGCAAACGTGGGGTTCGGTTTTGGGTTTGCGATTTCACGTTCTGGCTTGAGCTTCGAGTCGCATACCATTTTTGAGACTCGATCCAGAACAATTATTCCCCTTTCCTTTGATCTTGCTTGCTGGGAGTTTGTCAATCATCCTGAACTCCATCCACCCTACATTGCTGCTTGCCTTTACCTTTCCGATCATCTCTGTCTCATCACGGCAACGGCACCATCATGGCGAGCTCTCGATCGACCAACGGGCTATCTCAGCAGATGGAGAAGATGACTGTGAATGGCAAGCGCCATGCCGATACCCCTCGTTACACTCCGCCGCATCGAAAGTACGCTCAAGCAAATAAGTCTGTCGAGACTAGCACCGCCGGACCAGCCAAGGATGCGAACAATACACCCGCAATCGCACGCACTACATCTGAGAAGCCTGTTAAGCCGGAAACTATCGCTGCTACCGAATCCAAGGTCACAAAGGAGACAAAAACCACACCCGCTGCCGCACCATCAAAAGAGTCGGATACAGAGCCCAAACCAAAGACCACAACCAGAGCCATGGCTCCTCATCGCAAATACAGCAAACCCACTACCGAAGTCGCAGACTCATGGGAAGAAGAAGCGTCAACAGACCGAGAGCCTTCAAGCACTAGCGCTACCACCCACATCGCAAACCCAACTTCTGAGCCAGCACCAGTGCCAAAATCATCCTACGTTCCTCCTCATCTCAAGTACCGCTCTGCTGCACCCTCACCACCTAGTCACAGTGTCACACCACCTTCGCGCAGTGGCACTCCCTCTTCGAGCGCTTCCTCTGAACGTCGTCCCGAAAAGACAAACGCTGTCGCCCATCGCTTGATCGCTGGTGCTCTGGGTGTCAAGGTACCGAGAAGAACAGAAGAGCAGAGAGCCTACGACAAAGCTATGAGGGAGCAAGAGAAGAGAAAGAGAGACAAGGAGAGAGAAGCCAAGAAGAAAGCAGAGGAAGATGCTGCAAAGGCGAAGGCTGCCATCTGGGATGATTGAAGCGGTCGTGGACGGAGACAAGAAACTACAAATTTGGCATTGATATGTCTGAGAGCCGGCTTCCAACGGCTTTAGGCTAGGACCAGCGGAAATGCTTGAAAAGATCAGGCTCAATGGGTATACATGAATCACTCAGAGCGCAGAGCTCGAAGGGAAGGAAGCGCATGCATATGTTGCATCGGGAGCACAGAGGACGAAGGGGATTGCATTATGACCCTTCCTAGCTGATATCATCACGAAGCAAACGACAGATAGGCAGCATATCGGACAAGCATCTAAGGACACGTCAGGAGACTTTGGCAGAGCAAGCATAGTAAGGAGCAATGAATGAGCCTCGAGGAATTTCAACGACAATCAAATCTTTTGATGATAGCTTGGTCGTTCTGTGCAAGTCTTCAAGTGGAAAAAAGTAGAATTCGGGGCAGGAGGGCAGCGCCACGCTCTTCTGTTGGCAAGAAAAAGCAGTCGCAGAAAAAGCATGCCCCGATTCGGACTGGTATAGATAGACCGCCCTGATTGATCATAACTCCAGCTTGGAAACAAACGCCAAGGTGCACCTTTGAGGGTACGCGCATTCTACCTCCCTATGTCCTTGCTTGCAGACGCATGTTCCCCGAGTATTTCTTGTTGTAGTGGTTCGTGGTGTGAGAAAGTGCTTTAGCAGCCACCGATCTGTTCCTGGTGGACCTCGAGGGTATCGCCGTCTTGCATATCAAGNCTGTGAGGAAGGTGTCAGTCATGGAACCAAGATAAAGTGCGGACGCGAGGGTGTGGGAATGCAGGAGAACTCACAGTCTCGGGGTTGTCGGTGGGGTTGACTCTCTGCCCGTCGAAGAGGAATCGCACGCTGGTGGGAGCTTTTCCTTGACGCTCGCAGAAAGCATCCATGAGCTTCTTGAGCTGGGTGGTGCGCTTGATCTTGAAGTAGACTTCGTTGTTGTTGTCGGTCACCTTGATGTTAAGGTGCTCGCCGCCCTCGGGCTTTTGAGGTGGTGATCCAGTGTCAGACATGTTGAGTTGTGCTGTCGCGGAGCGGTCGTGTTAGATGAGGTTGTTGTAGAGAAGTTTGAGGTGAGGTGTAGAAGAGAAGAAGTACCTTGCGAAGGCGGGTATTTGCTGTTGTAGTCGTTGTCGGCTCACGTGGTGGCGCGAGTTAAGAGTGTTGAGTTGATGGAAGCTGCGACGAGCTGCGATGAGGTGGTGAGTTTGGTGGCCGAGTGAATGCGAGAAGTGTTGGACGATGGGTTTACCTGATGAATCTTTGCGACGTGAGTGAGAGGTGTGAAAGACTTGAACAGCTGAAAATGAGAGGGCAGCAGTGACGACAGTTCGCGCTCAATTGAAGCAGGCACACGCGGGGTCTTTTGTGAGGCGCCTTCCTCAAAGTCCAACAATCATTGAAGCGTCTGGAAGTTGCATATCACACGAACACGACGACTCGACGTTTCACAGAACTTGCTAGAACTATTTCTCGATTTCTTTCGGTTCTCCAGCTGTTCTCTTGTCCTTCACTTTACACTTCTACAAGGCTCTCATAACTGCCTCACTTTCCAATCATGGTATGAGGTCATGACAAAGACGCTTTTCATTCCGATTCTCGAAAGTGCTTGCTTGTGTTGAGGCTAATCACAACATGTAGGGTATGGAACAAGATCTCAAGACTGACCCTCCGTGTCATCCTCGCGCATGTGCGATTCAAGGTATGAGGCTGGATTGATGTACTGTTCGGAGAAAGTCCGTTCACAAAGCGGCAGATTGCATACAGAAGAATGGCTACGACGAAAGCAAATGCCAAAAGCAGGTACGCCATCGAACCTCAATCCATGCGCATGACATCGATACTGATCGTTCCCAGATTGATGCTCTGTACGAGTGCTGCAACGCCTTTTACGAGAAGAATGGCGATAGCGCATCAACTGTGAGTTGCCCAAAGGCTGGACTCTTGAGGTAAGAACGATCCATCACTTCTTTCTCTCGAAGACATGTTTGTTGACATGCTCTTCTCTCTTTCAGATTGAAGATGAGACAACGCGCGCAAGGAATCAAATAGACCATGGCGACACACTCACGCAAAAATGTACAAGTTCTAGAATAGAGATTTCACACCCGTGTCCATGCTGCATTCCCATCTCTTCCCGAAAGAAGATAGATACAATTAGACAGAAGGCGTATTTGATTCTGCGACCACCGGAGCACGCTATGGAGGCCTCATGGACCTGTACAAACATTGAAATGTCGTACCGAGACTCTAAGGGTGGGCGACTGACATTGTTGACGGAAGAAAGAGGGTTTGGGAAAGCAGACTTTTTATACAGTGTGAGTGGTCTGTGCGTCCGGTTGACATGACTTGTCTAGACTATCACCCTGTCATCTGTTTCCAGAAAAGATATCACGGTACAGCATCGTCACGTATGATCATGAACCACAATATATGCTTTGGGAGGATGGTTGGGTATCTGTCCAGATCCTTTGGGATCAAGTTGAGGCCGTCTTGGAGCACCCGAATCGATAGAATGAACCTCATCTTATCAATTGAAGCTGTGTCAAAAGGCGGGTTGCAACGTCAACCTTTCTGGCACGAAGCATCCACGACTTTCACAAGAACACATATCAAGATAACACCGCTCAAGCTCATCGAACAGTTTCCAACATCTGTCAATCATATAGTCGCGTCACGAAGAAAACCACGAACCCAAGAAAAACGATCATGGCACCTAAGCAAAAGATCATTATCGACTCCGACCCAGTACGTTAAGCAACATGTTACGACTCCATATATCAGCATCATGGCCAACATATCTTCTAGGGTGTCGACGATATCCTGGCAATGCTCTTGGCCTTCGCTGCTACGTCTGAAGAGATCCAAGTCCTTCTGATCTCTTTGACCTTTGGAAATATCGATGTTCAGAATTGTCTTCGTAACGCCGTCTCGCTGTTCCACCACATTGAAAGGGAGATTGAGTGGAGAAGCAAGAATGGCAAGGACTTAGGTTTTGAGACATTAAGAGCTTCGAAGCCTCTTGTTGCTGTTGGAGCTGAAGAACCTTTGGCAGAGCAGCGCATGATGGCCGACTTCTTCCGTAAGTGCTCCAAACGGTCGATTCGAATAAAGTGCTGATGTAGGAAGATGNGTACTGATGGTCTCGGTGGCATTCATTCCAGCGTATGGTTCTCTATCGTTAGTAGCACAGGAAGTCGATATGGCTGACATCGTTTAAGCNACCCGCATCTCACCCCTCAAGAGACTTGGAAGATGCTCTTCGACGCGGCTGATGGAGCGCCTCTCTCGCCCGAAGGAACCACCACATCTCAGCAAATCCGCGAGGCTTCCATGTTCAAGCCCTCTCAGCAACCTTCTCATGAAGAGATTCTGCGTCTGCTGAAGGAGAATGAACCAGACACTATTACCATTGTTGCGATTGGACCTTTGACCAACTTAGCCATTGCCGCAGCTCAGGATCCTGAGACGTTCTTGCGTGTGAAGGAAGTGGTCGTTATGGGAAACACCATTCAAATGCCAGGAAATGTACGCCAACCCCCTCCCCCTATCTACCCACCCGCCTCAACCCCAGAGCCACCATTCCGCCTGATCAAGGCCCCACAAACACCTTTGCGCACAAGTCTAAACATCCGTAACCAGGTAACACCGGTGGCCGAGTTCAACACGTATGCAGACAGCATTGCCACAGCCCGTGTGTATGCGCTTACTTCGCCTACTCCAAACTCGACTATTCCTCCTTCGCCTCCTGCACTGCCTGGATCGCAGTCACTGCCTCACTTGGCGCCGTACCCAGCAAAACTGTCGAGACAGCTCAAGCTTACTGTGTTCCCTCTGGACATCACGACACCTCATAAGATCACAAGGGGCCAGGTCAAACAGACGATTCAGCCCTTGATTGAGGCTGGGTCACCCTTGGCAGAGTGGACCGCAGCATTCCTAAACTCGACGTTTGATAAAGTTGAATCGTTGATGGAAGGTATCAGTGGTGACTCTGTTGGACTCGAATTGCATGATCCTCTGTGTATCTGGTACGCGCTCACTCACGACGATGCAGGATGGAAGATCAAGAAAGACGAGGATATTAGAATCGAGACAACGGGTCAATGGACACGGGGTATGACGGTTGTTGATAGACGTGGCAGGAAGAAGCGATCCCCAGACGACGGCGAGGGTGAGATCCCTGGTGATGCAGGCAACTGGCTCAGCCCCAATGCGGGCAACCGAGTCGGAAGATGTGTACAGTCGCCCGGTGTCGACGCTTTTGCGCCGTACTTGCTACGCAGAATCTTTGGCGCATGATGATGGACATGGCTTATGTTTGGCCAACCGCAGTTCGTAATATGAGCTCTAACCAAACCTCTCGCCCACCTCGTAGAGGATAGAGACGTGGACGACAACTAGTCGATAGAATACCACTTGCCAATCAATACGAAGCATAACCCACCCTGAGTACGGCGTACTCGCTCGTACAAGTGAGTATAACCCGCAGCAGTTGCTGACCTCACTCTGCGGTGTGCATGAAGACCTTGGCGGGGGCTGTGTTAGTTGATGCCACGGCTCGGCGTATCGAAGCTTCGAAAAGCATGTCCTCATCAAGAAGGTCGGTGATCATGAGGGAAATATTGTTCTCACGCCACCGAGGGTACTTTTTGAGTCGAGGCCGTAAGGGGATCTGCCTGATAACAGAAAGGAGAATAGAGCGTTCGATCCCGCAGCCCGAAATGCATCAAAACACATGATGAACAATTCCTGCTTCTCTCGATCAAAGCAAGATACTGCGCACAAAGCTAAGTGAGGGTTGGTTGGCGGAGTCGCACCAGAGCGCCACCATTGTTCAAGTGATTGTTTTCCTGATAGCCATGGCATCACAACAGAACCAATCTATCAGATCTGTTTGGTTGCATTGTTGAAATGAGGGTGTTTGTGCGTTGAATGAGAAGGGACCAAGGCTTCGGTTGTTGCAATTTATCGTCTACTTTAGGCCCAAGATCTCTGTCGCATTCGCTCTAGATTGTTATCGTTACCGCATGTCATGGACTCGAACAAACAGGCTTGGTCGTGCGAAAGCTCTATGGTCCGGCAAGAAATGCAGAGGGCGAAGGCAGGTCGCATAAAAGAGACCAGACCCGAGCAAGAGTCAGGCATAACGGCCGATGCAAACGCCGATGAGGCTCTTTGACAGGGGCCACGGCGGGAGCGCTAGGGTTCATCTTTGGGGCAGTGCTCTTGGCATACACCACTAACACAACCACCATGCGACAATGGAGGTGAGGAGAAAACTAGTTAGCTACAGAGCTGCGTCTTCTGACAGCTGCTTGCTGACTTTCTTTGTCCGGCGGCAGTTCCAGTGAAGACTTGATTCTGCAGGACAATTGACTTCTTGTTGCTGCTACCTCCTTACTTGTGTTCCGTTTGCTATAAAGCTGTTTATCGAAACAAGCAGTCGCATATCCGCGCAAAAACGACCATTTGACTCAGCACAGCCTGCCTATCGCTGCAGCGCCCAGGACATTTCTACCCCCGAATCCACAGCTAGCCAGCCGGTGAAGACGAGCGTTGGCAGACTGAGTAGTAGTCGGCAACGGGCAAGGTCGATGGTAAAGTGTAATAAAGCCTCTTTCCACATTCTTCTACCGCATAGCAACCATCGAAACGAGCCCAAGAGATTCTTGGCTCTTGGATACCCATCACTGCGCCCCCTGCCTTGACATTTGTATATGGGCGAAGCCATATCGGATTGCTGATGCTTTTGTCATGTGCCTAGTACTACTGAGCATCTACCATCTCTTAATCAACATCACTGGACCTCACTGCCACCATTTGGCCTCGACCTAGGCTAGACACACCCTAGCACAGCCTCCCATTCGCCTCACTTCAGTGCATGAAAGGTCAAGCCACACCTCCTACGAATGTCCATTGTTCAGTCACCCTCGATATAACCACTGCGTTCTGCATTCCTGTGGCTCAACACCAGCCACAACCATGTCGGACTCAAATCCTTTTACCCAAGGCCAGGACTCGCCTGCCCAAGGTCGCCGTAGGGCACCCACCATCACCATAGACACATCAGCAGTGCGTAGACCCTCGCTTCGCCAGGACATAGCTATGGACACTCTTTCTGACAACAGCTTTGCTGTGCAGGGCAACGATCAACCCTCAACAGGGCTGCACCCCTACCAAACTTCGCCCACCGAACTGCGCCCATCCAATTCCTTTGATAACGAGAACAGTCGACCAACCTCTCCTCACAATGTCTCATCACCAACCTTCAACAACCCTCAGAACTTCCTCTCAGTCCCTCCTGCACGCTCACGTGCCGGTTCCTTCGACACTCTTGGTGCCGAGTCAACATCGACCGGAACATACGTCAACTCGTCACCGGAGCACGGCATGCCCAAGGCTTTTGGCCCACAAGACAGTCATGGCGGTCCCGAAGTCCTCAGCGCAACCGAAGCATTACATCCCGACCCTGGTACCGAGGGCGACTTCACACGAGAGAACAACCCTTTCGCTTTCACCCCTGGCCAGATGGGCAAGATGTTCAACCCCAAGAGTCTGGGTGCATTCCATGCCCTAGGAGGTCTTTCGGGTATTGAAAAGGGTCTCAGATCTGATCGCAAGACTGGTCTGAGCTTGGAGGAACAACACCTTGATGGTCAGATTTCCTTTGAAGAGGCAACTGACCACGAGAACCCCAACGCACAACATGTCTCGAATGGCGGCAACAGCACTGCTTCTGCCAGCGGCCCCTTCTCTGACCGTGTGCGCATCTTTGGCGACAATCGACTCCCCGAGAAGAAGGCAAAACCGCTATGGCGTCTTGCTTGGGAAGCCTACAAAGACAAAATCCTCCTTTTGCTTACTGGTGCTGCTGTTATCTCGCTCGCCCTTGGTCTATACCAAACCTTCGGCACCCCTGCAAAGCCTGGAGAACCCCACGTCGAATGGGTGGAAGGTGTCGCCATTGTCGTGGCTATCGTCATTGTCGTCGGAGTTGGCGCTCTCAACGACTGGCAGAAAGAGCGACAATTCGTGAAACTCAACAAGAAGAAGGACAACCGCGTCGTCAAGGTTATACGCTCTGGAAAGACCCTGGAAATCTCCGTTCACGACGTCCTAGCTGGTGACGTTCTGCTACTTGAACCTGGTGACATGGTCCCGGTCGATGGTGTTCTCATTGAAGGTCACGGCATCAAGTGCGATGAATCTTCCGCAACTGGTGAATCTGACATCATCAAGAAGACTGCTTCTGAGGAGGTCTGGCGTGCCATGGAGGCTCATGAGCCACTTAAGAAAATGGATCCTTTCATTCTGTCCGGCGCGAAGGTCACCGAGGGTGTGGGCAAATTCCTTGTTGTCGCTACCGGTGTCAACTCGAGCTACGGCAAGACCATGATGTCCCTTCGCGAGGACAGCGAAGTCACTCCGTTGCAGTCAAAGCTGAACACCTTGGCTGAATACATTGCAAAACTTGGTGGAGCTGCTGCATTGCTGCTGTTCGTCGTACTCTTCATCAAGTTCTGTGCAAAGCTCCCTGGAGACAATAGGAGTCCCTCCGACAAAGCACAAAACTTCCTCAACATTTTGATCGTTGCTGTCACCATCGTTGTCGTTGCAGTACCTGAAGGTCTGCCCCTAGCTGTCACGCTCGCCCTAGCTTTCGCTACTAAGCGCATGACCAAAGACAACAACCTTGTCCGTGTGCTTAGATCTTGTGAGACTATGGGAAATGCGACCACAGTTTGCTCTGACAAGACTGGAACTCTCACACAGAACGTCATGACCGTCGTAGCTGGATCTGTTGGAACAACATCACGCTTCAGCAGCAAGGCTAGCAAGGACCAAGACGCTCAAGGAGTTAATGTCGATAGCGTGGACACTAACGAATTTGTTGGCGCTCTGGGTGATAATGTCAAGACTCTCATGAAGGACTCGATTGCGTTGAACTCTACTGCCTTTGAAGGTGAAGAGAACGGTAAGCCCACTTTCATCGGCTCGAAGACAGAGACGGCTCTTTTGTCTTTCGCTCGCGACTTCCTGGGCATGGGCTCCATTAGCACCGAGCGCTCAAACGCCGAGCTCGTTCAATTCATGCCCTTCGATTCCGGCCGCAAATGCATGGGTGTCGTTCAGAAGATTGGCAACAAATACAGACTTTATGTCAAGGGTGCTTCGGAGATCATGCTGAGACATGCTACGATGATCATCAGAGACCCTAGCAAAGGTACTGATGGTGTATCCATCTCCAACGACAACGTTGCAACCCTCAACAAGCTCATCGAGACTTACGCATCCAACTCTCTCCGTACTATCGGCTTCCTCTACCGCGATTTTGAACAGTGGCCTCCTAAGAATGCCCGCAGATCCGAAGACGACAAGACACAAGCCATCTTTGAAGACGTTCTGAAAGACATGACCTTCCTCGGTGTCATTGGTATCCAGGATCCTCTGCGTGCTGGTGTTACAGATGCTGTCATGGACTGCCTTACTGCTGGCGTCTTCCCTCGTATGGTTACTGGAGACAACATCATGACCGCAAAGGCCATCGCCACCGAGTGCGGTATCTTCACTCCTGGAGGTGTCGCTCTCGAAGGACCTGTCTTCAGAAAGATGTCCAAGCAAGAGCAACTGGCCGTCATTCCTAAGCTCCAGGTCTTGGCAAGATCTTCTCCTGACGACAAGCGCGTTTTGGTGAAGCGTCTAAAAGAGATGGGTGAGACTGTTGCCGTCACTGGTGATGGTACCAATGATGCTCCTGCTCTCAAAGCTGCTGATGTCGGTTTCTCCATGGGTATTGCCGGTACCGAGGTCGCGAAAGAGGCCTCGGACATCATTCTCATGGACGACAACTTTGCATCCATCATCAAGGCTCTCATGTGGGGTCGTGCTGTCAACGACGCTGTTCAGAAGTTCTTGCAGTTCCAGATCACTGTCAACATTACAGCTGTATTGTTGGCCTTTGTGTCAGCTGTGGCCAGTGACGATGAAGAATCTGTCCTCACTGCAGTTCAGCTTCTCTGGGTCAACCTCATCATGGATACATTCGCTGCCCTGGCTCTTGCTACTGATCCTCCTACTCGTAACATCATCGACCGCAAGCCCGCTCCCAAGTCCGCGCCACTCATTACAGTGAACATGTGGAAGATGATCATTGGTCAAGCCATTTACCAGCTCATCATTACTTACGTTCTGTACTTCGGTCAGAAGCGGGGTGGCAATAGTTTGCTGAGCTACGCCAACGACAAGGAACGTGAACGACTCAACGCAATGGTCTTCAACTGCTTCGTCTGGATGCAAGTCTTCAACATGTTCAACAACAGACGCCTTGACAACAAGTTCAACATCTTCGAAGGTGTTCAACGAAACAGCTTCTTCATCTGTATTGCGCTTATTATGATCGGCGGACAGGTGATGATCATGTTCGTTGGTGGTCGTGCCTTCAGCGTTGAGAGACTTACAGGAGAACAATGGGCTTACTCAGTCGGCCTTGGTGCCATTTCCATTCCAGTTGGTGTCATCATCCGTCTGATTCCCGACGAGCTTGTTGCACGCCTGGTACCGTCTTGGCTCAAGCGCAAGGCTGCGCCTAAGCTTGTCGTAGAAGACGAGGAGCGACCATTCGAGTACAGCCAAGCTCTCCTTGACATCCGTGATGAACTCGCATTCATCAAGAGAATCAAGGGCGGTCGTCTCAACCAAATCAAGTTCACCCTCAAGCATCCTCGTGAAGCTCTTCTTCATTCTCGCTCGGCATCCAGATCGCGTAGTAGCATGTCTCTGCCGCAAACACCCAACGGCGAACATAGCGAGGGAGAAGCTCAATCGCTTGCACCTCCTACACCAGACTCTCGCCGTCGCTCGCGTGGACGCTCAAGATCCAACTCAGCGTTCGCCGGCGCTGCCATGGCTGGTATTGTCGCGGGCAGCATTGGTGCAGCATGGTCTCCGATAGAACGTGGTCCTGGTGATGCCGACAGCATGAAGTTTTCGCGTGCCAGATCGCGAAGCGACTTGAGCCGTGAGAGTGGGCTCGATATCCACCCTGATACCAAGTCCCAGGACCCTGTGGTAGTTCAGCAGCAGATGGATGGTCATCACCCACCAAGTCAGTCCAATGACACGACTCCTGCCTTTGGATCGGGACCCTTTGCAGGTCACCCTGATTTCAAGGTTGATGGCAGCACCAAGCAGTAGTCACGGCAACCGCGGATGCTGATTGTTATGATGCGATTGAGCGAATGTGTTTTTTCTTTTTCTTGTTATTATTTCGCGTGTGGGTATTACTGGACGACTGGCGTTGGAACACGATAGATATCCTCTTTGTTTCGTTTGCTTGTCAATATGGCTATAGGAAGGAGCTTTCCTACTTTTATGCCTTAACTCTTTTCGGCGTGTAAACCCTGTCTCTATTACATAGCCACTAGCAGCTCGCTCAGCGCTGTCACCGAATAAAAGCTAGTCTTTTGTCACAACATGTTAGATCCATTGATTAGGATCAATGCTAGAAAAGGAAGCTCAAGAAGTCATGAACACGAGTTTGTGAGCATGGTATGGCAGCAAGGAGCCGAGAGGGCTTTCACGTGCCAGACATGGTTTATCGGCCAATCACATGGGAATAGGATTGCAGCGGAAGGAGCGCGTCATAGTTGCGGCCGAGCTTGAAACCTTGGAGGAATCGATTGGACGGGCGGGTAATGTCAAGCGAAAGGAAGTGAAGCAATTTCGACATTTGAGTAGGGAGCGGAAAGGCGCCCTGCGACAATGTTGCAAGACTTTGGACAAGTGGGCAGCAGCAGAGAAAAGCGTGGAATGAAACTTGGATTCAGGAGGTTTCGAGGCCCCCTTTTCTCGAGCTCTTTCGTGTGCGAGAAGGGACCTCAGGCAGAAAGGGTCCACCGCCTTGGCTTTGTGGTTCGTTCGAGGCGTGGCCGCGCGCCTACCGCAGTGGAAGGACGCTCTGACCCCTCTGTCTTCAATTCCCAATTCCCGAGCCCCTCTCAACTCACACGATCACCACTTTCGCTGCAGAACGCCTTGACCCTGATCTGTCACTGTCTCTGCATGGCTTGACAAACAATTCGTCCACCCTAATCGAATTTCGTCTTGTCTTCTTCCAATACCACTTGGTCGCTGCTTCCTGTACTGCCTGCCCGCGTGCCTACTATCCGCTTTAATCTACACTCTCTAACATGGACTTGCACCTGCTCAGAGCAGACTCTCCCATGGCCGTCCGTCACATCGACCTCTGCTACGATCACACCGATTCCGAGCGTTCGGCTTTGCGCCTGATATACACGTTATGTCCAGACTGGGAACACGATGAAGGCCCTGTTGAATTGATCCCCTTTACCGAAGGCATCACAAACACTGTATGTCAAGGCAAGCCTTTCGTGTCTACAAATCCTCGATCGCAACTGACACGACCCGCCGTAGNNCTCATGAAAGCGATTAAGAAACGACCAGGATATACACAACAAGACATTGACTCGGATGCCATCCTCCTGAGGGCATATGGCAAGGGCACAGATGTCCTGATAGACCGCGAGAGTACGCCTTTCCCACCTTCCAACCTTGCGACGTCAATTGACAATGACACAGGAGAAACTCGATCGCACTCTTTGCTCGCCGGCCGCGGACTAGCCCCTCCCCTATTCGCACGCTTCGAGAATGGCCTACTGTACAAATACATCGCAGGCGACGTATGCAGCCCAGAAGACCTTCGAAAACTCGACGTCTACCGTGCAGTTGCGAGAAGACTCGGCCAATGGCACAGTACACTACCAATTGCTGCTATCAGTTCACTCCAGACGCTGCAAGAGCAGAATGACGTAGCAGAAGATTCCCAAATCCAAACTCACACGGATAAGGCCGGCAACAAGAGGCCGAAACCCAGTCTATGGACCGTCATGCAAGAGTGGATTAATGCGCTACCAGTAGCCACACAGAAAGAGAAGGAACGAAGGGACATGCTGCAACGGGAATTGACACACCTCTCCAACGAACTGGGCCAGACACCTGGTTTGGACGGTTACGACTACATTTTTGCTCATTGCGATCTTCTATCAGGTAATGTCATTGTACATCCTGGTCAAAGAGAAGGTGGGAAAGGTCTCACGGTGAGCTTCATCGACTACGAATATGCAACCCCGGCACCCGCCGCCTTCGATATTGCCAACCACTTTGCTGAATGGGGCGGTTTCGACTGCGATTACACTGCTCTACCAACACGCAGCCAACGCGCTGACTTCATCGCCCAATATCTCGCATCATACCGTAACTTCGCTCCTGTTTCGGATCCGGAAACCATTGAACGCGAACAGCAGCAGCTCATCAGCCAAGTCGACACTTTCCGTGGCCTGCCAGGTTTCTACTGGGGCATCTGGTCATTGATTCAAGCAGAAATATCACAAATCGACTTTGATTACGCTTCATATGCAGACATTCGTCTGGGTGAGTACTGGGCTTGGAAAGCCGAGCAAGATGGGTCCAGACAACGAGAAGGTCGCGAACCTACATTGCGAGAGAAGCGATGGGCCGAGGAGTAATTATGGCCATTCGTGGCACATTGATCAGATCAACTACAGACGTCAGAAATAATGTCCAGATACAGCAAACCCAGGGATAGTGAGGCCTAGGGATGACTACCAAAAAGTTCGACGCTTTTTGTTTCGAGCGCATCTTTGCATAGAACCTTTTTCTAATAATCTTCTTTTTCCACTTACTTCTTTCTATGTCTTCTCTTTGTGCTTTTCCTTTGAGATTCCACATCTTGTTTCTTGCGTGTCTTCAGATTAGAGCACCTCGAGTCTTCAACGACGATACCCATCTCAGTTTTCCTTTTCCCGTTCACTCTGTTCCAAGGGGAAGCTAGTCAAGAATGTCCGTACAAGAAAATCAGAAGAAACAGTTACTTTCCGTATAATCTCTCTGTACATACTCTAGATCACGAAGGCTCTGTAGCTTTTCACAATCCCAAACTCTGCTTGCACTTACAGGCGAATTAAAGTCATCAGAAGAACATAAAAGCATAACACAACGGATATGCTAAGTGTGGAGAGCTAGAAGTTCTCAAGAATAACATGTTTTCGAAAAGCCTGGATTCAGCAAGAGTCAATCATCAATAAGGGGAAGTTGAAGAAACAATCCTGCTCGCACCCTGCTTGACACCCTGCAACGCCGCATGACCCCACGATCCCCTTGCTCTGCTCAGAGCAGTACTCACGCCTTGACCCAGAGCCAGTGAGTCTGTCATAGCACTAATCATCGTAAAGCCTCTGTCTGCGTAGTGTCTCGCTTGATCACCGTCGGTACAGTAGATGCCCGAATGCTTGCCAGCCTTCTTTGCTGCAGTATGGATTTTCTCAATGGCAGCCTTGAGTTCGTCGTGCATGCCATCAGCAAGGATGGGGTAGCCAATACTGTTTCCCAGATCGTAAGGACCGATGAAAAGGACATCCACACCTGGCACGGCAGCAATAGCATCCACATTATCCAATGCTGACTGAGTCTCGATCTGGATGATGGTGACTAACGCCTCATTGGCTTGTTGCAAATACTCAGCCGCAGAAACAGGTTCGCCGCCTTTGGGCGCAAATCTCTCCATAGCGAACGGACTTCCGAACCCTCGAATGCCTTGTGGAGGGAACTTGGCTGCTCGAACCACACCTTTGGCTTCTTCTGCACTGTTGAGTTGAGGAATCACAATGCCGTGGGCGCCAGCATCTAATGCTCGCTTGATCATCCAGCCTTCATTCGAGACTGTGCGGACGATGGGAGAGACACCGCAAGCTGCGATGGCGGCTACTGATTCGTGCATAGCTGTATCGCTGATGTTTCCATGTTCGGTGTCGACGCAGATCCAGTCGGGGTTTGTGCGAGCGAGGATCCGGGAGAGGTTCGAGCCAGGTAGCATTTGCCAGGCGCCCAGGGCGAGGGTATTACTATGAAGAGTTTTGTGGAGGTGATTGGCTGCTTGCATTGTTGATGACTTGGATATCGTAACTGTTGTCTTGATGATTCCACGGTATTAAGGACTGATGTATGAGCTTTGACTGAACTGCCGCGAGGGCAGTGTGATATGTTTGAACTTATGGATGGGTACGATACGGATAGGTCGTAGGTGACTTGTGATATACTGATTTCGCCGAGTTTGATGAACGAAGTCTCCTGGTTTGTGTCGTGGTTGATAAGTTGATGCCTCGATTCGAGCTTGAAAGTGAAGTCAGATGCCCCGCACGTCGCCGGCAGTAGCTCTTTCCCTCCCTGATCCGATAAAGGTGCATATGCACACGACGAGGACGAAAATTAGGCTACACGGATGAGGGAGGATGAGGAAGGCTTGTCCATCATGGACTCATCCATCAGTTTCTCAACCTCATGCTCCTTGAACCTATGCATGAGTTTCCTGGCCTCGCCTGTTGTGCTGAACTCTTTGCCCTCTTTCGCTTTGTCTACGTGAATCNNTAGCATCACTCTTAATTTCTGGAGCCATGAAAATTGGGAGACAAGACTTACGACCGGTGTATCAAACTCGTACATATTCTTCCACTTCGGATCAGAATGCTCCATCACATTGATCTCGTCATACTCGAAAGGTCGCTTGTCCCAAACGTTGGAGAGAACCTCTTTCGCATCCGAGCATAACTTGCAGTTTGAGCGCGTGAAAAGAGTGATGCGGCACGCAAAGTTGCGAAGGGCGAGTGTGGGAAACATCGTTGTAGATGTCCAGATGTGTATCTTGAAAGTGCTTGAAAGGATGGTCAAGAGATTTGAATTTGGATGTTGCCAACAAGCGTTGCTAACACTGATCTTCAGTATCGATTGATTAGAGACCACATACAAGTAACTATGCAGATGATCATCAAAGATCTTGGCCTCTATCGCTACGGGACCACACTCACGTGCTATAGTTGAGTCAACAAACCTAGGTAGTAAAGTTACACCCATATCTACCCCGCTCCGCTCAACTGGAGCTTCCCAAAATATAAGCGACTCGGAAGACAACATCAACTGCACATAAGTATCTTTCCAACAGTCTTAGAAATACAACAACTTAGATCATACTCATCATGCCAGCATATGAAGTCGAGCATGTCTGCAAGCTGACGGACGACCAANAAGACCAGCTTGCCGAGGCAATCACCAAGATCCACAGCCAGCAGTTTTCGACCCCGAGACTCTTTGTCAATGTCCGCATAACAGATATCTCAGACCAACGAACTTATGTAGCAGGAAAACAGGTAAGCTACATACTCTAAGACTCAGCTTGAGCGGTCGGGATACAGATTGTTGATGTGCATANNCAGTACAAAAGCAATCGCATCTTTGCCTATGTGAGACATGGCCCATCACGAACACAATCCGACTACGATGCTGTGAGCAAAGCACTGGAAGAGGAATGGACAAGAATTGTGCCAGGCACAGAGCTTCGACTAGTCATGTTTTACGGAGCTATCGTTGCCGGTATGGAAGCTGGACTGTACATTCCTCCTGCTGGACAGGATGCCGAATGGATCAAGGAGAACTGGGAAACCTTTGTTAAAAAGGCAGAAAGTGGTGATGAGCACTTTGCCGGATTGATTAAGCAGTATAGTTGATATCAGAAATCGATGCAGAAACCCACGGCATTGCCTGTGTGAGATAGCATGAGCCTCTCTCAGACACTCATGTCTTTGGCCTGTCTGAGCCCGTAGCATATGCATTTATCAAAACTTGCTGATGGCTCAAAGCGGTTTCCTGAAATGGCGGTATGGTCTCTGGCCAAATGTAGTGATGATTGCGAGTACTTGAATAGGAGCGGAAGATGTAACAAGTACGAATACGACCCGCGTCATTCCAGCTCCGACTTCCGATGATCAAGGTGGGGCAGCATCATACCGCCCGCCATAAACACCGCCATGTTTGAGCCTAAACTCGACGTTTGTGCAATCGCGGCCTCGGTCGCGGAGCTTAGAATGCAACGGCTGGTCATGTACCCGAGGTCAAACGCAGTCTATAAGAGGAAGCAAGCTGGCTACCTCGCGGCTGAAAGCTCTCTCGAGAACTGTAACAACCCTCACTTGTAATACCACACCGCCACGATGAGGACCAAAGAAGAAGTCGCGAAGCTCGCAGAGATTGACCCAGAGCTTGGGGAGGTAAGCAGCAGTACCCCTCCCCCCGATGTGGACGATATGCTGACCCCATACAGTTTCTGAAAAGAACAAGNNCTCCCCAAGGGCAACTGGAACAACATCAAAGAGTTCCGCGCAATGCGCGAGGAGATGGGAAAACAAAGGCTCGAGGCATTGGGTCCAGCAGCTCCGCACGTCGAAGAAAGCTTCAAAAGCATTACTATGAGAGATGGCTTCGAGAGCCAGATCAAGATTCACAAGCCTACAGGCAAGAGCGGAGGCCCTCTGATCGTTCTGGTTTTCGGTGGAGGCTTCGTGGTTGGCGACAACCAGCAACTCACTCCATACGGAAGAGGGTTTGCTAGAGCTTTTGGTGCAGTCGTTGTGACAACTGCCTACAGACTGGCACCTGAACACAAGTTCCCCACCGCACCTCACGATACCGAAGATACTTTGTTGTGGATTGCCAAAAATGCAGAGTCCTTGGGAGCAGACCCCTCCAAGGGCTTCATCCTAGGAGGCGTTAGTGCAGGCGGTTCGTATTGCCATCCGACACCTTTGGGAACCAAGCGTGCCTAACATATCACAGGTAACCTGAGTGCATGCATTGCGCAGAAGACCCTCGAGGACAAGAGTCTGGCACACCCTCTGACAGGTCTTTGGCTGTGTGTCCCCCTGGTCTTCCCTAACAAGGATTTGGTGCCAGACAAGTACAAAGATGTCTTCATCTCTCATGAGCAGAACGCCGACGCGCCAATTCTTGACAAGGATGCCATTGATGCCATTGGAGGACATCTCGAACCCGACCAGAAGTCACCACTCTATTCGCCTTTCAACAGCAAAAATCCTCACAAAGGCTTGCCCAGAACATACATTCAAGTCGACGGAATGGATCCTCTGCGTGACGATGGATTGATCTATGAGCAGGTGCTGAGTGAGCACGGAGTCGAGACAAAGCTCGATATCTGGCCGGGACTGCCTCATGCACATTNNTTCTCTTTCCTGCCGTTCTTAAGCGGCAGTAAGAAGGCCATTCTTGACACATTTGTTGGATTCGGGTGGCTGCTGAAGACCGACATCTCGCCTGAAAAAGTACAAGAAGTTATGGTCGCCCCTGCAGGCGGCTAGACTGATGGTGGTCCATACTGGTGAATGAGAAATTTCGATCAATGGTTCGTGCCTCGTCCAGGAAAAAGTTTAGACTGTGTTCACCTCGGATAGATGCATAAAAGTGTGAATCATCTGCGCTGCCTCGATATGATGGGTGTACTTGAAGCCATGCATGACAGGTAAGAAGGTAAGATACCATTCCTTGAAGGCTACGTCAGAGCAAATATAGATTGGTGGGGTATGCGAAGGCGACACGGCTGAGACCTGTTGCCGCTTAGCCATGAGGACTAGTCTCTAGAGACCGCCATCGAATGCGAATATATGATTGTTTTCTCATGACTCTTGCTGCTATGTTCTGTCCAGCAGGATGAGCTGTATTCAGACAGTCCAGAACCTCTGGTGCACCCAGGATGAATGGGCGCTGACGAGTTGTGCTTTCTATTGTCTCTTTCCCTTTCTGGTCACAAATCCACAAACGGTCATCTAAGACTATGGACTCGGACTCGGTCAATCTTTCTTCAGCGATGTGATGGGAAGAGGATAATGGCTTCCGAAAGACCCCAGCGCGGTAGGTTGGCCAGCATGAGGCGTCTCAGATCAACGTGTGCATCTGGTCATCGAGATCGTGTACATGCGGATGGACGGATGGATAGTCTAGCTGTCATGATGAGTAGAGTAAAGGGGAGGTCAACTAGAGGCCCTTTGGACGAACTCTTCACTGACTGTCGTGAACAGGATCATACTTGAGTGTACCGGACCCAGGGGCATAGTTCCTGTTGGAAGAACTGCTTTGAGGATCCTGACTCTGTGTGTGCCTTTCAGAGACAGTCGTCTGCGCCATGAGCATGTCGGCAGTCGAAACATGGCGCAAGACTTCGAGTGGATCTCGAGTGCTGCGGATGCGACGAAAAATCTCCTCAGCCTCGACCAGGGGCCGGTTCTGTAGGAAGTCGTACAGCGTTCGGAGCTGAGAGTTCTCCTTTACCAGCTCCTCATTCTTGCGCTTTAGCGCGTTGGATCGTGTCGTGTTGGCCTCGACATCGTACACACAGTCCTCGTATCTCCTGGCGCATGGTTGGCAAGTCGGTCGTACTCCGTCGCACNNTAGCTCTCAGTCAACAACAGAGCCCTCTAGCCGAAGGAGTGTCAGTCTCACCTTGATACGAAGTCGCCTGCAACAAGCACATGCAACATGAACCACGCTGCGTTTCGGCTTGGTGACTTTGGCGTCCACTGGGCGTTGCAATGCTGGTCCTGCAACTGCCTTGGTGCTTGATGGAGCCGATTCGCTCGTAGGAGTCGATTCCGCCGGGGTTTGCTCGCCATCCATGTCGCTGGACCAGGATCGTCAAAGGAGAGGCGTCTTGACGACGACGAGGCGACGTGCGGCGACTTCTGACAGGAGCGCTCAAGTCACGACTCTCAATCTTCAGGTCAGAAAAGACGGAGTTGCTTCCGAAAAGTGAAATGGAGAGAAAGAACGAAGAACAGGCAAGCACTGTTTAGCGAAAGCGATCCTGTCTTGCACGAATCACCTCTCCATCTGACCGGATTCGATGCCATCGATGTCAGGGATCATGCCAGGATTCTTGTGAGCCACGAGCCTGTAGAATGCCAGAACCGGAGGTTGCTCTCGGCGTGTTGGCCGACGCCCCGACTTGGTTCGCCTTTGGGCGTGTAGAAATTCGTGTCGTCTTGCGGGTGAGCCGATCACCAAAACGCGCGACACGAATTTTACACCCACTTAATGATCGAGAAGGCCTAGACCCTGGAACACGTTTACACACTGGAGTATGTTGAGCATGTATATTTAACGAAAAACAATTCTACCCCACATCAATAAAGCCCTTTTCTCCATCTGCCGACACAGATATTGTCAGCTTCGTCAAGAAGACTTGACATAGACCTGCAGCTGGCTGCCTTGACCGCGTATAAGAGCCGTAAACATAGCACGCCCGCCATTCCAATTCGCGTGGAAGACTGCATGAACCCCATTGATCGCTAAATCAAGACCGCCTGGAGCCGTGAGTCCATATTTCCCAGTTCGAATGAGTCCACCAAACTTTCTATAAGGACCCCTGATGTTCTTCGATGTCGCGTAAGACACGTCGTACAAAGGAGTGACGAAGCAGTTCGAACTGTAGTAGAGGACATATGTACCATCAGGCATCCTGGTAAGAGATGGTGCTTCAACATATGGTCCATCAGCTGGATCATTAACTATGAGCGTCGTCGGAGCACCGATCTTTGTGAACCCGTTGTCCACTCTAACCTGCTGAAGCATTATAGGCGTACTGACGATCGGCTGGACCATGTTGTTGCAAGCTCCTCCACGTCCCAGAGAATTTCCGTCGATTTTATAAACAACCCAACGTGTGTTGGATGCCTGATCGTAATAGCCGGCAGGATCTATCGCGCCACCCTGAGCCGTAGGACAAGCCCATGGATCTGGACCTATAGGTGTATAAGGGCCAGTGACTATAGAAGCCGAAGCGATACCCAAACAATGAAATTTAGGGTTTGATTTGAGTGCAGCGGTATAGTACATTATGAAGCGTCCAGGACCAAGTTGCACAACATCGGGCGCCCACACTGCAGGCGCGTCGGGATAGACCCAGTTCGGCAGATTCGGGAGTGCATCTCTCTCGCCAAAACTTGTCCATGTGTTGAAGTCAAAAGTGTGAGCCATAGGGACATGGACCCTTTTNCCATTGTAGCGTGACATGGTTGAGAATGCCCACCATTCATTGCCGATTCGTATGACCGAAGGATCCGGGAAGTTGATACCGTTCAAGGCAGGAGTCAGTGTGATGCCTCGCTTCACAGCAGTAGCGTTGTCAGCAATGTTGAAGTCATCGGCGGCCACGGCGTGGACGAGAAGTAAAAGTCCAGCTGCCAAGATGAACATGAATCTGAGACCATGGTGAGCCATTTTTTTGAGCAGATTAATGGTTACGCTGGTCTCTGGGTATTATGATATGCCCTAGTGTCGGGATTGATTTCACGCTGTAAGTTGTTGCAATCGAAGAGACTGATTACCTACCATGGTTCATCTGCTTACCTTTTGTCATCTCGTTAGGTTTAGGATGAAAGAAAATACTCGTGCTATTTCTTTGTACATAGCGTCGAGGCCTGGTTCCTCGAAAGATCATATTGCCGTCGAGTCCTTTGCTGCCAATGGTCATTAATCCGTTTTAGGCGTCGGAGCTTTCTTTGTATCCGCTTGCAGCGTTTTAACGCTTTGTGTCGAATTTTACTTAATCTTCATCGAAATGATTTGAGGCTGCTCTTTGCAAGATCCGAATGTCTGTCTAATCCCGGTGTCCAATAGTGATATGAAAAGCGTGCTCTGCTCAAAGCTTCGGGTGCAGCCGCAAATTTCGGAGGGGGTGAGACGCTGCATGACCAGAGATGTACAGACACACGCGCGGTCCGCCAGGCGAAAGAACAATCGGTGATCAAGTATCAGACTTGAAGTGCAATGTCAGAACTTAGAATGAAAGTTGACACTGCAAGGAAGTGCCTCGACACGGCAAGCTCCGTCATGCCGATTGGGGGTAAACTTGGAGTCGATCACATTGAACACTCGTCAACGGACATTCATTGTAGATATCGTCAAGGGACGCTGGCTATAGGCTCAATAGATCGTCCCTCAAGCATCTGCAAGCATGTCAACGTGTTCAGCGGTGCTGAATATGCGTCAGGTATGAGCGAAGTCCTCTGCGTGAACGCCAAGCCACACGGCAGCTTTTCCAAGTCTCGAGTGTGAGTGATCTTTAACATACACAAAACGTAAAACGATACTCGAGGAGCGAATCTGTCATGGACGATCGAAAGGTCGTGGCTGAGAAGGCAGCCGACTCGCCTGGTGCGTTCAGCCCACGCGTTCCCTCACAGCGATTATTCGACCCAGATGTGGTAGAAGGACAATGGCAGCCGATGCTTGAGAGTGATTGCACCTTCGAACCTGAGATGTTTCTCAAGGTCATGCACAATCTTATCAAGAACCCTAATATCATGTCCACTCATCTGTTCCGAGCGGATATTCTGTATGACAGCGATGGCGATCATACTATCATCGAAGGACCATCGACCACACAATTCAGCGATTTTACCAAGCACCTGAAGCAAGAATACCGACCAAGATATACCGAGCTTCCTGGATATAAGTGGGAGAGGACGTATGTTCGACAACTTGTCCCACGCAACCGACAGCTAGACCGTGATCTTCCACAGACCTGTCACTTCTATACACACCAGAACGAGATCTCTACGAGAAATCTCATCCTCTATATTCCGCATGTCGCAGATTCCGAAAACATGCCATGGTATCATCCCAGAGTTCGCGCTGTAGCCTTTTCCCACGACTGGACGGCTGCATCCAAAACAGGAATTGTCGCAGTCCACTACTCTCTATTTCCCGACGTACCCCTCGACTCAAGGCTCGAGCGGACAGCATTACAGCTACTTACTAAGATTCACAAACACAGTAAAGGTCAACAAGCAGGTTACCAGAAAAGGGTTCACCATGATCAAGTTGTTCCGCAAAAGACATTTCAAGAAACATATGCCAGGCTCAAGAGCACATATGCCAAGTCCTTAATTGAAGGTTGGGCGGAAGTAACTGATCCCGCCAAGCATGTTTTCGAAGACCTTGGGATCGCCTCGTTTCTGATCGAGCTTTGGAAGGTCATGTATGATTGTGATACAGCTACAGTCGTCAAGGAACACGCCGTCCAGCCAGTAGAAAATGGTCGCAAACCCCCGTTTCCAGGGTTCGTCGATATTGGTTGCGGCAATGGTCTACTTGTGAACATCCTGACANAAGAAGGCTTCCCAGGCTGGGGCTTTGACGCACGGCATCGAAAGTCATGGGAGACATTCGCACCCGAGGTTCAGAGTAAGCTTGCAGAAGGCATCCTAGTGCCCCAGGTGCTGAGTCCTCAGGTGCCGATAGAAGAAGATGGAAAGATGGCAGATGTGTCAGAACAGTTGGATGCCATCAGTTTGCTGAGGGAGCAAGACTTCCACAATGGTCTCTTCAAGAAGGGAACATTTATTGTGTCGAATCATGCGGACGAGCTTACTCCTTGGACCNCCCTCCTCGCCTATCTGAACGATTCACCATTCATTGCTATACCATGTTGCAGCCACAACCTGGCTGGTGCCCGATGGCGAGCGCCCATATCAAAAGCTGCANAGGAGAAAGCTGCTGCGCAGCGACGTCAAGAGACCTCGGCAAGCAAGGTTGACAACGAGGATCAGCTACGCGAGAACCAAGCTGCAGAGACCGGATCCCTGAAGAAACCAGCTGGCACAAAGAATGTGCAATCAGCATATGGTTCTCTCTGCGATTATGTCTCCGGTCTGGCGGATGATGTGGGGTTCGTCGTCGAGACCGAGATCTTGCGCATACCTTCCACTCGCAACACGTGTGTCTTGGGCAGAAAGACCAAGACACTGCAGAATGATGCAGGAATATCCAAAGAGGAACATGTTCGGCACATTATCGCAAGGGAGCTCAGTGCTCCAATAGAAGACATTCATACTGAATTTGTCAGGTGTGCTCAAAAACTGATTGGGAAGAAAGGTGAAACTCATTGAAAGGACTACATCGCATCAGCTTGCCTTCGGTGAAGGTCAGGCTTACTGCAGCAGTCTCTGCGTCTATAAGATCAGGGGATCATGTTTTGGCATCGGTGGTCGCAGGATCCAAGGCGCCCAGCGAAAGCTTGTTTCATCAGGCCGCCAAACAGTGAGAACCCGGCCTCTAAGCTTCTCTACACCAAAATACTGAGAAATACACTCTGCGACTCGAGACAGCGTATATGAAGCAGAATGAAACATTTGAGATCTGGGTGTCGGGCTGTTTCACCGTATCTTACGAGATGTGCCAGTTTCATATACGAAAATAGCCGTAATTTCGCATGCCATTTGTAATTTCACGATGCTATTCGGAACTACTCAGCAGCAGCTTCATGATACTCGACAGCTAGAGTATGCATCAGGTTGTATTCATATGACAAGTGTCTGGCTTTATGTATACTGGAAATACAACCTTCTGCTCCCAAGTCAAACCAGATTCAGTCTCTCATACCAACAATGACTGCAGACACGAAGAACATTGTCATCTTAGGCGGCTCGTATGCAGGTCTCAGTGCGGCACATTACTTTCTCAAGCACGTTCATCCTTCGCTTCCGGATTCTGGCGAGCAATACCATGTGTATCTTGTCGATCCTTCGACGCACTTCTACCATCGTGTCGCCGCGCCTCGTGCCTCGGTCTCATTCGATTTGATGCCAATCACGAAGACATTCCATGACATCGCCAAGAACTTCGAACAATATGATGCAGGGAACTTTACATTTGTCCAGGGGAAGGCAACATTGTTGGATACTACTCGACGTACTGTCACCATCCAGTATTCTGGAATGAAGAAAAGCAAGCAGACTGAGCTGCCGTATCATTCCCTGATACTTGCGACCGGAACTAGGGCTCACTCATTAATACTGTCTCTCCAGGGCGGAGGCCATGAAGAGGTCATAGAGGCGCAGACAAAGCTACACAATGAATTGACACACGCCAAGTCCATCGTCGTGGCTGGAGGTGGACCAAGTGGAGTTGAGCTTTCTGGAGAGATTGGCGAGATCTTGAACGGTGCCACTTGTCGATTCAAGAAGAAGCCAGCCGTACCGAAAAGGAGAGTTATCTTGCTTTGTGGGTCGGAGAAGCTGCTTCCTGTGCTACGTCCAGCACTCGCCAAACAAGCTGAAGTCTACTTGGCACGTATTGGTGTTACTGTCAAGTACAACTCCAGGGTAGAATCAACAGAAAAGCTGGGAAACGGACACACCAAGCTGAGTCTTGACAATGGCGAAAGCCTTGTCTGTGACCTTTACCTACCAGCAACAGGAGTAACGCCTGCGACAGGTTACATCCCGTACGAGCTTCTTGACGACCGAGGCTATGTCAAAACCAACCCAGAGACTCTTCGTGTGGACCAGGCAGGGGCTCGTGTATATGCCATTGGAGACGTCGGTGACTACAGTCGAGGTGGAATCATGGACATCTATGACGCGATTCCGGTTCTTATGACCAACATTCAGCGCGACCTCCTCGTTGCACACAAGGACGACGACGCGATATCGCCCGGAGGCGATCGCAAATACAAGAAGAACAATTCAGAGACCCAGCTTGTTCCCATAGGCCGGTCGAAAGGCGTGGGCGCCTTCAACGGTAGTAGGTTACCGACTTTGATGGTGTATATGATAAAAGGCAGAGATTATCTTTCTGGCGCGGCAGTCGAAATCGTCACAGGAAGCAAGTGGAACAAGCAAGTTTGATGAAAGCCAACAGAGAGTTGACGCAGGACATACACCAATCTGCCTGAAGTAAGGGCGAAGAGGAGCTGCTCACAAGCGGAGTCGACCGAGCGAATGAAACAATACCATGAACACGGTCCGGCCGTCGACGGAGTATACCGTGACTTGCCGATCTTGTTTGTCTTTTCTATACCACCTGCATTCGACGACGACTAGGCGTGTCATCGGTGGCATATAGTGGTTGAGGCGAATATTGTACATGTCTTCAATCTGCTGCAGGTTCGCGTTGGACACGCTACATTTCTGAGTGACGTGGTGCCTGGAGATTGGGCTTCAGCGCATTCGTCTGACATACGGAGAAAAAGGATGTTGTTGTTACTAGCTGTAGGACCGACATACTTGCGAGAATTTATATAGGTTCTCGTGCTCTAGCCTGTAGGAAAAGAAAAGAAGAGGCTGGGAGAATGTGTCCAGATGGCTGGAACAGCGCATGCCTGCCGACGTCATAGCCTCGCGTACCACCATCTTGTTGCTCACCGATCTTTTGTACCACTTCTGATTTTTTTGATATACTTCACCATTGCATACTCTTGGCTTTCTGTTGCTCATTTTTGTCCTGCATTGTCTCAAGAATTTCATTGCACTTTCTGACGTTTCTGCTATAGGTATATTCATGATTGAAACTAGCCTTCATATCTCTATACATCTAGATCGCTAATGAGTGGACAACAGTTATATCTGATTCGTATAGAAGAACGTAGACTTGGATCGTTGATAGTTCTTTTGTTGGTTATACTATTTGGACAACCCAAGGAACTCATCAAGTCGATTCAGCAAAGCGTCTGATCGCGACTTCCCTACTTGCTCGCTCTTGCCAAAACTGCTCCTTCACCATGGCAGGCTTAGGACTCAAATCGTGCGTTGCCTCTTTCTTCTCCAATCTTCAATTTCTCAATTGCAACCTTTCTCTCATCTTGTATCCCATTGTCTCTATCCTCGTTGGCCATCAAAGCACATCTGCAACGTCCTTCGCCACTCTCTATCTTGTTCTACGTTTCTCCTGCCTGTTTGTCTGCAAATGAAGGAGCCTGGAATCAATCATGGCGGAAAAGTTTATGACTGGTGCATTGTATGAGGGATGCTATGTGGTGTAAGTTTGGCTCCATACAAGTATCTGCCTCGACATGTGTCCTTGCAGCTGTTTGTTCTCGGTCATCGAGCATATTCTGGACACGCGAAACAATGCACAGTAGTGTGCTTCGGAGTTTGGCCATGTATTGGGATGCTTGTGTCGTTTGTTCGGCTCGGCGCAAACAGCGTGCTTCACTAAGTGACCGCCGCTTCTGAGTCTCTCTTTCACACACCTCGCTTTGCTTTTGTGCGCACTTCCACCACTTCTTTCCTGAATATTCTTGCTCGCGCTCATTGGATACAAATCGCTACCAACAAGATGCCGTCTTTGACTAATATCTTGCTTCACAGCATTGCCTATATGGCAGACAAATTCCCTGACAAGTGGATGGAGAAGATTCCCTACTATCGCGAAAGAGAAGAAGAAATCAAACAAGAGGAGCGTGAGGCTCGTCGTGCTCGCAAGGACAAGCGCAGACACTCTCACTCTCAAAAACGCTCGAGCAGCCACCGCAGAGCCCACCACTACGACGACGATCAACAATCTGACAGCTACGATGAAGAAGACTATGATCGCCGCGATCGCAGAAGACACCGTAGTCTTGATGGACGTCGTCAGCATGCTGAGGATAGATCCTCTTACCGCAGATCCTACAACCCTGCCGACTATGCTCCTGTCGACAGATACGGCTTTGCTGTCCAGGCTCCTGGCATCTCTCGTCCTGTCGTGGTCAGTCAATATACTTTACAGCTCGAGGTATTATGCTAACTGATCAATAGANATGGACCCATGCCCGGCGCAACTCCTGCCACGACCTCTTTCAGCAATGGCTCTCGTCCCACATCTACTTCCGGACCGATTCCTGGCTATGTTCCTTATGCCAATGTCTATAACGCACCCGCTCAGTCGCAGCGCTACCCTCGCGACTCTCCTCGTGGTTCATCAGATCGCTTCGAGCGCAAAGACTACCGCGTTGATCAACGTGGCGGAAGGTATGAACGTGCTTTGTGATCATCTGTGGACTTAAGATTGACCTAATATTCAGATACCGCAATTACCNACAGCTCTGACAGCGATGACGATGTTAGATATCAGCGCCGCAGCAGTCGCTTCGACTAGACGTCTTCCAGTGACATCGATACGCAAACCGATTTTCCCACACCAACACCATTTCCAAAACAAATAACTAATGGCACGACATGAACGAAATGGAGATGAGAAAAAGCATACAGCATTGGGCGGTGAAAAGCATTTGCATGCCAAAGGAGAGATTGGCGCTTGCCTGGTTTCTTTGCTGTTTTTCTTCTTTGCTTTTGATGATCCACCAATGATGAGAAAACTCATTGCATTGTGTCTTGCTTTCTTGCAGAATGAAACACACTTGATTTTTCTTACCATTTCTTGCACATGAGTCAACTGACAGTCAACCCTGATTTCTGTGATAAGTAGTATCTGATTGTACTTCCAGGCTTTCGACCCGAGTTTTCAACTCTTTGAGCAGGATTGCGCCTTCCTCACAGGTACGACTTGTCGACATATCCAGCACTAGCATACCCACTGCCCAAAACATCAGTAATGGCGACTGCCTTGCTCAACTTAGTCCCAATGACTCTAGTCCCAGCAGCACCATCCCCAGTATTGCCATACTCGCCAAAGCTCACATGATCAGTATTCGGCTGCGTAGTACTCCAAACATGCCAACCCGCCGCATTAACAACATTGGTAATGGTCGTGTACTGCACAGCAACCCTCGCATAATCACCCCAAGGCCTGCCTAGATAATACGCACCCTTCGGCACGGTAACCCCACTCTTAGCAGCAATAGAACAATGATCCAACACATAGTAACCAGCTTCATTGGAAGCTCTGCCTGAGGCTGTGATGAAACCTAGACTTGCAGCCAACACGCGGATGTCGCAGTGAGAGAACCAGGCTAGACCGTGTTGGCCGAAAATAAAGTCTGTAGCACCTTCGATGTACGATTTTGCGAAGAGTTGGGTGCCGGTTTGGGCGAGGATTGTGTCTTGGTAGCCGAGGAATTTACAGGCGTAGTAGCCTTGATTCNNTACACAGGTGTCAGTGAGTTGGAGATGGAGGTGAGGAGGCATGAAAAGGGAATGACATACAGCAGCTGAGGCGCTGAGAGCAAGAGCTTGCTTGCCCTCTCCATAAGTATTCGCCAAATTGACATTATACAGCTTGAAGTTTGTAGACCAAGCTCTCAATGTAGCAGTCAAGTCATCAGTAGCAACCTCATTCAACGACAATTTCTGCGTGATAGTAACGACATTTTGATTGTAGTCGTCTGTGTTCGCTGAGTAGCCATAGATGGTGAGTGCAGCTTTGCGAGGTGCTATGTAGACTTGTTCGTTGTAGGTGCCGGCTTCGATGAAGATGGATTGGGCTGTGGTGGATGAGGTCGAGAGGGCATTTACTGCATCTTGGATCTTGGAGTATTGGCCTTTGGCGGGAGCTATGGAGACGACGAGGGCACCGCTCGGAGCCGAGGTTCTGCTGGCAGCTAGTGCTAAACAAACATTAAGGCACAAGGCCAAAACGTACGGAATCATTGTTGACGAAGGATTCTGGCAATGGATGGACGGATATGGTGTTCGAGAATCATGCAGGATATGGGATGACATCCTTTTATATTCATCTCTGCGATTGAACCAGCGTCATTTGCGTTGTCTAGATTGAAGTATACAGCCTGTACTAGGGCTGTTCGTGTAAGGTCTAGATGTCGGCTATCATATGAAACAAGCCCTCGGTCCAGTAAGTTTTTCCACAAATGCTAGGCATGGGAGCCCTATTCGCTTTGTAACTAAATAGATTGTCACAGCCTCTTCTTAGTAAGGGCCAGCCAGAGAATCTGCCGACATCGAGCAGTCTTGAGAGTTCACTGTGAAGCGAAGAGCAGACCAGGTCTTGATGGCTGAGCTAATAGGAGGACCAGTGCAGCTGACCAGAGCCGCTATCTATACCGAGTCTCTTACTGGTGGAAAACATTTGCGATCAGTACACAGGACCAACCTCAATCCATAATCATCAAAATAGGTACGGCGACGGTGCATGCCAATTTGGATTGAAGAAGGCAAGTACGGAGAGAAGAAAGGGCAACTCTCAATCTGAAACACCTCCACAGATTTCATGTGCCCCTCGCGGACTGGGGGGAAAGCTTGGTGTGCTTGATAAACTACTCTAAATTTTCCACGAGTAGGGTTTCTGCAACCGTAACAAAGTTCAGGATATTTACATCCGGCGCTCTATAATCCGTCCAGGACGACTAGTTTACGTACGCAGGGCCTGGGGAAGAATAATCTTACCCAGTTAGAAACAGCTTGTGATCATGGCTTGCTAGTTGAGGTCAATCTGAAGACTCAGCGTAGCGTTCAGGTTGCTGTTTCCATAGAAGTACTCTGTACCAGTATTGCCGACATTGACAAAGGTCGACTTTTCGAAAGTACCATGCTGCACAAGAGCCTCCAACCACTCCTTGAGATCGCCACTGAAGCTACCTTCGAACTGTTTCTCAGGCATCATGGTGTGGACTGTAATACCAGTGTCGTCGTTCTTGCCCTCGTAGAGCTTCCAAGATGTGCCGAAGAGATTGTCGATGGTGGCTTTTGCTCCATCAGTCCAGCCGATGGGGAGTTGTCCGCCTTCGTATTGGAGCCATAGCATGAGCTCCTGCGCGTTGGAGGAAGTGGAGTCGCCTTTTGTGTCGCTGGTCATGAAATCGTAGCATACATTGCCCTTGAAAGCAGTGCTATTGGTGCGGGTCCAGTCATACGTGGTTGGGATAGAGTTGATGCCAGAGATGGCTGTCTCGAGATTTTGGGTCAAGCCGACAAAAGCATAACCCTTAGGAATGTTATCCCTATCGATGTTTCAGTGGAGGCTCTTGGGAGTCACGTGCTATCAAAGACGAGCTCACGTTGCTTTGACATATTCGATGCCGGTCTCACTGCTCCAGACAATCTTCTTGTTTCCAGTGGCAGAAGCTTCAACATGATCGTAACGGGTGCACTGTGTGCCAACCGATCCAGCGGCACCGTAGAACATGTTGTACACAATCCAAGGAGTGTCGGAGAGAACCAAATTATCGGAAGTCCCGCAAAGGTCGGTTGCAGCTTGCTTGGATGAAGTGCTAATGATCTGCGACTTNTTGATCATAGAACTAGGAGCGGCAAAAGCAGGCGCGACCAGAGCGCCAATGGTCAAGACCTTTGCGAAGAAGGATGACATTTTGTATGGAAGGAGCGCCAGGGAGAGGAGAGTAGGAGGACGTGAAGATGAGCAGAGCAAACAAGCAAGCAGGGGTTCGATGCTTTCTGCACGGTATTTTATAGGGCATGAATGGCTCTTAGGGCTGATTGTCATCCGAAACTTCGAAAGGCAGGCAAACTTGTCAAGCTGAAACTTTACCGACCCTTTTCGCGCGTTGTGCTTCTCGGATGCAGGTAAATGTCTCGAGAATATTCAGATCAATCTCGATGAGAATTCATCCGTAGTATTGGTACTCGCGCTTGCTGAATACTACAGCTTGTGAAGACTGGGCAGCGTCGTCAGCACTTCTGCCCAGTGGGGCTCACCATTTTCCAGGAGGGCAACTGATTCTTTCTCATGATAGTGAGTTTGAGCGAGGATCCAATTGCAATACAGCTCAAGGTGAGCTTTGATTCTTTTGAGCATGGGCGGGCTTCGGTGCGAAGATATGGATGTGTTAGAATTGAGACTTAAGGAGCCGCTATTGTGCGAGTTGTCAACGGTGATTGTTGAAGCTATCATGCATTCTTGACAATCGTTACTTCGCGACATGGATATGCCAGTCCCATATCCGCTAGTGTGGCCCAGCACCATCGGCTGAGCGAAGCAGACAGTCTAGGCCAGGTGTTGTCCAGAGTTTGTTATGTCGCACAGTTGTAGCAAGTCCAGAAAGATGGTTGTGCTCTAAGTCGCAAGGATTAGCGAGAAAGATCATGATTTGGCGCCACGAGAAGCAAAGCCAAAGCCGCCGCGTCCTTCAGGACCTCTAGGCTGACGGACAGGCTGTTCGTCTCTGGAAGCAGCAGGCCTTGGGCTAGCAATACTACGCGGTTTCTGCTCGTAGGTGGGGTCGAAAAGCTGGTTTGGTGGATAGATTGTCCTGGCAGGTGACTGGTCGGCAGGAGAGTTGGACTGGCTGTCTCTTGGGGTAGCGTTATGACCCCCTCTGCCTCGGTTGCCTCTGCGCGAAGTCCTGTCTCCTCTGGTGGAAGGGGTGCGAGAGGCTGACGGATCTCTTGATGAATCTGGAGAGCCGAACAGACGTTCGCGTACTTCAGCGTACTTTCGTTCTTTCTCCTTGCGCTCCTCAGCAGCTTTGCGCTGTCTCTCGGCAAGTGAGGCCTCCTGTCTTTTTCTCTCCTCTTCCTCACTATCATCTTCGTCTTCCAGATTAAGGCCAGCCATGCGGTTCGCGATTTGTGGAGTTGGTCTGCGAGTCAGAAGCTTGACTTGAGGCTTGAAGTCAGAAGCGAGAGGAGCGGCGCCTTTGCTNTCGAGAAAATAGGAACGCTCTGGTTGTTCGGCAGCATCCCATAACTGCTTGTTCAGTTCCTGGTGCTGAGCTTTGCGTTCGGCTCGGGATAGTTTGACGGCGGGTTGGATTGGTGCGGACTTTGCTGAGTTCNNTTGAACTCGGTCAGTGGTCTGTTTTAAGTAGTATGAGAGTGGACTTCTTGTGCATACATCAGCGACCTTGTCCCAGTCGTCATCCCAGGCATCGGGCATTATGGTAATTGTGATATTCGAGAAGGGCAGATGATGGAAGGCTCAGGAGCATGTAACACCGGAGATGGTTGAGACTTTGGTCGGTAGAAGTTTGGAGAGTGCGATGGTGTGAAAGCGGTGATTGTCAGAGGTGATAGCATGCAAGTGAGCGAATCGACAGATGATTTAGCTGGTCGTGTCAGGACAGGGTGGGTTAAATCGGATAATTGGCGACTGCGGGCCGACGCGCTCGGCCGTTGCTGCACCCCGCCCTGCGTCATGTCCAAGCTCTCTCTCGCTCTGGCGATTCCACCCTGTTGCTGTTGCTCGGTTTCATCTGCATGTACGAGATTGAATCCGTGACGCTGCTTGTCCAAGTTGATTGACCTGTCAACACTCCCAATCCAACCACAATCCTGTGCCAGCCTTCATCATGACAGGTAACCAATGTCCTTGCCGGCGGCTGCCTGCCTACGTCGGAAGATTCATGACTAATCCACTTTATCCAAACACCAGGCGCCAACTCTCCCTTTGACCAAGACGGCGACAGTCTCATGCAGTCTGGCAACTCTTCTCCTAAGCCGAGCACTCCCAACGCTCAGATCCGCTCCATCGCTATCTCCGACCTCTCGCCTCCCAACTCCCAAGGCGTCCCTCTGCCTGTCGATATGCCCACTGTCGCTCCTTCTGCTTCCGGCGCAAACATGAACGGAAAACGTCCCATCTCCTCCATCGACCAGTCTCAAGAGTCACAAGGCGGTGTGCCTCTCAGCGCCGCCATTCCCACCGATGCCTCAGTCAAGGCTGCCGCTGCCTACCGCTACACCCAACCAGAAGATGCGCCTGGCTATGCCTGGAACAATAAAAAGGCCCAGGATGACTTCAGCCGCGCTTGGGACTCACTCGTCGACAAGAACCGTAGAATCGGCAGTATGTTTCCCCACCACCGAAAGCGCTAACCTGTTTGGCTAACACGACACANNGACAAGTACGGCGATCCATTTGCCATGGCCGACCGCGAGCTCGCCATGATAAACTCGCGCCAACAGTAGTCGAACTCGATCTTTCAACTCTGACGAAATCACGTATTATTGTTTTACGAGCATGGCGCACGGCGTTGAATCACCATATATGCTCTGGTGAATGGTCTGCATTAGCGATGGAATGGCAAAAAGGCATGGGCCAGCATGGGAACACGCAAAGCGTGTCATACGAAAGTACTTCGAACCACATTAGAATTTCAAACTGTTCTCTCGCTCGTCTGTCGTGACTACAAGATAATGTCATGTTGCTTGGGTCAAACTCCAAGATTTTGTCCTTGGGTCATTGCTTTACAGCGCATAGCAATGTTCTCTCAGAGACCGACGCATTTCATGCGAGTCTGGTGTCGAGGTAATGGCTCCTAGACGCCCTCAACCGTTGGCCCAAAAGGTGACCATCTCCACCAACTGCCGTCAGCCATCTGCAATGTCTAATCACTGTCTTCGCTGGCATCGTCCAGCGCTTCATCCCTCATGCCCTCACCCACCCTTTCTTCCTCTTCGTCAACTCCGTCATCCACCTGCTCCTCATCATCATCTTCCTCATCGCCCTCTTCATCAGCCTCTTCGTCACCCCTCACCTTCCACAACCTCATCATCCTCGCCCTCCAGAGCATCATGGAATTCCTCATCCTCGCCTTCCTCATCATCATCCTCACCAGCTTCACGTCTCAACTTCTTTGACGGTGGTTCTTCGCCATCGTTTCTGCCGTGGCCGTTCATAGCAGACATCTCAGTGGCATCCAGCATTGAAGCGTCTGCATCGCCATTCTCGGCTCCGCTGTCTGTGGGCTTTCCGTCATCACCTGTTTTTGACGCCTTCTCCTCACGGATCTTGCGGCGGTATGAGTTGCGTTTGTCGCATTGGACTGTATTGTACTCTGTAGACACATGTTAGGATGGTGTAGTTGATGATAGGGGAAAGGGCAGTGATTACTCTTGAGTTCTGCTTCTAGGCGTGGGATGAAGTGTTCGAATTCGTTTTCTTTGAGAGCTGCTATCACGTCTGCAGGCTGGATTGTCTTTTGCCTCCGAGTTGAGCGTATTCATTTGAGCTGGACAAGTCGATTTTGTTAGTTTTTGATAACACTGTACAGGATTTTCTGAAACATGAAGCTTTGTAAGAGCATCGAGCCACCAGGGATCTACTTACTTGGATGCCAGGAAATTCACAAAGACAGTACAGCTCTTGCTCAATGCCAGCAGAGCATCTTTATGAATTGATGTGTTTGGTGGTAGAACGCCCTTTGCTAACCGCGAAATCATAGTTCGGGGTAGGGCTAGATCCTGTAATCATAAAAGTCAGTGTCTGTCCCGAGAATATCACCTTCATGATCTCATCTGCTCACCTCTACACTTGATCCTTCGCGGACTGCGCGGCCAGTAGGTGCGGGCGATTCCTCATCGCCATTTGTGACGGTTGAAAGGTTTGATTTTCTGCCAGGCATGGTTGGTGTCAAGGATTGAGTTTTCGGAGAGTTCAGATCCCTAGTTGATGTACGTTGATTATTCTGTACGGCAGGAGGTCAAGAAGATAGAAATCAACAGTATTGGATCAAAGTTGCTCTTTCGATATTCTTTCGGATCCGTTTGTCGTCGGCGCAAGGAGATGGGGGAGCGCGAAAGTTTCGCGGAAGAACGCGTAAAGTGGTGCTTTTTGGGTGGGAATCTCGAGAAGTCCTGGCAGAGGGTCCAGATGCTATACTTCAGGATGTGAGTCAGGTTGTGGTATTAGCGCGTGAAGACTCTTCGGGGAAAGGAAAATCAGATGTCAAGCTGTGTTGTGGTTTCGACGAGATGCAGTCAAGTCTCTGTCCTCTTCAGTATCCACGTCTCGGCCCGAGCACAGACCATTGTCCAGATGGACCCTTCTTGATTTCCATATCTCGACTACACTCACAAACACCTTTATGTCGTCTTTTTACCCTGGCAAACGCCTTTCCGCAAAGGNNGGTGAACGCTGTACAGTACGCTATGTCGGCGAAGTGAAGGGCAAGCAAGGTCAATGGCTGGGTGTAGAATGGGATGATCCCACCCGAGGAAAGCATTCTGGAACTCATGATGGAATCGAGTACTTCAAGTGTAGGTTATCTTTGGCTTCGTGTGTATCTTGAGAACAGGTCTGATGCCATGTAAAGGTANGGAGTTCGCATCATACGGCTGGTTCTTTTCTGCGGCCCTCAGCAGCGTGGGATCAACCGAGGACTTTCCTCGAAGCATTAAGAACAAAATATGCAGCCATCGAGACTGGAGAGCATGCATCCAATCAAAGTGTCATCAGATTCAGTGGTAAAGAAGCCGAAGAAGTTGGGTTCGAAAAGATCGCCCGTCAGCAGGCTCAACTGCAGAATCTTCGCATTGTGGTCTTGGATGATTTGCTTGTCAAGGCCTACGACGAAGACACTGCAAACTCTGAAGACAGCCTGGATCGCATTACCGAGACTTGTCCAAACATCACCGATCTCGACCTGGGAAGGAATCTGTTTGAAACCTTGTCCGAAATTTCCCAAATATGCGACCAACTACCAAAGCTGAAGTTCTTGAGATTAGAGTAAGGTTGCGAAGTGTTTTTGTTGGTCTTCGCTAATCTGTAGCAGCNNGCAAATCGTCTGAGAGACGTTTCTGGGCGAGAGAACTACTCTACAGAGAGTGTCTCTGGCCTGGCCCAGCTTACTTCTGCAAGTCTTGATCACATGCTATGTAAAGGCAAAGAGGTCGGTTGTGTTTACAAACTCAGTACGGAGCATTATGCTGATTGCGTTCTAGNNCTCGAAACTCTTCTACTCTCTATGCCGAATGTCAAGGAGCTATCAGCATCGAGCAATCAACTGGGTGCGCTGGATGATTGCAGCTTGCCAAGTACCGTACACTCAATCAGCCTAGAAGATAATGACTTCACAAGCCTCGAAGATATACGTCACTTGGAAGAATGTTGTCCACAACTCCGCACCTTGAACCTCAAGAACAATCAAATCTCCAGCACGTCTAGGGATACACAACACAAGAACACGTTCAAGCTACCGGAATCGATAACCGATCTGGATCTTGCATACAACAACATAATTTCATGGAACATCATAAATGAACTATCGACCACTCTTCCAGGATTGAAGCATCTGCGTATAGCTCACAACCCTCTGTTCTCTTCTTTACGTTCGGCCGACGGCAAGCCTTTGACTTCAGCTGACGGCTATATGCTCACCATCGCTCGCCTACCTCAGCTCGAGACTCTGAACTACTCAAAGATCACCGAGAAAGAGCGACTGAACTCTGAAACATACTACCTCTCTCAAATCGGCAGGGAGTTGTCTCTGTCACCCAAAGAAAAGGAAAAGGATATACTGGCATCTCACCCGAGGTGGACGCAGCTGTGCGAGGAGTATGGCGAGCCAAAAGTTGAGCGTCAAGCTGAAAGCGGGATCAATCCAAACTCTCTAGCAGCCAGGCTATTAGAATGTACAGTGTGCTCGCCTGCCGCAGCTCCAGTCCCTGGTCTGCCAAATGAACATAACCCGCTTGTCGTCGAGATACCTAAAGCCTGCAGCATTTACAAGGTTCATGGAGTCATCGGCAGGCGTCTAGGTGTCGAGCCCACCCAACTTCGTTTGATTCTAGAAATCGGCGAGAAGGATCGCGTGGACATGGCTACATGGAACGGGGTAGAGGAATGGGATTCTGACGAAGAAGACGCGGAAGAGGTTGGTGAAGAGTGGAAGGAAAGAGAAGAGGAGCTTGTCCCTGGCACGAGACCATTGGGCACTTTTGTTGATGGATCGAAAGCAAGAATCAGGGTCGAACTTAGACCGAGTCGAGAATAAGGATACAGTACACCCGAGGAAAGGTTTCCATGAATACTTCTAACCAAATCTTGCAATTGGGAAAGAGCGATGGTCTGAAGATGTACCAAAAACCAAGACTCTTTGTCACCCTGACCACTTCTCCGCACTCGTCCGCGACTTCTTTCCAAGTTCGTCTGGATGATTTATCTTCTTGCTTTCCCAACACCATCAGAAAACCTTGATCGGGTTTTTTTCTGGAAATCTTCTATCTCTTTCTGAAGCTGTTGGCGTTGGTAACATCATGTCGCGTTTGCATGCGGTCGCGTGTGGTTGCCTGTCGCTGCCTGGAGAAAGACTGGAAGCCAACCTCTCCGAAACCTTAGTGCCGCTTCCTTCGCGCGCCTAGTCCGACAACCAATTTCCCGCGATTTGAGCGCCAGTTGGTATTATCAGGAATATAAATAGCTGATCGCATCCTCAGCTATTCTTCGCTCCAAGACAGCTACAACCACAACCTAACTTGACCCAGTCATGTCTACTTCAGAAGCGACTCACCAAACGGAAATCCCGGACAATCTCAAGTGCCACCACTTCTTTGACGATGCTGGACAACAAATATTTCCTGGCCTGGATATGGAGCTAAACGATAGACGACTTCATCAAAAGGAATGTCCTCATCATCGACTGGTGGATGTGGATCCACTGGCTGGATGGGCATGGTCCTTACAGTCCGCGAGACCAACATGATCCTGGTTATGCAGAAACTCATGGAGAAGCCTGAATGGTTTCGCAAAGTCTTCGACGATATCATCTGCAATAAATGGATGGCCGAGGTTATGAGCCAAGTCGAAGACTTCAGTGAGCTGATGTGGCAATATTGCGTTGCGGAGCTTCGTGACAAATCCAAAACGCTGGAAGAAACTGGTATTGTCGCACCTGTCGATGTCGACGCTCAAGTTGTCTATTCAGACACCATGGTCTCTGAGCAATTGAGACAAGACCTCAATCGAGCGGTTGCCTCCTTGGAGAATGTGCCCGCTAAGGATAAGGACTGGCATCCTAGAACCCGAGAAAGAGTTCTCGACCTTGTTCACCCTTCCCTGTTTCCTCTAATCTATGGTCGCTCTAGAGTCATGAAGGAAGGTACGGTCGGGCTCGAAGACTGCACTTCTTTTGCGGACAAGGAGAAGTCATACAAAGTCCTGAGAATACTCCTCGCTTGTATTCAGAGCAATTTCAATGGCTCCCTTGTGATGTTAAGTTCGAAGGCGAGAACGACGTGAAGATTGTCAGCTACATCAACAATCTGCATCCACAAGAACATTCCGAGCTCTATCGTCTGATTGAAAAGATCATCGCAAAAGCAGTGCCTCTGTGGGACCAAGTTTTCAGCCATACTGGAGGTTCACTATGCGAGTACAACGGAACTACGAAAAGCCGTGGTTATGTTAGACCATTTCATCCTCGCGTAGAAATCAATGACTATAGCTGGGGTGGCCTCACGGCGAAGCGCGACCAGGAGGTTGGACGCTTAACAGGCATCCAGAGACTGAGGAAGAGAAAGCGGAACTCAAAACTTTGGCGGATGCTATGGATACTCGTCTTGATGGCTGGTATGAAGCCAGTCAAAAAGCCGACGAAGAAAAAGGTCTCTCCAGCGACGAAAGCTGGGATTTGGATCAGTGGTGGTCAAGGAACATGAGGACTTTGCAAATGCCTGAACCAAAGCCTTTTACACCTCGGGAAGACCCGGGAGAGCCTCTTCTTAATCTTCGTCAGGAGTATGCCGACAGCGGATTGCAAATCATTGTCAAGCTGGCCAACACCTATTTGACGCCTAACGACCCACAGTGGGATGGCGGTAGCTGGCATGTCGAAGGTGAGTTACTCATGCCAATCTAGTAACCTGGCGCTAATTGATCTTTCAGGCTTGTTGAATGAACACATTGTTGCAACGGCCATCTACTACTTCTCAAACGACAACATTACACCCTCACATTTGAAATTTCGTCACAACGGAAGTGACGAGGCTGGTCTCGACATGGCATACGAACAATACGACTGGGAGCATCTCGAGAAGATCACCGGGTTCAGGGACGAATCAGATGCTCTTATCCAGAACCTTGGTAGTGTGCTCTGTAGACAGGGTCGTCTACTAGCTTTCCCAAACGTCTTGCAACATAACGTGGGATCCTGCGAGCTCGAGGACCACACGCGACAAGGCGAGAGAAAGATCCTAGCACTCTTCCTGGTAGACCCGCACGTACGCATCCCGTCCACATCCAAGGTTCCTCCACAGCGAAGAGACTGGTGGCAGAGCGAGCTGCAGCGTGAACATATCGACAAATTGAAGACACTGCCAAACGAATTGATGGAACAAGTCTTCAACGACGTCACAGATTTCCCTATTTCTATGGATGAGGCCAAGGATATTAGGGAGACTTTGATGGAAGAGCGTGGGCCTATCGCCGACGACATGATCGAGTGCGAAGCTTCGTTCTACTTCTGCGAGCACTGAGAGATGGCTGCAGGTTATGTCAACTAAACTCATAATCTTCTTGGAGGTATGATGACCTTTGACAAAGACAATGGTCATAGGATTCTTGGAGTGATTGTTTCTTGCTTCAAAGCAAATTATGCGTTCCTACACGCAGTCTGACTACTTGCGGACTAAGACAAAGATTGACACAATAACCTTCACATGCCGCGGGCATCTACACGAACAGGTGTACTTGGTAATTTCCTTGCATCGACCGATTGCTTCAATGTTTAGAGACACAGCACGAGACCTTTCAGACTCCTTGGTCGCGAAACGAGAGTGTACAGAGCAATCAGGATTCTCTATTCACAAATCTCATTGTCCATATTCCGTGGGCATCTACACAAACAGCTATACTTGGTAATCTCCTTGCATCGACCAATTGCTTCAATGTTCAGAAACATAGCACGAGATCGTTCCAATATGTTGCTCAAGAGAGTCGATCGTATGGAATAGATGTAGCGGTATATCGACCGGAAGGCACGCGGAATCAGGTTACCGCATTCACAAACTATCCTCCAAAAGAGTCGGGATTAGTACAAGCAACCATTGTCGGATTGCAGAAGGTGTCGAATTTTTCCTCAACGAAGCCAGAAAATCGAATATAATGTCAAGGACCCGCCTCGCGCTGGCGAACTGTCGGTGGTAGATCGTTACAACCATGATAGACCTACGGCGCAGCACGTCCGTAAACAATATCTGCTATTACCACATCCCCCGACTTGTCGATTTTGGTATTACCGAACATTTGTCGGATGACAGAAAGTGTCGATTATCCTCGACGAAGCCAAAGTATCGAGGAGAGAACGTCGAAGACCCGAGTCGCGCGGTGGATTGTCGGTGTCGGGTGTCTTTGAAGACAGGGGCCCAAGCCAATGGGACGTTGACGGCCATTTGAGAAGTCATGTCGCTGGTCATGACGTCCATGACAGTGGTACGGTCTCGGTTTTGCGACGGGGAAAGATTATGTAGTCGAGAAATGCCTATGTTTAGTAGATTGGTTCACGAGTGAGTCGATTTCAAGGGCTGCAGTCACCCTCCCTTGTGCGCTATACTCTGTCGCTCGCAACTGTAAAAAGGCACGATATCATAGAGGTGAGGGTTGTGTTGTTCTGGAGTAGACTTTGAATTGTCATGAAAAAGGGTATCATTGTAGTTAGAGACTCAAGGAAAATGAAATGAGACGTCTAATCGAATGGCAGTCTTCTCAAAGATTCACCACCTTGACGCTTCTTCATCTCTTGCATAGCTCCGATGGCAGAAGGAACTTTGATACCACAGCAGTCATCCCAAGTCTTGCCGCTGTGGTCATGGACATGTTTCATACCGCCTCCAGGAGCGACTTGGCCTTGTCCGCCTTCCGTCTCTTCCATCTCGCCAGCGACATGGGTTTCATCTTCTGTGCTCATACCGTCAACGGCAGGTACAAGGCCACCAAACAAAAAGTGTTGCATGACAGGAAGCTTGCCCAAGACTTCTGCGACAAACATCTTTTTCATGCCTGCTTCGACCTTTTCCCAGTTCTTTGCGCTGCTGATGTCGTCGAGCATGGGTGAATGCCAGCGAAGGCCGTCGACGTTCTTGACGCTGTTAACGTAGGTGACCTGCTCGAGATAGAGATAATCTTTGGAGCATTCTTCGAGGATGAGGGGCTTGTGGATTGACATGGGACGGATATGAGGATGGTGGACGAGCTGAGCGCTGCCGAAGAGGAAGGGAGCGAATTGGTAGTCGTCGAGACCCCAGACGCCATGTGAGCCGGCAGGTTCAAGGTAATATGTAGACTGGACGACGCGCATGACGCGAAGATAGCGAGGGAATACTATGAGGGCGACCTGTGGGAAGGAAGATTGAGGGAGGAGGTTTAGGCGGTTCAAGCACAGCAACCAGATGAGGAAGTTGAGCTCGTGACCAGAGCCGTAGTCGATTCTTGTCTTATTGCCGAAAGAGTGGAAGATGTATGTGGATACCTCATCCTGAGCGGCATCTGTCACGCCAAGCTTGTCGTGCCATGACTTGAGTAGCGTCTCGATCTTGTCGAGGTATGTTATGAAAGCCTTGTTTCCGAAGCGCGAGCCACCAGCGTCTTCGGCAGGACAGTCTGCTACTGTTTGCTCTGCCTCTTGTAGTAAATTTATGATTGTATCGACGATGGGTATTCTTTCGGCCTTTTGGACAGAAGTGACAGTTGTTTGGCGAACAGAGTCGGAAAGACCAAAGACAAAGGCCGTGATCAAGTCATATGTGGGTGAATTCAGGAACAGGTCATGATCTTCCTTGGAGAGAATGCGGCGTGTAGGATGTTGAAAATTGACGTCTTTCTGGTTGGGCGGAGCAGGGAGAGCAGGAGTTGGTGGTGGAGGATTTAACGGAGGTTCGGACGATTTATCTTGCTTGCGTCGAGGAATGAGTTTGGGGAGCTTGTTGGAGAGGTCTGGTGGTGAACTTGGGATTTGAGTATCGGGGATGGGCTCAGCGGACGGCATTGTGAAGTGTGATGAATGAGGGAAAGTGTCAAGGACATGAATGGTCAAGCTCTAGTTGTTTGAGGTTGGCCTTGGCAACGATGGTGCATGGAAATGGCGGTTGCTGTTTGCGGAGGTGTTGATCATTTCGTCCTTCTCGAATATCTGGTCATCACCGTTCGACAGGACTCGACGACACACTCGCGCCGTCTTTCTCCGTCTCGGGACGCGCATTTCATCGCTATCATTCCTGGACCATCGCGACCTCTTCCGCCGACCGCCAGTGACCCTTCCGCCTCTACCGCCAAGGACCGCCGGAGACGTCATCAGGCCGGCTTGATATGATGATTAGCAGCAAAATTATCGACACTCAACTGCCATAACAATCGCGACTGCATGCCATAGTCTTATCCAGCCCTCGGGCATGTCCTGCCCCCGATGGTCAAGCGCCCGCGACTCCCCTTTCGCATTCCTTTCTTCCGCATCTTCTACAGCACCACTTATACCACCCTCTTCCTCCTCATCCTCATCTTACTGGCCATCACTCCCGCATCTCTCATCTATACCGCCCTCAGCGCCAATGCCTATCAGTATATCTTCGAGGTCGGAGGCGTCTATGTTCTGGTCGTCATCTTCACCCTCTTCATCTACTCGAGTCGACTCTACACCAACCGTTCCGTCCTCGCCGCCGTTGGCAAATCTTGGATTCCCGTACAGCCCGGCGAGGTCAGCAAAAATGTTCGCAAGGNNGAGGTCGTCAAGGCTGCAAATAGAAGCGCGAGGATTGCATTCGAGACCAAGCCGAGGAACCTCCAGCCTGAGCTCGCCCGCATACAGAAACTTTCTATCGAGTCCGACCAACATGAGCCCATCACTGTTGGCAATATAGTTCACGTTGATCCACAAAATCCTCCCTGGGGTCGCATCTCCCATCCTGGCTGGTCTTCGCCATCTCAACTCGATGCCAATCTGGCCCCACACATTCAGTTCCGCACTGTTGTCATGGAGTTGCCAAATCTCATCGAAGCCCGTGCTGTTTCATTGGCCCCTCCCGATTCGTCCTTCAACCCTCCTGCGCAGGAAGCCACTGTCACAGCCGATTCACGAGTTGTAGACCTGCTCTCGAGAAAGCCTACAGCCGATATGCGCTCATACCTGGCTCAACTTTCTGCTCTTGGTCTAGTCCCACCCGACGTTGGTCAAGACTTTGTTCAACGCTACGAGCATGCTCGTTTCTCTCCAATACCCATCCAAGAGGACGAATTTGAGCGTCTCATGTCCGTCTTTGCCACTTTACTTGCCAACATGAACCAGCTACCACCTCGAGTCTTGGAACTGGCCCAAGCCGGCTCGGAAGTCTCCTCTGATAATTCGAGCTTATCTTCTATTTCTTCCCGGAGCGATAGTATTTCCTCCTCCATTGCTGGATCCGTCTTCCGCGCTCGCACGCCTGGTTCAAGACTACCGTCTTTCTACACCCCGCGCGCATCAATGTCTGTCGCCCGCACACCTTCTCCAAACACTCGCCGTACCGCTCCATTCTCAACACCTCGACCACAAACTGCACAAACCGCCAACACTGTCTACCGTACGCCTTCTCAACAAACCATTTCAACCATGAACTCGGTTCGTAGAACGGTACCGAGGGAGCCACAGACTATGGTCGACGGCAACGGCTCGCCTGCAGCCAGCCTACATCGACTAGAGAGCTACGCAAGTGGACAGAGTGTCATTCGCACACCACTCCCGTCTAGCTCTGCTACATCCTACTATGGGTGAGATGGAAACCACGAGTATGTTCATTTCGATTCTCTGTTGATATTATTATTCTCATACTATACCCCTTATCTTATGTTAACGAAATAGAATGTTTAATGCCATACCCCTGGCTTTCTCTGACCACGTACCATCTATTTTCCTTGAAATTCAAAATATTGTGCATTGCTTCGAAATTCTTTGGAGTTATTGAGCATAGTAAAGCGGCGTTCCCAACCGTGTAAAGCTACCGCCTTTCTCCCGTGGTCGAGACGATCGAGGACAGAGATGAGTATGTGCATGCTGTTGTTCTGAGAAGAAAAAGGGCTTGGTACTAAGTAAGTAAGCATGCATGATGAGAGTCGTGTGTCACCATCCCACGGCAGATCAGAAATACCAGAAGGTACCATCAAAATGCACAATCATCTCCCACATTGAGTGATGTCCAGAGAAAGACCAACTGACTGATGGCTCTCAGCGGATGTGTTCTGATCTCTCAATACCACTCTGCATTTCGACAGTGACGAATCTGATGACCATTCCCTGTGCAGCGCTTTCCCGCAACAACTCTTCCTTCCTCATCTTTTCCAACCCTAGTACTCAATCGAGACGCCCACTGTACCTTCCCTTAAACATCACCATCAACAACACCTCCTTCCTCAATGTCATCACTCACAATCCTAATCCCCTTGCCTTTTCCCTTTGCATCCTTAGCAGCAACAACCTCCACACTACTAATCCCATCACTACTCTCCCTCAACCCTGAAAAGCTAGACATGGATTTAAGTCCCTCCAGCCACTTTGTGATATACCCTTGTTTGCCTGCATTGCCGTTTGTCATAACCTCATTTCCATCAGTGGTAGGTTGTTGCAACTTCTTGGGCGAAGAACGGAGGGTTTCGCGGTGGGCGGTACTCAAGTCGATCAATCGCGAGCGAAANCTTTTTGTAAGGGTCGAGTGCCGGGTATGTTCGGTGTTGAATTTGTTTTCGAGGTTGCAGAGGTTGTGGGTGTGGCGAGCATCTTCTTTNTCGATGCGTTTGCGGATTGCGAGGACTTGGTTTGCTGGAGGTTGGTCTTGTAACTCGCGTGTGGTGGTTTGTTGGGCGGAAGCAGTGGTAGAAGTGTTGAGTTGATGAGTTCTAGTTCTCTGGTAGTATAGATTAGTATGAGGGTATGGTTGTTAGTGCTTGAGGGGGTACCATACTGATGATGAGCGAGAACGGCGACGAGAATGGTGTCTTTGTCTTTCTGTTCGTGGACTTTCTCTCTGCCTTTCTCTTGGAGAGTGTCGTTCTCTGTTCGAGGATCGTCGGCGGGAGATGCGTCGACCATCTTGTATCGCTTTCGAGCTGGCTTTTGGTATTGATGGTGAGCCATGATGGTCGTCGGATATCTCAAAGTGGCAGCAGATGTACAGACAAGGCGGCATGTTGACTGCTGGCCTGTAGACTCTGGAGGTTTGCAATTTGCGAAGCGCATATTCCTCTTGTATACGATGATGGGATTCGTTGGCGTTTGCGAGAACCGAGACATGAGTGCCAGCAACACATGAGACATGCACAACACGTTGGCTTCCAGGGGTTGTCTCGTGAGCGTGCATGCCGGTGGGGGCCGGATCTGAGACTTCAATCGAGGTAAGGTACACATGCATATAATTTTTCCTTTGATCGTTCATTCTTCGTGGCTATGTGAGATAAATTGTTAGGAGATTACTAGTACAATACAATGAGGCCGTGAGTATACACCTAAACACGATCGTCAAATGTGTCATCATCTTCCGTGAGGTTGTATCCGGGCTCCTTGACGTATGGAGGGCTGTAAACAAGAACAGTCAGACATCAATGTCGTCAAGAAGCACCGCTTCCCAAAAAGGTCGCAGGGGCATTTTTCCTACATAAAGTAGTTTTTGATACCAACAATGCCGGCGGTCATGACGGCAAATCCACCAAGCATCTTGCTCCAGTCGGGGTTGTTCAAGGTGGCCTGGCCAACGCTCAGGGCAATCAAGTCGTAGACGAGGCATCCACCAAAGATCCAGTCACTGCAGGCAGCGAGACCAGCAAAGCCAGCGCCAGTGACGGCCTTGATGGCTGTGCTGGGGAGAGCATCCTTGTAGTATGCAACACTCAGGTTGTGGAGGAAGTCGAGGACACCAATACCAGCAAAGGTCTTAGCATTGATGTGTGTGAGGACGGACGAAAGAGATGAAGTGTTCATGGGGCCGAGCTTGGTGAAGATGAAGTAAAGCTGGCTGAAGGAGTTGACGACAACGAACAAGTTGGAGATCTTGAGCTGCTCGCTGTTCCAGAAGAACACTAAGGGTTTTATCAGTATCTGTGCCTATCGGAGTCGGAGAGAAAGAGTATAACTTACTCCAAGCTATATGCAGTCAGCGTCTGTGTTCATTAGGGAAAAGGAGTACAACTTACTGCCAATGCAAACGTTACCAAGAGCGTAGTAAGGAACAAAGTTCACGATCTGGTCCAATTCGGAGCGCTCCTTGGGCTTGCTGGGGTCGAGCTTCCACAAGCGGTACAGCCAGGCCATCTGCACAATCTGCTGAGGTGCAAAGAAGCCTCCAATGAAGTAGGGCTGAGGACTCCAGAAGGATGTGTTTCTGTCGTTGATCTGCTTCATCGAGGGAGTGCTGTTGAGTCCATACTGCTGCAGTGCAAAGTCGTAGATGAACGACGCAGGTGCGAGCCACTTGGCTGTGCTGTATTCAAGACCCATGATTACGGTAAGATTGATGGAGCGAGATTGTGTTGGTTTCTGAAAATTTGTTGATATTGAGAGAAAGAAGAAGTTCCTACCTGGAAAATCCACAAGAGCAAGAAGGAATGCTGCCAAAAGTCATGAACTCATCAAGCTCCTCAATCAGCGATGACGTCTGACCATCTCGGTGTTTGTTCTTTCCCCGCCCCGATCATATGATCTGCAACCTCCTTTTTGAGCCTCAAGGAGCCTCAGAAGAGCCCCCAGGAGCTTCTCCAAGACGTGCTTCGGTTCGACTAAGAATCGGTAGAAGGGAAAGGGCATGAGTAGATGGGCAAGTGTGGCTCGGGAAGCAGCTCATCCAGTCCTTCTCAGTACGACCAGAGCTTCGTCATACTTACGCCAAGGCCCTTACCAGCTGTCGTCGGCTGCACACGAGACCTGCAGCAGTTCATACGAGAATGTACAATACTGTGTGTACCTGCAGAACGGACGATGCGACGGTAGGGTGGTGGGTGGCATAGAAATGGTGCCAGCGGACAAGAAAAGATGCCATGTTTTGGAGGTGCAAAAGCATAAATTGACCTTCCATCAGCACCAGCGGAAACTGGAAAATGAAGCCAGGCCTCCCGTTTCATCGATCCTCTGTCAAATGTCACCTTTTGCGTCGCACGAGATCCAAGCCCTGACAAGATCACCAAGAACATCTAGACTGACTGACGCGCAAGAAGGCTGAAATTTCACCGATGCAATCGCGAAACGCCCAGCCTTCAGGTCGTATCTTGATGTTCTGCTGAGCTTGTGAGCTTCCCGTCTCCGCTATGCAATCGATCGAGCTCGAGTCGTTACACGTAGCAACAAGATTTGGCTCATAACACAGCGGAAAATCATGTTCCGTTTGATCGACTTGCCAACATCGGCACCAACGTAGTTCGGCCTTGGTGTGGTCTAGAAAAAGGAGCATGTGGGTTTGATTGCCAAGTGTGGGTTCTGATATCAGAATAATCATGCTAAGGGGGATACAGTCTTGTCGGGCCGATATAGTAAAGATCGAGTCGAGGTTCATAGAGGCCGAAACGACTGTGATTTGTTTATCCGGAGAAAAAAAAGGCTTCACACAGACATTATAGGATAGAGCAGATGTTTGAAAGATTGAGTTGTAAAATATTGAAAGTCATAACAATTCGGGTATGTACATTAAAAAATCTCAGTGAGAATAAACCTCCCGATTACGTTCAAAAATGCAAAGAAGGAATATACGCCTTTTGCCCACCCATACACCAATGCTATGCCATAAAGAGAGTTGGAACTTTTTGTCGAAAAGACTTCCTGAAGTCTGTACGTTGTTTACTTCTCCTCATCAGCCTTGGAGCCAGCGCGAGAAACAGGGATGTTGCCCTGCTCGGCGACACCAGAGGCGTAGGCATCCTCGGGAACCTTGGAACCGTCCCACTTGGAGGAGGTGATGGGGTTGACGTGGAGGATGTACATGGTGTCGATCTCCTCGAGCGAGCGGTCCTTGGACTCGATAACGAAGAAGTAGACAATGGCGGCAAGACCAAGACAGCAGCCACCGAAGACAAGACCGAAGAACCAGTGGATGTCGTCGACGATAACAGTACTGAAAAGTGAGATAAGGAAGTTCCAGATCCAGTTCGAGGCAGTGGCAAGACCCATGCAGGTGGCGCGGTAGCGGGCAGGGTACAGCTCAGCAACGACGGCCCAGACAAGGGGTCCCCAGGTGGTGGCGAACGAGACGATGAACAAGCAAGTGAAGACAATCAGGACACTTCCGGCAGCCTGGTTGTTCTCCTTGGCGAAGGGAGGAAGCTCGAAGTAACCGACGAAGGCGTAGATCATGAAGCAGACAAAGGCCCAGAGAGCACCGACGATGAGAGCCTTGCGGCGACCACACTTGGCAACAACGTAGAGACCACCGAAAGTGCAGACGACGTTGACAGTACCGAGAATGATCTGGGTGACGTAGGAGTCGCTGAGACCAGTGGCCTGGAAGATGGTTGTACCGTAGTAGAAGAAGAAGTTGGCACCGGTAAGCTGCTGGCCAGCCTGGAGAGTCATACCGAGGATAGTGCGGTAAGCCATGCGGGGACCGGTGAAGCACTCGTACCACTTGGCACCGATGGCGGCTCTCTCCTCGTCAAGCTTGACACGGATGTCGTTGATCTGGTCAGAGACCTCCTTGTGCTCAGGGTCAATACCGGCGTAGCGGGCAATGGTGTTGCGAGCCTCATCCTCACGACCGGCACGGTAGGCGAAACGGGGAGACTCGGGAAGGAAGAGGATACCAACACCAAGAATGAAGGCCCAGAGGAAGGAGATACCGACGGGGATTCTCCACTGAGCGCTGTTGGAGTAAGCGTCGTGGGTTCCGAAGTCGATCATGTAAGAGGTCCAGATACCGAGGGTGACGAAAAGCTGGTAGCAAGCAATGAGGACACCACGAATGACACGGGGAGCGGACTCTCCCTGGTACATGGGGACAACGACGGACAGAGCACCGATACCGATACCATCAACGAAACGACCGGCGGCGAACTGGCCCCAAGAAGTCATGGAGGCGATCTCGATAACGACACCAATGGCAGTCCAGAAAGCGAAGAGTGAGATACAGAACTTGCGACCAATAACATCGGCGAGTCTGCCAGCGATGAGGGAACCGACAGCGGCACCACCACAGAGAAGGGCAGTGATAGCACCCTGGCGGTAGGCAGTGAAGTAGTAGGTACCATCGGGGTTCTGCTGACCGAATCGCTGAAGAAAGTCGGACATTTGCCAGTAACCTNNTGAGAGAGATATTAGCACATAGCTTCAGGAGCTCTGTCGGACAGTTCAAGACATACCAGAGATTTGACCAGAAGCATAACCGAACATGAAACCACCGATAGAGGCAACAAGACCCATGAAGACGGCCATGAAGGTAACCTTGCCGGCAGGTGCAGGAAGCTCATGGTTGCCAGCGGTCGACTCGACCTGGCCAGCGGTCATGGCCTCGGTCTCAGTACGCTTGGAGAAGAGACCCATGGTGAGGATGGGTTAAGATGTTTGACTGGTTGTTGAGGGGCGAAGAATGGAAAGAGGGACCCAGTTGAAGGGCGAAAGGGGAGGTCTTATGACAGCCAGGTGAGGTCTGCTGAGGGGATCGAGAGGAAAAATGAGGAGAATCGAGTTTATAAAGGATGGAGCAAGACAGTGGGACGGTAATAGATCGGGGTTGCTCTGGAGTGCTCCGGATGCAAGACGGCACTCAACGCGGGCGGCGTGTGAGCGTGGGTAGAGAGTCGGTTGGAAATGATAGAGCACGAGACACTTTGGGGTCTGTTGATGGAGGTTTGGTTTCGATGTTCTACGCTCTGCACGGAGGATATATATGGGTCCAGGGAAAGTTCGAGCCACTAGCTGGATCACTGCAGCCGAGCAGCGACGTCAAACCATGGCCACGGTCCGGTGATTGTTCAGGTCACCTGCAACCAGCAGCTTCGAGCCCTGAGTTGGACGAGAAGCTCTCGGAACGAAGCTATGAGCAAAATTCTGCTTCGCGTGCCGAAGCCGACTGAACCATCACGAATCGGTTGGCGTTAACGACGGAAGTTTACAGCCAACATCTCGCTCAAACGCCTAGCAAAAGTGCATCAGCCCATTCAAAATGACGTCGGAATTCACGAGCTAATTGACCATTCACGCAACGGGAACACAAGAGCGATTTTTTTCCTTGGAGACGGAGGGTTAGCCTGGGGCCATTTGGGGTTTGATTGCTCCAGGATCATGCAACGATCACTCGCTTCGCAAGTCAGTGGGAGCAAGTCTGGGACAGCTTCGGGGCCTGATGCGAGCTTGCAAGAGCGTGATGTGGGTCGTAGAAGGCGGCCAGAAAATGCATCGAAGGGCGCGACGGCCGAGGATGCCAAGTCGGATCTGTATGTATCGGCCCTTTGATGGCTTTTCTCGGCCCGTCTCGCAGAAGCCTCTTTCCAAGCCACCCGTCAAAGTCTCTTTCAACGTCTGTCGAGAGGGCAGATGACGTCCTTTTCGAGATCTGGAAGTTGACACTACACGACTCGACATTTGGGATTGATCACACCCGAAAAACAATCGCTTTTGAGGACTCGAAGATGAATTGCAAGTGTTCTTTGCCTCTCGCTAGAAACTGGCAGGCCTTGTGGACCGCAATATCCTTGAGCGACCGGCGAAGGACCGACCTCGGTGAACAGTCAAAGTAGGCAGTGGTCTTACTTCGGTTCTCCTCTGTTCAACAGGTTCTTCTTCGGAACATGTTGGGAAGAAGATGATTTTTGTTCACAGATAGCCAATAGCACATCGCCGGCAAATGGAAGAGACACGTCAAACACGCTTCAGCACGCGTTTAATCACGGATTTGGACATGATACCTGATGATCCCCGAGACGTGCAGCCACGCGCAGACGATGGTACCTGTCTTACCGACCCACTGTTGCACTCTAAGGTGGGATGAAGCCTGAAGGTGATGAGAGACGTTACGGGGGAAATGTGGTGGAAATGCGGATGGCGCGGAGTGTGATTGTTGTTAGAGTGTCGGGTCCGCTGTATGCATCACCCATGGGCGGGTAAAGTAGGAGGAGTGGAGGATGTGGCGCCCCATGGAGCGAAGCTGAGCTGACGGACAAAATCTGCAGGTCACGGACAAATCGAGTGATCGGCAGTCAATCAGGTGGTATCGTGCTCTTTGACGGGCACGAAGTGTAGGTTCTTGGGAGAGTGCTCAGTCCATGAGTTCTTTGTGAGCTGGCATAGAATATGCTGCTCTACCAGCTGCTGATTTCAGGAACGATGGATGGCTCTGATCTTATCAACGGATCTATCCTGTCAAAGCTCGGACCATGAAGCGCTCTTGTAGGCTTCTTGCTTGTACCTTCTAGCTGCGCGTCAACAATCATCACCTGGCAAGCTTCACCATCGCCATGGCAGATTCGCAATCACCGGCTCCAACAGCTGAGGCACATCGTCTGGTTCAAGAGAATGCGCCAACCATCTCATCGCCGCTAAACCCTGAGGTCAGAGGCCGCTCACAGCGCGAGCGCAAAGAGACGGCCAAGAAGCGTGAGGCCACACGCGGCACCACACCGACAGTGCCATCCAAACGCAAGGCTCCTGGCCTTTCGAACGGCCGCCATGCTGCTGCTCAGTCGGCTCCGTCTCCCATGCGCTACCAGATTCCTCCGCCAAAAACATCCGACTACGATCCACCCAAGCCGCCCGTCTTCACCTCACACGAACCTCTACCCTACACCACACCTGATGGCAAGACGGAACTCAAANAAGTGACAGACCAAGCCGAGAACAAGCGCGCATACCGATACACGTTGGCCGTGGCAGACCCCAACTTCCGACACAAGCAGTTTTATCGCCAGTCGGACGGCTTGCCCTATGGAGCCCGCATGTCTTTTGAAGATGCCGACCGTTCAATACACTACGATACCAATGGCCACATTATGACCAACAGCAGAGGATGGCGCATGGCGAGAGCTAACGTCTGCGCCCGCGAGGGTTCGCTGTACTACGAAGTTCGTATTGTGCGTGGTGTGCCTGTTGTTCAGTCAGAAGACACCAAGGGACCCCAGCCACATGTACGAGTCGGATGGGCACGCCGAGAAGCTCCTCTGGATGCCCCAGTCGGCTTTGACGGCTACAGCTACGGCATCAGCGACTTGCGTTTCGAGCCCATGCATCGTAGCAGACCATCCAAGTTCTTCCAACAAAAGACATCAAAATCAAAGGCCAATACGCCAATTCAGCTTGACGACAGCATCCGCGAAGGCGATGTTGTCGGTCTCGAGATCACTCTGCCCTCACTGGCCCTGCATCAAAAGGTCGTCGAGGGCCATTACAACCCTGCCGTCGACCTCGGCGATGGCTTTGAAGAACAGCCTCCACTGCCCGATCCTTCTGTGGAAATTCACCACATCATCCGCGACCGTATACCCGTTCCTTACAAAGGCAATGTTTACTTTGAGATCATGGATTATGTCTCAACCAAACCTGTCGAAGCATACGCAGACCGCACCCTATCTCTAACCTCCCTGTCCACACCTGCTCCTGGCGCCCCAACCTCCATCAAATCACAGCCTAATCCTCATCACCAAGATCCTCCGCTCCGTACTCTGCCGCACAGCAGCATCCGTGTCTACAAGAATGGTCAACTGATCGGTACTGCCTTTGAGAATCTTCTGGCCTTCCTGCCCCCAGCCAGCCAGGTCAGCAAAGCTCAAGGCGCACGCGAAGGCTTTGACGATGGCATGCTCGGCTATTTCCCTGCTATTGCCTGCTTCAGTGGTGGTATTGCCGAGCTCAACTTTGGCGAGAATGGCTTCTGGAACCCACCACCTCACCTCAAACCCGCCCCCGCGATTGCGGATACTTCGGACTCGAACCATAGATTCTACCCTGGCAGTTCTCTCCGACCCATCTCCGAAAGGTTCAAGGAGCAGATAGCTGAAGATATGGTGTGGGATGTGCTCGACGAAGTCGACTTCTTTAGTCAAGATGGTGGTTTTGGAGGTAAGGTCGGCGCCGGCGCAAATGCTGTCAAGAAGGGTGTTGCCAGCTTGAAGGAGGAGATGGACTAGGATTCTACTTCACCACGAAAGCTCCGCCCTTCCCGAGGCATTACTGCCCAGACACCTCTTCGCCAGATTATGTGGCCAGAATCTACGACCGCTTCCTCGACTTCACTGCCAGACGGCTCTGATCTGCCTATGCCTGCCCTCAAATTGAAGCTGAAACTTCGCTAGCATTGATCTGAGCTGAGCTGAGTTGCGCTACTCTGGGATTGTCAATTTTATCTGGACAGCTCGACTTGCTCCATGTTTGTGTGTATCGGCAAGTTTCGTTATAGATAGAGCACAAGTACGGAATAGTCTCGGGCTCACGATTGTAACCATCCGGTGAGAGACAACTGGGCAGATAGGACTGCTGTGCTCGCATACCATCCCCTGGCTCGATTCGATCAGCACTGCATCTCATTCGTTGGGAGCCCATGGTTAATGGTGCCTTTCGGCGAAACCTCAAAGACCAACAATGGGTTCTTGATTTCTGGACCCCCTTAGTCTGCAGTTAACGAAGAAATGCAATCATAGGCCAACAGTAGTCATAGCAATAGCAGTGTTTCACCTCAGCTAGATATCTTACTTGCCCTCTGTACGCAGCCTCATTCAAGTCATCGCCAATACTAGAACGTCAAGATCTCCAGATGTGAAGGGCAGGGTGATAAACCCATCAACACTTCAAAGTCAGGGTGATATCCTCATCCATGTTTTTCCACGACGAAAATGTATCGCATGCTACCACAACTCGGTCTGAAAGGTATACAAGGCTTCGTGTGGCTTTCAGATATCCGATATAACTAGAATAATATGATTTTGGGTCCTAAAGTTGATGTTAGACAGATCTGGCTCTCTAATATAAAATATCCAAATTTCCATTCAGGGCACGTCAGACCCGTGGTCATGTCACCATGTTTTTCTCTGTGGAGTCAATTTCATTATGAACTGAGTATGTCTATAGGCGCAAGGGCATAGATTACGGCGAAGGAAGTCATGGCGGCTCGAAGGGGAAGGAAGGAGGAGTGGCCCCTAGGGAATGGGAGAAAGGAGGCAGGAACGATCACAGTCGGCTGCGAAGCCCGTAACCAATGACTATTATTCAAACCGAAGCCCAGAAAGAGCGACTGACATTGGGCCACAATGTGGGCGATCAATCATGCTGTCGCTCAGAAACAATAACATACTCGAGCAAGCTGAAAAATGTCGTTTGCAGCATTTTTGCTCTACCTAGGTGACGTTCTACTCAGGGAGCAAGCGCAATAATCTTCATGATAACATCGTTCAATCATCAATACTCGTCAATCGTCGATCTGATCTTCGTCCACGCTTTACCTAATAACCCTCGATCTTGCCTTCTCATTCCGGTCTTCCTGCTCTCCATTCAGAGAACTCAACTTCTCCTGGCATATCTTCTCCGTTTGCAAGTCTTAATCGTGGGAACGAGTCATGTGCCCAGACATATGTGCGGCCATCCTCTGCAACAGCACCATGGTTTTGCGGGTTTACAAAGGCATTGGGATCGTTGGGGTCGTGGAAGACGGGTATCGCAGTATCTGTACGAGGTGAGCCATTGAGCCACCGTACGAGGTCGCCTGCGTAGTCGAGAGCGCGATTGAGTAACCCACGGTTGTCAGTTTGGATCTCCTGCACATTGTCCCCTTCATCGGCCACAGATTCGTGTTCAGGTTCATCCTGCGTTGCTTCCAGACAAGCTTCGCGGATTCTCTTTGCTTTCTCCTCGTTGACGAGAACTAGGGCACCAGAATGCCAGCCAGCTGCCGTGACACTGAGTGCGAAGTAATTTCGAAGATCGTCATCGCCTTGTGCGTTATCAGATCCCCCATACTTCTGCTCCCACGCATTGCCTTCTTGCTCGATCCATTCGCTAATTTCTCCCTGAACATTGAGCTCCGAGAGCATGCGCATGCGCTCTTGAGCCTCCTCCGGGTCTCGACCACCACTCGTCAGGAATGTGATCCATTTCTGTTTCTCTTTNTCGAACCAGATCCTGCGACCGTGTAGGCTGGCATGAGGGACTAGTCGTCCATCTCCACCGATACCCTGGTAACGAAGTCCACGAATCCGGCCCTCAGGGTCTCCATGTCCACCAAGGCCGAGGCAGCCACAGCTCTGAGGCTCTGTGCCATACGATGTGATGTAGCCAGGCGCATGCAGAGCATGGAAGTGGTAATCGCCGAAAGCGATGGAGATGACCTGAGAGTGTTGGAGGGCGGGGATACGGTTGAGGGATATGGTCGGATCATGTGGAAGAGGATGGAACAGAAGATGCAAATGATCGTCCTGATTGCCCGTGTACACAGTACCGTCGTTGGTGAAGATTGCAAACGACCGAAACGATCCTTGGACGTCTGTGGCGAACCTGGTCTCTCCATCCGATCCTAGTGGTAGCTCTATAACATCGTTCAATGCTCTGCTTTGTGCGTCCCACGCAATCTTGGCCGCGTAAACTTTACCAAGATGGGTGTTGAACACGATGTAGTTCTCGAGACAGATGAAGTTTTGTACCTCTCCAATGTATAAACTCGCAGGCGAAGGCTCGAAGGTTTTAGCATGCTTCTGGAAATCGGTACCGGGGCAGATTGCGGTTTCCAAAACCAGCACAGCATCTTCTTCACCTTCTGGCTGTCGTGGACCACGAGCCAAGGGTTCCCAGACGACGATGCCAGTACCCACCACTAAGGCAGCGCTTTTNGCCCAGCCTGCAACGACTTTCTTGACATAGCCACGAGTTGACGGTCCAGCGTTCTCTCTGACTATGGTATCCAGATTCAAAAACTTGACTTGAAGTGCAGGCATATTGATGTGATTCCAGGACCATATACGACCAGAATCCGATAGAGCAAGGACATGTCGGCGTCCAGCAGAGAACTGTTTGATAGCGGTTGCTGGCTCGTAGCGTTCGCTAGGATGAGGAAGCCCTGCAGGGTAGCGAAGTTTTTCAGCTCTCGACTTGGCAGGTTGGCCGACGACTATACCATCCATAACACCGACACTGTACAAGCCACCCTTAGAAGTTAAGAGATTTGTAGACCAGCCTCCGCATTGCATATCGGCAATGATGCCCATCTGCTCCACGTTCTCCATCTCGGTAGGCCATGATACGTGTTGACGGGTCCGCACCAGAGGTCTTCGGCGTCCGGCTGGCCCGATACCGCCACGACCAAAAGGAGCTCCCATGTGCTGCTGCTGACTGTGACCGAGACAAGTCCTGTCGTTGTTGCCCCAGGTGAAGCAGCGAGACTCAGTCAAGAGCCGACGATACATTCTCTGCCACCTTCGACCATCGTTCTCGACGACCGGTTGATTTGGAACACGGAAGGTGTGGCGCGCCGCTGACATCCAGTAGGGAGCATATTGAGCAATATCAGGCTGATGCAATGCTGTGCAAGTTGATGTCAAGGCGACGAAGCTAGGGACATCGAGGTAGGGAAATATCAGATACAAGATATCTACTGGAAGATCCAGCAGTTGCGTTAGCTCCGCCATGATGATGATGATGTCTGATGGTTGCACCGAAGTTACGAGTAGGTGTGAAGGAGACACAGTTGACCATCAAGGCAGGGTGAGGCAGCAGCACAGCCTCAAGCTTGGACCACAAATCCAATCAGGCAGGTCCGCAGCAAGATAGTGAGTGCCAGTGTTACAAGTTTGTATGCAATAACTCTCTGTGGTCATCGACAGCAAACGAATATCAAGCTTCTGAGGCTATGTTGACTACAAGACAACTGCGCTTGATTCTGAGTAAATGCATGACAACACACGTCATAAGGTTATACCATGCTTGTTAGTAACAGCCGATTAGTGACGGGTCGGCACGCAAGTTGGTGAACTCTGCAGAAAATGCTTGGCAAGAGTTATTCCCGACTGTCAATCTGAGCAAGCTGTAGAGAAACCTCTCACTGAACAATCAAGGATGCCTATATACAATGGCTATAAGAGTTTGGTAGAAAAAGTTTTGCTCTAGATGGTCAACCACTGCTCTCTGCACAGCCTACTGCTCAGTGCTCTATCGCTCTACGATCAGCCATGGGCTGTGCAGTCTGAGCATTGGGCGTTCAATCTCCCTCAGCACTGCTCTGAGTTATGCCAAGACGAATCCTTCGAACTATGTTCCAGTATGGCTCATGACACACCACTGGATGCCTTTGCAATGTAAGCTATATAAGCAGCACGTGCCTCCATGCGAATCGCAAGAACATAACTAGGACCGATCAAGATGAACAAATACTCCTCCGAGCATATCGACATTATCGTGGACACCGCTCCACAAGGAATCCTTGGCACATTTATTCCAGGTCAGACAATATCCGGCAAGGTCATCTACAAGCCAACAACTCAAGTCGATATCAATCACGTCGTTATAATCTGCAAAGGGATTTGCTTCACAGAGATTACGGAACGTAGTGGCAACAATACCATAAGTCATTATCCCGAGAAGATCATCTTGTTCAGGAATCTGGATACGATATTCAGAGGACCTCATACCATTCCTGCAGGAACATATGAATGGCCCTTCCAATTTGAGCTGCCTATCAGATGCAATTACAGCCGGAAGAGTCATCGAAGAGATAACCAGTACCGATTAGGCGACCAGGAACTACCTCCAACTTTCAAATTAGCCAGCGAAAACTTCTCACAACCTCCAGAAGCACAAGTCAGCTACAAGCTTAAAGTCAAGATCAACCCAGGAAGCATCATACACACGATTAAGCGCGCGAAGGAACTCCCGGTATGGTCTCTGTCTTCGACTCCGTTGAAACCGCCAGTGCCACTAGACAGCTACAGTGAGGGCAATGGTCGCTTTAAGAGCAACTCGCTGCGACCGACTCAGCACACATTCAAGGAGAAGATGAAGCATGCTTTCACCAGCGATGCCTCATTAAAAACTCCAGAGATCAACATTGCCGTGCAGTTCAAGATGCCTCGATGCGTTAGCGCGACGCAGTACATGCCGGTGGAGCTCGCTTGCAAATATACCAAGACGGGGCAGAACGATCCAGAATCTCCAGAATTGATCCTCGACGGCTGCACTTTCTCTCTCAAGTCGTACGTGAACGTCAGATCGAGTGGCACTCTCAGCGAGCATCATGACAATGGAAGAGAGACAGTTCTCAGCCATACGATACGTGGCAACCAAAAGTTGCTCTCACATGATGGTTCTTTCATCCCTGTATGGGAACCTATCCGTCTGGCAGACATGACATCGCACGTCCATCGCCTTGTTCCGACTTTTAGCACATGGACAATCACAATGTGGTATAAGATGATCGTCAAGATTAGGGTTCGTCATGTCCAGACAGGGCATATCTGGAAGTTTGAGAGCAAGTTTCCCTTTGAAATATTGCCTGGAGAAGTTGAAGTACCTGCGTACAGCAAGCAGCAGACATCTTTAGTCGAAGCCGGACCATCAGAACTCTACCCACCACAACTCCAGAGCGACAATCAAGCATCATCGAGCTCTGCAGGCCCACCAGAATTCCGCGATGATCTGGCACCTCCGTCATACAATTCTGGAGATGTTTGGAGGACCGAACCCAATCTCAAGAGAGCATGTTGAGAAGTGGCAAGCTCATGCATATTCGTGTATGATTCTACGAGATTTGTTACTGAATGCAACCACTTATGCAGGCATGGTCAATACTGGCGCCTTGCTCTTCTTTCGTGTTCTTTTCGAGAAGTGAATTAGCATGCCAGAATGTTGCTCAGCCCAATTGTAGATTTGCAAGCAAACATCGCAAGTTGACCATTCACATCGTTCGCGGAGTAGATATGTAACAATGACATACTGCATGTATCTCAGATTCATCTTCGATCTGTGACCTCACATTGACAGAGTATGTAGTAACCGTGAAGACACTGTGCAATCATTGAGCTGTGAACAAGCCATCATGCAGAGATTTGGTAGGAGTGATTCTGCGATGATCAGTCATATGTTGCGGTGAGTGTGTAAGAAAGACGTTGTCAGAGCTGGCGGTGCATAGCTTGGTGTGATTGTTTATCTAGATCGGCAAATTTATCCACTTCCCGAGTTGTGAATCGTGATACTGAAATCAGGTTCGGGAGCGTTCGGATGGATCATCGCAGATACAGTTGATCTGGGAATAATAAGCATGACCCTTGACAAGCCACATCTCAAAAAGCACTGACTGTTTTGTAGGGTATTCGTTGATCTGAGTCTTGTCGCTGTGCCTTGAATATCCTAAATATGCATCAAAACTTGCACTGAGACCATGACAGTGAGCTATTAACAAAGATGAGTATCGAGCGCTTGCAGACATCAGCATTTTGAGCCTTCAATTGAGCTGGCAAGGAGAAAAATAAGAGATATGGAAAAGATCGAGTGGGTCTTGGCGGGAGTCGAATGGTCGGTCTAGGCACTTCGCAAACGCTGCCGGCCGCCGGTCCCGTCTCCGAATAGCAACAAAGTGCAGTCATCTGGTAAAAATGACGAGCACATCATCCGAGAACAAATCAACTTAAGTCAACGCTGTCAACACCAAGTACCGTGCCGACTTTTTTTTGCCCCTTGGAATATTGCAAAACCATTTTCAAAATCTGGATTTTGCTTCTACAGTACTTTCGCTCCATTTGATATTCGCCTATTGGAGAAGCTGGACTCACTTCGTTGACGAGGCTGCAAGAGTGGAAATGCGGAAAAGCGACAAGGAATCACGAGGCTTCTTGCATGTTATTCATTTTCATGCATAGTAAGGTACCAAAGAGCCGGGCATACCTCAGCCGTCCATCAGAGAGACCTATCTGGAGAAGGACCATCATATCTGGACAATCATGGACTCGTTTTCAGCTTCTCTGGACCTGATTAACAACTCGCCTTCGACTATCGGATACACTGGTAATCGCAACTTGATACTGGACTGTAACACCAAGTGGACGAAGTTCTCAATCTAGTCGGGTCGCAACATTTGTCGGACACCAGCCCGATGCCGCCGTGGGTCAGTGCCAAAAACAATAACATCACATCAGCCTCATGGTGACGAAAAACTTTCTACCACGAGGATAGGAGGGGCGGCAAGTCGCAACTTAAGTCGAACAAGAACTCATCTCCTTTCCTTATGTCCTTTCAACATTCTCGTTACGACCATCATCGTCACCAGCCTCGATACCTCATCTTCCACACACGGCTCTTTTCTATCCATCAACGACACCACCACCAAGGAGACACGTTGATAACATCATGTCGCCTGGCCTTCAGTGACACAGAATAGTATTGGGACATAACATGATGAGCTAATAAGGTTCGATTTTGATGTTGTCTTGTTGCTTTGCAGACTAACATTGCCTTGGAAAAGGTTGCAGCAAACGCTAAAACTAATTGTACAGAAAGAAATGAAGAGCCATGGCCGTCCCGTTCGTGTGTGCTTTGTTCCGCCAACCAACCCCTACCGCTACCCACCCATAACACCATCCGGTCGAGAAAAAAAAACCCAGATCACAAAAGAAAGAAAAAAGAACTTATGTTGCAAGCCCAAGTTGAACGCCGGTCTTGCTCAAATTATGCAGAAATCTGGATCCTGGACCACTATTGCCTAGTCACTTCCGACAAAGAGGCCACTGAAGGTGTCTTGCCGTTGCCTTCGCTCATCACGGGAGAGACCATGCCGGCAGCCGAAGACGACCGAACATGGTTGTGACTGAAAGAAGCTGAACGAGCATCTGCTACGACAGGGGAAGACGTTGTGCCGTAGTTGCCACCAAAGGCCATGCTTTGAGCTTTCCTCATGTTGTATTCTTGGATGGGGTGGCAATTGCAGAATGTGTGCTGCAATGCTTGCGTACGCCAGTAAGACAACTCATCACGCAGAGACTTCTCGGTCTGCTTCAGCGCGCTGTTCATTGCGCTCTGGGTACGGTATGTGTCTTCAAGCTGGTCGGTGTGTTCCTTCTTCTTTGCACGACACTTGGCCGCAGCGACGCGATTCTTCTCTCGGTATTTGTCTTTCTTGTCGCCGGCCAAACCATCTTCTGATGCTCGACTCTCTTTGCGGCTCTTTTGGGATGACCTTACTGAAGGTCGCTTGTTTGACATGGAACTGCGAGGTGACATACTCGAGGTGTCATAAACCTCCATGCCAGAAGCTCCAGAGTCAGCTCTCTTGCCGAATGACTTTGTCATCTCGTGCATGTTCGCATCATCTGGTGGCGTTACTTGGCCGTATCGCTCTGTTGTTGTGCTATAATTGTTGAGGAGTTTTTCCAGACCGCCATCCAATGCCGGCTGTGGTAGGCCACTCCACATGTTGCCTGAATTGCCATGCATGTGCGAGGTCACGTCGTGGTCTGTGAACATGGAGTTGGGCTCTAGGGCGGTCGGGCTGATGGGGTGGAAGTCGTAAGTTGGAGCCATTGAGTTCATATCGTTATCTTGAGGTGAGGCTTGGTCGAAGTGAAAAGATTCATGTCAAAGGAACTGTGGAAAGACAAAAGGCGCAGACGGATTGGGGTTGCCTAGGTCTGTCGAAAGGTTGGCGGATGGTAGTGCGGCAAGCAAGAGCTTTGCTAGAGCGTGAAGCGTTGTCAAGACGCAAAACACTCCAATGGAGCTACTGCGACAATCACTTGGTGCTCAGCTGAAACGCTGCACAAGGACAGTGTGGCAGGTAAGCTTTGACGCAGTGTACGTGAAGGTTTGACTGCACACGATGGTGTTGAGTTGAGCTGGGTAGAAGGTCGACGATTGTGTTTCGAGCCTGACAGCTTGAGCCTCAAAGACAGGCGTCGCGAATCAAGGCAGTTTGCGATGAACTTTGGGTGTGCAACGTTTATTTTGGTCGAAAGACAAATAACAAGTTGATGCTGACGAAAGAGCTTGGGTTGAGCAGTAAAAATCAAGTCAATGGCTTGAATAAAGGGAGATGGGATTGTGCTGTGGCAAGAAGAAACAGAGCCGCAAACGAGGAAGCTGGGGACGAGGATTGGAATGGGTGAGGCTCTGCGGAACCACCGACGTATGTGACCGATCGGCGGGGTAGGCTAACCGGGAGGAAAGAACTTGGGCTGAGGTTTCCGTCGATGATCGAGTTTCAACAGTCTTTTGGCCGACAGGATTTTAGACAACCGTTCTCTTCGCTCGTCATGCCACATGAACGAGAGTCGGAGTGGACACCGTATCTAATATGCAATCTGCTTCTCTTTCGCTCGCCGAAGCAGAACAGAGGAGCGGATTCAAGACCGACCAGCAGTGTCTCCAACAGCGACGTCAGAAGCAGAAGCAGCCCTGTGTCATGGTCGGCTCGCAGCCCGCTTCGTGCGAAAGGCCTGCATCATTTTTTACTTCTGACGCTCAATCCCGATGATCGATGCAGCCGCCGCTTCGGATCCTTACCACAAGCAGAATTATACAGCGGGGCCAATCAACTGTTCGAGGTGACGGGACTGCGACTCCGCTCAATTCATGCGGCTCCTCAAGCTGGCATAGTGGTGCAGCGATCTCCATGTATTTGCCCTCATCTGATCAGGCGATTGTTCGCCCTTCGATAATCTTTGCCATGACCTCTCGTCCAAAGGCCATCACATCTCTTTTAGCCAAACTAGAGACGCTACAGCCGCAATAGGAGTGGTGGGGAGAGCGGGGCCACAGAGCCGCCGCTCCTTTAACGAAAAACCGCCCTGTTCTTCTCTACGCAATTAGCGAACGTCACATCACAAACTACTGGATAAACGACGGACCTACTTCCCGTGGGAACCACCTCCGCAGGATGCAAAAAATGGATGCTTTCGTTCCAGTTCCCTGGCTTGCGCTTCTCCACGAGGAATCGAGGATGCCAAAGACTAAAGTATAAGATCACGCCGCGTAGGCGCTTAGTTTGGAGACATAGATCACCTGTTCGCTCTGATCTTCTCGTTTTGCCTCGCACAAACTACGGCAGGAACGCGCGCACCATTCGTAGGATCTTGGTCCGTTCTCTAATAAGGCCACCGTAGCTGTCGACTCGTTTGAGCTTACAGTCAACGATGTAATATCACTTATGAAGTCCGAGCATCACCTATCTTTTCGACATCAATAAGAATGGGTGGGTGCCCTACACCATAACTCGCTAGTTTCTTATCTCTCACCTTGCCTCACATCCATGCGACCCGCTAAGGGACCATACGAACCGCACTCAAGGCGAACGTGTCTTGTATGGAACAATGGCAGTTGCCGAAGTACCACCCTGTGCGAAGGCACTGAGCTGAGCAGCACCAAAAACGTGCGGGTTTTTGCCGAGCTAAATGCCATGAGCTCAGAGCAAGACCAAATCCCCATGCTGCGTGCTAACTTAGCTAGCACCTTCTATCTCCGCGGCTACACGTCATATTCGTAGTTCCCCCCGTCCGCCGTTTCCGGCTCGAGTTTCCCTTTGACAGCCATCTACCTATTATCGATTTGCATGGCTCTATCTGCGAGATATTGTATGCTGTCTCATCGATCGAAACACAGTGGTTTGCGTCAATCGCAACGTCCTTGGGGACTTGCTGAATGCGAAGTGTTGAGGAACAGCATGTCTTTCCTTGTGCAAGCATCATCCTTGTGGCTGACAAACAGAAGCGAGGGCATAACTCATGCGCCACGCACGCGCATGGTTCTTCGTGTCGGAGTACCACGTACTCGGAGTAGCTCCGAGCATCTTGACTGAGTAGGACCACTTCCTTACGGGATAGGGTCCGCGATATATACAGAGTACATGACGATCGGGTGAATGCTTAAGCGGGTCCTGCTTCGTGTTCCACAAGCCCTCGAGACAGCGATCGGGCTTGTGATACGTGTGCTTGCACACGGCGCTGATATTGAGATCCTTGCGAAAGTGGGCTCCGGGTCGACAGCTCGACTCTCAACATTGCTAATGCCTGTCTAATCCCTGGTCAAAGGATACAAATGCATCTGTAGACTTGCATCTGAGGCATAGGGCAGGATCATGTAGAAGGAGCGAGCAAGGAGCAGGGGCACAATTTGTGATTTGAACGATTCGAGAGGTTTAACAACTTGTCCGTCAGAGCTTTAGTACCTAAATTCTACTCCAACGCCAACAATGACCCGTGCGGAGCGCTCTCCATGCCCTCGCTCTCTTCCAACCACCCTGGTGAAGTCCGTCCTATGCCCAGCCTTTCCCACCCGTGCTTGAAGCAATCCAGCATCATAGAACTCTTTCCCGATCCTATTCGTGTTCGTGTTCGACGGTAGAATAACTGCTGGTACTCGTGCAGAGACTTGCCTGCCAGTACCGACCCGTTACTGAACACTGTCTACCCGTCACAGTATTCGTGTGGTTGCGGGTCTCTGCTGGTCTCTAGGTGCTAAAGTGCGACTCGAAAAGGTGACCTTAGACGGACGCAAGATTGACCCGGAAACGCGTATCAGAATGGTCTCGGACATTGTCTTGAGATATTCTGTTGCTCGACCTACACACAAATTGTCGTCTGGAGACAAGTTTGCTTGCTGGTGGTTTGCTTGCTCAATAACGGCGTTTCTTGAGAGGGGGCGAGAGAAGAAGGGAACGTTATGTTGTCCCACAAAGGCTGATCAACATGCCCGACGAACACCCTTCTAATCATCTTTAACACCAATATCTCCTCAGAATCCATTGTTTTCCATGTAGTAAGGAGGATAATCCTGATAGATCGGCCACGGCCATTCCAGAGCAAGATCCGTTGGGAGTTGGATGGCGCCACCGTTGCCGTTCACTTCCGACACAGGCTGGGGCATTCCCATAGACATTGCTGGCTGTGCGACGGCGGACTGTTGCGGGTGCTGTGGTGGTATGGCTTGAGGAACATTCCTCTGAGCTTGCATGTACTGGTCGATTTTCTCAACTTGAGCTAAAAGACCTTGACTCGTTCCAGAAGAGCGATGCAAATTGGCCTCCAGCATCTCAAGCAAATCTGCCATAAGCAACAACGAACTGCGGACACGCTCATAGACCTGCTGCTGTAGAGGTTGCTCGAACACAGAACCAAGCACGCCACCAATGCTTCCCAGTTGGTAAATCATAGGGGTGCTTATAGCCCTCAAGTATCTTTGAGGAATTGTACGGAAAACAGTCAAGACTTCGTTAGCCACGTCACACTTTCTGTCAACGCTTGGACCGTCTTCGGTGGAAAACAGCATCATACGAAGCAGCTGGAGTGTTGCCTGGATGTTTGCAGCCTGGAAAGCATATATATCTTGAGTTGGGTCACCAGTCATAGGTGGTGTAGATTTGAATTGTGGAGGCAAGGCGTAATACATATTGAGCATGGTAGCCATGACACTCTTCTCCGAGAAGGCGTCGCCAAAGACGAGACTATCGACACTACGACGATCGTCGTGGTTGAAGCGCTTGGCACGAGACTTGTTAACGACGTGTTCCAGGACACGGTACAAATCGATGGTGAAGTTCCAGCCTACGAGCCAGCTGACCCGATGCTGGCCAGGAGGAGCCTCGATCTTTGTGCTAGCGATGGTTCCATCATCGTACTCGTTGGGATAGCGCACGTTCAAGTGTACCTCTTGAGTGCGTATGAAGCAGTTCCAGACGACGGCGGTGAAGACTTCCAAAGTGTAGGAACCCCAATATAGACGCCTGTATGTCTCTTTCTGATGCTCTTCCAAGCCACTAGGCCAATACTTTTCGTCGTAAAAGCGTTGCATGGAGATGAGAGTGCTTCCGATGCCCGAGTACTGTTGCACATCTAGAGATTGGCCGTACTGAATGCTAGTCAGGGAAAGAAGCGCGCAAGCTCTAATATAGTCGAAACCACGGAGTTTGTCGAGGTCGGATGTGAAGACGGATTTTGCAGCAGAGAAGAAGACCTCGGACGAGGCTTCGGGGTTCTTGACAGCTTCGGGTATTCTGCTTGGAAGCGCGCCATCGCGGATACGTGCTGAAGAGAGAGCGCACATGGCCATGATAGAAGCAAAGAAGCCTTTGTCAGTCAAGTGGTCCCTGTTCTTGATCTTTGCGCGGTCGGTGGCTTCGTGGAAGAAAGGATACAGCGGATAGACGACCTCCATGTAGACATCGAACAGGTCGAGAATGATGGACTCGCTCGAGAGAGCAAAGACCTTCCATGGCAGATCGAGTTCGGTAGAGTCGTGACGGGAAGCGAGAGCAGGCGCAAGGGCGAAGTCGTTGGCCTTGCCTATTGAGTCGTTGCGAGTGGAATTGGATGTGGACGTGGCGGTAGGGGCCGAGGTAAGGTCTGAGGCTAGGGTGTTGCGCGATTGAGAGGAGCGGGCTGAGGGTTGCGAGGGTTGAGTTGGAGCAGCGGGTGCTTGGGGATGCTTCTTGCGTTTCGAAGGCCTCTCATAAGTGCAAGCGACATCGAAGTCGTAGCAGTTCTGACAGCGGTCGGCGTCTTCGTTGCTGGGCCGGCAGCGGATGCTTCGTCGGTGACAAAGATCGCATGCTTGGGAGATGCGCTGCAACTTGCGCGGACGATCCTGTTGCATCGGAAGCGGCTTCTGCGGTTGCGAGGCCAAAGGCTAGGGCGGTCAATGACAGGTGTGGTCAATGACAAGTTCACTACGTAAATATCATGGGAAGAATCCAAGGCAGCATCGACAGACCACCGACAATGGTGCGAAGAAGTAGAGTGCCGTGTCCTGCTCGAGTGTGGTTTGTTTAGTCTTGGGTTTGAATTCCAGAACGATCGAGGACAGCTGCTCCTGTTCAATTTGTCTACAGCCTACTGGCTACATGGGCCATGGCAACTCAAATGGCAGTGACTGGGGCCCGCCACCGCGAGCGCCTTCGCATCATTCGCTCCTTCCATTTCCAATCCTCTGTCGGACCCCACGCCGCTATCCGTCGAGAGTCGAGACCGCTCGGGTCGTGATGCATCTTATTCCGTACGTGTACCCCATCATCCCCCCTCATCGTTCCTTCCCGCAACCCGACCCCTTAGCATTGCACATATCCCATCTGTCATCTCAATGCTTGCTCCCACTGTCTTGGGCGTTTCAACTTCCTTCTCCTTTGTCACACTGCTCAATAGTGTCTACTGCACTCCAGATGCAAGTATATGACGGTGGCTTTAGACTTCGCTAGCCGCATGCCAACTTCTCTTCCTTTCGCAACACTTTCACCAACGCTCTCGGCGTCAGCTGCTGCGCCAATTGCACTCTTGCTGCCTATTCGTCGCTGCACATAAACAGAGACCACATCGGATCCAACTTCATCAATCATGACTGCGCTGGTCCATGCGACACGTCCCATTCTTGCTCTACCTCTCGACACCCTCCCACATGTCCAATCAGCACTTCTACAGCTCCACCACTGCCTTGTTGGACCGCCTTCTCCTGCAGAAAAGGCACATGCGTGCATCTCCAGATTCCACAAGCTGACATGAAGGGAAACAACCGTCGCTCGAACAGAGACGCTACGTACGTAGTAGCTTTTGCTCGTTTCAACCCAGTCACCCACAAACCAAACAAGAAAATCAGCCTTCAAAAGCAAACATGGTTCGACACTGGGCTGTATCCATCGCGCAAAGTTGCTCAGAAGCCTGTTTTCAAACCCACATATAGCTGGGAACATCTGAGGAATGCTCGAGTAAGTGTCCAGCGAGCGCTCCTTATTGACACCCAACTCTGCAGCATCTACACCAGAACTATTCCACATCCTGTAGTCGGAGTGTTATCCTGCGCCTCCATCGCACTAGATGGTACGGCAGTATTTCAGTAATAGTTATAAGGTCCCCTTCTTTGTCTGAGAAGAAACGGTGAAAGGTCACCTACTCACAAGCACGCTCTGCCCGTCGGGCTCAGGAGATGCACACTGCTGATCACAGGCCTGTTCTGGCCCTGCACTGTCCGACTGCTGCTTGCGTCAAGTGGCACGACGCGATTCTTCATACAGAACAGAAGACGTGTGCTCATGCTGAGATGATATCGACTAGCTCTGATGAATCACCATGTGACCATACAGGTAAAGGCACTTACTCATCCATGTGCATGAACAACAATACCAAGTATGCAGGGTCCTCTTCAGGTTTGTTAGCCCTAGTACATAATAAATGGAAGGGTCTGTTATTGCAGGCCCATCTAGAACTCCCCGGCTCAGGGTGGTCTACTCAGCCCCTAACCCTTCTCCCTTTTGTCGGTCGTACGGAGTGATACAAATGTAAGTATGCAGTCAGACAGACCGGAGACTTGGATGTTGTCTTCCAGAAAAGGTGCCTCTGCTCATTGCTTACTCTGACCTTCTTTCTCCTGTATTCAACCGATCCTTCTCAACGATGAGCGTCGACAACAGCATGGTCAACAAGCAAAACCTGCATCAGTCATGGACCCGCTCAATTGTTCTCAGCCTGATCCTTGTTGGCCTTGTCTCTAGCCTCATCAACCTGTCTTCTTTCCTCCATGCCGGCGCGATACTCAGCAAACCAAGCCTCCTGCTCCTGCTGCTCGCGACAAGCTCTGCAGGAACCCTCAAGCTGCTCGACGAACATCACAGAAGCGCAGTTGGACTCGCCAGCTTCGGCCTTGTCGCACAGTTTGTCAAGACGGACGAATTCGTGGCTGCAGTTTTGGTATCTGAAACGAGTGCGGCGGCACATTGCTAAAGAAGCTAGGTTAGAGGAGAGAAAATGGGAAGGTTGAGGAAGGGAAAGGTTACCTTGCTTGCTTCAAGTGGAGTTACTGAGGTAAAATAGGGGAGTATGCAGTGCTGGATTTGTGGTAGAGGGATTGTGGGAGATGATGGTCTTTAGGGAGTGCCTGCTGTGTGTTGTCGCCTGGAAGGGAGTGAGAGCCAGGTCTCCAACTCAACTTATACCAACACCGTTCTCCATGTCGAGACTGTCGAGGACCGGAACATTCTCTGTCTTCTGCACGAACCCGTTACCTACTCTGCTCCGGCAAGATGAAACTAGAAGATAGGGCTTTCGAAGAGACCCGTGGCTCTTTTAACTTCTACAGTTAACCGGAACCTTGGATGTATGTTTTGTGATTTACATCAGTACCTTCAAAGGGACTATCGCTCAACATGGGGATGAAGGCTTCTACATTCACTGTCACCGACGCCATTAATGAGTGCTGTCGTAGCTCTCTCAACAAACCGATCGAGTCCCGCAAGATGCACTTCGGCCATGACTACAAGAGGCTTCTCGGACTTCACGGAATCGATACTGATGTCGGTGTTGACCTGGTTGTCGGGTATTCTTATATAGAGGGTCTGAAATTGTTACGATGTGTGAGCTCTTCTTGACTTCTTTGTGTGAAATGTCAGATAATTTGAAGGCACGCTTTGCTCTCTGAGGCAACATAGAGACAAGCACCTGTTGAGAAGTAATTCCCATGTATGCTACAAGAATCTAGCTCATCTAATGTATCATTTCGTTTTTTCACTTGTCAATCTACTGCTCCGCGGCCAGGATGGTCTCCGAGATGCCCTAATACATGTCGTATGCTCGTCTCATGCCGATTCTTCTACTGCTTGTAGCAACGATACCTGTAAGCTACCAGAGCAGTCTCGTCCCTAACGTATATGAAGCTATTGTGTCTCTCCTATGGGTGAGATGGCCATGGACAAAGGTGTCGAAACGCATGATTCCATCCAAGTCAAAGTCGACAGCAAGAAAGAGTTCAGTGATATATTGGATGCTGGTCCGGGATTCATTGTATAAATCGTACATTGCGGTTGTGATATTAGAGCGTGCTCTTTGTCAATAGGTCTTGATGTTACGGAAGTGGGTGAAGGATGGCTCTAGTGCATCTATACCTATCTTCGTAACAACCGATGGAATTCATGATGCTGATTCTATTTGAACCTGATGGCGGCATGTTTAGTAGAACTGGACATCAGAACAAGGTGTTGACTTCGGATGTATGTTGTTGTCAAAGCAATCGTTTGGTGTCGGTGGTTGGCTTCGACTGACAGCGCGACGTCGAGTCTTGGCAGTGGTATGCACTTGCCCAACCTCGAAAGCACTTTCTGCCCCTGTCGCCAAGGATATCTTAATCTCCAACCTGGGCCAGAATGCTGCCCCTCTGGACCAGGCTTACTCCGTTGATTAGGCAGATCACCCGGAGCTGGACCACCGTACGATTGTTCTCCTACACGCGAGCCAGCTTCGATGAGCCCAAGGACGGCAAGGATACACCTGACGATACCCTGAAAGCCGCACGTCCTGCCTGCCGCAAAAGTTACTATCACCGGGTGACCAAGAAGAAACTGGACGAAGATCCGGAATATCGTGCCAAAAGACTCGAGCAGAGGCGAAAGAGCAACGAAAACCATCAGAAAAGAATACAAGCAGATCCAGATTACCGCGCCAAAATCGCACAACAAGTGAGAGAATGGCAGGAAAAAAGGTATCGTGGGGACCGTGAATATACAGAGAGGAGAAGAAGGGCGAATAGAGAATATATGCGCTTGCGCAATGAGGATCCGGAAGACTGCATTCGGCATCGAGAGCACATGCAAATAGCCCAACAAGAGAGGCTGCTGCAAGACGACGCCGCTTACAAGAAGAACCGTTTCGTAGCATGGCTGCGTTACACGATATCAAAACACAATCTTGAATGGACTAGTCACCAGCCGCTGCTGTATAGTGAAAAGGTCGTCAAGCACTGCATATCTTGCAATCGCTTTAAACCTTTAAAGCTGTGGTGGAAGAAGAAGACTGCGTCTACTGAAGCTGTTCTTGCCAATGCAGAGCAGTTCGAGTGTATGTCATGCTTCTTCAACCACGCGGGCAACAATCTCATGCCGACTGGTTATGAGGGGGTCACCTTCCAGCGCCCAACTGCTGTCAAGCACTCTAACATATGAACAGCTACAAAGCGTATGTTCTACATCTTAGGCAAACAAAGGACATCTGAGTGCGTTGCTGGTGCAAGGCATCATGATACAGTGTATGTCCTTGTCAGCGACAAGAAAGTCTGCCTTGCCGTGATCATCCAGTATCAGGTTCACGAGCATTTCATTCATCTTCAGTCGGAGTTGAATTCGTCATCGAGAGTACTCAACAATCTCTCACCCATCTACTCCTCATCATCGGACAAGGCCTCGTCCTTCTCCTCTGCAGCGTCTGCCTCTTCGGTACCTGCTGACTCAAGACCCTGAGGTTTCTTGGTCTGCTTGGTCCACTTCTCGTGGCATTTGTGGTTGACATCCCAGAAGATATCCTCCAGAGCTATTCAACCTCATATCAGTTTTGCTCATCAGGTCAGGTATTTCAGTACTTACGTTTCATGTCGACCTCAGGACACCTTTTGATTGCGCCAAAGACGTGTTTCTCGAACTTCCTGAAAGGTCTTGCGCTCGACATTTTCCTGTTGCCATGGCTGCAGATCTTGTTGACAGTGAGGTGATCGAAATCGTACACTCTGTGGGCAAGCTTCAACGAATTCCATGCAGCAGTGAAGTCTCCCTCTCGTGGTGGGGGGAGATTGGGGCGGGTTGCTCTCCTTGCGAGTTGAGTTTCTCTCAAGACAGTCTTGCTGCAGACCAGCTGCGTTAGTGACAAACAACATTGGTGAGTTGCGCAAACATACAACAGGTCGAGGCAATCCTTGGATGTCGAGGGGTCGTCATCAAAGTCACGATAAGGGAATGGTGGAGGGTGTGGTGGGAATATTATGCCGTCAGACTGAGGCTTGGTATCGGTGGGAGCGTCAACAGGGGCGGCGGCTCCCATAGTGGCAGCAAGGCCGAGAGTGATAGCGATTGTGTTGAAATGCATGATGGTATGAGTTGTGTGGAAGAGAAGATGATCAAAATCCGAAGCAGAGAGGCCTGAATTTATACCAATCTGAAGGCATGAGACGAGCTCAATCAACACTCGACTAAGTTCCTCTGAGACTTGTTATGTGATCAACATCGTCGAATACTAACAATCTGCTGTCGAATGATCATGCTCTCAAATTCGAAGGTTCAGCGAGTGATTTACTCCGCTTGTCTGACTTTGTCCAATGGTATGCTGATTTCTATGGCGTAGCATGAGCGACTTGATTGTGTTGAGACGCCTGAGGCAAGAAACAAGGTGATAGTTGAAGCATGAAGTTGGTTGGGGTTTGAGTTATTCGAACCATGAGGCTGTGGGTGGGGTAGAGGTATTTAGATCAGCGGACTGTTCCTGTCAACAAAGCTTCATGCTTATTGAGATATAGAAGGCGTGCGATTTTACAAGGACGCGATTTGTTGAATCAGTCAGTGTCAGGTCATTGCTACAATAAAGTGTCGTTGCAGAGTGTTGATGAGACTTCGGGATTAGTGGAAGACAGAGCATAGATCACCAGATGGGAAGTACGTAGACCATTGACGAGCAAGTCGTTGCTAAACGGCAAGGCGATCGAGCAACTCTCGAAAGGAGCGGATACAGAAAAGTAGTTCGGAGGATTATTGAAGTCTGTGAATGTCAGTCGTCGACTTCGAAGTCTTCGTCTGCAAGAAGGCTTTGGTGGTGTCTCAAGAGACAGCAGCGACCACTCTCGCGCTTGCCAGATGGAAGTCAGATTCTAGTTGCACAATCCATGTACAACAATAGTTGGTCGTTAGAAGAGTGGAATATTGTCGTATGCTCTATATGGCGATCTTATTCTCTGCCCTGCGAATCAATTCCTCGTACACGGTCCAGGCCAATGCAGAACTGATGGCTTTCCTTGCCATTCTGATGCCCAATCCATCGAACAAGCACATAGCGCCTTCTTCTGTAATCATCTTCTTTGCAGCACTGACTGCATTTCTGTATCTCTCAGGCTGGAGCTGCAGCCTTGTTTTGACCGCGTCGAAAGGATTTGTGACGGCCGTCGCTGCAGCTGCAGCCAAAACTCCAGACCCGAAGTTCGCCATCGGTGCAGCGATGTCCAGATGACCGAATAGCGAAGTCTTGCTTTGCTCGTAGAAAAGGACGTAGAGACCAGCATACGGCGCATCTCTTACGGCAGTAGCACCGAAGCCAGCGAAGAAGCCTTTAGCTCCGTTGGTCTTGAAAATGTCCTTCGCGGCCGAGGATAATGAGGTGTAGGCGTACAGACTGCTCTCGTACCTCACTTTCAAGACAGTGACAGGGCTCATGACGAAGCCAGCCAATGCTCTTGCTGCAGCTCCTGTAGCCAGGTTCGCAGTATTACTAAGACTTGTTTTTGTTTTACCGTCGGCTCCTAATGTGGTGGTCGAAGTTGCTCGTCGCAATTGGTTTAGCATGCCAAAGTAGAGAGCTGAGCCTGCACCTGTTCGAATGACGGATGGTGTGGTGCCGCGCCATAGTTGTTGTATAGGAGAGGGACCTGCGAGAATGTTCTTGAGAGCGACTGAAAGTGATGCGCTGGAGGACTGTTGGACGCGAGTTTTGAGAAGGTCGGCGGGTTGTAGGAGGAAGGCGCTCGTCACACCGGAGCCCAAGCCGGCTGCGAAATGGAATGCNTAGAGGTGAAGCATCAGTCGCTGTGTATTCTAAAGCAAGATAATGCGCCAAAGGCAGAGCACATGAAGGGCAATGACTCGAAGCTTACCCGCCGACGACTTGTGTTTTTGGCCGCCATTTGTCATGTCCTTGTTTGATTTGTACAATTCCAGAGGAGAATAGTTTTGAGAGTCCTTCAGGGTGTCGAGAACATGGCGCAGCTCTTTCAATTGATCGGTTTGCTTGCTTGTCAAAGCTATGGTATGGACTGGTCAGAGAGCGAGATAGCCTTTGACAAGGTTGATGTCATCGATTCGCTTGATTATCCCGAGGCCCCGAGCTGTTTGCTTTGGTTGCATCCAAACTTCCACACCCTCTCAAGCCTCTGGACTTTACTCCGAACATCAACTACATTGTCGGAACAGCTGGTACTCAGATGCATGGTTCAACCAGTTCGTGATTTTTGTATTGGTAACATCCATGGATGAGCAGAGTGCTAAAACGGCATCGAAATAAAACTTTGATACATCAGAAGCGTAAATGTATAATACAGGGTAGGGCATAGAAATGCTTTAAAGTACACGAGGATATTCTCCTTCGACCAGAAGGAAGATTCGACAGGGTTTCCCCAAGAAGGCGCTTTTTAGTATGGGAGAGTGTGATCCAGGAAGAACGCCGTGACAAAGAGCTCATACAGAAAATGTAACTCGACCCAGGAATATGCAAAAGCTGAAGATAATGTCGTGCGTTACGCGAAGGAAAAGACGAGGGGATATGAGGTACGCTGAGAGCTTAGATGTACTCTCTCGCGCTCTTTTGAAGTTCGATCAGTCTCCATCCGCGAGTTTCGGGGTTGTGTACATCCTCGGGAAGTCTGGTCACTCCGATGGCATATGTGACTTGCTGAACCTTGTCTTCCATACCAGAAGCGAGCTGACCAGTCTTCTTGTTCTTGTACACGTGCACCTCCTGTGTACGGCACATAATGACGAAGACCGGAATGTCACCAGGCTCGAGCAGGCGTGCGTTGAGCACGTCAACGTTACGGATATCCAGAATACGGCCATCCGACACAAGACCATGTTGTGTGTATTGCTGCATCAGAGCAGCGTAAACCTGGTATTGAGCTGCACTCAACCACTGCTTCAGGACCTCGGTGTCGCCCTTGACATAGGCATCGAGGACTTCAGGAAGAATGTACTCGCGCATCTCTTGCAACCAAGGCTCCATCTGGAAGCTGGGATCCATCTCACGGAACTTCTTGATGACCTTGGCCGTCTCGTTCTCAGCGAAGAAGCCAGCCACGCGGTCACTAATGCTGCGAGCAGTGGAGATCAGGGGNTTCTCGGATTCGGCGTAGGTGTTCTTGAAGGCGAAGAGGCGCTGCATGGTCTTGCTGCTGTCGCGGAACTCACGCCATGATTCCTTCCAGGCTGCGTCCTTGTGAACAGTGACGTTGACTCCGGCACTNACAAAAGGATGTTAGTAAAGATTGCAGAGGTAGAGCAGGAGAGCCACTTACTTGGGATCCTCCACCATAGGCTCAGAAGATCTACGACCCTCGGCAATGTCTTTTGCTTCTCTTGCTTCTCTACGCTTCCTGCGCTCCTCCTTCTCCACCCAACCACCGTAGCGCATGGAACTGCCATCATCAATGACCTCCTTGACGTTCTTGTATGCCTCGGTTTCTCTCACAGGGCGAGTAGCCTTCTCGAGACCCGAGCCAACTGCACCAGCACCGTATCTAATACCCTTGACGACGCTGGTATCCCATGTCCAAGCAGCACTCTTGCCGATTGCTCCAGCAGTAGTCTTGATGGTGCTTCCAGCAGCGGACGAGAGAGCACCTGTACTCTTCTCGTATGCGGCGCGAGCCTTCTGGACGTTGGGGTTCTCGGTGAAGTCGTGGATGCTACCAGACAATTGCTTGGTGCCTTCGTTCCACTCCTTACTCTCCTTGAATTCGGTCTGCAACGTCTCGGTGAAGACCTGCCAGGGAGTCTTGTTGCCGTGCTTTGGTGGTGGGGGCTTCTTGTCCTTCTTCTCCTTCTTTTCAGCACCCTCAGCTTCGCCTTCAGCGGCTTCACCCTCGGCCTCTTCGCCTTCTTTCTTCTCTTTCTTGGGCGTTTCGGCATCGGCATCAGGGTCAGGCACGTAGGCTCCGGCATCACGGCGGGTAGTGGCTTGGTAGATTCTCTCGGCTTCGCTCATGGGCTCCTCTGCCTTCTTTGCTTTTTTTAGCAGGCTCAGACTTTGGCTCTGCATCCTTTGCTTGCTGAGCAGCAGGTTCCGGCTTTGCTGGCTCTTCCTTGGGAGCAGAACCTTGAGCGGCGCGTTGACGCCGGCGCTCAGCCTGCAATTCTTTGAACGAAACGGAACGCACGAAAGTGGTGGCGACAGAGGCAGGAAGGAACGGCGACGACAGTCTCGAGGGTGTAGAGGCGACTGAAGCGACCAGGGGCGAGTTGGCGGCATGCGAGCGGTTCAAGACATGTGTGGATATCCGGCGGTATGTCGCTGTTTGGCCGTGGCACAAAGACGCATTGCGAGCGACATTTGTGGGAGCTCTGGGCGAGAGCACTTGTCGACTTAACGAGCTCATGCTGTGGTGTGTGGTTTGTGGGAAACAGAAGACGGAGAGTCACAGAAGATCTCGCCGCCCGCTGTCGCTGCCGGAATGTTCGAGCAAGCTGCTCGAAAAAGTTGCCAAGCACCGACTTCCGCTCCGCCAAATCCAAAGAATTCCAGATCGTGACTGCCAATTCGAGCGCTGCATACAGCTACTGCCAGCCAGTCAATCCCGTTGCTGTCGCCAATCACACATTCGACATGAACGTCTTCCGACCACTGGCCAGGTTGGCCGTTCGCCCTTCCTCTATCCTGTCGTCAACATCTACTCGCGCCATCTCTTCAACACCACTTCCCGCAGCACCTGTAACATCCAGGCGAGGCGGATCACTCGAACTCGGCGACTGGATCGGTCGTCTCGGTGACAGATCCAGCGGTCCTCCAGGTGTCGACATCGACGTCGGTCCTCCCCAACCGCATCGTATGCACGTCTATGCGACAAAGCACAACACCCACATCACCTTCACCCAACCTCCGAAAAAGGACCCCGCAAACCCTGGCAAACAAGTCGACGTTCTCATGTCGCTCTCTGCCGGCAACATTGGTTTCAAGAAGGCCGGTCGTGGCAGTTATGATGCTGGCTACCAACTCGCTGCTTTCGTCCTGAAGCAAATCCAAGAACGTGGTCTTCTACGCGATCTGCACAGTCTAGAGGTTGTGCTGCGTGGTTTCGGAAAGGGAAGAGAGGCTGTCACAAAGGCTCTGCTGGGTTCAGAGGGCTATTTGGTCAGGAATAAGATCAGCTCCGTCAAGGATGCTACCAGACTGAAGTTTGGTGGTTCGAGAAGTCCCAAGCCCAGAAGATTGGGTTGATCGCCATACTTATCTTGTCATGTCTTCCGTTTCTTTCTCCTGGAGCTGCTGCATATGGCTTTTTCATCCTTACAAGTTTCACATGGCCACAAAAGGATTGGCACGGCGTTGGTTGGAGGAATTTGTTGCGCCTCTTGTATATTAACTTATTGTACTACACATCCCCGAGTGTCGCATGCATGCATCGTATGAGAATCATGCCTGGACTGGTATCATTTGCGTCTATCATAGCGCGCACTGTATAATCACTTGCTCGCTTTCATGAACATGCCATAAACCCTGTTTGTTTATCTGCCACCACGGCCGGCGCCACCTGCACCTCCAGCGCCTCCCATGAAGTTCTTTGCCCTGCAAGTGTTGTCAGTAATGTAGTTTTGAAGATGGTTGTAGGAGTCTACTCACATCTCAGCAATGCTGGGGTCGTTCATCAAGCTCGAGAGGTCAGGCATGCCGCCACCCTGGCCACCCTGGCCACCAGCACCGCCAGCACCACCTCCACCGAATCTGTCAGCCATCTCTCTGACGCGAGGGTTGCTCATCAGGTTGTTCATCATGTTGGGGTCCTTCATCAGGTTCTGAGCCATCTGCTGCATCATGGGGTTCTGCATGAGGCTGGCAAAGTCGGGCATGCCGCCAGCACCGCCTGCACCGCCCGCACCACCACCGCCGAACATGCCAGCAAGGGATGAAAGGTCAGGCATGCCACCGGCACCACCGCCAGGGGCGCTGCGGGAAGATTCGTCGGTCAGACCACCCTCCTCTTCAACTCTTCTTCTGGCGGTCTCATAACCGCGCTTCATGGCGTCGCTACCTCCATTGCCCTCGGCGTCAATACCGGCCTTGTATGCCTCCATGCTTCCCTGAGCATCTCCGAGAGCGAAGCGCGCGAGACCGAGTCTGCTCCAGGCCTTGGTGTACTTGGGGTCAGCGGCAGTAGCGAGCTCTGCATCATTCTTGGCGGATTCGTGTTGGCCAGCACCGGAATAGGCAGCGGCACGGTTGGAGAGGTAGATAGTGTTCAAAGGGGCGATCTCGAGGGCCTTGGTGTAGTAGTCGATAGCGGTAGCGTAGTCCTTCTTCTGCATAGCAGCATTGCCCTGAGCCTTGAGTGATTCAGAGTCGGCAGTGGGTGCACTCGACTTCTCGTTGGCGCCCTTGGAGGAACCGGTAGGAGTGGAAGGACGGCCCTCCTTAGCGCTGCTGGGGCCCTCAGTGCTGGCGGTGCTCTTGCCCTTCAGCTTCTCGTACACGCCGTAGATGCTAAGCAAGTTCTGTCCACCCAGAGCTTGGGTCATGGCGGTCTTGTCGGTAGGGTCGACATGGAAAGCTTCGGCGATGCATGAAGTTGCGATTTCAATGGATTCGGAGTCGTCAGACTGCAGAGTGCCATCCTTGAGGGAGGTGTTGAGGAAGTCAATGATGGCCAAAGCCAGCTTCTTCTTTGAGTCGGACATGATGTTGGTGATGTGTTGAGGAATAAGGAGCGACGAGGAAGGACGGAGAGAATAATGTCGAGGACAGCACGGCGACTGCGTCTGGCCCAGAAGGTTCGAAAAGACACAGGCGGCAACAATGCGCAGTTGCCTTGGCATTTCGCGGGGTTGAAGTCGGTGGTGGGGCAGCAGCGCGAGTCGGTGACGACCCTGCTGAATTAAAGTCGTTCGTTCTTGCTTTGTGATACCAATACACATCCACCTCACCATGTTCAAGAAAGAGTCAGTAAGTCATGCATTGCGCCTCTAGGCTCAAAGCTAACTCCAGTCAGTTTGACACCCGGCGCCAAAAGCAAGGTCAAGTCATCGGCCCAGCGCGCCATCCGCGCAAAGGCCATTGAGACCTATCCTCGCCTCGAGCCCTACATGGATGAAATTATGCCAAAGAAAGAACAGATCGATCTTGTCAAGGTGTATGTTGGCCCTTAAAAGAGTTGGCTCTCGCAGATACCATCTCCATCCTCAGACTGTCGAGCATGCGTTTTCTCGTTCAGCTTCAATCCACCAGCACTGTATCCACATGTACTAACAACCTTGTCAATAGACNCTGATCGTGTCTCCCTCTACGTCCTTGGCTCTACTCCTCTCTTCTGGCAACATATGGACGATCCTCTGATACCCCACCTTTCTCTCGTTCACAAATACCCTCAATGCTTTGACAGGATACGAATTGATCGTGGTGCTATTCGTTTCGTTCTCTCTGGAGCTGCTCTCATGGTGCCCGGCTTGACGTCTCCCGGCGGCCGCTTACCCGATCCTTCGGTTAGCGAGGACGACAAAGAGGCCAACGATGGCTATGGAGGAAAAGAGTTGCAAGCAGGTGACATTGTTGTCGTCGAAGCCGAAGGCAAGGAGAATGCATGCCTGGTCGGTGTTCTGAAGATGGGCACCAAGGATATGAAGGAAAAGAAGAAGGGCGTTGGCCTTGAGAACGGCCACTACCTTGGTGACGGTCTCTGGAACCTGTCTCTCTAGAGTGGGAAAGTCATCATTTTCGATACGATTGCATAAGATACCTAGGCTAAGAATTGCATGATGTGGATTGAGACACAAGCATCAGACTCCTTGTTGCATAAGCTCTGTTGTCTCAGGAAGCAGTGGCTATATGTGCTGTCGTGTGACCAAAGCATAACCCTGGTTGATCGATTTGGACTACTACTTCACAGCTGTACAGAAGAATCTCAGAGTAGACTGTGAAGGTCAAACAACAAACACACTACATTGCGGATGAATTCTTCTTACTGTCGTACAAGTATATATTTCGCCATAAAAACAATCTTGTAGAACTTTGTCGAGCAAGAATACCTTGAGCGGTCGTCACTGTCAAAGCCCATTCCAGCAACGCCCAACCCACTCTCATCTCTTTCCTGAAAAGCCAAAGCCAAACAACATCACACATCAAGCCCAATTTGCAACACCACCAGCCACAATCACGACAAACACCAGTTACCATCAATCTCATTGCTCCTAAGCGCATTGTCCGAGGTCAAACTTCATTGCGAGATTGAACCGGAAAATACAGATCGCCAGCACCAACGCACCCTGACACTTTTCACGGCTGCGGTCGGGGAAGGACTAAGAAACCATGGATAACTTTGCCAGCGAGACCGACAGCGACTACACCAGTTATTGGCGGGATTGGGTGAGTGAATTTCGTTGTCGTTAAGTTTTGTTTTTGTCCCAACCACTCTGCGCGCAAAAGTTGAGATAGCCATCTCCAAGAAAAATCGCATGCGGCGTGCCGTGGTCTGGCGTGAGCGCTGGACGGTCAGCGCTCGCGACTGCAGTGAAGTCGTGGCATGCCACAAACCAAAGGATGTTGTTGATGAAATATTTGTGCGACTGCAATCTTGCGTACATACATCGACATGACATACCAATTCGACGGGATAACGTGGACCTACGACAAGAACTGGACAGACAGGGCGCGTCACATCCTTGATTTCACATTGATTCCCCTACCAGAGAATGTCAAGATGAAAAATGTCGTTATGCCATGACTTCCCAAGGGCGTTCGCTGGTTCGCACGTTGTGCGAGATTGCTGCTACGACGCTCCTGACATGGCATATGGTCTTGACACTTCTTTTGCACCTTTCCATCGGGCCACTTCGCAATAAGAAGATTCCAGAATGCTAACTTGTCTCAATACAGTTCGTCTCGTCTCGCGGCAATGAATACTACTGCGAAATCGACGAAGACTACTTGACCGACCGTTTCAACTTGACTGGCCTTAACACGGAAGTCCAATACTACCAATATGCACTCGATCTTGTGACCGACGTCTTTGACATGGAGGTCGACGATGATATGCGCGAGCAAATCGAGAAGAGCGCCAGACATCTCTACGGTCTTGTGCATGCGCGCTACATTGTGACAACTAGAGGTCTTGCAAAGATGGTAAGATCTGTTTTCTCTTCTCATCATCTTTCTCATCAGATCTATCTGGATGTTATTCACAAGCAAAAATAAAATTTCATCGACTAACAGTTTATTCAAAAGCTTGACAAGTACAAGTCCGGCACCTTTGGAAAATGTCCTCGCGTCATCTGCGACCAACAACACCTCCTACCCATGGGTCTGCACGACGTTCCTGGCACCTCGACTGTGAAACTCTACTGCGCCAAATGCGAGGACATCTACAACCCCAAGTCATCGCGCCACAACGCCATCGACGGCGCCTACTTCGGCACTTCTTTCCACAACATCCTCTTCCAAGTTTACCCAGCCATGCTGCCACCCAAGACCCAGAGACGCTACGAACCTCGCATCTATGGTTTCAGAGTTCATGCTGCTGCTGCGTTGATGAGATGGCAGGAAGAGAAGAGAGAGGAGATGAAGGACAGACTCAGAAAAGGAGGCCTGGAAACGGGCTTCGAGGAGGAAGACGAGGAGCTCGAAGATGAGGACAGTGATGAGGGCGACGAGAGCAAGGACGGCATTGATGATATGTTCGAGGCCCCAGCTCCTACAGTGCAGTAGAACAATGCGGCTGAACAGTATGCTGCGTGGCAGGCTCGGATGCAGAAGGCGAAGAGGCACCGAGCTTGATCTTCCATTTTCTTTTCTTGCCATCATTGCTTTTCCTTGGATGCCGTCGTTTCGCTAGGATGGGAAGGCTTTTTCTTGTATTACATTTGCATCGCTAAGATCACTGGTGCATCACTCTAGTATTGCAGTTTACATCATCTCCAAATGAGCCTTTGCATTGTTTCCAATCATGCTACACTTCTTGCTTCCAATGTATTCTTGTCCTTCCAAATAGACCAATAATATGCTCATGCCCTGCCAGCGCGGCCCATCTGGATAATTTCTCCAGTGTGCTTCTCGTCGCCGCGCAAGACTGGCCATGAAGCGCCGTCTGCCTTGACAATTCTCAACTCCAGCTTAGTACCCATGATGCTAAACTCGCTCTTTGCCTTATCGATGGCACCAAACAGCGGTACGACCTGCTGGAACCTCTTNTTGTCGCTCGTCCTGAGATCCAAATCCACCGTCTTGTCTTGGAACTCGACCTTTGAGATGGCCTTATCAATCTTCTTCAGATACAGACTTGCCATGACCTTGTCAGGTGTCTGGTAGAAGTCGTGTCTCACGCTTTCCAACTTCTCTTCTCCGTCGTCTTTCTTTGCACCCACGAACAAGTGACGTGACTTTGTCTTGCAGCCAGGAATGCGGAGGAACTCGTCAAACTCCAAGACGCGGCGTTTGCAGCATGACCAGCCTTTGCTGCCCTCGTGGAAGATTGGGGCACCCGGGTGGTGCTGGCAGTTTTCGTCGTCGCTACGAGGTGCACCTTTGTGTGTTACTCCGCAAGCCTTACGCTTGCAGGTTGCGTTATCTGGAACGGGAGTGTTTGGGTCATCGTCTTCGTCCTCTGGGGGTGCGGGCGAGGCAGGTGGTTGTGGGGCCTGTGCTGTGGGAGCGCGACCTGGTGCTGCTGGCTCGGAGGCAGGTGTGGGTGCTGCTAGTGTTGGAGCATCGGCAGGAGCGGTCTTTGATTCTTCGACGGGAGTATCATCCACAGTACTGTGCTTTCCGGTCGTGCAGGGAGGGATTTCCATGAATTCGTCGAAGGTCAAGACACGAGGCTTGCAACATTTCCATCCTNNGTTCGAATTCGACATCAACGAACTGTTCGCGCGAGGGATGGTGTGGCAGAGAGAAAGTACCTTTTGACCCTCATGGAATTCAGGNCTATAGCAAAGTTAGCTGGTATACTAAAGCACTCGGTCAATTGAGCTGCTTACTGGTCCAGGGTGATAGACACATTCTTCATCGTCGTCGGCAAAGGTCTTGCCACAGCCCTTGTGAACGCACTTTCCAGGCATCTTGACTGCAATTGATGTAGGTGCACAATGTGTATAGAAGAGCGCACTCAAGTCCAGTGGTGATCGTCCAAGCTGGAGATGCGGGTCAACTTTTGGAGCTTTCTAGAAACGTCATGCCGAGCACAAAGGTAAGTGCAACCGAGGCTCCTGCGGCCGGTTGCGCTTGCCCTTCCAGCTTCCACTCCCCAAGCCCACTTCCTCTCATACACGATCAATGTGCAAAGAGTCGGGTTACCTTGAGCTGCTGTAGATCTGCGTGACTGCTCTGGTAAGGCTGTTCGTCTCATAATTGCTCACTGCTACCTGCAATCGTCGTGCTACCCCGACAAAGTATGGATACGCGGCACAGTTCTCAAGGCAGCCGGTCGTGCATGTACCTTAATGACCAAGACATGAAGCAGACTTGAGTCGAGCGTCTGGACATCATCTCAACATGCCTCTGTTTCTTCTTGTTCCGTATATTGGATTACGATGATGAGTTTGAACGCTGTAGCGAAGGCTTCTCTCTCGCCCGAGAAGCTCGTCATATTCTGCGATGGCACCTGGTGTGGCCCAGAACATGGCACGCGTACTAACATCCAGCTACTAGCCGAGATGGCTGGCATCGACATGAGCACGACTAAAGGTTCACGAGAACTGACAGATGCTTCGCGGCGACTCAGAGCCAAATATTTCAACGGCATAACTTGCAACTACTTGACCTATGGCCTCGGCGCATCAGCAGACAACCTAGGACAACTCTGTCTCGAGGCTTATCGTTATATTGCGCGATGGTACTCAGAAGGCACAGAGATATGGCTTTTCGGTTTAGGTCGAGGAGCTTACGCCCTGCGTTGCGTGGTCGGTATGATCAACAACTGTGGCATCATCAAGAACCCCAGTGACGACTTATGCGAGCTTGTCTATCAGACTTATACATCAGCTCGTGAAAACGACAGACCTTCCTCGAACGATAGTGAGGCTTTTCGCAGAAGGGCCAGCTGGGATGTGATCACGCCCATCAAGATCATGGTACTGCTAGATACCATCGGCAGCACCGGCCATAATTGCACCAACAGTTCAACTGGATTCACATCTCCAAGACTTCGCGATGAAGTTGTTCCTGATGTCGTCGAGAGCGTCTTCCATGCTTGTTCTATACACGACCGTCTGCCGGTCCTTCAGCCATGTCTTGCAACAAAATCAGACCACAACAAGATGCCTCTCATCTACGAAACTTGGTTTCCCGGTTGCCACTATGACATTGGACGACAACGCTGTCAGTTCTTTCCTAGAGGCTGGCTTTACCTTGTTCCGAGTCTGTTCAGTGGCGCAGTCGAACCAAACCATGTGCTCAGTAACTCGGTCTTGTGCTGGATTCTTCAATCTGTCGCTCAACAGTTTCCGTCCCAGACAGTCTTCCAGGACTTGCATTGGCAAATCAATTTCTTGAAAAAATCCATGCAGTCTGCCAACACTAGTACTGGTTCCGGAGATGTATATGGGCCTTCCAAAACACTGAACATTGCCCCCTTCGGTCGTATACTCACTCGACTTCCCTTAGTACCTACGTTGCTCACACGTATCACCACTTTACTCCCGCTTCGAGATAGGAGGATACCGGACCATGCAGCTCAAGTCATCGACTTTGAATCGCCAAGCCATCCTGACAACGAANAAAGTTTGGCGGAGATGGCAAGAGTGGACAAACATAGATATCCTTCCAAAACTTATGAAGTCTGGAAGACGTGGACGAAGCAGATTGCGGCCAAAGACAGAAAAACTATACCCTGGGCCGATGATGCGGTCATGCATTCCGATCACGATACAATACCTCTGCAGCTCGAACCTACGCGACCCGAAAACTCCTCTGCGGCGTTCATAAATCCCATGAATACTTACGAGGATCAAATCGATACTGCAAGACCTCCGAGCCGACGCGACTCTGCCAACCCACAACTACGACATCAGCGCTCCTCATCTCTACCCCAAAACACCGTTCTCACAGCTTCAGACGACGCCCTGATGAGAGCAGTGGTCAACTCCGACATTGGGCTAGTACAAGATCTTCTGACACAAAAGGCTTCCGAGCTAGCCTTTGACTTTGAATGGTTGAGCGAATTGATCGAACTGGGCTATAGTGTCGAAGATGTTGCGGCTGTGCTTGTCGAAGAAGAAAGGGAATCACCATGGCTCCTTGTGTCGGGTGGAAATTTCACTAAGAGGGCTTTGAAGATGTCGAAAAGTTGGAGCGCAAGAGAGCACATAGTCCTGCTTGAACTGCGCTTGGCTGATGCCTTCTGTCTAGTAGTGACCCAGGAACTTCACCATGATTCAATGCAGAATCTTGTTTGCCAATTTAATGTACATAAAGTGGAAGATATGGATACACCAGTCCCTATAGTATAATCTGAACAGTAAGATACAAAAGACTCTCTATACATAGTGTCATCAATCATCAGGGGTGAATCACAAAGTCTGGGCCGCCTTCTATCATCATTCAACCAGACCAACCGCCCATCCCGTCCAATACTCCATGATCATTCCAAAACTGTTGCCTCTGATCCATCGGAAAGACCTCACCAAAATACATCCATTGCTGTTGTAACTGCTGCTGTTGCTGTTGAGCCTCGGTGTTCTGCTGAAACTCGGTATTCATCCAAGGCATGCTGAGGTCAGAATATTGCTGCGGTGCTGGCAGTAAGGATTCCTCATCGGCGATTGTAAACGTATCACTGATCCCCATGTCATTCAAGTCTTGGGTAAAAGTAGAAGGAGGAGTCGGAGGAAGCATGGTCTGGGCAGTCACGATGGGTGCGCTAGTGACAGACCGAGGTCTGCTCTGCCACTGCAGGAACAGTTGTTCGATGCTTCTCTGGAAAACTTGTCGCGTGAAGTCTTCGAGTTGGTCTTGTTGCTGGTCGCTTCCAGAAGGCATGTTGGCGTTCACAATGCTCGTCACTACGTCGCGTCCTTCGTATGTACAGAAGTCGCGGAAGGCTGAGAGCTCGGCAGAGAGCGTAAGATCCATGACTGTTGTGTATCAGTATCGAAACAAGTGTTCACGTCTTAGATGCAAACTTACAAGGTGACTCTGGCTTCCTTGCCCCTGGGAACAGCAGTGCAAACATTGAGTACCAGCTTTCTGACACTGATCTGCTCGTAACTCGACGCTTGAGCTTTCGCATAGTTGACTCATCGATACCTTCGAGACGGCGCTCTGGAGCAGTCTGACAGGTACCTTCTCTCACGTGTCTGTCTCTGGCTTCGGGGTTGTTGCGGAAGACTAAGTAGCACTTGGGACAGTGGATAGGAATGCTGTGCACCCGTTCAAGATGTTGCCTGGATATTCTAGATTAGTATTGTGGTAGTTTTGGGTGATCTTGGTTTCACTCACTTGACGCGAGATACACCTTTCAGAACAAAGGTATAGCACTTGTCGTGCTTGAGAGGATCAAATTTGACAAACGGACATGCCAAGGGAGGGAGATCTTCATCATTTCGGGCAGCTTTACTCTTCCGCTTTGGCGGTTGCTCATCATCGTTGCCGTCATCTTCCTCAGCTAGGGTACGCCTTCGCTTGCCTCCAGGCGACAGGTTGGGTAGATTGTTCGCCTTAGATCCACTAGCTCCACCATGGCCATTCAAGCTTGATGAATAGCTGGAGTTTGAGGATTGTTGTCCACTGTTGCCTGGTGCGTTTTGGCGAGAGGAGGAGTAGGCGGTCAACAAACAGTGCACTGTCGGTCTGAGCAGAGGTTGGAAGATAGTCTCGCGTTCGCCTATATCTATATCAAAATCGGTATCTGTGGTCAAGTCGTCCATGTCGGATTCGAACAATGAGTCTGCATATGTGCTTGAGCTGTAAGCGGCTGGTGATGGCACTATTTGCTCTGGAGATGGCACACAGACCATGAGATATGAGGAGTGTACATCGTCAAAGAAATCCGTGGTGGTGTCCATCATTTCGATCGGTGTATTTTGTTCGCGCACATCGCCTTCAGGGTCATGGGATACCAAAATTGATGGAGGATAAGTATATGTGGCACCTAGAGGCAACGATCGAACTGCTTGTGGTAAAGGATTGGAAGGATAGGATGCAGAACGTAGCACCGGGCTCTGTGCAACAGGTTGAGGTGAACAGTTGGTGGGTTCAAACCCATGGTGGGATTCTCCAGCCGAGCTCTCTGCATCGTTACTGTCCTCATCCTCTGATGAGAGCTCCTTGCGGGAGCGACGCTTGGTCTTCACCTTCCTGCATTTGACCTTGCGCCGACTGGCGACGCTAGGGTCTAGCTTCACAGACTCAGGAGTACATTCCGATCTATCAAGAGTAGTTAGTCACTGGTCATTGACAACCCATTGCGGTGTTGAACGTACTTCACCAGAAGCTCGGCGACCTGAAATTCGTCGTATCTATGTGTTCCTTCGAGATGAGCCTTGAAGTTGTCCTTTCGTGGCCAGATCTTGTCCTTCTTCTGGCAAGAAGGAGCAGCACATCGATAGTAAAACTTCGACGTCTTCGTAGTCAACATGCTGTGGCATGTCTTCTTGTGTCGTGCTAGGTCATGTGGAGAAGCAAAGCCATTACGATTATCACATCCGGACACGTCACACTTGAAAGGACGAGTGTGTGTCAGCATGTGNCTTCCTACAAGTGGTCAGCGTTTTCTTAAGGATAGTGATAGTGATCATAGTGCTGACCTTCTATCCGCGTTATTGCTGAAATAGCGGCGCTTCTCTGACTCCTCACAACAGATCTCGCAGTATTCTGAGACCTGGTTGTTTGGTGAACCGGCCATGTCTGGTTGAGCACTAGATCCAGTCTCGATACCATGCCTGTCAGTGTGATCCACAGAGCCATAGCCGCTGTCGCTGATTGAGAGCTTGTTCTTGGCCTTCATGACCGGCAGGGTATGCATGTCCTCGGCGGTGCTAGCATGGAACCAATCCAGCCATGGTTCTTCGTTCTTGATAGACGGTATCATACTCTCTACTCCATGTCGATCACCCGGAGCCTTCTTGGGGCAAGTTGCACCAGTCATTGGCGAGGGTGTGCTGGAGCCATGTTTTTGGTTGACGTTTTGTGTCGTCGACGAGAAGAGTTCGAAGTCTTGGTTCAGACTATCTTGGTCAAACTCCTGATCAGCGGTCAGCATTCTGATTCCGCAGGCAAGCAATGCCAACCCACGTAATGGAATGTTGGGTTGTGCCAGGCCATTCGAGAACGGATATATTATATCAGTAACTGTATCGAGATGACTTTGCGTGTTCAATGATATGATCTTCCCTCTTGCTGAGGGATATATAGTGTAAGCAAAATGGGTATGATACGTCGAACGAATTGGGTTGGTCAGAACGTGAGAAAACATGGTGGTGGCAGGACACGCTCATATAGACAGTTACAAACTACGATGGTCCCTTCCTCACACATGCGTCGCTGGCACAGTTGTGTTTACACAGCTAAGCCTTGCTGGATAATGTCATAGCGCGGGGTGTCGGAGAAGGAACCTCTTGGTACGATTAGCTCCTGCCGCCAGTAGGAGGACGATTCCATCACAGCCCCACGCTCCTTTCTTGGACCCCGCGGAAACACACGACAGAGTCTTGATAGACAGGGTCAAGAAAGCAGTTCAAAGACGACACACAGGCGCGCAAAGTAAGATCTCGTATTAGGATACCGACTTGGCACCAAGTATTCGAGAAGATGTCCAATCATTCGAAAAGGCGTCTCCACGCATCTGCCGTCTTGTCCATCACCCGGCCTGGCACATGATGGTCTTACTGCGGGCCAAGCCTCAATGACAGCACACTTGTCTCTGCTGGCTTTTGCTGCGCCAACCTCTGACTAGTTTTCAATGCGGATAACGGCACCTCAGGATGCGCGACAAGGGTTTGATCTCAGATTCACACAACCAGGGAGCTGGATTCATAAATTAACAAGGCACATGACCTTTGACAGGTATTCGTATGTACAAATATGGAAGTATACAGCGAGCGGGAGGATTCCGATCTCCCCTAGAACCCAACCTTTCGCTTCTTCTTTGCCGGTTTTCCACCGAACCGCCCTGGCTGCACTTGGCTAGTGAACATGTTTGGCTGAGCCTGGGAGCTCGCTAGCAACTGCGTGCCTTGACTTGCTGCCCTGGCAGACTGAGGGATATTCGGTGCTTCGCTTCTAGAAGGTGTCGCGAATGCAGGCTGACTCGCACTTATGATGCCGGGAGCTTGGCTGCTCGCGAGATCCATAGCAGATGCTTTCTGCGATTCGCGCCTTTGCTTCAGCAGCATCTTCTCGGCACGGCGCTTCAACCTCGCTCGCTCTTTTGGTGTCAGGTCCTCGTCTTCTTCCTCGGCCCTCTTCTCCTGCTCTCGCTGAACCGCAAGCCAATCGTATTCATCAGGATTGCCGCCAAGGGCCCAATGCGCAAGCGTGTTGCTGAGACCTTTAGGTAGGGGCGCGGGAGTAGGTTTCTCTGTCGAGAACGTGGTGTACCGTTGGAGACGCGCAAATTCAGACGACACTAAAGTCGACGGGTGACTGGACAAGGACGTGACAGTAGTCAATGATGGTGTTGCTGTTGGTGATGGTGTTGGAAGAGACGATTGGGGAAAGTTCCTTTGTGAGGAAAAGTCGTCCTCTGTAGCCTGCGTCTCTGCTGTTGTCCCCTCTTCACTTGGCTCCACTGGAGGCTGTCTGAGAACGTGGCTTGCGAGACATATCTCAGCTGCAATTCTTCGCGCTAGTTGTTCCTTGACAAGTCGCACTCTTCCAGGCACCGTTTGAGAAAGTGGTGTCAGCCAATGCGCTATGATGGTGTCGTAGACAGCCGTTAAATCCATATCGCTCTTGAGACCAAGATCCAGAGCATTGTTGCTGCTAACGCGCGCAAGTTGTAATCTCTGGTCATTTTCTTGCATGTCTTCTCCACGCTGTGACCTAGAAGAAACCATGTTGTCAAACTCTGTAGCAGCTTGATCAATGTCAGGTATCAGGATTTGGTTATCGCAGATTTCTGACAATAGTGTGTGACCAGTCTCAAAAGCCTCAGACGCCTTGAGTGCTTGATCCACTCGTATGAGCATACGCGAGAAGTCCTCTGTTTGCGAAGCTGCGCTGATTGTTCGGGCATGGGCAAGTTCGTATACCATGGCCCAGTTGTCTCGTGTTGACTTCAACGTATCGACGTTCGAGATTGCTGTTTCATCTTGCTCTTCTCGGGTACTCACTAGCCCTTGATCGGCCTTCGATTGTTCAATAAAACCACTCTCTTGTAACCGTGGGCGACTATGCACAAGTCTTCCGTGCCAATCAGGGGCCAAGACTTTTGGCAGTGACGACCCAACAACAGTGCTTGGAAACGCATAATACAGTTTTTGCACGACAGCCATATCGCTTGTGATAGCGGTCGTAACGAAGAATCTGACGGAAGAATCTTGATAAATCTTTCCAGGGCCAGATGGTTGTTCGTGGTGTACGCTCTCTCCATACTGCACAGGCTGAATCTGGAAAGTCAGAGCTGCAGGTGAAGCAGTCGCAACATAAGGGAGTTCTGGCAGAACAAATTGAGTAGCATCTGCGATTCTCAAAAATTGAGGAGAAAACTCGTCTGGCGTGAAGCGATAACTCGTTGCGAGTGGGCTCAAGGAAGATTTTATGAACACAACGACATCTGCGAAAGGTCAGCATCTAGGCGTCGAGGTTCACGGTTTGTATGCCATACCCGTATCATCGACAAAGTTTGACAGACCAAGTCCCATATCTTCCGAGTCCCTGAAATGCCTACATTGTAATACAATCTCGGCACCAGCGGTGTTGTAACTCTCTGGGTCAAATTCGTCCAGGCAGCGCACACGTAAGCAGAACAATGAAATTGAGGTCAGAACGAATATGAGAGTTGGATCCAGTGGGTTGAGCATGATATCGAGAATCCAGTGCGGAGTTCCAGCAATGTCAAGATTGGGAGATTGGAGTCTGACAGGTTTCCCTTGGATATCATAGATGCCCAAGCACCTCCTGCTGGCAGTAATAATGGTCTGCACGTTGCCAGCCCATATCGCTCTGCCCCAGCCGTCGTCCAATAGACTAGCAGTAGTTTCATGATCGGGTATAACTTGGTCATTGGTAGCGCCACGGCAAAGCTCGATCGGTTTACCATGTTCAGAAGGAATCTGTCTGAGACTCGAGTCCCAGACGTGCCAGGTACCATATTGGTCGACAGTGACGAATTGCTTGGGATACCAATGGTTGAAGGCCACATGAGCGGGAGCCAGACCCCCAAATAGATTTAGATCCAGAGTACACAACTGTTCTGTGTGAAAGCGAGATGGTGTACCAGCAAGAGAATCCCATGATGAGGCATGTTTTCTTGCAGCAATTCGCAGGATATGAACAGCGATAGTGGTGCGGACGGCCAGAGTGCGGGCAAGATTCGAGTCCTCATCGGTATCTGCAAAACAGATCTGACGAATGGGATGAGGAGCATGCCAGGTTCCGGATTCGCCAGATATTTTAGGTACATCGATCCATACAGATTTGTTCCGCTCCCATCCGTGTTTCTGAGGCTGAACTTGAACAAGGCGCAGAACGTGGGCATGATCCGCAGCAGGAAAGGCCACAATGGGCATAGATCGCTTTATAGCAAGATCAGGTACACGACCAAAAGCCAACAGATGGCCAGCGATCGGATCATGGCGAAGGACAGTCTTCTGAATCTCTTGCGACACAACGGCAGGCTCTATAAGGAGATGGGCGCCCGGAGCGGTGGTCGGATCGAAACGGAGGAGCTCAGTAAGCTGGCGGTTCAGGTGAACGCTCGGTTTATCCGTGGTAGCAGGGTCTACTCGGGCTTGGGAGTGGTGCGATTTGAAGACGAGCTGCGATGTGCCGAGGGGCTGTAAGGTTGGCGAAGGCTCGACATTCCTCGGGAACAACCAGGCTTGGTCTTCGGCATTGTAAATGATTTCACCAAAGTGACCATATTTCAGGTCAGTGGTGGATTGGTCAGCCATGCGGCTTCTTCCTAGCTATGCGTGGTATTGGGCCAGAGACGGACTGAATCATTGCCGTGAAGAAGGTGGTCGCGGAATTTTGTTGATGATAGTAGCTGAAGAATATATTGGTGTGTGGTAAATGGCTGTTGAGAGTCTCAGATGTCGCATATGATAGAGTAAAAAAGTGGAAGAGAAATTCATGGTCAAAAACTTGTCGAGATTGAAGCGCGTCAGGACTTGATCGGCCTCTCGGCTCTATGGCAGGGGGCGTGCCGAACAGCGCCCATGGTTCTGTAGAAGAGGCCTCTACCTGGTCACTTCCAAGTATGACAATTCAAGTTCAATTGTTGGGATCCATGATTTGAGCAAACTTCTACTTGATACAACATGCTCGTTCTGCATACAAGATGTGTGAAATGACATTCCGCGAAGGTAAGGCTGGGGTGGCCTCCATAACCAAGGTGAGCCTGATGCAGTCCGTGCCCTCCGAGTCCCTGGCAACGCCGGCGGAGTTTGTGTTTACTCCAAATCTTCCAATTCTGGCAAGCTCGACACTCACTCGCGCACATCTTCAGACTACGTCTATACCACTTCACGACCCGAGCACTTGTAATTCTACAACCATGACCGCCTCCATGAATACTTCCAGCCATGCGCGGTTTGACGCCTCCTTCGGAGCAAGCGGTCTACGCGGGCCATACCTCACCNCCGATCCGCCCTCAATGGTCGACCAGCTGCCTAGTATCAACTTTGGATTCGACGATTTGCGCGATCGCATGGCTCGCTTTACTCAGAGGTTTGACGACTACATTGAGCAGAGTCGCAAGCGCGTGCTCGAGGAGCGCAATCATTTCCGCATCAACATGTCCGAGATCCAAGGTCAGTCATTCATGCCATAACAACTGCTCGCATCAGTATACTGACATGCCGTTCTTGACANNGAATCTCAAAGATCCCGACGCAGAGAGCTCGAGGACATGTCTAACAAATCCGTCGCACACCAAAATACTCTGGCCAAGGAAGCACAAGAGCATGAAGAGATGCAACAACAGATTGAAGAGCTCGACCTGCAACGCCAGAACCATGAAGCCCACCGAGACGACCTCCGCTCTCAAATCTCATCGCTACAAAAATCCATCAACACCCGCCGCCAGGCCCAACATCACCATCAGCGACAGCTCGACAACCAAGCACGTCACAACCGACCAGAGCTGCAGTTTTGGGAATCTCATCTTTGCATGCGTATCGAGGGCCTGGGCATCGACGACAGGATCAAGTTTGTCTACACACATGTGGATGAGAGGGATTGGGACCGTCAATGCGCTTTTGAACTGAACATGGAAACAAAAGACTACCAAGTTGTAGCAGTAGAACCAGCGTTGGATGATGAGGCTGTCGATGCTGTCGTTGAGCGATTGAACGAGACGAGGGATTTGGCTGCTTTCCTCAAGGCAATGCGTGCCTTGTTCACTGCTTCTATCAGGCACTGATGTGCGCCATGCTTGCGATATGATATTTGTCACGATTAATGATACTATTGATGTTTTCGAACCCCTAAACTGAACCTGGAATATGGGTTGACTTGTGTGTCGCGCCTTCCTCAAGTGCTGTTGCCAAAGCTTGCCTTCTCGGAGCGACGCCCAGCCGAGACCAAACATTCCCATCAGTTTCCATCACTCTTCCACCAACTTCACCACTCTCATCACAACTAAATCATGCCTCCCACAGAAGACAAGCGAAAAGCTGCGCGCGAAACTATCGACATCCTCTACGAGATTTCTTCTTTGCTCGTACGTTGACCACAGTTCACCATTTATCACGCACGCGTCGAATGTGCCGTCGTTCGTCGTCAAATACTATCAGACTTATAATCTTTACTACTTTCTTGCGCCTTGCTCACGCTAACACCTGTGCGATGAGCAGNNAACACAAACCTGGATCGTCAGTCGCTGTCTTACTGTGTCTCGCTTATCGAAAATGGTGTGAACCCAGACGCCCTGGCTGTGAGTTTTTCCGACTAGTACATTTACATTGTCATCATCCGCCTTGACGATTTCCGATATCTTCAATATGTCTGGCTGACACTCTGCCACAGANCTGTCATCAAGGACCTCCGAGACCGCAATGGCGTCGCCACAGAGCCTCGTGAGAAGCAATGATTGCTCTGTCCACTCCTTACCACTTTTCGATTACTGGTACACTACACCAGCCATTTCTATGATACCCCAATTCTCATCATCGTCCCTGCCTGCCCAAAACCTGAAACATTACAAAATTACTCAATCGTTCCACTCGCCTCAAATTTTCTCAACCTCCCAGCTCCAACCTTGTCTCACACCGCGCTGAAATGCCATACCCTATACCTCAGAATCCTGCAACGAGACCTCTAAGTAGAACAATGCTCGCCAGACCACATCCATCAAGCCACAGCGCTATCTATCAGCGACGGTGCAACCACGCGACACCCTTACTTCAGAATCCTCAAGGGGACTAAGACTCGAGTACCACCGTTTAGGCTTCCCTCTGCTGTTGACGCTCCTGCCGGGCCGATTTGCATGTTTGCTCCTTTACGCGTGTGTCCGGGGCGGTTGTAGAAGCGGGTTGCCCGATCAAAATATGAAGACTTTCGTTTGGGATGTGTGTCTGAGCTTGTTCTGCTTAGATGTACCTCTATTGTGGTGCTTGACGCTGGGTTGTGTCTCACGCTGCTTGTGAATGTCGAGTACAAAGATCAAACGTGACCCTGACCTAAGTTTGACCTTGTGTGTCTTTTGATGGGTCATGCCAACTCATTAAGCGTGAGGCTGTACTGTGAATCGCTTGATAAGAAGGGAGCGTTCAATTATGCATATCGCTGTCTAGGCTTTGTGCTAATACCGATTTTCGTTACGAGTACATGGGGTCATAATCCGTCAATGATGCTGATCTATATCTCAGCTTCTTCTGCCGAACATCGCAACACCTTCTGCACGACCAATATCGTCCTTAACATCCTTACCATGGCGTGAGTGTGCTGGAATAGCAGCAAAATCGAGCTTCTGATCGCGTGGGCCACCATCCACTTCTTGGTTGCCAGCACCTCAATATCATCGTCGTCTGCGTCGTTGCATGCTGCTCCAGTGATGATTGTGCACCAGAATAGCATGCCCACCATGCTGTCCCAGCAGTTTGAGAGGTCTGTACGGAGGAGGTTGTCTCTGATCTGTATCACAATCTTACTTGGGAAGCTACGGGCAGTGATTGAGAGAGGCATGTTGCAGTGAATGGCTGTGGCGTAGAGCAGAGCGCAGAGGCGCAATGCTTCGTAGACTGGATCGTCTCGAGGCTTGAGTGCGACGATCTGCTCTACAGCTTTGTGTTTCTTTCTGTGCAGTGCTTGTATTTCTAGTTCTGTGTACGTCCTCCTCGCTTCTTGGGGTCCGAATGTTCCGCTGTCGGGGGAGTCTGCTGCGGACGCATCCGCAAGGTGGACGACGGCTTGTGTAAGGTCTCGTATGTAGTTTATGAGGTCCAATGTGTCTTCACTGCACCGTCGTGTTCGGGCTAGGGTGTGATGGAGACCTGTAGAATAGTATAGAGGCGTTTCTGGGACTGCGGAGACACGACTTTGCGTCGAGAGATCGGAGATACGGCGGGCATAGTCGAGATATTGCTGTCGAGGACGACTCTCGCGAAGCACTGAGACCTCGAAGAACTGACTGTTTCCGTTCAGTCAAAATCAGTTGGTTGGCCATTCACCGGCAACTTACATGGTGACCATCGAAGCCAGGAGACCATTTCCTCCCAAATTGTCCAGACCTTCCCTGTATTCTACCATTGTATGTAATCCGTCTTCATGCCATTGCAAGGCCAGCGGGCATGCCACGATCATCTCACCAAANAGAAGGTGTACGACCGAGACTATGTTTGCGTCGTTGCAGCAGGTCTCTGGGTCGGACAGACGCTTGCCAATCAGTTGTACGGTCTGCTCCCTGACTGTCAGAGTTCGTACAGACTCGATCGAATTTGCTGTCAGCGTGTGTGAAAAGTCCATGTGCATCATGTCAAGGTACGCGGACGATATACACAATGTGCTGAGAAATGTTGCTTGACCAGCGAACAACATTGGGACCCATTTCTTGCACATGGCCTGGCTTGCGAAGTATGTCGTGNNCCTGCATTCCTTATGTCAGCTATTGCCAATCTGGGAGAGAACATACGTACAGTTGTACTTCAACATAAGCACATCGATATTCTCTCCATCAAATCTCGGAGTCGCATTGAAGACATCCAGTTTTGCACCGATGCCTGCCAGTCGTACATTCGGAATTGTGTTTGATATCAGCGCCATCGAGTCTGTATCGCCTAAAGACTCTATATCTGCTTCCGAATGCGTCGGCATGTGTGTTGTCTCGGGTGATGAGGGAGCAGAGTTTATTGCCGAGTCTTTAGCACGCGGCGATTGACTTCTCGTTCCAGTAAGGTATGACTTCTTCCTCGTTTCTGGTGACGTGCTGGTCTTGGAGCGCTTGATAGTATGTCGCACACGAGCATCTGTACTGTTTGGGTTGCGTCGCTCCTTGGTGAGGTAGTCGTTCATGACTTTTATGCGAACGTTCCTCATCATCTCTTTATCCTTGGACTGGTGCGGATTGGTAACCATGATCCATGTGAGGTCGGGGAGTTGTTGGTCGCCATCTTGATTGGAAGTGTGGTCCATCGGCGATAGCGATCGTCTGGAGATTTTGCTGCTCATTTCTGTACTGGCCATGGCATAGATTTATGTTGCTTGTTGTTTATGTAGTTGACAGAGTGTGGTAGATGGCGGTCTTGAAACTTAGTCTGCTAGGTGCGTAGCACTGGTGGAGTTGTCTAGTAGAGCATGGTGGTAGCTGGCGATGGTGTGTGGTATATTTTTGTTTCGTTCACTTTGTTAGCCTGGAGTCAATAGTTATATCAAGAAAGAGCTAACAGATGCCAAGTTAGTTCCAAGGAAAGCAGGAATGGGATGTTTTAGAGGGAAGCAACGAACCTTGTAAGCTTGGGCGCAGTCGAGAGGCTGTGACAGCCTTTTGGCAATGCAAGACGTATAAATAAATGCAGTCATTGTAAAAGTAAAAGGTGTCCCGAAGCGTTAAATGAAGCACCTCAGGCTACCACAGTTATATGCAATGGTCGTTGTCCAATTGTCGGCGATGCCGGGACTAACCTTCCAAGATGAATGCAACCGTCCGCTCCCCAATCCGTGAACCACCACCAGCAGTTCACAAGTTCAGACCAGGGTGCAAAAGCGTATGACGAGGCGCATTCTCCTGGTCGTAGGCTACGGTAGCATTCTTCTCACCTTATAAACCTAACAGTGAACCTTCAAGATATGAGTCGAAGGTACGGTGAGGTGACTTCTCCATCCAAGCACGCCTGGCATGACAGCCCTGCCACATACGTAGCTTCATACCCTCCTGATTGCGTGACACCAGGTACCCATAAGCAGAGAATGGCTCAAGAACGGTATATGGAGTACACCGGTTGATGCGTGATGACGATAACTATACTACGGTCGGTCGGAGTAGTGATCCTGATGAATTGGGAGGGAAGAATTGACGAGAGCTTCTCCATTTCCCTAGAGGGGATGGACGGTAGATGCAGGAGCGGAATACCAAGCTTTCGGCTCTGGCAAGCACGAGGTATTCACACGCGAGCAGCTCCCTTCACCGGTATCAACACTTGTCACTGCCACAGTCGACTGCGCCATGTCAATAAGTGATACAGCTCACACAGAACAAGAAATAATTGCTTCAAGAGATATCGCATCTCATTGTTGTTTGATTCGAGAGTCTTGTGGTTGAGATAAATGGATAGTGTTGCTTCCCAAAGTAGAAAACAGTGCTTTTTTCCCAAAGCAGAGACAGCCCCGCTTGAAGCTTCCCTCGTCCCTGGTCGATTGCATTTATGCGCTGCTGGTCGACCAGCCACCATCTACGATGTCCCCTGCTGGAGGACTAACATCCACGTGCGCCCGTCCTGCGCTAGACAGCGATCAAAAGAAAATATGTATCGAATTTCCACGCGACATGCAGCCCTACGATAAGGTTGCTACCTGGATGTTCGTGAGCTGACAGGGATACATTTCTCACGAGTATCTTACCGAATCGGCGAAATAGTCCTGCGCAGATGAACCAGAATCACGGCCAGCAATGATGATGCTACCGTCACTACTGTCGCCCTCAGACCTATCAGGCGTCTGGATTGACGCGCCGTTAGAGGCAGTAGCTTCATGAGATGGCTTGCCGTCAGCCTCGTCTGAGGAGTCGTAGCTATCGTTAGGCCCGGTCTTCCTCAGCCCAGCCCGAAAGAGCACGGTTTTAAGCAGGTTTCCTGTCTCGTCAATTCCTACCAGGAAACGAGCGAGTTCTTTGCAAAGGTCCCAATCGCCCTCGTTCCTAGCTCTCTTGAAGAGAGTAGACGTCTGACGCGCACTGAAGCTGCCTTCATCAAAAGCATGCAAAATCAACAAGTAACTACCTGCCGTCTTGAGCATATCTTTCCGGAGGGACTCTTCAAACAATTCGCCAACAGGAGGCAGGTATCGAAACAAAGTTTTCCAGCTTCGCAACTCTGTCTTACGCGTGCACCCAGCAACAATATCGAGATATGTTGGAAATGAAGAGAGGAACGACAAGACGCCAGGGAGAAGTGCTGCCTCCGATGATTCAGGAGGAGCGTCAACCTCGTCATCCAGGACATCATGCAAGAGCACTTCTAAGGCATGATTAAAGTAAGGTAGTTTCTGGTAAGAATGGGAGAGATGAAGCGCAGCGGGTGAATCGTACTGGGCTAGATGATGTCGTAGCAGAGATGGTATCGACAGGTGAGTCCGCGGATTGAGACGGTAGAACGCAAAGTTGATGTCACGACGTTGAACCAGATCTGACTCGAGACCAGTGAGCAGTCCTTTCTCCACGATTGCGGACAGTGGATAGAAGTCGGTAGTGATAGCGACAGTAGGAGCCACCTCACGTCCATGCTCTGTAAGAGCAGAGGAAAGCACATCAAGGACATCAGGCCATGCGTGCATTGATGTGCCATCAAAGTACCACAAAGAGTCGCGCAAGCTGTGACCCAGAGTACCAGCAGGGAGATAACTGTTGTCAGAACTATCTCGGAGAAGGCCCTGTGGTGAAGTAGAAGGAGGCTGTTCCCTCGAGNNTGTGTAGAACTCCACGTTTTGAGCAATGACGCGCATGTCGTACTTCAATTCACCGTGTTCGTTCGCTGAGGGTTGCAGCAATACCAACTTGGCATCAACCAGGAACAACACGGAAGCTGTGGCAACATCATGTGAAGGATCGCCGTTGTCTNNGAATGGAGTTGGTAAGCAAGATCAAGGAGCATCAAGAATAGAAGACATACCACGTTGCTCCTCGGGAAGGATCCAGCTGATAGCACGAACACGTGGTGGAGCTCTGATGATGCCATGGAAGGCAATCTGACCGACTTGTGCCAGTTTGACTGTCTTAGATGACGAGACGAAGATGTAATGGAGTAGGACATTCTCGTAGGTATACACCAATAGAGAATCTTCTCCAGATGTGGCCACACAGACCACTGGGTATGGCAGTATCTCAGAGTGCAGTACTTGAGAATTGGCTAGGGTCTTCTCACGCGAATACAGACGAACCNNTGTTGAAGTTTAGCAGTCTGTCAGGCCGATCATACTGAGCACGCATACCTCATAACTATTTCCAGACTCCACAGCAGCCACAAGAATATGTTGCCACCAGCACATGCCACCTCGTACAGTAAAGTTGTTCTCAGCAATTGGGTCCTCAAACGTCTTCCACCGTCCACTGCCTACGCTGTAGTGTGCCAGACCTCGTCTCCCGGCCACGGCAAGATATCTTGCATCAGCAGAGACAACACTGAGCCGCAGCGGCCATTGGTATGCGAGATAGGTCTGTGGGACTTGCACAGTCTGCCACAAGGAGATGTCGCCAGATATGGTTGTGTGGTCTGAAGTCTCGAATCCTTTGTATAGCATCAAGCTAGTACTTCCTTGTAACAAAGATCTGGAGATGTTGGGCATTGCGAAGCAGCTTGTCACACTGCTTCTCATCATCTCTACAACATGCAACTCGTATCCGCTGGGACCAAGAAGCATGATTTCTGCGCCACCACCGATCCAGAAACCAGCGCGCACGCCGCACAGCCATTCCTCGTTGTTGGCCTCCGACATGGATCGATCAGCATTGAAGGTATTGGCACCTAACTTACCATATACACTCCACATTGCCCATCCCTGGTCATACCCGGCAAAGAGACAGTAGCCATCCGGAGACCAGCTCAGAAGGGTCAGGTTACCAGAAGATGCTTCTGATACGGGCAACTTCAGTTCGTGTGACCGTGGTATGTTGCCCAGATAGTCCTTTGCTGAGTAAACCTGAATTGTGCCGTTGGAACAACCGACAGCTATCAGGGAAAAGCGAGCATTAATTGCAGACTTTGTCGCAAAGAGGCCTGGCTGATCTGGGGCATGGAAGCAGAAGCCTTTGAAAAGACTTTTGGGTTTCGTAGGATCGATACTGCTCCCAGATAATCGCTGTACTGCATACGCTCTTCCATCATCTGTCACCCAAGTATGAAGGTTCATAGGTCTATCATAAGACATGTTTATGACCGAGGGTTTTCCAATAAGCCAATTCATTCGCTTGAGGAGTTCAGTGCTGTGAGAAGAGCCTGAGCTGTCCGGTGTCCAACGTATGCATTGAACAGCTGCAGGTTTGACAGTGGTTACAACAAGCTCGTCATCGAGCACGAGGGCTTGTGAGATACCAGCGTCTATTCGAATCACCATGCGAAAGCGCACACTGACTTCCTTGATGCCTTCGCCTTCTGCAGGCCCTCCTTCGGGGACTAGACTGGGTCGCTTACTGTAAGCCTCATTGCTTGGCCGTCGAACATGAGATCCAGAAGGAGTGAAGATGGAGGTCTGGTATACTCGGGCAGCCGGGTCAACAGCCAGGGAGTATGTTATGAGAAAGCCTTTCTGGGTCTGCACAATGACTATTAGGGCATCAGGACGCAGCAGAACAGATGTGTTTGGGCCATATGTCTCGAGCGAATGGGTCGACCTAATCACGGTAGCGAGCAGAGCGGTGGGTTTGGTCTGCCACACACTAAGCGAAGAGGTAGTGATAGTTGTGAATATGTTGCCGGCGCGAGACGTTTTGATATCCACTATTTCCTGCTCTTCTATACCATTGTGGTCACCCACAGAAGGCGTCGAGACATTTGCATGCTCGAAAGGTGTCTGTTCGTGCTCCAAGACCAAAGGTGTGAGTTGTCCAGCATCGGGCGAGAGCGGTGTAATGGCGAGCTTGTCGGGGTCATCGTGGTCGGGATTGGGTGAATTGGTGCTGCGGACTACATGCTTAGAAGCAGCATACGTTTTGGGCGCCCCAATGGGCCAGTACATGGCCAATTATGGTGTGATCACACTGCATTTGCGCATGAGCACGTTGATAGCACAGAGCTTGCAGCACCGACCGTGGCTCTGGCTGCGAGTTCAGGGATGTCGTAGCGAGCTTGGGTTCGCGCCTGGAACGCGCATCGCACTTACCGGAGAGCCATCAACAATCTCGAAGGCTATATAGATTGACATAGACGTGGTCTTGTCAACCAATACCAGCTCAGCTGGCTTATCTTCATTGGTCTAGTGGTCATGATTTCCGCTTGTCAAGAGTAAAATCTCGTCAAGCGCGGGAGACCAGGGTTCGATTCCCTGATGGAGAGCTTCACTTTTGCTCGTTGCATCGCAACCACCTGGGCACATCTTTTGCTCCAATACTTGTTTTGATTGGGATAACTCGGTCTTGATAAGAAACATATGCTGTGCCATTCTAGTGATGGCTCTCCTGTGCCTTATTCTAGGGCTACACTTGGCGCAAGACTTCCTCTTCTTCCCACTTCACTTGAATATGTTTGCTGATGCGATACACGATACATCTCTATCAGTAAAGTGATGTCTTGGGATTGTCACCGTGGCAGACCTCAATGGGTACAGCTCCAGTCTTGAAATGATCATGCATTTCGATAGCGTAGAGTACTTACCAAGACTTATTGGTAAATGGGCACTTCCTCTTCTGCGGCCAGCGTTCACTCTCTGGGGGCCCTTGCGATATATTCGCCTCTTTTGTTTACAAGCTTGGTAATTCCCTTCCCTTTCTCCTTTTGCTGGAGAGAGGCAGTCGGAGGGTGCTCATTCTGCCTGCTACCGACCTCACCAACCACGACCTGAGCATTTGTGTCGATGTATGCATGCTGTAGACCACTTGTGATCTTTTGTGCTTCGATGTCGAGAGTGTCCTGTGTCGCAGAAGCTTGCGCAGCGTGCTCTGGAGAAGAAGATGCGGTCTCTTGTGTCTCAGAGTCGAGAATCTCCTAAGTGGTAGAAGCTTGCGCAATCTGCTCTACAATGCGGAAGGTAATTTTTGGTGCAAGGGTATTGAAATCTGTTGTATCATCATTGCGAAGCTCCCAGTTTCATCGCTATAGTTGTCCACATGCGCTTTTCTCTAAGCTTCGTTGAAGTGTAGCCAGTCGCTGGTAGAAAGGTCTTTAGGCTTGCCAGAAGCTATATCAAGATGTTGTCTATTATGGCAAATCGTAAAGCTCAGCACGATACTGATCAGCTGTTGACAACTCTTGCAATGTCACGAGCGAAGGCGTTGGAAGCCCAGAATGATCCACCGAACTCCATATCGTANCCTGGTGACAGATGGTCAGCCCAATTGTTCATGCATCTGAATTCCAGAAGAGATGAGGCTTACCAATAGTTGACAGCACAGCAGTAGCCTTCATCACCACAACTCTGCCCAACCTTGTGATACCACATGGCAGGTAGATATATCATGTCTCCCTCATTGAGCGTGATACGCAAAGGCTTGACGAGCCTTGAATATGGCGTCGGTCTAACGTCAGGAAAGTCCGGATCCCAAGTTGGCACTGGAACAATGAGCTCAGGCTCATCACGCACATGCTTTAGATTCTGTACTCTCAACTCTTCCGTGTCGTCCTTGTTAGTCGAGATATATGTTGTACCGTGAACACTCTGCTCATTGACGGCAGCGGCAGCTGTGGGAGGCATGATGACAAAGTGTTTCTGGCCCCGCACTTGGACGTAGAGATTCTCGTAGTTGTCTTTGTGGAGAGAGGTGGTGGAGAGACTGTTGCCGAGCCAGAAGTTTACAGCTTCTGGTGTTTTGCGAAGGGCAATCCGGGCGAAAGGTATGTCAGAAGGCACATCCTCAAANAGGGAAGAATACTCGTTGCGGAGGTTGTCATTTTCTGGTGGCTTTCAACATGCTGTTTCATCTTATGCAGGAAGCAACAACGTACGCGTCTGAGCATACTTGATGGGCGTAGGCTCTGATTGATTTGATTCTTGTTCTGCGATGTAGCGGATAACCTTGTCGAAAGGCTCAAGGCGTTCGAGTGGCTTGACGTAGGATAATGAACCATCATCTTCTTTCAGCACTGCATCTGCGTTGCTTCTTGCGTGTCAATGCTAGAACGATGTGTCGTGAGGAAGCGAGGGAACAGAAAAAGAAAGCGTGACGGAAGGCACTATTGAGGGGGGTGAACGAGAGGAAGGGACGAATTGATGGCACCTACCCNNGAAAGGCGTGATGGCTACATTGACGAGGCTATCCCCAAGAACATTGAGAAGGTAATGCGAGTCCCACTTTTGAACAGCAGTCCAGTCTTGGGCACCTTTTCTTACAACAAATGGCCGGTTTCTCGCAACATATTGCATGAACTCGAGAGCACTTGGCTCTTCCCATAATTCATCAACCAGAGCTGGATTGAGCTCTTCATAGGTTGTGATGAGCTCTCGGACTGCAGAGTCTAGCTTAGTCGCTTGGTCTAGAGTAATCGATTGTGCCATCTCTTCCTTCGAACTGATCTGCAAGCTGGAGCAGTCAGGATGGAAGTTGAATCGAATGGTGGATAGGAAAAAGTCGGGATAGTGGTCCGAGCTTATGACGATGCGTGCATTGTCGGCTTGATGCATGATGGCAGTCCACACGACATAGATTTACTGTGTCGAGTGCTGATCGGATTGACATGTTGCGACGACTTCTGTTTGCGCAACGAGGGGCTTCTCTAACAGAAGGCCCACGATTGGGCTACGGCAGCGGAACATCTCGACTTCAATCTTTGGATACACCATTTCGGGAACGCCAAAACATATCAAGCAGCCTCGACAAGAGAGCAGCGGACGATATGGCCTGTTCAACGGCGCTGGCGAAGGGTTAGGCATCGGCATTGCTATCCTCCTCAGTATACACATCTTCTTCGACCACGGCTACAATTGGACTGGTACCTGGGGACCTTCGATGCTTCCTACTCTGAACGCCAGCGGCACCAGCGTCATTGTCTCCAAATGGTATCGCCGTGGTCGAGGCATACAAGTTGGTGATCTAGTGTCGTACAAACATCCTATACAGGGCGAGATGACGACCATTAAAAGAGTTATCGGCATGCCGGGCGACTTTGTGCTTAGGGACACGCCTGGCAAGGGAGATGGCACCATGATACAGGTTAGTATGTCTTCTCGAACGGCTTGTTGATAGTCTTGCTTACACGAGCGGCAACAGGTTCCTGTTGGTCACTGCTGGACGGTCGGAGACAACCTGTCAGCTTCGCGTGACTCGAGGATGTATGGCCCCGTGCCTCTGGCCTTGATTAAGGGCAAGGTTGTCGCGATATGGAATGACTGGCTGGAGATGCCGCAACCGGTACACAACGCCTTGAGGGATTACAACGACACCGAAGACGTGCAAGATACAGCAATCATGTCAAAAGGAGGTTGAAAGAAAGAGTCGGCTAGCATCGGAAGCACGACAAGCGAACACAATCAAATCACACCCTCTGTCGACAGAGAAGACAGGCCGCGCCAGAGCATACAACTGGACAGCACCGACACGGTCTATCCATGACATCCAAACAGGTAGGACGAATCACACGAGACGTCCACGCGTGGGTTCGATTCAAGCATACTGAGACGATGTGAAGAGTCCTCATTGAAAACGGCCATAGTTCATGCCGAAGCGAAGGCTGCTGGTGGGTATATAGACACTCAAATCCATCACTTCTTACTGCTGCCACTCTTGACCCAATCGGCAAACTCCTTGCGCTGACTCCTGATGTCGAGAAAGCCCTGTCTTTGCTCCAAAGCTGCGTAGGGATTTCCCCTAGGACCTAGTGGGTCACCGTTGATGCTCTCATTCTTTGCGGTCTTGTCCTTCTCCAGCTTGCCAGCCCATACGCGCCATTGGATGGGCTTCAATTCCGGACTGCCTATCACAATGCCAACGCAGAGCAGTAGGACAGCTGTCAGTGTCTCCAAGGTAATGTCGAGCGGCAGGTCGATTGTCGGAATGATGTATGAGTGGACTGGTGAGACAGGAAGACTGCCGGCAATGGTGGCTAGGGTTGAGTGTTCATGGGCACTGTAGACACTGTAGACAGAGTCAGTTTTGCGACAAATGACGGAGCCGACGACGAGTGGTATAACGTACGCATGTGCCAAGAGCACAGCGCCAAAGATGTTGAGAGCGCTAGACAGGAGGGCCATGACGAGTGTGGATGAATTGAAAGATGATGGTGTGGCCGACTTGGTGAAGCTGCTTTGGAGCTGTGCAAACGGTCACGGCCTGAACGGGCGAGCGAAAGCAGCAGGTATGGCGAGTGCCGGTTTGTCTGAGTCGAAGCCGGGTCTGGCGCTGTACATCCAAAACCGTTGCTGCTGGGAATGGCCTGTTACGAGACAGAAGAAGCATCCGGACGCCATGAGTGACGACCTGCTCTGCCAAGCCTCTTGTGGAGAGCTGCTCCTTCTTCTAATGCACTTTCCCATCTTCGCACCTGGACATCATCTCCATCAACCATCTTGGACTGCTTCCTTTCAAGACCCCGCCTTGTCTTCCAAATATCAGCCTTTATCGATATTCAATGGTAATAAAGTATCTTGACTCATCTGGTGCTCTGTGTATTTGTCCATGTGTCTTGAGTTCAATTGCCGTCCTCGGACCGCTCGCAACTCCCTTCAACGCTCATAACGCTTTACACGTTCCAGTCTCTTTTGTCCTGTTTCCGCTTGCTTTGCTCCAGATTCGCTTGCCTCCAAATAATACTCAAAAAACGTCCTGAAAATGTGTTCACCGCGGGTCGTTACAAGACATGGCGCCGCCTCAACACGTGGAATCCGTACCTAAGTACTCCCTTTATCTTCTCTCGCTATTTCCCATACCTCCAGTCCATTCTCCTGGTCGGGTCTTTCAAAATGCATATTCCAACTGTTCAGTCTCTCTTTTGCCTTTCTCTTCTCGCCCTTCCCTACGCCTCTGCTGTTCCTCTCGACGGAAATCTGCAGCCTAGAGCTGCTTCAAGTGTGTTGTCTCGAGACGAACGGCGAGAGGCACTTGCTGACCAAACANCAGCCTGCAATGCCAATGATATCAAGACCGTAAACAATAGCAACAAGCAGCCAGTAGCATACTGCAAGTCATGGCTTGCCACCAAACAATCAAAGTCTACCGTTAAGGGTTTGACTGTCCCCCAAATCAGCAACGCATGCAAATGTATTCAGGCTTCTGCTTCATCTTCATCTGCTGCCGCAGCAAAGAAGACAACAAGTGCCACAAAAAAGTCTTCGTCCACTAAGAAAGCGACTTCTTCTACCAAAAAGGCCACCTCTTCCACGAAAAGACCACAACTTCGATCAAAACAACATTGAAAGCGGTCTCGATTTCAACTAGAGCATCCTCTTCGGCCAAAAGCTCAACCTCGGCTAAGAAGACAAGCACTTCAAGCAAGCAGTCAACCACGTCGAAGCAGTCTACTTCATCGAAGAGTTCGACATCCCAAAAGTCTACTGCTACATCAACAAGTGTCGCAAGTAAGAAGTCCACATGGACTTCTCTATCGACTAAGCAGAGCAGCAGCAGCTCTGGCAAGACCAGTAGTAAGCCGACATCGACAACTAAGATCTCGTCAAGCCCTTCCATGAGTTCCACTTCGACTCAAGTTTCATCTTCCGCTTCCTCGGCAACCTCATCTGTGTCCTCTGCCTCTTTCTCTGCAGATGCCATTCNCCATGGATGTAGTCACTGGCGTCGTCGCCAACCAAAAGGCCCCCACAGGCGTGTCGACACGATCGTCGTCTAGCATTCAAACATCTTCCGGCACCACCGGCTCGAGTGCGACGACTGCAGCTTCTGCTAACACAAAAGATCTCTCCAATGGCAACAACGTCATAACCAACGGAGTCTTCTACCAGGGCTCTACCACCGGCTGGCACGGTGCTCGCGCCNTTGGTACCAAGTTCTCCGTAGCTTCGCTCGCTGGCGATTCGAACTATGAAGCGCTTGTCAAGTACGCACTGGCTGCTCATGACAATGCGAGTGGTCAGCTCTACCAGAACGTCACTATTCCTGCCAATTCGGCATGGCAACTCAACGCCAATGTCTTCCTGAACTACCCAAGTGGTCTTCCTGTTGGCGTATCTTGCGTTGTCAAATACAGTCTTGGGAGTGACAGCATCATTCTCAAGCAATATGGTGTCGCTTCATCAAGCGGTTCTGTTCTGTCTGATACTGCTTCGGGCCAACTATCGCAGGCTTTCACTGGCCGGTTCATGATAGACACCTACTGCAACAGCGAGAGCTCTTCGGCGGCAAGCTTCGCTTTAGGCTTTGGCAACATTCAGCTGCTTGTCGCAGATGCCGGGAGTACTACTTCAGCCGCTGCAACCACAAATGCTGCTGTAGCTACCAGTACCTCGAGCCCTTCTTCAACAACATCTTCGGCCGCAAGTGCAAGCACGACTGGCGCTAACATGTTGACCAATGGCGATTTCAACTCAGGCGACTTCTCGGGCTGGGCCCTATACCGCCTTGGCACTCCTACCTTCGCCATCCAAGGCAATCCCAATGCTTATGTCTCAGTTATTACTTTCCCCGCTGGCGGTGATTATAACTCTCAAGCTGCTCTGCTGCAGCAATCCGCGACTGCACAGTCGGGCAAGACTTACACAGCCTCGATGGGTCTTTTGCTCAACTACCCATCAGGTCTTGCCAACGATGGCTCTTCTTGCAGTGTGCAAGTCTACTTTGTCGATTCCAATGGTTTCGGTATTTCGTTCGCTCAGACGACATACAAATATGGTGATGCAGCCTACCAGAGCATCACTGGCAGTGGTTCGGTGAACAATGGGTTCAACGGCGTCTTTGATATTATGATCAGGTGTTATGGCAGCTCGCAGGCGATCGTTGTCGGTGTTGAAGATGTACAGCTTTTCGAGTCTTAGATGCCTTGTTTCATTCTTTCTTCTCCTTTAGACAAAATGTTTCTCGGCTTTGTCCCGTACTCTTCTTCTAATTGAGCCCCTTTTCTCTTCTCTAAGCTTCGCAGAGTTTAATGCATCCTGATCATGTAGGACTGATGGGAAATGGGATGTTCGCAAACGAAGAAAGTGCACATCACGGCCTTAATGACCAAGCTCCATCTTGCGTGCCCTCATCTCGGGCACATTTTTCACATCTTCATATCCTTTGGGCAACGATTCCGGGCCTTTGCAGTAGCACTGGTGGCAGAGATAGCGTTCGCCTCCACCCTCGTGCTCCGAGCTTTTGGGCTCAGCCAGATCTTGCTCTGCGCCTTCACTCTGCACTTTTCTCCACCACACCTTGAAGCCTCCAAATTTGGTCAAAAAACAGCCATCGCAGGTATGCTCAGTCCTGACCTGATAGAAAACCGGCACGTGTGTTTTCCATGGTAACTGACCCAGTCATTATAAAACACGGCCCTGTGGAGGAATCTCCGAATTTGGAAATCCGGGTCTTCTTGTTGGCGTTTCTGCGCAGCCTCCAAGAGCTGTTCGCGGTGTGCTTGGTACCAGGACCGGTTAGAGGAAACCATTTTTGCTGAGGGTCATTGTCTTTTCGGATTTTGGAGAGTCGTCTTCTGTTTAGAGCCCACTCTTTGTCAGTGCGGCGTTTGAGTCGTACCGTCGCGGCATATCTATCCATCTGTTGACGTCGTCTGATGATTGGGTCGGGGGAGAGTCCATTGGCCATTCGAGTTGTCGAGAATGCTCGTAACTGGTTTGTGATGGCAGTGATGGGAGATTTGAGGATATTCAAGTGCCACGAGAATCGAAGCGCCATCTTCTTCCAGTCGATGTTTGTTCAGCAGTGCCTGCGATGATCGGTACGTCTGACCTCTTCTCAGTTGGTCTTCAAGCCATAGAAAACCGTGATCGTAAAACTCACACAAGAGCGCCCTCGGGTATACTTTCATACATGCCGCTGAGATTCTGTGTGCCAGGAGATGCGACCTGTCATTTTTTTGTTACAGGCGATGGATTTGTTCGAGATGGAGGTCGTATATAGTCTCGAAAAAAAGCAAGCAGGGTCTCCCTGACACCAAGCGAGCTGGCCAGGGTTGCGCCTTCCGTACTCGGAGAGTTTTGGGCATAACGAGTCCAAGAGCAAGAGCAAGAGCCCATCGATCACTCCTGATGCGATTTCCCTCTATCGTTGCCGTCACCTTTGAACACCTACCTTGATTATATTGTCACATAGATCACGACCGCAATGCCATTGACGTGGGCAACATACGATGATAACTGCGTACATGAACGAGTGCTTCAAACCATGTATTGACAAATATACAGATCAATCTCGTCGTTAGTGAGTCTGTTCAGGCTACTCAACCCATCAGCACGCTGGTCCAGTCGAACTTTTCCCAGCGTTTTCTGAAGCTTTCAACTCTGGGATCTTGTCTGATCCATCTACCCTGCTTCTTAATGATTTCAGGTCCCTTCCGAAGCATGCCTCCGATGACCTCTCTTGCAAANAGATCGCCCTTGGGCCACCTGCGCTCGTCTTCGATCACGTGGCCTAACCCTCCATCCAGGTTGAACCAGACATGGAAGTATGGCATTTCCTTGACCAGACTCTTTCTGAATGCTTGCTTGCCGTATCCTGCGCGTTGCGAGTTTGCAAGAGTGTCAATGATTTTCTTGTGTTGACTCCACTCCTCGTCGGCGCTCAGGATCGCCTCCTTGAAGAAAGCAGGCGCGTTATCGGCCAGGTGGAGAGGTACAGGTACGGCAAAGAGCGCTGCATGACCACGTCGACTGTGCATGTGTGCTGCGTTTTCGTAGAAGATGACGCCTTTCTCTCGTTCGTAATACATGCGAGTCAGACTCTTCATAAAGTTGCGTATCTCTTCCCACTCGTCATCGTCACATTCCAACAGGTTAAGACGGTGCTGGATGGGCACAATGACGGCGCCGCCTGTCGCAAGCTCGGGTTCTGTTTGCAAAGTCATGTATACTCTGGTGGCCAAGGACAGTATGGGCGCTGCTGGAGGTGTGTTTGTATCTTCGTGGTGGCATAGCGGACATGAGTCCAAAATCCTCTGCATCTTCTGGAAATCTCCAATGGCAGTATTGCGCAGGTTGATCTCGGATTTGCCAACTCGTTTGGCAAGCTTGCTGGCGTTTTCGTCCATGTAATCAAGGTCATCAGTAAACTTTGCGTCTTTCGCAATGCGCTCTGCGAATGCTTTGCCCTCACCACCGGCCATTCCACGAGTGCGTCTTTCTTGACGGACCATGTCTTCAATGCTCATATCCTCGTTCTCTTCGACATGGCCACGCTCACGGCCACGCTTGTTCTCAATATTCTTCACCTCGCCCCCACGGCCTCCAGCAAGCATGCGATTTTCGACTGCGCTCAGCACGACTACATCTGATTGCTTATTATTGGCAGCTGAAGCAGTAGCAGCGGCTTCATACTCGGCCTCAAGAGCAGCAGCATTGGGTGCGTTGCGCAATTTTGCCTTCATCAGCTGGGCTTTAAGTTTGTTCAGAGCGGTTTGATCCAGAGCTATAGTGGTTGCTGGCGGAGGAGCCTCATCCATGACTTGACCCTGATTTGGGTTGGCATGTTGCGGCACAGGCAAATTGGCAGCAGGCTCGGGTGATTTGCGATGCAGACCAGCTTTCCGTTTCCGTTCAGCATACAACTCACCGCTTGGCTTTTCGAGACCGACGTAGTCCTTGCCGTACATTTGACGACGGTCCAACTCACGTTCTTCCTCACGAGCATCATCAAAATCCCTCAAAGAGCCGAAGCGTTCCAAAGCGACATCGTCTTCAGGTCGGCCCGACTCTTTGGCCTGACGGTAGACAGCATTCAGCTTTGTCATGCGCCATTGGGAACCTTGGTCACCAAAAGTGTAGGTTACGTCGTGATGTATAGGTTCATCTTCAGCAAGTGGTGGATCCTGTACCTCTTCATCGTCTTCCTCTAGATCTCTCGCCAGTTGTTCTAGGTCATGGCGATGTATCTTGCGATCCAGCTGATCTTTTGCAGAAACGAACTGCGAGGGTGGAGATTTGGGACGTTGTCGCTGGACATAGTCGACGTTGAGTGACGATGGAGCTTCCATCCATGTGTCGCGTTTCAGGTTCTTGTTTGCGGCGGCTTCCAGTTGCTCGTCGAGGATGTCGTCGGTTGGTGGTGCAGTCATGGCTTCCTTCTCTACCCAGTCATTTTCGTCCTCAACAACGTCTTCCCGTGGGCGAGTCGGGCGAGGCGAGCGACTGCGCCTCCGCTTGGAGTGACGGTCGCGGCGGTCTTCTTCATCGTCTCTGTCGCGGTGATGGCGGCGCTTGTGGCGGGAGTCGTGGTCATCATGGCGCGACGAGCGGTGGTGATGTCTGTGAAGTCGTCGGTCGTCGTCTCTACTGCTGTGTCGCTGGCTGTCAGATTCCTTGGTCTTGTTGGCTGCCAGTTCTTTCTCGAAGTCTTCGAGACCCATGATGTCGGATAAAGGCAATGGTTCAAAAAGTTCAAGAGCTTGCGTGACTTCACCTGCTTGGAGAGTCGCAAATGACGCGCTTATGGTCAGTGCGGCCTCACTTTTACCTGCCTACTATCGAGTACCTCAGGCATCATCGGAAAGGATAACGTTCATCTTATTTCTCGCATTCTTCTGTCTACCACATACGCAATACTACCGTGGTCAAGAGGGTTGTGTCATTCTTGCAACTACATGTTCAGGAAGAAGCAGGTCGAGTCATGCTTACCAACCATACTATGAGCGCCCTCATGGCGCTCGCACCTGTGACCACGGCTATATTTCGCCTTGTGCGAGACAGTATCGTCATGCCCAATCTATTGCCCAGCCTGCGCCTCATGCTGCTTGCTTACAACACCGTGCTGACCCGTATTTGATCCACCATCCGGACTTTGGGAAAACTTGCTGCAAGTCCCATGCTAATTACCGCCATTCATTCACAATGCCATTCCTCGATTTCCTACCACTATATCCATAAGGATGTGTGGTCATGTGCCATGGTGCTGTGCACGCTCGGCTACTGCCAACATGTCAATTGACATTGCATTTTCGTAGAGCCTCATGAGTGACTTGTAACGCCCGTCGGGGACGACATCCGTTCGGAGTCGAGGAGCGAAAGAGGGGACATTGAATGGCATGAATCCTGCCCGCACTGTCATGCAAATTCGACATTCAGAAATCTCTTCGCCGTCGGCAGCTGGCGAAAGCAAAACCAAGGCCTTCTGCCGCCGGCGGCGACGCTTCCGTAGTCTCTCTTGCATAGGAAGCCACATGTCGCTATTGCAGCTGAGCGCCGTGACTCGGTCACCGCAAGTTGTGAGCCGTGGAATCAGGGGGCGGAGTACTCTGTATGCCAGAGATTGGAAGTCAGAGTCGCTCTCGTGTTGGCATGTGTATGGCTCAACTAGCCAGATTCATTGCGCTTGTGTATGCTATCGCCCGTCGAACAGTCTTCTAGCGTGAAAACCTGACAAGTGGCTGTTACTTAGTCCTGATCGAGGACTACCGCTAGGCACTCCCATTCAGGCTATCCATGCAGTCGGAGACTTTAGCGGACGATGCGGCTCTGGTGTAGCGTGTTTGTTAGACGCGCTTCCGTTGGCATCACTTCCACCACGCATTAGTTGGGTTAGACGTCCAATCATAGAACCAGGCAATGGTTATTTGCATCCTCTCAGTGATGGTCTCCTACCAAGCCCCATGAAACGCGATGTACATATGCCGCTGCAACGACGGTTGTCAAGAATTTAGCATCAAATACCTCGCGTCTACAAGTACTGGGACGAAGGACACGAATGCAAGGGTTCTCCTGCCAGCACACGCAGTCTGGCAGCTACTCGACCAACGTGTGTACAGGTAGACGAGTGAATCCTTGTTCATTCTGCATTATGCTGATCTTTGCCTTGGACAGATGAAATAAGCGGACGCGAATCCGATCCTGGTGAGCCGCGAGGAGATGCAGAAAAGGATTACTCAATTCACCATTACCATGTGGTATCGTGAAAGGATCTTGCTTGCTTTGACGGTAGCGAGGCAAGTCGGTACATGAATTCTGTGAGAGTTCGGCACGAAACGTGAGGATAGGGCACAAGGATATCGCGCGTGGACATGCGTCCGCACGGAGCCGTTTCCGTGAACCAAACCTTTGCTCTCACGTGGGGCTTTACAGCTGTGAACTACTGCCCGACAAACACGTAGGATGCATTGTTGTGTGTACGTGGCGAAGCGTCCACGAAACCTTTTCAGGCATTCTTTGAAGCTACGTGTTTACTGATCTATTTGTGTTTGCGATTATTGTTTCGCCTAGGCAGTTAAACTCTGATCACTCGAGGAAGAATAGCGGCATAACTTCTCGGTCATCAGAGAAGCTAAATAGTAGTTTCCAAGCTATAATACTAACCAGGATGTTACGAGATATGAATTTCGAGGGTCCGTCCCCTTTCACGTCAGTAACTGCCGTAGCAAGATGAACTTCCAGTCCACTATTAATCTGGCTTTAAGGACAATCTCCTCGATCCGAGACCGAGTGACCCGGACTTGTTTGGGCAACGCTTACAGATTCTGCAGCAACAGACAGCTTCTCTTGTCCAAGTCCGATGACTGTGGAGACCATACGATGTCGAAAACTCCCCCTGAATAAGGGCGAATCACAGGGTAGAGGTACACTCACAGTCCGTTGTTGGTGACATGCAAGAGAGTTTTCAAAGCGGGGTTGAAGTGGCGGGCTAAGCATTGCGGTTGTCGCATGACATGACATCAACCCTCCTGGGTATGCAACGAAGAATATCAGCTTTCACGAACATCTGCTGAAGTACGGATGGGCAGATCTGAATTGGAGTGAAGCTGTGCTGTGGAATGTTCGTTTAGAGGAGCACAGAAGTCTCATGCAGGTCCTGGATCGTCATGATCCACACGCTGAAGTTGTATCGACATAGCCATGCGGACTGTATCTCCTAGTGTGAACAAGAAGGGCAATTGTGAGGCTGCTTTCCACCTACCGGAGATGGGGGTGAACGCGACTATCCACTAAACCGGAAGGTGATCAAATGAAAGATCGGAAACCTATGAATCGTCTCTGCAGAGTTTTACTGCATGCCATCGAGATCCTTTTCTGAGAAGATAAACTTACCAATAAGGCTAATAGCCGGCACGGTTATGCAAGTCGTTAGCACAAGAGCCCTGACCCACGTGCGGAGAGCTCCAAGCCGCCGTCCACGAAGCGTGGTATGGTAAGCGATTCGAGGAAGCTAGCGCTCGCGCTTCCTCAGCGATGTTTGCACCCTGTTTGCCTGGATTGTGATCATGGAACACGGAAACAATCAAGTGAGCCGACTGATGCGAGGTGGAGATGTTGTGTCAAGCAGCGAGTCGTAGTCGCAGAATCTGTAACTTCTGTTTCTCGCGTGCACCGGGATCGATCGAGCAGCGCTCTTGAGTCGGTCTCAGTCGAACAGTAAAATTGACCTCGGGACGATGGAGCTTGGAAGAGCGAAAGCAGGGATTTTTTCAGGGACCACTGCTGACAGCGGCGATCTCTCGAACATCGACGATGGTGAAAGAGGGTCCCTGGCACCGTGCACACAGTTGGGCGCAAGCGGCTCTGCGGGCATTGACATCAAATTTTCTGGAATTATGAGACGTAAAGAAGCGACCGCGACGTCATATACAGGTCACAGCAATACTCACAGTCGCAGCCTCGATGCACTGACAGACATGTCCCCAATAATAGCATGAAGACAAGCAATAAATGCTCTTGCATATAACTCGCAAAAGACAAGCTCGAATGTATGTTCTCAAGGGTCTCAGCTCCGCGTGCCGAGCGCGCCGATGAGGGCAACGGCAAAAGCAAAAGGGAAGATTTGAGCAAGCAGATCTACTAACGTGGGTAGGCGTGGTCCCCGGAGATACCAGCAGGTCGGTTGTACCTTGAGGGGAGATCAATCAACTTGACCAACCCAATTGCATGGAGCACAGATTCTGGCGTCGCCGTCTTGACCCTGAGACTGATTATTAAAGAGACATGAGAGACAACTAACGTCATGACATGGTCTTAGCTTAAGTGATTATTAGGTGATTACTATGCAGAGATCAATAGTCGGCTGGCTGCGACAGATGTCCACGAACGTGCAAGCAGGGGACCGACGAACGCTAGGGTGAAACCTTGGTGTGTGTTGTGCAGGCAGAGCCGCAGACCCTGCGACAAACATTGAACGCGCACAAATCGAGGAAGACTCGGTTCCCATAGCAGCGAAGTTTAATGTTGATTGATGGCAGCAGCATGAGAGCGAAGGATTCAATCGCGTCTGATCAAGCGACGGTGGATACAAACGAATCTTGGTAGGTGGACGATGCAGCAAGAATTGTCGAGCGGTTGTGCCGGTGCTAGTCAAGGAATTATTCTATGTTACAGAAAAACCCAGCTAGAAAGAGATGACTTGGGGAGGGGGATCGAAAATTCGGAGACATCGACGCTGAATGACAGAAAGTGGGGGCAGAACTGACAGGGACGGTGAAAGGGACTTGGCTAAAATTGGTAAGACCATCTGCAGGGCAGAACAATTTAGCCCGCACACTGTGATGCAAATATCTCGACCATGCGCCTACCCGATGTGGGATAATGGCGGGAGCCTACCAGAAGCTACACAGCAGAGAGCATTGGAGGAATGCAAGAATCACGACCACGATTGCCGATGCGAATCCGAGAGGAGGAAGTGGAAGTCTGTAGGAGAAGGACGATTCCGCCAGGATCCGGAAGGTTGATAGCAAGCACGCATGTTCACATATGGGACGACTGATGGTATGAGAGGATCTGGAAAGATTGTTCGCACGGTGATTAATCTGATGTTTACATGCAGACGTCGCATGGGCGCATGTGTGGAAGAGCCAGTGCAGCAGCATGTGGATGTTTGGATAGGCGAGTCAGTCCTGGAAAATTCGCGTGCGCCTGCGTAGGAGGAGTCTCCTAGCTTCGGAGGACAGATTGACTGTGAGATCACGGTTTGGTGAGTAGCAGGCTGGCGGTTTCGCTGGCGGCAGGTTGCAGAAGGAATCGAGCGATGGCAATCTCAGCCGCTGGCAGGGATCGGGGCTTGCCTAGGGGCTTGGTTGGGTGAGACGCTGCAGTCGAGTAGCAAAGACGCAGGAGAGCGCCTCCGTCAAATCGACGATTGTTCATCCAGGGCCCCGCTCTTTTTGGCAGGCAGGGCTGGCGTGTGAACGGGCACTTGTCGCGATAAGGTTGCGTTCAAGCATGCATGTCTCCCGGCGCAGACAGTGGATGGCGCTCGCCGGCCGCGGCGTATATGACGATCCCGTCTATGGGATAACTCGGCCGTTCGTGGCTTTCCAGGGTAGTAATTGGGTTGGCCATCCCGGCTTTGCCATTACAGGATCCGACCATGGTCAAAGTGCTCCACGAGCGAGTAGAGACGAGTGGGAAGCTTTGCGGCATCCCCTCGTGCGCCGTGCGCTGTCTGCCCCTTCATAAAGTACCCAGTTCCCTCACCCAGTGCGAGCCTGCAAAGAATCATTCTGCTTCACACCTGTCTCTACCCACCCTCTTGCCATCTCACGCAGACCCTTTCAGACATACTCTTGCTCAGCAAACAACAATCTCACACGCACTCTCTCAGTCTTCCGAGCTCAGGGATTTGTAAAGTCCCATCTATCATTCATAACTCCTCTGCGGCGTTCATTCCGCAGATTGGCCCACGACTGTATTCCTCATGATGGACGGTAGAAACAGCATCGGAAGGAAGGTATCATTGCTCAACGACGATTCGCACACTGCTGCCCTGCTGCCCCGTCTGCCGCCGCTGAGCGTCTACTACCGACCCACGCACTCTCCCTCGCCAAGTTTGGCTTCGACGCCTAGCGTTTCCCCACAAACTCCCCGATTGGTGAGAAGCGAATCGTCGGACTCTCGCGGACTTCCACCTTCACCTCTCACACCACCCCCAACATCTTTCGACCATCTGCACCACTCCAAGTCGGCCCACTCTCATTTCTACATCGGACCCGCTTCCTTCGCTAAAATGGACGACTCGACGCCGTCCGTCTACCCACCAGTCCCCGATGCCCAGGCTGTGGCGCCTTACCCAATGCCCGCCTCTCAGGTCGCATCATCAACTGCCCCCATCATGTCGCAACCCATGGCCCCATCCTATCGCAACTCCAACTCCCCTGTCTCAGAGTCGTCGCGCGCCGCTCCTGCTGCCAACAAGGCTTCGACCAAGAAGAACCAGTACCCCTGCCCGCTAGCAAAGGTCTACAACTGCAGCGACTTCTTCACCACATCCGGACATGCCGCCCGTCACGCCAAGAAGCACACTGGCAAGAAGGATGCTTTCTGTCCTGAATGCAACAAGGCTTTCACCCGCAAAGACAACATGGAGCAACATCGCCGCACCCACCAAAACGTCCGTGGTCCCTCCAAGTCGTCTGCAGATGGTCGTGTAAAGAAGTCTACCAAGCCTGCACCGCGCAAGTCTGTCAGCGGACCCTTGGAGGCTGCTGCTGTTGCCCAACTGGAAGACCGTCCATCGCAACAGCAACAACTGCNNCTCAACACCAGTTCCAATCAAGCCAACAGCCTATCATGTCGACTAGCCCTTACTACATCAACCCCGAGCCCANTCCAGCCTCTACCTCAACCAATCTTGTCTGACTTCAACACAAGACCTCCGCTCTACCATCGCTCGAACTACCAGAGCTCTCTTGAGTATCTTACTCCTCAAAACGGCCTGGTCCAAGACCCCGACCTTCACTACAGCTACCCTTCGCCTGGTCTTTCAAATGGCCTCGACACCCTTGCCTTGGCTGCGAGTGATCACCGTCGCATGTCTGGCGAAGATTCCTGTTAAACATCGTTGCCCATTCTATGGTCAAGATGATTACTCTTACGAACATCCAATGTCGGCACGGCCTCTCTTTCATGTTTTGTTTCTTACGTCTTTCCTGCACGCACATATACCCTGTTTCAATTCTGCCTTATTCTGTTCTCCTATTGCTGGCCGAGGAGAGATTCGTTTTTCACAAAGGTTGACCGCATTATCAAGCAAGGTGGGCTTGTATGCCTGGTCCCATGTATCACTAAAAGCATCACACGGGCGTTGGAGGTTTCTGATTTCCTATCTTCTCAAGGGCATGGCACTCATGATAAATGAGTATAATGCAAGTGCGAACCACTCTTGGTGCACAACTATTGACGAAAGGAGGTGGAAGAGAGCTATCATGGTATAGTACGATGTACTAGAACCGATGAACACGAATCAATAATAATAAACAATCACTTCCAGCACATGTCTTTCCTTGTCTACTCGTGTACTATATAGCAACAAAGTGAACCGACTTCCATGTATCTGCTGATCTTGTTGTCGTCGACGCGGGTGTTGTGATGAAGGCGTCAAAGTTTAATCAGAGTGGCGGGAAAGGCATGCAAGAGTAACGGATTCATGAAGTGCTCCATAAAAGCAACCAACCGATTCGAGCAAAGCAATTGTAAGCGAATGGCGTTCCATACCAATGCACGTTCATTCAACGGGGTTTCCATAGGACATCCGACGTTACGGCGTGTCCGTCAAGACTTCCAGCTTACGCCCGTAGGTATAATGTTTATCGAAGCATCCCAGCCTTCAGCCAAATAATGTCACTTGTATGCAATGATATTTGGTTGGCACTTGCGCGTTCACGTACATCTGGTTAAGGGCGCATCGAGACCATTCCTATCAAGCCACAGGGCTCAACCAGAAGCAAAAAAACTCGGGGTATATCAAGAACCTTTGTCGATACCAGGGTTCCTAGGTGATCAATTGACCCTGCTGACTGGACGCTAATCACCAATTGCGCATTTCACGGAGCACGTACAGGTACGATGTATCTGTTCGGTACTTAGTCATCCCTGCAGAGCCCGGCATCAATCAGCTGAACTCTAGCGACCCACTATCGGGCGCGGGTCCGATTTATACATGCGGCGCGTCATGTGTAATACATGTTCAATTTGCTGCAGGGCATCCTGGTGCAAGGGACTTCTGTTCAAGGGGTCAGCATCTGTCAGTACCCAAGTCAGCAGCGAGCATCCAAGATCAACTGCTTGTCAACGACGCGAGAACACTTTGTGAAGTACGGGCACCGTGACACGGCTTCGAGCTCCGATTTAGCCGCGCTCCTATGACCCCACCAGGACCCTGGGTTCAAGCCAAGGGGAAACATGCGGCGGTTGCGACATCTTTTCTGTTGTACTCCTCGGAGTTCAAGAATTGGCTGATGACCTACGAACACGTTCATCTAACTCAGTAAGGGCCAGGAGTTTGAAACTCCAACTTCCAAGAGACCGCGTCATTCCGCAAACACTCGATATATTGAGGCTGGCTGGTGCTGCGACCAAGAATTGTACCAATACTCGAAAGCGGATCCTGGTATTCTGTAGATGGCTTGATCCTTCGTGGATCGCCGCACTGCCCACCTTTCTAACTAGTGGCCACACAAATTCATAGCGTAGAGTCTCTGTTTGATGGCACTCCACTGCTCGCACTTGTTGTAGCGACTTCCTCAATTTGTCCAGCGCCAATCTCAAATCATCAGGAATCGACTCCGCCAAAATCCTTCTGCTAGGGTCCACAACCTCGTCAGGATTGCATGCGCCTGTTTTGGAGAGCGCTCTGAGGCAATTTGAAAGACTGGAAAAGTGACACCATACTTGCACGTATGTGTAACTCTATCTTGTGATTTAGGGTTGATGCTCATTTCGCCATTGCCCTATCGTCTGGGGCCCTGGATTTGAACGCTTGATCATGAAAGTCTGACCCACGATCCACTCTCGAGTCGGTCCTCGGAGGGAACAATACTTTTCCCCTCCGCAGTTACTTTCTCCACTGAGCTGGTATCTCTCGAGGGAATAGGACTGTAACCTTATGCTTGAATGTCATCAATGTCGTTCCCCGTACACCGGATAAATGGCGGACGAGCATTACGTCTCTGGGTCGACAGGCACTCTTCGTGATCTTAGTGACCCTTGACCCTGCTGCCCCTCGAGCCTCGTCTTCAATGCCTTGGTGTCTCGTGCTAGCCTGTGTATCAGCAAGTCCATGTGATCTTGTTCTGAGTGCAGGTTCTCAAACGCGCCTGCAGTCCCCCATGCTTTTTCGAGTGTGGAGTCGCATTCACAAGGTCAAGAACTCTCTCTCCACATTGTATGCCAGTAGATTCACTTTCGGTCTCGGTCGAGCATAGAGTTTGGGGCTCTGAAGCCGTGGTAAATTGTCATGCATATCTCGGGCCTTTCCAACCTTATCGACATGTCTAGTTGCTCAAAGGGTGAAAGGATCATTTTGAAATCTGCAGAGTGCAATCAATGGCTCTGTAGCGGTTGGAGGAAGCTTAATCTTGGACTGTACAGCATCAAAACCAGGCATCTCGTCGCGAATCGTCAGAATGAGCCTCAGCACGTCAGTCCGGGGACCCTTCCGCTTTCATTCCCTTGAGTCAGGTCCCCGTCAGTGGTCACAACGGTCGAAAACCCTTTCGGCCATGTCCGACCGAGAGCACGCAAAACATCTGCTAGTAAAAGAGCCTCAGGGAAGTCCGCGGCCAGAGTTGATGGCTTGTTGTACCTGGGATGTGTTTGGACGATTTTCTTCAAGTTGAGGTCAGCAAGCATAGCTCCACAAATATGGCTCGCAGGCCAGCATTAACGGCTCGACCTGATGGGACAACTAACCAAAATATCGCTCGTAGGAGTCGATGTATAGGTCGTCTGTGCTCGTGGTAGCTCTCACAGCATGGTTCTGTTCGATAGCCTCAACCCAGCTTGTCCATCTAGTGCCGGCCTCAGGTTCGGGCCAGCCTCTGTATGGCTGGAGGACTTTGCGAAGGCGAACTACCCAAGGGGCCATCTGAGACAGACTGATCAGCTTCTAGCCTGGATGACTTTATGGGTAGGGATTCTACCTGGACGTCGACAAAGGTCATTTTGTCACCCAAGAAGAAAGGACCAGACTTGTCGGCCGTATCAACAAGCTTCGAGATCTGCTCCTTGAGCTCTTCTCCATGCTTGATCTGAGACTTTTCGTCTTGGGCTTGCAAGTACCGATAGAAGCCGGGAACAATGTGACGATTGATCTGTGCTTTCAATGAACTCGGGATATCGACCATCGGCATGCATTTACCAATCTTACATGATCAGACCACAAGCGTGAATGCGCTCTCAACTTTGGATCGCTGGGCAACAGTGCCTCACCCTTCTGCAAGTCTTCGAGCTAGAAACATTTTAATCAGTGCACGTCGGTATTCGAAGGATCAGGGGAGTCTCAACGTATTCCATCAAAACAGTGGACTCGTAGCAGCCCCAGTCGCCATGTCGAAGGGCTGGGACTAGACCCCGAGGGTTGACTTCAAGCAGTTGCTGTGGCTTTTTGTAGGGATCGACCTGTACAGCGCCGACTTTTAGTATGGTCCATTTCGTATGCCGCTAGTGTCTTGTCGTTGTAGGGCATTTGTGGGGATAGGGCTATGGTCAAAAATATGCCGATGCCGCGTCTAGTCACCGCCAGCCACCCGGCAAGAGTGACTCAAGGGACCATGACCCAGGCGGCTTGAACGACGTTGGTAGAGTGCAGGTGGGTTCGTGGTGGCTTCTCTCAATCCTACCCAAGAGACTTACCTCGATATACTGGTAACCTAGCCCCTTCATCTCAAGGGAAATCCACACTCTCTGAACGAAGGGACTGTGTGGTCGATCGTGTCAGCGTGTACCCTACAAGATACAACGGTAGGAAGTGCAGATGGTCTTCGTGACCGGAATCGACCGGACATCCCCTAGGACTAGGATTCTACACTGCGTGTTCGTCTCCAGCTGCTGTATCCAAAGACCGGGAGCAAACGACGTACCAGAAGCAGCTTCCAAAGAGTTTGAGTTCATGGTCCTGCGAGTGTTTTTCTACAGTTTCGAGTGCTTTGCCAGTAGCTTTCTTGTGGTAGGTCTTCTTTGTTGGATCGTTGTTCTGGTTGGCATCCATATTGAAATGATGGATTGAAAATGATTTGTAAAAGGTTAGATTCAGTTTTGGACTACAAAGGAATCTCAGAGCAGGTCTCGGTCTGAATAGTTGTCTTGACATTGCCATCATATATGCATGTTGCAAGGTGAAGTTGAGCATGCGATGACGATGGTCGAACCCCGCAAAATGACGAATCGTGTACCGAACAGTTGATCAAGTGGTTGTTTCAGCGGCGACGACAAGGGTAAACCTTCGGTTGTCAAGAGACATCAAGCTATGAAATATGTATAGAAAACGTATATCAAGACATCTGGCTCCTTCAATTCTTTACAAGACACTCTTGCGATGCTGCAATACGATGACTTGAGTAGTCAAAAGCAATGGATAAAGTAGGTAGGTACGTCATGCAGTTCTGCCGCTCTTGTCGGGTCCGCGAGCAACTCGATAAATCAGGGAAACCGCGACGGACGAGCAAACATCTCTAAGAATCTGCTTCAAGCTCAACTTGTCTTCATCCACCTATCAACCAAAACTACAGCACCTCTAACAACAAAACACGCAGACATCAGTCATGGATGTGAGTGCAAGCATAGTGACAATGGAGGCAGTAGTATCCTGACCCGGCCACAGAACTTCCGCATCTACAACCAGGCGACAGCTGCCTTACTCGCCCTCGAAGCCGCGCCTCTCCTCCTCAGCCCCAGCATGGCCGCTTGGATGGCCTCCTCGGAGCCAAAGACCGTTTCAGCATTCGAGACGCTGGTTGCTCGTGAATTGGGCTTCGCTCTGCTGCTGTGCTCCTTCCTCGCCTTGCTCTTCTCAGGTGAACTGCATCGTTTGTGGGATGATGCCGACAACGTTCCCAGCGCTTCTGCTACTGCTGCTTCTCCCTGTATGTTGCCGGATATGCCACGTAGCTTCCAATCTTGGATATTGACACTCGCATTAGACTCTTCTGCCACGACAATCGCAACCCTACTCTACCACCTCGCCACCGGTATCCTGATGTACATCTCCGGCACCTCTGCCCAGCTTTCCGGAATCCTGATCGCTGGCGCATTGGCACACATGGTGCTAGGTGGTGCTGGTCTTCTGGTCTTGGTCTTTGCCAACGACGGAAAGATCAGCAAGCGTACCGGCGCCGACAAGAGGACCTCGGGCTTCATGTTCAAGAACCAGGCACACATTCAGAAGCATTCGTAAGCCATCGTGGGGTCATGAGCACACCATTTCCGAGTGCAGCTCCCGAGTAAAACTATCTCAAAAGCGAACAGAGTCTCGAATTGATCCTCAAAGACCGACCAATATCTTCCTGTGCAAAAATGCTGGCTTCGTTGTGATTTTTAACCTATCACCAGCAAAGTCTGTTCGCGTAGGGTGATGTCAAAACTTGCTCGCTTTCCCATTATTAGACTTCCTCACCAACAGCTCAAGACTGACTTGTGTTCGGATCGTGCTTGAATAGCGACTCTGAGTGGAACATCGGTTCATACTCCAGACAGCTCATCGTCAAGAGAACCACATCTCGTCGGTGAATCCGAAGTTAGCAGAGACAGTCTTGGGTAACAACTCCCTCAAACATGTGATATGATATGTTGAGCACCTTGATGGTTATTGATGATCGGCGATACTCAGTATTGACAATGCAAAAAAACGCAGGTACAAGAGGCATGGAGGATCCCAGGGTCCAATTCAATATCTTGATTGCTTCCATCATATAAACATCCCTCTTATCTCACAATGCAAGATTTCAATGTCGACTACAGCGGCATCACGCCCACTCCCACAAGCAGCAGATCTCGTGTGACCAGCAGCGCCTCCTCAATCAGATCATTCTTCCGTGAAGACAGCAACGATGTAAGTTTCCGGAGCCTCTCCCATAGCAACAGGCAACCAACACATCCTTGGCCCTTTCTAGGCAGATCCAGCTGCATTTATGGGCATACCTATTCAACCACAACGCCAACCACGATCACGGCTTCGAGCACCCAAAATGCAAGAAGTGTGGTGATAGAACAATTCTGGAAGTGAACAATGCCGGTCGGCCTTTTTATCGCTGTGCGGTCAAGCATAAAGATAACTTTGCTTGCTATGCGGATCTATTGGGCTTTGATGCGAGGAACCCGGCTTGTTTGTGTGGACAACCTTCGAGGGTCAACTATAACAGCGCGGGGGTCGGGACTTATACGTGTGTGACGGGTGGATGTGTTTTCATAGGTTCAAGAGATGAGGTGGTTGCTAGGAGGGAGAGACGTGTGTCGAAAAGTCTCTCTGATGTTTGGGCTGTGCTTCAGCAAAAAGTTTTAGATTTCGTTTAGAGTGGTTGATCAAGCAGGGATAGATGCCTCTTGGCAATATTGAATCTGAGGTAGACTCACGGTGATGATCAAAAGTATACACGCTGTAGTAAATGCCCCGTGAAATGCAATGGCATATCGATGTTGGTTGAGAGATACGGTATCCTCACACGTCAATTGGTATACCGAAGGCTACGAGTTGCTTTGTATAGTCGAGCTGAGTCCATTTGTCTCGCTCTTCTTGATCGGGCAGATACACAATGCCCAGCATACCGGCTGCATTCGCCCCGTAAGGTCCATCACTGGTTCGACGCGGTATGACCGTAATCCAGTCTGCAGTCATAGCTACATTGTAGTCTCGACTGCCTTCACCTGCCCTTGCTAGCACTTCGCGAGATGCGTCAAGAAGGCGAAGGTATCTTTCGTAGACAGTGTTTGCATCAGCATCCCCCGGTAGACGGAGAACATAATGCTTGAAAGGCACATGCTCAATATCGGTAGAGATGGCTGGTTGTATTAGCTAACCATTATAGGCAAAAGAAAGACGTCTCACTGTTACCNNAGAAGCAGCCTTGGTAGGCCACAGTTGATGACCAGGCAAAGGAAAGACCTGAGTATGCTTGTGACCTTGCGACGATCCAGCGTTGATACCACAATTGTAGATGATCAAAGACGGCGTCTGGAACGCTTTCAAGACAGACCAAGCCGCATTGATATCCGAAAGGTCAAGGTCATCGGTTTGAAGCGCATAGTGCCTAGTCGGTATAACAGTCATTGGTCGAAAGATGCCATACTTGTTGACTAGCAGACGATGAGTAGAACCAAGATCCGTCACAACTTCCTCAGGATCTGGATTGACAAACGGGCCACCAGCTTTTGATCTGCTAGGTGCATTGGCAGGAAGGATCGGTTTCCTCTTCAATATACCGGCGACGATGAATTGAAACNNTAGATATTGGTGATCAGCAAAATGTCTGATACCCGTTCTTGGTATCTGCCAGTTTTGCCGTTGTGCGCAGGGGCTTGGAAGTCACACGATGGACTTGCTAATTGAGACAGAAGTTGTAAAAACAAAAGTGCGGCTTACATCGAATCCATTGACCGTGATCAATTCGGAGTTGGCTTCCTCGTAGAATATCTTTTCCTTTTTNGCGAGTTCATCGAATCTGGCTAGTGTCCGTTCCTCGAGATCTGGCAGATAGAGAGGCTCCATCAGGATGTGTGTTTCCAAAGTGTTCTCGGAGAGGGAACGCAAGTGATTCAGTCGCGAGCACTAGTAAGACAACAAACGGTGAGGATTGTGCTGTGCAGTCGGACGTTTTCAATTCGCTGACTGCATGATAACTTATAGATAGCATCATGTTGTTTCTAGAAACATAAATCAGTCGCAGTGGTTTAGTGGTAAAATTCGTGCTTGCCATGCACGAGCCCCGTGTTCGATTCACGGCTGCGACATCGTTTTTGCTTTTGCTCTTCACTCTCAAGGATTCGAGCAAGCCGTCCTCACAGATGCTCACAGCACTTGAAAAACACGTTGCTCCCAGCAGAAGTCTTGATAGTGTTCGATGAGGGAAACTTCCAAGCCCATCTGGATTTTTCCGGACTTCTGCATGGCGAAGTGAAAGAGGAAACTTTTTTTCGGGATATGAGCAGACCGCTACGCTTAAGAACAGGACGAAAACATAATGTATAATGTGACACAGATCCAGTCGTCTAGGAGTTGACCTTGTCGCGTAGGGAGACGCCTTCCTGAGGCATCCACTTTTCCAGAACATCAACACTCTGATCGATTGAAAANGACCGATCAGTGTCTTGGTCTGGGAGCAGACGTGGTGTATCGCTCTGCAACGCCATGACCCGGTCGGCCCACCTCATCAACCTCTTGACAAGTTCTGGGAACTCAAGGGCACCCATTCCACCTCGCATCATGATCATTCGTTGTTGCGCAGGTCGGTGTATTAAACTGGCGGCACTCCTATCTCCATACATTGACTCGTGCAGAGCAATGCGACCAACGGCCAGGATTAATGGATCACTAATTGCGCGAACAGGGTCATCGAGAGCTTCATTGATGGATCTGACTGCTTGGTCTCGTAACCAAAGTGCTGTCTCAGGCGGCAAGACCTTCAAGCGTATCAGGTCGCCAGATGCGAAGAGTAGCCGGACATTGAACAGAGCAGGATCCGCAAGGGCGTGTTGGGTCATGAATCGTTCCCATTTGAGTCCTTGTTCGTGAGTGATACCCAACGTGGGCCAGCCACGGGGAGCAAAGACCGTCATCACTNNGTAAATCATGTTAGCAGCCTGTCGACTCGGACACGCACAAAAGTGCTTCTTACTGTGGTGTAGAACTCTGTCAAACCATGGCTGGCTGAGCACCGGATAGCAATTGAAAGCATCGTGACTGCCACTACCCAGATCGAAGGGGCTCACAAGCCCAGAGCTTGAAGTAGGCAAGGTGGAATCTGGTGTCTCTATCGAGGATATCCATGTCGAAACAGCTGTTGTAGGACTTGCGACTACCGATTGTGAAGACGCCGAAGCCGAAGAAGAGTTTACATGTGTTCGTTTGCGAGAACTCAAACTCGAAGTCTGACTGCTACGTGGAGTCCGTTTCCTTTTTATGTTTGATCGTATCAGGTCATCTGACAGCTCTGTAGGACCAGACTTGGTGGTAAAGGTTTTCCGAGCGTTGGCCGACTCCCAGATGAATTTGCGATCTGGAATGGAAGAGGGGTTCCGTGTGGGGATAGGATCCAAGTTGTTCGAGCCTTCGGACTTTTGTGACACCTCCAACAAGTTCGTCACATCGACAGGATAAGCAAAGCGAGGATCTTCTGATGGGCTAGAGGACTTTGGATGGTTTTTGGGGCGAGCACCCTGGGCCCATCCGGATGCTGCAGCGGCGGAGCGGATTCGTTTCTTGTTCCCTTCGCTTGCCGCGTCTTGAGGAGCAGTAACATTGACAAAGGTGAAGCGTTGCGAGGTCATATCAGCCTCCTTCAGCCCAAAGCATGGTCCGGACCGGGGAATAGATTGCAAGTGTTGTGCAATTGAATCAAATGGACTAGGTACTTTAGACAGGACTGCAGGGCCGGAGAAAATGGAGTAGATTCAGAATGACGGAGTCATGCGAACTTGAAAGACTTTGGGATGAGGCTCAAAACCAGCAAGATTAGAAATAATGTTTGGGTTAGGCATCGGGAATCGATTTAGCTAGCAGGCGAATTGGTTAACTAAAATGGGTCGGCGAGCCACAAAGCAGCACGCAAGACGATTTGCGTGCACATCTGGCAGGAGAGTTGCAAATTCAGGCACTTGAGTAAGGTGAAAAGCAGGCTATGTAGCGGGCGAACTGGCGGAAGAGGGTTTGAATCTCGATCTAGTCCCAAGCAGGTATGGCACGCCCCGGAACGGGTATGGCTGGATCGGCGTACAGCGGGACTTTGTCAGTCCGGCTCAGCCTCCCTGAGTCGCTGAATAATGCATATGCGAACGTGAAGCTGATGAAACACTGAAAGATGCAAGAGAAGGGAGTGTGCAGAATCGGAATGTAGCTGAAATCACAATGATCCAGTTTCATGGCCCAAGCTGTGTCTGTTGGTTTGCAGGAAACGAGTAGTCGTTGGTCGAGTTCGAGATCGTATTTGTATGGGAATGGCGGTGCGCAGAGAATGCGCGAGCGAGCCCTTTCCCCGCAGGCAGTGACGATCATTGCTGACGAGCAGCCTCGGCCACAGGTGCTTGGTGCATGAACTGGCCGCTTGAGACAAGGACAAAATCCATCTTTAACAGACAGCGACAATGACCCTCGACGACGAGTCCCCCGCATCGGTCCAGGACGGGGGCGGCAATGGCTCTAACACCGGAAAGCGCAAGAGCGACAACCCTCAGCAGCAGCAACAGAGGCAGAAGCGAAATCGCTACATCTCTATAGCTTGGTAAACCCCCGTTGCCATGCCACACCACACACGACCATACGGCTGACTCTTCAAAGCAACGAATGCAAGCGGCGAAAGATCAAATGCAATGGCCAAACCCCATGCCAGCGATGCGGCAACCTCGCCTTGGACTGCGTCTATGCTCCCAACTGCTGCACCTCCAATTTCAAGGACACGGACGAATTCCGAAATATGTCCAACCAGATCGCCTCTCTCCAAGACCAAGTCAATGCTCTCTTTGCTAGCATGAACACTCTACGCGCAGATCTCGCACACCAACAACCACCTATCGATCCTTTCCTGCAACACCAACCCATCATTTCACACGAACATGTTGCTTCCGCCGAAGCCTCTCGAAGAAAGAGTATGTCGGCAAGACCAGCCTTCAGAGGACCTACGAGTAACGAGTTTAACCTCGGGCTTGCCAAGAATCATCTCGAAACCATAGGCATTGCCCCTGCTGGTCCCGACGACGATTTACTGCGCGACGAATCGCCAGGCGCACATGTCCTGAGCTCCGCTCCATTGCATGCCACCAAGGATCCCATCTGGAACATTAGTCGCGATGAGGCTATCCGCCTCATACGTGTCTATCAAGACGACATGCATATCATGTATCCTCTACTCTCCATTCCAGATCTCGTCGCTTACGTCAACAAGCTCTTCACTTTTATGGAATCTGCTCAAAGGACGGGTCTTATGATGAGATCTGCTCCTGGCGCCGACTCTATTGATGACCAAGAGACAAATATACTTAAGATCGTAATGGCTACTGCCATGCTTGTCGAGAGTTCAGGCAGAAGCGAGCTCGGCCGTGCCATGTATGATTACGTGCAACCCTCGATCGATGCTCTTTTCCTTGGTGATACTTGCTTGAGGAGTGTCCAGTTGCTTGCACTCGCGGTATGATGACCCAAAGCACTCGCTCATTGCAGCTTCCTGACGTTTTTGTTTAGGNCTACATATCAGTTTCACTGTGACAATGAAGGCATATCATGGCGCATAATAGGCTTGACTGCTCGTTTCTGCATTGAACTAGGTTTGCATCGTAAAGAGACGTACGACCGCATGGATGAAGAGCAACGTACCACAGCCATGCTTACTTTCTGGTCTGTCTACTGTCTTGATAGGAGGTGGAGTTTTGGCACTGGCATGCCTTTTGCTCTACAGGACTCTGATATTGATTCAAATGTACCCAAGCCGGTAAGTCATGACATTCTTTCGTTAGAGACGTCGACCAAGCTGAAAGTTCACAGGNGCGAGAAATCACTCTATCTAACTGCCATGATCGACCACTTTGCTATTGCTAGCAAGGTACGGCATGTGATATATTCTGATTCCAGCAGAAAACAGGTTAGCAAGGAGGATGTGAGCTATCTCGACTTCCAGATTGTCAACTGGCACAGAAATCTCCCTCAGCAGCTACATTGGGATCGGGACTCCTGGGGCCAAGCAGATGGAGATGTGTCTGCTGGACAACAGCGTCTCCGAATCATTCTCTACTTGCGAGCGAACGTTATGCGCGTCATGATTCATCGTCCTGTGTTGCACTCGACAGCGTCAATTATGAGCAACCCTATACAAGCACAGACAGCTGTGGATATCGCCAAGGACACGATCCGCATCTTGACGCACATCAACCGGACGAGCAGGATGTATCGGGCGTCACAGAGCTTGTTCAATGCGTTCCTTACGACAGCTTTAGCGGTCTTGTTCCTCGCAGTATCACACATGCCCGAGACATATGCAGGGCAGGTACGCGAAGAATTCTACATGGCGCTAGACCTTGTACGCGGCATTTCAAAAGGCAGTTGGGTTAGCAAGAGGTTATGGAAGACGATCCGGTCGTTGAAGGAGGTAGGACCTAAACTCGGATTGGTGACGAGCAATGCGCAAAGCGACCCAAACCATTCAGCAGCGGTAGCCATGGCCGGACTTGCTGGACACAAGGTTGACGAGGGAGCATTCTTGAACCCCGGAGGATGGAACAACATGGGTAGTGTATCTTCGAGTTCGCCTGACGGGATGGTACAAGACTTGACCAATCTGTTCGAAGCGGCTGGAGGGTACACAAATGGATATGGAGCTGGGTTCGGGGCAGGGGTCCATCAAATGGATGAAAGCGGGTTCGGTGGCGAAGATGAGTTGAGCAGAATTCTGCGGGACTTGTTCTGAGTGAAAAGGTTGATATCAAAGGTAGCTAGATGATGCAGAATGGGAGCATGAAGACGAATACCCACGTGATGCGGCTCTGCGGCATGGGGCATCAAGTCGGGAGGCTTGGCAATTGGCTTCCAGGAAACATCCCACTTTGATAGCAAAACAGCTGCAACAACAAAGACTACAGGAGAGAGGGAAGCAGATAGCGCTTCGAGGATAGCTTCACTTTGATCATCTGTGTTCGGCAGGCGCATGCTCGGACACTAACCTGCCTTCACTCGATAGCGACAAGACGACCGTCCTAGCCCGACAAAGTTGCACCTTCCAACTTGGTGTTGCGCACACCTTCCCTTGAAGCCCAAAGCCTCGTTTGTCCCCAAGCCTCGATTGCGCTTGCGCCTGCACCGACACTCCGAGGCCAACACATCCCTGCGCGCCGGCTGTCAACGAAACTCTTTCAGACCTTCCTTTCACCAACCGCAATCGTGGAGTCACGCGCATACGCTGGCCATGTTGGCCCGGACGAGGAGAGCGACATGTCTTCCAGCAGCCAAGTAGCCGAGTCATGGATCAGTGCCTTCTGCAGTTTGGTCGGCCATGAGTACTTTGCTGAGGTTTCCGAGGACTTTGTCGAGGACGACTTCAATCTGACTGGTCTGCAGAGCCAGGTGCCCATGTACAAAGAAGCCCTGGAGATGATCCTGGATGTCGAGCCCGAAGACGACTACAGTGATGAGGAGGACGAAGATGAAGATGAGGACTTGGATGACGACGACGAGGACATGAGGGACGCGGCCGCCTACAGACGTCAGGAGAGAAGACACATGCGCATGGCTTCGGATCTGTCTGTCATGGAGAGCAGCGCCGAGATGCTGTACGGTCTCATCCACCAACGCTACATCACCTCGCGCCAGGGTATCCAGCAGATGGCCGAGAAGTACGAGGCCGGTCACTTTGGTGCCTGTCCCCGCGTCTACTGTGGTCAAGCAAAGGTCCTACCTGTCGGCTGCAGCGACATTCCCGGTCAAGAGACAGTCAAGCTGTTCTGTCCCAGCTGTCTTGATGTCTACACACCGCCCAACAGCCGCTTCCAGTCCGTCGATGGCGCCTTCTTCGGTACAACCTTTGGCTGCCTCTTCTTCATGACTTTCCCTGAACTGCGCGTCGGCGGCGCATCCATCTCCTATGGCCCTACCCCCGAGCAAATCTCCGACTTCGCGCCTACCACCACGCATCGCAAACGCCGCAGCAGCCTCACGAACGTCTCCGATACCTTCAACTCTGCCCCACCGATCGCCGCACAACCCTCTCCTCTGCCCACACAACCCGCTACCATCAATGGCTTTGCCGCAGAAAACATGGCTCCCGGCCTGGGCAAGTCCAACATCTACGAACCACGCATCTACGGTTTCCGCGTCAGCGAGTTTGCAAAGAGCGGTCCCAGGATGAAGTGGCTGCGCGAGAAGCCCGTTGATCTGAACGAGCTGGACGAGGTCGCCATTTGGCAACGGGGAACCCCAGTCAAACGAGGGAAGACGATGAACTGATGGATGAAGAAGATGAGGATGACGAGGACGAGGAAGCACAAGATGAGGAGGAACCCTCGCAAGGCGCAGGAAAGGATGAAAGACGGAAAGGAGTCGCAAGACGAACGGCCGCTGCAGCAGCAGATGAAGGCGGTGCTAAGATCGGAAGTGCGGGCTGATTGTGATGATCTTGGATGCTGATAAACTCTCAAAAAGGAAAAAGGCAAGGGAAGTCAGGGGGGTTCTTTTGGTGTTCTAGTGGTCCTTTTTTCTCTTTTTCTACATCGACTTTGTTTACTTTTTGCGTTTCTCATCCCTCTTCCTTCCTGCCTTCCCGCCTTATATCTGAAGTCTCATCAACTCTCCCAAATGCCATGCTTCTACTTTACCATCTCTCGCACCTAGTTCCATCTACAGTCCATTCTTTCACGACTGCTTCTACATCTTGTATCATCTGGTTCGAGGCATCAACACAGAATTCAGACTGGTCTAAGCATAAAAGCGACTTGTTTGATTGAGAAGAAAGGACTCTTTTCATGGCCCTTACATTATGCAACATGTTTCTGAAACTTAGACCTGTTGTGATACGTTGAATGACCGGGGATTTGAAAGAGGATGAACAATAATGACAGGGTGATAACCCCAGCCACCGTTCACACCAAAGGCTCAACTTGGTTCGAGTTTTCTGACCTATGTCAAATGATGAAAGCAAAGGTCAACCTGGCGCCAGATTGGGTTGGGGTCAAGGTCATTCACATTAGAGGTTGTAGACCCAGAAAAGAATCAGGATTCGTTTCAAATCATCTATATTCACTGTTGTGCTTGTCGTTCGCTATGAAATTTTGATCAACACCAGACAGAAAAGTGCTCGAGAAGTTCTTAGCTTTCCTGTACGGGCTCATGTAGTTCAACACTGCTCTCAGACTACTTCGAAATGTCCGTCACGATGACTCGTTCATCATAGGTCGTGCTCGAGGAAGTCAAAAATGATGACAGGGTCATAGCCTCAGTCTCATCTATGCACCTCTCTTTTGTATGACATCATACATGGCGGTGGTCAAGGACAATAATAAATATGTGATTATCTATGTACAACTTTAGGCCATGCTCTGGAATGTTGTCTCCGTTCCTCTGAACATCATAAGTTCATACCTGAGTGTCATTTCGTATCCTTCCTTCATAAAATCATGCACACGTAGCTGAAGTTTGCCAGCCAATACCAGCGATGGAGCGTTCGAAGGATTGCACATCAAAAGAGAATATTGGCGACCTCAGGAGTCAGCATGTACTCATCACACCATCTGCAGGAAACCAGGAATCTGATGTTAGCAACACGACCGCAATCGCAGAAGTACTCCTGGNNTGATGGTCAGCAGCAGTATATTAGGAATTTTGGGAGATCAATTACAGTTTTGCGCGTCCGAAACTCTCCATCTACTCCGTCTTCCCACTTGTAAACCTCTCGCTTGTAACGGCGGCTGTAAGCTTCGGCCTCTTGCCTGATGAAGCATGGAATGCAGAGCCAGCAGTCCTCAATGAACTTGTTGGCCAAGGTGCAGAAACACCAATCGCTATCATCGTCGTGCTCGCTGATTACGTCGAAGATATGGTCCAGAACTGGCACGCCTTTCTCGTTGCACAAGTGTGGCTTGCACTTCGAACAGTAACGGCGTTCACGAGGCTCGCCAGCCAGGAGCGCAGCTTTGATGCTTTCGATGGGGAAGTTGCCCGAGTGAAATTGAGGANNCCTGAACGCAGATCACAGTCAGCACGATCTCGCCAGCTGGAGTCCAAGAGTTTAGGGTGTCGTACAGTCACCACAATCCCCATGGCATTCATTGATGTCGTCAAGGTCCTCTGCAGCGTCGACTTCGTGGCTTTCCCAATGCGATGGATCATCCCTGCAGCAAGGCGACTTGATCATGTAGGCGATGTGGTAGCGGCATTCCTGACAAGTCTGAGTTGATGCCCGTGTTGAGAGAAAGCCAAAGGCACTTACATTGCAGACCATGGCCTTGCAGTCATTACAAGGCTTGCAGTCTGAACCTCCACAGCGGACGTTTGCCTGTGTGACATCTCCCTTCCAGTGTCCAAAGCACTTGGCTCTGGCTTCGATGCCTTTGCCGTCGCAGTTGGCGCGTTCTGTGATACCAGCGTAGATGGTCTTGTCGTCGGTAAGGTAGGTCTTGATTTCCTTGCAGGTCGCAGTAAGGTGGATGATGTCGGCCGAAGAGAGCTGGTCGGTGACCATGATCATGAGTTCGTATTGCGAGAGTATCTGGACGAGAGGAGAGACTGTAGTGTGTGGCTTCTGGACGCGTTGGAAGTTGAGCTTGCCCTGTATTTTTGGGGCTGCTGGCTTCTTCTTGGTACGTTTGGGAGGCATCGTGATGGAGTTTTGAAGTGGATATCGCCCGGGCTGGCGACAAAAAGGAGACCGGTTGGTATTTCTACAGGCAGAGAAGAAAGTGTTTGCTGTGGAAGTTGTGCATCAAAGCATGGCGTGTTGAAGCCGCGAGTTGGAGGGGTCCAGGCAGCGAAATCTTGTGTCGTGTGTTAAGGAAAGAGCATTTGGCCTCAGGCTGCCGTGACCCAACCGCGTGCCTACCACTTTCGAACTCGCCCACTTTGTCGTCAGCTCCCGCGATCGAATACCAGAATTTTCCTGTCATGTCGTGTCATTTCAATTCGATACAAAGGAACTTGTTCGACCACTGTCTTCTGTATCAAAGACTATTGCGGTCAGGACTGGTATGTTCGCTTGATGTCGTAGCAGATTAATTGAGTTGGTGTCTATTTCAGCCTAGACTCTGACACATTCGCCTATATCCATCCATATGTAGACCATGCCTATTTTGTTCGTAAGGTCGTTCCATCAAAGAGCATTGCAAAGTCTGTTGCTCAGTGTCTCCACCATTGCTATTCGGCGTGATCAGCATTGCGCAACCAGTATCAAGACGAAGTAGAGCATACCTTCATGTCTCCCACCATGGCATTTGCAGCGTCTGCGCCCAGAGTTGCGCCGAATCCAAACATGACTGCATTCATGGCTTGACCACCGTACATGCGTGCGTAGTGGTGACACTCATGTTTCTTGCCTTCGTGATGGAACAGGCCGCGGTCTTGCTGTGGTGTGTCTTTGTCCGAGGGTGCAGTGGTGAATCCTGGTGCTTGAGTCGACATTGTGGAAGGGTTTCAAAAGAGGGGTACAGTGATAGATGGTATGTAAAGTCGGTACAGATCAAGAAGATCAATTCTCAGTGTCGTCGCGGCTGGATGCTTGTTCTTTATAAACGTCATCCGAGGTCAGAGCTTCCCGTTACTCTTTCAGCCGCTGCCGGGTCTGCCGATCATTTTTGTGGGGATATGAACTCAATGCCCAAGACCACCCCATCTCCATGCCACTATTCGTTGACAGGTTCCCAAGTCTGGCAGCCGGGTTTGGACAATGGTTCGTGCCTCGAACCTTCTGCCCTGTCTGCTCACGCAATCCTTTAGCAAGACGAGTTGTCTGCTATCAATTGCATGTTACTGTTGTTGACTTGTTGGGAAAGATGCTTAGAGACAGTTGAGGACCAGAAGGTGATTGGTGAACCAGTTGTCGCCGTAAGCCAAAGAGAAATGATAAATGCTGTATACTTTTGCAGTCAAGATTACTCGTCATCATCATCCTCGTCGATGACCCTCCTTCTCTTGGTTCTGGAAGCCTGAGGGATATCGTCGTCTTCGCCTTCGGCATCCTCGTCGTCTTCATCAGGACTTGCACGCTTGGGCGCACGCTCCTTGGGTCTTCTCTCCTCGACAATGCCATCGTCTTCATCCTCGTCGTCCTCGACGGCCTCCTCTTCATCACTACCAGCAATAAAGTCGTCCTCTTCGTCATACTCATCGTTGCCGAAGTTGCTCTTTTGCGACCAAAGTCTTCGTCTTCGCTGTACTCGCTGTTGCGGCGTTGACGTCTTGCAGGCTTCGCTCTAGCTCTCTGGCGACCACCACCACCAAGCTCATCATCCTCGAGCATACCAGCAGTAAGACCACCGCCATAGCCTCTTGAGCCGAGACCAGCACGGCCCAGTGCGCGACCATTTCTCTCACGCTCTCGGGTCTCTGCCGCTTCTCTTCGCTTTCGTGCACGATCCTTTTCTCTTTCTGCAACCTCTGCCTTTTTCTTAGCCAGCTCAGGGTCCTCGTCGATCTTAACAAACTCGATACCACCAGCGCTGCTCTTGTTCTTGCCCTGGGAGATAGCGGCCAGCGAGTTCTGTAGCTTCTCGAGTGCATCGTCGGTAGTGGCAGCTGATGGTAGAATTGACAGACCAGCAGTGATTTTGTGAGTGACGCGGAGGAGACCGTTGGAAGGATCGGGGACGGTCAGAGTAGGTGTACGAGTCATTGCCGTGATCTTTTCTGCCGGGCTTCTGGCTCGTAGGGGTGGGTTTGGTAGGGTTGCGCTGGCGAGGAGCAAGAGGGTTGCCCTCAATTTCGTACTGCTGTGTAGGATTCGAGGCGAGTTGTAGTGTCAAGCTGCCGTCGGACCAGCGCAAGATTCGGGCGTTGGACTGTATGTTCTTGGGGTTGGAGGGCGAGCGTCTCCAATGGACAGTGCTGATAGCGGTGCTGTAGGCAGAGAAGCCTGGCGCGGCCTCGTGCGAGTGATGATCGGTGGTAGGTGGTTGGTAGGTGGTGTGGTGCCATCTTCGAGGCTCGACAGACAAGAATTTGGGAATTTTAGTCAGGTACATCTAGCCTTGTCAGCCAGCGATTCAGATTGGAGGTGTCACGATACATACCTCGCCGTCGGTAGGCTCAGGTAGTGGTTGCCTGCTCATGCTCGACTCTTGGATAACGACATTCTGTGTCTCCTGGTCATACTGTTCCGAGGGCATGCGATCATGGCGGCCCTCATCATCTCCAGAGTCCAGTTCTTCATCCTCAAGAGTGCGAAGGGGTTCACTGAATCTTGTTAGTCGTGGGTCGTTTGACGAGGGCAGTGAGAAGGTGCATACGGCGCAGCTTCTTCTTGTTCATCGTCATCACCGCCATCTCCGAACAGATCATCATCGTCTCCCATATTGGAAGCCTCATCCTCATCGATCTTGGTGTTGACCAGGTCGCCAAGCGGTCTCTTTCTAGGGATGATGTCGTCTTCATCCTCGCTCAACTCGTTTGGGACGGGCTCGGCTGGCAAGAAGATGTGACTGCTGCCCGGGAGATCTGGAGGAGCTTGGTCGCTAGGGTCTGTAGGTACTTGGTCCGACATGTTGATGGATCTTGCGACGTGGCTGCGCAGGCGAGTACGGAGTAGGATGGGATGGCTTGAGAAAGCGTGTACCACGTGCGCCGAGTCAGAGCGACAAGACCTGAGATGTGAGGCAGATGGAATGGGCGAGTGGTGTCAAGTGTTGCGACGCGTGCAATAGAAGGTCGCATGAACGAGTTGTGTTTGAGAATTGTGCAAACTGTGCACAGCTCTTAGTGCAGTGCTGTGGTGGTCCAGGCGCGGGCAGCTCTCGCATGTGAAACAAGAAGGGGCAGGCAGGGAGCGAGTCGAGACGGCCCAGCACTTCAGTAGAGTACAACCTGACATCTTGACCCTAACACACGCTGCTTCTGCTTGCTATCTTCTGCTCACTCCTATTCCGCATCTCTCCCAGCTGTCTGTGATAGCTCAGTTGTGCCTTGTTCTTCCTTCACTTTTGTGGAATCGCCCTTTGAGAGGGCTTCACCGCAACCATGGCTTCCTGGATCTCAAATATGTGAGTGCTACTCGTCCCATCATGTCGGAATGCTGCCTTGTGTCACTTGAGTCTATTGCCCTTCATTCTTCCCTTATCCCAAGTCTTCTGGTTAAGACAAAGGCCGAGAATGCCTTGCTTTCCCATTAGAATCTGGTACAATCACTTCCCCTCAATTGACGAGACATGCCAACACCACTTCCCTTACATGGCCAGAACATGTAAACAAAGCTAACACGTGTATCCTTAGGCGTGGTTTTGGCCGCCAAAGCAACAAGACGCAGCAAAACAAGAACGGCACTCCTTCACCCACCATGCAGAGTCCAGCAAGCCTGACTCCCGGTTCCTCACAACAAATGCCTCTGTCGCCAGGCCTCTCAGCCACTGCCATGTCCTTCGAGAACAGAGAACCCAGCGCCGAGAACCTCAGCAACCAGCGACCGCCATTCTTCTTCCGCGAGCAGTATGCCAACCTGATCGTCAAGGGCAACTTCATGACCCTTGCAGCCAAGCCGGTACTGATTGAGGAGGGTGAATGGATGGCACATCAGAGTGAGCATTAACCCACAACAAAAGTCAAACAACTCCATACTGACGTTTGACTGCAACAGNTCGTCGAACAAAACCGCCTACTAGACGGCATGCTCAAGATCATCCAAGAAGCCGACCGCAACACCGGCGTCCCAATCTGCAACCAACAGACCTGTCCGGCCATGAGCGCTGGCGCCATGACCTACACCTGGCTCGATGCCAAACGCGAGAGCGTCCGCGTCCCCGCACCGCAATATATCTCCTACGTCCAGAAATGGATCGCTGGCAAGATCACAGACCCCAGCATCTTCCCAACAGATACCTTCATCAGTGCCCCACCAGCGCTGTCCTCTTCAGATCCCAACAACTGGCTGGGCAAGGCATCAGGCTTCCCTCCTCAGTTTGCAAACGACATCCGCAACATTTACAGACAAATGTTGCGTTGCTACGCACACATCTACCACGCCCATTGGCTTGAGTTCTGGCATCTGGGTGCCTACAAGGAGCTCAACACCTGTTTCATCCATTTCGTAAACGTCGGAAGATTGTTTGGACTGTTGGGAGACAAGGAGTTGGAGCCAATGGCCCCTCTTCTCGACATCTGGCTTGAGAAGGGCTGGATGGCCNCTCGTCCCACCAGCTCAGGCGGCATGAGCACAAAGTCGGCCAACCCACCTCAGCAGCAACAGCAGCAACAGTCCATGAACGCTTAGAAGGGTAAAGATGGAGGAAACAAAGCTTGCACATCGTCTCCGCATTCCCAACATTTGAGACCAATCTGATCCTCTTGTAAACAGCACGCATTCTGAAAAACCTCATTGCACAATATTCATGTCTTATCTTGCTGGTTGGGGAGTTTTTTTTGGGGGAGACAAGGAGTTTTTCTATAGCAGGCATATTCTGAGGAGTTTGGTCAGAACCAGAGTCGATGTTGGGAGGAAGACGTACCTTCAGATAGCACAAGAAGTGAAGAAGGCTTGTCAATAGAACGGTCAATTCTGTATGCAAGAGCATCAATTGATAACTTGAAGTACTCCACCAATGTCACATGCATCAACATTTGCACAATAGTCATGGTCATGGTAGAAAAGAAGAAAGTATAAGGAGCCGTAAAACATTCGAGTTCTGACCAAAAAGGGAAGTTATGCATATTCAGCAGCAACAGAAGAAGAAAAAGAGAAAACACAACAAACGCCACCCCTCCGCCAATGAAAAACATTCAACTTCCGGGCTGGGTATTGTCCCGCTCATATCCTTTTGTCCCTCCCTTTACCTTTCATTGTCGACAAGCAAAGGTAGAAGCCAGATGTGAGTCGGTGCTCAAGTCATGATGCTCTTTTTCTCGTTCTCAATCATCCCATTCTTTGAATCGCTTTTCTGTTGGTATTTGGTGGTATCGAAGTGGTAGTCGCACGTGGGGGAACAAGGTCGGAGGATGAATAGTTCCACGATCGTAAAAACGGAGAGGAAAGGTTGAGAGACATAAAACGGACACAAGGTTCAAGCTGGGGATATTGTCTACTGGTGACCAGCCTTGCGGAGCGAGTTGCTCAACCATTCCAGACCCTCGTAAAGACCGTCTCCCGAAGTGGCGCAGGTGGATTGGATGTANCTGTAAATGCATGTTAGGAGGAAGGCCATTGGGTATGAATGTGACTTTGGACTTACCCAGGCGCGCTGTCTCAAGCTGTGCAGACCAAGCTTGTCAGTGATCTCGGCAGCGTTCATGGCGTTCTGGTAGGACAATGTCAGCATGAAGTTCGTGACATCGAAGAGGGAGAGACTTACAGGAAGATCCTGCTTGTTGGCGAAGACCAGGAGGAGAGCATCTCTGAGCTCGTCCTCGTTGAGCATGCGCTGCAGCTCCTCACGAGCTTCGACAACACGGTCACGATCGTTGCTGTCGACGACGAAGATGATACCCTGAGTGTTCTGGAAGTAATGTCTCCAGAGAGGACGGATCTTGTCCTGACCGCCGACATCCCAGACGGTGAACTGAATGTTCTTGTACTCGACAGTCTCGACGTTGAAACCTNNGCAGGCGAGCGCTCAAGTCAGTTTCTCGAGTTTGTCGGAGAATGGTAGATGGAGACACGGACCAATTGTGGGGATAGTGGTAACGATTTCACCGAGCTTCAGCTTGTAGAGGATGGTGGTCTTTCCGGCGGCATCGAGACCGACCATGAGAATTCTCATCTCCTTCTTTCCCCAGAGACGGTCGAACAGACGCGAGAATGTGAGACCCATGTTCGCTGTGTTGTTGATGGAGGTGTCGTGTGGGTGGTGGTTATTTGGGGGTAATGGAGCGGCCTGTTACACGGCAGGTGACGGTCAGCGACTGATGTCAAAAGAAAGTCGATTGTTGAGCGCGGCAGCTCTTTGTACTGCAGGCGAGTGAAAATGAATGGCAGACAGGCAGCAACTTCGCAATGGATGAAGCGCAACTTGTCCACAAGACATGACACCCCTAATGATGCGCACTCGACCGACAGAGCCGGTAGGCGCCGGCGATGCAGTTCGGGGTCGTTCTGGGATTGTTCGTGGAGNNCGACTTACGGGAAAATGACACTGGCCGTCGAAGATAGAAGCACAGAGTCTTTNNGTATGGACAGTCGAAGGGGGCAATAACAAGAAGCCCCATCTCCAGCTTTGGAAGTTGCGGTTGAGAGGGATCGTCACGTGGAACGCCAAGCAACACCTTCCANGTCCATCTCCCTGTTTTCGCTGACCCCGAGGGCCCCCTTGGTCCAAGTCCATGATCGCAGCAGTCACTCGTCAAACTGGATTCGTGGCCNCCGTACCAATCTTTGCTTCCAACATCCCTNACTCGATCCACAATTTAATCTTCACAACACGTAGTGTTTTTTTCTCGACCATTTTGCTGCTCGGCTTCACTGCCACCTTGACTTTTCACGACATTGCCATGCTTTGTAGCCTCAACTTCAACGCTTCCGAACACGGTTGTGAATGAGATTGCGCCAATCTGCTCTTATCGCATCGTCACATGCAAAACATCATTTTCATGACATGGTTATATCCAAGTTATTGTACACACAATTATACCCTCCATTTGCTTGTCTTATACAATCGGTCACGTCTGCTGCAACTTCTCGTCTGCCGTCGCTTGACTCTTTGCCTTATCCACTTTGACGAACCCAAGGAAAACCACAAGCGCCGCACCAGCCAACCCAACTTCAAGCCAGAATGCATTCTTGTATTTCTGCGCTACTCCTTGGTCCGCTGTCTGAGAGACTGTTATATCCGCTAACCCGAGCGCAACTGCGATACCCAATTGGAGCAGACTGTTGATGAGTGCACCTGCGAGTCCTTGTTGGCGAGTCGGTAAACTTGTTGTGATGAAAATGTTGGTAACGTTGAAGGTGATGTCGATACCAATTGTGCAGCACACCATCGCTGGGAACACCCACGGCCAGAAGTTTTGCCCACCCACAGGAACGAGAGCGAAAAGCAATGGTGCGATAATCCATGCGACTGAGGCAATGCCGATGAGTATTGTACCAGGAAGCAGATGCAACACAAAGCCGCCCACAGTGGCAATGATGCAGCCTCCGATTGCAGCTGGAGACCACCAGGCTACAAGCTGCATAGGGGTACCATTCATGATCTCGCTCATGTAGTTTGTCGCGTACAACAGGTAGATTCCACAACCACCGTAGGTGAGCAACAAAGCCAGGACAAGAGGTTTCATGTACTTGATCTTGAACAGCTCTGGTGGGAGAAGAGGTGCTTCGGCAACCCAGCCTTCCACATACACAGAAAGGCCTAGGAAGACTACACCGATGACCATGGTTGCAATGATATAGTCGGTTGCCCATTCGTGCGGTGCACCAGAAGATCCTGTCAATGCAAAAACCATCAAGATGATGCCAACGGAGATGGTGAAAGTACCGAGCCAGTCCATCTTGACGTTCATCGCTCGCCTCTCAGCAATGTCCGAGGGAATTGTCAAGAAGCCAGCTAGCCCGCTGAATGCACTGATGATGGCGCCGATCCAAAAGTACCATCTCCAGTTGGCAAACTGAGCCGAGATACCCGCAAAGAAGATGCCAGCAAAAAAACCCAGAGGGGCCATGGCGCCGTAAATGGAAAAGACGAGATTCTTTCTTGGTCCTGGTCTGTATATGCTGCCGAGCAAAGCCATGGATGCCGGGAGGAATGCAGCTGGGCCAAACCCTTGGAACGCACGACAGACGTCCAGCATAATTTCGTTGGTCGAGAATCCAGCGATAATGGACCAAACCACCGTCCAAACAATTCCGCCTACATAAACAGGATATGCTCCATACATGTCGGCAATTCGACCAAGTGGAAGTAGGAACGTCGATACAACGAGTGAGAAAGCCCCTGCTGGCCATGTCGTCGATGCAGGTGGAATATTGAGTTCAGTGGCCAGTGTTGGTATCAGAACGATGAAGCCAGAAACGTAAAATTCGGACATGAGTTGTGCCATGACCACGGCGAAGATGAAACCGATCTCTTGTGCTGTTGTCTGGAACTTCTCTGGTCTTTCTCGTCCTTTTCTCTCCCATCGAGCTGCTTCAGATTCCTCCTCGACGTCCAAGGCAGGAGGATTTGCCTGGTCACGAAGTGGCGACTCGTCTTTCATGGTGTTGGGTATGTGCTCAAGCACTGGTAAGGATACTTCGAATGATAAGAGATGGAAATGTCTTTGGAAAGAATGAAAAGAAAACATGAAGGATATCACCGCCACATACAAGAGAAATAATAGGGCAAGATTTCAACCACGCTTACCAATATAGAGAATGCTTGAAAATATCGAGCAAGGTGTTACTCATACTCACAAAGTCTTAGTAAAGGAAGACAACGTAGGACGTCGTTGCGATGCGATATGACGCTCCGAATACCTCTTTACGATAAGGGTTGGCATGAAAGACGTTCCGACCGGCTTCACAACGATGACGAGTATGTTCTTTTCTCATCAGAAGCGGATTGACCTAGCGCTTTGGGAATGGTGAGCCTTGGCATGGAATGGGCAGCGGTGTCCGCGGATTGCTAGAGTGTCTGTTCTGACCACGAAAAGGCAGTCTCACCCTTCTCAAGCCCTAGACATGACATCTAAAATTGATTGGTAAGCTTCTTACATTAGTTATAGAGCAGTCCAACATCTGTAGCAGTTATGTTCGCTCATGGTGAGCTGCAGTAGCATGTGGTAGATGATCAGATAAGATTAGCACACCAAGAGGCGGAAAGCGATCCGGTGGCTCGAGCGCGAGCGCCTGTCGCCCCTTCCTTCGTCGTGACTCGTGGGCACACCGGTCTCCACTGCTGTTCTTGTCTGCTCTGCCTGCCTTTTGCGACCCCCACCTTGGCTCTCAGCAGCAACTAAACTCTAAAATTGCAAAAGAGAGACAACAGAGGACTGGGTGACTCGTGTTCTGCTTTCTTCATCTCCAAGCGTGTTATATCCTGCTGTTCATTCTTCTATTGCGTTACAACCTTTTGCGTGCCGTCTGAAACATGGTGGGCGTGCCCAGGAGTACAGGATGTGCGACATGTGTGTCGAGACGCATCAAGGTACATCAGCACCCTTTGAGAAACTGCCGGCATCCTTCGCATCTAACCTGGTTCTTGGACATGACAGNNTGCGATGAAGGACGGCCAGCATGTCAAAAATGCCAAAAGTCAGGACGCCAATGTCCAGGCTACTCCCGCGAGCTGCAATTTAGAAACAAAATGGTGACCGTCGTGTCGAATCGTCGACGACCAATACTAATCAGCTCAACGTCTACGGCCTCGCCAACGGAGTCGAGCACCAGCAGTGGCAGCTCGGTGGACGCACGCAAAGATTCTGTTGTTGCGACAACTCCTCCTGAACCAGCTGTAAGGTCGCTGCAAATGCCTCAGACGGAACAGCTTCAGATCATGGCTGGTTTAATAGACGGGTTTGCACCGCCCTCAGCAGAGCCCACACAAGGCCCTTCAATGATTAGAGAGTGGTTGTCTTTTGTGTATTACCGCTTAGGTTCAACAGCTCCCTTAGATCTTGCTATGCGATCAGTCGCTTGCATGCAATTCGGTCTGCGGAACAAGGATACGCGAACGATCAATGTCGGTCGCGCATATTACGGTGGCGCGCTTCAGACCTTGCGAAAGGCGCTTGTAGCCCCAACCACAGGACAATCAGAGTTGCAAAGTACCGTGATGTTACTCACATTCTATGAGGTAATGATCGAGGGTTGTTTTTGAGATGCCGTAAGCTGATCACCATTCTAGCTCATGTCAAATCGAAAGGAAGATGAATGGGTGCGACATTCCGGCGGTTCGGTTGAGATGATGCGAATACGAGGTCCAAAAGCATACGCAGATCGGAAGAGTTTCGACTACTCGATGTATCTTGTATGCAGGTACTACATTGTAAGTGTCAATAGTCTAGAAGCACTACACGGAAACTTATCAGGAAACCAGGTTATGCACGCCTTCTACAAACGGAAAGCTTGCTTCCTCGACGATCCAGAGTGGAACCAGTTGGCCCACGATCCCGATTCAGAGGAGGGAGATATTCGAGAAGCCATGTTCCGGATCCACGTTCAAATACCAGGATTGATCCGCGATGCTCAAAGAACTGCTGCTGGAGAGTACGACGCCTTCGAGCTGATANAAAAGACCGTAGAACTACGAACCACCGTCAAACGACTATACGAGGAGTGGATGGTAGCTCTGAAAGCCAGCAATAACATGCCCATCGAGATCCCAGGCGAGGACGAGCTGTTCCCGGTGGTATATCACTTCAACAACTTGGCCGTGCACGGATTCATGTCGCAACACTGCTCGACCATCGTCCAGCTGAATACGGTTCTGATCCAGTGTGGTTTGCCAGGANAAGAAGAGTATATCCAAGAGTGTCGCGACCAAGCCGAGCAACTTTGCAGATACGTACATTTTGCTCAAGGCCGTGTCCTTGGATCCATTTTGGTGCATTTTTGGCTCATGACTGCGAAACGACACGCGGCTGAGAAGTATCAAGGTTGGATCGCTGCTAAACAGGCAGCCATCCAGAGATAGTATTTATGTCCTTACGGCAGAACCAAAATCCAGACTATGTAATTTCTTGTGTGTTTGGGGTCCTTTCCCAGGCAGTCCGAGATCCAACGCGCAAAAAGCATGGGCGACAGCGAAGAAATATAATAAAAGCGAAGGGAAAACACTTCGGTGTAAATCAAACACCTCTGTTCGCTGGGCCAATGATAATCTCTGAGTATGAGTTCCGTATACAGTTCTTGGCTTGCGCTAACGCGACTCAAAGCGGAAGCATTCAGCGAGGACCGTGTTGTATCACCACGAAATCGATTTTCCGAATACCGTTTCACGCTTTTGATCCCTTCGGAAGGATGTCCTGCCGAGTCCCGGAAGAATGTCTACATTTAAGTGGTTGAGCACCGAGTAAGTGTAACCGCGACGAGATCCCAAACTATGGAAAAGAACGAATTTTATATATCAAGCCAATCGTTTATAAAGCAGTGGAAATGTGTCGTGCATATCAACTCAAAGTACATCTAGACTCTCTAGAGAGGCAAGAAACATGATCCAAAATCTGCAACAAAAATTGAATATATCACAACCAAATCAACCTTGAACTATCAAACCCCTTGCTGCATCACTGATCTGTCTCTTGTGCTTCAAGCGGCTCTCAATCAACTCAATCGCAGCAACAGAATACCGTTTCTTGTGTCCTTTCTTACTATCCTTGTCTTCTGACCTTGCCATAGGCGACACAGGCGTCATCTCCTCATCAACTTGCTCGCTCCAATCAAACGGCGAAGTCCAAACTGGCTGCGTAAACAATGACCTTGCATTTATAGGTGAATCTGGACCAGGAGGGTTGGCTTTGGCAAACACAAAGGGGCTGAACGGGGCAGCGAGTGGGCTTATCATGGCTTTGTGGGATGCTTTTGGCGTTGGGCTGAAATCGTCCGCTGAAGGACTCAACGGTGTTGTTCGTGTTGGTGTGGAAGTTTGTCCTGCGAGCTGGGTGTCTATAATCAAGGGTAGTGCATGTTGAAGCTCGTGGGAGAAGACGTGGTCGGTTTGGTCTTGAGACAAGTCGAGATCGAATGGTTGAGCGTACAACCCCGGCTCTGAGAATCCAGAGTCAGGGCTAGAAAGGCGTGCTTGGTGCTGATACGTTTCTTGCGTTGGCGTTGAGTCTTCGTGTTGAAGATCATGATACATGGTCCAAGCATTGGTATATTGGTCTGCTTGCCAGGAGGCTTCGGAGTGTATACGAGCGATCTGTGCTTGACAAGCCGATAGGGAGCGTAAGAGCGAGTGTAGGCTACGCTCCAAGTGTGTGAGATACTTTCGTTGTGAATTGGCTACCCATTTGGCTTTTCTCCTGACAGGCCGTTTCGTGTCTGGATGATTTAGCGTCTGTTGCGCTTTGAGTGATTGTCGCTCTATGTCTGCGATGTGATACTTGAGCAGATCAATCTCATTGAAGAGATGAGTCTGCTGTGTCCAGAGGATGTAATACGAGCCCCGGTATGCCATTACAGGGCAGGCAGCTGTTGTCAATGCCAACCACTATTGACGGAATCTGCTGGTGGGATGTAAGACGGCGTACTGCGATATAGTGTGGATACTGCTACTCGTCAAGGTATCCGATGCGATGGAGATGAACAGATCCTTGCACCACGTCCACAGTATCTAAAGACCAACCTCAAGGACAACTCCAACTCACGAAGTGTGGAGAGTCTAACCATATGTCCGGCATAGGAAATGTCTTTGATTGTTCATCGTGGCTTGTGGTCAGTCCTTTCATGACTCGGTCGCCCTGGAAGACGACTGATTGTGGTCGCTAGCAGTGACATCAACTGCAATCAGCGGACAACAAAGGACGTGCTGTTTCAAGAACAGGTCGACCATGACACTACTGTTCTGCAGAGAACAGTTTAGCCAGAACTTAATCGGGATCCCTCTGAAAGACAGAGCTGTAGGAATTCTCTCGCTCATGAAGCAAAACAAAAGGGTGATTTGATCGTGTTTTTCACACGCATCAACCAGTGTCACGAAATGGCACATGTTGAGTTACAACAAAGAATGTCTGGGAAGGAAGCATCCAGAATATCAACAAAGCCAGGTACATTCCACAACCAATGCGGAGTCGTGCGAGCGACGCCAGCAGATCAAGGAACTGTGGCGCCAGCCACCTTGCTGAGTGCTCCGATGAAAATTAATTAGTGAACCCACCATGATTCCTTTCAATGGGTACACATTGTATGAAAAGCTTTAAAGTATGTTGGAGCAGGTGGGTGTCGCTTTCAATCTCCTTGAGTCTTCGCTGTGCTGCGCATTCTGAATTATCAGTCCGCTTCCAGAGCTGATGTCTGGCAAAGTCCAGGATTCGGATAGTGTATGATATTGACGGAAGAGGAGAATGCATGTTGGGTGATGACCTCTCTCGCGTTATCCATGCACGGTCTGTGCTCAAATCAATCTCGTACATCACGTTCTACCCTTGCATGTATGGAGCTCAATAGACTATAGTATTGGTTGATATGCATATATCCGAACAATTGGTCAAAGACAAGAACACGCTCACCAGAGCTCATAGTAGAGAAAACCCTGAACGCCCGTCTAGTTGGAGGCGGGACCAATACTCTCGTGCTCGAAAATCGCTCACGGCATATTCTCTTGTCCGACAATTCGGGTTAAAGAATTGGCACTGTGCGACATCTACAAGTTGTGTTAACAATACCACATTAGCCAAAAGAGGATAACTAGGTATCGCTGCACACACATTGTTACCCATAGAGTGCTGGCTGACGAGCTAGAGCTGCTGGTAAAAGAAGAGGACGACAGGTAGGACGAGGTTCTGGATTGACTCGCAAAAGACGACATTGTTGTTGGTGCTGAGGATGATGATCGTCCAGACGATTGACTAGATGTACGTCCAGAAGATTGACTAGACGCACGTCCAGAAGACGAGCTTGAGGAACGTTTCGAGGAAGAGCTTCGAGACTGTACCGAAGTTAAGAGCGACAACCGCGTAGAAGATGATGCCGAGGAGGATGTCGACGCTTGCGATATGGTCATGGTCGACAATGAACGTGACAGCATTGAGCTTGTGCTTGCTGAAGAAGACAATATCGGCGCGTACGTAAGAGCTAGGGACGACGACGTTCTCGTGGCTGATGCAGGTACGGCGGGGCAAGACGACGTCAAGGGATGTGGGCAAGCCACTGTTCCGGGGCTCAAGCTTGGGACAGAAGATGAGGGTGCTGAAGATATTGACAGCAAGGCCGAGGAAGTTGTCGCTGTGGTCATGATCTTGGGGAGGCTGGCGCTATTGTTGCTCCGCATGTGCATACTGATACACACGTACAGACAGACGAACATGTGCACGAAAACGTCGATGCATGTGTGCAGGATGCCGCTGTTGAGAGCGAGAGTGATGGGATGGCACCAGGTGGCAACGAGTTGACCAACGAGAACGTCGACGATCGTGACGATGACAAGATCAATGCTTGCAGCGAAGACGAGGCCTGTGACCGCAATGAAGACAAACTCGATACTGTTGATATGTTGGGCATTGGGGACGAGGTCGAGCGCGACGTCGAAGTGGACACCAGTGATGGTTTCGAAGATGGCATTGAGGACGGTATCAGAGGTCCAGGAACTGATTGAGCAATCGATGCGGCAGCTTGCACCGTACTATGTATGGCGGATGATGCAGGCGATTGTCCTATGGCGGACGCTCCCGAAGTTGCATTCTTGATGATGTCTGCGGCCTATTGGATTATCAGTATTTGTGGCAAGAGATGCCTATTTGATGCTGACCTTCTCGGCAATGCCGTATACTACAGCTTGAAGATGACTCGCTGGGATGACAGGCATGATTGAAGCATCGACTAATCTCAGATTTTGAGTCCCGTACACAAGCAACTGTGGGTCCACAACACCTCCTAAATCAAGAGGTAACATGGCGCAAGTTCCACTTGGATGGAACTCTGTTTGCAGATTGGCTTTGATAAATTTCAAAATCTCTTGATCAGTAGCGTTCGCAGTGGGGTTGAGCTGCAGGGGCTGTAGGGATCTCATTGAGGTCGTGGCGAGCACTTGACGATTGTACACGATTGAGGCCAGTAAGACATCAAGGTCCACTGGATTGGAGCCGTATCGGGGATCGATGAGCGGGGGATCGAAGGGACGTGACGAGTTCAGCTGCACAAATCATGAGCAAAAATCGTTGAATGGAAGTAGACTTAGGCAACTTAACTTCACAGAGCCGCGAGAGAACGGCCTCATGTTCACGTTGGAGAAGGCGCCGTAGTTGAAGTTCAGCAACTCGTACGCTGCCCTCCTCGGGTCTTGCAGTGCTTTGATCAAGAGCTGACGTTGAGCATCGAACCCTGCCAGCACGTTCGGATGGACGTCTCCTGGAAGGTAGTCCATGGCTTTNTGAGTCTGAGCTTTGGTAATGATCGAGAAGGATCTGTTGGTCAATACTGAGAGGGCTGGGAAAGCGTTTCCGTCTGGAGGTCCAGCTGTCCAAGGTCCAGTTTTGTTGGCTTGGTAGAGGGCGCCAAATCGGTTCATCAGTGTGTAATTGTTTGCAATTTGTACGCTTGTCAAAGACGTGGGTTTCTGATAAGGGTCTGGAGATATGGTCAGAATTGTTCTAGAGTTTGGCGAGAAACCATTTGCTTACAGNAAGACTCCAACAAGCGGGTGATCCTGCAGGTTCATACCAACACCTGGAAGATCTACCAGGACAGGTATCTGGAGTGGCTGTAACTCGCTTGAGGGCCCAAGTCCAGAAAGTTTAAGAAGTTGAGGAGTATGTATTGCTCCCGCAGCTATGATGACTTCTTTGACCGCTGTAACATTCTTTCTCGGAACCGACGCTGCTGAAGCGAACNNTAAGGGAAGGTCAGCCATGTTTGAAGATACACATATCCTATCCTGGAGGCATCGACGTTTACTGGCCTCGACTCCATTAGCTCTCATGAGACCTCCAACAGAAGTCACAGGTGTATTGGTTGGCTCTCGCTTTTGCAGGAAGATCCGAGACACGATGGCCTCCAGAATATGGCGGCCGGACCACGATCTTCGATGTGGCATGGTAACAGCATCCTCGGTAATGTTGGAGAAAAGGCCGTCAGGCCTCGAGAATGAATTGCCTTGGCCCATACTTGCATCGCCTGGAGTGGATGTCGTTGTGTTTGGATTACCAGATCCTCCCTCGAACAAGACACGAGTAACATATTGGTTCGTCGCAATCCAGAGGTTGGGCCTCGCGGAATATGGCTCGAAGTATGCCGAGCGAGCATCGCACCTTGTTTGGCTTTCTGGGTTGAGAGACAATGGCAGAAAGGATGCACCGGCTGTTGTACCGTCATTTGGATCGTAGGAGACTGGCATCTGCAGCTGTTGAAGCGCCGAGAAAAAGTTGACCGTCTCGTTGTAGATGTAATTCGAGAAGCTGACGTTGACTGGTCCGCTGTTGCCATGAACGAGTGGATTCTGGTTGATGCCGACTGTATTCGCAGCGGCACTCTGTGGATGAGGCGTGAAGGTCTCGCTNCTAGAATCGTTGCGTGTCAGCATCGAGATCGCTTCAGATATTGTGAGACGCCTTACCTTGCAGAAATAGGGAAGCAAATCCCAAAAACTCCAACCAGGATTGCCGAGAGTGACCCAGTCATCATAGTCACCAATACCGCCTCTGTTCTACAGCATGGCGTTGAGGACAGTACCACCACCCAGAACTCTGCCTTGAGGCAGTGCACGNAGCTTGCCGTCCAGATAGGTCTGAGGTGCAGTCATGAGGTTCCAAACTAGAGAGCTACCAACACCTTGACCCGCAAAGAATGGTATCTGAATCCATGGCTGGTTGTCGTCGGCTGGGCCTGCCTCGAGCAGAAGCACGTTGATGGCAGGATCTTCGGAGAGACGGTTTGCAACTGTAAGTCCACTTGGACCACCTCCGACGACTGCACCAGTCAGATAACCATCATAGCTGCAATGGCGTGGTTGCGACTTACTGATGTAGTCGTACGAGTCCAGCAGTGGAGAGTTCAGAGGAAGGCATTCAGCTGCATGCAATATGTAAAGTAAGAAGACAAGAAACAAAGTCATGTTGTTCGAAGATAAACTGTAAAGGAAATGCGTAGTTGTTCGAATGCGTTTGATGCTGGCGAAGGTTCTGTCAATGTCGTCCGAAAAGTGGAAGTACGGCGTCGTCACCACGTCACGCAGCTGTTGTCATGACAAAAGGGAAAGCACCATCACCAGCGCCTACTCATGAACCTTGGCGTCGTAGTATGTATAAAATTTGTTTCTGAAAAGATGACATGAGAAGAAGATTGAACAACCACCGTAAAGCGTGATATGGGTATAAACGAACATTCTGACGACCTCCCCGTTTCTCTCAAGGGTCTTGCCCGAGATTAGCCCAAACTCCAACAACCAAAGAAAGGATATTCAACACAGAATCATGGCGCTTCGACCCTCTCGTTTCTCTCCGGAGGGTTGGACGGTAGCTCAAAGACAGGTACGCTGAGATCGCCGTCGTGAGCATAGTATCCTTTGCTGTAGCCAAACTTTTGCAGAGATGCTTTGGGTTGTTGAGGTGCGTAAGTTGAAGTCGATGCGATTGTTGTCATTGTTCCAGACTTTGAAAGAGTGGAAAACGAACGCCTTCTGTATTTTCCAGGAGCGCCCATTGGTTCCAGGGATCGCTCGAATATGTCTTGAAGAGCATGTCGCTGTCTCTCTTTNCTCAATACCAACAAAGCCATGAGCAATGCAAACGTCAAAGGAAGTCCAATGCCCAAAGCAACACCAATCATGGATCCTGCTCCATACTGGTGGCCATTCTCGTTAGACGACCCTGAATAGTTGGACGTAAGAGCTTGAATCTGTGCTGGACGTAATACCAAGGCATTTCCCTCGGCCATAGTGAAAGTAGAGTGTGTGCTTTGACACCCATTATTATTTAAACCACAAGCGAATGTTCGTGAGTTCACATCGCAGGCTGTTAAGCCAATAGCACTCGATTCGTTGACTAGAATGACANNAGTCAGAACAGTTCTATGCTATCCAGCANNAGGATTGATATTACCTTCGGTGCAATAGTGTGCACACTCTGGTGATGTCCATGCCTGATCGGTACAGGAAGCCCGAGACACAACGCCCCCTCCGAAGCACAAGCCGTTGTCCATACAAAAGGATCCAGTAGGGCAACATGATGAAACCTCTGCATTGCTATTACATGGTATGTCGTCCGAAGTAGTCAGGCCATCGGGATAATAGCAGGTCTGAGCTGAGGCGGCTCTCACAAGCAAAGAAGCCATGGCGAGGATGCCAAATCTGTTTAAGAGCGACATTCTGATGCTCGATGTCGATCAAAAATATGGTTGCTGCAACGAGTGGAAGGTAGCCGAGTGGCTAGCGGCGATATAGCAACAACTTCGAGGAAGGTTATCAAAGCAAATAGAATAAAAGAGTCAACACATGGAGAGCGACAAAGAGACATCATAAGGTAAATCGAAGACGTTACTTTTCTCGCCCTCCTGTATCCGCAATCATCCCGGACGGTTGTGCTGGCTAACGGTCTGCAGTCCCGAGCAAGGGAGGGCTGATTTGATATGCTCTATAGATGCCGCCATGGTTGAAGAACGGGAAGCCTTGGCTGAAGAGACCAGGACGAGATCGAAGTCAGAAACCAACCACCCCTGTCTGACCCCACAAGCGAAAAATCCATCGATCGACATGATTCGCTGCTCCCGATACTTTCTAGCCCAATCCAGCGATAGCTTCGATCGAGCGTCAGAGACCGTCTTTCACGACATCTTCTTCTGTTCGTCAAAGTCCTTCAATCTTCCATCCGAGTCTGCGTCATTGCATGTATTGTGTTGTTTGTCGAAGATCGTTGTTTGCGTGCAACTGTGCATGGTTTCTCTGCATGCAAGAAGCCTGATGCAACTCAATCTCCAGGAATTCGTCCACGCCGCCGTTTCTCAGGGGTAGAAGGCTGGCAAAAACACTTGTCAACCTGCATTAGACCGCAACCATCCACGCTCTAGTCTCAAAACACTGCTGCAAGATGGCTTGCGTAGCAGCGGGTGTGCCGTGCGGCTGTATCGCTTAGATGGAAAAGAAGAAAGGCGACTGATCAAATTCTTGCAATGGATCCCACATCCATTTCGAGGCAGGAGCAATCCTTCAACGTGAGATTTCTCCGACCCAGGAACCTGGTCATACTGAACCCACCTCAACTGGTACAGCTGCATGAACAACGAGTATCATCGTTGTATCGGCTTCGAGTAGTTCATCGTGCAAGCTTCGTGAAAATGCAATCTCGACGGTGACTTGCTGTAATTGTTGAGCATACACCTGACATGTTCAAGCGACGATATCCGAATCGAGACGGTAGACACACGTATCTGTGACCTAAATAATGCTCCCCACCATGAATGCACACCACTAAGTAGCTCTGTGCTACTTCCAACCGGAGAGCGAATTGAATTGTCGAAGACTTAAGGTCTGCTCGTGGTGTTATGGCACGCTGTGTGGCACTCACCAAGCCCGCGAGAAGCTGGCTCAAGGTCACGCTAAAAGTAGGTGTGATCCTACCTGTTCTAACAGTCGAGCGTCATTCGCTCACGAGTTTTTTTCTACCAGCAATATGGTGCAAGATGGTTAGGAGCAGCCTGGTGCACATGCGAGGCATGTTTCAAATATCATAATTTGACCTTTCTAGTCAGTAAATCCTACCTTGACGACAAGTTGCCCGTACCAAGAGCGGTCAGACGGCCGATGACAGAATTCAACGCACTTCAGTCTGTCAGGTGATATCATTTGTTGTTCCTGAGAGAGTCAGGGTGTGTCCCCTGTCTTCGACACGGCGCACGACCTTCCAATAACTCCTTAGGGTTGCCAATATCAAAAGCACTGGTCTCCAATATATTCATGCTCGGTAACAATGCAGGGAATAGAATGACACCACCAGCGTCATTGCCCGCATACCTAAGGATGTTGCCTCGCCTGTAGGCGAGTTTCTGCTCAAATCCTGAATGAATCTTCAGCAAACATGTGTAGATGCTGGCAGTCATTCCGAGAATATGCGCTTTCATCTTGCTTCAAGGTAGAGCTGCCGGGCATGTGCCCGAAAGCGATGATTCTGTTTGTCGCAAGTGCTGCTGGCAATAAATCAAGGTCAACAGGGCGAGCAACACTGCAGCAACTGGAGGCACACAGAACTGCATGCAACTCGGTTCTCCTCGTGCCGGTTGCGGTTTGAATGGGATTCTTCGCGCGGGGTCGTGCTCTTGATCAAGTTACAGGAGCAGATGTTTTGTTTCCTGTAGATGATGATCTTCCCATAGTCTTGGCGCGCTGGTCTTTCTACGATACGTCAAGCTTGCACTTCAAGCGTCGTTGTTGGTTAAGCGCTCAAGGCGGTCTCTCAGCGTCTCAGCTAGCGATACGCTGGCCGACACTGGTCACAACACATCATACAGCCTCGTTCTGTGACGCTCGCCAGCAGTAATATGATCGCCCCCGAAGGAGTCGGACAAGTGGCTGAGCCTTGATGTCATGAAGCTTGATTTCAAGACGGGCGGTGCGTTTTGTAGAAGAAGAAAGCCCAAGCCGCAAACGAAAAAGCCAATAACGACCAAGGTGACGATTAGAGGCTTTGCCAAGACAGGAGTTGCGGTCGCGATGCAACTTGTGATTTTGGCGTTCGAGCAAGGAAATGAGTTGCAAGACCTCGTTTGCACTACCACCGACGTAGGTTGATTACCTCCGCCATTGACCTTCTTTCTTTCCTTCCTTTCCCTAGGACATGCCATAATCGCTCAACCAGCTGCGAAACGCCAAACAGGCGGTTGCTCAATCATCGACATCACTTTTCGGTATGTATCCATGTTTCACGCGACCCACTTCTTCCCCAGCTTCTCGTGGGCACAGCCACGCTCATCACATCAGAGAGCATCGCCGTCCCTGAGTCCAGGCGAAAATCAGCTACGCAAGGACGGCCGCCCTCTCGCGAATGTTGTTTCGCGCCTCGGACGTTGGAGAGAACTCCAATTTGCCAACTTGATGCCATTTGCCGCTGGCGGCACCTTTCGTCCTGACTTCCAAGCTTTGGGTGCTAACATCACTCTGCGTTAAAGATACAAGGCCTTCCTCCCGACCACTTTGTAATTCCCGGTTCCTTTTCTTTTCTCTTCTCGCTCTGCCTTATCTGCGCCTCGGTAACATTCATCACGAGACTTTGATCCTTGGCGCCTTCTCCATCTAAGCATTGAAATGCGTAAGCCTAGATTCTTATCCATCCTGTCAAGTTTGGCACCACTGACAAGCCTTCTGAAGATTCAATCAAGCACCAGGCCCGAAACATCGCCTGGAGGCAACAAGACGGCGAGGCCAACTACAACCCTTTCGCCAGGCGCTCGCGGTCTTATGCCGGACGACTGGAAGACGTCGAGAACAACCTGCAGCGTCGCCATACAGCAGACCAGGTCATGTCAGACAGCACTGCCAGGCGTAATGAGATGCGCAATGTAGACAACGCCGACTTCGCATACCCGCCGCAGCACGCCAACACAGCGCCTCCCGAGTCAAGTTCCTCTACCGACTCACCCACATCCAACGGAACCCTCATTGGCCAGTCTGATAGCAAACCATCCAGAGAGAAGGAAAGCCTACCACTGGACAGGGACACATCTCGCTCCATGTCGGACAACAATGTCACAGAGCCTGAGCACAAACCACGCAAGCGCCTGGCACTAATGAACTTGATTGGTGCACCCGACCGTACCAAGGACCGCACCAAGGACGATGATCGTGACCTCGAACGCTCTGACACTGGCGACACCAAANAGAAGAGGCGACCAAAGCTCAGTGTCGTCAGTCAGCTCAAGGCTACTCTCCTCGGCTCATGGGTCAACGTCCTTCTTGTCTGTGTTCCCATCGGTTTCGCTCTCCGGTATAGCCACTCCAATGGATACGCCATCTTCATCGTCAACTTCATTGCCATCATTCCTCTTGCCGCCATGCTATCCTTCGCTACCGAAGAGCTCGCCATGTACGTTGGTGAGACATTGGGAGGTCTCCTCAATGCCAGTTTTGGTAACGCTACCGAACTCATCGTTAGTATCATCGCTTTGGCACAGAACAAAATCCTCATCGTACAGACTTCTTTGATCGGAAGTATGCTTTCAAACTTGTTACTGGTACTGGGCATGTGCTTCTTTTTCGGTGGCATCAACCGCGTTGTTCAGCACTTCAACATTACCGTCGCACAAACAGCCTCCAGTATGCTTGCTGTTTCGATCGGCTCATTGATCATCCCCACCGCTTTCCAGAAGTTCGGCAACAACCCTGCTGGCGGTGTTGCCCCTATCTCACGAGGAACAGCTATCATCTTGCTTCTCGTATATTTCGCCTACCTCATCTTCCAACTCAAGACTCACGTCGAGATCTACAACACCCCTAGCCAGAAATCTGAGAAGAAGAAAGGCTCGACCCGCGAAAAGGGAGAGACTCTGATGGGAATTGCCCGCATTGGTGCTGGTACTGCTGCTTCAGCCGGTGGTCAAGTCAATCAATCCAACCTTGTCTACCACGAGGAGGACGAAGAGGAAACGCCATCCTTGTCTATCATGGGTGCTCTCGTCACGTTGACCATTGCAACAGTTTTCATCGCCTTTACCTCCGAATTCATGGTTAGTGGTATTGACTATATCGTCGAACACGGACACATCTCCGAGGAGTTCGTTGGTCTCATTTTGGTCCCCATTGTCGGTAATGCTGCAGGTAAGTCGTGTCACTCTCTCATAGCTGACGACAACAAGGCTGATCTGACTCATANNGAACACGCAACCGCCGTTACCGTCGCCATCAAGGACAAAATGGACCTCGCAATCGGTGTCGCTGTCGGCTCGAGTATGCAAATCGCCCTCCTTGTCCTTCCTCTCATGGTTGTTATCAGCTGGTGTGGATTGGGCAATGATGCCATGACTCTCGACTTCGACGGCTTCCAGGTCGCAGTACTCTTTATCGCTGTGCTTCTGGTCAACTACCTCATTCAAGACGGCGAAAGTCACTGGCTTGAGGGAGTCTTGTTGATGGCTGTGTATATTATCATCGCCGTCAGCGCGTGGTTCTATCCAGTAGCAGAAGGTCAAAGTCTGGTTGGATGAAGTCTTTGCTTTGGTCAACTGCTTACTTTCTGGGGTTGCAAACCGGCGCAATAGGGACTGGCATTCATCTTCCGGCATTTTAATGTACTACTACTATTTCTTCGATACCCTTTTCTATGTTTACAGCCCTTTTCTCATGAGTATATCTCATCGTCGACCGGATCTTCTGTTCACTACATTGAACACGTCACAAAAGTTCACACACCCTTTCTGTCATGTACATGCAATCCCTCGTATGTCTAGGTTCTCGTGCACCGTTGTGACCTTCAGCGAATAGTGAGCTTCTCACGGGTGGTATTCTTTGTCTGTCTGGCCACCCCAAATTTGCTAGATACTGATTACAACCTCGACTATCATCTCACCTCCTTCGACGACTTACCTCTCGTAAAGCCATCAGTCGTTTCAGTTTGATCCCTGATTCACTATTCGGAGCCCATTCCATTATATAAACTCCCTCCACCTCCTGCCGCTCCCTTAACTCAACATCAACTTCCTCGAACTTGATCTTCCTCTACCACAACATCTATTCACTCCAGGTAAGCTTCTCTCACATCTCACGTCTGGCTAGCCTATATAAACCCTCCTCCCCACCACCTACTCTTCCACTCCAACATCAATTTCCTTCTTCAACTTCTACCTTCTCTGACACAACAACACTTCCTTCCCTTCCTTTCGTATCAATCTATTCATCTCACTCACACTATTCAGCTGCTCTCGTAGATCACTTCGCAGTTCAGGTAGGCCATCTTTCACTGTTCCAAGCCCTCTGGCCTATATAAACCCTCTTCCCCACCATCTATTCCTCTACCACAACATCAACTTCCTTACCAAACTTCATACCTCCCACTGCTTCTCTCAGTCCATATCTTCACAAGGCTTCTTCATCACTTCAGAAACACCTCAGTTTCACTTGCACTGCCTGGAGGGCTATATAAACCCTCTTCCAGTCCACCTCATCCTTCACCTCAACATCAACATCAACATCCAATTCCCCTACCCATCCAACACTCTCACATCTCACACAAGTTGCAGCATATCACACAACAAAACTCAATCTACAACCAAAAAAAAAAGAAAAAAATCGTAAGTACCTCCCCCCAATCAGCACCGCTTCATGGCAACATCGCCGTCCTCCCGCATCAGCAGGAGGGTTCTGAGTATACTATAAAAATGCACAATTGTTTTCGAAATTGGAGAGAGTCCAGAGAGAGCCGGAAAACTATTGACTCTCAGTGGACCTTGCCCCGTTTCTGAAAACTACTGTGTATTCTTATGGATATATCAAAATGCACGCAGCGTTCCTGGAGATGACTAACTTTTGGCAGAAACATGACGCGCGAACGTAAGATCCCGCTTTGGGACAAGGTCCCTGATGGCGTCCAAGTTCTCGATCTCGAAAACGAACCCGACAACTACGACTTTACCAATTTTGAACAAGAAGAAGTCAAGGTTAAGGTCGAGCCTGCACCTGAAGCCAGCACAGCCCCAGATTTGGGCAACAGTATTCTCCAACGAAAGCAGAATGCATCACCTCAGCAACCCACAGACATGGAAGCTCTCAATGCCCAGCAACAAGCCCTCTTCGCGCAGTTTGCCGCCAGTTACGAGAATCACGACGACGAACAAGTTCCTTCGGACCACGAAGAGGAATTCCAGGATCCCATCCAACAAGAACTCGAATACATGCAGGCCAAAGATGCGTACGAGGCAAAGCAGCGAAGCGGAGAGCTCACGCAAGAGGACGAATACGAATTCATGAAGAAGGAGTCTGCTTACACCAAACGCAAGCGTGAATTCGATGCTCTCCTGAGCGACGATGAGGACCCTTTGTTTGAGCCTCCCAACAAGCGGCCAAAGAAGAAGTCCAGAGCTAAGGCGTCTACCGCTTCCAGATCGGCACTTCCCAACCTTGGGGCTCATAACGAGTTCTGGGAGAATGCTGACGCCGCGGAACATATGAACACGGAACCCGACTACGAGGAAATCGCGGTCGGAGGTGGAGGTCGCGCCGCTGCCATAAAGGGTCTTGGCGGTCGTGTTGGCAGACGTGCTGCTCGTCTGGACATGAAGCGCTTCAAACAAGCGACCAGATCATTTACCGGCAAGAAAGGACATACCCTGAATGCCAGAAGTATCTTGCCAGTCACAGGCGGATGGAAGGTCAAAGGTATGACCACACCCCTCAAGAATTACCAGGTGATCAACTCCGCCTGGATGAGGACTCGCGAGATGGGTGCAAATGAGCCTAGAGGAGGTATCATTGCCGATCAAATGGGATTGGGCAAAACCGTGACTTGCATCGCCAACATCGTCAACGGAAGACCCCTAAAGGGCTTTCCCAGTCATTTACGACCAAAGTCTCACACTACTCTTATTGTTGTGCCAACCAACCTGGTCAACCAGTGGAGAACAGAACTCAGACGCCACACCATCAGAGAGTTGAGACGTGAGACATGGGGGCTCGGCATGGTCAAAGTATTCAGGGACAGTCAGTCCGCAGAGCTCGATCCTGCTGAGTTCAAAAGACATGATGTTATTCTGACCACATACCATGACGTGAGGGTCAGCTGGCCAGACTGCCACTTTCCTGAAGGTCTCTCTGAGGCTGAAAGAGAAGCTTACTTCATGGAGAACTTTTACAACAAGAGAGGACCCCTTCACAGGCATAATTTTCTCAGAATTGTGCTTGATGAAGGCCATCAAATCGCCAACCCTGACACTCAAACTGCTAAAGCTTGTTTCAACCTAGTCGCTGATCACAAGTGGATTTTGACAGGCACCNCCGTAAGTCATATCTGGAATCACAGTTCACACACAAAAGCTGACCACATGTTTAGGATGATAAACGGGAGTAAGGACCTTTACAGCTTGCTGCACTTTATCGGCCATCCGACAGTCCAGAGAACGAAGTTTGAATCGTTTAAATCTCGCTTCTGCAACATGAAGAACCCCTCGAGCTTGGATTCACTTAGCCAAGAAATGGTTGAGAGCGTTGCCTGCTTTACTCACAAAGACAAATTGTTCGATGCCAGGCTCATTACGCTTCCGAAGCCACACAACAGATCCCTTACACTAAATCCTACAAAGCTCGAACTCGAAATCTACAACGTTGTTCGCGCCCGGTTCAAGCAGAGAGCACAAATCCTCAACGAACAAGGAGAGCTGAGAACAAACAAGTTCCATTTGTGGGCGATGTACACTCTATTGCGCCAGATGACAGCCCACCCTTTGCTAGTTCCTGCCAAAGTTTCTGATTACCTGGAACTGGAGGATTTCGAAAAGCTCGAAAAGGCGGTTGAGCGACAAATCGCCTCTGGTGAGACTGCAGTCAGCACGATCCACGCCTTCCGATCCACCATGAAAGCACGTCGTACACGCACTGAGATCCGAGTCGCTAACGGTGTTACGCTTGATGCAAGCGAAACGTCACCCATTGACGACTACGACGAGGGGATCGATGAGGTCGAAGAGCTGAGAGCGCCCGAAGTCATCAAGAAAAACAAGAATACAAAAGGCACTGGTGGCAAACACGGCAAAAAGTTGCCCTTGCAGGCTNACGTCGAAGCGATCAAACGCAGCACGAACTTCCACATCCTTGGCGATCGCGCAAGATGTTGCAAATGCAACCGCCCTGCTACCAATCCTGTGATGGCACCATGTTACCACATCTATTGCTATCTCCACTTGGACGATATGATGCACGAAACTGCTGCCACCAGTGGTGATGGTCCAATGCGCACCATGTGCATCAAACCAGACTGCGGCAAAGAGATCAAGAAGACCTCAGTTGTCGACCCGGAAGCCGCGTCAAAAGCCAAGTGGCTTGATGGCGGCGGTAACGTGCTTCCTTCTACCAAAACCCTCGCCGTCAAGTCTCAAATCCTCAATTGGCTGGACCCAAAGAGTGGTGGTGATGCTGATGCGAAGTGCATCATTTTCTGTCAGTGGAAGACTTTCTTAAACATGCTGAGTACCATTTGCGAGTCCGAGAACTGGGAGTACGTAACTCTCCATGGCACTTTGAGCAAGAGTGCTCGGGAAGAGAATATCGACAAGTTCAAGAATGAGCGTAAGATCAAGATCTTGATCGCTACACTCAAGACCGGCGGGCAAGGCCTGAATCTCACCTGCGCTAGATACGTTCTGAACGTTGATCCATACTGGAACAGCGCTGCGGAAATCCAAGCATTTTCTAGAGTTTACCGCATTGGACAGGAATATGAGACCGAATTCGTCAACCTCACACTCGCTGGCACCATTGATGAGCACCTGAACCAAATTAAGGAGCGCAAGNAAAAGGAAATTGATCAGGTCAACGCTGGTCACAAGAAATTGAGCATGAAGGACTTGCTCAAGACGTTTGAGCCTCCGGAGGAGGACAACAGCGAAGAAGTTAACTCAGAATAAGCAGATTTTGATGTGTATACTTAGCCATTTCTCGATCTATATAGCCAAAAACCACAAAAAAAAATACTGTACCCCCAATTTTGGCTCCCAATTTTGGCTCCCAATTTTGACTAAGTAAACGCTCTCTGTGGCCACATCTCCGTTTTGTATAAGTTTGTGACTTTTTATAGATGACTTTCAGCTTGTTTTGGGAGCGGGGATAGCATATATGTATCACTCAATCTTGGGCACATTCAGTTTTTTCTGATCAAAATTTTGACCAAGTCGTTTCGTTTTTGTCGAAATTTTGACTAAGTCATCGCTCTCACTGGAACTAACTTCAATCTGAATACATTCCTGCATTTTTATAGATAACTTCCAGCCCCCCTGTCGGAGTGGGAGAGAGCATGTATGCTGTTACTCAATCCTAGGCACATGAGTTTTTCTATTGAGATTTTGACTATGTCAATGTTCTCTCTGATACCAACCTCTTTCTGGATACATTTCTGTATTTTTATAGATACCTCTCGGGCCTGCTTCGAGAGTGGAGATATCACGTATCTAGCTGTTGCGCCCCTGGCAGATGCAGTAATCTTTGTATGATTTTAACTAAGTCAATGCTCTCTGTGGTGCAATCTCCATTCTGATCAAGTTTCTGCATTTTTATGGATAACTTTCAGACTATCATTGAAGCTGGGAGTGCATTTGGTAAATCATTTGGCCCCTGACATGTTCACAACTTATATAACGCTCTTTTGGTACTATCTCCGATTCAGACAGTGTTCTGTATTTTTACAGATGACTTTTAGCATATCATTCGAGTTGGGATGCCTTTCATCTTGCAATCTGGCCCCTGGCACACATGGTATCTTTGTACATTCTTCACTAAGTAAACGCTCTCTCTGGTGCCATCTCCATCTCGAAAATCTTTGTGTATTTTGATAGTTAATTTTTAGCATGTTGGGAGAGGCGAGATAGGAAGAAGTCAAGCGCCCAATTTGGTTAAGCCAACGCTCTCCCAGATGTCGTCTCCAATTTGGACAACTTTCTGTATTTTTATAGATGACTTTTAGCTTGTTGGGAGAGACGAGATAGAACAAAATCTCACTCAAAGTTGGCTATGTCATTGCTCTCTGTGGTCTCACTTGCGTTTCAACAAGTTCTTGCCTTTTTATAGCTTAGAAATCACGAGTGCGCAAAATGAACCAAAGGTTCGCCGCATCATGCTAAGCAAAGCGCGCGCGCCTGCCACTGTAGCCACCGCTCCGTCTTCGTTCCACTTCTCTTCTTTTCTCCTTCGGCTACCAACTCGCGTTTTCACTTCATTCATCGTACTTTGTCTGGGTCAAAAGATCTCAGGTTATCTGATCTCGAAAACACTACCACACGCAACTCGCATCTGAGATCTGCACAAGAGAACATCAAAAGAATTAAGACAACAAGGGTGAGCACACCCATGCGCGCAACCGGTCTCTCCCTCTCCTCTAACATTCCCACTTCAAACAGATGGCGGCACCTCACTCAACCGATCAGCACCCACACCAGCAAGACTCGCACACAGACCAGCACGGGCGTGCGGTCGGTGATCTTGAGACCACCCTGGCCGCAACAGATATCGGCAACGACTCCACAACAACAGAAGTCGTCAGCGTTGATGTCAGGTCATCCATAAAACCTGAAGATGACCATGTGACCGAGGAATTCGACGCTCAAGTTGAGCAAATGACCGAACAAACACGCAAAGAACTCGAGGGTTTCTTCGAGCTTGCGTTTCCCCTCGCAGTCAATCGTCCTACTTTTGGCGAGTTCAAGCAATCGTGAGTGATTTGAACCATGGCTAGTGACAGCCACCAGCTAACAGATCGAATTAGTGTTCTCGACAATCTCACTATCACCGAAGGCAACACACCCGTAGAGGGCTTTATCGATGCAACCCAGCACCTGGAATACTTTGGCGCAACACAAAAGCACTTCGCTGAAATGCTCCGGATTTTGCGAATCTCTTCATTGCCACGCGGACAAGTCGCATTCCTCAAACGCCTCTATGAGAATGAGAAAGAGAACTGGCTTGTCATGGACCCATTGGGTTCTGGCAAGACCTTGATCCTAGCTGTTCAGCTTGCAAGAGCTGCTTACGACCATATCAAAGAAGGAAAGAGAGGACTGGCAGCCATTGCTCTTTTGCCTACTCATGAAACAGCAAAGGCTCTGGAAACCCTACTACAGGCTCTAACGTTCAACAGTGGAGTCAGTGTACTCGCTGCCATTGGCAGTGAACATTCAGGCAAGCAGCTCGCCGCCATGGCCTACGCCTGCAAGCCACACATCCTAATTGGAACGCCGGGAAAAATTGTTGACTTGCTGAAGGCTACCAATGCCACCCCTTTCTTGCCCACCAGACTATTTGCCCTGGATGAGGCCGACGATCTCCTATCCCACAGCAAGTTGGGTGACGTCAAATTCATCCGAACATACTTCAAGAAAGTCCCCATTCAAGTCTACGCCTCTGGCTTTCGCACACCGCTGATCAACGCATTCTATGATGTCTTCGGTGAGATTCCCAGAATCTTGAAGACGGGAGAAAGACAGCGTGAGGGTTCAAGAATAATCGAGAAATGGAGGACTGTGACATCCGACCAGCTCAAGGACGTGGTGAGCTTGCTGACAGACGTCTTCCCCGAACTGGAACTCCACAAGCCTCTTGTCATCTTCTGTACCGCCAAGGCCGCCACAAATGCCATATACAAACAACTTGTCGACAGTCTTGGCCAAGACAACGGCGCAGTGTTCAAGATGCCTGGCGGAATGTCGCAAAGCGAGCGAAAGCAAGCCCTCGATGGATTCCAAGGCCATACAGGTCTTATACTTGTGGCAACCCACCTTGCTGCCCTTGGTCTCAACCTACCTCGCCTGTCTCAAATCCTCAACATCAGAGTGCCCCTCAACATGACTTCGTACATTCAGGCATGCGGCAGAGCCGCCAGAAGTGGCAAAGAGGTAGCCACTATCAGAACGGCAATCCTCGAACGCGACATGTCGGTCTTCACCCAGTACCAGCAATGGCACATGGTGAATAGTGAGAAGGATGACGTTGAGACTGGTCTCTGGCTCAACGAAGACAAGTACGAAGGTGGCAACCAAGATTACATGGTTACGGGTGCACTCCGAAAGGCAATGAGGAAGCTGGCATTGGAGCGCATCACGAAGAGAGATGATCAACGATCCGGTCTGCACGGGCGTGCGACCGGATCGTTGAAGGAACGGAGGTTGCTCAAGGGAAGTGAACAACCAGCGCCGTGCTTGACACGGTTACGGGCGAACTCATGAAGGCCATGAGGAAACTGGCGTTGGACAGCATTAAGAAGTGAATCATAATCAATGTGGCTAGGTCAACCTCTTCCCTTGATCTCTTCCAGGTTCCTACCCAACCTTGACGGCACCAGGAACAGAATCCATGTGTTCGTTTTCTTTGCGTCTCTTCACATCCGGTGATGCATTGACCTCGTCAAACTCACGCTTGCCATTCTTNTTGTGTCGGACTGGAGAGCTTGCCAATTCGGTATCTCTTGCTCGATCAGTCTGCTCTTCTGGCGGGACGGTAGGGAAAGGAGTGAGTCGGTCGGAGATGTCACCCCACCACGTTCCTCCATATTTTCTATACCAGTCGACTGTGATACGAAGACCTTCCTTGAATGGTGTCTTCTGCTGCCATCCCAATTGCTTGAGCTTCGAACCATCGACAGCATAGCGATGGTCGTTGAAAGGACGGTCTTCGCAGTGTACCACGTGCTTGTAGACTTCATCTTTGGTTTCGTTGGAGATCCCGAACTCTCCTAACAGCATAGAGCAGAGAGTGAAGTTTGAAATCTCATCTGAAGAGCCAACGTTGTAGATGTGACCAACCCGACCTTTGTGGAGTATGGTGTCGAATGCATCTGCTGCGTCTCCAGCGTAGAGATATCTTCTGGTGTGTGTTCCATCGCCGTGGAGTGACAACTGCTGGTTGCGCTGTAGAAGCATAGAAAACTTGGGAATGACCTTTTCAGGAAATTGATGTGGTCCGTAAACATTGTTGCTACGCACAACAATAGCTGGGATCTGGAAGCTCTTACGATATGCTTCCACATACATCTCCGCCGCTGCCTTCGATGCAGCATAAGGGTTTGTTGGCAGAAGCAGAGCGTCTTCCAGAAGATCCTTACCATCGTCTTTTACCTCTCCGTATACTTCGTCAGTGGATACATGGATGAACTTCTGGACTCCGTGCGACTTGACACACTCGAGGAGGACATGCGTGCCCACAACATTGGTGTTCGTGAAGTCGTTAGAGTTGCCGAACGATAGGTCAACGTGCGTCTGGGCAGCAAAATGCATTACTGTATCGATATCGTGTTTTCGCAAGCAGTCCATGACATCCTCGTGTCTGGTAATGTCACCTTTGTAGAAGGTGAAATTTGGCTCCTTGTCCAATTGTGCTGTGTTGTTGAGTGTTGCACAGTAGTCCAATTTGTCAAACGAGATTATGTTGTAGTGGCCGTGGTAAGTTTTAGTTAGGTGCCGAACAACCCATGAAGCGCTACAATGGTTCAGCGTAGTCCGGGATTTTCATTTGTGCATAACCTACATGAAACCAGCACCGCCTGTTATCATGATGTTGTTGATCTCAGATTGGGGTTCGAAGCGAGTTGACCCTTGGAGAAAGGGGGCATCCTCCCAGATGGAAGCATGATCCTTCAACGCTGGAGCATCGTCAGCCAAAACGTTTCCTGCAAACATGATCCAACCCACTCTTTGATGAAATTGAGCAGGGCATATTCAACTAGAGCAGAGGCACATCGAGACAGAAGATTCTGACAAGCAGACGTGGTGATATGAATGATTGGAAGTAGAGCACTCCTTGCATGGTGAAAGTCAAAGGAATTCATCGTACATGGATCGGTGTGTAAGGAATCTCGTCTGTGAGCACATGCACACCCGCGAGGCATGGAAGCAAGCGTAGGTACTCGTAGACTCGCGTGATAAGGATCATTGTGGATGATTTTTTGCGGCGAGCGCGATAACCTCATCATACTGGACCGAAATTATGCAAGAACCGTTTTTGTGACCATCGTTCATAGAGCAAAGAACTGAAGCTTGTGGAAGCTTGTATTGAAACCAAGGAGACAACGGCAAACGGCGAGACCGCACGCTCTGACGTTTTACATGATCGCCGCATCTGTGGTGACATCCAAGGAAGGCGGGCGCGACCGCTCCCGGTGGTTGGGGCAGATTTTTGGAGAGAAAGCGGGTCTGTGCGCGACAAACCCCTGGGGAGATTGCAGTTTCTCAGCTCTCCACGCAACCTTCAGCAGCCCCTGCTTGGACGGTAGGCACCCCTTTGCACATGTCTTGCGCGGCTGTCTTGATTTGCGAGGAATTCTTCGGAGTTAGATTCCACAATCCAGACTTTGTACTTCGTACTTCTCCCTTTGTAGGTCCAAATATATGTTGCAATTACCAACGTCCTCGTGTTGCTGTCGCCATGGCGTTTTAGCATCGTTTTTATAAGAGTGTTCGTGTCGCCCACCTGATCCAGTTACGTGAGAATCTATACAGCATGGCCACTACACACGAGACGACGGCCGAGACCGTCAAAATCGAGGACCCGACATTTNTCGAACAGCAGAACGATATTGAGATGGACAACCAGGAAACCGATGAACTGCTGGACGAGAAGGAACAACTCGACGAAGAAGGCAAGGAGGCGCCTGCCCCAGCAAAACAGCCGTCGAAGTTGTTGTTCTGGATTGCCGTCAACATCATCGCCACAACAGCCATTGTATTCATCAACAAGTCCATTTTCGACGACCCATCCTTCCGTGGAGCCCAGGTCTCCTTCGCGACCTTCCACTTCCTCGTCACATTTGCCACCCTGCATACCGTGTCTTCTGCTAGATTTGGCTTCTTCGATCGCAAGCGAGCAGCCCTTCGCGACATTCTTCCGCTTGCCGCAGCAATGTGTCTGAACGTTATTCTTCCGAACCTCTCCCTCGCTTACTCGTCCATCACCTTCTACCAAACTGCCAGGGTTCTGCTGACGCCTATCACTGCGTTCTTGAACTTCGTTCTGTACCAGAAAACCATTCCGCGGAAAGCCGTGTGTGCTCTGGTTCCTGTATGCGCTGGTGTGGCTATGGTAACATACTTTGACGTCCGGCCTGGAGCCACAACCAAGGGAACAAGCTTCTACGGTGTCGTTTTTGCCATGACTGGCGTGCTTATGAGCGGCATCTACACATGTTGGATCAGTCACTACCACCAGAAGCTCCAGATGACAAGCTTACAACTACTCCACAACCAGTCGTTGATTGGAGGAATATTGCTTATATACCTGATACCATTCGTGGACACTCTGCCAGTGTTCAGCGAAGTGCCGCTCCACCGATGGATCATGATCATAATGGTAAGGTTTCGTTGCTCTTCTGTTCGCATGAGCTAACTTGAGCAGAGCGGTCTTTGCGCATGCCTCCTCAACCTCTCACAATTTGCAATCATTGCTGGAGCAGGTCCGGTGGCCAGCACTGTGGTAGGCCATTCCAAGACTGTCACTATCGTGACATTGGGTTGGATTTGGACCGGTAGTGCTATCAGCGGCTACAGTATACTCGGTGTCGTGATAGCAATGGCTGGTGTCATAATCTACTCCATGGTAACAACTATGTACAAAAAATGAGAAGTCTGGTTTGATGTTTGCGACACCACGCAAGTGACAGTCTTGGCATAGTTTTGAATGCTTCTTAAGGAAAGAGCGATGGTTGTGATATGCACTTTGACGATGCTGACGACTGCCACTTCTGACCAAGTTTCAAACTCAGCTGTCTCTTCCTTCCTTCCGCTCTCACCCTGTTTTTCCTCCTCACTTTCACACACAACAACCACCAAGACTTCCAACCTACAAAGACGGTCTTGCATATCTCTTGGGCACACTGCAAACTGCGCACAATGTCCGACCACGATCCATCATCATCGCTAACGACACATCTGCTTGCTGCCCTCAACGAACTGCAACTCGTTCAGCAGAACACCCAACGAGAGCTAGACGCAGAGAGAGCAAGTTCTCGCCAACTTCAAGAAAAGCTCAACACCTCGCACGAAACCATCGCTCAATTGAGAGAAGAACTGCGCGCGAAACAAACCGCAGCCGATGAGAAATCTGCAGTTCCACCAGCTCAGAAGTCCAAACAAACCGCAACCCAGAGGTCGCCGTTACCAGATCATGTCAATGCTACAGCCTTGTCAAAGCCAAAGAAAAAGAAACGCAGAAAGACCAAGATGCAAGATCCCATCACAATCCGTCTATTGTCGCTTCGGATGAAAGCTGGTAGCTGGCAAGAACTATATCTGATCTATTCGTGGGAGCACAAGGCCATCCAGTTCTCCAAGGATGATGATGTGCTTGATTTCCAAGGCTCTAAGATCCAGCTCATCAGCAACCACGCTCAAACAGTCTTCTGCAGTACAAAGAGCTCGACTGCTGTCGTCCTAGTTGGATCTGCGGACATCGTCTCAAGCGGTCGGATCTGGCTTGAGTTTGCCACGACTGGCAATTTAGATGTGTTTCTAGAGGCCGTTAACCATATGAACGACAGAGCTATAATCAGAAATTTCCGCCAGAAACAAAGAAGAAATTCGAAAACTCCGATGGCAACTTCATTGTATGCAACATGCGGTCGTCAACTCAACAAAGAAAAGTCACATTAGCTTCAAAGAGAGCGGTGCCAGACGAGCCAGCTAGGCTTGCGAGAAGTTGATGAAAGCATCGAGCAGATGAAGAAGCACAGTCCTCTCGATTTGGAGAGGTAAAGCTTGCGTCTCAAGCCATCAGATGCAATCATGAGCAGGACAGTGTTGTCGCCTCACAAGCTATTGTCACGTCAAACAGAGCAGCTTCGAAGCGTAAGAAAGGTTCATCAGGCAGGAACGCTTTGAATACGGCCTGACAGGCAAAACGCCACCCGGCAAGGGCCATCTCTCATCTCGGTGAGATACAGCGGGCTCAGGTGGGCAGACCAATATAGCTGAAATGCAGCATCAACCGTATCTTCCCAAATATCCACCTCTCACCTTTGAAGGTGCATTTATGACCGTGAAACTCTATCTTTGCCTCCATGCTCTACATCCTTCGCTTGTATACTAGGCTGCTCTTTGTGAAAGCGAGACGGAACTGGCTGACTGCCTCTTTGTGACATACAGGAGGAGAGATGAACATATCGCACTGCCAAACATATCACGATACGCTGAGCAGATCTCCGGAGAACAAGGATCGAAAGTCAAGAACATTTATGATACCGCTAACCCACAAAAACACCAATGCAATGCAAGTAGAAAACACTAAATACAAAAACGACTCAGTAGCAGGAAAAGCTACTAGCGTGAAAGAAAAAAGCGCCCTTTTGAGCTACACCATCTATTCCACTTCGACCACCTCGGCAGCTTCTGCCATGATCGCTTCACCCTCATCCAACACTTCCATAACGCGACGCAGACCCTCGCACATCTCATCTGCATGTGCAACAAGCAGCAACTTCTCGGCGTTGGCCTCGAGACCAAGGTATGTAGGCGGCTCACGCTCAGGTAGACCCTTGATCCATGCCTCAAAGTCTCTCTTTGTTGTACCAGTGGGCACGGTAAGACCCTGTTGGAGAGCAAAGTTCTCTTCAAAGGCAGCAGGGGTAAGCACAGATGATACCAATTGTGACAAGACTGAGAAGTCAGAAGCATTATCAATCTTGCCACCGTATGTTTCGGTGACCATAATGCGCAGCAGAGACCAGGGGATTGCGTTAGGGGCAATATTGGAGCGGTTGCCTGCGACTGTAGTCATCCAAGTATCGATGATGAAGACCGAGCACTCAAAGTCACTGTCGTTGAACTCCCAGAAGCCGCTCCAACCAAGACGAGGAGCGTATCTCAGACGCTCTTGAACGACGGCGTGCAAGAAGGCGAGCAAGAAGTAGACTCTAGCCTTCTCGACAGGCTGTTGGGATCCTGCTTCCTTGAGAGAAGCCATTGAATCACGCATGTTGGCTCTGATACCAGCAGGTTGCTCGTAACTCAAGACTCTTGATGCTCTCAACAGGTTGACAGGTATCTTAGGAGAGCTCTCCATTGACAGGAAAAGTCTGAAGTCAGGGTGTGGTTTGAGACTATCAATTCTCTTCTCCAGATTCTGAAGCCAGTGGGCAGCCAGATGCACGTTCTTCACCATGACCCATGAGCCGGTTGCTGCAGCGTTGGCAAGAGCAGCATCAGCATTGGACAGCGACTCGTTAGAACCCATAGCGACGTTCGCACAACGAGAAGCTGTACGCTCCACGAGCTGATCGACCTTGTAACTTGCGTCAAAGCCAGGTGATGAGGAAAGTGCAACGGGTGTATGAGCTGTGACTTCCTTGACAATACGGCTGAGATCATCGCTGACGTCAAGCATGGCGGCACCGAAGAGAGATGTGATAAATACTTCAGCAGCAGGAACAAGACGATCGACACGCAAGATCTTGATGAGCAAGAGATTGAGAAGTCTTCGGTCGAGTTCGTTGTCTGTCTGTCCAAGCACAGGCACGTTCTTCTCAGGGAACTCAGCGGAGAAGAAAGTGCTCCACTCGTCTTCAGGTACTTGATTAAGACTGTCCTTGAACTGTCTGATTGACGATGCACGCGCCATGGCTTCGTCTCTGAGCTCGGGATTGGTCGACAAGTCGACGCCCTTCAGATCCTCGTCCAACACCTTGTCGATCAAGGACTTGTCCATCTTCAGGGGCGAAGCTTGTGCAAGAAGCATAGCAAAGGTGATACGATCCTTCTGCAGCAGAGTAAGGGCTGTGCTTCGGTAGGTGCTGATAAATATCTCCTTGATGATGGCGTCAACTCTGTTCTCGTGGCTTCCCGCAGGCCTATCCTTCGATGTGCGAAGTACAGCGTGGAAGATATCCACAAAGTATTGCAATGAGAATTGGTAAAAGTGGTTGATGTGATGCAACTGATCGAGCACAGCAAAAATTGCAGAACACGACTGCGCAATTACATCGTAAGACATAGTGATGCGTTCCACTTCTGTCATGACACCATCTGTCTCGGCAGCCTTGACCGCGATCTCACTAGCTTCCTTCTTGAGTGTCTCGAGTGTCTGAATGACCTTGTCATCGTCGAGAATATTACCCTGGGATTCATTGAGGGCGCGAAGAAGTTGTTTCTCGAGATGACGAAGACGCAATCTAAATTCACCTTGGGTCTTGACAAGGTTGGTGCGTCTCTCATCAACATCAGGACGCTCTGACTTGAGCACGTCGTTGAGGGCTTGAGTGCGCAGACTGCTCTGAGTAACCGTGAAGTTGACGAAAGTGGTTCTACTGCAGATATCTGGCGCAAAGGTTGCCGAAGGGTCTCTAGTGGTAAGGTACAGACGGAAAGCGGGTGAGAAGTCGATCTCCTGTCTTCCAAGTTGGATGAGCACACGACCACCAGTCTTTTGGTACTCCTTGTTGAGAACGTGGTTGAGAATAGGATCCAGATGTTCAGCATCCTGGATGAGAATAGGATTACCGAAACGCAGCGAACTCTCCAATTGTTTGGTGAAGGAACTGTCCAGGAAACTTGTGACGGTCAATCTACGATCCTTGCACTCGTTCTGCAAGAACTCAACAGTACGACCTGAGGGATCGATGATAAGAGGATATCTGTTGAAGCGCTGGAGCATGATGGCATTCTCCGTGCAGAGGTCATCAACAGGCAACGAGTTTTGCTGCCATTTCAACCTATCATCTGCGGTCGAGAGGTACTCAGCCATGGGGTTGTGAGGCTTGTGATGAATGCTAGAAGCTGCGAGTTGGAATGCCCAGTCTTCAAGCATAGCCTTGCGGTACTGCTGATCATACAAGCCGCCATACGCAAGGAAAGCAGCGGCAAGGAAGACGTCACCAACGATGGTGTCCATCTGTGCGTCGAAAGACTTGCTGGAGTTCTCCCATCTCTCGCGTTCGGAAGACAGGTTGCTGATCAAGCGCGAACTGCGATCAACCTTGCTTTGGACCCGAGCCATTTCGCTCTTGATTGCTTCGACCTGACTGACAAGAGCTGCATATTCAGTCTTGTAAGTAGCGATGTTGTTGTCGAGTTTCTTGATCTCAGCAAAGATCGCTTGTGCGTTAGCCTTGGTCTGCAAGGCCTCCTCCTCGAGCTGAGTGACCTCTTCTCTGAGAGGACCAACACGGTCAAGAATGGCGGAATAGTTGACTTGGGCCTCAACCCATTGAACAAGAGGACCACAAGCTTTACTGGCACGGTTGACACGTTCGAAGCTGAAATCGTCCTTGGACAAGAACTCTCTCTGCATCTTGATACGATGACTGCTGGTCATCTGTCTCTCGTTGTCGTAGTTGACAATACTGGCAATAAAGTCATCACGACGAACGATCGACACAATTGTCTTCCAGTCGGGTGCCTTGTGGCCGAGCAAAGTGCAAACAGATTCAAGAGCGAGCTTGACACCTGAAGGAGGGTTCTGCATAGAACGTACTTCGGTCAGATGTTGCTTCTTGATGTTGCTGACACTCTTCTGTGCTTCGATAACGGCAGGTTCAGCCTGAGCAAGATCGTGAAGTACCACCTCTCTTCTCTCTGCGACGATTCGCTCTTGCTCAACCAGCGCGTTCTGAACTTCAAGAGATGCAG